CGCCAACGGCCAGTCCGCGGTTCCATCCTTGGGGCAACGCTCGGTCGGGCTTGGTGTCATCCTGCACGCACACGGACTTGTGTGGTCCGGGCCCTGGCTGCGACGGCTGTCCGCGTCTGCGTCTGCGAAGGCCCGAACACCAAGCCGTGCGATGCGCCGTGGATAATGGGCGTCACCCTGGTGCTCCAGACCTGGCACAAGCCAGGAAGGCAATGGTGCCACCCCCGCGGCCGGCGGCGAGTCGCTCGCAGGACCCAGCCAGAACGCGGAACTCGGGCCCACGACCCTGGGCACGATAGGCCTGGGCTTGAAGCTTGATGGAGACCCACGTCGTCCTTCGCGGCGGTGCGATGGGGCGCGGCAAGTTTGGCCAGGACCAGTACGGCATGGTGGACGAGGACGGAGACGGGGCTAAAGTCCGAGGCGAGGGAAGATGGAAACCGAGGAGGACGTAAGTGGGCCCGCGTCCGTGCACGAGTACGTCCGTCAGTCAGGGTGCTGGGGGAGCGAGCGAAAATACGAGGGTGAGGGCTGCGTGGGCAGCCTCGAGGCGGAGATGGGTGATGTCGGTGTTGCAGCCACGGCAACGAGTGGCCATTCCGGACGACAGGTCGATATTGGGCTGTGATAGGGGCCCGCCGCGAGGGGCCTCTGGGCCTCTGAGGTCTGCGCCAGGCGGATGCGATCTTCGTCTTGGGCGACCAGGCGGGCGTGAGAGGAGAAAGAAAAGCGACGCCCAGGGCACGTGCTCCGCGGAGGACGAGCGAGGCGCCCGGGCCGGATCCGAAGGCGGGAGGTGGAAGCTCTGTGTCGCTCTCTCGCCAAGAGGGCGCGTGGAGCCGCGAGATCCAATATTCTAACGTCCGGCCAGGAAGGCGGAGCGGGTAGCTACAGTGGGTCGCCCGTGTCAGACGGGCGGAAATGAAGGCGGCGCGCGATGGAGAGCCAGACGCTGTTCGGTCTGCGCATCGAAGCCGCGATGCGCGTCGAAGGTCGACCGCGCCAGCTCGCGGGCTTCGAATTCGCAGACGCAAGCCCTGACTTTGAGCCCCGCGGGCCCTGGGCGCGCAGCACGCTCTGCCACGGCCGTCCTCGCGCGTCGACGGACTCCATTGTCAATTGATGGCCTCCGCCAACGCATCACGCGCCCGACAGCGAACGCTCTCCTCCGCGGGTTCTCCGGGCAGGGTCCCGCAGATACGAGGACGACGAGGACGCAAACCAGCCGGCCGGGGAGATCCCTCGCTAGTCCTCACGCGCGCACGCCTCGCCGCGAGCGGTGCCAGAGCGCACCCCGGACGGGCGCGTCGCGCCCCCACCTTCCCTTCTCGACGCGAGCAAACCCACCCCGCCCGCCCCCTCGGTTGGCTCCGTGCTCATGTCATCCGCGCGCCCCCCTGCGCGCCGCCGGCAGCGGCTCTCGCGGGGGCCCGAGGGCGCGCGGGTGGCCTCGCCCCAAGCGCCCTCCCCGCGCACGCACACACGGTACCTGGGCTCCCCGCCTCGGGACTTGCTCGCCTAGGCGCACGGTGGTTGGTCGCACCCCGCGCGGTGGCTGTTCGACGATCGGGGCTGCCCCGCGTGCCCCGCCGCCTCTCAGCCACCCGACGCGTTCGGGCCAGGGTCGCCGAGCGCCGCGAGAAGGACGGCGCGGTGCGGTGCGGCGCGGCGCGGGGGGCCCCAACGACGGTGCTTCTCGCTCGCTCGCGCCCGCCGCACGTCGTGTGCTTCGCGCCGCGCGTCGGGTGCGGGGCGGCGGCGGCGGAGCGGGCTGCAGCGAGGAGGGGGGACCGCTACCGTGGGCCCGGGCGGACGTGTCGAGGGCGCGCGTTGCTACGCACGGCGCCGCACGCACCCCGACGTCAGCGAGTCAATTAACCCAGCGTCGGTGCTGTCCGCGTAAAGGGTTGCCGCACCGCGCGCTGTGGGAACGCGTGGAGGGCTGTGGAGGGGCGGAAAGGGTCCTCGAGCGCAGCGGAGGGGCGACCGTCATTATTCAAGATTACTATCCTATCGGCGTCGAAGAACGCTACACACTCGAGAGCACAACGCCATCATCCGTACACCGGCGCGCAGAGAGCCCCGGGCCAAGAGCACGCGCCCCAGCGCGGCGCAGGGGCGCGAAGGGGAGGGAGGTGCGGCCACGCGCGATCCCGTCCAACCACCACTGGATCTCACCGGACTGAGGTCCCCCTCGTCGCGCCCCATCCGCTCCCGCCTCCGTGTGCGGGCTGCGCGGACCCTCGTGGCCCCCCCTCCTCTCGTCGCGAGCTTTTTTTGCGTTGGCTGCGTCCAAGAACCGTCTCACCTCCATCACCCCTCGCGCGTGCGTGTCCAAACGTCCAGAGAGACCGTGCCAGGGATCCTCGCTCGACGCAGGGCGTCCGTCGTGGGCGGCCGCGGCCGCGTGCGCGCCGCTACTTGTTCAGCACGGTGTCGAAAAACCGGCTCGTGGGGCTCACGGGCTCCGCGGGCGGCGGCGGCGCTGTCCAAGAACGTAGGTGAGCATTCGCGCGCAGGCATGCCGCGGAAAACGGCGCAGAAGAAAGGCGGGCGGGCGGGCGGGCACGGCCAGGAGCTCGACAGCACGCACGCGTACGCGGAGGGGAGAGCGCGCGCACCCGAGCAGGAAAAATCGGGAAAGAAAGAAGAGAAGCGGGCCGGGCCGGCGCGCGCTGCCGCCGGACGTGCAGCGCGCGGCGACGGCCGCGCAGCAGGACTGGGATCAGAACGCGCGTGTCCCCGTCGACAGCCCAAGGCCTCGAGCCTCGACCGACGGCGGCGCGCCGTCCTGTACGTGATGCAAGCCCCGCGCGGCGGGCGGCGGCGCGCCGTGCGCGACGGTCGGTAGGTACTCACAGGAGAACGTCGCGAGCGTGCAGGGCGTGCCCGCCCGGGTACAGTGCACGCAGGGTCCGTTTGGCGTGGCGCGCTCGCACCCCAGGTGTTGTCGTTTGCTGTGCGCGGAGCGCAAGAGAACACCGGGCGGGAGAAGACGGGGGGGATCAGCGTCGGGCACAGCGCGGTACGAACGAAGCTCACCAGCTCTCGCAGGGGCTCGGGCGGGGCATCGCCGTGGACGACCTCCCGCCGGCCGCCTTCTTCTCCCCCGGCGGTCGCACGACGTGCCCGTCGCGCGCACTCGCTGCACGCCGCCGCGCCCTCCGCGGTCACGCACTTCACTGTCGACGCCGGGGGGTGGGAAGCAGCGACGGTCAGCACGCGCACGCACGGCAGGAGAAGAAGGCGAAGGCGGGCTGTATGCGGGGAAGCGGGCGAACTTTATGCGCCCTGGCCCGTCGCGGCCGCCGTTGGGACGTGCGCCGCCGTCGCGCATGAACTAGGCGAGGACGGGACGCGCGCGGTGTGGGCAAATCGACGTCACGAGCAAGCGGGCGTACCTTTTCGCCAAGAGCACTCGAGACACGCTCGCTGCTTGTTGCTCGACGACATTTTCCGGTCTGGTGGATCGACGCGCGGGGTGGTGGGGGTGGTGTGCGAGGGGGGCTGCGAAGCGAGGAGGAGGTTAACGAAGACGCCAAGCACAGCGCGTAGTAGGAAGCTCGAACGCTCGGCGGGCGGGGGAGGGGTGGAGGTGAGGGGTCCGGGGAGAAGTCGGGCGGGGTGCGGCGGGTAATATAGAGCTCGCGCCGTCGCGCAATGCGCCTCGGAACGCGGGAGAGTACCGCCCCACGGAGCGGGAATGCGAGCTGGAAGAGAGCGGGGCGAAGGGACGCTCGAGGCCGCGCGCGCCTTCTCTGATACGATCTTCACTGCGGTGTGTGGACGAACGGGCGGGCGCCCGTGGCCTTTCCACCTCCTCCCGCGCCCGGCGGTGCGCGCCGCACTGCTCGCTCGTCCGCGTCACGTTCGCGAGGTCTCCCCTCTGCTCCGCGTCCTCCGTCGAGCACGCCCGCCGCACCGTGCATCGGGCACGCGGACCTGATCTGTGTGCACCGGGGCCGGAGGGCGAGGCGGCCGAGCGAGCGAGACGCGGCCGGCCCTCACTCGAAATGGCTCCGGGCGGTCCGCGCGAGGAGATGGAGGGGGTGGACCGCTGGAGAGGAGGGTGCTTCGGGCGCGCCGTCGTGCGATTCAGGGCGTGCGTGGCGTGGCGCCCGCCGTTCTCGAACGCCGGGGCGGGGCCCAGCGTGTGAGTGCACGCAGCGCGAGCCATGCGTAGGGCTGCGCGGAGCATAATCCCGTACAAGCCGCGCGCGGGGGGCGTAGAAGGAGACGGGAAGGGAGATGCGCGACGGGCATGGGAGAGCGCGCGCGTGGCACGGCACAACGAAACGCGAGACGAGGCGCGTTCGAGCACGGACGGTGGATGGACAATGCCTGACGTCCGCCCCGACCGGTGGGCGAGAGAGATCTCGAGTTTGAATGGGCCGTCGTGCTCGACGCGGTCGTCATCGCCGCGCGCGGCATTCCCTGGATCCGTCCCGTCCTTCGTCCCGTCTTCGCCTCGCTTGGTGCGGGCGCGGGGGTGACAGCGAGGCGAGCGAGGCGGGCTCCGCACCCGCGCCCTCGCCCTCGCGACGGCCACAGGCGCTCAAAAATTCTCCCCGAGCGGGCAACTGTCACGTCATCGGCGGACACAGCGCGGCCCTCCCGCGACCGAAGCGGCCAGGATGGACACGGCTGTGCTGCCTGCTGTGTCGACCCCCCACCCAGCCCTCTCCGTCCGCGAGTCCGCACCGGCCCCGGATGTGGCACACGCGCCCGCGAACGCGCCCACCGTCCACAGCGCGGACCCAGCCTTGGTCCTGTCGCGGTTGCATTTCATCTCCTGGCAATAGACCTCGGCCGCGGGCTCCAGGCGTTCGGTCGATCCGTTGGTCGTACAAGCTGGTACAGAGGCCTCGATTGATTATTCCTACATCAGACCGGGAGAAGCAGACGATAAGACAGAACAGAACCGACTCATCAGCCCCATCGTCTTCCGATATCGACCCACCCTGCGCGGGGCCATCGCCCGAGCAAGCTGCGTTCATCGCCTAGAGCGTCTCGAGCTTCCAGAGGTCGTCGCCCAGGTACGTCACTGTCTCGACCCCGACGTCCTTGTTCACCTTGCGCATCTCCTCCGAGCCGAGCTTCGTGATCCCAATCGCGGCCGCATGCTCCTTGCCCTCGGCGTGAATAGCCACCGGAGCGTTTGCGGACAGGGCCGCGTCGGGTGGAGGAAGGTATCCGCCTGCGGAAGTGAGGCCGGGGCACATCATGTGGGCGCCAGCGAGCAGGAAGCGGATTGCGCCACGGTCGACGCGCACCATGGGGAGCACGGTGGGATCTGAAGCAAAAGATGGAATGAATATGACATCGGCGACGATCAGGAAGGGAGCAGGCGGGGTTTGGGCGTGCGGATAGAGTCCAGGCGCCAGTGGACCGGGTGGAAGGGCGGAGTCTGGAGCGCGTAGAGAGGCGCAGAGAAAGGACCGCGGGAGAACGAGCGAAACTCACACTTGTGGAGGAGGCGGAGGGTGGGGAAGAAGGGGCCATCGAAGTGTTGGAAGAAGAGCGGCTCGCCGTGCAGCGTATAGATCGAGATGTGCTCTCTGCTACGCGCGGAGTGAGTGGCCGCTCGGTGACAGAGGGGGAGGACCGACCACTTGACGAGGGTAAGAGACTCCTTCTTTGGCCAGATCTGCTCAAACGTCTCCGGGGAGACGAGCCATTGGGCGAGAATGGTGGAGCGGATGTTGCGCTGGACGGAGGACTTGACCGAGACTTGACCCGAGATGTCGGCCGCGGGAGAGAACCTACGGCCGGCGCATCAGTTGCACAGTGGCATGGCAGAGCGGGCGGTACGGGGCCAACTTTTTGAACATCCCGATGGGCGGGGATGGCGGAGGAGGAAGAGAGTGGAGCGTGCGCCGGGTCGGCGCAACGGGTGAGATGCTATCTCGGCATCCCCCGGCCCGCGATCCTGCCAGCGCCTGCCCCTCGCTCGCCCGGACCACGTGCGCGAGCGCTGCTGGCGTCCCTTATCGAGGCCAGCCCTTGTCCTCGTCCTCGACAGTTAGCCATCCCGGTCTGATTCTGATCCCCTCGTCCTCCTGCCCGCTAACCTCAATCGCGATCCCACAAGCAACGCCCACTCCGCCTTCCAATCGCCCTGCACCGGCAACCACATAGCCGAATCATCCGCAGATTCGCAGTACAAGGCACCACCGCCGCAGTCCTCTCACACCAGGCTTTCGGAGATATGACACATTCCTGCACGCCGACACAGTTCCTCGCCTTCTGTTCCGGTCAGCACTCGCACACAATTCATCGATCCGTGCCGGCATAAATGCCTTCGGGACCTGAAGAAACCGCATCCGTGACATGTCCACAACAGATGCGCCCTTGCGACGCTGCTGGCTCTCTTCAATCTTCTATCCTCACAGCCCACCGTCTTCTGATCCTGACTTCCAGCCACCCGGCGCCTTCTTCTACTCCCGCCGGTACAGACGGCCGTGCATCTCGGGCGAGCACCCACACAGCACATACGAATCCGTCCTCCATCACCCCGTCCGCGCTGAGCGACGCCGTTTACTGCTTCCGGTGGAGTCCCAGTCCGGCGTCCTCGATGAACCCCGCGCCATGTGCGGCCCACATGACTTGATTAGCCCCGATCGGCTCTGGAACTGGTTATGCCGCGCCCGGAGGCCCCAACCACCAAGTACGTTCGCCCCCTGGGACCCGCGCAAGTCCACGGAGGACTGCCCGCCGGCTGAAGTTGCGCACGGACCCTTCTCCCTCCATCACGGTCTCCTGGGCGGCCATTGCTCTGGTTCTGACGGACCCCGCATCCGCGCCTGCCACCGCCAGGCTTCCTCCGCCGCGTTCACTCCGGCTCGGCTACCACGAACCCAGCATGGGCCAGGGTCGGCAGACCCTGTCCGCCGCGGCCGTCGCGAACCTGGCGTGGGTTCGGACGCCCACGTCTGCTTACGGTGGATCAGGCCCAGGGTCACTTATGACAGCGCGAGCGCTCGCCGCTCGCTGCAGCCTCAACGTCTCCGTCACTGGCCAGAAGAGGTCGGACTCCTCGGCGCGCAGAACCTTGCAGTTAGGGGGCCGCGGACGCGGCTCAGTACGCGGCGCAGCCGGGCTCGACCGCCGTACGTGGTCCGATGATCTGCCACCCACCGCCCACGCACGGCTCTCCGCCGCCGCTGGAACCGCGATTTCCGCTCGAGGCAGGAACCTTGAGCGTCGCGGGGCCGCTGAACGCTCTCCGATCCTCCGGACGCCAGTCTAGTGCCCAGGACATGCGCAGGCCCCACCGACCGCGCTCTCAACGTCGTGCCGGCCAGCGACTATATCCGCCGGCCAGCGCTGTATCTGCACCCAAACCTTGACTTCAGGAGGCGTCGCCACCCACACAGTGGTTTGCGGGAAATTTCCCAACGTCCAACACCCACGAATAGGTCTCTTGGGGTTTGCAGCGTCCCCAAGAGCACCCCCCACCCAGGTCCCGCGCCAGCAGTCCGCGGACGCCCCTATCGTCCCCCCGCGGCCCCGATCGCAGCCCCCCCCCCTCCCCCCCTCCCTCCATTCGACGCATCCCAGGACCATTTGAAACAGCGACACCCCCGTGACGCACCCACAGGACCGCGGCCACCTCGTCCAGCGCGCGAACCGCCCCCCGCGCCCGCTTCCATTCTCTCCGCACCCCCTCCCTGACAGTCCTTCTCCCACCGTCCGCGGGCACCAAGCCTCAAGCGGACAGGCCGCCTCGCCGTTCAGCTCCCGCTCGCCCGCGGGACAGGGCGGACCCGGGCCAGCGCCGGCAGCTCGCCGTGTGGCACCGAAAGCTGGTTCGGTTAGCGGCGGAAGCACCTACAGTATCCGCGTCCTCCCTCGAGCGGCGCGCTCTAGTCCGGATGCCGGCCACGGAGAAAGCGCGGTCGGCCGGTCGGGAGCCACGGTCTCAGCGCATCTTCACGAAGCAGGCCATCCGGCCTGTAGGCCCAGGAAGCGGGCGGACGTTGAAGCGGATCGAGTAGACGGTCGGGCAGGGCATCAGAGCGAGCAGAAGGCGAAGGTTGAGGAAGTTGCATTACGGATCTTCTTCTCGTATTCCTCTGTCGTAAGCTACTGTTACATTGTGATTGTAGATGCGGTGAACAGCGAGATGGCGCGATAGCAAGTGTACACGGCGGCCGGGCAAGACGAGCAACGGGCAGCGGCAGCGGCGGCGACGACGGCGATGGCGACGGCGGGCGGAGCGGAGCGGGGGTGGGAACGGGGACGGGAGCGAGGCAGGTAAAGCGGTCCAAGCCCACGGCGGCGCGGCTGCGAAAAGGGGGGTGCAGGGCAGGACCGAGACGAAGACGTGAATGTGTCAGAGAGAGCGGCGGGAACATTGGCGAGGGCAACGGGGAACGGGGGAATGGGGTGGGGAGAAAAAGGGGGGACATGGGGCAGGGGGACTGAAGGGAGTGAATGGGGATGGTGGGGAACGTCTATCATACACATAAGTCACGGGCGGTCCGTCTCCGCTCAGATGTCCTCGTCCCGGTCGTCGAGCTGTGATGGTTTGAGCATACCGGGAATGCGCATCGCCGTCTCGCGCTCCTCGTCAGCCTTGCGCTGGGCCTCGGCTTCCTTCTCCTCGAGGTACAACTCCGCATTGTCCCCAGAAAACTCCTTGAGCTGCACGAGGAAGTCGCGGAGAGCGAGCTTGAAGCGGTTGATGTCGCTGTGGTACTCGCCGAGTGATACGACAAACGTCTGGACCTGGGCGCTGTAGACCATTTCAGTCAGACTGCCTCCAAAGGATGTCATCGTGAGCACCCACTTCTGAATGTGGGGGAAAGCACCCTTGAGGAGGTTCGCTGTGTACTGGCGCAAGAAGATCGAGTTGTTCATCGGCTGCTCTGTGACCGCTGCAGGGTCGTACAGAGGGGCTGTGGTCTGGTTGGTCTCCACAAGCTGGAACATCCGCGCCAGAAGCATGGACTGCAGCTTGAAGCCGCTCTTGTGGTCGGTATCTGTGAGGACGTAGAAGATGTCCTGCAGGATGCTGAGGAAGTACTGCTGGAAGAACGAGTTGGCAACCGCTGGGTCGGCGCCCGCGAAGTTGTTCACGACTTCCAAACACACTGAAACCACGACGTCAGTGGATACCCTGGCGGCGCTACGAGGACAGACGTACGGTTCAGACCAGTTTCAGCGATGTCGCGCATCGTGTGCTTGATTGCCCAGATGATACTATCCGTGAACAGCTTGAACTGGGGTGGAGGGATGTTCAACAAAGCTACACGTGTTGTTAGTAAGGCACGTGATGCAAAAGTGACAGACGTCTACCAGGGAAGTTGTTCAGGTTGATGGCGCGGAGGAGCTTGAAGAATCCGACGCGGTGCTCAGGGAATTCAGAGAAGTCTTGGTTGATCATGTTCAATGTTGGCTCAAAGACCGCTTCCAAGATGGCGGGAATTTGGGGCGTTAGCAGGGGCTGGAATGGCTTTGAGTGCGCGGTCGAAGTTGCAGTCTGTCCACCACTTACCCCCAAGCGGCCGATGATGGTGGCCATGACGTTGAGTACTTCTGCATCGCGAGCTGCGGGAACATTGCGACTGTAATCCCCAAGTATGGCATCCAATAATGGCGGCATGAAGTTGGAGTTCACCGTCTCGAGGTCTTCCGACTTCTTGACGAAGGTCTCCATCAACTTGAGGATTTCCTTTTTAATGGTACGGAGCTGCCGGACCTTCGGCGTCTTCGTTGCAATGACACCTACAGCCGACGTTGCTTTTAGGGCATTCTGATATGGATGTTATAAGTTACGCACCCTCCCGAGCAACAGTCTCGCTGATGATGCCGCTGACTGCTTTGTATAGGCCGAGCATATCCAAGAAGATCCTCCCAATCTGTGGCAGATAGAAAGTACCGATGGACGTGCAGGCAGACACGTTCGTCTTTAAGACATTGGAGAGAATCTTGATGTTCTCCGGGCCGCTGAGGACGTCCATGTTCTGCGCCGCCTGGGTCATGAGCGAGTCCCACGCATTATTGGGGAGCTCCATCAACTTCGCGATGAGCTTCTCTTGCTGGGGCTTGTTAGGCTGTGCTGAGATCATGTAGCCTACTGCTTCGTAAAAAGTGTGAACCTGGAGAGCGGGAACTTAGTACCCGCAACCTCCCGGCGCGTTTACCATACCTGCAGGGGAGAGAGGTCCACCGTGATTCGGTGCAACAACCTGAGGATTTCGTCTACGAAGGGTTCCGACTCTCCCGACTGCTGCATGACGAAATGGCGTCGGCATTTCTGCGCAATCTTGATGAACGTGTCGCATGCCATATCCTGAACACCTACAACAGAAAAGCGTGAGTAGTTCTGTTTCACAAAACTGTCAGAAGTTCTTACCCTCGTGAGTTTCGTGCATAAACTCAAAGAGCTTGTTGACGACCGTCTTGAGGAATTTCCAATGCGCCTTCAAGAACCGAGGATATTGACCGACGATGTACATGATGTCCGAGGCAACGACAGCCTTGTTGTCCTTTCCGCGCTTGATCTCGCAAAGCCCGAGCAAGTCCTTGATGACCGTGACCAGGAAACGTTTCTCGGTCTCCTCGTCTGAAAGCAGTTGGCGTCAATGTTTAGAACGCGCGAGATCAAGGACTCACTCATAGCTCCGGAAATGGAGCCAATGGCCCAGCAGAGCGTGTTAAGATTTTGCCATGACCATTCCGATCCATCGACTTGCTTCTGGAGCTTCTCGGTGAGGAGGTTCTCGGTATCCGCGACGTCTAGATGAGTCAAGTACACGAGCAACTCGCGCATAGACTTGTAGAGAACGATGGTGTCGATTTCCTTCATGAATTCTCGAACGATTTCACCCTCTTCGTTTTCGACAATCAGAACCTACGGGGACATATTCAACGATGGAAACCACGGAAGGCCTAAGACGAATTCATACCTCTTCGGGCTTCACCATCTTCTCGATGACTACGAGGCGAAGATTTGAGAGAACGTCGCTGTAGATGTTCTTGCGCAATGAGATGCCGTTGAGAACAGCATTGCCGCCACCTAGACTGAGGTTCATCAAGAGACCGCTGTCGCCCATCGGTAGACTCTGGATCTCCTCGTAAAGCTCCGCGACAAGCTTCAACCAGTACTCCAAACAAATCTTGAAGATTTCACGCTCGTCTACTTGGGAGATTTTGACCATGTAGAGGTGAGCATTGAGGAGAACATCGCGGTTCTGTTCTGTCTCAACTGCACGGAGGTGATTTGACAAGAAGTTCGACAGGAAAAGCGCGAGGTTCAGGACCAGCTCTTGTCCAGCGTCGGCGGCGTTCGCGTATGCCTGGGCAATGTTGGTACTCGGGGGAATCATGCGGTTGACGGAAGTCATGACCATGGCGAACAGGATGACAAACTTGGGGTCGTACTCAGGCCCAACGTTGAGTGAGGCGATTTCTGCCAAGCACTTCAGGGTGACATTGCGGAACTCCGGTGCTTCTAGGAACTGTGTCCCGGGTTGAGCGCACAAGCAAATATTAACAGGCATGTTACTTACCCGGTTCAGCAGTACGTCGATGATTGTGGTCTCAAAGATGTAGCCAAGAGGGATCCAGTTCAGGAATCTGAGCATCGTTTCCAAAGTCGCCTTGATGAGCGAAGCTTTCTGCGCCTCCTCAAGAATCTCCGAACAAAGCTTGAAGATCTCTGAGAACTCGCCACACATCTGGTTCTTCAGGTTCTTGACTTTCGCCTGCGTCATTTGCTCCGCCGAGTAGTCAAAGATCTCCTCAGAGAGAAGCTTGAGGATGATCATGTTGTTCTCGCACAGCGACAAGTTGGTTTTGGAGGACTCGACCAACTCGGGGATGAATGTTGGCCAGTTGTGGGGCCACTCCTGCTTCAAGATCTGGACGAACGGCGGCAGTGGACTTAGGGAGAAACAGGACCAGAAATGGAGTCGAACTCACCTGGACGAGTGCAAGGTTCAACTTGTTGAGGTACGTTTTGTCTCTCCGCATTGTAGCCTCATCCGACGCGATTTTGACGGTGATGCCGACGATGAAATTTCGGATCCCTTGAACGCCAGAAACATCGGTATAGAGGGGTTATGAGCCACTGGCGGGAATACGAACCTTGTCGTTGACCCTCAGGGAGAGACTTCCATCGTGTTGTGATCAGCTTCTCCAGGATTTGTAGCCCGATGTACTGGAGATAATTGTGTGGGCGGTTGCAGGGAAAGTACGAACGCGCTGCACATACCTTCGCCTGGGGGAAAGACGAACGTTCAAGTATATCAGGAACCCGTGTCCATGCCTCCGGACTCTCTTGAAATTGAGTCAAAACTTGCTGCGCGAGTTGTTGCTGGTAACACGTTGAGAATAGTGTGAGGAAGGGCTCTCTTGAAAGAACATTGGACGTACCTCTGCCCCTGCGCCGGAGTAGAAGCTCATCACCACCCTGTCCATGAGCGTAACATCGAACTCTCGGGAGAAGTCGAGTATGCCCTAGATTGAGGTGAATAAGGCTACACACACGGGCAGAAGGGAGACACGTACCTCCATGGCGGCAATACTATCAATCGACGCGTGAGGCAGGAGTCGTCGTCGTGGTAGATGTGGGACTGCTGACAGAAGGAAGCTAGAGGGCGGTGGCAGTCAAGTGGGCAGAGGGCGAGATCCGTTAGATCTTGTCTTATCTGGCTTTCCGGCATGCAAAGTGGAGTAAGTAGACATTGGAACTCCGAAAGGCGGACACGGAATGGAGACCTCCTTAGTCATCGGACATGCCGGGGGGAACGGACATGGGTCTCCGGCGATCTTAGCGAGTCTGGCGAGCTGCCCTCGATTGCCTTTGATTTTACTCCGTCATCTGTCTGAGGCTGTTTAAGACCTGTGGCGGTCTCCTTGCAAGGCCATCCGGAGCAGCGGGCGCATGTGGGCCGCACCCGTTTGACGCATGTGAACGACTCAAGCCAAGCTCAATATTCAATACTCCGCTGCATCCTTGTTGCCGACGGCCTGGACATGCGGCACGCATGTGGAGGGGTTTGTCTGACGGCTCTCGGACATGAGCTCGGCAATGAATCTGGACCGCCCTTGGCTTGACCATACACCCCCAAGGGCCAGCCACTTATCCATTTCATACCAGTGCTACTGTAACTTGGTGTTTATGTTCTCAAGTCGTTTCTGTCTGGAGCAGTCTGAGACGGCCCAAAGTGCGTGACCGATCATCATGTGATCGCGTCAAGGTGGGGTCACACCGGGGTTCGAGTCGCGCCGCCGGCGTCTGATCTATTCCTCCCCTCTGCCTCCTCTGCTTGGTTTCGAAAACAAACGTCCGCAATGTCAATAAATATCAAGGATACTGTGTGAGAATGCTTCTTCTGAAATTAAGAGCACTGCTCACGTATTTGCAGCAAAGCTATCCGAGAGATGGTCCCAATTATTGATCCTGAAGACGACTACCTTACTATTGCGGCCGCAGAGGAGCAAATGGCATTGACATTTGAGTCGCGTCAGAAGGAGCTTGGTGAAGCCCAAGCAAAGTTACGACGTGTGTGCTTTCCTCCTCTTGTTGCATGCTGTTCAGGGTCGAGACGTCGTTGCTAGAACTCGCAAAGGCACTGGAGGCTGCTCGTGTATCTTCCACCCGCCCATCAACCATACCTTCGGCTGAAGAGACGTAGCCCAAATGAATAACCTCGACAACACTCGACTGTCTCTTGCTAAAGCCATCAACGATGCGGAGGGTGCACTCGCCGGCAAAGAAGCTGAGCTTGCCCGGCTGAAGCAAGAGACACTAACTTTGGAGACGTCTGATCCTGCGGCGGAGCATCTCTCGATGCGACTGCGTAAGTGATCCATGCTTCCGGTTCTTCACACATAATTAATCGAGCCACTCCCAAGATTGCGATTGACAATGTATCACGATTTGGGATTCACGTCGATCGTCGATAAAGATGGAAGGTTGGTCAAACATCTAGTTAGTGAGTACCCCGCCAGTGTCGTCAGATTGCATCGTCTGAGCCTTCGCAGAATCCGAGTCTGGAGATCTTCATTGCGTGAACTTCAACCAGAAAAAATCTGAGTTTGAATACGCCAATCTACTTTGGACACTTGCGTCTTCTTGACATATCACGCCTCGTTTCGTCAAATTCGCCTTCCTCATAACTTATCCTTTCCGTTTTATACAACACGTACGACTCAAGGAAGTATATCACATACGGTATGATAGAAGATATAAGTGAACAGAATCAGATAAATGTACACCAACCAGACGTTTATGATGGGCCTTGTTGTGCCTGCTCACAAACGGTCAGGCCACCAGGACTGCACATTGAAAGACCAAAACGTACCCGAATCTCTGGTCGGACGACCCAGATCTTTCTCTCCTTGCACTTCTCGCCCACCTCTCGAACCTTCATTGCGATAGCGTTCTTCTTGACCTTGTGTGCCTGTAGTTCTCGGTGGACGGCTTCGACGATACCCTGGAAGCTGGGAGTTGCGAGCTCTTCGATCCGCGAAAGTAGTACAGGCAAGTGAGCGTCCGGGAAGGCGGTCTTCGGTGTCGGTACTGCTCGCTTTGCAGGCGCACTCGTGGGATCTGTTATGGGCACTGAGGACGACGTCGTGGGCTTCGCGAGGTGTGCGGGTAACGCGGGGATAACAAAACCGTCGGCGGTCTGTCCTGGGACATTTCCAGCGTTGGTTGCTCGAGCAGCTGAGGGACGAAGGTGAATGGATCGATTGAGGATGGCGTGTCTGCGCAGAAATGATGAGCGGGTAACCTCGGCAGGACGTGGGACATACCGTTAAACAGCTGTATGCGATACGCGTTGAACGGCCCGTAGGAGCATCGTCCGACTGTTGTTTCCCATTCGGGCCCCTTAGTGAAGGCGACCAGAGGGACAACAACTCGTCGTTTTTTGTTACTGCCGACCTTCTCCTCTTTAGGCCTTTCCCTCTCTTTCTCCTTTCGCTTCTTGTTACCGCTCCCGCTCCCGCTGGGCAAGGAGTCAAAGTCAGGGAAGCCAGGAGAGCTGGGTCGGTCTTCAATAGGTGTGCCCGGGTCTTCGATGTCGTCGTCGTCGACCAGCCAACTATCCATATCAGAGTCCGGCTCGTCACCATCGTCACCATCTTCGTCAACGTCCTCCATAACATCGTCAGCTTCTCCCTCTTCCTCGGCCCACTCCTCGCCTGAGTCGTAGGAGTAGTCGATCTGTACGGGATCTCGAGCGAAGGGTGTACGAGGTCCGATTTCGCGAGAGTTGCGGGTGTGAGTGCCAAAGTATCCGGGTCGCGCATCCTCTTTGAAGACAAGAACCTTCGCAGGAATGACGCTTCGATCCCGGATGAGAGAAAGCAAACGTCGGACTTCAGTGTCGTCGCCTGCAACTTCTGCTTCGGTAAGCTGAGCCATGAGGCCTCGCACGGAAAGAGGATGATATGTCTTGAAGCCTGTAGGTTGTCGAGGACGTCGCGGAGGATTCAGTCCAGCCCCGAGACGTGTCATAATAGTATCCAACTGGACTGCAACAGAGAGATTCAGTACACTGCGCGAGCTCTGCATCAGAATGACTGACTATCTGCGTCCGATATGCCGTCGGTCGCGTCAGCCATGAGCACATCCTCCGTGTCCTCCATATGGTCGTCGTCGTCGTCAATGATGATGACATCGCCCTGAGGTTGACGCTTCTGACGTCGTTTCTCCAGCCATCTTCGTTCACGGAACCAGTTATGAGGGGCCAATTCTGCATCTTTCTTCACCGAGAATGCGCGGAATGTCCTTTCGAAGTCAGACTGGGAGGGAGCAGGCGAACCTGACTCTCCGTCTGCAGCCTTCAGTTTGGACGGAGATGCTATAGATGCAGACTTCGCCTTTCCAAAGAAGTTCGCCATAAGCGAGCGAGACTTCGCCTGCGCATCCTTCTCCTTCTTTTCACGCTCCGCTTTAGCAGTCTTCTTGTCTTGTTTCTCTTTCTCCTAGAAGATTCCTGTAAGCAACGACGCAGAATGATGTAGGTTGAGTGCTACCTTGGCAGTTTTATCGGCCTCTCTAGCCAGATCCACCGGTTTCTTGGGTCTCCCCATAGATTTCTTCTCAGGTCCGTGGTCCTGGATGCAATCGCGTCACTATACAACGCAGCTTTCAGCGGAGAAGGCGTCCATACCTCTGAAGCAGAAACGACCGGGGCGTCATTCTCAGAAGGTGTTGGAGCTGATGGCAGCGCAACTTGTGGCTTGAGCTCCAAAGTCACGACTCCGGTCGCTGGGATACCCCGAGCGGTGCCCTTCGCGGTCTTCCCACTCGAACTCCCAAGATGGAGATCCTCTCTTCATCGGACAGTGAGTCAAACAGGGTTTGCACATCATGCTTGAGCTATGACCAAGGGAGTTTTCAGACCTCAGTGAAATTCCCGTACAACATACGTACCTGCTGACGCTCCCTGGTGCGATTCTCCGCTTTCTCCCGCACGGCCTTCGGAAGCCATCCTCTGTAAGTCTCTTGCACTTCCCAGCGCCAAATATGCCAAGCGGCGGGGACCTTGCTACCTTCGACCGGAGGGTCCAGGCCATAATTTACGCGCTTTGCTATCGTCCTCACAGCCGCTTCGAGCACATCCGTGGGGAGTATGGCAGGCACCGCTGTCGCGTCCTCATCGTCTTCGTCTACAACAGGTAGCAGCTCCTGCTGAACGTGTTTCGACAGCGCTTGCAACGTCTTGTCGCTGAAGGCCACAGTTCGCCAACGTGGCAGGGAGTAAGATGAAGATCTCACGTACCTCTCTTGTACTAGCTTCGCCACGACAGGTTTATGCTCCTCGGGAATCGCGGAGAGTGGGGGCTCCTTCGCTTCCAGCATTTGCTCTAGCATTTCGCGAAACTTCACAATTTCTAGAGGGAGCCTCTTGAAGAGCATTACGCACAGGGTCGAGGAAAACGCGTACCTTGCATGGTCTCCGACATCTTCTCAAACGACAGTGATTTCTGCTTGAAAACTAGCTTCCCATTCTTAAGTTCAACAAGTAGGGGCTTGTTGAGTTTTTCTGCAACATATCAGCTATCCAACCAATGTCGTCGAGTGACCTGCAGCTCACCACTTGACGCGACGGTGGGGATAACGGGTGCTGGAAAAACAGGAATCAGCCGAGCGCAAAGTGGCATATACATACAGCCGCACCATTGTTCATGTCAGTCTCGGTCATCACGCTCATAGGAACGGATGCACGCGTCGAGGAGGGATCTAGGCGGAACGCGGAGGGAGTGGTCAAGACGCGTTCCGTCACGAGACAGCCATTTAGTGACGTATGCGTGACCGCTCGCGCTCGTGTACTCGTCACACCGCGTCGAACGCGTCCACTCTCCTCCCTCCTCCGCCATGTCGTTCTTTCAGCCACATGCGTCAAAAGCAGCGCAGCAGAAGGCAATCGACCCTCAAACACAACCATGGGTAGAGAAATAGTGAGTTGGCACTGCTCGGCGGAGACTAGAGGCTCATAACCGGACTGTTCTCAGCCGACCGAAAACCATCGACGATGTCTCGGCTCAGGAGCATACTGTCGCGGTCCTCAGGAAGACTCTGACATCTTCCAAATGTGAGTATATCGCTGCTGTACTAGTGTCACTTGCTTACTTTGGACTAGCTTCCTCACATGCTCTTTTATGGACCACCAGGAACCGGGAAGACGTCCACAATTCTTGCGCTCGCGCGACAACTGTTCGGGTGCGTCTCATATTCCCCTTCTAATTCGCGCATACGAATATGTCATGTCAGACCCGACAATTTTCGCGACCGGGTGCTAGAACTCAACGCCTCAGATGAGCGCGGTATCAGCATCGTCCGCGAGAAGATCAAGAACTTCGCTCGTCAGACACCTCGGCACAGGCGAAGTCGTCGGACGGCAAAACATACCCATGCCCGCCCTACAAGATCATCATCCTAGACGAAGCGGACTCCATGACTCAAGATGCTCAAGCGGCGCTGCGTCGAATCATGGAGCTTCACGCGCGCATTACACGGTTCTGCCTCGTCTGCAACTACGTGACCCGGTGAGCACCTTCCGCCACTATTCGCGTTCGTCCTCTTCCTGAACGCAGCCCGTGACGTCGCTAGTATCATCGACCCCTCGCCTCTCGGTGCTCCAAATTCCGCTTCAAACCCTTGGACTCATCCTCCACCTCTACCCGCCTCGCACAAATTGCCTCCGCCGAAAACATTGCCGTTTCCCCGGAAACCATCGATGCCCTCATCTCGACGTCCCAGGGAGACCTCCGACGCGCCATCACCTACCTCCAGTCCGCCTCACGATTAGCCATGTCCACCACGCCCCCAAGCGAGATAACACCTCGTGACGTGCAGGAGATTGCAGGGGTCGTGCCGGACGCCGTTGTAGAAGACTTTGCGACTTCATTAGGGATCGAGAGGCGGGGTGCGGGCAGCATGGATATTGACGTCGACAGCTCGGGCAAGACCAAAGCCAAAGGATTCGACGACGTCAGGAAAAATGTCAAAGAGATTGTACGAGAAGGATACTCGGCCTCTCAGATCATCTCTCAGGTTAGTTTTCTTGGAGCTCCTCGACATTTTTGTAGTTAATCACACGCGTACAGCTGCATGACTACGTCGTCGCTCACCCGACACTAAGCGCACGTCAGAAAGCGCAGTGCGCCATTGTCTTTGCAGAGGCTGACAAGGCACTGTGCGACGGTGCCGACGAGGAGTTGTGGGTGCTGAGGTGGGGTTGCGAGTGCACAAGTCCGTTACAGCCGGTTCATGAATCCTCCACGCTTTGTACCATTTGTAGTTTTCATACTATCCTACTATCCCATCATACTCGACATGATTCACCCTGCTATATAGCGTGCTTGTGCTGCGTCGAACACGCCAAGTGACAGCAGAGAAAAAACGAGATTGGATTTGTACAAATACGTGCTATGGAGACTACAACAGGAATGCAAGAGACAGACAGACAGCGTGACGCCAGACCAAAGCATGCATGCGCACCACCTTCGCATCCTACAGGGACGTCAAATATACACATCGCATCGTCGTGGGGTCATAAACATGTCTGGCTTCTACCGCATGCCAGCGGTCGCCTTTTGGAGCGCGCGCTTGATGCCAAGCTGCGCCTTGCGGAGCTCGTCTGACGTCGAGTCCTCGATCTCGAGCTTCTCGAGCGCGCGCGCGAGTTCAGCCTCGACCTGCGCCTTAGCATGACGCTTGATCTTCATGCCAATCTCAGGGCTGGTGATGGTGTTCTCGACCTGGTGGATGTAGCTCTCGAGGTCGGCCTTGGCCTCGTGTCGTGCGCTGAAGTCCTTGTCCGCCTGCTTGTAGTGCTCAGCGTCCTTGATCATCTGGTCGATCTCAACGGACGAGAGACGGCCGACAGAGTTCTGGATGCCTGAAGGGGTGTTCATATCAGGAATGGTAAGATGTTTATATCCAGATGTCTACTCACTGATCTGTGCCTTGCGGCCAGAAGCGCGGTCCTGCGCGGTCACCTTAAGGAGACCGTTCGCGTCGAGCTCGAAGGTCGTGAGGAGCTCGGCCTGGCCACGGGGCATGGGGGGAATGCCGTTGAGCTCGAATTCGCCGAGCAAACGGTTGTCGCGGCACTGCGTACGCTCGCCCTCGTACACAGGGAAGGTGACGGTCGTCTGGTTGTCCTCAACGGTGGTGAAGACACGAGACTTGTTGGTGGGGATGGGGGTATTGCGGGGGACGACAACACCGAAGATGTCACCCTGCATGGCGACACCGAGGGAGAGGGGAGCGACATCGAGGAGGAGGAGGTCCTGGGTCTTCTCAGAGGTCTGGCCAGTGAGGACGGCGGCCTGGACAGCAGCACCATACGCGACGGCCTCGTCGGGGTTGATCGACTTGTTGAGCTGGCGGCCACCGAAGTACTCCGAGACCAGCGACTGAACCTTGGGGATACGGGTGGAGCCACCGACAAGGACGATGTCGTCAACCTTCTCGCGGGGCATCTTCGCATCCTTGAGGACACGCTCAACAGGGTCCAGAGTCGACTTGAAGAGCGAAGCGTTGATCTCCTCAAAACGGGCACGAGTGATGTTGGCCGAGAAGTCCTCGCCCTACGACAAAATGTGAGCATATAGGTGATATATTCCACGAGGGTGCATCACACACCTGGAAGAGAGAGTCGACCTCGACAGTGGTCTGGGCAACGCTGGAAAGAGTGCGCTTGGCACGCTCGCAGGCACTGCGCAGACGACGCAGAGCACGGGCGTCGTCCGAGATGTCGAGACTGGTCTTCTTCTGGAACTCCTTCTTGAAGAACTCGAGAAGGTTGTTGTCGAAGTCCTCACCGCCAAGGTGAGTGTCACCAGCGGTGGCCTTGACGGCAAAGACACCACCAGTGATGTTGAGGAGGGAGACATCGAAAGTTCCTCCACCGAGATCGAAGATGAGGACGTTCTTTTCAATAGACGACTGGCGGTCGAGGCCGTAGGCAATGGCAGCGGCGGTGGGCTCGTTGATGATACGGAGCACCTCGAGACCAGCGATCGCACCCGCATCCTTGGTCGCAAGACGTTGAGAGTCGTTGAAGTAGGCGGGTACACTGGGAAACCATGAGGACTGAAACTCGGTAGAAACGCATACAGCCAACTCACGTTACAACAGCCTTCTTGACAGTCTTGCCAAGCTTGGCCTCTGAAATCTCCTTCATCTTGATGAGGACCATCGAGGAGATCTCCTGAGGGCTGAACGTCTTTTCCTCGCCGAGATAGTTGATCTTGATCAGAGGAGAGCCGTTCTTCTCGATGACCTCGAAGGGCCAGTGGGTCATATCCTTCTTAACGTCGGGGTCGCTAGATTTGGCAAAAAATGGGTACAGACGCATCGCACGAACGGGGTGCACTGCTCACTCGTATCTCCGACCGATGAGACGCTTCGCGTCGAACACGGTGTTCTTGGGGTTCATCGCAGCCTGGTTCTTGGCGGCATCGCCGATCAGGCGCTCCTCAGAGGAGAAGGAGACGTAGGAGGGAGTTGTCCGGTTGCCCTCTGCGCGGAGATCAGGATGTAGCATCGCAAAACGCTCGGAATGTACGCACGGTCGTTGGCGATTATCTCACGCGGTCGTTTTGCCAAACACCGACGCAGCTGCAAGGCTGATCAGCTTCGAGCGCTCTCGTTGAAAAAGCAAGATCGCACTCACGAGTAGGTGGTACCGAGATCAATACCGACGGCACCGTCAAACAGGTCATCCATTTTTGGTAGAAGAGAGGGGGGCGAGGCAGAGAAGGAGAGTGGAGATGGGATGAGAGACCAAGCTGCAGAAGGCGCAGGCGTCGAAGAAGAAAAAAATCGACCCGAAGGCGGCTGAGGTAAGCGACGGCCACGCGCGCCGGAAACCCGCCTCGCCCTTTCCCCTGGGCGCCTTTTGCCACTACTGCGAACCGCGTCCTACGGCCTGGGCAGACTTGCAGCCTCAGCTTGCTCCTCCACATCCACTGTCCCAGCTCTGCGGCCAGGTGCACGCTGCAGCCATGGTCTCCTCTATCTCCCGCTCCTGGGCCTCCGCCGCCGCCCGCTGTGCCCGCCCGCGCCGCGTTCCTGCGCCAGTCACCGCCCAGGTCCGCCACCACTCCTTCGCCCGGGTCGAGGAGAAGCCTCTGGAGACCGAGGCGGACTGGACGGAGCTCCAGCTCAAGCGGGCCGAGTTCAAGGTGCTCAGTGCGTAGCCCGCCTCTGCCCATCCGCGCGTGCCGCTGACGCGTCCGTGCCCGTGCAGCGAGCATGATGTCCGAGTACGGCTCGACGCAGACACGCGACAACACCTTCCAGCCGCACCACACCCTCCACCGCCCCGTCGCGCCCCGCGACGTCACCCTGTCCGCGCTCATCGCGGCCGGGGCCCACCTCGGCACGCGCCGCCGAACATGAACCCGAACTTCGTCCCGTACGCCTACGGCACCCGCGCCGGCATCACCATCATCGACCTCGACCACACCCTCCCCCTCCTCCGCCGCGCGGCGCAGGTCGTCCGGGCGGTCGCCGCGAACGGTGGCGCCATCCTCTTCGTGGGAACCCGGCCGGACCTTGGCCCGTGCGTCCGTCTCGCCGCCGAGCGCATGGGCTCGCTGGGCTACAGCAACGGCGAGCGGTGGGTCCCTGGCACTCTGACGAACCCGAAGCAGATCTTCGGCGAGGAGGTGCTCGAGACCACGAAGGCTAAGCCCGACCTCGTCGTCTTCCTCAACCCTCTCCAGAACCTTCACGCCATTCGAGAATGCGCCATGGAGCAGGTGCCCACGATCGGCATTGTCGACTCGGACGCCGACCCCCGGATCGTCATGTACCCCATCCCTGCCAACGATGAGAGTACAAGAACGGCAGAGCTTATCTCGGGGCTCCTCAGCGTGGCGGGTCGAGAAGGAGTTGCGCTGTACGAGGAGCAGCGAACAAGAGAGGCGAAACAAAATTCGTTCAAGGGTCCACGAGGTCGGAGGACGTAGACTATTATACATTATGACATCTAGCTAGTTCCTAATCATGCCGATGCACTCTTCACGTTCTGGATATCGTACCAATATGCTGGAGGCATTGTCTGAATCAGTAGCGTCACATGGGAGACAACCGGTAAGAACTGACCTTCAGCTGCCTCCAACGCCCTAACATTTCCCTTCAGCTTGTTCAGCGTCTCTACGAACTCGTCGTTTTCGACGCTGTCGAATACGATCCCTCCTCCTGCTTGCAGGTAGGCGATCCCGTCCTTAAAAACCATAGTGCGAATAGCGATGCAGGTGTCCATTTCATCTTCCGCGAAGTCAAAGCGCCCCACGGCTCCAGCGTACACGCCACGACGCTGCTTCTCGAGCTCGTAGATGAGCTCGATGGCCTTGATCTTGGGGGCACCTGAGACAGTGCCCGCCGGGAAGATAGACCGGAACGCGTCGAATCTGTTCGATTATATCAGAGGATGAAACGTGACAATCTGGCTCAACACACCTCGTCTTCCCTTCTCGCAGCTGGCCCGACACCTGCGAAGTCAGGTGGATGACGTGGCTGAACTTTTCTAATCTGAGCAGGTGGTCGACGTGCACCGTCGTCGGCTGGCACACCCGGTTGACATCGTTGCGGGCGAGGTCGACAAGCATTATGTGCTCTGCGCGATCCTTCTCCGACGAGAGAAGCTCCGCTCCGAGCTTTTCATCCTCTACGTGAGCCGCGATCAGTTTCCTACAGCCACCACGGTAGCGAAGTGCAGCTCACCCTCGATCGTCTTCCCCCTCTTGATGGTCCCGGCGATCGCGTGGTTGTACACCTTGTCCTTCTCTACCTTGCAGAGCGTCTCAGGACTTGCGCCGACGATCTGGAGGTGCCCGCAATCGAGGAAGAACATGTACGGGCTGGGGTTGATCCTGCGCAGATGCCGGTACGCGTTGAACGGGTGCAGCGCCGTCGGACGCGCCAGCCTCTGGGAAGGCACGGCCTGGATGATGTCGCCCGCGACGATGCGCTCCTTCAGCTTCGTGACGAAGCTTTCGTACCCTTCTTGGCCGACGTTCGAGACGGCCTCGTTGCCCTGCACGATCGGCTGCTGGTAGACCTCGGGGGTGACGGCGGACATGACGATCTTCGCGAGCCGACGCGCCTTCGAAACCGCGGTCTGGTAGATGAACGAAAGGTTGCCCTGGTTCGTGTCGTCCGGGCAGTGGACGTGCGAGACGACCTTGACGCTCTGGTACAGGTGGTCGTAGACGAGGAGGGTGTCGACGAGCATGAAGATCGCCTCGGGGATGCGAAGCGGGTCTTCGAGGGGGCGCACGGTCTTGGGCTCGAAATGCTGGATGGAGTCGTAGCCGACGTACCCAATCGCGCCGCCGGTGAAGGTGGGGACCTCGGGGAGCTTCACGTATCGGTACATCCCCAGCTCCTTCTCGAGGACCGTCATCGGGTCGCCCGTGTTCTCCTCATTGGGGCCGACGCGGATGATCTTGAACGGGTCTGTGCGCGTGCACGCGCGTGAGTGCACGCGGCGGCGAGCGAGGACATGCACGACGCACCTGCGCCGATGAAGCTGTAGCGCGCCAGGTTTTCTCCTGCGACAACTGACTCGAGCAGGAAGCTGTACTTCGAGTCCTTGGCTATACGCAGGTACGCGACGCATGGTGTCAAGAGGTCTCCGGGGAGCTCGACGTAAACGGGAACGCAGTTTCCCTTCTTCTCCTTGAGGATGATGTTCTCGATGGTGGAGAGTGGCGGGAACGCCGGTAGGCTCTACAGAGATGACGGCGTGGTCAGGATCACACGACAGATGCGGCACAGCACGGAATGACCTGGGTATCGACCGACATTTCTCGGGGGAGCGGCGACGCGTAGCGAGACGGCGGAGAGGACGGGGCTTATGAGGTAGAGGGGAGGGCTAAGCCCGGGGATGGAGGGGCTCAGCTCGGAAATAACGCGACCGCGCGACACCTGCTGAGGCTGCTGCGAAGCGTGGCACGCTATCGGGCTCGAGTCGTCTGTGCTCTCGGCTCGCGTCCGACCCGCCTGCTGATTCACTTGGGCACTCCTGGCAGCGAGTGCGGGGTGGTGGGCTCAGCGTCGCGCTCTACACACGCTGGATCATGAGTGGAAGCCTAACAAAATCCACTCCGGGACGGAGCGCCCGCGGAATTTGTGCTAAGCGCAGCATCCGAGCGGAGGTTTGTTCCGCCACCACCATGATCACTCCTCGCTTTTCGTGCTCGCAGACGGAGGCCTCTGTCCTCGTGAAGATATACTGTCCATCAGTGCGAGTAAGTGCCCCATCCGTCCCGATGTCGTCACCTCTTGAACGTCCAGGAAGTAGGCATCTGACGTCGAGATCAACGTCGACGAGACGCTCTTCAGCGTTCACATCAACCCGTACTTTCTGCGCCTCAACTTCCCGCACCCGCTTATCGAAGATGACGCATCTGCTGCGGCCTATGACCCGAGCTCCGGATATCTGACCGTCACGCTCACCAAGCAGACGTCAGGGCTGGAGTTCAAGGACCTCGATCTTCTCGCCAAACTCCTCGCCCCTCGGCCACCACGGGAAGCCGTCACACAGCCACTCATCGAAGTGCTCCGCTCGAGCGATAACTCGCTTCTAGACGAAGATGAGGAACTTGCGGCGCGAACGCAGGAGCTGTCTCTGTCGCAAGAACAAGAAGAAATCTTGCACGGTCCGCGCCACGTTATCCACTGATGCACACCGACTCACGCTTCATCTAGCCGCTGAAAACGACTGGCAGTTGCCACAGACACTGCCCGAGTCGTTGCCGCCGCTTCAGACGAGCGCAAGATGCCGATACGGATTTTTGGACATGCACTCCGGGTACTTCGTTCACATCGAGCACGTCGAGAACGAGGTGAACGAGCTTGGCGCTGACGCCGAGACATGCGCCCCGTCGGAGCGTCGTCGCAGACGTCTGAAGCACGAGGACGAAAAGTGGGACGAGGAACACTACATGTGCGACCGTCATCGGTGCTCCTACTTCCTCCGCTGATTGCATCCACCGCAGGGCCGACTTCGCGGACGATGAATACATTCGCGAACTGATCGCATGGCCGAACCCCCTCACTACTTCCGCCGAGCAGTTTCAGTACACTGAGAAGGAAAATATGGCCATGCTGCGCCTGCCCCGGAAGGAGTGTACGCGCTTTCCGCTCTCTCTGCTCTCCAGCCTACTAAGCGCCTCAAATATAGACCTGCCCACCGTCGAGCAGACGCATGAACTCTACCTGACTCTGCTCACCATTCTCTTTTCGTACGCCTATGACGTCCGGACGACGCAGCATGAGCCGACCCCGGAGAGCGCTTGGACGATCGCGTCTCTCACACCCGCGTTCTCCGCGCTCGACCCTCCGCCATACGCGCCATCTTCCCGCGGACCACTGAGCCTCTCTGTCGACGAGCTGGAAGTCACGTTCGCAGCGTCCTATCGACGTTCCCTGTCCTTTCCACTCTACCGCTCGTGGGCACTGGCGGAAGCCTGTCGCATCGACGTCGCGAGGCTCTTGGCGGGTGGAAAGCGGATGGTAACTCGGTGTTTACTCGAGCTGAAGGAGATCCTGGAGCACCACGACGTGTACTACGTCTACAGCAAGGTATGGGTGGAGGACTTGTGCGTCTGGACGGTGGCCTACTCCGAGTACGTGCATGGTTCTTGCCTTGAACGCGGTTCGACCTAATCGTCGACTGCCTCCAGCGACGCCGTTCTCGAGGGCCTGGGCAAGAGCATCGAGGCGATGGCGATGAAGAAGGCCATGGTGGGGTGGGACCTCGAAGAGCTCGAAGGACTGACGCGAGAAGACGCGGACCATGGACCGGACAGTGACGACGAGTCAGAAGACGAGATCGAGCGGATGCTTCCTGCGCCTCTGTGAGATGGGGTTAAAATCGCTTAGCGGGTCCGTTTCTTGTTACCGCGCCCGGATAACCTATCCGCCGACAAGATGCCACTCCTGCGCACCCACACCGTCGCGATCACGGTGACGGAGGGCCGAGGCCCCTCGCACGACGACCACGTCCGCCATTTCAGGCAACGGACGTCTCATGTAGGCCGCTCCTTCCTTGCGACAACCTACCGAACGACGCGCCGTGCCGGTCTCGATTGGCTGGGCCGAGATACGCCCGCCATAAGCGGCACATCGCCCGCTCCCCGGGTTCGAGCTTATGCCCCTCGGGGATCCAAGAGCCGGTCGCACGGGCGCTGGCGGCGAAGGGCAGCGGTTAATTCACTGTCGGTGGCTTACATACGACCTCCGCCACACTCGGCCTTCTGCAGCCTCCGCTCATTTTCCCGCGCTGGCGAGGGCGTCGCGAGCGGCCTCCGTGTCTTCCCGTCCCGCGCCGTTGGCACAGGCAGAGCTCGATCTACGCTCCTCACAGAACGTGCGCCGCGGGCACCCGTCTCACCCCGCGAACCCCCTTGAGCATCCCCCCCGTCCGCCAGACGAAACTCCGCAGGGGCGCGACGTCCCCGCCGCAGCTCCGCCGCCGCTTCCCCGTCCCAGGCGGCATCGAACAACGTGGCCGCTGGGACGCACACCTGCGGCCCGACCGTGGTGTTCTCCCCGAGATCCCCTCCGCCGGACGCGTGCGTCCCCACGCGCAGGGCGAGACCGAATTCTCTGCCCCAGTCACTGTCGGCTCTTCCCGCCGGCAGGGCGCATGACGCGCCGTCGCGCCTCGCGGGACCCGGCGCGGCGGCGCGTCAAGTGGTTTGTGCGCCGCGTGTCAACGAAGCCTGCCTGCGCAGGTTCCCGCGCGCTCCGTCACACGCACATCCACATCCTCCAGCTGCACGGACCGGCCGCGGCGTGCGCGAGTACGTCAAGAGGCGTCGAGCACGACCGTGGCCACGCCGCGTCCGCAGGGCTCATCGTTTGTCCCGCTTCTTCAGACAGAGATGCGGGGCGAGGGAGGGCGTGGCGGCCAGACCGGCCATCTGATTCTGGACGTTCTCGCGTGCGTGTGTGCGCGAGCGGCTGGCCAGCGACCTCCTCTTGTTCCTCTTCGGGAGAATCCCCGACGGAGGGCCGGGCAGCGTAACCACGGTTTTGTAACCCGTGGCCTGAAGAAGGGCAGAGGGAGGGACGGACCCCGCGATAAGTTTGAGTGTGAGAAGGAAGCTCCGTCAGCCAAGCCCGTCAGCGGTTTGGGAACAAGGCGTTTCGTCCGCGCGTCGGATGAGACTGAGCTTCGGCACCGGGATGCCGTAAGGTTTCGGCACCGAAAATTAACCCGCCCTCGGCTCGCGGAGTAGGCGTTCGGTGAGAGTGCTCGGCGGAGAGCGCGCACGCGATATCGATGTACGTGGCTGCACACGGACCGCCTCGCGTGGTGTCGGCGATGAGCGATGTTATCCAGTCTAGAAGCAAGCCTCGCGTGATGGCGAGTTGGCTTCTCGATCCTGTTAAGCCCAAGGCTTGTTGAGTCCACCATGCAGATAGACAAGTACTTACCTGTCTCCCCGTTCTCCTTAGCTTGCAGAAACCGAGAGAAGCGAGGTTATCCCCGGATGCATCTGCCATCCCCGGTGCTGCGCCATCATCTTATTCAATCTCCCCGGGCCGTGGTCCCCCTCCACTGCCACCGCAAACGCAAGAGCGCTCATTGGCTTCAACGACGACAGATGAACGTTGAGCCGTGTAGGGATTTCCGGGTAATAGGAGGACCCCCGAAAGCGCCTATAGAGGGACCGCCGACCATCCGGACACGATTTGACGATTTTTGGCCCTCGGACCGGTCGCCATCCGGACATCCAGAGGGCTTGTCCCGACTGCATGGCTGCCGAAGGTCCGGACATCTATAAAGAAGGGAGCGGTGGTGTTAGTAAGCCGCGTACGTCGCTTGCAGCGTTAAGCGTCGGCTATGAATCTAACCGAGCTTTTGCCATGTGGCTGCCATGTGCGCCGGCCGGCCGAGCCTGTGAGGCTGGCGTCTGTGTGTGGCCGAGCTTGCGAGGCCGCCCTGGGTCGGGACTGTTTTTCGGCCGAGTTTACGAGGTCGATGCGGGTGGCAATGTCTGGCTGAGTTTGTGGCCGCTCCAATACAGGTGGGCCGTTATGCGCAGGAGCGGGAGTAGGGCCGTGTTTAGTTTTAACTTTTAGAGTGGGCCACAGTGTGTAGCGTCCTCGCGCACCACCACCCGAGTACTGTACGTGCAGCGCGAGTCCGAGCGCACCGCCGCGAGCCCCGCGTGCGTGTGGCAATATCTATGTGTACACCAAGAACTCCCCGCGCACGAGCCTCGCGAGGTGGGGCAACACTGGATAAACACATTGTATTATGGAATGGCCCCTGCACCCAGAGCGAGGCGCTGCAAGGGTATGCCCACGGGTAAAGTCCTGACAGAAGTCCGGACATGAGCCCTCGCGTGCGAGCAAAATGCATGCGGGTATTCTGCAGTGCGTGCAGAGATATCGCCGCATGCGCGCGGGGCTCGCGCCCGTGCGCTCGGACTCGCACTGCACATCGCGCGGCAGTGCGCGAGGGCGGTAGGCGCTGTGGCCGGGCATCGGCAGGCTACGAGCCGACCCCGCGCGACACTTCCCTTCTCGCGCGAGGGCACACACACACCGGTGCTACAGTGCACTCCTCGGTGCTCGCCTTCAGCTCACCCCGGGGCATGTGCGCGTGCGTTAAAGCGCAACTGACCGGGGTGTCCCATGGGCACTGGCGGGATATCGCGACGGGGTAACTACCTCCCTTGCCTTCAGCAGATCCTTCAACTCCACACCGCCAACACACGCGAGAGCATGTCGAGAAAAGCTCCGCATGCCCCTTTGCAGCACACACTCCAGTATCTCTGTACATAAGTATTATTTATAAAATCCTCAAATATCTACCCAACGTCGCATCTCGAGGGCCAAAGGCCCACACGCGCCGTGGCAACGCCACGGGTGAGAACTAGTGACCTTGAAGGGGCCGGGAAGGGTCTGCCGAAGCCCGGACATCAGCCAAGTAAGACCTGAGGTAGGCGCCGATGCGGGAAGTGGGAGGAGGGTTTGTTCAAAGCTATTGCTCAGTTGAAACACTTATTGGAGGGAGTCAATAAAGCTTTAAAGCATCATTTAGTAATCATCCCGGCGTCAATCAGAATTCAACAGCCCACTTTTGCGCACAGGTCGAGAATTCCCGCTAAGTACAACAAATTTCTCTGTTCATTCCATGCCACCTTGCTCTGAGCAGCTCCGATGAGCTTTTCGCGGGGTTTGAAGACTTTTTGCGGCGAAAACACGAATTAGCGCCCGTAAAGCGTTCCTGGAGGACTGCCGAACGGTCCGGACGGGCAACCGCCCTGGTGCTGGAGGACCGCCGAAAGTCCGGACGTGGGACCTCAAATAGTCCGGACATGAAAGTCGCAAAAATGGGCGTTTGTCGGCGGTCCCTCTATAGGCGCTTTCGGGGGTCCTGTAATAGGCGGATTCAAGAGTACACGATCGGGGGTATCGCAGGGGATGATACGGCGCGGTTGGACTCCTGTGGACGCCAGAGGACGAGCGGAGGACGACGGACGGGAGGAGATCACGGCAAATGCGTAGCGAGTGGTACAGGCGACGCGCCCCAGGTTGTACCACATTCCAACAAACCGCGGCCTCCCCAACACTCTTGGGCTTCAGGGTGTGCCACCCCAGATGTGAGGCCGAAGGCGTCCATTGCTCTCTGGGCGCCATCCGACCCTGCCATCGTCGCCGCTTCGGCTCGGGGGGAGTCGATGAAGCGACGCTAGGCGACGCTCTCGGGAGCACGCTTGGGCTCCATTGTCCGTCATCGGAAGTCCCTCGGTCCCGCACCTGGTCCAGCCGGTCGCTCGCGTCTATCCAAATAGAATCGGTCGAACTTGGCATGCCGCGGTACCGTTTGCTGACAAAACCTCGACTTTATCGTGCCCCCAGTGTCTCGTGGACCGTCCTGACGCTGAGCGCTGATCCCTGCACATCAGGGTTCGCGGGGTCTGCTGGCCGGCGCGAGATGGAACCTAACGCGACGTGGGTAAGACGCGAGCATGCGACATCGAAGATACGTGCGTACGTCCCGAGGACGCATTCGGAGGTTTTGACAGGCCAGGATGAACGTTTAGCCACCTGCCCCCTGCCCGAGATGCGCGGACTCCAGCAGCAGCGAGCTCTGGCCCATCTGTTCCCAACAGTCCCACCTTCAGCACCGACGCCTTCGTCGTCAGAGGCAATTGTTGTGCGCAGTGCCGTGGGTAGGGCTTCGTCTGAGAAGCAGCATCATATCCGCTAGCGATTCAGAGGTTGCGAGAGGCGAGTGTGCAAACCTTCCCCACCTGTCTACGTTGCATGGCGACCTCCCCACGACGTTTCCCGCGACGTGCTGTGCGATAGGCTCACGGGAGCGTACACGCGCTCTACGCATAGCGACGGGGGTGTGGGGCTGCTCTGTGGAGATGGCTTGGAACTTGGACGGCGGGCGACGCTACTCGGCCCGTCGCTCGTGCTAGAGCACAAATGGGTTGTGGATCATTCGATGTGCTGGCTGCAATGTAATAGGATTGTCGACTTCGCTGTTGTGGTGGCACTGGGCGGTAGTTGGTGGACGTGGCCCGAAATTCGGTCAACATACTTACCAGATACGTTCGGGCCGACGTCTGGATGTTGGCGACTGTGGATGGATAAACGAATGTGACGCGTCAACACCCGGCTGCTCGAAGGGCCGGGGCACACGATGCATGCGCACTACAGGTGGGTGCGCCGCATCCGCAAGCAAGCGAGTCGCATGCGCTGCAGAGGATGATCAGACAGAGAGGGTCGAGACTGTAAAGATCCGAGAGCATACTTACCGGCGTGAGATGAGAGTCGAAGCCTGCACTCAGGCCGACCCTGCACTGCGCGGGCCGCACGATTGCACCGATCGATCGCGCGCACGTCCTGTGGGGGGCAGCGCGGTTTCCGCAAAGCTCGAAGACGCCGGCACGCCGCTTAGCCGGGCCCGTCCGATCGCGAACACGTACTTACGAGTGCCGCCGATTCGCCGACACCAGACAAAACCCAGAGGCCGATCGGATGTGTGAGCTGACCTTGCGTCTAAATACCGCAAGCACGCGTGCGCCCACCCTTCTTCGGAGGCCGGGTGTACCGCGCGCGCGGGGAAGAGTGACGACGAAGCAATGCGCGGAGGCCTCGCGCCCGCCTGCGTCTGCCGTCCCCGCGGTGCGTCGCCCGTCTAGTCGTCGACCATAGAACGCGGAAGCTCGCGCCGGCTCGACTCTCGAATCCGCGAAGTTCGGACGCGGGCGCCGTCCGAAACGCCTTCCCCGCTTCCGAGTTCTCGTGAACACGCGCCGCGGGCGGCGCGCGGCGAGGAGGCAGGCTATCCGGATGCCTCTTTCGAACACCGGTTGGGATGATGACGATGCCCCGGCCGCTCGTCACCCCGTGGCGCCGTGAGCATCGCCGTGCTACGCTTTATCGAGCATCTCCAAAGTACCGGGTCGTCGCTTGTCGTCGCCGAGGGTAAGTTTTGAGGTGAGTCGCAGAGCGGGCACACGCGGGGCTCCAGTTTGAGTAGAGAACACGAGAAGGAAGAAGATGCTGCGCACGCCAAGAGGGAAGCCACTGGCGAGTTACTCCATCGGGCGTGCGGACGTCAACTGAGGTGGTGCGTGCACCCGTGAATCGAGAAATCGCCTGAGTCGGAGAGCGCTAAGTAGTTTCCCAGCGCCCTGTCCAGGGTCAGCGCAGAAGGGATAAGTTCAGGCCACGGCTGCCCCCCGCGCCGAGGACGGGTTATGCTATGATACATGGATGGGCCCGAGGTGGGTAGAGGGCAACGATGAGGATAAGTGGGTACGGGCGGAGGCTGGTGTGTGCGTGCGTGCGTACACCCAGCCACATGCGCGCGGGCGAGTGCGGGGATTAGGGCGCGATCGTGTTAGTCTACCTTCCCGCCGGACGCGCTCCACGCGCGCGCCGCGGCGGCATAGAACCCGAGCATCTGCCACTGGCAGTCCGGGCGCGTGCGGGACGGACGCTTGGCATAATGGACGAGGTGAGGGCGAGGCGGAAGTGACGTGGGTTGTGGGACGGGACATTATGCCGATGTCGACGAAGGGATGTGCTATGAGGAATCGAGAGTGCGATGCGAAGGTCTTGTGGATGCTGCGAAGGGATCAAGCTACATGGGCGTGGGCAAGAGAGAGAAGCGAGCTGTGTGAAAGCTAATTGCGACAGGGCTCGATGCGGAGAACAACAGATGATGTGACAAGATAGACGAACGAACGAGACTGGCGACGAAAACGAGGATTCCACTCCAGTCTTCCGGTAGCAGAGAGAGGCCCCGAGGGCCGGTGTGACCAGAGGCGGGGGAGGGGGCGAAGGCGAAGGTTGTTAAGTCGGACGCTGCGGGCTAGCCGCCAGTGCGTCTGCGGGTCACGCTGAACATGCCGAACATGCCGATGCTGCTCCGCCGAGACTGCACTTCGATGCGCGCGAGCTCCGCCTCCCACGCGCGCATCTCGTCGACCTCCAAGCCGAGCTGCAGACCCAGCCCGGTCGTCTTGAGCCGATCCTTCCTCGCCCGGTCGTCGTCGCCATCTCCGGATTCCCTCCCCCGCTTCCCTTCCCCCTCCGTCCCGCGTGCCTTGCGCCTCACCTTCTCAACCGCACCCAGCATGCTCTCACCCAAGCCCGACTCCCGTGCGCGCCACCCAGACGGCCTGTCGTGCGAACTGGACGCGCTGGACCTCGAGTCCGTGCTGGAAGTGAGTTCGGGTGGTTCCGACTCCGATGCGGCGGAGTGAGTGAACGTGAAATGAGACTTGTCTCGAGGGCCGGCGGAGGTGTGCGGTCTTCGGGGCATCTTCTTGCGAGGCTTCCCGTCCGCCATCCGGTGGCCGCTGCTGCTCGAGCTTGTCTGCGCCGGTGTCTGGGGAGGAGAGGGAAGGCCGTGCGCGTCCGCAGCGGCGCCAGTCGTCTCACCGTCTTCTTCGCCGCGCTTCCTCCATGGGCTCTTTGATTTGCTGCGCTGCGCGAGCTCCTTCTGCTCCGCCCACTTCTCCATGGCAATCCGGCGTTCAGAGGCGTTTGTGGACACGACGGTGACCTCCTGCGGTTCCAGATCCAGTGCGTCAGACCCTCCTGGGCCCGTGACGACAACCTTGACGCGTAGGAAAAAGCGCACGGACGCGAACTGGCTGTGCATGGTCTCGCCAATCGCCCACCGGAAATGGCCGCGGTTCTGAGGCCATTGGAGAGTAACGTTCTTGACCGCCTGGCCCGACGGATCAAAGTCGAAGGAGCTGGCGTCAGCCGTGACAATGGTGGACGTAAGAGTCTTCGCGGGAGGTTCTGACAACGCGACGCTTGGGGATGCTGATATCGAAGATGTGGGGGAAGCGGAAGGTTTGGAGGAGCGAGGGATCGGGATGGCGGACGTGGTCCCGGCAGAGTGGGGCGGCGATAACAAAGGCGCTGTGGATGACGTACTCGCCACTGACGCGAATGTTGCTTGGCTGGAGTTTGGGTCGTACGGTGACTGCGGGCCTGCAAGATAGTCTCCGAAGCGAGTGTTGGTGGGGGTGGGGGTGTCGTCAGAGGAATGTGATGAGGAGGACGGAGATGTTGGGGACAACGTTGCGATGGGGGACGCGGTAGCTGCAATAGAATGGTTGATACCACTCGTTACCAAGGGTGCGGGGGCGGAGGGGGTAGTGTGCAGCTCAATGCGACGTTCAATGGATATCGCCGCACTTCGTATTGAGACACCCGTGTCGACAGGTTGCAGAGAGACTGTTGTACGCACAAGGTCGGAGGGGCCGATTGGGGCAGTGGGCACTGCGATGTTGTAGCGGAGGACCGGTGCTCGGGGCTTGGTCGTTTGGTGCGGCAGCGGTGAGTGGAGTGGGTACCTGGGGGGAGGAGGTGTTGACTGGGGGGCGTCATAGCGGATTATGGCGAGGTCATAGTAGCGCACTATGCGGGATCCAACGGCTGGGATGGGCGCGTGCTCGAGTACTATGATAGAAGGATGCGCGTGTAAGAGTGTGCACTCGACAAATTGCGCGGGGTCGTGCGAGGAAGGAGATGGGAATAAACTCACTAGCTTCTAACCTCCAGAATACGCGGTAATCTTGAAAGTTCGCGGTGCTGAAGCCTGGGTTGCGCTTTGGTAGAGTGAGCTTGAAGGGGAACTCCAGCTCGCCTACGTCGGCAAAATCTTGGGTAGGTGGCTTGACCCATACGACGTCGGAGTGATCTACGACCAGGGTAGAGCGGATTTGGCGAGTGCGGGTGAGACGCGTCTGGTAGCATCGTATAGAAATGGAGAGCGACTTCGCAGCTATAGGCCTGCCGTCGGAGTCTAGTTTTGTGCGGACGACTAGGGGAGGGTTAAGACGCGTGGGGGAGGGGGGAGGGGAACACGTACTGCCTTCGACACGAACGGGGGTGAGGCCAAGGTAGCCTTGGTGGGGGAAGAAACGGCCGCCTGCGTTACCCCGTGTCGCGGAGAGGACGAGGTGGACCATGGGGCGGGAGAGGGGGGACGAGGAAGGGCCCGGGACGATATAAGTAGGCGAACATTGGGTGATCCAACAACATCCATCCCAGCCGGTCCATAGAATTCCTGACCCTTCTTCGTTTCTTCCATTATTTAATTATTTACCGACGTCTTGCCCTTCTCAGCCGCCTCCCATCCTCGCCCGATCCGCAGGCGCCCGGAGTCTGTCTCTCGTCCGCCCGCCATGCCGTCCACACTCTATGTCCCCGTGCTCTGCGCGGGCATGCTCCTCACTGTCTGTCTCAGCATCTCTTGCTCCTTTATGCGCGTCTGACACGTTCGTCTTCCAGGGCTCCAGTAATTCGCTATGGAGCAAGTGGCAGGTCCGTCGTTCATCGTCGTGGCACGTCCTTGGGGTTCCGCCGCTCATAGACCCGCATACAGGACATGCAATGTGTAGAGAACTGTGACGGTCCTAACCCTGTCCTGTATGAGCAACCGGTGTGGCAAACCCTACAGATGTTCCGTGCGTATGCTTGCTACGTTCGCTTGCGCCTGCTCACTCATGTCACCATCCGCCATAGTCGGAGAGATGCTTTGTACGTGTGCTTCTCTTGCCATTCCACCCTACCCTCACCCGGCCTGGTGCACGCACCTCGATCAGGCTTCCTTCCCGTCATCTTCTCTTGGCTGCGTGCACGGCGCCAGGCTCAGCCGTTGAGCCTTCCTGCGGATTCCGAAGAGGAGCCAGCCGCCGGCGCAAAGGTTGCCACTCCACAAGCCCACCTCGATGGCTGGAAGATTCTACTTCTATGGTTCCCTGCTGCCTGTGACCTTACCGCAACCACGGTGCGTTCGCCGACTCGGTTATTGACCCGGTGTTCTCATGCTGATGGCATTCATGCGTCTGGGCCTCCGCTTTCGTCACAATGCACATATACAGCTGATGAATGTTGGGCTATTATACACGCCGGTTTCTATCTATCAGATGACTCGCGGTGCCATCGTCCTCTTCGTCGGTGTCCTCTCGGTCATCTTCCTTCACAGACGGCTTTGGTTGTACCAGTTGAGTATCTTCGATTCTTCCATCCTCTGCTCTCTCGCACCTTCATGAAGTAATGAACCCTGACCTTGATTCTCAAGATGGATGTCCCTTGTCACCGTGATGGCCGGTGTTTCCTTGGTCGGTTTGAGCGGCTCTATGATCAAGGATTCCGTCAAGGAACCGAGCACAAGCTTGAATGAAGAAGAACCTGCCGGGGAGCCTGAGGTTACACGCGTCCTTGTCGGTCAGTTCGTCTCCTGTCCGAAGGAATCGTCCCATTAACTTCATTAATTGCGCAGGAGTGTTTCTCATTCTTTTCGCCCAGATTTTGTGCGTTTTGTGTACCGTCATTGATATCTGATGTCATCTAACGGCCTCCCCCCTTCCATGCATGGTCCATTAACTCCGTGACGCGGCAACACGATGCCCGCTGTCGTCCCTCTCATCAGCACCGCTGCGCAATTCGTGATCGAAGGTAAGAGTCGCTTGCCCCCCGCAGTCAACTCACGAGAACGAGAACACGTGCTCATAAGTTGTCACAGAGAAGATCATGGGTCGGTACTCGGTGGCCCCACTTGTGGCCGTTGGGTATGAAGGCCTATTCGGTACACTAAGCATCGTGATTGCTATGCCGCTCCTCGCGCGCTTCGCATCCGTGTCGCCTTTCTTCGATTTGCCTCGTGGATGGCACCAGATGATCGACACCCCGGCGGTGCTCTACAGTGGGATTGTCATCGCCTTTTCCATATCGCTCTTCAACTTCTGCGGCTTGAGCGTTACGCGTCATGTCTCCGCCACGGCTCGGAGCCTCATCGACACGTGCAGGACCCTTCTCATCTGGATTGTGAGCTTGGGTCTTGGATGGGAGGTCCTCTTGTTCCCCATGTCCCTGCTCCAGATCGGTGGCTTTGGTCTCCTTGTGTGAGTACCTGCATCATTTGATCCTTGGACCTTATTGACTGTTGTGTTCCAGATACGGCACAGTAAGTCGCTGTCACTGGCCCTCAAAGTCCACGATCTATGTTTGCTGACATGAATTTCTAGCTCCTTTTCAACCATATCGTTGCGCCTCCGCGCTTCTTGCGACCAGCGTGGGAGGGCGTTATTGGTACGAGCGATGACCAAGCGGAGACGCAGACTCTGCTGGCCGAGGAAGCACTCGAAGACACCGCCGTCCTCCCGTCGGATCTTGGCCGCAGCGGTTTCGATGTCGTGCCCCCGCAAGAGCACCCCCACCATGCCCACTCTCGTCGCAGCACCGGTGCTGCGACGGAGGGTGCCTAATTCTTGACCTCGGCCAATGCTCTCTAGACACATACAGCTCATGGACTGGACACGATGTCCTAGAGCGCTCTGGAGGGGTTCCGTATCGAGATGTTGGACTCGGCTTAGGTTACCTCTGTACATTATATTTGCTCAGGGTGTGACTGCCCCTAACGCGAGGAGCTATCATGCGGAATGACCGACCAGTTGGCGGGGATGTCCTTGATGACTTGGACTGCGAGGTCGCTATTGACTAGTTTCTGGAAACAGGGGTGGGTGATAGATCGTACGACAAGTATAGATATGTTAACCCATGCGCATACGGGGCGTCGGCTCCGTGCGCGGCGGGGGGTTGCAGTCAGGGTTGTCAGCCTCGGGATCAATGGTTGCATTCGGCAGATCTGTCTTGATCGCCGGCGCCCGCCGCGGACCGTTTGCCCGAGCTGTCCGAGCGCGCGCGACCACTTGGCGTCGCCTCTTCTCCTAGCCACTGGCCAGGCTCTCGCTACAGTGCGCGACCCCGATCAGCGAAGCGGCGACTCCCCGAGCCAACACAGGAGTGGCCGGGGCGGTTTGGCCGAGACCGTCGCGCGGTGACGGCCATATGGCGAGTCGAGCAGTGCCCCGACATGAAAAATGGCCGTCGGCGCGTCGAGCGCGTTCTTCTGGACTTCCAATCTCGATGTCCGAGCAGAACGCGCGTACGAGTGGATGCGTGTGTCGACCGTCGCTGGGGCGTGCCAGCGCTTGTCGCCTGGCGCGCGTGCTCGAGGAAAGCACGACGCGTGGGGTCGCTAGCTCCGGTGTGGGCTTGTTCGGCTAGGACACGAGCCGCGAATCGTGTGTCCGCGGTTCTAGCCCCAGCCACGCGACGGAAGTAGCAGAGTCTCCGCTGCTACGCTGTCAGACGATCGCGCTCCTGTAGAGGGTGCGGTAGCAGCAGTAAAGGAGCTGGGAGTTCCGGCGAGGCTGAGGAGCCCGAGGGAGCGGCTCACAAGAACAAGGTTGGGGATCGAGCGCGCGGGCCGCACCCAATCTGGCGGGGATGATCTTCACGCTTGACTGATCGCACCGGGCTCGGGATATCCGAGAATAGCCGCCCGTCCACTCGTCCCTTTGATCCGTGACCCAGCCCGCTCCCGAGACGCGAAGCCACATCGCGGCCGCACCTCACCTCAGTCCAAGCTCCACTGCATTCCAACGGATGGAGCTGGACGCTCGAAAGCACGCGGCCCAGTCGTGCCGCGCGCAGCCGCCTGGAAGACCCTGCGCGCCGCTGGACGGGGAAGAGCCACGGTCGTGCGCGCGTGCTCCGTTGACCCACAAATCCACGAGGCCACAGGCGGCGGCGTCGTTCGTCAGCTTCCGACCACCATCGGAGGTGCATGCACGCGGTAACCACTCGACCCATGCAGCGGCGGTGCTTGCTGATACTTGTTGCTTTTCCTGTGCTGCACACATTCGTGGGCACGCATAATGAAATCTCAACTTCAAGGGAAGGTTGATGAGATCCTCCAATATGTACCCACACCATGCGCGATCGGATTGGCTGTGCAATTGAGGGCGATCAAGAATGTGTGTACCTGATGAATAATTCCTACACTACACGGCCTAGGGTTCTCATACTACGTAGATGCGGCAACGTCGACTTCATGCGCAGCTGAAGTATGCGCTGAGCTCAAGATTAGCATAATGCGAATATATTTTTACAAGTAAAGGTCAAGCCGTATGCCCCGTGGCTGAGTTGGTTACAGCGTCCGACTGTTACGACTTGTGGTGATCGGAAGGTCGTGAGTTCGAGCCTCACCGGGGCAGTTGTTTTTCCCTCGGTCTCTGTCTACTCTTGGTGAATACAAAGCCGTATGTACGTGGCGTCAACGTCGACTGATCTTACAAGCGAAACATACGCCCCTCTAAGTCTCGAGTTGCATGAAAAAGGCATTCTTCCGCACGCAGTGTTCACCAGATAGTAAGCCTGAGTCCAGTGCGTGAGATATCATACTCGATTACACGGCATGTCATTACAATGTCTCTAGGAATATAGGTCTATCTTCCCATCTACTCAATCTTGACCTTGGATGGTGGCGAAATGAATGTCGCCTGTAGCCATAATCAGTACAGCGGCCCTTCACAGCTGTATGAAGGCGCGACGCGACTCACCGTGACAAATTTCAGCACCTCGTCGATCAACACGACGGGGGCGCTCAGGTAGAGTACAGCTGACCACTCAGCCCAGTTGAGCGGCGTGATCTGGAACAAAGTCTGCGCGATGTGAGGATGATGTCAGAACTTTTGTCACGGTGGGCAGGTCGAGGGTTCGATACGCACCGTGAAGAAGGGGATATACAGGATCGCGACGTGGAGCGCCATACTGAGCGCGATCGCACCGACGAGGAACGGGTTCTTCCACAGCGGCAGGCGGAGCAAGCTCTCGTTCTCCGAGAGCGAGTTCATAGCGTTGAACATCTCGACGGTGACGAGGATCGAGAGCGACATCGTCGTGGCACGGTGCGCCATCTCGTTCGTGAACATCTCGCACCCGATCTCGGGGAACATCGTCGAGCACTGGTGGAAGTGCGTCTGTGGGAATGGTTGGTGATCAGTGTTCAAGCATCTGCACGGATGACAACAGCACGGCTTACGAGCTGATGGAAGGAAATCTGCGGGCCTCCGGTGTAGAACATGAACCACCACGCGTAGCCGGCAACGGTCGCAACGCCGACGTAGATGCCGATGACCATGTAGCGGAAGAAGAGCCATTTGCCGACGATGGGTTCGCGACTGTCACGAGGCGGAACACGCATGATGCTGTGGTCGGGAGGGTTGAAGCCAAGCGCGGTCGCGGGGAGACTGTCGGTGACGAGGTTGACCCAAAGGAGTTGGACGGGAATGAGCGCCTCTGGCATGCCGAGGAGAACAGTGAGGAAGATGGAAACTACTTCGCCAATGTTGGATGAGATCAGGTAGCGGATGAACTGCTTCGTGTTGTTGTAGATCAAACGACCCTCCTCGACAGCTTGCTCGATGGTCGCAAAGTTCGAGTCTGTAAGCACCATATCTGCGGCCAGCTTGGCAACGTCGGTACCACTGCCCATCGCAACACCGATGTCAGCCTTCTTCAGCGCAGGCGCGTCATTGACACCGTCGCCGGTCTGAAAGCAGCGTCAGACGAGGTCGAATGCAATGTAATATGGGACCGTACCATCGCAACAACTAGGCCCTGGCTTTGCAGAATGTCGACGAGTTGGCTCTTGTGCGTCGGCTCCGTGCGGCTGAACAGACTTGCGCGCAAGACGGCGTTAACCTTCTCCTCTTGACTGAGCTCATCGAATTCACGACCAGTGTAACTTTTGCCAGTGAGGTCCTCGTTCTCGCCGAAAATGCCGATCTGCCTGCAAATCGTCTCCGCGGTACCCTTGTTGTCGCCTGTGATGCAGATGACGCGAATCCCGGCAGCTTGGCACTGTGCGACGGCGGGGCGCACTTCGGGACGGGGAGGGTCGAGCATGCCAACGACGGAAACAAAAGTGAGGTCCTTCTCAAACCGCGAGTAGTCCGCCGTCGTCTCAGCAGGGTAGTGAGTGAGGTTGGTAGGTTGGTTGTCGGCGTAAGCAAGCGCGAGTGTACGAAGACCATGATTCCCGTATGCGATGGTGCTGCGAAGGATGGAATCGCGAAGCTGTGGAACAAGAGGAATAACACGACCGTCCACGAGGACAGACGTGCAGCGCTCAAGGACAGACTCGGGAGCACCCTTGACATAGAGGACACCGGTGCCGTTGCGACGAGCAAGAACCGACATCATCTTGCGGTCACGAGAGAACTCGAAAGTCTGGATGCGGGGGATGATTCGCTCGTAGTAGTCGTTGCAAGCATTCGCGCGGGCGGAGGGCGCCAGAGTCGACAGGCTCTTCGCGAGCTCACCGTCAGGGCAGGGAAGCTTCTCCGCCAGCACTTTCAGCGCGGCCTCTGTGGGCTCGCCAATGTTTGTGTAGACTTTCTTGTCCTGCGCATTAATTAACGTCCGCTCTACTGTCAAAGATTAGGCTTGGAATGAACGTACCGCATTGTAGACAATCTTTGACTCGTTGCAAATGGCACTGATCTCGGCCAGGCGAAGCAAGGGTTCTGAGCTAACACCGACGACAGCCTTGCCATCAGCGGGAGTCACAGAGCCATTGGGAGCGAACGTCGTGCCCTCCACAAGGTACTCCCGGGGCGTCCCAGAGATGTCAATGACAATGAACTACAAACCGGTATAAGTCAACAGCATACTTGGGGGTTTTGAGAGCAACACACCTTGTTAACACTCATCTGGTTGGTCGTCAAAGTCCCAGTCTTGTCAGAGCAGATGACGTTTGTGCATCCCAAAGTTTCCACCGACGGCAGGTTGCGGACGATCGCATTCTTTTGAGCCATCTTCTTGGTACCAAGAGCAAGGCATGCGGTGATGACAGCGGCAAGACCTTCCGGAATGGCGGCGACAGCGAGAGCAACGGCGATTTTAAAGTAGTAGACCGCGCCCTTGAGCACTCCGTGATGCGCAGGGTCCCAGAAGTGACGGACGTTGACAATCCAAACCAAGATACAAATGACAGTGATGACCTTCGCGAGCATATCGCCGAAGTCGTCCAACTTGCGCTTCAATGGGGTCTTCTCGCTGATTTGCGACGAGATGGACTTGTGGATGTCGCCAATGGCAGTCTTCTGACCAGTGAACACGACGACAGCGTTACCCTTGCCGTTGACGATGGTGGTTCCCTGTTCAAGTGTCAAAAGGTTGGTCTGACCATCCAGATGTCCACTGTGGCCTCACCGAGAACAACATGTTCGTCATGTCCTGTTTCACCGCCTTCGGATCCGCCACAACATCCGTGAATTTGCTAACACTGGTGCTCTCCCCGGTGAGAATGGCTTGGTCGACGCGGAGGCTGGTAGACGAGATGGAGAGAAGCCTGCAGTCGGCGGGAATCTTATCTCCGACTGCGACCGAGATAATATCACCGGGTACGATGTCCGATGCATGTATACGAGCCCACTGGCCGTCACGAAGGACGCTGGCTTCATCGGGAGAGTATTCCTTCAATGCCTGGGAAATGGTGGTAGTTAAGAACCTGAGGATTGCAGCGAACAGTGCGAGCACTCACATCAATGGCCTTCTCCGCGTTCGTCTCCTGGATCACACCGACAGTCGCGTTGGCGACGAGGATGAGAAGAATGACAAGGGGTTCCACAAACGCGCTCCACCAAGTCGAAGAACCGTCCGACTCTTCGAAGAGGGCGAGAACGAAGGAGACAACAGCCGAAGCGAGAAGGATGAGCACCAACTGGTCCTTGAACTGCTCGAGAATGAGCTCCCATAATGGTGTCGGAGGGTCCTCAGGGAGCTCTGTGAAGTGTATTAGGTGTACATCCGGAAAGTGAAAGGCAATCCACGAGCGTACCGTTCTTTCCGTACAGCTCGGCGTGCTTCGCGGCGGCCTCGGTTGTCAGACCGCGGGACTGATTAACCGAGAAGTGTTGGAGGACACCGTCGCCGGTGCACGTCCACGGGGCGTCCATGTCGCGAAAGCGAAAGGGAGCGGGTGGGGAAAAGGAGGGAAGGAGGAGGGAGGGAGGAGAGAGTGAGGATTACTGAGAACGCGCTCGGCTAAGGCCCGAGGTATAAAAGCAGGCACGCGTCGGTGCATGGGCGCTTCGCTGACGTGGCGAATTCCCTCGGACGCGCGGACGCGCGTCACCCACCGCCCTCTGTCCTCCACGCTTGGGAAACATGTCGTTCGTTCCGGTGCATACATAGGCCGACTCCCACCTCTCTTTTCCAGCCGTGTGCGTCCGAAGCGACTTTACCGGGTTCTGTGTGGGTGTATCCCGAGGTACGCGCCTTGGCCCCCACGAACCACGTTCTTCAAACGCAGAGTGTGGGGTCGAAAGGCGCCCTCCTGAACGTTCTCGCACAAGTCGCTGGCTCTTCCGTTCTCATACGAACATCCTCCCGTGTCTAAGTATGTTTCCTTCCAGTCTTGTTACGGCACCGTGAGAATTGCGTACCAGAGATTCCCAGTGGTTCCCGTTAATCAGGGCAGGCTGGAACCTCACGACGCACGCGAGGGAAGAGTCAGGCGAGCTCTAAAGGTCTTGGTATCGTACATATCCTTGTATCCTGCTGCACGGGCGATCAACATATGATCTCCTCTTGCATGGGACCTCTCAGTGATTAGTTCTTGAGTCTGTGCGCAAGTGCTGGGGGGAGCTCCGGGCGGGAAAAGGCTAAAGAGAGAAGAAGGTTCGGTCTTGGCCGAGGGACTGCTGAGACGGCCACAGTGCAGGCGCTGGGTCTCCCCGGTCTGTGACGACAACCTCCTCGGCGGTGTCCTCGACTGTCGAGTTTCATCTCCGGACCCGCCTCTCGTCCACCCGCTTGCCTCCTCCTCGAGCTCCCTCTCGCCATGGGGAACAGCGCTTCGTCGGGCCGTGGCCACCACGATGAGACCGTCGATTTCGGGCATCTTGCCCCACAGGGGATCTACACCGGTCCTCGAGATTGGAATCAGGGTGCGGTCACTCAGTTCATCGTTGAGCGCAAGCTCGCCCCATTCTACCGCCCTCTCGAAGACTACGAGGATTCCTGGGACGACGAACAGATCCTCGCAGCGCGCAAGGCCCCTCCCGAGGCTGACGAATCCGACCCTCCACGCGCCGACCCTGCCTCCAGCTCCTCGTCCAAAGGTCACAACAAGCGACCCAGCACCATCAAGGAGACACCCCGGCACTACGAGGCTGCGATTTATAGAGGGGCAGTAGAATGTCCCATTTGTTTCTTGGTGCGCATCGTCTATACCCTTCCTTTCTCCGCCAACCCCCTTACGCGCGAACAGTATTATCCTTCCAACATCAACCGCTCGCGCTGTTGTGACCAGGCGATATGCACCGAATGTTTCGTCCAGATCAAGAGGAACGAGCCCACTACCACCCACCTCGTTTCAGAGCCGGCCGCGTGCCCATATTGCGTTCAAGAGAACTTTGGCATCGTCTACACGCCTCCCACCTGGCGGGCCGGACTTGGCAGCGACGGCAGCGTGAGTAACTGCCCGACGTGTGTATGCAACGTTTCCGTTGACGAGTCGGCGTCGTTACCCCACCATCGTAGACACCACCCTCATGGCCTGAGTCACCAAAGAACACATCTGATGCCGCAGGCCACTCCTCGATGAAGCGCCGGAGAAAGAGCTTTGGAGCCAATGATCCTGAAGTCGTTACTGTCGGTAGGTTGTGGCCCTAAATTTCCGTGTCTTTGGGATCTCATGCCCTCCAAGACCAAATCCATCCCGATTGGGAGGCGAAGCTTGCCGCCGTGCGGGCTGCGGTCGCACGCCGTGCCAACAGACGGATTATCATGCGTCAAGTCGGCGACCGGCTCATCCCTGTCGGCGTTACGAGTGGTCGCGTGCATGCGATGCCGGAGGAGGGCACTTCCGACGCATCCGACGGCGACCGGGGAAGCCGACGGTCCAGGCGCAGGCAACAGCAGCAAGACCTCAACCAGTTCTTGGGCTCCATGGGATTGGCTGGACAGGATTTGGAAGAGGTCAGTAGTAGTAATGTTGTGCATTTACTATGGGCACTGATCAGTTGCACGCCCAGCTTATGGTCATGGAAGCTATGCGGCTCTCCTTATTGGAACACGAAGCTCAGCAGCGTAAGCAACAGGAGGAAGAGGCCAAGAAGCAGCAGGAAACTGGAGATGCGTCAAGCGCAACGGCCCCACCGAACGATGCCTCTTCGTCGCAGGGAGGCTCTTCGGCTACGACCCCTCCTCAGGTAGTCACCGCGTCTCAGACCACCCAGCCTGTTCAAGCACCGGCCCCTGTACCCGTGCCAAAGCCGATCACAGACGAAGCCAGGTCGAGGTCATCTACATCCGCCCAGTCTACTGCATCATCTCCTAGCGCTTCCGGTCATCTGACGCCTCCCGACTCTTCTACCCGTCGCCGCCATAGTCGTAGTCGCAGCCGCAGTGGCCGGTCAACACCCACCTCGCAGTACGGAGCCATCAGCGCCGCTGTCCTTAGCGCTGCCTCAACCGCTAGTGCGTTGGCCACTCCCGAGCCTAGAGGCGATTCGACGGCACCGTCTATGCCGGCCGCGGCCCCTATTGGTCCACCTATCGTTGCGAACACTCCCTCGTTACACTCGGACAACACCCCGCCCCCCGAGCCTACTGCTGTCCCTCAAGCGGAGATTGTCCCCGAGGTCGTCAACACCGCAGATGATCAGCTCGGCATTGGTGAAGGCGATGCCGTCGTGCCCACTGTTGATTCGCCACCAACTCCCGAAGTCTTGTCCTCGCCCCCTGAGTCGACATCCAACAAGCCGCTGCTAGATTCACCGGGCTCGCCGTCTCCTCTGTCCATCGTCGACGAAGACACGCCAACAACCGCTGCCGCATCTAGCTAATCTCGCTCTATCGGAACATAACCATGTACACTAATTCTTCCTATCCCGTACGTGAGTCTGGGATTTCGTCGCTGACTTGCCGGTATTGAGGATCTTTTCAGCGCTGCAGCGCGGCGCCTAGATTCTAATTCCCTCTCGGACATGCCGTTCATGCTTTCTTGCACTTGACGCACCCCTCTACGATCAGCACGATCACGAATCACCCTAGGCCGTACAGTCCTGTGGATTTGTCTGCCCAGTATGCAACCACCTCCCTCACAACCCTCCGTAGCCACGGACAATCCAACCTCCACCTACCCAGTGCGCTGTATCCCGTACCCACTCTCGCGTTTTACGTTTAAGTTGATGTATAGATCCCATCTGTTTCCTGCGCCGCACCCAGCGGTGCGTTCTTTGTACACATGACAATTAATATTCTTCTCGCATGTCTTCGAGGTGACCTCTGCCAAAGTCTCGGCGTTGTGGTGGGGCCCCGGCGTTGAGAATACCCGTGGCCATCGGCCTCAAGCTATCCCGAGCTTGGGAGCAGTACTCTACAAGCATGAGTCGAACGGTGGCGAGCAAACTAAATGAGCGTCCTTGCCCTTCTGGTAATACCACCGCCAGCATCATCCCTGTTGGCGAGTGCGGCGGTGAGTCCGAGTGCTCCTGTCATTGGACCAACCCGTTGACATGATGTGCCAAGGCGGGCATCCCCTGAGATTCCCGTAAGATGGAAATGCACCTCGCATACATTCAGTCGCTGGATCAAGAGATTCCGGCATAGCGCCTTTGATCCTGCAAGTCCCTGAGCCATGTAAGCTTGCTTCCCGAGGTCTCACCCAGGGTTCTCGGCGGTCCCGCAGTCCGAGACGCAAAACGCGGTTCGGTCAGCCATGGAATGGTCGAGAGTGAGTTGTCCGTCCCGACGGACTCGTAATGACGCCTCCTCAGCCGCACAACGAAGAACCCTCCAGGTCCACAACCACGACGGCCAACGTCCATAATCCATCAAAACCATGACGAGCCGCGAAGTGCCCCACATACGGACCCGCGCTGCTGTGCCTCCGGAGCGATCAGTTTCGCGGGGCGTTGCTTCCCAGTCGCGCGAAGATGTGTGAATATATTTTCCCGCCTCCTAAGGCGGACGCGTGCGCGCACGCGGGAGGTCGCTTCGTGCACCCGCGCCCGGAAACATGGTCATCCGAGGCCGCTGCCGTACAAAGCGAGGGCGGGACGTCCCCGCGCAGGGCGCCACGAATGACCTTCCCCACGGCGCGTGGAACACGGATCGAAGGACCGCCGGGGGCAGCTGGCAGCTCGCGTCATGCCCCAGAGCTCCGTCCATGGTCCGCAGCAGGCGGTCACCGCCTACGCGCTCGTCACCCGTCCCGAGCCCCGAACGAGCACGGAAAGCTGGCCTTACGTCCGCGCGCCAGGGTCGCTCTGGGGACGTACAAAACCCCGAGGGATGTGCTGTCCAGGCCCCGCCCACCAGACCCGGATCGTCCAACGTCTTCGAGCTCTCCGCTCTCCGTTCGCGTTCTCCTTCCGCGCTCTCGTGCTCTCGTAACCTCCACACTCCTTTCTCTCTCGCTCTCGTCGCTTTCGCGCATCCCACGCTCTTTTAGCTCTCGCACTCTCTCCGACCCAGCTCTTCATCCTTGAACATGTTCGCCGCCACCCGCTCTGTCGTCTTCGTTGCGCTTCTGAGCGCCCTCGCCCTCGCGGCCCCTGTGAAGCGCTTCGACAACGCACGCTACACGTACTACGACGCCGGGAAGAACGCTTGCGGTTCGACGGACTCGAACACCGACTACGTCATCGCTCTCAGTCCCGAGGTGAGCCGCGCGCAGACCACATCAAACGCTTCGTATCCTCATTTCATCCGTAGTTCTACAACAACGGCGCCAACTGCTGGAGGTCCGTGACGGTTCAGTACAACGGCAAGCAGGTGCAGGCGAGGGCCACCGATGAGGTACGACGTCCTGCTGTTCTCCGTGCTTGGGGCTTCTCCTGAAGATGCTTGCGCCCAGTGCCCCGGCTGCAGCGGTGACCAGGTCGACCTCTCGCGTCCCCTTTTCGCCGCCCTCGCTCCTCTCGACAAGGGTGTCCTCTATGGCCAGTGGTGGTACAACAACTAAGCAGCGCTTCATGTCTTGTCAGTCGACCTGTACGCGCTGCTGATGATGTACGGTGCTCGGAGCCTGTCCTCGGGATTATATGCTGTAATGCCGCTCACGTGAAAGTTTATTTCGTCGTGGTGGTAGGATCTGGATCTACTTTACTCAGTGTGTTACTCAACGGCCTCGGCGTTGTATCGTCGTACGTCTGTAATCCTCGTACCTATAGACCTCGGGATGTATCATACCGTCCTGCTATGATATTATCATCACATGATGGTGATGTAATCCACTGGATTGCAGTCTGAGATCTGAGCGCAGAGCATTGGGACTCGGGAGGAACAGCGCCCCGCGCCTCGATAATGTGTCACCTGACCTTGTCTTTTGTGCTCAGCCGTCTGAATGTTCGACTGTCCGAAGAGCGATCCTATGGCAGCAAATTCGGGGTGCGGCCGTCGAGGGAAAAGCAGTAAAATGGTGTAAGCAGAGTAGATGGTGCATTACGTTCCGTTAATATGGTACATGTGTGGCCACTTGAAGAGAGTCGTAGACTGCCGGCCTACGTCTTCGGCTGGTCCGCCCAGATGGGTTTTGTCGCGTCGGGGTCATTCAACTGCCAGTGCCACAACGATCGGCATTGAGTCCCAGGGGCGCCGTGGAGGACGTGAAACATGAAACACACACCTGCGCATTTGCCTGCGTCTGCGTCGCGTTCTCCCGTGCCAACCTCGCCGCACGGTTCGCGTCGACTTTCCTACGGAGGTCCGGAGACATAGCCTGCGGGAACAGAGGAAGCTTAGCACATTGGTCTGCCGGAACGTATCAAAAAGCCATAGCGAGACGTATGTGGCGCAGACGCGGACGTGTGGAAGGAGGGAATCACGGTACTCACCGCGTAGGTCTCCTCTGGAGTTGGCACCGTCACTACCGCCAGCGAAAACAGCACATGAGGACAACTGTAAGCAAGTAAGGCCTAGACCACGCAAAGGTGCTCACATCGCATGGTCGCGTAGCCCGCGCCGATGACTGCAAGCACGACGGAGGACAGTGAGTGGTAGGCGGGTGAATTGTGATCGCGCCACGTACTGCCGATACTGTAGAGGGTGACGCGGCCCCAGGGAAAGCGCCCAGCAGACATGATTTGGGTTGTCTGGGTCGGGATGCAGGCGATACAAAACTGGTGGAGGAAGCAGAGGTCGGCGGACCAGTGAGATGTGACGTCGCCGGGGGCAGGCAGGCGCCCATGGTTGGAGCGCGTGTTCAAGTTGGGCGCGTCCCCAGGCGTCCGTCCCCGAGCTCAGTGCAGTCGATCGGTGCGGGGTTCCCCCGCCAGGCTCAACGTCAACGTCGCCCGCATCTCCTTCCCAACAACCGCCTCCTTCCCTCTCCCTCCTCAAGAGCCCCCGGCCTCGGCAGCCAGCCAGTCTTTACTCGCCATGTTCGCCTCCACCCTCACTTTCCTTGCTGCGGCCCTGGCCTCCACTCTTGTTCTCGCCGACTCACATGTCCACCCTGTCCGCCGTCACAACGAGCTCTCCCTCCGCGGCGAAGGCGCGCTCGCCAAACGCTTCGACAACACTCGCTTCACGTACTTCGCCGTCGGCCAAAACGCATGCGGTTCGTACGACCAGAACAGTGACTTCGTGAGTGATTTAGACTTTCCGGTGATGGCCCTGTCTGATGGTCTCGGCCAGATCGTCGCGCTTAACACATACGTCAGTTCCTCCTTCCCCGCTCTCGCCCTCCCCTGTTCACCCTCTCCTTAGCAATGGGATGGTGGTTCAAACTGCTACGCAGCCATCACTATTGCTTACAACGGCAAAAGCGCACACGCCAAAATTACGGACGAGGTGTGTCGATGCTCTTGTTTCTCCCGCGCTTCCGCACGCCGACACACAGCGCATATTCGTAGTGTATGGGTTGCCCCTACGGCGCCATCGACCTCTCCCCCGGCCTGATGGAGTTTTTGGTTGGGTCCAACTACGCCTCGGTCGGCGAGGTCACCGGTTCGTGGAACTTCGGCAGTGGCCAGTCGCCCAAAACCTCCTCCACATCCTCGCGGACACCCACGAGCACTCGGACCCCGACATCGACGTCGACCTCGCACAAGAAAACTTCGACCTCGACTTCAACCTCGACCACGCCTACTCCGACGAGTACCTCGACAACTCCAACGAGCACATCTACCTCCACTACGCCGACAACGACCGCCGTCTCGTTCGCGACCGGAGGCGTGCAGCAGCTCAACCTGGCGTTCATCCAGCTCGTCGATCTCATGTACGACGCGTCAGGGCAGTAACCGCTCTTCGCAGACGTACGTTCGATTGTCCGGGCGTGCACCGTCCAGACCTGCTCAGACACACCTGAATTGACTCTTGCCCCACTCTCATTCGTCCATATATCCCTTCGCGACTGCCGCAGCATGTGTGGTGCCGCACTTCTTGGATAGAGCATTTATCTTACTTTGGTCCTGGCGTACCTGTTGTAGCGGAGGTCTGGCAGCGGTATCCGAGCCGTCGGAATACCCCCGGGAGACGAGACTTTGCTGTTCCAAACAGCTGTCCCATGTACTTCTCAAGTCTAGTGTTACATACGTGATTGGTGGCAAATTACGATCTCGGCGACTAGTAGCCTGAAATGCGACACCGAGCCACTGGCGTAAGTCATCAAGTTCAAGGCCAGCAGAACTGCCACCTTCCTCGAATTCCCGGGCTTCTCTTCGAGCCCGCGCTCGTTCGAACGCCCTTTATATCCGTCTGCCATGCTTTTGCTACTTCCCGTCGTGACCCGGGGCTCGTTGGATGAATGGTGGCGCATGTTGTTCCAGAGTGACCTGGCTGACGGAGGCGAGCGGCGTCGATCATGATAACGACCTGTCGAACAGTCTGCCGTGGACCTCGGATGTGATCTTGCACGCTCATGGCCCAGAGGTTGCCTAGAGCTGTCGAAGGAAACATCCGGGTACGCGCGAGATCGTGGGATTGATGCTCCCTGTCGCCGGCCCTGTCGAGGGGACTCCCCAATGGCACGCTCGGCTGAACGGAAACGAGGTCTCTGGTGATGTTGCAGTCAGCGTGCGTTGACAGACCGCAAGAAAGGCTACGGAGGTACCTGTGCGTTCCGCTCCGATCGGTCTCGTTTGCCGTCCACAGCAATGTCTCCCAACACGGGTCCATGTCCGTTTGAACAAAGTTTTCGCCCCCTCGAAGGTTGCGGCACCTTTTCGGTCGTCTGCCAGCAGGCTGGACTGTCATCTTGCAAGTGCATTCGCAACCACGCCAAGGGTAGGGGCCCGAGGTAATTGTAATTCCAGCCTCGAGAGGGGATAGGAAACAAGGGAAAAACCAAAGCTTCCCACTTCGCACTGCCGTGTTTAGTTTGCGAGTGGCCTGTTTCTGCGGAACTTGGAGACCTGGCCGGACCACTCCCGGGAACCAGTCCTGATGCTCGATCAAACGAATGTTCCACCAGAGGCGACGTTGTCGGCAGATGATAGAAGGCAAGGGCGCACTTCTGAAACAGATTGCGTAGAAACTGGGGAGTGCCTCTGGGTAGGATTCCCAGAGAGCCATACATGTTGTGGATGTGCTCGAGCGTCGAGGAAATGCGCGTCACGAAGCGGTGCCCAAGCTGCGTCTCGCAATATAAAGAATGTAACCTGTGCCAGGGGTCAAATCAGATTATAGATGCGTATATTGATTTTGCCTACCCCCTACACGTTCCGGGAAGTCCACTTGTACGACAGAAAGCGCCAGGCTTTCCAAGAGGACGAATGGGCTGCAGGAAATTTGCTGGACGCTTCGTCAGTTGGATCGTCACAACCATTGTCGCTAAATGCTCACTTGTATGTAATGCACGTCAAATGTGTCTCAGGCGTGGCCACTTATTGCCACGAGTCTACCAGTATTGGCGCTTCTTTGATACCCGGCTTTTGATGAAACTTGCGGAGGATATTTCCAAAAAACGGAGATTCTTGCAAACGGCCACCAGACGGACGAAGTCTTGAAGGTTCGGTATGGACACGCTGTCCAAACAAAGCGAGGTGACGGAGTTGAGCCGTAGGTACCAACGGTGAAATGAAGGCTGCAATGGGATATATCAGTCCTCGGAGAGAGAGGGTGACCAGGCTAGATAATTTGGTGGAGAGCATCGCCAGAGACGGTGTGATCAACCCCGACAGGTTTGTGGAGGACAGACATCGACTGTGAGTTCGTGGACTAAAGACATATAGAATGGTGGGAGCCTTTTAAACACGACCAGCTGCCTGGGCGTGCGTAGCACGACGTGCCGTAGGAGGTTGAAGAGACTCCGGGGCACCCAGGACCGACAGACCAGAGAGCATGTGCGAAGAGTGGTGTAGGTGTCTGGATGATCAAGAGGGTCCTGAAAACACCAATCAATGATACTCTCCTGGACCTCGAGGGGAACTTCGGGCGACATCGTGTTGGAAAAGGGTCAGAAGGACAGTCGTGGAAGGAGACTGACACTTATAAGCATCGTGAGCGGGATCCGTTATCTGTCTAGCTCGATGGCATGGATGGACGGGCTTCGTAGCAAGATCGAGGGCGTATGTCAAGAAATTCACACAGTACAGCTGTCAGTGAGCGATACCAGGGTTCCGCAGAGCTCGTCAAGGCACAGGGACCCGGGCGTCGACAGCACACGTCGGGGGCGGGCAGCTGGCGGAGATGTGCGAGGCGGGCAAACGCGGATTCGACCTTGGGCGTGGCCAGGGCGTGGCGGTGGGGAGACGGTCGCGGCGGGGAGCTGGTGCGGCGGTTGACAGCGTGCCAAGCGCCGGGCGATGGCGACAGGTCTGGGCGCCAGCGCCCTTTTGAGTCTTGACCCTGCTCTCTCTCTCCCGCTCGTCCATCGCGGTTTCGCTCTCGACGTTCTCTCTCCCTCACGCTCCTTCCCTTCCGCTCCACACGCCCTCCGGCACCTTCAGACCGCCCTCTTCAGTTCGGAATCTGCAGCCATGTTCGCCTCTCTCTTGAGCCTCGCCTTCTCACCCCTGCCATATTCGCCTACGTCTCATGACCACGCCGCCCACCGTCGCCATGAGGGCATTGTTCCTCGTCACACCGTCGCTGAGGTTGAGGACGCCGCCAACACCACCGAGCACCCTTGTTCCTCGTGGCCAGAGCTTCAGCAACTCCCGCTTCACTTATTACGACGTAGGCCTGTAAGTCTGCTTTCCCTTACCGTCGCTGTTCAACCTTTTTACATTGATATGCAGCGGCGCTTGCGGCAAGTACAATGTTCCCTCGGACTACGTGAGTATCCACTTGGTGTCATACGCGGCCTGGCTTTAAAACTTTCCCCAGATTGTCGCCCTCAACAGTGGGGTGGGTTACACTGCAGTTGGTCACTTCCTCGGCCATCCTGACTTTTCTGCTACGCAGAGCTTCGGTGGTGGTTACCCCGGTCCCAACTGCTTCCGTCCCATTACGATTAGCTACAACGGCAAGCAAGTCTCTGCCACTGTCATGGACGAGGTTAGTAGATGCGCTGCCATCGCGCGCTTACTCTGCTCATATTTTCTCGTCCCTAGTGTCCTGGCTGCCCTTCGCCCGGTGGTCTTGACTTGTCCCAGGGTCTTTTCGAGGCCCTGGACTCTCTCGACAAGGGTGTCATCTACGCAACGTGGTGGTACGCCGATGAGGGTGGCAACAGCGACCCGACGACCACGTCCCAACACACCACCAAGCACTCCACCACGACCTCCTGGACGCCCACGACCTCCTGGACTCCCGAAACCACCTGGACTCCCGAGACGACGTCGACGACGAAGAAGCACTCGACCTCCTCGACCTCTTCCTCGACCTCTTCCTCGACCTCTTCGTCCGAGCCCTCGAGCACCAGCACCACCCCGAGCTCGACCTCCACGCACTCCACGTCCACCTCGACCTCAAGCACTGCGTCTGCGACGCCTACCACCGCCCAGATGGTGAAGAAGCTCAACCAGGCCTTCCTCGGCCTCGCCGACCTCATGGTTGGCGGCGCCGCGGCCTAAGCGGCCTAGCGTCCCCGTCCCCGTGGCGCCCAGCTGGGCCTGCGCGCCGCCGCGCCTCCACCCGGCACCGGTGCGCCTCAGCCGTGCACGCCGACGGACGCGTGCGTGGGGAGGACTCTCTGCTTATACCCCCCTCCCTGCGCCTCCTTGTTCCCCGGACCGGTCTGTTCGTTACTTAGTGCCCTGCCCCTCACCTCACGCGTTGCTCCTTCTCCTTCCCCCCGCCGACACCGTCGCGCTCATCGCACCGCCTCGTTCCACCCACCCTATCACTTGTTAATGCATACCGAGGAGACATGCTAGTATTCCCGGTAGACACGATGTACGGTTGTCTGGCGGATATGTGCTCGAGGCGCATCCCTCTAATACACCCGCTGTCCGCCTGTTTGTCTGTTTTACCTATCGAGAAACTGTCGAATGGTAAATGCGTTTCATCGTCTGCATATCATGATATATCCCGTTAGCGGCAGATGGGATGTATGCGGCCCGTTTCTCCGGATCGACTACAGAACGGAACCACATGCATGTGGACCACCGCTCAGGAGAGTTGTGCCAAATCAGAGTGCGCGCGTGTGGGTGACGTCAGCCCCGCGGGACACTCGCTCGCGTGTGCAAGTCAAAGTCACTGGATGTGGGGTCCAGAACGTTGTACTCGGACGGTGGACGAAGTTGTGGCCGAAGAGTACGCACGTATTCGGGCTAAAATGATATCTATACCAAGCGGGTCGGTCACCGACGTCCGTATATCGTACACTGGCGTATTTACAAACAGCCCCGGCGGGAGCGAGCACCACGTGGAGCAACAAGCAAGGGAAGGAGAGGGTTCGAGCGCGGAGTGCAAGAAACGGGTAGGCAAGTACAGGGAAAGCACGAAGGAGCATATACTGGGGCGGAAGCAAGAGAGGGGTAGGAAACGTAGCAACGAGAGTTGGTGGGGTCGTTATGAGCAGGGTGTGGACGGGGGCTGGGGACCAGCTGGCGTGAAAGTATAGTACATACACAGGGTGCGCTCGTTATACCACGGCGCATCTCGGCGGCGTGGAGGTCTTGGGCGGCAGCTTTGCGGAGCTTTGAGCGGCGGCGGACGCCCAACAAAGCCGGTCCTGAGGGTGTGGGTGTCGATTAAGGAGAGACTAGGGGAAGACGCAGGAAAGAAAATGACACATAGGTGCAGCGAAGGGCGCACGGCGCTGGTGCCGAGGTGCCGAGAAAGTATGTCCAAGTGTGATTACGACGACGGTGGTCGGGCAGAGGGAAGGTGGGAGCATAGTCTCCAAACTTGGATCTCTTGCGGGAAGAACGGGAAGCCTTTGCAGGCTCAGGTGGACGCTCATTTCGGAGCGATCGCTCAGACTCGCGCCTGAGCATGAATGGTCGAGGGGCGTCGACGGGAAACGGCGTGGGGAAGGAGGGGTGATTGATGTTATGTGCAAGGTATCCAGGGGTGAACGGTCTGCCGATGGCGTGGATGCGTGGGGAGGGTGAGGGGCAGTCCCAAACTCATTTGGGTAGCCCTCACTCACGCCGATGCCCACGCACGTCTTCACACGCACCGCACAGGCTCACCGGTAGCAGGTGACGAGGAGGACGCTGAGCCCGGTCTCCTTGACCGTCTTGGCGGGGGTCTTCCTGCCCCCGCGGATGTCGCGAAGGAGGGCGGAGCGCGAGGGGTGCATGATGCTGCGAAGGGCGTCGACGCCCTCAGAGCGCACGGCAAGGTAGTCGCGGACGTTCACGAACGCCTGCGACTTGAGAAGCGCCTTGGCTGCCCGCATCGAAGAAGGAAGCGCAGACAGCCCGGTGAAGAGTCCGAGCTCTATGATGAGTGCTTGCAGGAACTCGAGCTTGGAGAGCTCGGCCTTGGTTGTCGGGTCGGCCGAGAGAACCCTGCGGTCGCCAGCAGTCGCGAGAAGGCGATGCGAGAAGCAAAGAGAGAAGTTGACATCATGAGCACCTGACAACACAACAGAGTAGAAGTGGGGCGACATACGAGGACACGTAGCGCTGCGCGCTCTTATACAGCTCCGGGGGCACGTACAGGTACTCGGAGCCCGCCTCGGAAACGTCGTCGACGATCGGACGGTCGCCGAGGCCCGCAGCAGGGCTCGGGCTAATCATCGCCGCACGCGCTGCTGCGCGGCGAGCTTTCCTCCTCGCTTTGGATGGGCTGTGACGCTTCGCGAGGTCGCTCGCGGCTTTGCCTGGGTTCTGCGATGCTGCGGCGTCGGCGTTTGGAGAGTGCGAGGCATCGGGGGCGTGGTTGCTAGCCTGTTGGCGCTTCCTGTTCCGCCGCTTGGGCGACGCAGCGCCGTCCGAGCTCTTGGCCGGGCTGGAGGGGGCAGGGGCTTTGGCAATGGTGGAAGAGGGGGCGCGAGCAGCGCCGTTGGACGCCGCGCGGCGGCGGGAGGAGCGGGTGCTGGCTACGCTCACCGAAAGGGCGGAAAACGAGGCGGTGAGGTCATCGTCGTCGCTTGCGGACGCGGAGGCCGGGGACCGGGGCCGGCTCATGATAACGAACTCGTCGTCGGAAAAGACGGCGGGGGTGCGCGGCTCGGCGCGCTGGGAGCGGAAGTCGGCGGAAGAGAGGTCGGAAAAGGAGAGGAGGATCTCGTCGTCGGACGAGCCATCGTCGGGGTCGGAGAGGGAGGCGTACGAGTCCGAGTCGGAAGAGATGGCGCGTGCGGCAGGCTGGGTGCGCGCGTGCGGCTGGTAGGAGAAGAATTCGTAGGAGGAAAGGGACGAGGGCGGAGAGAGGGCGCGGAGGGGGGACGACATGGTGGGAGAAGAAGAGGAGAGCTGGCCGCTGGGACGCCGGCGCGGGGAGCGGGAGGGGAGGAAAGTGGAGAAGGCGACCAGGCAGGAGATATAGTCCCGCCTCGAGGAGGGAGGGGCGTCGAGGAAGAAACGGAGGAGAATCAAGCCATGCGTGCCGGAGCGCGGCGGGGGCGAGGAGGCTTTAGTACCCCGCCGTGGCCCGGTCTGGGCGACCCTGGCAGACTCCGCAATCTGATAGGCAGACAGGCGCACCCCACGACCCTCGTCGCGAGGTCTCAGCCGCTCCCCGCTCCCCGTCCCCGTTCGTGGGCAAAGTCACAGTGCATTCCCGCAACAATAACAGCACGAGCCAGGTACATCCGCATTCCCGCCGCCCCCTCCGCCCGGCCCGCTAGCACACCCGCCAGTACACGACCGAGTTGTTCCATCCCGCCACCGCCCGCTGCTCGACCTCGACGCCCCTTCCCCACACCCGCCCCTGCATGTCCCGCACCTCGCGCGCCCGTTTCGAATGGAGCATGAACCGGCCCCCTCCGCCGCGGGGATGATCGTCGGCACGGCTTGGCTCCCGCGTTTCCCCGTTCCAAGCTGGTACTCGAAGTTCGCCCCCCAGGCGACCATGTCCCGACCGCCGCCTCCCGGTCCGGCCTGCTTCCTCGTATCCAGTGTGAGCAGGACGTGCCCAGTCGGAGAAACGGAGATCGCGTCCGGCACTATGGCCTGCAAGTTTTGCGTGGCGTCGCTGACTGCGAAACGGGCCAAACGTCAGTCTCGGCTCGAATTCCGCAGCGGTCCGAATCCTCCGTAGTTGAACGTTGAACCTCCGCCGAGAGCACCGATTGAGCGTCGCGCCCCAACACAGATCCACGTTCGACGTCCGTAACATCGTCAACGGTAGCCAGAGCGCAACTCCGGAGTTTGCGGAACGGCGAATGAAAAGAACTCACATTCAAATAGACCGCTGACGTTCTTCGCACGGACCGGTGCAGACTGCGCGTTGCTGTACTGCCCGCTACCAAGACCCCCATACTGCCCGTTACCGCAAGCCAGTATCTCCACTGACGGCATGCTGGTGCCGTCAACGCGCTCTACCTCAAACATAGTGAGGTCACCTCCTGCATGAATGTCACGGCATGTCGTCTTGGTCCTTGCGGGCGCATTCCTCCAAAGGATGACTTCTGTCGGTACGGTGATAGTGTCCAAAGTGACGTTGCCACCGAGCCCCATTTGCCTGGTCAAGACCAAATGAGTGCTACTAACGTTTCAAGGACCTCGAATAGCTTACCCGTATTCATTAGCGCCCCAGCCGAGCACCTGGCCGTTTGACGTCTTGACGAAACTTGTCCTTGCTCCAGCCACCGCACGGTCTACCTTCACGCCCTTCAGCGCCGGGATCTCGAACAGCTTGTCTGACCACCTGATGCTTGCGTCAGTCACACCAGCATCGGCCGCCTCCTTCCCGACGACCGCGGCGCTGAGTCTACTTGCTGAGTTTGCGGGGCGGATGCCGGAACTCGACTTCGCGTAAGGGTCAGCGATCGATTTTGGGGTCAGCTCAAGGGCGACGCGCTCCCGAGTCTGCGCGTTTTGCACGTGGGGGCCCGCGGACGCCGGGACGTCGCACTTGCGGAAGCCCAGCTGCCCGTACGCGTTAGCGTTCAACGTGATGGGGTGCGCGAAGGTGCGCCCATCAGACGTGACGGCCAGGAGGTGGTCTGTGCCAGCCGAGATCTGGACGAACCTAGCGAACGAGGTCAGTGCGCTGCGCTCAAACGGGCCACAATGAAGTATGTATCATACCCCCAGGCAGGCATGTGGCCCGGACAACGGCAATCGAGACGAGTCAAATGCCACGTTCCTTGCCTCGGGGATGCCGCCCGCATGAGAGTGAGACGACGTACCGCTCTCCGCGCTTCAGCTTCTCCGAGGGTGCTATCTCAGCAAAGTCAACGTGCTGACTTTCGCCCCAGAGCGTACTCAACCACGAGGACTCGGAGGAGCCAGCAGGAAGGGCCTGGTCGGTCTGAGAGGACGCAAGGACGTATATGCGGCCGTTCTCAGAGAGCGCGAACGTACGCGAGCGCGTGAGTTGGAGCTGCTTGATGTTCTAGGAAGAGGTCGGATGAGGCGTGCAGTAGGCGAGGGGCGAGACCGCGCACCTTCCCCTTCAGCGTGAGCTGAGGTTGGACCCCTGAAGGCGGCGTGGTGTCCCTGAAGAAGCCGTCCCCCCACTCGTACACGTCTCCTCGTGCGTCGACGCACGCCGCGTGTTTCTCGTGGAGAGCCAGGTCCCGCAGCGCGACGTTCTTGAACCACTCTGACTCCGTCGGCACGCGGACTGATTCGGGAAGCTTGCCGTCCAGAAGGTGCGACCTGACAGACGCGTGAATGACCGGGAACGCGCGAGAAGAGGTTGGACTCACTTGTTGGATCCCCAGACAAGCAGATCGAGGTCTTCGCTCTCCAGCCTTCCCTTGCTAGGTACGTCGACCGGTGGCGGCAACTCATTGTGGATGTGAAGTGGCGCATCGTTATGGACGGTTGGCAACGTTGCAACATACCAAAGAGCAGCTACCGTGGCGGAGGCGGCCGCCAGCCCATAGCTCGCGCGTCCGGTAGCAGCCCGCGTGTAAAGCCTTCTGAAAGCGGAGCTGCTCGCCACGCAGGGTGCGCTTTTGAAAGTGCGGGTAGAGGCGCTTCGCAGCATCCGGCAAGTGCAGGTGAGGGTTAACGTTGAAGCTTTGAAGCTGGGCGAGGGTGCGGGAGAGGGACGTGACGCGTTGACGCATCAGACTCAGAATTGGCGTTTGACGTCAGCGCCGTCCGACTGACGCTCGTGACTGTTCTGCTCTCTCCTCTCGATCAAGTTGAACGTCCAGAACTGGATTGTTCTTTCTCCTTCCGCAGGTGGTGTGGATTGTCCCAGGTTTGAAGTTTGAACGTCAAGGATACAACCCCCCAGTATGTGTACAATTACTCTGGACAACTGAACTGCTAGCTGATCATGTACGTTGTCCATCCACCCTTCGAAAGGCCGCTTTCGCCCTGCCATCTTGTCTGGTCTACGTTGGTAGCCACGAATATAAGCGCTGGGCTGCATTGATGTGAGTACAAATATCTTAAAACGGCCACCAAGCCGCCTATACGGGCTTACGGTGATGCTAGTTCTTGGCCCAGCCACTCTGTCAATGGCCAGGAGGGTCAGATCGTCTTAGCCCACGACCATCTAGTGCATTCCGTAGGAGATGCACAGGGTGGCGATGGACAAGACGAATCTGCCGACCACCGAGGCAGCGATGATCATCACGTATAGGTGGGGAGCAACGGCCTCGGTGGTGCCGAGGGAGGAGATCGCGCACACGAAAAGGCTGGCGGGAACCACTCCTACGGATGAGGGGTTCCACAGAAGCCAAATCGTACGCCGCACGACACTGCTCCTGCCATGCTCCTCGACGTGGAGAGCAAGGCGATTGTCTCCCCTCTCCACGTCGTCGGAGTGGAAAGCGAGAGGAGGAAAATATGTGACAAGGAAAGCCAGAAGGGGTACGCCGGTCAGGGTGAGGAAGGAGATCGTTGCCGCGAGCTGAAACGCTCGGTTCCGAGAGCACGGCGCTGCGAGAGCGATGAGAAATGCGCCGAGAAATGAAGATAGAGAGTTGGCGGCGAAGATGTGTAGGAAGGGGAGACCCCTGTTTCGGAGCATCGACGTGGTTGAAGGCACAACTGATTGGTGCTGTGTCCTAGTCCGGTCATCGTCCTCTATGGGAATGTGTTACTCGGACGTCCCAGGTAGAAGAGGAAGAAACGTACTGGAGATTATCATTTCGTTCACGTAGATGGAAGCGTACTGGCGGCGGATAATGTATGGGCCCACAGAGGGGCGTGTGGCCTTATATCCTGAAGTCCACAAGGCTTGTTTCTCCCTGGGTTTTCATCAAGTGTGAACTTGCTTGTGAGCTACCGCTTCTATCCCGATAGACGGCGCGTCTGTTCCGCGCAGAGGCGAGGCAGCTAGCGCTCCGTGTGGGTGCGGAAATCCACCCATTCGCCGAGCACATGACGGTCCTAAGGCAAGTGCCCAGGGCACGCAACATCCTTGTGCCACTTTCCGGTGCAGTTGGGCATCCAGACGTCCACATTTTAGCCGATCGGCGGTGTAGAGTCACTACTGTTCCGTCCCGCTTGCTCAGATAGAAGCACGATGCAGTATCTGGGTGCGCGCTCCGAAGGGTTTGACGAATATCTGACTACGTACAGGATCAACTATCAGGACGTCGATGGACATTTCCCCCTGTCCTTTCTGCCGCTCTCTAGTCCTCCGCGAGCTGGATGGACTACACACAACTACCCACCAAAGCGGACACCCTTTCGTCAACCCCTTCATAATCCACCACATCCCCCGCGCGAGGGCAGATGAAGACAGGCTCGGTGACGAGCGCGAGAACGGAGAGGAGGGGCTCGAGACTGTCCGCCATCGTGGCCTGGAGCTCGAGCATGGATATGCAGTCCATGGCGCGACCTTGGAGTGGGAGAATCTGATAGATACCTGGACCGCAAGCGGTGCGATGGAGGCGAGGGCCGCGGCGGTCGCGGCGACGAGCCAGGTCGAGGAGAAGGCTGGCGTCAATAAACACCTCGTGCTGCGGGAGGATAGCCATGGCCACGGCGAAGTGGCTCAGACCGATGCTCATCTGTGGTGGTTACGGGAAAATCCTGAACAGGGGTGATGACGTGTACTATAGTACAGACCGTGACTCGCTTTGCGGCCATGTCGGCTCCAAAATCGGGGCGAGAGCGAGCAAGAGTGCGTACCTGCTGGTAGCGGAGATGTGGATATGAGCTGATCGAGGGACGACTGGGGTTTAACATGCGACACAAATACGGGTTTAATTAGTCGGCAACTTCTCGCAAATCCCCGTGCCGATGAGCTGGGACCTTACCACAATGCTCTCCCATGCGACATCCTAGGAGGATTGTGAAAAAAAAACAGTAGAATGGACTTGGGAGTGGCGGAGTATGCGGCGCTGTGACTTATACAGTGCAGGCTCACCATGAAGTTCTGGTAGAGGCCAGCTCGGGAGTCATGCAATGCCGCCGGATTGCCAGTAAGCGGAGGGAATGAGAGCGTAAACAATAAAATACTCATACATGCCAGGTCGCATTACCTCGCCGATCTGGCATTGATGTCAAGGCAAACGTGAGGAAGTGCTGCGCCCTAGTAGGGCAGTGCTATCGGGGCTGCAGTGGGTTGGACGTTGGCGCCAATCTCTGGCTTGGTGATATAGCTTATCTCATCACGGCAGCTATACATATATTGGCTGTGCTGTGAGTGACCCGCCATCGGACGTCTCAACTGTGCCCACGACGTCTTCACCCTCATGGCTGCAGACGAAAGGGCGGAAGGTAGGCAGCTCTTCCTGGCAACCTGTTCTCGCGATAACACATACGTGCAGTCGCCTTTGACGCAGACATCTCTGATGCTGTCGATCTCGCCGAGCTGGGTGCAGCGTCGTCCAGTCAAAAGCCTTCGGTGGGAGTGGAAGACGAGCCAGTACAACCCACGTCATCTCAAGGAAACTCATCCGTGCCTCCAACTATCGTATATCTGTGGGAGCTCGGTCAGCGTGGTCATGCATTCTTGGTCAGCCGCGTCGGTCAACCATACCTCGCCTTCCTTGGATTCCTCAAGTACACCTTGGACCTCATTCTACGCACCCTCAAGCTCATCGGCTTTTCCATCGCCATTATCTTCATTGTTGGAATCGCATCCTGGTTCATCGCCTTCACGCAATGGTGCTCCGTCGTCGTCGGCCATCTCGCACTTCGCGCCATCGTGCCCCGTTCACTGGACAACTCATTCCACGAGATGAAAATCGAACAAACCATGATCTTCGCCGTCATTGGCGCCGTCATCGTCAACATCCCTCCTTTTGTTGTCTTCCTCATCTCCTTCCTCTTCAACTTCAACCGAACCGTCATCGAGGGCAATGCCGCGCCTGCGCTCGAATTCATGCGGCGTATCACACCTGAAAACCATCGAATTCGGCTCGCCTTGAAGTACACGCCGCGACTGTTGGTCGCACCCATCGGATATTTCGTGGTCAGGGAGGTCGACCGCATGGCCTCGTATCCTGAACTCCCACCGCCCGGACCCGCACTGGAACCCCTGCGCGTGGTCATCATAGGCCTCGCCGGGGAAATCGTTTTCACGGGCCTGGGGAGGATTAAGGGCTCTCGGTTTGTTCAAGGTTTGTTTGTAAAGGCAGGCGACCGAAGTCATGCGACTGGAGCTCCGCCGACTCCTCTGCCTCTTCACGTTGCCAACGGCGAGGCTCCTTGACCATTTTTTTTGGTAGAACACGTTTGTCTCAGCAGGCGTTGGTCTCCTTGATCATTCTTCGACGTAATTGTTTATCTTTTTGTTCACATGGGACTAAGGTTCGTGATTATGGCTGAAACATACGGAAATACATAGCTACTACAAGTAATTGTCGTGAAAGCGGCACCTCGACTGACCGAAATCGGAGTGTGAACGCTTCACTGTCCTGAACCAATTCGAGGGTCACCCTCTTGGACTTTCGGGTTCATCCACGATGCCTAGGACGCGAGACTGAGGATGGGAGGAGACTGAGGAATATTTTCGGGTGCTTACAGTCATAAACGTTGTCTCGTCGCCGTTCTCATTCACCATCCTTTTAACAGAGTTTTGGTCCACAGTCACACTGTTGAAATAACGAGCCAGTAGCTCCAGCTTGTCTGCGTCGATGCCATACTTCTGAGGCAAGTCATCCAATTCCCGTTGTGTTTTCGCGTACTTCCTGTCTTCAAGGAGATCTGCTAGTGCTGGTGCAAGCAGACGGTTCTGAGTTTGTCGCATGGAGCGCGCTTCGTTCTCTGACTGCAAACGTGTTTGGAACATCTTCTGTGCAGAAGCGGCAGCCTAGAATGTCTTGCGCGTCAAATACGCTACGATGTTAACAAATAATGGAGGAAACGTACCGGGCGAACAGTAGATATGCGATGGTCAACCGTGACCGCACCAAGCTTGTTTAAATTGGCGAGGAGATGGGGGTCTTGCGCATCCCGCATGATAGCTAGATGCGCACATCACATGATGACACCATGGGTAGGGGTTACCGATGCACTTACCATCGTCTTTCGTTTCGCTGGCCCTAGGCGGTGGAGGCCTCGAGTGAGGATGTAGCTGCTCGCCAGCACCGGAAGTTCGGGCCCCTGCCCACGCTGGAGGTGCGCGAGCGAGTTGACGAGCTGCTGGTTTCGACGCGGAAGACCCCATTAGAACACGAGAGTAGTGGGAGAGTAGGGTGCAGCACCCGATGGATTGCGGGAAAAACGAGGACGTCTGGGTGGGACTGGCTGACTGGCGGCGCGTCTGCGTAACACGCCCCGGCCCGAAGAGTCCCCTCTAAATTGAAGGGCAGTGGCGGGGCCATTCTTACATCTCCCCACCTCTTATGCCCTCCTGCACCCTGCGACTGCCATGACCAAACGACGAGTCACGTATTATTACGACCGTGAGTCTAGTACTATCTGGCTACGAGCCGCCTGGCTTACCGTCGAACCAGCGGACATTGGGGCTTATACTTATGGCCTCACTCATCCAATGAAGCCGCAGCGCATGCGCATCACCCACGAACTTGTGTCGGCATACAACATGCTCCCGAGAATGCAGGTCCTGGTGTGTAGGCTGATGCATATCTGGCTTATGCTCAGTACCCTGATGCCTGGACCGTAGAGAGCCAAACGTGCAACACCAGAAGTCATGACCAAGTTCCACACCGACGAATATGTGCACTTTCTCTCAAGAGTCACTCCAGAAACTGCACAACACCTCACGTATCAGGGAACGCGTTTTCTCGTCGGTGAAGACAACCCGCCGTTCGAAGGAGTGTTCGAGTTCTGTTCCATTTCGGCAGGGGGCTCAGTCGGTGCGTCCCCTCTTTACCCCCGCTCCCATCACACCTCCTCAACGTCCGCGCGTCCCCAGCCGCCGCGAAGCGTCTCATGGATGGCGAGGCCGACATTGCCATCAACTGGGCCGGTGGGTTGCACCACGCGAAGAAGCGCGAGGCCTCAGGCTTCTGCTACATTAACGACATTGTCCTCGCCATTCTCGAGATGCTCCGTACCGTCCCTCGGGTGCTCTACATCGACATCGACTGCCACCACGGCGACGGCGTCGAGGAAGCGTTCTACACCACCGACCGCGTTATGACCTGCTCCTTCCACAAGTTCGGCGAGTATTTCCCCGGCACCGGCACGAACCGTGACAAGGGCCGCGGCCGCGGCCTCGGCTACTCGCTCAACGTCCCCTTGCGCGACGGCGTCACCGATGAGGCGTACCAGAGCGTGTTCCGGCCGGTAGGTGTCTCTACCCTCCCACTCTCATCTGTGCCTCGGTTGGCGTTCGTGGGCTGAGGTCGTACCCTCCGCAGGCATGAGCTCACGCGTTCTACGGGAATATAGGTTATCGACAAGATCCTCGAGGTCTTCCGACCGAGCGCGGTCGTGCTTCAGTGCGGGGCGGATTCGCTGTCTGGGGACAAGCTCGGATGTCTAAACCTCACCATGCAAGGTCACGCGAGCTGTGTCCAGTATATGCGGGAGAAGAACATCCCATTGATGCTCCTGGGAGGCGGCGGATACACCGTCAAGAACGTTGCGCGAACATGGACGTATGAGACGGCTTGCGCGCTTGGCATGGAGAACGAGATCGACCTCAACCTACCGTGGAACGAGTACTTTGAATGGTTTGGACCCCGATACCGGTTAGAGGTCGCTGAAAGCAACATGGACGACATGAACCTCAGAGACGGATGGCTTGACGAACTACGGTGAGTATATGGGCGTACCTCTTTATACGCTCGCTGACCTGCAAACAGCCGAAAAGCTTTGGATCAACTTGCTCAGTACGGCCCGCGCCGTCCGTCGGGCTGCAAGATGTTCCGAGAGAATCCGTCGGCGAGCACCTAGGCATTGGCAGTGTGTACGAGCAAGCACCGCTCGACGATCTAGATGAGCAACTTGCCCGTATGTCCCCGTTCACCTTACTCCCGCATCTTTCTTGCTGACGTCTACCCACCTCGCTCAACTCAGAGCACACCCGATTCGTGTATCACCTTCAAGAGACCGCACGCCAGTCCTCTTCCTCTTCCTCGTCCGACGCCGACGACTCGGACGCAGACTCGGACACGTCTGCCTCGCGCACGCGCCGCGCGCGGAGCGGCAAGACGCGCATGAGCCTACTCACAGGCCAGTTTTTCGACGTCCCGCGCCTCGAGGAGCGCGGGCACGGCTACTACGACCTCGGGTGCGGGCACGAGCCGTGGGCGGCGAGCGACGTCGCGCGCGGCACGCGCCGGCACTTTTTCCGGGGCGCGGCCAAGTGGGAGGCGGTCGCGCAGCGGATCCTCGCCGAGCGCGCGCAGGCGGGGGTGGGCGCTATGGTCGTGGACGTCGGGCGGGCGATGATGCTCGGGGGGCGCGACGAGGAGCAGGCGTTCTCGGAGCAAGGGGAGGACGTGGACATGGACTCAGAAGACGTCTCGGTGTCGTAATTTATCCGCTTTGTTATATCGATTTTGTAGAATTTCCACATGTACAATGCGATTCCTCTACGCATGAGATCACACAGGGTTGCCAGTGCGGCTTTATTCTTCTATGATTCAGCGACCCTTTGCGGCCTCCAGTATGTAATACATAGTACGCGACCTGAGATGGAGAGAGAGAAAATGAGAAACGAGGCACGACCAACCACCACCACTGTATACAGTATCGCTCGATACCATCTTACGGCACGAACCGCGTCCAACTTTTGGAGAGATGAGTATTGGAACATATGAGAGAGCGCGCACGACGACATAACGATGACTGCTGGCAGTGTGGGGTGTGGGATGTGCGGTGACTGTTGGATGGGTATCGAGGGGGAGAGACGCAGGAGGGAAGGGAGAGACGTCGACATACGGAAGGCCTAACACTAACCAGGCGGCCTCCTCAGATGTCGAAACGGGGAGATATGTAAGAAAACATGGGAGGAAGAAAAGAACGGAGAGTATCCTTATCGAGCTCGACAGTGTGTTCCGGGTGTCGGAGAGCAGTTCGTTACATTCGTGAAACCGGTAGCGGTTCAGAGTCGGAGAGATGGAGGACACTCTAAGCATGGAAGGTGCCCATGTTGGGCGGGTTCTGTTGTTGATACATTTGGTACATGTACGCCTGGTAGACGTGGGGCGGAACGGACTGCGGGCCCATGCCGTTGTATTGCGGCTGGTTCATGTTCATCATGTTCGCGGCCTGCGAGAGGCTGGGGGACTGCGCGCCGTACGGGATCGGCGAGGGCGCCTGGGCGGGAGGCATGCCACCATTGTTGCGACGAGGGCCGTTGTTCCTGGGAGTCGACGCGTCCGGGGTCCTGGCGGCGTTAAATGGGTTGAACGGGTCCGAGTTAGGGGAGAAGGCGGACGGCGGGTTGGAGCGACCGCCGCGGCCTCCGCCCTGGACAGGACCACCGTTCTGGTTGAATCCTGGGTCGATCTGAAGACGAGGAGGGCCCGAGGCGGCGTTCTGGCCACCCATCTGGAGCGCAGCCATCATGGACTGGAGGCCTTGATCGCTCGACGGATAACCCGCGGGGAGACCCGGCATCCCGAACTGGTTCTGCTGGTTGTACTTGGACTTGCCGCTCGGCTGCGGGATGTTCGTGTACGTCGGCTGCAGGTTGGGAACGGGCAGGCCGACCTCCTCGATGAGACGACGGTACGCCTGGGTGGCGATCACCTTGAGCTCGATGAGGACGCGTTTGGTGGCCTCGACGAAGCTAGGACGCTGAACAGGATCCACGAAGGGGCTGGTGAGGATCTTGTGGACCACCGCGACACCGTTGACCTGATCGCCCAACACGTCGGTGAGGACATGGTCTCCCGGGGAGTTGAACAGTGCTTCGACGATCTGCTTAGACGCCTCGGACTCCACCTTCTGGTTGACGATGCGGAGGACCGTCAACGACGCAAGCTTGTGCGTGCACAGATGGGACAGGTGGGGCGTGAAGCGAGGCGCGAGGAGGTTGTACCGCGAAGGGAAGCTCGAAGTATCGAGGAGCCAGGTGAGCAAAAGCGCGCCGTTGGGGTTGGTGGCAAGCGGGATGCTGTTGAGAATGATCGCGGTGGCGATGCGGCGCTGCTGGTTGAGGGTGATGTGTGAGCTCTCCAAACAAGCCCTCATGCTGCGAGCGCCAAAGCGACCCTGAGCGATCTCCCAAAGACGGTCCACCATGGCATCGAACAAGAAGTCAGTTGCCGGAGCGCCGAAACGGAGGCAACACCTGGAATTGCATAGGTCACCGTTTGTTCAGCTGGGCAAGACAAAGGAACTACGTACTGCACAACGTAGTTCCCGAATTGATCCAGAAGCAGAGGCGGGACGTAGGAACGGAGGTTGGCCGTAACAAGCGCGACTTCGTCAGGCGTCTGGACGCACTCGATGATCTTCTGGGCAGCCCAGGTACCATTCTTGTGAATGCCGATCATGGCGAGGTGCGGCGCGATGCGTTCAAGCATCGCAAGCCTGGGTACAGGAGAGCACTTCTCGAACAGCTTCTGAACGACCTGTGGGCGCATGTTGTGGGTGAGCGCGGGAATGGATCGTCAGGTCTATCATGACATACCGTGTTTCCGAGCCAATCGGACGCTAGATCGACAATCTCGCCGTCAAGGAAGTCCGCCGCAACGTTGTCGATCTCCTCGGTCGTGATTGTACTAGTGTCGAGCCTCTTCCTGAGCTCGCGCAGCTTAGACGCATCCCAGCGTCTGTTGTGGGGTCTCTCAGAGACAAGCGGAATAGTAGTATAGTACATAGTTGGGGGGCGGAACTCTGGAAAGACCGTTAGAATAGCGACAAGGAGATCAACAAGACTGCGCACCTGTAAGAGCCTGAATATCGGCTTCAGCGTCGGGGCTACCGCCACTGAGCTCCTTCATGATCATCTGCTGCTCCGTCACAGAGGGGCTCCATCCTCCAGGCTTGCTGACACCGTCGTAGCCAGCGTGCGCGCCCGAGGCGATCATGCTCAAGAGCAGGTTCGACCGGTAGTTCTCCAGAGACCCGCTGAGCACTTGCTGATCCACAGGGATGGTGGACGCGCCCTTGATAGTGCGGAGGGCATGGATAGTAGCACCCACGCTGAGATCGCCGACACCCTGCACGCTGACGTTGGTCACCTCCTCCTGACCGCCGCTGGCGTCCTGGCCGTTCTTGACGGGCACCTTGGCGAAGCCGATGCGGATAGCTCCGACGTCACTACCGAGGACGTCGCGACCGTTGAGGGCCTTGCGAGCCCGAACGGCGTCATCGAGGCGCTCGAAATTGACTGGACAAAGGAAGCTTATCAGCTCCGCCGATCTAAACCAATATAAGCATCCACGTACTGAACCCGCAGTTCTTGTGAGTGAGCACGCGCGCCGACTCGATGGGCCCGTAGGGGCTGAACACGCTGAGAATGGTAGCTGGCGTCGTGGTCGAAGGAATTGAGCCGATCCAGAGCGCGCGGGTCGGGGTCGACTGCAGCTGCGCATCCATACCCGAAAGCCCGGCGTTGTTGCTTCCGCCCTTGCCCATAACGCCACCGGGGGACGTTGCGACAGGGCTGTTGAGGTTAGCGCCCTTCGCGGGAGCGACTGGTGCGCTGTCCGCCTTCCCAAACCCGATCCTGACCGTCTGACCGTTGGGCATACCGATGTCTCCACCAAGGCGATTGAGGACGTCATCTTTGGCGCGGATAGCATCCGCTTGGTCGACGAAGTTCACGAAGCCACACTCCTATAACCGCAGCACAGACTGATGTTAGTCCTACATCGGGACAGCAACTGGACTCTACTGACCTTTTCGGGGAGCAACCTGAGGGACTCGATGGCGCCGTAAGGAGCGAACACGTGGATGAGCTGCTCGCTCGTGAACGAGCTGTCGAGGTTGCCGATCCACAGGGAACGCGTCGGCGTCTGCATCTGCGTCGACGCATTTTCCGTTTTGGGCGACACCGCACGGGTCTGGTTCGAGCTGGGAGCGATGAGGTATGCGGATGCGCGGCTTGCAGGCGGCTCGGCATTTGGGAAGTGCACGCTCGCCGCGAGGCCGTTGCGGGGCGGCGCAGCCTTCTCGGAGCGCAGAATCCCCGCGGGTCCCATGGTCGACGACCCAAGGCCGGCGTGCATGGACATGTCCATCCCAAGCGACGTCTGAAGTTCTCCCATCCCGGGACGGCGGAGCCTGGAGGTGTCGTCGAGGTTACCCACCGAGATGGCGCGGGGGCGAGTGGCGAGGCCAACGCCGAGATGGTCGGACTGCTTGAAGCCCTGGGCTACGTAGTTCGCAGAGAGGTAGTTGCCGTCGGTGTTGCCGTACGTGTCCATGCCCTGGCTCCCGCTGTACATCTCGTTCTCGTACATCTCCTCCTCTTCTTCAGCACTGGGGGCAGCCAAGAGCGCGGCAGAGGGGCGGAGGTGGTAGGGATTCGACACCGTGCTCGCACGCATACGCGCGGGGTTGTTCAAGTTGACCTGGATCGCCGCCTGGGCCTGGTTGCGGAGTTCCGAGAGCGTCGCCGCGGGGGGATGGTGACGTACCCCGTCGTCGAGCCCGAGGTAGTCGAGCGTGTGCACGTCGAAATCCTCGTCCATCGATGCCACCGACCGGAGGTCGTCGAGCATCTGGAGTCCATTCCCGCCATTCCTTGAAGACAGCCACGAGGACGAAAAGATGGACGGACCAAACGCGTTCGAAAGCCCCCCAGTGGGTAGGGTGAGCGAGCCCGACCTGAGGCGACTGTTGCGTTCCGTGAGCGCCGATGAAGCGACAGACGAAGCGACAGAGGCCGAGTGACGTAAACCAGGCCGCACGGGGGCAGGAGCCGCTGACGTGGTGGGTGTCGTGAGGTCGCGCGGTGAAATGAGCTGGTCGGTGAAGGAGTCGGTCGAACCTGGGGTGCTACCAAGAGTGCTGGAGGCGGCGGCGAAGCGTTGAGCGGCGAGCTGGACGTTGGAGGGGAGGGTGCCTGCCCTGGCCCTACGGAACCCCGGGGGGAAGTTGGTGGGCGGCAAGGTCGAGCTATCGGCGGGGGAGTTTGCGGAGGGGGGGAGCTCGTTAGGAGGGGAACCGCCAGAGGCTAGGGCGCGCAGCGCGGGAGGCCTGTATCTCGCACCAAGACCCTGCTCTGCCTCGAGTTCTCTGGCGCTGCAGGAACGCGGAGTGTCAGGCTAGGGGGATCGCGGAATCCGGGGAGGCGGGGATGAGGAAAGAGACGCACCGTTTGGCATAGGCAGCAGAGGGGGCTGGGGGAGGCGTCTTGCCAGACGAGACGCGGGAGAAGGCGTTGTCGTTGGCGGAGAGGGACATGAGCTGTAAGATGTTGGATTAGGAATTACTTGATGTTTTGAGGGGGGCCAGAGCGGAGTGCGCGAGAGCAAGCAAGAAGCGGAGAGGGGTAAAAGTAGCAGGAGGAGTCCGATGGGTAACTATGAGCAGGTGGCGGGGCTAGGGTCGTAATAGGGCTTGAAGAAACCAATTTTGGGGGCGAGAAGAGAAGGGGACTGCCCAGGACTACTACAGTAGGGTGGACTCCAGTAAATAGTAGAGGACTAAGTAGGATGAAGGACGTCGTTGGGACCAGAGCCGCGCTAGAGGAGCGTGCCCTCGCCCGCCCCTCAAATCTGCCGCAGAGGCGCCCGTGCTCCTTTGCCAGCACGGCGCCCGCGGGCCCGGCACCCACATCCCTTCCCACTCCTGCGCCCCTCTCTCTCCGCACGCGCCTGGGCGGGACAAACACTATGATTCCGTGCGGCTCAGCATACAGCACTACGGGGTTCTACGCTACGGACTATACGGGCATATCGCATACTGCACATCCGGTCCCCTGTTCTCCGTCCGCCACGCCCCCCGCCCCCCGCCGCGGATCCCAATCGATCCCTCGCACAGCGCGGGGGTCCACCCGGATCCTGACCGCGATTGGCCGCCCATCACTATCGTAGAGAGGAAAGGCTCCGGTGATCTGATGTGCAGAGGAAGGCTGCTCGACATCAACAAAAAGCATCCGCGCGGCAGTCAAGCCACCCGGCGGAGACAGGGGTCAGGTGTGTACAACGTAAAGGTGCAAGATCAGGAGTGGGGTCGTACTGTACAATTCTACGAGCAGGCGTTATCGAACATGAATGCAATAAGTTTAGAAGATGAACAATGGCAACCTCGGGAAGGTCGATGTGAATGATGGGCGTCGTCGAAGCAAGGGGCGTGCGATGGGGGTCCGATGGCCATCACGAAAGCGACGTACGAGATCCTCTCTTGCTCGTCCGCGTGCGCGACCGAGTGGAAACATGGGCTACGCGCTTGGATCGCCGGAGGGGCTGCTCCTGCCCGTTGTGGCCTTCGCCTGGTGGGCAGGGAGATGTCAGGGTCCCGTCTGCTCGGTTGTCTGCGGCGAGGGTCACAACGCAGGCGTTCGCATCCCACTCTGCTGCCGCGCAAAGGGCGTGGAACATCTCTTCCTCCGATGGGCTGAGCGGGGCTTCCACTATTGCAGGCATGTCCTCCGTCGTGGGTCGGTGCGCATCGAGTACGGTGGTTGGGAAATTGAACGACGGGTGTGTGGTGAGATGGTCGTCCCACGGGGCTTCGTATTCCCGCGGGGGCAGCTCTAACCGGTGAGAAGACATGCTCAAACGCCGTGCGTCTGACGCCGACTTGAACTGGTGACCAAAGGTGGGGCAGGTGGTCGCCCGACTGGCAACCGGACAAAGAGTCACGACGGTGCGGGGAACATTGATCGTAGGTCGTCTGACAAGAAACCTTTGAGTGACGGTTCGTCCTTGGCGAGCTCCCGAGCCAGTGCAAGAGGGACCCAAGTGCCACAAACGAGCGGTGACCCGACGGATATCGTGACCGCTTCGGCGGTTGAGAACGAAGTGAGGCGCTCAGCGATTGGAGACAGGTTCACGAAATCCGAGTCAACGCGTCGCAGAAGCGTCGAGCCACCGAGCACGGTTTGATACACCGCGACGCCTGCGAGGGATTCCGATCAGGACGTTATATATGATACAAAATATGCAAAGTATTCACCTTCAAGTTCGACAACGCAGATCGGCGGATAGATCGGCTGTATAGGGTGTATTACGACAGAACCTTCGGTCGCGGGGAGGGAAGAACAGTCGGCGGAGGATAGAGTAGTAGGATATCGAGAGAGGGGGGTGGTCGAAGTCGCCTGGATGCTGAGTGAGGTGAGGGAGGCAAGAAGTGTGGGCGAGGTGATCGACAGGTTCCTTTCTTGGACAAGGCCCGAGGGCATCTCGAGAGCAAGGGGAGTTCGTGGGAAGATGGGAGATGTTGGCGGGGAAGTTGCAGGCACAATGGATGGTCCTGGGGAAGGCGAGTGTACCCGTTCTTCAGGAGAAGTGGCACGTACACCACGATACTCGCGCCATGCGCCTGCATCGAGGTCGTGAAGTTGAACGCTATCCGGGCCCAAGATCTCCACGTTGCGCCATTGCATATCATGGGTCATGTCGCCGCCGTATATATGAATGGGGCGCTCCTCAATCGGGGACTCGCAAGGGTCGAAAGACATGGCGGGGGAGAGCGCCTCTGGAGGTGGCGTTGATTCGGTGTCGGTGAAAAACAGTCTGGGCTCGACCTCTTCTTGCTTAATGTAGACTGAATCGCCAGGTTGCATGCTCGGCCACGCCCATGCGTCCATGTCACATGAGCTCGACTGCTCCGCTTGACGCTCGGCTGCGGCGGCCTGGGCCACGACGTCGATAACCTTGAGATGGTTGGCCTTGTTATCGAGGTCTTCCCATGCATCCAGGAGCCCGCGCACGTCCGTAGGCTCTTCCTTGACCACGACATCGTCCTCCAACTGTACTGAGGGGGAGCGAGGACCAGGGCTCTCCCACTGAGTTTCCGCGTCAAAGTCGATGTCGCCGAAGAAGCCGTCTTCGGAAGCGGATTCAGCGTCATCGAAGGGCGTGTGTGCGCGACTGAGAGAGCGCCTTCTGATACCAGTCATCGTGATATGGAAGTCCTCGTCCTCTGCTTCTGAGTCCGGTGGCGTGGAAACTGACAACGCGCTGCGTGACACGGACGACGAGCGTCGGTAGGGTGTGTGGTGCGTGTGGGGGGAGCAGGGCGGGAGGCCGGGGAGCGAGCGTGCTGCGTCGGGGACGATGTAGGGCGCGGCAGTGACCGGGGAGGGGGAAGCCGAGCTGGAGTCGTCGGCATCCGAGTCAACAGACATCGAGCTGTCCGAGTCGTCGGATTGAACGTCGTGATCCTCGTCACCCGACGACTCAAGTGCCGCCGGGGGGAGGCTGGCCAGGCGGCTCTCAGAGCGGGCAGAGTCGGACGCGCCCGAAGGCTTGAGTCGGAGGGTGAGCCTGAGCCTGGCCATCGGCCTCTTCTCTTCTTCGTCCGAGCTGTCGGTTTCTGACTCCGACGGATGGTCCGCGCACGAGCGCAAGAGCCGCTTTCGCTTTTGGCCAGCCGTCTGTGCTGCTTTGCGCATCCTGTCCCGCTCGCGTTTCTTCTCCCGGCCCGGGTTGATTGGCATTCCAATCTTCCCGTTCTCGTTGTAGTCGCAGAGTCGAATGCCCGCTCGGGAGAAGGGGCACGGTGCGCCGGCGGCCTTGCTCAAATACCAGACCATGGTGCCGCGCCGGAAGTTCGTCAGTCTGCCTTCGCCCTCTGGGTGAGTGCAGTGAGCGCCTCCCACTCGCGAATAGAGCGCGGCGACGAGGTCGTCATCCGCGGCCGTTCCTGACATCACATGGCGAAGGAGCAAAGGCTGGTCCTGCTGCACTTCACATCGTTGCAGGTGGTTCCGGATGAACGTCGTAATGGCTTGACCTGCCGCGGAGAGGCTAAAGTTTGATGCGCATTCAGAATTAGTCCGAGCGCTAGAGCATAACTACGCACTTCTGGCAATTCAGCCCGCACTTCATGCTCATCTCCGACAAGTCCTTCACCGTCATGGCGCGATTGTCCTGGACGCAGGATGGGGTGTGGGCGAGTGAACTAAGCGGGGAAGACAAGGCGACTTACGACTGACACCAATGCGCGTCCCATGGCAAGAAAGACCTTGCTGCCCGCGTCGTCGGCGTGCAATACGACATGGGGCGGGGGGAAGGGAGGGAGTACGGGCTGGGACGCGCCCAGCGGGAGGGGGAATGCGTTCTGCTTGAGCTTGGTGGACTGGGCGGGCTTGAGGCGGCGGAGAGACGGGGCGGAGTCGGGGGAGTGGCGGAGGCGGATGGAGGGTCTGATGCCGGTGTTGGATCGAGTGCGTGTTTCATACGAATGCGGGGTGGACACAAGCTGGGACGGCGGCGGGATGACGGGGGAGAGCATGGAGAGGGCGGGCGGGCATTAATGGATGGATTGGAGTAGACGTCGGCCAGCGATTCGGAGACGAGGGCGGGGTTAGGAGGAGGGTGGGGGACGAGGTGGTGGGGAGTTGGAGAGAAAGGAAGAGGACGCGCTTCTGAGACCCTAACGGTTACGCTCCCAGGCGTGCCTAATTCGAGCTAGCCTTTGATGGCCGCAGCTCCGATCTAGATGACGCAACCCAAAGCGTCCGTCCCACCCAGGACGCCCGCTCGACTGCCCGCGCGCATCCCCCGCCTCGCGCGACAACGCCCTCGACCCGCCCCCGTCTGCGCCCCCGGCCCTCTACCCAGACCCTGTCCAGGGCGCGCGGCGGCCCGTGCGCGGCAGCCTGTCCAAGAAGCATCATCACCGTCTTATGTCACCTTCCCACCTGCCCTGGGTTCTCGCACCACCCCACTTGGCACACCCCGGACATCCCCTCGCCTCGCCAGCGCGCCGCGTGCTATCCGAGGCGCGCGCGCTCCTGTGCAGACAAAGGGCCCCAAGACGCCCCTCGGCAGCCTGCGTGCCTCGGACCCTCACGTTTTGAGAGCCCCCGCGCCTCCGCCGCCGATAACGCGTCCCCCATCCTGCAAGCCCCCGCCCAGCCCCGCCCGTGCCCTCGAGACGAACCTCCACCCGCCATCGCCATCTCGACCGTTCTCTGCGTCCTCCGCGCTGCCCGTGATGGGGCCCTCGGAAGGCTCCGGGTACGAACGAATACCCAGAATGGAGCGCTCACCGGAACGGGTGCCTCAGCCCGCGCGTGCGCATGTCTCCGGACCCAGTAGCGCCGAGGCCCCACTGCCCGTCGCAGCGATCGTCGATCCAGGCAGCCACACAGGTTCATACTGTACGCCGGCGGCACACGGCCCGCGCACAATGACCACCGTTGCGCCTCCTCCGTCCGGGGCGATCGCTCCTGTATGCGCCTGCTCATTGCGATGTGGAGGTGGCACACTCACCTCGTCCTCGTCCGCACCCCTCGCCGTGGCTGACAGGTTTTCGAGCAATCGGTGCACGCGTACAGACGATGATCGTTCTTGCCCTGTTTGCCGAACTGTCGACTCGGTACTCGTCCAAAGCGTATGGCGCAAATGACAGTCGCGCCTCCGCATTATCGGCTGCCGAGCTCCACGCACTATTTCCGAGGTCGCAGCGTCAAGGGGGATTCAATGGCTATCTCTACTGACGCACCATAATCTATAGAGTTCTCTTGCCCGTGTCCAGCCACCGCCGTGAGGTACGGTATAGAACCTCGTTATCTGTCAGGGCGTCTTTAGTGACTTTCAAACGCTCTTGAAAGCATCGAATCATAGGCATATGGGAGTAATGGAGCATTGTCACCCATCCTGCTAGGCGACCTATCCGTGTCAGCGCAATAATGAGACGATCGCATAGGCAGTTACTTTGGGGAATGTTATCAACGATCATAGAACTGTAATAGACGTAGTTGGGAGGACAGAGGCGAGACATTTCGCATCTTCAGATGAAGATGAAAGACTTCAAGACCAGGACCAAACTGAAATCCTTTAAGCCAGTTGCGTCAAAAGTCATCAGCGCCATCCTCATCGCTGAGTTCACGTGACAAATCATGTGATCAGTACACGCCTCACTTACGCGTCTGTGGTGGCACTCTATTGCTCCGCAATTACGACTACAATTCATAAGTACTCGACGAGCCCATCAATAGTGAACTACTGTCACAAAAGCTTGACATTCCAACACAGGATCAGATTCGTGAGGTATAGACACAAGGTACGATAGAGAATGCGGGTACTACTACACAGAGCGGACAGGAACTTGAACCGACACTCGAGAGCCAATAATGTATACGCGAAGAAACTGAGGAGCATCATCACACGGCAGCCTGGATGAATCCGTTAGACTGAATCGTTCGCTGCAACTACTTCATGACAAACCTTCTTCGCTCGTGGTTTGGCTGTCGCTTTTGCCTTGGGCACAGCTGTCTTGGCCTTCGACGTCTTTGCCGCCTTCGCGGTCGCAGTCTTTGCAGCAACAGTCTTCTGAAATAAGACTCGGAGAAATGTTCGCAGGAATGAGGATGTACACACCTTCTCCACTGTCTTCACGGTGCTCGTCTTCTTCGTTGTCGCAGCCTTGGCCTTCGCCGTCTTTGCAGGCGCCTTCTTCACAGCAGGAGTGGCCTTCTTCGCCGCAGCAGGCTTCTTGACAGGAGCAGCTTTGGCGGGAGCGGCCTTGACAGGAGCAGGGCTCTCGTTCTGCAGACATGTTAAACCAGCTCAGAGGCGCACGGGACACACACGTACTTCGTTAGTAGGCTTGTTCTTGGGCGCAAGCTTGACCTTGCCCGAGGCACCCTTGGGGAGGGCGAAGGTCTTGTCCTCGACACCGCTGGAAATGGCACGCTTGAGGTGCGAGAGGTTGGGGGTGAGGGACATGTCGAGGTGGTAGTGGTCCGCAATGTACTACATGGAGGGACCGTGAGGCTTCGTCCGACCACCCCATTAAATATGCTTACCTTCTTGATAGTTGAGCGCGAGACACCGCTGCGCTCCTTCGTCTCAACGATGCACTCCTACAAGGCTGTGAGCAAGATTCTATAGAGGCACGTCAAACTCACCTTGATCATGTCCTTCCACGACGGGTGGGCCTTGCCATCGTCAACCGCAGCGGCCTTAGCCTTCTTACCAGGTGCGATAGCAGCACCAACCTTCGGCTTCTTGATGCCAACGGGCTTAGCCTTGATAGTCTTCTCCTTCGTAGCGCGGGAAGACCTCGGCCTGTCGGCTGCAGCGGACTTCGGCTTGTCGGCTGTAGCAGACTTAGGCTTGTCCGACGTGGACTTAGGCTTGTCTGAAGCAGTGGACCTCGGGGCAGTAGCCATTGGAGATAGTTGAGAGGGGTGGATGGATGTGAGACTATGGGAAGTGGGTAGGGGAGGGACGGGCGTTTGGTCGGAGCACAAGAGGACACTAGAGGTCAGGAGACAGATACTCGGGGGAAATGGTGGGGAGACCATCCAAACCGTGCCTTCTTATAAGAACGCGCGCGAAACGAGTCACGTGTGTCGCAGACGCGTTTGTTTAACGCAAACCTTATTCACTCTAGACGCGTCTGGCGATCAAGCGCCGTGTCCACGGTACCTTGCGCACCGCCCCGTGCTCTCTCTCCCCTCCCAGGTCCATGGGTGACGGCTCGAGCATTGCTGTGGTATTGTGGTCGCTCTTCAGTATGTTAGGCAGATTCAGGCTCGCATGTACACGGCACGACAGTCTATTACTCGCACAATAGTCACTCTTCAGTGACTGCAAATGTACCTAGATCTCGCAGAATGAAGACGGTCTCTTCTACCCGCGCCTCTAGTACTGTTAGTTTCTCCCTGCCCTCTCCCACTGACTCAACATCTCTCGCTCGTTCCGCGTCAGCAACCTCTCCTCGTCCTGACTAACATCGCTTCGTTGCCTCTTCTCTAGCACCGACTTCAATACCGGCTCGTCCTCCTCGCCTTCCCTTCGTGCGGCGATGTTGTAGAGAACTTTGTACATGTTGCCGAGCAGTACATTGTATGCTTTTTGTAGGTCAACGGTCCTGTACAATGGAAGGTAAGCGCTATGGTAACGATCTCCGATACCAGTGAATTACCAGAGATAGAACATGCGAGTTGGATTGCGGTCCGCACTCTTGGGTACTTCTTGCAAGCTGACAAGACATTCGGCTGACATCAAGGCAAGGAGTGGTCTGACATCCTTTGGAGCCATCATGCCAACTTTGGATATCTGCAGTGGTTTGAACAAAATTGCCTGTGGCTTACGACAGACGGAGGACAAACCTGTTTCTCGTCCATCATGCCTGTGTCCAACAAAAGCCGGATGATGCGCACGCCCTCGTCGCCGTGCCGTTCTCGTGCAACAGCTTCCAGAACCCGTCGTCGTAGCCTGCGAGCAATGATCTCGAACTCGACTTGAACTTTCGAGCCGTTCATCGAGACGAATGAAGCAGAACGACCTGAGACTGTGGGGTTGTCGGCGGACGCAAGGATCCCAAGGTACTCCTTGAGAAGCGTCATCGTAGGTGGCGTTTTGGACGACTGTAATACGAGGCCAGCTGACAAATCAACGTCATCCGGTAGATGCATGGAAATATTGCCCAAAGATGTTGGATCTAGAGAGGATCTTAGATCTCAACTGGGGCGATGGATACAATCATCCTCACCAGATCGTATATCAGACAGCTTGCGCTGTTTTGACTCGGTCGCCTTAAGCGTTGCGCGAAGAACCAGTCCGGCCGACTGGTTATATCGCTCGGTGGCAGTAGACTCAAAGAGCTGTACTTATGTTATCACATGCGCGTCGGTAAGGGGAACGAAGACGCACTCTGTTGCGTATATGAACGTTAAACCGCTCACAATTGACGCGAAAATAGACACCATCCTGTATTCGAAAACTGTTGGCGCAGTGTTGGGATCACAACATAAATGGCTTACATCCACTTCCATATCCTCTTCAAGAGGTTTGCGCTAACAAACCACCACCAGTTGTTAGATATTGACGGGGCTCATGGTCGACGATCCCAACCTTGGATAGCTTTGATGATCGTTCTCTGACTTTGGGTCTCTATGACCTGAGCTTAGTTTGAGTACAAGTGCAAAACCAGTGAACGTACCATTCCTCCTTGCTCCGCTTCCTCCTCCTCTCTTTTCAGACGAGCTTGGGCAACCTCCTTCGCTTGCCGTATCTCTTTGGCTGTCGGGAAACCAGAGATTTTGCGCTTCTCCTCTGCCTCGTACCGGATTCGCTTGTCACGGGGAGACAGATGTGATAGCATGGTTGACGGCTTCAGGTATCCTGTCTCTAACAGCTTGTGAAAAGTCTGAGATAATAGGGGAGGGCCTACAGGATCACTTCATATTGGCGACGACGAGTGATATTATACAGCACGGACCTTTGAAAGGGTCGTACACTGATAGTCGTGACAGTATGTCTGGGGGCCGCAATTTCCCGTGGTCCAAGACCAGCTGCACAATGTCTGCGCCCTTGTGCAGGATAAGCTTATGCCTTGCACGAGGAGAAAGTCACGCACCGATCTACCATACAGTTGATCCGCCAACCAGACATATTTCCCGTACCGCAACCTCATCAAGCACTCGTCGACGTTGACTTCAAACACCTCGCCTTCTTCGTCAGATTGAGCATGCCATAATAAATTATGTTGTACGAGGACAAGAATTGAGGCGCGAGCGAGACGCGGCTTGACTTTTGTGATTCGTAGTACCTGGGGAAAAGAAAGCCGTCCATGTGTGAGGAGGGCAGAAGTGATTGACTGCAAACAACTGAACCTGAGTGCATGCGGAACTCTCATAATTTGAGAACATACCGCGGTAATGGGCCCAAAGCTGGAGCGCACGATTTGGGTGCAGAGACGAGCGGTGTCAACATCCGCCATGGCAAAACACTACGAGGCGGGACGCAGGATGCTAACGCATGGGCGAGGAGCGAAATGGACTCGGAGAGAGAGACCGTTTGCGCGCAGAGCATGGTGGCGCCGGCTCGCCACTCCGAGTCGAGCAGTCTTTTTCGCCGTGCCGGCGGTCCTGCCCTGAAGCTCCGCCCCGTCTCCACCACGCCTCTCTATACCTGCAGTGGTAACCCCAATCCTCTTACTCCCCAATCAGTCCCTCCCCTTTCGTCCTGTTGTCGAGCCTCACATGACGACTACACTTACAGAAGTATATGACGCCCCCATGGCTGACTCAGGCGACGTAGACATCTCCATGTTCCACGGCATCGTGCCCTCCGACTCGTGGCTTTCCGTGGAAGCAAGCATGGGCGAAGACATCCTTGTCGCCGATGCTCCTACGTTTGTCTACACCTCAGGGGACGTCGAAGTCGATATGGATGATGACGAACCGATCACCGAGTACGAAATGGCCGACGAGGGTGACCTCTACGACAACGCCGAAATCCAGGATATCGAAGTATACGACGCCTCTCAAGCCCCATCGCCCCTTTCTATGGAACACCATCCAGTCATTTCAGACACAGCCTCCTTCTCCATGCGCATGCCTTCCTCAGATGGTCTCGAAATTTTCGAACAGCAAAGCCCTAGCATCTCTGCTCAGACAACCTCTCAGCCTTCGGGAGCAGAATTGGGCACCTCTTTCGTTCACCCTGAAGAACTTCCTCTGCCTTCGGTAGACTTTCCCTCATATACGGTAGAACCCCAACCGCCCGTCACTACGGAGAATACAGCTTTCGGCGGGGATGTGCTCGCCGAGCCCGAATCCGGCGTAGGCGACGCGGTGCCAACAGTCCTTGAATATACTTCTCCTCAATACGAACCCCTCGACGCTCTCCCCGCTCACCAAGGCAGTATTATGGAAAGCACCTCTGGCTACACGGAGGTCGGAGTGGCAGCAGAGGCGGTGGCTGCAGAGATCACAGAGCTTCGCCATTCGACCCCAGACTTCCCGCAACATGACGACTCGGATGGAGCTGCGGCTGAAGCCTCACAAGATGCCACTGAAGTCTCTGCTCCATTCGAGGCGAACGACCCTCATGAGATTTCCGAAGGCGTGTGGATCGATCCTCCACCCGCGGTTCTCCTCTCATTGCCTCCGTCTGCACCTCACCCTGAATACACCTTGTTCAACTTGCCAACTTCGGACGTTTCGAACAGTCCCTCGGGGAGCAACCAACCCGATCCAGGGTTCGCACTGCCCCTTCTGTTACAAGAACACCCCACCTTGTATTATGAACCGCTCTCTGTAGTATTCGCGGCTTTGAGACAGCAGCAGATCATTCAAGAGTTGCAACAGTTCCACGAAGCTGAGCTTGTCCTCGATGCTTACGATCTCCAGCTGTGCATATCTGAGGTATGTGCTGGTATATTGGTGTTCCACATATTCAGACACGCTGACACAATTCCATGCCTCAGGACAATGTTTACACGCACGAAGTCACTCTTCATGAGCTGAACGTGCTGCATGACGGCTCCGACCTGCGGGGGCCCCTGAGGCTTAGACTTAGGTTGTCTGTTCCGCGCTTCGCCACGCGGTACAATACTCTTCGAGAACAGATTGCCCGACTGAACGTCGCCGAAGAAGCAGAGCAAGCACATGCGGACGACGGCGAACGGCTTCCATCGGTGCAGGGTGGTGTCTGCGCACCTGTTTTGAGCTGAGGCTAATGCTATTTATAGATGCCGACGAAACGGTTCGTGACAGAGGCGAGGCGGTGTTCGACGGTGTCGCGGATCAAGACGCACTCGATGCTCTTGCTGTCTCTACAGATCATGAGCATTTTGAGTCGGAAGCTGGCACTCACGCCGAACTCACCAAGCCATCGGCCGAGCATGAAGACGTCACACGCACTGACGCAGCAGGTGAACGTGAAGATGCTGCAGCAGAGGACGACATTCGAACGGTAGGCGAGGGTGCTGTCAACGGGACCTACGCCGAAGAAGACGTAGGCGACGCGGTTGGGGTAACGGAAGCAAAGGTGGAAGAGGGTGCGATTGCAGCGAGCGTAGAGGAGTCGGAGAGAACAGATGTTGAGGAGGGGAGTGCTGAAGACGCAGACGGCCATGACGCGCTATATGAAGGGGACGAAGACACTCTCGATGCCGACCAGGTTCATGAGCCAGCCGTTGAAGAGGCTGGCAACGAAGAAGCCGGCGAGTACATCGAACATGAGAGCTATCCCGATGATGAAGAGGAGGGCTTTGGAGAAGATTTCTCTTCAGAGAATGGTCGTCCCCACGAGATGCCGGACAACACTGCTGGTGAGGAAGGGATTTATGCAGATGACCTCGCATTTGGGGACAGCCATGAGGCGGCCGATGCTGGTAAGTCTTATAAACGGTTCGCATTCCTTGGCTGACGGGTTCCTAGATGGCGACGGTTTGATTGTCGAAGAACATACTGATACTGTTAAAATGTCCAACAGTGTCCGAGGTATGCCGGTTGTTATTGGATATCCATCGACGAGTTAGCTCACAGTTTCCGCAGGGACGCTCGATGGTTCCGACGATCAACAAACTCCAGCTTCAAGTAAGTATATCTACGTGCACGCATCTACTTCCCAATCTCATCAAGGGTCTTTAGGTGCCTCGGCTCAACAGTTGCCAGTCTCGACAGAGCCCGATGATTACGACGAATTCGAGGAAGACGATGAAGCTTCCACTGAACAACGCTCGCTCGAGGATTCAGACACTCTCTCGCGAAAAAGTTCTTCCGCGACGCTGTCCAGTAAAACCTCCAAGAGAGCATACGAAGAGGTGGAATTACATGATTTCGGCGAGGGTGATGCAGACGCTCAACATGAATTGCCCGGTACGTATTCATTGAACTTTTCGCGCTCCCTGTGGGCTTACGCATCTCACAGACCCCAAGCGTGCTCGCATCGAATGATCTCGCTCACCCACTGGGGGGTGACTCTCCACAGACCCCTGCAATGTATCGGCTGGAGGCAGCCGTCTTTCACCCGCCTCTCGAGTCTTCGTTCGGTTCCAGAAGTACAACATGGTCAAGTACGCTTGCAACGGTAGTATCTTTTTCACTCAAGCGTCACGGATCCGCAATTCAGCTCGTTCGGTTTGTTCAACTCCATTGTATACTAACATTCGCAGGTGTGCAAGTATGCGTCATTCCTTCGGGAGATTGGGGCCGGGCGTGGTTTCGAAAGGCAAGGTGTTGTTGAGTCCGACTCTTGACATCCGCACGCTTCAGACACGGACGAGAACTACAGTAGCCGATCTGTTTAATGATCTGTGTGCATTCCTGTAACTTCGCATTCTTATAATTTCGGGTGCTCTCCTCCAACTTGGTCTGTCGTCAGTGTATTGTGCCTAGTATATACAACTTTATCAGAAATCCGGCCCGTCATTCTTTCCGTCGCATGGATCCATCCAATGATCTCCTGTATCTGACCCGCCATGTACATGGCACTCTGGCTCAGGCCTTAGTGGCAGAGGGCGCCGACACCTTGAAGGTGCCATTAGGTGCAACGATCGCACGCTCGCTCGTGAACCTCCATCCCCTGAGCTCGTCTGGCGTCGCTTCCTCCTCCGCTACGTCTACCGACAGTGGGCGACCGACAGTGGGGCCGCGGACGTAGAGTGCACCCACGGGGTCAGCGCCGCCTTCCACGGCGTTGTCATCGACGCCAGTAAGCTTCGCCTCGACGTTGACGGACGGCGGACCGACGGGGGCGAGGTAGGTGAAGGCATAGGCGTCAGCGGCTGAGCCTGCGGGAGACGCAGGAGACGTAGGCGGGAAAGTCTGGAGGTCGAGCGCGTGGCTGGCGAGGACGGGGCCGGCGACGAGCGGGTGGACGTGTGCGTAGATAACGGGGACCGACAGCGCGACACGGGCGGGCGTGAGAGCTTGTGCGTCCAGAAGACCTGAGGGTGGAAGCAGTGGAGGGTCAGTGCTGGATGCAAGGGGATCGTACAGGAGACGCACCTCCGCTCACGACGACAGTACGAACGGTGCCTGCACCCTTGCCCATGACCTTGACACGAGCGCCATCGAACACGAGACGGTCCCAGAGGCTCTGCTTCGTCATGTAGCCTTCGAGAATCCCGGCGAGCTTGTGGCGCCAGGCGATGTTGTATAACAGCCACGATGAGGCGCGGGCGTTCTGCAAGATGGTGTCGCTGAGGCTAGTTATGTGGTCCGGGCGTATGAACAAGAGCGTCGGGGAGGATGTTTGGTGGGCGGCGGACGTGCGGAGATCCTTGAGCCCGGAAGGAACAGGAGCTGCAGCCGGTTCAGTAGTGTACTCATGCGGACCACGCACGAAAGCTTACCATCATCAGACTTGACCAGTTTCGTGCTTTCCACGGTAGTAAATCCAGTCCCTTCGTACAGAGCGGTGTATGCAATAGCACGTCCGTAAGGGGTGCTGAGGGAGTGCGTAGAAAGAATGGTGTCCAAGGGAGACATCGCGCTTGACGGAGGGAGAAGCGCACGAGTAGCAGCAACACCGGCAGTCAGGTGCTGATGAGTGAACTGCACGCCTTCGCAGATACCAGAGGAACTCCGGTGAAACGCAACGGTGTAGACATCATTGGGATCTGTCGCAACCTTAGGATACTTGACGCATGTCGTCGAGGTGAAATGGACTCACCAGGACTGGGCAGTGCGGGTTTCTCGACCGAAGCACCTTGGACCTCTACGTCCTCCCATTTCAATAACTTGATGTTGTCAATGCGCGGTAACTTCGCGTTTGATAAGTCGCCGACGACGATTATGGAGTGGTGTTCACTCTCATTGGAGTCGTAGATAATTTCCAGCAAATGGCGGACGAAGTGGGCTTCGGTGATAATAAGGGAGGGAGGATGGGCCTCCAGGACGTGGTTGAGTATAGAGAGGTCCGACAGCGTAAATGAAGGAATGGAGTGCGAGGCCAGAGCCAAGTCCGAAATCACGAATTCTGCACCAGATGAGTATGCCAACAAAATACACAATTCTGAAGGCTCACCAATGCTATCGTTGAGTAGTAGTAGCACGTTGGACTCCTGAGGTACAAGTCCTGCTCCACGGGCGAGTCCTGCACCGAAGTTCGCAATACGTTCCCGCAATTGGGGGTTGGTGATCTACGTGACGGTAAGCGCGCCCGGACTGTACGATGCGATACAAATCTGCGTACTTTGGTGGACCACAATGTGCGGGGAGCATCCGCATCAGGCCGCAAAAGGTCAGTGACGAGTTGTTGATCTTTGGTCGGCCGGAGGGGGAACTGGCGGATTATGAACACATAACGCCTGACAAGCTGTCGAGAACACTCACACGACCGAGCATGCCAGTGCCATAGTTGCGATAGACGGCACTCTCTGAGGGATTCCTGACACGTGCAACGTCGCTCTGCCTGCCGAGGAGAATAGGGTGAACGAGAGCTTGCGGTTTGTAGAGGTTGTGCAGCAAGAAGAGGCCGGCAGACACAAGAGCGAGGACGATGGTGAGGTCATCTGTGACCAGGTAGTCTGCGACAGCCATGGCTGACATCGTGTGGGGGAGAGGGCGGGGTCGCCAGCTGGACAGGTGCAAGGGGCGAGACTGGGAGGGAAGCACGGTTTATCGAAGCACACTTAGACGACCGCGGCAGGAACGGACACCGAGAGGACCCGGGAATTGGCTTTCGCATGAGTCTCTCCTTGCTCGTAACAGCCGCCCGTGGCCTCACCATGCCCTTCTGCTTATGTCGCCTCCGGGCCCGTCATTGCGGCCCATCGCAGAGTCTTCACGCAGTCGAAGTGACATGCATGCATGAAGCAGGCGGCGCCTGTCATTGCCGGCACTAGCGAACGGTCCTAGATTGGTCCTAGATGCGCGCATCCGCATTTGAGAACTTGCGCCTTATTAGAAAGGACTCGGGCGACTTCAAACCCTTGGGCTGCTCCAGGCTCGCGTTTGAATATTTGAACCATCCTCGAAGTCGTTTTCGAATTTCTCAAAACGCGTCCAGTCGCGGTGTGACGCGTTTTAGTGACGATTCACGTGAGAGTCACGCGTTTTCGAACTCCGCCCGCCCGCGCAAGACGCGCCACAGTGTACGCGCTCTGAGGTCTCCTGCAGTCTTCTCCTTCCACTACGCCCTCTCTTCTCTCCAGCCCGTGTCAGGGCAGCTTCCGTCATGTCCAAGATCAAGCTGAACGCACCACTGTTCTCCAGACGGCTTCGCAATGTTTACGACTCGTGGAACGTGAGTTACACCTCTTGTGGTCCAAAAGCACTTAATAACCGTGCAACGTTCGTATTTTCACCCACAGAAGTCTGCGTCTAACGACGAGTACAGCTCCATTGCCGACGTTGACGCGTTGATGCTTCTTGCTGGAGATCCTGCCGGAGAGGATGAGCCTATTAGGAAGGGTATGGCGTTCCAGGTACGTGCCTCCTTCTCGTCAAGTATCCACCTCCAATACACACGTGTCAATCTGTCCAGACGTGGCTCCTTGGCTTCGAATTTCCCTCGACCTTCCTCATGTTTCAAAAGACGAAACTCTCCATCCTCTGTTCGGCCTCCAAATGTAAGACGTCTCCAAGCTCTGCGTCAGCCGTCTAGTCTAACTATCTGTGTTCTGGCCAGCCAAAATCCTCTCTCAGCTTCAGAACGCAGATTCTCCGGTGCCGATCGAATTTTTTGTCCAGGCGAAGGCGTCAGAACCCCCCACCGACGCCCTACCCCGGTTCCTCCAAGAATACACTGCTCTCGATCGCGTCGCTGCTCTCACCAAGGAGCAACACACCGGGAAAGTCGTGGACGAATGGAACAAGGGGTTGGCTGAAGCCTCGAAGAAGCCCGCGGTAGTCGACATGTCTCCTGCCGTCGCATCTCTCCTTGCCGCGAAGGATGAGGATGAACTGGTACGTTACAGTTGTGGTTATTGTAAGCGAGACAGGCATTGTATGAGATTTTCCTGTTGCGGTCATCATGTTGTGCCCAACAGACGCGATGGATGACTTGGGTTGGAGGTTTCGGACCACCGGAAGACATTTACTCCTGCTTCACATCATGGATTTGTGGTCACCCCACTAACTGCTTTTGGTAGAAAATCATCCGCACAGCGACTAGTATCACTTCGACGTTGCTCGCACATTATGTTGCACCCAAGCTGGAAACAATCCTGGATCGTGAAGCCAAGATCTCTCATGAGGCATTCGCCGCCCAGATCGAGGGACGAATTGGATACAACGACAAGGGTCCCGACATGAAGGTGTGGAGCAAGGGCCGTGGTCTGAACGAGGTACGGTTGTTCCGATTTTCATTCAAGTCTCGAAGTTGATTGTATATTGTAGGTAGATTGGGCTTCTACCGAGTTCTGTTACCCTCCTATCATCCAATCCCAGTCGTCGAGCAGCGGGTTTGACATCAGTCCTAATGCCGAATCCACTGAGGACGATATCTCGCACAAAGGTGTGCTCCTTGTTGCGCTGGGCATGCGCTACAAGAGCTACTGCGCGAACCTGGGTCGAAGCTTCATTGTAGACCTTCCAAGGTAAGTCTCGTAGGAGGTCGATAACGATAGCTAACTGGCATATCCCTTGTAGGAACAAGAATCCATCTATGGGCTTCTTGTCACGCTCCAGGCTGAGCTACTGCGCGGCTCAAGGAGGGTGCTGTCGCAAAGGAGCTCTACCACTTCGCGCAGTCTTATTCAAGGAGAAGAAGCCTGAATTAGAGACCAAACTTGCCAAGACTATTGGTCATGGCGTACGCACATAGCATGAACTTCCCTCCTGTCGCAATGCTAATCAGAGTCATCTAGATGGGCATGGAATTCCGTGATGCGTCCTACGTCCTCTCACCTAAGAACAGTCGCAAGCTACGAGCAGGCATGGTGTTCAACCTTGTACTGGGTTTCCCTGAACTGACGGAAGGTGGAAAGAAGTGAGTGGCTTTGAGACAGTACTCAGATCTTCGACTGATGTATGGGTGCGATTGTCCAGGTATGCTCTCCAGTTGACTGATACCGTCCTCATCGGCTCGGACAAAGGGACTTGCCTCACCACTGGTCTGAAATCTGTAAAGGACAACATGTTCTTCCTGAGTCAAGCCGAGGACGAGGCACAGTCATCCAAGGCACCGTCCAAAAAGGCGCCGATGACAAAAGCCAACGGCAACGTGTCACCGGCCAAAAATAAGACCGCCGGTGGCAAAGTCCTGCGCAACAAAACGCGGAGCGCCGCTCAAGAAGAGCTCGTTCAGTCGATGGCGGCGAAGATAGCCGACCACCAGAGGGAACTTCACACGCGTCTCCACGAGGAGGGCCTGTCTCGGTTCTCGGAAGGCGGTGGAGGAACTGGCGGCAAGGAAGGAAAGGGGTGGAAACGTTTCCAGAGCTATAAGGGAGAAGCCGCCCTTCCACGTGAAGTCGAAAACTTGCGGGTATGCCACACCGTGATTTTAATTAGCGTTTGGCGCTTACGTTTGGCTCCCAGATTTTCGTTGACAGGAAGTCACAAACGGTTGTGCTCCCTATCTACGGCTATGCTGTGCCGTTCCATATCAATACTATCAAGAACGTCAGCAAGAACGAGGAAGCTGAGTTCACGCTCCTCCGCGTCAACTTCCAGACACCGGGACAGCTGGCCGGCAGGAAGGAAGACACTGTGAGAGCGTCGCGGAGATTGAAACCCGTGCTCTGTCTAACACGTCTTGTCAGCCGTTTGAGGATCCCGACGCCACCTTCATTCGCTCCATAACATACCGCTCTACCGATGGGAACCGTTTCGACTCTATTTCGAAACAAATCACGGATCTCAAAAAGGAAGTCAACAAGCGGGAGCAGCAGAAGAAGGAGATGGCTGACGTCATCGAACAAGACACCCTCGTGGAGATCAAAGGACGCCGTCCGACCAAACTGCCCGAAGTGTTTGTGCGACCGGCACTTGACGGAAAGCGGTTGCCGGGTGAGGTCGAGATCCACTCGAATGGTCTTCGATACCAGTCACCCATGGGGTCCCAGAAGATCGGTAAGTTCTCATGCTGCGGCCCCTACGACAAACCAAAATTGAGCCGTTCTCTTCGACAGACATCCTCTTCAGCAATGTGAAGCATCTTTTCTTCCAACCGTGCGACCATGAGCTTCTTGTTATCATCCACATCCACCTTCGAGCTCCCATCATGATTGGGAAAAAGAAGGCCCATGTGCGTGTCATCATCCTTTCGTTTTCACTGTTCGCTGAGAAAAGTCTTAACGTGATTATAGGATGTACAATTCTACCGTGAAGCGTCCGATGTTCAGTTCGACGAGACGGGGAATCGGAAGCGCAAGTACAGGTACGGCGATGAAGATGAACTCGAGCTTGAGCAGCAAGAGCGCAAGCGTCGACAGATGCTCAACAAGGAATTCAAGCTTTTCTCGGAGAAGATTGCGGAAGCTGCGACGTCTTCAGTATAGTGTGATCCTTTTTTGACAAATTTCAGCTACTAACTTTCGTCCATAGACCGGCGAGTCGCTTGAACCTGACATTCCTTTCCGAGAGCTCTCGTTCGAGGGTGTGCCCTTCCGGACCAACGTACGGCTTCAGCCCACCACCGAGTGCCTTGTGCATCTATCCGACCCGCCCTTCCTCGTGGTCACTCTGTCAGACATCGAGATCGCGTCCCTGGAACGTGTGCAGTTCGGCCTCAAACAGTTCGACATGGTCCTCATCTTCAAGGACTTCACCAAGACGCCGCTGCACATCAACTCAATACCAACTGCACAGCTTGATGACGTTAAAAATTGGCTTGAGTACGTGTTTGGCTATAAGGTTTTGGCGTGTCCCACATGCTCACGGCGTATTAGCTCCGTCGACATCCCGCTCAGCGAGGGCCCGGTCAACCTGAACTGGGGTCCAATCATGAAAACGATCAATGAAGACCCCTATGATTTCTTCCAGAACGGCGGCTGGAGCTTCTTGGGTGGCGGTGGCGGGGACGAGGTATTTCATTGCTTCCGGGTCATGGTGTACTCTTCGATAATGGTTTGTTTGTTCAGAGTGACGCCGACGGTGCGTCAGACACCGAGTCGGAGTTCACCGCCGAATCGAACGCCAGCGAAAGCTCGCAGAGCAGTGAAGACGGTAGCGACTACTTCGAGGATGCGAGCGATGACGAAGGTAGTGCCTCCGATTTTGGGTCCGAGGGCAGCGAAGGTTTGTTCCTGTGCACACTGCGCCACCTGGTATCACTAACAGCGGTGCCATTTCAGGCCAGGACTGGGACGAATTGGAGAAGAGGGCTGCGAAAGGTCAGTGTCAGCAGCGCGCCCTAAATTAATCCTCAGCTGATTGGGTTCTGCAGAGGACAAGAAGCGCATCGAGAATGGCCGAGGACACGAGTCAGACGATTCTGATCGCCCTAAGAAGAAGAAGGCACCGGTCAAAGCCAAGGGCAAGACGAATGGCAAACGGTGATATGGGCCGTGGTGCGGTGTCGGATTCGTCTGCTGCTGTCTTGCTTCCTTGTCATGTCCCGTTGTACATTATTACTCTGCGCACCTGCTATCGTTTGTTCTGCACCCATATCACGCGTGGCGGGGGGCACGGGGCTTTCCGACGGTAACGGTATGACGACAAACTACGCGTACATGATGTATCGCGAAGCGCTGTCGAGCAGTTGCGGCCAAGTGCTCCGTGGCCGGAACTCAGATGGGAGAGCCGTGCAGGTCGGCTGTCGGGGGGCGTATATCGAGCAGCCGGGCGTTGGGGAGATGGCGGTCGACGGTGGCCGTGGGGGGACACTGCATGGCGTCGAGCGGGTGGCGGACGTCAAACCAGCCTTGTCGAACAGCGTGCGCGCATGGCCGGTGTGGGGGCTGACGCACACCCGAGGGGCGCGCACGCGGCACCGCGGCTTTCGAACGCCTTGCGCGCACGTCGGGACGAGGAGCCTCCGGGAGCGGGCCGGGAGCGAATGCCCGCGCGCGTACCCGCGTCCAAAACGGCAAGTTTCGCAGTCCCGCGAGCGCGACGCGGACGGCGACCGTCCGTCTCAGCCCACGCCTGCAACATTGTTCAGGGCGCCCACCGCGCTGGTCTCGCCCAGGTGATGGCTAACTCGTATCGTTCGGCGGTGCGACCGCAGACCGATCACCACCCCTAGCGGTCCATGTCCTCACGCGGGGCACACCCTACCGTGCGCCGGCACCCAAGGCATACGTTCACCGTCCCCAGCCAGATGTATAAAGCGAGCCCCCGCCCCAGTACACCGACCTCATCGTTCCAAGGCATCTCAAGACAACCCACCGCACCGCACCGAGTCATCTGAATTGCGCTTCTCGAGATATATACAGCTCCCAAGACTGCTCGTGGACAGACCCTGTATAGGTATGCCATACATCTCTCCCCCCATCTCCTGCGCCGTGGTGCGCAACGCTGACCGACGGCAACCCTCCTGTCCAGATCCCAATGACAGACCAGCAGCACTACGACAGAAACGACGCTGTCGGCAGTTCGTCACTGCCGTCTGACCAAGCGTCCGAACAATCGGGCGAGACCCGGTGGACGCGCGAGCAGGTCTTTGGCATATATGAGCACATGCAGCAGGACTACTGGAGAGCACAAGGACTCACGATGCCTCCCACCCACGGAACCTACCATCCCTCCGGCATGCCCGCCGCCGCCCCCAGTGGCAGCGCCCAGCAGATGCAGGCACGTCTACTTTGACCAGCCAACTCTGCCCGTAACCTGCGTCGCTGACCTCTCGAATCTGCAGTACCAGCAGTTCAGCGGACTCGCGGTCGCGGCGCCATTCTACCTGCTCCCGCAGCGAGAGTACATCGCCAAGCGCCGTTACCAGCCCGAGTCTCCGATCGTGTTCCGCACAACGACGACGGGCTATGTATCTCTGTTGGACGCCATGAACGGAAACCTGGCGCAGCTGCTCGATGCGGACGTCTCCGTCTTTTCGGGCGACAACCTCAGCCAGAAGCAGTCCATCCGCCTGGAGGTGCGCCATCGTCATCCGCCCAGCTCATATGTCGGCTGACTCACGGTGTGCGCAACCACAGATCGTGGAGCTGAAATCGTTCGAGAGGCAGATCAATGTGCGAAACCCGGCGAACCACACTCACTCTATCACCCGGAGCAAGCTTGCCGAGAAGGTAGCGAAGGAAATCTTCGACTACATGAAGGTAAGCCGTTCGTCAGCGAGTTACGGGTCCGATGACCGACGCTCGGCCCTTGTTCCTCGCAGCGCCAACAAAGTTTCGGCGATCCCGCCTTTGGTCTGGGCCCCGGCACGCAGGGTTTTGAGAGACTGGTGCTCCTCGAGCTCCGCCACGTCTCGCGTTCGAGCTGGCAGCCTGTGTTGGGGGTCAGGAACTGATGATGGCACTCCAGAATCTGGACTCGACTTTTGCTGCCTCCCGACCTATCGTACTTCACACTAATGATGTAACCATCGTTGTCGCGATTCCTGGACAAATGCCAACCTATGTATTGGTTCTTTGATCACGTGTCCCCCGGAATCTGCCCATAGAAGGAAGGCGCACCGTCGCGGCATGAAACCGTCCCATCCTACGGAAGCTGTGTCACTGTGGGGCTTGGAGGGCTGGGTGGGTGTCGGTGGGCCGAAACAAACGGAAGTGAAAGCTCAGTCGGGCTGAGCGCGTAGAACAAGGACACAGCGGAAACGCGATGGGACAGCCCTGCAGATGACATCATGGAATCTGCTGGAAGCTGTGTCAGAAAGCACGGGCGTCGAAGATGTCCAATCGGCAGATGGTGTCTGAGGAGCGAGAACAAGGAGGACGAACGAAGGCAGGCGGCGGAAACGGACGCCTCCCAGCCCCCGCCCGTGCCCGACGCCATCGGCGCGCTAACGGAGTCCCATCGGCCCATCGGAACTGCTGAGACTGCCTCCATTCACTCTGCCAACGACCCTCACCCGCTGCTCGCTGCCCACTATCATAACCACAGCGCTCAGTACACCCGCCTTCCGTTCGTTCTGCCTTCCAGGACCGAGAGACTACAGTCGAGGACACAACCAAGCAAATAGCGCCACACAGTCTTGTGGTCTCGGGTCAGTTCAGGCAGTGGGCACTGCTCTCCGCCCACATATTGCTCGATCATCATGCATTCGTGAGCCACGGAGACTTCACCCGCATGTCTTCTTCGAATGCTTCATGAGGTATGTCCAAAATCTACAAATTTGTGGTGTTCGCGACTTGCGTCGCCATCCGCTGGCGATACGGCGTCAAACGACGGTGCAGACAGGAGTTGAGCTCCCGGATCCACGCACCATGCAGGCAAGGATTCTCTTTTTGTGGAGCATCATACGATCAAATCGCGATACCCAGCGTTTGGGCGGAACACCGCATAAGTGGGCTTCGTGTTTAGCACGAGTCCGTCATAGAAGTTCAAGAATGCATTAAGCGTCCACGATCTTGGAAGTCATAAGGTTTAGATGCTGATTAACGACGTTTCGGGTCATCCCTTGAGATCGGGAAATCAACAGTTTCTGCCAAGGATAGAATTCGCTTCACTGTCTGAGGTGTCATTCAAGGGTCGAGTCATGTAAGTTGTCGTGACTGCTGCTTGCAAGCTCGTTGTTGATATAGTGTATCTCGGCGCAGCAGGCTCAAGACGAAGTGCCCCACGCGATGCGCTTTGCCGGTGACTATCGCGATAGTGTGACGAGGACTCGCAGGGCCTCGAGGCCGCTGATGTTATGGACCCGCAGGTCAGACTGGACCTCACCGTCGGTGGGAGCTCCATCACAAGATTTCGACCCACTACTTCCGAGGAAGCCGGGACCACAAGGCCCGGTGGACGAATGGGCGGCCATGGTTGGCTGGGTGCCCATTCATGCCCATCCTGACAAATAGATCCTGGCGCGGGCATGTCGGTCCAGATATCTCGATATTCCCATGTGCGTCACCGAAGCCAGCCTCTGCAAATGAGGCGCTTTACTTTATGGCCGGGCCAGGGAACTTCAGGACGGCATAGGGCCGATCGTGACAGAGGGCAGACGACTGGTGGACTTCACTGAATCTGGGGTCTGTAAAGCCCTCAGTTGAAGAATCCTCCCCCACACTGGTCCTTTCGTTTTTGCGCATGAAGAATAACGCTGACCCAGGTGCTGTAGATCACAGCTCACCGCCCGGTGACAGGCGCGTTCCAAACGCTTCATTTTCATCGTGATGGTGCTCACACCAAGGGCTCTGTGAAGAAGTGTTGGACCTCGGACCACGGAGGACCACAGCCATCCTCGCCCTTATGATCAAGGGAGGGTGGACCGTCCATGTGATGATGCTCTCTCGAGCCGCCTCGGACGCACGGACTCTTGATTCAGCGCTGTCGTGCTGGCTCAGGGTATAAAACGACCTCACTATGCTCCCGCCAACCCAACCCCTCTCTTCAGACCACCCAACTCCTTCTCCTGTACCGTTCTCCTTCCGCTATGAACGTGCGTTACAGCGAAGTAAGTGACATGTCCCTACGAGGATGCACAGACTTATTTTTCATTGCACAAGGTTCCCCAGACTTGGTATATCGACCCCACCGGCAAACAGGCACCCAACCACGCTATCGTCTTCCAATCGCCGGACGGCTGCGGAGTCCCAGTTATGGCAGCACTCATGAGCGACGGGAGTTGTTTGTGCAACGCGCGTAGCCCCGCTTTCCACCACAGTCTGGGCGTGAAGGGAAAGATCTCTCTCCGCTTCCGGGTTCGTTGCACCAGTTTCTCGTCCCTCAATTATACCACAAACCCTTACTCTGTCACACAGATCAATGGACTCACTCCCCACGATCCTCAGGTCATCTCACAGCGCGCCACCAAGAATGGAGAGTCTATAGATATTGCAAAGTTGGCTTGCACCGTTGCGCAAGAACTTCGGCTGCTCCTGGTACGTCCTTCACTGTCGCCTGTATATCGCAAGACCTCATATGCTTGTGTGCCCACGAAGAACGGCCGGTGTCTGCTAGTGAACAACCAGGAGTACACCCTTGAGGACATCAGGCTCTACAGCTTGGTCCGTGTTTCCCAGGGCTCATGGCAGCCCGTATTTCAGGTGCCAACGCGGTGGTGCTGAAACAACTGCGTTTTGGTGCGCGATCCCTGTCACCCGCCCCCGGAGAGATGCCCGCCCAGAGCATCTGTTCTGGTTCCCGCTCGGTTCTGCACGGCTGACGCTATAGTACCCCGGGCGATTGAAGAGGAGCTCAATGTTCGCTACCGTACCCCGCTCCCTCCATATCCTGTTCAATACGCCCGTACATCTAATCCGCTCACGTATACAATAATGTAATCATGGTCTGCATTTCTGTTGCCTCCTCATCTCCGGGGCAGGGGACCTCTCTTATGCCACGGGTGTGCATATGTGTGCTTCTCCTTCCTCGTTATGAATACATGCACAACACCGTGCGGAGGCATCTTTGTGGAGCAATGACCGTCGACCGTCGACCTCTGCCGCTCGCACGAGGGATCAGCTGGGCTCGTGAGCGTGGCGAAACAACCGGTTTGTTGTACTGATAGAGCCGGATCGAGGATATTTGCAGCACACCGGTACTACAAGGGGCGGCGACAGCTACATTGCAAGAGCCCTCTGGTAGCTGGTAGCCCTGTACACGTTGCCAGTAGGATCTACATAAGTCAGCGATAGGGCGAGAAATTCGAGGAACTTGCCGACTTGTGTAGGTCTCGAACTGTGTTGTGTAACCACTCGAGGGCCGCCGATCCGGGTGGAATGTGCCGAGGCCAGAAAAGCACCGCTGTCGGAGTTCGCGGTCGTGGACGAGTCCGACGCGGCGAGTGAGGCGCGTCAGGGTCGTGCTGAGCGCGGAGTCTGATTTGCTGATTGGCGACTCGTCGCCGCGGGTGTTTGAGTCGCCTATGTTTTGGTCATTCCTCTTGTCATATCGCCTCGCTGGATGTCGATTTTCGTTCTGGATCGCCCTCATCTGGGACCCATCTCTTCTCAACGTCCCCATATGTCCTCGGCAGGGCAGGGCTTCGGCCCCCTCTTTACCGGTGCGAACGCATGATGCTCTGCCGGGATGGCACCAGTGTTGTTCAAGTATCCGCAACCGCTTTCCCAAATGAGAGGAGTTAACGTCAAGTGAGTCGGCCCCTCGAACGACAATGCAAGTCGTCCTTGGTTGCGGCGCCCTGGCGTATCTGCTGTGCATTGCCTGCAGCACATTCCCATCAGTTGCTGGCTTTAACTCATATGTTCTGTGGACGTGGAACGGAAACATACTTCATGTGGTGCCTTGAGGGATGCGGATCGTCGCACAGTGAGTCCCAGCACGCTTTTGTGTCTACTCAGACCACTGATTGGCATGGGCGGTCAATGGAGAGCTCACCCGCAGTCATAAGTTAAACTCACCGATCCACAAGGTTCAAGGTCCCGCGTGTTCCGCACGAGTTACGCAGAAGTTTTTGCTACTACGTCACCATCGTTGACGAAAGAACATGTTTACCAACGGTATGACTCGTTGTTCTCTTCTTCTCTTGCTGTGGCGAAACGGCGGGCGCAATGGCGAAAGGCCGTTGACCGCCGTTCCTGGCAGTTGGGCAGCAAATGAACCACCTGGAGCATATGCCTGCGCCCCGTGCGCATAAGCCGGGACAGTGTCAGACAGTGCGCGCAGGGAGGTTACTTGAGTGTGGTAGATGGGGACGATAAGAAGATGACGCACCCTTGAAGTAGCGGGCGAAAAGTTCCCCATATCGAGGCATCATGCTACTCCGTATGCCCGTGTGGAGGGGCCACTGTCCTCGAAGGCCTTCAGGGACGGTCGCTTCATTTGTGTTGGGCTGGGCGGTGGTGTTGGCCGCTGTCGTACGTCCGCCGCCGCCGCCGGGCGATTGCCACTGCGACCTCGTGTGACGAATAGGCCAGCATGGATGGGAACCGTATTGTAATTTCCCTGAGATCCGTCTCTTCGACCGTTTGACGGGAAACCACGGCTGAGATGGGACGGTGATCTAGTTGTGCTCACCGCTATGAGAAGCTGTTTCCCCAGATGGCCTCTCCAAGGCACTTGCGTCTGCGGCAGACCGATGCATGGAAGGATCTCTTCTGGTGCAGCCGGGGCTCAAACCGACAGGACCGGTAGGAGAGGCTGAGAACGGAGGTAGCAATGAAGTTGTCAGCCTCAACTACATGTCACAGGCAAGACGACGCGGAGAGAAATGTGCTCGCTTGGTCAGTGGTCCTGGAGAACGAGAAAGGAAGTGCTCAAGGGTGAAGGCGTTGAGTCTGAAGCATGGTACCGAAACCGCCTGCGTGGCAGCGGTTGAGAGCGTGGGCAAACTCCGCCCTTCCTCCCTTCGCCTGCTTGCATACGCCCCAGACTCTTGCTCCGAACCTCTAGAAGCCAGATTTCCTAGATCTGGGATCCCAGGTGCGTACTTATTATTTTTTTTTCCAATATCCAGACATTTAACATATGCTTGTGGATTTAGCTCGGCCGACGCCGACCGGATATCCCGCGCCCTTGTGTTCGCAACAACCCGCCCGTACATCCTAGCCGATCAGCTTGCTCAATGGGCGGCGTGGCTTGTGTATGCTCGCTAGGATATCTGGATAGAAGCCCCCCGCCCTGCCTAGGACGCGATCCAGCATTGTCCACTTGGTTCGAGCAGGATGAACGCTACGGTGTATCCAGATGCAGTGGTACGTCTCCACTTAGACTCTTCTGGCGATGGTCTACATGTACTTAAGCGAACCACAAGCTCATCCATCCGTCAGCGCACCCCAGCCCTTGAAACGGATAACCACGTAGTCTATCCAGCCAACCTGCTGAACCAAAACCGTCCGCAGAACAGTAGCGCTGACGGCACGTATGAACGCCTGAGACAACTGAACATCTGAGCCTCCACTATGCTTGAGTGAGGCGTGGTATCGGGATAACCTGGCTTTTCCTCCCTTCCCGCATGCCTCGTAGATATCTAGACACGCTGCGGTGTCCCGGTTGAAGCGCCATTCCATACAACGCAGTCCCCAGGTACTCTGCTGAAGAGCTCTCATAAAGTACAGACGGTACGAGCGGAGGGTTTTAAGAGCACCGTTCCAGTCCACTTCACCACTACTTCCCTCCACACAGACGCATCGTCGTATCGGTATGCAGCACAGCCTAGCTCCGTTCCGCCAACACCCTCGCAGTGTGAGTCTCCAACATGGTGCTTCATTCCTAGCGTCTGCATGACTGACACAATCGTGTTAGCCTCGCTCCCACGAGCGGGTGATGTTCGTCATCGACGTGGACCCCGACCCAGGGATACCACCATCTCAGTACAGTCCCGATTGCATTCGTGCCAATTATGATCGTCAAAGCAATGAAATACCGGCACATGCGATAAGATTTCGCGACCCAGAACTCAACGATGTTCCGAGGAGCGACTACACGACGCTACAAGCTCCCTCATACCATACAGTACGTTTGCCGATATATATCTTCCCTCAATTTGCGCGCTGAAGCTCGTATCTTCTAGTCGTCATGGACCCCCTTGCCCCTCGAACCATACGTCGGCGGTCGTAGGGAGTCACCTTTTGAGCCATGCACAATCCACTTTAAGGACATCACCTCCCCCACCCCGGGCGTGTCGCTTCAAGACCTGCTATCCTCTTGTCGCCTTATAGCCGGCGAAGCACCCATCCCAAGTGATGTTACGACCAAGCTGTCAATCAGGATCCATGTGAGTACCCAAACTGACATGAGACAAAGCTCACGACGCGTTGCAGTTTCAACATTGCTCGACGGAATACACGCGCCAGATAACAGTCCGAAGGACAACCAATCTTTGCCCTCCCGTGTCACTGCACTCGCTGGCCAAGAAGATTGCAGATGAGACTTCAAAAGCCATTGTAAGCCTCTTCCCTAAGGTCGGGGTTTGATACTCACTAATTAAATGGTCCAGGCACAACACCACCCGACATTCCACAACGTCTTCTTCTCAGTCGACAACCTCCGTCTCTGTGCTCTTCATCGGTGCAGCCGTGGTTCTTGGGCCCCGGAATTCGTTATTCGCGTTTGAAGGCGATACAGATATAGCTGCGGAAAGTTATGAACATTTGGATCCGATGAACAAGCCTATACTTTCACAATATCACCATGTAGCGACCGCTCGTGCCCTGTGACGATTCATGACGACGTATGTACTCACCAACCTCAGAGACCCGCGTTGCCTTCGAGTATCTGAACGAGCCCAAGAGTGACGGGGATCGTAGGCACCAGGACTGGCGGTACATATACTTTCTTCTGACGAAGTTGCGCACACAGTTCTGTGTTGCGATTGGACGGCGTTGAGAACAGTTGAGACTCCTAGGAATCCAAGGATAGACACATGCTCCGCTGTATGGGACCCGCGGCCACTTGTGGCAGAGGGAAATGCGATGTATCCAAACAGCCTCGGTGGAAGTTGGCAACACGTGCTGTGAATGACTTGTTGGGGATGCCCGTGGGCTCCATGATGGTGCCGCAAACTTCGTGGGACGGGCAGAATCAAAGCCAGTTCTATCAGACAGAGAGTGCGGCTCGAAGGCGCAGCGGTGGCACAGAAAGGTCCGCGGACCGCATTCCACCCAGTGACCCACATAGTACATACACAACGCTGTGTAGAATGCGGACACTGTCGAGGCCAGTGATGCGCCGGCAAAGTCCAGTATTATCCCGATGTAGACACGGCCCTGTAGGCTGTGATCCAAAAGGTCACTCACATATGCGAGGTCCAAGGGCTATATACAGCGGATTTGGCGAACGCCCTATTCTCCGTTCGTCTTGATTTTGTGGAGAGTGTGCAAGACGGCCAACACGCCACTGCTCTGAGTGGCATATGTTTGCGAGGCAATGGGCCCAACCGGGCCGGGTTCGGTACGCGACATGACAAGAGTCTCCGACTCGAAGGAGGCTTGCATGTCTCCTATTTAAATTGGCTCTCAGGTTCACTCTATCCAGCCCCCTCTACGCTGAACCATGACTGGCGAAACCACCCCTTCCGGCTCATCAACCGATTGGCAACCTCCTCCAACCATCTTCGACCCCACGACGTGCACGCGCAAGGGTTTGTGCCCCGTAACACACATCAGACACCAAGATGCGAACCCCCTAGAAAGCCACTCGTTGTACTATGAGATCCATGGCTCTGGTCTGGAGAAAATTGTGTTTATCATGGGGTGCGTCCGCTTTCCGTCGGCCCTGTATAGTCAACAATAGAACCGAGCCTCGCAGCTTGAACGCCTCCGCTTCAGGATGGGTATCCCAGGTCGATTACTTCGGGAGAAAGCCGGAGTGCTCTGTTCTAGTATTTGACAACAGGGGCGTTGGAAACAGCGGATCTCCTCGTGGGCCATACACGTACGTGCGCCCATCGAGGGTTAGTCCTCAATCTGACTCTCTATAGCACGGAGGGGATGGCCCAAGATGTCGTGACGCTGCTGGATTTTGTTGGCTGGACGGAAAAGCGTCAGATTCATGTCATTGGCATATCTCTGGGCGGTATGATTGCACAAGGTACGTAGCAACTTGGTGCAACGAATTATCAAAGTTTGGACGCTATGTTGAGTCTAGAACTCGCGGAGAAGATACTTGAACGTACCGCTTCGCTCACCTTGGTTGTCACCAAGCCTGGGAGACGTCGTCTGATTGAGCTGCCCTCTGTAAGGCATAACTTCCGGACTACACAGCATTGTCACTGATAACCGTTCAGTATGTGGGCACAAGGAACTTGTTGAGGTCGATGATGGTGTCCAACCCAGAAGACAGGATCCCACTCGTCCTGGAGACGCTGTTCCCTCAGGAATGGCTCGACTCCAAAGACCCTTCAGATCCCGAGGGGCGCACGAACAGAGAGCTTCAAACGATTGTTAGTCCCCATATGTGCTTTGATGCGCTTCACTCATTGGGTACTTTAGGCGTACCGCGAGCGAATCGCTGTCACCCCCCCACAAACACTTGTCGGCTCCTTGTCTCAGATGGCTGCGGCAATGACACACCACGTATCCCCGGAAAGACTACGGAGGATCTCGTCGGCTATACCCAAAGTCGCAATTGTGACAGGGGATACGGACACTCTCATTGACCCTAGGAACAGCCAGCTCTTGAAGCAAGACATGCCAGAAGCCGAGCTCATCATTCGAGAGGGGGCGGGCCACGGGGTACCCATGCAATACAAGGAGTGGTTCAACGAGGTGCTTGAAAGGACCCTCAAGGAAGGCAGGGAACGCGCAAATTGAGAGGGCGGGCGAAGCAGGACAAGGACATTAAATCCGGGTCGTTACATGTAACAAGTTTGGTTAAGAGCTGGACTAAGGGAGGCTCCCAGAAAGACAAACGAGTGGAATACGAGACTGCGTGTATTTTGGAGTTCAAACTGGGCTCGCTTTCAAGAACTTGAACACGTACCATGAACATTCTTCCCACTAATGCTCCTTGATCATCGTCACGAGCGTTTTCTTTGCCTGAGAGGGCAGGCCTTGCATCTCAGGTCGCATCTCCGACTTTGTGGGTTCGATCCGGATGTTCTCAGGAAAGCTATCACCTGCCTCTTGCCTGCGCTTCTGCAGAATCTGGATGAGGGTTGGACGCGGGACGTGTGTGGGGTTTGGTTGTGGGAGTGGACGGAACGACGGGTCGACCTGCGAGCGCGGAATCACGCGGACGAGTCGGGGAAGGGTGACACGCATCGTGGCAGCTGGATGATGCTACGAATCGCTGCAATAGCGCAGCAGGTCAGGGAGCAGCAGGCGGAGGGCGTGGCAGGGGTCGAGGCGCACCAGCGAGGATGGAGGGTGAAGGCAAGTGAGGTCCCGTGACGTCGGACGCGTCCGTCGTCGACGCGTTTTGAGCTGTCAGCGAACGTTGGCGCCTGCAATACGGCGCCTTGCTCAGCTCAGCTCCACCCTCCACAGGCACTGTACTTGTACTGCTCCGCCCTGTTCGTAAATATCATATCCTCCTCCCGAGAAAAGAGCACCTCGTCAGTTTCTCTCTCATGTCAACCATCCCGCGCAAAAGAGTCGGTGACTGTACTCCAAGCAATCCCGGAGGCAGCAATCCCACCAAGAAGCCACGAGCAACCAAAGCGCAGAAGACCAAGAAAGCTCAGAAGCAGGAGGAGGCACCAGAGTGGCCCGAATACTTCCATCATGTATGCTGACTACTACTTCCCCGGGAGGTGAGCTCACTAAGTGACATTTCCCTCAGTTGTTTAAGGTAGGGGCCTCTCAATCCCGACAGCGCATAGCTCAGACGCACCTACCAATCCCTCCCTTCTGCAGATATTCAAGGTAAATCTGTTAGACAATAAATGTACGATTGGGTGCTCAGAGCTTGAGGTGCGCAGTCTTTGAACACTGTTCTTGCGTTCTGCTCGTCAAGGAAGAACCTCGCCATTACATTTCCCGTCGTCCGGACGTCCGTAGAGGCCCTGCTGCATGGGTACGTTTAAGAGTATACATTACTGAGTTTCTTTTCACGACATTCACAGGCCACTGGAACTCGAAAAAGTGGCCGAGTTCAAGTGAGCTCATTCACATCAATCCCTATACCCTCACCCGCTGATCGGAAACTCCAGAGCATTGCTACCGGAGACTGTGAAATTTGCGTACACCCCACGAGATGAGCTGAAGATACATAGTACCCAGCAAGGGAGCAGTTCTCGTCGTGAACGCTCCCCCGACTTCTCTGCATTCCAAAACAGTGCGAAATCATCGGCGTCACGAGTGAACGATGTAGACCTAGACGAGCACGTTCTAGTGTTAGACTTCATCGACAACTCCCGGGGGAAGAAACCTTCATCGAACGCTGGATTTGCGTACGCTCCACTCCCTGCATTGACCCCTGCAGCCACTAAGAAGCTGGTTGAGAGGCGTAATGGTCGCTTCGTCGAGGCTGTCAACGAGTAAGACCCTACGATTTTGAGGGTTTCGTGACATACTTAACCACGCCGTTTCAGATTACTGAGAGCCACACCAGAAGGAGACGACCCGGTCGCTCTGCTTCAGGCCGCTGCGCGAGATCAACTGCCCGTCCACCCAAACACTCGTCTCGTCCCAGGTGCCAGCCAACCCACTTCCACGGGCCAGTACAAAACGGTCCCTGCGCCTGAGGAAAGACCATCGATAGACCAGGTCGTCGAGGAGCTCCTGCAACAAGAATGGTACAGGCAACAGATCGCATATCAGCGCACTTTTGACGCCAAAGAAGGCCACATAGGTATGTGAATATTTGCGGTGTAGCCATAGATTCGGCTGACCCGTCAAAGCTTCACTCGACCCACCTTTGTCCGATGAGATTGCGCAGGCACTGCGAGATTCTAGGAAGATTACTTCGTTGTACACCCATCAAGTTGCCGCAATCCAAGCATTATCTCGATCTCAGCACGTTATAGTGTCAACGAGCACTGCATCGGGGAAGAGTGTGATATACCAGGTCAGTCTTTTGTTCAATGGACAGGTCGGCAGCACACTCCTATTAACACAGCGCCGAAGGTACCATTGTTGTGCTTTTTGCAGGCGGAACCACAGTCCACAGCTATTTTCATCTATCCAACGAAGGCGTGTACTTCATCGTTGGGACCAAGCCTCGAAAGCTAATTACAATGATACAGGCGTTGGCACAGGACCAACGGACCGCTTTGGAGCAACTGCTCTACTCATGTCCTGGGCTTCAACACATCAAAGTAGCTACCTACGACGGTGATACGCCTCAAGAACTGCGCCCTGGTAGGCTGTTCGATGAGTACATGATTACTTGCGTTGACATGATTACTGGTCACGATCACAGTGATCAGGGAGAGTGCTTCCGTCATCTTTACTAATTTTGTGTGTAATCTCCCTTGGTTGCCGGTGGAGGCGTCCATGTGCGCCTGTGGAAGCTCATGGGTCCATGTCCCCCTGCTACAGGATATGCTTCATGCATCCATACTCCCTCATGAAGACACGTGGCGAAGGTAAAACTCTCCGTTATCTGAACTCTCAGTCTATTTGACCGCGGGCGAAACAGGTTTCTCAAGAACCTGAAATTGGTGGCCGTCGATGAACTGCATTACTATCATGGCACGTTTGGGAGGTCAGTGCACCTACGTGGAAGTGATGCATACGGGCTCATCTTTGAGACCGGCCATTAGCCACGTCGCTCAGGTGATGAGAAGATTGCGCAGGGTCTGTTGCGCAGTGGGAAGTGAGCTGCGCGCCCATTTGTACACCATGTGCTGAGGCACTGACAGAAGTCTCTTGCAGATCACCGCGTCCGATTCGTCTCGTGCAGTGCGACTATATCCAAGCCTGGAGAACACATGAGACATCTGTCTGGCATACATGTCAGTGTCGCTTTTGCATCCATTACCACCCCATTCTCATCCGAAATTAGCAAGTTGAAGAGGTCACCGAGGATGGTGCACCGGCCGGCCGTAAGGACTTTTTGGTATGGGATCCACCGCTGAAGGATCCAATGGATGAGAGCATGGGGAAAGTCAGTTCCGTGGGCGAGGCCACGCAGCTGATGAGATTCCTCATGGCAAGAGGAGTGCGGGTGATTCTGTTCTGCAAGGTGTGTGCGCCGACTAAGCCCGAACGGGCTATGCTCACTGAGCGTACAGATCAGGAAAAGTTGCGAGATGGTGAGCTTCTCTCCGATACTTATCGGATCGAGGTTTCTCACACGATTCTCCAGGCCATGAAAGCTCTTCGGCAAGAACTTTCCGCTGACGGCAGACTGGATATTTTGGAGCGGGTAATGTCTTACCGTGGCGGGTATTCACAAGAGGTGCGTCCCCGTCGGAGTATGGAGCCGTTGCGCTCAACCACAGAAAACTGCGCAGGATCGCCGGCGGATAGAACGGGAAGCTTTCTCCGGGAACCTTCTTGGTATAGTCGCAACCAATGCTCTAGAACTTGGCGTCGACATTGGGGTGCTGGATGCTGTACTCATGCTCGGTTTTCCCATGGGCGGTCTTGCAAGCTTTGTGAGTGATGTAGCACACGCTCAGGGTCTCATGAGAGCTCAATGAAAAGTGGGATTATAGCGGCAGCAAGCAGGGCGCGCAGGGCGTAGGGCACGGGACGCTCTTACGGTTTACATCGCGGACACACTCCCTATCGACCAACATTACATCAACAATCCCGAACAGCTTTTCGACCGAGGAACAGATGACCTCGTCGTCGACCTCGACAGCAAGATCGTCATTGAAGCGCACTTACAATGCGCCGCTCACGAGATGCCGCTCACGGACGAAGATGAGCAATATTTTGGTCCCAACATGAAAGAAATCTGCGAAGCTAAATTACACAAGGATCGAGAAGGATGGTGAGTCACCCCGACTTTCAGTCTCGAAGGCCAGTTGCTTATCACTCTCCAGGTATCACACCCATCACCGATATCTTCCTTACCCGTCAAAGCATGTATCTCTGCGAGGTATTGAGGACGAGAAGTACAGCGTTGTGGACGTGACCCGAGTCGGCAGACCCGGAGGCAACGCTGTCATGTTAGAGGAAGTCGAACTTTCGCGCGCGCTATTCGAGATTTATGAGGGCGCAGTGGTACGTAGTGGTGCTCTCAGGCGATCGACGCAACTCAATCTGTTCCCTGTGTTCACTAGTTCATACATCAAGGCTTAACCTTCATTGTTAGCCCAACACCGTCTGTCGTGTCATGAAACACTCGCTAACTTTTGCTGAGGTTGATAGATACAAGAAGTCAGCCATGACTCCAAGATCGCCAAGCTCGTGCGATCGGATGTCAACTGGACCACAGAGCCGCGGTAGGCGCCCCTCGATTCATCCATGCGGACTGCTCACACCTTGGTGCACAGAGATTTCACCAATATCGATGCGCTTCAGACGTACCGTATCAGAGAAATCAAGGACTCACCTCATCGTGCGTTTTACGGACGTGAGCGACACGTTGATTTTGTTGTCATCTATCTGCTGAGTGTTCTACCATCATCCCCAGGGGTTGAGTTGTTCACCGCGGTTTACGGTGAGTTACCTTTTCTTTTTCCTTTATGCAGAAATCTCACCAATGACATCAGGCTACTTCAAGATACGGTAAGGGTGTGCGCCACAATACATGATTTTCTGACTGAAGACGCGCTTCGTTCAGCAACAGAGCGATTATCGATTCTGTCGATCTCGATACCCCTCCGTGGCAGCGTGAGACCGTTGGCATGTGGTTTGACGTCCCCAAATCCGTCCTGGATCTCATGCGCGATGCGGGCATTAACCCGGCGGAAGCCATCCACTCCGCTCAGCACGCATACCTCAACCGATACCCGCTGGCAGCGGATCTTCGCACGGAGTGCAAGGTTCCTGAGAAAGAGTACAAGGCAACGGAATCAGCGCGCAAGCGTCCTGCTAGGTAAAATTTCTCTCGCACTATCGTGGCACAGGATTTAAGGATGGGTCGGCAGACTGATATTCTACGAGCCAACGGGAAAGGGCGGAGGCGTGGCAGTCAAGGCATTCGATCACAGTAAGCTTCCAGTCACTCGGTTGCAGGCAACTTTCTGAACGCCCTTCAAGCAAATGATATTCTACGCGATGCCCACGATCGGGTCGAATCTTGCGAATGCAAGGACGGATGTGCTGCTTGTGCGTTACATGGTCTAATACAGTCCTCTCAATATCAAAGCACTGATATCGAACCAGGCGTGGACAGCCCGTCGTGCAAGGAGGGCAACGCTGTATCCTCGAAAGCGGGCGCACTCATCGTCCTCAAGGCTCTGCTCAACCGCCCCATTGATGTCGATCTCCTCGCGCACGCTGCAGATTCGAATGACGCGTACGAGACAGTTGTTGAGGCCATACAGGTCCGCACAGCCGAAGGCGTCGCAGTTGAGCCCACATGAAACCGAACTCTCACGTCGCCGGTCAATCCATCCCGAGAACTTCCAGTGTAGTATATTGTGCATGACCATAATACCTGTGTCCAGCTAGATAACAATTTAGGCTAATGGATCGAAGTCACCCCAGTCGGCTTTTGACAGCTGCTTCTGCGCGCCTCCGGTCCCTGGCCACTGAGGTTGCGCCGGTTTCGATGGGGCAAGCACGCCTCCCATGGACATCTGTTGTGCGAAAAACGGTGGCGGTGCTTGTGATGGTCCAGCAGGGGGCTGCATTGGAGGCAGGGAGATGTTGTAGTTGGGACCCGAAGGGGCTGCGCTGAAGCTTGGTGCTGGGACATTGGATGGGGTGAGTGCGGGAAAGGAGGGCTGCATGAGCTGCATGGCGGGCGCCGAGGAGAAAGAGTTCATCGGCACCATAGGCGCGGCGAGAGGCGGCGAGGGCGACGTCGTGAACACCGCAGAGTTGAATGAAGTTGACGAGACACGGGTTGCGCCTAATCCCGGACTGGGGCGACTGGTATTTGCGCGCGATACATGAGGATTGAGGGAGCTTGATATCCGTGGAGATGCAGGCTGAGACTGAGACGTCTGCAAAGGTGGGGAGAAAGTGGGTGCGCGTGCTGGTTGCACGGCTGGAGGGGACAATGCGGGGGGTACAGGGCTCTGGGAAGGGGATGCATAGTCAACATGGCGGAGCGCATCAAGGCTGAACAACAACTCACCGTCGAGCCACTGACCGTACCATTGGAGAAAATGCTACCCCAAACGTCATCCTCCCAACTTGGAGCCGGAGCATCGCCTGTAGCATTTGCCCTGATTGCGGGAGTACTACTACTCCCATTGCCCACGAGACTTTCGAAGTCGACAGCACCGTTCGCACCCACTGGGATACTAGATGAACTGGTCACAGCGGATCGGTCCTCGATACGCTGTGAGTCTCGGAGGTACTGGTCGTGTTCTTTCTCTACGCGATCGCCCAGCTTCTTGATAACATCCATGAACCTTTTGAATTGAGAAACGGTCAACACTGTGAAGCTGCAATTAGAACAGGGCATGCTGTAACAAGGAATGTCTCCCACATGGTCCCATCGACATCGCCCATAGCTGAGGAAGTACGAGGGTTGCAACAGCCTCGCGATCAACCTTCAGGCCCATCGCTTCCTGTACAGCCAAAGTAGCCATCTGCAAAAATATAAGGACACGAGTAAGGACACAGCTACAACATAGCATACCGTCACTGCGGGTTCTTTCGTCCGAATTCTTGATAACAACGGTACTAGTTTTTGAGTTAAACTCGACTACAAGAACGTGGTCAGTGAAGCTTTCGACCTTTGGCACCCCGAAGAGCTTACTTGATCGAGGGTGTGTACCATTGACAAGAAAGTTTCCAGCGTCGCTACTTTGACTGACAGCATACGTGTTTTCGTGAAGACCAACTAGTTGCATGTCAGAATGTCAGATCGACTTCCATCTTTCCTCCGTGATCCTCAGACAACTCACAGCGACTCGTGGGAACACCACGCCTTGTACCTCCGCATAGTCGATGGTCTCACAAAGGTTGGGGACGGACTTGAGGGCACGTTCTTGCACCTGAAATAGACTAGTGATAAGTTTAAGGCGAGAACAAGGTCAGACGTGGTCCTACGATGGAGTGCTCGCTCTCTAGCGCGTTGTAGACAAGAGGCAAGACATCTAAAAGAAAACAAGAATAAGTGACGCGACCTCAGAACTAAATCCCGAGTCCTTACGTTCTCGGAATACAGGCTTCTCCGTCTTCTGCTGCAGCAAAATCAAGTTGTCGAGCAATGTAAGCATGTTCTGCGGGGGCTCTTTTATTGCAAACAGCGGCTTGAGGCTGGGCAGTACGAGCGTCGCAAACTGCGTGGACGAGAGGACTTGTGCGATGGCAAAGATGTTGGGGAGGATGTAGGGTAGAAGGTGGGTGTCTTTCATCTACCTCTGTGTTTAGCGTCAACGCTCTCAAGAGGACGAAAAGACACTCACTTCTTCCAATAGCGAGGGAAGGATCTTACGCGTCCGAAGACCTTCCGAGAATTTGTCCAAAACGCTTGTCAGGCCCTTCATAAATGAGATCTTCTCTTCGCGAGTCTTCGCGGCAAAATTGGACCGGTCCAGGAAGCTCAGCGTCGAGACAGGCAAAGACGAGAAGAAAGGATGCAGTGGGAGATCTGATGGACTTGGCCGACCATGAGGTTGTCTGGTGATGAGGGCGCTGAGGAGTGCTAGACACGCGTTTCAGAATTCGGTTTTCCGAGCACTAGTGCAGGCACTCACAACGCAAGTCTTGCTCCAATCGTTCCATACCGACCAGGGGCTTACCGGCATTCTCCCGCAAAGACGACAGGCTGCCATGATTCTTGAAAGGCGGGTTTCCTTTGCAATGTACCGCATAAATTAAGCAGCCAAGTGAGTACATATCAGAGGCGGGATCGAGCACTTCGTCGAGCGCGTATTCGGGGGCTGTTCGACCGAATCTTCAGAATCACGCAGGCACGGACGTCGCGACCGACACACCAATGTAGTCGAATGAACGTTGAGTATATGTCGACGCACGTCCATCAAAGGTCGGATATTCCCACCGGGGAGCACTACCGTCTGGTCGTGATAGAGCAATCGTTTGTCCCAGGCCCGAAAGCTTCCAGTCGCCCTGTTTGAACATGAGTACGCGCCACTGATCCGACACAGAGCAGAAGCGTACCGCACTATTGATGATAATGCTTTCCAAGTTAATATTTGAGTGTAGAAGGCGGGCGGAGCCGTGCATGAAAGTCAGGCCTTTGCATAGCTGCAGTATACCCTTCTGGATCTAAACGCATCCAATCAGATACAACATACAGAGCGGCAGTTATACAGCGCAGCTAACCTCGACTTCGTCAAGTTCCACAAGTGGCATATACTGGAACGAGCCAGGGACCGAGAGGTGCAGAGACGCGAGCACAGGCTCGGTCGCGAAGATGAGTTCCGTCCGAGTTTCTTCCAGGGGTTCCACAACCTCTTCAAGCCTGCCGTCAGCCCTCTACATCCAACGCTGCCTACCAAAACCTCCCGGCTCACCTAGCACGGACGGGTGCCTGAGCCTGCTCAGCGCGGACGCCTGCCCAAGTACCGCCCCATAGTCTCAGCCTCCCTGCCCTCACAATCGCCGATCGCAAGCCCCGCACGCACGCACCTCGCCTTGAGCACCTCCAACGTCTTGTCCCGCGACTGCGGACCCATCCGCTCCATCTCCTGGCTCTTCTTGTCCGCGGTCCACACCGAGACGCGTTTGCCCGTGACCTTGTGCGTCGCAGGCTGCACCCGCCAGGGCCCGATGCTGAACGGCGGGGGCGCGGCCGCCGGGGGCAGCGAGCCAGCCGCGGAGCCCCCAGGTGTAGGGGTGCCTGTCCTGCTCCCACCGACGACGGACGGCGCGGCGGTGCCGATGGTGTAGTTTTGGGAGATGTTTGTGCGGGCGAAGAACGAGGAGGCGGCCGCGAACATGGTTGACAAGAGGATAAAGAAGCAGTAGTATTCGCGGCACAAATGGTAAGCGCAGCAGACAGGAGGTGCGAGGATGGCGAGCGCAGCTCGGTGGCCGCGGAAGCTGAAGAGTGGTTCGCGTGCAGCACTGCGCCTTCCTCTCCATCCCCGCCGGAGTCGGCGCTTTCGCCCAGTCAATGCACATTACGGGCGCCAAACGGCTCAAAAGCACAAGCAAGTACCAGATGCCGCGGATCCACAGCAGCGATCCGACGTTTTATTTAAAGTAGCCACGTATGAGCGGGATGAAAAACCTGCGTGCAGGGCTGACCACGGGAGGTACAATGGCTCGTCCAGCGGCCCCTCGTTCCACCCATGAATTCGCTGAAAAGACATTTAGTACGCGAGCATCATGACATAAAACCAAGTACTCACTACATATTTGCCCGATGACTACGACGAAGAGCATTGCCCATATAAATCCAGTCCTCCCTCCGACCTTCCGCCCTGTGCATGCACCGTATACTTTCTCAAGAGCGATCCCTGCTGCCTGCAGTACGAAGAAAGCCACCATCCTCCAGTCTATGCGCGCGCCACCCAGCCAGAATCCCACTTCGTGATATAATCCCGACGCCAGGAACACGCCGAACAACCTCCCAACATCACCTGCGACCCACGCCCCAGGATAACCTCCGATGACCATGAACGTATGGCGGAGAGTCTGGTGCCACCGCCTCGACCAAAACTCGTGCAACGAACGCGCCAACCACGGACGATCGTGACATGGAGGCCACGCCGAGGGTGGTTGGCCGCACAGGCCCACTCCGACCAGCGACGCGAGGTCGTACCACAGCTCGATCCCGAGCACGATGCACAGCCCAATCGATACATGAAGCAGCGTCGATACCGCGTAGCGTTGCAAGGGTGGAAGCCACGGTAAAAATATCGTGCCACCCGTGGGGGTGATTCCTGGAAGAAGTTCGAGGAGGGAGTTGGCGGCGTCCACGATAAGGTAGGTTCTGACGATGGAGAGGGAGGTGGTTCTGAGATAGGTTCGTCGATCCAGAGGCCGCCGCATTTCCGGGAGACGGACCCCTTGCCCAAATTTCCATCTGATGCCTCGTGCGGCGGAGCCGACCTCCCATGCGTCTGAAAGCCATGGCGGTATGAAGTTCTGTCCTTCACGTAAGGGATCCGGCAAGCGAGAGTGTCTTCTCCCTCTTTCAAGGCGCCCTCTGGAATGATCGCCCAGTATGTTGTATGGGCCGACAAGGTCAAAGCAGCAAGGCCTGAGACACGTTAGTGATACCTACCTGTTTACAATATACAACACCTACCTCTGACCCAGTCAAACCACCCTGCATAGTCATTGCCACTCAAGAAGAGGGTGACCGATCGTATGTAAATCGTGATGGCAACTGGCAGCAGGCAGAGTCGACGCAGGTAGGTGCCTGCTCTTCTGGTCAAGTACGCCATTGAGAAATACAGCGTCAGGACGGCCAAAAAGTACGGCACTGCTAGTAGCCAGAACAGAGATCGTTTGTGCCAGTCTCGAAGTGCAGCGTAGAGTTTGTACGCTCTGGCGTCATTTTCCATGATTGGAACTGGGCAACGTCAGTAAACCTCCTAATCAGCCGCAAGGAACGTACCGGGTAGAACGAGGAATGGGGGGGGGTGAATACACGCGTAACTCTGCCCGCTCCTGAAGTATGTTGCTCAGATAATTGACGCCAAACAGGGGTAATCAAAGTCCACGTGTGCCGTAAGATTACGTGGAGCTAGCGATAACGGCATCAGCGGTTACAATAAAACGCCGCGGAAACACTTCGCCTACTTTGAGCACTCCGCCCCCTTTAACGCCACGTACACGAGCCACCGGGAAGATGGAAGGACGAGTCGCCGAATTGGGCTGAGCTGAGTGGGAATGGTCGTTGCTCCGCCGATCCCTCTTGAAAACCACGCATCGGCTGCGCCAGGGAATCAGAATAGATCTTCAAAGGCCGCGGAGAAACAACTTACTGCACATCTGTCCAAACCCAACCACGAACAGAGCCGCCCACATGAACCCGAAGAACCCGCCCACCCTTCTCCCCATCACCTCCCGAAGAGTCTTCTCCAGCACAACCCCCACGGCCTGCAGAAGGAAGAAGACGAGCACCCGCGCGTCGAACCCTACGCCTGCGGCGGTGATCCCCAGTTCGTGCACCAGCCCGGACGCCAGGAACGTCCCCACCGTGGCGCCCGCCCTGCCCGCGACTGCGCGTCCGGGGAAGCCTCCATATACGAGGAAGACGTGCCGCAGAGCCTGGTGCCACGCGCGCGACCAGAACGCATGCAGCGACGTCACATGCCAAAGTCCCCCGGTGATGGGCGGCCATCCCGCCGGGCTCTGGCCGATACCGAGGACAGCGAGAAGGGCGAAGGAGTCGTACACGACGCAGACGCCGCAGTGAATGAGTAGACCGAAGCCCAAATGGAGGACGGTAGAGAGGGCGTAGCGCGGGAAGGGCGAGAGGTGGGCGAGGAAAATCGTGCCGCTGGTGGGACCAACGCCTGGAGTGAGCTTGATGATAGTGTCGATGAGATCGATAGCGAGAACGTTGTGAACGAGGTTTTTCAGAGCGTGCACGACAAAGGGACGGCGGGACAAGGGCTGGGTTGGAGGAGGGACGTAGATATATTGTCCGAAGTCCCATCCGATACCGCGCATAGAAAGTCCGACCTCGAGCGCATCGCATAGACCGTCGGGAAAGTGGGCGAGGAGGCCGGTGCGGTTGGCATTATTACTCCGAATGGGGCCCTGCTGATCGTTGACTACCTTGAGCGACTGCTCGGTCATTTTATGCCTCCCATTCTTTGCCCATGCGAAATCTATAGCTTTGGCTATGCAGACCAGGGCAATTATACCTGCAGTATGACGAATAAATCAGTGTATCTCTCACCCGAGGCATATAAGTAGATGACAAACCTCGATCCCACTCATACCATCTCAACCGCGGATTGGCAAAGGTATATCCCCAAGTGCATCTGACGGCCATTGCAACCACCAGTGGCAGGAGGAGTATTCTCAAAAGACGTGTGTCTCGTCTGCGAACGAGATATGCCATGAAAAAGTAGGGAATGCAGTATGAGAACACCTGCGGAAAATTCGTCCATGTCACGATGCGTCGGTCTTCCTGCCTGGGCACAAACTCTCTAGAGGCGAGCTTGACGGCATAGAATATTCTGAAAGCGCGCACGACGTCTCATTTGTCAGCGCTGCCCCCGCAAAGACAAATAGCCAGATCTCTGACTCACTGATCCATGAGGACTGAAGCGCTTGCAGATGAAGTCAAATTGCACCAAGAGCACAGAAGAGCAGTCGACGCCTAAGTCCACAGCCCTGGTCGCCACTTGTGCAATCTGTGCGAACAAATTCGAATGCGAGACAGTGAGACCGGAACATCCAGGAGAGCCGACGTATGAGGAACGACGTGGCACTCGTGGTGTGTCGTCGAGCACGCCGGATCATCAACCACTCACCCGTATCCTCAGGACCTCTGGATGACTGCCCGCACTTCAAGTTGAAAGATGGCGTTGAGACAAGGAGCGGCTTCTTGCCAGGCTCCAGGATGGGCGGGGGAGTAATGGCTTCGGCGAACCAAGGAAAATTCAAAATTCAAATTGGCAACGGGGTCTGGACAAATGATCGGGGTTCCGGGTCTGACCGATCCCGACGTCATCGGTCCCCGATCCGCGTCGGGTGCCTGCCCTCGCTCGTGGTGGCAGTGTGTCCTGTGGTTTTCCGTCTTGTCCGCCCAATCGCTCGCGCTCGGGAGGTGCAATACGGCCAGCAGATCGACCTGCGGCTAATGCACCGCCCTCCTGGACGACATTGCCGCCCTTTCTCCAAGTAGGTATGCGCCCTTTTGGCAAGTTTGGCTTTGAAGAGCAACATGGAGAGTATGTGTTTTGTTCAATGGATAACGCAAACCTACCATGGACAGAGCAGAGATGTTCTCCGTGCACGGTACCACAACATCTAAACCTTCCACGTACCCGAAAGTGCCAATGAACGGAGCATGATACATGAACAGAAAGTATTGAGAACTAGGTAAGCTTTTGGGGGTAAGAACGGCTGGCATATGCGGGAAAACAACAGGTCGTAACGGTCGTAAAAGGAAAAGAGAAAAAGATATAACTTAGGTGAACATACAGCACGTAGACACACAGTCGTAGGCGGGACCCAACCTGAACAAGCGTTCAACGGTTGGGACGCAGGTACCGTTGCACATCGTTCAGCCCAAGCGCGGGGAAGGGCACTCCGCCCATGGCCAGGATCTCGCTCTGCAGCGTCCCGTACTGGTCCGTTGTGATCTGCAGCGGCACCTCGTACTTGAACATCGGGAAATTCTCGAGATGGCTCGGTGGCAGGATAAGAAGCCGCAGAATGTGCTGAGAGATGGGACAACCAATTAGCACGGTTCACGCAGCATGGCTCATCATGATCAACTTACCTCGACAGCAACCACGTTGTGTACCTTCCAGGTCGACTCCCGCGCCGCCTCGCCTGCTTGAACTTCTAGTCGGAGGTACGTGGTGCCCTCCTGGCTTTCGTCCGCGAGGTAGATGTCCGCGCGCGAGAGGACCTGCTCGCGGATGCTGATCTGCGCGCCGAGTGAGATCCACGTCTTCTGCCGCTTCACGAGCGTGAGGTGCGCGTTGTGGGACAGCAACCGCGCGAGTGCAGGCGCACTAGGACATGCAATCTCAAGGGCGATCGAGATGACCTCGCCCGACGCAAAACACTTGCTGTCCGGCATCGTCACCTAACGGCCGCCGCAAACGAGGCACAATGCGGATCAAGGCGGAAAGGAAGCCGAGGCGCGTTGGTGCAGGTCAAATTGAAGAGTGACTCAGTCAGCGCCTAGGTTAGATCACAGGGACGCAGGCGGGCGCACCGAGATCTGCGGTAGGTCATCCCGCCGGCGAGCAGCTTCCTCCAGCTTGGGGTTCCAGATGGGCATGAGAGGGACGGTGCACATGCGTTCCAGAGAGTTTTCCACGTGGGCCCACGGCAAGGCTTCTACAGGTGGCAACGTAGGGCGTGTCTTCGGGAGGTAGAGCACATGCGTCGAGAACCTACGTAAAGGTGCAAGAGTGAGCCCGCTATGGAGCACGTTCTTTGAGCAACAGAACACACCTTTCGTGGCGCCGGAAGCTCTTGCGCGTGATGTCAACACGGAACGTGTAGAAGACCTCGGTCGTGATGCCCGGCTGGTACACAGTGTACGACGGCGGAAGCAGGTCGGCCCCGTCTGCAGTGAGCTCCGGGAAACGAATCGCGAACGGGTAGTCGCCCCGCAGCGTCTCGCTCTTCCCGGCCGCGGTGAAGAGCACGACCTTCTTCTTCAGAATCACCGCACGACTCACACCCGGCACGGCGACCGTCGCGTGTTGGGTCGCGGACGTATTAATCGCGCCTATAAGCTGCGCGCATGCACACCTTATCAGCTACTGCTTCTCCCCACACCCGCGCGGTGCACGCACGCGAGCCGCGACCACGAACGACACTATGAGCGGCGGACTCACCGACACCGACAGCTCAAGGACGTGCGAGCATTGCTTGCGGAAGGTGACGATCCCGTCGACGGTGCCCTGTGAACCGTACGCGGGGAGGACGAGACCCCAGTGAGGCGGATGGAGGCGGATCTCAAGATGGTCGGTCTTGTAGACGTGCTTGGCGCCCTCTGGCGCGGCGGGCGCAAGCCCTGTGGGGTGGTGCTCGGACTGCAGCACGCGCTCCGCCGTGGCGGGCCGCTCTGAGTAGAGTGGGGAGGGGGCGGAGGGCGAGACGGGGGAGTAGATGGGGGGCTGGTCGAACTCCATGGCACCTACAGGGCAACCCAGGGCCGGGGCGGACGAGCGGGCGGCAGACGGTCGCGATTGCGGGGGAAAACAACGGTGGGCATGAGTCGGCGCTGGGAGCTTTAAGGCGGCAGGTGGTAGGATGACAGGGTCGTGCTTCTGCGCGCGCTGCGTACAGACCGGCGGGAGAGTTGGCGCGGGACTCGAGGCGGGACTCCGGCAGCGTGGTCAGCAGCTTTGTCAGCACTCACTCTGAGCAGCGTCTCTCTCTCCGCGGCGATCGTGCCCACCACGTGCGACGGCATCTAGTATAAGTTATACGCACCAACTCTCTGCCAAAACGTACTGCCTATGCCGTGCCTAGGCCATAGCATCCTCGACCAACGTTTCCGGCCCCGTCGCTTCATGGTTGCGCGGGCAAACACAAACGTGTCCCTCCATCGGACCCCAGCGCTCTCCTCTATTCCTCACGCGACATACTCAAGGTCGAGACGGCCTGCAATTTAGTTCCATGGTCCTACAAAGAGGTCGTATTACAGTCGGTGAGACATGATGGGGTGCACTACGGCTTAATCATCACACAGGAGAGATCGCTCAAAAGAATTGCATCTTCGACGTTCTGGATGCGTCAGGTTAGCCGCAGCTCGCCGTAGACAGGTGAATTTGAGTTACACACCTGAGACGGACTAGGACCGCGGCCAAGAGAATGATCGGGCTAATCCAGTAGGCAAGCACCCGGACGACAACAGAGCTGTGCGTGGTGGTCCAGGCCGACCAAGCTCCGCCAAGATGGGCAGTGAGCAGGAAGAGCGGGAATAGGACATATCCCGACAGCCTAACGAACGAGTAGGCCGAGTCAGCTCCGGCCACGAGATATGATTGAGGTGCGTCAGTGACTGACCTGTGGTACTTCCAAAATTGCTTTGCCTTGCTTCCACCGCCGAACAGGCGCCCTCCAAACCAAACGCTGCCGCCGCCGACCGCCACTTGAGCAACTAGCCAAACAATGGAGGTAATCCCCAGAGTCTAATGCCGTGCGTGAGATGCTGGGCGTGAATTGCGTAAACAAGGCGCGGACTTACTCCGTGCCAGGTGGTGAAGTGCGGCGACTCGTGGAGGTTCTTGTTCCAGATGATAGCGAGCGCGCCTAGAGCAATGGCCGGCACGCCGAAAGCAGCCATGGCTAGCTGGTGCCTGGTAAGTCCCGCGGCCTTCGTCTTAGCCTGCGATGTTGGCTGAAGAGTCAGAATGCCTTATCGGAGTATGTGAGCCTAGAGCGTCTGTGCCATTTAAGGGCGGAGGAACTGACCGTATGTGAACACAGAGATTGCAAGACTCTGCAAGAGGGGATGGAAAAAGAACAGTCCGAGAGAAGTTGGGTTGTTCGTGAGCGTGATGACCCATGTGGACACAAAGAACACCTGGATCGAAAGCGTCAAAACACTACAGCACACCTTCCAAATGTCCACTTACTCCTGCGGACACCTGGATAAAATACAGGGGATAAGTGGCAGGAACGCAAGGAGCAAGAACCATAGCGACGGACATAGCTGCCCACTTGGCCACTACATCGCCTGGCCGGCCTTCCGGCTTGACGTACTGTTCGTCGTGACCCATACTCTCCTCCGATCTAAGGGGGGTGTCGGGCTCCAGGATTAAAGGTTCGTCCTCTTCAGCTCCAGGGTGGGGTGTACCGGGAGGAGGGCGTGTGGGGGAAGTAAGTGAGGGGGCATGTTGACGCGAGCGAGGTATATATGGCTTCGTGAGTGAAGAGCGGCGGGGCAGAAGAGAACACGGACGACTGGGAAGTGTGCGTGGGGGAAGTGGGTACGTGTCAGCGCATGATATGCGGCCGGTCGCACGAGCGCGGGGGATAGAGCGAGCAATGGGAGGCTGCGAGAGCGTCAGCACCGGGGCCGCATCTGCTGTGTGAACGGAGCGGGCGTCGGAGAGCATCGCCCGCAGCCTTAGCACAGAGTCTATCTCAGGCACGTGAGAGGCCTGACGAATGACGAGCGCGGGGTCCTGGAGGGTCCTGGGCGGCGATCTCCCTCTCGATCTCTCCGAGACCCCGATCGCTTCCCCGCGGGGCTCGGCCACTGACGCCGCCTGGGCTGGCCCCCCGCTCGACTGCACGGCCCTCGCTCACCCCTCGCTGCTCGCTGCTGCCTCTGCACCACCTCTTCGATGCGCCCGACTTCTCGCTTGCTGCAGGCGACTGCAGCCGCTATGCAGCGACAGAAGAGCGTCAGTTTCATCGGCCTGGGCCGCATGGGGTCCGAGATGGCCTTCAACCTCTTCTCTCGCACTCTGGTCGAGTCTCATGGTAGCACTCGGTTTGTTGTCTGCGACGCGAGGGAAGCGACCTCAGCTGCGTTTGTGAACAACTTTACCCACCACTTCCCTGGAGCCCACGTCCAAATCGCAACTACCCCTGCAGAGTACGTGCCTCCTCCGTCTGTCATACGGTAGTCGCAATTCATCATCGTTGCTCTTGACTCAGAGCCTTGCTCGCCTCTAACACCGTAGTCACCATGCTGCCGTCGTCACCCCACGTGCGAAACGTTTACAACGAAGAAGACGGCATCATCCCTGCACTCAACACACTCCCCCCTGAAGCCATTGCGTCGACGCTCTGCATAGACTCGACAACCCTTGATGTCGAAGTCGCGAGGACCGTCTCGTGCAACGTGCAGTCAACCGGTGCGGCCATGGTCGACGCCCCCGTGTCGGGCGGGGTGGCGGGCGCGAAAGCAGGCACGCTCAGCTTCCTCGTGGGCGGACCGAAGTCGGCGTTCAAGCAGGCATATCCAACCCTGACCCATATGGGCAAGCAGATCATCTACTGCGGAGACTCTGGCACGGGCCTGGTCGCGAAGATCTGCAACAACCTCATCCTCGGCGTCCAGCAGATCGTCGTCGCGGAGTCGATGCTGCTCGGCCAAAAGCTCGGTCTGGACCCGAAGGTGCTTGCGGGCGTCGTGAACAGCTCGACGGGTGCGTGCTGGTCGTCGTCGGTGAACAACCCGGTGCCGGGCGCGCTGCCCGGCAAGTCGCCGCCGTGCGAGCGTGACTACGAGGGCGGGTTCGCGACGACGCTGATGCTCAAGGTGCGTCTTGATTGCACGCACTCGAGATGGGCAGCTGAACGACTGCGTCATGACGTCTTGCAGGATATGGGCCTCGCGACGGACTTGGCGGCAGGTGCAGGGAGCCCGTTGACACTGGGACAGGCGGCGGAGAAGATCTACGCGGACGTGGTGGAGGACTCGGACCTGGCGAACAAGGACTTTTCGGCAGTGTACAGATACTTGAGGGTGTCCGGGTACCCTAAGGGCCCGTAGGACGGCTGAACGTAGCGTCGTGTACGATAGTAACGAGGGATTGTCGCCGCAGTGAGCCGAACGCCGGAACGCGTGCGTGAGACTGTCGACGACGAGAGCCTGGGACGTCGAGCTCGGGACGCGGGCCGTCGGGGGCGACGGGGCTGAGACCGACCCGGGGGCAGATCGCGGCCAGCGGGGCGGCCGAGCGGCCCAACGGCCGCCTCAGTGCCAGAAAACTGCCTGCACGCTCTCTGCGCACCGTGCTCGCGGCTCTCTCCTCCGCCCATCCCCTCCACCCTCGCCGCCGCCCCACTCGACGCTGGGTGCGCCCTTCCCTCCCACCTGCCTATTCCGGCATACCCTACTACTAGCCGACTCGCTAAATTCACATCGTTCTCTGAATCGCCCTTGATCTCTCTCTCCAACCCCCCTTCTCTTCCTCTCCTCGCCTCCTCGCCCGTCCCATCTTGTCATGGCCTCCAAGCCGAACGCGATCATTTTCGGTGCGCATGATGTCCCCATCCTGCCCCCGCTCGCCTCTCACCATCCTCCAACCGAACACGCCCCGTCTTAGGCGGCCTCAACACATGCTCGCGCACCCTTGCCACGCTTCTCGTCCCGCCCAACGGCGGCGAACGCCTCGTCAAAGTACGCACCCACCCCCTCTGTCCACGCTCGACATCATAACATTCGCTCGTCGCAGAACCTGCGTATCATTGACAAATACTCGGTCAGGCCGGCCACTACGTAAGTCCAGCCATCGAGCTACGTCTCCTCCCTGCATGCTTAGACAAACACTCTTGCGTCGCGCAGCTACCTGAGCTCCGTCTTCCCCCAAATCCTCGACCTTCCCGACGTCGAGTACCGTCAAGCCAACCTCACCGTCGCCTGTATGCCGAACACCCATACGACGCTCCTAGGTTTCCTCACAAAGCTGATCATCGCCTCTATCCCACAGCGACTGTCGCTTCGTGTTTCGATCCAAAGGAGGGCGAGGAGCCGTTCGACTACGTCTTTGACTTCACGGGCGAGATCCAGTGGGACCGGCCAGAGGGAGTGAGTTCCACCATGTCCCAACGCCCCGCGCGCCCGTCTGACCTCGCCCGCGTGCCCAAAGATCCAAATCGGACACACGCTCAAGATCGCGCGACTCATCGGCCTGGAAGCCGCGAACCGGAAGGTCAAGGCGTACGTGCGGATACAACACCCCTTCTACCAATGCAAGGACTCTGGCTCGCACGATGAGAAGGAGGACGTGAAACCGGAAGGCGTGATCGGCACCTGGTGGCATGAGACGCTGCGCACCTTGGGTGCGATTGAGGAGTAAGCGGCCGCCATGCGTCTCCAGCCGAGCTGCTTCTGAGCTCGCTCTCCAACCAGCCTCAACCTGGTGATCATTCGCACGGCCCTTCCTTATGGCCCGTATGTCAACTACCTCGGTGAGCCTGGGCCGGACGAGATTCACCCCACAACAGGGACTGACAACTGGTTTAGCCCTTATCCCTTTCATTGCAGTAGCAGCATGTTACGGACATCTTAAACAGACCATGAAAGCTTTGTAAGTCATCCCACCTCCGCCTCTGAATGTCAGCTAAACGATACTGGCAGGCACTCCCCTGGCAAGTACCCGTCGCACACGGTTCACGTCGATGATATCACGGGAGCGATGTGGGCCGCTGCGGAATGGATGGCGAAGACCGGGCGGAAAGAGGCTGATGCTGTGGCTGGCGAGGAGATCATGTTCAAGAATGAGAAGAGCAAAGCCAGTGAGGTTGAAGGCATGGTTTCGCCATCGACGAAAGTCATTGCACCTTTATTCAACCTTGTGAGTACCCGATTGCATATGACGTATGTTGATCGACCACTGACGTGGGCCTAGGAGGACGACTCGCATGTCACCATGGTCGAGAAGGGAATGTCATTGCGTCCTACTTCGGCACGACGTTCGACTTCCACAACTTCGTCACGAATATCGCTGCCAAGGTAAGTTTCTTAGCATAATGAGCTAGGGTCTGTTGTGACACTCATCCTTGCTCTAGTTCCGCCTCGAGGACATCATTGAGGATATAAACGAGGTGCACGTCAGCACGTGGACGACGATGATCACGACTTCGAACCCGCCGATCCCTAACACACAATTCTCGTCCTATATGGATCTCTACAACCTGAAGAAGCACACCGTTGCTTTCAATGCGGACAAGATCAAGCGCGTAATTGGGTACCAGCTTAAGCGGCCAGAGTTCAACCACGACGCGATTGGCGATATGGTCGAGAAGCTCAAGGCAGAGCACAGCTGGCCAAACAACGAGCCCTGACTGTGCGCTGGTCAGGATTTGGAACGGTGATGTGATGTCTGGATGATTCTGTCATGATGTTATGAATGAGTTATGTGCTAGTCAGGTACCCTGTGTTGTCTTGTGTTCGATTTACTAGCTAGTAGCACCACTATCGGCCTCGTACCCCACCTATCCTCTCCCATACGCGTACGCCTCGCGCGCCGGGGCAGCCACGTCCCGTGCCCGCGTGCACTAATGTCTTCGTTTGCATATACTCGCTATCTCGCCCGAGCACCTGTTGTTTCCAATTGCATGGATTGTTGTCGAAGTTCGGAAGTTCTGATTCTGTTGTCCATCCTCGTATCCCTGCGATCCGCCCGTCTTCTCTGTCTGGAGTCTTATCTCTCGCACGAGATCCGAGCTGGACAGTAGCAGGTCCGTGGCGAGGGTCGCGAAAAGGCGGATGAATATTCGCGGAGGCAGATCGCTGAGTTGGCCACGTTATCAGATAGCCTGCGCCGATCTGGGGCGAGGCGCGCCCATAGTACGGCGGTGACAAGCTCGCCGCCCGCCAGGCAGCATGCGCCTTCCTTCCCCCGCTCCCACCACGAGCTAGCCAGACAGCGCTATGCTCACACGTCTGCCAGAGGACCTTGTGCTCGACATCATCTACTACCTGGTGTCCGCGACCTCCTCACCCTTCGCAAGGTCTGTTCTCGCCCCTACCCTGCTGTCCCATTGTCCGCCGCCACTGACCATCCTACTTCCCAGACCTGCCGCTTTCTCCACGGCATCGGGGGCAACGACTACGTCTGGCACCGGCTCATCGCCGCCTTTCCCCTCCCACTCGATGTGCCCCCGCACACGCTCCCCTGCACGCTCCCTGGCGACGAGCTCCAGCGGCTCGCCATCCGGGCCATCCGCCTCGACGCCAACTGGCGCGCCACCCGCACACGCGTCCGCGGCCTCCGCGCACTCACCGACGACAAGAGCGGGCAGTACGTCGACCAGATGCAGTTCCTCCCCGGCGGCCGCTGGCTCTGGACCGCGCAGCGCACCCTCAGGCGCGACTCGTGGTACACGCGCATGAGCCTCTGGTCGCTCGTCGCCGACGGCGACACGCCTTGCCGCGCGTGGTCGACCGAGACCTCGGGCATCTACCGGAATTGCACCGTCGTCCAGAGCTCCGACGGCGACCTCGTCACACTCGCCGTCGGGGTGTGCGACCATCGAGAGTGAGTGCTCCGCGTCATCCCATCTCCGAGTCACCGTGCTTGCTGCCCCTGCGACTGCGAGGGTCCTCACGCGGCGTTCTTCTGGCACAGGGTCATCGAGGTCCACTCGATCTCGCTCGAGCAGGCGACGAGCACGCAGTGCGGCCTCTATCCACCGTACCCGCCCCGGCCGTCGCCCACGAAGAAGCAGCTGCTCATCGTGCCCCATCCGCGCGCGCCGCACCTACGCCCCATCATCCACGAAATAACCTCACACGGCCCGGACCTCCTCATCGTCACCATCTTCGCCTTGGACACCGGTGGGGGTGCGGGCTCGCTGCAGATCCTCTTTGTCCACCCGGGGACGGGCGCGACGAAGTGGGTCGACCCCAGTTTCGCCCAGGTGAGCCTTCACTTACGCAGCCCCCGACCTCGACGGGCTGAACGCGTGTTCCGGGTACAGTCCTTCTCGTTCTTGTGGGTCCGAGTTTGGGGCGACTTCCTCTTCCTCATCGGCGAGGTCGTCGACGACTTCGCGGTCCAGGTCTACCGCATCCCCCAACCGTTCGCCTCGACGCCCTCCTCCCCCGGGGCGAGCCCCCCAGCGACACCCGCCCCCGACGACCCCGCGGGCGCCGAAGACGACGACTACGCGTACACCGACCTCGGGCCCGTGCTCTCCAAATTCGTCGGTCCCACCCCGATGGCCGTCCCGGGTCACCACATCGCCCAGGTCTCGCCCGCGACGGCGTCGACGACGAGCCTCTCCGCGATCATGTTCTACCACTCCTCGCACCCGCACAGCGCGCAGCTCCTCCGCTTCGGGTTCGACCTCTCGTCCCAGTCCGTCGCGTTCAAGAACATGTCGTCGAAGGACTTCCCGATCGGGAACGAGTCCTCGGCGCAGCTCGCCCAGGTCGGCGCGCTCGGCCTCCGCGCCGTCTGGCTCGAGCACAACTGGGAGACGCAGCTGAACCGGGTGATGAAGCTCGCGTACGACCCGCGCACGCGGACGGCGACGGTCGGGATGCTCCTCCCGCCCGACCCTGAGCTCCCGTTCTCGCCCAACATGTGCCACTCGCTCGCGTTCGACGAGGTCACCGGCCGGCTGTGTCTGGGAATGTACGACGGAAAGGTATATCTGCTGGATTTTGTAGTATAATTTACGGATGCTCGGAAACCCAGTTCTCTCCCCTCCAATTTCCCCACGGTACTCCATGTCGTCGATACAGTGCTGTATTGTCCAGTGTAATCTACTGAAAGCCAATCCATGCGTTTTGAGAACACCCCGATGCCTGATTCCTTCACTCGGCAAGCTGTGGCGGAGGCGGAGGCGCAGACTTCGGCGGGGGCGCGGGGACCACCTCGTCGAGGAAGCCGGGCAGGAAACGCTCGATACGCTCGTGCGTTGCCGCCCACAGTGCAACCTGGCGTTCCGCACGGTGGTCATCTGCACCGCTCGGAGGTGGCACGAGGAGGCCTGTGGCGTTCATGACGAGCAGCACGTTCTTGAGGGACTCAGGCACGGCCTCGTACTGTATTGCAAGTTATATCAGCATGAGCGAATCAGTTTGCATGGCACGGAAACAGACGTACCAGCTGGTCACGACGGTCAACGTGCATTAGCCTGTCGAGGAGGTCGAGGACCTGGATCCAGAGGACGCGAATGTCGGCGGTCTGACCCTCGCGCGCCTCGAACTGCATGAACGCCTTGCAGAGCAGCGCGGAGGCGCGGAGGCGCGTCTCGGGCATACCGAGCGGGTCGCGCATGAACACCTGCGGCTTGAGGAGGTCGTCGAGGAGCGGGAAGACGGTGCGGTTGAAGATCTCCTCTATCTGCGCGTGGTTGTTCTCCGTGAGCGGAAGGTGCGGGCCTAGGAGGATGCGCTGGAGGTGCACGATTGCTGTGTGTCGAATATCGCGGGATGTGTTGGAGCTTTGGTGAGACAGGGAAACGAGGAAGGGTAGGCTGCATTGTCGCCAAACTGGTAAACAGCGAATCAGACACCATTCATAGCGGAGAGAGACCGTGAAGACCTACTTTGTGCCTTTTGAATACCTGAAGCGTCCGTGAAACGCGCCCAATACTTCTTCAAATCCGCAATCATGTCCACTGCCCTCCGGCCGCGCTCCACAATCGGAGAACTGAAAAAGATTTAAGCCTTGAACACGCGGAAACTTGTGAGAGGACCGCGTACTTAGCGGGGGTCAACGACTGCGTTCGCCTCCCTTGCTGCTGCGCATCTACAGCGACGCCAGCAGCAGTCGCAAAGTCATCCAGCGCATTGACGAGTCCAACGAAGTTGTCGATCGTTACAAGAGCGTCATTGCTGTCGGAGACAAGTCCGCTCAGAATCTCGAACGACTGGCGCGACGCTTCGGGATGAGAAATGGTCGACCGCAACAATGCGAACACGACATTCCACTCCGTTTGTGAACGAACGATGTCTCGGTTTTGCTCTAGGATCAAGGTTAATCCTGCCACAATTTGTTCGGCCACAGCATTGGTGACGTTTGGAGGAAGGCGTGCCAGAAGATCGAACGAGAGGTAGATTTGATCACGAAGAGCGTGCTATATTCAATGTCAGAAATGCAGACCGATCGAGAGACACATGCTTACCTTCCGCGCGAGGACGAGGCACAGCCGGAGGAGCGCTACCACCGCACGTTCGATCAGCAGGACGCTGTACTGCGTTGGTATTGATAACAAAGCAGACAGATGCTCGAAAACGATCGGCCTGGCCCGCTTTGCTCAACAGGGGAGCGGAAGAAGGTAGAGACGACATACCAGATCTCTTCGATGTACTGCGATGTTTGCTGTGCTATGCTGACCATGACTTCAAGAAGGAAAACGCATGCAGGGTCATATGGAAGGGTCGGTTCCTCGTGAGCGGCTGCTGCGGCAATGTCATCCGACTCCAACTTGAGCTTCGCGACCGTACGTTCGTGGGCAAGAGCTTCCAGAGCGCGTACTGCAGCGATCAAGGCATCTGGCGCGAGTTGCCTATGAACATCTATCAGCACCGAAATTGAGAGTATGGAATACTTATGGATATGCATACATAATCTGCGAGTACAGTTCGTCAAGACGACATGTCGAGAGACAGTCAATGGTGCAGAGAGTGTTCTCAACATCTGTATCAGTCGCATCTGGAACCAGAGCGTCTGCACTCGAGGCATACGGCGTCATGAGATACGAAGACAGTGCGGAAAGCAAACCGTCTGATCTCGGCGCCGTCCGAGCCGGTTGCGCGCGACGCAACGGGATGATTGACGCGCCACCCAGGAAATCTTCCATTTGGAGCATTCGGGTAGGGAGCAAGGAGTGGAGGAAGAGGGTCTGGAACATCTCGAATATCTAATGGAAGATTTAGAGGATCATAGAATGCTCATTAAAACAGCACTACACACCTGGGTCCAGGCTTCTCGCAAAGCGTTCGCATTGCCGTTGACAATGTTGAAGAGTACCACGGCTGCAAGCTGTCCCTTGAAATTGGTCCCGAACTTGACGGAAAGTGAGGACACAGTGATCGATTGCCCGTCCACATCGACCACTGGGTAGTTCGGCACCTGCGAGTACTGAGTTTCCGAAAGCAATGAGGTCGCTTGCGACAACGATGCCACGATGTAGTCGAAGACGTCGGGCATGTCAAAGTGACGCGCGAGTGTAGCGCACTGGCGGAATCCAGCAATGGCCCGCTCAATGACGTAGTCGTCATCGAAAGTGATGAACGCATAGGCAATTGCGGACACTACCGAGCGCCATACGGACTTGAACATGTCGGCGTCGAACATGGCAGTGTTGCATGAGAGGAAATCGCCTAAATAAAATGAGTACACAATGCCCGTTGTGCACCAGTGTAGTGAACTAACCAGCCTGTCGCGTCCGAGCTAACAGCTCTTTCCAAGCATACTCGAAGCCTAGCTGACCAGTATGCTCTTCTGGCATGATAATCTCATTCCTGCGAATGGACTCATATGTGTTGTACTACGAACAAGTGAGATACTCCGTTCGCGCTGAGATTGTGGTTTTACCTACCAAGAACTCTGGTGAGAAATCGGTGCCCTCGTTAACACCCTTAAGGTTTCTCGTGTAATCTTCCAGAGTCATGCGTTTCTAGAATGCCCCGTCAGCAGAACCAATATTGCCAGGGCTTTGGACGTACTCGGATCTGCGGACTGTGCTGGTCGGTGTTGAGCATGATGATCGAGTATGCAAGCACATATACAGCATCTTGTGACTTAATCTCGTCTATCGCTCCGGAATAAGCTGTGTAATTCAAGTCCTCGGTCCCTAACTTACCTGGCTGAGTTGCGAAGTAAACCTCCGCAAAGGTTTCCGTGATGCGGTTGATTTGCTGCGACTCTCCTGGAAGGCGGAAAGTCTCCAGCATCTCGCGCAAAGCTTCCGACACTGGTCTCTGACAGAGGTGTCAGCGGTCGACAGCTACAATATTATGCGTGCCCCATACCCCTTGGAAGTCCATCAGCATCAGGAATGCCTTGAGTAGGTCGACGTTGTCAGGTCTGGAGATGAAGTCGCCGAGCAATCGTTTGTCTATCCGAGACGAACTCTTCAGGAACCTGGCGAGGCTCACAGGACGAGGCTCGTCAGGATCGGTGTAAATGAGCTTGTGTTCTTCTAGGAAGGCCACACCGGTCTTGGGCTTGGCGTTAAAGCGGGTGGTTCCCGTCAAGATGAGTTTCTTCTTTGCCTTCGTATCCTGGAGTTGGTCGATGGAAGGGAAGGACTGCAGTAATGATAATTAGGATGGCCGCACAGAACAAGGTCCGTATGGCTCACAGATGGCCATGTCTCGCTTGCCTGCGGGCGGATTCGTCAGCAATTCGGGAGATGAAGACTTTGTTGTACCTACACCCTCTGCTCTGGTGGTCATGCGACCAACAAATGCAAGAATTAGATCGAGTGACAAGTATTGCGCATTCTGCTGTTGGTAGTCGCGACCGCCGACGTTCTGAACTGGATACACGCCCTGTATTCCGTATTAATCCTAGAAGTCAAGGATTCGGTGGCTAAAGAAAGCATACCTTAGCAGCAAAGTCGATGACGCGCTCGAACATGTTCTCGCAGTTCATATCACAGTCATAATTGACATACAGGTCCACCATGAAACTTGAGTGTCTTGATACTTGGCATAGCGTCTCAAGCAGCAATTCTCGAGTATCGCCTCGTGCTGGTGCGACGATGAGACGAGGAGTGGCCGGGGGCTTGTCGGAATCCGGTTCTGAAGGAGGTCCAAGTCCTGGGGTCCCAGGCACGGGTGTCCCAGGTCGTGGTGAGTTTGTGACCGCCTTCTGAGCAAGCGACATGTTCTTCGGTGCGGGGGGAACTGGAGGGACAAGTCTGTCGATCGTGAAGGCGAGGAACAGCTCTTGCTGGAGCTTCAGCTTTGGCCTCGTAGTCTCAAACATCGTGGCGATGGTCCTCAGCGCAGTCTGAAGGACTACGGGATGATCGGAGCGTGCAAGCTGGAACAGGAACTTGCATCCATGGTCCAAAACGAGGGTAGAGAGAGAAGGGTATGCACATATGCGCGCACCAGCCGCCTCGAGCGCGACGTTCAATGTCCGCAATGCCGTCAGACGAGTCGAGTCGGTATGAGCTTGGTCGTTGGGATCCAGGATGTTGATGAGTACACGCAGAAGCTCCAGAACGGAAGGCAAGCCATCTGTAGTTTTGTTATCAGTACCGAGTCTTCTAATCGACATGAGGGAGTACCCACATGGCGGGCGTGGTATGCTGGGAGTCTCAGGCACGGGCTGATCAGCTTCAGGTTGAACTTCTGTTGGAGGTTGGGGCTGAGGTTCAGGTTCAGGTGCACCCTCGGCGGTCTCAATGCGGTTCTCCGTCTGTGGTGCCGGGATCGGCCCTGGTTCTCGTGACTGAGGTCCAGTCGATACGCTCATCTTCATCTCACCACCTTCTCCGTCAAAATTGTCCAACAGCTTCTTCTCCTCGGTTTCGGGATGCAAACCGTGGAGACTTGCGAAAGCAACTCGGACAAGCTGGTGAAGAGTATTCTCCGCAGAACGCCGGAGGATTTCTGTCCACTAGTTCAACCAAAAGGCTAGGCCCATGCTCGAGAAACGTACCGCTTAAACGCATTTGACACGACGTGGTCAATACCGTCTCCAGCATTTCGCAAATCTCCACGTCTCCGAGCGTAGGACCCGTGCTCCCGCACATTGCGTCCGAGATGATGGTCATAATCTTGAGCAAGACCACTTCATCCCCAGACGAATCGCTCGCTTCAAACTTGCAACTTGACAGGGCGCTGCTCAGCTCCGCTTGCGCAGTCTGAAGCGCGATCGCGTCGGGGTAAAAGAGGCCGCATACGAAGAAGTTGTGGATCGCGGTTAACGCGGCAGAAGTGATGGGTCCGGTTGACAGTGGAGAGCGGATGATAGACAGGAAGGGGGAAAGGAGGGTGCTGAGAGGTAGCGAATGGATGTCTGAGGCGTAGTATAAGTGGTTGAAGCAACACCGTAGCAAAATGCTCACCCTCGATTTCCTTCACCAGTCGTTTCAGATCCTGGAAGCCAGTCATGAGCTCCTGCTCCGTACTCCCGTGCCCGGACGTGTATGGGCTAAGTGGGGACTTAGAAACCCTGAGCCCAAGACTTGTTGCAAGGCCAGAATCGCGAGTCGAGAATGAGGGGGCAGAGAGTGCCCAACGCGAGTTCTTGCGCATTACAGACGTCACAGAGAGGATCTCCGAGAGCAGTATGTGCTTCGCGGAGACCGAGAAGGAGGCTGTCGCCATGCTGGGGCCGTGCAACTCCATGCTGGCCGGCCAGAAAGTGAGAGTGGGTGAAAAGAGATGGTGTGAGGACGTGTCCGAGACGTGTCGTCCGGTGCGCAGACTTCGTCCGAGTCCGGGAAGCGCGTGCCACGGCAGCCACAATGTGGTCCTTGGATGGATTAACATTTACACACACGACCACCGGACACCAAGTCGAATGACGCGCTCTTGCGACGGTCCACTGGGTCTCGCACACTCACTAAGCCAGTCTAGCAAAGTCCGAGCGATCGTGGAAAGCGAAGTACGATACACAATTGATATACAAATGACACCCATTTACCGTTTACTGTCCACCACCAGCAGCCTGCGACATCGCAGCTTGTCCCGCAGCAGTCGCAGCTAGTCGCGAACGCTTCCGTTCCGCCTCTGTGTTGAATGATGAGTGTAAATCTGCCTGGAACTGACGGTTCAACTGACCTGCTTCCTTCTCGCGCTCGATCTCGGTGACGATGGCTTCAATCTGCGACAAGTCGAGGCTCTGTTCGGTGGTACGTATGAGCCTGACTTTCAAGACGCCCGTGAGTAATACTGACCGTGACTTTTCCATAGCTCTCCATAACACTGATCTCAATGTTCTTCGCTCCAGTCTGAACAACTTCCAGCAAGCTTTTGACCGTCAGCTTAATAGTATCATCACGCGACATGTCATCTTTGTGGTTCTTCTCGAGGAATTCACGGACAGTCTTCGAAGACCGGCCGATGGCGTTCGCCTAGAAAACACTAAGCGCAAGTGGATGAGCCGATACAAGACTGCCTTCACCTTCCAAGCGCTGTAAATGCCTCCGGGTTCGGTTTGGTAGAGCCGAGGCCTCGTATCGTGAGGGTCGAAGCCGACGATGAGCGTAGAGATACCGAATGGCCTCACACCACCAGATTGGGTGTACCGCTGGGAATGGCGCGATGTTGAAGTAAAATCAAATGGAGGTGCACTGCACTCACTTGCTGGATGCCTGCGATGTGGCGAGTGATGTACTCCACAGTCACTGGGTCCTCTACCGTCAAACGATGGCTTTGGCATTCTATCCGGGCCTTGTCGATCAGTACTCGGCCATCCGCCGTCAGACCTGGCTAGAATTAGGACATGTACAAAGGTTACCGGAATTACGACACACCAGCAAATGCTAGGCAGACATGATCATCAAGCATGGCGACCTTGCGAACAGTACGAGGATCTTGAAGCTGGAGAACCGACTTCTTCTCTACGCCCAGCACCACGATATCCTTTCCGCGGACACCGACCTAAGGAACATCAGGCGTTGATGTGCGCAATAAGACAACGGAGGACATACAGCACATGTTCCCTTCCTCACTGCTTCCAGAGCATATTCGACCTATCGGACCACAGAGGCTTAATGCGCGACTCAGCTACATGACACAAGAATCCCGACCTGAAAGAGATGCCCATCAGGCGAGAAGACAGTGAGGGCTATGAGGAAACTGGTGAGCGTCGAGAGTTGAGCAAGAACAAGTACCGGGCACAACATACCGCGATCATATGAGCGAGACATGGCGCAACGAAAATAGAGGTGGTGGGACGGAGAACAGGAGCGAGGACCTATTGAGCCTCTGCGCACACCAGCTCGACGCGCGTCGAGCTTGCGTCGCCCTCAAATGTCTCCACGTGATCGATCCCTTCATCTCCGGGCCGCCGGCGTCTGTGAATGTCCTTCCACCGCCCCCCCAGTTAGCTCTTGGGCCTGTACGACCATCTGCCCTCAGATCAGAACACCTTCGCAATGGCTCTTCAAGATATCCACGTTCTGACGACGGCATCGAAGTAATAGGTCACAATCCACCGTACGCGCCAGAACGTATGCTAGATTCAATCCTGACGCGTCGCTCATTAGGCACAAGCTACAATGTCAGTTTTGTGACAAAGATCTCGACCCTATGACCATTCCACAACGAGAATTTCACTACGAAGGCACCTATTGGAGCAGTCCGAAGGTGATTAATGTCATACGTGCCACCCACCACATTGCAGTACTCAACGATAGCTTGTCAACAGGCTCCAATATATATGGCGGTGCACCAAGTGGTCTGAATATGCACAATAAACTGTCCAAAGGATGCTATAAGGCTACTACGAGAGTCCCTTCGACAAGCTCCGGGTTTTCTTTCCGCAAGGCAGCACCAGAGTTGCAGAATATCTTCTGGCATGCATCTCAGACGTCGGAACCTCCGCTCAACTTCAGTCCTGGTAAGTCCGTATGTGCACATAACACGAACCTAACGCCATGGTGGACTTGATTTCAAACCAGGGCTTATAAATGTCCTCAAGAAAGCATTGAACAGATCTCATGAACAGGGATCAACCCGGCGGGCATTTCTCGCTTCAGATCATGCCGTCCATATCCACGGAGAGCAATGGGATCGGACTTGGGGTTGCGGGTATGGCTACAATCTAGGTTTTTGTACTACTGACTCACGTCTTCTTCTCGTATAGATACCGTAACTTTCTTATGGCGTGTGCGGCTTTGATGGATCAACAAACGCAGCCCATGTACTTTCCCCTGCTCGATTCAGAGATCACCCCTGGGGTACGTAATTTGCAGGTTCTGCTGGAGAAGGCCTGGAAAGAAGGTTCGTGACCGAAGTGAACCTGTTTCACATTCCTCACCTTGTCGACAGGATATGATGCAGATGGAGCTGAACAGCTGAGCCATAAATTGCTCGATACGACGAAATGGATAGGCACGGCCGGTACGTACAGGTTATACTGCATTCAGTTGTTCTGAGATCTGAAAATTTATCATAGAACTTTACGTCGCCTTCACTTACCTTGGAATTCCGTGAGTTGAGGTCCTGTCTGTTGATACTGTCCAACTGAGTGGCTCATAGTGCTCAGCTCGCCGATTTTGAGCTACCATTAGGTTTGACCTAAGCTCCGCATATGCCACATTCTTCTTACACATTCCGACAGGTCCTGCGCCTTTGCTACGTTGGGCGTTCAAGTATTTCTCTGGCGGAGATCCGAAATCCAAGACGAGAACTCTGGGAGAGGCTTTGCAGGGTGCTCGAGCCATCAACGTAACCGACAGAATGCCCTTCGTACTTCAACATGAAGGACATTCACGACTGATCGTCGGATGTGAGGAGTGCAAGGATGGAGAATTTAACTTGTTGACGTTTGACCCAGCGAAGTGAGCATCATGTCTATCCCGTTCGTACGCTCCTGACGAGCATACCATATTTAGGAGGGTGCCTACGAATGTTCGAAAAGCTGGCTTGAAGTATTACAATCCCACTAGGCCTGAGTCTCCGTCAAAGGTTTCTCTGTCATCGAAGGTTCTGCATAGAGTTGCCCATCCAGTCCAGACAATGCGATCGAACAAACGCAGGTCACCCACACCTCATGGCCAATCGAAAAGGCAGCGTAAAACGACCGATGACGATGTCATCGTCATCTCAAACGACGAGGAAACGCGCGGTGGCAACTCCAATGTGCCTCAGCGTGCCCATTCGGATGTTCTTGGTTCATCGGACGTTCTCAAGCTCTTCAGGTTACGACCGGGACACTTGAAGTAGGTGGCTTCATCTTGGATGTCAGTCTGTGCTCAACGGATCATTTTGTAGGAAGAAGAAATATCAGATACTGTACTTTCCTCTGGCGGAGCCGTTGTCCAGCGCGCAGAAGTTAAGGCGACAAGTTGTCACGAGCGAGAAAGTCTCAGAGTCTAAGTGATCGGGCTTTTGAGCAACATTCGGTTACTTATACTGTCCATGACGGACTTCCACCTGAAGGACTTCCACCATTGCTATACTAACGGCACTCCAACGATTACATATAGGAACGACTAATGTACATGCAGCGTGTACAATCACGGAATCGAAACTCATGATGCAGTAGACATGACCACATCTGAGGTGCCCTCGCCATCAACGGCCATTGGTACCTGGGCTGGGTCTGGCATACCAGATAACGGTGCGATCTCCAACCCCGCGACAGCAAATCGCAACGCTCGTTCCCAAGCTTGATTGACCATGTAACCACCAGCGCGCATGATGCCCTCCCTGTCTCGACGTACGGCCTCGCTGGCCGGATCGTGGTACGAGTCCTTTATCGTGAACATGTCGTCGTAGATATAGTAGTCGTCCTGGATGGCAACGTGAGGGACGTCTGGTATCACCGTGCTTTGAGCTGCTCGCGAGCGCAGCAAGCGAGCGTTGCTCTGGTTGAAGGATGAAGTGGACGACGCTGCGCGGGCCGATGCACGACGCTGGGCTTCAAGACGGGACTTGGCGACAAGGCGAGAAGCATCCTTGTCGCTGGTTTCCAGTTTGTCGATGATTGCTTGCTTACCCTTCTCGCGTTCTTCGCGCTCCTCTTCTTCGATTCGACGAAGCTCCTGGGCACGGAGCTCGCGCTCTTGGCGCTCTGCCTCCTCTTGCTCCTGGAGGTACCTGTTGTACTCTTCTTCCCGCTTCATGTTGAGCTCAATGAGCGCTGCATTTTCGATGCGGTATTTTTTGATTTCGGCCTCGGTCTCGGCGACGTCGATGTCGTTGATGAGATTGAAAGCTAGTTGCGATCATGATTACGCTGTTTAACGGTACTATGAGATAGCACATACCAATATCTTCTACCCACTGAAGATAGTCGTTGTACGCGCGAAGGTCTGCGAAGTCTTCTCGCCGTTTGTTGAATCTAGCGTTTAGGTCATTAGGCACACGCCAACAAGTCAAGCCATTCAACATACTCTTTGGCTATCCTTCGCCTGATCGCAACCTCCTTCTCTACGGTAAGGTCTTCGAACGTTTGAGGAGTGAATGCAAGCTTCCGGAGAATCTTGTTGCAAACGGGGCACGGCGCCGGGCCCAGTGTATATAGGCGATCAATGCAGGACTCGCACCTATATTTCACATAAGCCAAGACCAAAATTTCACACATAGACAGTTGCTTGCATTTTATGGTAGCATGCCGAAACGAGAAGACGCAGTTTGGGGTTGAGATACCTGTCAGACTTGCACACAGGGCATTGGTCATCCATTGACTGTAATTGGTTTTGGTCAGTACGAGGCCGGGTACAAGGGCCGTCGAGACATACAAAGTATTCAGTGGTCCTCCCCGAAGGGTCCTTTACACCGCCTCCATAAATTGTGCCCGAAGAATTTTGAAGTTGTGGTGTGCTTGTCCGAGTGTTAGCGGTAGTGGAGGGACCAGACTTTCGGACGGTGGTTCCCCGTAACCAGCTGTTACGCTGCGACATGACGATATTGATTGCGCTCGGAGACGAGGGGTGATCAAAGAGCAATGTGAGGGTGGAGAACTAGCTTGGTATGACCAGCCGTGTCGGAGGAGAGGAAGGCAAGGACGCGACCCGCCACATGGGCTGCGCTCATGTGAGATCTTAGATTGAAACGCGTCAGCACATTATGGTCACTGCTACAGGATATAAACGCCCAAAGTTTCAGTGATCTTCTGGTTTCAATATATCTTTTGAACCATGCGCGACATCCACCGAAAGTCCAAGTGACTCGTACACATCACCCCATCACCCAAAGAAGCAGGGTGGGTGCGTTCACAACTCACTGCGTTCAAGGAGGTGCTAGGTAAGGTAGCGGGTGTCCCACGCCTGCGTTACACTGATTCAGTGCCGCTGCCCGTACGGCTGTGGTGTGGATCCTCTTGCAACTACTCCAGAGCCGCGCCAGGCCGCGCCCACAGAAGCCCAGAACTCCATCGTCGACAATTTGAACTATTATTGCCAGTTGCTTATTAAGCAGCTGCAAGCACTCACAGTCAGCCGTGTCATTCGTGCCTCGTAAGCGACAATCGGGCTATATAGAAAACCATCGAATCTCGAGCCCCAGCAACGCATGACAGTGGCCCCCGTCCGACAAGTAGTAGCTTTTGCTCTCACCGTATTCTCAGCGGTCGTCCTGTTCCGCTTCAAATCGCTACTCCCTCGCTCAGTGCTCGCGCCGCTCACGACCTCCACAATGTCAACTACAAACGGATCCACCGCCGTCGTCTTCCCCAAGACCCGGGACGAATGGCGCGAGGCCTTGGACAAGCTTCCTGCGACTCCTGGAAAAATACCTGCGTTCTTCTTCGCGCACGGCTCGCCCATTCTCATCAGCGACGAGAGTCGAGGCAAGCAGATGGGCGCAATGTGGGAGTTTAACGGCCCCAAGGGCCCTCTCGCGGCGTTCTTGAAGGATTTCGGTCCGATGCTGCTCAAGAAATACCAGCCAAAAGGCATCGTGGTGTTCAGCGCTCACTGGGATACCATGGGCGAACGTCTCGGTGAGTAACTTGATGTGGAGTGATCTCGTCAGAACGTTACTGACAGCCATTCATGCCCAGTGTCGGACTACGGAGACGAGAATCCTCTGTTCATGGACTACTACGGATTTCCACCGAGCCTATACCAGCTTCAATTCAAATCGCGAGGTGATTCTGCTCTGTCGCAGCGCGTCGTTGAGGCCTTGAAGAAGGTACGTTTTGAAGGACTTTGTCAACTAAATGCTCACAACTTGCATGTATAGGCTGGTATCCAGGCTCGTACTACTCTGAAGACGGAGCCCCGGGGTATGGATGGTCTGGGGAAGAAGAGCCCGGGGTTTGACCACGGCGTATTCGTGCCGTTTAGGCTCATGTTTGGCGACGAATTTATGGACGTCCCCATCGTGGAGGTCTCCATGGATGGCACACTGGACCCCGAGAAGAACTGGGCACTCGGTGAAGCTGTCCAGGACCTTAGGTATTGGAGCCCAGTGTGCATCTTGCTGAACATCGCTAATTCCTCCAACACAGGCGCGAAGGCGTCCTCGTTCTTTCTGGGGGACTGCTGGTTCATAACCTGCGCGACTGGGAGACGTTTGTCGAGCATACTGCACCAGATGTCGTGACATCCTTCTACCAAGCGATCTTGAGCGCTGTGGCGATCAAGGATGTGAGCAACTCGTGTGCATTGCTTGATGTACTCGGCTGACATGCGTGCTTGCTTAGCCCGCTCAGCGGAAGAAGGCGATGCTCGACCTGGTGAACCACCCGGGTTTCCGCCAGGCGCACCCGCACGAGGACCATTTCATCCCGCTGTATGTAGCTGCAGGCGCCGGAGGAAAGGATGCGGATGTTAGGATCCTGGCGGCACATTACGGCCAGCCGACGTTCGCATTCGACCCTTGAGCTTGAGCCTTGAGGGCAGGCGTTGTGGAGTTTGGAGTTTCACGAATAAATAGATGGTGTCGCAGGACGTCGCAGCGCGAGGTGGTATTTGCAGGACGGAGGCGCATTTGTTGCCGGGGCGGAGGAGGAGGAGGAGCTAAGTACGGCAACGGCGGGCTCGATCTGCCACGTGGCGCACGTGAAGTGAGATCGTTCCGAAGGGCGCCTGGCCATGGCGCAGCGTCTGTGAGCGCATCGGACTGCTCTTTGCAAGCCGCTGGTCTCCTGCCTCCATCTCGTCCACCCACGTCCTCTTCTACCCCCACAGCTCCGCGCAGAGCGCAGATTCATCCCGCCCCCGCCGTCTCTTCCCCGTCTCCTCCCATCATCCCCTTCCCCTCTCCACGTCTCCGGCCCTCATAGCCCTCTGATCCCATCGCCCCTCCATCCTCTGACGCTTCGTCAGGCGCACCCTTGGCCCATCTCTACGCGACTCTCCGATGTATTGAGCACCATCTTGTAGCCCTCTTCATCTCTAATTATCCTCTCCGTAAGCTACCCCTTCATCCTTCACTGTGTGAGCCGCCCAGGGCTTCGTCCTGCCGCCGACTCTGACAGCTTCGCCACCCAGCCGCCGACTCTACAGGCCAACAAGCGGCTACTTCACTTCTTTATTAATGCCGACCAAGAACATGGACATCCCCACCTACCCCGCGTTTCGCTCCGCCTCCCTCCCCAGTCACACCACCCTCGCCCTCTCCACTACCCCCGACTCCGCCATCTTCCGGGGCGACTCGGACTGCATGCTCACCGACGGGCCTATCACCCCCCCTCTCTCGCCTGGAAGGAGCGAGGACGGCGAAACATCGATCACCTTCGACTCGGACCCACGGTTCAGCATCTCGTCTGCACAAACCCAGTTCAGCCTAGAGCAGTCCCCTCTCAATCTGAGGAACGGACGTCGGAGTCAACAACATGACGGGATGGATGTGGACTCGCGACCCACAGGTAGCTCTCCCCGCCCACCCCAGAGGCATATCGAGGACGAAGAGTCACATCTGGAGATGGGTTCACTGAAGCTCACTGATTTTGAGGTAAAAGGAACCCTAGGTGAGTTCCATGTCGATCTTCGCTTATTCGCAGTGTCGTAATCTCTCCGCCTGCAGGCACCGGCACTTTCGGTCGTGTGCTCCTAGTCAAACTCCCGGGTTCTTCTCCCCAAAACACGACAAATGCATTTGCCCTCAAGGTCCTGCGGAAGAGCGAGATTATGCGTTTACGGCAAGTCGAGCACGTCAACGCGGAGCGGTTCATTCTCTCGCGCGTCCGCCACCCCTTCATCGTTGACCTCTACGCGACCTTCCAAGACAGTCTCAATGTTTACATGCTCATGTCCTACGTCCCTGGAGGCGAGCTTTTCACCCACCTCCGTCGTGCAAAACGGTTTACGGCCGACGTCACGCGCTTCTACCTTGCTACGATCATTCTTGCACTCAAGTACCTCCACTCCTTCAACATCATCTACCGTGACCTCAAGCCGGAGAATCTCCTCCTCGACTCACGTGGTTATCTCCGCCTCACAGACTTCGGCTTCGCGAAGATTGTGGACGACCGTACGTGGACTCTTTGCGGCACGCCAGAGTACCTTGCACCAGAGATCATTCAATCCGATGGTCATGGGAAGGCTGCCGATTGGTGGGCATGCGGTATTCTCTGCTATGAGATGATCGTCGGGTATCCGCCGTTTTTCGACGAGACCGCTTACGGGATCTATGAGAAAATATTGAAGGGCAAGATTCACTGGCCGAGAGAAGTCGACCCCCTCTCCAAGGAGCTCATCAAGGGATTCTTGCATCCGGATCGTAGCAAGCGGCTGGGTAATCTCATCGGTGGCCCGCAGGACGTGCTGGATCATCCGTGGTTCCGTGGGGTCGACTGGGACTCGCTGGAAAGGCGCGAGATTAGGGTTCGTGTAATGTTCAGTTCAGTCAAGAGCGGCTCCGACTTACTTGTTCCTCTCATATTCAGGCACCTATCATCCCCCACGTTGCCTCCGGGGACGACACGCGCAATTTCTCCCATCTTCCTCTCCCTCCCGCGGAGGAAATCCCTGGTCTTATTCGCGAGGAGAGCCCACCCACCATCCAACAGCGTTTCGATCCCGTGGCCTATTCGTTCCTGGAGTTCTAGCACACTCATTTCCTTCATCCCTTCCCGCCCCTCACCCGTCCACTCATTCAACAAAGGCAGCTTCCGAAGCCTGACGTCACCGCCTTCAGTACGGCCTGCTGGTTGGGCTTGGGTTGCTTTTTGATTGAACCCATGTGGCTCTTCCTCGGACACCCCTTCACCCGTATATATTTGTATTTTCTCGCCCCTTTCCCTGCCCTTTCGCGCCGTATAATATCCTCCGCTCCTTATGGGTTTTCGTGCTGGTATCCCTATTTTGCTCCCATCGACGCACATGCGCTCAAATGGTGAACACCGGACTGTCTCCCATGCTCAGTTGCTCGGTCATACCCTGCTCCCCCCGCTGTATCGCTTTCGCTCCCGGCCTCGTGCTCCCCTCTGTATCCTCTGTCCAATCTCCGAGGACGATCGGGCGGCCGCGTTGGTTGTACCCAGTACTACACTCACCTCGTCCTGCTCGTTCCCTCCCCACGCTCGTTACCTCTCGTCCTGTGTCCGCGTACGTGTGACCATGTATATTGCTCGTTCCCCTCGGTACTGTATCCAGGTTTATTACTGTATTATATATCGATATTTTCGATCTCTGGGCTAGAGGGACATCGAAGCGTTCACTGGTTCCCAAATGGGAGTATTTCTTGTGGTTCGAACGACCGAGAGCGCCCGTCAGCGCTCTGCCGTTACTCAAGTACTCATGACTAGTTGCCTTCTACTGCTTCTCGACGCCTTTTTGGTGCTCTACTAAGTGTATGGCTCACCGTACCGTATGTATGCATGTTTACTTGCGAACGGAGGGAGGTAGATCCTGGTCACGTGTTACGTATCGTTTCTTAGCAGAAGGCATTTAGATCTACAGTGTTGGGCAAGTGTTCTCAGCCTGTGGGCCCGCATCTAAGGCCTAAGGCCTACTAAGGGCTGATTGCGCCTTTATTTTAAGGTGCTCGGCACGGGTTCGGCTGAGGCATTCGTTTCACGTACTTTGCCTTGACCTGGCCGCACGCGCAACTGCAGTCTGCTATGATATCTTCTGTGAGCACGTGCTACGAATCTGTCCAAATTTCTAGAGCGCCGGCGTCTAGCCTAGCTTTACACTCCCTCAGCCGGCCACGAGCCCACTTCTGCCACATCTCTTTTCTAGACCATGGCCCGCCGACGCAAGAATCGCACTCATTTGAAAGGAGGTGCAGCCTCGAATCCCGCCACTGCAGAAGGCGTCCCGAAGTCATTCGTGATCAAGCATGGCCAGGTCGGGACCTCACTCACTCATCTCGTCCGGGACGTGCGCAAAGTCATGGAGCCTAACACCGCAAGCCGTCTGAGGGTCAGTGACCTGCATTTTTCGCAAAAAAACTTCCAATGTTCGTGCTGACTTGGGCTGCCGCAAGTGAAGGAACGGGCGCGGAACAAGCTGAAGGACTTCCTTACCATGGCTCCCGCACTCGGAGTCACGCACCTCCTCGCGTTCACGCTCACAGACGTCGCACCCTCGTTGCGCATCGTACGCCTCTCTGCCGGTCCAACGCTGAGCTTCCGTATCGAACGGTACAGCCTGGTGAAGGACATCATCAACTCCTCGCGCCGCGCACGCAGCATGAGCACCGTCGAGTACCTCAGTCCCCCGCTCGTACGTCCCCCCAGTCCCCCGCCTGCCCCGCCTGCCTTGCTAACCCTCCGTTCCGTCCATCCGCCGCACGCAGCTCGTGCTCGCAAACTTCCCGCCCCCCTCGCCCACCGCGCCCCCGCACCTCACCCTCATGATGAAGACCTTCCAGTCCCTCTTCCCCCCGCTCGCCCCGCACAAGCTCTCGCTCTCCTCCGCGCGCCGCGTCGTCCTCGTCGCCTACAACGCCGAGAATGGCACCGTCGACTTCCGGCACTACCTCATCACCGTCAAGCCCTACGGCGTCTCGAGGCGCATCCGGCGCATCCTCACGGCGCCGCCGCTCCCTCTTCCTCCGCATTGGACCTCGGTAACGAAAAGGACGTCGCGGACTTCCTCCTCCGCCGGCGCGGCGAACCCGGCCCGGGCAGCGACGGGTACGAGACCGCCGCGTCGAGCGCGTCAAGCGCCGCGGGGGACGAAGGGGAAGCCGTCGACTTGGCGGACGACTATGTCGGGCGGAATAACAAGAAAGGACAGAAGAGGGCGGTGAAGCTGGACGAGATCGGGCCGCGGATGGAGCTGAAGCTCATCAAGGTCGTGGAGGGGCTCCCGGGGAAGGAGGGGGGCGTGTTGTACCACGAGTTCGGTGAGTCTCCTGGGGCCTGGTGGTTTCGGAGGTGTTGCTCATGGGATGGCGCAGTCAAGAAGAGCAAGGCGGAAGCAAAGGCTCAGAAGGCCGATCACGCCGCCAAAGAAAAGCTGCGAAAACAGCGACGAGAGGAGCAGGAGCGGAATGTACAGAAGAAAAAAGCGTCGAAGTCGGGCGGAGATGGCGAAGAAGACGAAGACGAGGACATGGACGATCAAGTTCAAGACGAGTCTGAGGGCGAATTCGACGAAGAAGCCGTGGATGATGACGAATGGGACGAAGACGAAGAGATCAGTGAAGTCGAGGACGAGGAAGAGAGCGAGAGTGAGGACGAAGTGCCCAGACCTCCGCCTAAAAAGCAGAAGGTTCGTAGCAAGCGGTGATACATTGTGTACTTTTGTACTGCGTCATGGGATGTGATGTGTCTGCCGGTCTGTTCACCTTCGCCGATGTCATGATAGTGGTGCATTAGGGTCCATTATACATGTGAGATACTGTAAGCAAGTGCAGAATGAATTGGCGTGTCTATGGCCGTGTCGGTGGAGAGTTTTGCTGAGGTGTCGTATCGCCCCCGAATCTGCGGAACGCCTGACTCCAGAAACGCTCCGTGCGCATCCGAACACCCTCCCAGCTGTCCAACGCCGGCCGCACATCTAGGAAAAATGAGACGTTCTGAGACGGCTCCTTCGTATGGCCGGAATAGAAGTCAATGACATAGCGCATCCGCGTCCCACAGCGGTCCACAACCCAGTCGTGCCTGTCGAACGGAGGCGAAAACCTGCCCGCATCGTCAGCCCCCTCGTCCGGCCAGCGGCACGAACAAAACAAAAAGAAAGCGACGCACCCAAGGATAGAGTACCACCTCGCCCGCGGCGACAGGTCGCCCGGCCGCCCCTTGAAGCTGATGAGCTTCACGCCCCCACACTGCTCCCCGCCGCGCCGCGCCTCCCAGCTCATGATCTCGCCCCACGCGCGCTCGTTGACGGCGTTGTGGATGGGGACGACGACCTGCATGTCCGCCGCGCGGGGGTCGTGGTTCTTGCGCGCCATCGCGGCGAAGAACTGCGCCTGGGACGGGTACACCCAGTTCCCGCCGTCGGCGCGCGGGATCGACGACGTCTCGCGGTCCTGCGGGAGCTTCAGGCCCGCGGGCGCCGCGGGCGTATCCGGGAGCTCCGCTGCGTCGCCGTCGCCGCTGCGCTGGCGACCGAGGATGGAGGACCAGGAGGAGCGTTGGGTGTGGTCGACGGGGCATTTCTCGGCCGAGGCGGCGGATGAAGATGATGATGACGGGGAGGAAGTTGTGAACGCGCGATGGTCGACTGGGCACTTGTCGACCGAACTGGACGTGTCGGTCGAGCTAGACATGGCGGCCTGCACGGAAAGTAGCAAGGTCGGCCCTGAGGCTAGTGGCAGGAGCTGGTGGAGGTCCGTTGATGGCAGAGCGGCAGAGACGCGGCGCCGGGCCGGCAGGGCGCCTGTGTTAGCGTCGAGCGCGTGACCGTGCGACGTGCGTCGCCGGCAACCGGGAGTTCGCACCCCGGACGCCGGTCGTTTCCCCACATCTTGCTTCGCCGATGCCGCCAAAGCTGGTGCGCATGACCAGCTCACGCAGGGATATATATCTCCAGAGATGCGCAACGCACCCCGTCTCGCTCCTTTCCTCTGCTCGTCTTCTCAGCCCAAGTTAGATAGTTCCTGAGCATTGAACACAGTCAACATGCCATCCTCTGCCCCCAAACTCTCCACGCCGCTCACCAAGTTGTTCGGTATCAACCATCCCGTCATGTTGGCAGGTGAGCATTCGCATGTAGAAGCAATGGCAGTGTTCGAACACGTGGGTCTGCTAGGAATGAATGTCGCTGCGGGGCCGAAACTGCGGCAGCCGTCACGAACGCGGGGGGCATTGGCGTCATGGAGGGCTCCGACAGAGTCCCAAAATCCTCCGGACAGCATTGAGGAAATCAAGGCCCACCTCGAAGACCCGAACGCCCCGTTCGGCGTCGACCTGCTCATCCCTCAAGTCGGCGGACAGGCGCGAAAGACTAACGTGGTCTGCCTAGCTTGCCCCCAGAATGCACGCCTGCTCACCCGTCGTCTTTCAGTACGACTACACGAAGGCCAGCTTCCCGAGCTGACTGATGTCATAATCCAAGGCGGCGCGAAGCTCTTCGTGTGCGCCGTCGGCGTCCCTCCCAAAGAGATGGTCGACAAGCTGCACGCCGCCGGCATCGTCGTGATGAAGTACGTGCCTTCCCCTTCCCCTCTCCCCCGCTCTCATGCCAACCTCCGCACCCAGCATGTCGGCCACCCGAAGCACGTCCCGAAGGCGCTCGCCCAAGGCGTCGACGTCATCTGCGCCCAGGGCGGCGAGGGCGGCGGCCACACCGGCGAGACGCCCTTCTCCGTGCTCATCCCCGCCGTCATCGACCTCTGCCGCACCGCACGGAGCCCGCTCACGGGCGAGCCCGTCATCGTCGTCGCCGCGGGCGGCATCGCGGACGGGCGCGGGCTCGCGGCCGCGTTCGCATACGGGGCCGCGGGCGTGTGGGTCGGCACGCGGTTCGTCGCGAGCGAGGAGGCGGGCGCGCCGAAGGTGCACAAGGACCTGGTGCTCAGCGCGGGGTACGACGACGTCTCCGCACGCTGATCTACAGCGGGCGGCCGATGCACGTGCGCAAGACGGCTTATGTGGCCAGCTGGTGCGTGTGGTGTGGAGGCAGTGGGTCATTGAGCTCACACGGTGCGCTTCAGGGAGGACAAGAGGCAAGAGGATATCCGCGCCTTAACTGCGCAGGAAAGATTCCCAACGAGGTTGAGCTGGAGCAGCATCCAGAGAAGTCGATGGAAAGCCGCATGTGTAAGGAGCAGGCTTTTTTTAGGACGAGTTGCTGCTAATCTCTCCGCAGGGCTCATGGGCAAGGTGGCCGGGTCGATCAAAGACATCAAGCCAGCAAAGGAAATGTGAGTCTGGTGCTGCTGACGTTTTTGGAGTGCATTCTTGCTCATCTACTGTTTTAGCGTCGACGAGCTAGTAAATACAGCGGTCGCCAGCATACAAGGCTCTTCCCATTTCGTGCTGAGAAAGCCAAGCTGTGATTATTGAAGCGCCCTGTGCATGTGATGTTGTATGATACACGTTGGATATAATGCGGTATTGGTTTCAATCCTCTCCCATGAGCTCGGCGAGCTCCCGTTCTTCGTCTTCGTCGATGTCGTCCATCTGACTGACAGGCTGAGCCTCGATTTCCTCCTGCTTTGGTGGGGGAGGATGAAGAAGCTCTGTGCATCCTCGCCGTCAAACAGTGAGACGATTCCTCACAAGAGGCCAAAACGCACCACTCAGTTTCCATCTCTTCAACGTTCCGTCTAAACTCGCGCTCACGACCCAAGGCTCGACGCGGGTCTTACCTGGCTCGCCCTCTACCTCAGTCTTGCGGACCCACAGCCGCAATGCCGTCACGTCATGCCAGTGGCCGTCCGTCTGACCAAGGAGCTCAGGCAAGTCGGGAGAAGACACATCATAAGCGTATATGATGTCGCCGGCCCCGGTCAATAGATACGGCTCCGCAAGCGGGGAACATGCTAGCGGAAGCATAGCCCTGACTGCTGTCAGGTGCTCTATTGGCGGAAGCGGCCTGGTCTGTGCGCTATTCTCGGGCGCCGGATGCGGCACGACATGCACGGTTTCGTCGGTCGACGCTGTGCGACGCACGGAAAGGTGAGATGAGATGTCGAGCATATGAGATGGGAGTCCATGGGCCCCACCTGTCCACAGGTGACCGTTGCCGTACTGCATGGCATCCACTCGTGTCCGGTGGTGCTTGAGCTCGTCGATGAGCTTGCTCTGCCACCGCGGCGGGGTGCCCTTGTCGAGCGTGACCTCCCAGACCTTGATGATGCCCATCGTGTCCCCGGTGTAGAGCACCACCGCGTTCTCCGAGAGCATTCGAGCCTCAAGAGCTTCAACCGGCCTAGTGTGGTCGGTCAACGAGCCGACCGACTGCAACGGCTTTCCGTTCCCGACGTCGGAGACGTCCCTAGGCGATCGGGTAAGCCGGGTAGGCCGCCAAACGGAAGGAGTGACGCGCACCAGAACCGCACGATCTTGTCGGAGCCACCTGAAACGAGCAGGCTGAGTGCTGGCACGACCAGGAGGACCTTGACAAAGTCGGAGTGGGCCTCGGTGGACGACACGAGCTGTTTCGTCTGCGCGTCTGGACGATCAGCGTGATCGAAGGGTTGCCATGCAGCAGCGTTCCGGGCCCACCTCCGTGTCCCATACCTTGATTGTCTGTGGGCCGTGGGCGGTGTGAGTGTGGGGCGGGGCCGAGCGGGGCCGGGTGCTTGCTTACTTTGTCCCAGGAGCCGGAGAGGAGGAAGCGGTGGTCGCCCGAACCCGGGCTGCGGTCGACGAACGTAAGAGCGGTGACAGGCGCAGTATGGCCTCTGAATAACTGGAGGGTCTTCCCCGTCTGCGGCGCGTGCGGCGAGCGTCAGGAAGAGACATGATGCACGACGGTGACTGCTTGCCTCGAGGTCGAGCTTGCGGACGACGGTGGTGTTTTCAGCAATCCATGCCACGCTGCCATGGAGCTGGAGGTCGAGCGCCTTGCCGGGGGTGTCGATTGGCCAGCCAAGGTGCTTTGTGCGGTCAGATTTCGCTTTGCGGGTCTGGGGTGCATATACTGTTAGTGCGATCACGGGTGGGTGGGGAGAGGTGAACGGACGAGATTGAGCTCGAGTTCGGCCTCGGAGCGTAGCAGGGTGGACGTGTCCGCGGGCTGCATCGTGGTCGGTGTGCAGGCTCTGGTTGGTGGGCGGGAGGAGGGGGCCCTGGCTGGCTGTCCGCGGAGTCGATCGCGGCTGCGACTAAAGCAATCTCGGCGCCTGGCCTTGGCCAGGGCGGTTGTCGTCTATGACGATCGCGATCGAGTGTCTGCCCGTTAAAACCGGCCCTCGCGTCCTCCGTTCAAGTTCGTACCCCCTCCGCCTCGCCTGTACGCCTCATACCGTCCCGGTCTCGCTCCGAGCTTGCTCACCGGGCACAAAACGCCCACAGCGCCCAGCAAGTCCCAGCAACTTGTCCGGAGCGCCCTCACGTCGCCGGATTGCCGCAGCCGCCCAGGGTCGCGAGTCCCGTTGATCTTCTCCGTTGTCCTTCCGTGAGTGTTCTGCGCTCGGTCTGCACTAGTGTCCGCCAGCCGCCGGCTCCGGTCTTTGTTTTAATCCTCGGCCCCTCATGCAGCCCCCAACGCCTGCCACGCCGTCCCGTCCTTTGACCACTCCTCCGCACGGGCCCCATCCTCGTCTCTCCTTCCCTCGCACACGCTCGTTTCTCCTCCGCCGCTTCTCTGCACATACTTCGACATGAGCAAACGTCTTGCTTCCTTCAAGGGCCCGTCGACCCCCTCCTCTTCTCCCGTCGCTGCGCGACTGCAGCCCGGCCAGCCGTCCCCCTCCAAAACCAGCGAGCTCCCCCACCACCGCACCCTCCGGAACAACCTCCTCGAGATCCGTGCACTCGCTGCCGAGTGGGACGACAGGGTGTCTTCTCAAGGACTGAGGGCGGCGTCCAAACTTATCGACGCTCGCACTGAGCTCGAGTGCGTCCTCCGTTTGTCTATGCGTCCATTTCTCGCCGTGTGCTCATTCCGAGATCTGCAGCAACGAGCTGGCGCTCCTGCCTTCCGGCAAGCAGCCCACTTACCCCATCGTCCTCGAGAAACTTCGTGCCATGGAGGACTGCATCGAGGATCTCCGCACTGTGGTCACACGGCTAGTAAGCCATCACTCTAGCCGTCTCCGGACCCTTGTATTTACCATCAACAGGAAGGCTTTTCCAAAAGCTCAACAAAATCATTCGAAGTCTCGAAGACCTCTTGTACGAGGTGCATAAAACCAAAGGATGGAATTTCGTCGAAGAGCCGCTCTGGGTGACTTGGTCACTGGAGAAATTCGGTACGTTGCCTCCCCCACCTCAACAGACATCGCTTCCCTGACGAGATGTCGTAATGGAATAGTCACAAAACTGCCATTCATCCTGAAGCCGTATCGTCGGTCTCTGGAGATGCATCTTCGGCTCCTTGAACAGCTCCGGCCTCACGACGTGACCTTCGACGAGTCCCGTCGGATCATCTCCCAGTGGCAAGCCCAGCCGCACCTCGCACAGGGCGGATGGGACGTCATCTGGGAAGACATCTGTTCAGTCGAGGTCGATCGCTGGCCGGCACCTCGGTGATCCTCTGCGTCCGCGACTCTGCCCTTGCATTCTTGTACGAGCGGGCCCCTGCCCTCGCAGCTTTTGTACATCCACCGCTTTTCTGTCCTTTACCGAGTACATAGTCTGCTTTCCCTCTTGCTCTGCGCCGCTGTCATACATCATGTACCTTATTACATCATCATCATCATCCGGACAAACCAAGTAGCATACCATACATACACCCGCTCTCAGAATATTCACAGGGGCGGCTTGACAATGCCAGGGCTGATCTTATAATACACGATCGACGAGTCCTCGGTGTTGATAGCCAGGTACACATGCGGTGGCCCTCCCAGCTCCTTGAAAGTGGTTCGTATCCTGTAACCAAAACTCCTTGATCAGATCTCGCGTGCACCTCAACAGGGCCCCCCGCACCCAGCGTACCAGTCCGTCGAGAGCGACTCGGAGAGCGACATGGGACCACGGAGAGAGTCGCGTCCTGCACCCTCTGGTCAGCTTCCGTCTCACACGACGAGGCGCGACGATCGCGCTCACCGTCTGCGGGCGCCGGCCGCGCATCGCGCAGCGTCCGCACCCGGGAAGTTCGACGACCTCGAGATCAGTCCACTGCTGCGCTGTGGTTCCGTCGGTTAGACTGCGGGCGCAGCAGCGTCGGCGCGCACCGTGTTTCAGGTCGTTGTAAGTTTGGAACAGCGACCCCGCGGCTTTGGATATTTTGGCAGGAAGGACGAGAGCGCTTCGTACTGCAGAAAAATTCTCAGCCGGGGTCGACACGACGTGGTTCGTTCACTCACAGATGGGTGTTTGTCCATTTTGTCGTGCAGCGGAGCTCAAGCTGAGATACTTGCGCTGGTGAGAGCGGCTGAGCGCGGAACGACAGTCACCAGAGCTTATTTCATCCACAGCAGCAGCGGCCCAAAAAGGCAAGCGATGCTTCTTCCAACCACGCATCCGCAGAAAACGCCAGAGCGGCGGAACAGCATTGCAGCAGTTAGCAGATACAACAACAGATAAGGTACGTGTGCTCGGAACCGCCCAGACTCAATCCTCGTCCTCGTCGTCCGATATGTGGATCTCGTCCGCGTTCGCCTGCGCCGGGGCCGCCTCGAGCGCCTCCTGCTCCCTCACGTTCGTGCTCGCCTTGGCCGACACGAACGCGGAGCCTTGCCCCCGCCCGCCTGCCGCTCCGCCGCGGCCATCGCGTCCACGGGGTGCCTCCTGCTGTGCCGCCGCCCTGTTCGCGCGCCCCCGTTCGCGCCCCCGCCCTCCTTCGCGGCCATCTGCGCGGCGAGGTACGACGCCTCGGTGTTGAACTGCGCCTGGACGGAGCGCTTCACGCGGAGCATCTCCCGGAACGTGTCCTCGGACCCGGTCTCGATCTCGAACGCGTTCCACTCCGCCCAGAACTTGGGGTGCACGCGCGGGTCGCAGAACTGGGACGCGTGCGCGTACACCGCCCGCGCGCGGTCGATCTCCCCAGCTTGCGCTCCATCGCCGCGAACCGGAGGCAGAGCTCCGCCGTCTGCCGGTCGGGGAGCGTCTCGATCGCGCGCTCGTAGATAGGCCGCGTCGCGGGCAGGCCGTAGTTCGACGTCGCCTTCGCGATGTAGATCGTGAACAGCTGCGGGGCGGGCAGGGGTTGAGCGACAGGCGAGGCGCTAGGGAACAGGCAGGCTTACCTCGAACTTGTCTTCGTCTGCCACCGCGGTGGTCGCGCGGTCGTAGATCGACATCGCACGCTTCGCTAGACCATGCTCTTCTTCGAAAGCTGCATACATCATAAGATGGATTTGCAGGACTTCGCTGGGCATTTCTCGAGAGCTTGCTCGAACAAGTCTCGTGTTCGCTCGATCTTCGACCCTCCCTACGAGCTTGTTCAGAGTTGGGGATCGTGCAAATAGGGAAGAAACTCACGTAACGCTTGACGAACTTGGCGAGGTAGATGTTCCAAATTTCGAAAGACACAGGGAAGGTGAACAGCTCTGTTCCACGCTCATAGACCTTGAAGCTCTCCTCGTAGTATTGTTCTCTTCGAGGAATGCGGCATAGTTGACGATGACCTGGGCGTTGGCATACGCAAGTCCATGATCTTGTCATAGACGGCCTTCGCTGACTCTACCGTGCCAAGAGACTCCTCGAGATCAACGTAAAATGACCAAAGTTTCAATGACTTGAACAGACGGATTTGGACGGGAGGGACTAACACACATCCATGAGAATAGCAATCGTGGGCAAGTGGATGTAAAACTACATGGTCAAAGTAGTTGATCTTTGTATTCTTGGGAACCACAGCGGCACGCTGCATGACACGGATAGCTTCGTCGTAGTTCCTGGAAACGTTGAGAACGCGCCACGCGAGACATTAACTGTAACGTACTCGTGTCGGATCTCCATCTCCGCCCATTCGCACCAGACTTCGGCGAGTTCATCCACAGTTTTGAAGTTGACTTTGGTAGCTTTGAGAAGGATTTTACGGGCACTGTCGATGTCCTTCTCCGCTTCTCCTGAGCTCCCACCCTCCTCGTAAAACCTTGCGAAGTTGATGTACAGCTTGTGGAAGTTGGCTGTTGCTTTCGAGGGTTGACGGTAGCGAGCGCGTTGGTGTAAGTCTCCGCGACCTGCACAATAGCGGGTTGAAGCGACCGATGATGTTTAAGGAAAACAAACAAACCTTCTCGTCGTCGTCCCCCCACAATGCCACCCGCTTCACCCATTCCTGCACATCGTTAGGATTCCGTCGAAGCAACACGTCGTTGACCAAAAATGGCCGGCGATCCATGAGCTCCTCGAATTCCTTCATCTTCGTGTCCAGTTCTGCTTCCGTCTCCTTCACGTCTTCCTCGTCCTCATCTTCGTCAGGTTCCGCGAGACTTCCATGAGGGCGCTGATCAGACTCTCCGAAAACTCCGCGTAAGCGTCGAAGATTTGTGTGAAGTCACGGATCGTGAGCACGGTTGCCAATCCCTTCTCAAGCGTGAGCTTCGCGCGGTCGAATTCGGCCCTCTTGATCCAGTACGTCGCAAGCCCAGTCCACAGACGCCCCGCCTGGTCCTTGTACATCTCCAGGCCATCCTTGTGGATGATATCTTCAATGTTAAGCTTGCGGAGACTCCGCGGATCCTCGTCCTCGTCGTACGCGGGAAGAGCTTTGCCGTCCGACCCGACTGCGACTGCAGGGCCAGCAAAGCGGATGAGCTTCCCGCCCATGGATGCAGGGGCTTCAGGTTGCTGGGACGCTGACGTCTCGGCCTCGTCTGCAATCTTCTTATTTGAGTTGTCGGTGTCAGTAATGTCCAGACCGACCTCTTCAGCATGTTGCTCCACTACATCGAGGAACTCGCCCAAGAGCTGGTAAGGACTCCTACCCTCTGGACTGGTGTATTCTCCCCGAGCGGCTTTACGAGCCAGAGACAATAACAATTTGGCAGCTTCTAGCGGCCGGGGGTCGGGGTTATTGGGGGAGAGGAGAAGGGCTGTATAGCGTTCGGTGAGGCTGGGGTCGACGGCCAGGTACCTGCGGTATACGGCAACAGTCGTCGCGCCACCTTTTGATTCTGCCCATAGCAAGTACCGCACCCAGACGCGGTGGTGGAGGGAAGGAGCAAGGGTGCGTAGTGCACGGTCAAAGGTTCGCCGCGCGTGTGTATGAGAGATTTGTGGCGGACAGAAGGGGTGGTTGAAGATGGATAGGTAGAGCAGCCATATGCGCGGCATCTACGACGACGTTAGCCGCGACACATGCGTGCTGTTGAAGAGGACGCACCCTTGGCAGCCACATGAGTGCACGCTCGAATGTCGCAATCAACATCTTCCACTCCTCCCAGCCAACAATCCGTCCACGCCGCCTTCCCACTGCTCCAGGTCCTCCTTCTCGTCCTCGAGAGCCTCGCCCATTTCCGGGAACTTCTTCTTGCCACCCGCGCGTTTCTTCTGAACGAGTTTGCCCAAGACGAAAGACATGCGCGTCTGTAGATACGACTTCCACAGCTTGAATGAAGCTGGAAATTGCGCGAGTGCGGCCTCATATATGTACGCCTGCCGTTGAAGCGACGTGCGGGCTGCTGGGGAAGAGAGAGGACCAAGAAGGGCGGCCACTTCTGGCTCCAGGTCCGACGGGCCCTCCGCGCGTTGCAAAGCTGCAGAAGCCTCCTTTACATTTTGAATGGCATTCCACCAATGCCGCGAAGACGAAGGGTTGCGATGGAGGTCTTCCTCGCGGTGGAGGTCCTTAGTCGTGACAAGATCGGGATGGGTAGTTGGTGTGGGGAGAGGGAAGGTAAGGGGGAAGACGGAAGCCAAGGACTCAAGTGTCGGGGCTTGGAGAGTCGCCGCGGGCATGTTTGAAAGAATTCGCCTGCCGCGGGCGAGGACGGGGTGGAGGTTGGGGACAACAAGCCTGCCACCAACTTGCGCGAGCGCGACTCAAGGCGCTTCACGTGCCACACACGCGAGCGCGTCACGGCGCAGCGCAACTTGGACTCATCTATCGACGATAGCTACCATGGTTTGTTTGCAACCTGGCTCGTTTATCCACAACATTAACGACCCACGCAGCATGGATTCAAACGCGTCAAGTACACCCGCGAAGCTCTGGCGGCGAAGAAGGAACGAGAGCAAGCGAAGCTGAAGCAGTTCCAGGACTTGACCGCGGAGGTTCTCGCAAAGGCAAATGTTGTTCAGTCAAGGCACCCTCACCATGGCACTAATGCGGAAGGATTATAGAAGAAGATCGGAGACTACAGCAAAGACGCTTTCGAACTCACCACCAAGTTACTGCAGGTCAACCCGGAGTTCTATACGATCTGGAATTATCGGCGCACTATCCTTTTGAAGGGAATCTTCCAAGACAGGTACTCTTCTAGTAACATTTATGAGGAATAAACATCCGATATGTTTCCATCTTCTAGCCCACCAACACAAGTGAACGACATCCTATCAGACGATCTCTCCCTTACAACCGCCTTTCTGAAGCAGCATCCCAAAGTCTACTGGATATGGAACCATCGGCAATGGTGCTTGCGCATGGTCCCTGATGGCCCCACAGACGAGAAACCCTACGAATGGAGGCAGTCGTATTGGACCAAGGAGCTTTTTGTTGCCGAGAAGATGCTAGAAGCTGACTCTCGTAATTGTAAGCACTTATTCCTCCACACTGATCGCGATGCTCACCCAAGGTAATAGTCATGGCTTGGAACTATCGGCGAACCATTCTCGAGTCCATGCCCGTGAAGAAACCAGAAACTGCCGACCTTGCCTTCACGAAACGCAAGATCGAGGCCAACTTTTCCAACTTCAGCGCATGGCATCAACGCACCAAAGTCCTCACTTCTTTGTGGGATGCAGGAAAGTTGGACAAGAAGAAGTCCGTTGAAGACGGCAAGCAGACTGAGCACATTTGTGCGGCTGCGTGAGCTGATCGGACATGCAGAGTTTGACCTGGTGAAGAATGCGATGTACACGGACCCCAACGATCAAAGTGTCTGGATATACCATCGTTGGCTTATTGGTGCTGGTATGCGCGGTATGGTTCTTGATGGAAGTGGGCTAACGTTTACTCTAGGCGACAACATATCCATCGTGGAACGAGAGATCGAGGCCATCCAAGAGCTTCTCGAAGAGCAGCCCGACAGTAAATGTAGGGCACTTTATCGACGAACCTACCTTCCACTAACAGAAGACCCATAGGGTGCATGGAATCGCTCGTATACTACAAACGATTACTGCTTCGTGCACATGAAGACACCATGGATAGCGGCGAGCGGCAGAGTCTATCGCAAGCATGCAACGATCTATTGTCACGACTGCAAACCATCGACCCCGACAGACGACAACGATACGTGGACATAGGTGAGAGTTACCCTAGCTTCTTCAGGCTGCGGAGGATACTCAATGCAAAGCATGCCACAGGACGCCAGAACTGATAAAGCTGGACACACTGGCGCCGGCACACATTCTTATCACACGTTGCGATAGTACGAGATCATGAGTTTATATTTAGTACACTTTAGCCTGGAGGCTCCGCATATCCTACTCCTTCTCGTGTTCCTACACCTGCGGCCGAAGAGCGACAGTTGGGAGCCGGGACGCAATGCTCGTCTACGACGATGCTCCTGGCGGGGCGCAGTGCGCGTTCAGCACTTGCATTCGCCAGGCTTGCACTTGCATCTGCATGAAACAAGGTGAGTGCACCGATCAGCGAGGTTAAACCAAAATGGCTCACTCAGCGCCGCAGTTGCACTGGGACTCGCCGCAGTGGGCGTTGGTGATGGTCTGGGTGGTCTGCAAGAGCAAGGCTTGCAGGTCAGCAACGGCGCGCCACGAGTTAGGGGGATTACACACAGCCTGCATGGTGGTCGAGTGGATGGAGGTAGAAGCTGGTGGTTGTGGAGAGGGCTTGGGGGACGGATGGAGCATCCCCCACGCGCCTTATAAGCCTTGATCAGTCCGCATTCACGTGCGCCCTCGCGGCGTCACGAGAGCCAAGATGGCTGGAAAAGGTTGAGCGATTTTATGGAGACCAATCGCTGCCAAAGCTGACGGGCGTGGATGCGTGTGCCGTACGGCGGTCAGCCTCGTCCACGGTTTCCCTCACCGAGCCCGGTGGCGTATCTGGGCCCTGGAGGCCTGACGACGTTGGGGCTTCCCACCAGGATCTCCAGCACGTCCACGTGATGCCCGGTGACCAACGTTCGCCGCGCATTCGCCGCTCTGCCTTCCGGACGCTCTGCCTCCATCGTCTCACCAGATACTTGGATGGTTCCCAAGACGTCAATGCGGTCTACAGACGAAGAGCTCGGGCCAACATCATTCAGACCACATGATCGCACACCTGCGACGTACGTGGCTGCACTATGCCCTAACATGATGCTCTCGCACCTCGCGGCCACGTCAAAACAGTGCCTTGGGTTTGTTCTAATGTATCAATCTGTCAAACGTCGAGGCAGTTTCGCGGTGTAACACTACACTGGTAAGGTCGCACACGGCTGGCACGCACTGGGCAGACGACGCTCACGCTGTGGCATTGGAGCGTCGCGCGTGATCGCGCAGACGGGCGGGGGATCACTCGATGGTCCGCCCTTCGACGTTCGACACGCCGACGGTGTTCGGCCGGACATTGGTCTGCGAGAAGTGGTAAGTCCTTCGCGTGTCTGGGAGATTGAGAATGCTCAGGAGAGAGATGGAAGAGGCCGAGCCCCGGTGATCGGTGCGCTCGATCGGCGGTGATCGGTGCGCCTGGCGGGCCCGACCATAGGTAGCCATAGGTTGGCCATAGGCCGTTCATACGCAGGCCCGCAGGCCCACAGGCCCACGCCCCGGGGGCTGTCACTGAGGCGACGGTCGGGCTCACGTCCTTCAGCGTGGTCCGTGGCCTCGCAGGTTCGAAGATGGGACTCTCAGTATTGCGGCGATCCTTTCTCGGTGCATTCCCCGCGCGATCCACCCGCCTGCGCTCCCCGCCTCGCCCCGCCTCGCCCCGCCCCATCCCCGCAATGGGCAGTGGAAGTGCTCGCGGGATTCATCCTGCCAGTGCGGCCGTGTTGCGCCCTCGTCACCGGTCACCGCTGCGTCTCACGTCCCCTAGCTGGCAGCGCCCGTCCACCACCACCGCCTCAGCCACCGGCCCTGACGCCTGCACATGGCGTTTAGACCCTCTCCTCGCTTTCATTGCCCGCTTCGCGCCCTTCGGCACGGGCCCCCTTCTCGAGCTCACCTTCCTCACCCGAGAGCTACGACGATCCCTTTCGTGAGTACGCCCTCTTTCGTGCTCTCCACCTCTGTCTCGCCCTCGCCCTCCTTGCTCTCGCGTGCATCCTGCTCGTGCGCGCGGGAACGTGCTAGTGGACGTGCTCAGATGCGCTATTGTCCTCACCCCCCGAGAGGCGTGCGCGTGCGATGTGCTCTGCGCCGGGCCCGTTCAACTCGCACAGGTGCGGCACAGCGCGCGGGAGCTTCCCAGGCCTCACACTGCTCCTCCTCCCCCAAATTTGTAGAGGACACTTGAGCCGTCGCAAGTACTGTCGGCCGATGTGTCCCGCGCGTTGCCTTGCTTCCCCGCTCTGTTCCCCCTTCTCCCCCATTCGTCTCCCCCATTCCTCCCTCCCTCACACCCTGGGACTGCGGCAGTAGATACGGTCATCGGTGAGTCTTGTGGGCTCAGTGCATACTCTTGGGTTGCTACCCACGACGTCTCTCACGCTGATGCGGACGAGAAGACGTTGGGCACGCACTCCCACAGCTCGCGATCGTTGGTCCCTCTGGCGTCCGGCTCGGACAGTACGTTGTTTGACCTTCGCTCAATCACCACGCTTATGACATCATTCCACTCCAGCTGGGCTTTGGGTCCACATATAGTTACGGTCCGCTTTTGCATTGCATTGTACAGTCCTGGTGCAAATAAGTATACACTTTTGCAATCATTCAAAACCCTATCTGCGCGGGTATGATTGGTCTGTGGAAGGACATTTATTGTCTGCGAGGTCTTATGGCCCGCTTACTATGGTCAGTCTATAATATTGCTATGATCAGTCTACGGTCTCGCTATGGTCTACCTAACTTATGGTCCGACGCCCTGCGCGACCTGGTCAGACGTGCACGGGTGATCGCTTGTGTAAGTACATGCTAGGTCATACCACCGCTCCTGTACATACGCACAACCCAGAACGAATCCCCACAAGAACATATATACCCTCCTCGATGACCCAACGGGATCAAACCATTTCACAGGGTAGGTCGCTCATGAATGTTCCGCCCCTCTGTCAAGACCTTGCACGATAACGCGATCACTCACTGGTGAACACGCATAAGCACGCAAGAGATCATTAGATCTAAGCTGTCTCTGCGTTGCCACCGGAGACGGCGTTTGTTCACGCCGACGGCGTGTGTTCTCGCGCGTTCGGCATACGGTCCAGACGATGCACGTTTAGTGATGCGATGTCCTCAATTGGCCACTCGTGCAACCTAGTCATTAGCGCTCGATTTGAACCCAATCACTAGATGCGAGAGGAGAATCCCAGTCTCCCATTATGTAGTATCCCTGAGTGCTGAACATGACTCGACAAACGGTTTAGGTAAGCAGAGTTCGCTCCAGCAACAACGGACGCAGGCTGGCGCGATGTTTGTGCCAATTGCGCTCCGAATACCAATAGATCCTCAGGCCCAGGCCTCATGTCTCGGTAGTGGATGGAGTAGAACTAGCAATAGAATTTGAAGCTGCGGATACAATGGGGGCACGGCGTACAGATTTATGCAGGGGAAAGGGCGGTGGTGGACCAATCAACCAAGACGTGACAAGAGACAATCGTAAGCTCGTAAAGATCATCGACGGGCATGAGGGGCGTTCAACGGGACAACATGCGGGAGAAGCAAAGCGGTACGAGACGGGAGGGGTGCAACCCCAGTAAGCGACACTAATAATGTACTTTCGTGCACAGCAGGAATCGACGAAATGATACAAAGTTCATGGACGGCGAGAGGCGACAGCATACAACATACGAACAGAGAAAGCATGCGAGAGATGGGTGCGCATAGTTCACTGCTGCTGCATCAGCTTGCGGGACAAGATCTCCTGGATGTCACCGATAGCGCGCGTTGCCTCGATCGGCGGATGAGGGAGAATGGAAAGCCTCTGCTTGATCGTGTTCAGCAGCTGCTGGACGTTCGGGATCACGCGAGACGTGTAGGGAGCAATCAAGGGATCCTGTGTGACACATCTAATAAGCTCTTGCCTCATCCGCGAGTAAGCGAACACTCACGCTGGGGTTGAGAACGGTGGCGGCCCGCTGCAACCACCACACGGACACCTTGAACGACTCATCGACCGGCGATACCTCCCCGACGACGTTTGAAAGCTGTGAGACCGTGAGCAAGTATTTACTCAAATTTGACAGTGAAGCTTACGCGGTGGATCAAAGTCAACAAAACGGCCTGCGAAAGGGGGCTGGGGGCGTTGATGGGCATGACAATGTCCGGGTTCGAACGTGCAAGCAGCTCGCGGAGCTGTCGAGTGTCCTGGGCACCCAATACAGCAAGGTACGTGTCATCCCATTCCTCTGGCTGTCCGGAGGAGGGAGGCGTCGCACGCTGCAGAGCCTGCTGCTGAGGAATGGGGGGAGGGGCTGCGGGGTGAGATGCCTGCGGGGCCGCGATGTTACTCGGGCCGAACCACGGGGCGTGCATGGGAGCGGGGGGCTGAGACTGAGGAGGTGTCTGCTGGAAGGAAGTGTGCGGCTGGTAGCTCGCCGACTGGGACATCGCTCCGGGTGCCATGTTGGGCTGACGCAGGAGCTGAGCGAGCTGGTTGCTCGATGGCATGCCGCCGGCGCTGGAGGGTCCGGGGGAGGTGCGGTTTTGCAAGTGTTGGCCAAAGTTCGGCGGCGGGGGCGGGTGACTCATGAGGAATTTGACCTGATCAGAGAGCATCCGGACGGATTGCTCGAGATCGCGGATGACCGACTGCGCATTGCGATGAGTATCGTATGGGTAGGGCGCACCGCCGGTGATACCCACCTCCTGGCTACGAAGAGTCTCGCTCTGCCATGCAAGCACCTCCTTCTTGAGGCCCAAGATCTCTGAACGGATCTCACGGGAGAGCTCCTGGTGCATAGCAGAAGAGGAGAGAAGGCTCTTGGAAATGGTCTCCTTCACCTGCCTCTCGATGACGGGGGTGACGGTAGCCGAGAACGCGCGAGCAACCTGAGTCGCCATCTCAGGTCGGATGAGGACACGCTCGATCTCGGTGGGAAGCGCCTAGATTGTACGAGGAGTGGTTAGCGGTCCAACCGGAGCTCGACTCCCCAGGAGCAAATACCTGTTTCATGGCGTCGCTGATCCCCTTCGCGATCTGGTTGCTGAGCGCATTCTTGACCTCGACCTTGGTAATGTTCTCGAGTGATGGCAGGACGGAATTTTGAACCTCGGACTTAACAGCCATCTCGACGACGCGCGTCGTGTTCTTGGTGAGCTCCGTCGAGATGAGCTTGAGAATCTTCTCTTGGCGGATGAGATCTGCCGCCTGCTCAGTCTGGCGAGCCTCCTCGAGACGCTGGTCTGGTGACGATGCTATCAGACCACTGAAACGGGAAATAAAGGCGTCGTGGTACTTACGCTGCTTGTCGAGCTCCTTGGAGATCAGCCGACCGAGGCGGCCGTGGAGGCTCTCCTCAGACTTCTTGATCTCCTTGGTGAGGACGAGACCGATGTCGGAGTCGAAGCCAGACTCGACGCCCTTCTTGTCCGCATCCTTGTCCTTCCAGCCGACAGTCCTGCTCTTTGCGTTCTTGCCTCTCGGCTCGCGCGCGCGACCACCTTCGTCGCCACGCTGCACATCGGCTTCGACCTCTTCCGACGGGGGTGTCTTCATCCTGGGGACTGCAACAGCCATGGGGGAGGGACCAAGAGGCGGCTGGCTGAAGGGGTGCGAAGACGACATGGCTTGGGGCTGACGCGGCGGCTTGGTCTCGGTAGGGACGACGGAACCGTGGTATAGTGGGAAATGGGACTGGGCGCGTGTCAGCGCGTTGTCGTACCACTCTCTGCGGACCAAGACTTGGTCCACGCCGGTCGAGTGTACGGAGAACGCGACGAGGGCGAGCTCGCCAGGGGCCACCTTGGCGGCCACACAGGCAGCGTGGGCCTCATCGCCGTGCGGATCAGCGTCGGCGGTCAGGATGACGAAGTGGATGGTCGGCTTCGGCCCCGTGAACTCGACGACCTGATCGAAGTAGCCAACGCGGCTGAGGTCTTCACCGCCGGGGGATGGAGCGCCGACGTCGAAGTTGAGCTTGAAAGCGATCATACTCTCGCGCCGGTTGTTGGCAACCCAAAGCGTCTGGATGCGCGAGTCGTAGTTCGCGTGCCCGAACATCAGCGGGTCCTCGCGCTCGCCATTCACAAATTTGACAGTGGAGAGCACCTGGCGGCCCATCACAGGCAAGAGCTGGAAGATCGTGCCGTTCTTGCGTCCGATGATCACACCGCCGTCGACGAAAGTAAGCGAAGACGGCTGATCGTCGCCTTTGATCTTGTGGGACCAGAAAGGCAGCGTGTCACGGAGGTTCCACATCGTGAGCGTGGAATCTTCAGAGATTGCCGCGAGCGCCGATCGGGGAACGTCGTAGTCGATGGCGACAATGGGCTGAGTGCTCATTGTCAGTGCGCTTGGATGCACGCCGGAATGACCACCACTTACAGATGAGACGGTGAACGTCTGCGCGATGCCCTCGAGATCGTGCTGGACGATCGGCTCGCCGCTGTACGCATGAGCCGCGTTCACGATGTTCAGGAAGTAAACATGCTGGTCAGACGACACAGCGAGGAGATCGGGCTCTTGAGGGTGCCACTTGACTGCGTGGAGACGCTCGGCGTTGGTCTCCGGGAAGACACAGAGCATCAAGCGTCCGGGAACGTCGTCGGTGATGACCTCGGGGAGCTCCCAGACGACAAGACCACCGTCGGACGTAACGCCTGCCAGGCGGTTACCGTTGACAGACATGTCAGTGACGGCGGTCGTGTTGGGGAAAATCGTGGGGAGCTGGAGGAGAGTGCGATCGCCGCTGGAGCGCGAGATGACACGAACGCGGCCCTTGGTCATCGCGTAAGCGACCCACTGCGTGGCACCGATGGTCGTGCCAGGCAGGAACGTCGAGTCGACCTTGACGAGCGCAATGGCGGTGGATTTGACGGCATCCTGAGGTGCTTGGATCTCGTCGAGCGGCTGCGACACGTCGAAGACGATGGTCTGCTGGCTTTGTGCGCTCGGGCTGGAGTTTTTGCCCTTGGAGCCGGTGCGCTTGGGCTCGTTACCGCCGCGCTGAGGGAGCGGGGAGCCCTCTTTGTCGCGCTGGTAGGTGTTCCCATACGGACCCTGGTTGCCCCCGGTAGTAATGGGGGATTCACCAGAGCGACGCTGTTGACGCGCAGGCAGGATTGCCGGCTTAGGAGGGGAGGAGCGAGGAGATCCGGTGGGGATGAGGGGCTGTTGTGGAAGAGGGCGCGAGCGAGCTTGCATCGGCTCCTCGCGGTACGAAGGCTCTTCGGGCTGGTAAACGGGCTCGTAGGGAATGACGACCGGCTGTGGCGGTTGGTGTTGAGGGGGCGGGGGCGGTATCTGGCTACGCGTGAGCTGATCCATAAGGTTCTCGACTGACTTGCGCTTGGGATCCATCGCCATCGAGGACGTCCACTGGGACGAGGGGTCCTCGGACGGCTGTGGCGCGTTGGGCTTCCTCTTGGGGACAGGACTCGATCCAAGGGCATCGAACGGTGAAACGAAATCAAACATCGACCGGCGGGTAGGAGACGGCGCGCGTTGCTGGGACTCCGGCTGCATCATCCCAGAACCATCACGGTCATGACTGTAGCCAGTGGCCTCCGGAGGGATGGCGTACTCGTCGTGGTGCGACGGCTCGGGAGGCAACGGAATGTAAGGTGGGGAAGCTCCGGAGGGGGGCATGGACATGTTCGCGGGCTGGGTCTCTGCTTGGTTATACCTGGGAGCACTGGAGGAACGTCGCAAACATAAATATGAGAAATCGACCGTCACGAGGACTTGACAAGGGCATACCGGAGATGAGCCCGCGACCCAAAAGGGATCGCGCGCTCATCCCAACCCGCGTGAAAAATTTGAGGCTCACCTCGACATCAGTTGCTCCAGGAGCAACTTGGTCGTCTCGTTGCTCGAGATTCCTCCTCGTGGCGCCGATCCTGGTGGCGTAGGCACCTGCTGGGGCTGAATAGGATTCATCTGCGGGATGAGCGGAGGTGCGGGCTGGGGCTGGGGCTGGGGCTGGGGGGGAGTAGAAACGGAACCAAGAAGAGATAGCAGGGCGTTCTGGCGGTCGGTGGCCTGGTTGCTGGGACCAGACATGTTGGAAGAAACAGAACCAGCGTGCCCGGACGCTGGAGTTGCAGGGCCGGAGTGTGTTTGCTCCTGTGGGCCGTGATAGATAGTCGCGCTCGCAACGCTGGGCTGCGGGCTAACGTGGGAAGCAGAAGGGGCAGAAGGTGTGCTGTTGAGCCCGTGGATGAGTGAGTCAAGGTGCGCCTGGACAGTGTTCGGCGCGGGGGGCTCGCGCACGGAGGGCGCAGGAGAGCCGGAGGATGGATGCATCTGGAACTGCGGGGGCGGGGTGGATGGACCCGGGGAGAAGACGTTATCTCTGCTGGAGTCCATGTCGGCGACTGCAGGGACCAGACGGCTCGCGCGGGCGCGGTGTGTGAAAGGGGGGAGATAGAGGAGAACGCGACAGGATGCGCTATGGAGGTGCGCTATAGGGACGGCGACCTCGAGGTAAACACGCGTCCACCGGCGCCTCGGCAGTTCCCGTGCCCTTTTCCACCAATCGCCACCGCCCGTGCCCAGCCGTGCCCCAGATCGCCCGACTCCCTCCACGCCCGCTCCCTCGTCTGTTGTGCGTGCGCAGAGCCTTATCGCCATCACCCCACACTGAAACGGCTCGTACTGCGCACCCGTCTTGGTCGCCTTCGCGCCTCGCGCCCAGACAATGGCGTGCCCCGGGGCAGGCAAACACGACACGTGGGATACAAATACATCGAGATTCGAGGGTGTGCTTAACAATGGCACATATGCATGCTCGGTACTTTACGCCTTCAGCGCATTCTTCGAGAATATCGCCGCGTTCTCCTCGTACCGCTTCTGCGCCTGGTCCTCGGGAACCAGCACGATGTCCCTCTTGAGAAGCTTGAAGGTGTCGCCCTTTGGGAAGCCGCGCTTACGCGCCTCCGCTTCATTCTTGACCTCCTCCAAGCTCTGTGCCACGCGTTAGCGCAGTGGAACACGTTTCCGCTCACTTATCGGCGACGTACCACCACGAGGGAGTGCTTGACGCCAAACACCGGATCGGATGCCAGGTATTTGTCGTTTTCGGGGTAGAAAGACGTGATAAGTGTCCTGTATCCAGGAGCTTGGATCATGAGGTGCAGGTGGTTCGGCCGCACGTTGTGTCGGTTGAAGAGGAGAAGCAGGTCTCCGACAGGTCCCTGTAGATTGATGTCAGTCCCTTCCCGAGATGTCCAGATATCTCGTCCACTCACGTCTGCAGGGATCGGGTAGGCCACAGGGACGACTGCGCGGAAGGCGAAGTGGCCATCCTTGTCGGACTTGAGACGTCCTCTGCAGTCGGGCTTGTCGCGGTTGTCGTACTGGGTGTCGTAGTAGCCTGTGCGCGTCTCAGATCGGTGGTCGGTCGCGGTGCCGAGGGTACGAAGCTTACCGCTCTCGTCCGTCTCCCACGTCTCAATGACCGCGTCGGGGATCGGCTTGCCGTCGCTGCTAAGGATACGACCCTCAACGTACATATATTCGCCCTTGCCCTCTGAGGCGATAGACTCCCCGATCTCAACTGGGGAAGACAGGGCAATTCAGTCACACGCCGGGACGAGTTCCAATCTAGAGCTAATATCACCCACCGTCCGGTGCGTCTTCCGTAAAGAACGGTCCGAGAACACAGGACTCAGTAACGCCCTCCATGGGCGGGTTGTTGACCGCGTCGACGAGAGCAGAGACGCCGAGGACGTCCGAAAGAAGGATGAACTCCTGCCGGATGTCCGTGCACTGTTTGCCAGTAGCGGTGAGGAACTGGATGGCGGACATCCATTCTTTCGTGGTCAAGCTGCGGACCACAGAGTGGTAAGTACAGGGTACACATGATAAATGCATTGAATAAACCTCGTCTCGGTGATGAACTGGTGGAGGTGCCTGATGAGGTTGACCTTGAGGAAGCGAGCGCGGCTGGGAGGCCGTAAATGATGTCATCGGATGCGGGGAGGAAGACTAGAATCAATGGACGCACTCGTCCTTGGTGAGCGCTGCGAGCTTCATGAGGTTCTCAGTGATGACCTCAGGCTTGTCAGGGTACTGTGCATGGGTATCGTGTACGGCATCGTCAGTATCTGGCTCGGGAGATCGGGCCTGACCACGCACCGGAAGCTCGAAGTCGGGCAGCGGGATGCCATTGGACGTAGCCTTGCCGTGAGTGTGTTCAGGCATTGTTGTGCTGTCTAAGAACTGAGGAATAGTAGGGAGTGTGGGGGAAGATCGCGACGGTCGAGATGTGGGTTGGTTCTGGAGAGACGGAGCTTTATATGCGGCACGCCGTGCTCGTTGGCCTTTCCGCCCGTGATTGATGAATATTCGCACCCTACACAATCCGTCTCAAATTGAGGTGCTTCGTGCGGTCATGTGCGTTCCAAAAATGGGCTGCGGCCCCCTACGCGGGTCGGGCGTCCGCCCGATATGAGTCTCTTTTATCCACGAGCAGGCTCTGCGTTAATCAGCATCTGTAACTCGCGTCCAGCAAGGGTTAGAGCCAGGCTGCTCGATTAGTTTCTACCATCGCTCAGCAATGCCGCACGGAAGAAAGGAGCGACGACTAGTCCGTACGGTTGCTTCACCAACGGCCCCGTGATCTGAGCATCTTGTACCATAAGGTCCGTTCGCGATCGAACCAGGGGGATTGGATCCGTCAACAGCTCCCCGCCGGGATGCCCTGTCGTACGAGCGCCTGAGGTTTTGACTAGCATGGAGGTTTCGCATGAAGTCGAGGGGTTGAAAGAAGCCAAGAGCCCAACGTCTACTACTTGGTCGCGTTGAGGACTCCAACCGATCCGGTCCAATTCAGCTTGAAGCGCCCCCGCCACATGCGCCGCCTACGCACGGTGCCGCGCCGAGCCGCCACTCGCCGTCTGCGGACTGGTAACACCGCCCAGTCAGATCTTGCTGGCTTCCTCGTCGTCCCATTCCCCTCCGCAGCTGTGCTCGTCCTTAGCCGTTCTCCCCCGCCTCCTTTTGTCGTTTCCCGACCGCACAGAACGGTGGTTTCTCTCATCCCAACTCCCCAAACATGGCATCCAAAGGCTGGTTCAATCTCGAAGCCGCAGGCGGCGCCATTCCGGACACGCAGTTCTTTGAGGGCGACTCCGCATTCAAGTTTCTGGGTCTCACGAGGACGCAGCGGTTGTACGGGTTCGTCGGATGGTACGTCTCTTATTGGACTCCTCCTCCACCCAGTCCTCACGCGTCGCCGGTGCGCTTAGTCTCGGTATTGGTTTCGTTCTGAGCTTGCTCGGGAGCATCTTCCTGTTCCTCGGCTCGCTCACAAGCTTTGCATGTGCGTGTTATCACGGAATTGGCTTCTGCGGTATGCTGAGGCGTGTGCATGATAGTCCTGTATGGCCTCGGCACGGTCATTTCTCTTATTGGGACGGGCTTCTTGGTCGGGGTACGTATTGCAGTTTTAGCTGTGCGCGCATGAAAGTTAACTTTGTGCGTGTTCGCCCAGTTTGCATCCCAGCTGAAGATGGTACGTACGCCGATATATATCTACACCCTATGAAACTAACGCCACGCGAACCGAACGCAGATGTTCAAGCCGGTGCGAGTTGTCGCCACGATCGTCTTCTTGGCGTCCATCGGCCTCATCTTCGTTGGGGCGTTCGTCATCAAGAGCGACATACTCTGTATCAGTGAGTTCGTTCTGCTACTACACGCTTGGTCGATTCTCACATCGTTTGTAGTCTTCGTGATCATCGAGTACATTGCGTACACATGGTACACGCTCTCCTACATCCCCTATGCACGCACCGCGATCCTCAAGGTCTTCGGACTCTCATAAGTCCAAGTTTCCTCACGTATTTTTACGAATCGATTACTTGTGGCTGTCAGCGAACTCGGCTGTACTTGTCTAATATCAGGAATGCTCATGACTTGTATCACCACGGCTTGCAAATCTTGAACGATGCACCCACACGGCGTGGCCGACATATTCCATTTGGGGATACATACAAGTACACGTCGTTGCATTGGTAGGGTCAAATCATAGGTGAGACTGCCTGAGGAAAGGCCCATAATGAGCCATCGCCGAGATGGGCCAACTTGACTTAGAAGGTACCACATTCACCCCTTGAACTTGTTCTTGAGCTCCCTGAGCGCATCCATCACGGCGCTGGGCTCCCCGCCCCCAGTAGCCTTCCTATATGCGCAACAGTCGAACATCAGCGCACACCCTCCACGCTCCATTGCCACCGCGGCGACTCGCAGCCGGCACGGAAGAAGAGAGCCAAGACGCACTGGATCGGCGCGCTTTCAAGGCGCATGAACGGGTTCCACTCCTTCTCGTCCCCGATCGTCGTGCGCTCGCCCGGCTGGACGCCGTCGGCGACGAGCTTCGCGAGCCGCGCGAGGGCGGCGTTGTCCGGGTCGACCGAGCGCGCGAACGCGAGGCTCCCCTTCGTGTACTCGTGCCCGTCGTAGACGACCGTCTCCGGCGGGAGCGTGGCGAGGTAGGAGAGCGAGGCGTGCATCTGCGCACCGTCGCCCTCGAAGAAGCGGCCGCAGCCGGTGACGAAGAGCGTGTCCCCGGTGAAGACGCCTCCCGGGTGCGCGCCCGACTTGTCCGTCGCGTGGTAACAGATCGAGTCCTGGGTGTGGCATGGCGTCGAGTAGCAGCTGGGGGGCGGGCAGGAACTGTTTGGTACTTGTGCAAATAGATCACCTCCGCCGAGACTCACCGGACGTGGATGCCGTTGACGTCAAATTCGTCTTTGTCTTTTACAACAGTGTTGAGCGCAGGGCTCTTGTTGCTACCACCGTAAATAGGGACATCCGGGTATGCGGCGTGCTGTGGTGGCAGCCGGCGGAAGGTGTCACAGCACAGATGGGCGGAGCGCAGTGCGATGAAAGATGCAATTCAGCGACGAACGAGGCACTGATTGTGGAGGAGTTACGTACGAATGCCTGTGCGCGCGATATCACGGTCAGAGATGTGGACCGCAGTGACACGATTCGATGGTACTCACCTGGTTCCCGCCGCTGTGATCGAAGTGGTGGTGGGTGGTAATGCCCGCCACGATCTGCACGCCGGCTTTCTCTGCGGCGGCCTGGACCTTGGGAACATCCCAAGGGTCGACAGCAGCAGCGGTGTTGGTGGTGTCGTCAACGAGAAGGTACGCGTAGTTGTCCTCTCGGACAGGGACCGGGATAACCTTCATTCTGGAAACTGCGGAAGACGAGAAGGAGGCTGAAAGGGCGGAGCGGGGGACAGCCAGACGGTGGGGATGAAGCAAGCGGGAAAAGAGCATCTGATGAGGGGAACGAGACCGAAAGCCGAAGCAGCGTCAGCCTGGGATCCATAGCAAGTCCGACGGCAGAGTGCGCGCGCACCCCCACGGGCCGATGACGCCATTGCAGATCCCAGACGCTGGTACATCATATGTATAGTACGCGCGCGTTGGGCGGGAGACGACGAACGAGGCGATGGCCCGCGCGCGGCTCCTATCGCTGCGGGTGTCGCGGAGAGGCAACGAGCTTGGGCGCAGTCGGACCGCCACGGCCACAAACGGCGTTGCATGGTCGTCGCTTCCTATCCACAGCCACGCCCTCCTGAATCCGTCTATCAACCCGCGGGCCTCTGCGCCCGCGATGAGCAACGCTCTTCCCGTCCCTGCCTCCTTCCCCTGCTCTCCTCGGCGCCTGACCCCTCATGTCTCCACGCGGGCCGTCTCCGACTCAGCGTCCTCCTGACATCGTACGGCTTCTTGCTCGTCCGCTCAGTGTCAATCTCCGCTGACCGGTGTTACGCAGGGTCTCCCAGGTAGTGACTGCCCTGCTTTCGACCCCGGATGTCTTCGTGACCATCATAGACATACCGCGACTAGTACCGAGCCCAGCGGGGGTTCCGCCGATCCAGCGTCTTCAACAGTAGCTGGCTCAAGCACTGCACTAACGGCGTCGACAACGACGGCCAATGCGGCGTCAACAACTGACACATCAAGCGCAGATGGGTCTACACCAGCACCCTCGTCTACCGATACAGACACAGATGCCGGGAGCACTGGGGCGACAAGTACAAATCGTACGTGATTCTCTTCGTTAGTCGCGTACTGGTCCTCACGCTATATCATGTGTGGCCTTGACCGACATTGCAGTCGGGACCAGCTCTGTTGCGCCGTCAGCAACAGATTCGTCAAGCACACAGACCGTAGCGTCCTCCCCCAACACCTCTTCCTCCGCGGTCCCCAGGACGTCCTCTTCCGCTTCTCAAGGGACGGCCATCGTATCATCCTCATCCTCATCCTCCCACCCCAACACCGGTGCGATCGTCGGTGGCGTCATCGGCGCTGTCTTGCTGCTCGCCATCGCCATCGCCCTCTTTATCTTCTACCGACGAAAACACCGCGCCGCGCCCTCCGCCGAGTTCATGCACATCGCGCGCAACAGCTCCTCCGACCTCCTCCACTACCCGTCAGAAGATGCGAGGGAGCCGCCCACACGGCAACGTTTGCTCGAGGACGACGACCCGCCGCCGCCGTTCACGCAGGGGAGCTGGTCCGACCCGGTCTACGAGAAGGTGGCGTCGTCCGCGGAGGTGCAGGAGCAGTACGCACAGAGTCAGCATCACTACTCGGACGACGGTGGGCCGGACGGGCGGGGAGGGGGTTATTCGTACCATCCGTGAGGCTCCACATATCGCGACCGTGCGTACGTTACGTCTCGCTGTATTTTATATTTCAGGGCTTCTGGGGCTCGTACATGCGTGTGCGGGGAGATTCGTGGGCTAGGATATCGGGGGTGCTGGTGCGCATTCTCTGAACTCTTCCGTGCAGTTCTAGACCCTTCGTTGTTCAAACTAGACTGGAGCAGCGAGCTGGGATGTCTGCTTGTTCATCGAGATTTATTGCCGTGGGCCTCGGCACATCCTCCGTGATATTCCCGATTAATGCAAGACGTCTACACGGAGCGTCAATATTCGCCAGGCCATGTTACCGCATTCTGTCTGAATCTGGTGTGACCTAGTTCCTGCGGAACGTGTAGGCACACTCTGTACTTTCTACTCCGCTTCGGTATGCATGGACCGATAAAGCGACAGGTAACAGATTGAAGGGCTTCGCGTGGGTCTGGCAAGGTGCGCATCTTGCAATCCGTGCACCCTGCGTATGGATAGACCTCATGTCCCGTCGTGCCCTTCTACAACTCAGCAGAAAGCTCCAGGGCCAGTTTTTCGAACCCGGATCTTCGGCATGATGGTTGAATACCTTGTTCCTCCTCGCGCAATGACGAGGTGAAGTTCGTTAGCATGTGGCGTGCGGCTGATTTCAGCTACACGCCCGGACGCATGAACATAGGAGACTAAGGAGAGGTACCATCAGCGCCATTCAACTGTAAACGGGTCCGACTCAAGCATCGTTAGTGAACCGGACGTTTGTTCATTTATTCAACTGGGGACAGTATCCTTTATCCAAAGTTCCTATTCATGAAGCGGGTAATTCATTACATGGGTGATGTACATTTAACGTTAAAGGAGCTGCGCACTGAGAATACGTAGATACGACTACGAAAGTTTGGCCTCGGCCAGCAGAGATTGTCTGTAGGGGGACAGGTCACTAATCAAGACAGTCATGGTACATGATACGAGGTCGGTGGCCGCAGGATATCATGACACTCGCATATTGTAATGGGCAATAACAATATAGAGGGTGAGATAAAGTAAGATGAGGGGTGGTAAGTGGGGTAAAGAGCGGACGTCTACGGGTGCTGCGAGGACGATCAACATGCAGCGACGGCACAGACTGTCATTCGGAGAAAAAGAGTTCGAGGACCGACCGTACACGGGATTCGCCGCTTACGTGAAAGCCTCAAGTTCCATTTCGTCGGGCGTAGGCAGCGGAAGGGGGATCGCTGCGGGCGTGAGAGATTGCGCGGGTGAGGGAGAGAGAGGCGGGCCCAGGAGACCAGCCACGGCACCATCATAAGAAGGGTGTCTCTGGAAGGGGTTGCGAGTGTGTACGCGAGAGACAGGTGACCCTTGAAGAGCAGGAAATGAGGTAAGGACGAGGGAAATAACGTGCGAGTTGACGTACCAAGGGCATTGCCTATGAATTTGTACGAGTAGGTGATGCTCTCGCCTCCATTGACGTCAGCATCATCGCCGATGGCCAAAGCGAGCCCATCGGAAGGGAGGGAGGGACTAAGGCTGGATGGGGTCTGGCGGCGATGGTAAAAGAAATGGTTGGATGCGCGAATAACGGGAGACGTGGGCTGGATGCGGATGGCGGACTGGTGCTGGAGGATGGAGAGGAACTCTTCAAGAGCCTCAGACGGGGTGGATCTGGAGGGGGGATGTAAGGACAAAACGTGGGCCACATTGGGAGCGGAGGTCGATCGGCGGGGGAGTATGATCTTATCTGGGGATGTGATGAAGGAGATCGGGCACGCACCGAGGCGAGGCACGAGGCGAGTGGTTTTCCTTGTCTGTGATGTCGGACGGCTTAGATTCGTAGTGATCGGGGTCGTCGGAGAGGCGTAGGCGGTCGAAGGCGTCGGCTGCGGCGGACAAAAAGGCGGCGCGAGATCGGGGACGGTGGGCAATAGGGTGGAAGGGGAAAGGAGCTGTGCCGGAGGCGAGGCGGACCGGGCGAGGGGCAGCGAGGACGAGGGTGTCGTTGGTGGTGTAAGTCATGGCAGAAAGGCGTGTTTTCAAGTTCTTCCGGCGCAAACGTCGCGGTGTGAGATGGGATGGAGAGTCGCCCCGCCCGACCCGCCGCCCCTGCCCCGGCTGTGTGGCGTTGTTTGGTCCTCCGGTCCGGTCCATGATCGCCCTGCAGGCGCTGGCGCAGATCTCACTCGCGGGGCAGAACCTTGGCTCACTGCCCACCACGACCGAGGACGCTGCTCGCTGCCCGCTTGCCCGCCGCGGGCGTCGCGCAGGGCGCAGCGCAATGGAGCCGCGTTCCTTGCGGCGGTTAGGCTCTGGAACGGTTGCAAAGCCAAATATGGAGCACCCTCATCGCCCTCTTCGACGTAAATGATTTGTCAAACGCTAGTCCCCTGTGAACCAGGAACTTCGAAGAAGGGTATACTAGTATACTTATAGCCCTCTCCTGCCGCCGAGCCCCTTCCCCCGCAGTTTGCTCGTCGCTGCTCCCGCTGCCGACACGGACCATGGGCGCCACGACCGCCGACTCCCGTTCCTCCCTCGGCGCCGGTCCCTCCTACGACGACGAGGCTCGCACTAGGCTCTTCGACGACTATGATTCACTGGGCGGCGACAGCGCACTCGAGAACCAAAGGACTCCGCATGCCCCCAAAGTCACTCCCGTCCCAAAGGCAGAGCTGGCCACCCTCTGCGCAGTTAGAATCGTCGACCCCATTGCGTTCACCCAAATATTTCCATACGTGAACGAGATGATGGAGCACCTCCACCTGACCAATGACCCATCTCGGATCGGCTTCTACAGCGGCATCGTGGTAAGTGCATGTCTTCTCAGTACCGCAGCCTCAGGTAGGAAGGTGTCCCAATTCGACGCTGAAATGTCGACAATCCCTCGTAGGAAAGTAGTTTCGCCTTGGCACAGGTAGTTTCAATCTACCAGTGGGCCAAGCTATCCGGTATGCTCCCGTTCAATCCATAATATGTGCGAGAATCTCACAGTCGTCTGCTGCAGATTCTATTGGTCGTCGACCAGTGGTTCTCCTCGGCATGTTTGGTATCGGACTGGGCACGCTGTTCATGGGCATGTCCACATCGCTCTTTGGCGTGATCTTTGCAAGATGTCTAGGTGCGTGAGCCATTTGTGCTGTTGCATAATGTGTTCCAATGGTGGACCCTCTACTAGGTGGTTTCTTCTCGGGCAATGTAGCTGTAGTCCACTCAGTCCTAGGAGAGATTACCGACTCCACAAACCAAGCGATAGCATTCCCCATCTATGGCCTGTGCTGGCCATTAGGTGCCATCATCGGGTAAGTTTTGCTCCTAAGGCCTAATTATTCGTCTCGAATCCCTTCTCATAAGACCTCCAAAAGCCCGCTTATAGGTGGTCTATTGTCAAATCCTGCGACAAAGTATGCTCGATGGTTCGACAATGACTTGTTCAGGCAATACCCGTATCTCCTTCCGTGCATTGCAGCTTCTGCGATCGCATTTGCGGGGACTCTGTTCGGCTTCTTCTATCTCAAGGAGGTATGTGTTTAGGCGCATCTGATTTTACTTCGCTCATGTTTTTGTAGACATTGCCCAGCAGGCATTTCAAGAGCAAAGAGGACACTCCTTTGGATGAGTACCATGGCTCTGGTACATTCGGAGCTCCAGTCGAACCTATCAGCATGCGGTACCTCCTGAAGATCCCTCTCGTCCGGGCTCTTTGCTTGAGCGGTGCCGGCCTTTCATTCATGTGAGTACCACCAAAGACCCACGGGCTGGTCGGGATGCGAAGTCTTATCGATCCGTACCCAGTACTACCGGATTTGACGTGTCTTTCGGTACGCTGACACACCTCACTCAACCACAACCACGGACGGTAAGCTAACAGCCAGTTCAGTGCTCTTCTGCTACACCCCGCTCGCCCAAGGCGGCCTCTCCTTCGACGTGAGTCTTGTTCGCTTGCTTGCCTCCCCTACCCCCTTGACCTCGACTCACTCCCCCTCAGGCACAGAAGATCGGGTATGCGCTCTCCATCTCGGGCTTGGTCTCGATCCTCCTCCAGATAGCGGTCATGCCCTTCGTCCTCCGCCGCTTCGACCACGCGTGGACGTACAATGCCTGCATGGCGCTCTGGCCCTTCTGCTTCGTCCTCCTTCCCGCACTCAACGTGCTCGCCCGCGCGGGCGCCGCGGACCTCGCCGCTGGCACCCTCACCGAGCACGGCCGCGCGGTGGTCTGGCTCGCGGTCAGCGGCGTCATGGTGATATCACGCACCGCGGCCCTGGCGTTCTCGTGCGTGTCTCGCTCCTCTCGTCCGCCCACGTCCGTACGGGCATATCGTTGATGCTCCGTCCTCGTCCCCAGCGTCAGCATGATTCTCGTCAAAGAGGCTGCGCCAAGCCCGTCGTCGCTCGGCGTCACGAATGGGATCACCCAGTTCGCAATGGTACAACCCCTCTTGTCCCATGTCTAGCGTTTTAGCCAACTGATTCCGACCTCGTCCCAGTGTCTCTCGCGGTCTTTCAGCCCCGCGTTCGCAAGCTCGCTCATGGCGTTCTCGATGGGCTACGACCACATCCTTCTCAAGTACCTTTGGGTGCTCATCATGTCTCTCATCGCTTTCTTCTGCACGACTCTCTCACGCCGCATCGCCGAGGGACGCCGGCCGCACCCGCCACGGTAGATCTGCTCTTCTCGTCCACGTACATGTGCGTACATGTTGTACGTTCACCCACTCGCGGCCACTCGGACTTGTAGATTAGTAGCCTCCTCCATTTGCTCTCTCATCGTCGGTCTAGACCTATGTTGTTTTACTTTGCTTCTGTCATTTGCACACCCTGCTATCCTGGTCGCACGCACTTTACCCGTCCTGCAGCATGTAGACATAACAAGTTCCAAAGTTCCAATTACAGTTTTTGTAACGTACAAACAGCACCTATCGGCGCGTGCGTTCATAGCAAGACGCCAGTTCGATCGACCGCCCAGCTAAGCGTCAGTCTGAACGCTCTTAGATCTTCGCCAGCGAACCCTTGCCCGGCTCGCCGAGCGCATAGAGCCCGTCGAGCGCCGTCTTGTGGAACTCGTACGCCTCTTTGCGCTTCACCTTCAGCGTCGGCGTCAGGCACCCGTTCTCGACGGTAAACGGTTCCATCGTGACGTGCAGCCGGCGGATCATCTCGAAGCTACGCACGACGCTGTCAGTTCCCTGTCCATCTCCGAACAACGAAGGACGCACCCCTTGAGCCCTGCTTGTGTGGCGCCTTCTGGAGCTCATCGTGCACCGCAGCGACGACCTCGGGCAGCTTCGCGGCGGCCGCAAGCCCGGCGGCGTCCTCGGGTGCGACTGTCTTGCCCGTCACGCGAGTGAGGAGTGCAGAGAAGTGGATCGGGTCCGGGACGGCGACACCGATGAGATATGACTGCAACGAATCGCCGTGGACGTAGACCTGGGCGACGAGCGGCGAGCCCGAGTACACGTTCTCGATGTTCTCGAGCGCGACGTACTCGCCCTGGGCGAGCTTCATGATGTTCTGTGTGCCGGATCAGGTCAGATCGACGTCGATGGTACGAGTGCGTCCGTCCACGGGCCTACCTTCACGCGGTCGATGATCCGCAGGCGGCCCGAGGCGTCGAGCGTGCCGACGTCGCCGGTGTGCAGCCAGCCCTCGGGGTCGATCGTCTCCTCCGTCTTCTTCGGGTCTGCGGGGCCGTTCGTCAGGATGCCCCGCCAGCGACTCCCCAACGATTGACTGACCTTTGTAATAGCAGCTGAAGCGCTGGGGGCCACGCATGCAGATCTCGCCGCGGGGGAATGGCTTGTCATCGGCCGAGTAACCCATCGACGGCACGTCGACGAACTTGAGCTCGGTGTTAGACATGATCGAGCCGGTGGTGCCGCTCGCCCACGGGTCACCAAAGGACGTCTTGACGAAGGCGGCGCAGTTCTCGGTCATGCCGTACCCTAGTCATGTCGTTCTGCTCAGCGGGATGTCCAGACGGGCAAAGAGAGACAAGAGCAGACCTTCAAGGATTTGGCACAGCAGACCAACCTTGAGGAACTCCATAACGTTGGCGCTGATGGGGGCAGACCCAGTGGCAATCAGCTTCATGCGTCCGCCGAGCACGTTGGCCAGCTGTGAATGACCGCAGCGTCAGCACACGGCCAGGCGCAAGCGCGGAATAGACGGATCACCTTCCGGAACACGAGGCGGTCGTAAAGCATGTGGTAAAACTGCCCGTACTCGCGGAGGTTGTGGATTTTCGTGGCCACAGCCTTCTGGAAGAGCGCGCCTTTGAGACCCGGCTGCGAGCCCGCGGCCATCGCCGACTGGTAGACACGGTTGAGAACGCGAGGGACGGCAGGAAAGAAGTGCGGGCGCAGGATGGCGAGGTCTTCTAGGAGGGTAAGAGGGTCACCGGTGGTGTAACCGATACATGCACCCAGCGAGATCGCAACGAGTTCCATGATACGCTGTGTTGGGAGTCGGTCAGCCGTCGTGCACAATGTGCACAAATATCCATGCACATACCTCATAGATGTGAGCAAGAGGCAAGAACGACATCATGACGATCTCGGTGCCTTCCAGGCCGAGCTGGTAAAGGAAGCCATATGTCGCTTGCGCGAGCTGGCCGTGCGTCAGTACGACACCTTTTGGTGTACCAGTCGTACCCTGAAAATTCCCGGCTTCAACAAAGCAAACTACAGCATTGTCCCGCGCTGAACGCACCGACGTGTAGCAGATCGTGGCGACTTGGTCAGAGGTAGGTTGAATCACAGGAAGGAGGTTCGCGCGACCGAAGTCCTCAACTGAGCGGAACGTCAGCCCCATCACCAGTGAGCGTGCGCAAGACAGACGCACTCTCAGACATCTCCTTGACTTCAACCTGAACGGTCTCTCCCCAAGTAGCAAGCACATTCTTGGTCTGTTCAGATAGGGCGTCCATGGAGACGATCATTCTCAGCTTGGGGCACTTGGGGGCAAGCTTCAGCAGCCCGGGGATGTGGTCGGCGGTGGCAAAGCAGACCGACAGCTCAGCGTGATTCATGCTGAGGAACATTGTCTCAGGCAAAATCTTCGAAATATACGGCCGAAATACACTCACATGAACTCTAGAGCGGGCGAACACGATGTCAGACCATCACCATGCGCCGGAAATGACGCAAACACGCACCCGCGGAGTCTTTCCCCAACGTATCATACAGACTGACTGATACCTTCCCATACGCCTGAATGGTGAGATCGATGACTTGCCAGTCTGCCAGCACATCTCCATGTCAGCACTGCACCGCGTCCAAACCACCGCATACACCAAGCCTCGCGCGAGCCCACAACATTCGCTGGCACACGAGTGCCGCGGAGCGCCCAAACGCCAAGCGGCTCCCCCACACATCCCGCCCCTCACAGCAAGAAAAAACAAGTCAGACTCACTCGGGCAGTTCTTGCTCCAGATGCCGACCGTAGGCAGGTCGCTCCCGCCGAGCTTCCCGCTCCTCCACAACGTCTCCAGCGCGGAACCGAGCGCGCGGCGGCGCGCGTCGACCTCGGGCCAGCTCTGCCAGACGTGGTGCTTTGCGAACGTCGGCGGGCTCGCGCTCAGGAGCGGGCGGTGGCCCAAGAACCTGCCGCCCTGCGCGCGCGCGAAGCCTTCGTCGTATATCTCGACCAGGTTCGTGTACACGCCCGGGCTGTCGATGGTGCTCAACGGGTACGCGGCTGGGTGAGAGCGAGAGGGGTGGGTGTGAGACTTGATGCACGGCGCGGGTGGGCGAGAAAGCACGTACCACAGTGATAGTGTGCTGTAAGTGCGTGGGGGAGGGGTGAGCTGGAGCCGCGTCTCGGGGAGAAAGTGAAATACCGGTCTGGCCGGGACGCTTCGTGCCTGGGACCTCGACGATCTGCTTGGTGTAGTCGATGCCCTCCGAGACCGGGATGGGGAGGTGCGCGAACTTGGTAGCGGGGGCCATCTTCGATGGGGAGAGGTTGGGGTGGGGGTGGAAGAAAGGAGAGGTGTGATCGGGATGCGCCCGCGAAGTCAAGAAGGTATGTGGCCAACAGAGAACCGTCGGGTGCTTACTACGGGCCGACGGTGAGAATCACAGGAAAACGGCGAGCTGCGCGCTGGCGATGCGGGTCCAGTCGGGACGAGCAGAGTGCGTGGGTCTGCCCAACGTCGACGTCTTGGGCCAGAGTAAGATGAGCGCAGTGAGGCATGTGAATTCACATTTTCTGCTGCATCCGCGGGCCGGCTCGAGCATGACCGGGACCTCCCGCGAATCCCACTGTCGTCATGTCGCATCTACACTTGACCCTTCATACAATATCAACCTTCTTGCAGTAATGGGGTCTGTCGTGACAAGAGCAGTAAAATACACCGTATTCAGTTATCGTGGGCAGACTGCATACGTAATAAGTACATTCAGCGTCATCAAGCAGTCTACACAGCGGGCGGAGAAGCGATTACAGAGACCAAAACATATCATAGGTCATGGCAGTCGTGATGCGATGTCCAGACGGTTCAAAGTCGGGGAAGCGTTCGAAGTGGTATCACGGGGCGCTGAGAACAATCTAGAGAAGATGTGTGTCAATTGATGCCTGCAGAAGTTTGGAAGTTATCGTTACATACCCTCATGAACTGCTCGTAGTTCATTTGCACCCAACCATCGCGATCGGTGTCAACCCTGCGCCAATGTGAGGATCAAGACAGGCGGACGGTTAAGCGGACACATACCTCTGGAACGCCTCGGTCAGAGTCTTGACAACGACGCATGCCCGCACGAAGCGGTCGAAAGTGATACCGGGCGGCGGACCGTACCGGTCAGAGGGGCCCGAAGCTACTTCATAAAGCCAGTTCAAGAAGTGCCGCTGCAGGCCGGATGGAAGGCACATACCATACTTCTGCTCGAGGAGCGAGAGCAACATCGGGGAGAGATTGTACCCGAAGCTGCGGAGGGCCTCGGAGAGCTCGGCACCCTCGATGGAGCCCGAGTGATCGCGGTCGAAGTGCCTGAACACGTTCTGCCAGTCCTGGATGTACTTCCACAGCCCGGCGAATTCTGGCGGCGAGCAGAAGCACGTCAGCGAGCGTGACGCGGGAGAAGGCAAGACAGGGTGCCCGTGTTCGGTTGGGCTGTATGCACGCACCGTTGAAGCCAATCGACCCGCTGCGGTCAGTGTCCTGCACGAAAAATAACATCAGCCTTCGCTGTCGGTGGCGAAAGGGATAAAAGGCACTCACGAAGATAGACATGAGCATCTTGACCGTATCGAGGTCGAACTCTGCAAATGAATCGTCAAACTCCGCGGCCTGGTCTAACAGACGCGCACGAGTCTCGGATGACACGAGGCCTGCCTGGGCACGGTCTCGCTCCACATCCTCGCGCGCACATGCCAATCGGAGAGCAAATACTCACTCGTCCAGTTTCCTGCGGACAGCCAAACGGTGATTAGCCACGATCGTTCCCGAACCCGCGAGATCAGCGAACCCGATGGGGTCGTGCGACTTCGCGGGAAGGATTCTTGGGAGAGCGGACGTACCATTCACAAGTGCTTGCTGCAGCTCCGTGACACTAATCGCGCCCGAGCGGTCTGCGTCGACGGCCGAGAACCATTGCCAAAGTTGAGGGTCGGCTCCGGGCGGGGGGCCGACGGACGGCGGGGGAGCGCCATATGGGGGCTGGGCTGGGCGGCCGTACCCCTGCTGGGATTGGTATCCGCCGTACTGTTGTGCGCTTGGAGGCCGCTGCTGTTGATAGTGGCTCGCGTTCGATGCGTGGCGATGGGGGGTACCGTAGCGGACAGACATTTGGGAGGATGCGGGGAGAGGAGAAGGTGGAGGAAGGGAAGGAGCAAGGGGGCTGGGAATAATGATGAAAGCGGACGTTTGAGTTCTAAGCAGGAGCGCCTTATGAGAGCGCTTCAGGGGCGCCTCATCAGCGGGCGCGGGGCTGTGTGTCACCGATTGTATTCTCACCGCGACGTTGACTCGTGCGGTGCTTGGCTGACAATGCTCTGATCAGCCTTGGCCTGCGCAGGCGAGTGCTCGCTGTGCGCGATGGCGGGGAGTGAGCCCAGCATTCTCCGGTCCGTCCTGCGCGATGATCGAACAGGTGGGTACTATGACGCACTGCTTGCGTAGTCTCGCCTCCAACGGCAATGCGCCATGCCGCCCTCGGCATTATCCATTCCGCCCACCGTGCGTCCCCGCGCAGGCGGCAGGCCACACGACCTTCAATTCTGTGCTCTTCTGCAAAGATAAGTGAGACGCAATACACGCCCATCTGTCACTTTCTTATCAATCCAACCCTGGGCCCGCGTGCATACTCGTCATTTTTACGCACCAGTTGGCGATTGAGACCAGGGATGGGTTAACGAAGGCTATCTCGGCGGATCTTGGGCGCGCCGCAAAATCACATGACCGGAACTCGCCAGGGCAAGCTAGATCCCGAGCCGGTCAAAAGGCTGGGAAGACTCTGCGCGTCTAATCGGCCGACACAAGTCCTGGAACGACCGCAAGGGCACAGGTTGTCTTCTTCTAGCACCACTGTCGGACTCTTTCACCGAACACGGTGTCTCAAGCGGGGCTAGTGCGCTGGTTCTGGCAGGTACCGGCATCTGTTCCACTATTAGACGCATCCGCCATGGCTTCTCCGCACTTGAAGGCTGTGATATTCGACGTACGGCTCATCCTTCGGGAGTTGTTGTCACAGCCCCCTGCCGTATCGTCCACTACGCTAACCAACGACGTCTACCCTCGTTCTTTCTTCCACAGGTTGGCGGCGTAGTGTGCCGCAGCCCACTCATCGCCATTGATGAGTACGAACGCGAGCATGGGCTGCCGAACAACTACATCAACTGCGCCATGTGAGCTCAGCACTCTCGCCTTCTTCCATGCACTCGGCGCCGCCCGCACTACCGATGGCGATCCTCATGCCCCACCTCGTTCAACTGGGGCTATGTCGAACACGCTCGCTGACTGGCCCGTCTGTATTCAGAACCACCCGCGGATCGCATGGGGCATGGCAGAAGTTCGAGCGCGGGGAGATGCGCCTCGTCTCGTTCTACGCCCAGTTTGGCCGCGAGCTTTCCGATACGAAGACCAACAACCCTGCGTACGTCGCGTACTGCGCGCGCCGCAAGATGGGTGAGTACCTCCGCGTCCACCGCGCCGTCCACCGCTGACATCCCGCCCGCATGTGTTCGCCGGGGTCTGTCTCACGCGCCCGTCGTTGTGCGCCACCTTCGCTGCGATCGCCCGACAGTGCCCCCGCCGCGACTCCCGGAGGCATCGCTGGACATCGACGGTCGTGAGGTGAGCCTTTCGCCTGCCCCGCTCGAATGGCCTCTCCGATCGTAGAAGTCCGGGCTGAAAGAAACTGTCAGCTCTTCGGTCGGATGATGCGAGAGAGTGGGGTGTTCGACGACGCTGTCGTCGAGGCGATTAGGCGAATTCGCGGTAAGTCCCCATTAGTCTCTCTGCCCGCCAGCTCGAGGAGCACGTCCTTCCCGCGGCGCGGTCGGGGCGTCTGCGACGTCTGCTAGCCCGCCGGCAGCTCTGTGTGGCACCCGTGCTGACCGTTTTAAATTTGTCCTCCACTCTGCTATCGCTCCCGCTCTCGATGGGACCCCGGCGTACCGTGCTGCTACGCCCTACTTCCATGCCTGGCCCTCGTGCGCTCTATGCGGCGACGGGGACGAACGTTGCTGCCCGCGCGGACATCCGATCGGTTTTCCCTTTCTCGTGCTTTGTCACGTTGACGCCAACACCAACGCGCACGGTATCGACATCGACATCACGGAACGCCGCGACGTTGGCGCTTTACTCCGTACCTACGTCAACGGCGACGGTGCGCGGTCGATCCGAATGCTGCAGCGGCAGGCAGGTGGCAAGTCATCGCGCTCACGAACAACTTCTCGAAGGCGGACGCAGACGTGGTCGGCGACGAGCCGCCGTCCAAGGCGGATGCGCCGTGGTTCACGAGCACGGAGGACGAGCTCAAGTTCCTGGGCTGGCAGGACGGTGCGACGCCGCCGCGGCTCCGCGCCCTCTTCGACGACTTCTGCGACTCGAGTGCGCTCGGGATGAGGTGCGTCGCTCTCGCCCGCCGCGCCGTGTGCCCGGGCGATATCTCTCTGACATGTCTTCTTTTAATTTTCGCATGGACTTTGGCTCTGGCCGCCTCGACCCCGCGCCTGATGCGCCGCCCACTCTCCACCTTCACGCCCGTGCGCGAACGCCTGCGTGCCGCCGCTGCTCGGTCGCGCGTGTGCCCTGGGTGTCTGCCACGGCCGCCCTCCGCGCGCTTCCCCCCTCGCCTCTCCGTCCGCGGGCCCCCGACACAGGAAGCCGGAGCCCGGGTTCTACCTGCTCGCCTGCGAGCGCAACGGGATCGCGCCGTCGGAGGCCGTCTTTCTCGACGACCTCGGGATGTGCGTCGCCCTGCTCATTTCCCCCTCGGCGTTCTGCCTTCACCGCGCGCGCCTGGCGGAACTGACGTGCGCGCGATTGTGACGCAGGAACCTGAAAGCGGCCCAGGCGCTCGGGATGGAAACCATCCGTGCGTGTCCGTTTCGTCATCCTGCGCCTTCCTCCTTCTCTGCCCGTCCGCTGGAGACGCCGCCCCTCTTTTTTTTTCTCTCCGTGCGCTCTCGTCACACGCCCGCGACCGACGCCGACACCGACTCCGTCCCCACGGGCGCGTGAAAGTGCATGCTGGTGCACATGCACGATCGACGTCCAGTGTCCACAGTGCATCACGCTTCCCCCATGAGGCAGACGGAGGTCGGGGGCCTGGCACACAAAGCAAACCTGGCACACACCCAGCCGCTGCCGGCGTCGGCGTCGGTGACGGGCTGGACGCGTCGCTCGCCCGGGCACCCACGCATCTCACGCATCGGCGCACACAGACGTCCCCATCGGCGGCTCCCTCGGGGCGCTCGCGAAGCTCGAAGCCAAGCTCGGCATCGCCCTCACCGACGCGCCACGTCCCCCCGCGCCGCCGCCTTCCCGGCTCTGACGAAACGCGTACGGCACAGATGTCGGAGGGGGGCGACCGCGGCCTCGATCGAGATCGCGGCTGCGCGGGCGGGGGGCACGCGCACGCGTCGCGGCGTTAGCAGTGGCGGGTCGCGCAGACGTGCCCGTACGCCTGTCGATCCCATTGCTTTCTTCGGCTCGGGCGGCGCGCGGAGGGGAAGGCTCGAGCAGAGGAAGCGAAGAGCGGGCACGCTCGGCGAGCGTGGGCGGGACTGGTCTCGCACGGCGTCGATGCAGAGGGACGGCGGACGGTTCGTCTATAGGTCTTTACTACGCGCGGCGCATATGTCTACATAGTTCAGAACGGCTTGTCCGATGCGGGGGTCTTGTCCTCCCAGTAGCTGCCCACCTGGGAGTGTCTGGAGTTGGAGAAACCGCCGAGAGGAGGCAGAGAGGCGAGACGCACCATTGGAATCTGGGAGAGGAACCCACGCTTGACGAGAGGCGTGACCGAGAGCAGCTGCACGGCCATCCCGGTCAGATCCCCCCGCACTCGTGTCATGGATGCACTAGGTGACGTACGTAGAGTGCCGCAACCCCCGCTCCTGCTCCCCACATGCCCATGCTCGGTGCCCAAGTGCGGGCGAACTGCAGAGACGGCGAACCCGGTATTAGCCGACAGGCTCAGCAGGGCGACGATGGCGGGCTACTTGCCTGGAAGAGAGGCTTCTGGGGCGGGACGGGGTGGAAGTAGACGCGAGACATGGCGCGGTGAGAGCGTGGGGTGGCGACGGGTGGTGTCGGCGACGGGCTGGACGACGGGCTTTTGCAAGGAGCGGATGCGGCCAGCAACCTGCGCTCACTGTCCGCTGGCCCTCGCGGGAACTCCCGAAGGCCCGCTCGGCGTCCTCCCAAATTGCCGACCCGCACCCGGGCCGGACGTGCGCTGACTTGGCCATTCCCTAAGTTTCTTACTACTTGTTGTCGTCGCCGTCGTCGTTGGAACCTCGCTCGCCCACTCCGTCATCTCCACACATCACTGCTCCAGTATCTCAGCGGCCTCCGGACTTGCATATATCTGCCTTCAGGTTTTTGACGAGACGCCCACCACACACCATCCCTAAGTTGTAACAGTTGCTCAATACTACTTACTTCCTCCGCTATTGCGTGTACCGTTGTTGATTTCGGGCAGAACTTTCGAGTCCTTCTCAATATCAGATGTGTATTTGAACAGCATTGGCCTCCTTGGCGAAGACGAGTCTCTTCGATCGTCTACTCTCATATTGGCATAGCGTCGTTGGCGCAAGCTACTTACTTCATCCCGAGAGGGGGACTCGTTCGTCCTTCTCCTTCTCGCTCGTCTTTCGCGCTCCTCGTCTATGTTGTCTAACCACTGAGAATTCTATATCATATTCCATACAGGAGTTCCCCAAGTCGCCACGAATGCAAGTCCCTTTATTGCTTTCCGTGTCTATATCGGACTGACCATCTTCCTTCCAACTACTTCTCCTTTCGCTCTTGGATGCGACAGCCTCACACCGTTCCGACGGGTAAGAAAGGGAGAAAATCACAATGGTATCGCTGTGGACAGCGGCCACCCGGATCTCTTACACCGTTTCCAACCCCACGGGCAGATTCTCCCCCGCTCCCTTCAAGGAGTCGGTCTATGGTGTCTTCGACACCCGTCTGAACGAGGTATAGGATAATATCGCCCCGGATATTCCCAAGGTGCGCGGGATCAAGACGACTTATACCATTGGCAGGGCACGCTTCTTATATCTTCAGCCACGCTTCCGAGCCTGTAGAAGAGGAGATGAAGGGCCTGAAATTGCGTCCTGCTCGGTGCTACCACCGCCGATATCACCGACAATGCCTCTCAGCAGATATCGTTCGCTCCGGAGTCGTCACTACCAATCATCACTTTGCACTGAGTTATAAAACCTCTATACCTCTCACATTTAGAGGTTGCTGGAGGTTTAAAATCTTTTAGAGGATCGGTTCTTGAGTGGTCGTGTGCAGAATAGTTGTAGTAGAATCGTATAAAAATTCATCGGCAACTAGTGTAAACCGACTAGAGGGACAGGAGCGGAGTGGTTGTCAGCCAGTGGAACTCCAGAAGCCTGCCGGCGTCCGAATTCCAACACGGGCCGGACGGGCGCCTACACAATTTTTGCCATCGTCGTCGCCGTCGTGTAGACTTCGCCTGGCGGTACGCAGTCCTCTGTGCTTCTTGCTTCCACCTCGCCCGCTGAGGCCGCCCACTCCGTCATCTCCTTACACCCCTGCGCCGGCCTCTCAACGGCCTCCAGACGTTCTTGTGCACCCATCTACCTTCAGGAGCTGATTCTCCTCCGATCTGCCGGCCCCGTCCACACGGTGCACCTCCTCTGCCGGGCTCACCAGGACTTCTCAAAACCGAAAACTTCAATCACCCGATCCTAAGCCGCGCCCGCACCGATGGCGAACCCGCGACAGCGGCGCAAGACGCGCTCGGGCACGCACAAGGCCGTGCAGCACTCGCGGCGCGCGAAGACGCTGCTCAAGAAACAACCGCGTTCGTACCGTCCCCCTCCCCATCCCCAGACCTCCACCGTGCTCGCGGCCGCGGTGCCTGCGGCGGCGCCGTAGGGGGGGAGGAGAAGGACCCCCCGGCGCGCACGCCGCAGGGCCCCGCGCACGCGCGACGCACGCGTTTCACGGCTCCCGCTCACGCCGCCGCCCGGCCGTTTGCAGCACTCCGAGGACCGAAGGCGCTCCAGGACGCCTGGGATCCGCGGAAGACGGTGCGCCAAAAGTGAGTGGGCCTGTCGGCGCCGTCGCTCGCCCGACGCGCGCGGGAACTTCGGTCGGGGCTGACCCGCGCGGTGCACGAACAGTTACGAGGCGTTGGGCCTGGCGGCGTCGCTGAACCCGATCGCGTCCGGAGGGACGGAGAAGCGGCTGGGCGGGCGTGCTGCGGAAGGTGAACGCGGAGGAGGAGAAGACGCCCCCGTCGGGGGCTCGTCGACCGTGGGCGCGAGGCCGGCGGGGGCGGAGGCCAAATTGCCGAAGGGGTGGGGGCGGATCATCCGGGACGCGGAGGGGAACGTCGTCGACATCGAGCTCGCGGACGAAGAGGAGGCGGGAGTGGACGAGGCCGGGGACGGGCTGGACGAGGTCGCGGACCCTCGGGAGGACGGGCGACTGGCGGGCTGGGTGGCGGTGGGGGCGCGTGACGGGGGGGACGGAGGAGGGGTTGTGGGAGGTGAGTGCCGCGGGAGGGGAGATTCTGTGGAAGATCGCGCCTGGCGTGTGGGCAGGGTGTGATGGGCTCATGAGGGCCTTCTCATCCTCTGCCACACCCGGCCCGTCTCTCGGGCTCTCGGTCGGGGGAGCATCGCGCTCACATGTTGGCTGCTATTCTTGCCAGTGCTCGAGCAACTTTCCGAGGCGCGGGCAGGGCAGGGCACGCGGCGGCACGCGTCCCAGGGCGAGCTCGCGCTGCTGCGGGCGCTGGTGGCCAAGCACGGGGAGGACGTGGAGGAGATGGCGCGGGACCGGCGGGCGAACGTCGAGCAGCGGACGGCCGGGGAGCTCAGGCGGGCGATCCGCAAGGCTGGCGGCCTCGGCGCGCTGGCGGGGGCGGACTAGTCACATGCGGTGGACGAGGAGACAAGGGCGGTGGACGGCGGTAGGCGCGGCGGATGTGGCTGTACGGAGAAAGAGACGCTCGGCTGTCGTGCACTCCCAGCCGACGCTTTGGTCGAAGAGCGGTGCGCGTCGTGGCTCACTCCATGTCATGCTTTCCGATCGTCCATCTGCCTGCTCAGGCTCCGATCCCGACATGAGTTCTATTCCATCCGTCTTGGCTGCCGTTTGCACCACGTTGACAAGTCCAGACGACGGAGGCTGCGGCTCGCGGCTCGCACGTCGCATTAGCTCGCCCGGGCGCCCGTCCTCGAAGCCATCGCGACGTCTGCCCGCTTTGTCAACCGCACGCCCACGGGAAGCCGTGCGTCGGTCGCGGAGGACATCGGCCTCACACACGGCGCGGCGTTGTGCGCGTGTGGGCCCTCGAGGACAGGCGCACACAAACCTAGTCCTCGCAAAGTGCCGGGGAGAGGCGCGCGCAAGGCATGGTATGTTCTCGTCCTGTATCTTATTTGACGGCAGCTGATGGACGGCCGGAGAGGCTGCGCGGCGACCTGGCGTTCACCTGGCGCGCGACGCTCCAATTGGAATACCTCGCCCGGCACGGGCGGGTGAAGCGGCGCGAGGGCTGGGCGCACGGCAGGGAAGCGCATTCTCGCCGTGAACCGCCCAGGTTTGGACACCACTCGCCCTCCGCGCGCTCGCCCGACCCCAACCTCGCTCTGCCGCCCCCGGGGCTTCGCAGACGTTTCCCAGCCCGCGAGCATCGCGCACGCTACCGCCCGCCCGAGGCATGGCCCCGGACGCGCACCTCTCCTGCCTTATGCGCCCCTTCCTCTCTCGGCCACCTATAAATTCTCCCGCCCGCCCCCGTCCCCTCCTCGCCGCCCCTCCCGCCGCCACCCCGGACGCGTCCTCTTGCTCCCCGAGCCCCGAACCCGCCGCGCATGTCGCCCTCCCCCCGAGACTCCGCGTCTCCCCTCAGCCGCACACACTCCCCGTCCCCCTACCCAACCTCCGGCATGTCGCGCAAGGCCCCCGCGCAGCCAAAGTCCACCCGCCAACAGTACAGCGGTGCGCGCGCCCCCCTCTCCCCCGTGCGCGCACCCAGCTCACTCGCTCCTCTCCCAGCTTGCGGCGCGTGTCGCATGCGAAGGTGCCCTCCCCCCGCGGTCCGCCCGCCCGCGCACTACTAACTCGCCCGCTCTCCCTCCCCGGACTGCCCCTGCAGGGTCAAATGCGACCTCAAGGACCTCCCGACGCTCGCCTCGGGACAGCACCCGCCGTGCTCCAACTGTAGCGAGCGCGGCCTTAACTGCGTGTGCGTATCGCGATCCCCCGTCCGTGCAGTGTCCCTCCCGCTCACGCTCTGATTAGCGACGAGTTTGCCGAGGTCAAGGCCGTCAAGCTCCTCAGACGTGGGCGCCGCCTCCAGAAAGTAGAGTGAGCCCCCTCCTTCGCCACGCGCCCCGTCGCGCTCGCGCTCACCCCCACCCTCCGCGCAGGGCCGTGTACGGCAAGGCGTCCAAGGAGGACGCGGACCTGCACACCGTCATCCCGCCCCGGAGCGTGATCCCCAGCTGAAGCCCGAGTTCTTCAGGTCGTCTTTCTTCCGCCGGTTCCACATACAGCGTGAGCCCGCCGCCTCCGCCGCCACCGCGCTCGTCGATCGCTCACAGGCACTGCGGCGCCGCTAACACCCATTAGGACCCATACTGGAGCCAACGGAGTACTGCCCGCGGTTCACGGAGTGGTTCAACGGCACGTCGGACTGCCTCTTGTTTCCCGGCCAACTCATCGCGCTCGTGCTCGTCGTCTGGGCCGCGAGCTACGGCCTCGACGAGGGAGGCGAAGAGGTGCCCGAGTTCCGGGGCGAAGATTTCCAACAACGCAAGGAGCGCGTGAACGACATGCTCGTCGAGCTCCTATACCTCGTTGACATACACGGACTCCTCCGGAAACCCTGTTGGGACGGAGTCAGAGCCCTGCTGCTCATCTTGCCTTTGACGGAAGGTTCGTCACATTCTTTCATATTAAACGTGGCCACACGCCGAGCCCTCCCACACAGACGTTCAGACCCCCATGGAGAGACTGGTGATGAGCGACGCCACGATGAGCCAGGTATATGCGCTCTGCAGCGTGCCCTCGCCAGAAAGCGTTCAAGGCGATTACGTCGACGCCCTCGTTCGTGCGAGGGTTTTCTGGTACGCACACGTCACCGACGGCATAACCAGCGGGCTACGAGGTGGCCGGGTCATTCTGTACGTCCTCGGAGACGCTATCACTTAGCGCGGCTCATGCTCATCCAATCCCAGAACCGACGACGATCTGTCATCGTTTGAGGCGACCCTCCCCCCTGTCGGCGCTGACGGTGGCCCGTCGACCGCGTACTCCTTTGCTTACCGGTTCGCCACTATCCCCATTCGCATCGCTTCCGTGTGTCGTGACATCCACGCCTGCCTCACCGGTCCGAAGGCGCGTCAACGCGAAGACTTGGACGAGGAAGGTCTGCTCGAGTCGTGGGACGTTCTCGAAAAATGCTGGCGAGACCTCGAGGGCCTCCGGCAGTTCTCGTCGTTCGGAATCAATCAACCCGAGGACATTGAGAGGTTTATCGATGGCTGGCAGGTGAGTCCTTGTCACAGCTGTCTAGCCCTATCTTGACACTGATTTTGCGGTCGTGATCATCCAAGATATTCCTCTTTGAGTCACGTACGATCACTTCTTTCTCCTGTGAGCCACGCCGTCGCTAACCTTCTGACACACAGATAATGTCATCCGTGAGGCTCTCAAGTCGAGGCTAGTTGCGCTTCCGGCCCAGGAGATGTCGTATCTGCCTGATGGACAACCATCCCCGAGGTCTCGGAAATCGGAGGTCGTCTATCGACTCCACACGAAGGCCAACTCGAAGTGCCACTATGCTGTCCGGCATGTCGTCAACATCCTTCGCAAGAACATCGGGAGCGCATTCTTTCAGTATGACGCAGCTCTAGTCCGGGACGGGTGTTTTTTCGCGGGCTTCTTGTTAGCCGGAGAAAGCGGTTCAAGGGAAGACGTCGAGGTCTGCATAACTGCCTTATCCGAGATGCGCTGGGCCTTTTCCAAGACAGAAGAGCGCCAGCGGACCCTGCGCCTCGTCTGGGAGTCTCGCGCCGCCCAGGCTCGCAGTCAATCCTCGCGGAGTTTCACCTCTAGTCCATCCGACGACACCGTACGCGGTCCTGGCGTCTTCGAGGGCGGCTACGTGCGCCGTGGCCTTGTGCGCCCGACGAGCGTCCCGCCCCTGTCATTGTCCTCCACCACCACGATGGGGTCCGGCTTCGACGGCACTTCGGACTCGAGATGGCCGTCGACGACCTCTGGCTCAGGCTCAGAGTCGGAGCAGTACCAACCCTCGTCCCGCTCCCCGTCCCTTCCGAGCACATCATCCTCATATGCCACCTCATCGCACAGCGCTCTCAGCCTCAGCAGCGTCCTCCACAGCGGCGACGGCAGCGCCGGGGCATCTCCCATGCTCATCACATCTTCGCGCGGACCATCAAGCCACCAGACGGTCTCCGGCCAAAGCGGGTATTTCGTACCACCATTTAATTACATGTCCATCGGCGGTGAACCCGGGATGGACACACGCGCAGCCGCGGCGCAGTCGACCACTCTGGAAGGCCTGTCGCCCGTGGATCAGACTTCGGGGGCGTTCAACCATCCCACGCCAACAGGCCCCTTTGCGTACGGCACGGTCTCGTACTCGTCGTCGAACATCCCCCAGCCGGAGAGTGGCTCCAGTTATCTTCCCCCGCCGGCTGCAGCCCAGGGCGGCAGTCCCTCGTTTGGGAATGCTGCGAGCTATTACTAGGTCGTTGGTAGCGTGGAGCTTTCGCCAACCACCGAGATGACGGCAAGGTTCGTCGTCGCTTCTCGCGTTCTACTGTTTATTCCCTATCGTCATCATGCTATCGTCGCACTGTCTCTGTCGAATGCACCTCTCGGAACGTCCGTCCCGACTACTGTATTTGTCGCCCCGGCCGCTGGACCTCTTGGACTCCCTGATCTGGTACCTTACGTGTATATAGCCCTAGTCCCCGCCGCAATGTCCCCTCCGCATCGCTGTATTACACCTCCCGCCCACCATACGCTTCCTTGACACCGATACCCCACCCCTGCCTGCACCCCGCACCCGAGTCCCGATCCTGCCACGCCGCCAGCATAGCACCGTTACTGTACTTGTTTCAAATACTTCCGCATCCCGCATAACTACGTACTAGAGCCCGATCCAGATCCCCCAATCATCAGTATGAGTAGACCCTGGGTTCATCCCGCATGACCTCACGCGCCGCGCGCCACATCGTTTCTAACATTAACGCCGCACAATATCGCCAGCAGCCCTGGCGCGTCACTGCTGGAACGTTGGGACGGGGTGTACGTACGCACACGCACTCTATCTGCTCAATCACCCACCCCCCCGCCAGATGCGCCCGCTTTCTCGCCCTTGTCAACGCCGGGCGTCGCGTCGCACGTTCCTGTTCGCATCGTCGTCGTCATCGATAAACTGGTGTTGGGTGTGGGTAGGCGTCGGTATCGGCATCGACGTTCGAAGCTGCGAGCTTCAAGGAGTTCGAACTGCTCCCTGCGCCGTCGTCGGCGGCGGCGGCGGAGACGGGCGGGCCGCCGCTGTCTCCGCCGCCTCACGAATCGCGCGTGGGACGCGTGGGCAGCGATCGCGCTGGCGGCGTGGGCGTGGGTGTGGGCGTGGCCTCCCTGAGGCCGCGGGGCTGCGGAGCCCAGGAGCGCGCGCCCGCGCGCACGGTACGTAGCTAGATTCATGAGATCGGATCGCGACGCGCGTGCGCCCGTCCTGGGTGCGGGTGGGGCTTGCGCGGGCGCACCCGCGTGGGCGGATAGGCTGGCGAACGGATCAGGGCATATTGAAAAGCACCGAGCCCTCCGCGCGGCGCGCGCGCGCCCCGCCGTCTGCACTCTGGACGCTGTCGGAGGCGTGACGGGCGGCATGGACGGGCCCTGCACGCGACGGTCAAATTCACGAAGCGGGCCTTAGCGACGTCGGGAGGAGGGGGGGAGGGCCACGCGCGTCGTGCGCGAGGGCCCTGGCGTCGACGTCAGTGTCGACGGGGGATGCGGCGCGGCGGCGAAGGCGAGGGGGAGGGCACGCGGGTGGCTCGGTATGCGCGATAGCCCCCGTACGTACGAGCGTGCCTCGAGCGCGCGCACCGCGAGATGGGCGCGTCGACGGGGTCGACGGCCAGGGTGCAGTTCGCCCTGCGTGCGGGACGCGTCGCCCGGAGGTGCCCCGCTGCGCCGCCGGGAGCGCGCTGCGGCGTCGCGGCGTCGGGGTGGGCGCGGACGCGCGAGGGGCGCGAGGGCGCGTCGTGCCCGCTTCGGGGGAGCCGCCGGCGAGCTAGCTAGTCTGCTGCAGGCACCGCCGGCGGGGCACCGGATCCGCCGTGGCGGGTGCGGGGCCTGCCAGGAAGCGCCGCGGATGGGACGGGCGAGATTCGAGTGCGCGCGCTCCCGTGTTGTCTTCAGCCCGCTGCGCCCGCATCATTGCGACGCGGCGACGCTGGTGGAGGGCTGATCACGGCGAAGAGCCCTGAGCTATAGCTTCGCGGAGACAGCGGTGTCGCGCCACATGACCGGTGGAACATTGGCGGAGGCACGCGCGCGGCGCGACGCCCCAACAAGGCGGGCGTGCGCTCCTCCGCCGCCCAGTGGAGACCGAAGGGTACGCGAGGGCGCACGCGCTCCGGCGGTCGCGGCGGGCATGTTGACGGCAGCGCGAGGGCGTGGCGGCGTATGTACTGTGATAAGTACGTATAGGTCTGCCGTAGTGCTTGGAACTCCTGAGAGACGAGGGAGAAGGCAGGCCGTCGAGTCGTTCGCGGGATCTGAAAGCGGAAGGATGCGCACAATTTGTGTGCAGGGACGCAGAAGCGACGTGGTGTTCAGTGCAGGTAGAACGGTGACCTGCCCGCACGCCGCCCGATGGGCTGGAAGCGTTCAGTTGAGTTGCGGTTCGTATTGCGAAGGTTGCCATCGTGTAGGAGGGATGGTGCTCGGGCGGTAGACGGCGGAGCGCCGAGCGAGAAGGAAGGTCGGCGAGACCATTGCACTGCACGGGGAACGTTGTGGACACGATACGGTCGGAAGATCTGCTGACAGGCCGCATCACATTCCGTGATAGATTGCAAAGGGGCAGCCCGGTGTTCTGAGCAGATATTTTGGTCTTGTGCCATGACGGCGCGTACCGTCAGAGAAGGTGGATGGGTTCACTTGCTTCATGAGAGGCGCTGGGAGAAGCCGCAGAGCACGGACGATCGCCAAGCTCAGGACGAAAACTGCTGAACACCGGTGTCATCAGCCTCCGGAGGGATCTCCAGGAACTGGGAGATGGAGTAAGTCGGAAAACATGCAGACCGACAGACTCGCACCGGACATCGCGGGCGAGGACGGGCGGCTGCATCCGCGGTAGATTGTTTGAACCGTCGGGGAGCGTCGTGCGAAGCGTACAGCTTTGCAGAGAGCGGGCGTAGTCGTGCTCGAGGCCCGAACAAGCACCCGTCGAGCCCGTCCTGCGTTCCATCCCGCCGATCTTTGGGGTTAGGGCTTCCTTCCCGCGTTCCGCAGCAGCCAAGCTCCCTGGGCAGTGCACACCGAGCTTCGCTCCAGCTCTTGCTCTCTCACCACCATCACCCCCGAACCGTCGCCATGTTCTGTGAGTCTTACCGCCCCTCTCTCCGCGCCGACAGCTGCTGAGAGCTCTTACAGGTTTCTTGCCCATCATGAGTACGTTAGCTTCTTACCGAACCCCACGATAGACGCCACACGGCGTCTCTTACGGCAGTGGACGTACAGCCTCGGTAACTCACTCCTTGTTCTCCAGTCGGCTGCCCGACAAAGATGAAGCCGGAGGGCGACCAGAGCCCCAGAATATGTCCCCGATGCCACAATGGTCTGTCTCAGCGGTCTGCCGTTCTCTCCGACCACCGGGAATCTGTTGACCCGTCCGCCCTTGTGCTATAGCTGGAGTCATCCGCGTCAAGGCCCGCTCATGGTTTGAGCTGTGCTTCGTGCCTCTCATCCCCCTGTCGTCGAAAATTGAGTGGCTCTGCACCGTCTGCAACTGGCACGTCCCTATGCAGCCCAAGTAAGTTCGCCGTTCGCGAGCCGCTTTCTCTCCGTCATACCCGCGGACCCTTTGCTAATGCCGCACCTTGCCACCCTCCTCCGTCCTCCAGTTGGGAGCCCGCTCTTCCGGCCACGGATGGCAACACCCCGGCCCAGGCCAGTGGGAGGCCATGAGCCCGCCGCCGAACGCCGCGGCTTACGGCTACCAGCCTCAGTACGTCGGCGGCAAGTAAGTCGGCCCGACAGGACCTCGCAAACTTCCACCCGGCGCCCTCTTCTCCCCGGACAATGCCCCTGTGCTTGCGGTGTACCATAGCGCTTCTTCTATATTCCCCCGCCTTCTCGGCCTACAGAACTGTCGCATGCATGTATCATACCGCCCCAGTGCTCACGAGCCAATAATCTACCGCTACCGCTTTCCGACATGATCGAACCGCACCGCCCAGGCGGGACCGCGGGGGTGGGCACCCGCTAGTCCCCGCTCCTCCGCCTCCCCTTCCGCGCCATGAACAAAACGACGATCACCGCACCCGCCACGACCCCGCAAGCTGTCGCGATGCCACAGATGTCCCCGCCCGTGAGCGCACGGTCCGCCGGCGGGGGCAAGACGACCCGCGAGGGGGGCAGGGGATCCGCGCCCCGACGCGCCACGAACGCCGCCTGGGCGGCAGGAGGGTCGGTCAGGCCGCGAAGCCCGATGGCGGGCGGCCGCGAGCCCGTCGCGACGTGGTGCGTGGCGTACACGTTCTGCGGGGAGCGCAGGCCCGAGGGTGGGCCGTGGACGGGGCGTGAGCGTGGTACGGGCGCGAGGTCGGGGGCGTGCGCGGGGCACTCGGGGGGAGGAGAGAAGGGGGGCGGACGTACCCGCAAGAACGTGTCCCCCAGGAGCCAGTCCGCGGCGAAATCTGTGAAGAGGGGGAACGGGGTGCGGGTCCCAACGAGCACGGAGATGAAGGCATATGTGTGGCGCAGAAAAAAGGGAACGGCTCAGCACGCCGACTCGAGGATAAGAAGAAGACGAAGGAAGCGGGGGGACCTTCTACTCACCCCGTCGTTCGCTTGCACACCGCCCAGACACCAGTCGCCGAGGTCGACGGAACCTTCTGCCGCCCAGGACATGTCCGCAGGGTCGACGGCGTACGCCGTCTGCTGGTCGCCCTCGCCCAGGGCGAACGAGACGGACACCCCGCGCGTGCAGGGGATTTCCCACCCGCGCTCGGACTGCCTCGCCCCGCCGACCGACGCCCAAAAGCGCGCGACGTCGGCCGTCGGCCCGAGGATGAGCGTCGTGCCCGTGTCGAGGACGGCGATAGGCGATGGGCGCCCCTGACGCGCGACTTGGACAGAGCGAATGTCGTGCCGTTGATAGACAGTGACTGGAGGGGCAGCTTCCAGTAGTCGTAGAGCGAGCCGCGCGTGGGGAGGACGGGGTGGATCGTGAGCTCTTCGATGGACGCCGCAAGTGATGGGTCGAGCTCCCCCAACGTGAACGAGGAGCTGTTGGTGTCGCGGCCGAGCCGGAACGCGAAGAACCCTGGGAGTCATCATTCAGTCCTGAGAACAGATTGTCCGCTATTGTTCGGCCAATCGTGTCAGGAATGGAGGCTTCGGCAGGAAACGCCAAACCCAAGATGCCACTGTTTCCGGTATCAGAGAGCCCTAGGCCGTTTGTGGAATTGGCCATGGCTGTGAGCATGTGTGAGAGCATCGAGACATTGCCTCGGACCGAAGGGGGAAAGAGGGAGCACTAACCGAACGTCTGTTCCGAAACCTCGAAGTCTCCGAGCCTGGCGGTGTCAGCGCCAACGAGGCCAGTCACGTTTCCGGCAAGATAGTCGAGATGGAAGGGCTGGTCGGTCAATGTCAGGGAAGAAGTCCTGTTGTATTTTCGGACCCCTGCGCACTCTTCTGATATGCAGTCAGAGGACACGACCCACTGTTCGCTCGCCAATCAGCGGCTCGAAATGTCAGGCGCTGCTGCTGCGAAGTCAAACTTACCAGGTCAGAGGAGCCCGTGTCAAGGAGGAGACTAAACGCCTGGCCGCCGATGCTGGGAGCGGATCAGAGGATTTAATTGACTTGAAATCGAGTATGGAAGGTACCCACTTAACCTCAATGAGGTACGCGCTATGCAGGATCGATCAATGAAAATATAAACAACGACGCGATTACGGCACTTACAAGTCGTGGCTGCTTGCCACAGTCAGGTCTCCATTGACCGTCGCCGAGATTCGAGGTTCAGTGTTCGAGCTCGGCGACACCAGTTGGATAGGTATTTTGCCCCTCGCCCCAACATCCGGACCGCGGCAAGAAGACACGAAAGAGCTACGAGCCAGTGGGCGAAACCACCACGTTGAGACATGATGCGGCGAAGGTGAGAGGGGAAGCACGGTGCTGTATGCACGGATTGTCATGGAGCTGACCGAGGCTGACAGCATGCCAAAGCGAAGAGGGTAACCTTCACCGGTGACTAGACACCGTCAAGTCAAGGCATCCACAACCGTGCTGGACAGAATTATAAGCTGGTATACGGCGCTACGTTGGAACATGATACATAAGCAGAGGCAGGAAATGTGGTTTTGTGAGCACCCCCGTCCATCGAGTCTATTTCCGTTGGCCAGAGCTTCTCTTGCCGCTTAGCCAGTAGGTACTCACATCATGTTCTACAGGCTATGTGCAGTAGCCCAAGATCAGCATCGCCAGCTGATGGCAGCGCCGGAGAGATGGCTGGGAGAGTGCGGGCGGGACGGGGAATGGCGCGGGCGGCAGAGGGGAGGCGGTGGTGAGCACAAAGGGCGTCTGCCGGCCATGCGCTGCCAAACAGAGCGAGCGACACGCGTCACGACCACCGCCTGAACCCTTCCGCTCTCCTCCTTCCACGACCGTCTGTTAGACTTCCCATCCCCTCCAAGACCTCCCCGCCACCCCGTACGACCGCCATGCACACCTCCGAGTACGACTACCTCTTCAAGCTCCTCCTGATTGGTGATTCTGGTGTCGGCAAGGTACGTGGTTCCCTCATATCCGTCCCACAAAGGGTGCTGCGGATAATCCCATCGCAGCGGGCTTACATGGCCACGCGTCGTTCCTCTACAGTCCTGCTTGCTGCTCCGTTTCGCGGACGACACCTACACGGAGAGCTACATCAGCACGATTGGCGTGGACTTCAAGATTAGGACCATCGAACTCGAGGGCAAGACCGTGAAACTCCAGATTGTGCGTATCTTCATCCTCTCCCTTTTCTGGCCGCATCCTCGCCATCGTGTACGTTGCTCTGGAGCATCCTTCGAGGCTGTATAGAATACAAGTTGTGCTACATGCCCGAAGCATCGCCGTAGATGCCGGTCTGGGCGCGTCCCGGCAGCATTGGCCCCAGCGTCGTGATGCGTGCAAGTACACGTTCCTGTTGACCATCTCCGTTCAAAACGTATCCGAGAGATTGTGGAGATTGTAACTGACGCGCGGGCGGCTTGATGTAGTGGGATACCGCAGGTATGTTTTCACCCTGTTGTTGGTTCAAAATCGTCTGATCGCGTTTGTACAGGACAAGAACGTTTCCGCACCATTACCTCGTCGTACTACCGTGGCGCGCATGGTATCATTGTTGTCTACGACGTTACCGATAACGGTAGGACCCCATCAAGCTATATCCCATCCGCCGCTCATCACTGGTTTCGTTAGACACCTTCACAAACGTCAAGCAGTGGCTGCAGGAGATCGACCGTTACGCATCTGAGGGCGTGAACAAGCTGCTCGTCGGCAACAAGTCTGACCTCACCAGCAAGAAGGTTGTGGAGTACAGTGTCGCGAAGGTAGGTAACTGTGGTGCTTCCCGTCTCCAGAAACTCAACGTGCACGGTTTGCAGGAGTTCGCGGACCAGCTCAACATCCCCTTCCTGGAGACTTCGGCGAAGAACGCAACGAATGTCGAGCAGGCGTTCTTGACGATGGCTAAGCAGATCAAGGACCGGTATGGCCTTCCACTTCCACTTCCAGCTCTGTTGATGCTGATTCGTGGGCTTACCCCTGTTCAGCATGGGCTCTACCACCACGGCGGCAGGCACCGGCAAGTCATCAACCATCACGCCGGGCCAAACCGTCACGCAGCAGCAAAGCGGTGGCTGCTGCTGAATGGCTTCACTGCCTGTTGTGTGCGAGGCTGCTGCTTGCATCCTGACAGCTAGGGGACTGTCGTGCATGTCGTGGTCGGGGCGGGTACTGGAGAGTTCTCGTTCGTATAATCTATGCTTACAGCCTTTGTTGTTGGACTTGCCTCCGTTCATATCATTCCCGCTTTCTTTCTGACGACTGTTTGGGGAGTGGTAACGTATCTTTCGGCACTTCTTCCAGACAGAATCTGTTGTCGCAGACACGATGCATACCTAGATGTAGGGATTAATGTCGACAGATTGATGTGCGTGTAGAGTGCCCTTAGAGGCTAGGAGGTCATGCTGTAAAGTGGTATACTAGGCTACAGAAGAAGCTACACTGGAAGTGGTATGTCAAGTATCAGAACTATGACGACTGTTATCCTCTATCCATGAACGAACTGCCTTTTTGGATACCAGGCCCATAACACGAGCCTGGTCCTCTGTGCTGCGTTCGCGATATAACCTCATGATATACCCAGCGACGCTCCAAATGTCTTGCCAGTCCGCGTCGAACAGCTCCCACCAGCAAGCGTCTGGACTCGACGGAAGCGCTATGTTCAGATGCCTTGTGGCTAGCATGATCGCCGCGCTGGCGATGGTGGGCACCGCGTACACCGCGTACACCGGTGTCTGCAACCTATTGGATAATGTGGACCGATCAACGTGAACGCGAGGTCTACGGCGGGAGTTGAAGAGGTACTCGCGCATCGTTCAGGTAGCCCCACGATTTGCTCGACACGTCTTCGCGGTCCGCGAGGCCGAGGAGACGCAGGTAGTTGACCAGCGTGCCGTAAGGGAGCACGACGTTCACATTGAACCCCAGTCGTTTCAAGATCTGCATCTCCGCAACGACCAGCGCGTCTTTGAGGTCGTAGAAGGTTGAGCCGAAGTACGACATGGGTATGTATTCGAACTCGCGCGGGAGGAGGAGGACGAAGAGGACGAAGAGGATCGGTGTTGGTGCTTCAGCTTGTGCGCGGTGTGCTGCAGGAGGAGGTCGTAGACGTTGATGAGGTCGCGCATGCGAACCGGGCACTCTTCCAGCTTTGAAGCCAGGTAAAGCGCACCCAATCCAACGTCCTGTGAGGCGTTCTTTCAACCAAGAGACCCTTTTATGAGAGGTTGAAGCTACTCACACCGATGCCAAACTGCTTCATTGAAGTAACATACCAAAACCTCTGAAACAAATCTGCGCAGTAGCCACGGCCACCTGTTTCTGTTCCACTCTGGTGAGCTCATAACTGCGTTCCCAAAGTAAAGCGACGTACTGTCGTAGAAGACTCCAGCCTCGTGGATTAATTTACATCCAAATGCCCTCAGGTCCAGCTCCAAATCTTCCGGTACGCCATCTTCGCGCGACGGGGTTTTCTCGATCCGCGCCAGAGACGCCAGCGGATATAGCGACGTCGACATTTTAGCGGGGTAGAGTAGCCAAGGACAAGAACCGTGGTCTGAGGGAAGCTTGGTCGTGGCTGAGGTTCAAGAGGTCATGGCGCGCGTCAAACGCGCGACACAACTCGACCACGACCTCCCCTGCCACCTCTTTTCCCTGCCACCACCTCCCTTCCGCAGACTTTCTGGCCCGTCCCCTGATAGACCCGGGTGAGGTCTGAGCGGGGCATACCAGCTTCAGCACCATGTCTCACCTTCCGCCCAAGCCGGACTTCGCCTCTCCTTCTCGACGTCCGTCTGACTTGCGGCCCTCTCGCCCACCTACTGCACTTCCCCCGGACAGATATCCTTCTTCTCGGATCGTCACGCGTATCCTGTACCGGTGTCACCACCGCGGTCGAGACCTGCACCCCCTCGGGATCCGTACGAGGTCGGCCGGTCGTCGGACCTATACCGGTCGGCTCGACCCCCGCCACCGACCGACTACTATAGTCGCCGGGAGGACAATAGGTTTCGCGAACGCGACTTTGATAGGCGCGGCTCTGACTATCGCTCCTCAAGACCACAAGAAGACTATGGGCGGGACAGAGACCGAGTCAGGGACAGGGAACGCGACCGAGACCACAGATACGACGAGGTGCGACGCGACCGAGGGCCAGCCCCGGGACGATATGACGACAAGGACCGAGATTGGACAAGGCAGCGGGTAGAGGGCCGGGAGAGAGAGCTGGCACGTCAACGAGAGGAAGACAGACGGTACGGCCGAGACAGGGCGCGCGAGGTTGAGCCAGAGCGGAAGTGGTACCCTCGTAAGTCGCGGTCGCCGCCACGCGACTTGAGTACGTGCTCTCTCCACCTCGATGTGGCTTCTCTCTGCTCACGCGCATACAGCTTCCAGGATCTCAGAGCGTGCAGACCCATCGCCTGCACGTAGTCGAGCGCGTTCGCCCACTTCGCCGGCCACTCACCGCGTGACTCCGCCGCAAAATGCGAGTCGGGCGGCATCCCCTTACAAGCCAGAGACGTCTCGTCCCATCCGCTCGAGGTCGCGATCCCCAGGCGAGATTAGGTTGGGCAACCATTCCATCTCAGCCGCCCGCTCTAGTACTCGCCCTCATCAAGACCCCTCGCCGCGCGACCGCCCCAGGCCATCTTCCATTCGCAGGAGTCGTAGTCCTCCGAGGCGTGAAGCGCGTCGTGAGCCAAGTCCCGCTCGTAACAGTCGCATACCGCCGACAGACTATAGAGGCCGTGACCGCCGTTCCCCTCCTCCGCGTCGTCGCTCTTACAGTCGTTCGCCACCACGCAAGAAGAGCCCGCCGAGAGCAAGAAAGCGCACCAGATCTCCCAGTCGCTCACGAAGTCGGTCTCCAACTAAGACTCCTCCGCCAAAGCGACATGTCTTACCTCCTCGGAAGTCGCCCACGCGTCCACCGCGTCCACCGACACCTACGGGTCCACGAATCCGTCCTCGACCGCCTCAACAGGTCAATCAGGATATCCCTCAGCTTCAACCAGAGGTCACCGTTCCGGAGCCTACCAGACCGGATGCCGACGGAGACATTACGATGAAAGAACCAGAGGAACCAGTAGATGTCCCCATGACCGAATCAAATCCCACTCATACTGAGGTACTTGCACCAACTCCTGCACCTGCTCCCGTACATGTGCCATCACCATCACTCATGCTCAAAGAGTCCCTTGCGACGGTTTCTGCGCCAGTCATCCCCCCTACTGTCACCCCTACTGTCATCGCGCCCACACCATCCATTCGACCTCCTGCTCCCTTGCTGCAGCCAAGCGCGTCACCTCACAACAGAACGTCGCTGCCTCCCAGGCCCGACGCTGGTACCAGCTCAGACAACAGAGAACGAGATAGAGACAAGGACAGACGACCCCCTCCTCCCAAACGACGCTCGCGGTCTCCGCCTACAGGTCCGCGTGCAGGCCCCGGTCTTCCACTGAAACCAGAGTGGGGTCGTCGCGGCACGCATCAACCAAATAAACCAGAAACCAAGCCTGGAACTCCCGTTCCCGCCGCTGCCCCCGCCCCCATTGCTGCTTCTGCCCCGGAGCACCCAGTTGAGCCAGGTTTCGTCCCTGAGATTCCTAAGTATCAAGTGAAGAGCGCTACCGCGGAGATCGACGCAGAGGTGAGTGAAGCCCCGTTTATTTATGCCCTGCCTTTCTCACTCTTGCTGTAGCTTGCACGCCTTCGGGCACACCGCACGCATATCGAGACTGAGTATGTCACAGTCGGCAAATTGGCCCAACGCGCCATGAACGAGTTGAATATCGCGGACCTCGAGGTCAAGGCCGCAGAGTTGCGGCGCGCGACCACGTCTTCTCAGCTGGAGAAGGCTCGGTTGGGTGTGCTCGGTGCTGATTTTGTCAGGCCGTAGCCTTGGTAGTGGCTGTTTGGCTGTTTTCATCTGATTCTTAATGCTCTGCTTGCAATTGTACGGCACACACATAATGTTACACCTCTCTAATGGTTTACTAGATTGCCCAATCTTGTCAACGCGCCAGCGATCGTTGAGTTAGTTCTTTAGCATCCGATGTGCGTCTATGGATCATTCACCGTAAGCCATCGCTCATCAGCTTCCACGGGTTGTGGAGGTCCGTTTTAACCGGTGATGCACAGCTGTAGATCGAAAAATTCTGCCTCGATATTTTTGATCAGCGGTGCACCTCACCCTTTCGGCCATGATCCTCATCAAGTTGACTCTGCACCCACTATTTATCGAGCTGATTGTATTCCACGGCATGAAATCGGTCCCAATGCGTCCGTCTCAAGTCTTTCTGATGTTGGGCGGAGAGTTTAAGGCCATGCTCCAGTCATACAAGACACATGAGCAAACAGAAGACCTACCGAACGCACTCTCATGCCCAAACACAACATCGGATGAGGAAAAGCAGTCCACGAGTTCCATGAGCACCAAGACAATTGCACGCGCCCGAACATCTTTGGCACACGCGGAGCTATGTCGTGCCAGTGTCCCGCCAAGGCTAGTAGTGTACTAGAATACATTGACAATACCCAAGACTGGCGAGCGGTACATGTCAATTCTTGGGCAACCGGGTGCATTCGATGTGCGTCCGCGAAGGGTCCATGGGCAAGGCGCAAAAGAAATCTTGATCCTGCACCCCGACCCACACTCATCAGCTTCCGCCAAGCTGAAAGGTCACTGAAAGAGAGGGACGCACCTGCATTGCCTGGAACATCCGTGTTGAGTGCATTTGCACCTGCCGAGTCGAGGGTTCGTGAGCAGTGTGGACAAGGGGGTGAGAGGAAAGCGTAGCGCACCATGATGCATTTCCGACCCTTCTCCTTCCCTTCTCGGAAAATCTCAGATTTTGGTGCGCCGCGTTCACTGTCGAACGTGTAACGAGAGTCTGGATCCTCCTGTGTGCCCCGCGCTACATGAAACCGGCCGCGCGAATTGTTGCAGTCGTGAAGACATACCGCAACAAAATCTTTCAGCGTCTGTTCTGCGGTGGGAGACTTCTGCTCCTCCGTAGCGTTCTGAGTGAGCTGTCCCCGGGTCTTCTGTGCGAGGGACATGGTAGTGGTTGTTGGATGTGGGGTGACAGACGCTGAGGATACGCGAGGCGCCCATATAGCGAACGCTAACCATGACGTCATGGCGGAGGAGTACAACATTGATGCTACGACTTTAACCGGTGTTTTACATGTCTATGATTGTATGGATCCAACTATCCTCTTGTAGCCGGCGCGTTTTATGCGCGGAGAAGAGTCCTTCACCATCCGCGACCAGCGAGCTTCCCGCCCTTCAAGTTATCGTCACTATAGAGATGTCAGCAAATCTGAAGGATGATCTTTCAGCGTACTTACATGGTCAATCCAACCATGGCAGGGCCAAGGTCCTCGGAAATCTACAGAGATGTCGTAAGCGTCACCGTTACTTTCTGTTCATCGGTCTTCCTACCTCCGCCAAGACCTTGGGGTTGTTGAAGTGCGTGACCTGCAGACACAGTGGTATCAAATATTGATTGACGACGCAAAACTTCAGACACGCACGGCCTGCACGATAGCCCGAGCACGCTTCGCGGGATCCCCAGACTGCACGATAGCTGATTTAGTATGTCGAAGCAATATGGCGCAGGTAGCAAGATCCCATACATGGAAGATGCCGGAGCCGACGAAAACTGTATGAGAAGGTTCAGAAAAGGCCCAAGAGCATATTTGGGGCGAACTCACCACCGTCGCAACCAAGTTGCATCATGAGCGCAGCGTCAGCTGGTACGAGGGGCATTCAACAGTCAGAACAGTCATGCGGATCACGGACAGACGCACACACCCGGGGTCGCAATACCACCGGCCGCGAAATTGACCACAGGCAGCCTCTTCAGACGTGCAGTCTCCTTGACCAAGTGGTAGGGTGCCTGGATTTCTTTCGCGAGGGTATAGAGCTCCTCCTCGGTCATGACGCTCGCCTTGCGGATTTCGCTCATGACGGCACGTTGGTGCCGCACGGCTTCTACGACGTTGCCAGTGCCCGCTTCACCCTTTGTGCGAATGAAAGCGGCACCCTCAGAGATGCGACGGAGCGCTTCACCGAGGTTCCGGCAACCACAAACGAAAGGGACCTTGAACGCGTGCTTGTTGATGTGGTGCTCCTCATCAGCAGGTGTGAGAACCTCTGACTCGTCGATATAGTCGATACCAATAGCTTGAAGGATCTACCGCGTGAGCAATACATCGATGATAAGTTACGTGACTGGCATGTGAGCATTTAGGGCGGACGAACCTGTGCCTCGACGAAATGTCCTATCCGCACTTTCGCCATGACGGGGATCGTGACGGCATCGACGATTTTTTTGATCATGCTCGGGTCACTCTGAGGATAGGTATGAGGGCCATGTTCTTGCTCACGACACACGACTTACCATCCGCGCAACGCCTCCTGAGGCACGAATGTCGGCAGGAACACGTTCCAAAGCCATGACGGCGCAGGCACCAGCTTCTTCGGCTATGCGAGCCTGCTCGGCGTTCACAACATCCATGACTAGTGTGTACCCGTGGCGTTGCCACGATATGTGCGGGCCTTCGGCCCTTGAGACGCTTCAATCAAATCAAGTGTTCATTTGTATACTCACTACAATAAGTTAATCAAGAGGGCTCAGCCAGATTGAAGTCTATTTGAGCCTGCCCTAAAGTCAGGCAAATAAAATATAATACAGTATCAGTGATACATAAATAAAAGAAGTGAAACTGGAACAGAGTTGTAGACATAGTGATTATAATACATGACTTGCATAGCAATGGAAAGACAGTACAGCACAACACAGTAGCATTGTTACTCTGGTGGAATAACCTCTCGATAGACAATATTGACTGTTGTCATGTCCTCTTTGCCATCTTCAAGCAACACTTTGATTCGTGAAGGTGAAGTGCAGCGAGAAAGAGCGACATAGAGTTGTCCATGGGTGAACACTCCGGTACGCAAATCTAAGCCAACATGTGTCACTGATTGCCCCTGAGCTTTGTTGATTGTCATTGCAAATGCCAATCGCACAGGGAATTGGCGGCGGCGTAGCTTCAAAGGGAGATCTTCCGTGTTAGGCTCAAGAGTAAGCCTCGGAATACATACTTCCCTTCCAGCATGCTCACCACCAAGGATTCTACATAAGAGGACTCGTGGCTGAATCACTATTAACACCAATCGTGTGCCATTGCAAAGCCCATTTCGTGGATCAATATTTCTGAGCAACATTAATGGACAGCCTGGTTTCAATGCAAGATGAGCGAGAGGGAGTCCTGGGACATTTATAGACTGTAAGAACTCAGTTGTATATTGTGCACTCTCATCGTTCTCTACACTGTCTGCAGAGTGTAGAATGCATTGTTCACCTGGGAACTGTCCTAGAATGATGTGGTTTAGGTCATCCACTGAATCATTCTTTGCCGACAATATGGTGCGGTCCAAGAAGTATTGATCAGGCTTGTTAGGGGCATTGACATTAGGATATGTGGAAGAAATAAGGCATTCAACAGTTTGCTGAGGTAAACGCATAGACTCAGGAAGTGTTACGATACTATCAGCAGTGGCATTGGCCCCTTGTCCAACTTGTAGCAGCCATTGTGCAAATTGAGTGCTTTCGGGCGACTGCTCTAAGCGCATGTTTTGAGACAAATGCATCACTTGAACGTGCTCCCATAAATATGATCGGCATAGTGTAGCTCCCACAATCTGAGGTCTTCCCCCTCGTGGAACGACAGGCAGAGTTTGACGAAAGTCGCCTCCAAACAGAACAGTAATCCCTCCAAATGGGCACTGATTGTGAAGCGCACGTTGAAGGGACCGGCTCACAGCTTCAACAGCAAATCGATGCTGCATAGGAACTTCATCCCAAATAATGAGCTTGGTATGACGAAGCATTTCTTGATAGCCATCCTGAAACAATCTATTACAGACAGAGTCATCAAAGCAAGGAATAGGAATGCCAAAACGTGAGTGTGCTGTACGTCCTCCCTCCAAAAGTAAAGCTGCAATACCTGAGGAGGCCACAGTTAGTACAACCGTATTTAAAGCACGCACTGCTGCTGCAATTGTGTTACACAGAAATGTTTTACCACAGCCGCCAGCACTGTGAACAAATATGATCTTTCCCTGATTATTTGTCACAGAGCTCATTACAGTATTGAACACTGTTGTTTGTGCGGCATTGAAGCGCTCACAGTTTGTGGTAACACGTTCTTGTAAAACATTGTGATCATAGTTCAACTCCTCTGCTACTAAGCTATTATTCTGAATGCCAAACCGAGCATCTGGAACAGGCTCAGGTAGCTTGAACAGGTCATATCTCTTTCCACGTTGAATCAGTAATTCTTTGAGCAGAAATAGTCCATAATTGAAGACTTGCTCTGGTGAAGGCTCTGAGAAACCTAGAGTAGTAAGCCTGTGACCCAAATCATCACAAAGGTGTGCCTTAAACCTCTCCCAAAGAGATAAGGGATCAGATGGATGATTCTCAGCCAGAATAACAGTGAACAGCTGGCGCATTGCAGCTCCAGTTCGCATATGTGAGGCTTCCTCTAAGCAATCTTCCCATTCACCATCTGCTTCAAGAAGACCACGTGCCAGGCAAGCAGCCTGAAATGATTCAAAAGATTGACCGTTCACAGTTCTTAGATCTAAATAGCTTGTTGCACCTCGTACAACTGTTAGGAGTAAGCGAAGATAGAACCGATCTCCAGCAGATGGGTGCACTGAGTGTAGCCGTCCAATAGCAAACCCTTCTTTCCTTTTCGTCCATCTATGTGTGTTTTTATTCCACACATAAGCCTCAGGGAAATCTTGATAGAGATAAGTATGAGCTGTAGGGTCGTTCTGATTGGTTGCAAACCACTCTGTAAGCATAGTTCGCTCCACATTTGCACGGTTCAAAACTTGTCCAGCAGTGTCCACTTCAGGGTTGAAATATAACATGTGCTCATTCTCAATATGCACAGGAAGTCTGTACACATGAGGCAGTTCTGCATGCATCGGCCATTCCTGCAAATGCCACATTGCTTCTGGTGGACCAATATATCGAGCATCTAGAAACCGTTTAATCTCGTCCTTTTCATTGCTGACCTCCACTGTGGCACGGTCTGGGCCTTTGTACACGTACTTATGAATGTACTTGATGGATTGAATTGAAGTACATATTTCCACATTGATGTGGCAGTCAAACTCTGCAGAGAGCTCAGGATTGTACGGTACAACATGCTGATTAGTGAACACTTCGCCTGTATGTGAAGTATAGGTACGACCATTGTTTGGCCGGGCATACACTGGATAGCCATTCTCTCCAAACACTGTCTCCTCACAGAAGTCGCGAGGAAACCGTTTAGAGCATGATCCATTGTCTGCCTTGCACCTGTCCCCACAACTATGAAGCATGCACGTAGTAATGGTATGATATAGCATAGGATGAGTTTGAGGATCTGGAATCTGTGCTGATACAATAGAATCCACCATACTTGCATCTCTGATCTTGTCTTGGTTTTGAAGAAAGATCAAGAGATGCATATGTGGTAGGCCTCTTTTTTGGAACTCGATCGTGTAAACATGTGCAACTGCACTTCCAAAAAAAGCCGTCTTTGATCTTCTTGAGTAATGCCTGTTTTTTCAAGTGAAAAACTCTTGCTACAATGTCCGGACGATCTGCAGGTGATTGCATACGTGTTCTATCACCGCCAGCTAATTCCAGCAAAGCTGCTTCAACCTCTGGCCACCGTGGATTTGCCGTCATGGTAAGAAATATATCTGGCTTTCGGAACCGTCTACAAATAGCCATTGAATCCATAAATAGTTGATGCATATGACGGGGACTTCCAAGGTGAGTAGAGGGAAGAATAACAGGATGCCCTTGCTGGCCCATATCAACAGTATCAGCATGATTGTCAGCTTCTACCATTGCATCACGCACACTGCGGTAAAGGTCAGCACGGATCTCTTTTTGATGGTGGCGATACCAATTAAGTGCACTGGCTTCAACTGAGGCCCATGCATCCACCATATATTGCTGGAATAAGCGACCACCACGAAATAGATAATCAACTTCAGTACCGTTGATATATCTAGGGTACAGAACATAGGCATAGTAGCACCTTTGGCTGATTATTTCTGCACGTGCTTTTTGTCCTGGCTCAAGACGTATTGGAATGCGAGTATGCCATCCAGATGGTGCTGTAGGAAACAATAGCACATAATGCAAGGACGTGTACATTGCATGGCAATTAGACACTCGCTCCAAAGGACCATCTTTCAAGCGCAGAATGATTTCTCGATGTTTATCGATCACCTCGCCAGCTCCAGATCCAGGGATAATTGCTGCAACTTCATCTGCAGTAGGTAGATTATACCTACGTAGATCTGTAGTTGCTTGCAACACAATGCGAGCACGCACATCAACCTGTTGCTCTGGGGGCTTCTCTTGAAGTATCGTATATGCACGTTTATATAATAGCACCAAAGGATTGCACAGGTCCAGCATTCCCCCAATGTCCCGTAGCACTGAATGATTTAATCTGCTCTGATTATTTTGATGGCGAACCGTAGCAGCATCAAAATCAGGATCAAAAATGTACAGTTGAGCATAGCGCTGGGGATTGTTTTCAGAGGGAAGCAGTGAGCCCATTTTATGATGAAGCTCTCCACTCATTCGGAAGGAATAAGGACCTGGAGTTTCTAACACTGCAGTATCAAGATTTACTGAGACAGATGTGAATGCAAATGCAGCGTTATATGAGCGAATGTTTCGAAGGAATTCACCTGAGCGTGGATCAGAACCGTTCATTAGACTTTTGAGTGGTTCGGGGGGAAGTACAGGTAAAGGGAGTATAATCTGCCCATTGAGACAGCAAGTGCTGAATCGAGGATCACGTAGTGATGACTTAGTCAAACGTTCATCTATAAAGTGCAGTGCCATGCATTTTGAGCACACAATATTCATTTGGCCTAATGAGTGGCGAGCAAGTGGCTCAACATATGTACGACGGCCAGGAGGTAATGTGCGTTGCTGCTGATTTATAGTCTGCTGTACAGCATTTCGTTGTGCATTACGCTCCCGTCGGCTACGAACAGAAAGATTATTATATACACGATTTGTACCATCCTGGCGAGCATTTTGCCTCTGGATCTCTCTATGCTCATGTTCATAAGCCGATTGCTGCCGTTGTATATCTTGGCGATTATTTAATTGCTCTTGTGCATCCGCCTCACGTTGCCGTTGAGTCAGGAGTTGATGCTGACTATACTGCCACTCATTCATATCAAGTTGCCTTTGAGACACTTGTTGAAACTCTCTTTGTCGCTGCTGATTTGATTCCTGCCTCCGTCGAGACTGTCGTTCAAATTGTCTGTTTGCACGCTCTTCAGCCTCTTGTTGCCGCCGTGCAGCAACAGCTTCAGCAACTGTAGATCCACGGTTTCTTCCACGATTGGCACGACGATTTTGTTGTCGTTGCACAAAATTAGCCTCAAGTCCACCTACATAGTTCCCCTGCTGTGCATTTGGATTAGGATTCCAATCTAAACTGCCAGGGAACCGAGAGCCAGAAGGCTGGTTCATTTGTGGCCTATTGTGTTCCCCACCAAACATGTTCAATGGCTGAATATTACTTCCACCAAGATATTGTTCACCAAATTGTCCATATGCACCGTATGGCCCTGCAAGCCCCCCATTGCCAGCATCAAAAGTGGGACCAAGATTAGATCCCTCAGGAATATCCAAATTTTGGTTAGGCTGCCCAAAATTAGGCTGCCGAGGAATCTGATAAGATTCCTGTCTCCGTTCTCGCCGCACTGATGGGGAAGTCATTTGACGACCCTCTCTTTCCCTCTCTCTCTCCTCCTCTCGATCACGTTCAGGTGTTGTCCTAAGGCAGAGGTTAATTTGACAGTCAAACAATCAATTATGCGGGCACTTACGGATTGTTTGTGTAGGAAGGATCCATTGTCTTTTGTAAGGATGTATTGTGGGTAATGGAGTTGGGACTATTATCATTCAATTAGCAGTGCACTTCAGCCTCATCACTACTGAGCACACACTTATACCGTAGTATAATGAGGGAGGGTGTGCACAGGGTTGAATAGTAGGCTGGTAGAGCTCAACACCTCTGGAGGGTGTGGGGGAGCTTGAAAGTGGCAATATTAGGCCTTATTAGATGGTTTTATGGCTCTATCAACTCACTTTGATGGGGTGTAGAGCGTGTTGTTATGTGGCTGTGCTATGAGGCGCTAATGCAGAGCTGAAAGCTACCATTAGAGTGTCATTCACACCATTATCAGAGCTTGTAAACTCACTTTGATGGGGTGTAAAGCGCGTCGTTATGTGGCTGTGCTATGAAGCGCTAAAGCCGGCAATAGTATGAGCTGAAAGCCACCATTAGAGTGCCATTCACACCACTATCCAACCTTTGAAACTCACTTTGATGGAGTGTAGAGCGGATTGTTGTGTGGCTGTGCTATGAGGCGCTAAGGCGCGATAGTATGAGCTGAAAGGAACTGTAGATAAGCCATCAATGCGGGATAGAAGCAAAAGGTAACTTACTTGAGAGCGAGATAAGCAGAGGGGAGATAAGCACTTGATATGTGGAGTAGGTGGTGTGCTTAGTGGAGGCTGTAAGGACCCTGTGAGCATGCTTATCAGGGATTTGAAATGGGGGATAAGCTCACCTGATAGATGCTTGCCCCTCCACATAGTAGGTGAGACAGGACGGGAGGCGCCTATCGGACCCTGGATGCGTGAGGCGTGAAAAGTACTGTCCACAATATCGCGTTCGGATAGGCGCCCATCGCGCAAAATCATTTGTTTTAGGAGCATGAACCATGCAAGAAGTACACGATTTTGAAGACATGTGCTAATTGTACTTATACAGCTTGCTGCCAAAACTCTAAGGAAACGGGCAAGAGGGCGGGGCAGGGCGAGACATCCACGGAATAGGCGCTGGCGCGCGGACTGGGGACGTTTGGACTTGGAACGGGGCAGCCCCTCGCAGGCCCGGCCAGATGCGGGACCGGCCTCGCAGGCTCGGCCAGATGCGGGCGGCCTCGCAGGCTCGGCCGAAACAGGGGGCAGGCCTCGCAAGCTCGGCCTACCGGCGCACATGGCAGCCACATGGCAAAAGCTCGGTTAGCTTCGCTTATTTCGCCAACTTCGCTAACTTCGCGTATCGCTGCAAGCGACGTACGCGGCTTACTAACACCACCGCTCCCTTCTTTATAGATGACGCCACCCTACGACATTTTCAGCACCGGCAAGTTTAATATGCCCGCGCCTGACTCACCTTCAGCATCTGCGCGAGCCCCGACTTGACCTGCACGACAGCACGAACATCGGACCAGGTACCTTCAGGACGAAGTATAGACATCCTGGAAGAAGGGGCTTACTCCAAAGGTACCAAGACTTCCACTTGCGCCGTCTTTGTCCTTTGAACGTGTGGGGGCAACCACAGGGGTGCCGATGGCGTTGCCGACGCCATGGGGGATGGGCGGGGTGGAAACGGGTGTCTGGCCTTGGATTGGGGTGGTCATTGCGCGTGTGGATCTGGAGGCAAGTGCGGGGAAGCGGGGGAGTGGCGTGAAAGCTGGAGAGCCGCTGTGGCTTTGTACGAGGCTTGCTCGATGACTCCCACCATCGGACGTCCGCTCCTCCGCCTGGCGTCCACTGTGGCCTGATATCTTCACTTCCATCCTTCGGCGCATTGCAACGTTGCGATTTCCCCCTGGCTGCGTTGGCTGTCGTATCTCTTCGCAGGCAAATGTATGCGCTGCTCATGCGTTGCCGTCATATTCGTCAAATTGGTTCCCTCGTCGACGGTTGGATCCTCTCAGGCTGTCTCTTGCCGACACTATTGCATGGTCGAGAGGATTTCGCGTGCATTTTGGCAGATGATGCAGCGAGAGCGTCGTGCCATCCTCGCAGTGGCATCACAGCCTATGGCCTCAGTTCGGGCGGTACCGTCATCAAGCTTCTCAGCCCTCTTCGAGCACATGAGGTTCTGCAGACTGGCAGGGATCCACGGTATGTGTCCCCTGCGTCGTATGTTTTAAAGCCTGCTCACATGTTCCAGCGCCCGTGCTTCTACAGGTACGGAACGGCTGCATGTACTGTTCAGGCGGCGTACAAAGCTTCTTCGGTCTGGTGTGCTGCCCGGGCTCCGGTGAGCGCGTGGTACTCCAGGATTCGAGAACATGGACTAAGTCGCCCGAGTTGCCGTCGTCCGCGAAGGACCGCCTGGCCGCCGTTGTCCCCCTGACTATCTACCGAAGAGCGTCCGTGCATGTGCTGCCGGGGGCTCGTGACGATCTCCGTCGAGCGGTACAAAAGGCTCACTCAGGTGAGGGAGATGGAAGGTCCCCGGGCTGCGATGCTCGCGATGTCCTTCTCCTTCCTCCTCGTCCTAGCCGCCTGCGCGGTGAGCGCTGTCTACGGCCAGTCGCCCATCGTCTCTGGAGCGCATTGGACCGACACCAGCGGCAACGCTATTCAAGCCCACGGTGCTGGGATCATGAAGGCATGCACTCAGTTGTGGTGGCCACCGTATTTGAATCACATCGACCTTATCAGGTTGGGAACACCTTTTATTGGCTCGGCGAAGACAAATCGCACAACAGCGCGCTCTTTAAAGCAGTCTCGTGCTACAGTGTATGTGTGATAGGGGTTGCGTCGTCCATCGAACTTATCTCCGGGCAGTCCACAGACCTTACCACATGGACCCGGCGGAACGATGCCTTGACACCAATCAACAACACGATGATCTCGACCAGCAATGTCGTGGAGAGGCCGAAAGGTGAGACTTCATCAGCGTGTATGTGACGTATGTATCGTAAAGCTTTCTTTCAGTCATCTTCAACTCTAAGGTGAATAATCTTCCCGGGCTCCCAAGGGTGCTATTGACTTTCCGATTCAATGCAGAACAGCGAATATGTCATGTGGTTCCATTCCGATAGTTCCAAGTCAGTCCGAGTCGGAAGCAAGGCTATCTCTATGCCCTCTGACGCGATCTCCCCGTCACAGCTATGGAGCTGCGATGGCGGGCGTCGCGACAGCCAAGTCGCCGTGTGGCCCGTACACTTACAAAGCTAGTTGGAAGCCACTTGGTGCCGACTCCCGGGACGAAGGACTGTTTCAAGATGGTACGAAAATAGTTTCCCTATTTGTCTATAGTGCTCCTTCTCACCATAAGACCAAAGATGATGGTATGTGACATGAACTCTCCGGCCACATCGGGTTACCCATACGGCCATGCTTTGGCGTAGGGTCCGCCTACTTCCTATATGCGTCCGATGGCAATCAGAACTTTAAGATTGCTCGTCTGGATGACAATTACTACAACATCTCAGCCATCGCGAGTCAACTCAATGGTGGGTGCGATCATGCGCCGATGACACTTTTCGGCGGCTGACAGACAAACTTCCTTAGGGTCTACTTTGGAGGCGCCCGGTATCGTAAAACGGAACGGGGTATGTTCCGCTGTTCCATACGCATGACATGACCAAACTTCAATGCACGCAGATGTACTGGCTATTCGCGTCACACACTTCTGGTTGGGACCCGAACCCCAACAAAGCATTCCAGGCCACCGTGAGCTGATGGGCGCTCCATCTCTGCGGTTACACCTTCCTCATATCCTTACATAGTCGTTGTCCGGCCCGTGGTCCTCGCAAGCGGATATCGCCCCTCAGGGTGTGCGCACCTACTACTCGCAGAATGCGTATGATCTCCCCCTCGGCTCCAACGCTATCTACATGGGTGATCGCTGGGAGTCAAACCTCCTTGGTTCAAGCACGTATATTTGGTACCCGCTCGACTTCTCCAGCGGCTCTCCGCAGCTAGTTCACGCCGATGTCTGGACCGTGAACCTATCCGCTGGTATGTTCGCTCTGCATTCCAAAACTGTACTCTTCAGCTGACAGTACGTTTCCGTTGTACGTATCGCGCCACAGGAACATGGTCTGCGGCCTCTGGCACCTCGTACGAAGCCGAGCGCGGGACCTTGAGCGGATCATCCCAGCTCTTATCGGACAGCTCATTTTCCGGCGGCACAGCCGTGGGATGGCTTGGTGCAGCAGACGTCTCAGTGGTCGATATCCGTCTGTACTGACACACTCATATATCAGGCAACGGCGGAAGTGTCTCCATCACCGTTCAAGGCAAGGGCGCCGATCAATGGGTGGCGCTCTACTTCGCCAACGGCGATTCCTCGTGGAGAAACACGACTGTCAGGTCTGTTCTCAGCGCTGCTAAGATTATATTGAAGGCACCCTTCATTGATTCATGACACCTCAGCGTCAACGGGGGTGCGGCCGTTGTAGTCGACCAACCTGCAACCGGGGGAGGACACGTGATCATCAGTGTCCCGGTGAAGCTTCACCTCAACTCGGGCTCAAACACAATCACTTTCAGCGCAAACCAGACGAGTGAGTCCCACCATCTGTTTTGCGGCTCTCGAACGTTGCACAGAACGTTTCACTCACGCTGCTCGTATTTACAGACTACGCTGCGGATCTTGACAAGATCATCGTCTATTGATCCCGGGAGCGCGTGCCGCGGTGGCAGTCCGTGACACAGACAAGCTCGAGTGCGACGGCGAATGCGCGGCCCGAGACATTCCCTCTCCACGCCTGTCGATACAGAAACGAATGCAATGTGCTTGCCTATCGCACGAGCGCGCGGTTCCAGCCACCGAACATGAGCGTGCGTCGTGACGATCGCGCATGCTACGACACTCCATGTGAGAAGGTCAATGCGCTTCTCGCTTCTGATCTTCGCAGGCGCACCACGCTCGACCTCCCGCCGCGCTCGTCTCCCTGCCTTTCCGCGCGCGGGGCTCGCACGGGTCCGGTGGCGAGGCATGTCCCGACGCTGCCCGTTAGGCGGGACTGTATGGTGCGCAGCCCGCCGCGCATCTGGTTGGCATGATAAGCGGGGTGAATTTGCCCGCTCTGAAAAGCCAATCTGCATGGCCCCATGAGGCTGTCCCAAATCTATCCTCTGCCTTTCCGCCAGCCTCCGAACGGACGCACGCGATGGACGACGAAACCACGACCACCGTGTGTCACGCCTCAGATCCTAGACGACGCGTGAAGCTTTTTCCACCCACGCAGCGTGCGAGCGACAGAAGACCTGCAGTTGGATATCGCGGATGCCGTTGCGCGCGACGTCCAGTCCGACGACCGCGGTTGCACGTCCGCGCGCCCGCGATCTTGCGTTCAGGTATGTATATTTGGCAGCCCGCGACCGCCGAGCCGCGTCCGCCGTCACAGGTCGTTCCAACCCGCGACGAGAACGCGATGACGATCAAACGAGCGCCATCACCGTAAGTGTGTGCAAATGCGATTGTCCAATGTCTGGTGGGTCCCTTGAGTTGCTCCGTTCCTGCCTCTGCGGCGGCGTGATCAGGGGTCGCCGAAGTTCGCGATGCTAGTCGTACTGGTATATATGTGGCTGCAGAAACCATGTCCACCTCGACCTGTGCGCGTCCACCTCTCCTGACGCCGAATGCGCGAGGAGAAGCTTGGCTGCGGGCTCGTCCTGCGGCCGCGGTCGCGTGACACAACGACCAACGCCGCACGCGAAGCAAATGGGCGCAGCACGCCAACTGAAATGCAGCCGCACGGCGGCATGGACATCGCGCCACCGCGCGCCCGCTCGGGGCCGTGGGCGCAGCGCGCTGACGCGAGCGACGTTCGCCAAGCCCGCGTTCGAGTTTTGCAAGCTGCAGCCGTCAGCTCAACGTCGCGCCAGCGCAGGAGGTGTCACGCCGCGCGGAATTATACCTGGGGTGCGGCCGACCCAGATCGCCCACAAGCAGACGCCCCGTGCGCGTGCGCGATCTGAACATTATGGTATTCCAGCTGCAAGTTGACGCGAGATATCGCTGCGTCCGCGGTCCCAACCCCACGTCGGTCGCGCCGCCCGCGAGAGGGCTCACGCCCGCCGTCTCGCCCGAGGTGCGAGGCTCCGGCTTGGTCTCCGTTTTTCCGGTCCACGATGTAAACTCTGGACTAGCCGATCCCGAGTCCGCCGCGACCGGGGGGCGCGCGTGTGTGTCTTGGGCCAGGCAGGCGGAGGGACCTCCTGAACGCTTCTCGGGTCTGCTGCCCGCCTCGCCACCCATCACGATCGCCCGCGGCGGTCTCGAGGTCGCGGCGGGACAGGTCTTGGCCCGGGTTTGGTCCGGAGATTCGGGCGCGCGCGTGTCACGCTCGAGGTCGGTCGAACCCGCCGCCAGTGGATGACCGTGCTTCGCGGTGACTGCGGGTCGGTGGGGCTTGGAACGCGCGCAGCGGGACGTTCGGTGGTAAGTAGGGATGGACCCCCGGGATCTGACTTGGCCGTACAAGAGAGAACGTATTAGCGTGACACGAACGACGGCGTACCTCGACGGCACACTGCTCTCCACCGAGTGGCGGACGGATGATGCGCATCATAATAGAGCTGTTTGGAAATGCACTATAGTGCACGAACCTGACGCCACTTCGGTGTCTCCACCACTCCACGGCATGTCGGCCCGCTGGCCAAACACCCGCCAACAGTCGCATGGAGCAAGGACTCCAACGCGCCAACTCACGATTACTACGGTGCACTATCGTAACTTTCCAAACAGCTCTAATAGGCGTGATCTCGTTCGAACCCTCTGGGACGTCCTCGCAGAGCGCGGACGGCAGTGCTCTGCTACGCGGCGCGTGTCGCACGCGATACGCGCGGTCTCCGGCGTCGGCCTTGGGGGCTCTGGCCGTGCACGCCGCACGACCATGTCATGGCAATTCTCGACCCCGGCCGATGTGCAATTCGCCGACGGCGTCAAGTGCTCGGCGCCACACCGAGCTTGCACACCGCTGACGGTCGCGACTCGGTGCGAGACCGTACTAAGATCCAAGGAACACGAACCACGTCAGCAGCGATCCCAGAGCTCCGCGCGTGCGTGGGTGTGCGGCCGTGAATGACGCATCTTCGCTGGAGCCCCGGCCGGGATACACGGGCTCGCTCCTCGATGGCAGTGGGCCCTGTGCCATCCGAGGGGGGCGATAGCGCGATCATCGTCTGACGTGACGCCCTCGTGCACGATCCGAGGCTGCAGCGAAGCTTGGGGCCCCTGCACCACCACCTGCAAACGAGAAGGAGGGTGAGATCAGAGGGAGAAGCGCACCGCGACAAGACCGCCCCACTGCGCCTTGTCTCCGCCCGCGCCCACTGCATCACGCCCGAAGCGACACAACACAAAAGCGGGGTGCGGTACGCGGCTCCTTGGATCATGAGCCGTGGTGCGTCTCCATTTCGCCACAACCCAGAGAGCTTCGCTGCCGCCCCGCGACCCAGAAGGCCACCCTCGAGGCGCGGGGCGTGACGGGCGCTCCTCAGACATACGTCCCTTCCGCTTCCGGTCTGGTCACGGAACGCCAATGATCCATGGCCACAGAACGCCGCAGGCCTCGGGGCGAGAGGCATTGGCCACCTGGCCTCAACCTGCCACCTGGGCCGGATACAGCTTGGGGTGTGAGCACGTACGTGTGATACGCTCGTCCGCCCTGGGACGATGACTGTGGGATCGGGGCGGGAGGACAGGCACGCGGGGCCTGTGTGCCTGTGCCGCTGTGCGCACAGAAAGCTTGTGTGGGCTTGTGCTCCTGCCACGACGCGTGACGCTGCGGGCGATAGCAGGTGTGCGCCCGTCCAGGAATGCGTCACGCGTCTGGCGTGCGCGCATGGGACGTCGCGCCCCGCGGGGTGTGCGGCGCAGAGGAAGAAATACTGCTTGAGTGGCAGCGGGATCCACATGCGCTGTGCCGCAGCCTGCAGCGCGGATACGCGGATGCGCTGCGCGTACCGGTCCGTCCGCGCGAAGGCGAATGCCGACCGTGGGACGCGGCATACAGCAAGGATGCTGATCGCCGTCTCGAAGAAATGGCTTTCCAAGGAGCCAGCCCGCACGACGGAGTCACAAGGGTCGGGCTGGGATCTGAGGGTTGTGTCAGTTGGCGTCACCGAGACTAGCGCGGTCGTCGTCCGGAACTGTTTACGTTTGAATGAAAGCGTGGAGTTTCAGCGGCGGCGGTTCTCTGCAGGGCGGATAAGGGTCGCGCCTTGCGACGCGTTGCAGGTGTCCCGCTCTCCGTCGCACGACACGGACAGGGGGAGCGTACGGACAACGAGCGATGGGGGTGACGGCTTGCATTAAGGACCACAGGGCCGAACCGTACAGCGCACGACCGGGGGAGAGGCCTTGGGAGATCAGGAGTGCACCTGGGCGAGACCGGGTGCGGTCCGAAACTAACCATTAGTATGTAAAGTACGCGAAGTAGAAGGGGGCGTCGGCACGGCGTGGGCGGACACGCGGGCTCGACGCGTCCACCGGAACGGGCCACGCTCCCATCCCACCATGCATCCCGGGCTCGAGGCTTGCCGTGTGGACGCCATTACGCGCGGACATCTGCGCATCCGAGTCTAAAGGGCCGCGAGCGGAGGAAGACGCAGTGCCAAAAAAACCAGGCGCTTTCTTCAGAAACCGCGCTCGACGAGCCAGCGGGTCACCTCCCGCTTCCAGCGACCGCCCTTGACGATGACCTGGTGGTTGCCGTGCAGGTGGACCTTGAGCTTATGTGCCTCTTCTGACTCTGCCGGGAATAGGGATTCCGCGATGTCGTCGGCGAGCGCCTGAGGATTTCGAATGAGGGGACATGTGGTCGGATGCGTGGTCGGATACCCGTTGCGAACGCGGATGGAGGCCGAGAGCGAAGCATGCGCAGGGCGCGGGGCGCGGGGCGATCGGAGCGTGACATTTGGAGAGTGGAGAAGGAGGGCGATTGGGAATGCGGGATGCGAGAGTGGTGCGGAGCGAGTGCAGCAATTGGGAGGATCAGGCGGCACGCGCCACGGAGGCAATGACGCGGGCGAGAGGGGGTGCGGAGGAGATGGAGGACTGGGTCAATGCGGGGAGACGGAGACGGGAACCAAGGAAGGCGCACCGATCTGTTACCCTCGACGTGGCTGATGAGGACCAGGTAACGCGTCCCGCCGTTGCGGATGTCGGTGTACACGGGGACTGCGCCGTGGGTGTTTCGGCGGACAAAGTACGGGTTCTTCGGGGACGCGGTGGGGGCGGGGTCGGATACAGTGGCGGGGGCGAGTTGGGTGGAGTTGAAGCGAACTTGGCGGGCAAAGGTCTGGGCGCGGAGAGGGCGGGCAAGGGCGCGGAACATGGCTAGACAGGGCGCGGAGGACAAGGCAAATGTGGTGGCTGGGTGGAGGCCAGGGGCGGGCGCAGAAAGCGGATGATCAGCCTTGGAGAGATGGATATGGGGACAGCACTCACTGGCGGACGCGAAGCCCCTGAACGATGGGGCGAGCGGGAGGCGGTCAGAGAGGAGTCGCGGGGCGGGAAGCGAGGGGGCGACGTGGGACGCGAGAGGCAGCAACCGGGCGAGCGGGCAGCGCGGCGAGAGATGGGCGGGACAGGCGCGACGGCGGAAGATTGACGGAGGCAGGCGGCGGGAGGTGGGAGGAGGAGCGTGACAGGGCGGAGGCGGAGAGAGGCGTGACAGGGCAGAGGCGCGGGGGCGATCTCCATCTCGCCCACATCTCGTCCTATGTCTCTCGTTCCTTTCTCCCGGCTCGGCGCCCTCGCTCCTCAGCCTGTCCTAGCTACCGCCCCGTTTCAATTTATAACGCATCCGATGTCTCCTTATAGCCCCGCCCCCTCCCTCTCTCCTCAACCTCTTCCCTCCCGCCCACGATGAGCTCTGACCATCCCGCCCTCCTCCTCGACCTCCCCCCACAGCACCCGTACTTCCGCAGAGCCCTCCCGCCACAACCCCAGCCGGGCCCGATGTACCACCGGCCGATCCACTACGCCTACGACTGGCGGTCACACCCCCAGCCGGCCCTCTTCGCCGGAGCCCTCGCGCCCTCGAGCTGGACCAACGTCGGCCCCTCGTACCCACCCCAGTCGCTCTGGCACCCCGCTGGCCCGCCAGACTTTCTGCTGCCCTTCCACCACTACTCGGCCCGCGGCTGCGACGCCCCAGGTTGTGAGTCCGCCGCCGCCGTCCATTCCCGCTCTCTCTCATCTTTTCCCTCCGCCCTTACGTCAGACTCGTTCTCCCGATCCGACACCTCGTCTGCCGTCTCACGCGACTCTGACCTTTCTCCCTCGCCCGAGGTTGCGGAGGTTGTCTGCAATGCACCCCTCGTCGCCCCCATCCCGCTTCCATACCACTCCCCGACCTTCCTCCTCTACGACCTCCCCGACGATGACGAGGACCTCTCCCATCCGCCGTACACACACCGGCCCCACAAGCGCAAGCGCTCCCGGGAGGATGACGAAGATGGTTCTCTAAGCCCGCTTGCGCACCCTGTGCCCGCCAAGCGGCGGCACACCACCCACCCAGAGGGCGGACCACCGATTTGGGACGGAGCCTGGGCGAGCACCGCGCACTCGGCCGCTGCCCTGCCCGCGCTGCGCCATCCTGCTGCGGGCTTCTCGCGGCGTAATCGAGCACGGTAGACCGGGCTGAGCTCGGGACGCGCCCTCACGCTCCGCCTGTCAGGCCGTTCGGGGGCTGTCAGATGATGAAGGGTCTCGCACCCATTGCCGATTCGCATTCGTCGGACATACTCGCCCCTCGCCCTCCCGCGCCTTTCTCCCGCACCGACGCGCATTCGCATTCGCATCCCGGACCCCTCTCCCCACGCGCTCCGCTCCCACGCACACCACTTTGTACATTAGGCATACATCACTCTCCACTAGTTTCTCCCCCGGAATACGGAAGCCCGACCGAAGGCCCTAGAGCCCCTGCCCACGCGCGCCCGGAATGACTCTGGGAATGCGTAAGTAGCGTCATCTCTCTCCCCACTTCCGGTGCTCACTGACGCCTGCCGGCTTCCCTAGCCCCTCCCGCCGCCCGCTGTCCTCACCAGCCACTGAACTGCAATGATTCTCATTCCCGCCGCGCTCGCCGCCAGATCTCACACCGTGCTGACTGGAACGGCGTTATCACCGGGTGCCGCCTGCCGTCAGCCTCGGGACACAGCACGCGCCCTCCAAGCCCGCCAGGGCCGCACACATCAGATTTAACATCGCTGCCCCTCTCCCGAATACGATCCTCGATCAATACGGTCGTCTGTTCGACCGCCGCGCTACGTCGCGCATTCGCAACGCCCTCTCGTTTCCAGCATTCGCCCCCATCCTCGAGCCCGGACCCAGGGACGGGCTCCCCTCGCACGCACGCGCCGCCACCGTGGACAGGATTCCCATTATTCCCTCGCTCCACCGCCGAAGCGCAGGATGCGAGCCTCGCGGCGCGCAGCGGCGTCTCGGATTGGCACTCGTCCTACGCGCGCTGCGCGTCCGCACACCGCAAGGTGGAAGGCCGTCCCCGCGCACGGACACGCGGCCGCGGTGCTGTGCGGCCGCGACGCGTTGCGGGTGGGCGGCGGGGCCTCGCGAGAGGGAGCGGTGACGGCGTGACGGCGTTCGAGAAGACGGGAAGGGCGACGGGGGGGGAGGGGCGGCGGGGACGGATGGAGGCTTCCCGTTCGAGACACGTATCATATCTGCGCATATCACTCGCCGTGATCCATCCATGATTCGGACTCGAACGCCTTGCGCACCCCGCCTGCGTATGCGCCTGTCTTCCGCCGTGGTCTCGCCGCACCGACCTTGATGCCAGATGCGGTGCGGGCGCACGCGCGGGAGCGTGCCTCGGCCACACGTTTGAGCGACCGCGTGCGCTCTCAAGCACTACAGATTCGCGTCCGTCTGAAGCTTTGAAGTGTCGTCGTGACCGGCTCCAAGAACCCAAGAGCGAGCGCTTCTGTGGGAGCCTTCTTGTGGCGTTACCATACATACCGTGACGAACGCCGCCCACCCGTCGCCCTGCGACTCTCGTCCCCATTCCCGTTCCCGTTTCTATTTCGACACCCCCTCCCTGATGCCCTCCTCCCGCCACGCGCGGCGTGTGTGGATGTGCGGCCCAGACGTCGCGCCAAGCGACGCCTCCGGGCTCCGAGTCTCCAGAGCTGGCGGCGGGCGTGACAGCGATTAGGACGAGGTACGTGATGTACCTGCCCGGTCCCGTCGAGCTGCAGGCGCGCCTTGTCGAATATTAATGTCATGAGTGTCGGCGCACAAGTGTCATGCACCCGCTCCATGGATGGTGCCCTCGCGCGTTCGATCACCGGGACTAGGACCAGCCAAGAGCCCTCCTGGCAACCTGCGCGGTTCTCCCGGCGGCGGACGAGACAGGGGGCCCGGGCAGCGACGTACGCGACCCGCGACGCCGTCGACGCCACGCGTTCGCTCGAACAAATGAGCTGGTCAAGGATAATGCGCGCAAAGGGCCCGCCGCTGCCGCTGATGGCCCGGCGCACGCGTGATCGCGGAGCGCGGCAGCCTGCGGGACTACTTGCTACGAGCTCGGCACAGAGTGCACACGGCGGGAGCGCAAGTCGCGCCCGTCCGTCTTGTGCGATCGGCTTGGCTTTCGAACGAATGTCTTGCAGTTAACGTTGTCTGGTGCGCCTCGGCCTAGCCTAGTGCTCACGAGACTGAGCCGCGCGCACGCGATGGCGGCGGCGGCGGCGGCGACCGTTCTCAGGACCCCGAAAGCGCCTATAGAGGGACCGCCGACCATCCGGACACGATTTGACGATTTTTGGCTCTCGGACCGGTCGCCATCCGGACATCCGGAGGGCTTGTCCCGACTGCATGGCTGCCGAAGGTCCGGACATGACCTTGAAGGGGCCGAGAAGGGTCTGCCGAAGCCCGGACATCAGCCAAGTAAGACCTGAGGTAGGCGCCGATGCGGGAAGTGGGAGGAGGGTTTATTCAAAGCTATTACTCAGTTGAAACACTTATTGGAGCGAGTCAATAAAGCTTTAAAGCACCACTTAGTAATCATCACCGGCGTCGATCAGGATTCAACAGCCCACTTTTGCACACAGGTCGAGAATTCCCACTAAGTACAACAAATTTCTCTGTTAATTCCATGCCACCTTGCTCTGAGCAGCTGCGATGAGCTTTTCGCGAGGTTTGAAGACTTTTTGCGGCGAAAACACGGATTAGCGCTCGTAAAGCGCTCCTGGAGGACTGCCGAACGGTCCGGACGGGCAACCGCCCTGGTGCTGGAGGACCGCCGAAAGTCCGGACGTGGGACCTCAAATAGTCCGGACATGAAAGTCGCAAAAATGGGCGTTTGTCGGCGGTCCCTCTATAGGCGCTTTCGGGGGTCCTCCGTTCTCGTGCACGACGCGGGTGAACGAGCACGGGCCCGAGGTTCGATGGCGCCGCGTCGCATAGCCAGCGGACAGCATTACTCGTACGTATCGGGATTCGGGTGCTCGCTGCAGCCTTCGTGCCACCGCACTGATGAGGACTTGCGAGGCTCGTGGCGGCCAGACCCGGGCCGGAGACGAATGTGGGCGTCGGTTAATAAATGAATGATGTCATCGCGGGAACGTCCACTCCGTCGAGAGCCTCCGCGATCTCCATGGACCCTAGAAGCCACAGACCTACAAGTACGACCATCAATGCAGCTCGCCCCGCCAGTTGTCTGTCGTTCGCGCCGCGGTGTGTAATGCCGCCACACCGCCTGCCCACGTCTCCGGCGTCCGCCCAGGTATCCGTGAACGTCGGGCGGCGAGTGGTTCCCGCACTTGCAGCAGAAAACCCCACGCCGGACGCCAACCCGCGCGCGGTGCCCTGCGCTACGTACTTGTCGCGACCGTGCGTGACCGCATGGAACGAGGGGGGGCGAGACCGAGACCGCCGGCGACGGGCGATCGTATTGGTTACCAGCTCTGTCAGATGCGCAAGGAGGTCAGGCTCGGAGTGCCGAATGGGGCGGCGCACTCGGCGGGACTGTTGCGTGTTGCTGGGAATGGGCGTGCGGAACGGTCGCCATCTTGTGTCGCCGTTCGGGATTATGATGGTGGCGGTGGGAGGAGGACGGTAGCATCCGGACGGTGCGAGACGAGGATTGAATCTTGCCGTAATCATGCTGCGAACCCGTGCCACCCTGGTGGAGGAGCAAGTCTAGGATATCAGTCTAGGAATATACACAGTACGCAGTAACAATAGCGATAAATAGTACCGACTTCAGACACTGTTTCCGACGGGAGCTGCGCGAGGCCACGACGCCTAGTCACCGAGAATCGCCTCCACGACGTTCGCCACCCGCAGCTGCCTGAGGTCCGTGTACGTCTACGAGGGACTCGTATCAGCTTCGAAACACGCAGAAGCGACGGCGCCGGAAATGCCGTACCTGTCCGCATCCAACGAAAATGATGGGCTGACCGGTGACATATGTCATGGAGAGTGCCGCACCGACCTGGGCGCAAGCATCGCCGATCTCAGTCCAAACGAGCAGCGGCCAAACGGGCATAGGATTGACGCACCTTGTCGTCAACAGTGTCCCACTTCGTGACGAGCATGCCGTCGATGCCGCGCTCCTGACCGCCGGACGCAGCAGAGAAATCGCGGAGCGCTCGGTCGAACTTGGTCAGTTGGTCGACGGCTTCGTTCCCCACGAGAGCTTCGCCGACGAAGATGATCTTGTCGGGGTTGTTACTCGCAACGAGCTGCGGGGATAGAGTACAGATAAGCCCTCAACGGCGGGATATGGAGTGCGGGGGCCAATACCCACCTTCGCGAGAGCGCGCATGAGCGGCTAGCAACAAGGTGATCAGCCGCCATATCGACCTCGGCATCAACCAAAGACTCACCTCATTATCTTGCATGCGACCGGCTGTGTCAATGAGGACGACGTCGAACTCATTATCCCGGGCTGTGAATGAAAGATGAGGTTTGTGTGACAGCGCAGACGCAAGCTCCCGTACCATAAGCGATGGCTTCCTTCGCAATCCCGGCAGCGTCTTTCCCATACCCACGCTCGTACAGTTCTACTCGGCCCTTGCTGGTCGTGGCACCATCTACACCGAGCATCCCGAGGTTGCGCACGTGTACACGGAGCTGTTCTACAGCACCGCTCCTGTAGGCAAGGCGTTAACAGTCACACTGACATTGAGGGCAAGATGACTTACCTAAATGTGTCGCACGCGGCGATGAGGACGCGGAAGCCGTTCTGGATGAGCCAAAAGCAGACCTTCGACAGGTTGGTACTCTTGCCCACGCCGTTGACTCCAACAAAAGTGATGCTGTAGGGCAAGCGCTGCTGGGTAGTCGACAGAGCGGAGAGTTTGGTCCTGATGGAAAGGAGAAGATCTGTCGAGGTCTTCGGGGTGAGGATGCGTGTAATGGAATTGGCAAGAGCTTGTCGGACAGCAGACGTCGTAGCTGTGACTACAGCGTTAGCGAAGCGATAAAACATACGCAAACTCGAAACGTACTTTGGAACCCGCCCACTTTCTGGCCGACAAGACTTCGCCCTACATCCTCACAACCTTGTCCGAGATCTCCTTCGCAACGTTCTTCTTCATGAGATGTTGCTTCATAGCCTCTAGTACCGGCTTCAGGTCTTCTTCAGAGAGCACTTTGGAGCCCGTGAGGCGCGCGAAAATGGATCCGAGGGCGCCCAAAGAGCTTGAGGTTGGCTTGGGTTCTTCCCCCCCTTGCCTGAGCACCTCTGCGATGACATCATCCGGGCTTTTACCTCCAGTAACGAACTCCCAATCCTTGACTTCATAGAGGCCGTCCTGGGTACGCGTGCCGAGGGAGCCATTGTCGACGAGCGTTGAGAGATCCGGGGTGCCCGTACGGCCGTCCGACGCGGTGCTGTCGTAGCTGTAATCGAGGGACGCCATGTCGGCATCCGTCGGAGCCTCGTTGCCCCACTTGCGTTGCGTCTTGGCTTTCGACTTGCGCTTCGCGTTCGGCGTGGTCTCGGAGCTGATGGCGGGCGCGCCGTCAGCGGATGGAGATGCGAGAGAATGAGGTTATCACGTACTCAGAGCCGGGAACGCTGTCCCTCCCGCTGCCCGCATCGACACGACCCCGCCCCCGCCTGCTTGTCTGCCCTCCTCGTCCACGTAAACGGTTTTTCAGAGCGTGGACGTTACGCGCGATTTGCTCCTCATCCTGCACGTCTGCACGTGCATGAGTGGGTGCTATCGAATGATTTGTCGAATGAACGCGGTCTGAGGGAATCATGTGGGCTCACTCGTGTCCACGTCGGCGGCGGCATGGGGAGCCTCGGTATCGAAGCGTGTCGGGTAAGCTACGCGCGACCGCCTCTCCTGGACGGTACAATGAAGTTGGCATACTTGTACGGCATGCTTAGAGGGAGATCACGAACCCGGGCAGACTTGTTCTCGAGATCGTGAAGCAACTTGTCGAAGTACGCATCCCAACCCTCGAACGCTTTGGCGAAATTCCATGGGGTGGGAGCCTCGACCACGGCGGAGCTTGTGATGTGCAGGGAAGCGACAAGGAAGCCAAGAAGGGCTGGAAGAGCTTGATGAAGAGAGCCTTGAGTGCGACTAGAAGCTCGTCGACGTAAGTGAGTTGAAGAATGCGTTGGTACGCGACCTGGAGCACAGGGTGGGTGAGGAGGAGAGTGCGTGACGGGGGAGGTGACGGACGACGAAAATGAGCTCGAGGTCGTTGACGAATGTCCACTTGACCGCGTATCCATCCTTCTCGTATTTTCCGTCCGATGTCCGACCCTCGATGAGCGCCTCGCGGACGAGGGAGTTGACGGGGACGAGGAGGATGCTGCGGTAAGCGACGCCGCGGGGGTGAACGAGCGCGACCAGAGAACGACGCCGCCTGTGGAGGGGGTCAGCGGGAGCTCGGCGAAGTGGCTCGGGGACGTGCCTTTGTGTGAAATTGAACAGTGGTCGAGCATGGTGGGCGAGAAGACGAGGGCGGGAGGAGGAAGCTCGCGAGGGTGCCGCGAGAATCAATGGCCAGCAGGCGCGCGGGCCGCGCCTCGCGCCTTGGCTCCTTGGCTCTCGTCCTCGATCGTCCTGCTGCAGCACCGCGAGTCGTGCTCATCTTCTTTGTTCGCTGCACGGCTCATAAACCCCTCCACCCGTGCGCATCATGTCCCGCCAACCCCCATCTGCAAGCAACATGTCGCGCCCGCCGCACCAGACTCAAGCTCTCAGCTGATCGTGTATGTCAATGCGGTCAGAGTCTCTCAGATCCCGTCTAAGACGTACTTCCAGTACGACGGTACGTGCTCGCCCATGCCCTTTTAGCTGCTTTTAACTGGAAATATACCGCTCTCCCCAACCTCCCAGTCGGTAGTGTGTGTCCCTGCTCACGGCTCCGTGTGCTCATCGGGATGTGATTCCGTCCAGATATATCCTGCTCCAAGGATCTGAAAAGGCCGCTGGGCAAGCGCAGGCGATTCGAAATCGTCGACCACATTCAGCTTGCGCACGCGCGCATCTTCAACCCCCGCGCCGTCTACGACGGCAACAAGATTATGTTCAGTCAGCGGGAGATCCCAAGCTCTCCCGTAAGCGTTCTCTCCGATGCACGACGCCGCCTAACTCATTCTTGGCCCAGCTATCGATCACCCTTGGTGGGCCTCCGCGCACGGTTACTTTTACGGTGGTACTAAGGCGTGTCGGTGCCATCGACACCGAGTACGCATTTCATTCGCGGCCACGGGCAACGCAACACGTGCTGACCATGTTTCCCTCTTTCCAGTAACTTGAAGGCGCTCCTGCAATATCACCCGGCTGGCCCCAGCCCACATGCGCAGACCCTCATGCCGCTGAACCTCCTTCAACTCATCGTACGGCAGGCCCCGAACATGCGCCACGGTTTCCCTCCGAACGCGCAGTCGTTCTATGTCCCCCATCGTCAAACCGACCTCGGGTTTGGCTTGAGTGCGTGGCGTGGATATTTCCAGTTTGTCCTCTCTCCATCCCTAGAGAGCATCAGCTGACATCACGGACAGGAGCGTTCGGCCGACCTACGACAGGCTAATAATCAACATTGATAGCGTGACCGGCGCCGTGTGAGTACTTCATATTCCCTCTCATGCAGAGATGCTGACCAAATCCTGAAAGGTACAAGGCAACCGGTCTCCTGGCTGTGATGCAAGAATGGCTTGGGCTTAGGGACCCGCGACATCTCGAGAGGCTCGACGCCGCGTCCATGAACAAACTTAAGACGTTCTTGAGAGGTGTCGTGGTACAGTTTCCTACATGCCATCATGCGAAGAGGACCAAGTCCATTGCGGGTGTGGTTGCTTCTGGGGGCCTCGAAGAGTTTGAGAAGGACGGCCAAAGGCTCACTGTGCAGGTATGACCATCGGTAATCCACGAGCTGCGTTTATTAACATTCTTTTTTCCACCAGCAACACTTTGAGAGCAAGTACAATACCGTAGTCAGACACCCACGCGCGCCAGGTGTACGCCTAGGGGGCACAACGATCGTCCCCGCTGAATTCTGTGTCGTTCAGCCGGGCCAACTCTATCGCAAGCAGCTGCCGCCAGAGGCCACCCGCAAACTCCTGCAAACGAGCGCTCAAAAACCTCCCCAAAGACTCGAAGAACTTCGCACGCAATCTCAAACGATGTACGTCCGTTCGCATTGCAAGCGACATGCCTTCTGACGTGCGAACAGGCCTTTAACCACTCGAGCTCAGATTTCATAACCAGTGCAGGCATGGGTGTCGAGACCGAACTCATGACTGTACGAGCCAACTTGATGACAACTCCCCCAATAATGTATGGTCAGAATAGAACTGTGGTATGATTCTTTGTTTCTTTTGCCCCACATCTTGCCCTGATTTCCTTGTGACAGCCCGTCCCGCCAAAGGCTGGGGCATGGAACATGGTGCGCCAACAGTTCGCTCGCCCGGCAGAGCTGAGGTACTTCGTTGTTATCAACTTCTGCATCGATCTGCAAAATGATGTAGGTCAGTTTGTGGATGATCTCATGGGCAACTTGAGACTACTGGGTGAGTTGTTCTTAAAACTGTTGGCGTCTATTGAGCCGACCGGCTGGATCATTTAGGGATGAGTAAGTCATCGCTCTTGTTCCATAATTGTAGGAATTGCCAACATATCATATCAATCAGAAATGCCGTCCACCTCCCGGCCACCTATTCGAACGGGTAACCCCCAGAACCCGATGCTGGTTTGTAACATGAGATTTCGACTATCTCTAACCACTCACATGCTTTCGTCAGACACTCGAGGACGCTTTTCAGCGGTTCGGGGTTCCTATGGGACAACGTCTGTTCCTCCTTGTGCTTCTGCCCGAGCAAGCACAGGATTGCCGGCAACTTGTCAAGCATTGGGGAGACATCACGCACGGGGTTTTGACACAGTGTTTGGTGCGTATCTACTATCCACATGTCAGTCTACTGTCGTCCTCATGTGGCACCCGGTCAGCGTGCTGGTAAGTGGAATAAGAATATCGGGCCAAGAGGCGATCAATATCGCAACAACGTTGCATTGAAGTGAGTTATCTCGCCTGGTGCATGGGACATCACTCATCATGCATAGGATCAACACCCGATTGCGTGGTGTCAACTCCACTGTAAAGTCCGTCCAAGATCTGCTACGGCTAAACATGGTCATTGGTATGTCCTTATTTAATTCATGTTGTCAACTCTTGTATAACCACTTCCCAGGTGCTGATGTTGGACACCCGGGTGCTGGTGTCTCAAATCGACCCTCTGTTGCAGGGCTTGTTGCAATGGTGGGGGTTTCCCCAAGTGACATGACCGCCATCAGCACAGTTCAAGAGCCACGAATCGAGATCATCCAAGAGATGAAAGTGATGATGATAGTGAGCTGCGAACATGATTGATGTGTTTTAGTATCTGACCACGGCTCGTTCAGCATGCATTGAAAAAGTGGCAAAAGCATCGGATAGAAATCCGGTCTACGAGGACCCTCCTAAAGTCATTTGGTTCTTCCGAGATGGCGTGTCCGAAGGGGAGTACGAAGCAGTTGCGGCACAAGAAATTGTACAAGTCAAAGGCTCGTCAATTGCTCTGGGTCTGCTCCCATGCTAATGTGCCCGATGACAGAGGCCTTCACTGAACTAAAAATTCCTGAGTCTCTGAAACCGAAGATCGTCTACGTAATCGTTGGCAAACGGTATGCACGTCTATATTTGACTGGCGAACTCCAGTCTAACATGCCTTAAAGGCACCATATTCGGTTCTTCCCAGTTCAGCCCAGTGATGCAGATAGGTCCCAGAACTGCCCCGCTGGCTTGCTCGTGGAGCGAGACATCGTGAGCCCCAAGCACACCAATTTCTATCTGCAGTCTCATGCGGGCATCCTTGGCAGTGGGTATTGCACCTTGTCTATGGCTCGTCTTCGTCTAAATGTGTCTACAGCCAGCAGGCCGGCCCACTACACCGTCATCTGCAATGAGCCTGGGTTCGCCCGCATGAGTAAGGCAGATCGCCCCCCTATCATTCTGCATGCTGACACAACACATAGGATCTATGAGGCGGCGTTCGGCCTCTGTCATGTTTACGCCAGTGCCACTCGTTCTGTGTCAATCCCTGCCCCCGTATACTGTACGTTTTTCCCTGTCGACTCACTGCAGCAGGGCACTCACCTACTTCCTTCCAGATGCCGATGTTTGTTTTCAGTATTATCCATCTGTTCTACATGTTGGACTGATTTCACATCACAGCGACTCTGCGACCGCCTCTACTTCCACTGCAATCCCGGCTCCGGAGAGACCGCCACTATGGCAACAGGAAGTTCGGACATGCAGTTCGACATGGAACAGTGGAAGAGGGACTATAACTTCCAGCCATCGCTGCTTGGTGAAGATAATTTTTTCCTCTAGACGATTGTACCTGCCCTGCCTTGATGTACTGGGACTCCGGCGGAAGCGACCTGTCATGTTCAGATATTGATGTGTAGATCACAGCGATGATGTAGCAAGTAATCTCTTGTATTTCCCTGCGATGTGCTTGTCGGTGTAGCAACGAATCTGTAATGACCTCTTCCCACATAGTGGGTTGCCTGCACACAACGATGCTGGACTGGGGATACGGTCGGTGGTTGTGATATGTATGAATTGACGTCGTGCGAGTACCGGTGTCGAGTCGCGGCCGCACAGCATACCCCCTCGTCCCGTGCGTCCATGTCCCACCGTAACGCGCACAAGCCCCAGCCGAGCTGGCACGCGCGGCTCAGCCCACTCGAACAGTAGGCACTCCGTCCTGCTGAATTCGCGACGCTCTGAGCCGTGCAGCTGACGCGAGACGTGTGCTTAGGTATGACGGGAGCAACCCGCGCCCGAGCCCGCACCCGGTGCTGGGCGTTGTACTCGTTGCTGCCTCGATCGCTTTCCTCCTCCTCGCCTCGTACACTGTCTTCTTCAGCGCGTTTCTGTCGAAGAGCGGGATTTGGGTGAGCAAAGCGTTGGGCTAGACCGTCCTCTCATCGCCAACGCTCCTCACGGTTGTTTGCCTCAGGTCTTGGACACGCTCGCAGACGACAAGCATTACAAGTACCTCCTCGTGCTCCTTATCGCATCGTACACAGGCTTCGTCATTGCGAACTGGGTGGGATGGCAGTACTATAGGAACTCTTGAATGGATAGTCCAGCCCGGATATCCAGCGTGACACGCGAAGGAGAGCACGTCGACATAATCGTCATATGCATAGGATGGGCAAGAGCAACGACAGGTGACACAATACAGTACGATAACATATTGATATCCGGACACTGAGTAAGACGACATGGAACCCAACAAACGGCGCGGCGAAAGGTAATAAGTTATCGCAAAGCAGTCGAAAGGTCCTCTCCCGAGAAATGTGCTCCCACAGCCAACAAAACCAACAAGCTACAACGGCTCGGGGGACCTGTCTCGCTCCGTCGGTGCCCGCGACCGCGACCGCCGTCGCACCTCCTTGAGCTCTTGCCACAAGCTCCCCCTCGTCGTCCCTGGCACCTGTTCGCCCACAACACTCGGCGGCGCGCTCTTCGGCGGCACAGTCCCAGGGCGAACCTCCCGCCGCCACGCAACGATTCCGCCGAGTCCAGGTGGATCAGGCTCTGTTTCCGTCGGGTTGGGACTGGGTGCGCGTGTAGATCGGCGGGAACTCAACACGTATTTGGGCCGCTCGGGCGAGGCCGTGCGGGGATTTCGAACGAGCATGCTCGTCAGATCGATTCTGGACGGGTGGGGCGCGAGAGTCGTTCGGTGGATATTCCTGGGGGGCGGCTCTCCGTCTTCGACTGGGCCTTCGTCGTTGGGAACAGGCGTGCGCATCCGAGAGAGACGGGAAACGGTAGGAAGAACAGTACGCGGGCGAGTGTTCAGAGCGGACACACGTGGCACTTGAGGCAGCCTTGAGGAAGAGAATAGTTCGATGTAGCGAGCGTAGCTAGAGCCGGCATCAGCAACGACAGATGGAGGTGGAAGTAGGGAACGTACTTGATCGCTTTGTGATCCAGCTTCTTCTGTTGCGCCTTGCGCCAGAGAGCAAAGACCTTCTCTGTTAGGATGGTGGTAAGTAGGAAGATCATACAACACAGTCGATGACCTACTGAGGGTATTGAGACAATCCATCTCTCGAGCTGTCTTGGATTGCATTGCACGAGGCATGAGCTCCCTCCATCTCTTCCAGAACTTCGCTTTGAGGTGAGAAGTGTGGAAGCGGACTGCCGGAAAGGACTATAAGGCAGTGAGACATCGATCCCATGGAAAGCACACATGCTACCCACCAATGATCTAGAATGCCAAGTACCGTATGCGCGTAACACGAGATCTCGTTGACGTTGCTTGAGGAACGCATCTGCAAGAGGCTGGAGGCGTATGTCCAAGAATCGTTCACGCCACTTGTCCCACACATTAGTAGCGAGCATAAGCCTGACTTCTTCCTCCTTTGCCTGTAGCTGTAAACGACGATGGCGTGCCTTCTTGGCCGCAGCGAACCACCGATAGAACATTTTTCGCATGTTCTCTGGGGACGATGTTAGCCATCAGCGAGACAACCGAGTCTGACTGATTTGTACCTTCACGTTTAACGTCTTGATAGCTCTCCATGAGACTCAACTCGTCTACGTGGCGTCTGCAAAGTGCTTTCCACTTGTCATATGATCGTAGAACGAGAGCTTTATTATATCTGTTGATTGTTTCCAGCTCTCGGAACTTCAAGTCGGCCACACGAGTAGTCCAATGTTGCAAAGCGTCGTCCATGATCCTCTGTAGCGTGTAATTCAGCTGATGGTACTCGACGATGCATGTGGCCATGTGGCCGTTCGTTACACACCATTGCAACCTGATGAGTCATAACCAGCTCAGCCAGCCTGATGTTGCGCTGTTGGCGCGCCCGCTCGAGCCACTCTGAAGCAGGGACCGATCAACACGATTGCAAGAGCAAGCCAGAAGTCACTTACGGATGAAGTGCTTCCGCGTTGCACGTAGCTGGAACTGTTGCAACTTGCGTTCACGGCGTTGTTCCTCCACTTTCGCGCTCCACACATGGAAACAACGGCGGAGAAGAAGGTACTTTCGGGCTGTCTTCGCCTGCTTGATGACTTTCAATTTTGATCGCAACTGCAACCGCCACTGCAACAGCATCTTGAACTGAAGCTGGACTCGGTGATAGTGAACTGCGAACGTCTGTGCATTTTGATGAGACCTGTGCACAGTGCGCCATTTCTTGAGGGCCTGAGCTTCCAGAATGGAGCAGGCACGCATTCTGAACAATTCTGCCATTTCTGAGACGATGTCAGTTACAACCTGACTCTTCTACAACTGCGACTTACCTTCACGTTCTTTCAGCTCTTCGACCCTTCGTTTCCAGACCTGCCAAGCTTGTTTGATCATTCGGAGAGTCCGTACACGAGTAAGTAGGTGTCCACGTTCGTGGGCTTTCCAAATTCGCATGATTGCCCGAATTAAAACGTCGTCCCGTCTGGCCGAATGTTTCATAGCCCGGTGCTCCATAGCCTGGGATGACCATCAGTGGACGGTGAACACTTGTGTACTGAACACGTACCCGAACACGGATTCGGGACGCTTTCCAACGACTCATCGCGTGCTTCACCAATAGAGCGTCGTGGTATTGTTCCGCGACATGATACGCATGACTGTGTGGGTACCAACCGTTAGCCCCAGCACGCATGTAAAAGTGACAGCTTCATACCTGTTGCGTCTCCAGATGTCCATGGTACTCGTCTTTAGTCGAAAGTTGATGCGCTCAGTCAAGGCCTTCTCTGCATGTCGCAGCTCCGAAGAGCGTCGCCAAGTCTCCCAAACACGAACCAGGGCCGTCTCTTCACGTACGCCAACGAAGTGATCCGCAGCCGCTTCCAGTTGGTCCAACTGACGCAGCTTCGACTTCCAACGGCCAAAGAATCGCTGTACTACGCGTCGCGACAATTGCCCTCCGACAGGTGCGTCAAGTGAGCCCTTCTCCAACGGGCCCACATGTCCTTCTTTAACCTGAGCTCTCCGCGCTCACGGACGGTCTTCATGCGCATACGCATGTCATCCCGCCAGTGCAACTGCTTCTTCTCCTTGGTCTTGACTTTCCATGCCTGCAACGCTCTTTTCAAGAATCGGCGGTTGGATAGCGCAGATACACGGAGGTACGTCTCTCGGCGAACCGCAGTACGTTTCCTCCAGTGTTGCAGGGCACGTCGTAGCACCAAGGAGTCGCGAGCTTCGGTGATCTGCTCTGCAGTGGTCTGAGATCAACTCATGAGCTTTTCTCGAAAACGATAGATACGCGTACTACTCACAAGAATCCATTCGAACCCTTGTTTCCACACCTCATAGCATCGCTCCACCAGCCTATCGTTCCTGAACTGTGCCGCGAGCTCGAGGTTCTGAGTATACGTGATCTTCTTAAACGGATCCGAAGGCGCATCGTCATCCTGGCTGTTGCTACGACCCCGCGTTTGTCGGGAGAGAGCCTCCTTCGCAGGAGGCTTTGAGACGGCAGGCAGAGGTGGTGAGACATCGCGCTCTTGTACCGAAAAAGGCTTTCTTGGGTGGGCGGGAGCTTTGCCCTTGTCTTCGTATGGTATACGGGGAGGGTCATCCCGGACGGCCGCACCATAGGAAGGCGGGATACTCGAAGCCTGTGTGGCGGTTTCAGTGGCGGTATCAGCGTCCCACCGACGCGTCGCTGCGGTTCGTGCGCGGGCCGCAAGTCGGCGCAAGGCATCTCCAGTATTGACGAGGGTAGAAGGCGGCCCAGTGTCGAGTCCGAGGGAATTTGCCGAAGAGACTACGGGGGATATGCGAAGACGGGTAGGCCGGGGGGTATCGTCGTGTGATGAACGGCATGGTCTTGACGAGACATGTGTCGCAACCGGAGCAAGTCCTGTGCCAGCCTGGGTCGCATCATCTTGATGTGAATGGAGGGTAAATGTGTCTGGTTCAGGAGGCAGTACAGGAGGTCGCACAGGCGGTTTGGACGTGGGTTTCGCAGGGGTAGGCTTGGTGCGGGCAACCCGCGTTGTCCTTCCGCCCTTTGTGCTTGCACTCGCCTTGGTTCCATATCCTTGCAGGTCTTTTACGATAGACCATTTTCCCGCCCAGCTCTTCCCCTTCAGTGTACCGATCTTCAGGAGCTTGCCATAGTACACCACTTCATTCTGGGGATCAAGCCCGCGTTCATGAAGCACATCATTGTAGGCTTTGAAGATCGTCAGAAACGTGGATGCAGTAGCGGGCGCGCGACTGATAACCTCTTCGATGAAGTCGATCTCTTCTGAGGAAAGGCCCACGAGTTCTGTTGCGTTGGCCAATACATGAGAATCGTCGGTGAAGTTGGAAGCATGAGGGGAAGGATCGATGGGAGTGCGAGGGGGAGGAGAGGCCTTTTGGGGCGAAATTGGTGCATAACTTGCTCAGCGTCGCGTGAAGGGCATGGTAGGGTCGAAGGGTGGGCTGGTCCCGCGCGTGTGGCGAACTATTCGCGTGTCGCGTCAGACACGTGATCCCGTCAAGCGCCCAGATAGGTTAATTCCAGCTTCAACTTGTTTGAAGCTCGAAGCTGCCCAACGGGGGTACGGTTGATTTCAATGTCGGTATGCGCGTGATATAAGGTCTGTGTTAAATAGTGATGATACACGGTACAACATGATGCATGAGCATAGAGTCTTCCTTCCGCTCGGGTGTATGTATGATTACGGCGCACGATGTGCTTAGAAGTGAACACGGATAGCGGCCTGCACGGCAGAGTCCGCTGGACAGTAAGGGCATTTCACTGTGCTGTAGGAATTATGAGTGAAATAGCCGGAATGAACATATGAGTACTGACCGTTGCTGTCTGCTCAGCTTCGACAGGCTTTCCTTCGTGACCGCATGACCACAGAAAAGCATCATTGGGGGATTGTCCTCCGTAGACTGTTCCTTGGATACAGGGCATGCAAAGACAGAATGGTAAGTATGTTCCGGTCCTAGGGGTATTTCAATCTGCGCAGTGCCTATGCATTAGCTCTCTCAACCTTGACGGTTTGAAACAATGAATACTCACAGGAAGCTCGTTGGACTGACTCCATTCGCTCTTCCTCTCTCTCATCACCTTCCGTCCTTTCTCAATGCGCGCCAACGCGCCACAGCCGCCAATGTCGCTGATGACTCTGAGGGGAGCCTGTCTGCTCATACCCAGATTAGCGCAGTATTCGGTGGCAAACATTCTCTCGAGGTCTGCGTGAATAGATGGATCGGCAAGGTCGGCGTATGGTGATATCCGAATCCTGTTCAAGGGTAGGTACGCGACGCAAGTCATCAACCTGCGGAGTTCCGGGCTATGGCGTGCATAGAACTTGGGAAAGTTGGCTCGGGCATAGGCCAGTGCCGACGGGACGTCCGGTGTCGGCGACATAAGGAGGCGGAGGTATTGGAAGCGGTACAAGTGGAACTCAAGCGACGAGGGCCGATTATGAAGGAATTCCCCGTGTCGATGGGCCCAGCTGTAGTCGATGTAAGTTTTACAACGAGATGACGAGTACGAAACACATACTCCAATGCGAAGGAGATGTCCCCGTCCCTCAGCGTCATCATAATCTTGTGCAACTCCATGAACTGTGAACGCATCTGGTCGGGTACAGTAGCATCTGATTCCTGCATCGCCATCATTCCGTTGTTTGAATGAGCAAGAGTCACCATGAATTCGATACTCACGCTGAGGAACGTCTCCGCCGTCTCAAACTCTCCAGTCCGGAGGAAGTGTACGGCAATGGTACGCTCAAGCGCCTCCTTTGCTTCCGGTGACGAGAAAAGTGGATCGTACGAGGGAAGTGGGTTGGTAAATCTCTGCGCCGTCTGCGTTCAATAACTGGTCACAAATATGAAAGTAGAGGAATGTGCACCTTGTCCAGGGCTTTGCCGACCTTGGCAAGAGCGTTGTAGACCTCCCTCTGTCGCTCGTCAATCTCCTTCTTCTTTGCCTCCACAGTTTTTGATAATGTTATCAGGGCTGCTTGCGAGCCGGTGCCAACAAGGTACCGTTCCTTGGCCTCTCGGAGGGTGTCTAGAAGTGCATCGAGGGATTGGTCTATCGAGGGTGCCTTCGCTTTACCGGCAGAGCCACCGGCGACAATTTTGTCCAGCTTTGCGAGCTCCTTCAAAGGTCCATCCATAACGAGGGGTACGGTCAGGAACCCAGAGGTAGTAGAGGAAAGTCGGCCGTTGTGGTAGAGACTGAGAGAGTGTGAAGCCCCATGCTGGCTCCACGCCCGTCGCGGCCCGGTCTGCCGTCTCTAAGCCGCGAATCTCGTCTTCCTCTTACCACTCGTCTTCCACCTCTCCTTCTTCACCCCTTCTCTCTCCACTCTCAGTGTCGTTGCTGGCTTTCTCCAGATGCCACGCTTCTTCTCAGGAGACGAGCTTGGTGCCGTCAAGTCAGTGACCTTCACACCAGGAGAAAACCAAGAATGGAAATCTTCCACTTCAACCCTGGTCCCAGGCGAATCCAGCCACGAACGAGCCGTGCAGCGGCTCACAGTCTACTACCATCGAGGCTCTGAGATACTGGTACTACTTTTTCTTCTCATATAACTATACTCGCCCATGAATGTATCAAGTGTAGTTAGCTGCCGCGCACGCGAAGGGTGTGAAAGTGCTCAAAGTCGCCGACGATGGTGCCAAGGCGGATGTAGTCCATCAGTGGGACGAACCCCGTCTGAAGCAAGGGCAGAGATTTGTTGGACTAGCGGTACAACAGAGGTACGCCCAGCATAGGCATCTGTTCATCTCAGATACTGATATGCTTACAGCGCGGTTTATTCGTGCACCTCTAATGGCGCTTTACGCCGAACCAAAATTGGAGAGGAAGGAGCTGAGCCATCCTCTTCTCTTGCTACGCTTCCCATGCGCCTGAGAGATTGGCGATCCTCTGCTACTGGAGATGTGTTTGCATATGGTGGAGAGGAAGTGCACTTGTCTGTATGGGACACTGAGCGAGCCTTTGCGGAAAAGGCCCCCAGCACCGAGATCTCTCAACATGAAAACAAGAAGAGGAAACGTGGGGACCAGCTGCTTCCGGGGGAGTTGTGGAGAGCGAAGAACGTGAGTGGCTTGAACAACGCTAGTCAGGCTTGGCTCAACTCACCTATGTCTCAGCTCCCCAACGATCCTCTCGGGCTTCGACGGCCTGTGGATAATACGGCACTTGCATTTCTTCAACCATCCAATAAGGCCGTGCAACACCATCTGGTTGCTGGTACGGCTAGTGGCAACATCCAACGCTACGACACTCGCGCAGGCGGAAGGCCCGTCGCCGACTGGAAAGGCGCAGGCAAGACCGGCGGAATCGGTTGGGTGGAAGTTGGAAGCCATGAACAGTAGGCCTTATTTATGCTTCTGATTCTGAAAGTGCTCATGGCTTCAAAGTGAGCTCTTCGTTGCCGACCAGGGCTGTTCTCTGTCTGCTATGGATCTACGTAGCGGGAGAACCATCTATACCTATAAAGGTGCGAGTCACGTTTCAGTTTATTTCCGTTCAAGCTTACACATCTGCTTCAGGCTTCGCTGGGGTGGTTTCATCTGCGGCATGTGCCGGATCATTTTTGGCCTCCACGTCAGACGATCGTTTTCTGCGGCTGCATTCGACGTTCGCTCCACCGTCCGAGGTCGGTCAGCAGCAAGATCATAAAGGCGAAGTCCTAAGCAAGGTGTACATGAAAGTTGTCCCCACAGTGGTTGCTTGGGACGGTTTGACAGAACCTAAAGACATCCGCCCTGCAGAAGGCGACGAAGATGCAGCAGATGATATCTGGGAGACAATGCAGGCAGTTGATAGCGAAACCGAAGACAGGGGTTCCCTGCGCAAGGAGAAGAGAACAAAAATGATGTAGCTAGGATGTGAGCAAAAAAGTACACTATTCAGATTGCAGCATGACTTATAAACTGTCGCGCATGCCCCATATTACCGACCGCCGATCTCGCTCTTCCACGTGTGTGCCTTTTCGAAGCCGTTCTTGGCGAACTGGTAGTCGATAAGGGTCTTATGAATCTCTTCACGCGAGGTCATTACGAACGGGCCGTACTGGACGACAGGCTGGTCGAGAGGCTCGGCAGCGGCCTGTGGATGGCTCGTCAGCCTGGCATGCATAGCAAAATTGGACACAATGAACACTCGCCAATACAAATTCCGTCCCCTCCTCGGTTGCTGTCAGTTGAACACCTGTCTCGCCGGATGCAGCAGAGAGAACAAGGGTGTTGAACGGTTGATGCGGCTTCTCTTCGGAGCCCACACGAAGCTTGCCACTCCAGCCGTAGAGGAATGTCGTCCAACCCTCCGCTGTATAGGCAAGTCGTGAGCGACGGCATCCGCCGTACTTTCTCGGGCGCAGCTTACGAATTTCCTGGAAAATTGATCCCGGCTTTTTGAAGATGACATGGAAGTACCAGCATCCACCCAGAGGGCGGACAGGGGATTCAACGCCGTGGCTCTTGCCGCTAATCACACGAATCTTCACAGGCCCGTCCTCTCCTTCAGGGAACGCCTCAGGGACTCTGTTGCAAGTATGTCAGATTGATTGAAACGAGCGATACCCTGGTGCATTCACCCTTCCGGAGAAAGCTCCTGATAAGATGGATCGACCATCTTGTACTGCTTCGGGAGGTCGACCCAGAGCTGCAAGCCACGAGGCTCCGGGATGCCAGGGCCTTGTACAGGCATTTCTGCGTGGATAACTGCGCAGAATATCGGCATGTGTTGCTATGCTCGAGACTTTCTCTCGGGACTTACTTCCTTTACCCTGCGATCCATCAGTCAGTTGAAAAACATCACGAATAGTAGTACATCGGTGATACGTACTGCACACATCCACTGGACACCGCCGGTCATAATGGTGCCTTTGTGTCCAGCAGAGTCTTCGTGGTTGCTTGACCTGGCGGGGACATGATGTTCGACGTAAGTGTGCGTAACCTGCGAGCTCCGCCGCTCAAACATACCCCTCAAGCATGTACGTGACGGTGGCCTGACCACGATGCGGGTGGTCCGGGAATCCCTAATGCGCCATGAGCACCACATTGACGTCAGATACCAAGTGCACTTACGGCACCCTTAGAGACATGGAAATGATCGAGCATGAGGAACGGGGTGACGTTCCTCAGCTGCGCCGAGCCAATGGACCGCCGGACGAGCGCGCCCGCCCCCTGTAGGCACACTGCTGTGAGTAGTGATATAATCGACGCTCATCGCACGTACCTCCTCGGTCTCGACGGCAAGTACAGTTTGAACGACCTTCCTAGACGTGGTCATAGCGGCGATGGTGCTAGTACTGGCGTTGAAGGCAGTAGAGGTTGACGAAAAGTTGGTCTTGATGGGCGACGGTTTCGCGAGACTTGTTTTATGGTGCGGGCGAGAGCAGCGAGGAACATGCTGGAACGATGCCCACATCCCGGCCTTATATAAGTAGCTGTAACTCAAGGGGCAAACTCCGCATGAACTTCATCGGTCAGCCTTTGCCCATTTTCGGACTGATCGGCGCACGCGGCGGCGGCGGGTTCTCGGCCTCCAAAATCGCGAAGCATCCGGGTGTAAGCACGCTGACGCCAATGCTCTCCGATCTAATGAGCACCTACTCGAGACAGCGAACATAGCAGCTAACTCCGCGTCAGAACCTCTCAGACCCGAATGTCACGTAATGTGGCACTTCAACTACTTGTGAGCCTATTCGTATGCTTCCAGAAATCTTACTAACTTGTAACAGGTGATACCTACGTCCTCCACTGCAAGTTCAGTTGATCATCCTGCCCACTTCGTCAACGCTGAACCGCTTTGCGACCAGACAATGCCTTACCTACCTGACGGTGCCACCATGCGGTCAATATATGCTCGGTCAGCCAAGATGGTCATAAATGAATTTCGTGATGTGTCAGCATGGTACATATGTACACGCATGCTACACGTAGCCTGTGCACCCCAACACAATGCTGTTACAGAGACTCGAAGAACTTTTGCCACTTCGTCTGTGGGCCTTTTGCCTCTTGCTCCCTGTTGAAGCGCTCCTCCTCCTCGTCAATTTCCCGCTTTCCAGTGATCAAGTCGACCTTCTCTGAGGGAATGAGCACCGAGCGGTAGTAGAACTTGTATCCGCCGTAGAAGAGTGCGAAGGTTGGGAGCGCGATATATGACGTCACGAACGTGTCTTTCGTGAAGGGGATGAATGTGTCAAAGCCTGTATAAGTGGTTAGACATCGTAGCATTGGGCTTGAGGAGTTGTGACGTACCCTTGAAGATGGTGATGATGGCGGTCGAGATAAGAGCGAACCAAGAACCCCAAGGCTGGAAGGGTGCCTTGTAGGGCAAGTCGTCGCGTGACATGCCCTGCGCCTTCAACGCCTTCATAAAGCGACTGATAGAGGCTTGGTCAGCATTTGCATTTCCAATAAATTGAAATACTCACATGTGCGTGTAGCAGATACACATCCAAGTAATGGCACCAAAGGTCGACACCAGGTTCACGAACCATCCGAAGACTACAGATATCATCAGTGACACCGAAATTGCCGGTTGTAAAGTTGACTGACCCTTGGAACTGCCCGCAGACACGTTCAAGAAAACGAGCGCGCAGAATGCTGTACACAGGAGGAGCGCAGGGATTGGTACGCCCGTCCGGTTGACCTTCGCGAAGATCTTCGGGGCTTGCCCCTGGACGGCGAGACCGTAGAGGGTGCGGGTACCGATGTACAGATCCGAATTCGCCGCACTCAGCACGAACAACAGAATAGCGGCATTGATGATGTGATTCAAGACCTTAATGCCGGCGAGCGTCGTCGCTGTCCCCTCGAGTGAGCGAATGTGGTCGCACCCAAATGGGAGACCTCGTACCAACAACAAACGGCGAAGCTGCAGCGCCGGCTTTGGACTTGCTTGCAATGAAGAGAGTCTGCAGATAAAGGTTCAGAGTGTTGGTACAGCTCTATGATACATATAAAATGTGCGCGTACGTTGTCTTCGTCCACGCTGGGGACGATCAGGGAGATGACGAACACGCCTCCAACATAGAAAACAAGGATACGGAAGAAGGTCCTCCGGATAGCGATGGGGATATTCTTGCGTGGGGCTTGCGCTTCACCGACGGTTACACCGATAAGCTCCGTGCCGATGTAAGCGAAGAGTGCATTGGTAAGGGTGCTCCAGAAGCCGAGGAATATAGCAAGGTGGTGGTCGTGGACCTTGGTACTGAGAAATTGGCCCGAGCCCATGGGGCCGTACGGGTGGTCCCAGTAGCGGAATCCAAGCCGGTCGTGCTTGGGATTGCCTCCCAGATCGATGATGATTCCCATCAGGAGCAAGCCAATGAGAGTTACGACCTTGATACTGCTGAACCAAAACTCGAGCTCGCCGAATACACGAACACCGAGAAGATTGACGAAGAAGACTTGAGAGAAACCGATCAACTCCGGCAGGTATACAAGCTGACGAGATCGTACTCACTGAAGGCGATGAAAATCACCATCCAGATCGCAATGTGCACCTTCTGGGTCCAGTACTGGATGACGACACCGGCAGCATTGATGTTGTTTGGTGTGACGATCAGGTACCTGCGCCGACCGCTCAGAACAGAGATCCCATGCCACTGTGTGCGCACTTACTTCAAAACATAGTTCCAGCCCAGCGCGAACCCGAACGCGGGATCCACGAAGCGTGTGCCATAACCAGGGAAACCCTTTTTGTGAGGGAGGTATGCCGCCATTTCACCCAGCGCGACCATGACCATGTAGCACACGACCCCGACGAAGGAATAGCCCAGGAAAATGCCCAGCGGACCACCGCGGACGAGCGCAGTGCCCGAACCGATGATGAGCCCAGTTCCAATCGCGCCTCCCAGCTATCCGCACCGAGAGCCAAGTATCAGGACCTCCGCATCGCGTGCCCGAACCCCGAGAACAGATGCACGCACCGCGATCATGGAAATCTGCCGCGCAGAGAGATCTCGGTGAAGACTGTGCTTCTCATCCGGGTCGACGAGAGTGTTCGGGTCGAGGCCGGCGTAGTAGGCGTCTTGGTTGCTGAAGTCGCTGCTCTCCCCGGATGCGCGCTTCTCCAGGTCGGCCATCGTGATTAGCGTGAGGAGGGGCGTCGTGTGCGTCGTCGCGGGAGGGATGTGCACAGCGACGAGGAGGAAGCACCGACGGGGGCGGCGGGGAAGGAGGGAGCACATGGTTGGAAGCTTTATACATACGCGCGCTGGCTTGGGGCGTCCAGGCGGATAGCGCGCTGCCCTGAGTGGTGTATCAAACTCTGTGGTATCCGTGCCCGACGTCTGCCAAGGAGCTGCGCGCTGTTTCGACGCCCGCCTATCGTTCTGACCTTTATCGTCCACGGCGCACGAACTCGCCGAGAGATGCCAAGCCATGAGGGGGGTGCCTTTGCTCATCGTGCGCTCAGCCACAGCGCAGCGCCAGTGAATTGTCAGAGGATGGGGTCAGGATGAGGCGTAGATTTGTAGCGGCATTGGCGGAGAATAGGAGGACATGGAGGACATGTACAGGAAGGAAAAACGAGGAGGCGGAAGTGCGCGAAACCCCACGCGCGAGATCGTCGATCACGATCGGCCGGTCCTGCTCTCGTTCATCACAGCTTGTGCTTCAGCTCCTTTCGTGCAATCTTCCCAAACCGCTCTCCAGGTATCCCAGTCGCCATCCGCTCCGCTTGCGCGTAGCTCTCCCGCAGATTAACTGCGTCCAGGTTGTGCTGGTCGCTCAGCCCCGCCCTGATCAGGCGCTTCACTCCCAGAACTGCCGAGCGGTCAAGGCCATCCATGTCTGCCAGCACCTGCGCGCGAACAGCCGCTTGGAAGGCTTCCACTGACTGCTCTGGGAATATCTGACTGTGGATCGCGGTTTCAGCATCAAAATTGCCAGACGCAAGACTCCGCACTCACTTCACGAATCCGCACTCTAGCAACTCCGTAGCTTCCTTCTTCTTTCCCCAAATGAGCACTTCATTAGCCTTGGACGCACCCACTGAGTAAAAATCAACCAGTCAATGCGTAATATGTACACCGTGGAGGGGGGGTATGACTCACTTCTGTTGCGGAACGACACACTGGAACCCGCTTCAGCAATGATACCTAGACACATCCGGTTAGCGGCCAACGACTACGCATATCTCGCTGGCGCTCTTACCCAGGAATGTGAAGGGGACAGAAAGCCATACTCCGGGAAGCGCATAGATGAAGTCAAAGTGCCCGAGAAAGGCTGTATCCCGGAGTAAATGACTTGTACTTCGCGCATGTAGGATACCGGACTAACCCGCCGCAATTCCTGTAACGTTCGTGGCATTAGCTGACATAGTGAGGTATATGAGATGGGTACTCGCCCATCACTGGTCCGTTCAAGGCGGCGACCAGGATCTTGGAATGAGTGTACAACTTTGGGAGGTTTACATTTGTCGTCAGCGTGCCGCATCCAGGTGTTGCACGTTTGAATCTCACCGCGTGGCTAACGTCTGTGTTCACAGGTGCAACTACGTTTGCGAAATAGTCGCGAAGGTCAACGTTTTCGGACATGTTGGCGGCGCTAGGCTCATTTAGCGTTTTTTTCACGCTAGTGCCGCTGTAGTCACGGAGCGCAATTTCTTGTCAGCATGGACTTTACGAATGTGCCATCCAGCGCACTCACGCGCAGAACCACTTTCCAGTAGCTGCATGATCATGAGTAATCTGAGTTTCTCATGACATGCGCTATGTATGCGTACCTTGCCAGACCGTCACAAGAACATCATCACGTAGGTCGACCTCTCTTAGATACTTCGCAAAGGCATTGTAATCTGCCGGTTTTGTCAGCCATCATGCTTCGAAACTCTAGGAGCCTCGTACCTTCTTTTTTTATGGCATTAAGGATTTTAGGATTGTTGAATGTGATGGTAGCAATACCATCAGCGACATGCAGCGTTACAGTCGACTCCATGATATATGTGATGTCAAAATGTGGGGTATTGGCTCGTCAAAGTCAATGTCGGAAGCGCTCGGCTCAGCTTTAAGCCTTCGCTGATGATGAGGCACTGGCGAGCGTAACACGAGGAGTACGAGAGCCTACAGAATCAAGCTGGTGCGGGGAGGGACGTACGCCACCCCCGCATCGTGGGGCTATAAAGAGCCTCACCCTGCCTTACCAGGCCGGCAACTTTCCGGTACCGGCGAGCCGGTCCTGTGGTGATGTATTAGCGCCCGGTGATTTGCGAGGTGGTCTCGGCGGCTAGCGCAAGTGGAGAGGGAGGACGGCTTGGGCCGGCTTGTCCGCTTTCGAACAACCACGATCTCATCTCTCGCGGACGAAAACGCGGTTTCCAGAATGGCAAACACTCTCGACATCCCCCTGCATGTCAAGTACATTCAATCCCTGGGCGAGGCAAGCTAAATGGACTTGACTTCATCACCTCACCTGACCAAAATATGAGCAGAACAAGGATGACCTGGTCTACCACATGACGGCTCACTTGCGCATGAATGCCGTCTTCTGGGGCTGGTCGCCCTCTGCGTGATGGGGCGCAAGGATGCTTTGGATCGCGATGCAATGATCGACTTCGTCATGAGTTGCTGGGACGAGGAAGCAGGTTGTCGCCATAATTGATTGTCGGACAACCTTGCTCACAACACTCCGCCAGGCGGGTTTGGGTCGCACCCAGACCACGATGCTCACCTGCTTTCCACCTTGAGCGCAATCCAAATATTGACCATCCAGGGAGCAACCGACCGCCTGGATGTTCCTCGCGTCACGAAGTGTAAGCCCATTGCATCCGGCATTCCATCATCACTACATTGTTCTTCGCAGTCATCTTGTCCCTCCAACAGGAATCGGGCATCTTTTCTGGGGATCAATGGGGCGAAATCGACACCCGCTTCCTTTTCTGTGCATTACTGGCCTTATCGCTGCTTGGCCGCTGCATGAGATAGACGTCGAGAAGACGGTCGGGTACCTCCGCAAGTGTAGGAACTTTGACGGCGGTTTTGGGGCGAGGGAAGGCGCTGAGAGTCATGCGGCTCAAGGTGCAGTCTTTGTGATAACGCACGCCATCCATCCTAACGAACTATCATCAGTTTACGTGTGCGTAGGGGCGCTCGCGCTGTTAGATCGGCTCGACGAGATCGATCAAGAGACCCTTGGATGGTGGCTTTCGGAACGACAACTCCCAAACGGTGGGCTGAACGGACGACCAGAGAAATTAGAGGACGTCTGCTACAGTTTTTGGGTGCTATCCTCGTTGTGCACGCTGAACAAGGTAGCATGGATAAACTCGGACAAACTGATCGAATTCATTCTGTCGGCGCAGGCAAGTGGGCCAAGGCTGTTGTGCGGCGTAGCGCTAAATTACTCATAGGACTTCGAGCACGGAGGTATTGCCGACAGACCTGGAGATCAGGCCGACGTTTTTCACACCAACTTTGGCCTCGCAGGTCAGTTGAATTGTGCTTGCGGTTTCGGTGGTGTGCTCACACTCTGCCAGGCCTGTCTCTGCTTGGCTACCCGGGGCTGGAGGATCTGGACCCGGTGTATTGCATGCCCGCGAGCTGATAGAGTCTCTCGGCCTTCGAAAGGGGTGGACTGCGCTTCCGCGACAAGCGTCGTGTATGTAGCCTGCAATGCAATGTATTCTTGTGGGAGTCCCCGTTTTAGGCAAGCGTCCGAGTCGCGGGCTCGGAGCCTGTGCGTAGGCGTGGCGTACCGGCGGACCGGGCGTCCCCGGGCGCACGTGGCGAGATCGGGTAATGGCTTCTGCTGGGTTGAGGTCTATCCCACCGTCGCCTTCCCTCGCCACCAACAAGCTTGTCGCTCTGTCTCTCCCGCCGTCCGCCGCTGTCGTCGCGCGGCCTTCGCCATGGACAACGCCTCCACCCCTCTCGCATCCGCCTCTCGTCTTGGAGATCTCCTCGCCCAGCTGCAGATACACCCGCCCGCCGACCAGTGGCCTCAGATCGAGTCGACCGCACAAAGCCTAGCCAACGAGCTTCGCACCAAGGACGGTTCGCTGCGTCCTCTCTGCTTCCTGTGTACTCTCTGCCCACGCACGCCTCTCCCCCCTCTGCAGTTGAACAGCAGACTGCGCTTGGGCAGACACTCCTCCCCCAGACTCTGAACTCGCTCCTCAAGGGGCTTCTTGTTGATCGCAGCGCGCTGGGATGCAAGGCCGCAGTCTTCGAGCTGCTCCGCGTTGCCGCGAACCTCTGCATGGACCACGGTGAGTGTCGCCCCTTCTTCCGCTGCGGCACGCCACATAACGGCTTCCCTGGTTTCCATAGACGAGAACCGCGGATATCTGCTCGAGGCGGGCTTCCCTCAAACTGTGGTCACTCTTCTGGTGGATACTGTGAATCCATCAAGCCGGCGCAACACACGCCGCACCCATGTCTATCCCGATCTGAAATTGTGAAGACTGCTATCGGGTTCTTGTTGAATGCGAGTGTTGGCTACGGTGAGTGCCCGTCTTGAATGCGCGAGCGCTCATCTAATCAACCGCTTAGATGCTGTCAAACAACGATTGGACTCCTTGGAGGCCGCCATGATCATCATGAAGCTTTCTGCGGCCATATACCCCACCGGCTCATGGCAGCATCCACCTCCGACCCCGGAAACCCCTCCGAAGACCTCGGAGAGAGCTGGAGTCTGCGCGCCACCACCGCGTCCTGGTCATGGAGAGCTATCGAAGAGCTGAGAGGTGACGATGGCAACCGTGAGTCCAATCAGCGCCTACAACCTTGTGCGGGAATAAGAATGATACATTCAGAACCTACGGGAGACATGTTTGGCCCGGACGCGCTACCAGTGCTCGTCTCCCAATTGCGGGGGTTCGTCCCTCCATACCCCACTCCACCGCCCCTCTTCGCAACTCCTGCATCTCGACGAACCTTCGTCCAGACCGACTTCGACATCTACGAACAGGTTTGTGGACTCATTGAGTCACTTTGTCTCGATGTCGACGACGTTCGACTATCGCTTGCTCGCGGCATGACATTCTCGGAAGACCACGGCATAAAGTGTCTCTCTGAAATGCTCGACTTTGTAGAAAGGGCGGACTACCCTTCATACTGGACATCGGAGGAGCGACCATCCAAGGAGAAGGGCTTCGATCTCGGCAAGGGCGCGATAGTGAAGGCCATCGTGGAAACTTCTGGAGACGAGATGAACATCGACATTCTGTGGGATGACTCTGAAGCGGATAAGCCGGGAGGAGAGTTTGTGAGCCGGATGGTGGCTTGGATTCATTCACACAAGGACCTCAAGACGTCAAGCAGGGACGACCTGCTCATCTGCGCTACTCTCAGCCTCGGTAACATCTGCCGACGAGGTGCGTGAGACACTCTACGCGGCAGGAGAGTTTCGCTCACACTGTTGACTGCCCATAGACGCTCATTCCACGGCAATCGTGAAAACACCAATCTCTCTCGCACCTGATTTGGCGTCCTTGCTCGAACCCGAGGTGGACCTCAAGGTAAAGCATGGAGCCATTGGGCTCCTGAAACACCTCGCGCAGTCGCAAGGCTGCAGGCCAGCCCTCGGCGAGGCCGGCGTGATCCAGCGCCTCGCCTCGTCGCAAATTTGGAGTGAAAGGGCAGACATGGTGGAAGTCATTCAGGTGGCTGCGATCGGCGTGGCCAAACACATGTGCAACGGGAGCAGTAAGCTTAAATCTAGCCTCATAGCCGGACCGTTGCTGACCGAGTCTCGGCCTCGGCTCCGTTCTCGGCTGCTCAGTCGACAACACGTTTGCACTAGTGCTCCCGGACGAGAGTGACTCGGCCATGCAGCAGATCCTCGCGCTCGTCCGGAGGTCAGACTCGATCACCGTCAAGAGCGAGGGCACCCGCGTGCTCGTGAACGCGACGAAATCGGTGTGGACGACGGATCCCAAGACGCTCGACGCCGAGCACGCTCAGAGGCGGGAGGCGTGTATGAAGGCGCTGGCGCAAGAACCGTGCGTGAGCGCGTTGGCCAGGCTGGTTGGGAGGAGCAAGCGGTATCCTACCCTCGTCAATGAGGGCGTTGTGGCGCTGTCCCTGATCAGCACTTACCCCAGCGGAGGTACGGAGTGTCTCTCCCGCGCGCGCAGCTTCCCCGCATTCATTTTCCCCTTCTGACTCTCATTTCTCTGCCTTTGCTTTGCGGGGCTTTTTCTCTCGGACCGCCGTCTTCGCAGGCACGCTCGTTTTGGACTCATTGCTCAACCCCCTTCCGACGGAGGCCGTGCGTGCGACGACGCAGCCGCCCATGTCAGCGGTCTCCGCCACGGAGAACTCGCCGACGGTGGGCCCACGCCGCGCGCTGGACATGATCACGGCCGTGCTGCGCGAAAGCGCGGGACCAAAAGTGCCGCCAGAGGTGCGGGCGAACGCGTGCGCGTTGCTCGGCCACCTCGGTCGCAAGGGTGTTGTCGCGGAGAACCGGGCGACGGACCTGGCGCGGATGAAGGACGCAACGCGGGAGGTTGTGGAGGCGCTCGCGCGAGACGAGGACCAGGGAAATGGACGGGTCGCGGCGAGTGGGAAGCGTGCGTTGGAGGCATGGGGGCCGTGAGCAGGTGGAGGCAGAAGTCGTCGATAGTTTGGGCGACAGAGAGGGGCAGGCTAGACTGGTGGGCGTGTTGGATCCGAGGGAGCGAGAAGTGTAGGAATCAGTTGTACATCTTGGTCGTATGCTCATGCTTTCTGCGCGCTGTCCTGCGAGATGTTCGCGACTGGATTGGGCGCACTCCGATGGCGCCGGCCTCGGGGCCCTCGGGCCCGGTATCTCGGATGGCCTGGAAGATGTGGCAAACGTGGCCCTGCGTGGCCCGTCCTCCGCCGTGTCCCGCCCTCCGCTCATTGCCCTCGCTCTCCTCTGGGATGCTCTCCGTCTAACTCGCCGCCGCCGACCACTCTCCACCGTCCGTTTACCGCCAGGATGGGGTGCGTTCTCAGCCACTTCGCATCCGACGCCGCCCTCGTCCCCAAGCTCTGGTTCGGTGCGCAGCCCGCAACATTGACTGTGCGGTCGCTCGAGCACCGCAAAACGACAGAAGAAGTCTCGCTCGAGGAGTTCATTGCTCGCCGGGTGCCGTCGCTGCACCAGCCCTTCCGACCCGCGTGGTGGCTAAACAAGTACGTCGGACCGCGTAGCCAGCCTTCGCGCGGATCCCCGGGGTGCAAAATGAAAGCTGACGGCACGGGCCCGGATCCACAGCGGCCACCTCCAGACCGCGTACTGCGTCATCGGCGACTTTTCGACCATCGACAAGGTCGAGTACGACAGGTGAGCGGCCCCCGCTGCCTCTTCCCGTCCCGGCCTGCGTTTCGGACCCTACACGCCTCTCCCGGCCACCAGGAAGCTCATCCGCACTCTCGACGGCGGCACCATGTGAGCCCCCTCCGCCCCTCCGCGCCCGACCTACGGGCTGATCCCGATTCCTCCAGCGGGCTAGACTTTACGCCCCCCGCGGACGAGCGCACGCTCCCAGACGACACACCGATCGTCGTCGTCCTACACGGGCTCACCGGAGGTGCGGACGCCTCTGCCTCGGAGTCCCGGAAGTCGGTGCGGCAGACATACCAGCCCGCGTGGTCATGCGGCTACACAGCACTGCGTGTCTCTCCTCCTTCCTGTTTCTGCTCGACGTGATCGCCCCACACGACCGCGCGCAGTGAGAGGGAAGGGAGTCTTACGTCGGAGCGCAGTGCTGGTGCGTCGCTGGCCCTGGTACGCCCTGCGTTCTAGAGTGCGCGGGCTGCTGCGTCTGCCACCGCGTCCCATACTCCTGTGACGCGTCGCAATGTGCTTATTTCCCTCCCCTTCCTTGCCGGCAGGCTCACACGAGTCGTATGTGCGATCCATCTTGGCCCCCACCTGCACGCCTGTCGAGCAAGGTGGTCTGGGGTACCGGGCGGTCGTCATGAACTTTCGCGGGTGTGAGTGCTCTTCCCCCGCCTTTCTCGCTCCTCCCCGACCCGGGCTACGCACTCTTCTGCGTGCTGCCTCGTGATGCAGGGCGGCGCAGGCTCGCTGACAGTGTCTCTTCTCGACCCGCAGGTGCGGGTGTCCCGCTGACGAGCCCCCAGCTGTACTCGGGCCTGCATACCGAGGACATCCGCGTCTCCATATGGTATATACGCAAGCTCTACCCGCGGGCGCCGCTCATCGGCGTGGGCTTCTCGCTCGGCGCGAACGTGCTCACGCGCTACATCGCGCAGGAAGGGGACGACTGCCGGCTCCTCGCGGGCTGCGTGCTGGGCTGCGTGAGTCCACCCGCTCCGTCTGTGGTGGTGGTGGTGCCTAGTGCCACCGCCTGTGTACACCGTGCTCACCCGCCCTGCCCCGTGCTCGATCGCCCACCCCAGCCATGGGACCTCTCGCGGTCCACTGACCGGTGCGTGTCTGCCGCCCGCGCGCGCTCGTCCACGTTCCCCGGACGGCGGAGACTCATAGCGTTTCTGCATTTGGGTTTAGGCTGGAGGGCGGCCTCCTCGGCCGCTACGTCTATTCGCCCGCCATGGCCCAGAACCTGCAGAAACTCATGACCCGCCACCTCGACGCAAAAGAACGGTTTCCGGACTCGGCGCTCGCCCAGGCGCTCGACGAGCCGGACGTGCTCACCAGACGCATGCAGCTCATCGACTTCGACGAACGGCTCACCCGGATTATCGGCGGCTCGTCCCCGCCGTTCCCGCTCCCGTCCGCGCGGGACTACTACAGGGCGGGCTCGAGCCACAACCTGCTCGACGCCATCCGGGTCCCGTTCCTCTCGCTCGGGGCGGCGGACGACCCGGTGGCGAGCAACACGCCGATCGGGATGGCGAAGAGCGGGTTCGTGGTCCTCGCGGAGACCATGGGCGGAGGGCACCTGGGCTGGTTCGAGGCGAACGGGCGTTTCGGGAGGCTCGAGCGCTGGCTGCGGAAGCCAGTCGTGGAGTGGATACGGGCGATCGGAGAGGACGTGCTCGTGGAGGGGCAGCGTGGCCGGCCGCTGCACGAGGTCGACGGCTTCTCAAGGAGTTGGCCGCGACGACATAGGCTGCCAGGAGATCGGTGGCGGCGGACATGTTGTCGGCGTGGAGGGCGAGGGCGGGCTCCTCAAGGGACTCTAGAGCGTGGTGCGACCCCGTGTTCAGGATAATACTCTAGACTACAACATGCGCGGACAGTGTACACGGTAAATGTTACAGATCGCTTCACGGTGGTATGCTTCGTCTTCATCAGTCGCTGTCGCTGAACGTCACCCGGTCCTCGTCCTCGTCCTCTTCCTCGACGGCGTGGCGGTCGTACTGGCTGACGTCGACCGAGACCGCGTCCTCGTCGTTGAGGTTCTCGTCCATGATGGCTAGGTTCCGGTCGCGCTCGAAAAGATGGCGGCCTTTGGGGAGATAAGCGATCTATGAAGCACACGAGGACGCGATCGGGCTCACCGGTCGGGCGCGTGTGCGACTTTTTGTATTCCTCCCTGTCCTTCGAGGCAAGACCCTTGAGCTTTTCCTCCTCCTCACGCGCGCGCTTGACGGCCACCTCCCTGTCGAACTTGATTTTCCATGCTTTGAAGGACTCGATCGTGACCGGCGTCCCGCGCGTCCTGGCCTCCTCTGCCTGCACCCAAAGCCAATCAGCACGCCGGCGGCTCGCGAGCCACGGAGACCGACCTCGAGGGCGCGCCGCTCCTTCTCCTCCTCCGCCTTCCGTAACCGCTCCTCTTTCTCGCGCATGAGCGCGGAGAGCCGCTCGCGCAGGTGCGCGACCAGCGTGAACGTCATGGCCATGCCCAGGTTTTCTTCACCCTGCGCACGCCCGGAGATGAGCTCAGGCCGTCACAGGTGTCGCGTCCCCCCGGAGCGCGCACGCACCACCGTCCTGAGTTCGTCGAGCAGGCCCTGTATGTCGCGCTCGTCCAGCTCGCCCTTCTCGACGTCCAAAGATAGGTTCGGCAGACCGTCGGGGTACTCTTCCGGGTACTCGACCGTGAAGACGAGCGCGACTGCGTGATCCTCAGCCGATGGACATCACGGGCACGGAGGGGTGGGGGGCAGACGGGGGGGTACTCACGCTCGTCCACGCCCTCGACGGGGTCGTCCGGTTCGACGTCGATGCGGATCTCCCTTTCCGACAGTTCTTTGCACGGGTCTCAGCGCTGCAGGACCCCGCGGCGGAGGCGGCAGACGGGACGCACTTGTGAGCTCGGTGGGGTAGATCGCCTCGAGCACCTGCGCGCGCGGTGAAACGCCGCCCGGATGCGGACCGCCGTACGGACGCACCTCGAATTCTTCCGCGAGCACTTCAGATGACATGGCGGGGGGAGAGGAACAGTGACAGGGAGAGAGAGCGGGTTGCGCTCTGGGTTGCGCGCTGAGCGTGGTCGTGGTCCGAGAGGCAGAGCTCGCCGCTCTGGAGCGCGCCGCCGGCGCGCGGATCGGCGGCGAGGGGTGACCGGGGGGCTTCGTGGTGCGGGCCGGGGCGGGCGCCCACGCTCGGCGCGTCGCGCTCGCCACGGTGGCCGTCCCCAACCGTCTCTCTTCCGCCTCCCGTGTCCTCTGCTTCGCCATGCTCGCCAGCGTCTCGTCCCTCCTGGGCCAGTGTGCCCGCCGGGCGGCCTTCCAAGCCCCAGCGTTGTCTCAGCTGCGCTCCCTTGCGACCTCCTCTGCTCTCTGGCAGACGCCGTCGAGCGTCCCCAACTCGAAGGCAGGCGACGCGAGGAGGGAGAACTCGTTCATCACCGAATTGAAGTGGGCGGCGATGCAGGAGCTCGTGAAGGTGCCGCAGACGACGAAGACGCCAGAGGAGATCTGGGCGAGCTGGGAGGCCGATCGGGTAGCCTACCTGCCGGATCCCCCGACGGTCTGGAGCGGTACGTACTCCAGCGCACACACCCCTCGCGCGCGCAGGTGCTGAGTGCTGGGCCGTCCAGGTCGCAGCATCCCGGTTTCCCATGACGGACGCATGCCGTTCGCGCTCATGTCCCGGATGGTCCAAAGAGCCAGCCTGCGGAGAACCTGGCGCGACTCCAAGTTCCACGTGCGCGCGGGCGAGGCGAGAAACCGCAGGCGGAGCACGCACTGGAGGAAGCTGTTCGCGCACGAGGTACGCCCCGTTTGCGTTCGCGGCCGTTCTCTCGGGAGAGTGGTGCTGAGGAGGGCCGTCGCAGGTGAGAAAGAAGGTGCAGCTCGTCCAGAAGATCCGCGTGCGGGAGGCGCACGCGCGGAAAGCTTGACGATCCCGGTCGCCCCAGGCTGCGTTCGCGGTGGACGCCGGGTACACGCCTCCCGGTCTGTAGCACGCTATGTACCTCGGCTACGCGAGATTATGCTCACTCCTCACACTGTCGATCGCTGATGGGCACACAAACGTGGCCCGCCCGGCGTGAGGGTGCAGCGGTGGCCGACGGAGGGGGACAGGGGCGGTTAGATTGAAGGTTTCAGATGCGTGAGCTGGTCGTGCGTGGGGCGCAGGAGGTGGAGCACGGTCTAGGTCGCCGTGCAGGCTGCAGGGATTGCACGGAACGGAAACCGGAGGTCGGCCCTCGGAAGGATCAAGGGGAGCCTGGGGGAGGTCGGAGGTATTTGGCTCTCGCGCTCGCGCCTGTGAAGGCTAATGTGTCGGGGAGCAGGCCCAAATGGTCGAAGGCGTGTCGGGGTCCAGATCGCAGGACGGGGGCAGAACATGTGTTGGCCACGCTCGCGGCCTCGTGGAGAGCACGCCGGGAGATACTCGAGAAATTATCAATCGCGCTTGAACGCCGTGGGCGTCGGTGTGAAGACTGTGCGGGGCAGGGCGCGCGGCTGGACTCGGCCCAAGGGGCGCAGCGGGTGGGTCGCTCGGGTGGCCGCGCGTGGAGGCTTCGCCCGGCGTACCGACGACCATCACCGCACCCCATTCAAATGGCGATCGAGCCTGAGGCGCCGCCGGGCGACTGGCGGCGAGCGCGCACCTCGCGCGAACGGGGGTCCGAGGCCTCACCGCCCAGGTTCTCCCGATGCACGAGAACGCACGCTGCGTGCATCCGAATCCGCCCCAGTACGCCTCGCTTCAGTCAAGTGATGGCGTTCGCCCGTACTTAAGCCCCCCGGTCCACCGCTGCCACCAACCAACCGCCTCTCCTCCTCTGCGCCCGGTTCTCCCCTCTCTCCTCTCCTCTCCTCTCCTCTCCTCATCTCTCCTATCCTCTCCTACTCGTACGCTCCTCTAGTCGCAATGTGCCATAACGTGAGTGCTCTCACCACCCGCGCCGCTCGCCGCGCTCACACCCACCCAGGTTATCGACGGCCGGCTGCACCTCACCTGCCAGCACTTCATCCCCATGTCCACCCGCCAGCAGGACTGTCTCCGGCCAAACTGCCTCTTCAGCAGGAACCACGCCCACCCAGTCGGTGAGTGTCGCGCTCGCTGTGGCCGCTGTGGCCGGCTCGGCCTGCGGAAAGCCTGTTTGCTTTCCTTTTGCTCGCGCCATTGCGTCATTAGCCCCGACTTGTGCTGATCTGCGCGTCCCCAGGCTGCCGGTCCACCTCGTGCGCGCGGATGATGCAGCAGCCCCAGCGGAACCCCATCAGGATCAGCGAGAGCATCTGCGCGGACTGCATCATGCGCGGCGGGGGTCGAGGGGTCCTCGGCTGCACCTGAGCGACTTCCGTCACCGCACGCGCCGCCACCCGTCTCCTCTTTCGCCATCTTCTTTCCCGACGCGTTTATACTCCCACAACCCCCTTGCACGACCTCGAGTACGAGGCCCCTCCTTGGCGTCGATGGCGAAGTACCGTATCGTTAGCGCAGGCGCCGCATAATCATGCTCTCGTAGTTACCCGTCGGACACTGTTGTATATCTATTCCCCGCACCGCACCGCACCACACGCCCTACCTAATATGTACCCCTATACCAAACACCTTACGCCACAATATGATTGCCTCCGTCACCGCGCTACTGCCCCCGTTCCGACAGCACGGCGCTTGGACCTGCAAATGAGCGTTCGCGCGTCGTCAGCTGAACAACAGCCCCCGCCGCAGCCTCCCCCATCCCCTGCGGCACCAGCACTTCCGCCCGGATCAGAGGACCTCCGCTCTGAAAGAACGAAAGAACGCCCCGAAGCCTCTTTGCCTGCCTGCTCCGGCACGCCCGCGGAGCGCAAGGAGGACGGAAGAAGCCAGAGACGGCCCGAGGGGCATCGATGAAACACGACCGACCCGTCCTCCGTCCCTCCGTCCCATGTCCATGTCCGGGCCCATCGTCCCGCGAAGCTTTACCGGGCCTCGACGGCACGCTCGAAGTTGGGCCCACCGAGCCGCGCGTCGAGAAGCGCCCCGCACGTGTGCCCGGCGGGCGTGGCGCCGCGAACGCGAAACCAGACGATGGCCGCCTCCGCGGCCTCCCTCCGGGGCGTCACCGCGTGAGCACTGGAGTACTGAATGGCAGGGGCTGCCTAGCAGGGGCAGGCAGGCCAGGGCCGCGCGTGTGCGCCGCACCGTGGCGGCGGCGGCCGACCGTGTCGATGCGCTTCGGTGGTGAAGGGTTGGGACGTGCAGCAGATGATGGCGGGGCGACCGCCCGCCACCCCGTGCGTACGGTGCGTTCGGCGAGGGCGAACAGAAGGCTCGGAGGCTCGCCGACGCGTCGGACGTCGCATGGGTTCGGGGAAGCCGCAGCCTGGCGGGGCGGGTGTGGCGGCGCCTCCGCTGGACGTGCACGACGGTGCCCTGTGGAGGGACGATCAACTCCCGGGGGCAGGGCCACGGCGGCTTCGGCTCGTCGTAGCCGGGGACTGGACGCGGGTGCGTGCAGGCAGCGTTCCGCGTGGCGGTCTGCCGAGATATCGTAGGTGCGGGGGCGCGAGCTGGGCCCGACATACGGTCCCTGAATGTGCGGCGGCGATTAGAGCTATTGCAAGAAATGTTCGCTGGCGTGGGGCATGGGAAACGGCCTGTCATCGAAGTGCTGAGCAGATGTGTTGCACCTGACGATACTAGAGTCTTCAAGCGAGACCATCGCGAAAGCGTGTCCGATGGCGGCAATTGTGACGACTCGTCGAGGCGCAGGCGGCGACAATTCAGATAAGAACATGCGTCTCGCACTGCTCTGTACGGGGAGGCTTTAGACAAAGCAGAGCTGTTACAATACTTGCAAGAGATGTGAGAAGGCACTTATTGGAGGAAACTGTTGTAGATGTGGCGTTGAGCGGCGTGCAAAGACCGATTGTACCGTACGAAAGATTTTGAAGAGCGATTTCAACGCGTTGTCGGTGTAGGCGACGGTGTGAAGACAGAAGAGAGCAAGCGGCAGGCTCACTCGAAGGGCGACCGTGTACGGATGCACATGGAGTGACCGTGTGCACTCGGAGTCACGGGACAGTGACAGGACGCGTCAGAAACCGCGGCCCTTTTGGGCGTCTGTCGTCCTTGTCCTCTCTCAGAGACGTTATTGTCTCCTGCGACCTTCTCTGCTCGTCCTTATAATTGCATCACTGCCCCTTGCGTTTGCTGTCGCCATGCAACCTAGAGGAAGCTTGTCGAATCCGCGAGCGATCCTCTATATATCGCCATAATGGTGGATCCCTTACTTTGCATCCCTGTCCCATCTCCTCCACAACTCCTGCACCATGGAATGGCTTGCCGGCACTGCGGGTCGGTGGTTGGGCGTGCCGCAGAGGCCGTCCGCTACATCAGTGGCTCCTCTCGAGTTCAGGACAACCTTCGCGCATATGCCCAACGCGCCATCCTTCCCGTAATGTATGCTCCAAGAGACCTCTTTCCCACAGATGTGTACAGCACACGCCCCGGACACCTACAAAAATCCCAACCAGTGGGCTTAAAACAATCGCTCGTATCGGAGACACGTTCTGTGAGAAGCGGCTCGGTGTACGTCTTTCCACCCTCTTTGCGCCGTTGCGTTCCTCATTGCGTTTCAAGTTATCGACGAGGATGTTCCTATACGGGTTGCAGAAACTCCGAGCAGAGCGGTTGTCATCCTACTGTGCCGGCCCCGGCCTTCCAATCGTCCATCTCCCTCCCGCTGTGCCGAAGACCATAATTGAGTACGCTAGAGCGTCCCTTCGCCGCATTGCCCCATGAACTGATGTGTGCCGTGTCCCAGCGTTGCCCAATGGGTCAAGCACTATCCACTCTGCACTGTGGGACGCATGATGCATATGGCATTCCCCGAAACGGCATTATATCGTATTGAAGAATACACCGACATCATGCCGTCCGAACACGAACATCTCCGGATCATGTTCTGGTCCAACAACCCCAACAAACGTCAGCCTTTAGACGTTCGATCCTCCAGCGTTGCTGTCTTCGTGCAGCCGCCATGGATCGTGAGCAATGATAATTTGGAAGAATTTGCGTCTACTGTGCACGTACGTGCTAGCCTCACTGCTGTTTTCCCTCAATCTGACTCCGCCTCTCCAGATACCATCGATTGATATCCAGAACGTGAGGCCGATACGCCGACACAAACTTTGGACGAAGATTTACGGAGTCTGTTTGACGACCGGCACGCATTGGTTCGTCATGACCACCTACTGGGGCTGGGTATTCGGCGCATTCTCTGAGCGTACGTAAATACCACCTTGCCTGGTATTTCACACTTCTCATCCTCGATTGTGATCCAGAGTACACGTCTGCCTGGGTATCAGATGTCATTCGTTACGACGCTGAAGACCCGACCATCGTGGAGTGCCTATTCTTCTGGCTCGCGTGCGCCACTCTCAAGCAGCAGCCGCGAAACGCCTGGAGCATCCCTCAGGTTAGTGGCGAGAATGTAGGTGCAAAGATATGCCTGCGCCCGGCCACCCTCCGTAGCCTTTGTTACGATACCAGGGGGGATTTCAAGAAGCACGTCTTCTCCGCGCTGCAGTCGATCTTTCTCTCCGTTCCCACCGTTCAGGATGGTTCTCACGATTCCCTCGCTCATGTAGGTCTTGGAGCCTATTCGTTTCAGCGACTTTGAACGCTTAAACTATGGAGCAGACAACGACATCGCCGACGACGAACGCATGTCTGTGAGAGATGATTTGGATGACGACGTGGATATACCCATTGGCGACTGGGATACCGACAGCAACGGTGAGTTCTTCGTTCAGCGAGGACATGGGCGCCGCTGACTGGAAGCGGCGTTGTCGGCACGTCATATCAGCCTCAGCTGAACGTGGTTCTGTTGCGGACGGCGCTGAAGACGACGACGACGATACTCATACTGTCATGATGGGCGCGTACGACGACGACGAGAACGAGGTTTCCCGTCGTCAGCCCGAAGAGCTCGCCACGGCGCGCATCAAGAGATGGGCTCCAACCATCAGAGACCTACCAAGGCTCAATATCCGGACGGGCTCTCCCGCGCTGACGGAATTCACAGACCTGACCAAGACGACGAAGTCGTCGAATGTGTCAGTCGTCCGAGACTACGTCGACAGCGATGCCTACCCTGGGACGGAGGAGCTCTTTATCGGCGATTACCTCGGCGGAAGCCCCGACTTTGACTATGAGGGAATGTCAGGGTAATCGTTTCACTGGCTAGACCTTCCGCTCATGATCTCCGCTCATGCAATCCCAATTTGCTGTCGCGCCCCATCTATCGCTTTCCTCACATATTGCTATGCATGCTACCTGTAACCTCACGCTCTTGTCTTTTGGGACTATGCTGTACTATACGTTGTGCTTTCATCACCTCCTCGCTTTCAATAGATGCTACTTTACACACTGTAACAATATACTCACTTTCCCCACTCAGCTCATAAATGCTTGAGCTTCCTTTGCTTTACGTAGCCCAATTCCTGGAGGTCGGCGCTTACTCGAGACGCCACCGTGACGACAGAATTGAGTACGTTCGGGGCGGCTGTGACAGGACGCGTCTTCCCGAGCAACCATCTGAAGGGCCAGCAGAGCTCCCGACCACCACGTCGACATTCCGTAGCCCATACCACTACGCACGACATCTTGATTGGCAAGATGGCTGCGGCAACACTCGCTGCAGAGTCCACATCGCAGTGGTTGTTCCCTGTGTCTGCACTCTATCAAACGCCCAGTCGCGTCGCGTCTAACATTCCGCTCGAGAAGGAGCTCTACGACCGCAGTCGAGGTGTCGAGTTCCTCTACCGCCTGGGTGTTTCTCTCCTCCTGTAGGTCAAGTAGTGCTCATTATCGTCGTCAACGTGCTGAAGCCATCGATGACAGGCCATCCTCTGCCATGTACACTGCCGCCACATGGTTTCATCGTTTCTATATGCGGTATTCAATGGACGATTACCATCGACAGGTGTTTTTGGATCTCTCTACTATAAAAATTGTATATATGAACTTATGTCTATCGCCACGTAGGACGTCGCCGCGACGTGCATATTCCTCGCAACCAAAACAGAGGAGTGCGGCCGGAAGCTTCGCGATGTCGCCAAGGTTTTCTGTTCCAAGGTGTCCAATCAACACATCAACCAGGTAGCAGATGACAGCAAAGTACTTTCCGTGAACTTATGCATGCCCGTTATGACAACTTACCGCGAGCTCTTCCAGGAAGTTGAGGAATGCCAGAATAGCATTTTGTTCGTAGAAGAGGTCCTGCTGGAGGGCCTCTGCTTCGATTTCGTGGTCGACAATCCCCAATCGGACCTCATCGACCTGTATGCAGCACACCCAGCGAATACCCCAATAGAAGACTGCGCCTGGTCCATCGCCAACGACTCGTCAGTCCCGCGGACCGCTCTGCGCCCCACATGCCGCCCGCTGACCCGCGACGCCCAGATTCCGCACACCGCTCTGCATCCTGTTCCCGCCACGCATCATCGCCGCCGCGTGCTACGTCCTCGCCGAGCACGCCGTCGAGGGCCCGCTCGCCGCGCCCATCGACCCGCGCCTCGCCTCGCCCGCGCCCTCGGCGTCGCTCCCCACCCCGCCCTCGCACAAGGCCTCGCCCGGCGGCCCCCGCCGCGCCATCGAGTTCTTCAGCTTCTCGCCCGCCGAGCTCGCAAACGTCGCCGGTGAGCCCCCTCGATCCGCCCCCCTCTCGCGTCCGCGTGGGCCTGACCGCGTTCCTGTTCCTTCGCCCCCGCTGTCCCTCCCCCTCCCCCTCTGCCCGGATAACCCACACGCCCCGCTTCTCCGGCCCCCGGGCCCGCGCCACAGACGCGATCGGAATCCTGCTCGAGTACTACGGCGCGCAGGACCAGCGCGGCTCGGGCGACTGGCTCGCCTCGGTCGCCTCGGTGCGTCCTGCCGGACACGTTCGCGCGCCCGGGCCCGCGGTCGGTGTGTCGGTCGGCTGACGTCCGTCTCTCCCGCCGCAGATTCGCCCGCCGCAGAGCGCCGCCCGCCGGGAGGCGCTCTACAAGCCGTTCGTGCAGGTCACACAGTTGGCGGGGTCCTCGCTGAACGCGCCTCCACCGCCGCGGTGAGCCCCGCGGACATGAGCCGCCGTCGGAGGGTGGGCGTAGGGGGAGGAGGGGTTGCGCCCCGTTATGGTTTGTGTTGTCGCCAAGGGTCCGGATGGTCGTCGAGAGGGTGAGAGGGGTTTGTGTCGTGATGGTTGCGCTGGAGCACCGTCCTCAGATACGTCGGTGAGGAACGGTGCGCTGGGGATAGGCTGGGGGTCCGGAGAAGTCGTCCAGAGTTCGTAATCCGTCGTGCATTCGCCGCATGCTCATCGTTCTGCTATCGCGCAAGATATTATATCATACGTTCATATTGTACAGTACTTTCCGATCTATCTCACCGTCGGACGTCATGACGCCCGCGCGACATTAACGAGATTCATGATCCATGCGCGGGCGGGACGCCGCGGCGTCAGCGATAGGCCGTGCTACGGCGCGCGGCGTCGTGAGAGCGGGCGCAACAGTTACAGCTCTATCGTCTCCTTGTGTTTGAACTTCTTCCCTGCACGTTCTGCGGCTCGGTAGCAGAAGTGGTTCCCGTAGAGCTCGAACTCGATATGGGGCATGTCGAGGATCGTCGTCGCGGGCCAGGGGAAGACGCGGAGGAAGAGCTCCGGTAGCATACAGCGGGACGGAAAACGCGAAGACGCTGTTTTGCTTCGGGAGCACTGTAGGAGAGTATGTCAAAAGACATGAGGCGTGCGGACGCGTGACAAAGAGGGAGGGGAGAGAGACGGACTTTTGAGCGCATCCTTCTGGGTGATCACCTTGAACGCGTTTCGGTCTCGTGCACGACGATGCCCGAGAGACCGACGAGGCACGGATTCTTGCTCCGCCGCACTGGGGAGAGCAGAGCAGCAGGATAAGTCAGAAGAGCCAATGCGGCGGCGCGCGCGCGCGAACTGTGGAGCACGTACCGATCACGAAGGAGCCGTGGAAGTCGGCCTTGACGAGCTTGGCGTGCATGCCCGCCGCGCCTGGCATCGCGGCCGCAGCGGCGGCGTGGCGGGGCCACGGTCTGGCGGCGCGGTGGCGATAGGGCGAGGAGCTCGGACATGTAACCCAGCCAGAGCGAGTGCAGCGGCACGAAGAGCGCGAACCTTGGAGAGCGGGCAGACGGGCAGAGAGGGACATCAGCGTTGAACACGCGCGCAGCCCGCCCCGGGCATCCGAGCCAGTCCGCACTTTGTCTCCGCCCCTCCAGCTTCCACGCGCCGCGCCGCCTGCGCCCGGTATCGCTCGGCCCTCCGGTCGCGGTCGCTATCGGGTGGGCGGCGGCGGGAGCGGTGGCGCGGGCGGCGCGTTTCTGGGCGCGGACCTTCTTCGCCCGGCTCTCGCGTGCGGGGTTCTCGAGTAGGATCTGGCGGCCTTGGACGCGGCTGGCGTAGGTCTGCGAAGGATCTGAGGAGGCTGTGAGGTTGCGCTTGACGTAAGTGGGCGTGAACGGCGAAGAGGTGTCGAGCTTCAGTCGCTGGTTCTGGCGCGGCGATGAGTCGCAGCTCTCGGGGGAAGTTGGTGCGCAGCGGAGGCGGTCTTACGTTAATGAGCGGCAGGCCGGCGTAGATGTCCCGCTGGTCGGACTGGGATGCACGGCTGGGGGCGGAGGGGGCAGCCATGGGGCATTGGACGTGCAGCGGTGGCTATTGGCGGAGAGAAAGAGGCAGAAAGACACGGTCTGCGGCAGGCGCACACAGACGCCCCCCGGGCACGTGGCGATCGCCAACCACACTCGCCGGCAAGCTCTTCTCCATGTCGCCCGTTGCCCGCCTTGTCCCTTCGCGGCCGTCCGCCTTCCTCCGCATGCGACCGGTACCCGTCGCGGACCCCGGTGGGCGACCTCCAGGAAGATAGCGCCGGTCGAGAAGCGCACCCCGTCGTCCACGCGAGGCTGTTGTCGCGCACGAGCCGCAAGCCGCTCCGACTGAGCAAGTGGGATCCCGGACCTGTGCTCCCCGTAGCGGCTCAAAAACTCGGCTGTTGCATGAGGCAGCTGCGTCCCGAGGAATGCCTGTTGCCCGATCGCCCAAGCGCGCTGCCCGCATCTCGGTATGTTTTCATCGATAAGTGCGTTCCTGCGAATCGTTCATCCCATTTTCATCAGGCTCCTCCAGATGCGCTCTTCCTCAGCTCGGCTACAATGCTCCCGTCTGGTAGCCGACTGCCGCAGACGGTCGTCGGTCGTCATTGTCAGGACCCTGGCCTCTCACTTCGCTGGTCAAAATTTGTGTCCTGCCTCATTGAACTCCGATCGTTAGGCCGTCCAACATCCGACGGCAGCCCGTGTGGATGCGCGCCGTAGACGAAAGCTGAGGATCCGTGAGGTTCGCCAGGGGAGGTCGATTTAATGCTTTCCATATATGAAGGTGGGCTCGTGATACTGCACACGACTATGATCTGATTACATGAAAGCATGCTCCATCCACGCTCATTTCTTCCTTGCCGCCCACCACGCACAGAACCGCTGGCGCCGGCTGCGTTATCGCCTCCGTCATCTCGCCGCAAATCGACGCACTCGCACACCGCGTGCCAGATTCGGCAAGCTTCGCGGGCGGAACCCAGTCGCTCGAGCTCGACGTCAACCTGCGCCCTGGACGACACACAGCTAGTAGTCGGCCGCGTCAATCTGGGTTCCCGGCGTGCGGACGCAGTGGGAGAGTCCGGATAAGCCCCTCTGGACAACTGCAGGTGGACACCGGACGGGCTTCCCGCCTGCTCGGCGTTCCGACGGGCCTCTCGCGTGCGCGCGTACGTCTTCGTCGCGCCCCGGACTGCCGCCGAGGCTGATTTCCCGCCCGCCGGGCTCTGGCTAGCAGGGTGGTCGCGCGTCCAAGCACGACCGTCCGCACGCACTCGCCCATCTAAACGTGCTTCTCGCTCGGGACGACCGCCCGCCCCCGACACACGTGTTGCGCGCGGACGCATTTCGAGGTCGTGGCGCAGCGGGCGCCGTCTCCCACTCTCGTCGGGTCCGAGGCTCGCGCGGGTCGGCGAGCACGGTTACGACCACAGCACGCGGCTGAAGCTACCGAGATTCTTTCGCCACACGCGCGCCCGGGAACAGCCAGCACGGCGACGGACGCTCGGAGCTGGAGGCTCTGCAGGTCGCTGCTCAGATCAAGACCGGAGGATGCGCTCTGGACCGCGCGCGCGCACACACCCGCCCTCTCGCGGCCACCCAGTAGGAGCTCGGGGCCATATCCGCAATCCATGGACGCACCTGAGCGTCTGTGCTGCGCGCCTGCGTCCCGATCCCGCGCCAGCAACGTTTGCTTCGCGGACCCTGATTGTCACGCGCACGCTCCCACGTGCCTCCCTTTCCCCACGGCCCGGGACGCGCTCGTGCGGATGTGCGGCCCGGCGCGCTTCGCCGCCCGGATTCATTCACCCGGAGGAACACTGCTCATCCGGACGCGCGCGAGCTCTTCAGCGTCGCCGTCGCGGACGCGGACGCAGTGCGCGCGACCGGTGGCCTATGTGCGCCCCGCGCCCCAATGTCAGGACGTGCTCGTGCTCCGGGCGCAGAAGGCATTTGGGGAGCGGCGTGCTGCACCGTAACAATACGCGCGGCTGCCGCACGTGTGGCGCGTGTGGTCCTCAGACCTCGGGGTTCCTTCCTCGGGGATGCGAGGCCTGGCACGACGCACGCTCTTGCGCGCACTCGGACGTAGCATCGCTGCTGGCGTTCCACGCCCGCGCGCGCGGCGATCGAGAGTGCGATCAACGAGAGCTTCGATTCGGGTTCGTGTGCGAGACCATCCGGGCGTCATTAGGCGGGTACAATACAAACGGGGGGTGGGAACAAAGGGAAGAGTAGGCACAGTACAGTAAATTACGACAGCAACGGGACGAGCGGGGGCGCGGCGGGGCGTAGGATAGCGGTGCAGTGTACGAGCGTGGGGGCGCGACGGCGTGGGCGCGCGCGCGACAATCTATAGCGGCATCTAGGCACGGTCACGGCCCATTTGAACGCAGACGGGGCAGAACGCGTCCATGACCGGGTCTGGCGCGTCGAGGGTCAGGCGGCACGGAGAACGCGGAGGAGAGAGGGACGCACTGTACTGCTGGGGGAACTGGCGGCTGATAAGCGGCGCGGCGCGCAGGAAAGAAGCGGCGAACGCGCGGTGAGCAAGCGGTGTGTGCACGGGCGCGCGGGCGCGCGCGTCCCCGCTGCGTAGGCCCCCCCCCTCAATCCCCGCGCACCCACCCCCGCGGGGCACGGACAAGGCGCGGACGCGGCGGGGAGCAGCGCGCAGGCGGGCGCGAGAGCGAGCGAGCGACGTACTACTGCCAGCACGTCTCCGTGCACCGGGGCGGGACGCAATTCTGGGATGGGTGGTGCTGAACTTGCAGTAGCGATCTTCGCATTGAATCTAGGCGCCGGTAAGGGGGTTGGGGGTGGGGAGAGGGGGGACGGGGACTGAATTGAGATCTGCAGGCGAGTAGGCAGCAGGGTCGCGCACCATCTCGTCGGGCTGCGGTTCCGGCGTTAGGCTCGTGGGCGCGGAGGGAAGAGAAGACGAGGGCGGAGACGCACCAGGTCGATGTAGTGGCCGCAGCGCTTGAAGTTGTTGCGGACGCTGTGGTGGGGCGTGTGAGCGCGCGGGAGGGGCGGGAAGCGGGGAGGGGACGGACCGACGCCAGTGGCACATGGTCGGGGAGGAGAGGTGGGGGAGAGAGGAAGAGTGATATGTACAGGCGGAGGAGGGCGGAGGAGAGTGTTTGAGTGGGCTGAGGAGAGTAGCCGGACGGAGGGCGTTTTATACCAAGGACGCGGTGGGCGCAATAGATCCGGCATGGTTTGCGGGAGGTGGCAGGGCGATATTCCCAAAGACGAGCCGGGACGATAACATCAGCTATCGGACCGCCTGGCTGGCGATGGCGCGACGGGCGAGCGCAGGGACGTATCAAGATGAAAGTCGGTCAGAGTGGAGGAAAGAGTGAACATGAGGTGTGCGGGCGTCTGGCGCGAGATGCGCGAGCGCGGAGGCGTGGCGATCGGCCTCTGTTCAGGGTTCGATGGAAAAGGGAAAAACAGATGTCAGCGGGGGGCGCGAGCGGAGGGATTGCTTTTTGCCCGCAGCACACTAAAGCTAAAACGTTAATCAGGCAGAGCCAGGGCGCGACAATGGGGCGAAAACCCGAGCAGGGGCGAGACCGCGGCGGGCGCGATGGGCGCGATGGGGCGCGCGGCGAGGCGCTGGGCTGGCGGGCGGCAAGGAGGGCGGCGGGTGCGGTGGCCACAGCGGGGGCGACGGCCGAGGGCGGTGGCCCGGAGCCCAAACGGGGAGCCCTCGAAGATCCCGAGGGCGAGAGGCAGCGACGGGGCATGACGTAGCGGATCGCACACAACGGGCAGCGGGCGTCACGCCGATTCGTCGACCAGGAACGCGCGGCGAGGGCGGGTCGCGGGCGGCTGCAGCGGGCGATCAAGATGCTATCGATGCTGGCGGGCGCGGCGGACGTGCAGAGCAGCCGCACGCGGGCGGCGCATGGTCGGGGGCAGGCAGCGCACGGGCCGTCGCCGCCAACGGCAGCGGGCGCGGCGGCGGGCAGCGCTGGCGGCCGCTCGGGGGACGGATGTGATCGTGCACGTGGGCGGAGAAACTGGAGTGGTGCCGTCCCATTTGCGAAGGTTATCGCGAACTGTATCGCGGTCGAGATCTGCCCGTCCAGGGCTTTCAACCGGCGAACATGCCCACCAAGTACTGGCTCACGCCCTCTGGCGTCAGAATCCCAACGTCCGAGAAGACGAGCGAGATCAGGTCCGGCCTGTGCTCCGAGTCAGCTCTGCGCCCCACCCAGCCGCCGTGGCCACCCACCGTGTGTAGTCCACCCCCGGGTTCTTCCTTATCTGCTCCGCCCCCATCCCACGCTCGCTGCTCGTCGAGCCCGATCCTACAACGCCAGAGCTCGTCCACCCGCAGCGCCCGTCGCCACTCCCTCCTGCCCACCTGACTGCCCCGTCGGAGTTGGGAACGACAGGATGCTCGGGTTGTCCGTCGGCAGATCGTACTGCGATAGCGGGAACAGGCGGTGGAATTTGTAGCTGCACCTCGAGGCTCAGCATCCGCCCCCTCGCGCGCAACCAGGTGGCCGACTTGCCTTTCTGCCAACGCGTAGAACGGCCGGTTCGCTGCCTTCGCGATGATGGCCATCTGGCTGCTCCCCACGTAGTTCACCAGCCCCCCGCTCTCGACGACCGCCTCGGAGCCGACAAGCACAAAGTCGACCCGATCCATCACGTACGCCACCGCCGAGTCCAGCACGACCGTGCACGGGATCCCGGCAGTGGTCAGCTTCTCGTACGTCGTCAACCTGTGCACAAGTAATCCATCAGCGTTCCGCTCCCTCGGCCCAGCGCTGCCCGGGCGTTACCCTAGTCCCTTGGGCCGCGATTCGGTTACGTATACGGATATACGTTTCGTCTTGTGAGCGTGGAGCAGTGCTTTGAGCACCACGCGCGAGTACGAGTGCGTGAGGATCTGCCCGCATCGGCCGATAAGCATCCACACGTGGGTCCCCTCCGGCCTCCGGCATGCGTAGTACGTACCACCGAGTCGTCCTTGATGAAGCCCAGCGCGAGCCGGGCGATTTTATCGCGGAAGGATATCGCCTCTCGGGCGTACGTTCGACCCTGCTCTTCCAGCTCCTTCTTGAGCTCTGCAAAATTCTCCACGGCGCAGAATGAGGATCGATAGGACAATATGAGCTGCCTGGCCGGAGACTCACGTCGGACTCGTGGGGGAAGAGGGTGACGAATGCGATGAAGAGCTCGCAGCCGGCATTGAGGCTGATCGGGTTGCGAGAACGCCTCTTGAGCTCCTCCGCGCCGTCGTTGAGGGCTTGCACCAGCTCGAACATGGTCCCGGCTTCAGACCGCCCACGTTCACATCGGATGGTCCGCGCGAACGCACCGCGAGGACGTACCGTTCGACATGACGATCGCCTCCGCCAAGGAGAGGATGGCCGCTAGCGGCGGGGAGATCTTGGTAATTTCGTCAGCCGGGATGCTCGTGCGGTCCTCGAAGCGAGGTGCGCACTTCTTCGTCGAGCAGGAACTGCTGAAAAGTGGCATAGATGTCGAATTCCTGCTTTTGCACGGCCTCGGACATGATGGCGTGGCGTGGGGAAGAGAAACCGAGACAGGGAGATGAGTTTAGCCTGCGGGGAGGTTGTATTTCGGCAGGGAGGAGCGGGGAGCGAGAGGGAAGAGGAGTGCTCGGTGGAGGGTCAGCGGAAAATCAGCAGCATTGACTCGAAGCTCACGTGCATGACGCGCCATAACACGGTCAGGTGACTCGTGCAGATGGGTTGGCCACGATCTTGATCGATCGCGAGTGAGTAGTTTTGTGGCCGCGTCGAGTTGGAAGTTGGCGTCAGACCGGGTCGGATTCTAGACCGCAGGCTGGTCGCAGTCTGTCGCGACTCGCAGTGGACCGTGTCCATGATACGTTGGGTCAGGTCCTGTCGTGGCGACTGCTCCCGGTCGTCTGCGCTGGGAAGGCTCCGTTCGTCCGTTGACATCGCCGTGGTTAGGAACACGGTATGGATCAGACGAGGAACGGGCGAGCAACGGTCCCGCGAACCAGACCGTTCCAGCACGCGTAAATCTGTATTGATCGAAGCTCTAGATGACGCTTATTGCGAGCACGCGGTCGCGCACCGGGCTCGCTAGCCGACCAGGAACGTCGCCCTTCGTTGACCCACGCCAAGCTGGGCGCGCGCCCACAGGAGCCACCTCGTCTGAGCGCTGCGAGCCACGAATAACTCCGCATTTGTTCCATGCATCACGGCCTGATTAGAGCCACTATCGAATAGTGCTCCCGGCTGTCTGGGATGACAGCGCCAGCAATTTTCCGCCTCCTCCGAAACATTGCCTTTGACCGCGGCCGCGACAGAGACGGCGTAGCTCGCCGCGGGTATCGCCGCGGGGGAGAACAACGGCCGTCGACAACAGCTGCTCTCCTGTCGCGGGAGGCCGTTCTGAGACTAGTGCACGCGATCCCGAGCTCGGGGATTCCAAACAAGTCGACGGAAGCGGACAACGTGCGCGAGGAGCGTCAGGGAGCGTCGCGCTCACACGGTGGCCTTCCGGGTCAGACAACGTGCTAAGCGAGAAGATTTGCAACGCAGATGTCGGACGACGTCGTGGGTTTGTACTCTGTGGTTTAGCCAGCAGCCCGGGCAACCGCCTGTTACGCGCGCGCAGCCCGTCCTCCCTGGCGATTCTGGCCGCGGCCGACGCGTCTCGCTGGAGACCGCGTCGCTGGCCGCGGCCGACGCGTCGTCAGAGTGATGCGGACAGCCCGGCGAGCTCGACGTCGGGCCTTCCCTGCGGGCTGCAACCCAGGGTGCGAGGACGCGGGCGCGGGCCGGGTGACTGGACACTCCGCCACACCACGCCCTCTCCAGCCCGCCCCAACGTGGGGGCGGGCATGGGCTGGCGGCCGCGCCCGCAATCATCCATCACGCCCTACGTCAACGGGGGGGGAGCGCAGAGCCAGGGCAGGCGAGCGCGATGGCCGCCAGGGGCTGGATATGAGACTGAGTCGGCGCTCGGGGGCGGGCGGCGGGGCGAACTCGCGGGTATCCCACCGCGGCCGACGCCGCCTGGGCGGGCGAAATTTGCCGGCGCGCGCCCCTGCAATCAGCCCGCGGGCGCGTCCGGATGGGGCTTGGGGCGGGACAAAGACCGCCAGGGATGGGCGGGTTGTGGGATTTAGCCTGGGAGCCGCGGGCGCAAAGCGCGGGTTTGGTGCAGATCTGGCTGAAGGAATGCCCAAAAGGCGCAGGAGTGTGCTCATCGGAACACGTTTCGCGTCGTGCCGCGTCGGAATGTCGCCGAACCCTATGGGGCCCGCTCTCCGTGGCGATCGCCAGGTCCAAATTCAGTCGCCTCGGCGCAACGCCCGCCGTTCAAAAAGCCCGCCCCGTACGTTGTTCTCCTCCTCCCCCATCTCCCGCCGACCCACCCGTCCCCTGCGCATCCGTCGCGCTCCCCTTCACCCAACGTGCTCTCCGCTCGGGCGCGGTCTTCTCTGATCCACTCTCCTACCGGCCGGAGGCAGGCAGGCTTCTCTCTTCGTCGTTCCGGGGTAAGTCCTTGCTCATATATGTCGCGCAACGCTTGCCCATCCGGTGCCCCCAATGCACGCAGTTCACTTCCAACGTCGTCTGCCCCTCGTTCGCTCTCGCGCAACCCTTCCGCCTCCGCTTTCTCCCAGGCGAGCCCCCATTATGACCAGCCCACCCCCGCAACTCTTCTTCTCGAACGATGTCGCCACCATGGACGAGTGGGCGCGCCGGACAGGGATCCCTCTCACCACTGCCGACGCCTTGGGCACTAACTACGCGAGAGCTCGGCGGTGGATGCAGTCCCTCCGCGCCCAGCTCGTCGAGCAGCACAACTGGCGGGACGTCTCGCCGCTCGACTCCCGGCTCCTCTTCGACATCGAATGCTCGACGCCCTACCGGTCCTCAAGGGGGCTTCCCCGCAGCCCGAACATGCGCCTGCAGCTGCCTGCTAACGCCTCGTCGTTCTTCTCCCGTGAACGGCGTGTGCAGTGGGAGATGGTCTTCCACTCTGCCCTCTTCCCCGGGCTGCGGCACACCGTCCCGGCGATCGCGGACCTCCTCCACCTCCTCCAGTGCCTGCTCACCGGCATGGTCGTCCTCATCAAGGAGGAGCAGGTCCCGGGCGAGGGTGTCTACCGCACGCACCGCGCGCTGCCGCCGGTCGAGTGGGTGACGAGTCACGAAGCCGCGCTCGTCGACATCTTCGGGGCTTCCCACTACCGCCAGCTCTTCCGCGCCGCGAGCGACAACCGTGTCGCGTTCAAGCTCGAGCGGGCGTGAGCCACTCCCACGTCGCCCTCCGGCCCCCGCTCGCCCGCCCGCCCGAGTCCCGAGCCCCGAGCGGGCGGCGTGCGCATGACCCCCCCCCAAAAGGCCCGCGAGGTCGACCCGCGCGGTGCGCTCGTTCTCGTGGACCCTCGCGCGGCCAAGGCCGTGCCCTCGCGCTCGCTCTGGACGGACTGGTATCTTATTCGATCCTATTGCCCGGCAAGGTATCCGTGTTTAATGTCTGGTACAGTCTTAATGCCCCTGCCCCCTTCACTGCTGCTCGTCGCCGCTGCCCATTGTCCATGTTCACGTCGCTCATCCCACGCCATTCCCCTCGCTGTCTGATAGAATACGGCCCCTCTAGTCGCAAAATAGGCTACGGCCCACTTGCTCCGCATCTGTCCCCTTTGCTGTTTTGTCCCGCCACGCTGTGCCCACTTCACCATGCATATACGTTATGTATTCCCAGCACCCACACACCATGCATCATAGCTACGTCTAGGATATAATCGTTAATAGCGCCACGGCTCGCCCACTGTACTCACTATTCGTGTTTATACTTCATCTATGAAACGTCGACCGTTTTCGCCTGGAGAGGCGTCGCTGCCCCCAATCGAAGCCCGAAGCCGCTAATGAATTTGACTGTGCTTCTCGCCTTCTGTAACGCTCAGAGCCCCCGCGCCGACCCGCTGCCCTGCGAGCCCCCCGCCCGCCCCCGATCGCGGACGCATATGGCTAACGACTTGCCGGAAACGTGCGGATCGCTCCTCCACGGACGATCGTCCCGGATAGGCGGCCGCGCCCGCCCCGGGCACGCCGCGTCGTCGAGGCCACCGACCGCGGGCTGGCTGCAGCTGCAGCAGGCGACAGGGGGTTCCTGGCTGCCCCCCCAATCCGGCGAGCTCTGCACCTGCGCCTGCGCCAGGCCCGCGCCTGGGCAGAGGGTGGCGCGGACGATGAACGGAACGCACGGCGACCGCGAGGCGTGTGCTTGGGCGCGGTCAGACGAGCACGAATGTGCGGACTGGGGGCCTCCATATGCCCTGCGCGCGCGCGGGTGGCAGCACAGCAGGGATCTGCGCGCTGCGCGCCGCACGTGCGCGGCGGGGGCAGAGCAGTGGGGGGCGGGGCGGGGGCGGGACGGCCCACGGGGACGGGGACGACGGTCGGAGCCGTGGAGGAATCGAAGGGGGTAGGACGGTTCCGGGAGGCCGGAGACTGCGCGGGAGGCTGGGGGCTGCTTACGCGGGCGCAGATGGCGCAGAGATGGGGCGCATCCCCCGGGTCACAGGCGGGTGGGGGAAGGGGTGCGACCGAGTGGAGAAGGCGAGGATGCACGGGCGTCGGGGGCGATCTGCGTTCGGCGAAGCTTATCGTGCCGAGGGCGGGAGGACAGGCGCTACTCATCGATGCTGGCTATGTCCATAGCCAAGAAACCAGGTCCGCGGGCTTGAAACGGGGAGGGGAGATGCCGTACGGTAGATCATGGGTTGCGCTTGGGCTTGCTTGGGAACAAGCAGCTGGACAAGCTGGGCTCGCGTAGGGATGATCAGACATCTTGTAGAAGTACGCCAGGCGGACGTGCGGCACCAACAGCGAGCGAGACAACGCGTGAGACAGACAAGCAGGAAAGGATCCGGTGCGCAGAGGACGAACGGTTGCATCATGACCTTGTCCATCAGCAAAAGGTGTTTTTAACGGTAGCGCCCGATAGCGTGCGACTCTGCCAGATCGGGACAGGCCGTCTATTGTCTGCGCGACAAATAATGATGGCAGAACGGTAGCAGCTGATATCCATTCGTCTTTACTATGAGGTTCGATCAAATCTTGTGGCCGCAGACAGGATATGATGGATATACTACAGGCACAAGTAGCTTGAACAGAAAGCTGTAGTCGATGATAGTAGACGATCATGCGCTCCTTCAAGGGTGAATATTTGAATCACGGGGCGCGCGGGGTGCATAAGAGGTTCGTATTTAGCTATACGGTCGGCTCGTGAGGACGCGAACACTGCGCGCGGCAGAGAACGCGATGCGCGCGACGATATGCGGACGGACGTCAGCGCGGGCGCCTGTTCCGCTTACGCGCCGCGCGCGGAGGCCTCTGTCCGGCATCGATGGCGAGCCCCATCCTCTGTTCCCCTAATCTTTCTTGACGCCTTTTCTCCCTTTCGTTTCTCTGTGTCTCCTATTTTTGCTACGCAAATCCTCTTCTTCATCAGAATGTCTGCTTCTCTAGGACACGCGATCCGAACGCGGAACATCGAGTCGGCGGCGGCGGGCGCCGTGAAGTTCTTGCTCATTTGAGCATTGTCTCGGCCTTTCACATTCCGTCTGATATCATTTCCGTTTACCAATGTGCATAAGGTGTGCTTCTGTGGCTTGTTCCCCACCAGGTGCGCACCCCATAAGTTGAAGCGACCCAGCCTTCCCCAAACAGCGGGGCGGGCAGCCTCAAGTGTTGGGCCATCACACGCGGAGAACGAATTCCTCACACTCGCGGTGGCGGAATATGTGCGGGAGAAAAACTGGGACACTCCCCTGGAGGACCTCGACCTTCCGCACGACGCTTGCGAGCGCGAGCCCGTGAACTGGAGCAAGGCCTACTCTGCGGACCACCACTACGAGAGTCAGCGGAGCGCTCTGTTCGATGCTCTTGTTGTCACGAGCTGCGCGGCAAACTCCCGCACAGGGCACTGGGCGAGGGGTCGAGAGTTAAGTCAAGATATATATATCGCTGGGGCCCGAGACGTACAGAGGTCCGTGTTAGTAGCGACATTCTGAGGTCTAAAAGTTGCTTACGGTGATTTCTTTGCTAATTGTTGTGACCCGATGCGGCGGCGCCGCAGTGGCGTCCCGCTTTGGCCTCTCTATTGTTTGCCACAGACATGGGCGCGTGTGCTGGGTTGCACACCTACTGGGCTTTATCCGCGACCACCATCATCCCCCAAGCGCAATGTGCCACTCACACTCGCGCGCGATGTATCTAGACACGGTCAGTTTTTCCTCATTCATCATCATCTCACTCACGTACACACTTCTGTCGACATCGGCATCGACACCGCACTCACACCAGCGAAAACCCGCGCCCTCAAGACTGCGGGTACAAAGGTACGCTTGAGTACTTACGTTGCTTATGGCCACGGGTCGGTCACATGTGAGGCCTGATTCCTCAGCCTCGCCGACAGTTTCGACGCGGCGCCGCGCGTTCCCACGCGAGCCAGCGACCCAACACTGACCATTTGCTTGCCACCGGGGATTCAAGGCGATGTGGAGGTGGTGCGGCAGCCACCGGCTCCGTGTGAACATGGTGTACAGGTATGTCTTCAGAACGTCCGAGTGCGGCAGGCGAGCAGGATATCACGGTGTACCGCATGGTTGAGCCCGCGCATCCTGAGCTCCTGCTGCTAGATCTGCGCGCGACCACTTCCGGTAGGCGTTGCTGAACGCGCGCGACGTGTCCGCCCCGAGCAGCCACCCGTTCTGCAGAGTCAGCAGCTCAATGGTTTGTGTTCCTCTTCCTTCTCTACCGAGATCAGTTCTGCAGCCGCTCATTTCACCAAGTCCACAGCGGCCTCGACCGACAAGTCACAGTACTCGCACTTCACCTGGGCGATTGCCCCGCGCAAGCAGCGGTCTCGAGTCGGCCCACATGTCCGTCTCCCACGACTACGGTGTCCTCATCGAGGACGAGGGGATCGCCCTCTGTGGGCTCCTCATTATCGACCGTATAGGGTACCCTCAGGTACGTCCTTGGTGGAGCGGCATACGTCCGGGAATCACGACTGATTGTGCGTTCGGTGGAGCTGGACAAGTAAATTACGATCAACGACCTCCCTGTGGGCCGCTCTGTCGAGGGGACGATCCGGCTCGTGAAGGCATTCCAGTTCTCCCGGGTGCGTCTTTCTTCCTCCGCGTTCCCTGTGTCCGCTCCCGCTGACTTCCCCCGCCTCCCTCCCCCTTCCCCGACGCGACCATCCACCTCTCCACGCCCAACCAATTCACCCTTTCGCGCCCATGGCGCCCCTCCATGCCCGACCTGTCTATCTTGCCGCACTCAACCGACCTTTCCGCGCTCTCCACATTGATTTCTCTATCAGGTAAGCAATCCCCAGATACGAAATTTCTACATTACTGACCACTCCGATAGTACTCACAATAGGGAACACTCCGTCAATTCGGGGAGACGTGCTGGACGAGAGGCTTCAAGCTCGGCCACATCGCCGACCATGTAAGTTCTTTGTTCTGCTCATGTTTCTGTTGCGTAGAATACCGGCTGTTTCGTATTTACCCCGAATGGATTATTGTGTGATTGGAATTATACGTGCGCCCCAGTGTGCGACGGAAGGCGATAGTGTTCCGCAGTTATCTGTCATCTCCTCCGCTAAATCTGACACTTTATCGTGAGGCACTATCATTTCATGCGCCGCAGATGACCGATATATGGTCGCATGCGCACCCAGAAATGATAGCACTGTCCGCGAGGTATGATCATCATTTGATAGTGGAAGAAGCAGACGATAGTACACTACGAGTTGCTGCATTACTTGGATGCTCAGCTACTGTCTATTGTCTTCGCTATCACTAACTATCGTACGCTACGAATGCCCCCATGCACTATCAGACGCTACCGTTTCCGCGCCTACTTTGCTGATGTCGTGGCGCTCACAGTTCGCGGGGGCACTCAGTTGGATCTCCGCAAACCCAAAACACAGCGGACTTTGAAGCCCATCACGTCGGAGTTGCTGACTGTCCAGGCGCTCTAGAGCGCGTGCCGCGACTCGCGATTCTGAACATCCGTGCCGCTACTACACTCGATCTCCCATCCCCTCCACCCGTCATGGCGGACGGCGCGCCGGCCCCGGAGGAAGACTTCACTACCCTCTCTATCCCGGACAGACTCGCACACAAGAACTGGAAAGCTCGCGTCAGCGCCTATGAGACCCTGGTCAAGACTTTCCAAAATACGGCCTCAGACACCGATCCCGCGTTCAAGCCCTACGTGAACAACCCGGACACCCTCAAGAAGATCGCCACAGACGCGAATGCCGTCGCACAAGAGAAGGGCCTAGAGTGCTTGGTAGCGTTCGTGAAGTTCGCAGGAGAGAATGCAGCGGGCACACGCAGTACGGTCGTTCCAGCTTTGGTGGACAAGTGCTTCGGTTCTGCGCGTGCGGGGACGAAGACGCAGGCTGTTGAACTCTCGCTGCAGTATGTGGAGGTTGAGAACGGTGCCGCGGGCGTTGTGGTGCGTGATGCTACATGTGGCGGCGCACGCATACGTGCTAATCCTCGAGTCATAGGAGAATCTACTGCCCGGACTCGCGGCAAAGCAGCCAAAGGCAGTTGCCGGGTGTGTGACTGCATTGAAGGAGATTGTTCGGTCAGTTCTTTCGAGACATGGATGCTTACCATTCGGACCACTGACCGTAGAGTGCTATCACAGAGTGTTCGGTACTTCGGTGGCTCCGCCGCCGCCGCTACTAAAGGCTCTTCCGAAGATATTTGCCCACTCCGACAAGAATGTGCGTGCGGAGGGCACTCAACTGGCTATATCGCTCTACCAGTACATCGGACCTGCTATCGACAACTTCCTCAATGATCTCAAGCCCGTTCAAGTGAAGGAGTTGAAGGAGGCCTTCGAGGCCTTGGAGAAGGAGGGGAAGGGGAGGGGAAGCGTCAAGCCCGACAGGTTGACTAGGCAAGGTGCAAGGGAAGCAGAGGCCGCAGCAGAAGCCGGAGGTGATGCGGGTGGTGAGGATGCGGGTCCTGCAGAAGGTGCGTTGCATGCGCCATTCTTAGTGACGCCTTGACTCAGATAGGTGCGCTAGTGGAAGAAGCCCCTCTCGATCCCCGGGCATTCGCGGAAGAAGTGGACATCATTCCTAAACTCCCTGCTAACCTGCAAGCGTCGCTGAAGTCTTCCAAGTGGAAGGAGAGGAAGGAGGCTCTGGATGAACTGCTCGCGCTGGTCAATGCTTCGCTGAAGATCAAAGAGGCCACAGAGCTTGGGGAGCTGTCCCGATCACTCGCACTATGCATACAGAAGGACGCGAACGTCAACTGTGTCATGGTCGCCGCGAACTGTTTGGAGGGTCTTGCGAAGGGGTTAATGAGCGGGTTTGCAAGTACAGGGAGAGCGTCGTTCCGCCGATTATGGAGAGGCTGAAGGAACGGAAGGCCAGCGTCACAGATGCAATTGGCAATGCTCTCGACGCCATCTTCGTCTCCGTGTGTTCATTTACTCTCTATCTCTGGTGCAATGTGCTCACGGATGGTTTTGCAGACAACTCTGACAGACATCCTTCCCGATGTTCTGCCCGCCCTCAACAACAAGAACCCACAGGTGAAGGAAGGCGCTCTCAAATTCATTACAAGGTGCTTGTCTACTTCCCCAACACCAATCCCTGGACCCCAGGTCAAGCCGGTATCTGAAGCGCTTGCGACGCTGTTGGACGACTCCTTCGAGGGGGCTCGAAATGAGGCTGCGATCGGTCTCGGTACTCTCATGAAGATGGTCGGGGAGCGTCCACTCAACGCTGTAATGGACGGTCTGGCGGACGTCAAAAAGGCGAAGGTCAAGGAGGCGTTTGACAGTGCTCAGGTGAAGGCGAAAGCTGGATCTGGTCCTGCTTCAAAGCCGAAAGCTGCCGCCCCGCCCACTGCGAAAGCTCCTCCCAAGAAGATGCCGCCCGCCAAACAACCACCCACTGTTGATCTCCCTGCCGTCCCTGCAGTGGATGAGCCCCCACCAGCCGAAGACAAACCTGTGAAGAAGCCCCCCGCTCGACTCATGGTAAGAGGATGCCTCTTGACATCAAGCTATATGTGATGGTTAAACTGCATGATGGCCAGGCGAAGAAGCCCACTGCTGCTGGAGGCGACAGTGGTGTGTCTGCTCCTGTGGCAGCGCCACAGTCAAGAAGCTTCCGCCGGCAGCAGCTACCTCCAAGCCTTCGAAGGGTGGAGCTGCCCCGGCACCTGGCGCTCTCGACACTTTCAAATACAAGCATACACCTGAGGACGCGGAAGCACTGGCGGCGGAGATGATTCCTGCACAGTATGCCACTGATCTGGGCGACTCCAACTGGAAGACCCGACTTGCCGCGCTGGAGGAGATGACGACTTGGGTCGAGGGTGCCGCTGGAGAGCTGGATTCGGAAGTTGTGGTCCGGTTCCTGGCCAAGAAAGGATGGAACGAGAAGAACTTCCAGGTGCGTTGTTTCAATCCGGTTCTAATTCCGTCCGACTGTAACATGGGTATGTAGGTGTCTGCCAAGTTGTACGGCATTTTGGGCATCCTGGCCACTAGCTGCCCCACTTTCGGCCGTGGTTCCGCTGCTCTCGCCATTCCTCATCTCAGCGAGAAGCTCGGTGACATGAAGCTCAAGAAGCCGGCAGGCGACACTCTACTCACGTTCGCCGAGAAAACTTCTCTCCAGTTCGTCTTTGGCCACGGTATGTCCACAGGTGCTTCTTCCGCGTGCATTTGTATTCAATTGGTTTTAGCCTATGAACCCCTGTCCAAAGCGAAGGCACCGAAGACGCTTGCCGACGCGCTCACATGGATGGAGCAGGCTCTCACCGAATTTGGTATTGCCGGCCTGTCTCTGCGCAGTCTAATTGAATTCTTGAAGACAGCGCTGAAGAACTCCAACGCGGCCGTGCGGACCAGCGCTACCAAGACGTTGGTCACTGTGAAGGTGTTTGCTGGTCCATGTGAGCGGCCTGTTTACGTATTCTGCATCCGTATTTCTCACACCAGATCTCCTACTAGCGATCAAGGATCTTCTCGAGGATGTTAACCCTCAGCTGTTGGCTACAATCATGTCCGAATTCGACAAGGCTGACGGAAAGCCCGTTCCCGAACCAACCCGGACGTCTGAAGATCTCGCTTCGTTGGCTCCAGCGGCAGGTTCCAGCAGCAAGGCTGCGGCAGGTGGTGGGGACCCGTTAGACGACCTGTTCCCTCGTGTGGAAATCGACGGTCTCCTGAAGGGTACGACGATTCTTGCAGACTCGAAGAGCGATGCGTGGAAGGCCAAAAAGGAGGCCCTTGAGACATTACAGGCCATCCTCGATCAAGGCTCGAACAAGCGATTGAAGCCCACCATGGGTAAGTCGGTCCCGCCCGGCGGCGGCGTGGGTTTGTCTGACGATGCTTTATGCAGGCGAAATTGGGCAGGTTCTGAAGGCGCGCGTAACCGACGCGAACAAGGCTGTGCAGATGCTCGCCCTGGACATTGTTGCACGCATCGCGACTGGGATGGGCAAACCGTTCGACAAACAAACACGCTTCTTTGTCGTCCCGGTTTGCACCGTGCTCGCCGATCAGAAGGCTCCCATTCGCGCCGCAGCGGTGCAGACTCTAACTGCTATGGTCAACGCCTGCGAAGGGTTTGAATCCATGGTTAGCGGGATTGCCACTGGTCTCGAGACCACGAATCCACTTCAGCGTGCTTCGCTGCTGGGTTGGATCGCCGACTACTTCAAGGAGCACGAGCTTACCCCCGGACTCGATATCAGTAGTTGGGCTGGTTCGACCGTCTCTTGTCTCGACGACAGGAATGGTGACGTCAGGAAGGCAGCGCAAGCCCTACTTCCCACTCTCATCACCAGCGCTGGCTTTGACTACGTCATGAACCAGACCAACTCGCTCAAGCCGGCCTCGAAGTCGACAGCCGTTCCTATCATCCAAGCAGCGCGACCTTCGGCCCCCACAGTCGACCCTCCCGCGAAAGCCGCCCTGCTCCCAAAGCCGCTGGCGCACCCAAGGCCGCCCCCAAAGCCGTCGAAGCACCTCCCCGAGAACCCTCTCCCCCGCCGGCCGCAGAGACTGGATCCAAAATGGCGCCGCCTGGCAAGATTGGTGGCGTGCGACGCAAGCTGCCGCAAGGCACAATCCCTCGTCCCGAGTCTCGCGCGGAAGCTGAAGCGCCTGTCTCGCGCCTTGCTGGGCCCGGCGGCAAGATCGGCATGGGACTCAAGCGACCTGGAGCAGCAGGACCCTCGAAGGCTGCGCCGCCTGTGGCGGAGTCCTCGTCTTCTTCATCCTTGATCTTTACAACATCCAACCCCGGTGTCAAGGCGTCGCGGCTGAACAAGGATGTGAACAAGTGGGTCATCGAGTCCGGGCCATCGCGTAAAGACCTTGCCGAGCTGCTCCAGCACCAGATGGAGCCCCATGCGTCGAAGGAACTGCTGAATCGCCTCTTCAGCCACGATCACAATGCGGTCAACGACCATACCACCGGCCTCGGGTTGATACAAGACTTCTACCTCACAGGTCAGACGGGTGACGACACGCTCCAGTCGATATGCATCGCGAACTCAGATCTCGCCCTCAAGTTCGTATCAATCAGGATACACGAGCCTCAGTCCAACTTGGTGCAGAAATGTCTCGACGCGGTCGAAGCTGTCCTAGCGTTCTTCCAGAGTATCGATCACCAGCTGTCGGATCAAGAAGCTTTGGTGTTTATCCCCACTATCATCCACAAGGTATGCATAATGTTGTTCGGGTAGTCGGATGACACTGACAGAATACAGCTCGGTGACGCACGCGAACCTGTGAGAGCACGAGTGGCTCAGATTGTCCAGACTCTTCCCAAGGTCTACGCATACAGTCGAGTCTTCCAGCTGCTGCTTGAACAAGGTCTGCAATCCAAGGTCGCCAAGACAAGACAAGGCACCTTGGATGAGCTGGCAGGTCTGCTCAAGAAGTTCGGTGTTGGGACATGCGAACCTGCGAAGGCGTTCCTCAAGATTGCGACCATGATCTCGGACAAGGATCCAGCAGTACGCAAATCGGCACTTGCAGCTTTGAGGTGAGTGGTTTGCCGTGAAGTCCCTCGCCCGCTCAATCACTTACCCAGCCTTTTCTAGCGAGGGATACGTACTTGTCGGCGAAAAGATTTGGTCTCTCGTTGGTCACTTGACACCAAAAGACAAGACGCAGCTTGAAGAGAGATTGCGACGAGTTCCTGGGGGGAGCAGTCATGATCATGTGGAACCCGCCCAACTCGCCACGCATGCCTCTCGAATCGCCACCGGCATTCACAGGTCAGGCTCTCCCGCCCCCGGTGCGACTTCACGAATAGCGGGCATCCCACGCGCAGCAAGTCCCTCCCTCGCCCCTCCTTCCCGTGTTACGCGCCCCGGTTCTCCTTCCCAAATGGCTCGCTCTTCATCCCCTGCTCCTTCTCAGGTCTCAAAACTCACCGGTCCGTCAGGCATACAAGCGCCTGGGTCGCCGACCGGTCTGGCACGCCCTAAGAGTTTCCTTCCCTCTCGGCTTGGTCCCCCGCGGTCACGGCTGAACGGCGTTGCCCAGAGTGGGCTCCCGCCTCCGTCCACATCGTCGCGATCTTCTCTCGACGAGTACGCAGCAAACGGTCATCATGCCACGACAAGCCGACAGTCGATCGAGGAAGAGCGCGAGCAGGAAGAGAACGGCTCGGACGAAATCACTGTCACCATCTCGAGCATTCTCAGCAACGACGCGGGCCGGAGCGTCGAGGCACTCAAGAAAATCCAGAAGGTGCTCGAGGTCGGGTCCGAAGATGGACCTGCGTCTCCTGTGTATCAGGACCTTGCGGAGCATACCGAAGGCTTGATCGAGACGATTACCTTACAGATGGCGCATGTTTTCGAGCACCCGGACGACATCGCCCAGCCGGACAACTTCCGTTTGGCGAAGCACCTCATCCAGACCCTCAACGCGTTCTGCGACCACGTCTTGCTGGCGGAGTCCTTGACTGTCGATATCTTGACGTCATTGCTAGAAGAGTTGACGCTGCGCTTGCTGCAGACAGATAACAGCCCGGACAATAAGGTCAAGGACCTTTCCCGTTTCATCAACATGATCATTCTTCGCTTGTTCGCCACGGGACGACGCATGTCTATATTCCGGTCAGTACACATTCATTTCACTGGTTTAAATGATCTGCTCATTCTCGTCAATGCAGCGCTCTCTTTGCTCTACTGCTGCGCATTGTGAAACCATTCCCCGCCAATGGCACCGCTCCCGACTCCCAGCAGGCGAAGGTGGCTGAGCTGGTGCTCAAGTGCGTCTGGAAGTTGGCCAGGACCATTCCTCAGGACCTGGAGAAGAATGCGCTTGATCCGGTCGAGTTGTTCCCTGCCGTCGAACACTTCCTTCAGTCCGTACCGCCCAACGAATGGCGAGCTCGTGCGACCAACAAAGTACCCTGCGGAGACATGCCTCTGCGGACGATCAAGGTCATCATCCAGCACGTAGTAGGTAAGTATTTATGCCTGTGACACGCGAACCCATCTGACCAGCATCTTAGCTCATTACGCTGATGACGTATATGACCACCTCTCTTCTGCCTTCGACGATCCTTCCGCTACCATCGTATACCCCTACGTCTACCGCATCCTCAACTCGTCGCAGAAGACCGCAGCGGAGGTACCCCTGCGTCACGAGTCGATACAAGAAGAGCCTGTGAAACAACCGACCTCTGCGATGAGCAGCAGGCCAATGTCGCCTCAAGAGACGGCATCTGTGTCCTCGCGCTCGGTAACGTCGGACCCTCGACCGCCATCTTCGAGCCATTCGCGAAGTCGCAGTGTATCGTCAACTGCTGAGACCGTGCAAGAGCCGGACTTGGACGATCAGCTGAACACCATCATCGACCACATCTCTAGCGAGCTGACGGGTGCAATGCACAAGGAGGGTATCACGGAGCTGCATCAGTACTTGAAGGCCTACCCACACAAGAAACCTAAGGTGGACAAAATCCTTGAGTCGACCGGTCCTGCATTCCGCAAGTACATCAGCCGTGCACTCGCTAGTCGGGCGGCTGAAGACGAGGAGAGGAATGTGGCTGTTGCCCAAACGCTGTCCAGTATGTTGTAGTATTGATTGTTGTAGGTGTTTTGCTTAGTGACCTGGCGTTAGGACTAGAGCTGAACGGGTACACTCGTGACCGAACGTCGAGCATTTCAAGCGGTCAGTTCATATGATATTGGGCTTGATGGACGCAAAGCTGACGTCAGTTCGCAGTTCGTGACCTAAATGGTCATGGACCCACACCCCTGTCTCCTACAGCCTCAAGCAGCAGTCGGGTGGACGCATCCCCTCGATCTCCCCCTCGATCGAGCTTGTCCGATCTGCCTAATGCGCAGCAGGACCGCCTATCTAGATTGCACAACCTGTTCCAGTACAATCGACAGAGCACCATCAGCAACGGTCCCGCTCCTGGATCTGGGCTGGGCGCGGACGGGCTACAGTCAGCGATCTAACCGGTGGCGGACACGAGGATTAGACGGAGGACAGAGGAGGGTTGCTGCCGACATTTTTGAGCATCATCTGTGTATACCAAGCATTACATCTCGCTGCGTACTGTAGACATCATAATTTGCATTCGCCTCCCGGAACACGGCAAACTGCTTGACCGAGCGAGCGCACGGCCAGCAGCAGGGCAGTGGCCAGCCCAGACCCAGAACTTCTCTCGGCGCGTGCACTACCCAGCGGGCGGCACCTGGTTCTATGGAACTCATTGCGCATCTCTCGACAACTCGGACGTGATCCGCCGAAGTATGTGGAAGGTACCGCCGAAGGCGGACCGTCGAAGGGGCCAGGGCAGGTCGGAGAGCGTGGGTGCACGGGGCTACTTGTGCTCGTAGGGAGCTCCTCCTATTGCAACCAATTTGAAACCTGGACCCCACCAATCAATAGGCCTACAATTGCGCTGTAACCGCTACAACATGTAGTATACTGTTCTTACCGCGCGTGTGCCCGTTCCCGTCTTTCTCCCGTACCCCGCCCAGGCCCGCGCGACCTGCGCCCGTGTCCTCGGACCGGATCGCAGCGTGGGCTCTGGCTTGCGGTGGATCGCGCACGCCGCGCGGGCGAGCCTTGGTCGCCTTGGTCGAGAGCACACGAGGGCGCTGTAGGCGCCTGCTTGAGTCGGACTTCGGTTCAGAGGGGTCGCCAGATTAGGATTCTGTGCTCGCTAAACTCAAGCTTTCCTCCCGTCGCTGCGGCCACGCCTCCCCTTACTCTCCTCCTCCCTCACCCTCCCCGCCGTCGGCGGCACCACCATGTCGACCAAGAAGAAGATCCCTTCTCGTGCCGCACAGCACAGCACCCGCCCCAATGACCTCGTCTACGATGCCGCGCTACTCTTCTGGCGCATGGTCACCAACATCTTCTTCCGCGAAATCCGGCCTCGCGGAGCATTCAACATCCCAAGACAAGGCCCCGTCATCTTTGTTGCAGCACCACACAACAATCAGGTTCGCCAGTCATGCCGCCTCTCGCGCATCAGAGGGTTGAACGCTCGCTTCGCAGTTCCTCGACCCCCTGCTCCTGTACCGGGAAGTCCACCGAGAAACGAATCGCCATGTACAGTCCCTCATTGCTGCGAAGAGTATGGAGCGAGCATTCGTTGGGTTTGCGGCAGGCATGATGGCCAGCAGTACGTCGTTCCGTCCCCTCCCGTTCTGTCTCGGACCTCACGCGGCTCCAAGTCCCTGTTGTACGAGCCGCCGACAGCGCAAAGCCGGGCGCAGGCATGGTGTCACTGTCCGACGAGGACGCTTGCCTCGTCATCGGTCACAACACAAAATTCATGTCCGAGTTCACCCCGAAGATGCAGATGATGCTCCCTCGGTCGCTGGGCTCCGCCGTGGCGGAAGTGACGGAGATCATATCCGACACGCAACTCCGCATCCGGAAAGAGTTCTCGGGCGGCGCGAAGATACGGGAAAAAATCCAGGAGGCCCGCGCGGAGGGCAAGCAGGGGCTGACATATAAACGTCTACCGTTCGTGGACCAGGCGGAGATGTATCAGTATGTATACCAGTGCTTAACCGAGGGGGGCGCCATCGCCATCTTTCCTGAAGGTACGTCATGCGAGCCAGTCCTTTGCACACTCTAAACCTCTCTAGGTGGTAGCCATGACCGTACAGACCTCCTACCTCTCAAGGCCGGGGTGTCTATGATGGCTCTTGGTGCCATGGCCAACAATCCCGACCTTAAGGTCAAGATTGTCCCCGTCGGTCTCTCGTATTTCCATGCCCACCGCTTCCGTTCGAGGGCAGTCATCGAATTTGGAGCGCCGCTTGATGTCCCTCCAGAGTTCGTAGAGATGTTCAAAGAAGGTGGCCCCAAGAAGCGAGAAGCCGTGAGCAAGTTCCTGAACGTCATCTACGATGCTCTCAAGACGGTCACCTTGAGAGCGCCTGATTACGACACTCTTATGGTGGGTGGTACTTGTATGATGACAAGGCTCTTCACCAAATGTGTTCGCATATAGCTCATCCAGGCCGCCCGGCGATTGTATAAAACTCCAGGCCAGCATCTAACGCTGGGACAAGTCGTAGAACTGAACAAGCGTCTACTGGCTGGGTATATGCACTTCAAGGACGAGCCTAGGGTCCAGAAGCTTCGGACCGACGTCCTGAGGTATAACCGACTTCTTCGAGATCTTGGCCTGCGGGACCACCAGGTATGAGTAGCCTATTTATCCCCGAATTTCCACATTCTAACAAATCCGAACCAATAGGTTCCTCGGGCCCAGAAAGCGGGCTGGAAATCCCTCGGACTGTTGCTTTACCGGCTGGGTCTTCTAGGTGTCTGGACCATCCTCGCTCTGCCTGGGGTAGTCTTGAATGGCCCCATCTTCATCACTGCCTCGATTATCTCACGCAAAAAGGCTAAAGGTTAGTCATGGGGTGTCTGTGTCTATGTTCCCCCCGCTGATTGTAGTTCTCTGTAGAGGCTCTTGCAGCCTCCGAAGTCAAGATTGCTGGCCGAGACGTACTGGCGACATGGAAGGTGCTCGTAGCCCTTGGCGTTACTCCTGTGCTCTACACGTTCTACGCCATTGTTGCCGCCGTAATAGCGACCAAGGCGGGAGCTCCTATAAAGTGGAGAATCTGGACGCCATTCATTGTCCTCATGATTCTTCCCATGATCGGTTACGCAGCGCTCAAGTTCGGAGAGGCCGGGATGGACGTTCTGAAGTCTGTCCAGGTCTGTCTGGTATCGGTGGTTGTGGCTGACATATTTCTCCCGTGACAGGTCCCTGAGGCCCCTCATTGTTGCTCTTATACCCGGCCAGCAACGGTCATTGGAGAAGGTCAAGCGTATGCGACAAGAGGTCTCCAACGAGCTTGTTGAGACGATCAACGAGTACGGCCCGGAAATATTTGAAGACTTCCACCAGGTGCGTGTGCCGTATCTCATCGTTTACTGCGACGCTGACAGCACTGCAGTTCCGCATCCTCGTGCCTTCTGCTACTGCTCCCCCGTCGAGCGATCATCAAGGTATTTGGCGAAGGAAGAGTGCGACGGGCGGCGTTGACGCACAAGGCAACCTCCTTGTGCACCCTATGGTTGGTCCTGGACCTTCCGCTCCCATGCATCCTCTAACTGCCCTTCTCAGACTTGGCTTGACGAACGCCTCTTCGGCTGGTCTCGTAGCGCGCGACGCGGTACTAGCGCCTGGGCCGGGGGCACTCGCTCGACCGAGATCAGCCGCGCCGCTACACCCGACGTCTCCGACGAGGAGGACGCGCCCGACTACGACGACTTCCTCCACATTCCCGGCGGCGAGAGTTCGTCGCTGGCCTCTCATCCACGTTCCCAGCGCTCTTCATATGCCGACCTCCAGCGCCTCCGCCGCTCCCCTTCGCACTCTGGGCTGAACCCGCTCTCACCCATCAGCCCCATGGCCGCCACCGGTGGATCCACGTCCAACGGGGACGGGGCAGGGGCTGCAGGGAGCACCGGTTCAAGCGCCGGCGCGGACAAGGACAAGGACGGGCTGCACTTCCGCGGACAGACGCGTTCGCGCAAGCCGAGCCTCTCCGACGGCGTGCCCGTCGTGGATATCAGCCTCGTCGATCGCGCGGAGGCCTTCAAGGACGCGACCATGGACCTCAATCAGGAGATGCGCAAGCGGCGCAACAGCAACAGCTAGTCGGCGCCTGCTACCGACCTCGTTCTCGGGTTCCGTCAGTTGCTTCCGCTCTAAAGGCGATCCCCATCGCCGTGGACATGGCTTGCATACCGGGGATCCGTGGCTGGGATCGATGCTATGGGGTTTGCTTGGGCTGTGGGAGGTTTCCTGGGGCTTACGCTACGATTCACGATTGTGCAGAAAATTTGGATGCTAATCACTCCTCACCGCCTGTGCCTATGCTGCTGCTGTACCTTACCTATTGTACCTCCGTGTCCGCACATACTCCATCGCATGTTTGTCTTCTTTCCTTCTCCTGTGTAGTGTGCTGGTGTGCGGATGTAACAGTGTTTTAGAGTGTCCCTGCGCGGTCATCGGGCGAATACAACGAATTGATCGCCCGCTCGTGTGAATCCCACTATGCCCTACATACACCTTTGAGGCTAAATCATTCTCGAACATAACCCCCCGTGATACTATCTCTCGATATCCCTAGCGAGCCAAACAATAACTCATTCACTAATAAAGCAACGCCTGGCATCGTGAGGTACAATGATAGATCACGTAACAGTACATTCGCAGCTCGAGAGAGGGGCGCAACAACGGCCCAACCACATTGAACTACTGGAGGTCTTCTCTGGGCTTACCCGCAGTGAGAACCTCGACGCCTGTTTCTGTGATACTGCGGAGCATGTCAATCGTCGTGAAGGGATAAGGCAGCAGCGACTAGAGTACTCACAGCAGTGTCTCTTCGAACTGAGCACTGCGCTTCCCATCTATGGTGGTTGCGGTCCAGTTGTCAGGCCAATGTTCGAGATCCCAATGTCCGAGGTTGATCATCTGCGTACAGGGCCCCAGTCGTTAGCAACGTGGTACGGACAGCGAGGGTGCTCAAGATAATCATAGCTCCACGGAAAGGCACACGCACAGGTTCGATGGTGAAGGTCATGCCAGGACGCATCGTGCCGATCGCCTTGTTTTTAGCGTAGTGTGGAATGCTCGGCGCGGGGTGGAAGAGGTCGTTGATTCCGTGGCCGCAGTACGTGCGCACAACTGAGCATCCATTCTGGCGGGCAATGGGCTCTCTATTGCAAAGTGAGGACGGAGCGGACGTCAATTTGGGTTCAGGACCATGAGGAACTAGGGTACGAACATCGTCTTGCCGAGATCGCGGAATAGCGCACCAGGCTTACAGAGCTTGATGGACTCATCAAGGGTCTTGCGCGCCGTCCGCATCAACCGTTTCGAATCCTCATCGACTTGCCCAACGGGATACGTCTCATTAAGATCGCTGTGGAAGCCTAGAGCGAAAATCAAATTCAGTCGTAACCTGGCATCACCGCAGACAAATAAGTACCATCTTTGTAGAACGACACATCTGTCGTCCGGCGGGTATCAGTGGATGCAGACACGGAGGCTACGGCTATCACATACCGATGTTGACAATGTCCCCCTCTTGGAGCTTCCGTTTATCGGGAATGCCGTGGCAAATCACTTCGTTGATGGACCTAAAACGGGCAATGCTTAGCCAAGAACAGCGAACGAGGACTAGGAGAACGTACGTGCAGACAGACTTGGGATAGTTGCGGTAATTGAGCGGGGATGGGTAGCCACCGCGCTCGATACTGGCATTGTGAACGATTTCGTCCAGCTCGTCGGTAGTGATGCCTGGACGGATAGCGGCAGCAGCGAGATCAAGGATCTCCCGGGATAACTAAGGTGACACGGGCAAGGGAGCAGACTTCGTCAGATGTGGTTCTTGAAAACCCAGCTGACGGGGCGCTTAAGAGCGAGACGTCGGTGAGAGCAAGGGGAGCTCACCTTGCAGACATTGCGCATGGTTTCCTGCTCCTCGAGAGTCAAGATTTTGGGCGGCTGTCCCGCCCGTCTGTTCTCTGAAGTGGGAATGCCTGAAAACCAGACGATGAGCAGGGTGCAGTACCGCGATGGAAATACATGCATGGGCGTACCTGTCTCCGCATAGTCAGGGCGCACAATATGGTCCGGGACGGGTCGTCGAGGGGAAAGCGGGTAGACAGGACGAAGGGGGCCAGTGAACTTGAACGTGCCGAACGGGTTGAAGGTGCCGTCTAAAGTGACTTGTAGCGATATATGATTTGATAATTGAGCGGACGAACCTTTGTTGATATTAGGATCGTTGAGGAGGGTCTGCCTGGGAGTCACGAGATCATGGACGATCTTGTGCGTTTTCTTCAAGCGAAGGCGGGACGATCAGCCGATGGTAAGCGAAGGCAAGAAAGGCAGATACCCCTTGAGTCTCTGTAAGCTAGAACTGATGGCAAACATGATGAGAAGCAACTCACAGTTGGCCTTGAAACATTCCTGACCGCAGAAAAAGGAGCCAGTGATCCCCAGCCTAAAACGAGGCAGATTGAGCACAGGCGAAGGGCAGGAGAAGGCGGAGACGAACTTGTGGCAGGTGGGACACTCTAGGCGCGAGGGCGGATGGCCGTTGGGACAGCTGGAGGACTGGCAGGACACGACGGGGGCACTCATCGCGGTGGTGGCGGAGGAGGGCTGAGCCTGCAGTTGGAGGCAAGTAAGCAGATGGCTGCCATCCCGATTAGTCAGCATCTCGACCTCCCATGGGCGCTCGCTTGCGATTCGGAGGACACCTTGAACGGCAACGCTCAGCGTCCCGACTTCGTCGCCGCGCAGCAAGGCACTGGCATGGTCGCAACAGACAGTGACAGCTCGTCGAAATCCCGACTGTCGCAGACGATGCGCCTCCATCGCCTCCCGCTCAACTCAACATGACTTCATTACCGCTCATCAAGTCTTATATACAAGCTCCCAGTTCTCGGTTCCACATCCCCTACATCCCCCATGTCTCTTCCTACGTCTGCTGAAGTGGTCGTCGTCGGCGCCGGTCCTGTGGGCATGACCGCCGCCCTTGGTCTGCACAAGCACGCCTGTCCGGACGTCGTGGTCCTCGACGGCCAGCTAACAGGTGAGAATACCTCTCGAGCCCTCGCTGTGCATGCAGCCACTCTTGATGTAAGTGTGTTGTGTCTTTCAAGCTCCATCAATTTGAGTACGCTGCTGACGCCCTTTTCATTTGTAGACCTTGGCGGACCTAGATGTTGCCGACCGCGTTGTGGGATCAGGGAGAAAGCTCAGTACGACCACTGTCTGGACCAAGGGCCAGCCTCCTATCTCGACCACTTACTTTCCTCCCCTGGGAAAGTACACCAAATATCCTTTCATTCTCGGCATTGCGCAGCACGTCACCGAGCAGATCTTGCATGATGCTTGCTCCGAGCGAGGGATCCACATCCACCGTCCACACAAAGTCGTTGATCTTAAGCCAAGCGACGACCCCGCTTTCACCGACGTAATTCTAGACAACGGCCATGTCATACGCACTCGATGCGTTGTCGCCGCCAACGGCTCTCGCACCATCGTACGTCCTCTCTTCATCTTCCAGTGGCTCCGCTGACCAACGGACTGCGTCCAGATACGCCAACTGTGCAATGTCGGATGGTCCGACCCCACCGGCGAGCTCAAGAGCGTCTCCCCCAATGACGAAGCCGAAGCCGCGAACATGGTCGTCGCCGACGTCACCTTCAAGTCCCCTCCCCCGCTCAAGCCTGACGCCATCAACCTCGTCCACACCTCCTCCAATGCCCTCATGTGCATTTACTTCCCCGGCGACCCCTACCCCGACGCCGTCCCCTCCGGCACCCCCGTCTACCGCATCGCCACCGGCGTGCCTCGCGAGCTCGGTGCCCCTCCCAGCGCGCCCGGCACGGACTACCTCCAACCCCTCCTCGACCGCTACGGCCCGCACGTCGTGCTGCCCGACGGCACGCCCCGTGCACAATCGAGAAGACGGTCTGGTCGAGCCGCTTCCGCACGCATTCCGCGATCGCCGACCGCTTCTTCGCGCACGTCGGCGAGACAGCAGGCACCGGCCCTGTGTGCTTCCTCGGCGACGCCGCGCACGTCCACCCCCCGATGGGCGGCCAGGGCATGAACCTCGGCATCCGCGACGCCGCGAAGCTCGCGCCGGTGCTCGCCGAGTACGTCGCGGCAGCGCGCGCGGGCACCGCGTCGCAGACGGCGCTCGAGGCGTGGGCGGCCCAGCGGCGCAAGCGGGCGCTGGAGGTGATCAACTTTGTCAAGGATCTCCAGCGCCGGCTGTGGCTGTCGACGGACACCAAGTACGTGCTCGGCCTGATACCGTACAACCCGGCGTGGGTACAGATGTCGGTGCTCCGGGTGTTGTCGAGCTTTGAGTGGTTCCAGACGAAAGCTGCTTACACCGTCAGTGGGCTTGCAGATTCTTAAGGGGTTCGCACGTATGCCTGTTCGCACAGTAACGATACATGCGGCTCGCCGTGGACGAGGGGAGGATTTTTATATTGACATTTTTGCGCTTTGGATCTATGTAAAATACAGTGTATGGTGTGCACGGCGACCTCGATACCAGATATGCCAGGATTACTAGCGGTTACACTTCGATGTAGGGGCAAAAATCTCGTTTACCGCGACGCAAGTGCAGCGCCCACCTCCGTCACGACGGCCCACACATCCTCGATCCATGGTTCGACGACCTGAAGGTGGACGTCCTCGCGCATAGCCAGCGTGTCCGCGTGCATCGTTGCCACCTGGTCTCGGTCTGCTGTCTTTCCCGCGTTGTGGAGAACCACAGCGAGCAAGAAGAGCACGTCTGACTGAGCGGCGTGCATGCCCAGCTTGTGGTACGTTTTGGCTGCCTCAGTGAGCAACGGTACGGCCTGTTCGAGAGACGCAACTGTATGCGTTCAGAGAAGGATATGCTGATCAATCACAGAAGGAACGACATACCAGACGAGTCGCCTTCGGCGATAGTGCAGCGAGCGAGCGTATACTGGGCAAAGGCCTTCTGTTCCAGGTCGTTCTCGCTCATGATCTGTCAATTAACATGAGCTCATACCATAAGGCACCCGAATTGACAACGTACCTGTGGCATGACTTCGTCGAGGATGCGTCGACACCACTTCGTCATCCCGAACTCGAGGCCAACGTCTGCGAGGAGGACTATCGCGGTGCGATACAAGTTGTAGCGACCGTGATACTCGGCATGCCAGAGGGCATTAAGAAGGTGGTCAACGCAGTTGTGACTTTGATCGCACAACTACATGCATAGTTGCGTCGGAAGACCGTCCAGATACGACGGAGCGATCGGGTACGTACTCGCATGACCATCACTTCGTGAAGCGGATCGCGGATGATCGAACCTATTGGCTCGGTGGCCCATTGATACTCTCGTGGATGGTGATCAGACATTTTGGGCCGCCTTGGTCCGAGATACTCCTTCAATTGGCGCTGCTGCCGACTTTTATTGGCTTAGAACTGTGCGCATGAGGATAACGGGAGATCGGAGCTCACCGGCGACACGCACGGAGCGCTAAAATCGACCAGATTTCGGAAGCCCACAGGTTGTAATCAGGCAGAGTCAATCCACGCCAGACATCTGAGTCCAATAGAGAGGCGATGGCTTGCTCATATTTCCCTTGCCGGGCATTCTGCATCAGTGTCGTCAGCGCCTGTATACTAAATCACTACTAGACTAGAACGCACCCAGTAAGCACGATTGAGAGTGCAATGAGACGAGTGTTGTCATCGCCACCAACCTCAGTGAAACCGGTCACTATATCTTCTTCGATACGAGCGAGCCTCGAGCAACCTACGAGCCGCATCCGATGAGCTTTGATTCCGAGGCTGCGTCCGGATACATACCGAATGTACTCCAGACCACACTCTGCACGCATGCTGCGCGTACTGCTCCGACTCAATGAAGAGACCCTCTTGGTCCTCGAGGTACTGATCATACAGACCCATGCTGTATAATTCGCTCATACGCTGCAGTAGAGGTTGTTGCTACGTGCAAATCTGGCTGAGCTTCAACGATAGAAGGTGAGAGCACGGCACTCACGTGCTGAACGTCAACAACTTATTGACGTCGGCCAGAATTTCCAGCGGGTGCATATCTGGCTGAGGCTCGTTGATGACAGGTCTCTGACCGGCTTCAAGAGGTGCGAGACGGTGCAACAAGCTATTGTAATGCAGTGACACTCCAGCCAAGAACGTCGTACGCGGGTCACTCACCTGAACAATGTTGTAACGTCTTGTTATCGCCAGCAGTCGAGAGGCGGTGATAGCTTCTTCTAGTGTCTATCCCAGACATCAGGCTCCTCACGTCGAGTAACCATGAGGCAAAGCGAACCTTCCTACACGCTGCAGTTTCCCGACGAAGGAAATACATATGCGCCAAGTTCAGCATCGCATGTTGCCGCAAACCGCTATGATGAGTTTTTCAGGTAAGTATTCTCATTACAGTGGACAAAAAACCACTCACGATTCACTACTTTCATGAAACTTCTGCTCGAAGAAGCGACGAAGGCCGACTTGTGCACGTTGCTATCCCCGATAGCTACGCCTCGTAGAAACCTATTTTCAGTCAGAGGAGAAATCCCAGTGTGCATACGGGCGGCTCTACATACTCTGCATATGCGCTTGGTTCGGCGTAATCGATCTTGTCATATTTCGTTTTGAACAGCTGGTAGTCTGTGCGTGACTGGGATGAGATAGAAGGAATCTAAGGGTGGAATGGGCACTGTACCATTCGTGATAATATCCCGACGGATGGGTCCATATCCCGGCGATGGTCCCGAAGCACGCCTGCTGTCATATCGTAACCAACCGATGAAATCCTTGTGGTATTCTTCTACACCGCCTATTGACATCTTGGAAAAGGTGACATAACAGCGGTGACAGAAGAATCCAAAGAAGGAGCGGCGACCCTAATTTCCGAGCGGTGATCCTAAGATACATCGTAAAGATGAGGTGGGGCAAAAACGTACGTATCGGGCAGTCTGAGGGAATTGTATAAGCGGAGAGAACTACCACGATTATGCGTATGTGAGAAGGCAGACATACATCATCATCGGAATCTTGAGGAAACAGCAACGGGATAGCTGAACAAATCCATGAGAAAGTTGCGCCAGTAACACTTGACTTCTACCTACATTGCATGAAACCTGATATACTCTCTGGTGTAGTAAAGAATTGATCCTGCACGAGGATGGCAGGGGTGAGTGAGGAGCCTCGGCAATTGAGATTCGTCTTACCACCAGTTGGATCTTTTCAATGAGAGTCTCAACTAAGGAATCGTCTGTTGCTTTCGCAGCGTTTTGTATCTCGGTAAACAGCTCTCTGAACGGCCTGGTTGCCGTGACCTAGCGTGTTGGATTGTCTCAGGCGTTTAGATTGATGAAGTCTAAGAGGAGGAGCAGACCTCGGAGACCTCGCGAATCATAATCCTATGCAACGCAAGAGAAAACCCCTTGGGCATCGGGTACTCGTCATCATCGGGTAAATAGACCCCGTACATGAAGATGTAGAGGAGAAGGAGGTGATGAGGGCGCAAAACATGGCTGGATCGTGAGTAGGGAGGGATTGGTCAGATGTTGCTTGAGGCGCCATTTTTCATGGGTGCGAGGAACGCTCAGTGATGTGTATACACAATCCGGTTTGCAGGAGTGGCGGGTGGTTGTAGTAGCGGAGGAAGAGGATGCGCGCTTACGCTTGATGTGAGACGTCGCGTCTCGCCTGGTCACGTGTGTGGGTTTTCTGTCCTGCGATTTTTGTTACCGGCGGCGGCTCGAGGCTCGAGCAGCCCCATTTCCCTCTTCACTCCTTGCATCGCGTTCTCCCTCTTCTATGGTCGTGAAAGGCTCTAAAAAGCGGCCAGCACAAGCGGCGCAGCGCGGCCAAGGTGCTTCAAAAAAGCGCAAAGTCGCCGCGGACTCGGGCAAGCCCGCCAAGGGCAAAGAGCGTGCGTCCGACCGGACCACGATCCCTATCCCGAATGCCGAAGACGAAGGAGACGTTGAGCTCTCCGATGATGACGCGGGCCTTCTGGAAGAGTATGGGACGGCAGCTTCGTTTTTGCAGAGCTTAGACCGCAAAGGCATCGCGAGGTATGTTCATCGCACTTATTGGAGAACCTCTCGGGTCGACAGCTTGGTCCACAGGAGCAAAAAGGAGACCGAAAGGCTACATCAGCTACACAAACCGGTCCGGAAAGCTGTGGAGGACGACCTCCCATCTGTCAACTCTCACTCGGAAGACGAGGATGATTGGAGTTCAGCCATGAGCGGATCGGAGCCTGGGTCGGAGGCCGAGGCTATGTCGGATCCCGGCGAGGAATCGGCATCTGAAGCTGAGTCCTCTCGCGCAGCCATGAAGCGTCAGCGGAGGCGAAAGCACGCGGGCTCAGACGAGGAAATGCCGTTCGAACGCAGCCTCGTAAGCGCCGTCCATATTGGGAGCCTGAGTCGGACAAGGAGAAGGGCATCGAACGGCTTCCTATCAAGCTAGCGGACGGGCGGGTCCAGAAGAGCAGTAGTAAAGTTTTCCTGGACGTCAGCGAAGAGAGCGGACTCGAGAGCGAAAGCGCGGACGAGGAGGCTGCTGCCGCGAGCCATCCTAAGGTGGACGACGTTTCGACTGGCGCGCGTTTTGGCCGCCCCGCTGTCGTGGATGTCATCAGCCAAAAGTCCCGCAAGGCTCGGGTACAGGGTGCAAAGGAACAGATTGCTGGTCTGTGCCAGGAGATCATGGGCGACCCTGAAAATAGTGTGCGTCCACCCAGCCGCTCTCAATTCATGTTTGGTTGACAAGAGTTGTTCTAGCTTGGTCTACTGAGACGACTACACACATTTTCGCTCCCTGAAATCACAACACCCACACATCCGGATCCCGTCCCGAACGACCCGATGATCCGACGACTTACTATGTTGTCGCAGCTCGCGGTATTCAAGGACATCATACCGGGTTACAGGATACGTGCGCTTACTGACAAAGAGAAGGCGGAGAAAGTCAGCCAGATGGTTCAGAGAACCCGGGATTGGGAGCAAGGGCTCGTGGGCGTGTACCAGGCGTATTTGCGCAGCTTGGAGGTGGAGCTCAAAGGTTCGAAACATTCAGCATGAATCCTAATATCTCGCGCTAATGCTTGACATCACTCGCAGCGAAGAGTGAGTTTGCAGAGCCGGCACTACACTGCATGTGCACTTTGCTGGTGGAGGTCACGCACTTCAACTTTCGTGTCAACCTCATGACATCCATTGTTGCTGCGCTCAGTCGACGATCATGGGACAAGGCAAGTCAGAACCCGGCCAGACTCTGGGATCGACTAGTCCTAACAGGTGGCGACCCCCGTTCTGCTAGACCTCGGATCTGTGCCTAGCACCTTGATCAAGGTTTTCCGCACCGACCTGACCGGCGAACCGTCTCTGGAGGCCGTCCGGTTACTGAACCGCATGATCAAGGAACGCAAGTATCAGGTCCACCCGGAGGTTTTGTCCTGCCTCTTTCACCTCCGCTTGAAGTCGGAACTTGGTGTTCGGGCGTCAGAGACGAAAGTCGACAAGGCGACCGAGGCAAGGCGCAGGCTAAGGGCCGGGCCGCTGCTCGCCGTGCGAAGGGGAAGGCGACGGACCAGCCTCATTTGAGCAAGAAAGCAAAGAAGGTGTTAAAGGAGCGCAAGGAGATCGAGAAGGACATGCACGAGGCCGCTGCGGAGGTAGACCAGGAAGAGCGCGCGTCACGGGTGAGTGGGTCTTCCGTGTGTCAGAACCATCTTCCCACCGCCGCCGCTCACACGACCACCCCACCGTCGGCGACCTAACCCTCTTTCCGACGTCTGCTTGTAGCACACGGAGGCACTCAAGCTGCTGTTCGTGCTGTACTTCAGCGTGCTCAAGAACCCACGCCCGACGCCGCTGCTGCCGGCGGCGCTCCGCGGGATCTCGCGGTTTGCGCACCTGGTCAACATCGACTTCTTCAAGGACCTGCTGCAGGTGCTCAAGACGCTGATGACGCGCGATGCCGACACTGATGAGGACGGCGCTGATGACGCGACTGCGGGCGCGAGCGCGGCGACGGCGGCCCCGGACGGCGGGCGAGACATCGCCACCGTACAGCATCAGCTATTGTGTGTCGTCACCGCGTTCGAGCTTCTCTCTGGACAAGGTGCGTCCCCGCTCGGCCGGATCCTTTCTTCCTATTCTTCTGCTCGAAGCGCACGAAGCTGACGCCCATCTGTCCCTCGCTGTGTCTAAACCGTTTGTGGCTTCCTCTTCCGCACTCGCCCCCCTCCGGACCTCGCCACCGCCATCCGCGCTCACCAACCGCCGTGCCCACCCCGGCCCGAACCCGCGATCCCAAACCGCACCGGACCTCACCACCTCGCCCTTGCACGCGCCCGCACGCCCGCTGCGCAGGCGAAGCCCTCGACATCGACCTCGGCGACTTCGTCCACCGGCTCTACGCCCTCCTCCCCCGCCTCGCCCTCCTCCCCGACGTCGACGCCCCTCCGCGCGCGTCCGCCCGGGCGCGCCCCCGTCCCCCTCCGTCGCGGACACCCTCTTCCGTGCGCTCACCCTCGCGCTCACGCCCCGCGCCGCGTCCGCCGCACCACCGCCGGCCCGTGCCGCGGCGTTCGCGCGCCGCCTGCTCGCCGCGGCGCTGCACTGGCCCCCGGGTCCCGCCGCCCGCGCGGTCGCGTTCGTCGGCGAGCTCGCGGGGCGCGCGCCCGCGCTCGACGCGCTCTTCGCCACCGACGAGCGCGGCGGGGGCGGGGTCGGCGGGGGCGGGCCGTACCGCTGGGACGTCGACGACCCGCAGGTCGCGAACGCGCTCGGCGCCGGCGGCGCGTTCTGGGAGCTCCGCACGCTGCGGAGGCGCACTGGGCGGAGGGCGTGCGGCGGGAGGCGCGGAAGCTGCTCAGTTCGAAAGTGTCGGCCGGGCAGTAGGAGGAGGGACGCAGACGGCGGAGAGCGGCGGCTGGGCATCGGCGCCAGGGGCGCGGTGTATTTCGGTGCAGTGGGGGCGTAACGTATGTACAGGACAGGGCCCCGATAATGTGATGTGGACGTAGTGTAGTGGCTATTTCAAACATGGGGTGATGACGATGGTGATACAGATCTCTAACCGGTCACGGAACGGGGTCGAGAGTTGGGACAGCGACGCGCGGGTGAGAGGGAGTAGCTCTGCATGTAGCGGATACAGGAGGCGGGAATCGTGCGAGCTAGTACATCTACATGGGCGGGGGCGGTGCGGGGCACATGGATTGTTGCTACAACGTGGTGAGGGGAGGGGGTAGTCACCGTTCGGACAGCGGTACAAAGCGAGACAGACAGACAAATGACCACGTACAACAGGAGAACGAAGGGAGGAAACCGTGCCCTGTAATGAGCAGGGGCGAATCGTGAAAGGCGTAAAGCAAAATTGATACAGCGGCTAGAATGGTCCAGAGCTCAGATGAGGCATAAATAGAGCGCAGCGCACGCCGGAAGGGGCGGTATGTGATCGTCTGTGAACAGAAAGGTATACGAACGCGCCGCGCGGCACGCGGAAGGAAGGCGCGAAGGGAGCGAGGGAACGCAAGCGGCGACCCCTGGCAAGCGAAGGCAAAGTGGCGTGGCGTGGCGTAGCATGGCAACAGAGAGCGAGGGGGGTGAGCTCGCAGGTCAGGCGGAGTGGAAGCCGTATGGCGAGGGGAGCGAGTACGCGAAGTTGAACATCCGCGCCGAGGCGTCATCCATCCCGCCTACCGCGCCAACGCCGCCCATACCAGAGCTCAGACCGACACCTGCACCGGAGCTCGCACCAGGGCTGTGGATGCCATGGTGCATGATCGGCGGCTGGGGCGAGAGGGGACCTCCGGCGGAGGTCGACACCCGCGGGAAGGTAGGCAAGGTAGGCGAGACAGGCGGCGAGGTCGTTAGGAGCTGATAGGGCGACGTGGCTGCGGTCGGGGAAGAGTCTTGGGGGCGCCAGGGACATTTCTGAACGCTGATTACCTCCATGGCGGGTGCGGGACGCCCGGGATCGGTAGTGCGGTCAATGTGGTAAACTAGCACGGCAAGAACCTCGTTGTCGACGAAGACCTGCTGAGTGATCTTGCTGACTGCAGGACCGGAGGGGTTCCGGTGCCAAACGCGCGATAGAAAGTCAGCGCAAAGTCAACGACGAGGACAACGCGTTTGAGGTCCGTCACCCAGGGAATGAATAGAACTCACCGGTGTCGATCCAATGGCAACGGGTGAGCGCCGACTCCGGCATGAAGGAGCACACTTGTTGGCCGCGCACGTCAACGCCAAGGCACGTCTGCAACTGCGGGGTCGTTACGGGGGTGAACGCGCCCACATCCTGAAGGACGATGGTGCCGTTGGCATCAGAACTCTTCGAATGGCACCGCGCAAGAGTTTGCCAGGAGCGCGCTAACGATACGGCTCCATTGATACCCTGAAAGGTAGGCGGGCATCGGAGATCGGCAACAGGTGGCACCGAAACTCGGAAGTGGAGGAAGGTGGTCGAAGGCGCGACATCGTTTGCCCCGCCCACGAGGCGGTCGAGATCGACAGCAAGCGGAGTCATCCCGTCCGCCCAGAAGTAGAGAGAAGCTATCCGGTTGTGCGGGGCATAGTCGCCCAAGTGGTCTGCATACGCCGCATGAGGGAGAGTGAAGAGGGTGGAGTCCATCGCGAGCGGCTCGAGTTTTACGGAGAGAGGCGTGCTTGCGGGAAGAGCGCCTGCGGAAGGCGAAAGACCGCCATACGCGGGATCAACCATGGAAGAAGGGGAGATGGCGCACGCGAAGTGTTCATCTCCGCGAAGATCCGCGTAGGACGACAAATTCGACTGCGGGGATAGAGACGGGTAGACGGAGGACATCTCGGGCGGAAAGTCGGAGAGTGGGAACTCGGGCGTCGAGGAGGGGGAGGAGGCGTTGGTGGAAGCGATGGAATTTGCGCGACCGCGGCCGACGGATGAAGAGCTGGTGGGGGACGCGGGGGACTTGCGGTTGGTGGGGGAGAAGAGCCCATTGTCCTGGAAGAGCTCTTCGCCGCCGGCGACGAGGTGGAACTCTACAAAGGGTTTGAGCGAAGAGAGCACGCGGAGGGAACAAAGCGCGCACCCGGTTGGCCTCTCCACATGTTGCGAAGGACCTGGATATGACTGCGACCTGCTTCTTGGTGCGCTCGACACCAGCCTTCTTGAGGTGGTCGACGAGGAACTGGTTGCGCCATCTGCTGCGGCCGCGCGAGTAGGTGGCCCAGGGGGACTGCCAGTACTGGCGGAGGCCTGGTAGGCGCGCGCGGGGCGTGAGCGGGGGAGGGAGGCGCGCGCGCGAGCGGGACGGAGCTCACCGTCGACAAAGATCTTCTCAACGTCCTTGGACCAGACCTCGCTGCCGTCCTTGAGGAGCTTGTGGTGCTTGCGGGCGGGGGTGAGATTGTCGGGGGATTCATTGAGGGAGTCCATGCTGGAGTTGGAGGGGGAGGAGAGGGGGAAGGCGAAGGGATCGGTGGGCAAGGTATACTTGCGGCGACGGTAGGCGGCGGCGACTTCTCTGCCCATGGGTGGACGCGAGGGGTGGGGAGGATGAGGAAGGTCGAAAGGGGGCGGGTGACGAGGGGGCGGGCGGCCGACATAAGGCCGGGCGCGGGGTTATATACGCACGCGAGGGAAACGAGAACGGGGGACGGAGGACGAAAGGCTTGTGCAAGCGCGGGGAGCTGTCCGGCCGTGCTCCGCTCCGCGTCGGCGCTGCCGGCGGGCTCGTGATCCGGGAATGGCAGGGATGGTCCGCGGACTGGGAGCCTCGCCCGCCCGCCACCGCCTCCTGTCCCTCCGTTTTAGCCTCCCTCGCCGTCTTTTCCCCCGCCCCCCGTCTTTCTGTCCGCCAGATCCCCCGATTCGGCACCCACACCGACCGCCAGCCGCGCGCCGCCCGCCAGCGCCAGCCACAGCGTTCACACCGACGCCTTTCACGCTTCCCAATCCGGCGCGGACAGCGTGGGCTCTGCGCGCGGACCACGCGAGTCGCCCCGCTGCGCGCGCCTGCCAAACAGTCGCATCAGTCCTTTCGTGGGCGGCAGCAGCGCGCACGAGCCGCGCGACCGCACGTCAGGCGCGCGTGAGATCGTGGGCGATCGCTGGCGGTGAGTAGCCTCGCGCCGCGTGGGGATTCCCATGCACCCGCATCTCGTCCTGCGGTGCGCGTCGCCCCGGGTCGTATGTGGCATCCATGAGCCAGCGGGACGCAAGGTTCGTCTTTGCTCAGCTGCCAAAGACGCCTGCGACAAGCTCCGCCCCGGTCCGACCCCCGCGGACGCGCGCCAAGGAGTCACGCCGGGCGTGTGCTCCTCCGACGCCACGGGCGCCTGCCACCGCACTGGACTTGTTTCCGACGATGAGTCCGAGTCTGACACAGAAATGGCTCCGCCAGAATCTCCAGCCGTATCCCGGTCCAGATCTCGTCTACGCACACGTCGACGCCGCCCTCGCCCGCTACCCGACCATCCGCCCGAAGACGGACGTCTACAGTTCAGTTCCGCCCGTCTTTTCCCCTTCTCATCTCTGACTGCGTCCAACAGCGTACGACGACGGCCGCTCTCAGCTGCTACTCTGTCTTCACGGCCTTCTTCCGATCTCCTTTCGCGGCGCCTCCTACAACATTCCTCTTGCCATCTGGGCTCCTCGCGAATATCCTCGCGAGCCCCCCATCGCCTATGTCGTTCCTACCGGCGACATGCTCGTCCGCGCCGGGCCCCAGGTCGAACCCAGCGGACGCTGCTTCGTCCAATATGTCCGCGACTGGGAGCGCAAGAGCGAGGTGCGCTTCCCCGATCTCTGCCCCGTGGATCTCATCTCCATTTGTTTTCCCAGGGTTGTAACATCATCGGCCTCCTCGAGGCGATGCAGCACGCCTTCTCGCGCGAACCACCTGTCTATGCCAGGCCCAAAGACGCCGGCAACGTACAGTCCCAGTCTCCGGGCTCCCAACCACTAGCGACGGCCGAGTATTCCCATCGCCCTCCACCGCCTCTCCCTCCATCCTCTGTCCCAGCGAATGCTTCACCCACCCCTCCTGCCGACACACGACCGGGAGGTCCGCCCCCATTGCCCGCCAAACCTGGCGTTCCTGGTGCAGCCACTGGCGTGCCCCAAGCCTCTCAAAGCACCTCGGTTCCAGCGCCCGAGATCTACCGTCAATCACCTCCAGGGTTTAGCTCTGTACGTCCGCGTCTCACCTGTGGACCAGACAATTGACCTGTATGCTAACCGTTTCTGCATCATTTACTCTACGTCTAACTGCGCAGCCTGCGCTAGGAATGCGACCCCCACCCCCTCTTCCTCAACAGGATTCGGCGGTCCCCAGCTATCCAGCAGGCTCACCCGTTCCTCCAACGTACTCATCTCACCACCCGCGCCAATCCGTAGACATTCAACCATGGTCAGGTGATCGATACTCGGAATCTCCGGCCCCGCAATATCCTCCGTACCAAACCCCGGCACAATCGTCACTACCACCACTGCCACCTCACCATCCAGCCGCTAACCCGCTCGCTGGCCCGCTGCGTCACGCGTACGGGCCCACGCAAGTCCAGACTCCGCCACCCCCGCCGCCCTTCTCCGCACCGCCTGCCCCCGGCGGCGCAATCCCGTCCTATGCGTCCCACCCGACCGGTGCGACACTAGCACCAGCGCCCGCTCCAGTACCCCCGCCGCCCTTCCAGCGGACATTTCTTGCGCCCTCCGCCACCGGCCAGCCGCCCCCTCACCCAGCGCCACCTGTGCCGGACTTGCTCGATGCGGAAGACGCGGCTGAACCGTCACCCGCCTTCTCCTCCGCCCCACCCGCGGTCGTGCCCCGGCGCCCGCCGAATCCGGAGCTGCTCCGGCTGCACGACGCGGTGCACGCGCGATTCGCCTCTGAGCTCGCGTCGCTCGAGCAGGCGATGGCGCTCGACGCGGAGCGGCTGCGCGCAAGCCAGACGGATCTGCTCGCGGGCGAGCCCGCCATCCGGGACGAGATGGCGCGGCTCGAGGCTGTGCGAGACGTGTGTACCGGCGTCGCGGCGCGGCTCGAGGGCGTCGTGCAAGCGGGCGAGCGCAACGTCGCGGAGCTGCGGCGCAAGGGCGATCCCGAGGTGGACGAGATGATCTGCTCGACGACGATCGTGTACAACCAGTCAGTGTTTCCCACTTTTATCGCGTTTTTTCTTTTGCGTCCATTGCTGTCGGCCTCCGGCCCTTGGGATCATTGACGCTGTCGTCCCTCGTCCTTGGAATCTCTCGTCGAGCGTTCATATTTTTTCTTAACTGTTGACATTGGCAATCGGGCTCTTATTTGCGTCGCGCTCCTGTCGGAACACCGTGCGTGGGCACGGCCAATGCAGCCCGACAGGCGCACTCTCCCGCACCTCTCACCGTGCTTCAGAACGCTGACCATTTTTCCCGCTCACCCTCCCCCACCATTCGATCCCCGTACACTCCACCAACCTGGACGCGCCCACTACGAACAAACCTGGGCTGCCGCTCGAAATGCACTCGCTGCCATCCGACCCGACGAAATGCTCGCGCAATTGCGCCCGCGGTGGGGGCTCTCCGGCGCCTGCCGTTAGGCTCATCAATCTGGTGGCTGAGGACAACGCGATCGAGGACACCATCTACCACCTCCACCGCGCGCTCAACGCGGGCCGCATAGACCTCGAGCGCTTCCTCCGGGTGCGTCCTCTCTTCCGCTCCCCGCCCTCCCTCTCGCGCCGCACGTCGCTATCTGTACGGGAGAGAAATGTTGGACGCCGCGATCGCGCCCGCCGCCCCGCGTCCCGCGCTCCCGCCCTCTCTCCCGCCCGCTGTTGCGTGCGGGCCTCCCTGTGCGCTGCGCACGAGCGATCGACCTTGGGCTGATCGTCGTTCTCCCCATTCTTCTCTGTACGCGCGGCGGAATCACGCTCGCCATTGCCCTCGCCCTCGCCCTCGGTGCCGTCGTGTCTGCAGACGACCCGCGTGCTCGCCGAGGAGCAGTTCTTCAAGCGCGCCCTCGTCGAGAAGATCCAAGCCGGGCTCCCGCTCGCCGACGCCGGTCGGTGGGTGCCCCCGCCTGGCTGGGGATGAGTCTTTCCAGTGACGACTTTGAGCACACAAACACACGAGCGCATAGGACGGAGGAGCGCCGCAGGAAGGACACGCTGTAGACCGCAGAGCACGAATAGAAACCCGCCGTTAGGAACATGCTATTCACGTCCCTGCGCCCAAGCTCTGGTGACGGCGGCCGAGCCCGTCCCGCGACCGCCGCTGTTGCTCAGGATTGTTGTGGGCCCCGCGGAAGCGATCGGCTCGGTCGGTCGGTCCATTGGTCCATCGTCGTTCACGGTCGCTGGCCGTCGTGGGGCGCACATCCCCCGTCGACAGCCCGCCGGGTGGAGGGGGGGGGGGCTCGGTGAGTGCTGTCCGCGCTCGGCCGCGCGGCGCGGATCGAAGGGTGCGTGCCCCGCCACGCAGGAGCGCGAAGGATGAGGTCGATCGCCGTTCGTCAGCTCCCCAGCGCGGGGGGACCGTGCACCGCTCCCGCGCGCCCACGTTGCGCGCGATGCACGCGCAGTGGGGGGAGGAACCGCCAAATGGTGCGCAATTTGGGTGCGGCGCGGCGTGGAGAGGTGATCTGTGCCTCCCCCTCCCCCTTCCCCTTTCCCCTCTTGCAGCAAGACCTGCGTCTGGAGTTCGTAGCGAAAGAGGAGGGGGAGGAGGATGGAGGAGGAGCAACGAGACGGACGTCCCGGCCCGTTTGTTGACTGTCGCCAACCACCGCGACATACGACGTACCACAGCTTTTCGCCGTCCGACCGACCGACCGATCGCCTCCAATCGGGCTCCGTGCGTATTCGCGCGTGAGCGGTGGGCAGCTGCCGAAGCGGAGCTCCCAGCGACGTTGGCTCGCCGGCGCCGCGCGGTTAACCATCCCGCCATCCGTCAGTGCGGCTAGTACGTCGTTTTCCCCTCCTGAGTCCTCTCAACCGCGGCTGTCCGGCTGTTCGCGAAGCCTCTCCCCCGGGGGCAGAATCACAGTCCTGGGGCCCTGGCCTCCTGTGTCGCCGCGCTCGTTTGCCTCTCCATGACGTTCTCGCTGTCATCGTCCGCTGCCCGCGCGCCGCACGCGGCTCTAGATGCGTCGTGGGGCGTTCCCAATCCCGATAGCCTCGACGCAGTGGGTTCCCGTCGATCCGCGTCTCTCGCCCCTCGCCGTGCGTAAACGAGGGTGGCGCGGACAACAGCACCAGCGCAAACGATTGCAGGCCACGAGAATACCTGCGTCGGGGGGCGGCGAGCGGATACGAGCGATGACGCGCGCGGCGCCCTGCCTGTGCCCGCGTCGAGACAAAGTGGGCGCGCGCGATCGCGCCGCGCGGCGGGTCGCGGGTTCAATCGCGCGCATGCCTGAGGGGGCCCAAGCGGCTCGCGACGAGTCCCGGGCTGACAGGGCGCGCAGGACGTCGACGATCGGCGCGGGCTGGGCTGGGCTGTCCTGCAGACCGCCCCGAAGCGGAGGCCGTCTGGGCCAGCTTTTGCCCGCGCACGCCGGGCGGACTGGCGGGGACGCCCGGCGCCGATTGGCGGGGGCATCGGCGATCGCTGGGCTGTCTCCCCGGCCACTCAGAATCCAGATCCCCAAGTCCAAAGTCCAGAGTCAGCGGACCGACAGCGCTGACTGGAGCACCCCCAACCGCAGCTGCTCCCGGCCCCAGTCCTCTCCTCTCCTCTCCGCGACCACCTGGGGCGTCTTGGTGCAGCCTACGCAGCTTGGAGCAGCGGGCGCAGAACGCTCGCTCGAGCCCCCGGTGCGCTGCTTTCGACACTCGGCGCGGGCGTGTGCACATGCGCAGGCGGCACACGCGCTCTCGCCCCCCGTCCGAGCCCGATCCACAGACAGGCAGCGCCGCGGGCGGGGGAGCTCGGCCTCCCGCCACGCGCAAGACGGGCTGAGACGCGGGGGTGCGCGCGTGGGGCGGCGACGGCGCGATGACGCGCGCGTGTGCGCGGGGCGATCGGGGTCGTCGTCGTGTCGGCGGCGGCGAATAGCCATGAGGCCCTCGCTGGGGTGGCGCACGGTCCGCGGGTGGCACGCGCGTCGAGGCGCGTCCGTCCCAGCCGTCGTCGGGAACAGACTCCCGGAAACACGTTTAGCCCCTCCTCCTCCTCGCGGTCACCTCTTCTTGCCCTCGTTGCGTCCGATTGTGCACAGCGGGTGGGGTCAGTACTTGGGGGTCACCAGGCGGTCCGACGGGCGGACGACCGCCGACCTCCGCCGCGTCGAGCTGACGCGAGTCTGGGCTCGAAATACACACGAGGGTGTGCTGCTGTTGCAGGGCCTGTCTGATAACCAGCACATACCCGCGCTGGACTCGCCCGTCCGTCTTCCGACATGCGACCGGAGGGCAGCCGAAGGCGCGAGACTACCAACCATCGTCCTTGCCCTCCAAGGTCGTCGCACGAGGGTCTAGAACGCACGCCCCCGGCGCCCAGAAGGACAGCCCGGCTGCGCCCCGTTTACGCCTAGCGCGCCCCGAAAGCCATCCAGCGGCGGCGCTCAGCACGGCGCTGTGGTAAGTTCAGGTGTGCGTTAAACCCCGGTGCGCGCCAACGCGCTCACGTCGGCGCCCGCACCGCAGACGGAGGGACAGGTTAGGACGGCCCCGCGCGTGAGCGGTACTAGCAGCCCACACCCACGCGCGCACTTCCTGCAGCGCGCGCGCGAGGCGCGCTGCCCTCCCAAGCTCCGGCCACGACGGACTGGGGCGCAGCTGTGGTCCGGTGCCGGCGCGAGCGTCGGGTGCGTAGAGCGGCGCCGAGTCTCATTACGCGAGCTGATAGTGTCCTAACCACTCTGCAGCCGCCCACCCACCCACTCGAGCGGGCACGCCGGGCGCCGCAAGCCACCCAACTATATGCGACTGGCAAACACGACCACTCCCCGGCCGCCGTCGGGTCTGCTCACAGAAAGCACAAGACTGCTCGAGAATACCTAGGGTGGCAGGTTCCGGCCGCTCTCGGGCGGCGCTAGACACACATACTTGCAACAAACCACTTGAGCCATGTGTCCCTTCCCTCTGCCTCACGCTCACTCGGCGCGCTGCGGTGCGGTGCGGCGAAGGATCAGGATGGGAACGGGCTAGCACTCGCACGCGCCACCCTCGCCGCGCCGAACGAGAGACTCGCGCGCGCCCCGACCGCGCCACCGCCCCCGCGGTGGCCCTTCCACCCGACCACGGCCCTGCCTCGGACGGCGTCGGAGTGCGCCGCTAGACCGTCGTCGCGCCGCGGGATGGGTCTGTTCCGCGGCGCTCTCGTCCACACACGCCCACACAAGATCCGTAGTACGCACAGTGCCGTACGCGGCCGCGGGGGTGCCTCCAACCAGCACGGAAGAACCGAGCGCCCCACTGCCCATTAACATATCTTGTCCAGCCGGTACTAGCCACGAGCACCGGCTCGCCCGGCGAGACGGGTAGGTTGGTCCCGCGCCAGGACGGCGAAAAGAGTCAACGCGATCGGGGATCGCGGCGGCGAGTCAGAACGATCGAGTGGAGTGCGGACAGGGCGAGCAGACTCGACCCGTCGATGCGAATTCAGTGCGTGAGTGCTGGCCAGAACACTCGCGTACCCCAGCGCGTGATTGCGACACCGACGTTGACTCACCCGCGCGCCGGAAGCCTAGCCCAGTGCCTCCTAACTGACTACTCAGGGCTCCGGGTTCCTCGGTTCCCTCTTCCAACGGACGAGCAACGTGGTGCGCTCGCAGACCTGTGGCCGCTATCCCTCCGATGGAGGAATGCCGGCCTGCAGCTCTGAGGTACCCATTCTATCATCGAACCCGCTGCAACCGAACCTGTCCTCGAGTGTCCAAGGGTATTCTCGGGTCGTGATGTCATTGTGGGCGCGGTTGTTTGATCTAGCTTGGGGCGGCGATCGTACAGTGCGATCGTAGACTCCTGAGAGGACAGTCAGAAACAGAAATCGTCATTCGTTAGAGATGGTGCGGTCCCATAGTACACGGTACACATAGATACTGTCATAAAGCAGTAGAACATACGGGTCGGAGCCAGGGCTTCACGAACGAACACAGGCACAGCGAGGGATAGCACACGGCATGTTGACGGATAGCATCGACGGAGAGCAGGACAAGCGAGGAAGATCGAGTGTCGTGACACAGCATGATGACGGTCCGCATCGCAGATGCGGGAGAACTCGCACTCTACGCGACGATCCGCTCCCCAAATCCGGGGGTCGCTGGCGGAAGGGTCTTTCCAAAAGCACCCACCCACTGCCAGACGCGCTGCTCGTCGCCGCCCTCGACCTCTTCCTGGTTGGTGCGGATGTTGGTGTTCGCTTCGACAACCCGTTCCACTTTCGACCACAACCGGTTCCGCTCCTTCAGACTGCGGATGTCCTGGAGGACGAGGTCGCGAAGTTGGATGGAGGACAGATACGGCTTGGGAGCCGTTACGGGGTCTGTATGGTGCGCGAACTCCTGATTGCGCAACAAGCCAAGCGCAGAGTCCACTAGTTCCGCGACCTTATCTGCCTCGATCGCTCTCCGGGCTTGTCGCCCTCGGAAGAGAATGGCGGCTGCGATAGCGGTTGCGGTGCCTTTTGATGTGTACTGTGAGCCTCGGCGAAAGAGGAATGACATCAAAGAACATACCGATCACAGTGGCTTGCCACTCGTACCATGCAGTACGCATCTGTACTTTGACCTTGCAAGGCCAGCTCATCTCTGCCTTCTTGTGGGCGAGGTAACGAGTACCGCTAAGTCATCGCATCATCAGCAAAGTACATTGAAATATTTGCGAGGATGCTGCTCACGTTGCATCTTCACCCATGAGACTCTGCCCGTCTGCAGGAGTTCTTGGACGGCCTCATTGAAGGTAGTATCCAGAGTGCCGAGGAGCTGAGGCTGATGCGTACGTCAGTAGCGTACACTTGGAAAATGATGCACTGAACTCACTGCAGTCTTTTGTTTGATGTCATCCTTGAGCCGTTCGAGTTCGAAACCCCAGAGACGAGCCTCCGTTGCGTCGTCACCCGGGGTCTTGCCGATGCCAACGCCTTCACAGACCCTGCGGCCTCGCTCGTAGGCGAGCAGCGAGTTGAGAGACTTGCCAAGGACGCCGATGTGACGCAAACGACGAGGGTCTTCCGTGCAGTGCGGCGGGAAGGCGACAGAACCAACGTACGGCATGCCGTCGAAGATGTACGAGAGAATGGCGTAGGGCAGGTTCGGGAGCTGCTCCTTGGTGAATGATGGGATTAACCGCTCATACTTGTGAAGGGCACCTTGAGGTGTCTCTTGCAGCACTGTTGGAACCCGAAGGAACCCAAGGAGAGGGTGGGGGTGAAGAATGTAGCCAGGTTCACAAGTGATAGAGGAGGGGGCACAGGTACCGTGTGCAGGGCACGGTATGCATTCGTCCGGTGGAGGGAGTAGGGAGGGGGGGGCAAGCTTCGATGACAGCGACTACGGAGTCGTCGCTTCCTAAAGAACTCGGGGTTGCTGCAGGAATTGATGTATGCTGGGCATCCCACAAGGCGGAGCGGTTTTCACGGTTGCAGCTCTCGATAGCAACCCTACGAGCCCGCATACCCTCGAGGACGGCGTTGGTGTGGGTGCCGCATCGCAGAAACCAATCCTCGCAGACTCTCCCTTGTACTCCCAAGTTGCAGTAAGCGCGAGGAGGTTCACGACAAAAATCGCTATCGAGGAGAACGCCATGGCGCCCATTTTCCAGCCGCTGCGGGAAACTTCTTGCGCAGTACCCGCCTTGACGACGGGGCCGCCATCGGCAATACGTCGGGCTACGGCTTTCACATTCTCCGCTTCTGGAGTGTCTAGCTCCTCGTCTTCTTCAACCTCTTCCTGTGGCTCTCCATGCATTTCATCGTCCGGGTAAGCGTCGTCTTGATGTCCGTCTTCGTACTTGACATCGGATCGTGGACTCTCGTGGATGAATGGCGACTCCTCCCGTTCATCGGGTAGGTCGCGTACGATGGACGGCTGACGCGGTGCCGTGATTGCGGCAGGTAGCACGGGTTCAAACAAGCTCTCGGGAGGCCTTACGGACGAGCGGCGAGTGCGTGGCTTGCCCCCTTCCTTCTCCATCGTAGACGAGAGCGAGTCCGGAGGTGCAGACATGGACTTGCGAGACTTGGGCGCAGGTCGGCCAGACGCAGAAGACTTGCGCGCGCGAGGACGAACTGGTGATGGACGCAATGGAGATGAGTCTTGGAAGACGTTGTTGTCCTCCCAGCCCGATTCCGGGTCGTCAATGAGAGGACCGGAGATACGGCGTGCATGGGTTCCAGCGACATCAGTCTGCACTTGCATAAGACAGTGCGCAAGGAGCGAGAACAGGAAACTACGCACAGTCTTTGCAGGTCGTCCGACCTTGCGGACAACAGGCTCATCCTCCGGCTCGCTCTCCTCAACCACCGTCGGTTGCGGGTGTCTAGACGAAGGGCGACGACGAGACGGCCCTCCCAAGGAGGGTTCTGCTGTTGCACGACGTCGCTTTGACTGTGTGGTCTAGGACCATCAGCCAGGGTACGTGAGACAACTGAGAGGGACAGCAGACTTACTGCAGCGTCAGGAGGAGGAATTTCTTCCGGCGCGGGAGTCTTGGAAAGGCGCGAAGAGCGCCGCATAATGCCCTGGGATCCCCAAATCAGTGCAATTCGTGCGCGAAGGGGGCGAGGGGTCGCGCGCACCTGTTTGCTAATGGGCTTGCCAGTGACACCGTCGGTGATACCGTCGTCGCTGGCGCCGCTGTTCTCGCGCTTGATGCGCTCCTTCGTGAATTCTTCGCCTTGATCTTCACTTCTTCGTTGAAGACCTGCACGAGTTTGGCCTTGGCTTGGCTTGAGGGGAAGCTAATGTTGTGGAAGCTGAGTACGCCGCGCAACTGTGAGATAGTGAGGGTCGATGGGTCGAAGTCAGGCTTGAGGTAGTCGCCGAGCTCGATGACCTGCGTCGAGGTGAGGCCACGCGACATGGTGGGTAGGAGGGTGGGTCGGGCGCGCCGGCGGCAGGCACAAGCGCGGGTGTGGAAGGTGGGGGCGAGTACGGAGAAGGACGTAGTTGGGGTTCAGGTCGCGGCGCGTCGTGTTCCCACGCGTCATGCGCGATAAACAAACACGCGATTGCGACCACCCCTGTCACGTGCGTGGCGCGTCGAAGCCTGCCCTTAGCGCGGTGTCGACTCATCTTATCTGATAAACTCCATGTTCAACGTCCCCGGATGACGTCCGTCGGGACCGCGATGCATCCCATACTGGGTCCTAAACCAACCACGAGAAGACCGCAATCGACCTTGGTATGATTTCTAGTCTCATTCGGTGCCTTTCTGTCGACTCACATCGAGCGCAGCGACCATCGCGTCCTCGCTATCGCTCTAACAGACCGGGACGGTACTCCTCCCATGTACCGCAGCTTCGAGCCTGAACTGCACGGAAATCCACTCGCATCGCCAGACAGACGGGTCAGGTGTCCATATGCCTCTGTAAGCCCACGGGTGTCAAGACGTATATAAACGTGCACTTCCCGGCTGGCCTGTTCCCTCCCATCCCCAAGGTCGCCCACCTCCAAGCCTCCCTACTCTCGTAATCGCACTCCAGCCGCCATGTCTTCTCAAGGATTCGACGACTGGGTCCGCTCCGACCGCTTCCACAACAGCTTCCTCCTCGCTCCCGACGCCGACCTCGACTTCGCCCTCCAGAACATGGCTGACAACGGCCTGCCTCAGATCGCCGTCAGCGCCGCGCAGGGCAAGTTCCTGTACCTCCACGCCCGCGCGATCGGCGCGAAACGCGTGCTCGAGGTCGGCACGCTCGGGGGGTGAGCCCACCCACTCCGTCCCGCCCACCCAAGCACCGCTGACCGCCGCAGCTACTCCGCGATATGGCTCGCGCGCGCCCTCCCAGCCGACGGCGAGGTCGTGACGATGGAGGTGGACGAGAAGCACGCGACGGTCGCGCAGGCCTCCATCGACCACGCCGGGCTCGCCTCCAAGGTCAAGATCGTGCGCGGCCCCGCCGTCGACTCCCTCGCCGCACTCCCCTCCGAGCCCAAGTTCGACCTCGCGTTCGTCGACGCCGACAAGCGGAGCAACCTCGCGTACCTGCTCGAGGCCGAGCGCCTCGTCCGCCCCGGCGGCGTCATCGTGCGTGCCTTTGAAGCCCGCACGACCTCTGCGCGTTCACGTACGCTGACGCGAACCGCAGATCATCGACAACGTCGTCCGCTACGGCCGCGTGTCCAACCCGGCCGATCCCGAGCACGACGGGATCGACTCGCAGGGGGTGCGCCGCATGCTCGAGCACCTCAAGACGGACAAGAACGTGGACGCGACGACGATTGCGACCGTTGGCGAGAAGGGCTGGGACGGCTTCTGCTACGCCATCCGGCTCTGATATCTGAGTCGTAGTAAGCGTCCCGCCGCCTGCAGTTGCAAGTGCACTCTGCAACCGTGTAACTGCAGCCTCATTTGTGTACGAGACGCGATGTTGGCGGATGGTAGAACCGCAAAGGACATGCATGCCACTTGTACACGGACTGCTTTACGACGTATTGGGGTATTGCAGCCTCATAAAGGAAGCGTGGAACCGCAGTTGAAGGTAGTTCCATCATCTGCCGAACAATGTACCGCCCACAACACATCTGGCATCATTGATGGTGCAAGGCAGAGCAACGCATCTCCACAGGCAACAAGATCGCATCAGGTCCTGAAACGAACCTTGCAGCCAAGACAAGAACAAGAGATCACACATCACACGAAAAATGGTGGGCGTCCGACCTGTTCGTATTGCTACACTACAGCGACTGCCCTAATTTCGGCGGGGGGAGTGGTCAACCTTTTCCTCGCATGCGAGCAAGGGAGGAAACAAAGAGGGTGCAAGGGGATCACGCCGCTAGCGTGGTAAGGGGGATGGGCCGCGAGAGCGCGCGCCCTGGAGAGACTATCAGTAAGTGTCCATGCAACGAGTCCGTGTGGTAACACCGGCGGGAAGTGGTATGAGCGTACGGTGAGCTGAATCTACAATGCGTATGGGGGGCCCAGAATAGTCCGTAAAAGAGCTATGGCTATAGAGGGGGGCACACCTTTAAAGTCCTTCATGTACACGAGAAGCATTACGACGAGCGATGTGCTAGGAACACGAGAGTACCGGGAGGGAGCAGCACCACGCTTAGAGCGCGAGGATGACGGCGGCGAACGCGGCGGCACCGAGGACGGCCGTCGACGCAACCTTCGAGACGGCACCGTTGGACTTCGACGTCTCCTTGGTGTCGGCGGCGGCGGACGCGGACGAGGGCGCGGCGCTGGACGAACCAACCGAGGGCGCGGCGTCGACAGCGTTGTTGACCACGGTCATGTCGGTGGGGAACATGAGCGGGGCGTCACCGTCCATCTTGATCGAGCCGTCCGCCTGAAGAGCCTCGGGGTTGAGCGCAAGGAACGCACGCGTGAGGAGGACGTTCTCGAGCGCCGAGGTCTGGGCCCAGCCGGGGAGCGAGGAGATGTCGATGTTCTGACCCCAGTTCGCGGCCGCGGTGTTGTTGGCGGTGAGCGTGTTGGTGTACGCCATCATCGCGGCCATGTCCGAGGAGTTGGCAACGGCGGAAGACATCATCGAGGCGACCGAGCCGGAGGAGCCAGCAGCCGAAGCACCGTTGATCATACCGAACATGCCCTTCTCGCAGTGACCGGGGGTGCCGCAGTAGAAGAAGACGGGGTTGGTGTCGTTGACGACCTGGGTGAACTCGAAGGTCTTGTTCTGGGTGCCGGACGCGAAGGGCGCGTTGGAGGTCTTGTTGCAGAGCTCGAGGGCGGACGACTTGGTGACGGTGTGGTTGTTGGCGCCCCAGACGTACTTGACGGTGTCGCCGACAGACGCGTTCACCGCGAAGGGCACGTACTTGAGCATGCCCTGGGTGGGGGCGACGATGACGGTGTGGGTGGTGCCAGAACCGGTGGAACCGTGGTACTTGCCGTCGTTGGAGTTGTAGGACGACGAGGGGGTGTAGGTCGAGGGCGGGGGACCGAAGTCAGCAATGCACTTCTGCACGCAGTCGTTGTAGCCAGAGCCACCCCAGTTGTTGTAACCAGACCCGTACGTCATGGTGGAGGTCATCGCGGAGGTGGTGCTGGTGGACATGACGGAGGTAGAATCCTGAGTCATGGTGGACTTGTCGGACATCATGCTCGACGAAGAGGACATGCTTGAGGAGGACATCTTGCAGTCACCGCCCGAGCATGACGAAGAGGACTTGTTGCAGTCGCTACCCGAGCATGACGACGACGACTTGTTGCAGTCGCTGCCAGAGCAAGAGGAGGAAGACTTGCTGGAGCTGCAGTCGCCGTTGCTGCAGCCAGAGGAGGATGAGCTCGATGAGCTTGAGCTGGAGGAGGAGCTCGAGCTCGAAGAGGAACTGCAGTCGGAGCTGCTGCACCTGTAGACGGAGGCGGGTGGGTTGAGCGAGGGATTCGGGGAGCGCGTGAAAACGAAGGGCGTGTGAAAAAAGGACTTACCGGACTTCGTTGGAGGGGCCCGGGATGGGAGCGGGGAGGGCAGCGACGGCGCCGATGAGGAGGGCGGAGGAGAAAAGGGTGGAGAAACGCATTGTCGTAAAGCTTTAAAAGACCGTAGGGGTTCGGGCGGTGGGACAGGAACTAAAGGACTGATAGTCAATCAAGACGTAGAATGGGCCTCCCGGAGGTGGTGCGTTGAGCGGTTCCTGTCAAAGGAGGTAGTGATCTGGGCCATGGTTAGCAGGAGGTCTCGAGAGAGGCGGAATAAGCTCACCCCGAAGAAGACGAAAAAAGGGAGCGAGGCGCAGCTCGGACCCGGAGTAGAAAGAAAGAACGAAGGGGCGAACGAAAAGGTTGGCGGACAGCGACCGGGGCGGGCCCAGGACTTATATCGAGGCGGCAGGGCAGTTCGGGGATAGCCTGTCATGGCGACAGATCTCATCATCCCCTCCGCCTCCTCCCGCCCATGGCTGCCACACCCCCGGGAGCCAATCCCCGGCCCCGCGCACTGCTTCCCAGGCGCGCCCGCCATGCCCAATCCCTGCCGCGCGTCCATCCTGCCATCAGCCCGCCGTGTTCCCCGCAAAAACACGCCCAGCTCTCGCCCACCCGCCCGCTCATCACGCCCCATCTTGTTCGCCGTGCACCCGACCAAGACCAACAGGATGGAGCGTCACCACCCTCGCGCGTTGGGCCGCGCGCGAGTGAGCACCGTCGAGGACCAGGAACGTCTCAATCATGATCCCGATCTGAGATCTCTCTCCCGGCTGCCCCGGGCTTGACCCGGCTCAATCCTCTCCCTCCGCCTCTCCCTCGCTCTCGTCGCCCTCCAATCCGCGTCCGACGACAGAACACAGCGCAGGCCCGCCCGACGCTTTCCTCTTCCTCGTCTTGCGCCGGGCCCCACCACTCCGGCGCTGCCCTGTCTCCGCTGTTCGCTCTCTGTTCGACGCCCGTGAGGCAATGAGCCCGCGCTGGCGACAATCACGCCGAATGTAACACCCCAGATCACCCGTTGACGTCCGCGACGCCCTCCCAGCCTGTTTCCCATGCACACAAGCCAACAACTCGCCCAGGCTTGTTCGCAGTCTGACAGGCGTGCTGTCCCGCTCCCGCCAATCACCTCCCGAGCCCATCCCTTCTCTCCGTCCCACGCTGACCTGCTCTGCCCCGGGACACAACTGCACACAACAATCGATCACGTTCGACCGACAACACGCCACCTTAATCCACATCGACAGCTCTGTCGTCCCAGCACGCCGCGTGGGTGTGAATCCACAGTTGCAAATACACAGCAAAGTTGTTGCACCCGAGGCCCGACGAGCTATGACCTACTGCAACAACAAATTCATCTATTCGCTCGACGGATGTGAGCGTCCGAGTATACAACCGTGAGCGTCGCTGGGCGGCGAGAGTAGTAAGCGTTCCAGCCAATGAACCGCGGTCCGCGTCTCCCCTTGCACGCCGTCCCTGGAGCCTGAGGGTAGAAGCAACCCACCCAGCCAACAGTTCGGAGCCGAGCCCCAAGCCAATCTCCCAAGCCCATCGAAGCCTTCTAAACAACGCACCCGTCGTGCCCAGAAAGCCATCTGCACCAAATTGAAATCACCTCAAATCAATCACCCTCCCGCCCCCTCACCCGTTGTATCCTCCGCGCAAATCGCTCACGCCCGCGCCCGCACGCCCGATGGCAGCCCCACTCCCGGCCGCCCGCGCATCCCAACAACGCCCAGCGGCGCGGCCGTACCCGGCCCGCGCGAGCCGGGAGCCATCCGCCGCCGCGGCTCGGGCTCGTAGCGCATCGGCTCGGGCTCGTCGTAGTGCACGGGCTCCTCGACGCGCGCCGTTGCGGCGCGCTTCGCGTCGCGGAGCTCGCGCAGGCGAGACGCCGCCTTCGTCACCGGTTGTGCGGGCTCGTCGTCGTCGTCGTACCGGCTTCGCGCGGGCCTGCGGGCGCCGCGGGACTGTGCCTGCGCCTGCGCCTGCTCGCGCTCCTGCTGCTGGCGGTCCGCAAGGGTCAGGCCACGGCGAGGACGCGGCGGGGGCACGGCGACAGGCTCGAGCTCGAGCTCGCGCTCGTCGCGGCCGCGGCCGGTCGAACGAGGTTCGTCGCGGGATGATCGGGGTGTTTCTTCATCGCGGCTGCGAAGGCCGCGTTCGCGTTCGTCGAAGAGCCATTCGGGGAGATCCGCGGGGCCGCGCGCTTTGTCGATGTAGTAGGCCTTCATCACACGCGTGAGGTGGGATTCGCCGTTGCCTGCAGAGAGGTCCAATTCGGGGCGTCAGTCAAATCAGGGTGCCAGATGCAGATGCGCGGGCGAGGGTTCTGAACAGCCACAGTGGAGCGCGTCGGATGGCGGGCAAAGCGAGATCGAGCACCGTAATGAAACAACGCACCTTCACCGCTTACGGCGGGCGAGTTCTTGTACCAGTTGCTCAACCCGCTTGCGACAGTGGTGATGTTCGACCAAAGCGACGAGCCGGCGCCCGACGCCGGCTTGTCGTCCATCTTCTCGTCCATCTCACGCGAGTCCAGGCTCGTCCGAGACGACGCAACGCTTGCACCAGACCGGTCGAACATGTCTGAGCCGGACGAGGACATGGATTCGCGGTCAGAACGCCTATTGTACGAGTCGTAGTCCCTCGACCGCGTGGAGTGAACGGGGCCGCGGGAAGAAGCGCGGGAAGGGAGGCCCCTCGTCCTGTCGTCCCTCTCGTATCTATCCGGACCGCGGGAGGGCGCGCGCGCAGGCAAATCGCGGCTTCCGGGCTGCCTGTCGAATCCGGCCTCTGACCGGGGGGCGCGGGGGTAGGAAGGCACGGCAGGGGCGTCATCGTAGGACGGGCGACGGCGCGGCTCGTCCCTAAGGTCGACAGAACGAGCGCGCGAGGCGCTCGAGTTCGAGGGGTTGGAAGGAAGGCTCGTGTACGACTTTTGAGGCCGGAGCGAGCGGGGTTGGTTCGGGAGGGAAGGGGCGGAGGAATAAGAGGAAGGAGGCGGACGGGAAGGGATGTCTTGCCTGGGCTGGGTCGGGAACGCTGACCGCCCGCGAGGGTTTGACGGAAGACCGGAGCCAATACGAGACATGGCGTGTGGGATGTTTGGGGACTCTTGGAGAGTGGGAGCTGAAAAGTGGAACCAGCGCGACGAGGCGAACCACAGTCAGACCGGCTGCTTGAGAATACAGTGAGTGTCTCCGGAAGGGCAAACAGAGAACCGAGCTCACCGAGACCACTGTTATGTACGCGAATTTGAGGGGCGAGGTGTCTTGACTACCACGATCGACCAGCGACGTGTTGCTTTCTACTCCGATTGGCTGGACTTTCCACCAACGAACTGGCGGTGGCGCAGAGCTGATCGACTTCAGGCCCGAAGACATGAGCAAGGGAAGGGACAGACGTACCGATGTCGGCGGTTTATTCACAGGAAGGGGCGGGCGTATTAACGACGACGAACCGGGCGCAGCTCTCGGCTCTTGTCAAACCGTGTCTTCCGAGGGCATCCAACGGTCGAGTCAAAACCGGGCAATGTACAGGTATGAGAAAGAGGAAAAAAGGGCGGTGAGAAGCAGGGAAGGACGTGAAATGAACTGCCAGCAGTTCGTCCTACGGACCAGGTGAGGAGGGAACGGAAGGAAGCGAGGCCGCCGTGCAAGAGGACGGAGGGAGGGAGGACGTCGGTAACGATGGTGACTTGCCCCGAGGGCCGTGAGACGCGTCCCGGGCTGGTCGGGGGTTTATGCGCGCGATGCGCTGCCTCAAGGCCTCAAGGGGGCCTGTCGCAGCAGCATCATTCTCCGCAACGGATGGCATGCGCTACAGGCTTAAGAACCCTGCTCAACGAGCGCAACTCCAAAATTCGAGTGAGCGGTGGAGCGCCCTCTGTGGTCTCGAGTCGCGGGCGAGGGCTGGCCAGCCTCGGAAACCGAGGGCGCGGGCGTCTGCTCTGTCAACAACATGCGGCGATAATGACGTGACCGGGGCCCTCTGCTTTTCCGAATGTCTGTTTGATTCGGAATAGTCTCTCATATACTTCCTGCTCGCCCCTTCGACCCGCCTCTCTCTATCCCTTGGGCGCCCTCACCATCGTTTGCTTCTGCTGTCGCGTTCGTCTGCCCTTCCCCGCACCCAAAATGTTCGCGCTCAGGTCCAAGGCTCTCGCCAAGTCCACCCACACCGTGGCGAGGTGGGCGAGCACCGCAGCGGAAAAGGACAGCTACAAGGTCGTCGTCATTGGTGCAGGTAAGCCAGAGAGATGAAACACCAGGCATTCTCCTCGAACGCTGATTGGCCTGCGCGCACAGGTACCGGCGGTCTCAATGTCGCCAACCAAATTTACAACCGCTTCAAGAGCGCGGGGAAGGCTTTGAACGCGGGTGACATTGCTATCGTCGACGCTGCAGAATACCACTACTACCAGGTGGGCAGTTGGGCATGTGCTGTCTCCTCAATTTGTCTCACTACCTGTCTACCATCGGGCGTTCGGGGGCACAATAGCCTGGATGGTGAGTTCATGGTCGCGCGACCTCTGATATGCGTTATAGAACTCAACCGCGCACAGGACACTTGTTGGCTCGGGCCTGAAGCAGAAGGAGGAGATGCGTCGGCCTATGTCCGACCTCATCCCTTCGCACCTTGCCCACATTGTTGAGAACGTCAAGACCTTCGAGCCCAAGTCCAACTCCGTCACGACTACCTCCGGCCGCAAGATTGGGTACGAGTCTCTCGTCGTTGCTGCCGGTATCCAGGTCAACTGGTCTGCCATCCCCGGCCTTGAGAAGGCCCTCGCGGATCCGAGCTCGGGTGTGTCTTCCATCTACTCCTACAACACGGCGGACAAGACATGGAAGGACATCGACGCTCTCCGCTCGGGCAAGGCGATCTTCACCCAGCCCGCAGGTGTGATCAAGTGCGCCGGAGGTACGTCGCACGTCCCGCTCACCGCCTTCGGAACGTGCATCAACTTGCCGTACGTCAACCCCAGCTCCCCAAAAGATCATGTGGATGGCCTGGGACCGCTACCAGCGCACTGGACGCGGTGACAACATCTCCATCGACTTCTACACCGGCATGCCGACCATGTTCAGCGTCAAGAAGTACTCCGACGCCCTGAACAAGATGCGAGAGGAGCGCGGTGTCGGCGCGCAGTTCGTCCGCAATCTGACGAGCATCGACGCTGCGGCGCACAAGGCGACGTTCAAGACCGCAGACGGCTCCGTTGACGTCGATTACACCCTCCTGCACGTCACTCCGCCCATGGGCCCGCTCGAGACGCTGAAGAGCTCACCGCTCGCGGACGAGGCTGGCTGGGTCGCCGTGGACCAGGCGACGTTGCGGCACACGAACCCGGAATATGGGAACGTGTGGGCTCTGGGCGACTGCTCGAGCCTGCCCACGAGCAAAACTGCGGCTGCGATCACGGCGCAGGCTCCCATCTTGACCGAAAACCTGTTCTCGGTCGTTGACACCGGCAAAGTGACAAAGGCGGCGTATGACGGATACACCAGCTGCCCTGTACGTATCTGCGCTGCGCATCAGATGTTATGCGATCCTGATCCAATTTTATCGTCGCAGCTTCTCACTGGCTACAACCAGCTCATGCTTGCGGAGTTCAAGTATGGCCTTGAGCCCAAGGAGTCGTTCGCGAGCTTTTTCGGCGACCAGGCCGTCCCCCGCCTGCCTTACTACTTGCTGAAGAAGGACTTGTTCCCCTACGTGTACTGGAATTATATGGTATGCAGTAGACTCCTACTGAGTCGTCCTTGTACTGATTTGTTTCTCGTAGGTTAAGGGCACATGGTTCGGTGCATCTGGCTGGACGCGCCCCGATTTCTCGTAAAATCGCCGTGCTGCTTGTTCGCACGACACGTACGATTTGCGACCATCTTATATCCACATAGTGCATACCATTTAGCTTCTGCATGGGGCATATGCCGTGAACCTGTACTTGGCACAAACCACGCTATGAGCTGCTGAGGTATGTGTTTCACCGTGCAAAGTGCTATCATTCGCGGCGTATCAACAGTCACAGGAATCTCGCCTACGTCGCTCAATGATGCTGCGCCCTGTTCGCTTTTGTCAATGCCTGCTCTTGTCGGTCTGCTCTTGTCGAGCAGGCAGGCCGATCAAAAGCCGAATATATCATCTATCTCGTCTCGTTTCTTCTTTTTCTTTACGGTATTGCCACGATCCGGTGCATCTTTTTTGCGTTTGGGCGGCTTGATCGGGGGCGGTGAAGAGACCCGCGCATGCGCAGTGACCTCTTGCGCAACTGACAAAATTATCGTAAGTAGGCGTAGAGACCATGCTTGAACTGTATGCAGCTACCTGAGACGCTGGCTTCGAGCTCACTAGAAAGTGTGAATGTCATATGAGGAGTAGCTGCTTGCTCCCCTGGTGTAGATGAACGTTGCACCGTGTTGAGAGTGACTGTCCCTGTTGAATCCGAGATTGTTTGAGGATGGCGAGCGACTGTATCCCCAAGGTCTTCTTCAGGAATGTACCGAGGTGTCGGGGCTTGACTAGGATGAGAAGATACCATGGCCGACGGCGCTGTCGACGCAGGAATGCTCTGCAGTTCCGCCGTCTGCAACGGTCTTACTACTTTGGACAAGTCAGAGGGCTGCGTGCGAAGGTGAGTGAGGATACAACTTGTTCTGCAAACCATCGACTTACATGAAGCACTTGCAACGCACAGTATGCTGCAGACCACGCTATATCGAGGGCACCCCTCGCCTCTAAGAGAAGCGTGCTCAAGCGAGACGCTATGGCACTAAGTGTCACAATGAGTTGCAGAAACGCGCTCGTTTGCATCATGAGGTTGAACGCTCTGCAAAGACATTAGAAGCGAGCGCATGCGCAACCGCGGCATGACTCACTGATATACAGAAAGCAAACGTTCTTGTGTCTGATTGATGTTGAGCACAAATGCAGCACGAAGATTGTTAGCGCAGACCTTGTCTATGAGGGTGCAGCAAGAGCTACACCTCTCTAAAACATATAAAATTGAGGATGCGTCGGGGTACTTCGTCCACGGACCTTTCAGGAGTTTGCTCCTAAGCATCTTTGCATGAAGTCTTCAATTCGCGGAAACCTCGCAAGCTCACTCACGTCCTTTCCGATGCTTCTCCCCAGAACGACAGCCTCAGACTCTCCACCACATCCCATAAGTGCATCTCCTCTACACGTCCCCCATATCTCCTCATCTCCGCTACGCGTTGCCAAAAAAGTGCAGTCCGATGTTGGTTCTTGCCCTTGTAGTACAATCTCTCCAAGACTTGGAGCTCGGTCCGATGGCTGGCGAGAACGACCCGCAGTCTGCGCGTACATGTCCTCAGACGCTTGAGTAGAGCGTCGACATCCGGTTGGAATTGGGTCGCCAGTGTCGAGCGAGAGTTGCATACGAGAGATGGGGGAGGTACGCGTCGGCGCGCAGCCATATTGTAACTGGGAGCAAAGCCAGCTGCAGACAACCCGCCGTACCGAGCACGTTATATGCAGGCCACACGGGCGCCTCTACGCGGGCAGCATCCTGCCGTGCTCCCTCATCCGTGCCTTGTACGCACCCCCACGATCTTACTCCCCCCTCGGCTGTATACCCTCTCATTGTCCTGTTCCGTGACGCGCGGGTCTAGTCTTTCAAGATGAGCGGACAGGGCGGCCAAGATGCCAAGTTCTTTCAGCGAGGCAAGATTCAGGTGCGCGATCACCTCGAGTAGCTCGCCCAAGCGGCCGCGGGGGTCTTAGCGGAGCATGTCTACAGGAATTCCGCGCCGAGCTGGAGGCGGCAGAGTCGAAGGACAAAAAGTTCTTGAAACGCAAGACGGTCTTGAAGAAGATCGTCGCGAACATTACGATGGGTAATGACAGTGCGTACCCCGTCCTTACCGGCCTGCCCAGCACTTACGTGAATATAGTGTCTCCGCTATTCGCCGATGTCGTGCAAAGCCTGGGAACACCACTGCTGGAGATTAAGAAGAGTCAGTGCCGGGGGACTTCAGTACGACACGCCGGAATGCTTAACTCCTCACAGTGGTGTACCTCTTCCTCGTGTGTTACGGCCGACAGAAGGCCGATCAGCTCCATATGGTCATCCCCAGCTTTCTCCAGGTATGTACATACTCTGAGTTTTCGCGCGCAAGAGGAAGGTCAACAATGTCCAGGATTGCAACGACCGGAATCCCCTAGTACGGGCACTGGCCATCCGCACTATGTCCTACATCCCTACCCCCGTGGTCACCGAAGCACTGACAGAGCAACTACGACACTGTCTGAAAGACCGGGATCCCTACGTCCGAAAGACGGCTGCCATCTGTGTGGCGAAGCTATATACCACGGATCCTAGGACGGCCGAGAAGGAAGGTTTCGTGGAGCAACTAAGAGATCTCCTGCTGGACACAAACGCGACAGTTGTAGCCAATGCGGTCGCTGCATTGTCGGAAATCGGAGATCGACAAGACGGTGTCATCTTTAGATTGAATTTGACAGTGGCCAACAAACTATTGACTGTGCTGGGGGAGAGCTCAGAGTACGTCCGACTGGTTCAACGCCCATTGTTCACAGCCTAACGACGTGCAGGTGGTGTTCGATCTACATCCTTGATTCGCTTTTGCGATACGTCCCAGAGCGGCACGTCGACGCCGAGATGATGGCAGAGCGTGTTATAGTACAGCTCAACCATGCCAACTCAGCCGTCGTGCTCACTTCCATCAAAGTGCTGCTTTACCTCATGAACTACATGGAGAATCGTAAATTGATGGACTACATCTGTAAAAAGATGGGTCCACCACTTGGTAGGTCCACGCTTCTCAAGTCCAACGAACATATTTAACCTCTTGAACAGTAACACTACTATCATCTGGACCTGAGGTCCAATACGTCGCATTGCGCAATATTCTTCTCATCATCCAGCGAAGACCTTCTGTGCTGAAGAACGATGTCAAAGTCTTCTTCTGCAAGTACAACGACCCAATATACGTCAAATTGGCGAAACTGGAGATCATGTACCGCCTAGCGCGAGAAGAGAATGCGCGAGAAGTACTAGCGGAGCTTCAAGAGTGAGCTGATTCTAGTGTAACTCATGCTCTTACTGACCGCATGCAGATACGCGTCTGAAGTTGATATCGACTTTGTCCGTAAAGCTGTCCGTTCAATAGGTCGCTTGGCCATCAAAGTACAGCCAGCCGCAGACAGCTGTATACAGGCCCTGCTTGACCTCATCGAGACCAAGGTCACCTACGTTGTTCAAGAAGCTGTCATTGTCATCAAGGATGTGTTCCGACGGTACCCTGGGAAGTACGAGGGCATCATTCCCAAGCTTTGCGAGCACCTCGATCTCCTGGATGACCCAGAATCCAAGGCTGCGGTGATCTGGATTATTGGGCAATTTGCCAACCGCATCGACAACGCGGACGAGCTGATGGATGACCTCACTTATACTTTCCTCGAAGAACCCACAGAGGTTAGTTCACCGTTCCTCGCAACGTGCATTGATCCACATGGCTCACTGGCGTGCCAACGTGATGGTCGACATAGGTACAACTCGCGCTCCTCACGGCTGCTGTCAAGCTGTTCATCTACAAGGCAACATCGGACACCACCAAGTCTCTCGTTCACAAGGTTCTCAAGTGGGCGACGGAAGAGGTTGATAACCCCGACCTACGCGACCGCGGTTTCATGTACTGGCGCATGCTTGCTATCAACCCTGCGGTGGCGGGCGAGATCGTTCTCGCCGAGAAGCCCGCCATAACGACCGACGCAGATCGGATGGACCGCGGCGCGCTGGACCAGCTCCTGCTGCACACTGGGACGCTCGGAAGCATTTATCACAAGAACCCTGAGGTACGGCAGCCTTCGTCCTGCCCAAGCTGCCCGCGCGCTAACTTTATCGCAGACGTTCATTCGCAACGCAACGGGCAAGGCCCTGGCCGACAGTCCCGCGCTGAACTCGCTCTCTCGCCAGGTTCTGGTCCCCCTTGCGCGCTCCCATGGTCTACCGAACACGGTGGTTGTCTCTGGCCCCGGCCCCGCCGAGCCTGCGAAGGCGAGCAACGGCGAGCTCGTCGCGACCGACACGAACGGCGCCGCGGCGCATGACGGCTCTGCCAAGCCCGGGCCGTCGGCGTCGAGTACATCCCTAGAGTCACCGATGATCGGGAACGACGACGACGAGGGCGTGGTGTCACCCCCGGTGTCTGCGGACCCATACGCGGGGCTGAACAACGCTTTTGGCGGGTACGTGGCAGACGAGCCGCGGCCGCAGGGCCAGGACCTGCTGGATCTGATTTAGGGTGGAGGGCTTGTATATCATTATACGGATGTAGTGTATCATTCTATCAATGCGCACACGTTGTTTTGACGACCTGTACAGTATATTGGTGTGTGGCGAGAACGTGAGGACGATCACGGAGCAGCCAGGTGAAGGAACACCAAATGGCATGACGCAACACGGCCCAAGCCTGAGACCGCCTGCAAGCCGCTGTACATAGGTTCATCGACACTGTCATGCGAGTCTATAAAACTACATATCAAAATCCCTGTCGTACACGGCATGCTGTCAGGTCTCGTATATGGCGACCCGATCCCCAGAAAGATTCCCACTTGGCGGAGGGTGTGCCCTATTATGTTTCGCAGCTGCATATCGATCTAAACACCGTCTAATGATATCAATGAAAGGCAGCCTTGATGGTGTTCAGCACTGTTTTAGGCCTGAGTGAATTGTAGTGCTGCGGTAAACTGTCAGCGCCAAATGCTCGACCTCGAGATTGAGACATCATTACCTCCCCCAGACCATATAGTCTTCGATGATAACTGATGTAGACCCGTTTGTCACCCGGCGGTAAAACAGACCCAACAGGCTCATGAACGACCACCGGAGGCTGACCACCCTGTACGACGTGTATGGGAACATTGTATACGCGACTGAGAGCTTGGATCTCTGGTTCCCCGCCCCAGATGGCGGTGTCTCGCATCCTAGTGCAGTAACCCTCGAACTGGGCTCGGGTCATCAGGCCGGAGTCGGTCGCGCCCGCAGCATCCTCGCCAGCTTCTGAGGGGAGGAAAGGCAAGAAATCATCGGGATGGCTGTGGATATAGCTTGCAGCAGACATTCGAGTCGCGGCGTAATTCGCTTGTCCGGACGGGAGGATTCCAAGAAGGGACAGTTGATCCGCCACAGCAGAAAAGAGACAATGTCCGTCCGGAGTGATCTGGAGAGAGCACAGATATGAGGAACGCAGCAATGATGCCGATTCCCGTTCCACACCTCGAACATCGTGAGGCCCAGTTCTTCGCAAGTCTGTTTGATGCTCGCCTCCTCTTCCTTGGTTTCGCGTTGGATGCGGGCGTCCGCCTCCGTGTCGTTCGGGGCGTAGCTGTCCACGAGAGCAGCAGCTTTCCTAGCCTAAGGCACGGCACATTTCAGCGAGTGTCTATAGGGATGCTGGTATGCACGCACCTGGCGAGCTTTGAAGCGCGCTTTGCTGTCTTTCTTCGCAGCATCTTCCGCGCTCTCAGCGACTTGGTTTATCTGCATTTCTTGCAGCACTGTGGCAGACTCTTGACGGACGGTGCCGTTTTTGGAGTCAAGTTGGGCCATGAGGTCATCCATTAGAGCGTCGTCGTCGGCAGTTGGCTCGGGAGGAGATGTTGAATGCGGAGGAGAGAGCGCCTTCTTGATCTTGTTCTTGATCTTTTTCGGCGCCATGGTGCGACTTCCACAGGGCCCAAGCAGACTGATGAAGCTGCAAGACGCAAGATAGGGATTCTATCAAAGGAAACGAGCAGCAAAGAATGTCTCACTCACGGGCCCACGGTTGTGGGAGAAAGCCGGCGGTGCTGCGCTCGCGGTGCGAAACTTACCCCAGGTTGAAGGGATCCCACACAAGCGCCGACGAACTCACACCGAGTTCGGGCCGGGCCCGTCATTCGTACGGTAGAGGCCGCCGCTCTCCTCCCTCGGCGAGTGCGACTGGTCTCACGCACTAGTATCTGCTCTAGATGTGTCTCATCGATAGCCCCCCGGCTCGCGCACATTCGTCTGCCCCCCACCACTCATCTTGTTCGTCTGCTGCATTTCTACATCCAGTTCCACCATGGTGCCCACCAAGGTTCCCCTGCTCTTCGTATGTCGAGCAGCATACCCCTCCGCCCCAAGCTAACGTTCATATCTTGTCTTGCAGGGAACCATGACGTTGGGAGAGCCGGGTAAGAACGGTGTCCGCATTCACGACCTCCAACAATGCCAGGAGATCCTCGATGTCTTCTTTGAGCATGGCCACAAAGAACTCGATACTGCGCGCATGTATGCTGAAGGGACGACCGAAGCGGTATGGGATCTTTGCTACGCACATACGAGATATTGAGGCGATTTTGCCCTTAGTACTTGTCGGAGCTCGACCTCAAGGGTGCTTCGGTGGACACCAAGTGCGTGCTTCCCCCAAACACGGAGCTTCAGCTGCAGATGCTCTCAACTCGGATGCCTTCTCAGGGTCTATCCAGTAAAACCGGGTGACCATGCTCCCTCTGCACTACGGGCCACCTTCCAAACCTCTCTCAAGGAACTTGGCGTCTCCAAGGTCAGAGTACTCTATTTGCACGCCCCGGATCGCAGCGTTCCCTTCGAAGATACTGCACGGGAAATGAACGAATTGTACAAGCAAGGGCTTTTGTGAGATACGCATCCCGCTGTATTCTCTTTTCGTCTCTCATTCCTGTGAAGCGAGATTTTCGGACTGAGCAACTATGCCGCTTGGGAGGTACGTCCTCTGGCCATTATCGCTTGCTCTACCCTGAAATGCGTTCCAGGTTGCTGAAATGGTCACCATTTGCAAAGCCAATGAGTGGGTGCAACCCAAGATTTACCAAGCGTGCGCCATGTTCTCTTCCCGATGAACTTTGCTCATCTCTCTACAGCATGTACAACGCAGTCACTCGCGAGATAGATGCAGAGCTCGTTCCATGTTGCAGAAAGTTTGGTCTTCGAATTGTTATCTACAACCCTCTTTCGTAAGTTGGCGTTGTGTAGATCCTACGGACGTGTTTCGAATACTGATGTGGAAGCGTAGAGGGGGTCTGTTTGCAGGGAAGATTTCGGCCCCTCACGCTGAAGCCCCCACAGGCGGCCGATTCGACGGAAGCACTGCAATGGGCAAGATGTATCGTGCACGGTACCTGAAGGAAGGCTATTTTGATGCATTGAACCATCTGAAGCCCATTGCCGTACGCCACGACAAACTTTCTTCCAGTTGTTTTCTCTTCTTACAGGTCCCGCACACAGGAGAAGCATCAGCTCCGCCTGACAGAGATTGCGCTCCGATGGTGCCAACACCATTCCGTCCTTACTCCGCAGGATGGTATCATCCTTGGAGCTAGTAGCGCCGCACAACTGAAGCAGAATCTCGAAGACTGCGAGAAAGGCCCTCTCCCAGAAGAAGTTCTCAAGGCGCTCGACGACGCTCGACTCATCGTGGGACCGAGTGTGCCTACGTACTGGCGGTAAAAGGACCAAAGACGAGATGAATTTGCACCGGTCAGTCGTGCGTGAAATCGGCGCGCCCACACTTGCTCATGCGTCAACGGATAAGCATAGTGCAGCATGTATGATTTGCAGTAGGAGCACAAGCGATGCTATCCTTCGAAGTTCCGACTTCTTTATCCTCATCAACGACGGCTTGAACGCCTCGTCAGACATCGGCCATCCTGCGGCTGGTCCCTATGACGACATCGTGACAGCGCTACCACACCGACCAGTCGCAATGCTGGACTGTCGAGCTTCTGTCTGAGCACGCTGGAGCACCAGACTAAAGTCATGCATGCAAGAGTGCGTCATGCCTCTGGCACCCATGTTCGTTTACCGTGTCATTAAAATGCAGTCGACCAGGTATAAGAGCGGGAAGTGGGCGTAGTCCACTCCAACTCACAGGTCAAATCCCCACACTACTGCACGTCCTCCAGGAAGCGCACCACCATGGCTGGCAGCTCACTTGACACCAATCCGCCTACCGTTGACCGCCATATCACAGCCGGAGGCTGGGCGGTATTCGCCATCATGCTGATCAGCGACGCAGTCATGTTGTTTTGGCTTTTCACGGTGCGCTTTCGTACCGCAGCGAATGTGCATTCGTTGGAAAGACACTCTACTACTAGCGTCCCAGAGGAACCCCTTTGTTCCACCAAATCGCGGTCATCATTCTCACCGTTGCAACGATATCCTACTTCTCCATGGCTTCGGGCTCGGCTTCGTCCTAGTCATCGAAGAGTTCCCGCGAGGCATGGGGGGCACGCCCTTCCTTCCCATTTTATCATCACGCGATTCGCTCAACCATATTCTTGTTCCGCCGCCCGCGCCCCGCCGCTGTAGTTCGTGCGGTACATCCAATGGTTCATCACCTTCCCGCTCCTCCTCCTCGAGCTCCTTCTCACCACCGGCTTCTCTCTCTCCGGCATCTTCACCGCCGTCTTCATGGCCTGGGTCGCCGTCGGTTCCGGCCTCGTCGGCGCGCTCGTGTCGACCGGCTGCAAATGGGGCTACAGTCAACTCCCTCGTAACGCATACCCCTCGGGAACCGCCCAAAGGTATGCGTTATGTGGGGGTATGCGTTACAAGGGGGCGCCTCTCGTGGGAGTAGTCGCATGATGGCTTGACGCCGGATCCATGCACAAACTACTGCTCACCTCACGCACTCCAGGTCGCAAATCTGCCCACCCCAACAGCCTGATACCTACATACGAACAAATAAATAAGTGAATTAGATGTGTGTGTCCACCTTGTCCGCCTTCGTCCAAAAGCGCCCAAAACAACCCAGTTTGCATACCGCCCATCGGGCCCTCCAGTTGCCCCGCATACCGGGTGCAGCTTGCATCTAGGGAGATAGGTTCGTCAGCCTACAGAAAGGCTTGAAGGCTGGCGCATAGCTCCTGCAATCGCTTCTCAACAGCCTGCAGGAAGCCAGTTCAAAGAAGGGCAGTGAGGCCCAAGGGTGATCAATTGAAGGCAGAGTCACAGCGGCAACAGCGCACTTCCGGGCCCTCGGGAAGCCCACAAGCCGAATGTCACACGGGAAAATCAAGCCATCTTTGGGCGGTATGAGCATAGATTCTGGGCGCTAGTCCTGATTAGATAGGCATGTATGCGTTATGGACCCCCGGCCAACCTATGCGTTATGCGTTATGCCGGACCTATGGGTTATGCCCACTGCCCCAACTCGGGAACGGCCTCAAGCTATGCGTTATGCGTGACTATGCGTTATGGGGGTATGCGTTATGAGAGAGTCGACTGTACTTCGCCTTCGCCCTCCTGGCGCTCTTCTACGTCTGGTACGTCCCACGCCCCTTTCTCGTCCCCCTTCGCCCCCCCTCTTCTCCCGCTCGCGCTAATCGTAGGCTGTCGCGCTCAACGCTTCCATGTCTGGCTAGTTCTAGCGCGAGGACCCTGGCCCACCACCATCTGGGGCCCACCAACGCGTCAATCCACTGTGCATGTGCCCCGCGGCGAACCTTTAGCTTTAGGCTCCGCGCACGCCCACACATGCACCGCTGCCGCACCGCCGCCTGCCCTCTCCCGTCCCGCATCGATCGACATCGGGCCCCAGAACCGTCGCTGATCTGCTTCCTCCCCCCCTCCTCTCCCCCTGTGGCTGTCCGCCCACACAGGCACACAGCCCTCCTTTGGCACGGCCCGCGCACGACGTTCGCCGCGGGGAGCGTCGTCACCCGCACCGGCTTCGTCTGCGGCGGCGGCGTCCTCGCGCTCTACCCGCTCTGCTCGGCGCCGACCGAGGGCGGGAACGTGGTCTCGCCCGACGGCGAGATGATCTGGGACGGCGTCCTTGCCGGCCCCGTCTTCCTCTTCGGCTTCCTCTTCGGGCTCCGGAACACCGACTACGGCGCGTTTGCGCTCGCGTCGACCAATTACTCCAACGGGACGGGGCCGATGGTGGGGAAGCGGGACGTGGTGTGAAGACGTGACGAGTGGAGGTTTTGTGAGGCGAAATGAGGAGTGGCAAGACTGGCAATTATCTCTATGGGCCCTCTCGGAAGGACCTAGGGTATATGTCGTGTCCTACTGTACTATACACCGGGATAATATCGATATACCAGTCGCTGCAATGTCTACGAAACCAGAGGAGTGGCGGGTGCTCTCGTCTCAAGCACAGTGTCCAAAGAGTGTGCAGGAAACCAGGCACTCCCCGTCTTCTCAACGCGGTACTTCCATTTCTCCCCACTCCGACCCAACCGCTAGCCAACGTCTATGTTCCTCCTGCTTCGTCAAGAGCAACGATTAAAAGAATAGTACAACAAATCCAGAAAGAACCGAGCATATCGATCAGGAGAGGGGCGAGGTTGATATAGTGACAAAAGGACGAGATATGGTACAAATCCAGGTAGAGAGAAAGTTGGACGGAATGGCGGAGCAGGGCAATCCAAGGCCTGGGCTCTCGCAGGCTTATGGTACCTCGACGAACCGCTTGACGTCCGAGATCGCCTGCAACGACTCCTCTAGAGTGAAGTTAGAACTACCACGACCAGGAGATGGAAGGAGAGGAGAAGGCGCACCCATGAACGGCATGTCGTACCCGAGCTTCTTCGCGCTCACGTCGATCGTCTCCAGCGCCGTGTTCCATTGCACGCCGATCGTGTACGGCGGCTGCTTGATAACCTCCACGACGATCCGCGCGACCATCGACCAACAAACCTGCACATGATGTGACATGAGCACGGGCACAATGGACAACAGGACTGGAAGCGGCGGCACTCACCCCCAATAGCGGGTCCAGGAGTAGGAACTCGTTGTCCTTGAACGTCCGTGTGACGGTGATGACTTCCATGACGACGTCCAGCGCTCTCTGTGCGCTCTCTTCGTGGTCCCGGTGCAAGAGCCAATGCATCTGCGCCTTGGCCGAGAGAGCGACGACTATCGAGAACTTGAGGGCGATCGAGAGCTCGCGCTCTGCATAGAAGGTCGCTTTGAGCATCTCGTGTTCCAGATTGCTGACATGCCCTCCAAGCTCTTCGAGGAGTGGCCAGTATCGCTCAAACCAAGCAGGCCGATTTGCGTGGAAAACCCCACGGACCGAGTCGGCAGGGAACGCAGACCATTCGGCGGTGAGTTCGGAGACGCGGAGGAGGTAGAGGAGGGATGCGGTGCGGAGGTAAATGAGGTTGGATTTGGCGAAGGTTGGGAAGTAGAGCTGTGAAACGTGTATGAGGCGCAGTTAGCGTGGGACAGATGAGAGGAGATGAATGCAAGGCGGGCTTACTGCGACAGTACGGAAGGCGTCGTCGAAGCTCTTATCGAGCCGCATGGGAATGTGGAATACGAAAGCTGAACAGCGGTCGAGATACATGAAGTGCGCGAGTGCCCCAATGACCTCAGCTTGATGTGGTGTGATCGACTGTATCATTGGGTCCATGGGGATAGGGAAGTTGATGTTGTGGAACCGGACAATATGCGCAGCGCGAACGAACTGCTGTTCGCCCTCCTCCATGCGGCCTTTGAGCAGGAGGAAACAGGCATACTGGTACCGGACCTGGATTTCGGAGATGGGGTCGATGTGTTCCAGAGCGGCCAGGAGGCACCCTTCCTGCTCGTGCTCGACGGACCCGTACACCATGATGCGTCGCTGGAGTTGCCACATGTGGCATCCCAGGAGCTGCGCGATGTACGTAAAGGCGGGATGGACAACTGCCCCCGATATGTCGCCTAGGATGATGGCCTGCATCTTGTCTGGGGTGAGGATACAGCCATATTGTCGTGAATGCTCCGACCAGGCCGTACGGCTGCGAGAAAAGAATATAAGCATGGCAACCACATCAAGGAGGCCCGCAGACAGAGCATCATGTGATATACAAACCCTATGCCCAGTGCTATTGGGCTTGGGAAGGGGGGAGAGAGGCTTGGGAAAACGCGCGTAGTTTCGCGATGGGTTCGGCAGAATGCCCGATACGGACGCGCGCGAGAGAGAAGATAACGTACAATTCTTCGAGACCTTGCGGTACGTGTGGAGTGGAGATGTTGTGTATATCCGTGGTTGGCGGAGGGGCGGCCATGCGATCGAAGAGGATGTTGAGCGCCTGGGGGAAGTTGTACATGGGCACCTGGTAATCGGAGTGAGAGGGGCCGTCGTCAGCGCTGAGGATGGCCGCGGAAGAGGAGGCTATGGGGCTGCCGTCGATAGGGTGGGAGAGGGTAGCAACCTGGGTCTCGTAAGCAGCGAGCCGTTGCTCTAGGTAGTGAGTGCGGATGAAGAGAGCCTCAGTGAACGAGCGCTCAGGGCTTTCGTCGTAGGTGCACTCCTTCTCCTTCTCCGCGGTCTTGCACGTCGAACAGTAGGGCCGCTTCGCGTCGCATTTCTGGGGGGAGATGAGGGGGAGAAGGAAGCGCAGGGGAAGCGAGGGGGACTGACTTTCTTTTTCCGCCTAGCGGGACAGGTGAGCGGGAAGGCGAAGTGCGAGGAGGAATGACGGACCTGCAAGGGGCGCAAGCAGCACCCTTCTTGAGATAGTCGCCCTTGGGAGCTGTGGCTACAGCGGTGGCAGTGGTATACATGCACTCGATGGGCTTGCGTGCCTTTGAGCAGGGCCCGCACATGGGCTGCGCTCCATCACAACGCTGCTCTCCGAATGAGGGTGGGACGAGGGGCAGAACGGGGAGAGCGTACCACTTTGCGGCCTCTGGGGGTGGAGGGTTGAGTCTACGCGGGTGTGCGGAAAGAGGCGGACGCACCTGCAGGCTGAGCATGTCTGGCCGGACGGCATGACCGGGGAGAGATGGTGGTCGGGAGGAACGCGTGTGGGGGAGCGGGAGAGCGACGCGCGCGAAGCGTCTCGATCAAATCCCCCGGCTGCTGCCGCCACCAGTTAATCGCCAATCCCCGATCCCGCGCCCTCCTCCGAGCCCGCCTTCCCAGCCCCGCTCGACCAACCGCCACCGCGTCTGAGGAGACAGTCGTTGCCGATGTGCCTCTCATCCGACGCGCCAGCCCCCAAGTCCGTCGGTTGCAGTGCGCGCGCGGCCTCCGTACCGCGCTCTGCCGCCGGCCGAGATGTGCGCCCACACTCAAGTCCCCGGTCTGATCACCCGCTAGACGTCCGCCCGATCCATCGAGCAAGCCCGGGCTCGCCACCTGCGACTGCGACCAGCAAGCCCAAGCAAGTCCGGTGACCCCCTCGAGCGCCGCGTGCCGTGACGGAGCTGCTAGGACAATCCTAGTCTAGACCGACTTCGAACAGGCGACCTTTCAAATGTCCTTGGGCACATGTAACGTTAACCGCCGGTAGCTGGAGCCGATGTTGGTCACGCGTGACAGCGGTCCACGCGCCGATCACGTGGGGCAAACGCGACTTCAACGTTCTCCTCCCGCCCACGGCCTCCTCGCTTCCGTTCCGCGTCCTCTTCCGCCGTCGGCCTGCTCGCGCGACCTGTCTCGTTCCCCACCCTCGCCCTCTTCTTGCCGCCGCTCGCCTGTGACATGTCAAGCGATGTCGCTCTCCACCCACAGCCCTCCCCAACCCCCTCGTCGACCCGAACCCCTTGCTCCGGATGAGGACCGTATCTTCTTTGGCCCTCTTCAGTCCCCAGAGAAGAAGTTTGCTGCGCCCTCTGGTGCACCTCCTTTCCAGACCCCGCTCCGTCCGCTGGCCACTCACGCAGCGTCCATGGTTCCACTGCCTTTATTCCCGGAGGAGGACATCTTCGGCCCCTCCGACACCAGGGAAGCCACACCCGAAGATTTCGCACCCGACGGTACGTTTCCTCGCCTCTTGGCACATTCCGCCAGTAAATCACGCCCCCCCAGAGCCGTCCGTCATACTCGCCAACAGAGTACTGAGCGCGTGCAGCAATCCTTCCCCTCCTCCCTCTCCTTCTTCCCATCCTCAGATTCTTTCTGACTTTGACGACGGGCCTCTCATCGATCTCTCCGACACCCCCCGCACTCCTGACGCGACCACTCTGTCGCTCGTCTTCCCCCAACATCCTCACCACGCTTTCCCGATGGCCCCCTCAGTAGTGCGGCGCCGTCCCCCTTCGCCTCTCGCGTCTCTACGCCCACCCCCCAGCCAGCCGCGCAGCCCAACGCTTCACCTGCCGATCTAATCAATTTCGACTCGTTCTCCACCCCTAACGCGACCCACGTCGTGGATCTTGCGCAGGTTCCGTTATCCAGTCCCCCAGTTGCTGCTGCTCGGTCCCCCGTCTCCCCTTGTCCTCACAACTCCGCGGAACAGGACGTCGTCATGTCGCCGCACGAACCTGCTAGACACCACATCTCAGAGAGACTGAAATACTTCAATCACCCGTTGTCAAAGTCGCACAACCATCACCACCACCGCCGACAGTTGAAGTCACGATGAACGAAGCCGACGCGACCTGGCCAATGGAACTCTCCCCGGAAGACACACCTGATACCAATGTACATGAATCGCCGGCAGAGCAAACTCCTGCGCCAGAAGCACAGACACCGCCGCTGCGGCGTTCGTCACGACCTCGCAAGAGCCGTGCTTCGCTCCCCCAAACAATTGCCGGCATCTCACCCAGGGGCCTCAATACAGACACAGAACGATCCGACTCGGATGCAGCTTCTCCGCGGCCTCAACACAACGCCACACGAAGACGCAAACTCAAATTGAGATCCACCTCAGGCGTAGAAGGGGTCGAGCAAGGCAGCGCAGAGATGATGGCATCACCCCGGAGAACTGCCCAGGTGACCAGACTTCAGCAGAGAGATTTAGGCTCACTCTCTCCAATGTCGGCCGCTTTGCTTCAGCACCTGAGTGGGCCATCCACCCCCATTCCTCCGGATGCATCCGACACAGGTGCGCAAACACAGGGACAGGTTGTTGCGCCTGCCCCATCCACACCTCTTCGCCAAGCCACGTCTTTTGTGTTCCCCAAAGTTGCAAACGCCGCTACGTCCGATGTCGAGCGTCCTAGGAGCCCCCTCCGACCGTTCTCTCCTCCAAAATTGCCCGAGGGTTCCCGTAGCCCCGCCCGCCGGGTACCCATAGCCCAAGCCGTTGCGGAAGGAACGTATTCACCCGCGAAACTTCCCGCGCCGTCGTTCACTTCCAGCAGATCCACCGATGCTCCTCCCTCTGCCATTTTCAAACGCCAGGCCCTGGACGACCCTATGCGTAGTCCCGCGAAACGTGTCCCCATGAGCGAAGCCGTCCCCGTCCCGCCTCCATCTCCCAGCAAGGACAAGGGAAAAGGTGTCCTTCGCACCCCCATGCGAGGCTCGTCTGTGCCGCCTCGCGCGGGGTCTGCTGAACCCCGTCCTCTGTTCACCAAGAAAGAGCGCGCGCCATCTGCTGAGCCCGTCTCGCGCGCCCCCGCTCTGGGCCGGAGACCCCTCCTCCACAAACCTACGTCCTCGGACGGCATGCCCTCCAGTAGCCTGAAACAAAGATCGGCTCTCCCTTTTCCACTCGTGCAAGGACAGCGCCCGCCGGCTGCAATCCCCGAAGAGGACGACTCTGGCCCGGGACCGTCCGCCGCGCAGCCCAAAGCCACTTCTGTGGCGAGTCCCGCTAAGCAGCCGTCGAGCTTGCGGCAGCCGTCCGCGGGTTCTGGCAGCAAGATTCCAAGGATAGGTGCGAAGCCGTATGCACGTCCGAAGGGCACGGCCCCCAGCAAACTACCTACTCCCATGAAGAACGGCAAGGCGCCTTCGAGGTCCCAGGTCAGTGGAGCAAGACGTGGATGTACGACGGGGCTAGCATGCTTATGTGCTTCTCGTTCCAGGGTCTTCGAGTGGTGCAGGTTGGTTCCTCAAGCGGCAGCAGCTCGGACGAAGGTCAAGGCCATCAAAGCCCTCAGCACCCCCTACGCTGAAACCGAGACGTGTCGCGACGACAGCATCTACATCTTCTCTCTCTGACGTCACCTCCCAGCAGACGTTGAAACGGAAGCGAGAGCCAGAAGCGGCGGCCTCCAAGGCCTCCGCGCCCGCTGCACAACCGGTGATCGTCATGCGGAAGGTTGTGCCTGGGATGTTCAATAAGGGCACCGGTACTTCTGCTACAACAGCGCCCACCCACGATGCCGCTGTCCCTTCACCTGTATCGCCTATGAAGCAGATGGGCCCAATCAGAGCGCGTTCAGCACTCGGGTGGAAGCGGCCACCTGTTGGAGGGCAGGCCCAGTCGGACTCACCGAACCAAGAGCCTGTCGTGAAGGAATCCAGTCCAGAACCCGCCCCAGTACCTCCGTCTGCAGAGCCTACGTCTGAGACCCTCAAGCAGAGCAGCGAAGTCGCGCCTCAGCCCGAAGTGACGCCTACAGACCCATTAGCTCCCGCCACGGCCCTCACAGAACCGACGCCCGCACCACCAGTGCCCACGCTCCCCACCGCATCCGAAACTCCATCTAACATTCCCCAACCGCACCGCCGCTCGACACGCTCCCGCGCGGTCCCTCTGACCCCTTCAACTCTGTCTCACCCACCATCCGCTGCTTTCCATCATCCACCACGACGGCTACCCTCGCTGCTACCACCACTACCACCACCACCGCGCGCCCGCCACCCCGCCGGCGCGCGCCCTCCCACTCCCGTCCGAGACGTTCGCGGGCATGTCCGCGCTCGCGCTCAAGACGCTCACCGCGGCGAACACCGCGCGGAACCAGGTGCAGCTCGCCGCGCTCGAGACCGCCGTCGTACGCCGCCCCGGCGCGCGCCCGGAGAGCCCGACGAGCCGGGTGAAGAACTCGCTCGAGAAGCAGCGCGCGGACCGCGGGGCGCGCGCCGAGCGGAGGGCGCGCCGTGCGTCGGGGAGCGACGTCAGCGTCGGGGAGAGCGTCGATGGGGACGAGGGTGAGGGTGAGGTGAGGGCGAGGGCGACGTCGGCAAGGACGAGGGCGTCGAGGGCGGGGCAGTGGAGGAGAGGGTGGTGGATGAGGAGGAGAAGGTGGACGCGAACGGGGTCCCGCTCAGGCACCGCCGCGGCGCGGGCGACGAGGAAGACTACGAGACCCCACCGAGGCCGGAGCGACCAGCGAAGCGTGGGCGGTTCGCGGAGCCGGGCGCGAAGGGTGGCGGGGAGGACGAGCGGGAGGGGAGCGCACAGGAGGGGAAGCGTGTGAAGTGGGACCGCGGGCTGCACACGACGACGTACTTCGACGCGGGGCTCCCGAACCCGAAGTGGAACGTGAGGGCGGTGCCGTCGTCGAAGGGCTGCCTGGCTTCTGCTGCGAAGGTGCGTCGCCTCCTGCGAGTGGGGAGGATTTGGGCTGACGATGTGGTGGCTTTACAGGCCCTGCGGCTGGACACGCTGGGCAACGTGCTGAATGCCGAGCTGCCTGTGGGCGGACTCGTCAAGGAGCATGTGATCGTGCAGAAGTTCGTGTTCGAGGACGACGAGGTCCCAGAGATCCAGGTCCCTGTCCCACCCCCGAAGAACACGCGAAGCAAGAGGAAAGCGAAGACGCCGTCGTGAACGCGGTCGCCCCTGCTCCACGAAGTCGGAGCAACGAATGAATATAATGATATATCCCGCATCTTTTGTATATCCCTTGTTTTACCGCATCGCTATACATCTCAGCTATCGAAGTCCACGAAATCACGAAGATCCTCTTCGAAGCAGAAGAAAGCGAGGTGATATGACATTGTCCTTACAGAGATATACATCATGTATTTAATGCTCCTCTCTACTTCTACTGGGGTGCCCTGTAGGAGAGCGTGGCGGTTGCCTGATTGGTGGGGAGAACAAAGACCTCCGCGATGTTGACGTGAGGCGGGCGCGCAGCGGCCCAGACAATCTCCTCCGCGATGTCCTCGGCGACCACTGCAATAACGTATCAGGAGCACGAACACTCTGAGGCTTCCCATGATCTCACATGGCTGAATACCCTGGTAGACCTTGTCCGCCGCGGACTTGTCGCCACGGAAGCGAACGATGGAGAACTCGGTCTCGACCATCCCTGCCGGCCGAGTCAGCGTCGCGCTCGCGATTACAGCATCCCCCGGACACGCACCAGGCTGGATCTCGGTCACGCGGATGGGGGTGTCGACGACCTCGCGCATGAGCGAGCCGGTGAAGGAGCGCACGGCGTGCTTGGTCGCGCAGTAGATGGCGCCGCCGGCGTAGGGCTCGCGGCCGGCGATGGAGCCGATGTTGATGATGTGGCCCGTCTTGCGCGCCTTGAAGTCCTTGATGAGCAGCTGGGTGACGTTGATCAGGCCGAAAACGTTGACGGTGAACATGGCCTCCATGTCCGCCTCGGAGATGTCGCCGATGCGCTCGACGCCGAGCACGAACCCGGCGTTGTTCACTGTACGCGCGCGGAAGGCGTGAGTGGAAGCGGTGCCCGACGGTAAGCGGGTGACGCACCGAGGACGTCGATGCTGCGGAGCTCGGCGGGGACGTTGTCGAGGAAAGACGCGACCTGCTTCTTGTCCGAGACGTCGAGCGGAAGCGAGACGAACTTGCCGCCCTCCGTGAGGCCCGACTGCTTGTGGGCTGCTGCGCACGCCTCCGCGACGGTCTTCAGGGCGTCGACGCGGCGAGCGCACAAAATTACGTTTGAACCACCCTGTAGAGCGGCAATGAGCCACGGCGTTCGTGCCTTGGCGTGATCCGCCGCACGCACCTTAGCGAAGAGGATCGCGGTGGCCTGCGCAGGACGGCGGGAGGGGGACGGAGATCAGCATCTCGGGTGCGCGTGCATGAACGCGGGTCGCTGGAGACGCACCGCGCCGATGCCCGCGCTCGCGCCTGTGACGAGCACGGTCTTGCCGAGGAGACGGGAGGCATTGAAGACGGACATTGTGCGGATCTGCGCGCGCGTCGGGACGGGCGAGGGTCGGTGTGGCAGGTCGAAGGAGGTGCGCGAGGGCGTCGTCCCGCGGGTGGAGAGGGTGAGCACGGAACGCCTCACGCTCGTCGGGATGGCGTGCGTGCGTGCGTGCGGCGGCGCGCAATCTCTGCGGGAGGGCCCTGCCGGGGAGCCGGGGCTGCTATCGATGCCGCGATCAGTCGCCGCTCGTCTGCGGCTCTTGCGTTCTCACCGTCGTGGCCATTTCGCTCTCCTCCTGCGTGTCACCTGCCTCGGATTCGCGGGGGACGGCGTTTGGCGGGCGTTTGGCGCACTGGGCGTACTTATCCGCGCAGACACATCCGCCGGCCGGTGGTGTTGGTGGTGGGAAGGTGCAAGGTGCGGCCAGCCAGTGCGCACGCGCCTTGTCATCAACCCGCATGGACGACCTCGACAAACGGAGGTGGGAGCGCCTACTCTGCTGGCTCCGAGATGAGCACGGGATGGACGTCTCCGAGGGCGCGTTCCACGTCGAGGCGAGGCGAGTCCCAGGTGCGCCTTCTGCTCTTCTACGCGCTCCGAGATCCACTGAGCCGTCATCAGGTGCTGGCCGTGGGCTCTTTGCGATGAGAGACTGCCCGGTATGGCCGAGATCCCCAGCGTCCACGTCAAAGTGCCCACTTTAACGAAAATTCTCCCAAGCCCTCCACCGAGCTGTTCAAAATTCCGGCCACGGCTCTCCTCAACAAAAAGACCGTTTCCGCTCTGTATCCAGACCTACGGAAGTCGAAGCTGTCGGCCATCCAGATCGTCTCACTGCATCTCTTCCTGCATAGACCATCCGGCGAAGACGACTCTGCAGATCCTCGCTTTGGGCCTTACATCTCCACTCTTCCTCGAGACTTTTCTAGTCATCCCTTATCCTGGCTGGTCTCTTGCGATGTCGGCCGCTCTGACCCATGGGAGGCTCAGCTTCTCGGCATGCTACCACCCGCCGTCAGCAGGCAACTCAAGGCCCTCCGTGATAGGTTTTGGGAAGATTGGCGTACCGTGGCGAGTACAATGGTGCGAGCTTTTCTTGCCGAGGCGACTGCAGTCTCAGCTACATGACAACATAGAACGCTTCTTTATCCGCGCCAGCAGGCTCGATAGACAGTCAAGATGCTGGCCAGACAATGGACTATCTTTGGGCGTGGCTAAACGGTCGCTCGTTCGCCTTCATCTCACCATCCAATGTCTCATCAGTGCTTCTGCAGTCAACACACGATGCATCTACTACCGACTGCGGAACAGCAAGTCTGACCCGGACAACCTCACCTTGTGTCCGGTCCTCGACTTTGCCAATCACAGCCATGGACGAACGCACATCTATCCAGTCATTGACTCCGATATCTGGAGTACAGTCACCATGAAGACGACAGAGTCGTTCATTTTCCTCGGCTCCTCCCAAAGTCGGATCGCAGAGGGACAGGAGCTGTATCTTCAATATGGAGGACACTCGAACGCGTTCCTGTTCGCGGAATACGGGTTCGTGAACAGCGTCAACGCCGAAGACATGCACGAGGGCTACCCTGGCGAAGTGGACGTTGAGGAGATCTTGGCACCGATGTTGGCCGAGAAGTCGCCGAGGACCTCGCTCCGATCAGTGCTCGAGGCGGAAGGCTACTGGGGGTCCGTGCCCGCTATTCTCGGACTTGCCGCGGCTGATGGTGATCTCTATGTATAGCGACTGGACGCTGCACAGCGCACCGACCCCCGCCCACCCGTCCTACCGGCTGACGACAGCGCTTCGCCTGCTGCACGCCGTGGACCACGAAACAGACGGACCAGGACTCGAAACAGCCCTCGCGGCGTGGCGCGCGGTCGTGAACGGGCAGGCAGAACCGACCTCCGAGGCCAACGAAGATCGGTGGCGCCGCACTCTGGCCCAGCTTTGCGACGACCTGGCCCGTCGCGCCCGCAAGAATATGGAGGCCGTCTCTGCGATGACCACCATGAACGGCGAAGAGCTGGATACACAGGGCTGGAAGCAGTGGATGGTGGCCAACGTAGAGTTGTTGTGGACGGAGGAGGAGGTGGTTGCCGAGGCGGTTGCCGCGAGCGTCCGTGCGGGGGTAGAGTTTTGAGCCACGTCCGGCGCGGAGCACGGCACGCGGGAATGTGGGCATCGCGCAGATGAAGATGTGGTCTGTGGCTGCCGAGCACTCTCTGTCCGTGCGAAGTCATCCGCTTTGCAATAGACTGTGCGCACACAATAGCCGTCTGCGCGCTGGAGGACATCCAGACGAGGTCCGATCGTGGGCGACGCCCTGTGCACCGTCCTCCCGGGCGGTGAGGAGGCGCTGCGAGAAGGGCCACAGCGCGCTTGTGGTGACGGAGGGCGGCGTTGCGGCGCCAAATGGACCAAGTCTGTCTGACCACTGTCGGTGGCAGCTCCGCCTCGTTCCTCTCGATCCGTCCTCTCCTTCGTTCTCCGTTCCACGTAGCTACCTGCACGGCGCATAGATAGCTGCGCAGGACGCTCAGTCCGACCCCTCCTTCCTTCCACAAGTCCCCCGCTCGCGGTCCTCCATTCCGCTCGTCCCCCCACGCCATGGCCCCCAATGCCCTCAGCACTCGGGCCCAGCAGTCCTTCTTTGGCATAGGTTTGTCCGTCGCATTCTTCCCTCTGGATCGTGCTCATGAATCGACTCTGTAGCTGTGTTTCGTGAGTATGAGCTTCTGGGACACAACTCGTCTAGGCTAAGCGTGCACCGTCCGCAGAGGCGTTCGTTGTTATCGCTATGGTCGCAGTGACATTCAACAAAGTGGAAGATCATGTGGATTTGACCTTGGCCCGGTACAAAGTACGCCTCTCTTTTTTTCCCGCCGTATCCACCCTTAATCCCTCCGACCAGACTATTCCATGTTACCTTGCCCTTTTCATCCTAGCCGAGTGAGTACCCATCGCTCCGTCCATTTTGTCGTCTCCAACTCGGCACCAGGTTCTTCGAGCTCTTCATGGCGTTTGACGCGCTCCGGTTGCGGAACACCATCCAACTCCTTGGTATCCTGAGTGCGTGTTGCTGTTTCCCTCGTATCCGCAGCCCCGGCTGACGCCCGCGTGGTCCGGGCATAGTCTTCCATGGCGCTCTCATCGTTATGTCCGCGCTGCAAGTGCACGAGACCAGGTCAGCGTTGGTCACGAACCCGGCGGCCAACTGGACCACGGATTATGTCGTATGTGCCTCCTCTCTCGCGTTCAACTGCAGTCACTCATCCGTTCTCTGTGCAGAACGGCGGCGGACCGGGCACGCTCTGGCAGAGCGTGCTTCCATTCCTCATCGTCACGCCCGTCGTGATCGGTGTCTCATGGCTGGCGATGATGTGGGTCGTGCGGGAGTTGTACTACGAGTTCGGGTGCGTGCATCTTCTGACTGTTTGGCTCCTCAATGTGCTCACCACGAACATAGATGGGCCATCTTCCACATCGTCGGTGCCAACCCTGCGGCGAAGAGTACGTTTTCGCGTGTGCGTTGGTGACACAAACGCTGACTGGTGGGATAGCCATGTACCAGTACTACCAGATCATGATCTGCCTGCTCAAATTCGACTTCTTTGCGTTTGTTGGGGTCACAATGCAGGTTCGTCTTCGCTGCACACGTCATGGCGTTGGCTGACTAACGGATCCTCGGTTGCAGCTCCTTATCCTGGTGTTACAGACGAACAGTGCGGAGTTTGGTCTCACCGTTGCCGCAATCCCTATCGTGCTGGTCCTGCTGGTTGGCGCAGGCCTGGCAGTACAGCGTGAAATCAAGTGGTTGATGTCGATCTCGCTTGTGTTGATGTTGGCGGCGGAGACGTACTGTGAGTGCCTCGTACCTACCTTTCATGGGCTTAGCTGACAGGATCCGTCCTTTACAGTCAGTGAGTAGAGTTGGCGTCGTCACCCTGTAAACCAGGCTGACAGGATACAGTTTACAAGCTCGTCCGCTTCTACGAGCCCAGCTCTTCAACGACATACGGCAACGTGAGGGCGACCCTTACGACATTCAGTGGGTTTTCTACCTTTGAAGCAGCCGCCGCCTTTCTGACGTTTTCGAAGCCATCATCGCTTTCCTCCTGTTGTTCGCGACCTTCGCGATTGGCCTTCGTTGCTTCGCCGACTTCGACAAGGGTCTGCTCAAGAGCAAGCTCCACGGTCAGTCCTACAAGCAAATGGATTCCTCCTCCAAGATGGGCTTATTCGGTATTTTGTTTTCCAGAGACAGCGCAGCGTCCATACTCATCCGCCCCGGGTGCTGTAGGTGGCAAGAAGGAGGACGGCTATGGTGCCGGCCAACCGCTTGGTCCACGCGTGTCGATAGAGTGATCGACGCCCCCCTCTGCCGTCGCTCCCTGCAACTTCTTGTTATGTCTTTCATGCCCTCGTTCATGTCCATTGTTGTGGAGCTTTCGTGTTGTCTTTCTTTGCTGTCGAACGTTCGCGCCCCACCGACGGACTACTCGCGTAGCAGACGGGGCCTCGAGAATCCGGACCCGGACCCCGTCGTGATCGGTGGAGGGGGACCTGCGGACGCAGCGTCCCGTATTTATAGGCTAATCTTTTTCTGTACCATGTCGTATACCTCCGCAGACGTTTCATTGACGTTGTCACTACTACTAGACCACAACAGATCACCCTACTCGCCCCCTCGTGCTAATGGCATCTCCCAGAATGCAGTCAGAGCGCGAGCGCGAGGAGCGCCGCTGCAAGCGGAAAGACCATCGCGGTGGCGGGGCGGAGGCGGCTCTCGCCGCTGGCGGTCGTCGTGACCGTCGTGCCGTTCAGCCACGGGGTCTGGGGCGGCGGGGACGACTGCTGCGGGAAGGCCTGGAGCGCGTTCGTGTCGTCCGTGCACGCGTCGGACGGGCGGTCGTTCATCACTGTCACCCTGTAAGGACGGAGAGAGATCGAGCCCGTCAGCGCGCCGCGCTCGTTGCGGCCACACGAGGGAAGAGGGACGGGACGCACGGGTAGGGGGTGATGGAGAAGTAGGCGGCGCCGTCGATGTGCGAGCCTTCGTAGAGCGTGAGCTGCAGGTGCGCGGCGCAGACGCACCGGTGAGGAATCATCAATCAGGGCTCAGGCCGCGGGGGCAGCACTCGAGGGAGGACGCACGTTGTAGTCCCCGGCGGGGACGCAGGAGGAGACGTTGAAGCTGAGGTGCTTGACGGTGCTGCCCTGCTCCTGCTCGAGCAGGCCCGGGCCGGACGAGACGGTGAGGTTGAGCTTGGTGGCGTACGAGACGAGGTAGAGCTCGAGGCTGTCGAACCGGGTGGACGCGCCCGAGCCGGGGACGGACGCGCGCTGGTCGAGGTGGCCGTCGCCCGAGATCTGCGCGTTCGTGGGGGGCTCAGCGCTCACCGTCACCGTCAAGGGGGGTGAGCCGGATGATGGCACGCACGTCGATGGCTATGGGCGTCGCCGAGCCGGCGTGCAGAGGGCTGAGAGGAGCGCGCGCGTTCGTCAGTGGCAGAAGAGGACGGCGAGCGTAGGTTGGGCGCACCTGTTGGGAGCGGGGGCGTCGACGATGGCCAGGCCATTGGTGAAGATCTGGCCGTTGACCAATGTCTGCGCGCTCGCCCCCGTGGTAGCAAGCAAGAGCACGAAAGTGGAAGAAATGAGCGTGGGGTGCATCTGTGAGGTCAGCACAGAACTGCGAGCGAGCGAAGGGGAAAACAAGGCTCCGCGGAGCGAGCGGTGGAGGTGCGGGAAAGAGATGGAGGGTCTCCTCCCATCCTGCACGCTGTGGATTCCCCGGTGGGCGTCCCAGCCTGCGAGGCCGACGGTGGACGAGCGAACGATCCCACCAGGCACGCCGGAGCGCCTGTGTGGCCGCGGAGCATCCTCGGCCCTCGGCCATCGCCGCTGTTCATCTGCCGGACGCGTCGACGCGTGACGCGTGACCGACGCGTCTCTGCCACTCCTCTTCCCCAGCCACCACCGCCGTGGTTTCCCCGATTGCCCGCCTTGTCGACCATGGACGACCGCGAGGACCCCATCGCACAGTTCTTCCCTGATCAGGATGACGTGGACCTCTACGACGTGCTTGGCGTCAACGCCGACGCGAAGCCGGACGACATCAAGAAGGCATACCGCAAGCTCGCGCTCAAGTACCACCCGGACAAGCACGCCGGCGCGGACGACGACGCGAAGGCCGACGCGTCGCTCAAGTTCCAGCAGCTCGGCTTCGCATACGCCGTGCTCTCGGACGAGAAGCGGCGCGGTCGCTATGACCTCACGGGCAAGACGGACGAGGGGCTCGACTTCGGCCCTGGCGAGGACGGCTGGGAGGCGTACTTCGAGGAGCTCTTTGAGCGCGCCACGAAGGGCAAGCTAGACAGTATGAAGCAAGAGTATCAGGGTGCGTCGCTGCGCGCCCACCGAATGCCCGTCCTCTGACAGCTCTGGCAGGATCGGCCGAGGAGGTGGCGGACCTCAAGAAGGCGTATACCGAAACCGACGGCTCTATTGAAGAGGTCATAACCCACATTCCCCACTCCACCCACGACGACGAGGCGCGTTTCATCGTTATTATCTCTGGGCTCATCAAGGACGGCGAGCTCTCGCTGCTTCCTCTATGGGAGTCCAGTACGAAGGACGAGAAGGCGAGACTCGTGCGGAAGAAGCAGTCGGAGAAGGAGGCGGGCGAGGCGGAGGAGCTTGCGAAGGAGCTTGGCGTGTGGGACGAGTTCTACGGCAGCGGGAAACCGGGCGCGCGGAAAGCGAAGGGCAAGGGCAAGGGCAAGCCAGCCGTGGACGACGACGAGGATACCTCTGCGCTGCAGGCCTTGATCCTGAAGAAGCGCAAGAACATGGACAGCTTCTTTGACGGCCTCGCGGCCAAGTACGCGGAGCCTGATAAGGGCGGCAAGAAGGGGAAGAAGAGGGCCAAGCCCACGGATGATGAGGAGGATGGGTCCCCAAAGAAGAAGTCGAGGAAAGAGGTCCCGCCACCACCCGACCTTGACGACGCCGAGTTTGAGAAGATCCAGCGACGACTGATGGAGGGCAAGACGAAGAGGGCGGCGAGCTCTGGGACAAACACAAAGGCAGCGAGTCAGGGCCGGGGGACAAAGGCGAAGAAATAAGGTGGCGATGTAGGTCCTGCGTTGTAAGTTATGGCTCGCTTGCTATTGTATTTTGCATTGGATCCCCGCCCGTTCGAAGCGTGGCTTTGGTCAAAGCCTTTCAGGCAACGCGCCTGTGGTTGAAATACGCGCAGGGTGGTCAGGATCCTCTTCGCCTGTCATTCCTTCTTCCCTCGTCGCCCTCACTCGCAGCCCGTACTTTCTACGCCTCATTCAGTATGCCACCCGCGACGTCGTCCTCCACGAAACTTCGTGCGCCTAAGAGCACTGCTCAACCACCCGAAGCCAAAGCTACACCCAAGTTTCGGGGAAATAGAGGGAAATTATCGCCCATGTTCAATATGCCTAAGGATATTGTAGCCGAAGTATGCGCCCGCAGGACGCTCACCTGGGGCCAAGCTGACGCTTTGACAGGTCTTCAGCCATTTGTCTCCGAAGGACCTCCTTGCGCTGGCTCGCACAAGTAAATTATTGCGCTCATTGTTGATGAGCAAGCAGAACGTCTGGTACTGGATCGCCGCCAGGGCCAACGTTCCGGGAATGCCACCTTGCCCGCCGTATCTGAGCGAGCCCAAGTATGCGAACTTTGTGTTCTCGAATCTCTGCTCCTTGGTGAGTGATTTCAAAGATGAGCTTTCGTCCGGGAAGCACGCTGAATTCATCTCGCAAAGTGTCCGGAAGTGGCGGCCGACCGCCGTAGCACGACCTTTCCGGATGAGGGGCTACGCCTTTGCTGCAGGGGGGTCTGCCTGAATGGGATAGCCTACGAGAACAACCCCGAGGTCGTATGTCTCGCTGCGGAAGTAGAAAAAGCCGTCAACCAGAAACTGCCAGTGATTATGGATCGCGGCGGAGGCACCCGATTCCCCATCCCGACTGTAGCCTTGAAGCGGTTCCAAGGCTTGTGGGAAGCTCTCAAGGACGATCCCGAGGGGCGGAAGCAGTTGGTCGTAGAAGAGACCGCGCTCCACCTTATGAAGCTGAAAGTATGTGTCCCAATAGAGTTTGCTCGGGCTGTCGTACTCAGCCTACTCAGTTCAGGGCGCAGTTCCGGGAGTGGAAGGATGACTTTGACCTTACTCGAGCTGCAGCGAATCGCGCGGTGAGAGAACAAAGAGTCGAAGAGTTCGTATACCGAACCTCATCGCAGATGAGCTGTTCTAATTGTATCCCCACGTAGCATCAAGATCCGAATGCTTAACGAGCCCGAATGCACCATCGTTATCAACAAACTTGACAGAGACATATTGTGGTATTTCTGGGATATGGTCGAGAAGCAGGCCTTCGCTCGTAGGACGGCACCGCTCACCGATCGCGGTGCGTGCTCGTGCATCGGTCGTAAAGTCTTGCTGATCAGATGCTCTATAAAAGGTTGGAATAGCATACGCCAGTCAGTCATCCAGTGGACTCAAGATGCTTCCATCGACATCACCCTGGATGAGATCGGTCCTCGGCTTTACCTGGGCTTCGAGGTCGTTCTAGCTTTCATCGACGCGATGGTCTCACAAAATTGGGCGAAGCCGATAGCGTGGATCGACGGCTGGAGGGCACTCCCTAGCACTGTCATCGCCCCGTGGGAGTATCTGACTATGGGCGAGGTCCGCGCCCTCGTCGAGCTTGGCACAGAGGTCATTACCATTGAGCGCCTCCGGGAGAGCCTCTGTGCCCGTCTTCCAGCACTGATCACAGCCCACCTACGTAGCCGTCAGGCCGAATTTGAAAACCTCTTGGAGGACACCCTCGGCCCTTTCACCAACACGACGCAAGAGCCCCTCGCTCTCGCTCTGGCCCTCTTCGACTGCACCATGTGGCACGACGGTTGCGGCCGCCGCTTCATGCGCTTCCCCGACGTGCTCGACCACCATTGTGAGCACCAACTTGTGGACCCCGAGACACTGGACGAGCGCGAGTACTACTACCGCGCCATCTACCAGGCGGGGCACGAGGAGGTCCGAGTCGCCACGCACAACGTGGCGGTCACCGAGCTCGTCGTCTCGGGCAAGGCGCAGGCTGTCGTGCACGCGTGTGGGCTGGACCCGCGCACGGCGACGCTCGAGGACATGGAGCGCGTTGCGAATGTCCGGCTCACATGCGGGGACTGCGCGAGGGAGGACCTGTCGAGCCCGCGATGCTACCAGGCGTTCGGCTGGCGAGGGGCGGTGAGTGGACCTGCTTTTCGACCACCAGGGGGTGCATTGCTGACATCTCCCTTGCGAAGCTGTGCCATCAAGAAAGTGACAAGCATCGGAGCAATCCTCAGCCCTGTCAGTGGGTGGTCCTGCCCCACGAGCTGTGGTCGGCCATCCTCGCGTTCGAAGAACAGTGTGCGGCTCTCAGGGGGGTCTTCTACCGCTGTTTTCGAGGCTATCGGTGCCCTTTTTGCGATCCGGGAGCTTCGCTCGCACTCTTCCAGCAGCTGCATATGGTCGCACACCTGACAGAGGAGTAAGAGGTCACTACAGGATACTGTTGCCGTGTCTGACTAACGCTCCCTTCCGACTTGTAGACATGGTATCTTGCCCGATAATGTCCCAACGATCATGGAGAGAATGATCTACGTTAGAGTCCCGAAGGCCACACAGATACCGTATGGCATTCGCTTCTCATACGACTCAGCCGGTCAGATAGTGCTAGCTCTTGACGACTCCACTGAATGACCGAGTTACGATATTTAGCCCTGTCGTGTATCAAGTACCGTACGACCAAATTTCAATACTCACTTCTACCTTTCACCTCCTGTCATCCCCCGTCCTGTACGACAATACATTTACGAATTTTTTGCCTTGCCCTCTGTTGTGTAAAAATTGCCTTGGTCCTCGACCATACAAGTGAGCGCAAAGCTCATCACGCATCAAAAAGAGCTCGTGCAAGACATCTGCGGCTGAGAATGGACTCTTCAAATTGGTCCACTTCTATCCATGTAAGCACGCGTGATCCTTCAGCGAACGACGACCACGGAACGAATAAAATTACAGATAGCGTATCGAGTCAATCCCCAGGCTCCGGCGCGCGTGAATGATTGCCACCAGCTCCTTCACCGACTCCTCCAGGATGACCACGTTGTCCAGCAGTCGCGACAGGGTTACGTGCGCGACCTTGGGCATGTCGTCCTCGTCCGATTCGTCTACTACCCGCGACGACCCGGTCTGGGCCTCACTCTCGCCCCACTGCCCGGACGACCCGAACACGTCCTCCTCGTCCACGTTGAACTTGCGCGCCTTCGCCGGCGTCCAGGGCCCGGACGACGGCGCCGGGGCGAGGAACGGCTCGACGACGATCGAGCCCGTCCGCTGGTAGTGCGGACCGAACGGGCTCGCCTCGACGCGCGCGCTGCGCGAAGGCGTCGTGGGCTCTGACGGCGCCCGCGACGGCTTGTTCTTCTTTGGCGTGAGAAATGAGACGATTGCCTGGCCCGCGGTCGGTTTCGACTTCGGTTTCGGGCGCTGGGCGCTCTCGTTCGGGGAGAGCACCTGCTGGACCTGCTGGAGCGCGCCGGCGAAGCCGCTCTGTTTCGGGCTGGCGTCGAAGTCGAGTGCGAGGGTGAGGGCGTCGGTGAGGTTCTCGTTGAAGAGCAGGCCCTGGCGGCGCTCCTGAAGGAACTCGTCGAAGCGGCCAACCATCTGGCGGTACCGCTCGAGCTGGCCGACGAGGCCGTGGAAGACGGCGTAGACGACGGGCCGGGACTGCTCGTCCATGCTTGATGCGGGGAGCGCGTGCTCTGACGCAAGCTTCTCCTCGATTCGGAAGTCGATTGAGCGGTCGTCTCCGTCGTCTTCGTATGGTGCGAACTCATCTTCTCGTGCATTGGACGGCGTTGGGCTCTTTTTTGAAGCAAACGTGAGCCATCCAGCGAGTGAGCGGTCGGGGCAGAGGGCAAGGGTAGCAAGGACGCCAGTCAACGCCATGTTGGTCTCCGGTGTGTTCGAGAAGAATTTGCGCAGGAAGCCGAGAACGAGGGATAGAACCGGGTCGTTGGGATTCAAGCAATGTTTCAACTTGGCACGTTCGGCTGGATCGAAATCGGCTCGGAAACATGACTGGGCTTCGATGGAGACTATTGCATCGCGGAGATAGTGATCGTACCCGGTACTGAAGGCATCTTCTGCATGATCGGGGTCAACTCGCGAAACCAGCTGGAGGTAGAGGCCCATCTCGCGTTCATGCGTCCAGTACGTGGTGTCCGGTTGGCTGAAAATAACCACGGACTTCAGTCGGACGGGTTCAGTAGCGCTGTCATTGGTACTGGGGTATACGAAAGCCTCGTCATCGTCCGAGTCGTCTGTGGGTTTTGGAGGAGGCGCCATGTCTTCCAACGCTTCGGGAAGAATGGAGGGCTGCGGGAAAGTTGTGGCTTGAGGGTCGTGGATGACGACTAGGACTCGCTCGGAGCAGAGTGTACAGTACTGAAGTAGCAGTGATTGGAGAAGCTGGAGAGCAGCGGTGGCGGTGGCAGGAGATTTGGAGCGAAGGCTTGTCAACAGCAAATCCTTGAGGGTAAATCGGCCCATGGATGTGAAGTACGAGGACTGTCTTCGTGCATTTGGCGCCTCCATGTCCAATAGTTTCATCGCCGTGCTCTGTCGTCTCCGTCGCTTCGCCTTCTCGGTCAGCTCCGCTTGTGACATGTTGCTGGGAGGAAGTTTCCCACCGAGGTTGAGCATCGAACGCGGTCGAGGTCTGGACGACGATAGGTCTTCTGTGTTGTCTTCGCTCATGAGGAAATCGACGAGAAGGTCTGCAAGTTGTCCGTTTTCCAAAGTACGGATCATGATCTCGATGTACGACATGACAGCAACAGAGCTCCCGTCGGCGTCCGAGCATTCGAGGATGGATGGGTAGAGGATGTTCTCGAGGAAGACGCTACGAACGGCATCGAGGATGGATTGGACAATCGCAGAACCCACAAATGATGAAGGATCGAGGCTGCCATCTTCCGTTTCACGGGTCTTGTTTCGCCGAAAGACGTCCTGGAGAAACTCAAGGAGTTTGAGGAAGTGGTCGAGACGGCCTTTGAAGTCTGGACTAGAAGACTCCTCCAAGCCCATAGCCCTGCTCCGTTCCCGCTCGCTTTCCAGTTTGTCCCTCTCCTCCGGTGTGGAATCTGTCAAGGTGCTGCTACCCAAAATCATAGCTGAACCTGCAGCCGCGTCCGCAGCCAGAGGAGGTTTGACTTCGAGCTTGGTGGGAAGCAAGGAGTAAACTGCAGCGAGACCGGCGGCAAGAACGTCGGAGAAATCGCCATCCAAGATGTACTCTGCTAATGCAAGAGCCGCATCTGTATTGGGATCGTGGTCGGGGCCAGAACGCGCGGTTGAGATCGAAGACGAGAGGTCTTCTTCGACCAGTTTGTGTGGTGAAGGATCCAATGGTGACATCGCGACGTCCATGAGGAAGAGGAGACCTGCACGAGCGAAATCGCCAATTTGGCCTTCTCGGTGGACAAACCGCAGCAGGTAGTTGAAAAGCAAGAATTCATACTCTGGCTTCTTCGTGATAGATGAGCCCATGGCGGAGATTTCTGTCTGCTGGGACGGCGAAGGAGATGACTGAGGAGGGGGTGTACTGGGGTCGACAGGGGGTTGTTTTCCTGTGTTCTCAGCCAGAGTAGAACGCTCATCTTCCTCGTCCTCATCTTCTTCCCCTTCCTCTACGGAGAATAAGGGCTCTGGTCGGTACCATTGCTTGTCGTGGAAGAATATCATAAGGAGTTCGCGATACGTTCGGATCCTACTGCAAAGGATGCACAATAGGTTCACCACTATTTTCACGTTAGCAGACTTGCACTAGGATCATGATGAGACACTCACAGTCTTCCTCATACTCCGACGGCTGAGATCGAGACGCGATCCCTGCTGCTCCCATGGGCTTGTTATGTCCGTCCAGTTGCTCCTGGAGATCATCGCCAACACAATTGCGTAAAAGACGCAAGACGGCCTTGTGAACTGCGGTGTGAACTAGGAATTGCTCATCCAAGAGGACGACCATATTCTGCACGGCACGGAGCACCTCGGCTTGAATGCCAAATGGACGATCGGATTCGCTCAGCTTGACCAACGTTCCCAGAACGTCTTGACGGCCCAATGAGATGGGGAACATTTATCTCAACCATGCAACGCACCGTTCTTCAAGAGATACTCCAGACATGCTCCCGTTACGCTACACTCCAAGGGAGTATGAACGACCGTCCAAGATCAGCAGCCGTTGCACGCACCCTTCCTCCGTCCGGGTAGACTCCCATACCAAGGAATCCACCATCGACTGAAGACGAGCCGGTACATCGGTGGATTTGATACCTCGCGTAATTTGCCGTTCGTCGGGTTGCATAAGAGTGTTCTAGCGATATGACTTGTAACGTCCGTACGAGAGCAGTAGCGAGACAACAGGCGAACCTTGATGAGTACCCATGACTTATGGAACTCTGCAGCATGATCAACCTAATGCAGATACACGGACTTTCAGACCGCAAAAGCACAACGAGCAGAGTAGAGCGCACCTCTGCCTTGGGAGTTGGATGGGTGTTCGCCCGTAGGAACTTGGAAAAGTAATCCATGTTGTTATCCCTCCTGGCGGCCTACGACCAGCGCAAGTCTCGGTGCAGTCTGGCAGAAGAACGAAGACTAGTAAGAAGGGAAGCTGGTAGTGACGAAGAGCGAGCGGAGGTTGCTATCCACATGCGGAGACGAAACACAGAGGAGAGGAGCCTGCGATCGGGCGGCTAGGACGCGCCGACGGCGCCGCGCCGCGGCCCAACCCCGGCCTCTGCTTGAGTCTTGACCTTCAGCACACTGTGCATGTCTCCTTCTCGACGCCCATCCTCGCCTTCTTAGACTCAACGAACGCGGTCTTAAGTGGTTGGCGCTTATCCACAGTATACGTCGACATGTCTAACAGCTTGCTGGACAGTCATTACCGCGGACACCATGCAGCTCGGTCCGCCTGGACCCAGTCAAGCTGCTCAACATGCAACCAGTCCTATTCCCCCCTCGAATGCGGTTGCACATGAGGGGTCATTTTCCTTATCCGGGCTGTTAAGTGACAAGTGCGTGCTCCACAATCCCCGTAAAAGTGTGTACCTGAGGAATCACCATGAAGCATAGTCCCTACTTCCAAGCCGGCTTTGGGTTCATGGTATGGTTATATCAGCTCTTGGGATGCACCGGTTGACATATCGTCTTTCCAGGGCGTTGGAATCGCCCTCACATTCCTACGTCAAGGTGTTGTTGCCGCGGCCACTAGTCTTCGAAGACAGATGCTTGTCTCGCTCGAGATGAACAACAAGGACCCGGCATACGACTACTTCCTCACCTGGATGGCCGCACAGTCTTCCCGAACGCAAGCTGGTCAGGCTCCTTGGTCGTCTCTCTTCCGCTCGTCTACACCATGGATGCGCAGCCACCAGCTTGGCGTACAAACACTCCAAGAGCAACGCAAGAACGGCAGCGCGTCCGTTATGTTCAAGCTCGTCGCTGCCCCGGGGACTCATCTCCTTCGCTACAATAGCGTCTGGATGCAAGTCCGTCGGGAGCGGGAGACCAAGGCCCCCAACCTGATGACCGGTACGCCATGGGAGACTATCACAGTGACCACCCTCTCCCGCGACCGGGGTATATTCCCTCAGCTGCTTTCTGAAGCTCGCGACCTTGCAATGCGTGGGCAAGAAGGGAAGCTGGTGATCAATATCCCTTGGGGCTTGGAATGGAAACCGTTTGGTCAGCCGCGAAGGAAACGACCCATCAAGAGTGTCGTTCTCTCGGAGGGTGTGGCCGAGAAGATTGAGGCCGACGTTCAAGCCTTCCTTCAGCGACGACAGTGGTACGCTGACAGAGGTGCGTATTCCCGGAGAGGACACTTCGCGCCACCTATTGATCACGCTATAGGTATACCATACCGTCGCGGATATTTGCTCCACGGTCCCCCCGGGTCCGGCAAATCGTCCTTTATTCAAGCTCTCGCAGGCGCCCTCAACTACGACATATGCGTACTCAATCTTTCTGAGCGGGGTCTCGCAGACGACAAGCTTATCCATCTGCTGGCCAACACCCCAGAACGTAGCTTTGTCCTCATCGAAGATATCGACGCGGCCTTCAACAAGCGAGTTCAAACCAGTGCGGACGGGTACCAATCCTCGGTCACGTTCTCCGGATTCCTTAACGCTTTAGACGGTGTCGCATCTGGAGAGGAGCGCATCATCTTCATGACCACGAACCACCCAGAGGTCCTCGATCCCGCCTTGATTCGCCCAGGGCGCGTCGACTTATCCGTCTTGATTGACGACGCCTCACCGAAGCAGGTGCGCTCTCTCTTTGAGCGTTTCTATGGCAAAGATGACGTCGCGGAGAGTGCGGGCGGCGTTGTCGGCAAGGAACGCTCCGAGACCAAGGAGTGGGATCGCATTCCTGAGGCAATATTGAGGCAACTGGCAAATGAAATCGAACTGGCGGTAGAGGAGGAAGCCAAGGCAGGGCGTAGGATCAGCATGGCAGCTTTGCAAGGTCTACTCATCAGGAGCAACGCACATGAAGCAGTACGGGATATCGGAACGCTTTTCGTGTCCAGGGCACCCACGTCGTAAAAGTACATACACAATTTAACATACCAGCTCATATAATCTACACCGCTATATGCTAAGGAATGGTGAAGGCACGAGAAGGTTAGAAGATGGCCTTGCGCTTGCGTCCTGTGTATTTTGAATCATTGGGTACGCCTTCTTTCCCGCGTTGGCGGTACAGCTGCGAATATAGGTCAGTACGCACGCATGGCGCAAGTGGAAGAATATGGCGCACCTCTTTCTTCTTCAAGATCCAGTCCTTCTCCTTGATGCTCTTCCGCTTGCCGCCCTTCCCTCTCGCCCGCATCTTCTCCCGTCGCTTTTCAAAGAGCGCATGCCCTTCATCCACCTCTTCCTCGCCTTCGAGCCCCTTCGGCACTTGCTGTGAACCTCCTCCGCCGCCCACGAACAGACACAGGAATACTTTCCTGGCCTTTTTCGAGTTGGGATAATCGACGACCACTCCTCCGCCGAAGCCCGCCTTCTGCGCGATGGACGTGATGAGTTGGATCTGGTCGTCGGAGGTGGGGTAAAACTGTAGGATGGCGCGAGATGGGTTCTTGAGGGCAGCATGCAGCGTCGTGAAGAAGCGAGTGAGTCGGTGTGGAGGGGATGATGTGGGATGAGAAGTCTCTGCATTTAGCAGCCACTGAATGACCGAAATGCTGAGGAAACCAATTAGCCCGAATTCCTCAGCGTCGACGGCCACATACCTGATAGCGCCGTCAAAGCTGCCTGGGCGGAAGCCAAAACCCTGTCCGATATCTTGCAAGAAGAGGTCGCCCTCTACTTCTCGTTCGAGCGCGATCTCTGCAGACCTTTCCAGCATGCAATTGGACGAGGAGCAATAAATGGGCTCACCAAGCATGCTCGGTGCGATATCAACCCCAACCCATGTGTAACCCTCCTCGTCCAGAATTTCCCCTGAGAGCCCCGAGCCGCACCCAATGTCGAGCAGGAAGGCAGGCTCGTCTGGGGGCAAATTGAGGAGCTCGAGGGCACGGTATGTCATGTCAGCTTGGATGTTCTGGACGCGAGAGCTTCGATGAGTTGACGACGTGAAATCGAGCCGCCGTCCGGACAACTCACTTGTTGGTATACTTTTTGGCCTCGATGTCGCCATAATACTATGAATGATGAAGTGTAAGGGACGTTTGGAGGCAGTGAAGGGAAGCGTACGATTTCGGGCGGGGCTTGTAGTTCTGGCCGGGACATGGTTCGGCAAGTGTGCTATGAAGGAGCTGAGGGTGTCTCGCGAGGCACTGAAAATGGCCGATCGCAAATCAATGTGGGAAGTCACGGTCACGTGCCCTTGCGCAGCTAGCGAGCTCAGAACCTGCATCTTCTATCTGCAGCCCTCCGGCCTCGAGGCGAGCGGAGCACAGTCCGAATGCCGTTCCCTTCTCACCACTCACGTATATGAGGCTAATCGAAGTTGTGGGGGTCGTCACCCCGTCTTGCCTCCCTCCTCCACTCCCCCGGCCATGATGCCCCGTGCACGGCCACTACCGACTCCCATCCCTCGGCCAGCCGGTCGAGTGACAAGCTTTATTCCAAATGACACCAAAGGCCTTGCATATCACATGGAGCTCTCCTCGACCCCAGAGCAAACGCAGGTCTACTGTGCGCTTGTTGTAAGTCGCCCAAATCTACCTATGTCTTGATTATACACTTCGTATGATTGATCGGCTGTCAATGCATACACAGGAGGACATTGCGAGGCTTTACGACGATTACATAATATCTCGGGGGAACTCCGCGTTCTCTGGCCCAGAGCGGGAGGAGTTCAAAAAGCTGGTAAGTATCGACATGGATCATTGGTTGTTGTCAGCTAGCCTTCGGTGACAAGGATTTACTGACTTTGATCGCGGCAGGCCGTCGACAGAATCCCGATGATGCGCAACTTCGAAGGAGCATGGCCCGTTATGCTGATTGCTTCGGAGCACAGGTACAAGGTGTCTCGTCCCGACGGCAAACGGTCTGGTTTCAGAGGCTTCTTCACCAGACACGCAGTGCGTCCGACTCCCATCCTCCGCCTCCCCGGTTGTGGGCTTACGCCCACTCGACCAACCGCGCCGCCTCTAACCTCGATCTTCTTCCCTAGCCACACCTTGACACACAACCTGCGCACGTCGTGCGGACCGCACGGCAGCATGGGATCCAGCAACGTGGTACATCCGACTCTTCGGTGGCCAGCCGCCGTGGTGCGGGCAAGAGAACACGCGGACCAAATTGCCGCACTCTGGCTCGCTCGGTGAGCGGACCCTGCGACGTCTCCCGGCGTGTGACGAACTAAGACATATCCAGCTCAGATCTTGCAAGAACTGGGGCCTTCTCTGTCCCCGCCAACGCCTGCGCACGATCCCTCGTGTGAGTCGGAGCCTCCGCCGTCCGCGGAGCTTCCACGAGTAGCGATGAGCACAGCAGTGCCAGCACCCCGGACAGTAGCGGCATCCCCAAAGGGAGCGAGACTCCCGGCAGTCGCGACGTTCCTCATGTCGCTCACCCCAGAGCAGACTGGCCTCGGCCCCCTCTTCCATCAGCTGGGCATCGACGACCTGGGCGAGCTTCTGCAAATGAAGGAGCGCTACGTGTGGCTATATTCACTGGTGAAAGAAGACCGCCTCACGGAGTTCCAGTTCGCTCTCATCAAGAACGGTCTGAAGAAGTTGGAGACAGCGCCTTGGTTGAGGTGAGCGCTTTGTGAGCTCGTCTCGTGCTTGTTCAGACCGTCGTCCAATAGCACAGGCGCGGCGGATAGCAGCTGTGCATAGGACGTCAGATGAAGATTCGGGGGTAAAACAGTTTGGTATCCGAGAGAACAAAAGAACATGTACTATATGTACCTTACATAAGATCCATAGCCAGAAATCTACGTCGCTGGGGTAACGAATTGTTTACCAATTTTATTGCCAGCACACGGCACGCATACGATGATGTGATAGATCAATGGTAATGTGATTGGAACTACTAGATATACACTGCAAACATGTCGACAGCAACCTTCATATTCTAAATAGACTATTGACACAAAGCAGGGGGTTTACGCACGTGGCGCCGCGCAGACACACTGGAGCACCAAGCACCAACGAGGCGAGGGTGGGGCCGTCTAAAAGGGGGCGCGAAGCGAGACGCGCGGGAGGGGGGAGGGGGGAGGTTCGTGATCGAGTGTGCGCGGCCGCGCGCAGTCGGACCCAATATCACCAGCCTAATATACGTACAGAACGGTGCAGTCCTAACCAGTCCAGCTCCCGTCGTACGACGACGAGAGGTTGAGAGAGTGCGGATCATGACGTGAAGTAGACACCGCCCCGCGATACTAGGGAGGGCGCGACCGACACCGGCACCGGGACGGCGGGGATCGACATGTCGTAGGGCGGGGTCGTGCCCGTTGAGTGCGGCCGCGAGGGATCCATGGAGCCGACGCCGGGGTGCACAGGGACGTTGGGGGCTCGCGTCTGTTGCTGGAGGAGGGACTTGGCGGTCATGAGCACGTCAACCTCGCTCGAGAGCGGGCCGACCATGTCGACAGCCTGCGCGACGGCGGACTGCGTCGCGACGGACACCTCCTTGACCGTAACCTGCGGCATGGTGTTGGCGCCCACGGCAGACGGTAGGCCCGATGAGACTGCCGCAACGGTCCGGTCGGCGACGACCTGGCGCGCGGCTTGCAGGACAACTTGCTGGGCCGCGACGGTGAGCGCGTTCGATTGCGCAACGGCGTTGTCCGGGACTTCGCCAGCGAGCTTCGAGCTGATGGCCTGTGCGGTGACGGTCAGGACGTGTTGCTGCTTGGCAAGGGCCTGCAGCTCTGGTCCGGCTTCGTTCGGCGACGCCACGACTTGTGATTGGGCCTCTTGCGCGACGCGCTGGGCTGCCGTGGTAAGCACCTGCACGACCTGGGAATCCGGCGCAACCACCGGCGCGGACACGGCAGCGGCAAGTGCTCCGGCACGAATCATCCTAGTGCGTTCATCAGCCGAGCGGACGGCCGAAAATGGGGTTGAAACATACCGCTGGGTGGCCACGGCAGGCTGCTGCGCGACACCGCTTACGATGGAATCGCTGAAGATTCGTCTGGGGTTGTGAATGTCACCAACAAGCGAAGGTCGCCGAGAGGGTGTGAACGTGGAGTCCACCGCGGCCATCGGGGCGATGGTGATGTGCACGGTATGGGTGAGCAGCTCCTCCTTCCCATCTTGTATGAACTACATCCGAGGGTACATCGTAAGCTCCACTATAGGCGACCGCGTGCGCGCGGGCCGGTATAAATGAACGTACCCTGGCTTCGACTGTTACGTCGCAGCTCTGAGCGTCCGGTGGGGGTATCCCGGTCAGCGATTCCTCCTTCCACGACAACCAGGGCGGCAGGGCGGGGGAGCTGTAGTTGACGGGCATGTTTGCACGCGACGCCTGTGGGTCCCAGATACGGGGTGTCCACGTCCAGCGCAAGCCGACGTAGGCGACGCCCGGGGGGGTGCCGGCGAGCTTGCGCCTGAAGGGGCGGAAGAGCCAGCCGCCGTCCGACCTTTTGGCGTCGACGTGCCAGATATGGTTGCCTTTTGACTTGGACTTCTTGCCCTCCTCGTTGAAACGCGAGATGTACGGCTGGTTCCAGAGGAAGTTGCGGATCTACAGCAGGACCGGCGTGTCAGCCGACATGCCGAGGAACGGCGCGGGCACTCGCCTTTTTCATGGGAATCTTTTCCTCGGGGAAGCCTTGGCGGGCGAGCTGGGATGACGTAAAAGCGGGGTGAGAGGACGGCGGGAACCATGAGCGGGGGAGGTACCTCTTCGAGGAAGGCGTTCGTGAAGGCCTGGATCCGGAACTTGAAGGGACGGAAGTCGGGGGACTCGTCCAGGCGCTGCATCTTCTTTGCCATGAGCGTCTGGTGGATCGGCTCGCCCTTGGAGTCGGTCGCATCCACTGTGGAGCAGAGATGAGTGCGCGCGCGGAGCAAGACCGGCAGCCCGGCAGTCTCGGCTCTCTGTACGTACGGTTCGAACAGATCGAAGTCAAAAACTCAAAGAAGATGCGCTCGACATCGGCCCGGTACTCCTGCGGCACCTCGTTGCCGTGGCTCGAAGAAGACGCCCCCTCGTTTGAGGGCGAGGTGCGGCTCATCCGCCGTTGTCCGGCATGGCGCATTCCGTTCAGGCCGTCGGCACTAGATATACTCTCAGCGCCATCACCTCTCAAGTACCCCACGGATGCGTACTGATTGCCCTGGCCCTCGCCGTCGTCGTCTGACCCCTCATCGTTCTCCTCCGGCGACGACCCCCTCGGGCTGTGGTGTCCCGACGTCGAAGGCCGCGACTGCGATGTCGACTCGTACATCGTAGGGTGCGATATGCTCTCCGCTGTATGCGCAAACGGATACGACAGCGACTGCGAACGCGACGCCCGGACGATCGTGGCCGACGCCGCGTTCATCGGCGCTTGTGCGAGGTGAGTACTCCTCGTCGGTGAGTACATCGAACCCGTGAACGATGTCGAGGAGCCGGCCACGGACATGCCGTTGGTCACTGCAAGCATATCGTTCAATACCAATCCAGGGGAGAGAGAATGATAAGGCTGACGGGGGGTGGAGACACGGCCGTCGGACCAGCCAGGACCAGGAATGAAACCCGGCGACGGTGCGATCGAGGCCGAAGTTGCGCCTGAAGCTGGTAAGTAATCTGGTGAGTGTGGAAGGGAGGACACAGATTCCCCAACGAGCCCGGCATGGAGGGAGCTCGTCGAGTGGTTGGCATCGTGCATCATCCCCAAGGCAAGGGGGGGAGGTATTCCGGCGGAACTGGGTGGTCGCGACGAGGACATGGAGGAGGTGGACATCATGGAGGGAACTGCTGAAATATCGGTGATCGAGCTCATGGAAGCCGGATATGAGTAGGCAAAGTGGCCTTGGGACATCATCGTCGAAGGGACGGTGGTCGTTGGCGATATTTGCAGGGGCGGAGTGTCGTCCTGTGGTTCAAGCTTCATCGACTTGACTACACGATCTCCAGCCATGGATGAAGCGCAGCGTTTCCGTGAAGTGTCCGAACCGTCTGACATTGTGCTGAGGTCGAGTGAGCCCCCAGGTGGTAGCCCGCCTAGCGTGAGTGGGGGTTGTTGATATTCACCAATCGCTGTAGGGGCCGCGGACGCGGACGCGGATGAAGAGGTGGTCCCTGTTTGGTGAGGGGGAGAGTTTCCAACCGTCTCATCGTCACCCAGTTGCATGGCAGCCACGAGCTCAGCCACGAGCAGGACATTTTTCTTCAACACGGTGACGATCTCTCGCGCATCGCTGCTCTGGCCCAGCGAACAAGCATCGCTACCAGAGTTGGCTGTTCGCGCGATACTACAGGAGCACAAGGTCCGCCATGAGGTATTGGTAAGCGACCAGTCGCAACAGAATGAAGGTCTAGACGTACTTTTTCAACAGATCACCTAGTACCATCAGATGGGCGCCGCCCGGGGTATCCTCAGTGCTTGACGATGCTGAGTTATCGAAGCCCGGAGGGGGGAAGTCGAATCCGGACTCGTGACCAGTGGTTGGGGGACCACCGCCGGCCGAGGGAAAACCCAGATCTGAGCCCCCAGCAGTCAAATTGCCGGACGAGGCGGCGGATCCTGGAGTGCTGAAAGTCGTACCGTACTCATACGTAGGGAAGGCGAAGAAAGACGAACCGGTCGTGAACGAAGGGGCCACGCCGGTCAAGGCGGGTGATGAAGCATGCGAAGCGCCCGTAGACGCGGAGTTCGAGCTGGGCGAGGACAGCAGAGGATGCGAAGGGTCAATCGCGTCTAGAGTTGCAATTCGTGGATCTATGCCGTACAGGGCTGCGTGGCTAGCGAAATCTTGAACGAGACCCGGGGAGGCCGACTGCGGGGGAGGGGGTGCAATGACATCCATCGGAGTTGAGTCGGAGGGAGGAGGTATTGACATGGACATGTGCATAGACATGGAAGCGACCGTCGCGGGGTCCGTGGGTGGTGAAAAGAGCGGCGGGGTGATGGTGGCGTGCATGTGAGTGGGATCTGGGGGTAGAGATGGGTCGGGAAGGGAATGCGGGACGAGGGAAGCGAAGGTCGGAGGGATTGGGATGTCCGAGGGAGGGAAGTGGGAGTATTGTTGGGGGTCGACCGCAACAGGGGGCGCAGGTTGGATCTCTTGCATGGAGGTCATGGCCCGGAGGGTCGATCAAAGAGCGCGGCGAAGAAAGGTAGGGCAAAGTCGCGGGGGATGAAAGACCGTGGAATGAACGGGCCCGAATGGGGAGATCGCGGGGGAGAGAACACGTGAAGATCCTGGGGGAATGGGCGTTGGGCATGGCACGGGAAAGGGAGACGGAGACGGAGGACATACACACCTCGGCGGACGGACGGGGAGCGGGTGGGAGCAATCAACGGAATCGGCGCGTGGTGGGGGGCGCGGGGGGCGTGAGGGGCATAAGCCGCGGCGGCGGCAGGTGGGGCAGGAGCTGGGGGATGTCGTCGGAACGGGCAGCAGACAGCGACGGGCACCTGCAGCAGAGTCCGGTCGAGCAGCGTCTGGCAGAGGGCGTCTGGCAGGGCTCTGGTGCACGTCTTGGGCGCAGCGGGCCAAACAGCAGCAAATAGCCTTCCTTATTAACCACTGCTACAGATGCCTGCCCCGGCCCACGCGCACAGGCTGAGTTTGTTGCTGCAATTCAAGTCCGACGCCCGCCTCTGTTATCTCCCGCCTCGCCCGCTCCCGCCACCGCGCAGCGATCGCGCAACGGTTGCTGCCAGATCGCCATCCCGACCGCCCAGCCGAGACGATGGTCTCTCGACTCTTTAGCTTTGCCCTCCGAGCTCCAGATCCCCGCCCCTGCGGCCCCCTGCAAACCCTTCGCGGCGCGACGTTACCCTGCCGGACGTTTGAGCCGTGATCCGTGCGTTCCATCGCCCTCCCGAGTGTCGCAGACGCTCTGCGCGCAGCTCGGACACGACGACGGGCGGGAAGGGACAGCGAAGGGCTAGATTGGGTGGATCGTCAGCATCACGGTTCGCGTGTGGACTTGCTGATCTGCTGCGATACAAGTCTGGTCATATGTCCCCCGCGCGACGTCGTAATGGTCAGCTGGTGGTCCCAGGGTGTGGCCAACGGCAGGCGGAGATCGCATGTCTTGCTCCCCGAGCCTGCCTGTCACTCGCCTGCCTCCCGTCACCCGTCCGCTTCCCATTCTTCCGTCGCCGTCGCGCAGTGCGCACGCGGTCCTCGAGGCCCGCGAGGTCTCCGTCCATTGCACCTTGCACCGTCACTCGTCTCAGCATCAGCCCCACGTGTAGCACCGCCAAATATGCGTCCTAGCCCGTCTCCGACGCGGTCTGCTGCCCGTTCATCTCACCTGTCCGGGCCCGCCCTGCCTCCGGCCCACATGCGAGACAAGACCTGGTCCAAACGGAATGAGCCCCAGGCCGACCGACGCGTTCCTGGTTCTACGGATCCGCCCTCGCCTTCTCAGCAATTTGAGCGCCGACGGAGCGCCCTTGCTCGTCGCTCACCGCCGCCCATGTCGCCCGCCGAGTTCGCGAGCAGGAGACAGATGACGTGCTAGCCGGACGCGACAACCAAGTCTCCTCGCCGTTGGGTCTCCGCCGCCTGATCAACGCGACCTCGAGATAGGCGCCAGTACCCGAGTCGACGCCTCGCCCTCTCCGCCGGGGAGATCTCTTCTCCATTCCCGACGCCCGTCCACCTGCGCCTCCCCCACCAACGCGCACAGCCGCCATCAGCCCTCCTCGTTGTCCGCCAGTCACATCCCATGGCGACCACGAGCAAGCAATACAAGGCCATAGGCGAGGACCTCTGGAAGGGCCGCACTGAGAAGATTGTAAGCCCGGATCCCGCCTCGCGCCATCATTCTCCCCCATCCTGACATGCACAGGGATAGAATGCAGAGCTCTTCGCCCTGACGTACGGCGCCCTCGTCGTGCAGCTCATCCAGGACTATGAGGACTACGCCGAGGTCAACAAGCAGCTCGACAAGATGGGCTACAACATCGGCACCCGGCTCATCGAGGACTTCCTCGCCCGGAGCAGCCTCGGCCGCTGTGCAGACTTCCGCGAGGTCGGCGAGGTCGTCGCAAAAGTATGTCATTCTCCATCCACCATGCGGTCTCCGTACACCCTCTGACGACATCGTGCCCGCAGGTCGGATTCAAGTCGTTCCTGAACATCACCCCGAATGTAGTTCATGGCGCCGCGCCGACCGCTGCATCCTCGCCCACCCGGACGAGCATGCCTCTTCCACAGGCAAATTCTCCCGGTGCGACCTTCACGCTAACGTTCGAGGAGAACCCCTTGGCGGAGTTTGTAGAGCTGCCAGAGGAAGCTCTGGACGGCGGTCTGTGGTTCAGCAACGTGCTTTGTGGGGTGCTTAGGGGAGCTTTAGAGATGGTGCGTGATCCTCTTTTCCTTCGAAGTACCAGAACCGAAGTCGACTGGCTGCCATATTTAGGTCCAAATGCAAGTCACGGCGTCCTTCATTTCGGACGTCCTGCGCGGCGACGAGGCTACCGAAATCCGCGTCACTCTTGTGAAATATCTGGAGGAAGAGGTGCCTGTCGGCGATGACTAGATACCGCAGTACGGAATGTACAGTAATTTCGCGTGTATCGCATGTATAATAGCCCCCCTCCACGCACTGCACCCGCAGAACTGCAGCAGCAGGGTCTAGGGCGGCGGAAAGCACGCACGCGCGAGTCCGATCAACTTTCGTCGCACGAACACAGCTCGAAAGTGCTCACCGAGAAGCAATCTCCCCGGCGGCGACCACACGCCTACGCCCAGCGCTCGACCCTGTTGAGCTTCTTCGCCGTCTTCGCGTTCGACTTGGTGTTCTGGCCGCGGACGGGCAGCTGCATCGCGTGCCGCCGACCGACGTACGAGCCGATCATGCGCTGGTGCGCGATGTTGTCCCGCACCTGCCTCCGCAGGTCCGTCTCCAGCTTGATCTCCCGCAGCATGTCCGGCGGGGGCTGCACCTGCGGCGGCGTGAACTTCGCGCCCAGCCGCGGGGGCGCGAAGTCGGGCGCGGCGAGCGGCAGCGCGGGCACGGTGGGCGAGTTCGAGGGCGAGGCGAGGAACGCGGTCAGCGCCGTCACCTGCGTCTCGTTCAGGTTGCGCACGCGGCAGCGGTCGTGGACTTGCACGCGCGCGCAGAGGCGGGCGGCGGTGGCATTCCCGATCCCGTAGAAGTGCGTCAAGGCATGCTCTGGGTGGGTCAGCGCGAGCCCGGGGAGCGTGCAGACGAAGGGAAGGCGCACCTTGACAAAGTGGCGTTCAGGCAGAGCGACGCCGAGGATATGCATGGTGAGAGACGGGTCCCAGCCCTGGTGTGTTGGAGGTGACGGAGCGCGGCGGTGGTAGCAGAGCAGAGACGTCGCGTAGGCGCTCGTGTGCTTGCACGCGACAGCGGCAGAGGGCGTCTACTCAACCCCGCCTTCCCTTCCGCCACTCCCTCGGCCGACCGCGTCTGACCATCATGTCGAACAACAAGGCGGAGGGGCGCCGCGAAGAGGCTCTCGCCAAGCAGCGCAACCTCATGCGCGAGGATTTCGAACGGCAGAAGCAGACCCTCATCCAGGAAACGGAGAAGGCGCGACCATCCTCAAACCGTTTCGTTGGGCAGAATGATTCCATGGAGGACACGCTCAAGAAGAGCACCGTGGGTCTTGTCAAGCTGGAGGAGTTTCAGCAGCGTAGGAAGGAGTTGGAAGAGGCAAAGGCCCGTGAGGCTGCGCGCACGAACGAACTCAAGTATGTCAACATTCACATAACGGCTGCAACCGCCGCCAGGTCCTTTTATGCGCGTCGGTTTGCTTACTGGACCTGGAGTGGTTGCTTAGGGATGAGAAGAAGGTGAAGAAACGCAAGAAGGCGGCCAAAGCCACACTCTCATTCGCGCTGGACGATGATGAGGGCGAAAATGACTCTCTGGTCAATGGAGATGAGCCTCCCGTGAAACGACCAAAGTCACGCAAGAATCCTGAGGTAGACACCTCTTTTCTTCCGGACCGAGACCGGGAGGAGGCCGAGCGAAGGGAGCGTGAAGAGCTCCGCCAGGAATGGCTGCGCAAGCAGGAAGAGCTCAAGAAAGAGGACATCGAGATCACGTATTCCTACTGGGACGGAAGTGGGCATCGTAAGAGTGTGATGGTGAGTTCTTCCGAGCTCCTCTCCGCCCCATTGCGGGCCTGACCACACAGATACATGCACGTCTGGCATGCACATTCGTTACGTAGTGCAAGAAGAGCGATACTATTTCAGGCTTTCTTGAGAAATGTCGACAGCAGTTCCCAGAACTGCGCGGCGTGAGTGTGGACAACCTTATGTATGTCAAGGTTCGTGTGTACTCCCTTGTGACGCGCACGCACATGCTGATGTCCCCACAGGAAGATTTGATCATTCCCGGGGTATGTCTTCCAGTCGTCGCATCTCGCCTTCGATATTGACACAGGAAGCAGCACTACACCTTCTACGACTTCATCGTGAACAAAGCTCGTGGGAAGTCGGGTCCCCTGTTCAATTTCGACGTGCATGACGACATTCGGCTACTGGCCGACGCATCCGTCGAGAAGGACGAGTCCCACGCGGGCAAGGTGGTCGAGAGAAGCTGGTATCAGCGGAACAAACACATTTTCCCCGCGTCTCGGTGGGAGGTACGTGTCGTACTGCCCGTTATCCAGTTTCTTGAAGAAGCGTACTCACGGTATCTGATTCGTCGCAGGTCTACGATCCCGACAAGAACTATGGGAAGTATACCATCTCATAGAGGCTATGACGTAGTACTACAAACCTCGTCGCATCGCATACAACTCTTCATGTTAGTTTCCTTTCGTGCCCGTACATAGTAGTTTGTTGTAGAGGCCCACTCGGGTGAATTCGATGATTTTATTTTGTCAGCACACACTAATTGCAAGCGTGGCTGGTCGTTTCTAGACCGCCACTTAGGGCTACCCGCCGAGACGGTTCCGCTCCGCGTGGGCGCCTGCACTCCCTTTCCGGTTTCCCTCGACTGAGTGCTGATCCTGCTGCACCCATTCCGCTCGCAAAACCGTCCTCCTAGCCCCCCGAACTCATCGCAGCCATGTCGGGCACCGGTCCCAGAGAGAATATCTTCCCCACGCGGATGGCCCTGACGAACACCAAGCTCCGTCTCAAGGGTGCCCAGACCGGCCACTCCCTCCTCGCAAAGAAGCGTGATGCGCTCACGACCCGCTTCCGCGCGATTCTCCGTCGAGTCGACGAGGTATGTCCCGACTCGCCGCACTGGCTTGCGCTCGATGTCCCGGAGATGTACGACTCACCATTGTTCCCTCCAGGCGAAGCGAAAGATGGGCCGGGTGATGCAGCTCGCCTCGTTCTCGCTCGCGGAGGTGACATATGCGACGGGCGACATCTCGTACCTCGTGCAGGAGCAGGCCAAGTCTGCGTCATTCAAGGTGAAGGCGAAGCAGGAGAACGTCTCGGGCGTGGTCCTCCCTGCGTTCGAGGTTGATCGGGTCCCGGGCTCTGGTGCGTTGGCTCTCTCTCTTGCCGTCACCTGCACAGATTGAGCGCAGTGTGATTATCGTGCCAGATTTCAACCTTACGGGTCTCGGCCGTGGTGGCCAGCAGGTATTGCGCGCGAAGGAAGTTTACGCCAAGGCGGTTGAGACCCTGGTCGAGCTCGCATCTCTCCAAACCGCGTTCATGATCTTGGACGAAGTCATTCGCGCAACGAACCGTCGAGTGAACGCCATTGAACACGTCGTCATCCCAAGGTTGGAGAACACGATCAAATACATCACTAGCGAACTGGACGAGATGGATAGAGAAGAGTTCTTCCGGTACGTCCGTTCAGATCCTTCGTTTGCATTTCTCCAATGATCGATCGATTCCAGCCTGAAGAAGGTGCAAGGGAAGAAGAAACGAGATGCAGAGATCGCGGAGGCCACTCGCAAAGCGCAAATTGAAGCCGGCGAAGAAACTCCTCCGCTGGACCTCGCCGAAGAGAGTGCCGGGGATCTTCTGAGCAGCAAAGACGAGGATGTAATTTTCTAGGCATGCTTATAATGCAGACATCGCGGACGCCTCTTTCGTGATAGCGAATTCGATACCCAACCCCCATGTACAATACAACATGTGTACGACTAGGATTCCGTACGGTTGAACCAATTTTTGAGGTGCTGTCACGCTGCAGAAGGTGGCAAAGATGGCCTGTGGCCTATGTGGCATAACATATGCGTCGTAGTGGCATACATACATGTGTGATTTTGCAGCGGACATGCGAAGACAGCGATGGGAGGAGAGGAAGCAGAACGGAGGTACGAGGTTACTGAACGCTAGTCAGTTTCACGAATGATGAGACAGTGAAATAAAACTCACATCGACCATCTCAACATCCTCACCCGCGGTCTTTGGTGCCTTCTTCCGGTCTTTCCGGTCAAGGATTGCCCGCCTGATCTAATGTGAGCCTTATTCTCCGCCACACAATGGGCAACGCTCACCTGTCCTTGTCCAGCTTGATGGTCGTGATAACGACGTTGCTGGGGTGGATGCCAATGGGAACCGTCGCGCCGTTGGACTTGTCGCGCTGAACGCGCTCGACATGGATAACCCACTTCTTGCGGTACACCTGGGTGACCTTGCCCTCCCGACCCTTGTACTTGCCCCGAACAATGCGGACCTCATCATCCTTACGAACAGGCAGCGCGCGGGTCTGAGATTGATGTCAAGGGAATTGCAGAAGATGCGCGGTAAGCGTCCCGCTTTAGGTTCTGTGCAGGAGGAACGTACGTTGTACTTGCCGCGGAGCTCCTTGCTCAGGGAAGAGGACATGATCTTGCGGCGAACGGAAGAGGGCGCCGAGAAGTGCGCCTTGCGCGACTTGCGGCGGGACGAGGAAGTGTCTGTGTGTTGGAGAGGGACCGTTTAGCGAAATTCGACCCACCATACCCATGACATCCACAATGCATCCAAGCCATCCACCCCACTGGACCAGTCCAACAGTCTGCATTCCTTCATCCGACGGCGCAGCAGCATCTAAAGACGCAACATACGAAGACTCACCGGCGTTGAACTTCATCTTGAGGGTCTTGAGGATGTCGACGGTGACGATGGCAGATTCTCCTCCGACCAGCAGTAGTGCTAGACGCTCGTGAGTCTGTGACATCAAGTAAGGGTGACGTCTGTGACGATAATAGGCGCACAATGATCCTGTGGCACACGCGACCCCGCTGGAGTGGACTCAGGCCAGTGTACAGTCTAGTGCTCGTGTTCGTGCTCTCACTCATCATCTCGGCTCTACGCACTCAGCTTCTTATACACACAAGATATTTTACTCAGCAGCTAGCCATGTCCTCTGACAAAGTACGTTCAAGTAAACTCAAGTTCAAGGGCGACAAGTCAAGAAGAAGCGAAAACATGAAGATGGAGATGAGGGCCCCAGCAGACGACGCCGCAGGGATGACATCGAAGAGTCTCCGGAGACCTGGGTGCTGCCGGAAGAAGCGATTGAATTCCGTGGACCTACCTTCATTCTGCATCCCTCCGACCCTTCCCCACTATGCATTACCTACGACTCTACCCGTGGGCGCATCGTGCTTCACTCTGCCGACAAAGACAAGACGGAGGATGCTGCTCCGCTTACGATTCTGGAGCGCACACCCACAGACGTCTCCCAGGTCTGGGTAGTCACGCGCGTCGCAGGCTCCCCGACCGTCAACATCCGCACTGGTGTGGGAGAAGGCAAATTCATCTCCTGCGACAAACATGGGCTCGTGTCTGCGGACAGAGAAGCGCGCGGACCGCAAGAAGAATGGACTCCGGTTGTATTTCCAGATGGGATGGTCGCGTTCCAGAATATCTACGAGAAGTACCTCAGCGTGGACGAAGTTGCCGGCGGACAACTTTCGTTGCGAGGCGACAGTGACGAGGTTGGCTTCGGTGAGCGTTTCTGGGTCAAGATACAAAGCAAATACAAGAAAGAGGCCCATGCCGAGGAGAAAAAGCGTAAGGGGATTGATACAACTACCACAGATGAGGCTGGTACCAAGTGAGCAATTCGACTTCGCTTGAATGCTGTAGTACTCACATCCGGTCAGCAAACTGTATCAAGCGTGGGGTGCCGGTCGGTCGGTCGTATCATCTGAGGATAAGCGCGAGGTATCTTGCACCCTTATTTTCTCGTCAATGAGTGCCTTACCGAGATTTCGTTGCAGCTTCGGGAAGCGAAGAAGGAAGGTCGACTAGCTGAAGCCATGCTTGAGCGACGAGCTAAACTGAAGAGGTGAGTCGCCTTCATGTGCTACCACGCTCCTATATATCTAATACCCATAATAGTGACCGTTTCTGCTGAATCGATCCCTCTTCGACCGTGTATTATGAGCTGTATTGTCTAGGTCTCTTACACTACATATTTTCTGCGTCTCCATGGTGGAGGACTTCCACCGATAATAGTGCTGCAATGATATCGACACGACAGTCCATTAAGCGCGATATACCTCGTAAGCAGGCAGTCATATTCGAGCGAAGGTCGAACGGGAAAGGAGTGGGACGGTATTTACAGTCTGGTGTGGGGAGCGACACTCAGTATGTATTGAGTAGCGGAGTGTCGCACATGACACATGCAACCTCTGTAGCACAATTCTCGTACGTACATGCGGGGCAAGCAATCACTGCAGGTGTGGACGGAGAGCTGGACGGTGGTGCAGTGGCGAAAGACGACCCGCCTAGAAGGGTCCCGCCGAAGGCTTGCCCTTCAGCCCGCTTCGTCTTCTTGCTGTTGCTAGGCACGTTGTCCTCCGTATCAGTGATGATTGTGACATCTTCACTCTCTTCCTTGAGGTCAAGGAGATCGTTTGACAGGATCCCGAGAGAAACCATGGTCGCTGCACTGTCTTCCAACTCTCTGCCTCTGTAAAAGAGCCGTTGCGAGATCACCGGGATACCGAGCTCGTCGCCGAACTGCAATGCTTAGACTCAATGCGGTGTCGGTGTATTCGTGAAGTGGAAACTGACCATGACTTTGAGGTCCTTTACTGACATGGATTTGGTAATAGTAATCTTGTGCTTCTTGCCGTACTCCCTGCCTTGCCGTATACGCTTCGATTTCCGAGAGCCTTCCATATTAACCCGCTTACTGTATGTGAGCAAGGTAGCTTGGACCGGTGGGTGAGAGGATTTGTCAGGGACGAATCGTGTCTCATTGTAAGTCTCTGGAGTTGGTGTGGGATCAGTGGGTCGGAGGACTCGGACTGTAATCTCGGTCATGTCGAACTCTGTTCGTCTGCAGGACGGTCAGTATCGAGCCAAACCTAAGGGCCGTAAATCAGGTCACCTCTTGAGACGGCAGTCGCTGCAGACGCTAAGCTCATGCGTATACTTGTCGTCAATCCTCTCGATGGCAATGAGCGGCTTGGCCGAGTACCTGTTTGAGTGTGAGGACACGTCACGAAAGTGTAGATCCCAGCGTACAGTTCTTCCAAGGTGTCCCAGTCGCTCCGTTTGATGATTGACATGGACCCATCTAGATCGCCTCCGAGATTGGGATCAAAGGCGAGGAGACCGTGTTCACAGACGAACTGCGCATTGTCTATGACTTCAGGTCGTGCAATATCGCCCGGGCGCAACGTCCACTGCCGCCACGCGCGCACGAATGAAGTGGGGACGATGGCGCATGGAGTGTCTTCAAGAAGCGATACGTTGCCATTCAGTGCATTTTCATGCATGTGCTTCAACCTTGCCTGCAATTTGCAGGGCAGTATAAGGAATTAGCGTCGCAGGAGGAGAATCGGTCAGCTGACCTTTTCGTCCTCCGCCAACTTGCGGAACTCACGCCTGTCCTCCTTGGACAAATGCAACATGGCCTCACAGACAGCGCATAGTTCCGAGGATGTGGAGGGCGGCTTCCAGTTGGAGAAGAGTTCCTGGAGGATCATGTACGCCTGTGCAGAGATTCGCCGACGTGTTACTGTGTTCGTAGACAGCCCACCATGCTCGCAAATTACATCGTTCAGGAAGTCCGCGGCGTCTGGAGGAGGATCTGGTGCACCTTCAAGATGCATCTTGGGTTTCGCAAGTCGCCAATCTATCAAAATATCAGCATTCTGCCGCATAAGAATACCGTTCAAAGCAAACCTTTGAGCCAAGGTCTCGATACGAAATAGCCATCTCCGTCTTCCTCAACAGCAGCAACCTCGTCAAACCGTGCGACAACTCGTGGATGCTCGACCTGGTACAGTTTTTCTACGCAGAAGGATGTCAATACCGATGCACCTTGAATGTAAAGTGCAATACCTTTGAATATGTGCTCCACACATGTTCTGCAAACGTCCGTTGTGGAAAACTCTGTTCCTAACGGCCCTCCGTCTTCATCCGCGATCCGTGTGTAGGAAGCCTGTTGCTGACATTCAGATGACTGAGCCAGATAAGACAGTGGTGCACACCTTTCTCAGGACTTTCATGTCCCCCGCTTTCTGGGGGTCCAGGAAACGATGTTCGCAAATAATGTCCGTGATTGCAAGTCTTGGAACGACCGGTGCATCATCCCTCCGAGGCTCCTTGGTATCTGTTAGGTCTATCGCAGGGGCAGGAGTAGCTTTTGGTGTTTTAGGCTTGACAATATGTCGGCACAGCCATGTCTCTAGTGCTTGACGGCTCATGATAACTTGATCCTGAAACTCTAGTTTGGTCGCCTGTAACATGACGGGTTCTAAAGCGAAGTCCTACCTCGTTGCGAGACGTGACATTCCAGCTGCGATAGACATCCATGACCATATCTCGTTTCCGATTGTAACGCTCTTTCTCCTCCGCTTCTCTGTATGCATCATGACTTCAGCAACAGTACACCGTTCGAGCGACGAGTCCATCGTACCGTTTAGCGAACTCATCACAATTCTGGACATGCTCGGCGTTTAGGTTGTTGACAACTTCGAGAGCCTTCGTTGGAGGCGTGGGGACTACTGGCTGGGAGGAGGCGTCTGCTTGACCGCTTGTGCCTGGAACGTTTCCATCCCTGACACGCGCATACACTAGCATATATGCATCTTTGGAAGAAATGTATCTGACAGACGTTATGATGCCCCAATCGAATTGATGATATGCATGGCCAACTTACTTAGGTCCTTCCGTAGGTGGGGATGGTTGCTGAGACCGCGACGAATCCCTGCAAGCAGTCAAATCAGAACATGACTCGATGAGACTCCACGCCGTGGAATTCGTACTCGACAACCTCAATATCGCTGTCACTGTCAACGCGCCGACGATTCTTAGCAGGACGTCCCTTGCTTGAGCCATTTTGCGATTTCCTGTATATAGGTTTAGACCGTGCTCCGTCCGTGAGAAACAAATCCACCTTACTTCTTCACATCCTTAGCCGCTTTACCCCCTTTCTTGGATATGTCGAGATCTGGGACCAAAGAATCGATGTGTGTGACGACCTCGTCGTTGAATTGATACCATCCTTGGTGGCTAAAACAGTGTTCTAATGAGTCCTTGCCACACCCTAAGCATCATAACAACGCACACGACGTCGAAAACTTGAGCCTCATAATGGCCATGGTATGCGCTCGTGCCTTTGTGCAAGAGGATTCCTCGAAGTTCATAGAGATTTTGGCTCTCCTTCATAGGCTTTTTCTTCCGCTGCTTCCGAATCTCCTCTGAACCGAGAAATCTATCCATGTCAATCAAAGTCGGAAACAGGATAACTTGCTTCGACTTCTTGCGCTCCATAGTAGTGAGATCGTAAACGAAGCGCAAGAGTGAGAAGTGGAGTACGGGAGGTAGCTTGCGAAGCTCAGTGTAGCGTTTGGCATCCTGAAGACTGTCACACTGCTGACATAGATATCTGCAATTGGATGAGCATCTCGACGATCATGGTTCATTCGGCGAGAACACACTTGTTATCGTCCGACAGGGTTTCTGGCTCCAACAGTGCAGCTAACCGTTCTTCTAGAGTAGCGTTGTTCTGTAAAATGAATCAACAGATGGCATGGAAGGATGTCTGAGAAGACTCACCTCGAGGTTCACTTCGATCTCCAGGAAATCCGAGTCCCGCTCTGAGTGTCGGAGACAGTTTTGACAAACAGTGTTATATACTTGCTTGCCTTGAAACTGCGGCTCTTAGTCAATGAATCGTCATCTTGACCGCAATTCATGCATACCTGGTCCGAAACTAGTGATCTGAGCCCCGAATTCTCTTGTTGCTTGAATTCGTTGTCCAAGTGCGCCATGAACAGCTTGGAAAACCTACACGCTTGCAGCTCAGTGACTTTATTCTCAGTGATGGAACCGACCCATATGAAGCATACTCTTGAGCGTCCTGCTGTTCAGTAGCGCGTAGCTTCAGACTCTCTACTAGTTTGACCGGATTGAAAGAAGAAAGTGCACAGGTTTGCATTGCAGCAAAGGTAACCTGGAGCTGAAATATCGGGGATTCCTGTGCACAGACAACGTATGAGGACGAGACTCAGCAGCGATTTCTTGACAGCGAACCTCGAACGATCTCTGAGCATTGCAGCTCGCGTGGCATTCGTACACCCCCTTGCGAAATGGCAGGTCCTGAAACCATACCTATGTTTTTGTTGTGAGAAAATATATAGCCGGCCTTCGCTGGATTTTTTCACCTGCAGGTAAGCATTGGCATAGCAAGTGGCACCTAGGTTCTACTTCACGGTAAGCTTCTCAAGATGGGAAACTCGGTGGCGAAACACACCTTAAGGCCTATAGGCATGTTACCGTCTCTAGACTTCACAGTTGGGTTCTCGCCAAGACTATGAACTTTCATCCACCCCTCATATGCGTCCTCTTCGACTGCAGGTCAGGTTCACGAAAGCACACATACTAAGGGCAGCGTACCAGCATTCTCCCAGTTGTCCTGGCCGAGATAGTTCAAGCAGTATGGATTAGATTTGCATAATTTAGGCGTACATGACGACCCCTCGTCGTCTGAAATCACTATCACGTCGTCCACCACTTCCGACTCTACCTTCTGCGGACGAGTGGAGTGACTGTGAACCGGGGATTGTTTCGCGGAGGTGTTTGAGAAGTCGGGAAGGTGCTTGTTCGGACAAATTGGATGGCTGCTCCTTCGAGAGAAGCCACACGTTGCCAACAGATGCTCATCCCGGATGTCGGACGCTTGAGTGACTTCGGTCTCGACCCAGCCCCACGCAGAGTAGGCAGCGTTATTGGTGAGCTTGATGCGCTTGAGACGCTCGCCAGCAGAAAGGCCAGCAGAAGACGGGGATGGTCGTCGCGTGCGTTTCGGAGGCATACAAGCTATGCGAAGAAAGGGCCCGAAGGATGTGGGGAGAAGCAAGAGTGTCAGGGCCACAGAACGCGGCAGTGGCTGAAGCCACATGGGCGTCTGTCGAACGCGTCGCGCGAACGTGATCTCGAAGCGAAGCCCGTGCCCCCCTCTCTTGCGTCTGCACATCACCTCTTCACGGAGAGGCACTGGGCGGGCATGTTCAAGACGTGACAGACGCGGAGGTGCGTCCGCCGTTCTTGCCCCCGTCCTCCACCATGTTCATTCTCACCTTCCTTTTGACTGGGATCTTCATGCTCTCCGCCCTCAATCCCCCATACACATCCACACTCATCACAAGCACTCTGTCAAGACACACGCCACTACTTTCTGCCGCTCCTACTGGCGACTCCTCGCATCGGCTACCTTGGAGCAATCACCGCCAACCCTTCTTTCCGAGACTTGCGGCTTCGACAGACATTGCGGACGACTATCTTGGCGAGCTCAGCGGCGAGAACAACCCCTACTCAACTGAGCCTCAGGAGCTGCCTCAGACTGCCTCTGCAGATCTTATCATGAAAATCACTAGCGCTGCCACCCTCTTGTCTTCCGTCTCTCTAGATACGTTGGTCTTCTTGGCCTGTCTCTTCGTCCTCCGTGCCATCTGCGCCTTCATTGTTCGCAAGTTCCGCGTCCCACGGCCCCCGTCTCCCATGTTCGATTCTATCAAGGTACGACTTCCGCTTCTGCGTCATGTTTCTGCTGATGCGACTCGAATGATATTCCTGTCTTCGCACTAGATCCCTGGTCAAGCGTTCACACCGAGCAACTCCTGCGAAGGTCACGGGCTACGCCAGTCACTAAGTGAAGAGGCCTTGATTCCTAGCGACCAAGACGAGCTTGTGCTTTCGGAAGGTCAACTCATTCCTGCGCATGCTGCTCTCAAGGTCGTTTCCGTCATTCCTGTTGAAGTGCCGGAGCCCGGTTTGCACGAAGATGTCCTTGTGAGTGGCAATCAATTCCACACGATGTAAACCTACAACATGATCTCCACAGCCTGAAATCCCGGAATTAACTTGTGCGACGTCCTGGTCCTCATCCTCTGGATTCTCCATCACTCTTGACGAAGACGATTGCAAGCTTCTCGAGAATTATATTGAACTGAAGAAGTGCGATCTCACTCAGTTCTCTCGGATGTCCCTTCACCCGTCTGTCCACCTTTCCCACCTCCCACCGTCCGAGATCCGTGCAGAAAATGTTGCAACAGAGGCATGAGTATATAGATATCTTCAAGCTTACTGGAACTTCGTCACGCGCGCATATCTGTCCTACTTAGCCCCCCCGTCCATTACGAGAAGCTTATCTCGATTTGTATATCGGCATGTACATGTATAATGAAGGCGGCGAGGCAACCATGTGCGATCCCAGTGAAAGACATCAAACACATGGTGTGCAACATTGTAACGAACGTGGGCGACATTCACTTGAGAGCAATCCAATACGGAGACTTTGATCTTTTGGACGGCGATGCAGGAGGACTGAGGTTCTGCGAGCACTTCCGAAATGAGCGAGCATGTTCAGGGATGACAAGTGGGAGCCTTACGCCCAGAAGTTTCGAATGGTCAGCTTTCTGTGCGTATTTCAGCAAGAGCGCCTCTTCTCCCTCCATCAGCTTGAAACGCTCCCTCTCCCTCGCGATGTCGAGCAACATGTGGCTGATCTGCTTCTCCACCACGATCGCATGCTTGCGGGAGAACGCGCCCAGCTGCCGCTTCACCATCAGGTTCTCCGCCTCCAGTGCCTCGCACCGCTCGAGAGCGGCGATGGCCTTCGACTTCCAAAAGTCGCGGCCGTGCGAAGAGCTGTTGAGCGCGGTCTCGAGTGCAATCTTCTGCTTGGATACTGTCTCGATCTGCTCGGCGAGGTAGCGTCCTGTGGCAGCACCGCTCTCTTCGGCGTTCTGGCGGCGCGCGCGCTCCGCCTCGAGAGCCGCGAGCACGATGCTGGTCTCGGAGCCAGGCTGGGTGGATGCCTTGGCGAGGGCGGAGCGGAGGAGGGAGACCTGGGAGCGGAGAGTAGCGTTCTCGTCCTGGAGGGCCTGACGTGCGTCCTTCTTCTTTCCCAGGAGGTTGTCCACGACTTCGCGAAGCTCCGCGGCAATATCGCGCCCAAGAGCAAGACCCGGAGAAGAAGAAGGCACCGTAGAAGTGATGGGGAGTATGAGCTCGCTGCGGTGAGCAAGTGGGAGGCACGTTGCGGTCGTGCTTTCGTCGTCCGTGCTAGGGACGGCCCTGAGGGAGGAGATGCCGGCCTGCGGGGGAAGTGGTCCGAAGTGGCTGGCCCTTGGTGTGCTGCATGCATCAGGGACGTTGGAAAAGAGCAGCTCTGCTTCAGGGGCGACGAAGGACGGCTCAGGGTTGCTGAAAGGTGAAGGAGTGGTGGCAGGCATGGCAGCAACGGTCTTGAGGACGTGCAGGGGGTATGGTTTCGCGGCTTGATCCACAAAGAATACCAGGAAGCGACCGCCCGCCCCGGGGAGGCGGCTTGCAAGAGAGGCAACAGACAGCCTCATCTGTGAGAAGGCGTTAGCCTCCCGGTCGACCTCTAGGACGTACCTGGCATTCATAAGGGCACTACGGAGCACCATCGTAGTCAAGATTCACCGTGACACGACCGCGATGGCAGACGGTGCGCACAGAGCAGGAATCAGGAGTGGTCGAGACAAAGCGGGGCGGGTGCCCACGCGACGCGTCATAGAAAGGAATACCGCAACCAAAGCTGGCCACTTGCGACGCGTCGCGAGCGTTAAAATCGGCACGCGTTTTTGCCTCTCTCTCCCTCTCTCCCCCCTTTCCCCGTCACTCCAGCCGCCATGTTTGCCAGACAGGCATCTATCCGCGACGCTTACGAAGACCTCGGTATCGAAGAGGTGCGTTCTCTTCATCTCGCTTGAGAACAGGTCCTAACGCGGGGTGGCGCGTCTCGTTTGGCAGGGCGCGTCCCTTGAAGCGGTTAAGACAGCCTACAGGCAGGCAGGTGTAGTATTCTTTCTGGTATCAACGCACAAGACTGATTGGAAACGATATGCTTTTAGCTCGCGCTCAAAACACATCCCGACAAGAACCCAGGCGATGCGGACGCCACCGCTCAGTTCCAGAAAGTCAGTGCCGCCTACAACACGCTCGTCAAGCACCTCGACCGCTCAGAGCCACAACGCCACTCGCACACCCATGAATACGGATTCAACCAGGGGGACTACTACGACGATGATGTCGACGACTACGATTACTTCGATGACGACGACTACTACGATGAGTACGAATCCGACTTTGAGGATCACTTAGACTTCTACAGGTGCGCTATGTCTTTCAATGTTCCCATAGTCTCCTTCTCATACCCGTGTGTAGATTCCTGTTTGAGGAAATCATGAGAGGTCGATCGAGCCGTTTTGCCCACGCCCGTACGTCTGCTACTTGACACAATTGTTCACCGTTTTAATTACCCTATAGAATTCACCCGTGCTCATCCTCACCATCCTTCTCACCGCCCTCCATCCCCACCCGAGAGTGAGGAACAGTATGCCGCACGTCTGCGGCGACAACGGGAGGAACAGGAGCGTGCTGCGGAGCGGCGTGCTGAGGAGGAGGCCGCTCGGAAAGCAGAACAGGAGAGAGAACGCGAGCAAGGTGAATAACCATGTCTTCATTCTCTGGGAGTGCTGTAACACAGCCTTCCAGATCGGCGGGAGGCGGAGCAAAGGAAGCGCGACAGGGCTTCTACGAAGAAGGCGGAGGCGGCAGCGTCGCGCAGGACTGCAGAGCAAAAGATGCGATCACAGCAAGAACAGGCCCAAATAAAACGCTCTGAGGTCTTTGCGGCCGCTCGTCGCGGAGACTTTGCGACTGTCAAGAAAGGTGTATGGGAGGATGATGTTGATGCAGCTGGCGGCGAGATACGCAAGGGTTTCGAAGACTTCATCCAGACGCCTCCCGGAGATCGTGCTGAGACGCTGCTGCACATTGCCGCAAAGCATGGAAACGTTGACATTGTGGAGTGGCTTGACTCTCACAGTACGTTCGGCTTTCTTTTGCGCCACTACGTTGGTACTGACAAGGCATTGTCACAGGCGCCGACCCTGAAGAACGCAACAGTAATGACATGACGGTCTTCCATGCGGCATTACAGAACGGCCATTCCAATGTTCTCAAGCATCTCTTCGAGGCGTACGAACCTAACGAGAACAAGGGCATCTACCGCTCGCCTAAACACATCTCCAACCTCCGCATAGCTCTTGACTCAAAGGTTCCTGAGGTGGTCTGGATGGTTCTCGATAAGCACCTCTTCACCGACGACGATATTTCTGAGGCCTGGAGAATTGCAAATGACAAGAAGTTCCAGAATGGAGTCAAGTCGACGAGCAAGCACGAAGAGCTAGTCAATTTGTTGGACAGTTTCGGCAAGTTCTCGCTCAGCAAGCCCGTATCGGAAGCGCTACCATCCCCATCTTCGAACCCACCGCCCTCGAGCTCTACGCGGCCACAGGTTAACGGCAAGCCCCACCGGTCACGACCAACTGTGGTGGTCGAGGACCTCCGCTCACACACTGCTTCTCCATCGTCGGCTGCTTCCGACGCGACGCACTCTCCATCCGGTGCGAACGGCTCTCGCGGCCGTGGTAAGAACCCATACCGTGGTTCTTTCCGCCCGTACAATCAACAAGGTTCAGCCCCTTCATCTCCCAGTTCGACTAGTCCTTTCACCGGATCATTCCAACAAGGCACGCCACCATTCTCACCCAGTCGTGGCCGTGGCAGAGGCCGATTCTCCACTTTTCGTGGTCATGGTCGTGGGCGCGGGCGGGGCAACCCAGCTGCGTGAGCTTTGTGACTTTTCTTGGCACTGCACACATTGTCGGCCCATGCCCTCGCTGCATGTATTATATCCTCAAAAGACTATTCCTCTCTAATGACTACTTTTACACGCCCCTTCACTCAAGTTAAGTCGACACCCCTCATCGTCTTATAAATCCTCTCACGTTGTCTTGTACCATGTTGCTGCACTATCATTACCCTAGAGGTGTCTTGAAAGTTGACTATTTTTACGACTGTATCATATGTTTTTGATGATACATCATCCTGTCTCAATCCTAGTCGGTCTGTGTCTTGCACCATGCGACCAAGTCAGCTCAGAAGCGCAGTTCGAGCATACAGGTGACCAACATTAATTTGAAACGTTGACGTGTCGTTCAGCGGTCAGTGTTGGGCGAGTAGAGGATGTTAGTTGAGAGTATGACGACGGACTGTTACAAGTCACAACAATATCCTTCCAGCCCACCGAGGCATTGCCACACAGTCCCTCACGCTCTCTATACCGCTCATCCAGCTGATCAGCCGCTCGAAACCCAGCCCGAAACCGCCGTGGGGCGCCCCACCGAACCGCCTCAGGTCTAGATACCACCCGTAGTCCTCCCGGCTGAGCCCATGACGGTCCAAGGCGGCCTCGAGGAGCCCCACGCGCTCCTCGCGGAGCGAGCCCCCGACGAGCTCCCCAAGCCCCGGCACCAGCAGGTCGAAGCACGCAACGGTCTCCCTGTCGGGCTCCCCCGCGTTCGCGCGCATGTAGAACGGCTTGAGCGCGGCAGGGTAGTCCGTCACGAACACCGGCCCGCGCACGTACCCGTCGGCGAGCCAGCGCTCGTGCTCGCTCTGGAGGGACGCGCCCCACTTCGGGGCGAAGACGAACGCGCCAGAACGCGTCTGGTGTGCGGCGAGAATGTCGATGGCCTCGGCGTACGTGAGGCGCGTCCACGGCGTGGGCGAAGTCGCGTAGGTGTGGAGCTCTGCGCGTCGCGCGGAGGCGACGTCGGCGGGGTGGGATTTCCAGACTGCGTCCATCTCCGGGCTGTCTGCATGGGTGCGGAGGATGTGGCGGATGGAGCCTTCGACCAGGGAGGTAAGATGTGGGAGCGAGGACAGGAAGGCCCATTCGGCTTCCAGCATCCAAAACTCGGCGAGGTGACGGGAGGTTTGAGAGGGTTCGGCACGGAAACAGGGAGACAGAGTGTATACACGGGAGATGGCTGCCGCCACGGCTTCTAGGTGCAGTTGAGAGGAGACGGTGAGGTATGCGGGATGGTTGAAGTACTCCGAAGGCTTTACGTTGGAGGATTGCAGGGTTGCGTTTGAGCTGGGTCTGATCTGGAATGTTTCGCCAGCACCTTCACAGTCACTAGAGGTCATTATAGGCGTATGTATGTGTAAAAACCCATTATCCTGTTGCAGTTGTTAAACACCTGCGCGCATTGTGTAGCTGGTGACCCACCTGGAAGAAGTCGTGCATAGCTCTAGTAGTAGTATCTCGCAGTCGTAGCATAGAGCCCGTTTCACGTGTGCGGGGCCGCAGATGACAGTGATTTCGTAGATGCTCCGCGGACATTGCTTGCTTTTGGAGAGGATACTCCTGAGAATTTTTCGATTATGCATACGTTGCATACAAGTACGCGGACGTACCTCTGGGTCGCAATCACCAAAGACTTCCGCTGCCTCCACCTTCAGCTCCTTTGCTTGTCCAGCACCGATACTGTTTGTCAGAACACCACGTAGTCTGACACTAGCACCATTCGAAAGCCTATGTGCACTTTGAATTTGCGCGCAGTGAAACATTTGAGTCGCCCACGTACAATTTTGCAAGGTCCGTGTTCGAAAAGACCGCTTGAAGGCCTGAGTCAGAAGACCCGTCGGAGATCACTGCGAAGGCGACCTTCTTCTGTCTGCGGATGGACTTGATCCAGCCATTGACCTCAACAACTGCAGCGTGCGGGGGTGGAGGCGAGGCCAGAAGCTGGCGTATCGTTGGCGGAAGGGAGGCGGAGGAGAAGAGCCGGCGGGCGAGCATTGTCGCGGTCCGCCGCGGCGGGCCACAGGCTCAATGCACCAGAGCTGGATGGCCCACGTGACCGTTTCCCAGGATCGCGCACGGCATGGGTGGTGTAGTCGAGATCGCGTCCAGACTCCAGACAACACCTCCACCTGCTCCTAACTGCCTCTCACACGACATGCACACGAGACCATGGACGGTGCCACAGAGTGATGTCACAAATGCATTAGGGTTGTCAATGCGCATATATGCTTCCCGGACACCATTCGCTCTCCCTAACGTCCACCGCTAGCATCACATCGCACTCTGTCGCACCTCTTATCCACCGCGATGAGTCACTTGCCCTCCCAAGAGAAGAAGACCGCATATCAGTCAGAGCCGGCTCTCCAAGACACCCGTTTTCTTGTCCCTCCTCAGGAACAGAAAATGGCGGAGCCTAGGAAGGCGCCGGCAGGGAGTTGGCTCGTTCCTCCCCAGGAGGAAATGGTTAACGTCGCGTCCATGAGGGGAGAGGAAGGCATGTGGACTGATCAATGACAGCATGTACTGCATCTCACACTTTCATCTTTGCAGCCCGCATCGACCGAAGTTAGTCTCGCGTCGCTTTTGTTTTAACCCGCTGCTAACTGGTAGCAACAGTGATTGGCAGGTTCAACGAGCAGCTCAGGAGTCGAACGATTGAACACGACGCCGTCACCTCAGAAGAGCGTGCTCGCGACAGACAGCAGAGGCAAGCTGTCCTCTCGGGAGCAGCCGGAGTGACGGGAGAGGATTTCGGGTACTGCGAGAATCATCATGTAGTGCGCCGTTCCGGTGCTTGAGCAGGGAAGTGCCGTCGGCGTCCGTCAAGCTGAAATATTCTGAAGAAGTCGCGAAATTTGTAGCACTGGTACTGTACAGTCGGTAGCATCAGCCTCTTTCACGAATAGTGTTTAGAAAGCGCCAAAGATTTGGTCGGGCGTCAATGCTCTCTGAGGGGTGACAAACATGTACAAATGCCGACCTGGTCACGATTCACGACACCTAGTAAGGTGTGGCAGCCACCGCCTGTGTACTAGTCCCTTCCTCACACACCTTCTCTATCTCGCTCGCGTCGCAAGAATGGGTCGTCTAGCCGAGATGCAGAGGAAGCTCCTTGAGGTATGCGTGTTCACCTCTCTCGTTAATACTCAAGTACTCAGGTCACTAGCAAATGATGGGTCCCGAAGCAATGGGCGTGTCCAACGCGAACCTGCACTGGTCGGACGAAAAAGTGTGCAGGAACTTCCTTTGTGGTACCTGCCCGCATACCTTGTTCACCAACACAGTGCGTATACAAGAGCTGCTCGTGGTGTGCGCGTCGTTGACCCTCTGTCTTAGAAAATGGACCTCGGTGCTTGCCCCAAATCGCACACCGAACGGCTCAAAACCGAGTTCCTGGCCGCTCGAGAAGCCAGTCCCAGTGACACCATCTTCGCGCGCTTCCAAACGGAGTATGAGTCCAACATCTTTGCTTTCGTCGACGAGTGTGACAGGAGAATTCGCACTGCGCACCGGAGGTTGGAGAAGACTCCAGAGGAGAACGCGAAGACGACCAACTTGGTGAGTGGCATGTTCCAATTGACGCTGTTTGGTGTATTCACGCTGGGTAGATGAGGGAAATTGCGGAAATTGAGCTCGCCATTCAAGGTGGCACTGAGAAGATCGAGACATTGGGAGAGCAGGGCAAGGTGGACGAGTCCATGCGGGAGATGCAAGCAATTGAAGCTTTGAAGAGCGAGAAAGCGGACAAGGAGGTGTGTTGTATGGTCCATTAGTCTTGTCGCCTCCCTGACCTTCTTCAGCGCGAGCTTCAACAATTGACAGACACCTCGGGAGCTTCTGGACATCAGAGGCTGCGTGTATGTGACGTGTGCGGCGCGTATCTGTCAGTACTCGATTCGGATCGTCGTCTGGCGGACCACTTCGGTGGCAAGGTGCGTGAATAATTTCGCTACTTCCTTCCCCTCTGACCTCATTCTCCACGTTCAGATGCATCTCGGTTACCACGAGCTGCGTAACATGTTGATCAAGTTCAAGGAAGACCGGGACAAGCGCAAGATGGGTCCACCGTCCAGTGTACCATCGGGTGCCCCTCCGTCTGGTGCTCCGCCTCGTGGGGGTGACCGTGACTCGTTCCGGTCCTCCCGTGATGACTACCGTGAGCGCGACCGGGGTTATGAGAGTCGACACTCTTCACGGTATGAGTGGGTTCAGTCTACTTCAGACGGTCTATGCCTTTCGGCTGACATTGGATTCAGTGACAGGAAGAGGGAACGGTCGCGGTCACCTGGTCGTCGCTCCAGGTACTAATGATCGCGTTGGACATCCTGTCGAGACTTGCTTTCTTATGTTATCGCTGTGTATTGTAAACTCACTGTTTAGTCCTTTCACGATTGCCATCTTTGTATGCGAGCCGCATCTGTCCATCGTGAATCAAGAAGGCTGTACTGTGGGCTGCAACCATGGCATCCGGGTTATAACTCGTAAACGCGTAAAATCCTGATAGATCTCATAAAGTCAACCTCGACTCCATCCTTTCCAGTCGAACGTGCTAGTCGACTTCCCCTTGCTCGACGGCTTGGAATCTATGCTCCGTGACTTTGAGGGTTGGACTTGCGGAGTGAGCTTGGTCATAACGGAGCGCGAAGTAGTCTCTGCAACTCGTGGGGTCTCTGTAAGCGATTTGGCTGTGGCCAGTTTCGTCTGAACACTGGACGATGAAGGGGCTTTGACCTTGGGTTGGTGCATAGAGACGGCTTTGTAGGTACTGGCCGGGAACTGAGGAACAGGCAAGCTCAGAATGGGCTTGAGTCTCTTCGCGCTGCGGGGGGAATCCTTGTTCACATCATGAGGTGGAGGCTCAGCGAGTTTGGACTGGGCCTTCGAAACGGACGGAGTGATTGAGTGGGGTTCACTCCGACTTGCAGTAGCTGATGGCCGTTGAACGCTTCGCTTCGTCCCTTGTCTGAGCGTATGGAGTCTGAGGTGGTCGTGGATGAAGTCGGCTTCTTCGTAGTGATCAAACGAGAATCAGCACTGCTTGCGGCCCCGTCGTTGACAGATCGCGGAGCAGGGTCCGGGGGTTCCATCCGAGCGGGCTTCTTCATGAGCTTGCTAGTCGAGTCTGTCGCGTCGCCCGTTCGTACGAAGGGATTCGCGCTTACAGATCGGGTCAAGGTCGAGAGAGGAACCACCTTCCGATCTGCGTTCCCTGCCTCTTGCCCTTGCTCTCCGCGTGCCTGTACCTGCCTCACCATGCGCTCAATAGTTGACAGGGTGACAGTCTTCTTGCGCACTTGGGTGCTCGAAGCGGGTACTTCGACGCCGTATTTGCGCTTGAGTGAGGACGATGCTGCGACCTTGGTAAATATGCTGTCCCCGGTGACGTCGCTCTTCGACAGATGGGCTTCGCTCCTTGACGGAGGCGGCGTCGACGGGAGATCGCCCCACGAGGGTGGGCGTCGGAAGAGCGTCAGGGGATCCGGGGGTCGTTGTGGGGTGGCTTCTTCCGCGGTAAGGGGAGGTCTCGCCGGAAGAGCTGGTCGGTCAGGCCGCGAGTAGAATCTGGCTGTGGCAAAACGCTCCCTGATGGCGTCACGTTCGAGGTCTGCAGTGTGCGACATCCACGCCCCGTCCTGGTATGGGCCGTCATTGAAAGGAAGATCGCGGTGGTCTTCAGGACTGAGTCTCCTTTTCGCACGTTTTCGTCGCCGATCGTGAGCCCGTTCGTACCACCAACCATCAGGCCCGAAAAAGTCAGACCAAGAGCCATCATCACCACTCTGCTCTCCGTCCGAGCAGAACGGCCCGCAACTATGCATGTCTTCATCGGACTCGTCGGTCAGGTCATCTTCCCAATCCTTGTGATCGTTTACTGAAGCATTGTAAGGTTGAAAGACGTCCACCTGGTTCCTGGATACCCGTGAAGATGCCGTGTTGAGACCAGGAAGACAGAACTTAGGGGGGGTACAGTCTCGCGGAGAGGGCGTGGGGCGAAGGGATGATATAGAGCATCGATCTTGATGAAGAACGGCAACGGGCTTGAAAATGTGGTTTTTGGTTTGAGGGAACAAGAGGCAAGGTATTTGAGAACCTTCGGGAGGTTGGAGCGGTCAAATAGTGCGGCATTCGAGCAGGGTTTGAAGGGAAACCCAGATGGTCTATGGGATGGAGCGCATGCAGTGCCTCGAAGATCTGTAAGAGATTGGGTCAAGACAGCAGAGTTGAAAACATTCGTGGACACTTACCGATGATGCTGAGCAAAGGTAGACGAAGGAGGCAGTCAAACACATCCTTGTCGATGAGGAAGCAGTTGACGAGAAAGAGGGCGCGGAGTCCCCATGGTCCTCGCCTCTCGGGAGTATGCTCTTCACTCCACACGACAGTCTTCGTGAGTCGCCGTATGCCAAAGGAGCTGACGAGGGTTCCACTCGCGTCGAAGGCGGATAGAGCGTGTAGGGCGCGAAGTTCGACTATGGTCTCATCATTCAAATGATGACACTGAGGTAACGACAACACGGTGACGAGGGAAAAGTGTGGAGTGTTGGGAATCGTCTGTAGGAGAGGGAGGTGCACATCAGAGAGAGGGATTGTATACTCTCGGAAGATAGGAGGAAGGTCTTCTATGAGTTGTATGAGCCCTGCCCATGCGCGTGGATCCAGGAGACGAAGATTGAAGTCTTCACAGTGGTCCTCTGGTGACAGTGGCCGGTAAGTGGGGAAGAGTGCTTGGAGGATGTCGAAGTCATGTCTGTCGCGGGCACGTCGATAGCTCACTCTTGCATTCCCCAGATCCACAAGCGCCTCTGAATCTGTGATTAGACCCTCAAATAGGGCCTTGAAGCAGAAATAAGAGAGGGAGGGAACGTAGGAGAGTGATGTGGACTGGGCGAGGTCAGAAAGAGGATGGTAAGAAGGAGGTATGGACGACGGCGCAGGAGCTAGAGTGTACTGATCAATGGTTGCATCTTCTGAACGATGAGTGGCGTTGTAGTTGTGAAGGATGATAGGCTTCAGGGTCATCGAGGTGAACAGTTAGGATGGCGCGACGCGTCTGTCACGCGCTGCTGCAATTCACGCGTTCTGTCACGCGTTCTGTCACGCGTGTCGTAACGCGTGTCGTAACGCGTGTAGATATCACGCTTTTATGAGACCGGACTTTGAGATTTTTAGGACAGCAGACCGGCGTCCAGTACTGATGATAGTGATCGTGCATGATACGTGTCAACGTGAAGCAAAGGAAAAAGAATATATCGCATCCACATTAGTAGACTGCGTCACTTCTGCTGCTTGCCCTTCGTCACATCCCTCGCACGCACATAATCCGCCCAATACACCTTCCAATCTGCCTCTGCAACGCCCTCCCCTGCTTTACCAGCACCTCCATCCTCGTCGCGGCTGACGCCTGCCCAATCTAGAGCGCGTTGGTAACATTCCAAGGCCCTGGCTGAGGCGTCCGGCGCCGAGGACTTCTCGGTAAGATAACCGAGGTAGTTCCACGCCTTCGCCGCCGTGCTCCTTGCATCGCGAAGAGGGCTTTCGCAGGCCCACGCATGGTTGGAGACTTGTCGTACATGGTGGACAAAGGCGCCTCCGTGGGTAGTAGCGGTGAGTGGTTTTTCTGAATCCGTGATCCTTCAGGGGCCAGCGTGAGTGAGCGCGCTACACGCTCAGAAGACTCAGCAGCCTGGGTTAACCACTCGATGGTCACTGCCGGTTTCTTCCGTAGAGCGTAGAGGACCTCAGCGTGGTGCACGGAGAGCATCGAGGAGCGATGGAGGAGATAGAGAAAGTGGAGGGCTTGAGGCGGGGAAGCGGATGCGAAAATTGAGGGGCGGGGAGGGAGCGGAGCAGGTTGAGGGCGGATTCTTCGAGTGCTTGGCCTGAACCAACTGGCCGGTGGTCGAGTAGAACGCGGATAGGGATACCAACGCTGATGCGAGGGTTCGTTGAGCAGCGGGGGATGAAGGAGCGGATTCGGGGACTTTGAGAGTCTCTGCTGGACCTATGGCAACATCGCTGTTGCCTGGAGTAGTTGAAGGGTTCGCGTCCACCACAACAACGCGTCTTCCTGGTCGCCCAACCTGCGGTTGAGGTTGCCCAGCTTGAGGGCCACCCGGGCTGCGTCGATCCCCTGTCCTCCGAGCGCACGCCATACGCGGGTGTACTCCGCTCGTGCCTCGTCGAGTGCACCGACGGTCCCTATCCTCTCCACAATGTCGGCTCGGCGAGCGATGAGAGTCGCCAAGGTCATCGGATGGATTTTCTTCGCGCCCTCCGCGAACCTGATAGCGCTCTCGAGAAACTCCTGCGCATACTCCAGATTCGCATCGATCGGAGCAAGTGCCGCGCCGCTTGAACCACCGGAGAAAGCGTTGGAGGCAACAACTTTCTGTCCAGCGCCCCAGTACAGCGCCATCCATGCTGCCCGCACCGTATGCCTTCCTCTGTACCCAAGACCAGAGTCGGAGCCGCCTTTAGGCGAGCCCGTCCACCTCTCCGCCTCCAATTCCCACTGCCAGTTCTTCACCTCCGGATCTTGCTCTGCCGCAAGCTTCACGTGCTCCACGTACTGATGGGCGACTTCAAAAGCGGTGAAAGCGGTTGTCCCAAGCAAGACCGCTCCTACGGCAGTGAATTTGAAGAGTCGCCCGAAGTATCCGACTGCGTGCATAGTGTTGGTCGCGAAGCTATCATCGAGGTAAGGATAAGGATTGACTCCTTCCGGATACGGGCCATGGGAGGCATGTCTGCGGGTAAATAGAGAAGAGTGCCGAGGGGAGGCTCGCGGAAGCGCAGTAGGGAGACGGCGGACTCGTGAAAGCATTTGGAGAGGAGATGGCCAGGGTGCCGTGAGTGACGCGTGCGAGGAGTGAGATCACCACGTGACGCTGGGGGAAGAAGACGCGACGCGTTTGCTCTGGCGCTTCGCTGCATCTTGCCTCCAGACCACGGCCATCCTTTCCGTCAGGCCCCACCGGAGTGCTAACACACATACAACCGTGAACTACTCATGAAGTTCTTCATTGATGACCTACCCGTAAGTGCGAGAGTCTCGCGTCAGTCGTTCTCACTGAGCGCGAGTCTAGATAATCTTCCCTTACGACCGAATCTATCCTGGTACATTCAGCATGACCATTCTCCAAAATCGCACCACTTATGTCTACCGCAGAGCAATATGCGTATATGTGTGACTTGAAGCGCTCTCTGGATGCGACGGTACGCGATTTCCGTGAACAAGACTTGCCACGTTCGCCTGACGCCGCTGCTGCCTAGGGACACTGTCTCCTAGAAATGCCGTCTGGAACGGGCAAGACCGTATCTTTGCTATCACTAATTGTATCATATCAACAAGTGAGGAGATTCGGTGCTGTTATGAGCCCTCGACGCTCATGACCTCTCCAGTTCTACCCGACAAAGCGGAAATTGATATATTGCTCGCGAACGGTTCCTGAGATCGAGAAGGCACTCGCGGAACTCAAACGTTTAATGGAGTATCGTCTAAAATGTGCAGAGACTGGTGAGGAACGTGAAAAGGAAAGCAGCTTCTACGGCATTGGCCTCACAAGTCGCAAGAATCTCTGCATTCACCCTGAGGTCTGCTGGGCTCCGGCTGCTCTCTGACTTCAATTTGGATACTTATTATGAGTTTAATGCTATAGGTGGCAAAGGAGAAGAAGGGGAAAGTGGTTGACGCTCGCTGCCGCGACCTCACGAACTCCGCGGTATGCCAAAAGGGTCGGGAGAACCCTGGGTCCGTCGAGCTCTGTGACTGGCATGAAGTAAGACAAAAACATCGTTCACTCTGCTCAACTACATGCATTGCCACAGAACCTAGGAAAACTTGAACCTGGGAACTTGATACCGCCAGGTATCTGGACCCTTGCAGATGTCCTCCAGTACGGCAGAGACAACCGTATATGCCCGTACTTCCTCGTCCGTCGGATGGTGAGTCATCAGGCGTCTATGCTCACTCAGTCACTTCACTGAGAATTTACATAGATGCCATTTGTTGACATTATCATTTATTCCTTCCATTATCTGCTGGATCCAAAAGTCGCTGAACAGGTGTCCAAGGAATTGTCCAAGGACGCCATCGTCGTGTTCGACGAGGCTCACAACATCGGTAAGACGGTAGTTGGCGTACTGCCTGTGTCGACTGCTCAACTTCAAACAGACAATGTTTGCATCGAGTCTCTGAGTATTGATCTGACTAGACCTATGCTGGACTCAGCTGCACGTAGTGTTGTTCGATTAGGCGACAAGATCGAAGAGTACGTGAAATACCAAGTCGAGTCTCCGGGGTCCTGACCCAACAAAATTACAGAATCAAGAAGACGGACGCGTCGAAGCTCCAGGACGAATATGCTCGGCTTGTTGAAGGCCTACAAGAAGCCAGCAGTGCGGAGGACGCCTTTATCTCTAATCCGGGTCAGCGTTTCATCATCGATCCCTAGCCCAATATAACCTGACACAGTGGTGGTGCAGTTCTTCCTGAAGACCTTCTGAAGGAGGCCGTTCCTGGTAACATCAGGAAGGCCGAGCATTTCGTCGCCTTCTTGAAGCGCTTTGTCGAATATCTGAAGGTTGGTCAAATTCTGGAACTTCGTGTTCATCCCATCATAACGTTCCAAATGCAGACCCGCATGCGAGTGCTGCATGTAGTCGCAGAAACTCCGCTGTCGTTCTTGCAACATCTAAAAGATATCACCTATATCGAGCGACGACCTCTGCGGCAAGTGATGCTATGCAGTTCCACGGCCGGGGTTCTCATCAGTAATTCTAGGTTCTGCGCGGAACGCCTTCAGTCTCTCACGCGCACACTGGAGATCAATCGTCTGGATGAATTTTCAGCTTTGCAGAAGGTTGCGAGCTTTGCCACGCTAGTCGCTAGCTACGAGAAAGGTATGTTTATCGTGATCTAGCTCGCTCCTTTCATCGGTACTCACGGATATACCTCGCCAGGCTTCCTGCTCATTTTGGAACCTTTCGAGACAGAGAATGCCACCGTTCCCAACCCAATCTTCCATCTCACGTATGCCCGATTTATATAAAGATTGATCCTGTTAGCTGACGAATCTTGAAGCTGTCTTGACCCCGCGATTGCGATCAAGCCGGTGTTTGAGAGGTTCAGCACCGTGGTCATCACATCCGGCACGCTGTCTCCGCTGGACATGTATCCAAAAATGCTGCAATTCACTCCGGTGGTCCAGGAAACTTACTCAATGACGCTCACACGTAATTCGTTCCTACCACTCGTGAGTGACGTATTCTGGACCCTTTTTTGATAGTTGCTCATTTCCGCTGGGTCAGGTCATCACTCGTGGTAGCGACCAAGTTGCGATTAGCTCGCGGTTCGAGGTCCGCAACGACCCTGCAGTCGTCCGTAATTTCGGGAGCATCCTGATCGAGTACAGCAAGATCGTACCCGACGGAGTCGTGGCTTTCTTCCCAAGCTACTTGTACATGGAGAGCATCGTTGCGGCGTGGAACGACATGGTGCGTCTGCCTGCGATCTGAATGCCCGCCGAGCTTCCCTGACTGCGTGGCGTTCGTCGGCACAGGGCATCCTCAACGAAGTATGGAAGCACAAGCTCATCTTCGTCGAGACTCCGGATGCAAACGAGACTAGCATCGCGCTCGAGAACTATCGAAGGGTGAGCCCGTGCGCCGATCGCGCCGGCCGCGGGAGTAGGTGCCTGAACTGAAGGATTCCCCGCAGGCGTGCGACAACGGGCGCGGAGCGGTGCTCCTCTCCGTCGCGCGTGGCAAGGTCTCGGAAGGGATCGACTTCGATCACAACTACGGGCGGGCCGTGATCATGTTCGGGTGAGCGCCCGGCTGGACTCGGTGGAGGGCGTGTCGGGCGGGCTGACTGGCGTGCAGGGTGCCGTACCAGTACACGGAGAGCCGGATCCTGAGGGCGCGGCTCGAGTACCTCAGGGACGCGTACCGGATCCGCGAGTCGGAGTTCCTGGGCTTCGATGCGATGCGGAACGCGGCGCAGTGCGTGGGACGCGTCCTGCGCGGGAAGACCGACTGGGGGCTCATGGTGTTCGCGGACAAGGTGCGTGCCGGGGCTGGACGGGCGCTCGTGCGGCCGGGGCTGACTTCTGTTCTGCAGCGTTTCGCGCGGGCGGACAAGCGCGCGAAGCTGCCGCGGTGGATCAACCAGTACATCACGGAGACGGCGTCGAACCTGTCGACGGACATGGCGCTGACGCTGTCGAAGCAGTTCATGCGGATGATCTCGCAGAACCCGAACGAGGACCAGACGGGGATCTCGCTCTGGACGGTGGATGACATCGAGAAGGCGCGGGCGAAGCAGAAGGAACTCGCGCTCACGCAGGGGCGGGACGGAGAGGTGGGCATGGACGAGGACGACGAGTACGGGGACGGGGGTATCGACGACGAGGCGCTGGCAGGGCTGGAGCTGGAGCTGGACATGTAGACAGGCTGTCAGGGAATACAGGTGCGAGACGGGCGAGGATAGATATGTAGATGTAGAGCGGACCGTGGGGGGCGTGGGCGCGAGACGTGGGCGGAGGTCATTGGCACCGGGGGCACTTTGCGTCGGCCTGGGAGGGAAAGGGTGAGGGCAGGCGGGGAAGGCTAAAGGTTCGCGTGCGGACCTCGTGGGTGACGATGCGCTCGGGCTGACTGGGGCGCGGGGTCAGGGGCGGCGGAGGCGGGGCGGGGACGACGCACGTGAAGTATCTGCGGCAGCGGCAGGAGGCGGGGGGGCAGTCTGGGGGGTGGGCGGCGGAGTTGTAGCAGTCGGACTGGCCGCAGTCGACGTTGGTGTCCGCGGTGCAGGTCAAGTGGCCGCACTGGCGAGCCTTCCACAGGCGGAGCTCGCGGTGGCACATCTGCGGGCGAAGAGGAGGCCGCTGCTGATTCGATCAGCCGCGGGATCTGGCGGCGGGGCCGGGGGGCCACTTACCGCGGGCGCTCGTCGTCGGCGGAGGTAGGAGGAACGGGGAGTGGGAGTCTGCGCGCGCTGGCCTGGCCGCCGACGCGGTTTATGTCCCCGTCGCTGATCGGGCCTCGATGGCGATCGGGGGATGTAGGTCCAGCCTCGAGCCGACTGGGGTGGTTTCGTCGCCCGCGGTCGGTCTCGCTGCGCGCCTGCCCAGCTGGCGTGGCCGTGGGCGCGGGGCGCGTGGGGCGCGGGGCGGGGTCGGAGGGCTGGGCGCGGGCAGCAGCGGGGGCGGGGCGGCGGGCGGGCGTGCTGGCGTCGAGCAGGATGCGAGCCGAGGGGGACGCAGGAGGGGGAGGGCGGGTCGCTTTTTACGGCGGCGCCTGGCGTGTGTGGGCGCGCAAGCGGGTCTCGCGGGCGTTCTGTCGCCCTCCTCGCGTGCAGCACATGCTGCCAGCCATCGATCCCACTTCAGATCGAACTCCCCGCCCCAATCAGGCACTCCCCGTCCGCCCCCCCGCCACCCCTTCGGCGGCTCCCGAACGCCTCCTCGGACGCTCGCAGCCCGCCCCTCCTCCCTCTCTCCTCGTCGTCCTCGCCGCACACACACGTCCACGCCCCTTTCGACACCGTCGTCGTCGCCGCGGCCACAGCTGGCGACTGCCGTCAGCGCGGCGTCCACTGGCGCCCCGCTCACGGACGGCCCGCGGGAAGGCCGCCCTCGCTCCGCGCCGAACACTGCTGAAATCGCTCCTGCCTTAGCCAGAAATTGGACCACCGTCTCCCCAGCCTCCTTCCACCGTCTCCCGCCTTCTCGCGCTCACCCCCTTCTCACCCTCTCCCGACCCGACCCGTCTCCGCCGCCCTCGCCAAACCACAGGTCCACTGCGCAATGTTCCTGGCCAGGCTGCGCCTTCCGTTCAATTGTCTGCCCACCGCCCGTCGCATCCGATGGATGGCCCGCGGGTCGTCTCTGCACATGCTCGCTCACGCAGGCGCCCCGGAGCGCCTCGTGCCCCCGACGATCTGACGTACACGCCCAGACGACCAGACCAGGACAAGCCGGGGTCGAAAACACCGATTAATCTCGTCGCGCTCTGTCGTGGGTGGGACGTTTGCCGTTCGCGCCCGCATCATCCGGCCCACGTCACCCGCTCTCTTCTTCGTCCCCTTCTCGCTCTCCTTCGCCGCCAGATTGCCCTCCGTCGTCCAGGTCCCAGCCCTACTCGTCTGCGTCGTCCGTCTCGAGTGGTGCGCATGACGCAACTGCTTCCTCCGACCTCTCTGACTGGACCTCCGTCGGCTGCTTCTAGAGCGCACCGAGCGCCGACCGTTGGCCGATCGCCGTGCAAGGTGGCCAACATGATAAATCCAACTTGATCAAGCCACTCTGATCGAGCAACTTGGCAACCAGCTGGGCTGTCAAGACGCCTAGGGAACTTTCCACGAGTTATCCGCAGCCCCAAGCCCCTGCCGTTCCTTCGCTCTGATTCGGTCATCCCACGCACCGGGAGTGGTTCGAGCTGCTGGTTCCTGATTAAGGTTCATCGCAGCATCCACCATGAGGTCAGTCATTTTTCCGATCCGATCGATATCAGGCCGACGAGCCAGACTGACAGATGCATTGCTGCCTTGCCAGACTCGGAACCATTCCCCAGCGGACTTGCTCACTCCGACGGACTCGTCGCATGCAGTACAACGCTCAAGCTCAAGGGTTTGACCTTCCAAGTACAGTTATTGGTATGAAATTAATCCGTGGGAGCTCATCCCCCCACCTGTGACACGACGGGTATGTAGATCATAACCGCCTCTTCCCCGAGGTACGTATTGAGAAAGCGCCAAATTGTTGAGACTTCGGGTATAGCTTATACACTAGCGCCATTCAGAACTGGCGGACATGAACGGCATGAGCGGCATCATTTTTACGCCTCCCGATCGCTCAAGGAACGACTCACCGAAGAATGACCTTGGCGCGAATACAAGGGAGGGCAGGCACTACGTCCCACGGGCCCCGCCCGCCCGTTGACATTGCGACCTCATGGGAGACGAGCAGTGGCCTCGTACGCCGTCGTACGTACATTCTCCGTCGCTTCCGTACACACCCTTCCTTTGCAGGTTGTGGCGGGGTGTCCCTGGCCCCTCAGGCTTCAGTCACCCCACGCTTGTGCCGCAGAGACGAACACTGAGAAGCACGCATGTTGTGTCTCTCGCCGACGACACCGCTGACAGCCGAGCCCGCCACATCGCACCACCGCCGCATTGCACTCCGATTCTGATGTGCCCTTTCCTCCTCGCACTCCCCCCTCGTTTCTAGCAAGGTTCAGCACCACGTGAACTCTCGGAAGGTCGCCGGTGCACGGGAAGCCGCAGATCCTCGCGTGCTCCGTGGGAGAGCCAAATGCTCATCGCGGACAACTCCAACTTCCAAGCTCCTGGTCCGCCCACCCCACTTACTCGAACAACGTCCTGCGCTCCGCACACACCGCGTGTTCACGTCATCATAGTTCCCCCACATTCCCGGGTTTCATTCTCCGGCCCTCGCTGCCGAGGCCTCTGCACCCTCGCTGCCCCTCCCCCCCTTTAGCCCCTTCTCGCAGCTCTCCCCTCCCTGACGTCTCCGCCCTGGCAACAACCCTCCCAAGACCCGACGCAAGTGGGCGCACATCCCGAGACGATCGGGGCGCCGCCCGAGCGCGCCCTGCCTCGCCTTGCGTTCGCAGATCCCTGGTCGTCCCATTCCGTGAACGACGGCGAACCCTGCATGACACCGGCATCCAACTCATCGCCCGCTGGTGGCTTCCTACGCTGCCTGGGAAGCCCGCCGCCGTCCTCGACGGGCGAGCCGCTCGCTCGGACGCGCCGGTGGCCGATCCCGGCCCCTGCTGCGCCATTGCGCGCGCCCAGGTCCCGACGGCCCCAAGTCGGTTAGCTCGCGATACGTAGTATTTTGCGTGCAGGGCTCCAGCCTCCCCCGACCCCGTTCCCCGTTCCCCATCGCCGAGGAGCCCTGGTCTGCGGCTATGTAATCGTCGACGGCCGTCCACTTCGGACACGCGCTCCTGCGTGCCGCTCTATTGCCCGCAGCGCGTCCCAATATCACCTGCCTCGCCCACGTGTCGCCTCACGGGCCTCGTTGTCGAAGGTTCGAAGGTTCGGTTCGGTAAGGGACGGTTCGCGCCTGTCTATCGGCGCACGCCGCCCTGGGCGCCTGGCCCATGCAGCGTGCACGCCGAAAACCTTCGCAGGACTTCGTCTTCCGCACAAGCGACCGAGCGAGCGGACGGCGCTGCAGATCTGCTGCAGGCGACCCTGGCGGGCGCGATGGCCCGGCCTTCCCTGCGTGTCCGCTCCTTCCCCGCCGCGAATGAGGTATCCGGGGTCCTGTATTCGTGCGCGCCTCTACAAGATTCGTACCATCTCTAGGTAGCCGCAGGGGATGAGTGGATGTGTGTATATTTACAACGCCAATTAGACCGCGCAGGAGAGTAGCAAGCAAATACGCAGAACGACACGGAAAGCGGCGACGCGCGCCCCAGCCAGGCGCGCGTCGACTGGAGAGCAAGGGATGCCTAACGGGAAACAAGGGCGCGTGGTGAAGCTCGTGCTATGACTCGTCCGCACCGTCAGACTTGTCGAGCTTGGAAAGCTCCTCCTTGATCACCTCGTCGATGGCCCGGATCGGCTCGCCCTTGATGACCTTCTCGACCTCGTCGGCGTTCAGCGTCTCGTGTTCCACGAGCGCCTTCGCCAGCTGAGAGTGCAGCGGAACCGACCAAGCAGGGTCCACACGTTCGCACGCAGCGTGCGGGCGGAAGGAAGGGGAAAGAGACAATGAGGCGCGAGGGAGAAGAAGGCGTACGTCAGTTCAACCCTGGCTCAGGCCCGCTTCGTGGCCCGCGGCAGATCGGGGAGCACGCACCCGGTGGAGCTCTTCCTCCTTGGACTTGAGGAGTGCGGTCACCCGTGACTCGCCCGCTATCAGTAGGCTATCGCGCCACAAGGGCACCGGGAAAGCAGCCCGTCAGCCGACGCGTCCCTTGTACTCGACCGTTGCGTAAAAAGCCCTGGCCCATGCCGTCCCACGCACACCGATGCATGGAAGACGGCCGGGTGACAGAGGCGCGGCGCGCGCGCCAGGCGTGCGCAAACCGCGAGAAGGGGGACAGGGGGCGTTACATACCTCCGGACCTCGTCTTCGATTTCGTCTTTCTTCTTAGGACTGATCGTGTCTTCTCTGTCACTTAGATAGACCGGGCCAATTTTCTGGGAGTAGCCCCAATTCTACAACAGGCCGAGAACACATGAATACGGCCCGCAGCCAAAAGCCCAAACGCCGGGACACGTACCTTGACCATGGCACGAGCTGTACGTGTCGCCTTCTGGATGTCCGAAGATGCGCCGCTAGACACATTCTCGGGGCCGTATACTGGAAGCCAATGTGTCAGCGAGCCCAGACACAGATGTCATCGATGGCTAAGTACTCACTGAGTTCTTCGGCGACGCGCCCTCCCATGCAGACATCAATGACGGCGAGGTACTCCTTATAAGACACCGAATATCTGTCGTCCTTGGGCAACTGAGCAGTCTGAAAACGTACAGCGAGTTAAACGGAATGCCTCCTTCTTCTCGGAGGTATAGCAGGGACGCACGAGACCGAGTGCATGACCACGGGGCACGCAAGTGACTTTGTGTAGAGGCATTGCGCCTTCGGTGTACAGCGCGACGAGGGCGTGACCACCCTGCAAGAGACAATGGCGATCAAAGACCGGTATCGTAGGGCGAGAGTGACAACCGTACCTCGTGATAAGCCGTCATCTTCTTGGCTTCGTCGCTAATGAAAGACGTTGTACGCTCTGCGCCCATGATGATGCGATCCTGCAACGCGTTAAACGCCTGGTAGGATTAGAGAGCCAAGAGAAGGGTACCTTTGCCCATTCGAAGTGCTGAAGCGCTACCGACTGAGCGCCCTCACGCGCGGCTTTGACAGCGGCTTGGCTAGAATGGCAGGTCAGTGCTCAGGGGCTGGGAACCAGCAAGACGAGCACTCACTTAACCAAGTTCTGCAGCTCAGCGCCAGAGAAGCCGACCGTACCACGCGCAAGAATCATCGTATCCACCTCTGGAGTGAACAAGAGGGCATGAGTGAGAAATCGGCGAGTGGGCATGCCCTGAGAACATACCGGGAGCAGTGGTTACGTTCTTCATGTGATGTTGTAGGATTTGGACGCGTCCACGGACATCCGGCAGCGGCACCGCGACGTGCTTATCAAAGCGTCCAGGACGGACGAGCGCGCTGCGCGAAACAGAACTTTAGAAGATGGCTGTGAACAGACGGAGACGACGTACGGATCCAGAGTCTCGGGGAAATTGGTTGCCGCTATGACTATGATACCCTCGTTCTGGAGGAAACCATCCAACTCGACAAGGAGCTGGTTCAACGTCTGCTTCAGATAGTGCTGATCGCGGTTAGACCGCTTGCCACCGATGGCGTCCAGCTCGTCAATAAAGATGATGGCCGGCTGCTTCTTCCGTGCCGATGCAAAGAGATCCCGTACGCGCTTCGCGCCAACACCAACGAACATTTCGTCGAATTCAGACCTGGACAGAGGGGAAAGCCGCCAGTCAGCGTCGAGTCGATTACCTTCTGTAGCACACTTACCCTGAAGCGAAAAGGAAGGGTACACCCGCTTCCCCGGCAACTGCGCGGGCGAGCATCGTCTTACCGGTACCTGGAGGACCGGTGAGCAAAACACCCTTGGGGAGCTTGCCGCCGAGCGTTCCGAAAGCCTCGGGGTCCTTGAGGAATTCCACAATCTCTTGCAGTTCCTGCAAAGCTCATTCAGTACCACATGCAACCCCACGAGGCATGTACTCACAGCCTTGGCCTCGTCAACGCCATGCACGTCGCTGAACTTGTAGGTCTTCGCTTGGATAGGTTCGAACTCCGCCTGCCGAGGACCGGCCTTCAATAGGCCCGTGTTCTCAATCCAGACGGAGAGCATCGAGAAGAAGACTTAAGAGCCGGCATGAACGCATGCGTCGTAGAGGGCATGACGACGACTTACTGAACGCTGCGAAGGCCCAGAACACGAGCGAGCGAGCGAATTTCGTCCATGAGGCTGTCCGGGCTGTAAATTGGAATGCGGTCAATACGGAAATCATACCATATAAGTGGGCAAGGAAGCTTGTGGCCTCAATCGACTGATAACGCATGCATTGAAGAGCAGGGTACTCACATTCAACCGTAGTGACCACGATGGGATTCGCCGCTGTACCAGTTTGACCTCTGAGTGCAGCTTTCAGCGCGTCAATGTCCGTGTTGATTGAGCGTACAGTAGTGGTCTTCCCTGCGAGCACGTCTTGAGCAGCCTGCAGACTAGAACTTACGGTGGCCGCATTCGGGGCCAATCCTGGCGTAGACTGAGAAGCTGGTGACGCAGAAGTACTAGAGCCGTTCGAGTTGTAGACCATGGAAGCCATCCGTTCCTGAGCTGTCGCCTCCGGGGTGGGCGAGAGGACTGCGGCAGACGCGACGGCGGCGGCGGCGGCGGAGGAAGGAGCGTCCGCGTTTCTCGCCGTAACCCCCAACAAAGACTCGCGCCTACGGACAGCAGCACTGATCGAGGGCTCGAGGCCGAGGTCGCGCAGAGCGGTCAAATAGAGCTTGAAGGCGGTATCCGAACGAAGGACCGGGTGCGTGGGGAACTGCGGTTCTGTGGTTGAGCGAGGGAGCGCGTGGGCACTATGAGGGTACTCACAAACTCGCATAACCGTTCCCAGCGTGCCACGATGGTGTTCAGACCTGGCTCCACTCCCGTCTTGACCAAGGCTTCGAATAGAGCAACTTGCTTGTCGACGTCATCCGGGTGCGCGTTCGCACTGGCTTCGAGCTTCCCGATGTCCGCGACCACTGAAGGCGGCGGCGACGCGGTAGGTTTGCGCCACCAGGATGCTAGAGAAAACGGACGAATGCCGAGGTGCGTGGAAACGAGAGGGTGATGACGAGGAAACGAGGAAGCGCGAGAAGCCCATAATGACGGAGGAAGACTGGTAAGAGAGCGAAACGGCACGAGGGAATGGTGAGGGGCGCGCAAGGACGATGCCGAGGTGCGACAAGCACCCAGCCTGAAGAGCTACACGTTGGTGCATAAGTAAGCGATGCCTCAGAGAGAGGGGGAATACGCACGAGGGACATGGATGCTACTGCAACCACCGCCGATGGACCTCGGCGACAGGGCGAGCGAGCAGATGGACGGGAGAGGACGAGGTGGCAGACGGAAGGTGAGTGAGCGCGCGGCACGTGTGTTACGCAACCCTCTAGCTCCGGCGCCTGAAAGGCGCCTCAGAATGGACTCGACAGATCCGCACTTTTTCTATGAACATCTAATCGTACAGCCACTGGCGCGGAAGGATATCATCAACGACTCAGTCTGCAACTGGAAACGCATCAGATAGGGAAACATCGGTACATGATATATATTCCTAAAATCCCAGTCAGCCTGCGCGACAATAAGTACTGGTACGCGTTCGTGGAAACTCGCAGAAGAAAACTGGAGCTTTGAGCTATTATGCACAGCAAGTTTCAAGATTTCAGCAACCATGCAAACCTGTCGACCCAGCTTCTCGGAGCGTCGCGGTGAGAGGGCCTCCAATCCGGATACATACCTTGCGCATGGGATCATCTTCATCGCCATGAGACTGAGAATCGACGTACCCGCGGACCCAAGCCTATGGCTATTCTTCTCGTATGTATACGCTATAAGAATCCGGATGACACCGCACCTGGGATAGGTAGGAGCCTCTTTCGCCGCGCCGCGGTTTGGCTGAGGCTGTTTTAGTCGCAGGGATCATGGATGCGCTCCGACCACGAATATAGATCGTCGTATCACTAGCCACGTGCGACGTTTACGACCATCACATTTTCGCAAAAATCGTGGTCCGACGAAGGGGAGAAGACCAGTGGAAGTGTTGAGGACACTAGCGGGGGAAGCTTCTGGATTGCCGTCCCATGACGCAATGAAGGCGTTGATGTTCCCAGCGCGGCGCGCCCGCGCTTATAATTACTCGTCGTCTACGTCGTCGTCATCGGAGTCGCTGCTGCTCACCCACTGCCGCCTGGGGCCTACCCCGTGCGTCCCCATCCCTCCATGTCTGCCAAGAGCGATCTGACCCAGGTTTCTACGCCCAAAGAGCTCAACGACGAGCAATGTGCCGCCGTTCTCACCCGTCTCTCCCGCCACCTCGCTCGATTTCGCAACACTGCCCTGCTATATGCCGTAGCAGAGGCAGCGTATGCCCGGAGCGCCGGCTCTGACCGCTTGAAGAAAGATTTCATCGATTCGCTGGACACATGGGCTCGGGAAATGAGCAGCAAGTTATGGATAGCGTGTCGTGAGCCCGGAGGTGTGTTATACACGCTCTCTCATTCACTAAGTGATCACTGAGCATAATATCTACAAGGGCAACCTCCTCATATTGATGAGCTTTCTGACACGTCTACAAAAGGCCTTCCCCCTCTTCCCGGAGACGAACACCTCATACCTCTACTGAACGCCGTCGTACTCCTCCAAGTTACCTCCGGCAAACAGTACTCCAGCCGCACCCGCGCTTTCCTCCTCACCGTCGCCCCCCTTGACGAATCTGCCATCGTTGCCACGTTGAAAGACCCCAAAGGCGCCATAGAAGAGGCAACCAAGAAGACGAATGCGGCTAGAGAAGAGCAAGCCCGGAGCACCAAGATCATACGTATGGTCGGCATCGGGGCGGGTGCAGTCGTCGGGGGCGTCCTCATTGGCGTTACTGGCGGCCTCGCCGCACCCGCTGTGGGTGCAGGGGTGGGTACGGTGCTTAGCTGGCTAGGGGTAGGAGGTACTGCCGCTGGGATGCTTGCCACCGGGCTCGCAGGCTCCTCGGTTGTATGCGGTGCACTCTTCGGGGCTTATGGGTCGACGAAAACCGCCATGGCCGTCAAAGGGTACACCCGTGAAGTGCGAGACTTGGCCATCAAGCCGGTGCGTCAACCACGGGACACCATGGCAGTCAGACTTTGTATCTCGGGCTGGCTTGAATCGCCTCAAGATGTCACGGCACCTTGGACCGTGTTCAACGGGGACGATACGTTCGCTCTCCAATGGGTATGGTTTCCTGCAGCTTCCCATATTGTCTATTCGATGGCATACTGACTAAATGTGCAGGAAGTCGAAGAGTTGGAGAGGCTATCGACGGCGCTCATGGACCTTGTGAAGGCGCAGGCCATGCAATTCGTCAAGGGTGCCATACTCAAGCAGACCATCCTCGCGAGCCTCATGACTGCTCTCTCTCCCGTAGTATGGGTGAAGCTGACTAAAATCATCGGTGAGAGCGCACCCTTCCGCCTCCCTGCCTACATCCCAGCCTAATTTTGCTCTGCACAGACAACTCCTGGATGATCGCCCAGTCTCTCGCCCTCAAGACCGGCAAAGTTCTGGGCACCCTGCTCGCCCAACGCGCCCTCGGCGCGCGCCCCATCACGCTCGTCGGCTACTCGCTCGGTGCGCTCGTCGTCTTCGAGGCCCTCCAGCACCTCGCCCGCCTGCCGCCCTCCGAGACCCTCGGCCTCATCCACGACGTCTGCCTCTTCGGCGCTCCTGTCAGTACCGACTCCGCCCGGTGGGCCGCGGCGCGCCGTGTCGTCGCCGGACGGTTCGTCAACGGCTACGGGGCGGACGATTACGTCCTCGCCGTTCTCGCGCGCGTTTCCGGCGCCGGCTGGAACGTCGCAGGACTCCGCCCGGTGGAGATGCAAGGCGTGGAGGACTTCCCGTGTGAGGAGGTCGATGGGCACCTCAAGTGGCGGGGGTATGTTGGACAGGCTCTTGCGCGGTGCGGTGCGCCGGGCGTGGACATGGTGCAGGTCCAGCTCCAGCTAGAGCGCAAGGCGGCGGAGATCAACAAGGCGGTGGACATGAGCGATGAGGAGGCGGCGCGGGCGGTAGCGGCTGGGCCCGGGGACGCGGAGGGCGTTGGTCCCGGTGAAAATCGCGGCGAGGAGTGGCCCCCGTGGGTCAATAAGTAGCGATAGTTTATATGCAGGTACCGAGTTGCATAATTCACACTGGAATCGTTATGTATCACAGTCATGCATAGAAAGCAAGAGTAGAAAAGTCCGTGTAACTAACTAGACGTAACGAAGTCCGTGATTATGTTACTGGCCCTATGAGGTTGTCGATCTTCTCATCATAACAAGCTCGAGATTGTGTCCACGTTTTTACCAAGCGCTTTGAGTAGACTCTGGAGAGGCATATATACGTCAGCCACCGCTATGCTATATCCGAATGGCAATGGCGCACCTCGAAGGCTGTCTGGACGCCTGATGGGCACGAAAATTTAACGTTCTGGCTGATGGTTGTACTGAAGGGAACAAGCATAACCTTGATACCGACCTGCGGAGGAAACGCTCGTTAGCCAATCGCCGTTCCAAAAAGGCCGGATGGCACCGACCTTGATGCTGACAGAGACGCTGATGTCCGAAGCAGCTACGCTGGTGTCGAGACCACAGTGCTGTGCGAGGTCGGTGATGATAGCACCATCCGGGTCTGCTTTCGCATCGTAGTCTATGGTTACGGGGAACGTAAAGTTGGTCTGAGTGTGGTCCTTGAAATCAATGTTCGTCATGTGCCCAGACCCAATATCGGTGTTATTGATCGGGTAGACGACCTGGAGGAGCACATGATGAGTAACAAGCCGTGATCAGATTCCAGAGCATGAGGATTCGTACAGATGCATCGAGGGAATAGAGGGTGATCGTGAAGTAGTTCGGGTTGTTGACGCTGGAAGTCGGAATGAGTGGCGAACATAAGAACGGGCAAAAATACTTCACACCTGATATCCACAGGGAGCGCAATGCTAAGGGTACTATCGTTGACGGAGAAAGAGTTCAGATCCACGCTGGGAGTGCCAACAATGATGTTTGGGGGGCGGAGCCACTGACGCCGAAGTCAGCTCTCAGGCTGTGGAGCAAGGAGATTGGGGTTGCATACCAGGGCGAGAGAGAGAACGATGCTGATGAGGAAGAAAAGGAACAGAAGGAGCGTGCAGCAGAAAAACCGGCCAATGCACCCCGCACGGGAGCCCTTGGTCCAGATTTTCCCCTGGTACTCTGTCCTCCATCGCCTCATGTTACTGGGGGTCCTGCGTATGAAGGTCAGCTCTACAGCCTCAGGTAGAACATTAACATCGCGAACTGACTTCTCACGCATCGGGCGAGGAAGAGGATCGTCCTCGAATGTGCTCCTCTGACGCTCCTTGTGCTGTCCAGCGACTTCGTCTGTGTATGCACCATCGTACTCGTTCTGGTTGTATCCACGTTGTTCGTACCCGTTCGTTGCGCCATGCTGTTGCACCTCGTAAGGGTTGAAAGCGTCGTCCCGGTATGACTGCTGATGACCATACTGGCCATGCTGGGCGTACGGATCTGTGTAGGACATGGTAAACTGTCAAAGGAATCAAGAGTTCAGCGCAAAGCCAGGATTCGAGCAGTCCAGAGGTCGCGAAGGATGGTCAGGAACGCCTGAGGGAGGACTAGAGAGCTCTACGAGTAGCGGGAGGGGAGGAGCGGCAAGACGGCGACCTGCGCTGGGTGTGGAGGAAGAGTAATATACACCCACGACGGCGTCTGGGGCCTGCTAAGACCTCCGCGGACAGCCTTTCGGCGCAGCCGCCGCAGTCTGCACGTGACTCCTTTTTCACGCGCTATCCATAGATTGCCTCGCAGAGGCTGGCAACGGCGATTACATGATCTTCATCTTGCGTTTGCACTTTTTGCAGCACATAGCGCCACCGCGGTAGGCGAATACAAGACGGAAGGATCGAACAGCGGCCCATAGGCAATTGATTTCTTGAGTATACGCGCTACAGGTACAGTTCTACGACGCAATTCAATCAAGGCGCAAGAGACGGACACAAGTACTACTAAGGGATTTTATCAGAAGGAACAAAATGTGCGCGTTGTGAGAGCACATTCACGACAGCGCCGGAACCAGAAGCATGCGAACCACGTTGAAGGCCAGAGGGAGTAAACTGACCAGTTCGCTGTGGGTTTGAGGTGTTGCTTGAGAAAAACGAGCGAGGCGCGGAGGAAGAGGCGTTGCCAGAACCAGTAGATCGAGAGGGTGTCTGGGGAGTGAAGCGTTGTAACCCACCGTGTGGGTTGGGCGGGATTTGAGGCGTGGAAGGAGAGAAAGGGGGGATGAACGAAGACCGCAGCGGCAGGGATGCCGAGTACGTGGTTGTGCGCACGGCATTCGAGCCGGGCAACGGCGGAGGGGGCATAGCACTACTTGAGTGTAGTTGAGGACGAGCCTGTGAACTTCGCGTTGATCTTGATTGTGCATGAGAAAGCCCTTGTCGCTCTACATCTACGGGCTGCGCGCTCTGTGGAGGAGCATAAGCATACTGTCTATATGCAACCGAGTGAGTATCTGATAGTTCTAGAGCAGATAAAAGTCAGCTTACGCAAGTTCACGAGGAGCATTATAAGATTCGTGAACGCGCAATGGTTGACGCACAGCGAATTGTGGCTGGTGGTGATCGGCAGGAAGGGTCAGCCTATTCGGAGCCACAGGAGCGGAGGCAGAGGCGGTGGATCGGGAGCTCGAGGTTCGCTGCTTGTTGTAAGGGCTGGAGTGATATTGGAAGCTCACATCTTTGATAGTACGAACCACTGACCTCTCCTCTTCAAGACGCATGCGTTTGTTATGAGGATTGCTGACCTCTTGAAATTCTCGCATCCGCTGCTTCAGTCTGTGGTTTTCTGCCCGCAGTTCCTCGACCAATCTACAAACACGATGCAAATGCGCATTCAAGAACCAGCAGTGTTTGCGGTACCTTCGAAGTTTCTTGCTTTCTTCGAATTCTTGCTTTAAGCGGTCGTACATAGGGCGATATTGGAAGTACTTCTTCTTAAAGTACCGAACGAGATTCGCCATAGTGTCCAATTGTAGCTGTAGATGATCAGGCAAATACCAGATGGGATGGATTTGAGACGACGCACTCGAATTGTACAGCCAACCGCGTCAAGGGTTTGTGGGACAGAGCGGAACCAGTCCGACATTGGTGGATCCATCTACGCAGACATGATCTCGACCCAGTAGTGACATGTTTCGTGACGAATACGTACCTCCCTCGCCAAGGGGCCGACAAGGATGTCCTGACTACCACACTGTGCGCAGCTTTGGTCCGCATCTAAGGACATCTGTTGGCAAGATACCTATGACCCTAGAACGAGGCGACTCACTGAGATGATTGTTGCACACCACATGCCCGCACTGCGTGACCCAAAAAGGCACCGCGGATAATGTACCAGGTTCCTTGAAGAATTCGAGATGGCATATGCCGCAGTGGACGAATTCCCAGAAGTCGAAATCCGGGTCTGTGGCGGGGAGCGTGGACATGGTTGGTCAAGTGTGCGATGATTGCACGTAACAATCAGTAGAAGGGAAGAGAAAGGGCAGGCGCAGTAGGTCGAGGAGAAGGGAGAAGAAACGTGAGACGGCCTTGAGCCTGAAGGCCTGAAGCTGAAGCTTGAAGGTGGGTAGCGCTTCTCCCCACGTGTGATGGCTCGCGTTCGTGACAGGTCACACTAACGGTGAGGGCAATGCGTGCACACTGCGAGAGAGTACTTGCTGATGCGTGGTGCTCTTGGGAGGCATTGGGGCCGAGTTGCGAGGGACCCTCCCCCGTAGAGATAACGGGTGCAGGCACAGAAGATACTATGTGGACACACATCCAGTCACACTGCAGCCCGTCCGGTGCCGCCCATATGTATACATCATGGGCGTCTTCCCCCCTCTGTTTTCCAAAGACGGCGGTCGAACGCGTCCCCATCTTTCCCATCTCCCCTTCCCTGTTCCCGCCTCTCGCCTGTGTGTCCCCTCGTCTGTGTCGACCGCGCTGGCAAACTATGCTCTAAATGTCAGGCAGTCTCCCCGCTTACCCACACGTCATGCTCGGTCACGAGGATGTTGTTCCAAGCCAGTCTACCTTAATGGCCGACGCTCCTTCCTCTCCAGAAGCTCCCCTTGCTGCCCTCCCCTCCATCACAGCAACTCGCTTGGATGCCCCCAAGCGCTTTCTCTCCCCCGTATCTGATGACGCCGTCTCTCCTGTGCTCGCTACATCTCGCCGCCCCACCACATCCCGATTGTGTACCCCTCCAGCCTCCCCTCGACGCACCACAATGACGGCCCCTGCATCCACAAACCCCGCGATCTCCACCAAGGGATGGCAATTGACAGCAATGTGCGATGCGCACGAGAACTTTGAAGCAGTCCGCCGAGTTTCCGCCCTGAACGCAGAAGAAGTTGACAAGGCGATCCATGATTTCGAGGCTATGGGCATACCTATTGTCATTCAGGACTGGGACAAACTGGAACAATGGGACCCTGAATTGTTTAGCTTGGACTGGCTGACACAGAGTATGGATGATCAAAGTAAGTCTTTGTATATGGTGTTTCGTGCGCACCTGTGACGCCACCTCTGTCCTCGTAAAGATATTCGTGTACGAAATGTCCACAACCTCCAGGACAGTGAGATGCCAATCCTAGATTTTGTGAAGAAATCTCGGGCGCAAAGTATTCACCGCACCGACGAAGGTTCGGGATCTCTAATATCTTGATGTCCCCGTGCTTATAGACAGCGGTTTTATCAGAAACGGAACGGCTTTATTGGAAGGATGCGGACTGTCCTCAAGGCTGGCGAAAGTGGTTGCGGGATAACCTTCCTGGCGGTATTCTACCCGGAAATCCCAAGGACCTCCTTCGCCATCTTCCGAAATCGGTATGCGATCCTATATTGAATGCGTCTGTATGCTCACGCCCTTGCTTACATCTCAGAAGAACGTTGAGTCTATGATGTGCTACCTCGGCATTGGTGATACGTTCACAGCATCCCACAAGGACATAGCTGCGTCCACAGGTCACAATCTCATGTGTTTCTCGGAACACGGGGGGTCTTCCTACTGGTTTATGACGAAAACGTCGGACGCCGCCACCGTAGCGGAGTACTTTCAAGAAACACTCCACCAGGAGCTTGATTGGGAGAACCATGTCACGACCATCCGCGAGTTCGGCGACGCTCCCTTTACCGTGTACGTCACAGAGCAGAAGGTCGGCGACCTTATTTTGGTCCCTTCGCGAGGCGTGCACCAGGTGGTGAACCAAGGGGGACTTGCCATGAAGGCGAGTTGGTCGCGAATGACATTCACGAACATGAAGGACGCTCTCCACTCGGAACTCCTCATATACCGCCGGTAAGCAGGCGGTTCATTAGGTCGTCGTTTCAACTAACTTGATGTCTTGCAGCGTCTGTCGCCCTGAACAATATCGAGTCAAGGCGACAGTGTACAGTTCGTTGCTCTCATACACTGACGAGCTTCGAAAGGCTCTCGAGCTCGCAGCCGCCTCGACGACCGACTCCGAATTGGTTGACCGAAATATTTCACACGAGGACGCCCAGCCCTTGGATACGAACTTGAAGTTCGCTGTGGCGCCATGTCTAATCCGGGTCTTGAAGTTCTTTCAGCAAGTTCTACGAGACGAATACGACGACGGTCACGACCAGTATCCTCACCTCGCGTCTGACGAAGTCGAGTTGTCACACCTCGCCTGCGATTTCTGTGGGGCCGACATCTTCCAAAGCTTCTTCGAATGCTCTGCATGCGGTGATGCTGAAGGAAAGGGCGTTGGTTTCGGCCTCATAATCTGCCCCGGTTGCTACGTTGAAGGCCGCACATGCGAATGTGACAACATGACGCCGTCCCAATGTCGACCAATCAATATACTGATTGAGGCGTACAACGGCGCTGCTCGGATTCTACATCAGGCCGGGTACAAGAATATCAGGTGAGTGTGCGGACAGTTCTAGTCTCCCGGGGTCTAACAGTTTTGGTAGGGATATCGATTTCATTGAAGGATCTATTTTCGCTGCGGCGTGTAGGCTACGCAACATTCGGAGAGAGTTCGTCAACAAGAACCAGGTGAGTTCTGTTCAATGCGCTTATGATAAATGGTCTTAGTAGTTGTCCAGCGCAAGTGCCGATACGATTCGATGATAAAAACCGGACATTATGTGCCATACAGCGACTCTCTCAATTGCTCGGTCTGCCACGCTGCGAAGTGTTTCAAACATCAACTCCACCATGGAATCCATTCCACACAAGCCTTGCTGCTATGGCGGCCTGGCCCGAACAATCACGAGTGGCACCAGTTCCATAGAAACAAATCGGAAACCATGAAGCACGTCCCACCAGTGAAGTTCAAACTTGACGGTCTCAAAGCGTCTCAACGATTATACATCGCTGCCCTGAGTTTTCGGTACTGTAGGCCGGGGTCGGCCAAGGTCCAGCTTGGGTGGTATGACGAAGAACTTGAGGTATGTGAGACATAGTACAAAACCTTTTGCGCCCAGCTCACCGCAGCTTCCCAGACCTTGCAAGATGACGACGGAAGCATATATGATGCGCAGCAAATGACTCCAGCACCCACAGACGTTTTCGGGTCTGATCTCACTGAGGAGGACAGTCCGCCCCGGTATCCAAAGAAGACTCCGCGAGCCGCCGTCAGCTCCAGGACAATTCTTAGCGATGATGACGACGAGAAGCCCGAGGGTGATGACGTGATATCTCTTTCCTCGTCTTCGACTTCAACTTCTTCTTCACCACCCTCGCAGTCATCTCAGCCGCATCGCGCCAAGCCTTTCACCGGGTATGTTGAAATACAGATGCGCGCTGGCAGTAAGTCTAGTTCCAAGCGTCCACGTCGTGAAATTCTGGCTATTGGCCCTCCCAATGCGAAACGCTCCAGGCACAACGGCTACCGACCGGGAATTGAAGCTCGCAAAGTACGTATCTGTGCTTTTTCATCTGTGTTTGGGTAACACTGACATCACTTATGGTTCCAGACCCAGCCAACGCTCTCTACAAGGGACGACTCCGAAGAACGGAACTTGGAAGGAGGGTACGGCAACAGCCTAGCAGATGCGCTCAACCAGAGTAACGGGTTCTCGACGTCTCGAAGCAAACCAGGGCCCTCGAAACCGCGCCCATTCCCCATAGATGTCGACAACCTCCCCCCACCTTCACAGCTCCAATCTACTACCTCAACCTCTGCGCCATCTAAACCCATCGTAGTGACCGGAATACCTCTGCCACGCCGGAAGATTGTGGGTTCTGAGCGGGCATCTAGCGAAGCTGCTTCGACCACCCTCCCGTTCAGACCACTCTCAGATCGGCCCAACCCCGCGTCCTCCATCCCTCTCACAGAACCTGCCCCTCCTACCCGACCTGCTCCTCTTATCCGTCGCATTGGTCCTCCCATGCATGCCACGCGAACCCCTCGTCCCGCTCCTGTTTCTGACGTGTCGCCGCTCGTGGGCTCCAGTGGTGTGCGACAGCCGAGTGGCAAAAGGGAACTCACAGCCATTGAAACCCCTCAGCAAGGGAACAACTCTTCGCCCGACGTTCCTACCCAGGTCGCGCGCGCCAGCGCGCCACTAAATGCGAAAAAGCAGCGAGTCGATCAGGAGATGTCTTCGATATCGCCACTCGATGGAGAGACGCGCCGGATCCATGACAGTGTCAAGGCTTTGCAACACGAACTGGAAGCGGAACGCAAGGAGCGGGAAAAATTGGCTCATCAGCTCGAAGAGGCACTTGTCTGTTTGGAGGGGGCGAGAGCGGAAAGTAAGGCGCTGAAAGACGCGAGACTCAAGATCGGGACTTTGAACGACACGGTCAAAGATCTCGAGGCGAAATGTAGCGACGACCGGCTCCAAAAAAAGGTCGATTCCTTGCTATCGTCGAGGATGGCCGCTATCCACAAGTCTGCACGTTCAATGCTGGAAGGGATGTTGGAGAAGCAGTTCGCCACTGATCTTCCGCCTATGATCGAAGAGATCATGAAGAAGCAGTTGCACTCCGTCCTCCCGTCAATGGTGGACGAGAGGCTCAAGGGGAAAAATGCTTCTGCCCTTCCTAGCTATCACTTTTCGGAAACAACAACGGAGCGTCGGTCGTCGGTTTCAAATCTCCCATCGAGGTCCCCGCCGCTCGAAGGCCATCCTCCACCAACCCCACCAGCTCATCCACTGAATAGTGTGGTTCAGACTCCGTCTCAGCCGGGTCTCCCTCCACCAGCACTGAGCCTCCCGGCCCAATCGTCATCGAACTTTTGCTTTCCCCCATCGAATTTCCCTGGTCCTCCACCGAATTTCTTCGGTCCCCCTCCCCCGAATATCCCTAGCACTCCGTCCATTTCCCATGGTCCCGCTCCGTCGAATTTCCCAACACATTTCCCACCCAACGTCCCGTCTCATCCATATCCGCAGAATGGGTATCAACAGGTAAGATGAAACACGCGTCTTGCTTTTCGTCATCATTCACATTCGCACAGAGCTGGAACCACAACCATCCGAACGGTACGCCCTATCCATTTCCGAACAAGGGTCAATCCGAACGGCAATCGGGTCCTTCAAGCCGTCGTACCGATGGGGCAGGTCCTTCAAACGCGACTTTCTCGGGTGGTAACCGCGCCCCTCCAGCGCCCAACCTAAACCCTTGGAGCGGCATACCCCCTGGTGAATTCGCGCGACGTCAAGAGAATCCCAGTCATCCTCCCTCACAGTATACCAGTAGCATGCCGCATGCTTTCCCTGATCGTGCTCCGAAATGCGAAGATGAAGTCAACAATTTTGTGCCTTCGAGTGCGAGGAAATCGGACCACTCTCATCGTTCAAAGCGTTCTTCCCGCTCGGGGTCTCCGTACCAATCCAAGCGGTCAGATCGTTCACGGTCCCCGCGGCGTCCGCGGTCCCAACGCAGCAGTCCGGCACGCAGTGCACCATCTCGTGAGTGTTGATGTCGATGAAAATGTGTCTGTCTCACCCCCATATTCTCATCTAGACCGTTCGCACAGAGACCGAAGCGCACAGCGGTCCTCACGCCACGGACGTGATCGGGATCAGCGGCTCGAGCGGGACCGCAGCCGACATCGAGACCGCACCCGCGGACGGGAGGATGACCGCGACGACCACAAACGTCAACGTCACAATGACCGAGACTACGATCGGCACCGCGCCCCCGACCGGCACCGTAGCAAACGGCCTGGGGACCCATCTGAAAGCGGTTCCTCGAAGCGGGAGGACAAGGACGACCGCGGCCGCAGTCGCAAACGCCGTCGTTCTCACTCGTCCTCGAATTACGGTTCCCTGTACGACGATGGTGAGCCCAAGCCCAAGCGCGAGGATCGCACGAGCCCCCACGCCCGGAGCAGCTCGCGTCATGAGCGCAAGGACGAAAAGCGACCCAAGGTGGGTACGGGGACGCTGGGTCCCGCTAGGTGGGACAGCGGTGAGGAAAGTGCTGGTTCGTATCTCTCACGGTTGTCCTCCTCCGCCGAGCGCTGCTGACGACAGCCGCTTCTTCTGCAGATACACACGACGCCCACGGCGATCCTGCGCAGTCTCCCGAGTCACGTTTCAACCGCAAACCAGGCTCGGAGGGTCATTCGCGCAAGTAGGGCTCCGGCAGCCTCACCCGTCGTCCCCAACGCATCCTTATTTAGGGCTTCGCACGACCACCGAACTCTGTCTATCTCGTTTTGTCTGCAACGCACATACTTCGCCTTCATGCACTTCCCCTCGCCCTGTCGCTTGTTGTTTTGTACGCTATCGCATCTCCGTCGCCGTGATCTCGTCCAAGTTGACCAGCCTGCTTTTATCTTGTACCATATCATATTACTATTCGCATTATCGCATTGTCCTCGCCTTACGGACCCTTGCCGTCCTTGTTCTGTCCTATTGGTCATTGTCTGCGTGCGCACAAGTCCAACTGCAGGACTACGAACTGTTCATAACTCGAGGCAAGACCCTCCACGGTGCACACATCAGAACCGCGGTCTCGTCGACCATCAGATATAAGAGTTTCGATAGAGGGCAATCGAATGTCGAGATTTCACAGCGCATCGTCGAAGGGATGTATTAGCCATTATGCGGGACTGTAATCGTAGGCGCGAAGTGGTGGCAGGAGGGCGGGGCATACGCACGCGCGGCGTAAGAGGGAATGGGTGTGCGTGAAGGCGGGAGACCAGATGCCGTGGAAGACAGCGTGTCCGGCAAAGGGGGCGTGACGCGTAGCGCAGCGCATGCAGGAGGTCGTCATGGAAGACCGAAGGTAGGAAGCGGAAGATGGGGAGGGGAAGTATACAGAACGACGAGTACTCAACGATAGAGGTCGATGTGATCGAAAGGAGGTATCAGTGATTGCACGGACAGCAGCAGTGGGTGGGGTAATAGGTGGAAACGAGTGAGAGGCAGAGATAGACCGTGAGATGCAGACGGAAGGAAAGCTAACCATAAATCAAACCTGAGGCTCTGCAGAATCCAGCCAGCAACAGAGGAAACGAAGAGGAAGACGTGGACGACAACGTGATGGGCACGGGGCATAAAGAGCGTGAGGACAGAGAAGATAGCGGCGTCTACGCAGCGTCGCAGAAACACGGCAGCCGGCGCACCTCATCCACACCTACAAGTGAGGATCTTCCACAGCCCACTGGGTTGCGGCTCGGGCTCCTGCTGACCGTGGTGCCCGTCTCCGTTCGCGACACCGACCTCTCCACCCATCGCACGCACGTTGCTCAGAGCAGGCGGAGCCGCGCCGACGCTGGACACCATCGGCGACGCTCGCCCGTACTGCTGCTGCTGCGGCTGCTGCTGCTGCTGCTGCTGCTGCTGAGTCGCCGAGTACTCGTCGTACCGCCCATCGTACCCGACGGACGCATACGGATGCGAAGCCCCGCCGCCGTGTTGGCTCATTCGGCGCGACGAATACCCCAGCTGCGCCTCCGCCGACATGGGCGTGACTTGCCCCGGACTCGCACCAATGCCGGGGGTGAAGTTACCCGGGTGCCGCGTTTTCGAGCCGGCGCGGACAAGCGCGGGCGAGGGCGGCACGACGGGAGTACCGCCAGCTTGAGAAGCACGGCGGCCGTCGCCGCGTCCAGTGCGGTCCCCGCGGCGCGAGTCGTACTGCGCGGCGGCAGGAGTGTTCTGTATTTGCTGCAGAATCTGGTTCTGACCACCACCCTGGAGTATCGCGAAAGCGGATGTCAGCACGGTCGCGTTCGGATTGGCTCGCGCCGCTTGGAGCACAGGCATCGCAGAGGTATTGCTACACACCATTGACGCTTCCCACCCACGTCCACCTGTTCGCAGAGAAGCAGGGTTAACTCCAGGGCGCGTCCGGGGGTGGGCGGAAATGAGTCTTACCGTTCAGCAGGTTCCAGTCGTAAACGCCGTCTTCGATGTCGCCGTTGTTCTTGAGCACCTTGGCGAACAGCTCTCGTAGGAAGTCGTAGTCCGGAGTTTCCTCGAAACCAAGCTTTCGGACATAATTGAGATAGATAGAGAACTCCTCTGTCACGCACACGGAGGTGAATCTCTGAATGAAGGCAGGAGCCTCAATCAAGCGTCGACGTACCGGGGAAGCCCTCGCAAAGCTCCCTGATGGGAGTCGTTTGCTTCTTCTCGCCGATCTTCTCGTACTTCTGCTTGTTCGTCGCCGCCTTGAGACCTTGCCAAGGCAGACTGCCGCGTAGAAAGTACAGGAAGACATGACCGAGCGACTCGAGATCGTCTCGCCGAGATTGTTCTGCAAGCGCCGCACGGTGCACAGCACACAGGGATCGTAGTTAATGGGCGTCCTGAAACGCCACAGACAAATTCCGTGATTGCGACGTACCTCTTCCTAGATGCGTGTTGATGCTCATGTACCGCGCCGTCCCGCTCAAGCTCTTCCGTTCCCGGTAGGGAATGTGCTGCTTCGTTTTCGGGTCGCGGTACTGCTTGGCCATACCAAAGTCCACGATGTGCACGACTAGACGCAGGAACGGACGTGGGACGAAGGCGACGCGCATCAGCCTACGCTGCTGTCCCATCTCAGCACCATCAAGCGCTAACAGACTCACCATTCGCGTTTTTGGTACCAGGCCGGCCAATGAGGAAGTTGTCGGGTTTGATGTCACGGTAGATGAGGTTCTTCTCGTGCACCGTTTGTATGCGTGCAAGCTGGATGTGCGTGTGGCACGGCGGGGCCGAGGGAGTGGGAGGACGGAGGCGGAGGCGACAGTGGCGGGCGGAAATACAATCCCGGCGTTACCGGCGGTTAGAGGGCGAGGCGAAAGCGCGAGAAGGAGGTGCGCACCATCTGCCTCGCCGCCATACACACCGTCTTGATTGAGAACTTGCGCCCACACATGTCGAACAGATCCTCCAGGCTAGGCCCCAGAAGATCGATGACGAGGATGTTGTGAAGTCCCTCTTGCCCGAAGTGGTATATCTGGGGGATACCGGCTGCACGTCGATGATCCCAGGCCACGAAAACGAGTGTCCGGGTCAGCTAAGAGTTTAAAAGAGGTGAAGAGAACCGATGTACTGACGGCAGTTGGCGAGAATGCGATATGAACGACATTCATCGCGAAGTTGAGGTGCCTCGGCCTTCCGCGGCTCCTACGTCGTAGAAGGACATGTGTAGCAGGGCGACGCATGATGTCGAAGGTGGGCAAATAGGAGGCGGAGGATGCATGAGGAACGCGATGACGCAAAAGCTACACCGCGGGGCGGGCGAATGGGAAGAGAGAACTCACGAATTTAATCGCCACGGTCTGCGAGTTGAGAAGATTCGTGCCTGCGCAGAGGTGAAACGACCACTTTCAGCTCCGGTCGACTGGAACCCTCCACGCTGTGGAGAGCGCGACACGCGGCGGGCAGCAGGGCGGGAGAGGCGTACCTTCGAAGATAACACCGAACGAGCCCTCGCCGATCTTCTTGCCCACCCGGTAGTGGGCACCTACGACATTGTTGGAGGAGGAGGTGCTGTGGGAGGACATGGCCGGCGGCGCGCAGGGGGCAGCGGGCAGCGGCCGGGGGAGGGATGCGGGGCCAGAGAGGAGGGCAAAGGAGGAGGACAGGGCCGGACTGGGAGACGGCGACGAGCGCACAGTCCCGTTTGCCGCCCGCGGCACTCCCCGAGCTCTCCCGCTATGGTAATCTGGCGCCTGTGCCCGCCGGCGCCTCCCTCTCCAGGCCCGGCAAGGCGGACACCACATGGGCCTCGCCCTCGCGAATCGGTGCCCTCACTCACACGGCGCCCGCCGCGCACTCCACAGGCTCGGTTATCACACGGCGCATGGACGCGCAGGGTCGTGATACAACAACGATGAACGGACTACCGATGCACAAGCGCGAGATCATGGTACAGGTGGAAAGATGCAACTGGTATGGACGGGGTGTCGAAGCGCAGACCGGGTGATGCGATGAGCGCGGTGAGCGGGGGTGGGAGTGACAGTGGACAGTGGACAGTGGGAGCAGGAGGTCCGGAGGCTTACTTTAATAGATGCAGCGCAGGGCTATAGGTAACACAGAGATGGTCACGCGCTCGTAACGGCGAGGTGACCAGAGGACATGTAATGTACTAGATGATGAGGGAGGGTGCGAGATCTGGGGTAGGGAGGTGGATGGACGGGTGACGAATATACTGATCCGATGCTGGGCGCGGGCAGCTTTTACTTAGCAGGGACCCCACCAGGGCGAAAATGAGGATTAGCTACACATCATCGGAACTCAAAGGACGAGCTGGTGTGCTCGGGGACGTGCACCAACGACAGCTGCTGGTACCTGAAGACGTCACCCCAAGCATCGTCTGATGAGAACCTGAACAATGCCAATATAAGATCGCCACTCACGGTTCAGAGTTCTGGTGGAAGTAAAACCCGCTCATGGTCGCAACATTAGAGGGGCAGCCTCGCGAGGCAGATCGGCCAGCCTTGCGTGCTCCACGGTTGACGGAGATGCGCCGGGAGCGGGATGGGGTATCGGGTTTCGTAACAAAGGTCGTGGTGGGTGTCGTCATCATCGGGGAGTCTCCTCCGCTCTCCTCCACGGGCAAAGTAATCGGAGCACTACTGGACTGCTGAGGGTTGAAGTCCACGCATACGTAGTAGAAACCTGCAAATATCCAGGAGTCAGACGGAGGCGTTACCGACGACTATAGGTCGCAGGACATGCAGTGATGGCACACAATCACGTCGACTTACCGGCGAAACTAGCACCGTTGATGTCCTGCACACGGTGGTCGGGTACCAAGAACTTCTCCTTCCAGCGCATAAACACAGCGCCGCGACTAAGGGCGTCCGGGATCGTGTAGTGGGGCTTCTTCAGCTCATTCCGCACGTGCCGGAAGGCAGGGAACCGTGCCCAATGAACCATGTCCTCCTGCTCCGTTGCGCCCCAATTGCGTGTCAAGAATCCATACCGACCGCCAATAATCTCGGCGTCAAAGTAGGTCGTGAGCTCAGGCCAGTCATCCGTAAGCCCCCGGATGCGGAGGTATCCGCACAAGTGTGACGAGGCAAAGTCAACGTCCTGCATGGATGGGGCGTGTTCAATGACAGTGTCTCATCCAATGAATGGAAGACAGACACGTACCACGATGGTCACATTGACATCGTAGCTATTCCTGCCGCTCTTCTGCGTACCCTGAAAGGTGGCGCCGGGGTACAGACAATGGTGGCCTTGCGAGCGGACGCGGAGGCGGGTGATATCCACCAGAGGATCAGCATCCCATGATTTAGAAGGATGGTTGATTTGGATGGAATACGACGACTCGGAGCGAGAGGCGGCCGGCGCTTGATACGGAGAGGAGGAGCTCGCGGTTTCGATGGCGAGGAGAGGGCGAGAAGTGCTTGAAGGCGAAGAGACAGCTGATGGTCTCGGGGGTTGTAGGGAGCGGTGTGATGGCAATGGAGAGGTCGTAACTGCGTCGAACGGCGCGGAAAGCAGAGCGGGAAGGCGGGCAGTGGGGAAGGATGCATCCATAGGGACGTCCTGCGAAAGGCTTGGTTCGAGCGCCGGGAGAGTCGGGAGGCCCATCGGGGGAGGCGAGGGCGATGGCTGGGCTTGCTCGTGGACCAAAGCCTCGTTGCCTGCAGGCTGCAATGATGCGACACGACGCATAAGAGCCCACTCGACGTCGGCAAACGAGCCGTCCCGAGAGCGGGTGCGACATGACGCGCAGACGGGAACTGTGTCGAGGGACGAGGACTCGAGGGAGTCTGATTCATGGGAGAGGAGGACGCCGGGGGCGTCGGCCGAGAGGGGACTCTTGCAGGTGTAGCAGAGCTTGACCTGTGCTTGGGCGGGCTCGGGCTGAACAGGGTCGTGAACGGGGCGTTCGGTGGGCATGACAGTCGGGCGGGGGGAGGGGCGGGGCGGAGGGACGGCCGGGGAGTGGGGGGAGGAGAAGAGGAAGGTGGAGTGTGGGAGTGGCACGGCGGAGGCGACGCGGGGAGCTGCCACCGTACCGCAGACGGGGCCTTCTCCAGTGCCCGTCCGCCTGGCTCAGGCTGCTCACGCACACGCGGCAATCAGCCTGCGATAGCCTCGTCTCTCCTCCTCTCCAGCGTGCACCCGCCCTTGTCCAACAAGGCCTCGATCGCCACGGATGCCGACCAGCGTACTTCATTCGCTCGCCCCGAGGCGCACCGCCCGACTCCTGATTCGGTGGCGGAGGCGACTAGCTGGCCATCTGGTGGCGGCAGAAGTTTGGTGTCGCGTGAGGGGAGCTGGAACGGGCTTAGACTGGGCTCTGGCTGGCCTTGCACGCTACTCGCAGGACGGGACGGCTGCAGCGTGGCCCTGAGCGGCGACATTGTCCGTTCTAGAAGAGGTCTCTCGAACGGCCAACCGCCCGACGGCGACACTCGAGGCGTGCCGAATCCCGCACTCAGCCCGGTCCTCCTCAAACCCTCCACCGTCCCTCTTCTCCAGGCTCCAGATCCCGGCCTACCGGGCCCATCGCAGCTCTCGCCCACATCCAGCTAAGAGCTCAGACACAAGACCATCCCAAAGCATGGGATCTCTCGCCGGACGTTCGGGTCAGCGGCCGTCGGCGTCCGTCCTGCGTTCGCCATACATTTGTGCAACAAGCCCCGTTCACTCGGCTCTCCTTCTATTCTACTCCTCCCGTACCGCCCGGCCGAGACCCCGCGACGACGGAGCGATGCCGCCGCTCGAGCGACAATGTCTCTACCACTACCAGCCCAGGACTGAGCGCTGAGCCTGGGCACACCCGCAACCCAAGAGGGACGGGCAGCAAACGGGAGATTGACACAAGCAAGATGCCGCGCTCGGCCGCCAGGACAACGTCGTCAAATCGAACTTGGAAGCAGCCATTCTCCCGCCCTCCCGCCGACGGCTGCTCTTTGCGCCTGTGCATGAGCCAACGCTCTCCCTTCTAGGTGATCTATCTCTTGATCAATCTGTCAACTGCTTCGGATAAGTGAGACTGCTCGTGCCAAGCACCAGCCTCCGTCGTACTCATCCTCCACTGACATCTTCAAGCTAGGCAGTGACGGCGTCCCCATCGGTGATGCTCATACTTCGGCGAGGATCTCTAACCACCGCAGATAGACACCGCGCCGCGGGTTTTCTGCGGCTCTCGCCTCACCGATCAGTGCAAGGGTTGGTGTTCGCTTGCTTGCGGCTACAGTCTTCCATCCATACTTACCGGCGTTTGTCCCTACCGCTGAGCGCTGAGCGCTGAGCTTCCGAATCGACCGCTGCGCGTTCCAGACCTGCCAATGCTGCGCGACCGGACGCCCGTCCGTCTCTTGGGACAACACCAGCAATCGCGCACGCGTCGTAACTCATCGGCTTCTCCGTCGACCACTCCACAATCATCGAGGTTGTCTCTCCACTTCCACAACTCCCCTTTCGACCTTTCCCCGTATCACAACCTGCGTTGCTTGTAAACGTCGGCATCGTAATGCCCGCCCCTCTCAGGCTCCGCCATTCGTCACCGGCCCACCTCTGACGTCACCCACTCCTTCGCAGGGCGTTCCATCAGGCGCAGCGCCTTGAGGTCCCCGCCGAAGGTCCCAATCGCAGCCCGTCCATCTACGTCCCGCGCCTTCGCTGTTTTCGTCCGGCGACCGTGCTGTAATGAGAAAAGCTGCCGTCGCCACGATCAGATGGGCGGCTTTAAAGCGACTTTCTGGATTCGTAGCGAATTCACTCATAGTGCATCTAGACCACATAGGGTAATGAGAAGATCTAACACACGGCGCTACTCCAACCAACGTTCGACTATGCCGGTGCGCAACACACGAGGCTGTGCTCGACATACAAGGTTCCGCCAAGCCGCGACAAACACCTCATGGGGAGTTCCGTCATTACGATATCGATAACATATGTATTAGCACCTAGGGTGAGTGTCAGAGTGTAGCCCCATGGACACCACCCGAGGCATATGTTCAGTCGACGTTCTGCCCCCTGTTTCGCGAACCTGGCCCCATAGTATATACGCCTACCATGCCCTCGAGGGTGTTCAACGAGGAAGACAAAAAAAGGTCCATGGAGCCTTTCAATGTTCCGCCTGGCGTTGTGCGACCAGTGTCGTGATTGGGCGCGTGTGTAAGAAGGTACCGCAATTCGCAGACTGCAGGATGCCGTCCGAACGCTCGCGCGGGTGCACTTGACGGATTGGTAAGAAGAGCTCAACACGGCACCAGCACCAGCGGAGTCAAACTGTAGTTATGTCCAATTGTAACTCCGATAGTCCCCCGGGTCAGTCGTACTCCTATGTCCCGAAGCGCCGTCGGAGTTACGATGAGTTCATTGCTATGATTCAACTCCGCTGTAACTCGCAATTGCGCGGCCATCGCCCGGTGCACACTGCAGACAATTCGACCCTATGCCCGAGCTGCCTTGCCTTCTGCCTCCTTCTACCTGTTTTCCAATCTAACATGAAGCTTGAGGTCTCGATGGAGCTGGTTTGCCAACCGGATCCTACCGGGACTGGCATCGCGACAAGTTAGCAGTCTACGCTCGTAATTCGTGTGCATGGGGCTTGCGTGTTTATGCCGTTCAAAAGAGAGGTTTGGAAAACGGCAATTGCGCGCGATTGTAATCCGTTGGGACGGACCCACCGCTCCACGGCGCGGCCCGCTCGAAAACGCTCGTCACCCATGTACAGCGTGACAGGCTCACGAGAGCCTTGGTGAGGTTCGCGCTTGTGCTCTCATCTCGTCGTGACTCATCTGCTTCCTGTTGCCGTCTTCCTAATTCCATGCTATCCTGGCTGAAAGTTGAACTAGGAGCTGGACGCTCGGTTTGGAGGTACGGGACCGTGTAGTCAATGCGTTGTCCCATCTCTCGCCCCGGCACTCGCCTGATCCGGTCACGGTGGCGGTCACATTGGAGACGGGACTCCAACGCGCCATCACTCATTGCAATCGCGCACAATTGCAATTTCCCAAACCTCTCTAAAGCACGGTCAATTATTTGAGCCTCAGGAGACGCACCACATACCACCCTGCTGTGTTGTGACATAACGCGAGGCATCGCAGACGCGTCATATCGCATTACATCACCAACGACTGCACGTGCAGTGGCCTAGATGCTCCTGGATGCCGCGCGTAACGTGAGGGGACGACGATTATCTTTGTGCTCGATAGCAAGCGTGATCGGATAGCAGAGAGACATGGAGATGACGAGGAGCAGCGTGGGGTGGGGGCGTGAAAATAAGCGAACTCGGCACCGTAGCCAGTGCCGTGATGACCGAAAACCGACCGCAGACCGGGCGAAGCACGAACCATGAGGACACCTGGCCGTGTTGGAGAAGAACCGCGCCGGGGGTATGGGAAACGGGTAGAGCCTTGAGCCGGCACTGCGGTGGTCGAACGTGGGTGGGTTAAGGGCAGGGGAGGGGGACGTGGGAGTGTACAACTGGTATGAGGGATGTGGATGAGGACGTACTCTAATCTAGGGGCATAACATTAGGCGTATGTGGATCGTGTCGGTTGTACACAGTGCAGTAATTGCAGAGGGGCTTATTCCTCCACTCGGTCGTCGTATACATGTGGACAAATAGCGTCTGGCGTGGTCGTGATCCTTCACTCTACTTTCGAGTTCGAGTGTGAGTCTTGAGTGCGTTTCACTTCGTTTTCTCGCTGATCTCGGTAGCCTCCACCGACGGTGTGCCCTCGGTACGCTCGTCTGGCGTCTCCTTCGCTTCGGCCCCCGGCGCGATGGCAAGCGCGCCTGCGGCCTCTGTCTGGGCTTCGACGTCGACCGCGTCCTTGTCTGTTGGCTCCTGGCCGGCCTTGATAACGACGCGCTTGAGCGTGTAGCCGCGAAGGAAGAGGACAAGTAGGAAGCCGACACCCGATATGGGCGTGCTGACCAGCCAAATGGTGCTGATCGAGCGCGTGTACGCATTTGTGAGCGCGACACGCTGCGCGGCGTCCGCGATCTTCGGGATCTGACGCACGATTTGCGTCAACGCGGCGGGAGAAGTGTCAATGTTCAGCCCTGGGATGTGGGCAACACGCCTGCGAAGTTCCTGCAGAGGCCCCAGAGACACCAGGATTAGGAAAAGGTAGTGGATCCCGAATGGCGAACGTACGCTGGAGATGATGACCTCGCCGATAGAAATGCCAACCGTTCCACCGAGGGTACGGATGAGCACAAACGCAGCTGTGCTAGTCGCCATGTCCTTCAACGGCATCGCGGCTTGCAAACCAATGAGAGGAGTCTGCAAAAGTCAACAGTTAGCCTTATTACCTGCAGAGACAAAGTGAACCCAGCTGACCTGGAACAAACAGCCAATGCCGAACGCAGTGACAAAGGGATAAAGAAGTCGCTTGGCACTTCAGCCAGGATCAGTTGAGCTTTAGTGGGCAGTACAAGAGGGGCGTACATAATTGAGTTGTTATCCAGCGTAGTCATCAAGCCAAACCCGAGGATCATGATCCCCCAAGCCACCCACATGATGGGCCTCCAGCGACCGGTTCGCGAAGTGATCTGGCCGGAAATAACCGAGAAGAGAGCACCACCAAGAGAGAAGGGTAGCATCCTAAGGAGAATGTGAGCGAGAACTGGCCAAAACAGGATGTTCTTGTACTTACCGTACGCCCGCACCGGTAGCCGAAGAACCAAGCACCTGGTAATACACAGGCAGATAATATGCAGCACCAAAGAAAGCAACGGCGTGCAAGAAGACTGAAATCAGTATGAGCGCCGTGGTGCGAGTCTGTGGGTCCACATGCATGAGTTTGGATGGAGGATTTCAACCGCTAAGAAACGCGGTACCTTGAAGAGACGGGGAGGGATGATCGCGGATCTCTTGGTGTAAATTTCGTTAATCGAGGCCGCAATTAGCGTCACCACACCGATGACAAGAGGCGCAATGGTTTGTGGTTGACTCCAACTCGTTTCACTGAAGTTGAAACCCAGAAGCACGAGGACGACACCCACGACGATGAGGAACAAGCCGGAGAAATCGAAAACCTGTGCATGCTCTCTCCACGTCTTCCCATGGTGCGGGTTCAAGTTGAGGAAGAAGAACAGCATGAGGAATCCAATACCACCCGTAGGCCTGTGCAGCTCGAAAATCAGGACAACGTGGCGGAGCAGGACCTCGAAATACTTGCAGGTTGATGAAGAAGCACCTGAGCAGCGAGATCAGTATGAGGAGATGAAGGGAGCAGCACTGAGCACTTGCCATCGCCACGAAACATGGTCGGTGAATACCTAACGAGAGGTTAGCCAAGGATGGTCACGGGGATGAGTGCACATTACACTCACACCGCCGAGCAGCGGGCCGATGACACTGCATATGAGCGTGAGACCATGATACTGGCCGTCCTACCTCTAAAAGCGTACCTGGCAATGCCCCAAGTTGCACCTATATATCCACCATATTTACCACGACTGCCGGACATGAGCCAAAGGTGACAATGGACGGAGACATGCAACATACTCTTGCAGGGACACAATGTCGGATATGGTAATCTGCACTAATTGAATGATACCTCCTCCGCCGATACCTTGCACAGCCCGCGCAACGACCAACCAGGTCATACTTTGTGCGGCACCGCATAGCGCAGACCCGATCTGGTGACAGCATGAGAGCCCGGGTGGCTCGAAGGGAGTAGTCACGCACCAAGAAAACACCGATTGAGACAAAAAGAATCGGTTTCCGACCTGGAGGGGCGTGAGGGGATGGTGGCGCATAATCAACCGGAATGACGCACCAATGATGTCTGACAGTTTGCCATACACCGGACCAAGCGCGGAGGAGGCGAGAAGATACGCACTGAGGTGGGGTGAGAGCAAGACGACAAACACTGAACGCGAGAACGCACCTGCCTACCCAGCTGTACTCCTTGCCACCACCAAGCTGCGCGACGATGGTGGGGAGAGCAGTCGCGACGATGGTCTTGGATGAGCGGCGTGGGATCAGCACCAACAGAAAGGCAAATACAGATTGGTGCGGAGCGCGGACGGACCTGATCGAGGGCGGCGAGAAAAACACAGCACATGAGACCTGTGAATACGAGGCTCATGCGGTTCTTGGGTAGTACATGCTCTTCGTTCTGCTTCCATGTAGAGCCAGGCTTGACTTTCTCGCTCGGAGCCGAGGGTGCGGGGGTAGTAGGCGCGGGAGAGACGAGCTCAGAGGTTGGCTGCTGCTTGGGATCTTCGGCCATTTTCGCGGCAGACGGGGGGGTCGACGCTCGGCGCAGCGCGAGGGATCCGTTATGAGGCTGGGATGCGGCGGAGGCTGGCGGAGACGGAGGCCATCGAGAGCACTTGTGGGGGTATTTTAGTGAGGCCTGACCAATCTCCCGTTCTTTCTCTGCCGGGTCGGCAGGAATGCCGTCCCCGTCGGCTGCCCTGCCGCCTCCCCCACGTGCTCGGACCCGCGGATCGCCCGCAGGGCCCAATCGCCGTCGAGCGCTTCCCGACAGAGGCCGACAACCGTGGCGCGCGCTGCCGCACGGCCGGCACCCTCCAGCATCCGCACTGGTCTGCTACTTACTTCCACACTAGACCCTCCTCCCTGGACACTCGGCGAACCGCTACACTCCTTCAAGCTCCGCAAATGCGCGCTCGGCGCACTCATAGACTGCGGGCTCTGTCAGCTCCGAGGCGGCTTGCGCAGAGCCACCTCCCACGCAGCTCCATTCTCGGCTCACATTCGCAGGACTCCACCTCTGCCCGCACCCACAACTGCGCTCTCTCTGTCATGCTGACAACTCAGCCTGACGACAACACCATGGACGCAGTTATTGCATGCTTCTCCTGTCCATCAGTTGCTTGTAGCCGAAACGTCACGAGGTTAACGGAAAACGCGCCCATCACATCCTTGGGGTTTTCCGTCTCAACGAGACATGGCGGATACTGGCCACTCTCGCGTTCTCATCCGAGTCTCTCCCGGGACGTCACATGTGAGCTTTGGCCCGAAATGGTGCGAAACGCCCTATTTATGCCTGAAGTCCATCGACCTTGTAGCGGTGCAAAGTTCGACAAGCGTTCTGCTGTTCAGAGGACCGAGGATGATGATGGTACCCGCTGAGGTCTCCGACAAAAAACGCAAGTAATTGTTGCTGATGCATAAGGACGGCACCCTTCGCCAAGCTCTCAGTTTCTTCACGGCTGTCGAACCGATTGGCTTGATGTTGGGCGACATAAGTATGGGGGCTTCGCGAGCGCTTCTTGCGGCAGCACTTCAATACTATCGAGCTAAACAGGGTGGATCGCAGCCGCAATTCGACTGCAAACGGGGAACCGGGGCGCGAAAAGAGTCATCGTGACATAACCCGACTACGGCAGCGGTAAGATCACCGCGTTTGTAGTCGGAAAGCAAGGAGCGACTACAATTGAGATGTTGCTGCGATAGAATGACGATGATCTTGATTATCTAATATACTTACGTAACACATCTGCAAGTCCTCGCTCGCGCCTGACCTCATCGGAACCGGTAGCTTGTCCTTTTTCTTCCATCCACCACCATCATCCTCCTCCCTAGACACCCGCAATGTCCGAGAGCACTGTTCCTACCTTCAAGCTTGTCCTTGGTGCGTTCCACTCTTCTTCAGACTCGCGCGGTCGAGCTCATGAAAACTTCAATCCCATCTTCCCCTTGATCGATGCCCGCGCCACTCTTGGGTCTTCGCGTTTACCGCGTCTTTCATACGCGTATCGGCCCCTTCTGTGTGCGATGCAATCGATACATTGCAGTCGGTGATGGAGGTACCGGTAAAACCACCTTCGTCAAGGTATGTGCAACTTCTGTGCGCTCCCACCACATAGATCGTGTGCTGATCTTTTTCATGTCTAGCGCCACTTGACGGGTGAATTCGAGAAGAAGTACATTGGTATGCTCTTTTTCACGTCGCTCAGCAAGCCGTCTTTTAAGCACAAGTTTATTTTGCACCTCTTTCCAGCTACCCTCGGTGTCGAGGTCCACCCTCTGTCGTTCTCGACCAACTTCGGTACCATCTGCTTCAACGTATGGGATACCGCGGGCCAGGAGAAGTTCGGTGGTCTCCGCGACGGCTACTACATCCAGGGCCAGTGCGGTATCATCATGTTCGACGTCACCTCCCGCATCACGTACAAGAACGTGCCCAACTGGCACCGTGATCTTGAGCGTGTTTGTGAGAACATCCCTATCGTGCTTTGCGGTAACAAGGTCGACGTGAAGGTGCGTTGCCGATCCATCCATGTTTGTTGTCAATGGCGTCATTCTCAACGTACTATCAATCTGTAGGAGCGGAAGGTCAAGACAGGGAACGTCACGTTCCATCGCAAGAAGAACATTCAGTACTTCGAAATTTCCGCGAAGTCGAACTACAACTTCGAGAAGCCCTTCCTTTGGCTTGCGCGGAAGCTCGTAGGGTGCGTCTCCCACTCATTGCTACCATGGCCTTTATTGACCGTTCTCCAGCAACCCCTCCCTGGATTTCGTTGCTGCTCCTGCTCTTGCGCCTCCAGAGGTGCAGGTCGATCCTGCTCTGATGGAGCAGTACCAGAAGGAGCTCGCTGTGGTATGTGTTGGCGGCACTTGTTCATTCCATCGCGCTGACTTCGAGTCCAGGCCGAAGCTATCCCCCTGCCAGAAGAAGATGATGATCTGTAAACGTATCCTCACGACACCGCCCACGCTCTATCCACCATCTGTTTCGCTATACACATACTGTGATCACCATTGTTCCAATATAACGCTCATCGCATTCCCGGAGTCGCAAGCCTCTGTCCATCGCTCCCTGCTACGAGTACGCATGCCGTGTTGAATTGTAGAAGTTGTTTCCACCGGGATCGTTGTATCGATGTCGTTCTCTGAGTATATGATTAGAGCGGTACAGTTTGAACAGCGACATCTAGATTGGCGCTGGTGAAGAAGCATCCAAGTTGGAAGAACCGGCGTGATGTCTGTCCATGCAGGTGCGACTGGCGATCCATGGAATCAAACACTGCAGCTGATTGGTCTGCATCAAGTATACGGTCGTTCAGTCATGGTATTGAACAGAACATTTGAGGCAATACTCCATACAATACTCCATACACGTATAGTACTCATCGACTTCGACTCCACCCTTCGCCACTCGTTCCCTGCCCTGCACCAGCCAGAACGGCTAGTCCGTCGATGAGCATCTTATGTTCGAAGCTCGTGATCTCGTCGCGCGGCAGGACCCGGTAGAGAAAGTCGCCCTTGTCGTGCAGGTTCGCGAGAGCGCGCAACGCCGGGGCGTTTCGGATCCCGACGTCGCGCAGAGCGGGGAGCAGGTGTCCAAGCGGCTGCTCGAGCTCCTGCAGGAAGCGGTACATGGGCTTACAGTCCGGGCACTCCATCGCGGTCCCGCCCGTGCAGCCCGCGTGTAGCTGCGCGTAGGACTTGGGCGCGGGCTTCCTGGCGGCCCGCGCGAGTAGATCCGAGAACGCCGTATCCGAGTCGACGGCGGAGACCGTGGGAGAAGGCGTGCGGGCGGGTCCTGGGTTTTGGGGCTCTGGCTCGTTGCCGTTGCCGTCGCCGTCGTCGTCGTCGTCGTCGTTTTCGTCGTCGGCAGCGGCGGGCTCGCTGGAAACACGGCGCCGGATACGATGCATGTGCATTCGAGGATAAAAGGAGGCTGAAGCAGTCGTGGTGAATCTATTGCTTGACGAATGTGACGCCGGACGGGTCATACCTGGACGACGGTTCGTGGTCTGGATAAGGGCCGTGCAGGGCATTTAGCCATGCTCCCACGAGTCAAGACATCTGCTCACCACGACAACCTCGGGGCGATTCTGTCTGCGTCTTCCACCGTTTGTATCGCGCGGTTGTGCTTCTTCATCCTCCTCTTCCGAAACCGAGGATCGCGCTTTCCTGCCACGTCCCACAAGCCCATTTTCTTTTTTATACACCTGATTCTGGACGCCAAAATTGATCACTCGTATGAGAGCAAGATTATCAGAGCTCACCCTCCAACTGAGCCACAATTTGGCGTACGAATCTGCGGGCCATTCGTTTTCGTAATTTCGCACGATAGGCATCCTCTCGCAGGCCTGCGGCCCCGTGTATTAGAACCAGAGTATCATGTATACACCGAGCCTCAAAGAATGAGCTTACGCTGGCAAAGAAACGTCTCTTGATATGCTCCGGCTGCTGGGTCCACCTCTTCGATTTGTCGAGATTTTCATCGGCACTGGTCCCTAGCGCTTTCTGTGAACGAATATCAGATCTCTTCGTTACAGTGCTGGCAAGCGAACCACTTACCACAAATCTCCGAAACCGAGCGGAATCATCGCCGAGCCCCATCAGATATTGGATGGACTTGTGAGGGTACTGTACGCCTTCAGCGTACATGGTAGAAGGCTGGGTCCTCGGCTGTAGATACCAGTTATTTCTGGAGGTTTCGTTTCGAATCTTTCCTGCGGTGACCGAGTAAGCCGGAGACGTGCTGCCAACAGAGCGGAGGATCCACAGACGTACCCATTATGCGGTGACAGGAATCGGCGAGGAGCTGGGTGGCGGAAGGAGGGGACGTCTGTTCACTCCCGAGGGGGTCCTTTATATTGCCGACCTCGTTTCCAGCGCGAGCTCAAGAAGAACGTCGCATGCCGTGATCTCCGTTCCTCGGTTCACGATACATGGCCGAGCGGCGATATTCGCGGAGGCCACGCGGCCGCGCACTTGAAGCACGACCAATGCATGTTCGTGCTAGAATACGTACGGAGGTGTCATGGGAAGCGGAGACCATGTATTGTGCGGGATTACGGCTACATGCGCGAGTTGGGACGTTATCTCTACGTGTCGTCGGAGACCTTGTCCAACCCGTCCACGATCAGCTTCAGCTGCAGACAGGTGATCCGGCCCTGCAGGGCCCGGAAAAGCCAGTCTCCGCGATCTGGAAGGGACGCGACAACAAGCAGGGACGAGTGGTCCAGGACGCCGATAGCGCGGAAGTCGGGGAGAAGGTGATCCAGAGGCATAGCGAGGGAGCGCAGGAAGACAAGGACGGACTCGTCACTGTCATCGGGAGCATCGGGCTCGCTTATTGACGAACGACGAAGGAGTTGAGACGGGGTCTCGTGCCTTTCGAGACCCGATTCCGGCCCAGCTACAGGAGGCGTGCGAGCATCCCTTGAAATGGATCGCTGCAAGCCTTCCTGAATGAGATACGACTCGTCAGCCACGAAAACATGATACACCAGGAGGAGGCATTACTGCTACTGTCAAAGAGCGACTCCTGTCCGCGCCGCGATGCCGAGCGCAGTCTTGAAGTGCTCCCCTCCTGCGCGACCGGCGAGGCTCTGAGACCTTGTGAGACTGATCTTGCAAGCCGCCCTTTCTCCTTCCGTTCTGAAACTAGGTGAGGACCATGTTGTGTTCAGCACGGCACAACTTACACTTCTCGTGTGTCTTAAGTATATTGCACCGAAGATTGGAACGGGCCAGCTGTTTTTGTAGGTGGACATCACGGGGAGCGCTTTGCGAACCTACCATGACCGGACGGATTGGAGTTCGAGAAGTATACTCAATGAGCCTTAGAAAGGTGATGCGCTTACTTCGACAATAAATAGCCTCCGTTTACTCGAACGCTGCATCTTCCACGTGAGATCTTTATCGAGAACTCGCAAGGCACAGGCAGTCATGATATCCTTCAGGAAGACAGGCAACACGTCAAAAATATGCATGAGTTGCATACTCGGATGCTCACCACATATTCTTGGAAGGTTTTGTCGTCGTCCGACATTCCCATATGGTGCTGCAGGGCATGCTCCTTCTGCGCAGACCGCGCAGTGAAGAAGTTTTTGATGTGGTGGTCGGGCACGGAGAGGAGTATTCCTGCCCGGTGTAAACACTCAAAAAAGATTCATGCAGCAAGCATGGGCTTCATACCTGTCATATTGTAGCAAGAATCTTGAGAACGGAGCCAAGAGACACAAGTGAACTAGAGGAGGGCCAAGCAAGACGTGCAAGGATGGCCAGCCTTATATCTCAGTCTGCCGTTGTCATCCATGCTCCATGCACGAGTTAGGACTTGAGGGTGACGGAGAGCTAAGCATCATGGAGGAGTACGCGCGGCGATGGTGGTGGCAGATTGAAGAGAACATGGGGCCTCCGCGACGGTGCCGCTTGCACATTAGCGCGCGCGCTCACACCTGCACACCGCTCTGAGCCGTTGCGTCACACGAGGAAGCGACAAGACCACACAGGTGATCGCACGCCTCCGCGGACCCTCTTCTGGAAGTCACCTCGTTTGTTACTGGTCATCGAGGGATGGTGACTGGACTGAGATGTGAGGCAATCACATTCCGCACGTCAGACGCAACCATTGCGCGATAGTGTCCGATTGTTTCATTGTACCATGCATCAACATGACCCGAGGGTGACTACACGGAGAACATACATCTGACCTGCTGCGTTCCGGGCAACTCATCCGGACTGTCAACACGGGACGTTGCTCACAAGCCGCTCGAGCCCATCCACAAGGAACTTATGCTCCAGGCTTGTGAGCCTTTGAGGCATGACCCGGTCGAGCCAATCACCCTTATCGCGCATGCGCGCGAGCCCGACCAGGTTGGTGGGACTGCGGATGCCTATTTCGCGGAGCGAAGTAAGCAGGTGGCCAAGTGGCTGGTCGAGAGATTGCAGGAAGCGATAGACGCCTTCGCAGTCTACAGAGAGGGTCGAATCGACGTATGTGGAGTGAGTCGGAGGTCGGTCGACGAGAGGATCGCGGGCGCGCAGCGAACGATGCAGGGTAGAAGCGGCATAGGGACGCGGGGATGACTCGGCGGAGCAAACGCGGGTTTGACGGTGATGCGGCACTTGCTGTCCAATCCTATCGGTGTAAGGAAAGCCCGAGCGAACTTCGCATGTGACGTCCGCGGAGTCTTCTGCCAACTCATGGGCGCGCTGCAGACCTTCCCCCACGACTGAAGGTATCCCGGCTGCACTCGAACAGCGAGCCACGCAGGGGCTTACCTGTTCGCTGCATTGGTCAAATAACCACAGCAGACGCCAGGAGCACTCACTGATTTCGTCTCATTGTACCGTGAAGCTCCAATCGTTTCGCCCGTTGGCTCTTTGGGGGGTGCAGGAACTGTATGGCGCTTGGTCGACGTTTTGGGCCACAGCTTGCGGTGCTGTCCAAGACACCGTAAAGGCCAGATTCTCGATGGTGCATCGCAGTCTCTTTGACCTACATGGCTGTTGTATAAACAGATGGTGGCGAACTTGGTGGCCGGCCAGGCATCAGCAAACATTCCTATTCGCGGGATCCGCTTGCACACCTATAAAGCATATTCTAAACCTGCCAAGTAAGTGGGTAGACGAGTAAACTGACTGCATTGACGTATAATTGTTTTCGTTCAGCAGGTTGGTGGACCCAGGTCAGCGTTCCGGATAGGTACAAGGAGATGCATTGCCTCATCTCGCCCTGCAGACCAAGGGGCGATCAGCGGGAGTTTCGAAAGCGATACCAAACGTGTTAATCCTCACTGTATAGTCGCGAAATGTGGTTTCGTCGTGATCCATACCCATCAGGTGCTGCAACGTCTGCGTCTTCTGGCGAGAGCTTTTGGAATAGACCGTCTTGATGCTTGCCACATTACTAGGAGGCAGGATGGAGCCCGTGCTGGTATCGACTGAGACACGAAATGCCAGAGTGAACATCGAACGAGAGAGCAGAGCCGGTATGACTCCATGGAAGGGCAGTTCGACGTACGGCTGCTCATCGCGCTTCACCAGAAGACCGACTGGGGTCGAGGAGAAAGGGCATGGATCCGGGGCCGCGAGGAAGTGGACCTTTATGTAGATGGAGCCCATTTCCTTCGCAAGCGGGGAGAACAACGCGCGGGGTGCGGATGCCATCGATGGTCGAGACTCGACAGAGGTGACGTCGGCGTGGCGAGGCTGGCGTGAAGACGCGTCGCTCACATGACGCGCGTTTTGCCCCATGCCACTACCCACAGCGGGGCTCTGAGCAACCTCCACCATCCTCGCCCACCCCATATCCCCGCCTTGCTTCACGCCCGTCTTCTAGCGTCCGCCTCAAGTCCATGGTCTATCTTGGTGCGGCTTCGCTTGCTAGGAACTCGGTCCACCTCTCCTCCCATCCACGTACAAGCCGGCCTCTAGTTGTTCCCAAGCACGTCCGCTGTTATGCATCGCTTCCCCGCCCATACCGCTTTTACGTAGGAGCGAGTTGGGCAGGCAAGCCTCCCGATCCGCGTGGTCCGCGCGTGAAAAGCGTCCCTTTCCATGCGGAGAGTGCGATAGGAAAGTGGCGGGATACGACCCTAGGCCGGCCTAACTCAAGTGCAGGAGCGCACATAGGAGAAGACTTCTTCTACGTACAAGACGTGAGCATGCATGACCTCCTGCCTCATGCAATGCACTGATTACCCGTTACTTCGCGGTGGATGCGACGGAAGATGCGAGATAAGTCGGTAAGCAGCCCCCTCTCCATACGCGCGTATCATGAGCACCCAATGCGCATTTTGTCGTCAGGGCATCTCCATTGGCATAGCAGACGGTGTTGGGGGTTGGACCGAATCAGGCGTGGACCCCTCGCTGTTCTCTCAAGCTCTCATGTACCATGCACATCGGTATTCCAAAGCTGCGTGGCCTGGTGAACCCGAAGTCGATCCCATGCAAGAGTACGAAGAGCGCGAACAAGTCGAGGGCTGGGAACTATCACCGCGAGAATGCTTAGAATCGGCATACGGCGGCGTATTACGAGAACGAGGCGTTGTTGCTGGTGAGCCGTGTGTCCGAATATGCGGGCATTCATTCTTATCGGTAAGGTATTGCAGGTTCAAGCACCGCGTGCATCATCACTCTAAATGCGTCGACGGGAGTATTACGCGCCGCAAAGTAAGCTTGGATGTCATACCTCCTACGCAAGCTCCGGCTGAAGGTGTCGCGTGGCAGCTTAGGTGATAGTGGCTTCGTAGTGATGCGAGGATCGTCAGTCGTCTACCAACAACGGTCGCAGACACATTTCTTCAACTGCCCGAAGTGAGCTATCTATTTTGCAATCATCTGAAACGGTGCTAAGATGTTGATAGACAACTGTCCAAACTGCCAACATCGCAGAAGCGTTTCCCGAGAGCATGTGTTGATCATCCAAGTGATGCAGATCTTTTCGAGCTCAGACTGCGACACGGTGATATTATAGTTGCTTACGTTTGTGCTTTCGACTTGCATATGCCCACAAGTTCACTGACTTTCGCCGATAGACTGACGGACTGTCTGACAACGTGTTTCCGTCGGAGATGGTCGCCATATGCTCACTGGTGTCTCGACAATTCCAGCTTTCGAAGCGCACGCTTACCCCCACCGGCGAGATGGAGGTAGAGACCAGCAACGAAGAGCTGGAAGTACAAGCGATGTCAGAGCGAATCGTGGACTATGCTCGAATGTGCATGCACAACCGGAAGAGGATCAGTCCATTCGAGCGCGCTGCTGCCCGCGAGGGCATGTACTTCCGAGGTGGCGTGAGTGGCATTTTTGCTTTGCGCGGTCCTGTGATTAACTCATGACCCTCAATTCATAGAAAATAGACGAGTGAGTCTTGTCTTTTCGCCGCATCCTTTGCTCATCCTTTGCTCATCTTTCTCCTTAGCGTCACAGTCGTCGTTGCGATGGTGAGCGAGGTCATTTAGAGCCTCCTTCTTAGTATGGTGAGCGTCACTTCCCCGTCACAACATATCCTGTGTACTGGAGAAAGCATTGACATCGAGTATAGACTTTGGTCAGACACATTGGATACTTCGCTTGATACCCTACAATCCACTACTTGGTCCCTTGATGTAATCTACATGTAGAGCGCACCTTATTGCCACATATGTATAGACGTCTCATCCTCATCCTACAAGTATCGATCAGAATGCCGAGTTAAACGTCGATTCGAAGCCGATGTCGGGCGGTGGGCGTCAAGGCTACTGTTGCACAGCATAACATCAACGTCTGTGGCAAGGTCTACACCAATTCTGAGCCATTCGAGCGGGGAAGGGCGCACAGCGGGACATGGAGAATGAATGTTTTGAATATTAAACGTCAGCGCTTCAGCCATGGTCCGCGTACGCGCGGACCATGGCGAGAACTCGAAGCACCACCTGTACATGACAGCCGAATGATTGGGAAATATGGAGCTGTGACGTGCACCTTGTGCCGTAGTCCCGCCGAGGATGCGGATCAGTGACGGACAGCAGGTGAGCTCTGGCAGCGGTCGAGGACGCGGTGGTCGACGTCAAGGACGAGGAGTGCAGCGAGCGAGCGATCTGGGGCGGCGCGCTGGTCGGTGAAAGGGAACTGCGGGCGGCGGTGGGAGTTTCAAATTGAGCAGCCCCGGTGATGGACGTCGGGGCAGGGCCTGATTGGGCCGGAGCGGCAACAGGCTTCCCACGCAACTGGGCTACAAACACCGAGGCGCTTCGTCGCTGTCTCCATCCTCCGCTCCCGACTTCTTCCCTACGCCCTCCTAGACCCAACGCAAGCTGTTGCTGGTCGTTTCGCTCTTTAATCTTACGCCCCCTTCCTCTCTCTGCGTTATCTCTGACGCGTCCCTCTTTTCCCCATGGCCGCGCGCCCGGGCTACAACCAGCTCAATCCCTTCGCCAACCAACCTCAGTACACTCGCCAGTACAGCGACTCGGACGCAGATTCTTATACCAGCCGCAACGCAAGCAGCGTCCCTCTTGCTCCCGCCGGATACTATGATGGCACATACACATCCCCACGTACGTTATTTTCTACTGTTTCCAGGCCCACGGGCCACGGGCGCATCACCGGAGCTGGGCGGACGCTCCGCCTCGTCCTGATTTTGTCACCCTCTATGGGCTGTGCGCTCTCTTAAATGAGTCGCTCTCGTGGTCGTCGATTTCTGTAACTATGCCCCAACCATACCGGATCGTCGATAACGCCTCGACGGACTCGGTGACCCGAGTCCCCCATCCTGGGGGACATGCCTATGACCCGTCGTCTGGTCGATCCTCCGTCGAGCCTTTGCATTCCAATGAATCCCAGCCCATGCTGAATCGTCCCTTTTTAGCCGGCGAGGAGGGCCAATACCAAGGCGGCTACGACCGCCACTACAGTGCTTCCGTCGACTCCCACATGAGCATCGGTACAAGCATCCACCAAGGCCCATTCGCCGACATTCCTGGAGCTGGCGAACCCTTCCCCGCGTGGGCCGCAGAGCGCCAAATACCCATGTCGACGGAGGAGATTGAAGATATATTCCTGGATCTGCAACAAAAGTTCGGTTTTCAGAAGGACTCCATGCGGAACATGGTATGTTTTCTCAGTCCCCCCGCTGCCCTCCCCCTCTTTTCCCGCATCCATTTTCCCATCCAAGGATGATTTGGCGTGGCCAGTGCTGATATGCACCACAGTTCGACTTCCTGATGACCCTCCTTGATTCGCGCGCATCCCGCATGACGCCCAACCAAGCCCTCCTCACCGTTCATGCCGATTATATCGGTGGACAGCACGCAAACTACCGCAAGTGGTACTTCGCTGCGCAGTTGAACTTGGACGACGCCGTCGGCCAGCAGCAAAATCCTGGCCTCCAGCGCCTGCGGAGTGTCAAGGGAAATCCGAAAGGAGCGAAGTCCCTCGACAGCGCACTCAACCGGTGGAGGAACGCCATGAACAACATGAGCCAATATGACCGTCTACGCCAGGTCGCGCTTTACCTGCTTTGCTGGGGAGAGGGCGGTAACGTGCGTTTCACTCCCGAGTGCATGTGCTTCATCTTCAAGTGCGCGGATGACTACTATCGGAGCCCCGAGTGTCAAAATCGCATCGACCCCGTTCCGGAGGGTCTCTATCTCGAGACGGTGATAAAGCCCATTTACCGCTTCATGCGAGACCAAGGCTACGAGGTTGTGGACAACAAGTTCGTTCGTAGGGAGAAGGACCACCACGAAATCATTGGCTACGACGACATCAACCAACTCTTCTGGTACCCGGAGGGCCTTGCTAAGATCGTTCTTCAGGACAACGTCAGTGTTTGCTCCCTCATTTATTCGTCGCTCCTCTCACCGTTCTATGTAGACTCGTCTGATCGATGTACCTCCGGCTCAACGTTTCACCAAGTTCGGTCGTATCGCGTGGAACCGTGTCTTCTTCAAGACGTTCTTCGAGAAACGGTCATCCGCGCACCTGCTCGTGAACTTCAACCGAGTGTGGATCCTCCACGTCGCCGTCTTCTGGTTTTATACCGCTTTCAACTCCCCAAAGGTATACGCGCCGAAGAACCAGAAGTCCCCGTCCGCCCCCATGCAATGGTCGGCCACTGCGCTTGGTGGTGCTGTCGCGACGTCAATCATGATTGCTGCCACTTTGGCGGAGTTCCGTTTCATCCCCACTACGTGGAACAATGCCGGTCATCTTACTGCTCGCTTAGTCTTCCTGCTCATCCTTCTCGCGCTGACCGGTGGTCCCACATTCTACATCGCTCTCGTCGACGGTCGTCCCGGCCAAGGCAACATTCCACTCATCATCGGCATCTCACAGTTCTTCATCTCCGTCGTCGCCACGGTGGCATTCGCCATCATTCCCTCCGGCCGCCTGTTCGGTGACCGTGTCGCGGGCAAGTCGCGGAAGTACATGGCCTCCCAGACGTTCACAGCTTCCTACCCAATTCTCCCCCGCAGCGCACGCATGGCTTCCATCGGGATGTGGCTGCTCATCTTCGGCTGCAAGTTCACGGAATCCTACTTCTTCCTAACGGAGTCATTCAGTAGCCCCATCGCTGTCATGGCCCGGACGAAGGTGCAGGGATGCAGCGACAAGTACCTGGGCTCCAGTCTTTGCAGCAACCAAGTCCCCTTCACTCTGGCGATCATGTACGTTATGGACCTGATTCTCTTTTTCCTGGATACGTACCTTTGGTACATCATCTGGGTTGTAGTGTTCAGTGTCACTCGGTCGTTCCATCTCGGTTTGTCCATCTGGACGCCCTGGAAGGAGGTCTACACTCGCATGCCGAAGCGCATTTACGCTAAGCTCCTCGCGACGTCAGAGATGGAAGTGAAGTACAAGCCCAAGGTGAGCTAAGTGCGCCATAAAGCTGCCTTCGAAACTTAAACGATCTTAGGTTCTGGTCTCGCAAGTGTGGAATGCTATCATTATCTCCATGTATCGCGAGCACCTGCTCTCCATCAACCACGTCCAGCGTCTTCTCTACCACCAAGTCGATGGTCCGAATGGCCAACGTACACTCCGCGCTCCTCCGTTCTTCACCGCCAACAACGGCAACGAGAGTGCCTTCTTCCCGGCCGGGGGTGAGGCTGAGCGTCGTATCTCGTTCTTCGCCTCTTCCCTCACGACTGCGCTTCCGGAACCCCTCCCCGTCGATGCCATGCCCACCTTCACTGTCCTTGTTCCTCACTACTCCGAGAAGATCTTGCTCAGTCTCCGCGAGATCATCCGCGAGGAAGATCAGAACACCCGTGTCACTCTTCTGGAGTACCTCAAGCAGCTCCATCCGATCGAGTGGGACAACTTCGTTAAGGACACCAAGATTCTGGCCGAGGAGTCGGAGACAACCACTTTCGACGGTACCGCCACTCAGAACGAGAAGTCCGGTAATAAGCGCACCGACGACTTGCCTTTCTACTGCATTGGTTTCAAGACCGCCGCCCCTGAGTATACCCTCCGTACGCGTATTTGGGCTTCTCTCCGCGCGCAGACCTTATATCGCACGGTCTCCGGTATGATGAACTACTCGAAGGCGATCAAACTTCTCTACCGTGTCGAAAACCCCCAGGTTGTTCAACGCTTCGCTGGCAACACCGACCGCCTCGAACGTGAGCTCGAGCGCATGTCTCGTCGCAAGTTCAAGTTCGCTGTCTCCATGCAGCGCTACTCCAAGTTCAACAAGGAAGAGCTGGAGAACGCCGAGTTTTTGCTTCGTGCCTACCCGGATCTGCAAATTGCCTACCTCGACGAAGAGCCTGCTCCTCAGGGCGGCGACCCTCGTTTGTTCTCTGTCCTCATCGATGGGCACTCCGAGATCGACGAGCAGACTAACAAGCGCAAGCCGAAGTTCCGCGTCGAGCTCCCCGGTAACCCCATTCTCGGTGATGGCAAGTCGGACAACCAGAACCACGCGATCATCTTCTACCGGGGCGAGTTCTTGCAGCTCATCGACGCCAACCAGGACAACTACCTCGAGGAATGCATTAAGATCCGCAACGTTCTCGGCGAATTCGAGCAGTACAACGTCTCCAGCCAGAGCCCTTACGCCCAATGGGGTCAGAAGGAGTTCTCGCGCTTCCCGGTCGCCATTGTGGGTACTCGCGAGTACATCTTCTCGGAGAACATCGGTATCCTCGGTGATATCGCAGCCGGCAAGGAGCAAACATTCGGTACGCTCACTCCTCGTGTCCTCGCGTGGATTGGCGGAAAGCTTCACTATGGTCACCCCGATTTCCTCAACGCGACGTTTATGACCACACGTGGAGGAGTCTCCAAGGCTCAGAAGGGGCTCCACTTGAACGAGGATATTTTCGCCGGTATGACCGCTATCTCTCGTGGCGGACGTATCAAGCACTCCGAGTACTACCAGTGTGGCAAGGGCCGTGATCTCGGTTTCGGTACCATTCTCAACTTCCAGACCAAGCTCGGTACTGGTATGGGTGAACAGATGCTCAGTCGCGAGTACTATTATCTCGGCACACAACTCCCTATCGACCGCTTCCTCACCTTCTACTACGGGCATCCTGGTTTCCACGTCAACAACATCCTTGTCATTTACTCCATTCAAGTGTTCATGCTCACCCGTATGTTCCTATAGTTCGTACGCGCGTAGCACGACTAACATCATTTTGCAGTCATGTACCTGGGCACTCTCAACAAGCAGCTCTCCATCTGCAAGGTTGACTCTCAGGGCAACGTGCTCTCCGGCCAGGGTGGGTGCTACAACCTCCTCCCTGTCTTCGATTGGATCAAGCACTCCATCATCTCCATCTTCTTGGTGTTTTTCATCGCTTTCCTGCCGCTGTTCATGCAGGGTGAGTGCATTCCTTGTTTTGCTCGAAGTCTTCTGTCTCAGCCCCGTGCTTGCAGAGCTTCTCGAACGCGGCACTGGCAAGGCGCTCGTCCGTCTTGGAAAGCACTTCTTGTCTCTATCTCCAATCTTTGAAGTATTCTCCACGCAGATTTACTCCCAGTCCATTCAAAGCAACTTGACATTCGGTGGTGCTCGATACATCGCGACGGGCCGTGGTTTCGCAACAACCCGCATCTCATTCACCATCCTATACTCTCGCTTTGCTGGACCCAGTATCTACATGGGTATGCGGAATCTTCTGCTGCTGCTGTACGCCACCATGTCCATTTGGACTCCCTACCTCCTGTACTTCTGGGCCTCCGTCCTGTCGCTCTGCGTCGCTCCGTTCGTATTCAACCCACACCAGTTCTCCTTCGCCGACTTCATCATCGACTACCGCGAGTTCCTTCGGTGGATGTCACGCGGCAACTCACGCGCCAAGGCGAGCTCCTGGTACGGGTACTGCCGTCTTTCGCGTACCATGATTACTGGTTACAAGAAGAAGAAGCTCGGACACCCATCGGACAAGATGTCGGGCGATGTCCCTCGCGCGAAGTGGCGGACTGTGATCTTCAGCGAAGTCATCTTCCCCATTTGCGTCGCCATCGTCTACATCATCGCCTATATGTTCGTCAAGTCCTTCCCCGACAAGGACGGCAACCTGAATCCAAGCCCACTCATTCGCATTGGTGTCATTGCCGTTGGACCGGTCGTTTGGAACGCGGCGGTATTGCTCACGCTGTTTTTCATCTCGCTCTTCGTGGGCCCGATGCTTGATGGCTGGGCGCGCTTCCCATCCTTCATGGCCGCGTTCGCGCACTTGATGGGTCTCATTGGTCTCGTTGCGTTCTTCGAGTTCTTCGTAAGTGCTACATCACGACATCTTTCAGGCGCTTGCTCACTGTGTGTCCAGTGGTTCCTCGAGCTCTGGGATGCGTCGCATGCCGTTCTAGGTGTCGTCGCCATCATCGCCATCCAGCGTGCGATTCAGAAGATCCTCATATCGGTTTTCCTTTCCCGTGAATTGAAGCACGAAGAGACGAACCATGCGTGGTGGTCTGGCAAGTGGTACGGTCGTGGTCTTGGTGCCTCGGCATTTTCGCAGCCCGCGCGTGAATTCGTCGTGAAGACCGTGGAGATGTCTCTTTGGACGTCAGACTTCTTGCTCGCCCACATTCTCCTGATCATCATGACGGCGCCGATGTTCATTCCCTTCGTCGACAAGCTCCACTCGACTATGATGTGTAAGTCTTGTTATCATGTCGCTGGTTCAAGTGTTGACTATGCATTCAACAGTCTGGCTCAGGCCATCCAAGCAGATCCGGCCCCCGCTCTTCTCTACCAAGCAGAAGCGCCAGCGGAGGTGGATCGTCGCCAAGTACACGTTGGTCTACATCATCGTGGTTGCTTCCCTCGTTGCTCTCATTGTCTTGCGTAAGTTTCATGTCGAGCTCTATCCAGAACGCTTCCTGACCTTCTTGACAGCTGCATTGTTCCGGGACCACATCACCTTCAACTGTACTGTATGCAAGAACATCTAAACTAATGGTCATTGACGCATCTTCGACACCCCCACGTCCGTGCCCGTTCGCGGGGGCGCTCTCCACCACGCTTTCGAGCACGACTCCCTTGTATACAGCCTGAACGCGAACACTTGCACTGGACCCTGTAACTCTACGTAGATCTATACATCCATCTTATTAGCCCTGAATAAATAGTGGAGGCTGGGTCTCGGATTTTTGAATCTAACTTGAGTGGAACTGATCTATCTCAGCCGAGTGCGGAGGAGGATTGCGTGACTGGAGTTCTCGAGGTGTGCAAGCAGTGTTGATCGCGGGCTGCGGGCGCGAAGGCGGCAATTCGTGGTCTGAGCTCTTGTCTCTCACCGTCATCACGCCATCCCTTCTCTCTGCACCACGCTTTTCAGACATATATGCCTGCATATGCCAATATGCCGCCAGTCATCGTCAAAACAATCGTATCACGGATCAGGGCGCGACTACGAGGCAACGGGGATCCTAATGCGACGCGTATCCTACGCAGGCGGGCTTTGGGCCGGAATGTCTGGAGGCTGTCGCCCTTCGTTCAGTGAGCATTCTCTTCAAGCTCCTTCTGCAAACGATGGTGAACGCGTGAAGGAACATTTCACAGAGTGACTTTGTTCGCCGTCGGATACCTTTGGATGCTTGCTATACCCGCTCCCCAGCTCGGTCAGAGGACATATATCGACGAAAACGCGTTGCAGCCTGGACAGGTACACCTTTCGTTCTTATTGATTCCGCGGTGTCTCATGAGGTCGCTTGGGTACAAGGTCAACACGTACTGGAATTGGGCAGATGTGTTCCGCGCGGATAGGATTCTGGAGGACCTAGAAGCGCTGCGGGATCGTAATGCCACGAGTCAGGAGTAAGGCGTCGTCCCCAGCACCTCGACGGTATGTCTCATATTTGACCTTGCAGGATCGCGCAATACTCTGTGGACCAGTTTGAGAAGGCAGGCATCCCGGCTCGCACCCAGCACTACTCCTTCGATACGCTCTCTGGGGTACGGACGTCTCTATATCGCTTTCCCCGTCTTTTGGCTAACCGTCGCATGCTCAGAGTACCAATGGCACCAACGCATATGCAGTGTTGCGGCCTCCACGTGCACCCGGGACGGAGGCTATCGTTGTCAGCGCGTCCTGGATGAGTAGGACAGGAGAAGGAGACGGTACGCTGAACTTGCGAGGCGTGTCAACAGTCCTGTCATTGGCGCACTACCTGAAGAGTACGTGTCTTGCTGTTTCACTGTTTTGCGTCTAACTGTGCTATGTAGAGCAGTCTCACTGGGCAAAGGACCTCGTGTTTGTCATCAGCGACGGGTACCTGGATGGAATGCAGGCGTGGGTCACAACATACCATGGAGCGGAGCAATCTAGTACGTTCAGAGCTGCCATGCCTGCGTTCGTTGCTCATTGGCCACTAGACATGTACGCCGAGCCGCTCATGCTGTCTTCGGGAGTGATTTGGACAGCCATCAATGTGGATTACCCTGGGCATTCCTTCTCCCATCTTGGGATCTTCTTCGGTGAGAGTATTAGCAGTGTTCGGCGGTTCAATGCTGAACTTGGCGCAGAGGGGTTGAACGGCCGCTTGCCCAACCAGGATCTGATGAACGCGGTCTCTCTCATCACTCGTCATACGGGTGGAGTCCCCGCCCTTGTGTATGATCATAAAGATAAAGACCCGAAGGATATGGGAGATGCCAATGCTCTTCTTCCCTCATGGCTCCCTGGCGCCATCAAGGAGAATTCTGATGTACGGGAGTACGCAACCAGAGCAAGGAATGTCATACGTCACATGAAATGGCAAGCGCGAGGCTCCGCGAGTGGAGTTCATGGACTTTTCCATCAGTATGTCCTGTAGGACTGGGACCACGTCAAGGGAATTCGCTCATGTCATATTCAGATTCCGCATCGATGCTATTACTGTATTCGCTATTCCGGCACCTGGGCCGCATGGATTCCATGCACTAGGAAGGTGTGTCTCACGAATGCTCTGTTTTGCGGATCATAACTATCTCTTAGAATCCTTGAGTCATCTCTTCGCACCATGAACAACCTTCTGGAACGTCTGCATGCATCCTTCTTCTTCTTCCTCTACGTCAACTCTGGTACCTTCATGAAAATTGGGATGTACCTCCCGAGCGCTGTGCTGGTCGGCACAGCAATGCTGTTCACGGGTCTTAGGACCTGGGTCTATGCAGGGTGGAAGATCGCCCCCTCTACGGAATTCAACGACGAGAAGAAGACCTCCACGCAGGACAATGTCAAGTGGAACATCCGGTCAAGGCCTGTTCTATCAGCGGTGACTGTCATGCTCACTACGCACCTATTCGGTGTGGTCCTCTTCTACTTGGTCAGCAATGGGCTAGTGAGTGTCATCAACCACGAACAGTCGACCGTGTTCATGCCGCTGACGTTCCCTCAGGCACCCAATATCGTGCTATTTGTGTTGTCTTCAACCATACCCACCGTTGCTCTCCAGCTCGTACCTCGACCACCAGCAGAATATGCGCCGCTATGGATTGTGTTGAAGGCATTCAACGTTTGCTTGACCTCGGCCGTTATCTCCATCACTTCCCTCCTCAACTTCTCTCTCGCCGCTACCCTTGCGGTCCTCATGGGCATACCCATGTCAACAACACATCCTTTGCCTTCTTTGCCCCTCCGCATCGCCCGTTACGCTTTACACACCGTCCTTGCACTTGGGTGGTTGGTCTTCTTCCCAGAAGAGACTGCTAGTGCGTTGCGAAACTGGGACTTGCTCAGAGTATGGTTCGCGCCGTTCGTTTGCATCGTGTATGCACCACTAGTACTGCAGTCTGCTCTAGTTTGTTTGCTGCCTCCATGATAGGGACGTTTGAGGCCATGTATTGACCAGTATATCAGGATATAATATCTGCTATCGATACAACGAAGCGACAGGAGAGCAGCGCGACAACAGTGGTGATACATTGTGTGAGTGACATAAGCGATGGGGTCTAGCCGATTTGCATAGGGTCCGGGTCATCTCCAAAGAGAGCATCCTCACCGTCGTCGTCTTCTCCATCGTCCCCGTTGCCGTTGGCGGCGGTCTCTGCACCCCCACCTTCCCGCTTCAACCGGACTTTCTCTTTCAGCTCGTCGCGTTGCGCCATCTTCGTGTCTAGGTCCGCTTGCAGCTTCTTCAGAGCATCCTCGAAGCGACGCTAGGACACAACATCATCATGAAACAATGACAATCCTTGCAGAATTTGAGACGCACCTTGATCAGCGGGTTGGCCGAGCTCCCGACCTCATGACGCTTCTTGTTCACAGCGGCCTCCAGATCCCGAATCTCTTCGTTGAGAAGCTTGCGCATCTGTGCCGTCTCGTCGTCGTCGTCGTCGCTGTCGTCGTCGTCATCGCTGTCGTCATCGTCATCTTCGTCTTCTTCTTCGTCGTCGTCAGCCTCTCCGCCTCCTTCCAATGCTAAGTCGAGCTCGGCGGCAAGTTCCTCGTCGATGTCACCCTCTGCCTCTTCATCGTCGTCTTTCAGAGCACCCCCAGCGATATGCATATCATCGTCATCGTCATCCCCTTCTGCAGGGGTCGCGGGGGTTGGTGCGTCGAAGGCACCAGGTGTAGGGGCGTCGAGTGCGGTTTCTCCGTATTCGATGAACTCAGAGTCGGAGAGATCTGGGTTTACGTTCTCGAGAATGGCATATTTGACTTCGTCCGCAAGGGCGTCGGCTTCCAGCAGCCGTTCAACTTCTTGTTCTACGGTCTCAATAGTCTAGAAATGGGAGTGGGTGAGTGGACCAGAGATGTGAGTGGGATAACTGGCTCACCCGGCGGTTTGCACGCTTCCGGAAACGGCGTTTGCGAACGTGTTTGAGGGGAGGAGTGATGCCATGTGGCCAAATGAACTCGTCAACGTTAAAACTACTCCGGTTCTGTGTGCCGTCTTCGTTCTGCCTCGGCTCAACAACGAGCATCTGAAGAGTTTTACGTATAAGATGAGGTGAAGATCGTACAGGGGGTACGAGCCAACGGACCTGGCATATATCAGCTACTTTGAACATTTGCTTATTATCTAAGGTCTTTTGGGACTCGAGGACACATGGAAGGTCAACCAGCTTGGCTGGATATGTGGTATTTCCTATGTGAAACACGGCTCTTCGTGAGTCTAGCGTGTGTAGACTCAATTGAGTACATAGACATATCGCAAGACATAGGGGACTCACCCTTGAACTTAAACCAAACATCCTCGCTAATCTCTCTCGTCTGCACCATCTTCTTCAGCTTCTCGCAATCGTCTCCAGGCGGCATGCGGAGGATGAGCTGCTCCTCAAATACGAGGTCTTCGTCGTCAGAGTCGAGCTCTCGGTCATATGCTCCTAGGAAGGACATTCCAGGAGCTTGGGCCGCTGCCTTGTCGCTGAGCTTGAGCTTGAGCTTCGGCTGGACCTTTGGACCTCTGTGCGTAGATCTCGTTGTGCGGCCTTCAGAGGGTTCTACGTAAGGAGGAGTGCTCTGTCTCCGTGTTGCCCTTGATGCACGGACGGGGAGAGTGCGCTGAGGTGCATGGGAAGCGGATGCCCGGTGAGAGGGCTGGAAGGCGTCATTGTCGTCAAGATCGTCCACAATGTTCACATCTTCGTCTACGTCGGTCATCGCGATGGTGTGGAAGAGGTTAAGCGTAAGCTATGGGCACAGCAAGTAATGGCAGGACGTCGAAGGACTCAGAGCGCTGCCGCCCGCAGGCAGCGTGACTGAGGAGCGTGACGACCGAGGAGTGCAGACGTGACTGGACGCGTCGGCGAGAGGCTGAGGCTCGGATCGAGCGGACGCGCGTGAAGTCCTGAGCGTCGTCACTGGTCACCAGTCGTCCTGCACGCCATGCCAGCTTCTACTGCCCATTCCACGCTGCACATTTGGCCCCCGTACGGCGACCTTCTCTCTATCGACATCTCGTCCGTTGCTGCCCTCCTCTACCTCCAGCTCACCATCCCGGGCTCCTTCTCCGTAGTTCACTGCGCAAACCCCGACGTCTCGCCAACAGGTGCGACTCTTTACACATTGGGTATGCGTGTACATGCTCATGTCAGCTATGCAGGTCAACTACCTTTCCTCACCCATGGTCTACATCAAGCTTCAGGCTTCTCGTCCATCGCTGCCTTTGTCAGAAATCTGCCCCATGCGCGTCACCTTGATACCCATCTCACCAGTGTGGAAGCTGCTCAAATAACAGCACGCGTCGCTCATATCGAGTCGGACTACGGAGACCTAGTGGTATGTTTCTGTGCCTCGATTTCCGCGATTGCTTCGTCATCTTCTATCAGAATCATATGCTGTACTCGCTTCAAGAGAACTGGGCTGCCGTCACTGGCCCTGCTCTTGTGTCTATGCTCCCTCTTCCTCAAAGGTATTACGTGCCGTCCCGCGTTCGTCTCTCGCATCAAGCGCGACTAGAGACTGTAGAGCTATGGCACGTACCCGAAGTGGAGGAGGATGAAGACGAGCCCCGGAAGGTTTTTGGACGTAGGAAAAAAGTTCGTCCAGCGACCGAGCCTCAGAGGTTTAAGGCCATGATGGAACGAGAGAAGGTGTGTATGCTTTGCGTGCCGCTCGTTTTGTTTCCTTACATGCGGTCCTCAGGTTGTGGAGAAGACGTGTGCCGTCCTCGAGGTCTACGACAGGTTACTCGGCCGGCATGCATTCTTCATGGGCAGTGATTCGTGCGTACTCCGAACGAATCGTTATTCGTCTGTCCATTGACCGAAGTCCTTCAGACCGACGACGCTTGACATTGCCTTCGCTGCGCACTCACATATGCTGCTGAACGCCAGATATCCTGACCCTCTTGTCACTGATGTCCTGACTGAGAAGCACCCTCGTCTAGTCGCGCACTGCAACAGAGTCATCGAAACGGCGTCGACAAATTTCGTGCCCCAGGTTATTGAACAACGCTGGACTTCGTCTTTGTGGTATCTGTTCCCGTCACCGCGCATGCCAGCAAGGCGTCGCGCGCCGTCAGTTTCAGTTGAGGCCCAGAAGGAAGACTGGCGTTACAAACTATGGCGTTGGGGGTTCATGGGAACATCTGTCCTTGTCGCTGCGGTATACGTAACATCTGTCTTTCAGGTGAGGTTAATATCTGCCGGGGACGTCACTGGCAGGGAGGACGTCGATGAGCTGGAGGAGGTAGAGGCTGCTGTGGACGAGGATTGAGAGTAGCAAATGTAGAAATGGCCTCTTGGGCACCCCAATTAATCACTTTCGAGCGTTGTGCGTCCACTCTTTGCTCTCTGATGAAATTACGCTCACGTGAGTAATGACGTATGTGCCCGACGCGTGCTACGTATCGCGCGATCGGATCTACGGCGGAGGTTCCGGGCGGGGGGCACTCGCGGGAGCTCGCTGTCTCCCCTTCCCTCTTCTCCTCCGCTCACCACCACACTCTCCCTCCCATGACCCCCGTACGGCTACGGCATCCCAAGGGGGTAACAACCATTCAGGTTGACTTCCCCGTCAACACTGTCCTCGACCTCCAGCAGCAGATCTTCGCTGCCACAGAGATTCCTCCGTCTCAGCAAGATCGTACGTATGTCGATCTCTCGTGTTCCGTTCGTGCACTCACGATAACATTTGCAACTGCAGTAAAAGCCGGCTACCCCCCTCGTCCATTGACCCTCATTCCAGAACTCCCAGTCGACAGTTTAGGCATCCAGAATGGCGAACCCCTGGTGGTCACCCAGAGGCCGACTGCTGCGAGCTCCGCCACAGTTGCGAGACAGTCCCCCTTCCCTGCCCCCAGCCCTGTCGCCGCCATGACGGGCCTGACGGCCTCGCGGGTGCGGGAGTCTCCACCGATGATCGCAAGTTCACCGCCTGGGAAGGGCCCGGACTATGTGTTGACAAGCAACGGGTACTTGATTCACCGAGTACGTACTTCCGCCGGCTTGGGATGGGAGAGTCTGAAGGGGACCCACTGGGCTCCGGCGCGCATACAGATTGTTCCCGACGACAATTCGTGCCTTTTTTCCTCGGTGGCGCTCATCTTCGAGCAAGACATCCGTAAGGCGCAGAACATACGCCAGTGTCAGTTTTTCACTCCGCTGTCTGTCTGGCGCTCTCCTTTAATTGTGTCTATTCAAGTCGTTGCCGATGCTATTCAGAAAGACCCAGTAAAATGGAACGAAGCTATTCTGGGGTACGTATACAGTCCACAATCCCTGCCTGGTTCTCCACACCGAGATGGTGCTTATTCTCCACCGCGCTGTCCAGTCGCTCGCGTGAGGAGTACATCCGGACGATTCTCAAGCCAACAGCGTGGGGTGGCGCCATCGAACTCTCCATCCTCGCACAACACTACAGCACTGAGATAGCGTCCATAGACGTGGAAACGGGACGAGTTGACCACTTCACGCCGCCACCCGAGACAGACTCTGGAAGCCGCGCCATTGTGATCTACTCAGGTATTCACTACGACGCGACGAGCATCGCGCCGATGCTGGACGCGCCGGAGGATTTCCACCAGACCATTATGAGCAGAGGAACGAAGCCTGGTGGCGCGGACGAGGACGACGAGATGCTGCAGGCGGGAAAGAAACTCGCGGACGCATTGCGAGCGAAGAAAGCATTCACTAATACTGCAACGTTCGACCTGAAGTGTCAGGTACGTCTGTTAATTGTATGCACATATGTTGACAGATTCCGACTTGTACCTGTTCAACCAGAGGTGTGGCAAGGGCTTGAAAGGAGAGAAGGAAGCACGGGCACATGCGTCGGAGACCGGGCATGTGGAGTTTGGAGAGTACTAGATTCTTTGACTGCTGACAGAAGGGTTTCAATATGGCAAATACCCGTCTCGTTCCTGGGGATATCGCGGAAGTCGGTGCGGATCATGTTGTGGCACTTTTATCCCTGTACTGCCTCCTGTGCTATACCTGTACTACCCCTTGTGCGATCGCCGAATGGATAGATTTCAATTTCAGCCAAACATCGTCGAGGTCGTTCGCGACACGATATTGCGATTACGTCACACAACGCGTCTGTGGCGCCAAAACCGCGTCCTGCCAACGACGCGCATGTTGACCGCAACCACGCCCCCTCACCTCTCCTCACCGCCTCCATCGGTCGCGTCGTCATTGCCATCTCAACGTCCTTTCTCAAGGTTCGTTCGTGTCAATCGAATCAGTTCGCAGTCCCGAATCGTCGTTCACACTGCTGTCCCGGCACAGTCGTCCTCTCCACGGCTCCTCGGCCGTGTCCTACCAGTAGCGGCAGCCCCGGTTTCGCGCGCGCACGTCCGTCACTGTCAGAGTTCATCGCCGTCGCCGTCGACTCTGTCGCACCCGGGACGATCCATCTCTTGTTGCGCGCCCTGCTCGCTTGCGGGCGCTCTCCGGAACCCGTCGGACGCACGGTCAAGGACTCACGCGCCCTCGCCGCGAACGCTCGCGACCATCGCACGCTCTGCCTCATCATTGAACACGCCCGCCGCATCGCCGAACACGATGCCACCGAAGCGCGCTGCTGCGACGAAGCGCAAGGCGGAACCCTCGTCCGACGGGGACGACGCGTCGGCTTCCGCGTCGGCGCCGGAGTCGGGGTCGGACGGGCCCGCGCCGAAGAAGCAAAAGACCGCCGCGAGGGGGAAGACGAGCCAGGGCGCGAGGAGCAAAGCGAAGCAGGCGGCGGAGGAGGATGAGGGTGGAGATGAAGATGGCAATGACGACGCGCCCCAACGATCCGCGGGCAAGGCAAGCGCAAAGTCCAAGCGCAAGGGCAAGACGGGCGCCGTGCTCAACGGCGACGCGGACGGCTCGAACGCGCAGCCGACGAACAAGACGATCCCGGACGCGCTGGCGTTCGCGCCGAAGGCCGCCTCGGGCGTGCTTCGCATCGCAGCGTGGAACATATGTGGCCTCGCGGCCGCACAGAAAAAGGTGCGTGCGCGCACGCCGCGATCGCTCCCGCGGGTGGTCCGCTCGCGTCGTCTCGACGCTGCGAGCTTGGGAGCAGGAACTGACGTGCGTTTCGGACATCGACAGGGCTTCGGGACGTATGTGGGCGCAGAAGACGCGGACGTGCTCGTCCTCACGGAAACCAAGGTGTGTCTGTGCTCCGCTCCATCATGTATCCCTCGGGTCGTGCATCAGTCTTGCGAAACCCCCAAACGGCCTGTGGCTCCAAGCTTGACGCCGCACATCCTGGGTCACACTGGAGTGTGGATGCTATTGCTCATCGCCCTCGCGGGCCCTTGTGGCTCTGATGTGCTTCGATCTTTGGTGGCTCAGATCGCGGGGCGCATGCATATTCAGATCGAGCATTCACTCACTCGAATCGCAGGTGAATGACCCTTCAGTGGACCCCGCCTTGAAGGCGCGATACCCGCACCAATATTGGTCGATCTCGAGCAAGAAGACATACTGTAAGCGACCCCCGAAAGCCTCACGCGCGCTTGCTGACACGTCCCGGTTGACCTCCCCTCGAACTGGAAACGCCACCGCCGTAGCGGGCACCGCCATCCTGTCCAAGATCGAGCCCCTCTCCGTCGACTACACACTCCCGGGCCACCCGGACCCGTCCTCCGTGAAAGGCCGGATTGTCACGCTCGAGTTTGAGACTTGCTACCTCGTCGGTACCTATGTCGTCAATGCCGGGGTCGGGCTCAAGGTACGTGGACGTCGTGATTGCGCTTTCTTGTTCGAGAAGCAGCATTACTGGAGAGTTGTGCGCAGGTTTTTTGGTTGGCTTGGACCTGCGCCCAGCCTGAGTACATTCGAACTAAAATGGTTGTCTGGGGACGGTCGCGACGGTGTGTCTCGCTGCGTAGAGCCATGGGCACAGCCCGGGCGCGTTCTTGCTACCACCGCCGCCACCACCACCGTCTGCGCTGATGTTTGTTATCTCCACGACGAGGCTATTGTGCGCTTGAGACTTGGAAACATTTCTCTTGGAGCCGTCGAGCAGAATCTTGTCCCCCGTCTTTGTGGCATGGTTGCGGGGCAGCGGATGTACGAACGGTCTTTCATCCTTGTCTTCTTTCGCCTGCGATCTGTTGTTTTCACACTGATACCGACCCGCCGGTGGGGCTCCGACAGACGCTCGACGCGAAGAAAGTGTGGAACACACACTTTGAGACGTACATCCGCGCTCTGGACGCGAAGAAGGCGGTGATCTGGACGGGCGATCTCAACGTCGCGCCCACGGAGCTCGGTGAGTGTTCGATTGCGCGGACGGGGGTCTTCCAGGGTGAGGCTTTACGTGCGTGTGGGGCAGCGCTCGTGAGATAGGGAGGGCATCGCGCGGCCGCGGCGCAGCAGCGACGCTCCCCGAGACCCCAAGCTCCGAGCTTCCGTACACGCCGGGCCACCTCGCGCGTCCGGGACGTGCGCAGCGGAGTCGGAATGAATCCTATTGCCAGAAGTTGCTTGGCGTGCGCAGGTGGAACTAGGCCCCCCTCAGCGCTCGTGCGCAGTCGACTAGCATTCACGTGTTCCGTCCCCGCAGACCTCGCGAACCCGAAGACGAACTGGAACAAGACGCCGGGGTACACCGAAGCGGAGACGAGGGCGTACGGGCGCGTGCTGAACGCGCCCGAGAGCGACGCGCACGACGCTAGCGCGCCGCGCTTCGTCGACGTTTGGCGGGCGCGGCACCCCGGGCGGCGGCACTACACGTACTTCTCGTACCGGTTCAGCTGCAGGGAGAAGGGGCTCGGGTGGCGATTGGACATGTGTGCGTGCCCTTTTTTTCCGTCCTTTTTAAATTCTCGCAGGCGGGGTGCTTCACGCAAGCGCCCGTTGTGGTGTGGGTCCGTGTGTCGCGCGGGACGGTTGCTGACGTCTGTTTTGCCGCAGTTGTCGTGAGCGACCGTTTGATGAAGCGCGTGAAGGCGTGCTCGATACGCAGCGAGGTGTACGGGGCGTCGGACCACTGTCCGATTATGCTCGAGGTCACCGGACCGCTGTAGGCTGCGGTGAGATCGACGGGGTGAGGCAGCGGGCTTGGCTAGCCGGCGGAAGGTGGCGAAAGGACGGAGGACGGAGGACGTTTGGCGATAACGATGCTCTGGGCTAGGATACAGTCTGATACAGTGCACCGAGGACTTTGCGCAGTTGACCGAGTCTGGTGCGGGTGTTGCTGCAATGACGTCGCGGCGGTCGTGTGCGCGACGACCGGAGTGTGGTGCTCAACAATCGCTGATGCTGGTGTCGGCTGGGAACGCAGACATGGTAGGACATGGTTGGGCAGCACAGGACGCCACCAGACGCACCGCGGCAACGGACGGGTGGTGCGGATGGGGGGCTGATGCAGATGATAACCATGCGCGATGGGCCGTACGTGGACGATCGCGGGGGGAAGGACGGCGGAGGGGGACGGTTACAGGGTCGGTGTGGTCGTGCGGGCTCGTTCGCGGGTTCGCGGGTGGAGCGTCGGAGGCAGTGGCCGCTGCGGGCGCGGGCGGGGGACCCCGTACGTCAGGCCCCGTCGGCTCGCGGGGTGTCGCGCGCCTGGGGGCAATCAACGCGTGGCCGGATCGGGCGATCGTGATGGGAGGGAGTGCGGCTGGCGGCTCTTCCCACGGGCGGGGAGCGGGGCGGTCAAAAGCGGTGGGCGGCCAGCCTCGGCGCCCTCGCTCCCTGCTCGCGCCCCGCCCCAGCTGCAGTGCACGCTGGTCTCGCTCAAATACCCGGCCCCGCCCTGCACAGATACCATAGAGTCCCGGTCCGTATCTATGTCCCCCCGCAAGGACTACGCCGTCCTCCCCCAGCACGTCCTCGACGTCGCTGCCCCTCCCCCGAGACTCCGTTCGCCAAGAGCAGTCGGATGCCCCCCAGGACGCCCCCGCCGTCCCCTCCATCTTCGGCCTCCCGCTCAAATACGTCTCGTGAGTCCCCGCCCGTCGTGCCCTCCCCCGCCCCCGCTCATCGCCCGCTCGCCCCAGTCTCGTGACGTTGGCCGTCCAGAATGCCCTCCTCGCCCTCATCATGCACTACTCGCGCGTCTCCACCGCGCCCCAGCACACGTACTCCGCCGCGTCCGCAGTCCTCCTCACCGAGCTCCTCAAGGGCTTCATCTCCCTCACCGTCGCCTTCGTCCGTCTCGACTACTGCTCCCCCGCGGGTGTCTCCACCGGCTCCGTCTGGAACCCGAGAGTGCTCTTCTACCGCTTCCGCAGGCTCGGCAAGGAGGTCTTCCGCCCCGACTGCTGGAAGCTCTCCATCCCCGCTATCCTATACGTCATCCAAAATAATCTCCAGTTCGTCGCCGTCTCCAACCTCGACGCCGCCACCTTCCAAGTCAGCTACCAGATGAAGATCCTCACCACCGCCGCTTTTTCCGTCCTCCTCCTTCGCAAAAAGCTCTCCCCCACCAAGTGGTTTGCCCTCCTCTGCCTCGCCATTGGGTCGGGATTGTCCAGATCCAGACCGGCTCTTCCTCCGGTCATTCGTCCTCGGTGAACGGTCACGAGATGAGCGCGTTCAAGGGCTTCATGGCTGTCGTCATGGCCTGTTCACCTCCGGCTCGCGGGAGTCTACTTCGAGATGGTGCTCAAGAACTCGCAAACGGACCTCTGGGTACGCAACGTCCAGCTCTCCCTCTTCTCCCTCCTCCCCGCCATCGTCCCCATCGTCTTCTCCAACGCTGCCCCCAACGGCCCTACCATCGGTTGGCTCGAGCGCCTCTTCGCCAACTTCGGCGTCTGGGCCTGGGCCACCGTGCTCATCCAGGTCCTCGGAGGTCTCCTCACCGCGCTCGTCATCAAGTACGCGGACAACATCCTCAAGGGCTTCGCGACCAGCCTGTCGATCGTCATCTCCTTCCTCGCGTCCGTGGCGCTCTTCAACCTGCAGATGACCGTCACCTTCGTCCTCGGCTCCACCGTCGTCCTCGTCGCCACGTGGATGTACAACCAGCCCGACGCGCCGCAGGGGGACAGCTTCTGCTCGAAGGAGTCGCACTCGTGGGGATGGAGGTGGCGCCGTGCGAAGCCGGCGACTTCTGCCCTTGAGCTGGCGGGTGGAGCGGTCGCGATCTCCCGTCGCCCCTCGACGTCTTCGCTCGCGTCTCTCGACCGCGCCCCGGCCTCGGGCCAGTCGCGTTCGTACCCCGGTTCCCCGGTGGAGCGCGAGATGCCGTCACCGTTCTTCCCGTCGCAGCTCCTGGAGAAGAACCTGCTGGGCAGCCTGAAGCGCAAGGAGGACGACCCCGCCCACTCTTCCCCGTCCCGCGCCAGGCCAGCCGTGCCGCGTCGCGTCTTGCGCACTACTTCAACCGCCCTGGCTCGGGCACGTTCGTCATCCCCGATCCCGCCACGTCCTTCAACGCGTCGTCGTCATCAACGCCGCTGATAACGTTCGCGTCGTCGTCACCGTCGACCCGTCCGCCGAGCTCACTGTCGTCGTGCGCGTCGTCACGGCCGGCGAGTGCGATGGGCAGCTCGACATCAACGCTCGCTGAGCAAGAGCACCATCCATGACATACCCGCTGACGCCACGGCCTCTTCTGCGGCTCGGGACCCAGTGCTACGAACACGCCTCACGCCACCTTATTTCCTGGCGGGCACGATGACTATATGGAAGAAGACGCAACGCGATATTGGAAAACGTGCATTTCATGACGGCGCTCGAGGACGACGAGGGGAAGCAGGAGCAGAAGGGCAGGTTTGATTCGCGTTCGCCGCTGCATTCGCCATTCGCATTTCACCCATCCAGGTACCGACCCCATCATCTCAAGGACCTATTTGAGCATCGTACTGGACCCTCTATATTATTATATCTAGCATTTCCTTTCCCCACGAACTTTACTTGTCTCGCCCACACTACCGCCCACCCGCCCCCTCCCCACCTAGCATACACCACCTTAAACTAGACCTGCCCCGGCCCCCGAACGTTTGCTCCCCGTCCTGCCGCGCGTGTTCTGCCGTTACACCGTATCCGGTAATCACATCACGCTGCACATGCCCCGCATTCTCTCTCACCCGTCCGCCTGTGACGCCATCCCGAAGTGTTGGGGGGCAGACCATTCGAACACGCCGCGCCCTCGGTCCCGCGTGTGGGAGCGTGGGTGGCGCGCCCGTCCGCGTTCTCGCGCGCACATACTGCCCTATGTCCGCCGCGTGCGAGCCACGCCTGCCTGACGCAGAGCACGGACGTTCAACTGCACCCGCGTCCGGTTCGCGGTGGCCACAGCACCAGTGGACCGCACAGGAGGCCCCGACGTTCGTCTCGAGCAACTTGCACTGGCAAGCGTCCTGCGCATTCGCCATCGCGCTGCGCAGGGTGCGCAGCCCACACCGGCGGGTCCAGACGGGGGCTCGCTCGAGGGCCTGTGCCCTGGCCACGTTTCTGTTCGGACCCTCGCGCGTTCTGATCCCGAGGGAGCGGGAGGGCTCAGCCGCATTGAACGTTTGAACGCTCGAGCCCCTGCCTCTCCACCTGCACGGTTCTCCCGTCTCCCCCCCCCCCGCGGTTCGGCGGACTCGCGGCCGCGGCAGACCACGGATCGTCCATAGAGCCGGCAGAGGTCTGACCCTCGACCCGCGACCCGCGACCCTCGAGTCCTCGCCCGCTCGAGCCCCACCGCGCGCGCATCAGAACCGGCGCGCGGACGCGTCAGAAGCAAGGTTGGGACGGGACGTACGGGAGTGAGGCCTGAGGGCGTGCAGTATCAGTCCTTCCGCCGGCGAGCTGGAAAAGATGAGCGACGTCGCGGGCACGCGCGCGGCGCTGCGGACCTCCCAGCCGCGCCCACGCCGCATCACCCGGGTCCGTGATGTCGAGATTCCGCTCGCGTGCGGCGGCGGCGGCGGCGGCGGCGGCGGCGGGGTGCGTGTGTTTCGCGTGCTCTATGTACTTGTAAGAGCTCGCGCGGCGGGCCACCGAATGTTCAGCGCACCAGCAATCGCTCCCCGCGGTCGGCTCAAAGTTTGCTTTAAACGCTGCGGACTTGTGAGTTCCCTGGGCGGCCTCGCGCCTATCGGTGGCCTGGAAGCGGTGACATCAAGCCTTAATCGCGAGCGACCGGGCAGCTGACCGGAACGATCATCCACCGCTTAACGCTGATCGTGAGGCACGTCAAATGGTGGGCGCAGAGCGGTGCAGGCAATGAGCTTGCAGACACTGGCAAGCTTGCAGCGATGCAGTGATAAGAGGGCGAAATGTGCGTATCCTGGGGCTAGATTGTCCGGCGGACCCTGATGGTACGAATGAGCAGTATAGTACAGAGGAGTAGGCGGGCGGTGGTACATCATGTACAGAGCTGAGTGCTGCGGGACGACAAGGGAAGGGAACGAGAGCGCGATAGTCGTACATACATAAACTCCAAAGCATAGTTCTCGCAGTTTTCGGCTGCGGCCTGTCAATATCCATTTCCAACGATCCAGGCGAATCCGTATCCATGTCCTTGGCAGGCTTCTAGGACGAGTTCCCTGGCCCGGCGACGACGTCGGACACGTGTTGCCTCCACCCTTTACTGAGAGATCCGTGCTTCGAGGCCTCGCTTGATGGCTGCATGGATGAATGAAGGAACAGAAAGTCTCAGCTTCCCCGACTAGAAGTAAAGGGAGACGCGAAAGCTCCCCCACACGGAGGCGAGCGATACACCGCATAAAGCCCGAACATGATGAACACGTACCCTCGCAAGTCTCGCGTGCGTCCCCAAAGAGCATTTTCGTGCCGGGCATGAAGAACATCGGGTTCGGGACGTCGGCTGAGAGATGCCCGATGGGCACATTATTGAATAGGTCAGCGCTCCTCGTGAGAAGCACGAGAGAGAAAGATTTAAACGCACCATAGCCTCCAGACATTCCGCGTTTCATGACGATGACTTGTTTGCTCTTCCAAGCGTGAAGGACAGGCATTCCCGCGATCGGCGACCCAGGCTCCAGGGCGACGGGGTTTACAGTGTCGTTCGCACCAATGACGAGCGTCACATCTGTCTCCGCAAAGTCGTCGTTGATTTCCTCAAGCCCGAAGACGACTGGAAAGAGCGACATCAGAATCGTGAGCTCTCCGGTGACATTCGGCGCGGGCGGGAAGCCATGCAGAAACTCACTGTCGTACGGCAATCCAGTCTCCGCAAGGAGCACGTTGCACTGACCCGGCATCCTAGAAATAAGCCAAATCATATTAGAACACCAAAATACAACCATAGCGGAGCGTTGACCGGACCTTCCGGCGACGGGGTGTATGGCAAAGCGAACTTTGATACCCTTGCTCTTGAGCATGTTCACAACGTCTGCAATTGCATATTGGGCCTTTGCGACTGCCATGCCATATCCTACGACCTGAAGAAACCGCAGTCAGATAGAAGCTGTGGAGTGGAGCAGTGCCAGAACAATGGCGACGACATACGAAAATAACGTTCTCTGAGTTGAGCAAGCTGTCAATCGCATCATCCACCGTTGCTTTCGTGATCGTCCCCTCGATTTGCTGCGCTTCTGCCACCGGCGCGCTGATTCCGCCAAACAGGACGTTTGTCAGGGTCCGGTTCATGGCAACGCACTGATGTCTGGCGTGAGTCATAGCAAGTGTGGACGGCTACTGCATCCATACCATGATGTACGACAGGATGGAACCGCTGACCCCGATCAGTGATCCGACGGTTGTGAGCAAGGGATTGTCTAGCATGAAGCCTGTGCGTCGTACAGAGGTCAATGGAAGCGTTAGCGACGACGAAATGGGCACTGGCTTACCCTCGGCCACCAGCGCAAAGCCCGAGTAAGCGTTGAGCACCGTGATAACAACCGCTGTGAGATATGCAGTCAGGATATGCAATTATGGATGCGCATATGCTAGCTTACGCATGTCTGCACCACCAATGGCCGCGGTAGTCGTTACGCCCTTGATGAAACTGAGAATGGCGTTCGCACCCAGGAAGCCAGCCGCAACCAGTGGAGCGGAGGGCGCCATTGTCACGAATGCGCCCATCGTTGCGATGTTCGTCGCAAGCAGGGAAGAGTTGACCAAGTGCTTGGCGGGAATGTAGAGCGGACGCGAGGACATACGGCCGGCAAGTTTGAGGAATGCAACGACGGAGCCGGTGAAGGTGATCCCGCCTACACGTTCAATGTTAGAACAGGCCTCTTGTGAGAAAAAAGCGTCAAACCAATGAGAACTCCGAGGTACGCAGTAACCAAGTGCAACGTGGAGGCGTGACCGAGGTCGGCGAGTACACTTGCGATGCTGGTCATGACGGCGGCGAGACCGACTACGGAGTGAAGTGCAGCCACCATCTCTGGAAGCTCGATGGCAGTGATACGACGTCCAATGACGGTGCCGAACGTGCCCCCAAGTGCAGCCATAATGCCGAATTGCGCAAGGACTTCGGGTGGGAAGCCAACAGCAGCGAGGGAGGCTAGAATACCGGAACCCACACCGAGCATTCCGAGAACGTTTCCTTGCCTCGCCGTGGCCTGCGAAGCGAGACCGGAGATGGAGCCTGCAAAGATACATAGTAAGCATTTACACTAGGAAGCTGCGAAGGATTGGACGTACTGATGCAAAGAACACTGCTAGCAAGGTAGCCGGCTTGGACAATACCCGCCATGCCGGTGCTCGCCGCCCAAAGGAAGCCTCCGGTGTAGGCCGCTGCAGGGATACTGTAAAGCCAAGCATATTCCGGAGGATCAGTGTTACCTGAAAGGTAACGCGTTAGTTGTGAACTGCTATGTCAGCGGACGAATAACTTACGCTTGAACATATCCAGCATGCGTTTAGTGATCACGAAACCGCCAGCGACGTTCACACTCGCTAGCAGGACTGACGCAGCACCGAGAGCCTGTGGAATCGTGTGTGGAAGGTAGCCACCGCCCATGACGAACAGGCCTCCAATACCCACCATCCCTGCAAAGCGTCGTTGTCAGTGGGATTCGGCCGTATAGAGAGTGGGGCTCTTACCGGAGATGGCGTTCGTCACGGACATGAGTGGCGAATGCAGGGCGTGTGAGACACCCCAGACGACACGGTAACCGATCAACCCGGCGAGACCAAAGGTGAAGAAGTTGGCCATGAACACCGGACCTGCCAGCTTTCCGAGCGCAACAACACCACCCATGCCAGATGTCACAAGAGCAACTTCACGTGTTGCCTTTTGCCAGGGAGTCAAAGCCTTAGACTCAATTACTTCGGCGGCTTGAGTGGCGCTCGGAGCAGCAACAGGCGGTGGGGCAGGACGAGGAGCAGGAGGAAGGAGGTTGCCGTTGTGCACGACGATTGCGCCACGGACGACTTCGTCCTCGAGGTTGACATTGAACCGGTTGTCTGTACCAATAGAAAGCAAGAACTTGGTGACGTTGTTCGAGTAGAGGGTTGACGATTGAGTGGGTAGACGCGAGGGCAGGTCAGTGTAACCTGCCAACGTACCCATTGTCAGTAGGAGTATCGGGAGGATGGCGCGCGCTGCCACTGACCAATGACAGTGACACCCTTGTGAACGCTAAGTTCGCCAGGCTTCGTCACCGCACAGTTTCCACCGGTTTCCGCGGCGAGGTCCACAATTACTGAGCCCTGTTTCATGGCAGAGACCATCTGCAACCAAGCATTCCATTCAGCGCACGCACCATACACCAATGGGCACAACACTTGCCTCCTCAGTGATGAGCCTGGGTGCAGGTCGTCCGGGGATGAGAGCCTAATGTGACCGATGAGTATACGCTCCTCATCAGATTGTAAATCTTGCGTACAGTGGTGATCACAATGTCGACTTCCTTGCATTGCTCCATGAAGAGTGCCATCTCAGCTTCGATGAACTCCTTGGACATTTCCTTAGCATATCCGCCTTGTCCGTCACCAGACTCTTCAACCTCAACCGTGAGGAACTCAGCGCCGAGGGATTGAACCTGTTCTTTAGTGGCCGCACGAGTATCGAAACCGCGTACAATAGCACCCATACGGCGAGCCTAGGGAGGAAGCTCAGTTATCCGCAAGTATCACAAGCCTACATGATTGGCCTACCGTGACGATCGCACTCAATCCTGCAACCCCGGCACCAATGACTAGAACTTTGCATGGTGGGACCTAAGGCACACAGCGTCAGTAGCCACAACTGGCGCACGGCTGCATTTCATCACCTTTCTATTAAGACAACACGTGTCAGCGGAGTAACACGAGGTTGGATCGGAGAGAAACGTACCCAGCGGCGGTGACCTGACCAGTGAAATAACGGCCGAAGTGATTAGCAGCTTCTAAAACCGCCTTGTATCCAGCAATGTTCGCCATAGAACTGAACGTGCAGAGGATTAGGATGGTACGTCCATCACCCACGGATTGAATGGAACGCGAACCTCAACGCATCGAAGACCTGGGCGCGGGATATACGAGGTATCATCTCCATGGCGAACGCCGTTGCGCTCCTAGCCGCGAGGGCTTCAACGACCGGCTTGTTCTGATTGGGATACAAGAAGGAGATGAGGGTGCTGCCCCGCTTGACGCTTTCTACTTCCCCGCCCAACGCTGGTGCTCGGACCTTGAGAAGGATGTCCGACTGTTCTAAAAGTTGCGCCTTGTCTACGAGCGTCGCCCCCGCCGCGGTGTAGTGCTCATCTAGGAACTGCGCTTCTAAACCGGCCGAACGCTCTACAAGGACCTGACGGAAGCCCTTCTTGAGGAGCAGGGCAGTGTTCTGGGGCGTGAGGGCGACTCTTCGCTCATTGGGGAACGTTTCACGGGGGACACCGACAACGAGGTCGGAGTAGGGGATTCCTGAGGATAGAAAAAGACAAGGGAGGATAACAAGATGGGTCAGGTTCGATGGGGGGTGAATGGACGAGCGATCGCAGTGGCTGAAAATGTGCGCTCACCTGCTGCTTCGGGGGCGGGTCCGCTTGCGGCGCCCGCAGGCTTGGAATCTGGGCTGCTTGGGGCGTTCCGGTGCGGGAGGGCGGAGTGAAATGAGCGGTAAAAGCACGAAAGCGGCGCTGGAAGAGCACGAGCCCCTCCCGTGAGCTGACTGGAGAAAATGTGGGCGAGCGACGCACACTCACCGAGTCTGAACGCGGTCGTCAGGCGCACACCCCTCGGGCTGATGCTGCCCCTGCAACGAACACTCCACGCGCCGACGAGGAGCCTGTCGAGGGCCATGGCGAAAGGTGACCCAGGAGGGAGGAGGAGAGGGTGGGTGGGCAGCGGAGTGCTCGACGTCGCCTGCGATGGACCGCGAGGTTGCACGCTGTAGGCGATCGATTGGCTGGGAAGAGACGTCACTTGACCGCCGAGGGTACTCCAGACAGCTTCCCGACGCCATTTAAATCGAGCCCGCCGGCGCCGCCCGACTCCCACCGCAGCCCGCGCATCGCAGTCTGGCAGATGACTGGTGCAGCGCAGGCACGCCGTCGCCCTCGGCACCTTCGCGGCCTGTCTGATCCGGAACATTTACCCCGCGTTACCCCACACTCGCGCGCTTTGCACAGGCAACATGTTCAAATAACCTGCACAACGCATCACATCGTCCACGTATATATGATACAGAACGCGCAGTCAAACGCGAACAGCACTGTACATCTTCATGTGTCTACGTCTTGCCAGCGAACTCGCGCTCAAGCTTCACAAGCTCTTGCGTGTGCGGGTGCTCCCAGATCGCCGTCGCGGCCGCCGGCTCGATGGGCGGTAGCGGCCTGCGGCAGTTCCCGCCGTATCCGTACAGTTTCTCCAGAAGGTACTTGGTTCCCGCGATGCCAGTCTTCGCGATCGTAAAGTCCGCGCGAGCGACGATACCCTGCAAACGCTGCGCTTCTGGAAGGAGCGACAGGTCCGACTTCGCCTTCTCCGAAATGTCAAACAGCTTCGCAACCGTGGCCTGGATGCCAGATGTGAGTGCTCCGCGAGCGTGCGGGTACAAAGATGGAAGGAGAGGGCTCACGGGCGCGATGTTGGCGAGACCGGTGATAGCGCCATGTCCGTTGACCATCGAAGACGTCAGGATGAAGTCGGTAAATCCGCCGAGAACGATGAAAGGCGCATCCGCGTTCTGGCGTGGGTGCGCTGACGCGAAAGCAGGCTCGGAGACTGTTGCGCAGATGCGTGTGAGCTTGCCAACGTTTCCGCACCTGCGTCAAGTACGTGAGTTACGTCTCAATAAAGAAACAGACTCAAGACGCACGTGAGCTTTACACCACAGAGGTTCGGGCACTCCTCTGCTAGCTCCGTGATCAAATCAGAATCCAGATCAATTCCACCAGCGGCCCCCGGGTCTATAGCCCGACGGGGCCCGAGTCAGCCAAGTTCAATGGGACGATACAGAGGGACTCACAGTTGTAGATGATGACGGGTATAGGGCTCTTCGCCGAAACCTCCGACCAGAAAGCCTTGAGCGCCTTGCGATTGCTCACAAGCGCACCGGCGAAGTAGCCGGAGCATATGACGATCACGTAGTCGGCCCCCGCGTCTGCCGCCTCTTTCGAGAGCTGGATCGTTTCCCGCGTGCTGCCCGCACCAGACCCCGCGATAATTGGGACCTCGGCAAAACCGGCGTCGTCGAGGGCAACACGGACAGCCTTGATGACGTCGACACGCTCCTCGTGCGAGAGGTGGTGTGCCTCGCCCATGGTGCCGGAAAGCAGAGGCTTCACGCCCGCCTTAATGAGGCGGACGGCATGCGCGGCCATGAGCTGCAAGTCTGTGTGTGCACAGAAGGCCGTAATGAGCTATAGCCATGCATTCAGAGTAAGTTGACCGCTCACCGACATCCTCCGTGTCTGGCTTGAAGAAGGTAGGAAGGGGGGCGTAGATGCCAGGCACGAGCGGACGGGCGACCATGGTGGAGGCGGAGTGAAGGAGCGGAAGCGGTGAAGATGGATGAGGACTGTCGAGATCGAGTCCTTTTGTATATGCGGTGGCGAGCAGGCGTCGGACCGCCCTTCCCGGGGCAACGACAGCTGACCGGGCAGCGGCGGGCCGCCCGACTCGTTATCGACCAACACCTGCGCCTCATCATCGCGATCGAGCACGGCTCTGCCAGGACCATCTCAATAGCCCGCTCTGTCGTCCCGCCCAGCTCACCACGTTCTCGGGTGAACGGCGCGTGCGTTCCCTAGCGCGGTGGCCCAAGGTACGGCTAGGTACAGCTGCGACTGGGACGCGAGCGTGGCCAGACGCACGGACGCCTATATCTCCGGCCAACTCTAGATGACTTCCTAGCCGCCAAGCTCCCCGTCTTCGCTTCGCGACGGTCGCCCTTGACGTAGGGCCCCCGGATGGTCGCTATCTTGCCCTGGAGAAGGTGCGACATTGCACGAGAACACGTCACGCGCTGCACCCCATAAACGCCATGACGGGCTTCATGAGCGGAGGTCGCCGACGGCGGAAAGAGTGGGCAAAGCCTTCGACCCATGTCCGGGCTTTCTGCGACGGATCTGATTGAACTCTACTCTGGGACCGTAACACCAGTTCCTACGCATTGCCGAAAGAAGCCTCGAGGACCAACTCGGAGACCTACAATAGGAAACGACCTGCAAGAATAAATTGTCAACTCAGCGGCCTCTCAGAGTCTCGAGGGCCGGCCGAAGTGGAGTAACACGTCAATCGGAATTATGTGGACACGGAACTTTTCCCCGTTAACTGCGTCCGGCTAGGAAATATCTGGATGACAACGGAAGGGGGCCCACATGCATACATACACCGTGATGTTGACCGACGACTCACCGACGTGTCCTTTAAGCGGAGATCGTGGCGGATCATCCCCCACGATCGCGATACCTCTTTTCGGCGGCATATCGCCTTCATGGTGCATGTGTTGCAATCAAGGCAAGTAGTCTACGCCGTCGACTTGTCAGCGAGGACGGGCGAACCAGAAATGGTACTCACTCAGGACACGATTTCCAATGTGCTCACTACTTCCTTCTCCCATTCCTTGCGACCATCAGCATCCGTCTCCCCTTCATCTTTCAAGGCCTTTTCGAACACTTCCCAGGGAATACAAGGTCGATCATCACTGGCGGATGGTGTAAGAGTGTATCGTCCTTGTCGACAGCGTTGCAATGTTACCACATGGCCAGCGGAGCCGAGCGAATGCGCGAGTTCGTGAACCACAGAGCGAACGTATGTGCCACCCGAGACCCGCATCTGTAGCACAAACGCGGTTGGGACCTGTTCGGTAGCCGTCGCGGCCTCCGCCGACACTTCGGGTTCGTCTTTGACAGAGGTTTCCTGGTTAATGCCTTTGAGAGCGGTCTCCATAGCAGCACGTTCTTCTTCGGTGAACTTTTGCTCTGGCCAGCGGTATGAGTGGTTGCTTCCTGTCCATTCGACTAGTTCGAGGGAGTGAACGGTCACTTTGCGCTTCTCGATCGGACGAGGCAAAGGTATACCGCGACGCGCGTAATCGTACAACGGCTTTCCATCCATTTTCAGTGCGGAGAAGCTTGGAAGGTGGGTTTCAAAACTACGCATATAGCTCTCATGTAATTTGAAAATGAATACGCACATAGGTGGCGTTTGCTCGATGTCTCCTCGGAATTGCTCCAGTGCTTTTTCGACTTGCTCACGCGTAACGTGGTGCCAGGGCGCAGTGCGCACCTGCTTCCCTTCGCTATCGTATGTGTCCGTCTCGCACCCGAGTAGACACGTCGTCCGATATTCCTGGGAAACTCTTGTGTCATTGAGGGGAAATCAGGCTAACAAGTATGTACCTTAATACAGTCTAGGAAGTCGGACAGCTTCTTCGTACCCTTTCCTATTGCAACAACTTTGAGCCTAGTCAACCGACTGGTCTCTTGAGCGCTAAGAAGAAGAAGAAAACAGCATACCGAGGACCCCATCCGCGAGAGGGTCGAGGGTCCCACCCTGCCCAATCTTGACGACCTGGCGACCATGCTTCTTTCCCTTCTTTTGAGACTTGGTGGCTAACTTCGACGCCTCAACAAACAGCGGAGAAGTGCTGACAAGCTCCTTGATATCGTTTACAATCGACATTGAAGTCGGCCCGGATGGCTTTACGACTCCGAAGAGACCGGAAAGAGGTTCGGCGGAGGAGTCCTTGGGCATTTTCGTGCGAAGAGGCGGAAAGAGAGACGGTGGCAAGCTGAAGGTAGACGACTGGGCTATTTGAAGGTGCCTCAGCGGAGAGATGCGAAGTAACCGAGCGAAAGAGGGGAGCATGAGCTGGAACGAACTCCCTGGACGAGCACGGAGACCGAGTCCGTTCCTGGTCCGATGACGCGAGAGCTCGTGAACATCAACCTGCCCTGAACTGCCTACATATGCCCTCGCGCGCTTCGAGACGCCTAGCATCTTTTAACAACTACGCAGACACCTCATTACCACATGTTGGTCCGTCGCCTATGCTCCTCGACGCTCCTTCATCGCTTGGTGTCTCAGAAGAAACCCCACGGTGCACTCTTTGGCCGGCCATCCCCAATTCGCCATGGATTGGACGGTCACCTGGTGTCTCCGACATGCTTCCCCACCTCGAGCTCACTCTCGCTCTCCATGCTGTCGTCGACTAGGTCTTCGCAATATAACTATTCCCTCTCGCACTGCGGTATCTTCCTCGCCATGGCAGAGTACGCATAAGACTGATTGAACGTCTGAACCCACCGTCCAAATAAGACACTTCATAAACACTCCCCTTCGCAACTTAGGGGTTCCGGGTGGTAGGGTGGGGATACGGCGTGTTGGCCATATCGATTAGGCTCGTTGGTACGAGGAGGCCTGGTGCGGGGGATAAGTAGTCGGGTCAGAAGGGTCCTGCGGCGGACTCAGTGAGCCAACGTACATAGTCCTCCAGAGACTGGTGAGCGCGTATGTATAAATGCATGGGAGGTAGGATGCGGTGACGAGAGAGTGCCACCAGATCGACGTGGTTAAGTGACTACGGTTTCGACGCCACTTGTGGGTGACATGTGCATGGAGAGTTGGCACATTCGGAGGAGGGTCCATTTGCGACATGAGTGACACTTCAAAGCCGGCGACGCTTACGCAGAAGGCAGAACGCGGCCATGATGCCGACGCTAACTAAGCCTCCTACGACTCTGACAACTATCGCTGTCAGGTTGTGTGAAGAAGTACTGGGGTCTCCTGAAGTCGTGTTGAGAAAGCTTTTGAGGGGCGCAGCAGTCATGGTCTGCCCTGACGACACTATGAGCTTGCCGTGCTGCCAGTGACTCCTTCACTCGTGGATGTACCCCAATCAGCCGTTGGGACTGTGGTGCTGGTTGTCTCTGATTTGTCCACAAATACGTGAGTGAACCTCCCGAGACTCGTTCCTGACCGGGCTCACCACCAATATCAATTTCTTGGACAGTATCGAAAGCGTCAAGACAGAGACAGTAAATGCATATTTGACTGAATCTGGAGTATCCAGAGAACAAATGCTCACGAAGATAGCCATGTAGTACCCTCAATCAGGAACGCACCTGCTTGCCATGGACACTGGGTGGGGATATGCAGCTGCTATAGGTGTTGTATCCGAATAGGGATAAGTACAAGGTGCGGCGAAGCGTGCTATGCACGCCGTCGTTCATAATTTTTGGATGGCAGCGTATTGTTCTCGCCATCCGTTGTGCTGTTTATTGAATGACCCGAACTGCCCATACTTGGCCGGTCGAATCCTTGACACTAACCAACTAGCAGCGCGTAGGTGACTGAACTGTTTGCACATTCATTCACGTCTGGTGCCGTGGAGACGGAGGTATACCACTCCAGAGTCGATGTGTCGGCCAAAGCGGGCAACATGTATACTGCGAGCCGATCACCTGAGCTTGACATCCTTCCTGAAAGGCACTATGCCTCCGTTGGGTAGACAAGCTCCTACTATGCAGGCGGTTATTAAGGAAAGGCTGTGTTCTAAGAAATTGAGTGTCCGCTCGGGTGTGATTGTGTGCTACAACAATGAAAGCTCACAAACATAACCAGTCGCAGTCGTGGCCCGTCATACACACGGCATTGGTGTTTTGTCCAACGCTCGATGAGAGGTTGGTAAGTGACCCGGATAGTATAAACAGCATAAACATCAGGGCAGAGAGGGGGGGAGAACGAAGTCGGCGACCGGCACCCACTTAAAGGCGTCACTTTGAATGTCGAAGCGGTAACAAAGGGACGTCCGACTGATCCATATGAGTTGGACGTTTATATTGCTGTCGCGTCTGACGTGCCTCCAGCAGACATATATGCAGACAAAACGTGCTAGAATATTGAGACTCGTCTGTCAGTCAATGATAGGCCATGGAAGGTGGCCGATGCCCAGGTGCGCCGTGCTCATCGGTAGTGGGATGCTTTGATCAATCTTGAGAGCGATGAACATTCGTCCCGGGGTCATACAGAGCAGTGCGCACTAAGCAGCTCAAGTCCCAAGGATACTACAAAGCGGGTATGTACTCAATCTTAGCCGACCCAATGCGGCTGAGACGTGATGCGGGCCCGAAAAAGCGAACAGAGGAGGACAAGGGGGAGTTCCGGTATGCAATCCATTTCGCGACAAGCGACAAGAAATTTAGGTGGGGAGCACCTCGGGACTACCCGAGACAAACACGGGCACGTGATACAATCTCCTTTTCCAGCGGCAGATATGGACGCGTCCTGGGAGAGTGACACGAGCAGTTTCGAGTCGAACAATCGTAGCCGTAGATGGGTTTTGGGGCACAACGTCCGTTGTCTGGACACCTTGTCCCAGGACCACAGGCATCGGACGCCTCCCTCTCGGGGGCCTCAAAAGGCCCTCCACGCGCATCCTCTCTCTTTAACCACTCTCTTGCTATCCTCCTGCACGCTCTGCTCTCCCCGCTTTCATTTGCTTGTTTTCTCGTTGCTGCTCTGCAATCCGCTCTTCATCATGCTTGATTATCGTGGCTTCTCGGCGTGGATCACTGTCGATGATCTTGAGCTCGTCGAGTTCGAGCCGCGGATTAATGAAGCAGAACATACCGTCATTTGTTGGATCGCTGGAGTACCCGGAAAGGTCAGTGTTCTGTTACTGCTCGTGCGCATTCGGAACCCAACCGCTTCACTGTGCCTCCGATCCAGCCCTTCATCGTCAATTGGCGTGACCACGGCAGCGATGTTGACTCCGCAAGTCAAATCATTATCGATGGTCACGAAGCGTCCGGTCAATTCCTGCACGGCCGAGGGGAGGAGCTCCGACGTGGAGTGCGTGTAGACGACACGACTATCCGTCCGTTCGTGTTCTCGACGATCGGAAGTGGTACGGCATTTGCCAACCCGTTTACGGCGCTCTTATTGATCTTGTACAAGCCCACCCTACAGGACCTATTGACAAGAGCATTGGCTGCATCGTCCTCGACATCAGGCTGGTCAAACGGCACGAGTTGTGTGAGCCGGATGAAATACGGGCAGCTCCTACGGGGATCAACAGAGGGCGCCGTCCAGAAGGCGACATTGCTGTAGGGTTCGTATATCACTCCTAGGGTTTAGATGAGTAACTGATCATGCATAGTTTCGGAGATGCTCAACGAATGTCTGCGAGACAAAAGACATGGAGGTGTGAGCCTTTGGACCCCGACCATCCTGAAGAATGGGTGAAATTCATCTTCCGCTACCGCACCAAGGGTAAGTAACCTTTGCACCAAAACACTATTGTGCTCACCAGCGCATGCACAGAGTGGCTATACTCTCAGATGATCATCACAGAGGAAGATGCGGCTACTTCTCGTCCGGTTTCTCACCAAGCTGTCAAATATCTGAGTGTCGCCAATATCCCTGCCCACATCCCTCGCCAATATCGTTCTCCTGGGCCGGTAATCACTCCATTGCCCGGCTCGCCTGGAGGGGAATCCGTATCGTCTCTTTCATCGACTCCTGCCAGCACCTCTGGAAGAGAGTTGCTTGGTCACGGATCTAGACCTGGAGCGTCTAGCATGAGTCGAGTGAGTAGTCATACATGTATTGATATAACGTACTGATGAAGTGCCTTCTCGAGACTACTTCCACCAGCACCAATCGCACCTTTTCAGGGTCGTGGATTCCCGACCCTTCAGACGAATTGGGTGGAACCGACACCTGGAAGGAATACAAATATGAGCCTCGCAACAAGAACGGCGATATCCCCCGATGAATTTCCCAACATTCCGAACATCAATCGCCAAAATCGCTATCGTTTGCAGCTTTCCTATGTCTCGTTTGCTGTCCAAGTATCGCCCTGCAGTACCGCTGCTATGTCACTGTATCGTCGTCTTGCTTCTGACGTGTAGCCGAACTTGATCTATGTTACGATCTCTTCTATCCCGTGCTTGTCGTGTCCTGCTTCTAGTTGTCTACTTGCTTTGTAATGTCGCTCACCAATCGTTGTTTGTGCTATGTACAAGTGAGGTCAGCTTCGAAGTCAAATACCAATCCACCTTTTGTCTATCGTCTACTCAACGTCCAGTTACCACATAGACTCACTCGGCATAAAAAGACTGCTGAGTGGGTTTTTTGGTCTTGCTCAGGGCGTGTGATTTGGGTGTCATCCTGATAGGTGAGTGTCGTAGGTGGGGGGGCTCGGCGCTCAGTAAGCCTGTCGTTACGCTTCGGACATTGGGCGTAGAACCCTAACCCTACGCCACATGGTGTCCAGTCCCCTCGCAGTCCGCGGAGCGTCTGCCGTGCGTTCACTGGCGGGCTTGCGTGCCACCTCCATGTCCTCAACCCCTCCCTCTCGCCTGTCCTCATTGCCTTCCTATGCAACTGTAACGGCATCAAGGCTCAAGTCCCTTTACTCCGACTTCACGTTTCAGAAGCAGTCCAACCCCACCTCGTATGCCTCCAACGTCGAATGGTGGCGGAGCACACTAGAGACCGCACTCTGGCAAAGTATCCTATCCGACGGTCCTGTGGCCAGCACCTCTTCAGATAGGCTGGTTCTACATGCTCAGGGTCTTGCATTTGCGGATCGTTTTCGGCTCGATGGCGTAGGCAAACCTCTCGGGATTCCCACCGTTATTGTGAGTATTCCGATGTCGTGTGCGTCTAATATTCTCATTGGCGCTTCCTACCAGTAGTCCGAGCTGCACAGTTCGAAAGCACTCATCCCCGTCCCCGAGTTCCTTTCTTCTGCACGCTCTATATACGACCCCGGATGGATGCCGTATCGCATCGCAAGTTTTGTGGTCGGCAAGCCTCTATGGTGGGCACTAGGTCAACTTGGTGTGGTGGACAGTCACGGAGCGGCATTCGGTGATTCGGGGGCTGCAGAACGATGGAGGAAGGTCCGCGGCGATTACGTCTTCGTGAGCCTTCTGGAAGCCACCGCCGAACAGATTATCGAACGACAAAGGGCGAAGAGCACAGGGCAGGTGACGGATTGCCTCTACAACGTAGAGAGCTTCCGTGCCGAGTTCGCGGCATGTACGCATGATGGCACACCCTTCTCTGCTCTGGATGTCAAGGTCATCTTGAAGTATCTCGAGCGGGATAAAGGAGTCATCGTGGTTCAGCAAGAGGTGCGTGTGCTCAGGCTATCCTGTCCGCTGGCGAATTGCTAAATCTTGTTCCAGGTCATTAAATTTGTGGATGAGGGTTCTTCGGACGCCACAGATGTCACAGCTGTGGACAACGGTCTGCTCGCGCTCAAAATGGCGGTGGACAAGCTTCATACGCAAGTCGAAAACGTTCAGCGCCGCATGGACGAGTCAGTCGTATTCCACTACTCACTGCGTGTGCGCTCTGATCCCGTCCTCAGGCGAACACAACAAGCATCGAATGCACTCCGACATAAGCGCCAAGAGACCGCTATGTCATATCTCCGTTCGCGCAAACAACTTCAGGAGGTGCTGAAGAAGCGACTGATCAGCTTGGAACTCCTCCAATCTACCCTCTTGCGCGTGGAGACTTCCGCCGGCGACATCGAGGTAAGCAGTCAGCTTGCGTATGGCTCCTGAACGCCATCCACTCATCCCTGCTCTGGCTAGATCATGAAGTCATACGAATCGTCTACTTCAACGCTGCGTGAGATCCTGTCGCACTCACTGCTCCAGCGCGAGAAGATCGACGAAACTATGGATGCTTTGGCTGCCGCCAACGCCGATGCGCGCGAAGTTAACGATGCCATTCAAACAAACGCGGAGATCGCTCAGGGCGACGTGGCCATTGACGATTCAGAGCTGGAGGCCGAACTGCAGGCATTGATTCGCGAAGCCGAGGTAGACAAGTCACAAGTACAAAGCGATCGTCTCAACCAACCGGAGCTTGTACCTCCCGATCACACCCCGGCCGACAAGACAGAGGGTGCAGAGAAGGAGAGAGTTCTGTTGGCATCGTAAATGTTTGCACTCGGTCTATGATATCCGCACATTAGAATTGCCTGCACTTGGCAAGTATGCTCTACACACCTCGTAATGTGCATACATCCGCAATCATCATGATCTAGTATCCATACATAGAATGATAGTTTGTTACCAGACTACATCGCAGACCACCGGGTCAGCGAGGCCCGTGCTACACAACGTTCTCGCTCTGTAAGCGACTCTTCCTCTCGGCTTCATACAGCCCGTAAATGCTATAGGTCGGGCTCCTATAGTCATCGTACGCGACCGAGTTGGAGTGCGCGAGTGCCATCTGCGCCAAAGTCGGGAGAGGTGGCGGCGAGGGGACCCGGGGCGGCCTGTCGTCGAAAGAGGAACGTGCTTGGGCACTGGTGCCGACGTTCTTCCGCGTGACGGGCACACGGCCCCTGGACGCGCTCGGGGTGACGAATACCGACGGCATAGACGACATGCTCGAGGAGCCGAAGTCCTTTGAGGACGCGAACCCTTCACCGAGCATGAACTGACCGAGGCGTGCCGCGCTCGAGTCCTCCGAGGGGCTCATGACGGTAATCGTGACGCCGCTCTGCGCGTGGTGGTGTCCGGCGCCCTTGTCCCGCTTCCGGTCTCCTGCCAGGGTGGCAGAGTTGTCCGGGATGGACATCGGCACGGGAGAGGGGTGAAAGGAGGGCGTCGAGAGGCCAAGGGCGGACGTGAGGGCGCGGGTGTTGCGCTCCCGGTGGGCGTCGGTCTTGAGGGCGGGCGTAAGCGGAGGGAGAACATATTCGAGGTTGACCATGGAGCTTCGATTACCAGAACGAGAGAGGGACGGGAGGCCTGAGACGGTGGTAGACGAGCGGATGACCCCACCTGAGGCCCCGGGAGTGTATCCTGCCTTCACGCGGGCTCGACCTTGAGTCGGATTCGCCGTCGAGGACTTGCGCATGGTGGACTTGGTTTGTGCCATACTCGGGGAGGGGGTTGAAGGGGAGAAGGAACAGGTGAAGAGAACTCCGTCCCACCGTACACATCAGTGTACTCCGAGTTTGTCAAGCTGTGATGATAGCTTAGTCGGCATGCGGAGGACCGATTTATTCCTGGCTTGTGCTCGAAGGTTGGAGAGTCGCTCAAGACCAGAGGAGAAGCCCCGCCAATCGCCAAACCAACACCAGGGATCACGTGAGAAGACTGCATCGTGCTAGGGTATATCGAGGTGGATATTGAAGAGAGCCTATTAGCCGCACGATCATAAGCTTGCTGCATTTGTTGTGCGGCCGGGTTGACGGGGGACTGGTGAAGTGGCAGAGTGACGAAGACAGGAGCGCAATTGGGTACTTGGCATGGCTCTTGCCGTTCCACAGGATAAGTCCTAGGCGGGGGTGCAGGTAAAGAGTCCGCTTTGAAAACGACGGAGGCGTTCTTCGCCGCAAGGGTGGCAAGAGAGCTAATGGATGGTTTCGGCGTGTATTGAGTCCACGGATAGACACCGTTGCTATCAGGACATGCTGCAGTGGAAGTGCGCTCCTTCCCGCCGAATAGAGATTCGTCATCCATCTTCAAATCTTGATCGAGGAACTGATCCTGGAGAATAGGCAGGGACGGCGTGGGGCATGAGCGTTTGCGCGGCCGGTTGCGGCGACTCCAACAGATAGCTACGACGACCAGCAACACCACCAGACCTAGAGAGAGGAGCACGACGGCAAAGACGGGTAGTCCCTTGGGCTTGCGATCATCCGCGTGATTCGGAGCGAGCGCACGAGAGCCACTGTTAGGGAGTACGGTGGACGAGCTCGTTGCCAGGAGCATGGAAAAAGTAGTAGTCGCTCTGAGGTGCGATGGAGTAGTCGGAGTAGGGGGTGGAGCTAGCGTGGTTGGAGATATTACTGGTAGCACGCCAGAGTGTATGATGAGGGGGAATGAGGGGTATATTCCGGTGTCTGGTTCAGGAGCAGGAACAGCTTCGACACCCACTTCAGTAGTCTTCTCTTTGGCGGGAGGGGACTTGAGAGGCGGGTTGTTGGTATCCTCTGACTTCGTAGCTTCAAGGCTGTGAGATGTTCCTTTCCTAGAATCTTCAGATGCTGAGGCGTGCTTTATTTGGCTGGGGTGGTCTAGAGAAGGTTGCGTTGCTTCCGATGGGATGTACGAGAAACCATTGGGGAGTAGCATGGAGGGGCAGAGTGTTGAATGCCAAAGGGAGTGTATGCGTTGGCAGTCTGTGGTATCCGGAAGCGTGTTCAGCGACCGGCGCTGCGGAGGTGTAGAGATGTGCAGCTGGAAGGAGTGTTTGCCGCGGACGAGCGTCGAGAACTTCGGTCGGGGATCAGCTCACAGAGAGATAGACGCGGGCCCGGCTGCTTGGACCGATGCGTTTCACGTGACCGCGTCATCGGCAGTTGCCGCGGCTAATCCACGATCCCGACCGCTCCGCGAGCTCCAGCCCACTCGACACGGCGCTGTCGCTTGTGCGCGCGACCTTGTTCGCCCTCATACTCTCGCTTGTGCTCACCCCTTGCTTTCCAACATCCCGCCGGACTGCATGATCCCCTCATCTGTCCCTCGATACACCACGCAGTGACTGCTCCCCCACAAGGCGTATTGTGAATTCTTTTGTGCCCCACATCCACGGACTGAACTGCACCGTGAAGCAAACTATGGGGCGACTCTCTGGGGATGACTTTCTGTGAGCATAATGACTTTCACGGTTGCAAACTTTTGATTCATTCTAAATAGCCCAGAGGAGTCGCAAGCTAGCCAATTCCTTGAAGAGGCTCTTCGACCCAGAGAAGTGCTAACGAAGCCATGTGGTGTGCTAGCTCAGGACGAAGTCACCCCTGCAAACGAATCTGTGCTTTCTGGTCTCGGGCAATCTGTCCACTACCATCTAAATGGTCTCCCTCCAACGCAATCCTTGCTCGCAGGTGGTGAAGAACTTCCTCGGGAGGACTCTCAGAAGGAGAACTCACCTGGATCATGGGATAATGTCAGGGCGACTGGAAATACTGGTGCGTCTTTTTGCACCCCTCTTTGGCGTTCTTTCTCAGCTTGGAGACCACCGTAGGGCATGCCCTAGATGCATCGCCAGACGTCTCGTTAGCTGCGAAACCATTGTCGGCAGAACGCCTTTGTCCGAAAGACGTCCCTTCACAGAAGCCCGCACAACCAACGGTCAATGCACTTTCCGTCCACCCATCAATTATGGGCTCCGCCCACGCAGCTCTCGGAGAGCGGTCATCCAAGTTCCCATTCCGAACCATGCTACCACCACGCAGACACAGATCTCCCTCCCCTGCATCACAAGACTCTTTTGCAGGTCCAATATCCCAGCCTGATCCCGCAGCGCTTTTCGAAGCACAGGGCAAGAACTTCTACCTCACCGCCTCTCAAATAGGGCAAGAAACTCAGTCAGTGTCCGACGAGGAAGGCCCCCCTCCCGAGGCTTTCATTGGATGGAAACAGGGCATGAATGTGCCTGGTGAAACCACTCGGGTCGCCAGAGTCCTCGTAGCGGGAACGCCCTCGGAGTCCAGTCGCAGCTCTCAACATACATCGCAGCCTCAGCGCTTGCAATCTCCCTCACAGTCAGAAGTCGAACCTTCTCCTGATCCTTACCCTCCGGCTCAACCCAAAGCCGTTCTCATCGATCATTACCCCATGAACTACACTCAGGAATATGGACACATGTCATCTGCTGCGTCGCGACCTTCCTCTCCTGGATTTCCAATGTCACAAACTACCGAACCCGCCGACGAGACGCAGCCTCCAGATATCACACCTCCTACTCAATTGGTCGATATACCACCCTCCGTTTCAGATCAGGTGCCACCCGCACCACGTAGTGATGTGTCCTTGCCCTCCAGCAGAATCAACCGACTCCTCGCTCTAGTTGCACCAGAGAAGCGACATCGGTACCAAAACATCGATCCCCTCTCACTCCCTTCATACTTCCGATCCCAGGATGGTCCGGCTCGTTACGACAATACCGCACAGGAGACCCAAGCCTCGGATGCACACACGGATCCTTACGACATCGGTCCAACACAGCCGACAGTCATCGACCCCACACAGCCCTCCGATGTCCTCGATCAGATAAGTGCCGTCCCTTCAACCGCTCCGAGGCGCGGCTTGCTCCCGGCCAACCAAATCTTACAAGCTCGAGGACTACGCCCGACCGCTCCGCCTCCAGTCGAAGACATCTCGCTCTCTGTTGTGCAAGATTCTCAGGTTCAGACGCAGTTGCTACCTTCTTGTGACGATTCGCATGGTGGAGCGACACAAGTTGTTCCTGATTCCGAGGAGCTGCGAGAGGAGCTGCGGGCTGCTCAAAAGAACAAAACACCTCAGCGCGCCAAGGCGCCGGCCCATCCTCCATCTCCCGCTTCAACACACCATTCTTGTTCACGACAGTCTCCGTCTTCTCCTCGGCGACCCATGCGATCCGAAGACGAGATATTGCAGAGTACTGTTATTTTAGCAGACCAACTGTCATTGCCACGGCTCGAGGAGGAAGAGTCTGAGGCAGGAGCGCCACTGCCGGAGGAGGAGGAAGAGGAGGAAGAGGATTTACCGTTAGCCATGAACTTCTACGCATCTCGAAAAGGGAAAGGAAGGGCTACGTCTGTTTCGGCAACCTTCGATCGTAACCCGGCCGCATTGAACAGCGACAAGTCCTGGCTGCACGTGGAGGTCCCTTCGTCAAATCCGGCGGAGCGCTGCGAAGAAACTTCAAAGCCTCGAACACCGGCTCCTCCCGTCATACCATCGCGACAGTCAACCCGTTCTTCTCGAGCTGCGAAATCGGCCGCCCGAAAACGCCTTCGGGAGAGCTCCGATGAAGGGGAACCGGATGTGGACGTCGACGACCGGGATACCATACCTGCACAAGATGACGACATGGACGTCGATCCGCCTCCACCCGGATCCAAAGTGAAAGTCACTCGTGGAGGCAGGAAGAAGCGTCCTGCGACGTCGTCGAGGAAAGTGTCCAACAAGGCCGGTCCCTCAAGGCCAGTGAAACTGGAAGTCTCTACACCCGCTCAACCACCTTCAAAGCGCTTGAAAACAGCTTCCACTTCACGCCTTGGTGGCTCTGAACCCCCACTAGGGTGTTCGCGCTTTGGAGGATGACCGGCAACTACTATCCGGGCGTCGTCGAGGCTTTTGACATCAATTCTTCGATGTATGACATCCACTTCGACGATAACTGCAGGGGCTTGGTGGCTCTGAGACACATGCGAGCTTACGAGCTTAGAAGCGGAGACAAAGTCTTGATCCAGGAAGCCTCCCCAGCTGAGGTTGTCAGGCCTCCGACTCGTGATTCCAACGGTAATCAGCCTGAAGCTATGGCCACAATCAGGTTCGCACACTCCGAAAATGAGCAAGAGATAACTGTCGCCGCCCTCAGCATCACCGCGAAAGACGTCGAATTCGAATGGCAGGATCGCACATTGCTGGAAGCTACCATCGTCCCCAGAGTCCGACCCAAGGCAACCAGCACACCCGGCCGCGGCAGGTCTTCCGTGATCCGCGATGGATCAGTGCCCCAAGTGCGGGCCAACGTGCTTTCGAGGACAGGACTTATCGTCACGCTTTCGCCGAAGACGTCGCTGCGCAACTGGGAAGCGGAGAAAGATAAGCTCATGCACGAGCTTCGCGCCGAGGGGGGGATCGTTCTGGACGATTGGGGGAGCATATTCGCGATGGAAGGAGTGATGGAAAACAAGGGGCGTCGATGGGTTCTCAAAGACGAGGACATCCGTTGGACGAACCGCGCGGACATCGATCGCGTTCTCCTGCTATCGGACGACTGTCACCAGAAACCGCGTTTCTTGATTGCGCTGGCGCTCGGTGTTCCATGCGTGTCGGTCGACTGGGCAAGAGACATGATGAGAGAGGTACACCCCAGCTTACCTGACCGAGATCGAGGCTTACACGAACGACAGGGGCATGACAAGGATTGGCAGCCATACTTGTTACCAGCCGGTTTTTCTGACCGGCTCGAGGCACGGGTGTCCCAAATGGTCGACCTACAGTGGGGGAACAGCGTCCATTATATGTCGGATATCACCAAGAACCGCGTCCCCCACAAGGTGTTCAATGGCATGGCGATCCTGTGCATCTCACCCGAGTTCGTACGATCAAAGGGCAAGAAGGTATGTGCGTTGTCACCGGCGCAATGAACTCGCAGCTGACGGATTAGCAGAATGCGAACGACATCAAACGGAAAGAAGCACAAGAGATGGTGCCCCGTATCATCTTGTGTATGGGTGCTGCTTCCGTCGAGTCCGTGGGCGATCCCAAGCTCGCTTCTCGGAAACTGGCTGAGTACGACTATGTCGTCGCTCGAGACGAGCCCGACAGGAAGAAGTTCTCGCGCTCATGCAGCAATTGTGTCGGCCTTGCCTGGGTCAAGGACTGCCTTATATCCGGTCGCCTCCACTCCGTCGAGGAGGCTTCAATCTAGATTTACACCTTAATTCTCATACGGTACCTCGTCCCAGCACTTCGATAGTGCTCGCGTCTCGCACTACCCTCCTCCACCAAATTTGTTGATTCTAGAGCTCTCGTAGTTGCTTTCACTAGCTGTTCGTTCTTGTATCATGTAGTATTTGGACTCTTGCTGTTTGGTTGCTCGAATGTAGCTTTTGAAAACTCGCGGCAGGTTATAGACGCCTGAGAGCGGGCGTCAGAGCGAATAGTCGACGCGTGGGACGCGTCCAACATGCGCCTTGGACGCGTCCACCACCTTCCTGTGCCTCCCTCGTACCCCACATCGCACCCAGCGCTATTGCCATTGCCGCCATGGGGGAATACGAAGTTGGTACGTTGCACATCTTTGATAACGGTGCGCGAAACTTATCTTCCGCTGCAGAGACAATCCGGAAAGCTAGGATGAAAGGAGATCGGAAGGGAAATCCAATGCAATGGGTACGTCGCGCTGTCTACATGTCGGTAAAGCTGCACTGACGGAGTCACTTGAAGGAATATTATGTTAAGGTATGTCGAATGCACCTTCTTCGGAGACGAGGTAGTGAGTTCGAGTATATTAGTGGAAGAATTACGGCGAAGACGACAACACGTGAGTCCTGCATCATTCACAAACGGCGCGGGGGTTGCTTAAATGCTGTTCCATCTCCGCATGGTTTTCTCCGTGATGTGTGTTAGGTGGGAGCCTATGAGATCTTTCAAAGGGGGGTCAGAGCACTTCATCAGTGGTTTCTGGTGTCGCGTGGATTTGAAAGGGCGGTCGAGTGGGGCGGTCGACAAGTTCGCGGTAGGGGAGGAGATATTACCTGTTAGCCCTCCAGGTAAGTGCAATGTCTCCCATCTACAAGCAATCGTTCACGGTCCTTCAACAGGGTCTGTGAAAAAGCCAGCCAAAGGCATGACCTTGCCGAGCGCTTCTGCTAAGAGTCGAAGAGCGAGTTCGAGCCGGCAAACCGATACGGTAATCTCGCTCAGTGATGATGATGATGATGAAGAAATATCAAGACCGGCCCGTAAGAAGCCACGGCATGAGGACGCTGCGCCCGAGGCGACGTCCACAAAACGCAAAGGGCGTCCTCCGGGAATACCTGCGACCGAGGTCGATAGCTCACCAGGTATGCCGTCTGTTATACGCGTAGATAGCAATGGTACTGAACAAATATCTAGCTAGACAGATGCCCAAGGTCTCATCGCGGACTGATTCTTCAACTCTGACGCGGAAACGCGGTAAGCCACCTGGGATACCTCAGGAAGTAGTGGACCGAATGTCCCCGCCCCCGTCCAATGTACCGCTTTCCCGTAAACGCTCTGCGAGGAACGCGCGGGGGAACGCATCCAAAGCGCCGGGACCCTCTACACCTACGGCAAGTGCCCAGATCCCCCTACCGCGCCGACAGACGCGGCAGGCGAAGGGAACGCAGAAACCTCCTACTCCACACCCGCCAGAGGATGAAGCTCAGCCCGGAGACAGCAGACTCTCCCTGGCGGATGCAGACCGACCACCGGAGGATGTAGAGCACTCGGAGGATACGGTGCATCCTCCTGGGGATGTTGTTTTGGAAGATTCAAAGTGAGTGCTCCATGAACTGTCTCCATGTTAGTATTGACATGCAGTAGCGCTGTTGAACAAGCTGAAGCTGCAACATTTGTACTCGAAGCAAAGCCTATCACCTTTGCGAACCGGGTTGCTTCTGCTTTCAGCCAGTCTACAATTTTTGGACCCTTGTTAGTAATGCATTTCCTACCTGTTACCGACTGCTGATCCGCATGGATCAGGGCCTCTGGGTTCGGGTTTTCAAGCAGTACAGCTCAACCGGCAAGGTTTGTCTCTGTTAGAGGCTTGGTCGTTATACTCTAACGCGCCTGCGTAGCCACACCCGGTATCCGTTCAGTGTAAATCTCGACCCGTCGGTGTCGCTTTTTGTGACCCTGCAAGACGTACAAGCGCCACAGTCCTTCTTGGATGACCTCGGCACCACACGCGGCCCCACTGGCAAGTTTTACAGCCATAATCATGCAACTGTACTGGCCCATACCCTGAAACCTGAGGGAGCATATGCAAAAATCGTTCTCTCTGAAAGCGCGCCAGCCGAGGATGCTCAACACTTCGAACGCTTCGCCGCCCGGCTCATGGCTGGTGAGATGGTATGTTCATGGTTGTCTCTTTTCTCCTTCATTTCTTATGACTCTCATTGTACAGTTTGTCCAAATGATGGGCGGTGCGCTTTTGGCCATGCTCAGCTCCGACAACAATGAGCTGGGAGACATACTTGCAGTGCCTTCTGCCCAGCTGCTTGGAGCACACAACGCTATTCTCATGGTCCACACCAAGGTCGAGGATTACACGGAGTATGCTAAGGCCGCAGAGAATGCCGATGACTCTCGTTGGTAGGGGTTTCAACCGCCTTGGTACCCGATAATCTCGCTTTCTGTTGCTCTGAGCTGTTGTTCAAATGTCTCCCGTTCTAGTTTGTCGTCTTGACACAAATCACCGGTGTTGCCCTGTCTCACGTAGAATCAGATGTCCTCGCTTTCAATCAAAGAGTACCTTATGAACAGCTACTTCGAGCCAACAGTGTGCCAGTGTTGGGGGGCGTTCAGACTGACCAGAATCCACAGAGTACACCTAGACAGTATCATTTGCTCAGTGGATCTTCATCTTCAAGCGAATCGAAGCGCGAGACGACAGACAAAGCGCATCAGATAGGTTGTGAAACTGGAGATATAGATAACGATGGGTAGATATACATAAAGAAACACGCAACAAACTACAACTTCTCTTTTATCGCATCGTTCCGTCCCAGGTAGTAGAGCGTCGCTTGGCGGCATTCCTCCATGAACTCCTCAACATCCGCCAACTGGTACACATTCGCGTCGTACGTAAGCCCGAGCCCAATCTGGTGGCGTTCTGTCATGTTCCCAAGGAAAAACTCCATCGGACGGGCGTGGAGGTACGTGGCCATGTCGAGGATGCGTAACAAGTCGCTCGTCGCGGGAAGAGCAGCCATGGGTGCCTTGGGTCTCGGAACATAGGCCTCAGAGTCGGCGGGGGCGGCATAGCTCGAGGTAGCGGGGCGTGACGTGTGTGTCGATAGGGGGTGACCGGAAGGAAGTGGGTAGTTGGTGGGGAGGATGAGAGACATCTGGCTCGGAGTAAGTCATTGGGCTCAGGGCAACTGGAATCGTCCGCACGTACCTGTCCGACGCTCGAGTGGCCCATGGTCATCACACTGTCTGAAGGGACGGCGTCGATGTGCGGTGCCAAAGGGAACTCGGGGATCGGCTGTCCTTGTTGCTCTGCGAGCCAACCAAATGCCATTCGCTTTTTCCTCAATACGTACAGTGGGGTGCGGACTTCTGCGATGTCGATGACAAGGGGGTTGCGGACGAGACGTTGGAGCTGTTGCCGGAACATCCTCGAACGGTAGCAGAATCGTTCCCGGGAGAGGAGCGCAGAGTATGGGGGAGCACCATCTACACGCGGCACGCCTTCGTCTCTTCTTGTGCCAAAGGGAGTGGGCATGAACGGCAGCGAGGCTTCGTAGAAGTCGATATGCAGTCCTGGCTCTGTGGCGCCCCCGTTGGAAAGCCAGTGGGGCTCCATGTAAGGTCGGAGATTTAACGGGCCGCCGAAGTGCATGGGTTGACGCCTTCTGAATTCCCATTCCTCCTCGGAGATGTCGCCCCGAAGATAACGGCGATGTAGCATGCGCGTGATGGCTAACTGAGAGATGACGACGATCGCGGTACCGAAGGTGACTTTGTGTGCGCGACAGTTTGCAATGACTGCGTCGCTCTCCGCACGGGAGAAGCCAGCTGCGGCGCGCGCGGTTTTGGCCGGCGTGCGGTACGACGTCTTGGTGGCCATGTTAGGAATGGCATGACCACCCTGTTGTGAAAGGATGAGTGTACTGTCGGAATCCTGTTGATGTGAGTGACTCACTGTAAGCTGTCGCCGCCTATTGAGGAAGATAATGCGTGCTGTAGCGCGACGCCATCGCTGATGTGCAGGGGGAAGTTGTTTGGTGGGGTTGAGGTCAAGGTATGACAGGCTCATCGCTAGCCTTTCTTCCAGAGCGGGAGGTGGTACAGCAGGAGATGCAAGAACGTCGAAGAATGTACGCCCAAACGTTACGCCCGAGATGCCATCAGCAATGGAATGTGCAGCTTTGAAGAGGATATCGTAGTTTCCCGGGCTGTCCTTTTGAGGGAAGACGAGCACGCGAGTGGTGAGATGGTGGTCCTCCATGGGGGCTTTGTCCATAAGATGTAGGATGGTTGACTCCACGTCTGCACTCGAGGACAGAGGACAGAGGACGACTTCACCAGACTGGCAGTGGGAGACTTCGTGTTCCGAAAGGACAAACTTGAGGGCGTCGACGCCTTGGGAATCGTCAATCCGCGCAGTACGAAGTGGGTACCAATGTTTCAAGGTGACCCATGTTCTCTCGAGGTTCTCCCTGCTGAAGAGCGTGGCTCCCTTGACCTGGTCGGTTTCTTGAACGACATAGCGCCATATGATGTCCGCGGTGCCATTGAAGATGCGGTCATAGTGAAAGTGGGTCTCGTTGAGGCCGAGGGGGCGCGAGTAGACGTTGCCGGTAGTAGACGAGTGAGAGACGCAGGTCCAGGTCATGGTGGAGAGAGGACCATGGTCCCGTGGGAGGTGCCAGGCCCATCTTGTAGTTTGATCCGAGGCGCAATTTGCAGGCTGAAGCTCGAAGGAATTGGCGTGCCAGGGCCGGGCCCAGTGCGGACTTGGGAAGTCGGCCGAGTCACCGGGGTTGGTACGATCACGTGTCCCACGCGTCGCGTCTGTTACCTAAGCGCGACGCGTCGGGGCCGGTGGCTGGAGGCTGGATCCTTTACTCAGATCTGACCCACCACCTTCCTCTGATCCCTCTCCGCCATGCTCCGGCGAGCCCCCACCACTTCTGACGGCAAAATCGTCGACCGTTTCCAGGAGAGTACCCGGGTCGGCAAGCCGTTCAAGCCTCCAACCCTGCTCGTCACCCGACAGCAGCCTCAGCGCAAACGCAAGCGGGTCTCCTACAAGGGGGCGCAGGCAGACTCAGACGGATCAGACTCGGAGAACGAAGGCAGCTCGAAGAAGAAGAAGAAGACAATAGGCAAAGATGGGTTCGAACGCCCCCTCGACAACAACATTGTCAACTACCCTGTCTTCAAGCCCAAGCCCTTCGACCAGATGTCTCGCCGCTTCACCATTCCAGAGATGCGCAACAAGGACGGGGAGGTTGTTCCCACCGTGCAAAGCAACCTCGCTCTTGGCATTCGACCTCTAGCAAACATCATCCCTCGTCCACTCCATGATCCCATGGCCGACCATGCCATCGTCTTGTACGACCCTACCATCGACGATCGAGAGACAGACGAGGAACGACGCGAGAGAGAGAAGGAAGAGGCCAAAAAGCGTGCGTTGAAGGAGGCGCAGGAGAAGTGTGCCGGTATGTACAATCCCCACAAGAGCTTGAAGGAGCTGCTCGGCGGCGGCAAGGAAACGAAGAAAGCCGCGAAGGTTCCTGTCGTGATCGACCCCCGTCTGAGCAAAGTCCTCCGTCCGCATCAGATTGAGGGCGTTAAGGTGTGTCTCGCGCTTGTTATGTCTTCGACCGCTAAGGCCGAAACGCCTCGTAGTTTTTATACAGATGTACTACGGGCATGGTCGTCGAGAATCAATACGGATGCATCATGGCTGACGAGATGGGTCTTGGAAAGACGCTGCAATGCATTGCTCTGATGTGGACGCTTCTCAAGCAAGCACCTCATGCAGGCAAGTCTACGATCGAGAAATGCATCATTGCCTGTCCTGCTAGCCTCGTTAAGAACTGGGCAAACGAGCTTGGTGCGTCATCTCAAGCATAGCTGATGTGGTCGCAAAAATTGACTTCGTAGCTTTTTCCAGTCAAGTGGTTAGGCAAGGACGCAATCTCTGCCTTGGCTATCGATGGCAAGGGAAACAAGGCCGACGTGCTGCAGAAAATAACTCAATGGCAAGCGTCCGGCGGGCGCAACGTGTCCCAACCCGGTACGCCCGGACGCCCGAACCCACGAACCTCTGCTGACATTACGTCCAGTTATGATTGTGTCGTATGAGCAGCTTCGTACTCTATCAACCTACCTAGCCAATTGCGTCATCGGCTTGCTTCTTTGTGATGAGGGCCATCGCCTGAAGAATTCAGGTATATGCTGTTCCTGTCCGTCGCCGAAGCGTTGACTGACATGCCACCAGAGTCACAAACATTCCAGGCTCTTGACGGTTTGAACGTGAGGCGCCGAGTCATTTTATCTGGTACACCTATCCAAGTGAGTTATGTGATGAACTCGGATGGCTGTATGCTAAGAGATCTCAGAACGATTTATCTGAATACTTCTCACTGCTCAACTTCGCCAATCCGAATTTCCTTGGCTCCAAGAACGACTTCCGCAAGAATTTCGAGAACGTAATCATCCGTGGCCGAGACGCAGATGCGACCGACGCTCATAAGGAAGAGTGCGAGAAGAAGCTGAAGGAGCTCGGAGGCATCGTGTCCAAGTTCATCATCCGACGAACGAACGATCTACTGTCGAAATATTGTGAGTGTTTCCTTGACATGCTGTCAATTTAATCTCACGTTGGCGTGTCACCACAGTGCCTGTCAAATATGAACAGGTTGTATTTTGCAGGCCATCAAAGTTACAGCTTGCGCTCTATCAGCTCTTCATTTCGTCGCCCGATATTCAAGCGTTACTTCGGGGTGCCAATTCTCAGCCGCTGAAAGCTATCCTCCTGCTTAAGAAGCTTTGTAACCATCCCGAGCTTCTCGACCTTCCGGGGGATCTGGCAGGTTCCGAGAAGCTATTACCAGAAGAATTTTCGGGTATTTCATCCGGTTCCAAAAACCGTAGTCAGACGGTCCACACGGAATGGGGCGGCAAATTCTTGGTTCTTGAGAGGTCTGAAACACGACAATCTACCATGCTTGAGGCTGACTTGTCTTTGCCTAGGTTTCTGCATCGTATACACACAGAAACAAATGACAAGATTGTCCTGATCAGCAACTACACCCAAACACTGGACCTCTTCGAGAAGTTCCTGAGGAGCAGGAAGCATGTGTTATAGGATAATCTATCATGACCATCACTGACCTTGCGGGTGCAGATACGGGTATTTCCGTCTGGATGGCACCATGACGATCAACAAGCGACAAAAGCTTGTCGATCAGTTCAACGACCCTGAACGGAAGGAATTTGTCTTTCTTCTCAGTAGCAAAGCTGGAGGTTGTGGTATAAACCTCATCGGGGCCAACCGCCTGATCCTCTTTGACCCTGGTGAGTCCCTTGGCTCTGTTCGTAACCCGTCTCTCACCCAGTTTTTGCACCAGATTGGAATCCCGCTGCGGATCAGCAAGCTCTCGCTCGTGTATGGCGTGATGGGCAGAAGAAAGAATGTTCGTGTTCGCCTCTATCTTTATCTCGGTGTTTATCCGTTGACAGGGTGTACCACAGGTTTTGTCTATCGCTTCATTTCCACAGGGACGATTGAGGAGAAGATTTTTCAACGCCAAGCAAACAAGCAGTCCTTGTCCTCCGCTGTCGTCGACGAGAAGGAAGATGTTGAACGCCATTTTTCCATTGACGCGCTTCGCAAGCTGTTTCTATTCAACGAGAAGACGCTGAGCGAAACGCACGAGACTTTCAAGTGCAAGCGTTGTCGGGATGGGCGACAAATTATGAAGTCTCCTGCATTGCTCTACGGGGATGCAAGCTCCTGGAACCACTTCACTAACGAGGAGCTGAAGACCAACCACGATGATCTTCTTCGTGCCGAAGTCGGACTGCCGGAGGTTTCATTTGTCTTCCAGTATATCAGCCATTAGTGACGATTGGTGTGTGCGTATGGTTTGGTATTTTTACTGAGCATTGCGTTGTACGTTGGACTGGGAAGGAACGGACTCTCACTGTAGCATAATCGACTAGAGATACAACTAATGATACACGTCGAATCGACTGTGGGAGGATCGTGAAGTGAACTCAGCGGAATCCGGAGTGGTCATAAAATAACTTCGTCCCAGTTTCCCCATTCGCCCCCGACCTTCCGTACTTTTACCTTCTCGCCAGCAGCACCAAAGTACGCCGCGCTATACCAGGCATTCATTTCTTCCTCCGCGAACGGTCCGAACAGCTTGTCCTCCTCGCCCGCCCCTGGCATTGCCCATTTGTACTCGTACTTTACGTCCGCAGACGGAGGAATCCAATCTTCGCCGACCGTCCCTGCTTTGCGGATGGAACGTACGAGCTCTTCGTACGTCTTGGTGTAGATGTCGGTGTCGCCGAGTGACATCAGTGTAGATGCGAGATGGGTGATCTCCTCGACATCCGTGTCCGTCTGAGAGGGCTTCGACGGCTGATCGACGTCCATAGTGACATTTTGCACATCGCGCTTCATTTTGTTGTTTGGTCTGAGATTGATGGATCAGCCTGTACTCTTCCGTCGTCAAACGAATGCTTACTTTTTCTTCGCTGCTCCGTTTTTCTTGGACTGTGCTCCAAGGCGCTGCAAAGCCTCGAGGACAGTTTCGCCTTTCTTGAGCTTCGCGACGAGCTTCATCTCGACGGACTCCTTCCCACCAAGTGCCTCGAGTTCTCGTTCCTCTGCCCTCTGTTTCTCCTTCTGAATCTTCTCCTGGGCCTTGTGGTGCTTCCGCGCCTTCTTCATCTCGTCCTCGTCGACGTCGTCCATCCAGCGGTCGTGCACCGCGTGCGGGTCGAACGAGCGGACGTACATCCCGTCCGCGGAGAATTTGCCCTCTTCCATCTCCTCGCGCATGTTGAACGCGCTCAGCTCAAAACCCATCCCCGCCTTCTTCCGCCGCTCCGCGTCGTCCTCGTCCTCCGGCTCGTCCTCTTCTTCTTCTTCGTCCTCGTCCTCACCGTCCTCCCCGTCCGCGCGTCTCCCGAACTCCTGCCCCTCGATATCCCCCAGCCGGAGGAACTCTTCCTTCTTCTTCTTCCCGCCCTCCGCCGCCGGCTTCTCCTCCTCCTTGCCCACCGCAAACATGTCGTCGTCGTCGTCGTCGTCGTCGCCCGGCTTTGCACCCGGCTTGCGGCTGTTCACGACGCCCTCTCCGTCGTCGCTCGAGTCCGAGTCGTATCCGGACGTGTTCACGCGACCCTTGCGCCGCGCGGACGGGTCCTCGAGCGCCGCGTCGACCTCCTCCGCGAAGTTGGCCGGGTCGTCAACCGGCTCAACGAAGCGTGTCCGCTTGCGCGCGGCGCCTTCCGGGGGCGCGGGACTGGTGTCGCTGGTCGCTGTCGCCGTGCGTTTGTGTGACGGTCGTGGGGGCATGGCGTAAGCTCAGGAGAGAGGGGTGGTACTAGCTAGTGCGTAGAGTCGTGGTGAGAAGAGAGATGGATTGAAGGGCCGACGCGCGCCAAAGCATTGACTCTTCGAAGCGCCACCACTAAGGCTGAAAGACTGAGATGCTGGACTTCTGATACTACAGTGACGAAAGCCATCGCGCCCTCCCTTAACCCCACTTTGAATGTCGGTTGTCAAAACATTGCGTTTCGCAGCCGTTACATCCGGTACTGATTACCCTTACGGAATCCAGGCTACGAAATGGGCTACAGCCTACTGTACATCAGGAACGAGGGGGGGCTGTTTGCTTCCCTCTCCCTCTCCCAGCTCTAGCGACGTCTATCAGGAGGGTAGTATCATCAACAGGTTCATCTTTCACGCTGGAGCTTGGTACTCTGGTCGGCTGATTACAAGATTCAGTCTGGATCGTCCCCGATACTACACATGACGAATACATACCTCAACAGTGTCCTCGATCCGATCGTCGATCTCAGTCTTCACGTCTGCAGATTCTGTTATAGGTTTCGCAGTGGTTGGGAACAGCTCTCTCATGACAGGGACTTGTTCTTGGCCTCGAGGGGAAGACGCCTCCCGTTTGACACGAGGCTCTTGTCCGACTTGCCTGGAAGAACCGGGGATAGCATAGTTGTTCTTGGAACTTAGGCGGATCTATATAAACTAAGGCTCGAACATCCGAGGCGAAGAGTATTTGGTCTCACCTCTTTCACATTCTCTTTGCTATCTTCATCTTCCTCGTCAACCAGAGCAGTCTCCCCAGCTTCAGGCTCGACCCGCTGACGTTTCGCAGGCGGCGAGTTGCCTCTTGAAGGGCAAAGCGTTGTCCCAGACAGCCATCCTCGCTCCTCCGCTGGAGACGGTGGATGAAGATTCTCGGGACTAGGCTCTCTTTTCACCACAGGTGAGCGGCCGCGTTTTCGTTCAAAGGCAGGGGCCACCGTGTGACGTTTCAAGCCGGGTGAAGAATGTTCTCGCTTTACAGACACTGGGGTGAACGTGTGTCGAGCAGGGGCTCCAAATACCGATTCGTTCTCTTCGATCGCTTCAGGCGACTCATTTTCGCGCTTGACTCTGGTCGGGGAGGAGCACCCACACTGCACTGGTGGAGGAGACTCTCGCTTCACCGATGGCTGCCTGGGCGGTGCCCCGGGAATCGCATAGTTGTGCTTGGAGCTGAGTTGGATCTAGGTAGATATTGTCACTCACTTGGCTCAACGTTGACCAGGTTTTAGGAGATGGCCTCACCTCTACCACGGTCTCTTCTCCCACTTCTTCTTCTTTAACGGATGGCTGAGGGTCAGGCGTAGAATCGCAGTCTTCATCCTGAAGAAGTGGCGTGTCCTCGTCCGAAGGAGTACTTGTCCGACGTCGCTGAGGCGCCGGAGAGTCCTCTAGCGACACTCTGGTTGGCGATCGCTGTTTCCGTTTCTTGGCGGACGGTTTGGGTCTTCGATCTGCACATTCGCGCGTGATTCCTTTCGTATCGAGATATGCTGCGAGATCATAATAGTGAGTATGGATTCCGCCGAGTCTCATGTTTATCTCATACCTTTTGGCCTGTAGCGGAATTGAAATGCAACAAATGGCGTAGCGTCACGCAGAATTGGTTTCAGGACCGTCTCTTGTGGTTTGTTTTCCTTCTTCTTACCCAGTCTACTCTTTCTCGTCAGTGAAAGACCAACTTGAAGCGTATTGCAAGACGTACGACACACAGTGTGTGGCACCACTTCCCTTCGTTCGGCGTTCATTCACAGAACCAGAAGCGGTGGAAGTGGCTGGCCGGAAGGGGATCTTGATAAAGTCGACGACCCTTCTAAGTCTGACCTCAATCGTACCTAGCTCATCACTGTATGCGCGAGGAAGCGGGTCGTCCTCTTCAGCATCTGAGAAAAAACATGAGTACGATGTAGACCTCGACAGCACAAGACTATAGGATGCGCACCAGAGGTCAGTAACGCGAATTGGTAGGGCAAGTTGGCGTCAATATCGACTCTGAATCCTCCGTTTGACGTCTTCTGTGAGGATTTGACGTGGGAAATGACACCCATGCGACGACCGTCCATGCGGATCTCGACCGACAAGTGAGAAGGAGGCTTTGAGTCCACCCAATGCACTCTGAATTCCTTGTCGCGCGAATGGATTTGCGTGCCCACAGAGAAAAAGAATCATTAGCTTACCTTCCCAGCCTCACTTGCTATGTAACACGACATCTTCTCTCCTCGCTGCTTCACCCTGTACGCTGGAAGCTCTTCGCCCCCGCAGGAGACATAGGCGCCATAACCCTTGTGTAAGAGAGGCATTACGGAAATGTTGTTCTTGCGGATTAGAGGAGATTGATAAAAATGGTGTAAGATATAGACTGGGCCGAGGGGAGTGGGAGAGGAGGAGAGGTCTTGAAAGGAGTCGCCCGCGGTCGCGACGCGTCTGGAAGCGCCCGAGTCGCCTTATGGGACATGTGAGCGAGTCGCGATTCTGCGCCGGTCTGCCGCAGTGGCTGGGAGTTTCCGACGACCCTCTCCTCCGACCACTCCCTGGTGACGTTCGGGCAATACAACTGGGTCAACCTTGCCATTCTCATGGCTTCAGACGAGCAGATCCGGGCTTTCATCGCAAGACATCACGAACTGCTGGACAGAGAACGCAACGCCGAGATCGAACGCACCTCTTTGCTTCTCTCCAACTGCCCACCCAGACTATTGGAACAGAAAGGCCTCTGCCTGGCCGGTCTTGGGACTGCTTCGGTAGGTGTAGGACTCGGAGGGAAGACGTGCGTGTCCTCATTTTGAGCCATATCCCCAATCAACGACTTGACATGTGTACACAGTTTGGTTGAACTTGAGCGGCCGAGTGCCTATCATACGAGCCCGCTTTTTCCTCCACATTCACTGAGGTGAGCGAGTTGACTACGAGCTAGTGAACATAGGGAACGCGTTCCAGACCAGGAGACCTTGCACGCATACAAGACCACAATGCCAGTGCATCTGGGTCCAGTAAAAAGGCTGCAAAGTCGAAGAAGCCCTCCGAGAATGGTAGAGTCAAAGCCGAAGGCGTCGAGGGGGTTGTGTACAAGGTCCGTGCCAAAATTTTATCAAGCCCAGTCTCATCTCATCCCGTCACAGGTCTCAGACACTCGCATTGTGCTCGCCATAGATCCACCAGAAACCGGCGGAGAGGATCTCAATCTACCCGATCGGTGCAGTGTTGTCAAGCTTGCAAACAGCGTCACTTATGACCGGTATTACTCTGCTCACTGAGACGTCTGGACCGTACTGACTCACTGTTGTCAGGATGGACAAGGCACTGACTCAACTTGAGAAGGTGATCCTCCCTAACTCGGAGTCGGTAAGTCTTGGGGACCTCTTTAGTTGCTTATAGTATTAAAATAGTCTGCAGAGGGAGGACAAGTTCTTGCCAAAGCAAACTCCACTCATGCGAGTCTTGCTGGGAGTCGTTCCACCTTCGGAGAGGGTGGTTTTTAAGGACATGAAGTTCTTTGACCCGTCACTAAACTCTAGCCAGCAAGAAGCCATTCGCTTTGCTCTTGGTTCTCCAGAAGTGGCATGCATTCATGGCCCTCCCGGTGAGCGTGGATATTTGGTCGTTGTTGATAGTGCTCACATCCGTATGCGTAGGAACTGGCAAGACGCATACATTAATCGAGTTGATTCGACAATTGACCACCATCACTCCAACAAATCCGAGGCCTCAGCGATTGCTCGTTTGCGGTGCATCTAACTTGTCCGTGGACAACGTCTTGGAGAGATTACTGGCTCTTCCCGCTCCAGATAGTGGTCAGAAGCTGAAATTCACCCGTGTGGGGCATCCTGCACGGGTCATGTCACAAGCCGACGTACTGGATGCAACTTTGGAAGTAAAGGCGAGCAGGAGCGATCAAGTAGGCAGCTTTTGTGTAGAGACAGGAAACAATCTCATATGCTTGCTATCTAGGCCATCCTAACGAAAGATGTCAAAAATGAGCTCGAGGCAACCCTCAATACCCTCTCGGGAAAAGGGAAAGGAGGGAAGGGTAAAGCACCAAGAGGGATAGAGAGGAAGAAGATGTGGGAAGATGTCAAAGCGTTGAGGAAGGAGTACGATGCACGTTATACTTCTCTAAAGTGTGAACTCACGTCGAATCACAGATATCGTCAACGTGAAGGTGGTATCGTAGAAAGCGTCTTGAAGGATTCGCAAGTCGTTCTAGCTACTTGCCACTCCTCAGGCGGACGGCAACTTCGCTCACAAGAGTTTGATGCGGTGATTATCGATGAAGCGACGCAGGCTATTGAAGCTGTATGTCTGCTCTTTTCACACGTCATTATCATCCAACCATCCCTACAGGTCTGTTGGATCCCCATTTTCAAAGCCCAAAAGTTAATTCTAGCAGGGGATCCCATGCAATTGCCGCCGACAATCATTTCCCTCAACCAAAAGGTCAAGGACAGTAGCAAGACAGCGAACGGCACCTCTCAGACGGACAGATCGAAGACTGCAAAAGGCGCGCTGAAGGCTTCCGATGAGCCGCCTGAAACACCACATGTACCCTTGTCAGACCTTGCATCCGACGAGGAAAAGGACGCGGACCAGAGCGACGATGAGGAAGGAGACCCTGCGCTGACCGCAGATCTAGAGGAGTCGCTAAAGGCCGTCCCGAAGGATCCTCGGAAAGTTACAACCAAAGCTGTCTTGCGTCCCCCACGCACCCTGGAGACAACGCTTTTCGAAAGGCTGGAAAAGATGTATGGCCCGGGTATCAAGCGCATGCTCACTATCCAGTATCGGTGTGTGCTCTTATTTTATGTTAGTACAATCTTGAAGTCGACATCACCCGACAGAATGCACGCGCACATCGCCACCTTCCCCTCCAAAGTGATGTACCACTCCCGGCTCAAGTCGCACCCATCCGTCGCCGCGCACCTCCTGCGCGACTTGCGCGACACCCACGCAAACTCCGAAGAAGACGAGAAGGAGGTGCTGGGAACCCCCGTCGTGTTCTATGACACCGCGGGATGCGACTACTTTGAACGATTGGAGGGCGACGGGGAGGAAGGCAGCCGATGCAACGAAAACGAAACCTCAGTGGTGAAGATGTGGGTTGAACAGCTGGTGAATGCCGGAGTGCTTCCGGCGCAGATTGCGGTCATCACTCCGTACGTGACGCTTGCATAGAGCTTCTTCCGGTGGTAACCGCCATGATTCAGATATCAGGCTCAAGTAACACTTCTGACCTCGCTTTTGCGACCCTTGTACGGCCCTGAGTTGGAAATCGGAACCGTCGATGGAATGCAGGGACGAGAAAAGGAGGCTGTTGTCATCAGTCTAGTACGGAGCAACGAGAAGGTTCGTCGTTCGACGACATGGACGCTACGCCGAGGCTGACAAGGAAGTAATACAGCGAGAGGTCGGTTTCCTGAAAGACAAGAGACGCTTGAACGTCGCAATGACCAGAGCAAGGCGGCATCTGGTGAGCCAGTATACACATTACATATGCTTGGGAATTTACTCATCGATTTACCAGTGTATCATAGGAGACTCAGGAACCGTGCAGCACGGAAGTCCATTCCTCAAGAAGTGGACGGCCTGGCTGGAAGCCAATGCAGATGTTCGGTACGCCGGTTTGGACTGAGTTGCTTTACATATTAGCATACGCTATGTGTAACTATGACAGTCTACGCCCTTCGACTGTACAGTCCATAATCATGTACAAGATCTACAGGGCGCCAACGATGTGAGCACCGAGAACTATACTGCTACATCAATGTACAGATATCCAACAGGTATCGCGAAGGTACATTAAGGGTGACGCGATCTAGTGTCCCGACTCTCGACTGACACTGCCTCCTCTCCGTCGAGAGGCAACAGGAGAGTCCTCTGCGCCCGTTGCTTCTGCGCTGAGCAGTCCAGCTTCTTCTTCGTTGTATGTGTGAGATTGTCGGCGACCGCGAATTGCAGGTTTAGAGCGGTAAAGGTATGACTGGGTGACGATGGTGATATCGAACATGAGTGTCCCCCCACTTCCCAGTATATACCTGTGAATGTCTGAGACGGCGGATGCGAGGGGGGTGACGGAGACACGTACGGAATGCTTTCGCGGAGGAAGGCGGACGCTTCAGGCTGAGGAAGTTGCATGTTGGGAGATGTGAGAATAGAAGCCACGTAGAAGAAGTTGCCGAGGAATGCGAAGATGAATAAATATACGGAGAGGCCCTAATAGTGAACCGTCAGTACCAACGTGAGAATGCATAATACATTGAACTCACCTCGACTGATTTCCTGACGTACTGCGTGGACTCGCGTCAAGACATCTATCAAGGCAGCGGAAATTTGCACTCACGTTCTTCCAAATCTGCGGCAAACGCGACGTGAGATAGAGCGTCGTGCAAGCCCAGGCGGATATTCGGCCGATAAGGAACTCCAAGTCGACCTCCGGCTCTGCCTTCATGAAGACACTCTCTGCCGTCGTCTCGAACTCCACCATTGCACCCTCGGCACCCTGTCGTTTTGAAAGGATGTGATCCACAGACAGATCATCGGAAACGAACGTGGGCTGTGAACGAGAGAGCACGACCGGGACCTCCGCTCGAGCCAGCACCTTGCCCGACCTCTGCCCGACCGCTTTGGACAGCACGCCCCTTCCGCCCGAGAGTGCGCCAACGCCGAACAGCGCCCACACTCCCATGAAGACCATGGTTGCGCTCTTCCGACTCGCCCGGGAGCTGCGCCGCGCGGTGTTCGCGCTCAGCCACTCTTCGTCCTCCTCCGTCGCATCGGTCGTCCTGACTTCCGGCCGTCCCCGAGCGAGCGAGTCCACCGAGCCTTCGAGCGGAATCGTCATCTGGAGAGCCGTGGGCATGCGGCTCGATTGGCGGCTGCCCCGTGCGCTGGGCCCACGCCCGCTACCAGTGCTGGTGAACGAGTCCTGGCCCCATGCGACGTGCTTCCGGCGCGCACTGCGGCCGCCTTCGGAGTGGAAGCTGTCGGCGAGGCGAGCGAGCGCGTCTTCGGAGATGCCGTCATCGTCATCGTCCTCGACGCCGAACGTGCTTGCATGTGGCTCGGATGAGCGCGAGCGGGGGTGCCATCGGGCACGCTCCTCTTGCTGCGCGGCGAGCGCGGCGACGGCGGCGACGTTCGCGGCGACGTTGGAGAGGGCGCGGTAGTGTGGGGCGCCGGGGCCGCTGCGCTCGATGGAATGCCGTGCACCGACTACAGAGCCGGTGCGGTCGCGTGCATGGAGGTATGGGCGGGACTCCTTCTTCGCTTTCGACTGGTAGTAGAAAAATTGGCTGAGGAGGGAAAAGTCGACGATGACGAAGTACGTGGCTAGGTAGGTCTGGAGCGAGACGTGTTCAGACCACGCAAGACTACCTGTCAGGACAACACTCACCTGGAAGGGCAGCTGGTGAGTGAGGACGCAGCCTAGGAGGTTGGTCGCGTCACCTGTGGGCATGGATGCATGGTGTGAGCATCACGACGGCTGAGGTCACACCGGGGCCTTGTGTTGCGCCATGGCGGGAATAAATCGCGAAATTGACGCACCCAGAAGCCAATTCATAAGGAAGGGCAGGGCGAGGCCCTCGACGGATTGGTTCCGTATGTTCTCCAACACTTGACTGCATTCACCATCATGAGCATCGTCTGGACCCGAGAAGCAGCGATGTGAGGAAGAAGCCGAGACTCACGGAAACTGGGCCCCGAGCCAGCACGCGATGGAGGTGTAGCCGAGGAGCTCGCTGAAGGACGAAACGAGCTGCATCGCGGCGCGTGCACGGCGGCGACAGCAACGGCGTCGACGAGGGGGTTGGGGCGCGGGAGGCTGTGCGAGTGTGCAAGAGGCAGAGACAGAGACGGGATCGGAGAGTGCACTCGGCCAGGCGGGCGGGCGACCGCCGTTGGCGTCCCCCGCGGGCGACCACTGCCTATTCCGGCTCCCTCCTCCGCCCTCCTCGCCCTCGTCCGCTACCTCCGCAGACCTCGCCCGGTCCTCGCCGCCCTTCCACGCTGCTGCACTCGCACCAATATATCTCACGCCGTTCATCGGTGCAGCGGACCCTCCCACTCCTCTCTGTAACTTGTCAGGTCGCCGTAAACCGCTGTGGCGTAACACAACGTCCCGACCCGCACGGCTCGCACCACTCGGCCAATACAGCGTGGACTATTGGCATCCATACTCTCTTCTTCCAGACGCGCATTTTGCACCCAACTCTCACCCTCGTCAAGTCCGACAAGATGTCGGACAAGGCCAGTTCCTCTCGCGCGAGGCTGCTCCATCCGGCCCCGGAGGAGTTGGTGAGTCAACCGTGCATCTGCTGCGACATCCTGGACCTTATAAGATGCACCACAGCGTGATCTTGTGCTTGATTACCTCGTTCACAACTGCTACACCAACGCTGCCCGCGCGTTCGTCCGGGATAGCAGCGTCAAGCCCATCGGCTCCGACGGAGACGAGGCTATGGCCTCGCCGGTGAAGGAGATTCCATCCGCTGTCCTCGATAGTCTTGAGGAGAGGCTTGCGATGGACGAGTTCCGCAAAGGCGCGCTGGTCTCCCCACTTTCGCATGCCGCATGCACTTAGCCCTCCCTAGTCATCAGGACGAACCTCCTCACGGGTCGCATAGACGAAGCGACTGCGCTGCTCAACAAGCACTTCCCTGCTGTACTCGCAGAGCCCATGGACGAGGACTCGGATTTATCCACCGCTTCACGTTTCAACTACGTGCCCTCGACGTCGGTAGAGCCCTCCCACCTCGCGCTCAATCTCCGCATCCAGGCTTTCATTGAAACGGCAAGGAGGATACCCCTCCTCTACTGCCCACCTGGGGCATCAACGCCTCTCGATCCTCCACCTCTGCTTCTGGGCCCTCCGGGTGCGGACGACGAACATGAAAATAGCGAGGCGAACACGCAGCTGTTGCACCGTGCCCAGAGCCTTTACTCAGAAGCCAACCAGCTCCCCGACAAGAACGATCGTGTGATGTATCTCAACGAACTCGCCTCCGTTGGAGGCATTCTCGCCTACAGTTTCCCGGAGGAGAGTCCGCTAGCAGACTACATGTCGCAAGAGCGCCGCGAAGGCATCGCAGATCAGATCGACGGTGCCATCCTGTGTAAGTCTCACACAAACCCGGAGGTCTACTTTCGCTGATCACCCGTAACTGCGCCCCATAGACCGCGCCAAGCAACCCGCCGTCTCACAAATAGAACTCTACACACGCTATACAAGCACAGTTTGGGGCATGCTGCACGAGAAGGAGACCAAGGTCCCCTCGCGAAGCGTGTGGCCCCCAGGCGCGTTTCTGCCGCCTTCAGGGACACACTCGCAGGCCAAGGTGGTGCCCGCCAAAGACACGGGCAGTCGGGAAAGCGCAGCGGCTCCTGTGAAGAAGCAGACTGCGGAGAAGGAGACGGAAGAAGTACGTTCTTGATTCACCCATGCGCTTTGCGTTGTTCTCACTGACATGTATGACTTAGATTCTGCCGCGATTCGACCTGGGCCTCTTCGTTGAGTCACCAAATCCTAGGTAGTGCATCTTCACTTCCCGGTTTCAGGTTTCCCTCGCTTTCGGTCTGCCACGGATGGATGTAATTATTCTGCTGCACTTTGCCTTGTAATATTAGCCATATGTACTCCAATCCCGTAGTCGTGATATATTTCAATTGCGTCACACGAGCAAATGTCAGTCGCCCAAACGTAGGTTCTGCATCATTCCCTCTACAACACTGATGCTTGTACCAACCGGAGACTCCTCCACGCCGATCACCTCAACTTCCTCTCCCGGCCACCTTCCCTTGTTCACCTTGTTGAGAACCTCCTTCGGCACGTTGCACTCCCTCAAACCTAGGACCCGGAGATGCGACCACTTGCCCCAGTCTATAAGTTCTAACGTCGCTTCCGTCGTCGTAATTGTCACCCCAGAAGGCGGCAGATTGAGCCACGGGTTATACGATAGATCGAGCACCTCGAGCAGCGGGCATAGGCGCGGCAGACGATGAACGGGCGTGGCGATCGGCAACGCGACGAGCGCGAGACGCGTGAGAGTGAGCGGGAAAGCAAGGAGCGCCGCGTGCGAGACGACGGCATTGAGGATGACAAGGGTGTGTAGCGGTGGAGGCTCGTCCTCCACCAACCCCGCATCCTCCTCCCAGGAATCCTCTTGCTCGTCGTCGCCGTGTCCATGCCGTCCGCTCTTCTCGTTGACCGCATTGATCCCCGCCGCACTCGTGCTCGAGGAGGGCCCCGCACCTTGATCATCGTCTTCCTTCTCCTCCTCCTCTTCCTCCTCCACGTTCAGCACGCTCGCCTGCGGCCCGACCACAATGAGCTCCCCGTCCGCGTGGCCCACGGGAGCGCACAGCGCGTACAGCTTCGCGTTCGGCAGCGGCGCGTGCACCGCCGTGTACCGGAGCACGTCCCGCCGGAACGTCGGCGGGAGCGCGGGCAGGAGCACGCTGCGGAACTCGCCCGGGTCCGCGCACTCCGCGAGGAGCACGCCGAGGCAGAGGTGCGTGAGCGGCGGGACGCCATCTGACTCCCGGAGCGGCCGCGTCGAGTGCGTGGGGCTCGTCGGGGAGGCCGGACTGAGGCTTGGGGCGTCGGAGGGGGTGGCGCGGATGGAAGGACTGGCGATGAGAGGGGGAGGCACTGACGCCTCGGGCTCGGTGAGCCCGTCGCGGATGTCGGGGACGTCGCTGGACCCGAAGGTCCGTGGGGTGTGCGAGAAGACGAGGGAGAGGGCCTGACGGCGGAACGCGAGCGCGCTGGGCCTGTTCTGGTCCTGTTTGAAGAGCCTGCTCCAGCTGCGCGGGACGGGCGGACCTGGAACGGGGCCGTCGGGGTAGTCGTGTGGGTACGGACGATTGGGCCTTGGGGTCGCAGGTCCCGTCCCTTCTTCGATAGCACCAGTCTGTCGTCCGGGGGCAGTATAATCATAGATATCGGAGAACGGAAGAGAAGGATCGTTGAAAGTGCGTATGATCTTCGAAGGAAGAGGGGCCCTAGCTCGCCTGAGAACATTCCTTTCATGTCGAAGATGTTCCGCTCTGTTTGGACAGAGTTGTTGAGCGTATCGCGCACACCAGGGGAGGTGACATACCTAAGAGTACCGAGGAGATGGGACACCTCTCGCTGGGCGGCAGGTCTGGAGTCTTCTGCGCCTTTTGACCGGAGCATCGTGCTGGAAGTGAGACCGACGACTCAGTACTCAGTACTCAGCCTGCACGACATGTGCGTTGGGACGTGGTAGCAGCGTCATGGTTCCAGAGCATGTTGTGGGAGAGCACACGAGCGCCGCACTAGTCATCCTCTTGGGGTACGGCTTCACCGTCACCCGGTAACGAGGCACGACTCCCATAATGTCTCCCACGGAAATGCGATATGTCGGCCCACGCGAAGATGATGGCTTTGTGACAATTTACGGTCATTGTATATATGTAGAACATACAGAGCAGTAACAACGTCAACCTGTAGTATCGACACTCCTGTCTACATACTCATCCGACATAATGAACCGGACGAGACAGCGAGTTACCACAGTCAGTGAGAAAGTATTTCGCCATCCCAGACGAAGTGCTTTAACGGAATGCTATAAAACGTCGAGCCCTAGATCCATAGCAATGTACTCGTCCCTGCGAAAAGTATTGGGACAGGCGCTTCTCAGACGCTCGTCAGCCGCCCGTTCTCGCGTCGGAATTCGACCACCTGTGGCTCCCTCAATGAAATGAGTCAAAACAAACTTGTGGAATATATGTGTGTGGTTGTAATGAGTAGCTGTGCGCAAAAATTATCGAATTTGGTTGGCTGGGATGTCCAGGAGAGCATGCACTGCACCAAGTGGGTTCTCAGATGAATTGGCGACATCCGCCCCCCGTTTGCTCGTTTCAAATGAACTAGAGGCTTCTAAAACTTTTGGTATAGATTTATCGGACTCACATCTATGATATATGTGACATTTTAGCAGGGATCAGTATGTTTCAGCAACACATTGGCCCTGGTATCTTGGATGATTGCACATGATGGACCACTGGAAACACTATGGTGATATTCTGTAATTGTGTAAATGGATTATATTCAGCCAGACCAAGCATACAACATCTTTATGTTCATGTTGACACGATTGAGTGCATTGGAGGGTCTTGCAATGCACATCAAGTAATGAATTGAGCAACACTAGTGACAAGTGGCCTCCATGACTCCATCCACCCACCAAACTACCTGGGTCAGTTTGTTACTGAAACATACTGATATCTGATAAAAGCTCACATACATCATAGATGTGAGTCCGATAAATCTATACCAAAAGTTTTAGAAGCCTCTAGTTCATTTGAAACGAGCAAACGGGGGGCGGATGTCGCCAATTCATCTGAGAACCCACTTGGTGCAGTGCATGCTCTCCTGGACATCCCAGCCAACCAAATTCGATAATTTTTGCGCACAGCTACTCATTACAACCACACACATATATTCCACAAGTTTGTTTTGACTCATTTCATTGAGGGAGCCACAGGTGGTCGAACTCCGACGCGAGAACGGGCGGCTGACGAGCGCCTGAGAAGCGCCTGTCCCAATACTTTTCGCAGGGACTAGTACAAGTGCTCAGGTTGATCAGTGTAACCTGACTCCTGAGATGAACGCATACTTACCCCTTGTCGACCACGATTCGAGGGCCGTTCAGAAACATGAGCACCGGGTTTCGACCCCGAAGTCGAGCCGCACGCAATAACCCGCAATAAAATTCATAGTCTGCGGAGAGTGTTAGATATATTCACGCAACACAAACAGAAACCACGACAAGAAATCAGTCCCGAAAGATGGTATAATTCCGGCATCCCAGTGGGACCGAAGCCCCACTAGCCAAGAAGGTTGGTATGCATCACAAAGAAAAAACGTTATAAAAAGGCGACTGTACATACCTGACAACTCGTCATAGATCTGAATTTTGCATTCCCCCGAGACTCGGAGGCACAAGGGTTTTCGGGAGCTCAACGCGGTGCGTGGAGGCTATGATCTGCAACAAGCAAAGGGTTAAAAATTGGTTGTTAAAGCATGGAGAAGTAGATGGTCTAGTATTTGAAGAGGGGGCGCAAACTCGGGTGGTGGGGAGAGGTAGGAAAACGAGGATACACAGTAAACGCGTCTGGCTTCGCAGGCGTGCAGGGATTCGGTGGCTGCCAGGACTGTGCAGTTGGGGCGTCGGTTTCCCACGATCATGATATGGGAACTGGCAGGGACTTCTCAAACATATCCTCCTCTTCTGTCATGCGACTCGTCAGGCTCCTTTCGAAACCAATACTCGGCCGAGCACCCGCGGAGTCAGTCCACATCAATCATCTCTACTCGCGCCTGACTGCTTATGTAACGGCTGAGTTCGTCCGCGAATACCCATTGTTATGTGGCCATGCATTGTCGGAGACATTGCGTTGGTGCGTAATCCGACCGTTCACTTCGCCACTTTCGTTTCTGCTTCCGCACCAGCTGCAATCGCCTGCCAGTCTACGTTGTCCTCTGCACCCTGGAGCTTCTGTTTGCGAGCCTGCTGCCATCGTTCCCGCTTCCATCGCAATAGGGTCGAGAGTCTCAGCTCCTCTGGAATGTCGTTTCGAGGATGGCTTTCGTAGAGATAGTAGGCGAAGACGCCGCTCGCAATCCCAAGAATGGGATCAAGCGTCCTACAAACATGTAAGCCTGGCCCGTGTTTGCGACGTGTAGAATGCACATACCTCGACAGCAGCGGTGGAGGCATTGTTGCGTGTCAAGTCTGTTCGGGCTCAGTCGCCGGCTGGTTGAGCACCTGGTCCTCCTTTGTAGGCTTCCGAGCAGTTCCGACGACACCCGGTTGGCGGTAACGAGGTGGGCAGTCGTCCTCGGCCAGTCACGACGGAAGCAATGGAAGTGGATGGGAGGTCGGGACGAGACGGAATTGCGGCCCCGGCCCGCTTGGGTGTGCTGCATGAGCGTCTCCGATCTCGTCGCCAAAAATTGGGAACGCGTTCGTGTCAAGCCACGCTTGCTCCAGGTCTCTCCTTCGACCCTTCCGTCACCTCCCTTCCTTCCCCTCAGTCAACCCATGGATCGCCAGATTCGCCCAATCTATGGTGCGCTTACCTGTGAAGCCCCCGAGGATCTGCCACTGAACGCGCTCTACCCCACAGAGGCTCTGGACACGGGCTCTAACAAGTCGGCGATCCTAGCTTGCAACAAGATCCTCAAAAAGCAGCCAACTAACCAGCTGGTTAAGGTATGTCTCTGTTTTGCCCTCTCCCATCGGTGCTTCCCCTGATTGCTTCCCCTAGGCCTTGAAGACGCTTGCTCTCGTCCGTTCACAAAAGGTCGAGGAGGCTCTTATATTCTGTGATGAAATTCTTGCCTCAAAGCCCTCCGATGATGCGACGTTATCAGCTATGATGCATGTGCTTCGTGGTCTTGGTCGTCGTGAGTACAGCTTGCCACGCTCGTCGAGTCCGCAGACGTCATCCCGGAACGCCATAGATCTTGACATGGTGACGATGTACGAAGATGCGTACAAGCAGCAACCTGGAAACGAGGAGATGGGCCAGCAAACCTTCTTTGCGAACGCGAGGATAGGGAATTGGAAAGCGGCGCAGCAGGTATGCTCACAACATGATCCCGATATTCTCGGAGGCCTCATCCTCCCCATCAGATCGCCACCAAACTGCACAAACAGTTCCAGGAGGACCTCTACCTGTACTGGTGCGTCATGAGCACTTACTTGCAGGTATGTCTGGTCTGTTTCAGCGAAGCCGTGTCTCCAATCCCCCGTCTAGGCCAAAGACCCCGCCACGCCCGCCAACCTTCGTGCGGTGCTCTTCAAACTGGCACATCGCCTCCTTTCTCAGTCACCAAACATCTCTTACTACAACGCCGACCGCTTTCATCTCCATGTGACGGTCCTCAAAGAGTTGGAGCTATACGATGAGGCCTTCCAGATGCTCGAGCACGACGGAGGGAAGCTCATATGCAGCCTCAATTTGTCTTGCGAGGAACTCCGTAAGGAGATTTGGAAGCTCAAGGGTCTGGCGACGGAAGAGGGTGCACGTGCAGAAAAGCGGATTGTGGAGGTCAAGTGAGCATTGGTCTTCTTCGCCTGATGCGTTTATTTGCTGAGACGCATAAAATCCGTTGAAGGGACCGGAATTGGCTTGAATTCCTCTCTGTACTCGACGCCACATTTTGCGATGTGCCTGTATCTGGGTCGGAAGACGCCGCTGCGGCTAGGGCGTCGTGCGAAGAGCAGATAGCTCGCGCGCGCGAACTCTTTAGCAAGGTCGTCGAAGAGGACGGCGTCAAAGACCGTGCGGGACACCTTGCTCTTCTGGAACTAGAGCAACGCGCAAGGCAGCACGGGCTCTCCAATGGTATGTGCGGCTGATGGCCCAATGTTCCAAGTCTTAAACTTTTCTAGATCCGTCCGCCCTTACTTCGTTGATGGAGAGTTACTTTGCGACCTTCGGTGGTAAAGCTTGTTGTTACGAGGATCTCAAGCCATACGTCGGAGATGCAGCAGTTAGCGCCGCCAGGTGGACCACTTACTTGGAAGCCCAACCCGCGAGCGTCGTAAGTGTGCTCACTGCATTCTGGAACTAGTTTTAACCGGATTTTTGGCAGGCGTCAATCCCGGACATTTGGCGACACATCAATGCGCAGAAGCTACTCCGATACACACTTGCCGCATCTGCGCTCACTCCTGAAGCCGAAACACGCCGTGCTGTCGAGCTCTTTGACGTCTACCTTCAGGGCCTGTCTCTGGGTAAAGACTTGCCCAGTTTTGAGCTTCAACCGGTGGACGACCTGGTCATCCTCGCCGCTGAGATCTTCGTAAACTCCTGGAAGCTGTCTGGCGATGAGGCCCACTTGTACAACGCTGCTGCTTTGCTTGAGTATGCTATTGGACAGAGCAAGATGTCGTACCAGATCCGTCTTCACTTGATCCAGATCTATCGCTTGCTCGGAGCTCCTTCGCTAGCAGTAGAACATTACCGCGGTATCAAAGTCAAGCAGGTTCAGAACGATACGCTTTCACACTTCATTCTCTCAAGGGCATCAACGTTCTCCTTATCGTCCATCGGTGACTTGACTTTCACTACGGAATGCCTTGAGTCCAGTCGAATATATCTGTCCAATTCCGAGGAGGTAAGAAATAAGCTTCTACATAGAATTACTGCTCACAATCACTGCGCAGACCGCAGAGTTCATCGTTCGTGCTTTTGGCGGAGAAAAATACTCCCAGGTGTGTGTCGTTGTGGCATACGTTTTGGGTCGACGTTCACGTTGGTGAAGATCCCAGATATCATCACCTTCGAAGAGCGCTTGGATAACTCTCTCCAACGGGATCTAGTGAAGATGGAGCATGTCCGAATGCGGGTTGCCCACGAGGCTCTCAACTCTGAGCTCATCGACATGGAGCTTATCGAGCTGAAGTTTATCTTCGACCGCTGTGAGTCGCCTCATCCACCAAATTGTCTTCTCCTCATTTCCTGGGCGTTGTGTGCAGCCCATCATGACAACCGCGACTTCGACATTCTTGCAAACTATCAGCCTCGAGCATCAGCGTCCTTCAACGACCAGACACAATTTGCTGGCAAGATACCTGGTGTAAGTTTCACATTTTGATTATTGTCTCCGATATTCACGTCCATGATTCAGCTCGGCTGGCTTTCAGTATTCCTGAAGATCTACATCAGGGCTTTTCAGATGGCTAGCGATCTGGACGACACCGTGGAAGACAAGCTCCTGATCGGCGATCGCCCAAAACCGAGCTATGACCCGAATACCAAGTTGCCTTTGAAAGAACGCCTTGTCATTCGCAAGGAAGAGGAGCTCGGCGAGGTATGCCCATCCATACAATATTTTCTGCACGTTGTTTGTAACTTACGTCTGGGAAGCTTTCTGCGACGGAAGTTCAGCTCTACGATTTCGCCTCCGCCCTGTCCGAATGGCTCACCCCGTATCATGATTACGCCCGCCCGCCACCATCTGCGGTTCTGGCCGAGGCAGCTAAACTGACAGAACAGAAGACCGGTCATACCCTGAAGAACCTGGAACTTCCTCCGGAAGCGAATGGGAACGGGAAGAAGGACGAAGAGCCACCAACGGTTGTCGAGCCTCCAACTTCTATCGCTGCTTACTTTGATGGTAGGCATTCAGTCGTTTCGGTTTAGCCGCTGTTGATCCGCCTTTTCGGTAGACATGCTCAAGCAGATCAAGGAGGCGTTCGCATCGAAGGCCCTCTCCAGCGAGCTGCTTCATCTAGTGACGTTGGCACAGGAAGCGTTCCTGCTCTTTGCCATCGAGACGGTCCGTTTCAAGACTGCGTCTGTGGTCAAGCAGAACAAATTCGGTGCTGTGAGCGTGCTGCTTTAGATCGTGATTCTAAAATACCGATGAGGACCTCCACAGCTCTCTCAGTACATAAAGGAAATCAGAGCCAAGTCCGCGGCGACGCTCACGGAGATTTCTGCCGAGCTGGTAAAGAGCGCAGAGGCAGACGCAACGGCAGATAGTCGGGCTGCTATTGTTGCAGCATGTAAGCCAATTATTCAAGACTCTGGCGTGCGTGTTTTTTTGTATGGTGCAGCTTGTGCCCCATCTGATTCAGACATCATCTAGTTGGACCATGATTTCGTCCTCAACGTTGCCAAGAAGATCACGGATTCGCGGAAACAGATTCTAGACGGCGTTGGGAAGGGTATCGTCAAGCTATGCAAGACTCATGCATGAACACATAGATGTATTATTTGGGACATGACGATATGCCTCACTAACGACACTGTAGAAGACGAAACACCACTCACACATCACCACTCACCACCACACCGTAATGCCTCCATATATAATCGCAATACATCTACTATTATTCTGCTGGATCCTCTTTTGTTGTCTCAGCCCCACGTATATTCTCCACGATCATTGTTGTTGCTTGTTGTGCCAAAACGCGTCTGACGCGTACCGTCACGTCACGTCACATGCATATTGACGCGACTCGCCAGGGCCGCGGATTCGCGTCGACTGCACCACGTCCTCCTCGTTGCCCACGTACCTCACCTCACTGTAACAGAGTCTCACGCCCAACTATTTTCTGAACACCTTTCGCACATACCGCCTCTCTGATCATGAGTATGACGTTTCGACGCGCGTCTTAGTACCCGCAAAGCTGACTGGCGGACAGGCAATGACAACCCTTTCTATGGTGGTGGTGGTGGCGGCGGCGGATACATGTCCCAGAACTCGCCCTTTGGCAGTGGTGGTGGAAGTCCAGGTGGTTCAGCACGAGTAAGTGCTTTCTATTTATCTCGTAACACTCGCCAATGATCGCCCTCAGCGCGCCGCGTCCCACTCATTGCGCCCGGTTACGCTGCGACAACTGCTGCAGGCGCAACAAGAGCACTCTGACGCGGCTTGGAAAATTGGTGACGTCGAAGTGGGACAAGTGAGTTTCTGCCCTTTTGCGATGGGAGCCCCTAGAACAAGCTATGCAGGTCATGGTGGTCGCGCAAGCCCTCTCAGTTCAAGCCCAGACGACGAACTGCGTATACATGCTAGACGATGGTACCGCCCGATTTGAAGCACGACAATGGGTGGATGCCAACAGTGACGACGAAGACCGTGTTGATATCAAGTCAGTATCCCGGCTTTCTCTTCGCCTGTCGTCTGACAAGGCCATAGGGAGGGGTCATACGTTCGCGTCTTGGGCCGAATGGGTGCATTTGCCCAGAAAACATACCTTGTAGCAACACACATCAAGCAGCTCCCGCTTCAGAAGCATTCCGACGAGGTCTTTTTCCATGCATTGGACGTAGCTGCCACCACCTTGATTTTTGAGCGTGGTCCAGTAAGTGACACTCGCTTTGAGCATGTCTCGCAAGTGCTTATCCTGGTCCAGCCACCAAGACCAAGCGAGGCTCTTCGATCTCCCGTGTTGCCAACGGCTCTGCCTCTGGTGCGACGTCGGCTTACGCGGCTCAGTCTCACGGGGGTGCTGCGTCGAATTCTCAATTCGCTGGCCTGCCGTCTCTTCAAAAGAGCATTATTGAGTTTATGCTGAAACAGCCTCCGAATGAGGATGGGATCAACGTCGGTGCCATTGCAAGGCATGTCTCTAGCACAGGCCATGCTGCCGACGCCGGAATTATCAGGTACGCATGCTCTCCCAGTGGTTTCGATTGGAGACTGACGTTGCATACAGTGCTGCTTTGGAGCAGCTCATGGATCAAGGTCATGTGTATACCACGATTGATGATTCTCATTTCAATGTATCTGCCTAAAAAAACCTCGCACCTGTGTATCTTATCGTCTGTCGTTGCTATCTCATGTGGCTATCCTACCTACAGATCTCGACGTACTTCGTGCTTCTCATGCGGCCAGCCGCGTACTACCTTGGCTGCGGCCGCCCGCGCTGGAACGTGCGAGAGAGCCGCCGCGTGCTTCTACGGGAAGCTCCGAAGTGGTGCTGCAGTATCGTTTTTGATACCAATGTCAATGGTTGCTGTAGCCTGGCTCACACCATCATGTCTCTTCAAGACCAAAGCTTCACGTCCCCACGTCGCGTCACCGTCTTGAAGGAGTTGGTGAGTCAATCGAATGCCTCCTTGGATGCTGGGTGATTTGTGGATTGATCGCGTAAGATACGATAGTACAAGTCATCGGGCAACAGAATACGCCCTGTAACAATCCGTCAAGTACAGTCCGCCACCCTTCTTCACTCAGACGCGAAATGGATGATAGACGACATCGAAGTCGAACTGGTACGTCGCCCTGGTTCTTGTGCTATTCAAGGTTCAGAGCGTTCCGTTAGGTCCATCTCGTAGCTCATGTGATTCATGCATCGTCCGACGAGCGTTCTACACGATATGACCTTGAAGACGGTACAGGCTCCATGTCGGTCAAGCAATGGCACGACGAAGACACGTCTGTGGAACCAGTACCGGCCAACTCATACGCGACCATTCTAGCAATGCTCCATCGCAAGTTCAGAAATGAAGCAGTCACATTAAGGTTGAAGCACATACGCACACTTGAGGATGATATCCCTCATCAGATCTGTTTTCATCTGCTGGAGGCGGCATACGTGACACTCTGCTACGACCGAGGACCGCCAGTGAGTAACACACTCATGCTAATGTAATGGGCATACTCACAAGTTCCGTTTCCTAGCCTCCTGCAACTCAAAGGATAGCAGCGAGAGATATAAAGGCCTTTCCGAAGCCTGCCGCCTCGCCTACGAAATCTCAATCGCTACCTCTACAACGCGGAATGAACCCACCAAGGAAAGAGACGCTCATCCACGAACACCACCCAGGAGTCTAGCATCTTCAAGTAGTCTAACTTCGCCGGGTCGTCCCCCCTCCCCTACATCGTCCATGTCTAAGCTCTCGTTGTCATCTCCGTCCAGAAAAGGGTCGTCTCACGCAGTACTACCTCAGGCCCTTGCTCGAGTTCCGCTCACTCCCAGGGCTCAGAGTCCCGTTGGTGAGTCACACCAAGGTTGACTGTCGCATCTCAGACGACTGATTTGAGCGCAAGCCCCGCCTGTGCGAGAAGGACGGCGCGCATCAGGCATTAAACGCGATCCATACGGAAGTTACACTGTACTCCAGCGGGCCATTTTGCTGCAAATTTCGATGCCCCACTGCCAAAAGGAGTGAGCGCAAGACGGATCGTCAAAGGAGTTAGTCATTATGAAGTGACACAAAAGCAGCTCGAGTGCGTGCTTCACATGATGGCTGAACTTGACGGAACGCTCAGTGGGGGCCATGTTAGAGACACGTTGAAGTTCCTCGTGGACGAAGGCGTCATTGAGACTACACAAGACGAGTCGCATTTCATCATGAAGACGAATCACTATCCGGATGGCCTCTGAAACCCCTGTTGAATCTCGAACACCCCTATATAGCGAGTATACATCTATATCCCCGTGAACGCATCTGATCCTTGTAATATGTCCTAGTCGCCCGCTTTGTTGTCTTTCCGGTGTCCAGCCGAGTCGTAAGGCGGGTGGGAGTGAAGCACCTTGGCGATGTCATGCGCGAACCAATCGTGGACCTTGTGCGTTGGGTGGATATGATCAGTCCAAACATCCCCACCTGAACGGGAAGCATCCTCCGCTTTGAAGCCGTGTGCCGGAAGGTCATCCATGACCCGGATAAGGGTATCCCAGGACGAGTAGAAGAGAGTGGTCGCGTCTGGATGGTCGATGGCAAATTTGGCGATGTGTTCTTGTAGCGAGGCGTTCCATTTCTCATATGTCACCCGGAAGTTGGGGTCTACGGACGAGAAGTTGACACCTGGATGATACATTCCAAATCAAGATGAAGCTCTGGGCAGTTTAAAGCAGATACCGACCAACTGGCGATCGGTGAATGGGAGGGACGTCAATGAACAAGAAGTTGCGTGCGCCGATCTTGTACAAGGAATGCTGCTGGGCGAATAAGCCTTCCACGGTCGCGGGGACTTGTTCGGGGTCCAGAAAGCTGTTCATTCAGGGGCAGGTCAGTTACAAGCTTCTTGTTCAGGACGGCATATCCCAACCCACCCGCAGTCATTGATGCCAACCCAAGTAGCTGCACGCAGGTCTCGTGAGGCTTAGTCCGAAGAAGAGCTCATGACTTTACTGACTGAACAGGGTGTCTTCGCTCGTCCAAGGGGCCCAGTCGGGCTTCTGGCCAACCCTAGGCATGAAGTTCACCTGTATCTGATCTCGCACATCCGGCATCGAAGCGCCTCCAACAGCATAGTTGTAAACCAGAAGAGGGTGATGCGTGTGTTCGGTGATGAGATAGCCAACCCAGTTGGGCATGCCAGGACCTGCCCAGGTTACGCCCGGGAAAGGAATGCCGAGAGGTTCGTCATGAGTAGGGATGGACGATTTGTCGCTGTATTGGTAGCCAACGTCTGAATAGGAGTCGCCGCTGAGAAGACGTGGTCCGAGAGCAGGCTCAGAACGGGATATCAAACCCCTCAGCAGGTAATGAAAACCATACAAGATGACAAGATGCTTGAGGTTGCTGTACCCAGCCCAACTGGGACGAATTGCGTTGAGTTGAACGGTCATAACCGGTGCTTGAGAGGGTGCGCAAGAGGGCAGGATGGCAGTCCGACAAAGTTGAGAGCCACACTCACGTCGAACCTGCAGCGAGTTCTTCGAGATGATGGACTGGGATATAGCACTGCGGGGCCACACAGCGCCGGGGGCTTATTATTATTGTTATTATTATCTTTCAATCCCTACGTGTCACATATGTACGCGTGATAACGCAGCTATGAATCTATCCCGCAGCGCCGGGGGCTCGCCCGCCAGAGGCGGTTACCACTGCATGCGGCACGTGAGCAGTATGCAATGCCTCTGGGACTGCGCCTCCTCCCTTCGTCCAGGTTCTCTGGCCGACTCCCCCGTATTCATGAACACCGTCTAACACGCCTGCCACGTCTCTTTCTGCCGTCCAGATCTCAGTTGCTGGACTCCCCAATCCCCGGCCTTCATATCATCTCCCAACCATGTTCTCGTCCTTCTCGTGGCTTCCCTCCCTCCCCTCCATCGACTTCGCACTTCCAGCAGCCATCCAGAAGCGTTTCATCTCATTTGCGCTTCGCCAATCTCTCGGCCACTTCCTCAAGCCCGGCCAGTTCGATGTCCAGCAAGTCGACTCGCAGATTGGATCTGGCTACGTTCAGGTCCGAGATCTCGAGCTGAACAATGAGGTCAGACATCTCCTCTTCTTCTCCGTCCCAAAGCTATACTGAGGTTGCAGGCTATCAACGCGCTCATCTCAGCCCTTCCCATTCGTCTCCACGATGGCTCCCTAGGCAAGGTCACCGCTCGCATCCCCTGGCCAAATCCTCTTACCTCCTCCGTCGGGCTCTCTCTCGAGTCCCTTCATCTTACCTTCTACCTCGAGCCCAATGTTGTTCCCAAAGACGAACGCCCTTTTGTGGATAGTCTAGCCGAATCTGTTGCATCCGTTGCGGAGACATTCATCCACGAGGAGCTCACTCCAAACGAAGAGGCAACGTTGCGGGAGTCCATCCATCCCGAGTTCTCTTCTCCTTCCCAGAAGAGGTCAGAGGAGCACGTTCCAGGAGGGTTGGATCCTTTCATGTCGGAGGAGGAAGTTCACTTCAGCGATGCCGATCCTCCTGGAGTTTCTATATTCGCAACTCTCATAGAACGACTCCTCGCTCGTTTTCAGTTCGACGCAACGGATACTAGGATCACGATCGTCAATCCTGGGCAAGCTTGCTTCACTCTCATCATACCGGACATTCGCTATGGAACCCAGTCTCAGGATTCGTCCTCTCGTTCAAGTAATACAGATGCATCTAAATCCCCCCGAACGACACTTACCGGAGAAGTACGGAAAGTCTCTATCAGCGGGATCACCCTGACGACACGGTGTTTGCGTCCTATGAGCCCCCATCCCCTTACGCCATGCTCACCCGTTCTCACCCCGAAGACTCTGTCTCCAACGATGTCCCACACAGGACTTTCAGCATCCCAGATGAGTGTATCTGTGTCTGAAGCACCAATCCCACTTCTCGACAGCACAGCCCTCGATGTCCAGCCTCATGACACCGGAGAGGAACCGTTCAATGAAGCCCCAGGCGAACCATATGAGCCTACCGCGATGGATCCGCCACCTAATCTAGAAGACTCAATACACATTGTTGTGGACCAGGGTGCAGGCACGATAGAGCCATCGTCTCCCTACTCTGATTCCTCGGATATGGATGAAGACATTCAAATGTTCATGTCGCAGTCTATTGCGCTCCTTCCACCGCGCCCAGTGTCGCCCACAAGTTCAGTGGCTAGCAGCATGTACCAGAGCGCCGTGTCAACAGGAGGGGAAGTGGCGTTGGACGACATTCCCGAGGAGAACTCAGTGCATTCACGGAGTGCGACGCCTCCCGCGGAACCATCTCCTCCCCCGTCCCCGCTGCAATCTGCGAGCGCATCCACTCCGAATTCTCCGGAACCTTCCCCTCGACCGTCTCCTCGACCATCCCCTCCATCATATCCCCCGCTTTCGTCACCACAACAGACGTCTATCGAAGATGTTGTTCCGGACCTTCAGCCTATGCCCCACTCAATACCACAGCTCGTCCAAGACGTCGTGCAAGATCCAGCAACCAGTATTTCAAGTCGTCAAACAACGATCCGGTCGCTCGACATAGAAGACGAAACCATCTTGTCTTTCGGATCCGAACCGATCGAGCTGCGCTTAACTACACCACCTCCCTTCCGTGCTGCAGAAACACCATCTTCTGAAGCGTCTGCTCCCAAGTCGACTCAACCAGAAGCCGCCAGACCACTTGCGGGCTACGAGAAAGTTCGCGTCGACGTCTCAATGGGTATCATCGCATGTGCTTTTAACGCCCGCCAGATTCGGAGCATCATCGACGCCGTAGAACTGTGGACGTCTCACAGTGCACCATTCATTCTTCCAACTGCGCCCGATGCGTCAGGCAAAGTCGCGGGGTCGTCACCCATTCCTTTGGATGATATTGAAGGCACCATCTACTGCCGTGGCCTGATCTTCCTTCTTCTCCCAGCCCTTCGAACTTCCGCGTCTGGTCCTGATGACGCGCTGACGGAGTTCTTTGCTCGTCCGCTGGTCCCTCCCCATCTCCCCCGCGGGTATGGGAGATTACACCTCGAGACTGTCTCGTGCTCCTTCACTTCCAAGCGCGATGGGCCCACAGGGAGCAAACGAGGCTCATCAAAGAAGCCGGTTTTACCCTCCATGACAGTTTCATTGACGCTCCAAGACATTTCTATCTTTGCTCTGGTCCCGGTGTTCATAAGGAGTTGAGCGCCTCTCCCATCTTGATCTCGGATCCCAACCTTCCGTCACAATATCATGTCGCGCACATCCACCCAACCTTGGTCCCTTCATCAGTGGAATCAAGCTCCGTTTTGCCTACTTTCGACATTATCGACTGGACAGCTCCAACACAACGGAGTTCGGCAGCGAAACTGTCGATGTGGAGGACGAGAGCATCTCAACCGTCCGGACCAGGGCATCCCCGCAGTACGGACCCGAAGAGCGAATTTCAACATCTCCGTGGAGCCCGTCGAGAGGTCATCGGAAGTCGTCTAGCTCACCGGTCCAACATCGCATACCTGTCGCTCTTCCTTCGTCCCCAGGGAGGTTGGGTCTAGCCGGGCTCTCTTCCCCGTCTAGCAGAACCATTCAAGACGCGACTAAATCATACGCTCCGGCTATTGCAGTTATGTTCCGAAGTGCAGCATCTCCCGCCGAAGCTGCAGAGGTTAACATGTCCTTAGCGCCTCTACACGTCTTTGTGGACGCTGGCATGCTTCTCTCACCACGAGAGCACGACAAGAGCGAATTCCTTCAATTTGTCGAGGAGATCACTGCTCCATCTCGCCAGTATTCTCCCACCGTTGCTGGGGCAGGTGGTGATGAAGACGGAGCTGTTTTAGACATACGGATGAAGAACGTCCAGTTACTCCACGCCCTAGTGAGTTCAGAAGCTGTGAGGAGCAAGAACGCGAAAGGCGCCGTCTGGAGCGGCTTGTTCTGGAAGACCTTGATCTTGGATTTGATTACCGGGAGCAGAGAAAGTCCCCCACAACTCCAACCCGGCGCTCCAAGGTCAGTGCCTGTTTAACCTCGACGTTGTACGTATCGAACTAACAAACGATCAGAGGCGAACCGAACGCTCATCACCCAGCACTATTGTCACCGTCAATCTGCCAGCTCTCCGAGTCGAGATCCGGACCCCCCCTCCGAAGACCAAGGACCCTCGTTCAGGGGCTGTTGTCCTCGATATTCACGACCTTCGCTTGTCTCCTGGCTCTCCACCTGAACAAGACAGCGGACCCAAGGCGAGATTCGGCACGGCCGAAGAGATTTTTAATGCCGATGCGTCAGGTCCGAAACCAGATGGTCTAGGAAGCGTCCTCTTGGGTGCTAGTTGGCAGCGGATCGTTGTTGCATACGTGCCACTCAACGCCAGCAAGGCCCGTACTCTTCTGTCTCTTGGTTCACTGTCAAACTCTTCTGGTGGCGACGAGGCTGGCTTTGGTGTCGGCTCCCCTCCTGCCCGCGAGCCATCAACCCCCGGACTACGACCGCAGCTCATCGTCAGCCGTGTGGGACTCGGTCCCCTGGCTGCATCGATTGACATCCCATCGATACACGTGGAACTTTCTAAGCCTACCATCGACGGCTTGCAACTGTGGGCGGACGACCTCACACAGCTTACGGAAGCTGCGTTCTCGGAGCAGCCGGGCTCTGGCGCCAACTCTCAGAAGGGAGGCAGCGGGGATTCGAGTTTGATTGGGAGCCGGTACTTCGCTCGCGCGAGCACGGTTGGCAGTGGGACGGAGAGTGGAGCCACGAGTTTAGCGAACACAATTCGGGCGAAGAAGGAACCACGCAGTGAGACGGCAGTCAAGATCGCCGTCACTGAAGGTGCGTTCAAGCGGTGGTAGTTGGGGATGCAGATGCTGAAGTTCTTTCCAGCCGTGTTGAGGCTCCTTGCGCCAAGAGAACAAGCCGGAGCCGTAGTACGGCCATTCGACATCACTGCTTCCGATGTGGATGTGCTGCTAGAGCTTAAGCCTGAAGGAAAGGTGAATCTGATTTCTCAGTGAAACGAATGCGTGTTAACTTGCGTCGTCAGGATGAGACCGTAGTAACTGTTGGAGTGAGCGAGTTGAATATCTTCGACACGACGTCGGCGGATCGTTGTTGCTACTTGTCGCTCACATCCCCTCGGTCCTGGGTAAGTGGCATTAACACCGAAATGCTGCTGTACTAAATCATCTGTTCTCGCGGTGAAGTCTGTGACCGCAAGGTCGGCATTGAAGCTTCGTTTCACGTCGTTGATTGTACCCGAGACGACTGCGAAGGAGTCCAGGGTGCGGCTCACTGTGTCAGGAATCACCTACACCTTCTACCCGGATATCTCGTGGGCCGAGGACCTAGGCCGTTTCTTCAAGGCCCCCCCAGGGGTGAGCGTTGTATATTGTTCACATGATTTTCCTGGTCTAAAAGCATTTATCAGGCCTTCGAGTCTGTGGTTCCAAGCGAACGTACAAGGATCAACCTCAAAGTCCATGACACCTCTATTCGTCTCTTCGCCCCCACTCATAAGGGCGCGCTGTTGCCGTACATCGAAGAGGCGGAGTTATCGACTGTCATTGAAGGCAATGCCCCGACAGTGTCCATGAACCTCTCAGTCACTTCGTTTTTGCTGCTATTCATCGACGACTTGTCCGGAAACCAGGATGAACCAGGCACGCCACGGCGACCGACGGGTTCCGGAGTTACATATTGGAAGGTCGGTCCTGCACCAGTCCAGTCCGGCGTCTTTACGCGAAACTGACATTTGACATAGAAATTTGGCTATGCGCTGGTAGTGGAGCTTAACGAACTTGCCCTGATACTCAAGCAGGACACTTCCCTCAAGCCTCCTGATATCCGGGTAGGTATCTGCCTTGATCACCAGAGGGATGCATCTCATGGCGATCCCAGTTGTTCATTGACCGGGGAGACCTCCGTTTGCATATGTGTGCGGACACAATGGCTGCTGTAGGTGCATTCGGTGGTGACCTAGCTTCCGCATTCAGGCCTCCTGTTGTCGAGTGTGTACAGTTCCGTTGAAAGTTTGTAGCGTCTCTTACCACCCATCAGATCATCGGAGCCCAAACGTAAACGCGAACCGGCAAGAGTCAACGACAAGCCTACGCCATCCCGCGGTTTACTAGGTAGCGTGCAGTTGCCAGACGACGTGGGCGAAATGTACCTAACTTGCATTTCAGCATCTCTCGACGAGTATGCCTTCAGGAGGCTTCCCGAAGTCGGTGCTGCTCCAGACATGATTGATGACGATCTTCCTACCAATCCGGATTACCTGGACGAGTCTTTCGGCGCCGCCGCCGGTCTTCGCGAGATTAGCGATGATGAGTTCGATGAGTCTGATCTCGAGTCTTCCTTCGTGGCTGCCGGCGGAGGCGCGACGGCGGGAGCTTCGTCGGCGTTCGGTGGAGAGACAATCAGGATGCTACGACCCGAGGGCCTGCACATTGTGGAGAATTATTTCGAGACTTTACCTCCTAACCCTGGAGAGGCTTCTAGGCAAGCGGACTCACTTTCCTTGCAAGCACATTCGCTTACCTTTCGATAGCTTTGGAGACACTACGTTCCAGGCGAGGGTGAAAGATTTCGACGTCACTGTGAACCTGTATGATGGATACGACTGGGTCAGGACAAGGAAGATTATCGAGGAGAAGGCTAAGGAAATGCGACGACGATTGGCCAAGATTCGGCAACTCGTTGCCAGCGGACAAACACCCGATCCTAGCGTCGAAGAAACGACACGCTCCTGTTCAACTCGGTCTATATCGGCCTCGAGCACAACATCGACGAACTGGAGCCAGGGGCTTTGATAGCGGCAATTGACGAAGAGCTGAACGAAGAGTTTGAGACCAACACGCAAAGCTCGTGGCAGTCTCTCAAGCCTCAACCTCTCGCATCTCCAGGTCGCGGGGGCTCACAAGCTTCGAAACCGCACAAGAGGCGTCTGCATCGATCCAAAGGCCCTAGTATAGAGATCCGTCTCATGACCATCCGCGCTGAGTTCGACCAGTACCGACCCGAGGCGGCCTAGTGTCTAGGGTTTTCGCGACTGTCCAGGATCTCGAGATCCTCGACCACATTAAGACTTCGACTTGGAAGAAGTTCCTCACAAGCCTTCGTGCAGACTCGCGCGGCAATGTGCGCGAGACTGACTCCAACATGGTCCGAGTTGAGCTGCGCATGTTGCATCCTGTGCCAGGTCATCCCTCTCAAGAAGCTAGGCTAAGAGTGCGTATATTTAGTGCTGTATCTTGGTTCGTGTTGACGTTTTCGACAGGCCAAGATCCTACCTCTTAGACTACACGTAGATCAGGATGCCCTCGACTTCTTGAAGCAATTCTTCGCGTTCCAGGACCCCGACGCCGCGCCTCTGAAGGAGACGGACCCCGCAGACGACATATACTTCCAGCAAGCGGAAGTCTTCCCGGTCGACCTCAAGCTGGACTACAAGCCTCGTCGCGTCGACTACCGGGCCTTGCGGGACGGTCGTACCATCGAGCTCATGAACTTCTTCCACTTCGACGGAGCGGAAATGACCCTCAGGCATATCACTCTCAAAGGGGTGCGTGCCTTTCCCCTGACCACACTTCACCAGACGTTAACTTGCAGCACAGATCACCGGATGGCCACGCTTCTTTGACCTCCTCAATGACCTGTGGACACCTGATGTCAAGGCCACTCAGCTAGTAGATGTCATCTCGGGCGTCGCTCCCATCCGCTCCGTCGTGAACGTGGGCTCTGGTGTAGCGGATCTCGTCCTCCTTCCCATCGCGCAGTACAAGAAAGATGGTCGTGTATACCTCGGATTGCAGAAGGGCACTAACGCTTTCATGAAATCGACGGCCATGGAAGCTATCCGCCTCGGTGCGCGCCTTGCTACCGGGACCCAGGTCATTCTCGAGCAAGCCGAAGGAGTTCTCGGCAACCAGTTCAAGGACTCCGTGACCGCCGAGACTGTGCAGTCGCCAGTGACTGTGGATATTGACGATATGGAGCTCGATGAGGACACGAGGGACCTTATCAGTAAATATGCCGAGCAGCCGTCGAACGTCAAGGAAGGCATGCAATCGGCATACAGGAGTTTGAAGCGCAATCTCAACTCCGCAGCGCAGACCATCCTCGCAGTTCCCATGGAGGTATACGAGCGTTCTGGAAACGAGGTGTGCCCAACTTCATGCGATCCCATAAACCCTATTCATTCTCGACTCAGGGTGCTGTTCGCGCCGTCGTTCGAGCGGTTCCCATTGCCGTGCTGAAGCCCATGATTGGCGCTACGGAAGCTGTCAGCAAGACCTTGCTTGGGCTCCAAAACACGTTGGACCCCAACATTCGTCAGGAGAACGAAGCCAAATACAAGCAGCGTTAGACACGAGAGGTCTCGCGAGACCTTCATCCGCATACCCTGTACAACTACCCACTCACGCAATTGGACATCATACTCATACATGTCACCGGGGACATCTTCATAGCATGTACGTTGTAGCATTACATAGCAATACATCGACCGTGGATAGACCGCAAACACAACACGTGGAGGGATACCAGAGGCGAAACGTACGGACGAGTCAGTCGATCTCCATCCCCATCGACCTGCCTTCTCCCGCAACGAGCGCACTGCGAGGCTTGGCCGCGATCTTGATTTTCTCCTTGATCTTCTCCGCCTGAGGGGTGATAGGCTGCACGAGCTTGATCGAGGTCTTCTCGGCCTTGCGCTTCCGGTGCGCCTTGAGCTTCTCCCTCGCCACCGCCATCCTGCCGGAAGGTCTCAGGATGCGAGCCTTTGCTGCACACAAAGAGAGAGGCGTACCGGTTCTTCCAGAAGGCGTGCTCGCGCTTCTGCTTGATCTCCGCTATCCTCTTCATCGCCTTGACAGTCGTCTGTACCAGCTCGCGGTTGTAGCGGACAGGGACGTTTCGCCTCTTCTCGAACTCGATCGTCGAATCCTAGGATAGGAGTGTTTGCATTTGGCACCTCATTTTAGGACGAAGGGCAGACTCACGATGGTCATCTCCTTCCCGGCCGCCTTGCGGAACGCCTTCGTCCAGCGTACCTTCCTCGGGTTACGCTTCATTCTGTGTGCGTAGTCAGACCGTGGGGATTTCGAGCGATGTTTCCTATGCTTACTTGAAGTTCTTGTTGCATCTGTGGGACACTGATCAGTTAAGCGAGAGACTCGCGGAGGGAAAAGCTTACTTTGAGCTGCAGAACCGGAAGACTTTGGCGTCGTTCCGAACGAATGCGCTCCCTACAGGGCCCGTTAGCAAAAGGAGTGTCACAAAATTGGAGAATGCTGACCGTGGCCGGGGTAGACGCTTTTTGAGCAGAAGTAGCACTTCTCTACACGCATGGCTGGGCAAGGAGAGAGACGGACGGTCCTACTCCGCGCACGCGGCTCCGGAGACTCCGGGCGCTTCCAACTTTTTATGGAGCGCCCGAGTGGTAAAATGCCAAGCACGCACAAACAAAGCGCGTCTGGGTTCAACAGACGCTCACGCAGTCTCAGCCTGCGGCGGTTCAAACGTTGCGCACACGAGTGCCTCCTGTACAACTGTCAAGATTACGTATTACGGGCCCGTTTACGAATATGCGTGAGAGGAATCCAGAAGGCCCCGTAGAAGTCCGCAGTTTCATTTTGACGGGCCGCAAACATGCGCAAACAGCCACAGCCGTCCTAGCAACAGACGCGCCTCCAGTTTCTCCTCCGCCTTCCCTCCACACGACGACGTCGCCCGTTGTGATTTCCACCCTCGTGTGCCCCGTGCGTGTATCATTGGCGTCAACTCAAAACGTATCAAGATAGTGCGACAAGGCTCAACATCGTCAAGCCCACCCCAACCCTTTCGCGTGTCCCCAACAAGACGCAAGTTCTGCCTGTCCGATTGTCCCCAAGTCCCGTGTGCGCGAGAAAGTAACGAGTTTCCCGAAGATGGCCCGTCTTGCTGGCAATTGAGCGAAGCCGAAGACTGAAGACGCCTGTGTGACGTGACGCACCATGTTCGATACCGCTTCCAGTGAGTGTTCGACGTCGTGTGGGAGCGGCGAGCGAGCGGCCGCAAGAACATGCGTCCTGAGTACAACCTGTAGCGCAAGACACCGAACGGATAGTGCAAGTCAACTTGCATGGGCATCCTCTAGTGGTCGCGGATCGTGACATCATCGCCCTGAGCGAATCAACCTGAGTTCTATCCGAAAATTCAAGCGGGCGCGATGAAGCAGCGAGCAACAGCAACGAGAGCAAAGCTAGTCTACATGGAACGTTCGTAGGAGTCGAAGACGTCGGCACTTATAGATACACGAAGCCCCTGGGACCATTAGATGCGCTCCAACCAGTCTGAACGCGGAACGCCTCCTCAACTATCACATCTAGATCGGACCCTGCTCCTCAACGACAAACGCAGGCTGTTAAACTGTGCGAGGCAACGAGGATGTCGAACGACGTTTCTTCACTGAGAACGCCAGAGCAAGATCCTAGGACGATCGCCAGAACGAGCAAGAAAACGTCAACTGCGCACAATCCTCACCAGACAAACGCGACTTACGATGATCAGCGTCGACAAACTCCGCCTCCTCCGAGCACGACCGGCCTCCTCCACCTCGTTCACTGCGTGCCCGAGGTCGAGAATCGCCTTATCGGTGGGCTCCTCAACCTGCGACTGAGGGAGAGCAGCCGCGTCAGAGCCGCGTCAGAGAAGCTGCAGTGGAACGAGGAAGACGTACGTCTGAAGCCCCCGCCTTACCCCTCTGCGCGACGGCGTCCGAGGTGTAGCGATAGTCGACCGTTTGCTGTTCCCCGCCAGTTTGAGGCCGGAGCGCACGCGACAAGATGTGGGGCGGCACTCACCATCAACGGGTCCACCTTCGGCGCGTCCGCCATCTTCCGCTGGGTCTGAGGGTAGGGGTGGAAGCGCAGGATGATGCTCTCGCGGTAGCTGGGGAGCCGGAGCGTGTCCGTCTGGAGCTTTTGGGACATCGTCACGAACGAGGGCCAGGCAGGGTCGGGTTTGCGCATGGCGGGTGCGCCGTAGATTAGGGATTAGCCAGTGTAAGGAGCGTATGGAAAAGAGGGGGCGACGGTGGGGGAGAGGGCGGGGTGGGGGGAGAAGAAGGGTGGATAAGCACGGTCGCCCAAACCCTGGCCGTTATATAGGCCGAGGGACGACGACGACGTTCGCGTAAGAGGCGAATGCCGCATCCGCTCGAGCAGGAAAGTGGCCCGCTCGTTTCCGGGCGACTGCTGGGCGCGTCGTTCAGGCGTTCAGGGGCCGTCTCCGCGAACGCGCTTCTCTCCCAGAGACATCCCAGATGTCGGCCTGGCCCCACCCATTCGCTTGTCCGCTGGCAGATCTCAACAGCACGCTGAATTGCGTCCTGTTTAGGAAGCCCACCGAGTCACGCCCGCAGTGCTTCGCCCAAACAGGCATTGCGAGTAGTCCTACACAGCATGCGTGGTCGCCAGGGCCAGCGCGGCGGATACCTGCAATGCTGGAGGTCAGCGTCGTTCTTTCTCAACCACCTCAAACCGCCCAACACACAGACGCAGAGTCGACCACTCCGCGTTGCCCTCTTGACACAATCACTATCTCCCAGGCAGCGAGGAGTATCGTCAAGAAACTACACCCTCCCGGGTGCGTCTTCAAGCCCAGTTTCTCTCTCCAATTCACTGCAACATTCTTCCTCCGTGGCACGACTCTCCTGGAAGTAGTGCCCTCCAGGTTTGCCGTGAACGTGACAAGTCACGGCCGTCACATCATAGCATGCGTCCAAGGAAGGTGGGTTCCCTTCCTTCGTTATACGCATTGTGTGATTGATAGAACAACGCGGCAGATGTTTATACTCTGTGTAAACCAACGCGGTGCATGCATGGTGTATCAACGCTCACATGCGTCGATCCACCCACTTCCTCGAACACATTCGGGGAAGCTGGGTGCATGGTGCGGCGTTGCCCTAACCAGGGCGAAGCATATACGCGGAAGAGCGTTTTCAAGGCGAGACAGCAGCAACGCAAGGTGGATGCGTCGCGTGCTGTGCTCCGCCTTGCGCGATGACTCAAAGGCCCGAAACCAAACACATTCGAAGCCACGACACCATGTGTACAATGATGGGGAACATGCAAGGCAAGCACGAGAACAACATAACTCACCTCTGTCCGTTGTCGAATAGGTATGAACGCCGCCTGACATTCAACACCTCTCGTTCCAAGTTCTGAAGATGGGTCCCAGCGACATGGCCACGACGGCGACAGCCTGCCCGCCCAAGACGTCCCATTCACCTCTCCCAAGAAACCTACCAGAGGCATTCCGTAGAAGCAATCCCAGGCGTGTGATGACCGACGGCAAACCCGAGTCGACGCCCGTAAGTGACTGAGGATTTGTGTATTTTTCAACGACTTCTCTCCAGAACCGCGAACTTCGGAGTTGCGTGACTCTTGAATACAACCGCCAACTGTGATGCCTCAAGACTGGGCAAGGATGGCCAAGAATGAAGGAAGCAGAAGAGAGGACAGCTTGCGGTCCTAGCCAGAAAGAGCCGACAAGAGCGACGAAAATTTGGCTCTTCGAAGTCGAGAGGTGAGGGTTGTCAAGTTCTTGAGCATTGTTGAACTGAAGAGTTGCATGCGGTGATATTGGGGCCGCTGGGGATGTCGTCGGTCATGGTAGAGAACAAGTGGGAAGGAGACACGGTGTGTGGGCGTGCGCCGAGTGACCGTTGCGCGCGGGAGCGACGCGTCCGATCACACTCCAAGCGGTGCCTGCGACCGATTGCGGAAAGCGTCGCGGACCGCTCGCTGACGGCAACCAGCTCTGTAAGCCCCGTCTTGCCAGAAACCAGCTAATCCCCGTCTTATCAAAGCTCTAGAATTGGTCAGGATTCGCACAGAATCCACCTGGCCAGTGTTCAGGGTGATCACGGGTTCACGAGTATACTGTCGACACTCGTTCATCCCTTCAAGGTTTGAGAGAGTCCCGGTATTCGATATTTTCCTCGGGATTCATCTCTCCAGGTCAGTGTCTCCCGATTCCAGCTTTGCGAGATATACATTCTGACTCTGAGGATCGTTCTGCACATGGAACTCGTCATTCTCAGTGAACGAATTTAGCAACCTAGCATTAATGACACATAACCTCGTCCGATGACTGGTTCCGCATATATTAACGGTAAACGGATTACCATCATTTCATCCCTCCCATAGGCACCACCGATGCAGAGCCAGCTTACTCTCCAACCTGCTGCAACCCTCGATTGATCGGCGAGGGACAGCGGCAAAACGTGATTACCGAGGCGTCAGTACTGTGGCGATGATGCGCTACACATCTACTTGAATTGGTTCTAACGAAAGGCACCGTTAGTTCCGATCGGACGTCCACAGGCGCGGTCATATGATGGATTGAGTAGCGCATATATACAATTTTGATACCAGCCTCGCAGACCATGTACTGCACATAAGGCACAATACAACTTCTACAGGCGACAGACACGTCGGGGTCGAGATGCACAGTCCACAATTAGCAGCACAAATCACTGTCGTGCGCCATCGGCGCAGAGTTCATCCACCACCATGCCCGCGCGTACGCCCAGGATGCTGAGCAACGACTCGCTGAGCCCGTGCGTAGACTGCGTGCAACCCTGGAGGTACACCCGCGGCGCGTGCTTGCTATCGTGCTCGGGCAGCAGGCGGTATGTCCTGCTGACGCGCACCTTGCTCGGCGCGCCCTCGCCCGGGAACTTGGTGTGGTGTGAGTGCGGGGTGACCGGGGTTGGGGGCGTCGAGAAGCCGTCCGAGGAGCCCGAGCCAGTCGGGGTGGCGCGTCCTGCGATAGAGCCCTCAAGGGCGGAGAGAATCTCGCGCTCGCACGGCGCAGCATCGCCCTCCGCGACGAGCTCGATCGCGGAAGATTTTACGCCGTAAGCCTCGGCGAGGTCGGAGGAGGCGAGGAGGCGTGTCCATGAATCGCGATCGTACCCGGTGCCACAGAAGACGGCGTCATACGTCCTGTGCGTGACCGAACGGGAGAGGAGGCCATGCAGAGTGAGGCGAACCGCGTCACCGCGCGTCGCGCCGTCAGGGTGGGCAGGGACCATCTCGGAGGAATAGATTGCGGTGTGGGGGCAAAGAGTGATCCGTGTGCGGTTGTTGTCCTCTTCCTCCCCGGTGCGGGACTTGATGCCGTCAAGAAGGTTTTGATGGTACATAACCTCGTAGAGCTGGATCACCGCCGGGTAAGCGAGAGGACATTGGGGCAGGAAGAGGGAGACGCACGGAGTCAATGGTGCGGACGTTGACGACGCTGTAGTTCGTGGCGTTGTACTCGCGCAGGACGGCCTGGCGATCGCGCTGGGAGGGCAGCCCGAACACGAAGTCGGTGGCTGCTCGGCGTCAGCGCGATCGGCGGGGGGCGCATGACGTCACTCACACGCAGGGTCGAAGATCTCGTTCGAGAACGGAGTGTCGTCGCTCGGCTTCACCGAGCCCCGACGGAAGATCATGTCCAGCTCGTGCTGCCGTCCCCCAGAGACATGGAGCGCGTTCAGCCGGCTGTGGAGGTCGAGCACAACCTCTGTTGCCGACTGTCCCGCGCCGATCACCGCAATCCGGAGCGGCTCTGTCGTCCGCGGGAGAGACGCGAAGAACTCGTTCGCGGACGAGATATATGACGCGCTGTGAATAATACGTGGGTGCGGCCAGTGGATGGACAGTGCGGGCGGAAGTCTCGGCGTCCCACCCGGAGAAAGGACGATGTTGCCTGAAGGGGTGGTGGGAGCCTCAGCCTGGTTCGGGGTCATGCGGCAACGGAAACACTTACGTGCTATCCTCGAGAATTCCTCGCCTGTGCCGATGTCGCGGCTGCGTACCTGAACGAGCCCATCTTCACATCGGCTGATAGCGATAACCTCCTCCCCATAACGGACTCGGATCCCTTGCTTTTGCACGTACTCCGCCGCCCACGAGAGGTAGTCGGCGTACTCCCGGCGCGTTGGTGTGAAGCTCCCGCGGTTGATGAAGTTCACGAGGCGGCCTTGAGAGTGGAGGTAGGCGAGGAAAGTGATGGGCGACTGGGGAGAGCGCAGCGTGGCGAGGTCCTTGAGAAAACTGAAAAGCGTATATTTAGCAGCCTTCCACCATCGAGGCATTAGTACCAACCTGATCTGCATCCGGGAGTTGGGCAGCAGCATGCCGGGGTGCCACCGGAACTCACGCTGCTTCTCAATGAACAGGCATCGCCGGAGAGGCGCATGGTCCTGGTCACATGTATCAGATAGCAGCGCGATAGGTAGTGATTAGTGGCCGTCGATGAGGCGGAGGACGAAAGGGGTTACGTACGGTGCTCGCAGCGTCCTTCCACTTCTCGATGACGGCTCCGGCAATGGCGACGTTAGCGGGGCCGAAGCCCAGTCCAATCACATCGAAAGCGGGATCGGCGGTTGACTGAACAGACATGGGGGAGAACGAACGAAGAGCGGCAGAGGTGCGCGAGAATTGAGGGTGAAGTAGGGCCGGTGCGGTTCTTCGGACGTGCGCTGGAGGAAAGCTTTTAAAGCCGATGCGCAGGGACCTGGTTCGCGCGGTCAATTTGCACGCGTAATCTTGCTACTGTCCATCGCACGTTTCGCGAGCCGGTCCCGAGGCGCGATGCCCCGCCTCCGTGGAGAACCGGGGCTCTCGACGCGCCAGGCGGGTGCCTACGGCACAGACCCTCGGGCGAGAGCCCTGACAAGCGGTGGAAACGCACATTTGCTTGCCTACCGCGTAATACGGTGTGATGGACTGTGTCTGGGACGGCCTAGGGCCGTGGGCGACGGGAGGGTGTCGGTGTGGGACTGAGGCCGGGCAGGGAAGGGGACGTGGAAGAGAGGCGGCGGACTATCTGATTAGATCACCCAGGCTCGCGCCGCCGGCCATCTAATCAGATTTGGAATGATGCGCGCACGCCATCCAATCTGATAAGATGCCCCTTTCCCTTGGCAGGCTCGGAGGCGGCGGCGGGTCATCTTCATCCTCCCCCGCGCCCTGTCCGCTCCCTCCCTTTAGCTTCTCCTTGTCGCGTCGTGCCTTGACCACCGCATGTGTCCGCATTTTGTTTTCCGTTTTTCCAACGCAGCACAATGGTCTTCTTGGCGTGTACCCGCCCAGTCGGGCCACGTCCCCGTCCTCCGAGCCCCTCCGTTCTCCATCTTCGACGTGCTCGTGACCTGGACCGTTCGAAGCCGCATATCGCGCGAATTTTGAGATATAATTTTGCATAATCCCACCTTGTCAAGTGGAGGAGGGACGGAAGTGTGAACGCGAGCGAGGTAAGTACGATTAAAATCGGCCCGGCTCTTTCTCTCTCCCTGCCCAGCCCCACCTCCAATGGCCTCCCCTCCTCCACTGTCCCCACGGATGACTCCCACACCGGCGGTCCTAGCGGACTACCTCTCAGGATACAGGCATACAGACTTCCCAGATCTCTCTTCCCGGCGGTTCGCTCCTAACGCTCTCCATTCGGTCTCACTACCAATAGAGCATGGCTCTGATTTGGAGTTGTCTTCCCTCTACCCCATAATCGTAGCCGCGCTGGGCCGTGTCCTTGGTGCGTACTGCGGCTGTCAAGACATCCTCCTCGCCCTCGCTGTCGACGAGCATGAGCACGTCCTGCCTGTGCGGATCTCCTGGACCGAGAACCAGACCTGGAAGGACGTCGTATCAAACGTTAAACACGCCCTAGAAGGTCTTCCCTCGCCCCTCGTCCATCCCGATGTCCTCCGGCATGCGCTTGAACTGTCCCCCAAGCAACTTCCGGCCGCGGCCCTCGTGAGCGTCGGTATCTCTCGCCGCCCTCGCCTCCGCGGACACTTTCCCCTTGTTATAGCGGCGGACTTGGCGAATGAGAGGATTTCCATCACCGTATCTGAACGCGTGTTCCATCCCTCCCAGTCCAAGCTGTTCCTGTCGCAAGTGACCGCCTTGACGAAGCATGCGGTCTTCAACCCAACTCACAGCTCGCAAGGGTACCCGAGCTTTCGGCTGACTTGTTGTCCTCCTGGGAGCGCCAAGACGACACCAAGGCTGGCGAGACATACTGCTTTCTGCCCCAGACGAGGCTTGTGTACGACCACTTGTCGATGCGCGCTGCCGAGAACCCAGATGGTATCGCAGTCCATTGGTTTGCAGACCTTTCCACCGACGTCCCGATTTCCTCCTACACCCCCGACACCATCACCTATATCAACTTGGAACGGCGTAGCAACCAGTTCGGTCGATGGCTCATTCAACGTGGGCTTGCCAGGGGACGCGCTGTTGCCATCTGCAAGTTACGCGACATCTGGTTTCATGTCGCACTCCTCGGTGTGCTGAAGGCCGGTGGATGCTACGTTCCTGCAAGTGCACTGTTCCCTCGTGCTCATGTATTTACTAATGTCACATTGCGCCGCTTAGATTGATCCTGAGCTCCTATGAGAGACAGCAGTTCATTGCGAAAGACGCGGACGCACAGTTCATTGTCTCGTCATCGGACCTGCCGTGCTTCGCATCACTAGATGCCGTGGACTTGAATGATCGGCGATCCAGAAGGCCATTCAACTGCAAGCTTCTGGACCTCTGAGCATCCCAACGCCAGAAGACGTATCGTACATTCTGTATACTCGGGTGCGTCGGGTGCATTGGGGAGTGAGGCAAGCAGACTCACCATGCACACAGGAACCACCGGAACTCCGAAGGGTGTATTCTGACTCATCTTGGTCTTGCAGAGGCGACCAGGTCGCTGGCGCACTTCAGCGCCGCGGCGGTGTTCGATCGACCCGTTCGAGAGAACTATCTGTCTATCGCATGTGAGTGCACGCAAGCTCTTCTCTTGTTTCCCACTCCCTTTTGACGCCATCCTACAGCCGTCGCATTCGACGTTCACTTATCCGAAATCTTCTGTGCTTTCGCCGTCAGCCTTCCTATCGTCTCCGCGCCGCGGTCTCTTTTGTTGGAGGATCTTCCCTACTACATCAAGCACCTGCGTATTTCACATGTCGGTATCGTGCCAAGTCTCATCGAAGCAACAATGGGACAAGTCCAGGAAGCCAAAGAAGCTGGCCAAGAGATGGCGCTCCGCTATATCGCGAGCGGAGGCGAAAAGATGAGCGATGCAGTGCGTCTTATCTCTTACCTTTCAATAAGGTCTCCCATTTCATGCCTCTTTAGATTCTTGACCAATGGGCATCGCATCCAACTGTTCGTCTGGCCAATTTCTACGGGTAAGTGGTACTTCCGGTTGGTGTGCTCGAGTGAATAATATTCATTCGTACCCAGTCCGAGCGAAGTTACAATTGGCTGTGCAGCACGCTTCATGGACAAGGACACTCCCAGGGCGAACATCGGGCACACGTTCTCAACGTTGCATCCTACGTTGTGGATGAAGACCTCAACGTCGTCCTCCGCGGTGGGTCCGGCGAGCTCGTGGTTGAAGGCCCGCTCGTTGGGCGTGGCTATGTTGGACGCCCAACCTGACCAAGAAGGTCTTTCTCCGATTCCCGAACGACGGAAGCGAGCGGTGGGCGTATCGCACTGGCGACCTCGTGCGCATGATGCCGGATCAAACCCTCGAAATCATCGGCCGTATCGATACGCAGATCAAGCTTCGTGGCGTGCGCATAGAATCGGAAGGCATTTCCTCCATCATCAGGAACGCCGCGGCCCCGGCCCGGACTCTCGACGTTCTCACCGTGCTCGCCAAGCATCCCGACATTGGAGTCGACCAGCTCGTGTCCTTCATCGCTTGGGACCAGGCCATCCCGATCGCAGTACGCAAAGGTGGCAAGCCCTCAACGATCACGGCCCCTGAGGGCCTCATGCGGCAGCTCCGGTCCACGTGCGATCGCGAGCTCGCGAGCTACATGCGCCCCAGCCAATCGTTCCGCTCGACTTCATTCCGCTCAACTCGAACGGGAAAGCGGACGCCAAGGTTCTATCTGCATTGTTCCTGTCACTTGACCTCGAGACCTTGACGGACTTATGGGCCGGTGGGCACGGCTCGCAAGGGTTTCGGGCTCGTCTATCCCTAAACACCTGAATGACCAGGCGACAGAGACGACAAAGAAGCTCCTCGATGTCCTTAAAACGCTCATCAAAATCCCGGCGGGAAGCTCAACCCCGGCACCAACCTGTTCGAATGTGGCATGCATTCCCTCGCGGTCGCTGGGTTGTCTGGGGAGGTGCGCAAAACGTTCGGCGTCAAGATTTCTCCTGCGCGTATCATGCAATCGCCTGTCATCGGTGACATTGCAACGCTAATCGACGGGGAAAGTAGCAAGACCTCTTCGACCCACGGCACTTCAGCGGTAGAGAAGTTTGCTGACCACATCCGAACGGAACTCGATGCAGCGTATCCTGGAAATAGGATAGAAGCCGTACTTCCTCCGTTCCCCGTGCAAGAGGGTGTCTTATATCGCTCAACAAACGCCCTACGATGTATGTTCAACACGTCCTGATGCGTCTGGCAGCGAACGTCGTCATCGCAAGCGTCGAATCCGCGTGGACAGAGCTCGTCAAGAATCACGAGATGATGCGGTGAGTTTCTGTATCCTCTCTCATTCCGATGCACGATCGGGCTGATGGTTTATCGTCCAGAACCGTTTTTCACTTTGGCTCGGAGCTTGTTCAGGTCGTCCTGGACGCAGACGCGTGCGGCCCGTGCATATCGCATCAAGAAATTAACCTCAGTGATGACCAGAGCTTCCAAGGCTACTTCATCAAACACTTCGCATCTACTGTCGCCCGTGATGTCAACGAGAAAATCACCGAGGTCCCACCAGTCCGCCTGTTGTTCTTCAACGGTCCCCCAAGCGCTCGTTACCTCGTACTCTCCATTCACCATGCCTTGTACGATGGCATTTCTCTTCCGGTGCTTCTCCAGGATATAGAACGCGCATACAATCACCAGCCTCAGCTTCAATCCGCTCCTCTCCGCGACATCCTTGAACAGTTCATGACCATAGATTACGACGCAGCTCGCTCCTTCTGGACCACCCACCTCAAAGACTACCCATGGCATCGTCTACTCAACAAAGCAGCTTCCTCTTCTTCTCCCAATATCGCTTCTGTTCATTTCAAGCACCCACTATCGGCCTTGCAGAGCAAAGCGGCGAGCAAACAGGTCACCTTGCAAGCACTGTTCATGTGTGCTTATGGCTCGTTAGTCGCGGAGCACATATATAGTCACGATGATGTGGTGTTTGGAGTACGTTCATCTCTCTTACTTTATCCCATTGCTTGTCTGATCTGGAGTGCCACAGGCCATCCGCTCTGGACGGTCGCTTCCAGTTGACCACCTCGATACCACGATCTGCCCCGTGATCATCGTCGTTCCAGCCCGTGTGCGCCTGAACAACCCATCTCGTGTGTTGCAGAATACCCAGCAAGAGATCGCGCGGGCGGGCGAGTATGAGCATATCCCCCTGAGTCGTATACAGAAGTGGATTCCGGAGTGCACAGGTTCCCTCTTCGATACACTCTTCTCTGTATCATTCAAAGAGAACGGTACAAGCGCGCTGTGGAACATCATTGAAAGTCAAAACCCGGAGCCAGACGTACGTACTACGTTTCTTTGAGATTCGATAAACAGCGTACTCATCCGCTGTACAGTACATTCTCGCGGTTGAAGTGGTCCTCGACCCAGCGCAAGATCAAGTCGTCGTTCATGCCGCTTTCACGTCGGACGATATATCCGCGGCAGTCGTACAGCAGATTCTCAGCCAACTTGAGGATGTCGCCACGCGCATCGCCAACGACACCAAGTGGGCTCCTTCATTTGCGCTCTCTAAGCAGAACGGAACAAGCGTTGTACCACCCCCCAGCCGACAGTTCGACGAGGAGCCTATTCTATTTTCCGTAGATCGGGAAGTGGTTTCCAATATCTGTACCATCGCCGCTCAGTTCCTCCGTGTCAACGACAACCTGATCAAATCGGAGACTTCCCTGCTTTCGCTCGGCCTCGACTCCATCAAGTCCGTTGGACTCAGTCGGAAGCTTTCTGCCGCGGGCCTGCGGCTGACGTCGGCGGACATCATGAAGTTTCCGACACCCCTTCGTCTGGCTGCACACATGCAGGCCTCATCGACTTCCCAGAACTCTGTCGACGAAGCCATCGACAATTCAGCATTCGCGGCAGACAGCGCAAAGTTGAAGGATCTCCTCGGCAGCAACGTCAAGTTGTCTGAGGACGATGAAGTGAAGGTCTATCCTACCAGCATGCTGCAGTCGGGGATGTTATCCCAGGTATGCTTTATTCAGTCTGTATGGGCATGCACGCCTTCTCACTTCACGATCAGACCGTTCATTCGCAAGGGCACCTCTACGTACACCTCTTCCCCTTGCGTCTGGCTGCGGATACACACGTCGAGCGCGTGAAGGCCGCGTGGGAGAGAGCAATCTCCTTGTTTGACATCCTGCGAACTACGTTCCATTTCATCGCCGCCGAAGGCGTCTGGGCTCAAGTCGTTCATAGCACATCCACGGTCCAGTGGTCCGAGCACTCGTTCATCTTAGAGGATCAGCTTGTCGACGTCTTGAACCCCCTCCTGAAGATCGCGGATGAAGACAGAATGTTCGAGCGTCCTCCCGTGTACCTCAACCTTGTATCCGGCCCTACTCCAAACGAACCTCAGCACCTCGTCGTTGTCATGCACCACGCGCTGTATGATGGTCATTCAATCTCAGATCTATTCTATGTCGTGCAGCAGATATATGCTGGTACAAAGCCCCCTCGACGACCCGAGTACCACCAGCTGCTCCCACGTATCAAGTGGCAAGAACGGAACGGAACCTCGTTTTGGGCCGAACGCCTTCGCGGCCTTCAACACGTTCCAATACCCAAGAAGAACAGCCCTGATCAGCCTGCCACTACGTTTCATACCTCTCTCCCTGTGTCGCTTGACCTAGAACAAATTCGTAGGGCTTGTGGAAACGCTCAGGTCACTCCTCAGTGTCTGGGTCAGGCGGCATTTGCAAAAATCCTTGCCACCCTGACAAAATGTCGGGACGTCGTCTTCGGTCGTGTGGTGTCCGGTCGTGATATGCCGGGAGCGGACGAAGTTGTCGGCCCGATGCTGGTAAGTCGTGTACCTCGCGTATTGCTCCACCCACTGACAACATTTCAGAACACCATCCCATGCCGCATCGTCATCTCGACGGATGCCTCCAACAAGGAGTTGCTCCAACAAGTGCACGACCACAACATCACATGCTTGCGCTGGCAGCACGCTTCACTACGCTCCATTCAGCGCGAAGTCGGCGTTAGTGATCTTTGGGACAGCCTGTTCGTCTTCCAACCGAAGGGCGAGGCGCAACAGTCGGAGCAAGCTGCGCCATGGATGTTTGACGTGGGTGATGGTGTGGATTTGAGCATTCAGGTCAGTCCATCAATATTTCAAAGGCGGTCTGTATTTACCAACATACGGTCCAGTATCCTTTGAACATCGAGCTCCATGAGACGGAGACCGGATTCACGGTGGAAGCCGCCTGCATGTCGAGCATCGCCAATCAAGATGAGCTTCGTGGCATCGTCTTGAAGTACGCGAACTTCCTAGGCGACATGTTCCAACAGCTAGACGGTCCAGCAAGCGCGGGCTTGCCCGAAATCCCTACTGCTCCATCCGCGCCCACAGGGAAGGCAATCGTCGACGAACCATCACAGCCCGACCTTCAAGATGATGATGAGTGGCTCGTCGCAATTCGAGGAGTTCTCGCCGTAGCTGCCAGAGTATCGGAGGCTAAGATTGTACAGGGAACGCACCTCGCTACCCTCGGCATCGACTCCATCACGGCGATCCAGATCAGCGCGAATGCTAGACGCATCGGTCTCCGACTCTCGGCGGTGCAAGTGGCACAGAGCAAGACTGTCTCTGACCTCGTTCAGAAGATCAAGGAAAAAGTCCCGTCCAATGCATCCAACGGCAAGATCGCGAATGGTGAGATCAGGAACGTTACCAATGACGGCTCTCCCAAAGTTCCTCTCACTCTCGACGTACCTCGCACACGCTGGACATCCATCGTTCCAGCTCATCTTGTCGACGACGTTGAGCGGATCACCGCAACATCTGCCGGAATGGAATGGATGATCGGGATGTGGCAGAGAAGCAAAGGCTCCCGATTCCAGCATGTATTCGGTTACCTTCTTCCCGCCGACGTCAACCCATCCAGGCTCCAGAGCGCATGGGACCAACTCCTCCTCAAACACGCGATACTACGTTCGACCTTCGCATACGACACTGATCATCTGGTCCCTCGCACCGTCATCTTCAAGCCTTCCGCGGTCGCTTCATTGTGGTCACAAGAAACCCCGGATTCAGCAGAAGATGCGTTCTCAGTGGTTCAACAGCGCATGAAGGATTTGGTATCCCACCCACCCTCATTCGAGCGTCCATGGACGCGGGGCCTTTTCCTGTCATTCTCTCAGTCCAACTACCTCGTAATTCGCTTCCATCATTTCCAGTACGATGCCTGGAGTCTGCAGCTTCTCGTGGACGACCTATCGCGCCTCTATGTGGGCGATGCCCCGCGTAGTTCCAACAATCTTGATGGCTTTCTTCTATATGTCAACCCGTCGTCCCCCACCGTCAGGGAAGAGAAAGCACACTACTGGGAGGCTACGTTCCGGGATCAAACCGTCACGTTATTCCCCTCTTTGAGCAACGCTTGTCTTTCTTCCCGCGGAGTTCACATCGACCAATCGGCCGTTTCAGATGCCGCGAAGTTGGAAGGGATGGCTCGAAATATGTCAATCTCCCTTCAAAGCGTTTTCCTCGCTTGCTGGTCCCAAGTACAAGCCAAGCACACTCAATCAGACGCCATCACGTTTTCGCTATGGCACTCAGGTAGAACCGGCGACCTGGAAGAAGCGGAACGACTCGCAGTCGCTTGTGTCAACACCCTTCCTTTCCTTGTCCCGGGGGCACAATCCAGCGACACGCTATCGCTAGCGAAGCGGATACATGAAGACTTGCAGGCCCGTCCTGCTATGGTGCAGCAAAGCCGTCTTGTTGAGGTCCACGAGTCGATTGGTCGTGGTAACGAGCCCTTGTCCAATGTCTTCGTGAACATCGTCAAGATCGCCCCTGATGTAGAAAAGTCGTCCAGCGAACTGTTTCAAGGACTGGAGGTGAGGAACCCGATCGTGCCGTCATAAAGGAAGCTCACTGTCGTCCAGGTGCCGTACTACATTCCTCAGGTTCCCGATGATGCTGCCGTGGGCATGAGCGAGCTGCGAGTCACCCAGATCATTCGAGTATGTGATTTCGCATCCACCAATCTGTACCAGTACTAAGGCACTCTCAGGACGACATCATGGTAGAGTTCGTGGTCCTCGAAGAGTCAGATCAAGTCGTAATGTCCATCGAATATGCTGGTCACATGCTAGACGAAGATGGTGCGAAGTTGCTTGTCAGAGAGTGGGGGGCGCTGGTGAAGGACGCGCTGCATGCAGGTCAGACATAGATGTGATGTACAACGTCCACGTATTCCATTTCCGACAATTGTATCCCTCATTCCCTTCTCCTGGCCACAGCCAGACACTCCTCTTCCATCCCAGCGAGCCAAATTACTTCCACACCAGCATCTTTGAGCTTCTGCGCGCCTTCGCACTTGACGAAATCGTCGGGTTCTCCCACTCCAATGAAGCATCTCCTTATCCCCGCGGCAACAACTGCATCAGCACAAGGTGCTAGCCCGGATGTTCGGACGGAACAAGGTTCCATGGTAGTGTAGATATCGGTATGGGAGAGAAGGGTTTCCACACTGATGGGAATCTGGGAAGCGGGGAACAGCTCTTGCAGTTGAGCAGGAGTGAGCTGTCGCGCTTTGGTGATGGCGTTCGCCTCGGCATGCGTGTTGCCTTCCAACTCTCGCGAGTAACCACGGGCGACGACGACTGGTTCCGCTTCGGTGCCGGGAGGATATGCGGCGATCAAGACGCAGCCCACGCAAAACGCGGTCGGGCTGGGGATGCACTTTCTTGCCTCGGCAAGAGCGAGCTGGAGGAAATCCATAGAGGTCATCGCCGAGGATGGTGGGAGGGAGAAGCTGGACATTACTGGGCGGCTAGTAGAGAAGCGGGTCTGTTCTGGTCAATTCAAACTCCGATAGTCTAAGGGCTATTGTGTACATCAGATCCACTCTCCGATTGCACAACAAAGGCGCCCGAAAGTTAGGACGCGCTCACAGTTCGCGGCTTGAGCAACCGTGCTCCCCTTCTTCCCTTCCACCATGTCCTCCCCTCCTCCTGACATTGCACCCACGTCTCATGCGGAAGAAGACGACCCATGAACGGAAGCGGCCAGGAGTCTGAAGGCGAGGGCGACCCGGTTCGTCAGCACGCCTCAGACGACAGCTCCGAGGAGCCAGAAGAAGATGAGGAGGAAGAGCGGCGGGTCAGAGACGGTTTTATTGTTGACGAAGATGAGGACGAGGATGCGGAGGACGAGGAGGAGGAGAGACGCAAGCGTAAGAAACGTCGCAAAAGGCACCACCGCCACAAGAGTACGTCCCGTTACTGGTGGTTCGCGTTCATCATTTATATTTCATTGCTTTGTAGACGGACTGGAGGACGAAGAGCTCGATGAAGATGACTTGAATCTCATCGAGGAGAACACTGGCACGTCTATGTCTCGCCGGATCACTCGTGTCCGTCCAGGTCGCGAGTCAGCCTCTCCCCCTCCGCCCTCAGCGAGGCGGAATGTCATTGAATCCTCGGACGAGGACATGGACAATGATGATGATGACGGGTACCCTCGAGTTCAAGACATTCACAACATCTGGGATGACGAGAAGAACACCGGGGGCCGCGACGACGATGACGATGGGGAAGACGACATGTACAACTTCATCGACGACGACGACGAAGATGCTGGTGGCGCTATGGACGAAGAGGAGCGAGAAGCTCGGCGCAAGGAGCGGTTGAAACTGGAGAAGGCCCGTCGAAGAGCGTTGGGTTCGCGCCCTGAGCTTACGGGTATTGATGCAACGTACGTCGTGTGTTTCCCGCTCCCTCTTGATCGCTTCAATGGTGTTACAGGGCTTGGGATGAGATTCATGAAGTGTTTGGTGATGGCCACGAATACGATTGGGCCCTGGTAGATGATGATGAACCCCACTACGAAGAAGAGCTCGCAAAACCGGAGATGAAGTACCAAGACGTACGTTTGACCATAGATCGTGCATCAGGATGTGCTCATAATGCATTACAGGTATTTGAACCGTCCGAAATCCGGGCACGGTTCCTCACTGAAGACGACGACCTCATTCGAGCACAAGACGTCCCTGAGCGTATGCAGCTTGCCACTTCCGCGTTGGCGCCCTCTTCCACGCTGTCCATTCACAAGACTTTGACGGAGAACGACATTGTCGGCGCCGCGCAATGGGTCATCACCCGCCTCTCCAGTCGCAAGGAGCGCGATTTTTTCCGCAGCGATGGTCAATATCACGGCTACCTTCCTCAGCTCGTCGAGGCCGTCACCAACGCACTGCGATACATCTTCATTCAGGACCATGAGGTGCCGTACGTTTGGCAGCATAAACGTGACTACATCTCTTTCTTCGACCCCAACAACCCTCGTATCCGCGTAGAACTTCTTTCCTTGGACGATCTATGGCGCATCTACACCGTCGGCCAGAAGTACCGGTCATTGCTCGAAAGGAAGGCGGCCCTCGACGCACTATACGCTCGTCTTGGTGTTCAGGATGAATACTTCGAGAACGAGATGCGCAAGAAGATCGAGTCCGCTGAAATGACTGCGGATGCGACCGAGTGGCTTGGCATGAAGTACCGTGACAACAAGTCTTCCAAAGTCGATTTCAGGTTTCACGACGATGAAGAGCCTGCAGATGCCCCGAAGCACAAGACGCCAAGCCGTGTATCCGCTTATGAGCTTTCGAAGAAGACGATCGTTTCGAAATTGGCCGAGGTGAGACACCGTCTGACGCTGGTTTTACACTTCAAGTGACCATGGTTACGACCTATGCAGGGCTTTGGTATTCAAGCCCATGAAGTCGTTCAGAACTTCTTCTCTGATCATAACACGCACTTCGTGGAGGAGCAAGACACGACGCCGCTGTCCTATTCTGAGCAGTTTGTGGACCCTCAAGCAACGCGACCACAATCTGCAGAGGAACTTCTGGCTCGGGCTCGGATGATCATCGCTACTGAGCTCGGGAAAGATCCTCTTCTACGCCAAGAGATTCGAAACACCTTCAAACTACACGCACTTGTGTCCGTCCTCCCAACAGATCGAGGAATCTCGAAAATCGATGAGCATCATCCTTACTTCGTGAGCAAGTTCGTGTTTTCATATCTATCTCAGACTAACGCTGCCATGGGGCCACTCAGAATTTCAAGTATTTGTATCAGAAGAGTGCGACAGACATGCTTCACGCGGCGCAATTCCTCCACATTCTGACCGCGGAGAACGAGCATCTCGTCACGGTTTCTATCACCCTTCGTCCAGACGCCAAGGCAAACTTTGAGCGCAAGCTCAATGCTGCGTTCGCTTCGGATAGTTTCAGCGACATTGCGCGGGCATGGAATGAGGAGCGATCTCGGGTTGTGCAAGAGACGTTGGACCAACATCTGTTGCCTATGGGAGCGAAGTGGACCCGTGAATGGATCCGGGATGAAGCCGAAGACTTCCTTTCGCGCCAATGCGCCAGTATCCTACGCGAGGTTCGTCGTCATCCACCTGCATCCATTCAACGTCCTCACATTCTTTCAGCGCATTGATGTTGCTCCGTTCGCCGGCGCTTCGATGCAGAAGGGGGACACTCCTTCAGTTTTGGCCATGTCTTGGGGCAAGGGCGAACCTCACAAGGATACGATAGCGGCCGTCTTCATTGACGATGCCGGGCGTGTCCGAGATCACACCGTCCTGGACAACCTCGTCGAGGGCAAGTTCCAGGATGAGTTCCACGACATGGTGAAGCGACGCAACCCAGAAGTCATTGTCGTCGGAGGTTTCACCATCGCCACGACCAAGCTTGCACGGCGGATTAAGGAGCTCCTTGGTAACGGCGACGGGCAGAACAACGAAGGCGAAGCCTGGCCCCCCGAACCGTCGAGCCAGCAATCAAGTCCTTCTGTGCCGGTCATCTACGTTCATGACGAAGTCGCGAGGTTGTACCAGCATAGTCGGCGAGCCGACGAGGAGTTTAGTGCGCTCTCGTCCCTCAGCAAATATTGTGTCGGCTTGGCAAGATATGTCCAAAGCCCTCTGAACGAGTACGCTGCATTGGGCCATGACATCACCGCGATCACCTTCGACGAAGAGAACCAGCAGTTGGTAAGTGCATAGAGTTTTGCATCGCTCAATGTCACTGACGACGATTTAGGTGCCCAAAGAGAAGCTCTTGTTCGCTCTAGAGCGAGTCCTTGTCGACGAAGTCAACAAAGTCGGCGTCGATATCAACCGAGCTGTCACCGATGCCTACTATCAGACCTTGCTCCAGTTCGTCGCGGGACTTGGACCCCGCAAGGCACAAGTCTTGATCAAGAAAATCGCTTCCATGGTGCGCCCCTTCCTACTAATCTTGACTCACACATCGCTGAGCTTGTCACAGGGCGGCAACCTCATCAACAGGACTCAGTTCGTGAAGAACAACCTTCTCACCTACAAGATCTTCCTCAATGCTTGCGCATTCCTTCGTATCATGCAGAACACCGAGGATTCAGAGCCCAAGTCTCTGAAGTCTCGGCATGGTGATGAGATCGATGTTCCTGACCCTCTTGACGGTACTCGCGTCCACCACGAAGACTATGAGCTCGCTCGGAAGATGGCAACGGACGCGCTAGAGCTTGATGAAGAGGACGTCCACGATGAACACCCATCGCACGTCGTTGCCGTCATTATGAAGGATCGCGACAAGGAGAAGAAGCTCGACGAACTTAACCTCGATGACTTTGCCGTCAACATGTATCAGTCAAACCAGGACAAGAAGCGCCACATCTTGAACGTCATTCGAGAGGAGTTGCTCCGACCGTATGGCGAGAAGCGATCCGACTTTGCCCAACCTTCCGACTGGGACGTGCTGACCATGCTCACCGGGGAAACCCGCCGAACTCTCCGCGTTGGGCTCATTGTTTCTGTACAAGCCGTTCGGGTGAAGGAGCAATTTCTCGCCGTACGTCTGGACTCCGGCATTGAGGGAAACATTGCGAGGCGTTACCTCACCGACATGAGCGTCCCCCCACCCGACGTGGTCAAGCCTGGCCAAACGCTCTCTGGTGTTGTCATCGATGTCAAGCTCGACTTGGCGAACGACTCTTTCTCTGCCGAGCTATCCTCTCGCGAGGCAGACGTCAGTGGGGGCGACAGCCAATACAGACGTGTCAAGCACGACGACGCCTGGAATCACACGCAGTTCGATCGTGACGCGGAAATGCAGGCACGTAGGAAACGTGCGGAAGTCGACAGGACTCGGCGTGTCATCAAGCACCCGAATTTCCACAACTTCAACTCCCAGCAGGCCGAAGTGTATCTCGAAACCCAGCAGCGCGGTGATGTGGTCATTCGTCCGTCATCGAAGGGTGCCAACCATCTGGCTGTGACCTGGAAGGTCGATGACAACCTATATCAGCACATTGGTATGCTCTTATCGGAACGGAGCTGAGCTGCTGAAGCTGAACGCGTTTACCACCTCTCAGACGTTGTCGAGCCCAATGCAGATCTCAACGGACAAACAGTGGGCTCGAAGCTCATCGTCGACGGCACGCAGCAGTTCTCCGATCTCGATGAACTGATCGTCAACCATGTACAAGCCATGGGACGGAAAGTTGAGGAGCTTATGATGCACGAGAAGTTCAAGCCTGGGAATGAAGATGATCTCCGTACGCCCTTACTTTTGATACCTCACTGCGTCTTCTGACACACTAGCAGACCTGTTCTTGCGCAACTTCGTCGCCGCCAACCCCTCCAAAAGCGCGTACGGATTCACCCTCAATCGCAAGAGGCCAGGACATTTCAATCTTTGCTATCTGGCGAACAAGAACTCGACGGTGCAGACATGGGTAAGCGTTGCACCTACGCCACTGTTCGCCACAACTTACTCATTACCTGCCTAGCCGTCCGCGTTACTCCTGCCGGCTTCTACTTGTTCGATACCCCGGCCGCTGGCGTTCCCGAGCTATGTGACGCGTTCAAGGTGCGCCAAAAGTCGATGTCACTTGGCAGCGGCCTCGGTGGTCCTGGTGGAGGCAAGACCCCGTTCGGCGCGCGCACTCCTGGACGAACACCTGCCGCCGGGCATGCCACTCCTGGCCACACCTCCGTTCGCCAGGTTGGCCGGACTCCGAACCCCTACGGCGGGATTCCTGGTTCGATGCCTCCCCCGACCGTCCCTGGGGCGACGCCCAATCCCGGAGGGTTCACTCCCTCGTTTGGCGGGTACCCTGGGCCTGGGGGACAGCAGTACGGCGCCGGGTTCCAAACACCCGGCTACCCACCCCAGCATCAGCAGATGCCGCCGCCGCCGCAAGCAGGCGCACCCTGGGGTCAGCCGCCACCGCATCCTGGGCCCGCTGGTGTGCATCCGTCACGAGCCGCGATGATCCAAGGGCAGGGGTGGGGACAGCCCTATTGAGGCGTTCCAACTGTGGACTCGGAGCCTCTTCGTATATTACTGACAGTCCTGGGACGGTCGAGCTATGTATTCCCTTCAGATTATGTTACCGTCGCGCAAGTTGTTTGCTGTAATACATTGTATTCTAGATGCTCCGCTCCGAGGTCCGCCTCCATAAGCCCGCACCTGCGAGGGAATATGCGTGAGACGGTACTCATAGCTACTCTTGCGGAGCCCTGAGCATATCTTGGATGTCTGAAAGGACCTCGGATAACCCGGCGACATGATCCACCTCGCGTTGCTCACGCTTGAGGAAGTCGTCGGCACATGCCTGTATGCGCATCCTGATGAACTCGATGGGGGGTGTCAAAACGTCCGGCGTGACAGGCCAGAGGTCTTCCCTGACAGGACACGGACGGCCTACTTCAAGTGAGAGCGCATGGCGAACCATCTTCCAAAACGTCGTCCAGCTGGAATGGCAGGCGATCAGCAAGAGAGTCGCACCCGTGGGCGCGACGGCCCGAGTACTCACTGCCATCCGGCGTCCTTCTCGACGACGTCCTGCACGATCGTGGTCCACTCGCGTCGCCAGCCCGCGATCGCCCCAATCGAGTCCGCCCCAGCCTCCGCGTCCGCCGAAGTCCGCAGCAAGAGCTCCCGCACGTCCTCCAGGGCCTGCTCCACCTCGTCCACCTTCGCGCACATCGCGCGGTAGAGCGTGGGTAGGTTCACCGAGTTGCACCAGTTGTGGTTGATCGAGAGGCAGTTGGTTAGGTTCTCGACCTGGTGGTGCCATCCGCTCGGCCTGCCCCCCGGATGCATGGCATACGTGAGCGGCGGCTCGTCTCGTCCACGTACAAGGCAATGCGAGGCAGATGAGAATGGATGGGGACTGACACGAAGATGGTCTCCCCCGGGCCCTGCTCGACGATGACGGGCCTCGCGTGCTTGAAGCCGGGAAACTCCTCCGGGTCGACGTCGCGCACGTCGAAGGCGACCTCGGCGTGCGCCTCGCGCCCTTTCCTGAAGAGCAGCGGGGTCTGCACGGGCGGGAAGAGCCACCAGCGCTTGCGGCCGGCGACGTTGGTTGACCACGAGTAGGAGGCGTAGACGTCGCGGTGGAGCGGGGTGAAGGTGCCGGCGGGGCCGGCGTAGACGAAGCGGAAGTCGTCGGCGGTGTGTGCGGCATAGTAGGCGTTCATCCAGTCGTCGCGGAAGATGGCCGGGGTGGTGTAGAACGGTTCCGAGGAGCCTTGCGCTCGCGAGCTGAGCTCGGGGGCCAGGGCGGGGCCAGATGGAGCGGCGAGCTGGCGGGCGAGGTGCCAGTCCTTGACGTAGAGGTCCTCGCCCGCCCCGCTCTGCCAGAGGGAGACGACATCGCGAAAGAGCATGAGTTCGCGCTGCTGGTCACTGAAGTCGCGGGTGGAGCAGTTGGCGACGGTGACTTCGGAGTCGCCGTACACGGCGCTGAGATGGTCCCAGTCGATGGTGCCATCTCTCCTCCATTTTCGAATCGCGCTCCAGTCCTGGACAAGAGCCGGGCCAAGGATGACGGGTATGTTGGGCAGGAGGTAGTTATCAAGAAACTCCTGGTAGGAGAGGACAGTCTCTTGTCTTGCACAACGCGGCTCCATGAAACACGACCTGTGGAGACGAAGGTCAGACCGATGTCCAATATGGCCGGGCGCACGGGGGTCACCATGCCTGCTGCGATGATTGCCCACCGCGGGGAGGTTGAAGGAAGCCGGCGTTGGGCGGATCTGGCGTGGGAACGCAGTAGGGACAGATCATGTTGTCGCGTGACGTCATTCCGTTCTGTCCAGTCGTGGCCGCAGCACTGGTGAGGCTGAGGGGTTGAGCACGCCGAGCTTAGAGCTACAGACGACATTACACCTCCGCACACCTCCGCACACCTGCCCACATGCCACCATCGTCCAGCGCCGAGTTCGAGATGGACGACCTTTCTCCTCGCCGGAACACCGCCCCAGACGGCCGCACTAATCCTTCACTGGAGTCACACCCAACCAGCCCCCAGGATGACGGAGTTGTGGCCGCATGGGCATGGGTATCTGCTGCCATGTGCGTGTTGTTTTCACTCTGGTTATATGTGCTGAAGCTCTCCCGGCAGAATGCTCGTGGTGGCTTTCCCTCTTATGTTCGCACCCAAGCTTCTTCTCTTTCTTTCTGAGACAGACGCAGAGAGGAGGGCCACGCTCACGCCACTCGAATCCTTCTTGTCATGGAACACGGGGCTCGTTTTGAGCGCGCTCTCTCTGTCTCTTGTCATGAACGTTCGTGAATTTCGCCCGTTATCACTCAGTGAACATGGGAGTGAGCCAGTATGCTCTGCAGATTCCCTCGAACCCCGACGATCTAACCGCACGTCGGAGCACGCCGGGGCATCCTCTTCTTGAGCCCGTCTCGGCGGTATGTGTCCTCATATCGTTCCTCGCCTACAATACCGCGTCAGTCGGTTCTCTTGGTTTTCTTCTTTGTCTGGGCTCGGGCATCGTTGGCTTATGGGGTCTCTGGACGGTACGTGCAAGCCCTGTCCTCAACGCGTCCCCCGGACTCAATCGCCCCTCTGAGCACAGATCATGTTCGCGGGCTCCTCACGCATCTCACGCACGACTGGTGCAGACAAGCGCACGTCGGCGTTCATCTTCGGGAACAAGGCGGCCGCGTCGGTGCAAAAGAAACAGTGGAAGAGAGAGAATGGGCGATGAGCTATGTTTGCTATCAGGATGTTCTTGTGTTTCCCGGCTGTTGTACAGTGTTATCGTATCCTTACGGCTGTTTGAGAGCCTCGTTGATGTCCATTAGGCGAGATCATGGTGGCGCCCGGGCCGCGTGGCCGGGCATTGCGTCAGCCTCTGTCATCCTGCGCCAGGCGAGCGACCCCCTCAGTCGCGCCTCGCCGTCTTGCTTGCCCCCACTGGCGGCTTGCCCCTCGTTTTCCCGCCTCCCCACCCCACCCGCCGCGCCTCGAGCCATGTCGGACGAGACCGCCCCCCTCCTCGATGACCGCAACATCCCCAACCTCGCGCGCACCGGCAATGGCCACGACGAGATCGCCGCCGCCATAAACCGTGTGCAGGCCGCCGCGAACCGCCGCGCGTGGATCTATGCCGTCCTCACCGCCGTGTTCGTCGTCGCGCTCGTGAGCATGCTTTTCTTCTGGGACAAGGTCGGGTCCGTGGGCCGCCTCCCCTCCGACCCCCATGAAGCCGCGCTTGTCATCATGAAGGGCGCGCCTGTAATCGTGAGTGCTCCTCGGTCGGTGGTGCTTGTCGTGCCGTGCTGACGCGCTTCTCGAAGGATGGGCACATTGGTGAGCTTCTTAATGTGACGCTCTCGCGTGTCTCATGAAATACGCGAAGATCTTCCGGGTATGGCACGGTGGATCGAGGCGAACAACGTCTCTGCCATCGACCTCAGCAAGCCATGGATCGGACATGTTGATATCCCAAGGCTCAGGGAGGGTCATGTCGGCGGCTTCTTCTGGTCCACCTATGTCGACTGCCCCGCGCCCGGCACCGAAGGCAAGGATTTCCTGAACTCCACTTGGCGTGTTCGGTGCGTCCTCCTTCACTTTTGCCTCTGCGGTGACTCATGCGTCGTCTCGCAGCGACACCTTGGAGCAGATTGACGTTTCCAAGCTGCTCATTCAGAAGCACTCTGACGTGAGCTCTCTTGGTCCTATCGACGCATGCGACCCTCGTTGATAATGACTGCACAAGACCTTCGAATATGCTACCACTGCTGAGGGCATGAAGACGGCTATGAGCAGAGGCAAGATTGCCTCTGTCCTGGGTATTGAGGGGTGCGCTTTTTTGTCCGACCCTTTGGATATGCACGACCCTAACCACCTATGATATACAGTGGTCACCAGCTTGGTAATTCGATCCAGGTCCTCCGAATGGTGTACGAGCTCGGTGTCCGCTACGTCACGCTCACCCACACCTGCCACAACGCCTTTGCCGACTCATGTGGCTTCGTGAAGGACTTCGAGCCCTACTGGGGCGGTCTCAGTCCCCTCGGCCTGTCGCTCATCGACGAGATGAACCGGATCGGTATGCTCGTGGACCTCAGCCACACCTCAGACGACACCGCGCGCCAGGCTCTCAAGCACTCGAAGGCTCCTGTTATGTGGAGCCACTCATCCTCCCGTGCAGTCTACGACCACGCGCGCAACGTCCCCGATGATGTGCTCAAACTTGTCGGTTTCGGCAGGGACCAGAAGGACGCTGTCATTATGGTTCGTGATTCATTGTTCAATGGGACAAGTCTCTTACACGTCTTTTCAGGTCAACTTCTACCCTGAGTTTGTGAAGGGCAAGACGGCCACCGTTCAGGATATTGCGGACCACGTCGATCATATTGCGAACGTCACCGGCCGCTCGCAGTACGTCCTGTCGAACGACTTCGTGATTCCGGATATTGGTTGACTCTTCCGTTCACAGCGTTGGCATTGGCAGTGACTACGACGGTATCGGTTCCGTGCCTGAGGGACTAGAAGACGTTTCCAAATACCCGAATTTGGTGCGTCCCGTCAGCTTCTTGCGCTGCCTTGTTTGCAAAGTAACTGAACACACCTTGTCTTCAGATCGCGGAGTTGTACTCGCGTGGCTGGACAGCCTACGAGCTTGCCGGTCTGACCGGCGGGAACTTCTTGCGAGTCATGGCGGGCGCGGAGAGGGTTGCTGCGGCGCTTCAGAAGGCGAATATGCCTCCGATTACAGCCGTGTACGATAAGAGGACGGACATGAATCGCTCTTTCTGAACGGGTCAAACGCACCGGAATCGTGTAGGTTGGTGGGACAGTCTCTTAGTAGATGGTCCCTCTCCTTGCCACGACGACGTCAAGAGCGTTTTCTAATATGGCAGCTTGGTTTCAATATCATTCTCTTGCTTGGCCTGAGCCCCCGCAGTCCTCTCTGCATCTGCCTGATTTCGACCTCAACGTTCCATGTCCAGGAGGATCAAAGCGCTCCCCGTCCGTTTCGGGTGTAGCTCGCAATGTTTTGCTGTCGCGCGTGGGCTCGGATCTTTCGCGCAAAGTCTGCAACGGCACTACCGAAGTGCGGATGAAGATGGGCGATAGCGATGACACAAGATGTAGGCGTCCGTTCGGCGAGTGGGAGGGACAGGGTGGTGGCGGTGTGGTGTGGTGTTCGACGAAACCGTATGGTATTTTACAGCGGGAGCATCAGTCTGATTCAGAGCGGCGCCGCCGACGCCACGCCGGTTATAAAGCGAGTCTGCGGAGAGCATGCCGCCTTCAAGGGCGCCTTTGGGGCGCACGGTTCGATGCCAGTACACGCAGGTGCAAAGTTTGTAGGCACCGCCCGGCGCAGCGTCAGTGGCGGTCCTTCGTAAGAAGGTTGGCCTAGGGGAGACTAGCGGCGGTCCGGAAAACGGCATGAGCAGTGAGTGCGTGCCCATCCAAGCTGCGGATCGCCATGGCCGGCGAGATAGGGCAAGGTACGCGCTGCAAATCGCAGCAAGGGCGGTTGAGATGCGCAGTGGGGGACGGCGAGACATACGGGTGCGGAACGAGGCTGGAGTCCGGGTATGCGACTTGGCGGGAGTCCGGGATCAGTCGACGGCGAGCGCTTCGGGTGCTTTCTGCGCGCCTCCTGCTCCGCACCCGAGGCGACGTTCCCGTGAGCAGGAGGCTTGCGGTCGTTGGACGACTTGGCCCTCTCGCTCCCTGCTCTTCTCCTCCGTTCTCTCTGAAAAAAATACTGGCAAGGTGTATTCCAATACTGCACTCAGTCCGAGAGCGACTGGAGGGGACTGAAAGTTCCACAGGAAATGTGTCGCACACCGTCCGGTCTCGTCGACGCCCGCACAATCATCGTCCAGTCACTCAATGCCGCTGCGGCTGTCAGAAAGCCACCCGGCCAAGCTCGGGCTCTGCGATCGGCCTCCCCGATACGCTGCCAATCACCCACCACGTTGTCTCCTTGCCCGTGACCACCATGGTCGCCCGTCTATAAGTTACATGAACAGCACGCGTCCTCCGCTCTCCGCTCCTCCCTTGCCCTCCTCCTTTTCTCCTTCAGGCTCCCTCTCCAGCATCCATGTATTTGGCGTACAAATACGTCCGCGACAAGAGGCGTGCAGCTAAGGCAACCCACGACGCCGAACACAATGGCCTCTCAGCCGCGTCGTCGCGCCCACCCAGCGAAGAACAGGTCCACCCCGCCCAGAGACGCAGCCGAAGGGCAAGGCCATCGCTCTATCCAAGAGCACTCAGTGGAAGCTTATCCTCATGGCCGCCCTCCTTGTGCCCGTTCTCTTGAGACGCTCGACTACACAGGTCGTATCTTCATTTCCTTTAGCCGATTTGTCTGACATCCCTTCTCATTCGACCGCAGTGGTTGCCACCGCCCAGGTGCACATCTCAGTGCGTTCGCCCTGACTCCTACGCTTTACTACGTCTCACTGACTTCCTTCTCCAAGTCCGTGTTCAACCGGCTTGATCTACAGAGGTCTGAACGTCTCAGTTTGTGTCCCGTCTGTCTTTCTGACCTGCACTCTACCAGTTATATTGGAACGATATATCTCCTCACCTCGACCGTATTCCTCCCTCTCTTCGCCTCACTCGCCGATGTCTGGGGGCGCCACTGGGCTCTACAATTTGCACTCTTCTGCTTCTTGCTCGGCAGTGCTATTAGCACGGTAGCCAAAGCATGACCACAATGCTTGCCGGTCGTGGGGTCGCTGGCATTGGTGCAGCGGGGATGATGGCTGTGCGTTTCGCTCAATCTTCCCCATTAAGACCCCAGGTTCTCATATGGGCTTTTCAGATGACACGAATCATCATGTCAGACTCGAATTCCCTGGACGACAACAACTGGCAGCAGTCCATGCTCTTCTTCCTCTACACAATCGGTTACTGCGTGGGCCCCGTCATTGGTGGTGCGCTCACTAGTGTCAACTTCCGTTGGATCTTCGCCATCAAGTGAGCGACTCGCCTTATTTATGCGTTCCTGTTGTTCACCAGTCCCTCAGTCTTCCGGCTGCTCTCGCAGCTATGGTCCTCACTTTCTTCATTGTCCGTGGTCGCACCAAGGGTCCGCAGCCCGCACACAACCAAGCCCTGCCCTTCGATGGATCTACCGCTATGGATGCACCTCACGAAACCTTTACTCAGAAGCTTCTTCGCATCGACTGGGTCGGCGCCGTGCTCTTCATGATCGCCGGCATCACCCTCCTCCTTGCCCTCAACTGGGGCTCCACCACAACCTCCTCCTGGTCCGAGCCGCGCGTGATCGCCTGCTTCGCCGTCGCCGGCGTAGCCTACATCGCCTGGATCGCGTGGGAGAACGCCCTCGAGCGCCGCCAGGCGCGCGACGGCACGAGCCGCAATCCACTCATGCGCACCGACCCGATGATCCCACTTGAGCTCTTCAAGAGCAAGGACCTCGTCATCGCCCAGCTCGGCGTGTTCGTGAGCGGGATGGTCATGATCGTCATGTTTTACTTCATAGCCATCTTCTTCACCATCGTCTCCGGCCTCACCGGCACCGAGGCGGGCCAGCAGCTGCTCTACTTCGCGCCTGGCCTCGGTGCCGGCGCGCTGATCTCCATCCAGTTCATGAAGTTCCTCCGCCAGCCCAAGATCCCCATCGTCCTCGGCTCGATCATCATCACCACCTCGCTCCCGCTCATCGCGTGGGCCATGGGCCTGAACGACCAGAAAAAGGTCCAAGGGTACGTCTCCTTTCCTCTCCCCACATTCTAATCCCGACCGCCTCCACCTCTGCAGCTTCCTCGTCCTGGCCGGAGCCGGCGTCGGCATGTCCATCGGCCCGCTCGCCATCCACTGCCGCTTCTCCCAGCCCACCTCGCGCGTCGCCGTCGTCTCCGCGCTCACCCTCTTCTCCCGCTCGCTCGGCGGCACCGTCGGCCTCGCGCAGTGCGGCGCGGTGCTCAACGCCAAGGTCTCCCAGACGCTCGCCGCGCGCGTCGCCGCGGGCGAGCTCCCCGCGGCCGTCGGCGCCGCGCTCGCGGACGGCGTCTCGGGCCTCAGCGCGGCGGGCGGCGGGCTCGACGCGCTCCCCCCCGCGGCGGTCGCGCTCGTCCAGGCGGCGTTCCAGGAGGGGAGCAAGTGGGCGTTCTACAGCCTGATACCGTGGGCGGGCGTCGCGCTCGTGCTCTCCGTCTTCCTGAGCGACATCAAGGACACGGACGCGGAGGCGAAGGCGGGCACGGCGGCAAGCGACGAGAAGGAGGTGAAGCCCTTGGGCAAGACCGACTCGTCAGTATGAAGGGTTGTCGGGCTTCTTCACCTTCTTCTTCTCCGTACATGGGATGGACTGTAGCGAGTGTATCGCTGTTTAGTGCTGCTAGGTTACGACTACTTATGACGAATAGTCACGTCCCGTTCCCATAAGGGAAATAGATTATTATCGAATAGTCAACCCGTCGTTCATTTTCCTCCTCCCCGGGTGAAGTATTGCTCCAACTCGCTCACTTGCATCTGCATTAATGGTGGGGATATCGTTATGCATCAGTGGAGAACCTCTGGCGGGTGCGTACCAGATTGAGCCATGGGCTGGGCCGCTTCATCGGGAGAATCGCAAGGTGGCTATGACGGTGGGATTTAGAGGAGGAATAAATTCATGACTCTGATAGACTTGGAGAAACCATGTAGCAACAATGCTCATTTGGCTCTATCCGCCGCACAACATCGCAAGTCTACGCTCATCAAGGACACTCTCGGACACGTATACACGTGGTCTACACCCTAGTCTCTCAGGGTTCATGGTCCGGGACAGAACCTTATATCACTCCTTGATACTTGTTCAATGTGTCTATGCGCCGTCCTATACTTGCCCTAGTGAACTTCCGCTGTACAGGGCAATGAAGCAAACATAACCGCTGGTGAGCTTGTTCACATAGCAAACCTCTGGCCGCCAGCACGACAACACAATGCTGTCAGATCACAGAAATCAAGTAACGCATTAATGTACAAGTCCGAAAGCAATACAGCACGAGAACGAAAAACAAAACAAAACAGGAGATCTCACGTCAAATGCTTCACCTCATGCACAAACACCGTCTTGGTGTTCTCACCGTGCCATCCCCTGTTGCTACTAGCGCTCACCAAGAAACGTGCCGCCGGGTCGACAACTGGGTTGAAACGCGGGACAGTGAGTCTACACGGAAAGCTGGAAAGCGCAGCAACTTACGCATCTGAGAGACGTAGCCGCCGTGGTGGCCCGGGATGATCTTGAACTGTACGCCACTTTTCATCTTGCCATTGATGTCGGGCTCTCCGGCCTCTGCGACGTTCCACAGACGAATGTTGTCCGTTGATGCGCTGAATCGCGCAGGGTTGGATAAAGGAGTTGTGCAGCGAAGAGTATGTGCACGTACCAAGCCAAGTGGCGGCCATCTGGGAATGCCACTACACATGACACGACACCAGAGCTCAGCGGATTCCTGAGCGTCTTCAGGATCCGCGGCGTGCCCGATGCCGCACGACCCGTCTGTCGCACGTCGTAGATCTCCACCGTACCGTTACGGCGACCGGCATATATCTGGCTGCCGTCGGCAGACCAACAAGCCTGGGGGGAGATGAAAAAAGTTTGATCCTACACGCAGTTACAGAGTATGTGACGACTTACCGACATACACCACGGTGGCGTCTTCTCGCTCATCCACAGTCTCCCGACGCCCTTGCCGCGTGTCTGCACGCGGCGGTCCCAAAGGAAAATCTGGCCATCGAAGTGCGCGGTCATGAGTAGGTCTGGGGAGTATGTCGCGTACGTCGCAGGGTCCAGGACGGGCGGCGCTCCCTTCGGCGCGATCGCGCCGCGCCCCGGGTTGTGCGGCTGGACGAAGCCCTGCCCGGCGTTGCCGCCAAAGGGGGCGTACGATGGCTGGGCCATGGCGGCGCCGTCGCCGTCGCCGTCCGCGTCGGGCTCGTCGAACAGGGGGTCGTAGGAGGTGTCGGACCGCGCGTCTTCGTCCTGCTTGGGCCCGTGGTGCCCGCCGAACGCGCCGTTGGATGGGGGTGGGGGAGGCATGGCCCCCGCGTGTCCGCGCATCGAGACCATGAACTCGCTCCCGGCGGTGATGGTGCTCCAGGGGCTGTGGATGAAGTTGGTGGAGAGGGGGCGGACGGCTATGGCGGCGAGCTGGGCGCCGTGGGCTGTGAATCTGCGGACGAGTTGCCCGCTGTTCAGGTCCCAGTGCTAGTGTTGACATGAGACGATTGACGCAGCATGCAAAACGAAAATACTTACGACTGCTTCACCGTCCCATCCTGCGCTGAAAAAGCCCTTCTCATCATACTGGAGACACAGTGCAGAGACGGGGCCCTTGTGTCCCTGCATAACATGACACAAGCGACCCGGGCTGTGTCGCACTGTGTGAAGTGCGATATGCCCTTGCTGGGAGTGTAGTCTGTGAGTATCACCGATAACCCAATAACACAGGGGGACAGACGTTGGAGCCAGCAAGTGACCATAGTGCGTCAGACTGCATCGCAAGACTGTACACAGGGTACAAAGTCGTCTCTCCTAGTGAACCGTCCACGTTCACCGTCGAGATGGCGTTATCCCACCAGCAGCGAATCTGGCCCGCTTTCATAATGCCTTCAATAACTCCGCAGTGTTGCCTCTGCGGCGCGGTGAGGAAGACCTTGCCATTCACAGCGGTGAACAGGTCGTAGTCGCGGATGTATCCGTCGTCGGAGCCAGTGATGAGATGCGTCATGCACAGCGACGAGGCGAGAGCATGTGTGGCACAGGGATGTGGTATGGCACATATGGCCTCCACGGTGAACGAACGGGGCCATGAGATGTCGGAGAGGAGTCTGTTCTTGCGTAGCTGCGCAGGGGAAGGAGGGCGAACCTGTGGTGGAGGTTGGGATGCTATGGCTGGTGAGGATGCGAACAATACTGGACAGAAAGAATACGCTTACCTTGAGTCCCTATTGGAGTCTCGGACACCGGCGAAAGGGACTGTGGTGGCGCCGCCACCTCTTGAAGTGACTGAGTGAGCACTTGCTCTAGATCTTGATGAGGGGACACATATTCTTCTTCCGCGTCGTCGTCATCGTCGTCCGAGCCTCCATCTGACGATGAAGAGTCGGTTTCCTAAAGTGAAGAACCCGTCGAGTCTCACATGCGCAATCGGAGTGGCATGGCGCACCTCTTCCGTGGCCTCAGCGGCGGCCTCGGCAGCTAGATCTCCATTGAGCGCATCGAGAATGTCCTCGTCGATGTCCTCGTCGGCATCGGATGCATTGCCGAATTCAATGTCATCGTAGACGTCGTCCTCGGAGTCGCTGGTCATGGTGGACGCGCCGGTCCATGGGAGTCTGTGGCAAGTGACCGGCGCGCGACGCGGCCCGCTCTCACATCTTTCGTCCTCCTACCATGGTGTTGGCCGACCTCGGCCACAAGCTCAATGCTGCCCTTTCTTCTCTCAATCGGGCCTCCGTCGTTGACGAGAAGGTCTTTGGCCCATCCTGCCGTCTTTCGATCACTGTGCTCACGGATTGCGTAGGTTCTCGATGTCCTCCTGAAGGAAGTCTGTGGGGCCCTTCTCGAGACTGATGTCAACGTCAAGCTTGTCGCATCATTACGACAAAAGGTCAAGACAAAGGTTAAGGCTGCTTTCGAGAACGGTGCAGACAAGGGGAAAGAGCAGAATCGGAAAAATGTTGTGCAGAAGGTGAGTACCTTCGGTCTGGCTTCCGCGGCACTCCTGAAGACCCCCATGTCATGCAGGCGATCTTCGATGAGCTCGTAGGATTGGTGGATCCGGGTGTAGAACCCTACAAACCGAAGAAGGGGCACCCCAATGTTATCATGGCCGTTGGTCTCCAGGTGCGCAATGGCCGAATGCAATTGAGACTGGCCGCTTACCCCGCTGCAGGGTAACGGGAAGACAACAACATGCACCAAGCTCGCAGTGTACTACCAAAGACGAGGATTAAAATCATGTATTGTTTGTGCCGACACTTTCCGTGCAGGTGCTTTCGACCAGACCCGGCAGTCAGCGACGAAGGCGAAAGTTGCATATTTCGGTTCGTACACTGAGACCGACCCCGTCACTATCGCCGCGCAAGGTGTTGCCAAATTCAAGAAGGAGCGGTTCGATGTTATCATCGTCGATACTTCCGGACGACATAAACAAGAGTCAGAGCTGTTTCAGGAGATGGTGCAGATTGGCGAAGCAGTCCAACCTGATATGACAGTCATGATTCTGGATGCAAGTATCGGTGCGTCCCTTTCATAAGATTCGTAGCATAAGTTTTTACCTGCATACAGGTCAGGCCGCCGAGGCGCAAGCTCGTGCGTTCAAGGAGAGCGCGAATTTCGGTGCGATCATTGTCACCAAGATGGACGGTCACGCGAAAGGTGGAGGTGCTATTTCTGCGTGAGTCGTGTTTTTTCCAGACACACGCATCTGCCTCACCCTTCGGAAGTGTGGCTGCCACGAAGACACCCATCATCTTTCTTGGTGTCGGAGAGCATCTGCACGACCTGGACAAGTTCACCCCACAGCCATTCATCTCAAAACTGCTCGGCCTTGGTGATGTCCAGGGTCTCGTCGAGCACATGCAAGACATCGCGACCCAGAACCCGGACAAGCAGAAGGAGATGGCCAAGAAGCTCGAGGAGGGCAAACTCAGCATCCGCGACTGGCGCGAGCAGATCCAGAACGTGATGAACATGGGCCCGCTCTCCAAGATCGCGTCGATGATCCCCGGCCTGCCGCAGGACCTCCTCCAGGGCTCGGACGAGGAGGGCTCGCTCCGGATGAAGCGTATGATCTACATCACCGACTCGATGACCGCCGTCGAGCTCGACTCGGACGGGGCGATATTCATGGAGTGGGGCAAGGACGGGAAGCCGACCGGGCTCACCTGGCGCGTCACCCGCGTCGCGCGCGGCTCGGGCACGAGCGTGCGCGAGGTCGAGGACCTCCTCTGCCAGTACCGCATGATGGCGAACATGGCCAAGCAGGCCGGTGGCAAGAACGGCTGGCTCTCCGCCCTCCAGAAGATGCAGACCGCTGCGGGCGGGCGAGGGCGCGGGGCGAATGGCATGCCCACCCAAGCGCAGATCCAGGCGATGCAGGTGGGCTCGTCCGTCGTCTCGATATCTCTGCCGGTTTACTAAGTACTGGTTCTTCTCGCCACAGCGTGCAATGCCCCCAGGCATGCTCCAGCAACTCCAGCGCCAGATGCGGAGCGGCGGCGGCATGCAGGAAATGATGAAAGCCATGATGCAGGGTCAAGGCGGCGATCAATTCGACATGGAGGAGATGCAGCGTACGCATTTGCCCAGTTAACGTTGTGTCCGTGCTTACCACTCAATTCGTTCACTCCATCTACAGGGATGATGCAGCAGATGGGAGGTGGCCTCGGCGGCCTCGGAGGTTTGGGCGGCCTTGGAGGCCTCGGAGGGGCCGGAGGCATGCCTAACATGGCTGAGATGATGAAGATGATGGGCATGGGTGGCATGGGCAGGGGCGGTCGATGACCGCACGAGTTAGATACCACCTCTTTGGATAATGTATGACTCGTGTACTAATAGACTTAACCCGTTGTAGCATACCACATTTCGAGACGACGCCATCCAATTGTGCGATGCACGCGACAAGGTTTGCAACAACCATCTTCAATTCGCATAGTCGAAAACACAATCCCACACAGTAGCTTCTGTCATGTCGCCTCTCTGTTCTCGTACACTAAAGATTGACCACCACATATCCACGACATCTGATGCGCAGAGCGACCAGGGACAGTAAGACTAGAAGTGCGTCGACGGGAAGGAAAGCAAAAGGGAGTGGGAGGGGGGATGCGGGAGGGGAGCATGAAAGCAGGGCAATTGCTACAACACCTATCAAAACAACAACGCGACGACTTCATCTGTCTTACTTGGCCTCAACGGTGTCCTTCTGGGTGAACTCGTGCAGCACAGCAAGAGCCTCGTTGACCTTTGCATTCATGGAGTCCGGAGCCTCCAAGAGGTGAAGGAGTTCCGTGTTGTCCATCTCCAAGAGCATACCGGTGATCTTGCCCGCGAGCTCGGGCTGGGCACTGCGAGCAACATATGAGATATCTGGAAACACGGCGAAGGAAAACGCTACTTACGGGGCAATCTTCATGTAGATCACCTCACCGAGCATTTGCTTCTGCTCCATGGGAGAGGCGTTGGCGAGCGCAGCGGCAGTGATCACAGGAGCGTCGGGAGCGCCCGTCGCCGGAACAGCGGGAGGAGCCTGGCCAGTGCGAGGAACACCGCGGGTAGCAGCTGCACCACGACCAGCGGGGGGCTGCCCGGTAACAGGAGGGCGGCTGGTAGGGGCACCCTGGGGACCACCGGCAGGACGAGGGGCGCCGTTGACGGGGGGAACGTTGGGGTCGGCGGGGGGCCCACCACGGCCAGCGGGGGGTTGGCGAGGCTGGCGAGGGTAGCCGGGCATGGCGCCGTAGGCCTGAGGAGGCGCCTGGCCGTAAGGGGGCATAGGCATGCCGGGCACCTGGTTGTTGGGGGCATAGCGGGGGCGAGGAGGCATCATCCCGGGTTGGCCGTAACCCATCATTCCACGGCCACCAGGGGGAGGGTACGCGCCGGGGCCAGGCGGGTAGTACATGGGGGTGTTGAGGTAGCCACCAGGGATGCCGGCGGCGGCGGCCTGCTGCATTCGGATCTGGTTGCGCTGCGCAATCTGACTCTCGAGCTGCTGGCGGCGGACTTCGCGGCGCTGAGCGAGGGAAACATAGAGGGGCTTGGAGCCAATCATCTTGTTGTTCATCTCAGCAACGGCCTTAGTGGCCTCATCGGGGGAGGAGAAGCAGACGAAACCGAAGCCCTTGGAGGTGCCCTTCTCGTCACGCATAACCTTGGCGCTAGTGATGGAACCGAATGGCTCGAACACCTGGCGGAGATGGTCGTCGTCGACTTCATCCTCGAGGTTCTTGATGTAGAGGTTGACACCCTGGTACTTGCTCATCTTCTCCATCTTAGCCTGCTCGTACGACTTGCGGAGCTCCTCCTCACGTTCAGCCTTCTTCTGAGCACGAGAGACAAACAGCTTGCGACCGTGGTGTTCGGAATCGTGCAAGACCTCGACGGCCTTGGCAGCCTCCTCATGAGTGTCGAAGTTGACGAAACCAAAGCCGCGGCTCCTGCCTTCGTCATCGACTTGGACAACGGCGCTAGTGACTTTGCCGAACTGCTCGAAGAGCTCAACAAACTCGTCTTGGGTGACCTCAGGGTCGAGGTTCTTGACGTAGATGTTGGTGAATTGAGACTTCATCTCCTCCATCTTGGACTGACGCTCCTGCTCGCGTGATCAATATGGCCGCTCATACATCGCAAAGTACGGGAAGACGTACCTTGCGCGAGATGTGGTAGCCGACGTAGACCTTCTTGTCGTTGAGAAGCATGCCGTTGACGGCCTTGATAGCCGTCTCGGCGGACTCAGCGGTCTCGTAGTGGACGTAGCCGTAGCCACGGGAGCGACCATGCTCGTCAGTTGCCACTTTGCAAGAAAGCACGTTGCCAAAAGCAGCGAAAGTGTCGTGGAGGGCCTATCGGAATGACATCGTGAGCCCAGGACGAGAGCCGTAGCCGGCTTCAACTTTACCTTATTGTCGATCTGTTCGTCCAAGTTCTTGATGAAGATGTTACCCTGACCGGTCTTGCGGAGGGCGGGGTCACGCTGAGACCACATGATACGGCTGCAGAAACACGCATAAACTTGCAGCACGAGTCCGTCAACCCATCGCACTCACCAGGCACGGCCCTTGATCAAGGAGTAGTTGAGCCGCTCAAGAGCGCGCTCACCTGGATGCGTATGAACGCCTGGATGCATTATGCACGATTTAACAAAACTCACCATCCGCGGCATTGAGGTAGTTGACGTAGGCATAGCCAAGGGAGCGACGAGTGACAGCATCACGGCAGACGCGAATGCTGCAGCATGTCAGACGATGTGTTTTGATAAGGACCGCATACAGGGGACGCACCTGGCCACGGGGCCAATCATGTTGAAGATCTCAAACAACATGGCCTCCGTCACGGTCGGATCAAGCTCACCCACGTAGAGGGAGGCCGAGGGCGTCATCTGAGCTGGGGGAGGGGGGTTGTAGGCGACCGGGGCGGGAGCGGGAGCGGGAGGCGCGGCCTCGACATGCTGGGGAGCCTCCAGGGTAGGAGCGACGGCGGGGGAAGCAGACATTGTGATTTTATGGGATATGGGGGGTCGTTACTGCTTTGTGGACTTTTCTGCGACTGCGATAGCAAGAATTCGGTCAGAGTTTAGCAGGATGCTCGAAAATTGAGCAAATGCATACACAGGAGGCGACAGAGCAACTGCTTTTTGGGGTTTTTTATGTATTGAATTTTTTGATTGTGTTTTGACCTGCGTACGGAGACATCTGGGTGAGCGAGGGACACGATGGGGAACGGGGGCAGAACTGACCTCGAATGATGGTTGAGAGAAACATGCGCGCAGGGCGAGCGAGATCTATAGTTGGGCATTCAAACTCCGACGTTCAGGGGCGCCTGCGCCACACGTGCCACAATGGACTTGCTCGAGTTACGCCGTGTCTTTGGAAGGCGTGAGCTGCGTAACAGGGTCCGCGCCAGGACACCTTGCTGTCACCTCCTCGACGGCAACCTAGCCGAGGCAGCACCAAGTCTCCCTATAGGTGGACCGCCGCGTGTATCGCGCGGGTGCCTGCCACAAAGCGGCGGAGATGTGCTCTCTGGCTCGGCAGTCTACTGTCCAGCAGATCCGGCGTCTGTTGTCACCTCCGGTCACGGCACATCACACTAATAGACTGCCTTCCGAGTCCGTGGCCAGCCATGCCTTTGCCTTGTGGTCGGCTCACAAGGCAAATGTCTCCTACGTTTACGGCACTTCGATCGCACTTCACTTCGGCACAACAGACATATCCAACCGCATAAATGAAGGGTCCACAATACAATAAGTAGACACTCAAGTCCGAGCACAGAACTACGTAGCTACAACTTATTCCAAGCACTTAACCACGCGTGAAGTAAGCCTTGGCGCCATGACTCGCAAGCTCAGTCTTCGCCTACGTAAGAAAGCGTACTGATCAGCTTCATGGACCACTGATCCCACGGTAGATCAAAAAATACCTTCTCGACCGAGTGGCCGGCAGCCTTGTGGTGTGCCCAAATCTGACGTCGTGTGGTAGGATTTAGACCTCAGATGAAGCGCAGCAACGCCCTGCACGCACCTGGCGATAGTAGAATCCCAAACCTGCGCCTTGCACTATCCATCCGACAGTGGCCACGGTACCGATAATCGCTGAAGGAAGCGATGGTTTGCTGAACGCCCGGATGGTCTGAATAAAGCCCGCGGAGCCAGTACTACAAAGGACGCGCATGAGCACAACGGAATACAAATGAACAATTGCGATTACCTTGGGATGCCAATGATCCTGGAACAAACGTCAATATCGGTAAGCAGATAAGGTGATTGCGCATACGCACATGTATACGGAGAACAACAGGTGCCATCCACCGAAGAAGAAATACAGATCTATCTCCATGACGTCAGCACTGGTTTCCCATAGGTAATTCGCCGACTTACAGTAGTAGAGGGCTTGCTCCTTGAAACCGAGACAACGTCAGCAGAGCAACATTCCATGACATGGGATTCCAAACCTTCATATAGCCGTTATAAATCGGTCTGAAGAGCTATTCAAGATTTGTACGCAATGCGTGGACGAATCGGGCACGTACCGGTACCATAGCAGGAAGGACAACGGCGTAATGAACAAAACATAGCTGATCGGAAGTCACAGTTGGGTCAAGTGCACAATGAGCGGTCTTGTATTCGGGGACTTACCCGATGCTTGACCCGAGGTCACTCCCACCATTCGACGATCCGGAAGCCAATATGAAGATGCACGCAAGCATGTTGACCAGAAGTGTACCGGCCAGGACCAGCCACAGTTGGTACAGTCGGGTGATCAACGGCTGGGCCTCAGACGGCAATTCCTCCGAGATGGAGTGGAATATGAGGGGGAAGACTAGAGCGCATTAGAGCAACTTCTCATCGCGACCGGGAGAGGTGCCGGCAGGGACATCTGCGTGGGGACTCACAAGGAGGCCAGTTGTTCCGCCCATGTTTGCGAATGTGATCCGACTTCTGAGCAAGTTCTCTCTCCCTGCGCTCAAGTTCAAGTTCTCTCTGCCTGATCTCCTCCAGCCTTGCTGTGTTGCTCGCCTGCTGAGAGGCGGCCGGGTCGTCAAACGGATTCGCATCCAGGGAATGCGAAGACGCAAACGGGTTTTCGTTATAGCCTAGCGACAGACATATAAGAAGCGATTCCGGAGACAGGGGTCAGAGCGCGTACTCATGAGGGATCAGGAGGGAGGACAGTATACAAGTAGATGGAGGTGGGTAGTGGGGTGAAGCGAGGGGAGGTTGCTGCGGGAAGCCGACAGGCGCCCAGGGGCTCTGAGCTGGCGTGATGTTTGTTCGGGCGGGCAGTCAAACAAGTGAGCTGCATACTTCAGCTCTCTCGAACGTCCGCCCAGCGACCGCTCATCGTCTTTCGTCTCGTGTGCCCCAGCGCATCATCTCCGCAGGACTTGCATGTGAAGCAGCAGTGATGACATAAGAAGGCGCGTGCGACACGGGCCCAAGCAGCCGTTCACTGACGCACGCAAGTCCGCGTGCCTCGCGTGCACGCTGGCCATTTATTCCAGTGCTTCATTTCAGTGCTTAGGCTCAGCGGATTGACAGGCGCTGCTTGGCTGCAGCCAGACTCCAGTCACTTCTCCTCGGGCAAAGACCGTCCTACTAGGGGCGTGGCGCCGGCGCCTGGACCGTCCAGCTGACCTAACCCCAAATCGATCGGGTGTGCCGTGGAGAAGAGGGAGCGCGCCAGAGGGCGCGCGCGCGAGAGAGAGAAGGAGGGAGCGCGCGCGCGAGGCGGACAGCGGGACGCGAGTGAACAAGAGCCGCGCGGTGAGCGCAACGAGGCGGCTAGGCGGTGGGCCGAGGCGCGGTCACGCCTTTGGACGGTCATCCCGTCGGACGGGCAATGCGGGCGTGCATGAACGGTTTCGCTCCAGAGGCGAGGCATGGCGCGCCCTGTTTGCACGGGGGCATCAGACACATGCTCACCCTCCGAATGACCGTCCGATGACCGTCCTGTTCCGGAGGCTCCGAGGCGACGTCGCGTCGGTTTCGTTTAGCGTCGCTTGCAGCTGCCGACTGTTGCGAGCGGCGCCCATCTGTCCGTGTCGCCCGGAGTCCAACATTATGACGACGATCTGGGCGCGAGGGTCTCTAATAGTCAGGCTGGGATATTTGAACGCTGGATATGCAGCTCTCTCTCTGGAAAGCAGGCTGCGCGCCGCCATTCAAGCGCAGATTCGTCGCGCGCGGGGCCGCTAATACCTTGGGCGCGGGCGCTCCTGCAGTGCTTGTGTCGCGCGCCGTGCGCGGCATGAGTTGAGCTGGACGCACGCTGCACGTGGTGTTCACTCGCTGCGCGCGGTGTTCACTCTTGTGCCAATTTGCGATGCTATTTGATACTGCCTTACTAATATAAACTAGAGAGCTGGGGAAGCGGGAGGCAGCGGTTCTGCAGCGATCGTGCCGCGCAAGGCGCCTGGGTGCCGCAAAGTGATCGGTGTTGGACGGGAATGCCGCTTACATCAGCGTTGCCGCGGACGAGAATTCCGGGTGGACTAAGGGCCACTTCTCCGCATGCATCCGCCATGTCCGCGTGAGCGCGACGTTTGGGCGCGTTACATAAGTGCCCAGTCTCATCTCGGACTCGGAGGCACGGCCTGGCCGCGCCGCACTGCTCCGGGCCCGGTCTTACCTCCGATGATTGGATACCAATCCTGGGAGAGGTCGTTGCGAGGCAACCTCGAGCGCCGCAGCCGTCGGCGTGTTGAAAACGCCTCCAACTTCCAAGGTCATCCGCGTTCCCTCGACGGCGTTCACTGGCCTATGTTCGGCAGGTGCGCCTATTTTTGTGAGTCGCGCGGGTCTTCTCCAGGACGCCTGAGCACACCTGTGCGCGCTGGCCCGCGGCGGGTATGCGCTGGCAGCGACGACGTCGGGGGTCTCAGATCTCAGGCCTCCAGGGCGACACTCAGGCAGAGCCCGTTGATCGAGGCGGGTAGATCGTTCAGTGGGGCTGATCTACGCGGCCCAAAAATCAGCACTTGGCTGTACGGCTGCGGGCGTCTCCGGCGATGCCGCCGCCTATATAACCCGGCAGCGGCCCTAAGCTCTTGTTCCCCGTCCGTTCACCTCGCGGTCTTCACCCTCGTTTCTCTCCGCCCCCCAGGCGTGCTTTCGACGGTGAGTCCTTCGTGTCCGCTTCCTCCCCCGCCGTAGCGACTGATCGCCCGCTTGTAGCACTCACTCTCTTATAATCCCGACGGTCTCTACGCTCTCATTCCTTGAGCTTCCGCGTCCTTGCGTCAAAACCCCCCCGCGCCTAATTTGACTAAATCCCACCGACCACACGTCACCATGCACTTCCTCACTCTCGTTGCTGTCGTTTCCGCTGCTGTTTCCGGCGCGTCCGCCATCGTCATCCCCGGCAAGCACGTCCGTCACGCTCGCACGGAGAAGCCTGCCACCTACTACGAGCCTTACCTGGAGGTGCGCTCGCTCGTTTGGCTTGGGTTTTGCGCACATCTTGACTGCGACATCAGCCCTACGACACGTACCACACTCGGTACGAGACTCTCGGTTGCGAGGACAAGCACGACACGCAGTTCTTCGCCGACTGCTGCCACCCTATGCTGGTAAAAATTTATTGAATGACCCGGCGTTGATCCCCGGCGTTGACATGACTTGCGCTTCACAGTCGACCGAGACGCTCCAGGGCAACCGCAAGGCTTACTGCAACCCTGCCAACGTCGTCTCTTCCACCGCGGTCTCCTCTACCGCGTCTGCCGCCACCGCCACCGGTACCCAGGTCCTGAGCACTGGTGACGACGAGGACTGCGATGATGAGGACGACAGTGGCGATGACGAAGACGACTGTGACGATACCGATGACGAGGACGACGAGGACTGCGACGAGGACGACTCTACCAGCTCTGCCGTCCCTACCTCAACTTCGGTCTCTCACTCTTCGTCGGCGGCCCCCGTGACGTCCACCCACGCCTCCTCGACCAAGGCCGAGACCACCTCCACCAAGGTCGAGGCCACCTCCACCAAGGTTGAAACCACCTCCACCAAGGATGAGACCACCTCCACCGTGGCGCCCACTACTTCCACCCACAAGGCTTCGCCCACTTCGACCTCAAAGTCGAGCACTGCCACGTCTGGTAGCAGCACCTTCTCTGGAGAGTGAGTTCGTGCGGTTCTCCTGAGTTGAATCAGATGTTCAATGTGGTACTTGCAGTGCCACGTTCTTCTACCAACTCGGCCAAGCGGGTGCCTGTGGAATCGTTCACCAGGACAGCGACTTCGTCATTGCCCTGCGTCAGTACCGGTTTGTTGTACTCCTGCTGAGAAGATACTGACAACTAATGCAGAGACCGAGCTCTACGGCAACATCAACGCGAAGTCGTCGAACTGTGGCCGCAAGATCAAGCTGACCAACACCAAGAACGGAAAGACCGTCGAGGCGGTCGTTGCAGACGCTTGCCCCACTTGCACCCAGGGCCACGATCTTGATCTCTCCTTTGGGGCCTTCATGCAGATTGCCACCGAGGAGGAGGGCGAGGTTCCCAGTACGTAGCGGTCCACACTTTTGAGCGAAGGATATACTGACTCGGTTTACAGTCACCTGGCAGTTCATCTCGTAAATTGCCATACCCATCCCTGGTTCCCTCAGTTTCCTTGCCCCGTTCTGTTCTGATGATTGTTCAAAGGGGCATGTCCCCGGCCTAGCGCCCTGCGTATCGTCTGGAAGCTGATGACGGCGGGTCGCACGAGACTTACGACCCAGGAGGTGGATGCATCATGCTCCCGCTGCTTATCATAACGCTACGCTTTTCTCCCCTTGCCGCTGCTGTTCACGGGTGTATAGCTCTTCGAGATATTGTTATTATGCAAGTCAATCGTGATTCATTGCTGTCGCGTCTTGTACATAGCTGGCTACGGACTCGAAACACGGTGTTCCTTGTTTGCTCATCTTTGGATTCGTGCGCTGGCCACCAGGGGTGAAGAGAGAATGGAGAGACACGGGCGAGATGGAGATCTGAGGCGGGTGATGACGTCGACGGCCCGTAAGCGTGTGGCTGGACGGTCGGGGACACTGGCGGGCAGACGTCCTTTGCTCCTGCCATGGAACCCGTCCTCCAGAAAATCCTCGTCGTGGGTGGCAACGGCTTCGTTGGTGCGTGGCGAGCCGTGCTGTGTCTTCGTGCGCGGTCCCGCTCAGGCCTCGTTCTTTCCAGGGTCTGCTGTTTGTCGGACTGCGCTGGCACGCGGCATGCAGGTCGCCAGTGTCAGGTGCGCCGTCAAGAACGTGTCCACGTTAAGGAAATCTCATGACATGCTCCATATAGTCCGTCGGGGAAACCATGGCAGACACCGAAAGGACACACACCCGCATGGGTCCACAAAGTGCGCGTTCGCTCATCTGCTTCCCCTCATCTTCTCCCAACGCGGCACACCTCAACCCCACGCGCATACACAGGTCGAATGGCACCAGGGCGACGCGCTCCAGCCGGACACGTACCAACATCTCTTGCCCGGGGTGACGGCAGTGGTGCACACGATCGGGACGCTGTTTGAGAAGTCGGGGTACAAAAGTGCGATCAAGGACGGGAACGTGCCGCATTTCGTGAGCAGTGTCGCCGCCGGGATCGCGGGCTCGAGTCGCTCGGCGAACCCGCTCGAGAAGGAGCAGAAGAGGAAGGAGGGGAGCTATGAGGTTGTGAACAGGGACACCGGTGCGTCGTCCTCTCCCTCTCGCGTATATTCGAGCGGCCCCTCAGTTGCGTTGGGTCGGGGAATGCTCGCGTTCGTCGGGTGTGCAGCACTGCGGGTGTGCGAGCAGTTCCTCAGGTCAACACCGACGGTCGGGACGGCCGGCCCCCGCGCATTCGTCTACATCTCCGCGGAGGACTGCAACCGGCCCCTCGTCCCGTCGGGTTACATCGAGGCGAAGCGGGAGGCGGAACTCGGGATCGAGCGCATGATGCTCGACCACCCCAGCTTCCGCGGGGTCTACATCCGTCCCAGTACGTTCCGTCTTCCTCTTCCGCTCCCCAGTGCGCCCCCGCCCACCTCCCCCCTCCCGCATAGGTCTCATTTACCACCCGCACTACCGGCCGCTGATCTCACCCGTTGCGGCACTGCTCGACCTCTCGGCGACGGTGCACGCGAGCCTGCCGGCGGGGCTCCCGACGCCGTCGAACGTGCTCCGCACGCTGGGGGCGGTCCTGCCGCGGAGCGCGGCGCCTGGCGCGGTCGCGCTCGACACCGGGTTCGACGCGATGGCGCGCGCGCTGACGATCCCGCCCATTCACGTCGACCACGTCGCGGAGGCGGTGTGCATCGCGGCGGACAACAGGCGGCAGGACGTGCGGGGGCCGTATGGCGTGAAGGGGATGCGGGAGCTCATTGGGTGGCACCAGCGGGGGCAGCAGCAGGTGGGGCACGCGTAGTTAGTTCTGCTTTGCACCTCGGAGTGCATCCTTGTGCCAGGAAGGGGAATCTGACTTGGTTAACTGCGACATCGCTGCGCTGTCTTGGTGTGGCCGTCGATCGGAAGAGACGAGGACAATTGCGGGTGTTCTTGGCAGACTCACTTTGCTGAAGGACGAGCCCGGGCCAAGGCGCGGATGATGGCCGCGTAGCGTTCGTCGCCGAGCGTTCGGGCGCAGAAACCAGAGTCGGCAGCGAGGTCGTCGCGCGTCGACTGCGGTCGGGGCAAGGGTGGATTGAGAGACTGGCCTGGCCTGGACATGATGGCATGACACATATTGCGCGCGGGCGGCTGTGGGCCAGAGTCAGACTCGCGTGATCGGTGAGAATGGGCAGATCCTCAGCGCACTCGACGCGGCAGCTCGTCCGTTGGGGTCACCCCAGAAAATCCGACGCGGCTCCCTCCCGTTCTCTCCTCTCTCCCTCCTCCTCCGCCGCCGCCTCCTCCCGCCGTTCCCTCCTATCCCTCGAGGTGAGCCCCTCGCGAAACCGAGCCACTATAACTCACCCTGTTTCGCCGTCCCACCTGCCCCGTTCCCGTCCGTCTTTGCACTCACACATTCGATCCCAGGTCGCAGGTGCCCGCCCCCGCACGCCCGGTCTCGGTCCCCGTCACGCGCACCATGTCCGCCCGCGTCCTCAGCGCACCCGCCCAGCTGCACTTCGCCCCCGCCCCCGTCGCAGTCGCCGCGCAGGCACGCTATGCCTTGGGCTTCACGCGCGGGATCAGCAGCTCCACCGCGCCCCAGAAGGCCGTGTCATTCTCGCTCGGCGCGGCCGCGCGCGACGAGACCGTCCCGGCGCACGACGGCAAGCTCCTCCGGATGATCATGTTCGGTGAGTCCCCCCGTCTGAATTCGCGCGTCAGAGCGTACATGGGAGTGGGTGCGGTCGTGTGCGGTCGTACTGTCAATGAGTGCGATGGCATGACGTCTTGTGCGCTTGGGCATTGGGATAGTGCGGGGGGCCGCAGTTTGCTTTGCATCAGTTCACCCTTCACGACTTGCAATGCACATCGTTCCTTCACTTCTCGGGTCTGCCCATGCGCAACGTGCGTGCTTTCGCTGACTCTCTTTCTCGGGCTTTTAGGCAAGCCTGGGGCCGGCAAGGGCACCCTCTCATCCCGGCTGGTCAAAAAGTACGAGATCGTCTCGCTCTCCACCGGCGATCTCCTCCGGCAGCACATTGCAGAAAAGTACGTGGGCGCACTCGTCGGCTGTGCGTCGTGCGGTGTGCTCAGGGGTGCTTGACACAGGACCGAGGTCGGTGTCCTTGCGGAGGAGATCGTGGCTGCCGGAGGCCTCCTCCCGGACGACATCATGCTCAAGATCGTGACAAGCAAACTGGACTCGCTGCACAATAGGGTGAGAGGATGTGCGCGCGGTTTCGCGGGTCGTTCTAACGAGGTCCTTCAGCATTGGATTCTGGACGGATTCCCTCGGACACTAGGACAGGGCAAGCTTCTTGACGACCACCTTGCGTATGTTTTGTCCTCTTCCGACTTGCACGGCGGCTCGCTTATGATGTCATACGTACAGGGCGAAGGGCAACCCCTTGAGCTTGATTGTCAACCTGGATGTCCCAGATGAAGTCATCCTGGGCCGTATCTCGGACCGATGGGTCCATCTCCCATCCGGGCGTGTCTACAACCTTTCCTACAACCCACCAAAGGTCCCTGGTCTTGACGACGAGACCGGCGAGCCTCTCATGAAGCGGCCCGACGACAATCCGGTATGCTTAGTGGCTTTGCTATCTCGGATCCTTCTTCTTACACCCCACCCAGGCGGTTTTCGCTCGTCGCCTGGAGCAATTCTATGCCTCGACGTCTCCGCTGCTGACCTACTACGCGCTGCCGTCGGCTCATGTAGGTCCCAGTAAGCTCGTCACCCTCGCAGGACGAACATCAGACGAGATCTGGCCACAGCTCGAAGGAACCGTGCTTTCGAAGTTCCCTTCAGTCAGGGAGCGTATTGAGAGCAAGCGTCGCAGCAGTCTGTCAGACGCGGTCTTGGCTCGCAGTGACCGGGACCACATGGACGGCAAGAGTACTGCAGTTTGAGACCCTTCGCTGACGTTCACTGTTTCATTTTACATGGACTTCCCATACAGTCGATGCTCCCTGCTCTCTGCTCCGTGGTTTGGTTTTCACGACGTTCATGGTATCACGCATGGTTACGTTGTTTCTCTTGTGCACTCATGCCACTGTTTTACCCCGCTCTGCTCTGGATTCTGTGTATCAGTAGATGATCCCTAGTTCTAGTCGAATAATAATGCTTCTTCTGTCGACCGTCGCAGCAGGAGCGCCACGATCGTCACCTCAGAGCATACCTGCATTGAAAGGCAGGTCAATGATATCTCAGTAAAACGAGGGATGTGCACGGACATTTTGACGGGATACAATCCCTCTGGAAAGCCAAGCTGAATCTGTTCGTACACCATCTTCAATCCTGCCGCGGCGAAGCACTCCTTCCAAGCCAGATCGGATCTGTCAATGCGATGTTGTCCCTCAGTCAGTCTCGGTCACCATCTACTCATTGTAATCCGCGCGTCCGCACCTCGTCAGGCTGGAATCGCTCTCGTCGAAGACGCTTCGCGGGCCCCCATCTTCCGAGCACAAGTTCTCCTTTACCACGACGAGCCCCCGGGCGGGGTCGCGCAACGCCGCCCGCGCCTTGCGGAGGAACGCGACCAGGTCCGGGTCGCTCAGCGCGCCCAGACACCACTGGCACATCACCACGTCGAACTTCTCCTCCGCCGGCTCGTCCGGCGCGGGCACGCGCCCCACGCGCCCGAGCACCGTCACCCCCGCGGCGGTCGCGACGGGCGCGGCGGGGTCGAAGTCCTGGAGGGTCGCCTGGACGAAGGTGACGCTCTTGGTGCGCTCGCGGATGCCCTTCCACGGCGCGCGCTCCGCGTCCGCGCCCGTGTCCGCGTGCGCCCCGTCGGCTCCGGAGCTGGCGCGGCCGCGGCGGAGGGCCTCCTGGACGAAGGGCGCGACGGGCTCGACGAGGACGACGTCGGCGAAGAGGTGGAGGAGGACGTCGGAGGTGACGCGCCCGACGCCCGCGCCGACGTCGAGCGCGCGGGGGCGGGGCGCGAGGGCGGACGCGGGGGACGCGTCGAGGCGGCGCACGGCGGAGGGCACGGTGCAGAGCTCGGGGAGGAGGTGCATGAGGAGCTGGCGGGAGCCGAGGGCGTCGACGCGGGGGAGCGACTGCGGGGGAGAGGCTCGGACCGTCAGGGCGCCGAGGCGGGGGTGTCTGAGTGCGGGGGTCGACGTACGCCGGTGCCAAAGCCGCCTGTCGATGAATATCACCTCCGCGGAGCAGGCGAGAGGGAGGGGCACATACCGAGGACGCCGTCGTAGTTGGCGGGCTGCGCCGTCCAATACTTGATCCCGTCCTCGACGTCTGGATCAGGCAGCACGGTGTCGGGTGTCTCCATGCTGAAAGGGATGGCTACGAGCAAGGGGTGCAGGACGACCACGTTGAGGGAGAAGGTGGGGAACAGATTAGATCCCAATCCGAGCCCGCCGTCGCAAATGAGACGTGACGCGGAAACGCGTGACAGACGCGTCTGTGGCACGCGACGCGTCTGACCCACGCGCGCGTGACCCCTGCTCTCACCGACCACCTCTCTGAACCGCCATGGCCTCGCTCGACGACATCTGGGACACGCCGGCGGAGGTGGGCTCCACGCAGCCAGCACTCCCACCGATTACGATCAGCGACGACGAAGACGACGCGCCCACCCAGCGCGCGGGACGTCGCCGCGCGCCGAAGCCCGCCCTCTTCCTCGACTCCGACTCGGAGGGCGAGGCCGCGACCTCCGGCAACGCCGTCTACGTCTCGAACCCCAGATCCGAGAAGCCAGACATCGACGCGTTCTGGGACGATCTCGAGGATGACCCGTCGACGGCGCGCCAGGAGCTCCCGCCCTCGCTTGACCTCGAGGCGCTGAAGCGGCAGGCGGGGGAGAAGGGCATGCTGGCGTACACGCCGCACCAGATCTTGCCGAGCAGCTCCCCACCTCCAGAAGGTGACGACGAAGAGGAAGCAGAGGGAGGGAAAGGCAAGGATGCGGGGAAGAGAAAGTCGGGGGTGGGGCTGAAAAAGAGGCCAAAGCTGGACCAGGCCAGGCTGCTGGGACCGGACGGGTTCCCCGCACTCGTGAAGCAGGCGAAGGAGTTCAAGCCGAAGGGCAAGGGCCATGAGGTGTGTTTTGTTATTGCGATGCCGGGGAGAGGTCCTAAGAGTCACTACAGGTGTCCGACCTCAACAGGCTCTTGAACATCTATCAGTTCTGGGGACACAAGATGTACCCGCCGAGCCAGTTCTCAGACACTGTCCAAAGGGTAGAAAAACATTGCCATACGAAACGCCTGCAGGTATGGGAGCCTTTCATGCATTTTGTTGATCGAGCCCCTCATCTGGTTCTACTGCAGGTCGCGCTGGGCGCGTGGAGAGACGAGTTCCACGGGCTTATCAACGGCAGGAAGCCCGAGGAAGAGGGCGAAGACGACTCGGACAAGGACGAGCACGACGCGACCGCGGCGCGGCTCACAGACCACGACGTGCCACTCGCCACGGACAACGAGCGGTCATCCCCGTCTCGAGGGCCGTCTGTGCCGCCGTCTTCCGCATCGGAGCTGGCATTCGACGACTTTGACATCGACGCAATGATACATGACGACGAAAACGCCCGCAGACGGACAAGTACCAAGGGCCCGTCCCTTTCAACAACTACTTCCGTTCCGGCTATGTCCAGCGCAGTCACAGACGAAGACGAGGCGATGTGGGACGCGATGATGGGCGACATGTCTAACGAGCCGACAGTATCGAAGGGTCAGCCACCGGCCTCAAAACCCTCCGCACCTCCACCACCAGAAGAAGATGAGGACATGTGGGACTTGGTTAGGGAGGCTGAGATGGAGGCTGAAGCGGCAACGAAGGTTCCAGCAGTTGCCCCAGCGAGCTCAGTAGCGACACCCGCCCCGCCAACGGATCCTCCAGGCCAACAGAGCGCGAAGAAGACGGCGGATGATGACTATTGGGACGATATGTACTTGGATGAGTAGGAGGTTGGCTTCCTGCTGTATGTTATCATGGATTCGGAACAAAATTGATCAAATCTGGGCTGCCTCCAACTTCGTCGGTGCATGGAATCTGGATCAACGATTCATGAATTGCTTCTGACTACGATTGCACGAAGTTGGAGGTCGGCCATTGAAAAACAAGAGTATACGTAACCGTTTTGTTATAAGGTGACATAGGAGGACGATCAACCATACTACTTGATACAGATGAAGTGCAGTCTACGACAGCAAACAATTACGACCGGAAAGATTATAGCAGGGGTATACGTAGAAAGAAGGGGCAATGTATGAGGCGTGGAGTGTGGAGAAAAACACGGCGGAACCACGGCTCAAAGGAGCGTTGAAGAACTTGCGATGGATGGTGTTACTGCGACGTCGACCGACACAAGGTGTTCAACCTGTGCTGGCTTTGTGCTCTTCGTCTTGTTTTTCAAACATTTGGAGGGAGTGGAAGCCGTGAGGCCAGCGCATTACCTGTCGCAGAGCGTTGGCTATGCCCTGTTTGAAACCAATGTTCGACGTGGGCACAACATTCTCACATGGATGACTACATACCGTGCAAATCCTGATGGACTTGTTGTACCGACTGCGGTTCCGACCGAAAGCTAGGTCTGCGTCGGAGTTGTTATCGAGGTTTGCCAACGACCTTTCCTCCATGCTTGACCGCTGAGGGTCAGAAATTTCCTCACAGCGCGACTTTTGATGCTACGCCAATGGTGCTGTCGGTCCCATCAAGTTCCAGAGGAAGGAAGAAATGAACCACTCACCGAATTCGCAGGTTCCGAAGCCGTATCCTTCATCCCTTCGTCGTATCGATAGTCAACGGTCTTCTGTGACGGAGTTGAAGGGTCAAAAATGAGCACGTCACGGCTGAGAACAAACACACCGTGAAACACTCCTGTTCTCTCTGTTCTTGAGGGCGAGGGTACGCGTGAAATCTTTCCAAAAAGCTTGTGCGGGTCGAGTAGAAGCGTGCAGGGTCGAAGGTCGGAGAGTCGGCTTTTAATGCCATGGTGGTGAAGGTAGGGTAGGGCGGGTCGATACGCCACATGTATTACGAGGATATGAGACAACAAGTTAGAGAAGGAGGGGATTTCTACAGGCGTAGATACGTGGCAGGAGCGCAAGGGACGGAGGGCCAGCCCCCTGGACATTTAGGACACGCGAGACGGCGAAGTGAGCGTAATAACGTCGCGACCCTGAAGATGCGCATCTCTGTTTGGTTCGGTTGTTGCTGCCCTCATGCATCCGCCTCGCACACTACCGCGCGCTGGAGGCCGCACGCGAGGCAGCTTCCCATACCCCCCACCATGCCTCACCTCCGCGAACATTCCTCGGCATCCTCTACCGACCTCTTGCGTCTATGCCTCCAACGCCAACACCAACGCCACAGCCGTACGCCCGAGCTACTTTTCGCCGCAGCACGCCATGTAATATCCGCGCAGGAGAGGTGGCGAACGGCAGTCGGCAGTTCGCCTGATGTCAAAGACAGCATAAAACACTTGTGTGATATCAGCACTAGCTGTGAGTAGTGTACATCGTCATGCCTTTTGCACTACTCAGACACGGGAGAGGTCCCTGAGGAGAACCGTGACCGACCAGATACGATTATGCGCAGTTGATTCGCAGCAGTATCTCGTTTCCATTGCACAAATAGAAGCCAAATGCACAACGTTTCTCAAGCAAATCGCCCTCCCTTGACCCGTCGTCTTTCGGTGTCTGGCCGTGTCCTGCCGCTGAATTCAACGGCGGAGCACGGTCACACTCAACGAAGCGCGCATGCCGCGTGACGATCGTGACAGCGCCAATCAACAATTGCAGTGGTGGACGACGGTGCGTGTCTAACCACGACATCAACCATGAGAGTGAGTTGGACACTAAAGTGCGCGTCAACCACAGACCAAACGTCTTGCCTGCCTCAATCCAAGACATGCAACAAGTTGAATAAGATCCCCTCAAGCGCTGCCAACCCATGCTGCTCAAATGCACCTCATCAACCGTCCTGTCGAGGTGGGATGGCGTCTCGCAGAAACAAGACCACGGCAGAGTGACAGCAAGTCGTGGGCAGTGCAAGAGAGAGAGAAATCCACAAGGACAAGGACAAGCATCCAATGGCGGGACACACCTGTGTGGACATGCGACGCTTCATCGCGTGCGCTTCTCCGTCTCCGCGAACTGAGGTGCCCCTGGCGGCCCATAGAACGGACGACATAGCCAGTAAGCCCGTCCAAGTTTGCTCTGTGGCTGAAAAATGCAGAGGTTTCGCTAAAGACAGCAGCATGACGGGCTGGTCGTTCGCGTCCGGTCCGTCATGCTGTTCTTGACCACCTCTCTCCGTCAGCGTGGGGACATCCTTTCTTCGTGATGCCTCGCCTGTGCCAGAGTGTCCCTTTCCTAAGGGCAGACGAGAGGGGGGCATTTATGGCCGTGATCCGGCAATTTTGCAGCCGCAAGTTAAGGCGAGACGTGCTGTGAAGATCCAGTTCTGCGGCAAGACCAACAATGCGGATGAATGCGAAAAGCAAGATGAAGAGCCGTGTGAGCAGCAAGAGATGAGTGAGAGCAAGAGGCAAGAGGCTGAGGCTGGCAGCACGTCACAAGCGGAGGTGATCGACAGCTGCAAACCAGCCGCGAAAGTCAACTCCGCCGCCGCGCGCAGCCACCACACCCCGCGACTTTCATCCAGCTTGCTCCTCCCCTCTCCCTCGCCGCTAGTCCACTCCAGCTGCCCTACCCCGTCCCCGCCGTGCACCATGTTCAATATTCATCTCAGTCAACTGACCATCACCTCCTCGATATATCTCCTCAATTCACTGCCTCCTCAATTTACCTCCTCGATTCACATCCTCGACCGTACCCCGGCCATGGACCCATCAGCTCATTCACTCGCGGCAGTATCTCCTTCTGGGTGTCCGATATCTCTGGTGCTTTCCTTACGGACGATGTTCGCGTCCTTCTGCATGGTTACAAAGGGCCAATTCTCGACACGAGAATACCACTCGAAGGCTCATAGGCTCATAGCAGTATTCATCTGTTTTCCAGCCTTTTTCAGAGCAAGATACAAGAGTTGATGACGAGGAACCTTTCACGCCAACTCAGCCTCCGCCGTTGGGTTCAACTTGTATCTACGGACCACAACAGACTTCCTGCAACCTCACTGGTTGCGCGATTTACCGGTCGTATGCACGCTGCGGAGAGTTTACTATGTTCTTGCTTATGCTATCCCTCAACGGCATCAGGCGATTTTACAAGTGGCGGAATGCCTTCTGTATGTTGCCATTTCTGACACTACATGGATCGCCTGCAAAGCCTCCCTCCGCGCACCAGTACCTGAAGTTGGAACCGAATGACACATTACGCTTGCAAGACGGGACCGCACGTTGGCACACTGAACGGCGATGCGTCGAGGAAGGGGGAAAAGCTCTCTGCTCTCGGCGGCCATGTCAAATTGTGAGCGCACCTTCTTCAAGGCCCCTATGTACACCCATCACAACCCCAATGGCCGCACTTCGACGAATCGACGCTCATCGACCACGCCAGCGACTTCATGATCTGGGAGTGAGGAATGATCATCCCCTAGTACCTCGCAGACAAGTCCAACAAAGAAGGCATGCTGTCGCCTGCACGCGGCCACTACTAGTACTACGGGTCAACCCGCGGGTCATTTTGAGTTGACTCGCACCCGTACCCGCGAAAACCCGCACCCGTGGCCACCAGTGCCGCGGGTATGCGCGGAGGCGCTTGGTTAGCCAACGCGCGCGTGCGGTCGCCGATTCACAATCCCCTCCTCTTTTCTCTCCCTCTCCCTCCCACACCCCCGTATCCCACCGCGCCCCCTCTATCGCTTCCTCATTCTCCTCCTCCTCCCGCCAACGGTCGCGTCCTCGCCCCACTGATCCCGGCGGAGCCCGCGATAGTGGTGAATTTGATGCGTTCCATCCCGCGATGTTATTGTTTGCCAACGATGCGCGCGCGCAGCCCCCCACAGTCGTCCAAGGCGAGCACGGCTAGTACGTCTCCTCGTCTTCCAGCAGCTTCAACCCCACGTCTGGCGCGGGACGGCGCGCGAAGGCGGGGCGTCCGAAGACGGGCGACCCCTCCGAGGTCGCAGCTCAGCCCGGCGACGCCTGCCGCAGTGACGAGACATCCCGCAGGCGTCTGCGATAGACTACGGTGCCACCTGGTGCCACCGTTCTCCCCTCCCCCTCCCCCTCCCTCGACCTCGATCCCGTCCTTCGCCCACCTTCCCGGCCGCGGAGTTGCGACGAACACACCGCATTACAGAGCTTGCCAGGAACATGGGGGCTGCGACAATGTGCCGCGGCGCTAGTTTTGGTGAGTCCTCCGCTCCGCCCTCCTGCATTCCCAACGCCCACCCATCCCTCTGCCGCCCTGTCGACAACTACGACAGGACGTTTGCCCGGACATCTCCCCCCTCCTCCCGGCCCTCCGAGTCCCCTCCGCCTCTGCATCACCCTCTTCCTCGCTCTCCTCCTCACCACTCTCCTCCACGCGCCGCTCTCCTCCACGCGCCGCTCTCCTCCACGCCCGCTCTCCTCCACCGCCCCTCCTCCACGCGCCGCTCTCCTCCACGCGCCGCCCTCCTCCTCGCCCTCCTTCGAGCCGCCCGCCCGCGCCTCGCCCACCTCCGTGTCGCCCCCTCCTGCTAGCCCTCCGCGTTGCCCGCATCCGCGTCGCCATCGCCCACCTCTGCCCTCCTCCGCGTCACTCTCCCGCGCACGCGTCGCCCGTCTCCTCCGCACCATCCTCCTGCGCCTCGCCCACCTCCACGGCGCCCACCTCCACGGCGAGCGCCTCCTCTGCGCGCGCGGCCCTCCTCTGTGTTGCCCTCCACCTGCGTTTGCCCGCTTTGCCTTACCACCAAGTTGTAGTGACATAGAATGAATCTATTTCATCTCTAGTATCTCCACAAACGTGTGATGAAGGTGATGGGGGACTGCTGTCACACTGTGTGAGGCCGACCATGAACATGTATGTCGACAGCACTGCCCACACAACTTCATGCATAAGCATCACAAACAGCACAACTGTGAGCCAGCTGAGCCCGAGTTCAGAGTGAGAGTGAGAGCACAATGTGTACCGTCGGGAGCCGTGTGGGTAGGGATGTGTAAAATGACGGTAGGCCATGAGACATGCCCACCCCTTGCATTGGTATTGCCTCACTGGGAAGTGAAAACACATGATATGAAAAGGAGAAACATACAGTCACAAGATATGAGTGAGACACATTGACGAAATTGATGAGAAACAGAGCAAGTCCCCTAGATGTGGTCACTTCACTAAATGTCCCAGATCACGACCTGCCACCACTCCGGCTCACACCCCATTAGGTCTGAGATGACCTCGACGTCCTCCTCCAGTGGGAGATCGGCCATCGCCTTAGCCGTCAACCGGAACAATGTTACCACAAAGTCTGGGGTCAGGTGGTTCACATTCTTGCCCTCAATCAGGCGAACTTCGGTGGCCTTACCCCGGGTGTCGACGAGTTTGCGTATATGGGCCGGGAGCTGAATGGCAAAGTGCTCTGGTGTGATCTTCTCCAACTCCGCATTCTCCTCAGCCATCCGTTTGTAAACTTTGATGTGGTCGAAATGGTAGCCATATGCCCACACCTCCTGCTTGGACAATATGGGGGGGAAGGGCTTGCAGTTGACGTGGGGCAGAGGAGGGTCTGTACAAGTCGACGAGGAAAGGGGAGGGATGTCCCTAGGACTCGGAGGCACTTTGACGGTCGCCTGAGGGGACCTTTGACGGCCCAGACTCGTCTTGAAGGTCATCAGTGAGCAGTCCAGAGACGCAATGTGGCCGGCTCACCCTTATAGTGGATACTTGTGGAGAGGACAACATCATGAAGGTCGGGTGCAAGCTGTGGCAAGTGGCCCCTAAGTAGTTGCATGAGGCCGTTGTTGAACGAGCGCGCGACCCCTCAGCTCCGTGCCACCACCACCACCCCCGCGCCGGGCACTGCAACTTCCACGACTCTCCGCCCGCGCAGATGTACACAGGCCTCACGATCCTGCGCACGTACGCCGGGCTGCCCGACCCGGGCGTGCTCCCCGACGCGATCCGCCTCACGCACACCGACTGCTCGCTCACCGTCTTCGACGCGTACCCGAAGGGCGTGTACCACTTCCTCCTCCTCCCCCGCATCCTCGCCCCGCTGCGCGCCGCGCAGATGACCGACCTCCAGACGCTCCTCCAGCACCTCGGCACGCGCGACGGCGCGCGCGCGTTCCTGCAGCGCCTCCGCGCCGACGCCGACGCCGTCGTCCGCACCGTCCGCGCCGAGATGGTCAAGGAGCACGGGACGGAGTGGCCGATCCAGGTCGGCTTCCACGCGCTGCCGTCGATGGAGTATGTCCCCCTCCCGCTGAGGCATCTCAAGTGTGTCCGTCTGACCACCCACGCGTTTGACCCCCGCGCAACTCGCGCCCCCACCCCCGCCCTGTCCTGCCCCTCGCACCGCCGAGTGACTTCGCCGCTGACCACGGGCACGCCCGTCTTGCAGACACGTCCACCTGCACATCGTCTCCTCAGACCTCGCCGGAGAGAACATCAAGAAGAAGGTGCACTTCAACAGCTTCCACCCCGAGAAGGGCTTCTTCCTCCACCTCGATGACGTCCTCAGCTGGTGCGACCTCGACGATGTCGCGTACGCCAAGGTGCGCCCCTTTCTCGCGGCCCCGCGTACGCAGACCGAGCTCGAGTCCCCGCAGAAAATCAAGTTCAACAAACCCGCCTTGCAGGCGATCCTCAAGTCAGACATGCTTTGTGTCGGGTGCAAAGAGACCATGAAGACGGTGCGCACGGCGCTGGACCACGTCAAGATGCACTGGCGGCTCATGCTCAAGGCCAAAGGGTTACCATACAAGTCCGCCATCGACCCTAAGGAGTCTGCTGAGACCGAGGCCCTGGAAGATGCCCAGCGTGACGCAGAGACCGCCGCTGAAGCCGAAGCTCTCGCCAAGGCTCAGGATAGCGCGACAGAAGTCGAGAGCGCGGATGCCGGGTCGAAGCGCAAGCGAGCTGCCCTCGAAGAAGCACCGGAGGATGGAGAGGCTGGCGTCTCCGCCCAGCCCACCGCAAAACGGCGCGAAAACATACGTCTTGGTTGATAGCACTCGGGTTTCTCGCTTTCTCATCTTTGTAGCAATACGGATATCGTCTTGGGTCATATCACCGATGTATTATACAACCGATCGCTTCCGTCGGCAGTCATGTCTATACAAGGCCCACAAGAGGATCCTACATTCAATGCCCGATTAACGAGCTCTCATGCAGCTGGGGCTTCGGCAGCAGCCTTCTTTTGCGCCTCGAGCCGCTCAGCGCGGCTCCTCTCGGAGGCAAGACGAATAGCCCAGGTAAGCTCGTACGTCTTGCAGGCGTCTGCAGAAAGGCGTTTCATCAACTTCAGGAAAACGAGGATGAGACATGCAAAACGCACCCTCAAATGTGCTCAGAATTTGGGCGGTTTCAGGGTCCTCCTCGATGTCCTCAATGTTGTCAATCAGAACAGAGATCTTGACGTGCAAGGTGCATCAGCGGCCTTCGTTGTATCTCATCTTAGAATGCCCTTACCTCAGAGAAGAACGGATCATCGTCAGGGAACCTGTGCGTCTCTTCGAGGTCGCTGCCCGGCCGGCGGATATAGAGGACGGGCTGTACGTAAGGGTTCACAAGCCTACGTCATGGTCAACCCTTTGCCGCCTTCGTCCAGCAATGACGTCGCGAGCACTCACTTGAGCTGGTAGCCGTCGGCGTAGACCTCGAGCTCGCAGCTGTAGTCGTGACCTTGGAGCGCGCACAGGTGCGTGAAGCTTCCGACCGCCCCGCTGTCGTACTTCCTGCAGACCAATCCAGTGCGTCAGCATCGATTCGAGAGACGCAGATCCATGACGCACCAAGTCGCCGCCGTCACACGGGGGATCCTATTCTCGGGCGGGATGGCGCTCTCGTCGATCGACATTTTGGACAGCTGGCCCGCGTTCTCATCCCAATCGAGCGAGTGCGCGCTGACGGTGGACATGTCGACCTCGCCGCCAAAGTAGCGCGACAGGTCGCAGAAGTGGGTGCCCTGCTCAATGATGGGCCCCGCGCTCTTGGACTTGTCCCACCAGTCGGGCTTCGCGATGGCCTCGTACGCGCACGCGTACCGGGCGATGGTGGCCATGACGGTGAGGTTGTTGTCGTTGATGATCTGCTTCATCATCTGGACCGCGCGCAGGTAGCGGAGCATGTACCCGACCGAGCAGACCGAGCCCGCCTCCGCAATCTTCTTCGCAACCGCGAACGCCTCCGAAAGCTCGCTCGCGGGCCCGGTCGCCGCGGGCTTCTCGATGAACATGGCGACGCCGGGGAAGTACTTGAGGATCTGGGTCTCGATGTCGCGCCCCGGCTGGAGCGTGCCGCGGAACATGGGCGGGGAGCCGACGATGACGGCATGCGGGGTGTCGCGCTTATCCATACTGCGGACGAAGTCCTCGAGAGTCTTGAAGACGCGCGTGTTCTCATACGCGGAACGCACGAAGGTCTCGCATTTCTTGGCGAGCACGGTGGTCGCGCGATCGATGGCGGGGTCGATGAGCGCGACGACCTTGAGGCGTGGACCGAGCTTGCTGTAGGGGGATGATCAGCGGTTGGCACGGGGCACGGCACGGGAGAGGGAGAAGGCGCACTGTTCGAAGCGGAAGGAGTGGTTCCACGGGCCTTCGTCCGAACCTGGCACCGGCGCAGGGGGAGTTAGCAGACAGCCTTGGGCGACGCGCGGCGGGCGGCGGGTGGGGGCAACACACCAAACATGATGTTGCCCGCGCCGACGAAGACGACGTTGAAGTCATCAGAACCGCCGACGTGCGAGGCCCTGTAGCGCGATAGTTAATGAGAGCAGCGCGCGGCCAAAAGGTGGACGTACTTGTCGATGGGGATGAGGCGGGAGGGGTCGATGGAGGGGCGACGCGAGGACGCGCCGGACTGGCGACGGGGACCGTCGAAGATAGAAGGGCGGCGGAAGGAGGTTGGGTTCTCGGACGGGCGACGCGACATGGTGGAGGAGGTGGTGGTGGCAGAGAGGGGGTGCGGGGCGAGATATAGCTCGACGCGTGGCTATATAAACGAGTGACGTCTGGGGACGGTGGGGCTGCGGGGGCGGGGGCCCCGCTGCTCGTCGCTCGCCGCCGCCGCGCTTATCCCCATCGATGTTCTCGTCCAGCGTATCATCCATCTCCATCTCCTGTCCCGCACGTCGCACGAGCCCGTCGCGCGCGCGCGCAATGCGCTGACCATGCGCCCGGCGCCTGCGCGCACTGGGATGGAAATGGAAACATCCGAAAATACAATTACACCGACCCTCCCTGCGCGCGGCGGGAGCGTCCAAGTAGGATTAACGATTCTAGTTCTGCCCCGTTCCATGTAACGACACGCCTCGCAAGCGTCCTCGTCCCTCCACGCCCCACCCAGTCCAGCGCGCCGTCCGGTCCCATCGTGTGTGTCGCCGCGGCGAGAGCGCGACTAGTGCCCGCTCTCGAGCGACCGCCGCGCGCGCGACTCGAGGTCTTGCTGTCTGCGCTCCGCCGCCTCCAACCGCTCGGTCATCGCCCGCAACTCCTCCTTCAGCCGCTCGTTCTGCTCCGCGAGCTTGAGCACGTTGCTCTGCCGCTTCGTCACTCGCTCCGTCCTGGCGCCAGCCGCCCGTTAGCTTCTCTCTGTTGCGACACAACCGCCTCCTTCGATAGGCGCCTGCTCTCTCCCCGATCCGGCCACCCGCCGCACTCGACCGTTGCCCCGGCCACGGAGTGCGACACTCCACTACGTGCGGCGAGCCGCAGACGCAGCGACGGCGCAACACATCCCAAAAGGCGCGTGCACACGCCGAGGCGGGCGGGGAAGGGCGAGGAAGGAGGCCAGGCCGAACAAGGACCGAAGGAGGGGGAGGGAGGAGGGGGCAAGCACTCACTCTTCAGGCGCGGGCGTCGAGCCCTCGGACAGGATGGACTCAAAGGTCACCGTCAGGTCCAGGTCGGACACGGGCAGATCGAGGTCCATCCGCGGCGGCTCCGTCGGCAGCCGCTCGTGGGTGTAGTCGTCCAGCACGTCGTCGTCGTCGTCGTAGTAGTACTCCCCGTCGCCGCTCGCCTGCCCCGTCGTCTGGTGCGAGCGCACGGACATCGGCGTCCCCGCGCGCGCCGACAGCGGCGTCCCGGCGCGGTTCAGCGACATCCCGGACGGCTCCTTGCGCAGCCTGCTGGCGGAGGGCCGAGGCCGGGATCAGCGGGGACGCGTGTGAGGGACGCGCCGAACGGACGCACCCATGCACGGCGGGGTCGAGCCCGTTTTGGGGCTGGGGTTGGCTGGGAACGCTCATCATCGGTCTAGCGGGATTGGAGGGCGGAGGAGGAGCGAGAGGGGGTCAAGGGAGTGAGAGTGAGAGCACGAGGGGAAAGCAGAGACGGTGGTCAGAGTGCTAGAGCGCGATTCCATGACATTGCAGTTGATCACGCCCGCTTGACGCCCGGCACTCCACGCATGTACAAAGCACCGCTTTCCGCTCTGCGATCGCGCTGATCACCGCGACCTCCCGGATGCCGGCCCTCGCGCTCGGATCCTGGACTCGACGTCGTCAGGCAGGCTGCTATTGAGGGCCGTATATGCATTATGTACAGCGTATGTGTCGAAACATGGTGCATGAGACAAGAGCGAGAGAGTTTCAAGGCTACACATGGTCCTAATGTGGACAGACGACAGCGAAGACAGCAAACAGGGCAGACACTGTCTGTGGAGAAGCAGTAGAGTATTCCAGTCGTTAGTGTGGGCATTACGGGAGGCATGGTGAGAGGGGGCAAGACTGGATAGTACGTCGGCGCACCAGCGCACAGAATACAACACTAATTGAAGCATAAGACTACAGTGACGGTGACCAGAAAGGGGACAACACAAGACCGGGGGAAAACACTGGGTGACAGCGGGTCTGGGTGGTATATGTAACGGAAAGCTGGAGAAAGAGAAGCGCGATTCAGATGGGGAATAATCTATGTCACCTCGAGAATGGTTGTCTCAAGGACACGGAAGTGGTTGGGGTCTTTGCTGAGCTCGGACCAGCCAACGACCTCGCGCCAGTTGGCGGCGTTCGCCTCCTTCTCCCCCGCCCCGGAGAATAGACTGAGCTCTTCCTCCGTAACGCCCCGCCACATGAGGAACAGTCGTGTGAATACACAGTTCTCCACCGTGACGGAGATGTCAATGGCAGCCGCAATCTTGCTAGGAGACATGAAGCGGTAAGCAATGTTGCGATGCGAAGAGAATGAGGCCATGTTGTTACTAGAGAGCTACAGTTTAGCAATTCGAAGTAGAAGCAACGGGGTCCAAACATACTTGATAAATGTCGTGCGAGCGAACATTGACATTCCGAGTTGGTCCAAAACTCGCATTAGATGAGGCACGAAGTCTCGGAAAGACATAGCGAAGCCATTTCTAGGAGCGATGAATTCTTGGGGATCTAGCATCCCTGGCTCTGGACTGCGCGATGATCAGTACGACAGGAAGTTTGCCAAGACGGGAATTCGTACATAGCCTCGTAGTAAAGTGACGTCGCCGTCATCTCTGTCTCGAAGTGTTCCACGGCGCCACCGGGATGAACACGAAGGAACCACTTGACCTTGCTCGGGTTGTCCGGCAAGGGCTCCGCGGGTGGCCATGTCACTCCCATCTTCCAGAGCGCAGAGAAAGAAAGGATCACGTCGGCATACTGCTGTCCCGGTGCGAGGATGCTCAGGTGGCACTTCGCCGTCGCGGGCTTTGCGGCATAGGACAACTTGTTGAGGACCCGTGAGTCGATGATGAGGTCGGTGGAGACATTTTCGGTGTTCTGGATGCGAGTGCCGGAGAATTCCATGCGGTGGTCGTCACCATCATGTACAATATCGAGCTTTCCCCAAAAAGACCCATCGACGGTAGTACCATCTTCCATGCGCGCCATGTCTAGCTCGTCGGAGCTGATGGTAGTGTCGAGAGCCACGGTCTGCCCGGGAGCGAGCTCGAGGCTAAAAGTTCCAGGCATCTCGAGTACCGGAGGGGGTCTGAGTGAACAATTGAGCGCATGCTCGAGTTACATGTCAGGTGTAGACTCACGGGGGTGGTCTGTACGTATGAACTAGGATTAATAGAGCGCATGCAAGAGAATCCCACACTACTCACGGAGGGTCGTCCGGCGGTGGTGGCGCGTCACACACGATTTCCACCCGCAGACCTTGCACTCCCATGGTTGCAATCTGGTACGAATCTTCGCTAGTGAGCTAAACATGATCCCAGGTGAGATTAGGGTGGGAGAGACCAGAGGGAAATGCCCACATAGATGTAGGGACCTGCCACTAAACGCTGTTATAGGGTAAGATGATGAGATGCGAAGCGCGTGTGAAAGGAGAGAAGGTACGACATACCGCGGCGTTGAGTGAAGCATACTCAATCGGTACTCGCAAAGCGAATATGATGTCAGGGGGAGGCTTGATCCAGTCCCGCGCGAGAGCGTCGAGCTCCTGCGCTGCTTGTTAGCAAGCCCATGCGGACAGACGCGCGAACTCACCATGTATGAGTTCGGAAGCTTTACACGGCAGTGATTTGAGTGGCGGGGTGGTGAAGGGTTCCAGATGTGTACTCACCATACGAATAGTCTCCATGTCCTCAAAAGCGAGCGTGAGCAACCTTTGGCGGGTGAGGGCCATAGTCGCCTGTCTCATGTCGGAATCCTTGTTTGTTTTGGGGGTCTTGAACCTGCCCCAGAACCCTTGTGGGGTGGGGAGGCCCGCGCTGGACCCGCTGTCAGAGAGACGATTATCAGACAAGCGATGGGCGAGATTGAGACGAGGCGGACCTTGGGGAGTGCAGCATGGTGCAGACCGCGGCGGAGGGCGGGAGGCAAGCGGGGAATAGGGAGGGCTGGAGGGCTGTATGCGGATGAGATGACGGAGAGGCTAGTAATATGCGCTATCGGAGTCACGGAGAGAGGGCAAGCGAGGGCACGAGGCGGCGGGGAGCACGAGGCGGAGAAAATCAAAAGGCGAATAAGAGAGCTTTGCAGGACCGATTGAAGCAGATAAGTCGGGGCGATGGCGATAGATGGCCCGGGGCTGTTACCGCTCCCCTTCGCCCAGTCCGCGCAGTCGCCCACACGCCGAGCCCGGCGCTGTCCTCGTCGTCTTCAGCGCTGATCTCGTCTTCGAGCTCGCCGTCCCGGACCGGAATCCGGGGCGCCTCATGCGTCAGATCGAATATCTACTGATGCTCCGCGAGGACCGGCTTGACGCTCCAGGCCTTTGTCGCTATCTGGGAGTGTGTGCAAAGATGGTAAAGATGCCTGGCCATGCTTCGTCAGAGGGTCTGCCTAGGGGAGACTACGGGCCATGGACTTTGTGGCAGAACTTGGCAGGCGGAGTGCTCGATCGGCCTGTCGATCAACCTCGAAAGGCTCCCGTTCTGCCCCGCCTCTTCCCATATGAGATCGTCATGTTTAGCTGGCTGCGCACCATGCGGGGCGGCCGGGGTGCTGGCCAGCGTTCTGTGGGCAGTGAGATGTTGCCAATGGCTCATGACGTCACACGAGCGCCCGACGCTTCGCTGGCGGGCCGCGCGCGAGGTCTGTGTCGGCGAGTCCACCTCCTTCCACGACCGCCATGCACCGCGCCGCCCTCCGCGTGCCCCTTCGCAACGCCGCCTCCTCCCACCGGCGGGGCTTCGTCTCCACCGTTCTTCTTACCAAGGCTTGGGAGAATGAGACTGTCGCCGAGCTTAAGAAGGAGGCGAAAAACAGGGGGCTGTCTCCGTGCGTCCACTCTTCTGTCCCCATACACTCTGCCCATAGAGCCCTGGCATATAGTTCTGGGAATAAGGCCACTCTGGTCACTCGGCTGAAGCAGTACGACTACCGAAGTGTGATGGCCTCGGAGCCTTCCCCTTCCCCGATGTCGTCTCAAGTTCGCTATGCCTCTGCCGCAGGACCTCTCGAAACACCCACCGAGGTTCCTGGTGTCCCTGCCTCGGCTGACCGGTACACGCCAAGTTCACAATGGACATCAAGATCCCCGACACTGCCGTTCCGGAGCCTGAGATTCCTATGCAGATTGTAAGTCCGTTTACCTCCGCATTCAGGATGTTCGGCCTGAGTCGCTTGCGCTCCAGCCTCTTCTCCCTGACTCGTGGAATTCTCACAATCTCAACGACTCGTCAAGCCTTCCTTCAACGCCTTCTAGCGATCCCAAAGTCGTTGTTGTCGGCGGTGCGGAGACCCATCCTGGCGGTGGACCGACGCACAACGTCTACGTTCCCTCTTCCACGGTCTCGTCTCCGTCAACTCCTCCGCCAACATTCGATGCTCAGCTGCTCAGGCAGCCCTCGACGCAGCTTGGTCACGTCATGGCGGGTATGGCGGAGGACCTTGGTGTCCCGAGAAGCATCAAGCTTCCTTCGATCAAAATCGAGCTGGGCGGTGCTCCTTCCGGCCCAAACTCCTCTCGCCCCTTGAACAGCGACGAGCAGAGAGGCGCATGGTCTCTGCTCGCATTGCTCGCTGGTTCTTGGGTCGCCGGCGGGATTTTCGCGCCGTCGGCTGAGTATGCGCACGAGGATGCGCACGGCCATTAGCCAGATTCCTATTTGGTGGCCGGAGTGGATTCTGTAGATGCCTCGTAGTACTACATCGCAAACTATAATGATACGGGACATGCACTCTTTTCACCAGTATCCGTGTCTCCTGGCGAAGTATCAACATGCCAGAGCTACACGGCAAAAGCCGAGTCGCATACTGGGCGTCCAGCATCTCTTCCAGGGACTGCAATGTTCAGACTTCCACTCGCGCCCCCATCGTCTGCCCTCCGCATCCGCCATGCGTCGCCACGCCATCTACATGCATCGCTAGCACGGCAGCATCTCGTTGGTCCTCCCGACCCCGTTTCGCACATGCGGCCAGTCATTTACGACGACGCGCCCCCGCCTCCGCCGTCACAAGTTCGACACCCGTACTCGCTCCGCGAGTTCACCGGTGACACGCGTGAGTACCAGCTCAAGATGCAGCGGCAGGAGCTGGACGCATTCAACGAATCATTTTGGAGGGAGGTAAGCATATGTGTCGACGTTCCTGCTGTGTCGTGTTCGCGATACGAACCATCATCCCATCCTGCCACCAATTCCTCCCATTCCTGCCTCAAGCAGCCTCCACGACCTTCTTTGTCGTGTCTGATTCGGGAGAGCTCATTATCTCTGACGATTCACGTTCACAGAGCAACACACGCTTCTATGCCGCAAAGGACGCCGTACTTGCTGCGTTTCCGGAAGACACGACCGCTGAGGAGCGCGAGGTCGCGCTTTCCGAGTTCTACTCCGGTTGGGTCGCACAGGAGAACGCACGGCTGGACGCGTACGGCGGGTCCTGGCGGCGTCGAAACTGGGCGGCGATTGCGCTCGCGGCGCGCGTGCGATACGAGCGGTTCTGGGCCCGCCTCGCGCGGCCGTTCGCGTGAAGTGCGAGCGCGAGGGGAGCAGAGCAGGCAGGGCCACGTATTAAAAACGCCATGGATCCTTTGTCCCGTACGTGTTCACCTCCTGGGACGTACTGGCACTTGGCCATCTTGGTCTCTTACATTACAGCCATACATCAGAGATGCCTTGGTACGGTGTCAGTCCAGGTGCCCGCACCCTTTCTCTCATCCTTCGACTCTGTTCTATCTTTTTGCATGGAAAAAATACAAATGCTGATATGGAATACGACCCGCAAGCAAAACTGGGTAGATTGCTATGCCCTGTTCGAGTTCCGTGGGTACCAGCTTCGACCGCGGCTCTTGGCTTGAACCCCGACTGGATTCTTCGTGGTAGTGGAAGAAGGATCCCTCCATTTCATTCGGGAGTGTGGACGAGTGTGCTGGTTGCTCCTCTGAGATGATCCTTCGTGTTCCAACTTATCCAGTGCATGAGGCTCTTGAGGTAGATGCCAGTGTCACTGAGAAAGACCACCTCATTACAGAAGAGAGTTAGACGGAGACTTCCGCCTCAACTTCCGAATCATGTTTTTGGGAGCTGTCCGTCGACCATCGTAGATGGGTATTGCATTCGTGAGGAGGGCGTACGATAACGGACACATACGCACAGCGATGTTACAATGTGATATAATAGCGAACTGCAACGTGTGCATTTTTGACGAAAGGGTGGTTCGGCGTCCCGAGAGAAAGATGCGTCCGTCAAGCGCGTTCTAAGTACTCAGGTCGCTTTGAACGAGCTGCTCCATGCTCTGGTAGATACCTTCGAGGTTGTAGTCTTCCAGTTTCCGGCAATCTCGCCCGTAGTCCGTTTCGATGGAAGTGATCTCGTCTGGTGACATGCTTGGCCACCGCAGGGCGATCTCTTCTTGCGACGCGATGTCCAAGACCTGTGATGGTGCGAGCTTGTGGCCCTCGGGATGAGCTTGTCGAGGCCGTCTCGCGATGGACAAGAGCGCGGCGTAGAGCGCAGTGCGCCGAAGACGGTCGTTGAGCTCTGCGTCGGTGACACCAGTAGTCTGGCGGATGTAATTCCAGCTATGGGTATTGTCAATCTCTCTGTGCCGGGATCGTGAAGGCGGGAACCCACTCGTCATGAATGAAAATACGGCGCCAGACGTTCTGGAACGCGTGTATTCGCCGAGCGCTTGGCAGGTTCTCATGTCAGGAGGGGTTAGCGGGAATCGGTGTTATCTAGGGCCTTGGAAACTCACCTCTGCTCGAGCCAATAACTGCAATGCAGACGCATAATCTTCAACGTGATATGTGTTGTCTTTCAGAACGAGGGCATCGGCCATATCCTCGATGGAGAGCGCCTTGCCCTGCAACAACAGTCGTACCAGGTACTTGAAGACCTACACCTACCGTATAAACTCACTGAACCAATATATATGTAACGAGAGCACCCACATTGTAAAAGGCTTTGCGAGTAGACAGGTTGGATGCCTTCTCCTTGGCAATGGATTCAATCTGCTGCTCGAGTGATTGCCGTCCGCGAATATTGACCAGAGCGGATTTGAGGTCGGTGATCAATGTCTCGTGTACACTGACGAAGTCAAGTCCGTCGTGGAACTCTGTCAGGGCGATCAATTAGCTACGGTCAACTGCCATATTTCATAATCACGCACCGTCTAATGTCTCTTGGCTGACAGTGGGTTGCCCCTCGTGTAGCTGCGCGAGATGCGCCAACTTGCCTATACTGAGCATGAACTAGCGCAGAACCAGCCGTCAGGGTGAATCGCAATTGGCGAAGCGGGAAGCGACACTAACGTGCTTCGAGACGAGTTCGGACGCATGCTCCGCCTCGGATTGCAGCGCCTTGGACGCAGCGCCGTAATGACCGCATCCAAGATCATGGATCCACGAAATGGTAGGGTACGAGTGCTCGGCAAAGAACAGGTCCATGTACTCGATGTGTTCCTGCGCAAAGAGCGCACGAAGCTCCCCGTGTTCGATATACCACTGATACAGTTCGTCGGTGAAAGCTTCCTTGAACTTGTCGATGTAAGCCTCGATGCGGTTGACGTTAGGATTCTCTTGCGGGGGGTAGATCTTGCCTTTGTGACAAAGGGCTGCCAGACTACGGAAGTCGTGGTACTCTTCGGCGAGCTTGAAGGCTTCATTGGCAAAATCATTCCTCCCTGCCGAACGGGTAAGCAAGGCTGTCGTCGATACATGCCTGAGGACTCACGAAGGATTTCTAGTACGTCAGGTCGTCGTTCTCGAAACCTGTCTGACAGTTTCGACCGTTCTCTCTCAAGAGCAGTATCGCGAAGCAGTGCGACGCTAATATGATGGATCAGTTGACGAACATGGAATGGGTCGACGGGAAGATTTACCTCTGGAGGCATTCCAATCGCTCTTGGAAACACTTGAGGAGACATGCGGCAAGATCAGGCATTTGAGACCGAGGCACTTTCTTGGCACTGGCTGATTCCTGATCGCTTGCTGGCGCTTCCACAAATTGCGTGGTCACGGTGAAAAGCTCATTGACGATGTCGATGATCTGCACTTGACTCGTCCAAACATCTATCATTGGAAGAGTGATGCCATAAACGCCAAGGTTGTACTCGCGATAGCTTCGTGCCCCTTGTAAAACGGTCTAGTGGTCGATTAGTCGAATACATGCCTTTCATATGGCAAGACCACACATACCAGGGTGATCATGTTCCCTTGGGAAAGGGCTTCGGACGAATTGCTGTGGACGTTTGTAGTACTCTCGCGCACCAGTTCGAGGACATGGGGCAACAATCCAGCGAGATTTCGGGTGCGGAGCCGTAGGAAAGCACGCAGACAGTCTTCATGGTGACCTTCGCCCATAACTTGCATGTAGACATAGACAGCTTGGTGCAAGATGCCATGACTATGGCTCCCTCTGTGACAACAGGTCAGCAATATGCACTGAGCGACAAGATAATCATCCTACCGAAGCATGTCGCCGTGCCGCAGCCAGAGTTGGTGAGCTGCATACAGTTTTTCTGCGTCTGCAGCCAACTTTTGCCGACTCGCTTGGGACATCTGGACAAGCCAGCTGTTAAGCCTGACTTGCTTAATGTCCAACATGACACTGACCTTGCCGAGGGCAGAGTTATCATTAATGAACTTGATGAGGAAGCTGAGACGCTCTTTGCGTGTCGTCATCTGGACATTCAGGTCGTGATGTGCGCGCACCACCTCCGTATCTTGACCTGTCGTCAGTGTCGTCGCTACCTTGACAACTATTGTGACACTGACCTGACTCAAGGACAGCTGCGCTCAACTGTTCAGCACCAGTCATTAGAGCATCCTCGTCAATCTCTGGAGGAAAGCTGAAGTACAGCGGATTCTACAACAAGGTCAATATTTATATCTCAAAATGATATGATCACACCTACCTCGGGCAACGATCCATACAAGATTGCTTTCGTCATTGTTGACTTGATCAAGCTGGCAGCACCAGTCCTACGCGACAACGTGAGCGCCTCTGGAAAAGACAATGAAGAGCTCAGCTTACACAGGGTCGAAACGTGCCACTTCTTCCATGTCGACCGTTACCCGCATCATCGTCGAGGCGGTGAGGACGAGCAATGAACCATCTTCCTGAGCAACACCAACCCCAAGAGTGCGGTCTGTTGTTGATTTGAGCTCTAGACGATCCATGTACTCGTTAACTAGAGCGACCTATCAGTACTCGAATATAGAAAAAAATCCATGCACACACTTAGCGCGCAAACGGTAACTGCATCACCGAACTGAACTGCGAGAACTCGCTCAGGAAGCAAGATTTGTAGTCGTGGATGAATCGGCGCTCCTGAGCTGGAAGTCTAAGCAGTAGGTGAGATTCGGGTGGAACACGATAAAGGTGAACGCGCTCACGCTTTGATACGGCACCGGTCGTACTTTCAGTACTTGGAAGGAGCCGGGAAGATGTTTTAAGGAGATCACGGCGTAAATACGGCGTGGCAGAGACTCGCTCTCTGACGAATAGTCTTCCCTTCCAGCGAAAGACACCAGCATGATCATATCATGAGAACTGCGAAGGGTTAGTGTCATGATTAGTGAGCGGGGCTAGAACAGGCTCACCCCTGCAGTTTAAGATCCAGAAGCTCCAGGTCAAGCTCAACTTCATCTTTGGGGGCGGTCTGGAAGTGCTCCCATACAGCCACGCGAAGCTGCTCGCTGATGTCTTCCTCCGCAAGTAGCTCGTCCCAGCCTTCAACGGACATGTTCCATTGCTGTAAGCGAGTGTCTACCAAGGCCCAGACAATTCGTCCAGTAGCACCCCGGGCCAAGTTGGCAACAGCAACGGCATTGATGTTTCCTGCTGTCGGCTGCAACTCGGGGGTAGACCAGAAGCCGGGAAGTAGCCGAGTTAAAGACAAGGAACCACCGGATGGCCTCCCGAAGGCTTGTGTGGACAAGTGATACCTTCCGCCCGAGGAAGTTACAGTAAAACGGAAGAGCCGACCGGCGGACGTTGATGCGATGAAAGTCAACGGCTGAAGAAACTAAGTTATATGCGCATATGCACAGAAAATAAGGACTCACATCCGCGCGCATGAGTGTGGTCACCAGCTCTCCGGGTGCGAGCCCTAACGAGGAGAAAGAGAAGTTCTCTCCCCCTGCGAGCCCCATGCCTATACTGTCCCAGAATCGAACGCGACCATCGCAGCTGGTTATTATGAGACCGGGTTCTCGTTGTGAACCGTACGGGACCAGGGCGTGGAAGTGGGTGGCCATTGGTACTTCGACCAGCATTGAACAGTCGAAGATGTAGCATGTTGGAGTACCGGTCAGGGCCTGAGGGGATACGTTCAATGTCACACACAACGCGTATAATTGCCTATGAAACGTACCTGGCTATACTTCCAAACGAAGCACGTCTGCGTGGACATTACCACGGCAAAGCCGGTGATGGGGTCAACGTCTCCGGTGTAGCCTTCCTGGAGAAAGTCTGCAAGGATAATTGGAAGCTTGTACATCTTCCATGAGAACCGTAACATACCTGCATTTCTCAGAGCTTGCTTCACTTCCGCAGGTAGCTGAGCATAGAGAGTCACGGTCATCTCCTTCGACTTGGAGAATACCGCGTCCGCCTTGGGCCCACGTTCGAAGATGTCCGAAGCATTGTCATCCACGTCCATGCCAGAGCCGGACATGATGGAGTCATCGTCGCGTATCGGTTGCAGGTGTCCTCCACGCCGTGGGGTCGAGAAGCGTGGCTGTGGCTGCGAGCTGCCCGCGCGAGTGCGTTTCAATGCAGCTGGTCTGGGTGGCGAGGGCGACATGCCCATCGAGGAGTAGCGCGCCGTGCGCCGGGGAGCCGGGGAGAAGGTCGCCATAGTAGAAGGTGCGCTCGCGCGCCACCAGTGAGGAGGAAGGGTGGCGAGACGAAGAGGGGGAAGTGGAAGGGAGAGGACAAGAGTGCAAAACGCGTGCGGTTCGGGTGCGCGCAACGGGCCACAGCGCGTCACGGCTCTGTTAGGTGCGGGAAACGCCGAACTTCTTCTCTCCTTCACATCTCACCACCATGCTCGGCGTAGAAGGCTATGGCAGCGACAGCGACTCAGAGTCCGTGAAATCGACCTATCCCCCATCCCAGACCTCTCTACCACCCAAGCTCCCTGGTGCCGCGAAGAAGTCGAGCTTCACGCTACCTCCTCCCAGCAACGCCCGAGCATCTTCCTCGTCTGGACTATCTCTACCTCCACCGAAGACGAAGAAAGCCCCGAAGAAGATTGCCATAGGTCTGCCAGCACTGTCCAGAGATGCAGATGGCGACCGCTCCGACTCGGATGAACGTCCAGCGGCGAAGAAGCCTCGTTTGGAGTCCGGCGCCGGTGCATCTGCCCTCCTTTCTATGCTTCCAGCACCGAAGAACAAGGAGCCCATTCTTGAGAAGCATGAAAGAGTACTCGGAGGAGGTCGTGGACCCGGTCTCGTGTTCAAGTCTGCTCCCAGCCAGCCCAGCAAAGTGACTACCGTAGAAGAAGCGGACGAAGACGAGGAGGCCGACCGACAAGACACTCTAGAATCATCGCACGCTGCTATACTGGAAGAGAAGCCAGCGGAGAAACCCGCACTACCCTTCATGCCTACGTCCGTAGCCCGAGGGAAGGCAAATGTTTCCGTCGAGGAGAAGCATTCCGTCCCAATAGCCCAGATGACCGCGTCGTCCGCCCCCGCTATCGATTTCTTCTCACTAGGTATGTTCGTTATTCATCTAGACGACCCCACCACTGCTCACGCCGCCGATAGGTTCTTCGTCGCAATCATATTCTCATGCGAGTTCCTCCAAGCTTCCCTCCGTTTCCGCTGCTCCTGTGCTTCCTGGATCTGTCGCTCTATCCACATTCTCGGCAGCTCCAAAAGTCAAAGATTTTGTTCCACCCGAGCCCACACCCGAAGACCCATATCCAGGCTATTACCTCAAGCCATCCGGCGAATGGGCAGCCTACGACACAGATTACTATCAGAAGTTCTACAACAAGTGGAAAAAGGAATACGATGCCCACGTCAGGGCTTTGGAGAAAGGCACTGCGAAAGGCTTCGAGCGGGCGGAAGAAGAGGCTGAGGAGGTCAACGCGCTCAAGGAAATGGAAAAAGCGAAGGCGGAGTTGCAGGAACGAGAAGCCAGGAAAGCTCTGACTACCGCTCCTGCCGATGCTCCTGCCGCTCCAAAGATGAACATCAAGGTTTGCCACTACTTGACTGTGCTGTGTCGCTGCCATGCTTATCTCTACCAGGGCGCGGGATTAAGTGGACGTGCACGAACGAGAGGCCAACTCTCCACACTTCTTGCTGAAGCCTACTCCAATCGCGAGGCTTTGGAAGAGAAAATTGCGCAAGGCAGGCGCAATCGCAAGGAGGCCGGAAACAAATACGGTCGGTCTTTCCATTATCGTATGAATGCAATGCTGAATATCTTCTAGGTTTCTGAGGGCCGAGGTCTCGAGCACCGACGGCGCTTTGCTTTGTAACAGCACACTCTCTGGACATTCCAATCTTTATAATCAACCAGCATATGACAGATTATCAGTCCATATGATACATGTGTGTGGTATGCAGCAATGCAAACAACACAACGAACACCGCCTACTTCTGAGTCGACGAGAACTCTGCGCGGGCCATCAGTCTCCGACTATGGTTCAATGGTACATGTCCCTGCTGGCACCTAGCGCTTACCACAGCCTGGGGTACTCCGAATGGCAGCAACCTCGGCCGTATCTTGGTCATCAAGGAGTCGCCGCTTCGACGTAAAGGGACTGCTGGTGTCAGGCGGAGCCGTTGCAGGGCGCTTCGGGCGGCGGCCCACATACTGGAGCGAAGGACCGAAGTTTCTTGTCGACTTGGAGCCTGCGGAAACTCGATCGACCTCACGCATATTGTGCCCAGCCCAGTCCTTGCCATCGACTTTTACGCATTCATACAGCTCGGTGAGGAACGCAGCAGAGTCCTCGAAGATCGCGGCGGAGCGTTTTTGCTTCTGGGTGGGCTCCAGGAGGCGGACAACGGCGGCTTGTTGTTTTGGTACTGGTGAGCAGCGGGATTCGGGGGGCGAGCGTGACATGATCGCTCTGGAGGAGGGGGCGGCAGGGGGGACAGTTCCTCCCTGAGAGACAATGTTGGAGTCGAGCGTCTCCTGCTTAACCCCTTCTTGGACCTGCCATCGCCTGAGGTAGTAGAAGTCCTTGAGAGCTTGGTGTAGAGTGGCGATGAGCTCGTCCAGGGGCGAGCCAAACTTGAGAAGGGTGCCGTTGGGAAGAGAGAGGGTTGCGCGGTCATCAAAGGAGGAGTTCTTCTTGACCGCACCGCAAGTGTAGATGTTGTCTTGTACCGCATAGCTGTCGAAGAAGTCTTCTAGCCAATGGAAGACAGCCTCCGGTTCTTCGAAAGAAGAGGGGACATAGCGAACGAGATAATAGAGGAGGACATAGAAGAAGGATTCAAGGTCGTCTGAGACCTCTGAGACCTTGCCGCTGCTCAAGAGCATCGCAACGGACATGGACTGCATCGTGCCCTGGAAACGGAGTCAATGCGGTTTGATCATGTATCTCAACGGACGAAGACTTACTGTTCTCCAGAGTTGTCTGCGAACATGCAACATGTCAATCCTCTTCGCAAGCTCCCAGTCGATCAACATCCCTTCCCAGACAAGACGGCGGAAGCGGTGGTTGTTAATAACGCGGGGAACAATGATGATATTGCCGCCGCTGATATCCCGATGGAGGATGTTCGCCTTGATAGCACTCGAGTGCGCTGTGCAGATGGTAGGTAAGATTATGCAGGCCGGCCACCGCAAACCTTCAAGTTCGAGAACTCACCTTTAGCGGCATCATATATGGATGCCACAAGTTGGTGCGGAGTGAGGAACTTTTCCAGAGTCAAGCCGATCTCTCTGGTGCAAAGACGATAGTGCTTGTGCTTTCGCGGTGGGAATTTGGAGTTGAGAGCATCGCCGCTGTCGCTGTCTGGTAGGGCCTTGAGCTCCTCATCTTGTGGCTTCTTCACGACCTTGCTGTCCTTGGTGTTGATGGTATTGCTGGTCGAGGATTGAGTGCCACAGAAGTCTTGTGTCCGAGTCACCTGGTTGCGGACGTCGCCATGGCAAACAAGCGTCGGTATACGCCGGACGCCCTGAGCGTGGAGCGCAGCAAGAGTATCGCCTTCTCTCAGCAAAAGGGGGTAGTCGGAGCGCCAGGTGTCCTTGAGCCACACGAAGCTCATGGTCGTCGTGTCGTAGCCAACGTAGCAACGAGTGCCGCACCGATCCACTCCAGGCGCATGAAATACCGGGCTCCCAACGAGGATGTAACGAAAGGTCTTGGATCCCGGTGCGTCCAGAACTTCTAGCACGTAGCGAGGCCCTTTTTCGAGAGAGTCGTGGAACAACGTTCGAACGTACTTGAAGACGAAATCCTGTTTGACGAGCTCGTCGTCGGCTAGCTCCCGCTCAGTGTGGTCCACGTCGGTGGTCTGTGGTCTGCTGACGGAGGTCATGACCTCCCAGAAAGCGTCGTCTTGAGAGAGACGCGTGGCTGAGGAGTCATAGCCGACGCCTACGCCGCCCCTTGAGCAGGCAAGGGAGGCGATCCGGTGAAATAATTTGCATGTCGTCTGCCACTCGTCGAAATAGTCGAACAACGGAGTGAGGGAGACTCCGGAGTGGTCCCAGCGGGTGAAGCGGATCCGACGGCCGAGGACGAAGACGAGGAGGACGAAGGTGCGGTGCTGAAAGATCCTCACAGTCTCGGCGTACTGAGCAATCTGGCCGCGAACCTTCTTGCGCGAACTTGCATCAGTGGTGGCATTGGGCTTTTCGTCGTCGAAAGGGTCAAGGTTGTTGTCACCCTGCTGGAACACCATCGGGACAATTAGGTCTGCCCAATGAGGTCGATTGTCGGTCGGGGTGCGGTTTTCAAGGTGGAGCGCGCCATCGACCTTCTGATTGGGTGTGTCATTGCCTTCGTCGGGCTCCTGCTCACTGGTGGCCATCTTAAGCCCAGGTATGAGGTGGTTCCCGTTGATGGCATTGGCCTGATCGAGATGCAGTTAGCATGAAAATATGTCTTGTATTCCCGACTCTCACCATCAGCCTGACGACCTCTGATTCCGGTAGGTCCTCCGCGTCTTCCATAGAGGAAAATGGGTTGGTACGGAGCAGAGGAGGAGGAGGAGGGGAATCGAGCGCATCAAGGGGCAAGAAGTTGTCGAGGAAATCTTCGATTGACTGTAAGACAAACTTGTGAGTCATGTCGCGAGAAAGCTCTTAGCGGTATTCTCGTTCTTGTGTGCGTTAGTGTTCGCGTCGCAAGCAGAGCGAAAGTTCGACAGCGCGGACTACTGCGAATCAGAGAAATGAGCTTGGACTCCTCCAGGGCCACCCCCGAGACAGAAACATTCGTGGTGTGTAGGACATTGGAGACATACCTGATAGGATCGTTAAGACTTTATCACAACGCACTCCGGTCGTCAGCCACCTGATCAGCCACTGGAGTTCAAATGTGTTCGTTGCAAAAGTGAGGCAGAAAGCTTACGTCAGGACACCGTGGGACGGTCGTGTATCTGGTGTGCAGCGTAGCTTCCAGCACAACGAGTGACAATTTGCCGTACGAGTATACAAGGACGATGGGGGTTGGGGTGTCGGTGCTATGTGCCCCGCGTCCTCATATATACCGGCCCCCTCCATCGTTCCGACCACAAAAAGGGGCAGCACCCCGGGAAAACTCTCCATCGCACAGAACCGCGCGTCCGCCCGACGACTTGTCCAAGACGCACCACAGTCATCCCTCGAACGAAATGCGAAGATCTCGAAAAGTGGAGGCTGGCCGATACCCTGAGTCCATGACCCATCCTCTTAGTCTTCAGTCTCTCCTCGCGTCATGTCAGTCAATCCTCGAAAAAAACATAGGAGATATGGAACCCCGAAGGGTGCAGTCTGTTGCGCATTCTAGTTCCCCCTGTTGGTCCGCGCTGCGGGAATGAAGGAAGTTCTGCGACTCGTCCCCGGAACACTGCGTTCAATCCTGTCCCCTCTCCCTATCCGTGCGCCAGCAGGACGGTCCTGTGACGATGACAGCCAAAGAGAGCGTATTGTTCGTCGACCACCTCGTCTACAACTCGGCCAAAATACGACTCCACAACTACAGAGTCGGAGTCGGAGCGACGGTCTAGGGATCACCGCGGGTACAAACCCTCGGGTCATCCGAAGCCTATCCGTACCTTCAACCGCAGATACCGTCACCCATGCAGCGCGGGTAAGGGTATCTGCGGGTACAGCGCTTAAACTCGAGGGTATTCGCGGGTATGGAGCCTCCACGGGTCACCTCGGGTCACCTGCGGGTGTACTAGTTGGGCGCTGCAGGGTAGACACGACGGGTGTGGAGGGGCAGCCGTGAGTGCGACGAGTTGGACGCGTCGGGCACGGAGGAGTGGCTGTGAGCATAGCGCAATGGACGCATGGGTGGTTGCGGCATGACGTGGACTTGTACTTTCAGCGTGGCCACCCCCTCCCGTCCACGCGCACGTTGCTTGCCAGTGCAACCGCAGCAGTGACCGTCCCTGCGTCGAACGTCCTGTTGGGCCTAAGGAAGTTAAGCCCGCACCGTAGCCAGAGACCCGGTACGCGGCACCCAGGCTCGACAGGAGCGCGCACACGACCGGGTTGACGGCGTGGGTTTTCGAGAGTGCGCCGGGCAGGTGAAACTGTAGCCGGCACAGGCCACGGCCGTTTGCGCCGCGGGGTCGCTGGGTGGGTGGAAGGCGGTGTTTGAGCTGCGTACCGCCATCTGCACCTTCTGGCCTAGTCAGAGACCGGCGAGGTAGGTCGGCTCTCGTCGCGGCCGGAGTGCGCGGGGGCGCCGACAATGGAACGAGTGAGCGTTGCGTATTCCAAAGAGGGGACGAGGGGATAGAGTACCGGCAGATGCACATTCGCGGGCACCATGGTGAGACGTCGAGGACGCTTGGGCGGGAAGCGAACATCTTGCTGGCGTAGTTTGCAACCAAATCTTTTGAGTGCAGCGGTGGACGCGTCAGAGTTTTTCGCCTCCAGAAGGACCTCGAGGTCACGCATAGTCTTCAATCTGGGAAAACCCTCGGAGAAAAAGAAGACATTGGGACGTAAAGAGGTGCTCACTTCCTGCTCTGCGGACAACTTGAAGCGGCTCAAACCACGCTTCGAGGACCCTGCTACCGACGACCGTGCCAAAGGTCATGTCACACCGCTGGCGAAGCACCTCCGCTCGACCACTGCTGCCCGACGAGACCTTGATGTCGAACCCGACATTCGTTGTCTTGGTCGTAACATCATACACCTGAAAGCAAAGAAAGCACAGAGACGACTCTCCAGCACGCACCAGCCTAGCGTAACTCTGGGGACGTTGCGGGCCGCGGTCCTTTAACGCTTTCGCTCAACAGGCGTCCTCCGCGCCGAGTGTTCAAAAGGGAGCTTTGTTCCGACAAGAGCGCACCTGCGCCTCTCGCGACGTTCATGCGACAGTGAGATGGAGCCTCCGAGACATGAGGACGAAGAGTGAAGCTTTCAGGGTCTTGGCGGTGGACAACGAGGGTAAAACCCCAGGCTGACCAGTCGACTAGCCATCAGAGGTGTAGTCCGCGCTGGGTGCTCGAGTGATCGCTGACAAGTGGTTTGAAGGTGCTGCTGACGGAAAGCTGAGGGAAGTCAAGAGAATAGCGAGGACACATATGGGAAAGTTCTGTCAAGGTGGCGACAACGGGCCGCCGCTGCGGGCCGCGCAAAGTGCAGATGTTGACGCGGCGCTTCAAAACATCCCCCTCTTGCCCTCCCACTGAGAGACCCCATGACATCGACATACTCGCCCACGGAGTTCGTGTACCTTCTCCTCCGTCACATTATCCTCTTCCTCTTTCCTAGCTTCTGTGAAATGGCCCCCACAAGTACCTGGCTCTCGTATATGTCGCTCAACGCCGACTTCACGACGAACCAGAACGCCAGGCCGAGCGCGCCGGATTGTTCAAGCCAGTCGAGCACACTACACTCAAGCTGGAAGTCATCGTCACCTCCCTAACGCCAACGTCGCTTTGGAACTTCATACGGGACATTTTCGTGCCCTTCGAGCCATCTTGCAGCGAGGCGAGCACGCGAGGGAGGCGGCGTATCTGGTGCGGCGCGCGGGGATCCAGGATGCGGGTGAGCAGGAGCGCAGGGCGGGAAGTAAGTGGCCACCACGGACGGGAACGGCTTCAAGTAGCCTCACGTGAGCTCGGATGCCCGATGCGCGTCGTGACAGCCCCCGAGCTCATCCATGTCGAGATCACTCCTCGCACCCTCCAGGCGCAAACGACGGAGAGGCGGCCTCTGACTCGCCCAAGTGGCTCGGGGGTCGCATAAACGCGCCCCGTACGCGGCGCAAGGACCTCCCGGACCTGCTCTTGCTTGCTCGCGCCGCACTCTGGACATTCCAATCTATATATTCCAACCAGCATGCGACAGATTATCAGTCCATATAATACATGTGTATGATATATTGCAGCAATGCAAGCAACACAGCGAGCCTCGTCTACTTCTGAGTCGACGAGAACTCTGCACGAGTCATCAGTCTCCGGAAGAATCAATGCACAACACCACGTACTGGTTACAGACTTGGTACCCTCCGAGATTGCGTGCTTGGCGAGTTCACCGGGTAGGATGAGGCGAACAGCAGTCTGGATCTCGCGCGACGAGATTGTGGACTTCTTGGCGTACGAAGAAAGCTCTGCACATTCAAGTCAACGATCGGCCCAGTAATCAGACCATAGAGGGACGTACTCGAAGCCTCCGTCGCAATGCGCTCGAAGATGTCGTTGACGAACGAGTTCAAAATGGCCATCGCCTTGTTGGAGATACCCGTGTCGGGGTGGACCTGCTTGAGGACTACATCGCCCACAAGACAACGTTCACCGCTGAGCACCTCCTCGGCTCACGATGCACAAAGCAAACGAATACACACCCTTGTAAATGTACGAGCTCCAGGTTTCCTTGCGCGACTTCTTGCGCTTCTTCTTCTCACCGTCTGCGGTAGAGGTGGTTTTGGTGGCCCCCTCAGTCTTAGTCTTGGGCTTTTTGGACGCCGTCTTGGGGGCAGAGGAGGCGGGTGCCTTGGAGGCGGTGGACATAGGCTGAAATGGTGTGAGATTGAAGTACTGGTACCTCAGCCACCGTCGTGTGGCTCACCTTGGGGGCCATTGCAACTGCAACAAGAAGTGAGCTCCATAGACAACCCACTCCATTCGAGTTTGTACTCACTGGACAAAAGGCGGGAGAGGAATGGGGAGGTGGTGGGGGGAGAACAAGAGAGAGCTGACGAGCATCTGCTCGCGTAGAGCACTTTATAGGCTGTCAACAGGGTCACGTGCCGACGCGTCAGGCGGCAGCCACCAGCGCGTCGCGCGTTGGCGCCAGGACGTGTGGAGATCATTGTTCGCCTACTTATCTCGATCATTGGGCACAGTCGATGCTCTTTGACCTCTGCTCCCCCCACCGGCGAACTCGTCCAAGACTACTTCATAACTTCCTACATCTGCTCATACATCTGCAAGAGTAATGGCCCCAACCATTCCTACCACGGGCTGATCCACTCCCACCTCTGCCCATGCTTGCACCCTCCCTCCCTCCTCTGGTCCGAGGCATATCCGCACTGGTTGGTTAACAACAATCGGATTGACGGCTCGGTAGTCGAATGTCTTGAAGGCGCGGTTCGGGAAACGAAGAGCGGCCGTTTCCAGTAGCATCAAGGCGGTCAGTGGGCCATGGACGAGCCGTTCTGAAGCCACCGCAATCACCGTAAGCTGCGGCATTCGGCTGCTGAAACATCATAGTAGACTTCAAGCTTCACCTGGGTAGCCTTCAAACTGTTGGGCGTATGTCTTGTCGAGGTGGATGTAATGCCCGTTAAACGTCAAAGCGGAGAACCGAAACAAAGTGGTTGGAGAAGGGATGCACTCGAACTGGAACTCCGGCGCAGGTAAGTCCGCGACTGTGCGGCGCCATCGTCGTCAGCAACCCGCTCGCGCTCCGCTTTTCGCGCCGTGAAGCACATGCTCGTCGGAACAGAGTTAGGCTCGCTCGCTCACCTTTCCTCGCAGCCCGCTTCTCGCCCGCAATTGCCAGATAGACGTGCACCCGCTCCTCCGTCACGCACAGCTCGTTTCCGGTGAGCCTCCGATACTCGATCCGCTGTTTCACGAACACCATGGGCGCGTGCTGCCCGGAGTCGAAGCCCTTTTTGGTGACCTCGTCCACGGAGGAGAGCGCGTTCACGGCGTCGCCCACGTACAGCGGCCTCTTCCATTCCATCCGGCCCGCCGCCCACATCCGCCGTGTAAACGGCTCGGGTGGACAGAGCTCTGCGTCCGTGCCGTCCGGGCGGAGGACGGACTCCGGGTTCCGGGGGTGGAAGAAGACGAGGTGGTGGCCGTAACCGAGCGGGTCGCCGTGGGCCGGGGTGGCCGCAGAGTTCGTGCGACGCGCGTTCGCAGAGGCCCTCGTCCCGTCACGCGTGGGAAGGGTTATGTACAAGTCGGCGAGGTGCTCTGGGCGGAGGGTGTCCTGGAAGGCGAGCCGTTTCTCCGCCGTAATCCAGCGGTCGAGGGCGTCGCCGTTAACGTTCGGCGACGGCCTGGGCGGTGGACTTGGTGGCGGCGGTGACGAATAGGGTCGAAGGGACGAGGTGGGCGCGACGGAGGTGCGAGTGCGGGGCAGCGCAGCTGGGCGATGCGCACGTCAGTCGTAGCTGGCGGTGCGAATCGGCGCGCGGGGTGTGGTCATTGCGCAGGGGTGGCGACGGGGACCCACCTCGCGCAGCTCCGAGGAGAGGCCGGCGTCGTAACATCGGGATACGAGTATGGCAAGAGGGTGGATTTGGCAGGTGGACGTGTGGACGAGAACGCGGGAAGGGTTGGCGCCGCGGCATGTGGCGGGGACGCCCGGTGGGAGCGTGAGAGGGGGTTTATGGATTGTGAGGACGGCACACTACGGCACAACGCCTGAGGACGCCGAGTTGCGTGGTTAAGCTTCTAGCCAATTCAGGCAGACTGAGGCGGTTGCGCGGCGCCCGATGCTTGTGGCATGGCGCGACCGCGTCGTATGCGAATGTGTGAGGGCGCTGGGGAAGCACACGGTGGACAATGGAGGGTGGAGGCGAGAGAAGGGTCGGGTACGCGGGTGAGTGGACGTTGCTCGAGCTGACGCACAGGCGCAGGCACCAGGCCAGGTCCAGCTGCCTGTCGCGCCTTGGCCGGGCGTCGGCGCAATGGAGGAGGCCGGGCATCGATCGTGCCGCGCGGCGAGAGCGCGGCCGGCGGCAGAAGCGGACGATGGCCCGCAATCTCCCATCTGATCTCATAACTGAGCGCGGTTGGGACGTGCCTTCCGTGCTTTTGTGAGCTGCCTGGCGCGGACCACAATGAGCTCGCCGTCGCTGCTGCGAGAGCGCGACCCCCGCCAGTTGTTGCACTTGTCTGCCCGAGTCGGCCTGGAAACCGCAGAGGTTCTTCCCGTGAAACGCTCCCTCAAACAGCCACCCGGCCGTGACAGGCCAACGTGCAATGCATCCCGCATCTGCCCCTCTTTGATCCCTCCCGTCGTGACTCATCGCGTCCACCGTGACGGAACGCGCGCCGTGACACCACCCCTCCTCCGTGCCCAGCGCGCCTGGCAGCTGGCGAGGACGGTGCGTCATGGGCGTTGGCGGCGGCGCCGTGGGCGCCTCGGCTTGCGCTCGACTGGGCGGGGTGTGGGCGTGGCGCGGCGCATGGGACCGGCGGAGGCGCACGCGCGCGGGGAGAGAGGGCGCACGCGGTGACGAGCGTGACGGGCGCTAGGGGCCGCGCGAATGGGGCAGGGCGTGCCCAGGGGCGTGGACGGGGCGGTTATGGGGGTGAGAGTGTGAGATCTTGGCCTAAATACATCGAATGCTCGCATCCGCTTAGCTGCCTCGCCTCTCCCGCCCCATTGTCTCCTCTCGGAATCCACCGCGACATGCTCTCTCCTCTCCCTTCTGCACCCTCCTATTAAACCTCCGCTTTGTTGGCCCAACAACCCACCACTGCCCAAACAGTCCCCCTCGAGCTAACCACACCGCGCCTGCTCTCTCTACGCTCTTCGCCCACAATGGCCATCGACCTCGCCCCTCAAGCCCTTGCTCCCCCGCTCCCCATTCACCCATCTACCAGGCGCGCTCCCCGCCGCCCTGTTGCCGTCGTCGACGATGTCTTCTATGTACGTCCGTCGTTCTAGTCCCTTGTCCTCTCTCCTCAACGCCATCCTTTTCCAGACGCAACGTCCCGTCACCCGCTCCATGACACACGGCAAGCCCTTGTCCTATCACCTGCCCGAGGATCTGAGCCCTCGTAATGTGAGCATCGCGCATACACTCGTTTCCACGCGCGACTCATGTCCATCTGCCCAGTTATCCAAGCCTCCGTGTAGCACTACCAAGCGGCGCCGTAACGTCTCCCGTAACTTATCGCGCACACCTCGCCATCGCCATTGCACTCGTGCCGATTGTTGTATCAGTATCCGTGGATCGCCTTCTCCCTTCGACGACTTGCCCTGGATTTCTGCTCTCTCCCTCGACCCCGACCCCTACAACCTGGCGGACATTGCCGATCTCTCTCTCATCGATACTGTCATGGACGAAGAGACGGTCCCTTCGGTTGGTCCTGGTCCCGTCCGCCGTCGCAAGACCTCCTTGCGGTCAGATCCGCTCGCTCGCAAAGACGACGAGCCCTCGACGCCGGTCCGCGCCTTCCCCTTTGCTCGCCGCGCTCTTTTCCAATTCGACCAGGTCCCGCAGACGCCCCCATTGCGCGCTCCGTACGAGCCTTCCGAGGTTACGTTCCGCGATCTAAGGCCGGTCTTCCCGTATGACGACGAGGTGCGGACGAGCCCGACGGGCGTCGATACGTCCCGTTGATGCCGATCATCTCCCGCTGGATCCTCTCTGTCTCCCATCCTGTCTAGTCCCGATCGCTCGCCCGCACAGTTCTCGCGCAAATTATCCCTCATCGCATCGCTGCATCCGCCTCGCATCCTCCCCCGTCTTCCCTGCACATCTGTTTATTGGCCCCAAGAGCCTCATGACGCCCGCATATACGAGTATCAAGTCCCGGCTGCCCTCTCGCATTGCCCCTGCTTCCATTACTCCATCTCCCATCTCGCACCAGCACACACCGCTCTTGTCGACGTTCGCTGTTACTGTACCGATGGACACGTGCTCCTTTCTTTAATTGCCTTCACGCTGCTGTCGCAGTGCCATATCTATCACCGCTGCGATTGAGTCCTCGCACGGTGTGCCATCTACTCGTCATTTCCCCGGGCGTGCTCGCCCCATTTACTGTTCACGAACTTTGCCTGTTCTCTTCTCCGCTCCTCACTTGTTTTCAGTTGTCGCATTGTTACCTGCCGTCCTAGCTGTTGCCTGTTACTTCCGTTGTTGCTGCCCTGCTTACGAGCTTTACGTGTTAATCCGTGTCACGAACCCGCCATGTATCCTTGATGTGCTACTACCGAATACGATATCATTCCGAAGTACTCTCCGTGTGCTGTGTGCATGCTCGTCGCCAGCTCTGAGGAAAGGAGCGAGGAAACGCCGGGCCGGGGCGTTTTTCGCTACGGTGGCAGGAATGAGCCCAAACACTGCACATCAGAGGGAATTTTTCCGGAGAGAATGTACAGAATACACCGGATATTCACTAATTATTCAGAGGGTTTCCTGGGGGGCGGATATCTTGGCCGTTTTCGATGACGCAAGCTCGAGTTGGCGTTCACGTGAGCTCTCGCGCGACACATGTCGCGCGCTGCCGGCGTCTCGTACGACGCTTTAAATGCCTTGCATGCCCATTAGTCTACTGGTCCACCACCGTCTCAACCCTCCTCCGCTCTGCGCGATGCCTCCAAAAGCTCGACAACGACGCAAAACATACCCCTGTAGAACTTGTTGGCAGCGCCGCCCGGATCGCACCCAGACGAAGGCCACAATCAACGAGCATCTCGCGGCTAGTAAGCCACTCCACACGACAACAGTGAGCTTTTTGACTGGGTGTATGCGCAAGATGTTTATTTTTCAGACGGCGCTGAGCCGGATGGCGACGGAGAGTGGCACGGCGAGTACTCTTCGCGTCTTTGGGTCTTTTGATGGACATCGACGAGCTCATTGGCACGGTCTCGAGCGAGCCCGACATGGACACTGAGCGGATGTGTTTCGGGATTACCGACATCTTCGTCACTGGTGAGGTAGTCCGTCTGCTCTCCTTTCCTCACCCCCACGCATGCTCTGACCCCCCTCCCTTCCTCCCCCTTCACTGTCTCGCCTCTGCTTCTCCCCGGTCGTCCTCCCTCCTCCCCACACATGCACAGACTCCCGCACGGTATGCACAAGCCTGGCACGCATATGCGCTCTACGGCCGTGTTCGCCCCTGGGACGATCTCGTTGTTCTTCTCCACGTTGAGGTTCTACCAGCGGACGGCAGCGGCGCCCTTTCCACCGTTTTTTGCAGGTATGTCGTCAGCGAGCGCACGCTCATCGACGCCTGGCAGCAGGTGACCGCGAGCACGCACACGGCCCCGCTTGAGGATACGTCCATCATCTTCAAGGTCGACCGCCCGCAGCTGCTGCTCCTGGTGCGGGGGTGGGGGTGTGCCTCCAGCGCGCGCGCGTCCGCCGCCGTCATGTCCGCGAGCGCAAGCGCGAACACCTCCAGGGTTGTGCCTCTTCGCGGTGTGCACACACGACCTCCTGTTGCGCGGTGCGTCTATCATGGTCGTCGTGGGTGTAGCGTTACTTATCTTCGCCATGGCCCAATTTTTTCTTGACACCATATACGTCTACACTGGGTTCATCAACCATGACGGTTGTGCGGCACGACTGGCCTTCACGAATAACGCCACGAACCAGAACTTCATTGTGAAGCACGCGTCGCTGCTCACGACGCTCTTTGTGGGGGACTTCATGGTGCGTCGAAACTGTCCATCTACCTGAGGATCAGCTAGCACATGGATGCTGACACAGGCATGCACACACAGAACTAAAGGTGCAGGTTCATGTGGGGGCGCAAGTGGTGGATCCCGATCATACCACTCCTTCTCTCCCTGACAAGCACTAGTGAGCCATCCCTCACGCCGCCCGCGTGTGCGCCTTGCTGACAGTGCGCGACAGTCTCGGGCTGCTATGCGCTCTACGCGTACGCGCACACACCCCCACGACCAGACGATCTTCGAGCAGACGGAGCCGCTCAAGATCTACTTCCCTCCCAGTCTCGTCTCGAACGTGCTCTTCACCTGTGCGTCCCCGTCCCCGTCCCGCTTTCCTCGCGCGCTGCCACTGACGTTGCTCCGCTAGCGGCGTAGCTCGCGTCGCGCATCTGGTACGTGGACTGGAGCAGAGCGAACGCGCTCGCGGCAGGCACGACACGCGCCGGCGGGCTCTGGCGGGTGGTGCGCATCAGGCTCGAGTCCGGGTTCATCAATGCGGTTTTCCTCTTCGCGTTCGTCGTGATCATCGCTGGGAAATTTTCTGCACTCAGGCTCGTCTGAGATGGTGCGTGTCTGCCTTTCCTGTTCGCTCTCTTCATTAATTCATTGCCCATAGTCGATACTGTCTCAAGCTGGGACTCTACCGTCAAGTGTGCCTGCCGGGAGAGACATATCACTTGTAGACTGTAGTATACATATGTTAGCACTGTGTTCGCCGTTTATTGCAGCTCTTTTCGAACTTGTACATTGTGCGCGAGCCCAGCGAACGTGCAGGGAGCCCGGTGGGGGCAGAAGCGCCAGTGATCCATGCTACGTGATCTGCGGCTATTCAGCCAGAGAAAGCGCCGAATATGGGCCGAAAAGGACATGAAAAAAAACCGTATTCTGTCCATTATCGGCCCATTTTCTGCACGAATATCCTCTGAATATATCCCGAATATCTGACGTATTCTGCCCATTCTCTGCAGGAAAATTCCCTCTGATGTGCAGTGAAAGTGGCGCGGACGGTCATTGCGCCCAGCTCGCGCCATTTCACGTCCAGCCATGGCGAGTCCTTCACTGACTCACCTTCCCCCGTTCAACTTCCACTCTCGTCCACACCGCCCCTCTACCTCTCCCAGCTCTTCCCTCAGCCCTCATCGATCCCTGCATCCATTTCACCGCGATGAGCGTCGCCGACCGAGTCGTCAACTTCGGTGCTGGGCCCTCCGCTCTGCCGCTCACTGTGCTCGAAGAAGCCCAGAAGGGCCTCATCAACTTCAACGGCACGGGCATTGGAATCGCAGAGATCTCCCACCGCTCGAAGGAGTTCCAAGCCTTTCTCACTGAGTTCGAGCAGAACCTGCGCACCCAGCTGGAGGTGCCTTCCACCCACCGCATCCTCTTCACCCAGGGCGGCGGCACGACCCAGTTCTCCGCCGTCGTCCTCAACATGATCGCGCGCCACCGCCTCCTGCACCCGAACGCGACGGCGGAGAACACCGTGCTCGACTACGTCGTCACCGGCTCCTGGAGCAAGAAGGCCGCGGAGGAGGCGCGCCGCCTCACCGCCGGCGTCGCGACCGTGCGCACCGCGGTCGACGCGCGCGTGTACGCCAAGGACGGCAAGGCGTTTGACAACATCCCCCCGCACGCCGAGTTCGCGTTCTCGCCCGCCCCGGCCGTGATCTACTACTGCGAGAACGAGACGGTGGACGGCGTCGAGTTCGCGCACGACGCCGGCGCGCCCGCCTCCTTTCCCTTCGCGCGCCTCCCCGCCGCGCCGCTCCTCCCGCTCGTCGCCGACTACTCCTCCTCGTTCATGTGCCGGCCGATCCCGCGCCTCGCCGACCACGCCGTCATCTACGCCGGCGCGCAGAAGAACATCGGCCCCGCCGGGCTCACGATCCTCATCGTCCGCGAGGACTGCGTCGTGGACGTCGACGCCGCCGCGCGCCTCGGCGCGCCGCCCGTGCCCGTCGCGCTCGCGTACAAGACCCTCGCGGACGCCGGGAGCCTGTACAACACCCCGCGGTGCTCCCGATCTACGTCGCCGGCCTCGTCGTCCGCCGCATGGGCGAGCAGGGCGGGATCCCGTACTACGAGGCGCTGAACCGCCGCAAGTCGCAGAAGCTGTACGCAGCCATCCACGAGGGCGAGCAGAACGGCGTCTTCCGCCGCAAGGTGCAGATGGGCTCCGAGAGCTGGATGAATGTCGTGTTTGAGGTCCTCGGGACGGCGCGGAGAAGCGGTTCTTGGAGGGAGCCGAGGCGGAGGGCATGAAGGGGCTCAAGGGACACAGGTGTGTTGTTTCGTGGACATGAAACGGGGCGAGGACGCTGACTCTGGGTGTTCGGTCCAGATCCGTCGGAGGTCTGTTCTTCCGTTCGATCTCTCTGTACGATCATAAACTCACCTTCTCTTTAGGCATTCGGGTTTCATTGTACAACGCAGTCACCGAGGAAGACGTCGACAAAATTATTGCGTACATGAATAGTTTCATGCAGAAATAGGGAATGGAGCATTGCATAGAAGTGTACTATCATAGATTAATAGAAAGCGTCATATACCAATGGAAGCCATTAAGGAAGACGAAAACGATATAATCTATAGCTCTACAATTGATAGTATGTCACTTTGCCGGAGTGGTTAACGGGATCGCCTGCTATTCTTAGCTGTCAGCGGTTGTGCTTTGCACGCGAGTGTTCGAATCGCTCAGGTGACGCATTTTTGCTCCACCTTTGCGCTACAGTTCGCATATGTGACGACCCAGTTCCAGCTTAAGTTATAAGCTCAATTCATAACAGAAGGAAAGTAGTGTCTATCTCAAGATCGTAAATGTACATACAATAATACAAGCGGACCGTCCATGCCTGTACAATACAGAGCACAAGTTCTATTCTCCTGCCTTGAGAAGCTCGCGCAACTCCTCACTGACGACAGGACGCTTGGCTTGTATCTTCCCCGCCGCATTCTCCGACACGGCGGCAGACGCGACGCTGCCGGGGCGCCGATGTCTGATGTTCGCCGCGCCAGCCGACTTCTCCTCCACCTCCCGCCGATCAAAGTCGGCGATGAGCTGCGAGAAGGATAGGAAGAGAACCTCCGCCTGTGCCAGCGTGCTGTCCAACTCAATGGTCATGCTGAGCTCGTTGCAGTACTGCAACAGGTTCGAACAAGGCAGGTGTCAGCGCGGCATCAGTCAGCAGCGAAGGGCGACCCTGTACCTTCAAGATTTCATCAAACTGTGAGCGCGGGCGGGATCGAACGTCGAGAGAGCAAGCCGAGTTGCGTTAGTGCGGGGAAGTGATAGGTGAGAGACATGGGCGGCGCACCTCGACAAGGTATCGGAGGATGACGTCCCGATGAGACTCGAGTACCGCGAGGGCAACGAAGAGCACGAACTGGGTGCTGTAGTAGTCGTCCACAGGACCTCCCACAGCCTGAGGACGTCTTCGAAAGGAAATTCTCGCTTGAACGAAATGAGCATCCACCTGGGGAAGAAGTCTTGGGGTCACGACGTTGCTCGCACCATGCGGGGCGCATCAGAACATACCGGAAGCAGAAGAACAGATTCAGCCCGTCCGTTTTCTCTGTCTGGTTGTCAATCATCGGATGCGGGGTCCGTCCACGTCCCGACGTACCGAGGTGCCGGTACAGTTCCGGGTCCATGACCGAGATCAGCTGCTGGAGTGTCGAGAGCTGCTTCTTCATACCGCTCTGATCTCGGAGGAAGTTCTGTTTCTGTTGGGTCACATACGGTCATCAGACGTCTCTTCGGCTTTGTGCCAAATTGGGTGCCACTAACCATGCGCTCCATGATCTGCACGAAACACCAGAAGGTCATCTCTTCGTCGCCGCTCATCACAACATAGATCGGCGCGCAGAGATCAGACATCCCCTGCACATAACCTGTTCCCGCCGTGTTTCAATATCTATAGGCATGAAGCAGCTTAGATATGGGGCTTACCGAGCTGCGTCTCGTAGAAGTTGTACGTCAAGAGTATGCTTGCGAGACGTTCGATGTGCTCGTTGGTTGGCGCCTGGGCGCCGATATCTCCGAGTTGTGGCGAGATAGTAGAATACCGCATATGCAGTCCCTTCTCGTTCTCGGTGTCCTCCACTACCGGAGTTGTCTGTGCGAATAACGGCTGAGTACGATCTGTCCTCCGACAGTCGACGTCGATGCGATGCCGCTCCTGCGGAAGAATTCAGTCTGATGCCCGTGAAACCCGACTGTTGTACAGACCTCGATGACGTCTTGACGCTCGAAGACGTCTGGTACACCCCACCATTCGTCCTTGAGGTCGCGGTACTTCTCCCTGCAATGGACATGAGCAAGCACCCATAAAGGCGTAAGATTAAGCTTACTTCTTCGCTGCCCACGCGTTCTCCCGCTCTGCGGTATCTGTGCCCCAGCTGTGCACCCCAAGCAAGAACGGCCACACCTCCTTGCGGATCTCAGACACAATCCCCCTAGTGAAAACTTGCCGCTGCATCTCCTCCCACCGCACCTTCGTGCTCCCGTCCGCGTTGAACCACCCCCGCCACATCTTCTCCGTCACCGGCTGCTTCGGATTCCTCGAGGTCTTCGGTCGGGGCAGGTTGGAAGTGGACTGCAAGAGCTCAAAGATGCCTAGCGACGAGTCCTCCTCTGCGAGATCCGCGGACGCAGCCGGCATCGCCTGCGCCTCACGCACCCGCGCGCGCTCGCCCTCCTCTGCGACGATGCGCGCCCATCGGGCGAGATACACGCGCGCGCTCTCGAACTCACCCACACCACCCTTCTCGACCCAGCTTCCCCACTCGAGGTCGCCGTTGGCGTTTACGAGGCTCCTCACTGGATCGGGGAGATGGGGGACGATAGGTTTGGCGAGGGGATGCGAGAGGATGTGTTGTGCGGCGTGGGCGGCGTGTCGCGTGATGTGCGAGAAAGACTGCAGGAGAGCCATACGCGACTGGGAGGACGCGCTGGAAGAGGATGTGGTGGGTGACAGTGAGCGGTGGAGAATGGAAGAACGCTCGGCAAAGGAGCTGATGGTAGTGGAGAGAGGTCGTGGTCGGCGGTGTGCGGGAATAGGTGAGTGAGAGTTGGCATATGACGACTGAGCGAGAATGTCGTCCACCGCGTCGTCCGCAAACAGCACGGTCGAATGCGTTTCGATGTCCTCGCGCGAAGGGTCGACCAAATACAGGTTTGGCTGTAAGGAAGAGCGCAGGAGGTGGCAATATGACCGCAGCTTTGTGAGGAGGTCCTCTCCGCCCCAAGTGCTACTCTTCGGTGCATTATCTGCAGGAGGCGGAGGATAAGATATGCGTTTGGGCCCGATGGATGGCTTCACGGGGACCGAGAAGGACTTCGACTCATCGTCATGGAAATGGAGGTTCGGTAGAGTCGCTCCGCTTATTAGGTTGATGGCAATAGAGCCATCTAGAGGACAATTCCATCGAAAATGACAGCATATTGAGCAGTTGCACTTACACCATGAAGACAAAGAGGGTGTGCTGACAATCAGGGAGTATATAGAGGTCACAGGGACCGAGAACGCATACGACTCAGGGCGTTGGACCGGCAGGTCAATGAGCACGGCATCTGCGCCAGGCTCAGCACGACTTCTCATATACATGCATAACACATGTGCTCACCTTCATCCTCGTCCATAACCGCATGCTCCTCGATCTTCACGAACTTGTCCCATTCACTCTGACCCTTCTCATTCAACAACGTTTCCGGTATCCACGCCAGAAATATACAGGCTGAGCCGTCTCCTTTTTGACCTTGTCGGAAAAGCACGGCGCAGTTACGAAAGGACCGCGCACCTTCTTGACCAAAGCCACGAAACCTGGGATGTTGTCCCGGGAATATGCGGTTGGATTGACATAAACCTTCGACTTGCTGTAAATGAGCCTGTACTTGCTGTCGTCCGAGCTGTCCTCGGATGACGTGGAGGCCACGAGCATGTCTTCGGAGGGTCGGGGCATGTGCTTGATCTCAACCATCGAGTCGACCTGCAAGTCCAGATAGGCTCGTGAGCTTCGAGCTTCTTTCACGAAAATTGGAGGCGCACTGAGAGCGTAGAGAGAGTGCCGTCGAAATCTTGGGACTGCGGGGATGTGCTCATCAGAGGAACATGGGTGCATATAAGGTGGTTTCGTACGCGCCTTGCTGCGTACGGCTCCGTGACTGGGACCGCCGCCCCCGCGTCGCTGCGGCACAGGCGCTCCCCATCGAGCCAAGCGGCGCGTCATGGCTCCGGCTCACGTGTGCGGGTCTCAGCGGCCCGAGCGCCGAGGCATCCCAATCGAGCGGCGAGCCAAACAAGACCAATCGGAGATCTGCAACTGTACAGTTCCCAAACCTTGTTTTTCGCCCTCTGCCAACGACGCCGACGCCCCGCTCCCTGCCCAAAAGCCCACTTTCTAGCTATGGAGAACGACCAGGTAGGTCCTTGAGGGCATTTCACAACTGCGCGGGGTGTTTCTGACGAATTGCGGTGATTTCCAGGGAATCCTCGTTGACCTTTACGTCCCCCGCAAGTGCGCGGCGACCAGTAAGTGCAGACGATAGCTTTGGTCCACGCTGGAACTGTCTCTGAAACATCCCCGAACTCCCCAGACCGCCTCATCACCTCCAAGGACCACGCCTCGGTTCAGATCAGCGTTGCCGACGTCGATGCCGATGGCCGTGCGCTCTCCACCTCCACTAGCTTCGCGCTGTGCGGTCAGGTTCGCGCCATGGGCGAGAGCGACGACTCCATGAACCGCTTGGCGACTAAGGCGGGCCGTGCGTGTTACACCTCTTCTTACGCCGAAGTGATCCGCTGACTGTCTTATTTTGTGCAGTCCTCCGGAATGTGTGGTCGTACCAAAAGTAGTTCTCACGTTGCTCTCGAGTCGTCGTCCATCATCTGTATCTGTTCCCTTATCGTCTTGGTGCATATCAATGAGCCAGGTGGCCTGCTTGTAACAAACGTCCGTCCAAGCAGCCAGTACATTCACCCCGTGTAAGTTCACTGTCAAAATTCTTTGCGCCAAGAATCGTTTCCCTGCATGCAAGCCTTTGCAAGGCTGACCAGCGCATACAAGAATGAATGATCCAATATGCAAATTCCGGGAATGTGATCCATAACGTTGTAAACAGACATCAACCCATGATGGACCCCTTCGTTGCGCCAGCTACCGAGCACCCTTCAACACTTCATTGCTTGATCCTTCCAGGCGAACACCTGTTTCCAGATCTTCCACGCTGTCGTGATCAGTGTAGCGCGAATCTGTGTTTCTTGACCGCCCCCCCAGAGCGGCGTGCCCTGGCTGTGCGCCTTCGCTGCCGAAGGCTATTTGAGACTCTCTCGGACGGTCGCGTCCTCCACGCTGAGGCCGAGGGGGATAAGGCAGATGAGAAGCCTCGTACTCCAGCATCGGATAGTACTGGCGGTAGGAGAAGTAGGCGATCGTAAGCCCGAGAACAGAGCCCGTAAGGACATCTTGCCAGTGGTGACGATAATCCATTGTGCGTGAGATGGCGACAAGAGCAGCTCCCGACAGAGGGGCCAGGGAAAGCCATGCCTTTACCTGTGGAGCGAGAGTCAATGCTGGTTTGTTTGTATGACAGCAGAGACGAACGTACGCTATGCCCACGCTTGTCGAAAAGGTGTAATTTCCCAGCCAAATAGAAGGCGAGGAAGCCCAGACCGGCAAACGAGACTGGGCACCAGATCAGCCTCACACTATGATCAATTGTCTAAACACTTACGACTGGAGTGACCGCTAGGGAAACTTCTGAACCCATCCTTTAATATTTTCGCACTGGTTTGGGTGCAGATGGCGGAAGTAGACAGTCCGAATGAAGGGTCCGCAGCACCAGTGACCGGCTGGCAGCGGTCAATCAAGTCTGCCCGAAATGACCTTAGTCAGTGCCACAAGTTCAGCAATATTGAGACGGGAACGTCGACCCTACCTGGACGAGGTCGTCCAACGGTGACCTTGACGAACTGTGTGATACAGCCAGTAATAGAAGTTGACAAAAGCCCTGTAAAGTCGCTTCAGAAACACGGAAGTTTGACTTGAGGGTCTCACTGACATCCAAGATAGCTGCTGTGAAAGTCCCACCACGACCTTACGCTGAGCAGGTTGATGACGGGCATGAGGATAAGAGGCCCTCCCGCGAATATTACATAAAGCAACCAAGGCTGGGCAGTGGTTGTCATGATGAGAAGTGGCCGTAGAGTGAAAGACGTGCCAACTTACTGGAACTCGTTCATGCTCAGCAAAACTATGGCGTCGACATTACTCCGACGTATTGTGACGAGTCAGCAAGTGGACTCACGTGTGCATTAGCCTGCGGAGCGTCATTTCAGTCAACCCCATATGATGAGGCCATTAGCAGGTACGAGACTTACGAAGTATCTGTGAGAGAGAACTCTCTTCTGAAGCCAGGAACAAAGTTGAGCCCGAAAAATGCAGCTCTATGGGGAATATTTTCAGAAGAGACTACGTGGTGCACTGAGGGGTGTGCGCACGATAAACCTATTGAGAGCGCCCTGGACAGTATGGGGTTGGGGGGAGAGCGCAGTAACGAGCTGCACAATAGACTCACCAATCCGGCAGATACGACAAAACCATGCTGCCCCGCGACCTTTTCCTTGGATCATATGACCTCATATCCTGCGCCGCAGAATGTTGTATCGTGGGGGCGGCCGACGTCGACAGCGGTATAGGTGCGGACGGGAGAAGGGCGAGCGGGTATTCTTCCTGGTTGATGAGGCGAGGGTGAGCCATCAACGGGCAGAGTCAATACGGAGCGAGAGACGAGGCGAGAGCACACGCACAGGACGAGGACGGTGAGAAAGCAGAGATCGAGCCGTGTGGAGAAGACGTCGGATTTGTAGCATGCGGACGTCAGGCGCTTGTTCGCTCATTCTGGTCGGCCCCGCGCACCGTTCGATCAGCGGGGCGCAGCGGGTGCGGTCCGAGCGATGTCTGCCACCATCCACGCGAAGGGCGTGCACCTGCGTGCAGCTGCGTGCACGGCGAGCGGAAAAGCGTCGCGCCTCACAACGGCGATCGAGCGGACGGCAGCAGCCATCGTGGGACGGCTGCGCACCGGGATCTCGATTGCCGCTGAATTCGGCTGGGACGCGTCGCGCCCAACGTGACCTTGACGCGCTCATTAATCTTGCCCTTGCACCACGTCCTCGGAGCTCCTTCCGCTCGTCTGTGCCTACATGGCTGACACCTTGGCATTCGAATGGAAAGAAGGTAGGTCAGGCTTGTGTGCCCCGCGCGCTATGCTCATGTCCTCACCTGGAGGACCCAGAGCACGGCGATATCCTCGAGAAAGTAGCGTCAACCGACATCGTCGAGTGCGTTTCGATCACACTACCGCAACCATGTTGACGTCGAACAATGCGATCGCAGGACAGAATGGCCACTGCTGCGCAGTATCATTAAGCACAAAGTGGGCAAGGTGCGCACGATATCCATGGCGAAGTTCTATGCAGCTGAGACATGTCGTAGAATGTCGAGTCCTTTCTCAATGATGGCCCTCGGTGGGAGCCTCGACCTCCGCTGATGATTGCCGCACCTCAACAACTCCCCAACGGTGGTCTCAAACTGCCTCCTTTTCCAAGCCGTGATTTCATCCTGCCAACTCCCATTCCGCCACCCCCACCGAAGGTGGATCTCACCAAGGATGAGGCGGAGACGATAAAGATATCGATTTTTGCGCAAATCGAGGACCTGGATGAGTATGTGGTTTCATTCCGAGTGCCTATCTCTGTGCCGACATGTTTTGCAGCACCCCATTCACAATACAGCGCTTATGCGAGCTTTGCGTAAGGCCTCGGCAACACTACAAGTTCGTTGGCAAATATCTGCGGGCAGTCGAAAAGTCCCTACTCGTGACTTCTTCCTGGGACGCATTCCCGCCGCTGTCCGAAATCGAGAGGACATACTCGACAAGTGGACACCCCTCCATCAGCACCTCTGCCGTCTCAGCCCCCAATACCCCCATATTCTCCCCCATACCTTTCCTCCATGAAGACGCACGGCGGTCCAAGTCACGCAGCCCACCGCCCAGCCCACTTGTCTTGCCCTCTGTCGTTTCCGCAGCAGATGCAAGTGCCGACGTCAAAGCTCTAGGTCTGGTTGACGAGCTCGACGATCCTAAACCAGGCCACTTGAGCGACCACATCGAAGCGATCTCTGCTACGACAACAGTGAGCGGGAAACCACTGCACGGCTCCCTGGAGGAACGATTCGTGAAGGGAGGATCGGAGAACGCAGATGATGCTGAGGCGAAGGAAGAGGGTGAAACAAGCGACGTGACGATGGAGGACGAAGGGAAAGAAAACAAGGCAGTCTGATCCGAGTATGTACTGATACAGAAGCTACCTTGGTGCCATCTCAGAAAGCAGTGACTTACAGGAACCGTCTCCCGTTCTCAAGCATAGTCCTGCTTGATCTTCCCAAGCATCGCCTTCATCCGCAAACCCATATCTGGCTGCCCTCGACCTCGACCCCTTCCTCCGCGTCCAAGGCGGCCGCCTCGACCCCGTTTATCGTCGTTGTTGTGACGCCCGAGTGTATGTGATTTGTGGGTGTGAAGAGAAGAGCGCGAATACGCCTTACGCTGAAGGTCTCGGAGGGACTGTCTCTCGTCTGATTTGTCCGTTGTCTTCGACGGCGCGCTGGGCCATGAGATCTGCCGTAAGCCTTCGCCCTTCTGCGGTCTTGTTTTCGATTTGCTTTCAGGTCCTCGCGGCGGCGGAGCGTTGTTTTCGTCCGACGTTTCATCTTCGCTCCCATCGCTACCGCTCCCCTCTCCGCTTTCATCAGGGTCACCGTCGGTCCTCTGGGATAGATCCTCATTTGCACTCGTTTTGTCGTGTTGAGGGCGCGTGATTGTGGCGTCGGAGCCCAACACGCTCTCCATGTGTGGGCGGGCGACCGTCAGCCCTTCCCTGCGTTTTTGTGCTTTCCATTTGCTCTTGATCTTTTGCGTCTCAACCCACGACTGTTTGAGTTTCTTGGCTGAAAAGGCGGCGCGCAATGTTAAAGAATGTCGTGCGCCATTCAAGTGAACTGGACGCACCCCGTTCGAGAGGCAGATGCTGGAAAGTGGGCGGTTTCTTGCGTTTGACGCCACGGGCTTCTTGACTCTGGGCGGCGGATGGAGGGGACATGACGGGGAGTGGGGCGATGTGACTCCGGGAGTCGTCTAGGCCAGCCGGATCTGGTGTCGGGCGGAGGAAGTTTGCGAGGGTCTCAGGGAAGGTGCAGTGCAGAGCTTATGCGGACAAACACTGCTCGACGCTTTGAAGCGGATTACATAACCCCACCGTCGCGCTATATAGCGGTCCCGAGCGCGCCTCCTCCCTTCCAACAACCCGCCCACTCGCCCGCGCCCGCGCCATCTTTCGTTTCTCTTCCTCCCCTACGCCCTCTCTCCCGCCCTCTCGTCGCATGAGCGTGCAGAACCTCAACACTTTCGGTGCGTCCCCGCCCCCCGCACACGAGCCCCGCCCGTGCGCTTATCGATCTCACGGCTAATACGAACCATTTGCTTTCCCCGCCCTCCCCGCCCTGCCCTACACAGATCCCTTCGCAGACGAGGGCGACCCGCTTCGCAGCACTGAGGACGTCGGGTCCCAGTCCAACTACATCCACATCCGTATCCAACAGCGCAGCGGGCGCAAGACCCTGACCACCCTCCAGGGCCTCCCCAAAGGTGCGTCCCACCCGTCTGAACTTGTGGCGGACGACCATGCTGACGCCTCGTGCGCGCAGAGTATGATCTCAAGAAGCTGCTGAAGGCATTCAAGAAGGCAAGTCCCCCGCTCACCGTCGCGTGGCTCTCGCGAGAGACGCAGTCGCTGACCGCTGGTTCGTTTTCCGTCCATCTACGCCTCCCTCACAGGAATTTGCTTGCAACGGGACCCTCGTCGATGATGAGGAGGCCGGTCAAGTCATCCAACTCCAGGGTGATCAACGACAGAAGATAAAGGCACTCCTCACTTCGGAAGGCATCGCTGCCGCCACTATCAAGGTCCACGGATTCTGAGTATCGCGTTGTCACAGGAAGCTAGAGCATTGGTCTAGGATTGAGCCTCTCCTGCTGTCTGTCTTCCCGAGCATCACCATTGTCATGTACCGTCCATGTCCTGCCTCTCACCTGTCGTATAGTTTCATGTCTGTACTAGCTATTGTCACGATAGATTGGACTTCACTGTCTTCGACCATCCCCAAACCACAAACGTGTCGGTTTGATAGCACCGCGCAACTCTGGCGAGTACTTCGAGCGCACTCATATGCCGTACAGTTAGAGATTGAAGAGGCAATCGAGATATAGCGGCGGCGGCACCATCGTCGTTTCAAGTTCTTCATGACAAGCTCACATCTTGCACGAATCAATCATTACAGACAACTGTGCCCACACGAAGACTTGGCGAGCATGCAATTACATTTATCATAGAATGGAACATGACTCAGCTGAGAGTTCACAGGGACGATCGTAGCAAGGCGACGAAAACCAGTTACTTGATCTTGTCGAGCGGTCTGAAGAGATGCGTGTCAGGTAGTACGAGCAATTGGTTCTTGAATAAGACCAACCTGTTGAATCCTCCACGACTGGAATAGAGCAAGGATGATCCATGATCAGCGACCGAGCATTGCGTGCTCCACGGAGAAAACACTCACCGGTTCATGTACTGCCGCCATGTCCGAATCTTCTTGATGTCCACTCCGCCTTCTTGGTTCCCTTCGACGTGTTTCCCCTAACGTTCGGCGGCATTACGCCATTGGCCTCAGAGGATACACAAGGAACGCACGTACCTTCGTAGAACCAAAGCCAGACATGCCCATCATAGCCATCATAGCCTCGTCGTCGCCATTCGTAGCCTCCATCTCCTCACCCTCCTCCTCACCATCAGCGGTGGGCTTCTCGGAGTCTTGTCGGGCACCCGTGAGCGAAGATTCGGGCCCGGGCGTACCTGGAACGGGTGTGCAAGTCAGCGACACTGCTTTGTCCATCCAGCTAAGCGGGGCGGGGCGGACGCGGACCTGTGGAAGACTGCGGCCTGCCTCCTCCAGGCTCCCCCGCCTGCTCCGCCGGACGGTCGTGCGCCGTGTCCCGCTCGGTACGCCCGCCCCGTCGGTCGCGCTCCCGTTCTACATCAGCGCGGGCGGGGGTGGGGGCTCGCGGCGTCCGTCCCTGTCCCGCTCTCGGTCGCGCTCCCTGTCGCCTCGCCTGCCGTCGCGGTCGTCGCGGCGGCGATCGTCCCTCCTGTCGTCGCGCCTGTCTCCTCGGTCCCGACCGTAGTAGTCCTTGCGATCTGCGTGGATAAATTGATTCTTAAGAGCATTCGGGCAGCGCGCGGGAGCCCAACGCACCTGGTTCGCGGTCACGGTCGCCTCTGCGAGGGGGACTCCGTGAACGGCTCCTTCGCCCTCCTCGGTGTGGGGGTGGGTGACGGCCGCCGCCCTTGTCGCGCTCGTCGCGCTCCAATTCCCGTCTCCTGTAGTCGTACCGAGAGGACATCAGAAGTAGTTGTTGTGGGAGGGAGCAACTCCCCACAACCAGTGCGCCACGCGCGGAGGCGGCGTGTCGCACGTGACATCGACGCGCCTGTGGCAACTTGAAGTCGTTGAATTTCGTTACTGGGCGATTGTACTACCACCAGTGCAATTTCTAGTGAGTACAAAACTCCGCCTGACGCCCCACCGTAAAAAGCGGTCGAACCCTCTATTCATGATATTTACACCATAAGTCGATGCCCATTTAATTTACAAGAACCAGCGAATCCAGAACAGAGAATCCAGCTGCGACCCCACCCTCGTTACTGTCCTTAGTCTTAGTGCGAAGCAGCCACCCCACCTGCTTTTCCTGTACGCTTTCGCTGGGCCCACCAAACAGCGCCCAGCCGAAGATACCCAGCTCGCTGATAACCTCCGCTTTCACCGCGCCCTCCGTGCCGCTACCCGCGCGGACCAGATAGTTCCCAAGCCCGGACGGTGTCTGGATGAGTTCCATCGCAATCCACGCCTCACGCTCGTGCTCAGGGAGCGTGTTCAGGAAGGGAGGGATATCTCCCTTGTACACGTTGTTGCCCCCTCCTTCTCGCTGAGGCTTCAGCACCAGCTTCTCCGCCTGTGCCCGTGCTTTCGCAACGCCCTCGCCTTCATTGAGCCCCCACATTCCCATCCAACTGCGCCGAACGTTCTCCGTCAGGTTGCTGCTCGTAAGGCCGTGGGGTGGGTGGAGATAGCGTTGTAAATGGTTGCCTTGCGTCAGGACCTCTTGGACCTTCTTGCCACCCGCGAGCTGCAGTTGTACTGAAGGGCACTTGATCGCAACTGACTTCTCGAGCAGGTAACGCGTGTTGTAGTGAGCGGGCGTGGGGTAGTCTGTGGGGGTGTAGCCTGCGCGGAAGTACACAGTCGAAATCTCCACGGATTCCGCTCCTCGGGGAAGCAGACCCGGACGCTTGATGCGCAAGATCCGAGAGGTAGGAACGACTTCCGCGGAGGTAGCCAGCTCATCGAGGGTTTGGCGGATAACGCGCAGCGAATGCCTTTGCTCTGATAAGTGACTGAGCATCCGAGATGGATGGTCGCCGACTTACTTCTCCAACAGCTCGTACTCCAACCAACGCTGGTCGAAGACGTTCCGTTCTCCTGCTTGTACCACGAAGAGAACCCAAGCACTGATATCATTGTCAGGACTTCTAGGTGAATTTTCGTCAAGAATGTTGGTCACTCACGACGGAGAACCATAAGTCTTGTGTGCCGTAGCAAGGCCTTCTGCGAGGCCTGCTATAGTCTCATTCGGTGGCATGTTCTCCAGCTTCAAAAGGGGAGAGCTATTGAAGTACTCCGTAGTTGCCACTAGATGTCTGGTTCTGGTCAATCACAACCCAGAGTTGACTCCTAGACCGTGCGCACCTGTGAAGCTTGGAGATATTCTCCGAGAGCGCCCCGAAGGACGACGAGATGGTGTTGAATTCGACCTGCTTCAGGCACGGCTCTTCTCCCTCCGGCGCATGCAGCAAGTAATCAGACCTGAACAAGCCTAGATGCCATTGCTGCGTCTACTTCAAATCCCGTCTGCCGCGGCACAGGGAGGGCACGTACCTGCGTGACCCCTTCATCGCGCAACCTGCGCCAAATCTTCCACAGCTCCCCGGTGAACTCGTCGACCCGCCCGACGCCTTCCTCCGCGCCCATCACGCGGTCGAGGAAAGCCTCGTCCATCGCGACGCGGGCGTAAAGAACGTTGTACGCCGACTGCAGCTCGCGCGCGTGCTCGAACTGCTTGCGCGGGAACGGCGACGGGAAGAGCGCGAGCGGCGCGTGGATCGTGGACGTCGGCGCCGCAGGTTGCACGTCTGCAGGCGGGAGGTAGACGAGCCCGTGTGAGAGCGCGTAGGTCGTCGCGAGCAGCGTCAGGCTCTCGCGCTGTTCACTGGTGATCTCCGGGGCCATTGGGGGAGGGCGGGGCCGGACATCGTCGGCGGGTGAGGGTGGTGGGTGGACACGCGCACGAGATGGGTGTGGATATATGCCCCGGGGAGAGCGTCGGGGGACGGGGAGAAGCTGAACGTGAACGCTTGTGCGGGATGACAGAGCGCGTCATTGAATATCGGAATTGAGCTCGCTTGATCAGCCACTTGTACGTCGTTATCGCGGCTAGATGGCGCGATTTGGGATGCAGCCCAAGCAGCGGCACTCGGAGGCGCCCACTTCCCAGCGATCCATGTGGGCAACACCGCATGCTGAGACCTGAGACACTTTAAAAGGCTATATAGACAACAGTAGACTAGGGACTATAGTGCACAAACAACGTGGTCGGAAAGTAGGGGTTTTTTTTGTATCCTCGTTTATTGCCCTCGAGGGCGGAGCCCTATGGTAGGCATAACATACAGTAAGTTCGTACATAGTGTGTCACGTAGCAATGGATAGCGTCGTCTTTGCATATGCACCCTCGGGAGCGATCCCGAAGGCACAGTGGACCGAGAAGTGCCGGCGGCGTGCCAGTGAGCCTTATAGGGGCTCGGGGTGTGTGTTTGAGTGGGGAATCGAGAGTAAGGAAAACCGGAGCAAGTATAGTATGGGTACAGTAGCGCTATAGTAATGAGAGGGTTGGAGCGGAGAGCGGGTGGGTGGGATGCGGCGACGAGGACGATGCAGTGCGGTGGGTGTTTTAGGCAGGGTTTAGGTTCGCGTCCGCACGGGTAGTTAGGTGTCTTCGCGCGGGGGTCTTCTCGCGCAGGGGTGACTAGGTAGGGGGCGGGTGATCAGCGGAGTCGCGCGCGAGGAGTCATCTTTCGGAAAGTAGGGTAAAGGCATGTTGTGGACATAGGGAATTTGAAGGACCCGGGGATAAACATGAGGGGAAGCAATTGCATCTCAAACACGCTCGGCACCATTGGCGGGGGCGGGGGCGGTAGAGGGGCTGGGGGCTGTAGAGGTACGGGAAAGATTCTGGTGGGAGCCCGTAGGCGCGTCGGCCTGCCTGGTGTTGTACGCTGACTTGTCGGTGTACTTCCCGGATTGCAAGCCGAACGATTGATAGTCGACGTCACGAAGTTCGTAGAGGAAGAGGAAGAGGAACATCGGCCCTGCGAATAGGTCGAGAATGCCGTACCAGATCATCTCCGATGTGACCGTGATGACATTGGCGCCCTCGGCACACGCCCAAGCGATCGGATAGAGGAGGAGGAGGAAGGAGAGGTAACCTGCGGCCGTCATGTATCCGCGACGAAGCACACCGCCAGCAGCAAAGGTGCCAGTGCGGGGTGCGTGCCACAGCAGGATATACCTGTGCATACCATCAATACAAAAGTAGTGGTGAGGCCGAACAACGGAACGCACCATACGTAGAAGAGGGCTGCGACACCGAAAACGAAGTAGCCCCACTTGAAGGAGCTTGTAACGAGGGCGCCTACCAGGCCCATGATGACGAGGACGATGCCCATGAAAATGGTCGTGAAGATGTCGGAAAGCGAAAGAGGAGTGGCGAGAAGGAGCTCCAGAAGGAGAAGAGGGAATGTGATGAGCCAGTTGATGTATCGCACGAACTGCCCGTGCCCATGTCAATCAAGCACGCAGACTATAGGAAAAGCACTGACGAAAATCTGGCGCGTGCCTCGGCCGCGGAATTCGGTCTGCACGGGCGTAGATCCAAGGTTGGAGGCCATCGAGAAGTACGCCAACATTCCAGTGGTGAGTACCACTATGGCGATCTGATGGAACAAGCGCATGCCGCGGGGGCGCTGAAACGGAGAATACGGTAGTTAGCGGAGTGGCTAACAAGCTATGACGATAGTACATACCCGGAATGCCATCGCAACCATAATCAGGAGAGATACGGTGAAGATGCAAAAAGTAGTCCACAACCAGTCTGAACCATGAGTGCTCAGACGAAAGTTGGCATTCGAAGGGTTATTGTTGATGGCTTCATTCCCGCCCATGACTGCAACCTATGAGGAAAGTTCGGAGAGCGACGAGTGGGAAGCGGTGGGAAAGAGAGGATCAGATAGCAGTTGCTAGTGACATCGTGCACGTCCAATTCGCTGCTTGTTATATAGAGGCATGGGCCCCCTGAGGAAGTGTCTAGGCGAGGCTGTCGTCGCGAGAAACCGGAGGGAAGCTGAACGATGATGAGGGCTTGTTTACTAAAGCGAGTGGGGCTCGGCGTGCGTATGACCAGTGGGCAGAGCGAGAGGACTGGCTGGCGAGACTTGGTCAGCATTGAATCATCATGAGAACAGAGTAAACATAGAGCATTTTTCAAGTGTTCCGTCCGAGGATGGGATCTTCTGACGTTGCCCCCTCTCCGGCTAATGAATGCCTGACGGGATGTCCAAGAAGACCTCGGCCACATGCCCCCCACGATCGATCGTGTCTGGTGATGAACTCTGAGTAAGGCAAGGGACCGACTGTAACACACGAAGAGGAGCGATCCTCAGTCAGTGATAGAACGACTATATTGAGAGCATAAGTTCTACCTGTAACACACGAAGAGGAGCGACTACAGATAGAGTAAGCATATGTAAGGAGCGCATAGTAGTGTGAATAGACTTACTCCTCAGTCAGTGATAGAACGACTGAAGAGCAGTGCGAGCCAGAGTCCTCCCTATATACTGTCCAGGAGTAGCATACGTAAGCAGTGATGGGAAGACATATATGGCGCAGAGGTCAGACCGAACAGAAGATGGTTACAGGGCTGTGCGGGCTGTGCGCTCAAGACAAAGAAAGTCCGTAAGTGGAACAAAGGAACAAAGAGAGAAGCGTAGAAGAACGGAATGGAAGAGATAAGGAACTACAAGGCAGTGAAGTGACATATGGAACTATGGGAAGTCTCTCACAGAGTCCATGTGGATGCGTAAACTGTCCTAATGTACGTATGTTCGATATCCAATGTTCAACACACCCCCTCGTTCAAGACGCGGATGAAACTAAACCAACGTGCTCGCAGAAGTACTTGAGTATCGAAAGAGGAACTGACTTCGTAAGCGAGTCCGCTAGCTGCTCCGCAGAAGGAACGTGAAAGAGAGTAACTTCGCCTTCCTCGATGTATTCGCGAATGAAGTGGTAGCGGATGTCGATGTGCTTCGTGCGACGGTCAACGGCAGGGTTTTCAGAGAGGAAAATCGATCCCTGGTTGTCCATACAGAGCGGCGTAGGACTCGACATATCGTCACCAACTTCACGGCCGAAAGTGCGAAGCCACTTCATCTGACGGCAAGCGTCTGACGCGGACATGTATTCCCCTTCGGTGGAGGAGAGGGATACTGTGCGTTGTCGGCGAGAGACCCAGGAGAGTGCACCTCCTGCCATCAGGAAAACGAAGCCGGTTGTCGACTTCCTGTCGTCGCGGTCTTCTCCCCAGTCTGAGTCCGAGTACGCGATCATGCCGGCGCCATCCTTTCCATCGTAACGAAGACGATAGTGCGAGGTACCACGGAGGTAGCGAAGGACGTAGCGAGCGTAACGCATGTGATCTTCAGACGGGTTGGCGTTGTACTTGGAGAGACGCGTGACAGCGTAGGAGATGTCTGGACGAGTACCGAGCATGGCGTAAAGAAGGCTGCCGATGAGGCTCTGGTACTCCCGACGAAGAGTTGCAGGTGCTTCATCCTGTCGAGCGACGAGGACGCAACCAGCGGGGAGAGGAGTGGATGCAGCGTTGCAGTCAGACATGTTGAACTTTTCGAGGACGGCGTCGATGTACTCTTCCTGGTCGATGTCGAGGATGCGTTTGACGCGATCGCGACGAATGCGAGTACCGAGGAATCGTTGCACTGGTCCTAGATCTGTCATCTTGTACTGCTTGCTGAGAGAGTCCTTGACGAAGTCGATGCGCGTGCGTGAATTGCCCATGACGAGTAGATCGTCGACATAGAGAACAATCAGCGTGACTTCGCCTGGAACACCCCCTTGTCGACGATAAACGTAGACTCCGGCATCTGAGTACGTGCGGAAAAATCCCAATTTGATGAGCGAGTCGTGGATTTTGAGGTTCCACTGGCGAGAGGCTTGCTTCAGACCGTAGATGGCCTTCTTGAGCAGACAGACGTAGTCCTCTTTGCCAGCTTCAACCCATCCTTCCGGCTGCTCCATGTAGATCTCCTCGTCGAGATCGCCGTTGAGGAACGCGGTTTTGACGTCCATGGCGTCGATATCCCAGTCTTCGAGCGCGGCGTGCGCAAATGCGAAGCGGGTCGACTCGTTCCTTGACACAGGCGAAAAGATCTCGAAGTAGTCTTCTCCCCAGTTCTGCGTATAGCCCTTAGCTACGAGGCGAGCCTTGACTCGACCATCGTGCTTGATGTCATACACCCAACGACATCCGATGACGTTACGACCCTTGGGGCGAGGTACGAGCACCCAGGTTCGGTTTTCCATCAACGAATTGTACTCCGAAGCTTCAGCCTTGAACCATTCATCACTCATAGGAGAGTTGTGCGCTTCGCGGTAGGACTGAGGGATGCCTTTCTTGCGCGCAGCGTGATTGATGATAGTATTGAGCAGATCGAAGTACTCGCGCTCTTCAGTTGTACGTAGCTGTCCGTCTCGTCGTGTCCTGGCGTCGACGCGTGCAGGCGGTTCGTCACCGTAGAAGTTGTCCCTGTTACGACGCGGATTCTGTCCTGCACCATGACGCTGAGGGCGCTGAGGTTGTGGTGGAGGACCAGCATCGACATCAGGTACTTCTTCAACAGTAGGATGACGGTTACGACGGTGGTTAGGAGCACGTGGCGGTGCACCTGGTACGACAGGAGGCGGAGGCGGAGCTTCGTGCTCTGGTTCAGGCTCGGCATTGGGTGGAGCTTGAGGAGGGTGTGGGACCATAGCAGGTTCCGGAGGAGGAGTTGGAGGAGGAGGTATAAGCTCGACTGGTTCATTGTCAGGCTCTCCTTCAGGGATGTCTGGGAACGGTGAATCGTCGGGGGTTACACGACGACGGCCGGTGGGGTTTTCACGTGCAGGGAAGACGTTCTCATCAAAGTCCACATCGCTAGAGACCATGATGGAGCGGGTAGAGCGGTTCCAGAAACGATAACCCTTGGAACCCTCGTAACCAACAAACACAACTTCGAGTGCCTTAGGCTCGAGTTTGTTGTCGCGTTTGTCCCTTTGCACATGTACGACTGCTTTGCAGCCGAAAACGCGGAAGTGGGAACAGTCTGGGACGACTCCGTTCCATGCCGTGATCGGGCACTTCCATTTTAGACGACGCATTGGCTGACGATTGTAGATGTGCACCGCAGTGTCGACCGCACATTGCCAGAAACCGTGAGACAGACCTGCGAAGTGAAGCATACACAAGGCCTTGTCCATGATGGTTCGGTTCCAGCGTTCGGCACGACCGTTTTGCTGCGGCGTTCCGGCATGGTCATGTCGTGCTCAATCCCAAGTTCGCGAAGAAGTTCTTGGAACTCTGTTGCGGTATATTCACCCCCTCGATCGGATCGTACCTTCTTGATTTTGCGACCAGTCTGTGTCGATACCCAGGCGTAGTAGGCTCGGAAAGCTTTCGTCTGTTCCGATTTCGCCTTAAGGTAGTAGATTCGACCAGCACCAGAGAAGTCATCAAGATATGTAACGAAGTACGTATATCCGCCGATAGAAGTGGGCAGTGGGCCGACTAGATCAGTGTGGATCATGTCGCCCGGGGCTTCTGCACGCTTCGGTGAAAGAGGGTGTGGTTTGCGCGTCATTTTGCCTTTAGCGCAACCATCGCAAACAGTAGACGGGGGAGGAGCAGGACCAATGTCGTCAACACCTTTGACTGCCTTAGGGAGCTTTTTGATCGCTTCCTTAGAACAGTGACCCCAGCGGTTGTGGATGAGTTCCCAGTCGACAGTAGACAACGACGACTGAGCCGCGGGTTGAGGTTCTGAAGGTTGGACAGGTTGGACAACTTTGCCATTCATTATATCCGTGGGCAGCTGATAGAGGTTGTTGATCGGATTAAACAGAGCCTCAAGACGCATTGCACCAGGGAAAGTCAAGCCAGCGTGTGAGAAGGATGCGTCTGTGACGCGAGGATCGAAAATGACCATTTTCCCATTCCCCTGAATGATGAGGTTTCCGGCGTTCTCGATGGCACCAGTTGAGAAGAGACGTGTACCCGCGTTGGGGATGTATACAACGTTCTTAAACTCAACTTTGACGTGGTTGCCGTTGAGATCAATTCGAGCAATAACCGTTCCTTCTCCGAGTGCGCGGACGATTCCAGCATCTCCTCCTGAGCCGTATGAAAGATCTTGGGCTCACGGTATTGAGTGTACGAGGAGAAGTCATGTTTGTATGCTGTTACGTGACGCGAAGCACCCGAATCCATGCACCAGACTGCGAAGTGAGAATCACGCTTAGCGGTGTTACCCGCATTGTACCAAGCAGCAGAGATCTCATTCGACGCGGACGAGGCGTCCGACGCTACAAGTACATTGACAGTCTGAGCCGAAACGTTATGCGAATGTCCGGAATTTCCACCACCACCATTATCTCTGCCTTTGCCTTTGCCGTTGCCCTGACGTTTCCCCTGCGGCTTGAGCTCAGGATGCTTCTGCCAGCAGTGAGACTCGTCATGGTTCTTCCCTTTGCAGTGAGCGCAGGGACCACGCGGCTTGGGCTTGGTCTTTGTGACCTTGCTGACGGACTCCTCGCCGTTGCCGATCGATGTCTTGCGCAAGGTCTGCTCAGAGCGAACCTGCGAGATGACGTTGTCGACAGTGATCTTGCTAGACTCATACGTCGCGAGGATGGTCGTGACGATGGTCCGGTAGGAGACCGGGAGCTTGCCCATGCACATGAAGGCACGTTGACCATCACCGTACTTCGCGATGGTGGAGTCGATGCGGTCGAATTTGGCGTTGTAGGTCGAGATTTGGTCGGCGAGGTCCTTGTTCTCGTCGAAACGATCCTGGTTGATGAGTTCCTCGAAGAGGGCGAAGCTCGACGCAGCGTCCGACTTGTCGTAAGCCGCTTTGAGAGCCTCCCACATTGCGTTCGCAGAGGTCTTGCCAGTGAGATGCGCCTCCTTGACCTCGATCGAGACCTGTTTGACGATCAGGCCTCGTGCCTTCGATTCACGCTGCTTCCAGGCAGCAAGAGCAGTGACTTCGGTGGCAGCAGGTGCAGGGTCGAGTGAAGGAGTGGCGGTAATTTCCCAGCAGGACAACATAAGACACATCCCTTCCATGTCGTGCGCCCACTGCTTGTACCCATCGCGACCCTTGAGCACCGAACCCTTTGCGACGGGGACAGTGTCCATGAGTGGTAGCGTGTAGAGGATCTCGAGGGTGTCGTCTTCTAGAGGGACGAGAGTGGGTGAGGGCGGAAGAGGAGGATAAACGTCGATGGGATAAGGATCGAGGGGACCGTAGACCGAAAAACCGTAGAGCGGAGCGTCTGGGGTGACGTCTGCTTCAAGGACTTGCTCAACTTCGAGCGAAGAGTGGTGTGAGGAGAGAGGAGATGGGGGAACGTCTGCAGCGACCGAGGAAAGTGGAGAACCTGGTGCAGAGACGTCGAACTGAGGGAGTTCCGACCAACGGAGGGCGTCGAAATGACGAGGGTGTTGAGGAGAGTCTGGAGCGAGGTGATATGGCCTAGGCGTACAATTCGCGGGCTGGTTGATGTCCACGTAACGGTTAGGGCAAGGTTGTACGTCGCAAACAAAGAATTCTCCGTCCTCGTCGTCAAAGAAGACGTCTTGTCCTCCGGATCGGAGTTCGTATCGGTGGTAAAAGCGTGAGCAGTCGAAAACGTCAATCGCGTCGGAGTCCGAAGAGCTGCCAGACGGGATCTGAACGTCGTTGAGGTCGGTAGAAGGACCAGCAACGTTGTCTGCCACGGTGAAGTCGATTGAAAGTTCAGAGAAGCGCGATGTTGAGAACGATATCCCCTACTCGTGGAGAATGAGCACCCGTTGGGGCAACCTCGCTACGAAAACCTGTCGGAAGGCCTTGTGGAGGGTAGAGGTGAAGACGGAGGAAGAGGACTGCGAGGGTAAAACCCAAAGCTATGTCCGACCGAAACCGTCCACGAGTAGTCGATGGGGAGATCTTGAATCGTTGGCGAAAGGTGAAGCGCGCGTTGCTCAACGTAAGCAAGCTAGAGCGCAGGGCTCATAACCTGATGAACTCTGAGTAAGGCAAGGGACCGACTGTAACACACGAAGAGGAGCGATCCTCAGTCAGTGATAGAACGACTATATTGAGAGCATAAGTTCTACCTGTAACACACGAAGAGGAGCGACTACAGATAGAGTAAGCATATGTAAGGAGCGCATAGTAGTGTGAATAGACTTACTCCTCAGTCAGTGATAGAACGACTGAAGAGCAGTGCGAGCCAGAGTCCTCCCTATATACTGTCCAGGAGTAGCATACGTAAGCAGTGATGGGAAGACATATATGGCGCAGAGGTCAGACCGAACAGAAGATGGTTACAGGGCTGTGCGGGCTGTGCGCTCAAGACAAAGAAAGTCCGTAAGTGGAACAAAGGAACAAAGAGAGAAGCGTAGAAGAACGGAATGGAAGAGATAAGGAACTACAAGGCAGTGAAGTGACATATGGAACTATGGGAAGTCTCTCACAGAGTCCATGTGGATGCGTAAACTGTCCTAATGTACGTATGTTCGATATCCAATGTTCAACATCTGGGGCGGCAGGAGGATGTAGCCAGGGTGGTTTGTGATAGATCGAAATTCGCAGTGGACTCGTCCGAGACCCAGACATTGGCTGCCAGCGCGACGCGGTGAATCTGGGCCAGGGGAAGAAGACGATGACGAACGAAGTCGGAAACGGACACGGAAGGGCAGCAGATTCCGCGAAGTCCCGTAGCAGAACACAGAGCGTCCAGAGCGTCCAATGCAGGCCGAGTGCAGTCGGAGAGCGCAGGGTCCGATGACGCGATGGCTTGCCTCGCCCGCTGGCGCTCGCCCGGCCCGCGAGTCGTCATTCTCGGGGCGTGTCGCTGGCAGCGTGGCCGTCTGCCTTGTCTTCGCTCCCTCCCCCATGGCTAGCCATGCAGTACGACGGGCTGGTGTCAGCTCCGGTAGATATTCGGACGCATTCTCATACTTCCAGCTGCCTGACGGCCCTTTTCACACTCAGTGTACGTCCGCCTGATCGGTCTTCCTCGCACCGCGCTGCCTAACGACTTGCGGCGGTTGTGCTCAAAGAACGGGGTGGACAGTTTCTCCCATGGTATGCATGCTCATTCTGACCAGGTGGCCCGCTCTGACTACGAATCACCCGTGAAGCCAATATCGAATACAAGGACTTCAGCCCAACAGGTCGTGCAGTTCTCACTTTCAACCGCCCAGAATACGTCCCTGGCGCCATTAAGGCCCTCAATAATTCTATTCTTTCCGGGAAGCAAATCAAGGCCTTCTCGATCGATCAAATCCCAACTCCGAAGACTCGCTCTCGTGGTGACGCCGGCCGCCGCGACGCCGCACAGCGGGGTGCTCTCGCTGGTGATGGTCTAGATGCTGGACTCACGGGTGGCGCGAAGAATGTCCTTCTCGAGGGCCTGCCGTACAACATCGCCCCGGAATACATCTACAGAAAGGCTCTTCGGACCTTCAAAATCTCGGGTGCGGACGAGGGAAAGCCGTTTGTGACTAGGCTCAACAAGTGAGTGATTGTCCCTCAGAGCCGTCCTATTTCCTCACATCCATGCAGAGAGGGGAGTACGCGAGCAACATCTCGTTGGTTGGTTCGCTTAGATTCCTGGTCAGAGGCGTATCGACTGGTTCGTAAGCTACACATGAGCCCGTTCACGAGCTCAAAAAACAACGAGTTGGATCATGTTGTCCTCGCTCATGTTGTCTCTTGAGATCTTATATGCCTTGCACACGGCACGATATCCTGTCCAATATAATCACGTGGTGTTCTCCCCTTCCTACGGATGCTTGAATGCAAGAGCCGTCTGCATCGGGCCCATAAGACAGAGACAGCGTAAAATTGGTTGAGTACGGGCACCTGCTTGACACGACCTCATTGGAAAGTCAATCGGCCCTTCCTTGGGTCCGCATTTAGAATAGCTGATACATAGCATACAAAGAGGGAACAAGAAACAAGAGCAAGGCAAACCAAAGCTGCAGCAATCACATACGCTCTGCTTCCGGTTCGTGTTCTTCCAGCTTGGGACGAGGCTCCTAGAACGAAACACATGAGCATACCGCGGCGCAACAGCTATACGGGCACCCACCCCTCGTGTAGTATCATCATCCTCTGGCGACCTTCCACGCTTGAGCGTCGACTGCTGAACGTGCTCCGTCGCTTTCCAGTCACCTCCACCACCAGCAACCGCGCCAGGAACGTCTTGGGCGTCGTTGTAACGCTCTTCAACCTCGCGTCTCCGCTCGATTTCGGCACGCTGCGCTTGTGCTCCCCATCCGCCGCGACCAGGATCGTAGTCTTGTCTGTGTTCGTCTCGTACCTATGGACGGACTGTGAGAGTGTTGTCATGAAGCACGGGTGCGAAAACGTACCTGTCCACCACTTTTGCCCCTACCAAATTGCCTGCCGTCTCTATAGCCTAGGTCGAGGTCGCACCTAATGATGCGCTCATCCAATTTGGTGCCACTGATGTAGCGAAGGCAAGCTAATGCCTCCGCATGGCTGTAATATTCAACAAAGCAGAACCCACAAGGTGTCCTAAGAGATTTCGTTAGGAAACAAACAGGAGTATGGCTCTTTTTGGTAGGGCGCATGTGCACCTAGCTCGCATACAAAAGTATGGCTTCGGGGCTTACCTCGTATTGCGGTCGAGACCCATGATGATACGCTTGATGCCTCCACCGTCCTCGGTGTTAGTGCACTTCGAGAATATCTCATAAATCTGCTCTTCAGTAGTATAAAAACTCAGATTCCCGACCTGCATGACGCGGTCAGTTTGACGCGTCGAAAAGATGCAATCCACTGGCACGACGTACATAGAGCGTGGTAGTTTTTGACAGGAGGTCGGTTTGCGTGTGTCGGTCGAATCTAGACTGAGAGTCTTTGTAGTTGGAGGGCTGGTCGAGCGGGGTGACGATGTGTGCCATGGTGAGGATAGGATTCCAAGGGAAATGGCTGCTCAGAGGAGCACGGTTCCCAGTCGCACCGTGAAGCGCTCATCTGCAGCGCTCCAGTCACGTGCATTGGTACGACGCGTCCCTTCATGGCCGCGTCAGCCCTGCTTCAGGCAGCGTTCTCGCTTGTCTTCTCCCCTTCTACACACCCCACAAACCCACAACCATGGACGAAATTGGAGTTGATATCAGGAAGGAGGTATGCATCAGTCTCATGGTATCGTCTTATTCGTACCCACGCTTCTATTAGGAGCCCACCTTCGGCACCGTGATCGAGGACAAGGCCGCGCTCATGCAGGAGCTCGAGTCTGAAGAGGACATCTACCTGAAGTACAAGAAGCTCGCCCGCACTTAGAGATGCTCGATATTCAAGAGAGCTATATCAAGGACGAGCAAGCGAACCTCAAGCGAGAGCTCATACGCGCACAGGAGGAAGTCAAGCGCATTCAATCTGTTCCTCTCGTCATTGGACAGTTCCTGGAACCCATCGACCAATATACCGGCATTGTTGGGTCAACCACTGGCTCCAACTACGTCGTTCGTATCCTCTCTACCCTCGACCGCGAGCTCCTCAAGCCGTCTTCTTCTGTGGCACTCCACCGGCATTCCAATGCTCTCGTTGACATCCTTCCCCCGGAAGCCGACTCGTCCATCGCGATGCTGGGCAAGGAGGAGCGCCCAGATGTCGCGTACCAGGACATCGGCGGTATGGATGCGCAGAAACAGGAAATCCGGGAGGCGGTCGAACTGCCATTGACGCACTTCGACTTGTACAAGAAGATTGGTATCGACCCGCCTCGCGGTGTGCTTCTTTACGGGCCGCCAGGTATGTCATTATTCTCCTCATCTTCAGTCGGTAACTCAGAACCCGCGTAGGAACGGGGAAAACTATGCTTGTCAAGGCCGTCGCGCACCACACCACTGCCTCTTTCATCCGGGTCGTTGGCAGTGAATTCGTGCAGAAGTACCTCGGAGAAGGTCCTCGTATGGTCCGCGATGTCTTCCGGCTAGCTCGCGAGAATGCCCCAGCTATTATCTTCATTGACGAAATCGACGCTATTGCCACGAAACGGTTCGACGCACAGACAGGTGCTGATCGAGAGGTGCAACGCATCCTGCTCGAGCTACTCAACCAGATGGATGGTTTCGACCAAGGTAGCAATGTCAAGGTATGTGGGCTCTTTCTCTCCCTTCCTGTGAGACCTTCTAAACCAGATTCGTAGGTCATCATGGCTACCAACCGAGCAGATACTCTAGACCCGGCTTTGCTCCGTCCAGGTCGTCTTGACAGGAAGATCGAATTCCCACTGCCGTCTCGTCGAGAAAAGCGTCTTATCTTCCAGGCTGTGACGGGCAAGATGAACCTCGGACCTGACGTCGACTTGGAGGACTGTGAGTATCGGAATCGCCAATTCAGAATGTACCATGATTGTGACCCTTCTCTAGATGTTTCACGGCCTGAGCGCTTGTCATCCGCTGAGATTGCATCTATTGTACAAGCCGCTGGCTTGCAAGGTAAATGTTCTTCAACCAGTGATAGAGACTGGAGGATGCTGATTGACCTATTCAGCTGTGCGGAAGAACCGATACGTCGTCCTCCCTGTGGACTTTGAGGAAGCATGGAAGGTAAGCGCCTATTTGGCTCTGTTTGTACCATCAGCGTGGCGAAAGTATTTGAGCTCACGCCCGCTGCCTCTTCTTCTCTTCACCCACCAGCAAAACGTCAAGCGGGCGGACGAGACCTTGGACTTCTGTGCGTCTTTCTCTTGCTCCCTTTTCCCCTCCCCCTCACGCGTGTCTTCCCCCCAGACCGGTAATGTTTGGTATCGCTGTTGTTGTGAGTGTGTTGTGACGTGTTCGTCCTGGCTCCTGCTGACAATCCTGTTCAGATCGCATCTGTACTCTACTGGACAATATAGTCTTTGCATCTCGACGTTGTTTGTGTGTGGGTCTCATTCCATCGACGCTCTACACTTTAGTGCCCCATCAGCCTTCCTACTCGAAGGGGCATTCATTCAATAGAGCTAGATCAACGCTTTCCGAATTTTTGCCTCTTCTTCTGTCGGCTTTTCCGCTGGCGCGAACTATGCTCTTGCATGATTCGTATGGATGAAGTGGTTCACATGCGGAATACATTTTTCTCCTGGCTGACTTTTATAGTAGTCAACAGTGAGTCCATCACTCACCTCGAACACCAGTCGACTATTTATGTCCTTTTAGATCTTCAATATATTTCGTCACGCTTAGAGCCGCGTCTCCCAACCTGTCAGTTTCTTTCGCTCTTCAACACTCTGGGTGGCGTCTCGTTCTACACGTTCATCCTCATTTTATGAGAGCAAGAGTAATTCGCAACCGGCACTTGAGCAATCGCCTCCAGATGATGGAGGTTGTTGACTCGCATCGCTGGTTACAACAACTAGCACTGTATATACGTCTAGTTGAATGAAACATGTCGTTCATGCACAGTTGAGCTCGATCTTCTAAAGCTTACATTCGTATCGATATCGACAGGATGTCGAGGTACATTTTTGAGAGTACATCTACAGTTCACTTTTTACCTGGCTGCCCCAACTCACTGGCCCGTTCAGTCGCAACTTGGATAGCACGCGCGATCGTCGATCGGACACGGCCATCCTCCATGGCCAGCAATCCAGCAATCGTACAACCGCCCGGGGCTGTTGCAGCATTCGTCAGCTTGCTCCCCTCCTGGTTGAAGGTGAGACACGTACTAGTGACGGCATCTTTGAGCACCGCGGGATGAGTTCCGGCGAGGGTCATGCGGGCTGCCCCTTGGAGTGCTGGGACACATGTCCCCGTCAGGGAACCCGAGGATCTATCGCAGCATTTGGCGTAAGTGGGACGTACTCTGCGCAGCGAGTTCCAATGCTTCTGCCCGGGGCAAGCCCATCATGACCCCACCGTCGGCCATGGCCTCCAAAAAGATGCAGGCGAATGCAGGACCGGAGCCAGAGAGCGCGGTGCAGGCGTCGAAGTGCTTCTCCTCGAGGAAGCGCAGCGGCCGATGGAGGAGAAGATGTTGAGGATGATCGTCCTGTCGAGCTCGGACTGCTCTAAGGGCGGGAGGGTGCTGACGACCGTCATCCCTTCGCGGATCTGCTCACGCGAGACCGAATTGGGTGCGGAGCAGATCGCGGCGTTAGAACGACCCCAGATCGGAGAAGATCAGGAGGTGGGTGTGGCACAGACATCGACGTACTTTACTGGCGGTGTTGGGCATTGTGCGCGCGACCCGCGTCGACGGCAGGACCATGGCGCGTAGCTGCGCGATGGTGACACCGGCGAGGATGCTGAGGAGGAGCTTGCCGTCGAACGCATCTTGCATGCCGGGCTCGGCGAGGATCGTCTGCGCCAACTGAGGCTTGCAGCTGCGAGGACGGACGCGGGGGATGATTGGCGGGTGTGCGAGGGAAGGGAAGGGCGGGGAAATGGGGCACTCACCACAGCAGCACAACGTCGGCCTCGCGCACGGCGGCGACGTTCCTGCCCTGGAAAATCTCGACGGAGCGGCCGAGCGTGCCTGCTGAGAAGAACGCGCCGGCGAGCTTCTTGCGGTCTCCTCGCGCGACACGCAGGCGATGAACCGCGACGGGAGCGCGTCGTCTTCGAGCACCTGTGGGGTGACGGTGCCTGAGGTGTGCGACTCCCACTTGGGGTGCGGGCTAGCGGGCTTCGCGTCGAGGCTAGCGAGCACGCCGGAGAGGATGGCGACACCCATGGTGCCGCATCCTGAGAGAAGTGGAATGGTAAGGACGGACGCGGGAGCAGAGGTGGGGAGGGGAGGGACCTAGGATGCAGAGGGTGTAGCCCATGGCAGGTCAGGTGAGAGTCAGAAACGCGAGCAGGGTGGCGGTTTGCGCTCTGCGCTCGGAGCTATGGCCGCGCCGCCCAGCTGTACCGGGGCGTGCGCGTGCCATGTCCCCAGACGTCCCCCCATCTGTGCTTCACTTCCGCCCGCCGAGGCATCAACCCGGACCCGCCAAAACACAGACGGCTTGTCGGTTGCCCTCGCATCCTTCCTCTCGCCCCTCGTCACGCTCTGCCCGCAACCCCCAACCCCGCGCCGCCCGATGCCCGTCCCCGCCTCCACCCCCGCGCCCCCCAAGCATGTCTTCGTGACCGTCGGCTCCACACGATTCGACGCGTTGGTGAATAGGGTCCTCTCGCCGCCAGTGCTCGACGCCCTGCGCGCGAAGGGCTACCAGACGCTTGAGGTGCAGTGCGGGAACTCGGACGTCGACATTGGGCAGCTACAGAAGGTGGCAGAGGACAGGTGGAAGCTTGCTGGTGGAGTCGAGACAACCGTATGGCGCTTCAAACCGAGCCTGCAAGCCGACTACGAGCAGGCGGATTTGATCATCAGCCATGCCGGTGAGTCCGTCCTTGCGTCATTGCCCAAGTGCATCCCTCAACCCCGCCGCTTCGCCCGGCCAGGGTCCGGCACCATTCTCGACGTGCTGAGGATGAAGAAGCCTCTCATCGTGATCCCCAACCCGACCCTGCTCGACAACCACCAGGCGGAGCTCTCGGACTCCCTCGCGGGCCTCAACCACCTTCGTTCGACGACTGTCGCGTGAGCACCCTTTCTGCCCTTCTTGTTCCACCACACTCATCCTTTCCCTGCGCAGAGACTTGCCACAAGCCATCGAGAAGTTCGACATCTCGACCCTCGTACCATTCCCGCAATTCGATGGAAGCAGGTTCCGAGAGCTCCTGGATGACGAGATGGGCTTCAGCCACAGCAGGGAGACCAGCGCCGGGCGGTGACCGCACCGGTCGCCGGACCCCTCGCCTCTTCTCGTTGGTTTGAATTGCACTACATCGCTGTACACTTCCCCTCTCTGTTGTCCCAATACCCGTGTTTTCTGCCCCACTCCTCCCCGAACACATGCCCGAAGTCACGCCCGCCGCTGTCTCTTCAGATGACCCGCAGACGTACGAAGACACGCATGTGCACGCGGTCTACGACGAGATCGCGCCGCATTTTTCGTTCACACGGTACAAAGTGAGCAGGTTCGGTGCAGCGACGAGATTCTGAAGCAAAGGGTGCCCACAGCCATGGCCAATCATCGCGGCGTTCATGTCCTCATTGCCCACAGGCTGGGTCGGCGTCGATCTGGGCACGGGTAACGGAAAATACCTGCCATTGCCTTCCGATCGCCCGAATGGCGTGTGGACCGTCGGCTTTGACAGAAGTCTGAACCTGCTCAAAATCGCGAAGCGGGCAGGGGATGGAGAACGAGAGGTCGTGTGGGGAGACGTCCTGGACCATCCGTGGCGAACCGGTGCATTCGTCAGTTTCTTGAGCTCCGAAGACTGTACACGCCTGAACAGATGCATGGACAGGACTATGCAATATCCATCGCTACAATTCATCATTTAGCGACTCCTTATCGACGCAAGGTCGCAGTACAGGTGCAGTCCGATTCGTTGAGCATGCCCCGCGGCCCTGACTGGGACGTCGCAGAGATTACTGCAAAGTATATCTCCGGCTCACGGTCGCGCGTTGATCTATGTATGGGCTATTGAGCAAGACCAATTGTCTAAACGAGCAATCCCGACCGACTCAACCGAGCGTGGTCAGACGTTCGCACCGAAAGGCCAAGACGTCTATGTCCCATGGGTCCTCAATCCATCTACTGCGACCAAACCCAAGACAAAACAGAAAAAGAGGAGTCTGAAAGACGACGCTTTCGAAGACGGGCAGCTAAATTTCGCTGCGTTTGACGACCCTCCCAAGGTTTTCAACAGATACTACCATATGTTTTCTCAGGGCGAGCTTCGAGACCTCGTCGTCGACGCAGCGCAAGAAATGCAGTTGGTCATTGGAGAAGCTCCCGACGCGCCGTCAGGAAGCAAGGCCGGGCCGCAGAGAGGCGTGCATATCGTTGCTGATGGCTGGGAACGATCCAACTATTATGTTGAGTTGCGCAGGTGGCAGCAATGATTAGAAACATCCCCAGCGCCGTCCTAGTAGATGCACAACAGGCACGTGGGATGCGGATTTTGGGCGTGATACGACAAGGCAATGGGGTAATGATACAGTGCAGCACAACAGAATCACTCGCTTGCAGCCATGACTGACAAATATGTTGAGGTACTGCGTAGCCAGAGTGATGTGAGTGGACTTACTGGCATTGATCAAATCACCACCGCTCTCCTTCAGCACCCTTACTGCCTTCGCGCGTGTGCAGTTAACCTGCTGAATGACAAGCTCGATGTCCTTGGGATCCACGCCCGTCTCATCGACGTTGTCGTCCTCCTCCACGGCCTCCAGCTCGGGAATGTCGTCGTCGTCGTCCTCGGCGCCACCCGTGGAGCTTTGGATGTTGGGCATGCCGCCGCCCGCGCCGCTAGCAAGCTGCTGGGCCGCCGAAAGCTGGGCCTGCGAGTTCATGTCCTCGATCTATAGATCGAGTTGAGCAAGGGGTCTCAATAATGAATCAGGATGGACTGTACGTACCTTCGCCTCACCGAAGACGATGTAGCAATCGCTGTTGGGCGACTTGTATACGTCAGGGGACGCGATCACGAATAGAACCTGCGGGCGAGACCCAGGCGCGCCATGAGCGATGTCTCCTTCATATATATGCATTCAAGACGGGTGAGGCTCACATTTTTGGGCCTGCGAAGGGTAACGCGAGTGATGCCCGGGACCTTCTTCAAACCGAGGGTGATCAGCGCCTTCCTCGCCTTGCGCTCCGAACGTGACTGGATCTTGTCGAGCGCAGCCTGGGAGGTGGGGTCCTCCTCATGTCCATGGTCGTGATCGTGGTCGTGGTCGTGGTCGTGGTCGTGGTCGGAGTGGTCGGAGTGAATTTCCTCAATGGTGGCCGACATCTGTGCAAAACGCAAGGGAGCGCGAAGTCAGCGCCTGTTGCATCAGTACATCTAGTAGCGTTGGACGCCATCCATCGTGAAAACGCATGTCTGTAGACCTGGACACCTGTCCAATACGTATTGAAAACAGTCCTGAGCAAGAGCTTCACTCACCGTGACGATTTGTGGATTGAGGATGGGACGAGTTGGATGCTCACTGTTCAGAGCAGCGTTGAGAGCGCGATGTTGCTAGACCCTAACCCCATTTTTGAAACCGCAGACTCACCTTGACTCCAATACTCAGATCTACGCGTACATTTTCCATCCGCCCACCGTCCATACCATGCACGTCCCCTGACCGGCCTGACCACCAATCGCCCCTGCGAATTTTTGACTTTTCATCAGCTTGAGGAACAAACCGTCGCAGTAACCCATAGGTGATCTCTGAGTTTAGTTCCCCAAATCACCGGCTCGACGACGATGGCACACGCCGCCAATGGCACGGTTTGCAGCAATTTACGTTGCCGCATTGCTGAAGATTCCGTTCTATCTATTGCGCCTGACATGTGCCTGACCTATTTTACGCTTCAACTCCTGGTTCCCACGAAGCGGCGAGCTGTAAGGCTCACTACATATAGTCACACCCGCGCACCGTCGCCCACAGGCGACTGGAGCCTCGTCACGAGAAGACTCATGTCAAAACCTCGACTCACGCACCGTCAGCCCTTCAAGGGCTTCTACGTGGTCTATCTCGCCGTTTCATACACGCTTGTTAGGCTGCCCTTATGGTGTATCAAGTACTCACCGAAGAAGAATCGTCCACGGTCGTCATGGACCCTCAAACGCTACATCACCGTCGCCACCTACAGAGAGGTCCTGGGTCTCTGGCCCTCAAGCTGAACCTCAGCACAAGCCATCCGTTCCCGACCTCTGACAAGGAACTGAAGAACGCGAAATTCCTGTTCATTGACGGGATAGGCTCCGCATCCGATGCCTTTTGCGGGGAAGTTCAACGAGCTGCCCAAATCACCGGTGTCACCCCCGACTCCGGTGTCCCTTATACTGGCTTTTCAAGCCTGGGACGGACATCCCTCCAACGCTAGCGCAACCAGGCGAGCGGGTGGCACTGCATATCCACGGAGGCGCCTTCTTCGTATGTCCTGACGTCCTGCTCATAGAGGCTCTGTGCTGATTGGTACATCATGTCAGTTGGGCAGCGCACACCCTGATGCACCGACGTCACAGCTGAGCCACGGCATTCTCGATCACAGCAGCACTCTACTCAGGATCATGGTCGTCGACTATCGTCTCGCGACCGCATCCCCGAACCCCCCAGGGAACCATTTCCCAGCAGCCCTCCTCGACTCTATTGCGGCGTACCAATATCTCACCAAGGATGTTGGGTTTCTTCCCCAGAACATCACCCTTGTTGGTGATTCTGCAGGGGGCAACATCGCCTTCGCCTTGGTCCGGCACATCCTTGAGAACCCAGGGGCGGGCCTTCCGCTCCCCGGTCGTCTTCTTTCGTGTTCATCGTTTCTCGACGTTTCTTTATCTCGGCAGGAACCCGGTTCGTCCATCTACCGCAACCACGGGAATGACATCCTCGGCGTCGATGATCGTTACATGCATGACGCCTACCTCGGTCCTCTTGGGATAGAGGAGGCGAAGAGAAACCCGTATATTTCACCAGTATCGCCTCATATCAAGAACCACGAAGGCCTCTTCAAGGGTTTCCCACGCACTTTCATCTCAGCAGGCGAAGCAGAAAGCATCCTGGACGACTCGGTGATTGTCGCGGAGAGACTGAAGGCGGACGGTGTCGATGTGGTGTGTGACATTGTCCTCGACGCCACCCACGACTTTGCCATGTTCCCTTGGCACGAACCGGAACGCACTCCTGCTTTGAAAAGAATGTGCGCGTGGCTAGATGACTGACGTTCAGGTCAACGGGAGGTGCGTCGTTCTCGCAAGCTAAGTGCATTGATGTCCGACTCTAACCCTGGTGCAAGGATATACATGGGATCCAGGAATGTCTTGTCTTTGATACATGCTGGTGGGCTTGCCGAAGTGACTGGGGTTATTTGGTTTGGGTAGCGTTCCAACGAAGTCTGTATTTCCACGTGGCGTCATTATGAGCGCTTCAAAGCAACTGGCGAGGAAGGCTCTGGTCAGCTGTGCCGTCAGACCATGTCTTCCTCCGCGATCGTCGACCTCTGCGCCCAGCTCCGGCTACTGCTTGAAAGGTCTCCGGATGCGATATCTCTCGCCGACCTACTGGAACGAGTGGATAGCTTCATCATCGAATGTGCCAACGCGGCCGAGTCCCGCACTCTCCTCGATCAACTTGAAGACGAGCTTCAGGTGATATACGACGACCTCCTCGGACACTCACTCTTGCCGCATGCAGAAACCTTCCTTTCATTCCTATACCATCTACGCCCAGTTCTACCTTCCAAATCCGTCATTTCTATATGGTTCGATCTGGTCATCCGACCAGCCCTGCGGGAACCCAAGTTGTCTCTCCCAGCGGTCAACCATGCCAAAGAACTCATAATCAACGCACTTGATCCGGAAGCAACTTTTCCGACTCCGCGGATCCTGCGGAAGCTGAGAAGCAAAAGGAACGGATGGGTGAGTTCCGCAGGCGACTTGTGGATCTCTACTTGCTCGATGCCTACAACGAGAGCTCGGGAGACGATGTACTGGAGTGGGCAGAACTGGAACAGGGACAACGAGAGCAGAAGGCGTGTTGGAAGTCAAACTTGGAAGACGTACTCGTTGGGATCGGCTTAGCACGCCCGCAAGTAAGTCCACCCTGAAATCCCATCGCTTCCCCTCGCCCCTCACATTGTGGTACCAGGATTTCCTCACCGCCATCTACCACTGCTTCAGTGCGCCAGACATGCGACTGCAGCTGCTCCTACTCCTGAATGCATACACCTCTCAGTCCGCATTTCAAGACCATGCACCAGAGCTGGCGCGACATCCCCTCATGACCAGCCTGATCTACACCCTCATGTTCGATGACTCCTCGACGGTCTGCACTAGTGCCCTGACCATCATGATCAAACTTCTCCCTATCATGGCGGTCAAGGCCTGCGAGGACCTCAAGCGACTGCTCCCACAACTACTCCTTGTCTTAGCCCGCGTCCTATGCTGGAAAGAGCGCCAACCTTCCTCGTCGCGCCCCCAGCTGCCCCCGAAAACACGGATGATGAAGATAGTGATGCAGTAGCAGTAGCAGATGATTCTGAAGCCTACTCTTCATCACCCCTTCAAATCCGCGAGGACATCGAATGGGCGCGATTGAAGCTGACGTTCGACGCGACCGAGTCCAAGGCACCCCTCCCTGACCGCTACTTCACGTTCCTGTACTATCTATTCCCTTGCAATACGATTCGATTCCTACGATATCCGGTGCGATATTTGGACGAGAACTCGGCGGAAAGCATGTTCACAGTCGGATGGGAAGACGCACTTGATGAGCAAAAAGTCCGGAGCATAAGTGAGGTGAGTTTTCCAGTGATGACTGCATCTAATAGAACGTGCCTCATAACTTGAAACTACAGCGATTGCTCCGAATGCACATCCTTCATCCCCTGCTCATCAAGCGCGAAGCTCACGAGGAACTCGAGCAGCCGGACTTCTGGGCCCAGTACGACATCCCACGTATTGTCAGCGGGGCAACGATGCTCGATGCTCGCAACACATACCTCGCGATGCAGCAAACACACCACGCCTCCCCCTCCGATGCTGACGCCGCTGCGCAGACGTCTCGCGGACGACCTTCCCACCGGCAGGGGTCCTCATTCCGCCTGAGGACCCATCCCCTCCACAGGAACCGAACAACGCGGGTTTCACGGACCTCGCGGACAATGCGCTCACCTCGTCTTCGTTCGAGACGACCGACACAGTTCACTCCGCCGGCATGCCGTCCCACCCCGCGCCTGGAGGTCCGCTCAGAGTCTCGCTTTCGGACATGGTCGCCACCTCCGTTGCGCTGCGCTCTGGACTCGACGTCGAGATCGTCGACGTACCAAGCTCTTGGGCGGCCACACTCTTCCCTCAACCCGGTACCCGGTCACCCTCGCGTTCCACTCGCCCGGATAGGGAGGGCTCCCAAGCTGACGACGAGTCCGCATCGGACGCGCTTGGGCTCCAAGACCGCGAGCAGTATGGGGACGGTACTTTGCCGCCTCATGTCGCACAGGCCCTCTCGGCGCTGCAGCGGGAAGTGCTGCTCCTGAAGAACGACCTAAATTTGGAGCTGTGGACCGCGCGGGAGAACGTAAAACACATCGGGCGGTTGTACAAGGAACGGGTACTCTCACGGAACGAGGAAGACGAGCGCCAAAGCTTGGTGAGTGCTGCGGCAACATGTAGGGGAGCGTCAACGTTAATGTGCATGACAGCACGGCAAACTGAAGGAGTATCGGCATACGATCACGCGGCTGAGGCGGGAGCTCAAGGAAGAAAAGGACAAGCTGCTGCTCAACGGGCGCGGTATACCGACTGGAACAAGGAGTTACAAGACCGGTTGACGACCCTGCGGAACGAAAAGAAGACGTGGACGAGCGAAGCTGCGGCAATGCGTGCTGCGGAGAAGGAAGCTAAGGTGCGGTTTGCCTTTCGGGCGGTGATGGTAGGCGGCTGATGATTTATTCAGGACACGTTTGCGGCGCAAGGCAAGCTTCTGGCAGACGCAACCCAGCTTGCATTCAGGCTACAAACTGAGCAAAAGGAGACAAGCCCAAGGTCGACAGGTTGCACGATTACGAGACGCAGATCGATCAGCTTATGCGGCTGCAGCGTCTGTGGTGCGTCCGTTGATGGCCTTGTTCAAGGTCCAGGCGAACGTATCTGACCCACAGCTCGCTTCCGATTGTGAGCAGGGAGTCTGACGTACAGAAGCTCAACAATACCAAGGATCATCTCGAAGCCTTTGCGAGTCGCTACCGGAAAATGGAACTCAGGCTCGAGGCACACGAGCGAGTCGAGAGGGATATGCAACAACATGTAGCGTAAGTTTCGCGGGCGGCCGCAAGAAGCTTCTCAAGCTAATAAGATATGTACGCCTCTCAGGAACCAAACCCAAGAGATCATGGTGCTCAAGCACGATATTGAGAGCCACAAGAAGCAGCTCGAAAGATCTCGACGGGGCTCGGTGATGCAGCGACAGATGCAGCCCTCGGCGGAGTGGCGGCGGACGCTGGAGATGAACGAAAAGCTGAGGAACGAAAATGAAGAGCTGCACGAAGAGATACAGGAGGTGAAGGCCATGGTGGAGGTGCTGAAGCAGCAGGTCGCCGGGCGGACGGGGCTTGTACAGGTGGGATCACCGTCGTCGTCGCCGCACGACCGGTCGGGGCCAAGTTTTGTGTAGGACTAGTGGTGCAAATGACAGGTGTTCGACTTGTCCCTCCCGTCTAAAGAATGATCTCTTCCCGTGCCCGCGTTCTGTCTCTGCCCCTTCGTGTGCGCGGCCCGGCGCACTCTATGCACCATCTGGCTGATGTTTCGCGCGACCGACTCTGGGTCACTGAGGCAGCATGCATACTGCAAGTGCTTTGCCCATCCGTGAGGGACCCCGCGCATTTCAGCCGTGTTTGAGGTATAGTATTTCGGCCCCCAGTTTCGAGTGTATATGGCAGGGGGTCGATTCAATACTGGATTGATATCGCACCGACCTACCTAGTAAATGGTCTGAATGCCTCCCAAACAGGTAGGCATCATCGAAAACCCCCGAAGGTGGTGGAACATTCGCGGTGCGCAGGACGAAGGACACGGGCGCCTGCCCGAACGGGTTCGAAGGTTCTCGAATGGCCAGAGCAGGCATCTACTTAAACCCCGCCTCCATCCGAGCCCCCAGCTCTGTATCTCTACTTTTCTCATCTCTGTTGCTCTCCGCCTCCCCTCCCCCCTTCACGATCCACACGACAAAATGGCTTCCGAAAGCTTTGGCTTCCAGGCCGAGATCTCCCAGCTCCTCGACCTAATCATCAGTGAGTCTTCTCATCCCTCCTGCCACCCTCTATCTCGACGCTCAACACGCGTCTCCCAGATACCTTCTACTCCAACAAGGAGATCTTCCTTCGTGAAATCATCTCGAACGCGTCCGACGCGCTCGACAAGATCCGTTATGCCTCCCTCACCGATCCCTCGGTCTCGAGACTGGCAAGGACCTTGTCATCAAGATCGTTCCCGACAAGGAGAACAAAATTCTCTCCATCATCGATACCGGTATCGGCATGACCAAGGCCGACCTCGTCAACAACCTTGGTACGATCGCGAAGTCGGGCACGAAGGTGAGCTCGATTTCGTTTGATGGCGCGCTTGTCCGGACCGCTTACGCGTTTTCCCCAGGGCTTCATGGAGGCGCTCCAGTCCGGGGCCGACATCTCCATGATTGGCCAGTTCGGTGTCGGTTTCTACTCGGCATACCTCGTCGCCGAGCGGGTGCAGGTCATTTCGAAGCACAACGACGATGAACAGTACATCTGGGAGTCCGCTGCGGTGGCACCTTCACTATCACTCCCGATGTCGACGGCACTCCCCTCGGCCGCGGTAGCGAGATTCGCCTCTTCCTCAAGGAGGACCAGCTCGACTACCTCGAGGAGAAGCGCATCAAGGAGATCGTCAAGAAGCACTCTGAGTTCATCTCGTACCCCATCCTTCTCGCCGTGACCAAGGAGGTCGAGAAGGTACGTGCAATTTGAGCTCATCGTATCCGGGTCCTGATGTTAATCGCTCTTGTAGGAGGTGGAGGACGAGGAGGAGGTCAAGGAAGATGGCGAGGAGTCGAAGATCGAGGAAGTTGACGACGAGGAGAAGCCCAAGAAGACGAAGAAGATCAAGGAGAAGGAGCTCACGCAGGAAGAGCTCAACAAGACGAAGCCTATCTGGACGCGCAACCCCTCCGACATCACCGCTGAGAGTACTCTGCCTTCTACAAGAGCTTGACGAACGACTGGGAGGACCACCTCGCTGTCAAGCACTTCTCTGTCGAGGGTCAGCTCGAATTCAAGGCGATCCTCTTCGTTCCCAAGCGGTGAGTTCTGTGCAGCTCTCACACATGATTGCGTTTCTAATCGTGTGCTCAGCGCGCCTTTCGATCTCTTCGAGTCCAAGAAGAAGCGCAACAACATCAAGCTTTACGTTCGCCGCGTCTTCATCATGGATGACTGCGAGGACCTTATCCCCGAGTACCTCAACTTCATCAAGGGTATCGTCGACTCTGAGGATCTGCCCCTCAACATCTCGCGTGAGACTCTCCAGCAGAACAAGATTCTCAAGGTCATCCGCAAGAATCTCGTCAAGAAGTGCATGGACGTATTCTCTGAGATCGCCGAGGACAAGGACAACTTCAACAAGTTTTACGAGGCGTTCGGCAAGAACATCAAGCTCGGTATCCACGAGGACGCCCAGAACCGCAGCAAGCTTGCCGAGTTCCTTCGCTTCTTCTCGACGAAGTCGACCGAGGAGATGACTTCGCTGAAGGGTGAGTGCACTGACGTCTGTATCTCTGGTAACATAATCCGAACGGCGATTGCAGACTACATCACGCGCATGCCTGAGGTCCAGACGAACATCTACTACCTCACTGGCGAGTCGCTTTCTGCCGTCAAGGACTCGCCGTTCCTTGAAGTCCTCAAGAAGAAGGGCTTCGAAACCCTCCTCCTCGTCGACCCCATCGACGAGTACGCGATCACTCAGCTCAAGGAGTTCGAGGGACACAAGCTCATCTGCGTGTCGAAGGAGGGTCTGGAGCTCGAGGAGACCGAGGAGGAGAAGAAGGCGCGCGAAGAGGAGGCTGCTCAGTTTGAGGACCTCTGCAAGGCGGTCAAGGACGCGCTCGGCGACAAGGTCGAGAAGGTGGTCGTCTCGAACCGTATCGCCGACTCTCCTTGTGTACTTGTCACTGGCCAGTTCGGCTGGTCTTCGAACATGGTGCGTCCTGGCTTTACGCGATTTCATCTCGCGCCTTGCTGACTGCGCCCACAGGAGCGTATCATGAAGGCGCAGGCTCTTCGTGACTCGTCCATGTCGTCCTACATGGCGTCGAAGAAGACGCTCGAGCTCAACCCTACCAACCCTATCGTGAAGGAGCTCAAGCGCAAGGTTACTGAGGACAAGGCGGACAAGTCCGTCCGTGACCTCACCTACCTGCTCTTCGAGACTGCCCTCCTCACCTCTGGCTTCTCGCTCGACGACCCCACGTCGTTCGCGAAGCGCATCCACCGTATGATCGCTCTCGGTCTCGACGTTGACGAGGACGACTCTACGCCGGCGCCAGCAGCGACGACGGAGACGCCCGCGGTCGAGGTCGCGTCGACGTCGGCGATGGAGGAGATTGACTAAAATGTTCGCGCTCGCAAGTCGGCGTCCTTGGTGGTACGATAGATCTCCGCAGAAGAGGCTCATCTCCATATTTGTATCATAGACTCTGTCGGGCATTGCTGTCTTATTGCATCACTCACTCACCATTACCGTAGCATCGTAATGAATCGCATTTCCTTTCATCTCAACACTATGGCGTGATGTCTCCGATTGTCGTTTGCACCATATCACATAAGCACTGTACAGTGTTATATCAGAGGATCAATCAAAAGCCATGTTTACTTCTTCTTCATGACAACCAGGAAGGTCTGGTAGGGGTACTCGAACACGCCCTTATCCTCCTCCATCCACGTCATCCCATCCTTTCGCTGGATGATGCCGTCGATGTCCTCGACGACTTTCACGCGCTCCTCTGGGGTGAGAACAGCGATGTAGCTCTTGCTGCACGCGCGGTCGACAACGATGTCGCGCGTGCCGGGAAGAACATAGTCCCATACGTTCTCCTCTTGAGGTTCAAACAGCGTGCCATAAGTCGGGGTCGTGAAGGTTGCACGCCAGAGTCCCAGGCGGAACTGCGGGGTGTCTTTCTCGTGGCGCTCGATCCGGTCGCGGAGCTGCCCACCCACGTCGCACGGTTCCTGTGGAGAAATCAAGACGAGTTGTAAGGATAGGGGGATGCAGGATGCCAGCTGCACGGACGCGACAGGAGGACGCACCTGTCTTCGAGGTTCCAGATCAACGCAACAACGCCGCCGGGCTTGAGGACGCGGGCGAACTCGATCATGCCTTCACATAGTCTGGGCACCAGTGGAACGCCTGCGCACGTTGCCGTGGACTCCGTCAGTACTTCTGTTTCTATTCTCCTGCGCCTGGCCTGCCGGGCTCCCCGCGGCGGGCCACACGACCCCTCTCGGGGGAGGAAGGGGAGACGAGAGCGACTCGACGCACCTGGGCGATGATGATCGCGTCCGCCCAGCCGTCCTCGACGCTAGTCGTGTCGAAGGCGCCCTCGACGATGGACGCGCGCGGGTCGGCGACGGTCTTGGTGAAGACGTCGCGCATGCCCGCGCTGGGCTCGACGGCGCGCAGGGCGCCGACGTCCGCCGCGAACGCGGGGTGCGCGAGCAGCGCGCGCGTGAAGATGCCCGTCCCGGAGCCGATCCTGCCAGTCGCAGGGCGATCATCACAAATGAATGAATTCAGGCGTTCTCAGGTCCTGGGGGCGAGGCGGTGGCGCACTCACTCGACGATGTTGAGAGGCGCCGACGCGCTGATGGCTGGCGGATGTGCGCGATCGCGTTGGTCTGGTATGAAGGTCGAGCGCTGATGGAGATGGGGCGGTTAGAGCCGCGCTTGGAGGATGAGGATCGGTGTGGGGGCAGTGCGAGGCGTACCGATCGTAGAGATCGTTCCCAATGCCAAACCCGGCTTTGGCGACGTTGTGGACAGTGGACATGCTGCGACGAGGTGAAGAGTGCTGCCGCGGTGAGGCTGAGTCGCACGACAGGTCGTGGGTAGAGAGTGTTTATGGGCGGGCCGGATGTTGGGGAGAGGATGGAGCGAGAACAAGATGGTTATAAGCCGACAAATCCGGCAGCGCAACCGACGGCAGGCATGACTCGTGTGGACCGCAGACTGGCGTGCTATTGGCGTGAAAAAGTTGGAGTGGTCCCACGAGCGGTTGTGGGCCAGCTGAGCTAGCTTTCGGCCGAATCATTCCCGATGAACCCACCCACCAAACAAGATTCTAAACATAGATCAGCGTAGGAGAAGACCCATTCCACCTATGGGATCCAAACGAGAGAACAGGGCAGATCAGCAGAATTTAGATGGCTGTCTGGAGACACAATAAAAACGACACCAGCAGGATTTGAACCTGCGCTCCCAGAGGGAAACAGATGATCAAACTGGAATTCGAATCTGTCGCCTTAACCACTCGGCCATAGTGTCCTTTGTTTATGTGGTACAGCTGTCATCTAATTTTGAGCGTGCCATACAGCGACTCGGGAGTTGTCACGACGCGTTCGGCCTCATAGCTTCGAATCCTCCTCAGTCTCTCATCGCTGTCTGTTTCCTCTGCAGTCGTTGCCGTGCGCGCATGCTGTGCGCCTTGTGTCTCTCACTATAGAATGCCGGCCAATTGCCAGCCAGCTTTCTCGATGATGCGATTCGCATATCTCATCCAGTGCGATGCGTACACACTGTTTCGCCTCCAACACATTGGCTTATGCGTGGTCGTTTAATCAGGCTGAGGTGACATATTGGCCCATTTCCAGGCGCGATTCAACACTGACAGTCCCTGTCTGCAGCCCAGAATCACGCTGATCACACCGTGATGGTTGACGTCCAACAATGACTGCGAGTTGATCCATGTTCAGATAGCTGCCCTGTCCGTTTGCCCTGTTGGTCTCCGGCCTTTTGGGAATTCGGTTTCGGCGCCCCCGCTCCCAGCACATCGAGGAGATCAACTCGCGATCTGTGCGTCGGCGTGAGCCTCCCACTCCCCCAGGGGACTGCGGCCGAGTTCGTGCGGGTGTGATGCCGCGGCAGACGGAGCCACCTCTGATGCCGTGATTCATGTTTTTTCAGGCCCCGTCGAGGATCTGGACGAATAACGACAACGGGCACCAGCGCACTCAGTACCGTTCCCCCGGTTTCCCGTCTCACGCCCCCCTCCACTTCCGTCCGGCGTACAAAAGGGCAACGGCTAAGCTGATCACCTCCTGTGGACCTAGATGGTGCCCCCTCCGACATCGACGTCTGCGTCATGAACACGACCACTGACGCCGGCTCCCTGGAGGAGTCTCAAGATTTCCTTATCGACTATTACACCAACACGTACGTACCTTCTACCGCTGCGCGAGTCCAATCGCTCACGCACTTCCACCCAGGCGGATCTTCAACAACGTTGACTTGTCCGTCTTTGGTGAGTATCTGCCTCTTGATTTCCTGTTCAAATGGTGCTCATTGGTGGCCGAACCGTCCACACAGTACTTATTCTTTTCGAGTACCTCGTCACGTTTGATCGAGAAGTCCGCTTCGCCTGGGGCAAGAAAATCTCATGGGCCAGGACCATCTTTTTACTCAATCGCTACCTAAGTATCTTTGAATATCTATTTCTGCTGGGTCCGTTGCTGCCCTTGTCCACCGTTTCGGTGAGTGGGGACTATCTTCAAGTACATATTGTCGATGTATCATGCTGACATGCACACAGAGGTCAGTATAAACATTTCCCGAGAAAAAATCGAGCACTAATAACTTTTACCCAGCTGCAATGTCGTTACACGAACTTCAGAGGTGCTTCAGATCATCCTTTACGCCGTCTGGGCAGGTGCGTTTGTAGGTCAATACACACGCGTGGTTTAAGTACTGAACACATTTGATCAGCCTTCGCGGGCATTCGGATACATGCGATCAGCGCTCGCACTTGGTGGATCACCATACTCGTCACAGGGCTGGCTCTGGTACCCACCGGGACGAACATTGTGAGTGTTATAGGGCGGTCTCGGGAAGTTAAGGCTGACGGTCTGCAGTACGCTGCATATATGACAGTGAGCACCGTCTTTCCGGAGACGGGCTGCATGGCGGGTATAGACATAGACCAGACAACATGGATGCAGTGAGTATCCGCGTCTCCTCTTCGCAGTGGGGTCTAATATCGAAATCTAGGCGTACGTTCTTTGCAATAGCTCGGTATTGAATATCTGCTAAGACGATCCACGTAGTGGGGGTGTTCACACGATCCTGTATGATTCTTTCCGACTCGATCGTGATTTTTGTCACCTGGATGAGAACTTGGAGCACCATGAAAGCAGCGAAGGTGTTGCGCATTCGCATTTCCTTCACTTCACTGGTACTCAGGGAAGGGATGGTGTATTTCGTGTAGGTTTCTGTCTTTCTTCATTTGCACAATGCTGACGTTGGACGCGCCACATCAGCGCCATGCTGTCACTCAACGTAGTCCAAATTGTCGTGGATTTCGTCGAGGCCGGCTCGTATGGGCTTGTTATTCCATTCCTCAACGTGTACGTGTCCTGTTTATTGTCGTCGGATGAGTCTAATATCGCGGCCTCGGAAGCATCACCCCCATCATGATCTCGCGTTTCTTCTTGGAGTTGGATGACCTCACCAGAAAGGATCGCCACGGTACACTCTCCACCATCAGCGACTTCAACAAGTTTGATCAAGACTTCACGCTGAAGTTTGTGAACTCCAATGTGAGCTCGGTGAGTGTGGAGTTCCTTCGTTAAATTGGTTTGTAGACCGAATGGTTCTGTAGAATTCGGACGACTACAAGGATATAGGAGGTGCCCTTGACGACTTCCGCAGCCATTCAGATGTAAACATCCGTTCTGACTCGGCCCAGAAGACATTCAGTCCTGCCGCGACGTGGTAACCCAGATCATGCTAGACGCGCAGCCTCTGTACAGTATACCACAATGGTCGGTCCTATTCTTATACCCTGTAATTATAGTCGATGCTGGACCCCATCTCCCGGAGTGCCAAAGGGCGCGCGGTCGCGTTGATGATTGCTTGAAGAGCGATGGTAATGCTGTGCAGGCTGTGGTGAGTACGGGCGCATACCGGCTGTTAGGCTGTCGGATCTGACGGTGACGTAGGGCCTGAGCGGTATCACGGTGATACTGAACCTCTGCACGAGTTTCTGAACTGGTCCGACCGTCAGGCTTCGAAGTGCCTCCTCCCACCGTAACCATGGGTGTCGTTCGCCCGTTCGCGCGCCAATTGACGAAGGCACAAGAAGTCTTCGCGGGTGATGGACAGATGACTCGGAGCGGCAGGACCGGTCGCTTCGCCACTCTTTTTCTTCGCTCACCTCTCCCAAACCCCAGTCTCGTGGAATGAGCGTGGAGGGCGCGTATCCACCATGTCTGTCACCGGGCGTGCGCACGTGAGCCCGACGCCACGCGAAGGACGGGAACACTTTCAGAGGAACCAGTTCAGTTGTTCAGATAACCTTTCCCACCTTACGGGTTCTCATCTCCATCCGCCAACGTCAACACCTATCCCACACTCCACAGCGCAGTGATGTCGCAGGCGGGGGCGGGCGATGCAGGCTTATAAGGCACTGCTGCGCCCGCCGCGGCCCTATCCCCCACCCCACGCGCTGACCTAGATGGCCTAGCCCTCTCCGCTATGTCTTCATCTTCCGATGACGACCTGTTCTTAGCGGAGTATTTGAGTGAATTGGCTAAGACGTGAGTGCGCCTTTGCTTGGCTGGTGTTACGCGACTTCCAAATGCTCACGGCACGCGCTCGATGATAGGCGAACGATGCAGCTCGTTTATGCATCTGCGTTCAGTGCGTATCCGTATCTCATGCCTTCCTCGGAGCATTTCCAGGCTCACCGAGTTTCTACCGCAGCGATTATGCTCTTCGAGTACCTCATTACCTTCGATCGGGAGCTGCGCTACGCCTGGTTCTCCCGACTCACGTGGGCGAAGACTATGTTTTTCCTCAACCGTTACATCAGCTTGCTGGCGTACGGTGCATCTCTCTACACGCTCTCTTCACCGTCATTCCTTGTAAGCATCCTCGTTCCCATGCTGGCTTGTACGCTGTTTTAACTTCGTTCGACAGAGGTTCGCATATGCTGGTATACCACGGAACCAACGTTGACGGCAGTCACAGTTGTGTGTTTCTACCCTGGTTGGTTCAGGCATGTCAAGTTGCGCTTTATGTTGTTTGGGCAGGTGTGTACCACAATTGAGATGCTACGACTTTTATTGACCCCAAGGCAGTGTTCTCCGGGCTGCGCCTATTCGCCATTGGTCAAGGACGCAAGTGGGTCACCTATGGTGTTGCTGTTCTTTCCCTTGTGCCCGCTGGAACAAATATTGTGAGATTCCCGTTGATAGTCTTTTAACTTCAGCATGCTCTGACATCTAGCCAGGCACTCGCTGCATGTTCGAAGTATTTCATCGTGGTTGATCCAGACAGCGGCAACACAGGATGCGACTACCTCTATGCCTTCTCTTCGGACAAAACATTTTCGGGGTGAGCCCACTGCCCAGTATTTTCGGGACTGATCTGCTGAACACATCATTCTAGTCGTGAGTATCGAAGCTATATGCGGAGACAGCGGTCTAACGCCTGGACGAAGTGGCTTTGGCCACACGGATCCCACTTTTACTCAGCGAGACGATCGTCATCTTCGTGACGATCAAGAACACTTGGACGTCATCGCGCAAGGCGTGCGAAGAGATAAGCATCACTTCCCTGGTTCTACGAGATGGTGTTCTTTACTTCATGCACGCCCTTTACGCTCCATTCCTTTATGCTGCTTTACTGACCGAGCCCGTTTCAACAGAGCCATGTTGCTCGTGAACAGCCTCCAGATATACACTGATCTCAGCTTCAACGAGACCGCGTCCATCGCGTGCATCTACCTGAACGTGTGAGTGACACGCTCACCTGGAACCCGCAGCTGCTCCTGAACGATCAACTACGTTAACTAGCGCCGTGCCAATCCTCATCTCGCGGTTCTACCTCGACTTGGGTGACTTTGCTCGTGATAATCAAGAGAAAGCGGCCAAAGAAAGATTTGAGGAAGAAGAACCGCAGGTGTCCTGGAGATGGAAGGTGAATTTTCTCTCTGCGCCCGAGTGCATTGATTCCTTAGAACTCAAACTAAGCTCTGCCTCAGCCTCTACCGCCGATCCCGGGAGAAGTTTAGTGCGACAAAGGCATGTTCAGGCGTGCACCCAACGGTCTGCTTGCCGTAGAGCCTCGGCCGCCCTGGTCCATAGAGCGGCTGCTTCGTTCACCGCAATGTATTACTATCCGCCGGACCGTGTATGTGTGCCATAGTACTTAGAGCCGGTCTGGCATAGACCTGGAAGCTGTACGATAGTCTAGGCCGATCCATGTAGCATTCGTGTACAGCTCAACTCTGAATTCGCGGCTCTAGACCCAAGAGCCTCTGTGGACCGAAGCCGTGACTCAGTGCGACTGAAGCTATTCTAAGACCGTCCGGCTTCGTCCTCGGCGCGAGTTGGTCCGCTCGGGCTCAACGACAATACAACGACGTGTTGGGATTCCATGCATGCTCTAGCTTCGAGGATGCGTCAGAGTCAGACACGGCGAGCGTGGTGGATCCTACCGTGCCAAGCGGTCGTTGGGTGATGGGCAAAGAGCGTACGTCTTCAGAACGGTAGGGGCATAGGTTCGATCTATAACATAGGCGAGACGGGCATAGCTTGCAGACCAAGTGGCCGAAGAAGACAGTCGGTTCTCAGTGGAAATGGACACGGATAGGACCCGCGCTTTTACATGGACGACGTACGTGCACCAGAACCGAGTCCACAGTACTTAGAATAGAGGGAGAGGGAGGGAGAGGGAGAGCGCTAGGACTAGAACAAAACACACGAGCAGGAGCGGCAACAGCAGCACTACAGTACAGTATACACCAAATATTACGAGTGAGCTCGGAGTCGCGAAAGCAACGAAAACATCGACATTGTTGTGCACGACCGCGCGCCCCCGGCCGTGTCCGTCGACCGCCGACGCGCGGTACACCAGCGCAGACTCTCGAACGTTTGAGGATGGTCGGTCGTGCGACCGTCTCAGCGGGCGGCGGAGTCCGCGTTCACTTGGTCCTGGAGCTCCTTGACGGCGGTCTGGACCATGCTGAGGATGCCCGAGATGACTTGGAGCTTTTCCTGGTAGTACTGCTGGCGGCCCTGGCCGTGGGTCTGCGCGGTGGGGGCGCGAGGGGCGCGGGAGGCGGAGGCGGCGAGGGCGGCGAGAGAGCTGCCTGCGAGGGCGCTTGCGGAGGCGATGCCGTTGCCGTTCTGGATCGGGGGCTTCTTGGGCGCCGACGGCCGTTGGGCGGCAGCGGAGGCCGACGCGGACGTGCCCGCAGCGGAGCCCGTGGCGGCAGCGGGGCGAGACGGGCGGGCGGGGCGCTTTGGGGGCTCGATGCGTTTCGTGTCGTCCTCCGCGGCCGCGCGCTTGCGCTTGGGCCCGCGCGCGCTCGCGCTCTCGCCGTTGACGGCACCATCTGCTCCCACGCGACGGCTTAGCCCTGCGCTGGGTTGAGGACGAGGAGAGACGCACCGGTGGCCTTGCCCTTCGCGGACGACGACTTGGTCTCGCGCGTCGGGCGCGTGGGGGGCGTGAGAACCTTGGAACAACGGTGCCTCTTGATGAAGCACGAGTCGCAACGCTGGCGACTGCTATTGACCGTGCAAACCGAATTGTTGCGCGCGATGCAGTTCGTGCATCGCTCGTCGCCCGTGAACGAATGCTGTGTGCGCCACACATCGTCGGCAGCCGCCCAACGCAAGCGAGAAGAGAGAGAAAGGCGTACGACAGAGTGGGACGTCGCGGAGGCAGCCCTCTTGCGCTCCGCGGCGTGACCTTGGGGCGGCGCGCTCACAGTGCCACGGGGTTCGGGGCTAGAGACTGCTCGTGCAGAGCGCCTTAAGTCGCGCGTCGTCGCTACGGAGGTCGCGTTGAACGCACCTGTGGTATTCCCCCCAGTGTCTACGGTGGAGAGAGGAGACAAGGGAGGTAAGGCTACATGAACACCACGTTGAAGTTGACGTTGCGCACCACCAGGACTAGCGGAGGGGCCCAGGCTCGGGCTCTTGGGGTGCTCGGAGCCAATCGCGTCCTCGTCAGAATCCCTATCGCCGTCTTGGGAGAGCTCGCCGCTGCCGTCCTTGTCGTCGAGGTCGCTGTGGAGCAAGTCGTCGAGACCGAGTTCCGCGCGGAAGACTTCAAGATATTTGGTGAGAGAGTCGGCCGTGTTGGGAGCCTTGCGATAGGCGTCTATTTGCTTGAGGGGCGGAGGGAGGGCAGTCATGTTCAGGACGGGGTAACGTGCGAGCGCGCGTTCCTGGAGCGAGCGCGAGGCATCAGGAGAGGGTGCGCGAGGTGCGCGAGGGGGGTACTGACCGCGAGCTGAATGACGTGCTGCTCTGTCCTGAGGCGGTTCTCGGGGGCAGCGTGCAGCAGCTCGACGACCTCCTGACGCATGTGGAGGAGGTAGACCTCCAGCGTGGGCGGGGAGTCGACGCCGCGCCCCTGCTGGATGAGCGGCGGCGGGCGGGCCATGGGCGCGAGGGGCGCGGGGGGTAGGACGGGGATGGGGTTCATGGATGCGGGGTGCGCGGGGTGCGAGGGCAGGATGGTGGGAGAGGGAGAGACGCGTCCGGCGCTCGTCACCGGGCGCACGCCGCCGTGACCGATGTGACCCGCCTTGCCCTTCCCCGCGCTCCCCCCGGCCGGCTCCGTCACGCGTCACCGCGACCGCCGTGCGCGAAGGCGCCGGCCGCGGACGGGACTGGCATCACCTCCCAGAAGGCCCGTTCGTCGTCCCCCTCGTCCGACCCGTGGGCGCGCATATACCCCACCCCGCTCATCGTCCGCGCCCTGCACACGCCCCCGCCATGTCCACCCGCGAGCTCGCGCTCGGAACTGGGCCAGGCGCCTCCAAGTTCATCCTCGACGACGCCACCCTGCGCATCGAGCGACCCGCGGACAGTGAGTCTCGTCGCGCGCACCCCCCGCCCTTTTTCAGTGGACTCTAACGCGCCGCGTCGTCAGAGCAGTGGCCAAATATCGAGACCCCACTGCGCAATGTACTTTGGGCGGGTATTGACAATGACGTCTTGACCGTATCCCTGCTCGCCCGGAAGAAGGCCCGCTCGCCGCTCAGTCTCATTCACGTTACTGGGCCTGTCGCAGATACAGATAAAGAGGCTGCCAGTTCTTTTTCTGGCACAGTCATGGCCGTTGCATATATCGGTGCGTTGTTATACACTATGCAGAATTTCATTGATCCTCACCGTACTCAAGGTGTTGCCCCCGAGAGGCGCCTCAAGGTATTTGTCAACCCTCACAGCGGACCTGTACGTCTTCTGTTCACATGCATCATGCAGTGAGTTTTAAACCGCCGCACGCCAGGGCAAAGCAGCCAAGAACTACCGCAAGAAGATTGAACCCATATTCAAAGCCGCGAGATGCAAAGTTGACCTTTCGTGTGAGTGCTGCAGCGCTCCCACCTGCGCGCAGCAGATCTGACCGCTGTGCAGTCACAGAGCGCAGATACCATGCTCGGGATCTCGTGAAAGAACTTCCTTTGGACGACTTCGATGCCGTCGTCGTTATGTCGGGAGACGGACTTATCCACGAAGTCCTCAACGGTTACGCAGCTCATGCAGAACCAGGCCGAGCGTTCCGCATCCCTTTGTCACCCATTCCAACAGGATCTGGGAACGGTCTTGCGCTCAACCTCATGGGAATGGAGGCGAGTTCCACGCTTTGCAAACGGTGTGTTGAATATGCTCAGGTCTGCAACACAGGGCGTGACAGACATCTCCGTTGCTGCGCTGAATGCCATCAAGGGTTCGTAAATCAACCTCTACACGTGCACAATATGCAGACGCACATTTTCTCTCTTAGGAAAGCCGATGGACGTGGACATGTTCTCCATGAAGCAAGGCGAAAGCCGGTACATCTCGTTCATGTCTCAGGCGGTGGGTCTCATGGCAGACATCGACTTGGGCACAGAGCCCCTTCGGTGGATGGGTGGACAGTGAGTGAAAGTATCAGATGCTGCTGGATAATGCATTGAGCCTCTCGCTTCAGGCGGTTTGTGCTGGGATTTATTTACAATGGCGAGTATGTCAACCATACTCCGACCCACCTGTTCGCTCACACGCCCACCTATGTTCAGTGTTGAAGCACAAAGCATGTCCAGTGAAACTGTCCATCAAAGCCGTCCACAAGGACAAGCAGAAGATGCTGGGCGACATGCACTCCGCGAAGGCAAAGAGCGAGGCTGCGCACAAGACCGCACAGCCATGCTCTCCTCAGGACACTACGGAGACCGGCCTCCCTGATATCGTGCACATTGGGCCAGACGCAGACAAGGACGGCTGGATAACGTTTGACCAGCCGGTCCTGTACGTATACGCCGGGAAAGGCCCGTACGTCTCTGCCGACTTTGTACAGTTCCCCGTCTCGCTCCCGAACGACGGCCTCATCGACGTGGTTGTACAAGAGCGGGTACGTGTACTTGTTTGATAAGCAGTAACACATCTTGACACCCTCGTACGCCGCACAGACAACCCGTGGAGCGATGTTGAAGGGTATCGATGGCGCCGAGAAGGGGCATCCGTTCTGGTTGGACACGGTGAGTGTCGTTAGCTTTCGGTTTGCCAGGGTGTCTTATTGCTTTTCTGCTAGCAACATTACTACAAGGCCAAGGCGTATCGGATCGAGCCGGCCTCCAACAAGGGTCACCTGTCCATCGACGGCGAGGCGTACCCCTTGGAGCCTTACGAAGTTGAAGTACACCAAGGACTTGGATGTTTCCTCAGTATGTACGGCTCATATCAAATTAACTTCGAAGCTCCCGCCAAGAAGTAGCTTTTTCATACGGTGTTTTCTGTTGTTTCGTTACTCTGTTGTAACCTTTGCTCTCTTTTTGTATACCCCTGTTACCTGGACGTGTGTTACACTTTCCGGAATGGACTCGCGGGTATGAAAGTCCATGGCATGCATACTCGCCAACTCTCGTGAATGACAGTGAAAAAAGAGAGATGCTGCCATTGATAGCAATTACTTGAGTTGATGTCTAGTCTATGCAACATTTGACGACGGTAGAGAGCGTGTGCAGCGAATATGCGATCGCGCGCAAGTACATAGGAAAGTCCGACGAATCTAACTCCGAGTCCGTGCGTATGTCTAATCCCTTCTGTAAGCTAAGTAAACGAAAGTGTCCGTGTGTGTGTGCACCGCGGTGCGGCGGCGTCATCGTCCTGCGAGTCGTGCGGCGCGAGGCGTGGGTTCGTGATATCGATCATGGCCGCGCGAGCTGCTCCTTGCGGTAGAACCAGAAGTAGCCGATGACGATGATGATTTGGCAGGCGAGCGCGATCCAGAACGGCGCGGATGCCAACGGGCTTCCCGTCAGGCCGTCCTCGAAGTCCCACTGTGCCGCGTCAGGGAAGACGCTCTCGGGCCCTATCCTGTTCGGCGCGGTCGCGCGCGCGACCATAACGCAGATGGAGCCGATGACCTGTGAGAACGCGAGCGTTGCGCACACGTGCAGGCGGGAGAGCGTCTGGAGTAGGATGAGACCCAAGCCGACACCCTGGATGGCGTCGAGCACACCGAGCCACAACCAGAGGCAGACGCCGAGGTAGGGCCCGGCATGGCCCGCCCAGGGGATGTATAGGGCGAGCGAGGACGTGCCCCAGAGCATCTGGCACCATCTAGGCGCGCCGAGGCCGACGGCGAAAACGGGCAAAAGCCAGGTGTGCGTCTTGGAGAGCCAGGTGAGGATGCCCATCATGAGACCCCAAACGACGATGAAGAACGCGACGACGAGGCACGCGATCTGCCACTTCGGGATGTCGACGTTCCAGAGGAAACTCCAATTCCGTCCGTAAGGCTGCGACATGATCAGCATTCGATCGTGATCGGACAGCAGTTGAAACACTTACTCCGCTGAGCCAGTAGTCACGGAGAATCTCGGAGCCAAGGAACCAAAGCACGATCTTCCGGCGGAAGAGCGTCCTGAGGAAATTGGGTACCTTGGGCGGCGTCTGGCGGTAGTAGTCTATCAAGGCATTAGCAGCTGTGCGCCGGCGGGGCGATGGATAGAAACCTACCAGGAAGACCGTAAAGCATGAGGTAGCAGAACAGGAAGGACATCGCAGCCAGTGGCCAGACGACGAGCACAATCCACCACGGGCCCGCGGCTGAGGAGCCGTTGGTGTCGAGCCTGTAGCCCCAGTACCAGAGCGCGGCAACCCAAATCTGCTGCGAACCCTGAACGATGCACGCACGCAACATCCAGACCTCCGTTGCCGCACCAGCCTCTTCACCGAAGTTGAGACCGAAGAAGGCGAAGGCGGCGGCGGACGCGATGGCGTATGACCACGTCGCAGCGCTCGACAGCGCGTCGTGCGTCGAGTTGAGGCCCTTGGTGACTGACGGCAGACCGATGAGGAGGAAAGCAATACCGTAGAACAACCACGGAGCGGAGAGCACCCATACGGAGGGCTTGACGCGGAACAGGAAGTACCAGACGATCGAGGATGCGAGGAAGACACCGCCGAGGACGTAGAGCTGGATGCTCGTTTGCGACTCAGAGCCGGAAAGCAGCGTGATCTGGAAGCTGGTTGCGGCAAGCATCTGGCCGGTCGCGATGATGATGGTGTAGAGTGGCCAGCCACCGACTTCGCGGGCGAGAGCGATCTGGAGGCGAGTCATAACCACCGCGTCGTTGCCGTTCGGAAGTGGACCGCTGTAGTCGCCGTTCACACTGGGTGCAAACGAGTGGCCCGAGGGCGATGACGGACGCGAGTGATCGAAAGTGGAAGGCGCGGGCGTGCCCCACACTGAGTCGCGCTGGGAGGAGCGGATGCTAGCGGCGCTGGAAAGCTTGTCCTTCTTGACCTTGTCGAAGAATGCCTCCTCGCTCTTCATGAGGAACTTCTCGATGGAGAGCTCGTGCTTAGAGTTGTGGGCGTTGAGCATCTGCAGCCTTTGAACGAAGTCGGTAGCGACACCGCCGTCGGAATCCGTGAACGAAGCAATGGCCTTGTTGAGCGGGGAGTTCTGCTTCTCATCGACAATGGACGAGATCGACTCGACCGACGACACACGCGAGTGGGCACCGAACGGCCGCGAGGGACCGGGCGACGCGTCCAAGAACGGATCGGGCACATGGCGTTGGTCGCGGCCGATGGTTTTGTTCGCGCGCTCCAAAAAGTTGCCGTAGTCCTGACGCTGTTCACCGGGGCTATGCGGGTTGGCCGAGAAGTAGTCGCGATCGTTATCCGAGACGTCCGTGCTGAAGGAACCACGGCGGCTGTCGAGGAGACGAGGTGCGGCGAGGTGCGGGTCGTGAGGCGTACCGGGGGTCATCGGGTCGGGAGTCCATTGGCCAGGAGATCCGGGGATGTGGCTCGTGCGAGGGCTGCCGGCTTCCGCGAGGCTACGGGCGTCCCAGTCGGGCTGCGAAGGGTAGGCCTGGTACTCAGGCTCCCAGCTGGAAGGCTCCTGCATGTGATGGACCGAGGGCGTGTAGTTGGCGTCCGAAGGCCTCCAGGCGTTGGAAGCAGCAATACCCCGGGACGTATTGATGGACCGCTTATGGAAGTCCTCCATGCGCTGACGCCACTCGACGACAGGGAAACGCTGGACCGCAGACCGAGCACGGAGCATGGCACGCTCTTCCTCCGTGGACTTGAGCGCCATCTTGACCGTCTTCGTGAGCTGAGACATCATGTGCTCCGTGGATGTAGACTCGACGGGGAACCACTGTACGCACACCCATGGTTAGAATCCGAGATAGTATGCGAGCGAATCATGACTTACCCAACCGGGCATAAGTCCGAGACCACCAAGTCGCGAACCAACACCGAGAGCACCCTTACGACCGAACTCGACGGCAACGAGACCGAACGGCTCGTCACGCGACGGAATGAGCGCAAAGTCGGCACCGCTGAAGAGGTACGGGGGCAGTGCCGTGAACTCGGGTTTAGAGTACACACGGTCGGGGTACATCTCCATGAGCCGGGCGAGCTTCTCCGCGGCGAAACGGCCGAAGAGATCGATGACGGGGCCGACGGTGATAAGTTGGATAGACGGACGCTTCTCGAGACTGTGGGCGCAAAATAGGATTAGTATAGTGCGCTGCGCGGTTAGAGAAGCCCGTCGCGCAGGCGACGGCGCAAACTCACAGTGAGGGCATGACGTCTGCGATCAAATCGACACCCTTCTGCTTAGACCAACGGCCGACGAATACGAACAAGTCAGCGTTCGGGTCCTGCTTGATACCAGCCCACTCCTGCGCCTGACGCTTGTGCTCCGGACGCTCGGCCTCGGCCACTTGGTCGATCTGGATGTCACGGACTGAAACGGGGTTCTCGTCCAGAGCGGCGATATCTGTCGGGTCGGGGTTCGGCAACGAGTCGACGTGTTTGAGCGTCCACAGGGCGGGGTACCGTGCCCATGACCGCTTGCCGTATTTGTCCGACACACCGGCGACACCGATGGACTTCTGGTGAACAGAGATGAATGACGCGGCGGCGTGGAGCAGGTTGAATGTGTTGCCGAACTGGACGTATTTTGTACAGTGCTCCTTGCTGATGTTGAACGCTGAGCAAACCTCCTTCATCTCCTCCTTGGTGCGGAGCGGCCACAGACCCTGGAACTCGGCGTTGTGGAGCGAGAGACAGACGGGAATAACCTTAGGGAGGAGGTAGATCGGGGCGAGCGCGCCGTGGTAGTCATTCACGTGGTAGATGTCGATGTGCGGGAAGCGGCGGACCGTTGCGGCAATGGCCTGATTCCAAGTCGAGTAGAAGATGGCGGAGGACAGATCGTCCATGCGGGCGGGGTACGGGTCAGCTTTTGTCTGTGCACGGAACACTGGCGAATCGAGGAGGACGTAGGTAATGTTGTCCAGGACGTGGTACTCGACCTCGATGAGATACGGCTCGCCGAAGATGGTGACCTCGATAGGATCGGTGGGGTCGCCAGGAGGGTACTCGAGATCCTTGACCTTGGGCACAACCCAGATAAGGTCGACGTCCGTCATAGCCTTGCCCATGAGAGACGACATGACACCAAGACCGCCAATTTTGACCTTGAGCTTCCAGTCGATGATTTCGTACTCAAGGGTGGAGATCAAGACAGTACGACGTTTGTCCTTGACCTCCGGCCAACCGATGAGCTCGTGGTTCTTGTGATGGTGGCCGAAAACTTTCTCGGAGATGGGGGTGTGCTCCTTCTTGTCGTCCCTATGCTTGCCGAGGGCACCCAGGATAGGGAAGTAGCTGCTCTCCTTGTTCGGCTTGACACCCCACTTGTTGTACTTGATACCGTAGAACGACCACATGAAGATGACGACGGCCAAGGCACCGGTGATCAAGGGGATGGCGAGGAGGAGAGCGTACGTCAACGCGCCGATGAGGGATTCGCCGCGTGGCTCGAGGGTCCAAGTCATTGTCGTGTCGTCGATGACGAGGGCCCAAGCAAGATGAGGCTTTGGGGGCGCGGAGATGTTGAGGTAGTTCGGCGCGGCCGTGTTGGGCGGAAGACGATCGAGAACACCGTCGTAATCGAGATCACCATAGTAGTAGTTGTCGAAACCGAAGACGTTGATCTGCATGTAGGTCGGCCAGCTCGCCATGATCTCGAGCTCCCACTTGTTATCCTTCGAACGCTGCTCCATCTTGGAGGGGATGCCCTTGTCGAAGCCCCACTCGTTGAACGGGCCGCGAGCCAGGAGCTGGGGTACGCGACGGGGCATAGAGACACCGCTGTCTGCGTGAACCATGGTGCTAGCAGACTTCGCGAGGTCGGACCAGTCTGCGAGCGACTATGAGTATGGTACCGCACACGAGCACGAATGACACTTACACTGCACCATGATGTGATGCCCATCCCAGAAGTTATCGTCGTCCTCGAACATCGTGGCGTTGAGGGTGGTCGTTTGTTCATACGCCGCCCAGTCCGTCCAGTTCTGACCGAAGTTCGCAGAGTAGCGGAACTTGTCGGCGCCCCATGCAGAGTGCTTGAAAGTGTAGGTGCCACCGGAGACGCTGAACGCGTCGGAGTCGTAATCTGAATCGGGGAACACCATCACGTTCTTCGAGGAACCCTTGCGCACAAGGAGATGATCAGTCACCTAACGGGTGAAGATCAGTATTTTTTAACGTGGCAACTAGGCAGTACATCACGTACGTTCGTGGACACGCCGGTCTGGGAGACCACGTTCTTGATTTGGATCTCGAGGATTCCGTCGTTGAAATTCGTGAGCGTGTTGGACCAACGCCATTGTGTGACGGAAGCACCAGAAATCTTGGGGGCGGGAGCATCAGTGATGGTCAAACAGTCGGCGGTGCCGAAGGAAGGGGCGTTTCCATTGCCAGTGAAGGTGAGAGTGATTCCACTCGTGACGGAGTTGCAGTCCATTGGCGTATTGTAGTAGAGAACAACATCAAGCGTCGTCGCATTCGCGTCCCCGCTCTCGGCTTGGCTGCGCGCATCGTGCCCAGGAGTGAAAGAGGTGAGCATGGGGGGTGGAGCAATCCAATCCTCGACAGGAACATAGGCCTTGAAGCTAAAGGGATCCATTGTGAGCGACGCGAGGCAGCCGTTATCATCGTTGCTGGCAGACAGAGTAACGTTCTCGTAGGGGTAGAAGAGGTTTCGAACTTGGGTATTGCTCTTGAAGGGGGCAGCGATGTGATTGGCCTTGGTGCAAGAAGGGTTCCATGAAGCCGTCTGGTTTACGTTAGTCCAGAGGAACCAGACGTCGTTGTTGCTGCCCGTAAGGGTTTGCGTAGACGAAGCACCACGCGAGACAGACCACAGACCAATCGTCGACGAAGCGCCGTCGGATCCAGGACGGTAAATATCGTAGGTGAGGTTCTGAAGCTGAGTGAGCTCGAAACCGTCTTGGAGAACACTGAAATGGTTCCGAAGAGCAAGGAAATGGGCGAAGATGCGACGGCTGTCGGTGGTGGGGTCGAAGTGATCGAGAGCATTCCAGTCGTCCTGGCAGCCAAGCACAGACTTGGAAAGCGGCATGCTGTAGTACTGCTCGGAACCCAGCGAGTAGCAACCGTGACGTTGCCACGCTTTGTTCGAAAACATGGCCTGACGTCTGCGGCGGGGATGAGCATGTAAATATCATCACGCAGCACAATTGCTTACCCGTAAAGATAGTTGTCCGCAGTGGTGTCGAAGAGGTAAAAGTTCTGCTCCTCTCCGTAGAAGTACTGCAAACAGCCCTCAACATACATACAATCGCAGAACAATCCAAAAACACATACCAGGGGAACACCGGGCATGACGAGGTTAGTAATAAAGGTAGCCCACACGCTACGTTGAGTACCATTCTGCAAGCTGGGCCAACGGAAGACATCGAAGTTACTGGTACCGAACATGTGTTTCGGGTCGAAAGCACCAGTGTTAGGGTTGACCATGTCGTTGTTAGTCACCATGTCGGCCCACTGGTCGGCGAAACCCTCCCTGGTATCATACGCAACTTGCAAGTTACCGTCCATGCCAAGGTAACGGGCGATCGAACGGTACGTCGTGTAGTGGAAGGCCACGGCGTCAAGCCCGTTGTTCGGAGCGTCACGGAGGAAGTACTGGTTGTCGGAATTGGTAATGTTCATGGCAGCTTCGGCACCGACTGGCCTTTGCGTCGGAGTCCGACCGCGTCCACTAGTGACACATCAAGTCAGATCAGTACGTACAGCGACGGGGTCGGGGACTTACTAGTACAAAGACCCAAAAGTGTCACCACCCGTAACTTCACCCGTGATGTAGAAGTTGGTCTTGCCAAGATCAGAGGCACATTTGCGAGTGGCAGTAGCCCATGTCGCCATGGCGTCAACGGTGACCTGGGTCGACTTATCGACACGGATGGCATCGAAGTCAAGAGCTTGGAGGGCCATGCAGGAGAATGTGGCGATCCGAGCCATGACGTCGGAGTCCCACTCTCGCAGACGATCTTGTACGGACGCGAACTTCGCGAGCTGACGTTGCCAGTCTGGGTGGACACCGAAAGCTTCCATATCTCCGTATTGGTCGAAATCAGAATCCAGGCATCCGTTAGTGTAACCAGAGTCGTAGATGGTGCCGTCTTCGTCCCAGAAAACAGGGAGTACGCAGGACTTGTTGCGGGTGTTGCCGAACTCGAAATCCTTGTATGTGGAGAAGTTCCACGGCGCGTACTCCGGGTTCTTCCAAACGACACCGTGTTCATCAAGCGTCCAAGGGGCAGACGTATTTAGGTACCTGCAAGCTGTGAGATTCGTACCGGATGACGGCCAGGCTGCGCACTCACCCATCGAAGCCAATGAGGTCCGCCATAGTTCCGACAGTGAAGTCGGCCATCATATACATGCCATGGTCATGAATCTGTTTGATCGTGGCCTGCCAATCGGCGAGGGTGCCCCAGTGAGGATCGAGGACGGAGAAATCGAGGGGAGAGTAGCCTTGATTGGTGCGCGTCAGCGGATGATGAAGAACGTGGGGATAATGCTCACTGTCTGCCTGCCAGGGCATGTTGATCCAAGGAGTGCCGGAGATGAAGATGCCTCTGATACCCATTCCGTAGAGGTAGTCCAACTTGCCAACGAGACCCTTAAGATCACCACCTGAGCGCAACTGCGTCTCTCTCCAATCCCACTCGAAAATGGTACCGAAGTAGTCGTTGTTGGAGGGATCGCCATCTGCGAATTTATCCGTAAGGATGGTGTAGAATGGGATGGCGCGCCAGTTGCTGGGGGACTTGGTGTAGCTGCTGAGCTTGTTGGTCGAGTACTCGAGCGGGGAGGCGGCATTTTGATTTACGTTGAGGTTGTAATCGACAAGGTCGCTCCGGTAGGGAGACGCTGCGCCGAAGTGGGCGCAGGTGAGGAGAGAGAGGAGCGCTGTCCTCAGCCACATGGTGGGCGGTGGGGAGATGAGAGTCGCAAGCAGGGCGTGGTGTTCGTCGGGGGTGAGGGCGATGGGGCAGTGGGTGAATGCGGGGAGAGAGGGGGTAAAGAAACGAAGGAAACCTGCCGGGAAGACCGGGGACGCGAGGGGGATGAGGAGAAGGAAAGCCGACGACCAGATATACGGTCGGACGGGGGAGGAGCAGGCGACAACCCGGCAAACGCCTCGCTTTATTTAGTCGTCCCCGCGAAGTCCAGATCACGGCAGCAGACGCTCGCTCCAGCGCCTGTCGCCTCAGCCCGACGTCTCATCCCAGCCCTCCCGCCGATGTCGGCCGTGTCCTGCCCCGCCCGTCCCACAAGGTCCCACACTGCCCCGCCTCCCGCCGCCACCCTCGCCCGCCCGCCTGCACACTGTGCAGCCCCGTCCTGGGCTCCGGCGACAGGCGACTGCCTGCCGAGCTCTCGGGCTCAGACGTCGGGTGCACGGAGAGGCACGGCAGAACGTTTATCGGAAGGCCAGGGGCATCTGCCGGAGACCGCTGACGCTTCCACGATCGCGGCACTCACGAATCGACGACGCGAACGTGAGACAGGAGTCAATTACTCGGGCGCGACGGCGGCGCGACCCAGGCCGGAAGGGTGAGGCGTTAATAACGTCTCTCGTCTGGGCCCCAGGCTCGTAAACGGCAGTAACATGCCCATAGTGATGAATGAGCACGGCTTCCACTAACATCCGTGATGCGCATATTGTGGCGGATGGTCTCGCTCCAAGCCCGCCTTGGCTGTACGCAGACGAGGACGCGACTCTGGAGGGAAACTCGGGAGAATGGCCAAGCCGTGTTCGCCAGACTGAAGCTGCCGACATCACTCTTCTTCGATAAGTAGCGCTGATCTGCAGCCAAGAGCACATGTACACAGATGTACACCAGGCTTCACCAGCCCACACCAGCCCACACCTCGTCCCGTCCGACTGGCCGGTGGACACCGTGGTCTGCCCACTTTCCCCCGTGACACGAACCAATGCACGGCTGGGGCTGTCAGCGACGTTGCCAGCAACCAGCAAATGTGGTGGGCCGGTGGCAGCTGTGCCCTCCGTCGGTGCGGCACCCCCGGGCCGGTGCCGTCGAAACTCGACATGTTGGCGAAACCTCAGCTTGTCCTCCACGAAAACATAATGTTCACGATATCTTCACCACATGCTCGGACTCCTTTCGATTATTGATGCTCTAGTCAAATCTAGAATCCCTCCATACACAGGCACCTAACGTACTATCGCTACACATTCAGCGTCCATTGCATAGGATCTAATCCAGCTCTGAGAAAAACTCCCATGTTAATATCAATGATACAGAACGCCCGCAGTGTTTATATCTGCATTCAAGCCCTCAGGAAATGCATCTTCAGTCCTCCGAGAGGAAGAAGATTATATTAGCGCCCGTTGCATTGGGCGCCTGTTCGGAAGGCGGTTGTTGCTGCGAGCCGTCGTCGTCTTTCTGTCCATTGTCTTCGCCCCTTTGCCCCCGTCCCTTTCCCCAAGGCCCGCTCTTTCTCTCGTCCTGCTTAACCCGGCGGTCAATCCTGTCCATGCGGCGTTGACGGCCGTCTCATATCTCCCGCCCTCGTCCTCTGCTCGTCCACGCCTCTGACGCCCTCTATTACGCCAGCTCTTCCCTGCCCGACCTCTGTATCTAATCTCTCTTGCAGCTCTGCTGTAGATGTCCGTGGCTATAGCCTCCTCCACCACCCTCCACGCGCTCGAGGACGCGTCCCAGCCCACCTCTAGAGCTTCCTCCCCGTCCTCACCCGCGGCCAGCCACTTTCAGGTTCCCCGGATCGCCAATCTGAATGGGTCGCTCGTCAACGGTCTTTCAAACTCACACTCGAGCCACATGCTGGATCCACCGCCTGGGATGTCCTATGCCGAGTTCCTACGCGCGTGGACCGACGCGCACGTTGCCTTGTGGCTCGCGGACATCAAGTGCGCCCATCACTCCGCAACCTTCAAAGCAAACGACATTCGAGGAGATGTGCTGCTGGAGCTTGACCAGATGACGCTCAAGGAGATGGGCATGACGAGCGTTGGGGATCGATTGCGGGTGGTGAATGCGGTGAAGCAGCTCCGGCAGAAGTGCTCCTCGAACCCAGCACTGTCCTCCATCGCAAATCGTCCTCGAGGTGCGGACCACAATCGGACCTCCAGTCTCTCCAGTGATCACGGCGGATCTTCTCGCGCTGCGCGTCGTCTCGAGTCTGGTCGCCCTGCACCCTTGCACCTCCCACCAAATGGAGGCTCTCCCGACCTCCCCCGTCTCGTTCGTGATGGACAGGACTCCGCGCGTATCAACGCTGCAATGCGCCCCCTCCCGGTCCAACCGAACAGCGCGTCCCAGCACGGCACTCCCACCACTGCCCACAGCCGATCGAACCTTCCCCCGCTGCCGCCTCCCCCGCGCGGGCAGCCACCCCTGCCGCCTATTGCCCGGACACCTCGCAACCTCTTCCAGCCCGGCACCCCGGGCCCATCCGGACGAGGCACCCCCACGCTCGATGTGCCCCCGTCGCTTCCCCAAGCGGGCCTGCTCACGCCCTCGCAGGCGCAAGGCGGTTGGTCGTATGGGTTGCCGTCAGATCCTCGGCAAGGGAACAACCTCCGAACCCCGAGTCGATCAACTTCCCCCCTTCCGTTCCCGCCCACGCAGCCCCCAGTACGCGGCGCGAGTCGCGTCGCCACCGAACAGCTCCTCGGACACTCGCGCAGCAGCTCGCAATCGGCCACCGCGGCGCTCTCCTCCGACAAAGACAAGCCGCTACCGCGTCTGGGTGGTCTGCCCCAGCGCCAGAACACACACCCGTACGCTTCGCCGCTGCAACATGGTCTATCACCCATAGCGGAGTCCTTCACGTCGGGGCGCGGCGCCGGCTCGGCGAACCCGGCTTTCCGCGGCACGAACACACCATATCGTCCAGGCACACCTTCGCACAACCCGTCCCTGGACGACCTGCGCAGGAAGCTCATCAAGTTCATGCTGCCGGACGAGATGAAGACGACGACGCTCAACGTCGCAGACTGCAGCAACGGCCTCGAGGTGCTCATCAAGGCGCTCAAGAAGTTTGGCAAGGTCGGTCAGGACGGCCCGTACTCGATTGTCGCGGAAGACGGTGGATTGAGCGTGGACGGATGGTGGGCTTCGCTGCAGTGGAACCAGGGTGAAGGTAACGAAGTCAAAGCAGTCCCGCGCTTTCAATTTCCCCTGATGTATTCTGTCACAGACGGGGCTCTGAGCGAGGAAGAAATTTATGCCATCATTCAGACGTCTCCCGACGACCCGGTGCGCGAGCGCGGGTTAACGCTGCACAACGAACAGCGCGTAAGGCGTGGGCTTACACCTCCCACGCCTTCGGTCGACGACGGAGAAGACGCACTGGACAGAGCCCTCGCGGCTGAGCCGCCTATGATGACCAAAGCCATGAAACGCGCCAGCTCTGTGAGCATCCTCAGCGGCCTCGGCGTACGCATTCCGGACGTCGCACCAGAGACTCCCGCATCGCCATCGTCAGCGAGCCCGACCAAATCCAAGGGCAAGCACTCATCCAAGCTCCGCAACTTCTTCGGTCAACGCCCGCCGAGCGAGCTGATCACCAACCACCTCGCCGAGTACTTCCCCAACACGGAGAAGAAGGTGCTCGAGCGCACTCGCAGACAGAGCATGATGCGCCAGAGCGGCGTCCCCGGCCGGCGCGACAGCATCATCTCCTTCTCGATGCCGCCCTCACGGTTCAGTGTGAGCACGTTGGATTCCGCACGCGCCTCCCGCCGGATGTCGATGGCGTCAAGCATGTCCTCCACCGCCGTCGAGCACCTCTCCGTCCAGGACTCGGATCTTCCGCCCCTCCCCCCACCCCCGACGGTCGCGTTCGACCCTCCGCGACTGTCGCTCTCGACTGACGACGGGCATTCCGTCGACCTCTCGACAGAGGACCTCTCGCCCGAGCAATCGGACCCGCGACTGCTCCCGCCGGTGATGTTCCCGACGACGAGCCTGTCGGAGCAGCTGAACCTGGGCGGTGAGAGCGGTTCGCGGGCATCGCGGCGGATGTCGACCGCGTCGAAGCGGCAGAGCTACATCACGGAGCTCCGCAGCAAGCGCGACCGGTCGGATACGGCGAGCTTGATGACCGTCGACGAGATCACGGCGGAGGTGGAGAGTAGACAGGAGAAGGCGTCAGACTCGGATGAGTGGACCAAGGTGGATGTGGGAGACGATCGCAGTGTGCGCGGTGTGGAGGACGAGTACGACGATGACGATGACGACGACGAAGAAGAAGAAGAGGAGGAAGAAGAGGATGAAGAAGAGGAGGAGGATGAGGATGAGGATGAGGATGGTGGAGAGGATGAGACGCTGGCAGACGAGGGTGAACCTGGCAAGACTATTATGTCTCGAGGTGAGTGTGGACCTCGGCCCGTTCGAGGCGCGTCTTTAATATGGGTTGTGTGCAGGCGAGAAGACCATCAAATGGATCAAGGGCGCTCTAATCGGCGCAGGGTCCTTCGGAAAGGTGTATCTCGGCATGGACGCTGCCACCGGTCTGCTTATGGCTGTGAAGCAAGTCGAGCTTCCTACCGGCTCGGCGCCCAACGAAGAGCGGAAACAGTCTATGCTCGAAGCGCTCGAGCGCGAGATTGAGCTACTCCGTGATCTGCAACACGAGAACATTGTTCAATATCACTGTGAGCTCTTGCGCTGGCTCCCTCTCATGCGTGGGTTGACATTCTGCACAGCATCATGCATCGACGAAGGCCATCTTAATATTTTCCTGGAATACGTCCCCGGTGGTTCCGTGACCTCTCTTCTTCGTAATTATGGCGCTTTCGAGGAGCCGCTCGTGCGCAACTGGGTCCGCCAGATCCTGCTTGGTCTCAACTACCTACATGAGCGCGACATTATTCACCGCGACATTAAGGGCGCGAATATGCTCGTTGACAACAAGGGCGGTATCAAGATCTCCGACTTCGGTATCTCCAAGAAAGTCGAAGACAGTGAGTAATCTCTACTCTCTGCGCCCGTCGTTCAACGGAGCTAACGCACTCTCCGCTAGACCTGATGACCGGAAACCGTGCGCATCGGCCGTCCCTCCAGGGTTCCGTGTTCTGGATGGCACCCGAGGTTGTCAAGCAGACCGCGTACACTTTCAAGGCCGACATCTGGAGTGTGGGTTGTCTCGTCGTCGAGATGCTCACTGGGGAGCACCCATGGCCACAGCTCTCCCAGATGCAGGCGATCTTCAAGGTTAGTATTCCTCGCCGCGTTCACGGACGTATGTGGTGCTGAGCGCATGAATCACAGGTCGGATCTGCCAAGGCCAAACCTACCATCCCCGCCGACATCTCTCCCGAGGCTGTCGACTTCCTGGAGCAGACCTTCGAGCTCGACCACGAGCTTCGTCCGTCTGCCGCGAACCTGCTCAAGCATGCATGGATTGCGAACCTCCCAGGACCATTCGGTCAGTAGCTACGGAACCCGCGCTCGCTCCGTCGTTCGTTCCACCTCAGTGCGCTTCACGTGCACATTTCTGTACGAGCCGTAATTCTTCTTTATCGCGTCTCTCTCCTGCTGCGGAGCCCGAGCCCGCGTTTCCGAGTTGGTGTTATGTTATATCTAGTCGCAGTATCCAGCACCATGTCTAGTCAAGAACAACCACTGACGTCTCAACGTCTGTATTTTTCTTTTTCCCTGCGGAAGCATGCTTTGTAACACGGTCGAGCTATGAATACCACGTCACGCTGTTGTCTCACTCTCCATCTCCCGTCCCGCCCTCGAGCCTCTCAGTCCGCGTCTTCACGTTTCCGCTTTGCACCCGGTTTCGAACCCGGTCCCCAATTCGGCGTCGGGTTCTGCTGGTAACGTACGAGCTTCACTTTCGACGACTTGGGATTTGAGTCTGGGTGGTGCTTGAAAGTGTGCTCTTTCCTGGAAGCGAGACGACGAAGTGAGTGTCCAGGGAGTGAGTGTCCAGGGAAGAGAAGGGTGTCAACGTTCAAACTCACTCAGGCTCCTTCGCGAGTAACCGTTGGGCAGGCGAGGTTGGGGAGATCTTGTCCATGCGCACCGGATGCGACTTGATCCACGAGCGGAAGATGTCATGTATTTCGGCATAACTCGCCGTGGTCTTCAGGGAGCCCGCGCACGCGTGCGAGCGCGAAACCTTGTGCCCGGCGTGGAGCAGCGCAGATCTAACGCGTTCTACACATCAGCATGCGCCGTGATCATAACATACAGTATACTTACGCAGTGCCATCAAGACTAGGATTTACGCAGTGGAAGTGGCTGGCGACGGTGCTTGGCGTGAAGTAGAACGGCGTGTCTAGTTCCTGCGAGACCGCCTCGGTCAGCACGGGCGTCGTGGGTGCACTCTGTGATCCACACGTAGCGCGCACTAACCTCTTTCGCCACGGTCAGCATGCCCTGCATCCGCGCCGCCGTACCGTAGTTGTCCTTACTCGCCTCGACGTGCTCGAGCACGTCCGACACGAACGCTGGTTCGTGCAACGGCCCAGACCACATCGGGCCTGCCAGCTAGGCCGCTGCATGTCAGCCTGACACACTCCGAATCTGTGAGGGCGACGCACATGCAGTGTCGAGTCGCATTCCGGACATCGTCCAGACACTGGAGGACCGGCATGCTGTTTCGCGGAGACGTTGATAGATCCGTTCTTGCCGGGGTTCTCTTTGACTCGGCCGAGCGGCTGTTCATAAAAGGACTCGCAATTGCTGCACACGTAGTAAATGGCTGTCTTGCTACAAAATCGGCCTCAATGGAATCGTCGGGATTATGTCAACGATCTTTGACGTACCCGAGATTGCGCTTGACCTCCGCAGCAGAGTGTTGCACGCGCACGAAAACGCGCACATAGAAATCGATAGACAAAGATAGTAGCGGCTGGATGCTACGGCCATAACGAGCCGCGGCCGTGGCAAGAGAATGTAACACGAGACGGAGAGCCTTGATGTCCGTGTTCGTCAGACTATTCTGTCCGAGGAATCAGACGTACTCACGGCTTCATGACTATACTCGGCCTTGACGGGAACGCCGCCGTAATTCGCGAAACTAGGGTGCGCGTCAGCGAGGGCATTCGAGGCCGATGTGAGTAGGTTGTCGGCGCACCATTTTTCGGGGTACGGCAAAGAAGCAAGAACAGCCATGTCTGTGCACGTCACACATAGCAGCCCTGCGAACGCGGGGTTAGCGTAATCCGAAGCGCACCAACGCAGTTCGCTCGATTACCTCCGTCATTGACACACTGAACTGCGCCATCAACAAAGGGTGCCGCGGTGCCATATGGGTCGAGGTCGATGACATCGACCCGGTCACGGTCCGCGCGGTGGTTGTACATCAAGGCACTGCGCGCATATGGGTTGAGCGAGCCAATTGACGAGCGACGTTACGCGCACAGGGGCTCACCAAGCGTCCCCTTGATGAACCTGAATCCTTGCCGGACGGATTTTTGGGGGGTCTTCCGACCCTTGCTCGGGTGGGAGCACCTTCTCGTGAAGGTCATTGAGCTCGATGTTTCGGCGCATCGCTTCGATAGCGGCAGGAGAGAGGTCATTCGCAATGACATGTCTGTTGGCAAGCAGAGGTACGTTAGCGGGCGGTATGCGAGCGACGTACTCGAGCGGCAGACTTCAGGAGAGGGATTTCGTTGGCGTAACGAATCGCACGCAGCCCGGTAGCGGACAGAGGTTCCATAATCACGAACTTGTGCGGGTGGTACTGAACACATCACATTAGAACAAACGCTTGTCATCCCACTGAGTCTGCTTGCCTGCTGCTGCCCTTTCGCTCCTTCCGAGATTTGCGAAGCACCCGCGCTCTCCGAAGACGCATCTTTCACGTCCGTCTCCGCTGTACCGCGCAACGTCCCCCTATCAACCCCCTACTCGCACCCTAACGAAGCGCGACACTCACTTTTGGTCCGCTTCGCCTCGTGCCCGTCCGCGTCCGCGTCCCGCGCCCCCGTCTTCGTCGCCTTCGCCACCTTCCGCTCCTGCGCCGCCCGCCACCGCCGCTCGCGGTCCGAGTTCATGCGCGCGCCCCACGTGCGGATGCACGCGACGCTCAGGTCGCGGTTGAACTCCTGCACCGGGTTGAGGAACGCGCCGTTCTCCGCGGGCAGCAAAATCGCAGACGTGTTCTCCCAGTGGAGTGTGAAGCCCTCCGGGATGACGAGCGCAGGAGCGGGCGTGGACGGGTCCGTGCTCATTTTACGTGTCGGGGAGATGCTGGGGATGTTGAGGCTTGGGACGTGCGGGATTCCAAGGCGGCGTGGGGGCCGTAGGGCGCGGAGGGCGGAGAGAGAGAGCAATTTGCCGCGGTGGTGGCTGAAAGCCACCCAGTGCTGGACGAGTGTCCCGTGCTGGGCCATGAAGCATTTAGACGCCCATTGTCGTCATCCAACGGATCCCCCAGCGTCGGCTAGCAAACGTCTGGTGATTCGCACAAGTTTTGCGGACTCGCAGTAATGATTGCAGCCGTACAAACACAGCAGGGGAAATGGTACTGTAATGAATAAACATTCCGAACATTGTAAGTGGGTAAAGGTGGTAAAAGCTAGTGATACAGCGTCAGTCAGAGCTAGAAAGTACGGGATATAACGTAGGAAAGCGTCTGTCACTAGCCATTGAGGCCGTCTTCAAGACATCTATGGAGAGTCCGGGTATGCAGGTTGCATCTACAAGGGAGAGCACGTGAAAAGTGATGTAAACACAAGGCACGCATGCAGGTACTTCCGCGCGCATGGAGGCCGGACGACATCCGCCGGTGTCGATCGAGTGGCCCTCGGCATGTTCAGTACGAGAACTCCTCGGAGAAGAGCGTGATCGAGCCGCGCATGTCGCCACGCTTCACGCGCGCCGGATCGATCTGTGCAGCCACCGTTTTCCTGACGAACGCGTCGAGCGACGTCGGGCCACAACCTGCACACGTAACAACGTCGTCGTCAGAAACGCACGACGAACAACGCACAAGCTGGGGGAAAACTCACAAGCAACAGCGATGGCGCCCCGCGCTCGCTCTATCTCGTCGGCAAGGATGCGTTCTAGCTTGGGTTTCCGGTCGCGCATGCTCCGACACGATTCCTACGTCCTCCACTTCGAGCTCGTCCAAGTCCAGCCGGAGCTGTTCGCGGATGGTCGCAACGTCTCCTCCCGGCACAAGTGCAGCGAAACTGTCCGTGTCCGTCCAGGTGCTCAGACGTGACATTGAACGGAGAGAGCCTGGGGTACCCGGGGAAATGGGGGTTATCGCGCCAGGGCGCAGCTCATGCCCGAGCGAGCTTTGCGAGGGCCACATGTTGTGGCCGAGCGAGAAGTCAGAAGTGGCGGAGAAGTTGTGCGAGTGCGAAGTGAGTGGGGTATGAGCGAAGCTTTGAGGGCGAATGAGAGGGACAGCGCTGTTTGGAGGGGATTGGAACTGGATCCTATTTGCGGTCGCGGTGAGGGTACTTGAACTCTGCATGCTGTTGCTCGTGCCTGTGCTGAGCATGCTGTCTGGGCGGGTTTCGCGAGGCTCGAGGTCAAAACTTGGCCGCACTGTACTGATGTCGATCCCTGGGCTCTGTGGTGTCGCCGGTTCAACGTGTGAGACGGATACGCGAGGATGGGAAGTGTCGATCAGGGGGAGTCCAGAACGCGAAGCACGCTTGTCAACCAGCTTCACGGTCGCGTGGGCGGCGGACTGTCGTAGTCCGATTCGGTCTTACGTATGAGCTCTTGCTTAGCCAAGAAGACCATCGACGCTCTCTGGGTCGTGGCACGACGAGTTTTCCCTTCCTTTTTGACGGAGATGTTGAACTGATCTTCTCCAGGGAGCGCGCTGTCGTTATCGCCTTCAAAGTTAGTGTAGTCGAGGATGTGCTCTTCGTGTCCCAACTCGCCGTCTTCTTGGATGACACTAGTGTAGTAGCTCAAGTCCACAACATCGATGTAATCCCCGCCTTCCTCAGTAAAGGTCTGTGAAGACCGTCGAGAGTCTGGGGTGAGGGGTGAATGGGGGAGCGAGTGGTCTTCTTCTTTGTCAGCAAGTCCAGTCGACTTCGGTTGTTTGGGGCCGGCCGACGGCCTGACGTTCGTGACAAAGATGTCAATCTGAAGCTCAGGGGACGGAAGAATATCCAAGCATCGCCGAAGTACTGCGGCACACCACTGGATGTGACCTACATGTCTTGTCAGTATTTCGAGGTTGTCGGATTGTGGAAAGATGGCATACCAAACTCGCGGACAAGCCAAACGAAACGAACACGAGTTGTCTTGAATCCGGGGAACCGTGACCGCCTTTGTGTCCTCCAAGGAATTGACCATCTCTTCCAGCCATGCAGAGGCACAGGTACTGGAGAACTGACAGCGCGTAGCTAACGCCAGACCCTCCGGCCACGATCAGGACGGAGGAGTACATATGCCATGACGCCCGTACCGAAGACCCGTAGGGACCGTCGACCAAGGTCCGCAGAAGGACGCCACGCGTGGGCATCTCACATGGTGGTGGCGCCTCAGGCTTGTGAAACCGCTGACCGCGACTGACCATCGACACGATGGAATCCCAGAGATCCCTTGTCCAGCCGTTTTTGGCGCGGATGAGGAAGATGAGAACGCGACCGTCGTCGTACGCGTTCTGCTCATCGCAAATGGAAGCAGCCGTGAAAGGGTGTGTCGTGAACCGAGTGATCGAAGGGATGGAGATGAGGAAATGTTGCCCGGGCGCCCAGGTGATATATCCGGGGGTGACGACGCGTAGACGAACGGTGTGTCCAGGAAGGAGCTCCGCATGTGCGTATCCAGGGGGAGGAATGTAATCTGTTGGGACTGACAGACCAACTCCAGGGAGTAAGGCGGTGGGCGTGATTGGGGGATAGTGGGCAAGCGCAGTAGTAGAGTTCGCTGGAAGGTGATCGCGGGTGAACTGACCTGCCATCTTAGATGGAGGATACTGGAACGCAGAGGGCCCGTGATTGAGAGATTGGCCTCTTCGCATCTTACTTGACGGGGCCTGGACTCGGCGGCCGAGGATGCCATTGGTGTACATCCACCGCGTAAAGCGCCAAGTACGCTCTCCAATCCAGAGTCCAATGGCGGCCCAACACCACCACCAGACAGGAGGGTGGTGAAGGGCGGCCATGACGATCGTGAGAGGGGCGAGAAGGACATGAAGGAACCAGAAAGATTCGTAATGCTTCGTCCGGAAGGGCTTCAGAGAAAATATCATGAGGAGCGTGAAGCACCCAAACGACTGGAGGAAAAAGGTGTGAGGAGATACAGTTGAGAACACGGATGTGTGACGCACCGTCCAAGCAAATAAAAACTTCTCGTAGGTCCACGCGTAGACATACGCGACCTTGCCGTCGTGTTTATCCTTCAAGAGCTGTACGCTCCAGAGGGCGACGTGCAGGACCACGAAGAGGTAGACGAGACGCCCGACCCACTTGTGGAGCCACAACAGCTTATCACAGTAGAATTGGACAAGGAATGGGATGGAGAAGATGGCGAAGGGCGGAGCCTTGAGAGCGAAGAGGACACAGAGAGGGAATAGGGCGAACGCGATGAGACCGGTGCGGTTACCGGCAGTCCACCAGGCTTTGGGGATGGTATATCGGGGCTGGTACTGGTACCATTGAGACAAGTCGTAACCGCGCTTAGTGATCGAGGTGGTGGCGTAAGGGGCGTCTTGCAGGGTCCACAGCGTGTAGCCGGGCGCGATGTAGTCTGGTCCAAGGAAGGAGAGCAGAAGGGAGCTGATCACGATGACAATAAGGGTGCATATCTGTGAGTTGGAGGGGAGCGAGAAGGGCTGCTTGTGCGGTTGGCCGTTTGCTTTCGCGACGGCGAGAGAGTGCTTCTTCCTCCATGTCCGTCGTCGCAACGCCCACTTGCTCCAGCGCGCGCCCAGATAGCCACCGCCGAGGTGCAGATGATGAAGAATGGAGCATACAATGAGGACGACACCTAGCGCGATCCACAGAATATAGGAATAGACGCGACTCGCGTCACTCTGCATGTGTACGGTGAGGTACGCGCTAACGAACTTGAGGTCATCGGTGTAGGCGGCGGCGCTAGCGGGAAGCGTGGGATCGGCTGGGAGGACGGAGGAGACCACCATGGCGGGCCTGAGGGCCAAGGAGGAGGGGGAGGTGAGCAGTCCTGTGTAGACTGGAAGCAGGAAGATGTGCTGACCGCGGGGGCTGCGCCTGGGCGACCTCAAAGGTGCGCCGAAGGATGCCGACCTGGCAGGCAAATGGAGCAGCCGCGGTCGCTCGAAACCAACGCTGGCCGGGCGTGGTGTATTTCCCTTGATCAAGCGAGCGAAGGAACGGCAGGCGTGGGTGGGGATAGAAGGGTAGGATGGCGGACGTCGCTGCGGTCACGACCTCAGACCCGTGGAACGGAGAGGGCGATGGGGAGGAGCAAGCGGGAAATCATGGCGGAGAACGGGGAAAAAGGCGGGAAACAGTGTCCGTAACATTTCCATGGTTGCCCAGCCATCGCTGTACCTCAGCCCATGGAGAGCGCGGCATCCAAGTCTCACATGCGCCCCTTCGTCATCGCCCGGAGCAATGCGCCGGCGCTCCGGCGATCGTGCCGACTGATCGTGATCCCCGCGTGCGCCTCCGGCCCCTTCCGGCTAGATGCCGCAGCCCATCCTCCACCGGCCTCCGCTGCCAGCGAAGGACATGCGCAGCGCCGCACGCATCCGCTTAACGGTCTCCTGCACACACCAGCAGCCAGCTGATGTGCGCACCTCGCCCGGAATCGGGAAATAGTACATCCATTCCAATCATCTACATGACGACCACACACTTATCGTCAGCACTAACTCCGGCTACATGTAACATCAGTGTTCATACGACGGTCTCGCCCGAGAGAATCTGATCCAGAGCGTTAGCCTACAGTGGACGCGCACTAACGCAAACTGCGCACCTCCTTCCCCGTCTTCGCAATCTTCGCGTGCAGGTCGTCGTACGGGATCGTCCCGGTAACCAGCACCTCCTGCTTCTCCAGCGAGATGTCGTACGACGATACGCCTGCGATTCCTCGCTCAGCTCCTGTCACCACCGCCCCCTCGCCCTGCGCAGACAGCTCTGGGCGCGCCACGCACCTTCCGTCTTCTTCAGTACGCGGTCAACTGCACCAGAACACCCGCCGCAGGTCATCTGCGAGCATCCATGCTCAGTCAGCTCCTCCTAGCCGCATTTCCGTTTCACATTTCCGTCATCACCTTCACGTTGAACTTGTAGGTGTGCTCAGACTGCAATTTCATATGATGTTATTCCTGCGTCCAGCTCACAAGCGAGCGAATCGCGCACCATCTTTACGATATAAACCTTCCGGCTGGCTACGAAGCGTCGCGTCAAACGTCCGCTCGGTCGACCTGGTATCTCTCTTACCGAGGGGGTGAGATTGCGAGGGTTGGGCGAGGACGGGAGACGTGGAGAACAAGGCAATGTGGGGAACGATAAGGTGCGTATCCGTCGCCTTTATCCCGGAGGCGTTGGCGACATCGTGATCAATCGCGCAATGGCGACGAGTTATAGAAACAACCGCCGGTAGCTAAAAGTTGACAAATACAAATGATCAGTCAGCTACCATTGCTTCTTAGCCTCCTTCAAACGTTCAGAAGCGATACACAAAAGTCAGGATGCCCGACTTGCTGACTGATACAACTTCTAACATCGGAAGGGATAGGCGCAGTTTCTCGATCGAACCATCAGACAGGCGAGAGTCGAGACCGTAGATATGCGAGCCTCCCAAAAATACATTTTCTCCATGACCACAGCCGGATATAGTACCCGTAGTAAGCTCATCGAACAGGTGTACGCATCTCAAGGTGCTCGTCGCCCTCGGTCGCTACTGCCTGCCAGCCAGTGCCCGGCGTGGGCCTACCGCGGATGCTTGCAAACATGTTCGCGAAGAAACCTGATATAAAAGTTACGGGGGTGAGTATTTTGGTGTGTTTGCCGAGGATTATGCGAAGAAGTACCTTGCACTCCTGTAGGTGCTCCTTGGTTTCGTTGTGTAATGTAGTATATAGGGACACCTACGAGCACAAAGCCTTGCCAAAACGTGTTAGGGGATAGAAGACGACGCTGGGGCGTTGACGCACCTAATACAGCCATGGCTTCGAGCGGCGCAGCGATGATGGGCATGCATAGGAGGAAAAGGCACACCTGGCAATGATGTTGTGAGATCCGTGCGATGAAGATATGCATCTGACGTACTGCACAGAATACAAGAGGGGTAATGATCCACGTCTTGTATGGCCGCTCTAGCGTTGGCTCCTTCACACGTAGTATGACGAGGCCGAGAACCTGTCAACAGCCCATGTCACACGATGGAGTGAAGGTTCATGAAGTGCATGGCTTACAGTCAGGAAGTAAAATGCCCAAGAAGCAACTACGGCGAAGTTGATTAACGAGCGGAAGCCGCCCCCAACAAGAATAAATGCGATGGTCAGTGTTGCCTGCAGGCACATCGCATTCAAGGGAGTTTTCAGCCTGGAGTTGTGCCGCCCAAACAGCGCGGGCAAGTATCCCTCCTTGCCGGCCACATAAATCAACCGTGCCGACGTGAAGAATGATCCTGTCATACGTATTAGTGGCTTCATCGCTGACAACAGCTTCGAGACACGAACCATTCAATGCACCAAAGCATGAGAATGCAACCATCGCAGCGAAAACGGCACCACCCACGGGACCAAAGACCGCACGACCGAAGTCTATGGCCACAGTGTTGCTGAGACCGACGGTCGCCTAGAAAAATGTCACTGGAGCTGTGGCATTGTGCAGGAGCGATAAACATACCCTGTCCAGAACTGCAAAGTAGGCTACGTTTGCTAGAATGAACAAGAACTAGTAACACATGAACAATCGTGGAAAATCATCTCTGACGAACCGACGTACCATAACAATCGCCATGCTTGAATGAATCGCACGAGGAATACTTTTCTCAGGATTTTTCATCTCTCCCCCGACGTAGTTGGCTTGATCCCAGCCATCAAATGCCCAGAGACCTGAGTAAAGAGCCAACGCGTACGTTGAGGGGCTCGTGCTTGTGTTTTCGAATAGTGGCTCGGAGAATGACGAGGAAGCATGACCTCTTGCCAGCTGCACGAGACCAATCACAGTAATTGAAACCTAAGAAGGCGCCTTTAGCATCGTCCACACTGGATACATTGTGTATGACATACCAAAGCGGCGATCTGAAAGTCACAAAGTGCATAGTCAGACATCTAAAGCGTCACTCGTTCAAAGATATTGCACACCTTGACGGTCGTGAAAACAACTGCTGCTCGTGTGCCGAGCGTGGGTGTAGCCACACAAAGTACAGATACTAGCAGAACTGCTACAACCGCAGTAATCTTGATTGACCATTGGGGAATGTCATCCGGCGAGATCTCGTCTCGGGTGGTATGCCAAAAGAGGCGGTTAAGGTATTCTGCGAAAATTAAGCTGATCACGGCATTACCCCCTGCTTAACGCATTAAACCAAAAGACGCGCGCATATGGAGATCATGGAATACACACCTGGCTTGAGGGCGGATATAGCTGTCCACGCAAATAGATAAGATACGAGGGGACCGTAGGAGTACTGGAGGTACGCTTGCGCACCCCCATTGACGGGTATAGAGGAGCCCAGCTCCGCGAAACTGCTCGCGCCTGTCCACCCGAGGACGCCTGCCGCAAGCCATACCAGGAGACTAGCACCGACGCTATGCACGTTCGCAACCACCACACCTGGCGAGGAGCTGTGTGCGCATACATTAGCTTCACGGACCGCGCAGTGGGTGCCAAGACTCACAAGATGCCAGAGCCAATCTGCAGACCTACGATGAGGGCAATGCCTGCACAGAGTCACGCAATGCGTATCACTCCCTTGCCGACAAGTCAAACGCTACTCACCATTGACTAATCCCAAACGCTTTTCGCCCGACTCGAGATGGACTTCATCTGGCTCGCTTAGACTCGCACTAAGCGGCAAGAGGTCGTGCTGAAAGTCAAAACCGGACATGGAGTAGGACCGTCCACGATATGGCCGTGCAGTCTCCGCCAATAGAGGCCCTTCAGAGAGCTCTAAGTCGCGTAAAGAATCATCAGATTCTTCTGAGAGCCGTGCGGAACGGATAGAGGGCGAGTATATTTGCTGCGAAGAGGCGCTCCGGGGGGACTTGAGGCTGTCTAGAAGGGTCGCGTTGGGGGTAGGGGATGTCATGCGAGAGACGGAGAAGTATGGGGGGTCGCAGGGGGTCGTCTAGGTGGTACAAGGCGTGGTAGATCGTGAGAGAGGGGGGAAGACAGGCCTTCGGACGAACAGTGAGATGTCCGTGTCGGGACAGAGGTCGACACGTGAACGTGCCGCGCACCTCTTCGCCCCTTCTGGAAAGAGACGCCCACGAAAGAGTGGACGTCCCGATCGCGATCTAGCCAAGATGGGAGACAAGTTTCCGGCTTCCTCGGTCTCTTTCCCACGCTGCACGACGCCCACGTGTTGTGCTCCTAACTCAGCTCAGCCACCTCGTCTGTGTGTCTAGGCTGCGGGCTGCAGCCCAAAGGACAGACCCCTGCCCAGCTGCTGATCAAGTGTTTGCCTCGCCGATGACTGAAGCCCGTCTACTGGACGCAAAACAATGCACATCAAAGGACGATCCGAATGGTACATCGCCGTCTTATGGCATACTTGATGCAGTCAATTTCATTGACAGCGATGACGGAATGGCTGCGCGTCGCGCGCTCAAGATGTGAATGTGCAAGACGGCACACGAAAGCTCGGCGAAAGCAAGGCAGGGTGAAGGCAGAGCTGTGTCATAAACTCTTCGCTTTCTCTAAGAGCGCCTGGGCAATAACAGCATGCACATCTGTATAACGCTCTTGGCAAGCGTCCATGCACTTCCGAGGCCAGTCAGTTTGTGCCCTCAAGACATCACCAAGTATACTCACTTCGAAAGTTTGCTCAGGCGTCATATTGCCCGATTGCCACACACTTGTGACAGTGTCAAGAGCAGGCATACCTGAAAGAATCAGGGTACCAGAGGATATCTTTCCCTCCGCCTCTGTAGGATCCAACCAAATCTCGCCGCCGACCACTGCCTACAGCGAAGATGTATCAGCACAGTTCTCGCTCAAGTGATAACACAAGGATAAACTCACCGCTGAGCATGATGCAACTAGACCAAGCATCTCTACACCTGCGTCGGCAAGAGCGGCACTGGCCGCCACAGATCCAGACGCGATGCATCCTTCAATCCCGTCATTCTCTATGACAGTGATGAATATGTCGAGGGTTGATTTTGGCAAGAGCTCAAGTCGAACGGCAGAGACGAGAGCTTGTTGCATCTGCACTGATACAGCTCGATCTTCAGCGTCCTAAGTCATTGTCAGAAACACTCCCTCAGACAAAGCAGTGCGACGACGTACTCGGATAGGAACCCGGCGGCGAGTACACGAGAAGGGCGCAAATTTCACCTCAACGTTAAGCCGTCCATTCTCGTTGTATGCGGTGTTTTTAGACTGCCGTGGCCCATATCTGCACTCGTATGAGCACGGTCGCTAGATGCAAACGAAAAGAGGCAAACTCACTCACACGGCGCACGCGATTTTTGTCTTCTCCGTCTCTATGTACGCAGACCCATTGGCCTGATTGATCAGCCCTGTCGTTAAGACTGCCCCGGCGCGGAATATCAGGCAGCTGCAGGAGATTTCGCGGGCGAGAGAGACGCACAAATTGGCCTGATGTCTTTCGCGCCCCGCCCTCGCCTGGGAGTCCCTGTCTTCCACGGCTCCTCTTCCTCGTCTAGGTCGAAAACAGGCCGATAGGCTTCGTCGGGGCCGTTGATGCGCCTCCGGTCAAAGTTGCTCTGAGCCATGTCGGGAGTTGAAGTGCAAGTGCAAGTGCAAGTGTGCGCGCCGGCCCGCAGACCTCGGCTCCACTCACGAGTCCCAGTCGTTGACGCCAATTGCAGCCACAGCTTGAATTCCGCCACCACATCACCGCACCCCGCCACCACACGCAACCATGAAGGTCTCGTTCTCACTGAAAGGCAAGGGTACTAAACCCGTCGGCGAAGCTCCTTCGCTTAAACGCACCGCCGCGTTCGCTGCCCTGGATGACGACGAGCCCATCGACGCCGCGCCCACCGCGAAGACAGGGGAGAAGGGTAAAGCCGCGGCGAACAAGCAGTTCATCGCGCAAAGCATGGAAATGTCCAAGGCGATGAAGAAGAAGATGGAAGAGGAACAGCGGGTCGACGCGACTGTCTTCGAGTACGATGAGGTGTACGACAAGATGCAGGAGGCAAAGCTGCGGCAGAAGGAGGCAAAGGAGTCGGACTCGAAAGAGCGCAAGGTACGTCACGCATTTGTGAGGCAGAGTGCCTTCGACCGCTGACTTACTCACCCTAGATATTTGCAGCCCAAGTATATCAGCGGGCTCCTGCAGTCTGCGGCGACTAGGAGGCTAGACCACCTGAGGGCCGAAGAGAAGATGATTCAACGAGAGCGGGAGCTCGAGGGCGACGAGTTCAAAGACAAGGGTGCCTTCGTCACCCAAGCGTACAAGGATCAGATGGCTGAGCTTCGAGAAGCCGAAGAGGAAGAGCGGCAGCGAGAAGGTATGCTCAATCTTGCTAATATTCTTGCATGTTCTCAACATATCCCCTTCCGCAGAGGCCGAACGTAAGAAGAATAAAGGGAATATCGGCACCGGCATGGCTCACTTCTACCGCAAGCTGCTGGAGGAGAGCGAGCAGCAGCACGAACAGACTGTTGCCGCCACCGAGAAGCCAACAATTGGTCCACAGGGGCCTAACCTCACTATCACGAAACCTACAGATTTCACTCCAAAAAGCGACGCCGAGCTCGCCCACGCCGCGCGCGAACAGGGCAAAGAAGTCGAACTCAACGACGACAATCAAATCGTCGACAAGCGCGAACTTCTCTCTGCCGGCCTCAACCTGTCTGCGCCGAATACTCGGAAACTTGGACTACAGCTCTCGAGCAAAGCAAAGGCGAAGGAGGGGGAGAACGTGGAGGCGCATAGGGCAGTGGGCACCGCTGCGAGCAGGAGAGAGATCAACGAACGGCGGACAAGGGAGATCCAGCAGCAGATGGAGGATGAGAAGCGCAGACTGAGGGACGAGCGGGACAAGGAGGAGAGAGAGGCTTTGAGCAGGACAGTGGCAAGGAGGAACGACGAAGCATCGGTGATGAGCGCGAAGGAGAGGTACCTGGAGCGCAAACGGCGGCGACTGGAAGAAGCTGCTGCAGGAGGATGCGGCGAGGAAAATTAAGGCTCCACTGCGACACATTGCTTTCGTCTGCTTGATGACGGATATTGTACGGTGTATGTTATAGATGGTTTCAATTGCGTACATGGAGGAGGTCGTCGCGGTCATTTTCATTGACGCATTCCTACGCCTATGCTAGCTACCATGTTGTCTCCGAACTCGTCATTCAATAGGTCTTTCACAGTGCTTTCCTGCTCCACTACCCATTCGTATGCTTCCAGTAATATGGCATCCGTCAGGGGCACAAAATGTGCCGCCAGTATTCTGATGATATTGCTCACGCGCGAGATCGCCGCTCGTGTGGCATCGTCAATTCGCTAGCAAGTGAGTGAATCATGTAAGAAAAAGTGGTCCAAGTGCAACGTGGTTGCTCACGTCGTTCTTGTTAGAGTATACGGCCTCCGCATCAAATCCCTCTTCTCCTTCTTGCTCGCTTTGCTTGGTGTGCTTGCTGACCCAGATGTAGCCGTTTAGGCCGAGGATGAGGTCCACTCCGCAAGGCAGTGAGACGAAGTGAGACTTCAGTCGACGGATGAGAATTGGTGGGATCGTCACGAGCTGACCGTTTCGCAGCTGAACGTAGGCATGAGCGATGAGCAAAATCATAGTAGCAGAGGTCTTGGATATATGCTCACCTTCCCGTACCGAAGAGAGCGGGTGTGGAGGGACATGGCGCCATCCGCGAAGAATGCTTGGACCTCAGCCACGAGCAGATCGCCTTCTTCGAAAAACGTGCGCATTTGCAGCTCGTCGCTCTCCAATTTTCGTCTCTGTGAAGGGCGTGAGTGTGAAAGCTGAAAAGGGGTGTGTGCTCGTTACGCACTTGTACACCACCGGGCAAATTCACAGATGAGAGCATGAGCACTGCGTCTTGCCTAGAGTTGGCATCGACTTTCCATCTGCGAGGTTGTACCTACGCTACGTCAGGCACACACCTCGGCCCATTTCTGCCAACTCACTTCGGTGATGCGTCCCACTACGAGATCACCAACCTCGGGATTATATCTGCACATGAGAAGTGAGAAGCAGAGCACCCAAGAGAAGAGTAGACACACCTGCTGCGTACGGCACGCACTGTGATAAGCTTGTTTACGCGCTCCACCGTTCCTGCAACGGCCGCAATGACTTCGTCGCTGTCGACATAAGTTCCGTGACCTCTGCAGGAAATGTTGGATTTCGCTATCCTCAATACAACGGCGAGAAGAGACTCACCGCATGAATGCCTGAGAGGACGTTATAGGCTCTCCTGGAACGGTGAGCCTGTACACAGCTCCTTCGAAGTCGTCTTCGTCTTCCATGAGAACGTCTTCTTCGACATCGGGATGGTGTCTTGTTTTGCTATAGCCCCCAGATACATCCGAGGTCGATGGAAAGGATGAGAATGAAATCATCTTAGAGTCTACTAAGCAGGCGTGTAGTTCTCGCAGTGTGCAGCTGCAGACGCGACTGCAGGAGTGGCACTGGGATGTGGGTACTGGCGGGCTTGGGTCCGAAGGAGGGCAAGCTGCGTTTGCAGACGTCCGGGCCGGGCATTTGCCAGTCGAGAACGCGAAGGATCGAGATTTGAGATCTTGAGACTCGGTAACCGTAAGCGCTTGCACAACCAGCTTCCAGCTCCAAGCAACCGTGACGTGCTTCGGTTGTACTCTTCCTCACTCTCCTCGCTCATTTTGCCACCAAAATGTCTTACTACCCCCCACACCAGACTGGGACGAGCTATCCTTACGCCGGGTATCCTCAAGCCGGCACGTACACCCCGCACCCTCAAACCGCAGGAGCATACCCCACCACGCCTTACCAGCCCTACGCACCGCCAACGGCAGTAACAAGCTACGGAACTACGTGGTCATACCACGGCTATAGTTACTATCCACAGCAACATCAGGCCCAGCAGCAAGCGCATGCACAAGTGGCTCAGCCCAAACCTGCCACCACTGTAGCCGCAGCCACTTCCACTCCTGCGACCCCTGCACCTATCACCGCGGCCCCGAACGGTGCAACGACCGCTACGAGGCCCGCTGTTCCATCAACGTACACATTTACGTCGTACAACCGGGACTCTTCCCTGTACACGCGGAGCTCAAAGAAGGGGCCAAGTTATAGGGGACTGTTTGCAAAAGAGCGTGCGTGTTTCGTTCTTCGGAGTATCTATCGTGAGTAGGACGGTCGTTCACACCGCACGACTGAACAGTGCGCAACCTCATGTACGGGTTCGGAGATGACCGCAACCCCGCGAACGACACTGTCAACGTGATGGAAGAGATCCTCATTGAGTACATCATAGACATTGTGCGTGCTCTCCCCTCTTCGCTACATCCCTGGTAGCCAAATTGATAGCCATGTAGTGCCAGTCGGCGTCTGGAGGCGGAAAGAAGTCACGACTGTCGATTGAGGACCTCCGGAGAGCGCTTTCGAGGCCGGCTGACGCGAAGAAGCTGGCACGTATGGAGGAGCTGTTGTTCATGCAGGAAGATATCAAGCGGGCGCGTGCTGAATTTGACGAACCTGACATGCACCCTGCCGGATCATCACAGGCAATGTAATATCATGTATTTGGGCCTGGGACGCTTTCGTGTAGCATACGCACTGCTAGGACTTGTAATCATTACCTCGTAGTCATCATACCCACTGTTTAGATTTGCACCGCGCGCTGAACTGGTTGCAGCACTCGAATGGGTGCTCGATGGGATTTGTGAAGAGGGATACAGCCGACGGCGAATAATAATAGCAGATAGCGACTAGAGAGCCGCGGCCGCATGACAGTTGGAGTGGTTCATTCTTCCATGTCATCGTTTGGCGCGTTTTCGGTTTCGTCCTCTGCCTCGGCCGAGCCTTCTTTTGTACCACGCAGCGTGGCACCTATTACGCCTTGTCAGAGAGTATGTGACGGGGTTTTGAGGTGGCAACGCACCTCCGCTTTGAGCCAGTGGCTTGGCGTATTTACTGAGCCAGTCTTCAGACTCCCAGACTGCAGAGAGGCGGGTAAGCATAGGGAATCATGGACGGGTAAAGATGCGGACTAGCTCTGTTTCCAGCGGCCTGTGTGGGGCCCTTCATAGGACGGGCGAGGTTCACGCGGAGCACGCGACCGTTAAGTTCGTTGAGGTCCATGTTGTCGATAGCATCCTGGGCGTCGGCAGGTGAGGAGTACGTCACGAACGCGAAACCTCGGTGCTTTGTTTCTGCAGGCGCGAAGAAAGCAAAGTTAGAGCACCGAGATGCACATGGCGGCACCATGCAGACCGCTCACCGTTCGGATGGGAAGGGTTGGTCGGGGCAAGCGGCAGCTGTACCTCGATCACATCACCTGGAAAGAAAGATGGGAGGTGAGCAGTGGACCGAGTGCGGAGAGCAGGGACGGACCGAAGGGGGCGAAGTGGGCGAGAATGGCGTTTTCGTCGACGTCGTCGCCGATTCCGCCGACGAAGACGGTTTTCTTGGACTTTGTGCCTTCCTCCATGGCGCGGGCGCGGGGTCAGCCACTGAATTGCACATGGCAAGACGCAGGCCTGCCGAGGTTCCCACGGGCGCTGGGCGTGGGCGTCTGTGCACTACGGCGGTGTGGCCGCTGACGATGGGAAGCGCTAACCGCGCTGGGCAACCCCGCTCTCGCTCTCTGCTCAACGCCCCGTCTCTGGTGTGAGCGGCCGCGCTCGAAGCAGGTCTCCTCTCTTACTTCGTCGCCAGCCCGTCTCTCGTGCGCTGCATGGCCGCCCGCTGCGCCTTATCCGGTCTTTCCTTCGTGCTCGCCGTCCATCAATCCAATCCAATCCCGCACGCCCGTCCCCAGCACCTGCTCCTGCGATGGTCGCGCAACCCACCTGCCATCTTCGTTCGTCTCCCCATCTGTCACCCCTCCTCTCGCCTCTTCCTCCGCCCGCTTCCCTCGGTTTTCATGCACGCTGATACCCCGACTAGCCGGCCTGGGCGGTCATCCGCATCGCTTTCTTCCCATTTACAGCACAATATTCCCCTCGACTCGCCTGCCCTCCCAGCATGCCCGACATAAGACCCCCCTGCCCCGTCCTCTGATCTCCTCTCCCACCCGTACGCGACGCCTGCATGTGTGACGCAGCAGCCTATGGCAGAACCGGCCTCCTGCCACCGCCCCAGCGCCCGCGCCCATCGTCACCCACTCACTCGCCAAGTCCGCACGGATCTCGAGGACGACTCGGACGATGCCGCCTCCGAGACCGCCTCCTCCGAGGACGACGATGACGCCACGAACGCCCGCTTGGCTCCCCGCTGGTATGCCTACCGCTGTCTGCTCGAAGGCCATGGCTTCCGCCTCGAGACCTGCAAGGACGTCAAGCAGTCTTATCACGACTACTGGGCCGCTCAGGCCTCCGAAGGCCGCACTGTGACCAAAGACCTCCCTGGCTATATCCGAGCCTGCCGCGCCCCCAACGAAGACGAGCTTTGCCAAGACGCCGGCCTGGTGAGCCGCCTTGCTCTCTTTTCCTTTTCGTGGGTCCCTGGTCGCCGATCTAATTTGCTCCACTGTCTAGCCCGATCGTCTCTTCCGCGGCACACAATGTGCAACTGGTGCTAAAGTAGTCATCAAAGCAGTACATATACGTAGTCGTGAGCTCGACGTCATCCGCTACCTGTCAAGCCCGGCTGTGCGGAACCACCCGATGAACCATTGCATTCGTTCGTCACTTCCCTTCCGTCGTCATGCGACCATGCTCACACGGGCACTGTAGCTGTCCTTGCTCTCGTGGACGTCCCACAGGACAAGCTCGCGTTCATCGTCATGGAGGAGTGGTGCCCTCAGTTAACCACAACGCCATGCAACCTCGGCCGGTTCTTCCATGCCTTGCGACAGTGCATTGAGGTCCGTGTCGGTGCGAATGCTTGATGTTTGCCCCGCTGATCGGGTCACTCCCAAAACACCCCTTCCTGCCCTGTTTTAGCACATTGCATTCATGCATTCCCAGCGCATCGCCCACCTGGACATCTCCATCCGCAACGTTCTCACCGACTGCCGAGGCCACTACGCTGTGTCAGATTACGAGCTCTCCCATCGTTTCCCCGTTCTACCTGGCGTGGTCCAAACCCCACGCGTTGCGGGGTGCCGGCGAACGGAATGCCCCCCGGAACTCGAGCGTGGCGAGTCGAGCGATCCATACAAGGTGGACGTCTACGGACTTGGCGTGCTCATCCTGCGCGCAATGGATGTGAGTCCCCACCTCTCCCGCTTCCCAGCTCCCCTCGTGCTTTGGCGGCCGTGAGAACGCCGTGTAGCTATATAAGACACCCTATTCATAGCCATCCGCCCCCGCTCCAGCTCACCGGGTACGAGGTCCCCGAGTTGCGTGCTTTCGTCAGGCCTCTCCTCCGGCCAACGCATGAACACCGGCCCACGGTCTCGGAAGCGCTGCTTGCGTTTGACGCGATGGTAGCCGTATTCGACGCTGCAAGGCTCGCACAACTGCCTCGGCTGTGTCACTGATTGGGACAAGGTCCTCAGGATCGCAACTTGTATAGGGACCCTTGAATGCTTTGTGGTGAACCGCTTGTCTTTTAGAACGCACTCGATGCATTGTCTCTGTAGCATACCTTTATACATATCTCGATGATACTCACACAGTGTGATGTGAAGTACATTGATCATGGGACTGCATAAGCCAAGCGCTAGGCCCCTAGTATGCGCTATCTTACAAATAAACCTCCACCGCGAACAATTAATCGGAGTCGTCGCCCTTCTTGCCCCTGACCTCCAAGTTGTGCGCATCGTTCATCATGGTCTTGAGCTCCTGCCATTGGAAGTTGATCACCTGGCGCTCGTCCAACCAGTCCATGATCGCGTCCGCGTCCTTCAGGTCCCGCGGAGGCTGCTTGCCTTTCGCGTACGCGACCTTCACAAAACTCCGGTCTGCTTGAGAGGCTTTCAAGGAGTCGACCTCCTCGCGCAATGCATGGAAGAGATGATACTAAGATGGCTGGTGAGCGACTCATGCACTAAGGACTTGAACGAGTAGTTATACCTCCCAATGGGTGAACCGATGGTACGTCCGAGTCCGCTTCGCACAGAAACGTCCGAAAACGAACTCCTTCTTCTTGCTCGATTCCTCAGACCCTTCCTCCTCGCTGCTGTCTGTCACTTCCTCGGGAAAAGACTGAGCAATCTCACTCAGCAACTCGGACCACTGCGAAACGCCAAATGGACAAACCTGATATGTCAGAGATTCGTAAGGCAGTCCGCTGAGCCTCCCTTGTTTGGTCGATTTACGGGAACCAAGATGGCATGCGTCGCAACCAGGGACTGTGAAATCGAGGAACTGCTCTTCGTAGTCCGGATATCTGTTCAAGGCCTTCCGGAACCAGGGCTTCCAGGTAGAACCTGCCACGATGGAGTCTCGCATGCCTTCAAGCTTCCTGCGTGTGATCTTGAGTGGGACGGAAAAGTATTGTTCTATCACATTGTCATAGACTGGTATGAGGCACGAACACGAAAGAAACATACGGCGCTGCAGCTCCAACGCGATTTGCTCTCGTTCTTCTTCTTCATGAACGGCTATATGTACGAACATTTGGCACACAATCTTGAAGTGGTGCAGCAGGTCTTGGTAACTTCCCATGCTGAACTCCGGGGGCAGCTCCACCAACTGACTTGTGTCATCCTCCACGATGAACGAATCATTGAATTCGTCTCCACGAGAAGATTCACCCTCATCTTCGTCTTCATCTTCGTCGCCGTTGGCGTCCGGGTGAGCATGAGGAAACGGTGCGTCGTCGTACTGATCCTCTTCTTCCTCTTCAGACGCCGAGGACTCGGTTGCTTCGCCACGCTTCTTGCCTGTGTACGACACGAGTTTAAGCACTTTGCGCAAGCTGCAAAAGCTTTTCCACCTACGCTTCAGCTTCTCCAAGGTCTTCTGGAAGGTAGAACGTTTATCGCGCTTCCTGAAACGGGACGTGATGATTCCTAAGGAATATTGAACTTTGTTGTCACCAAAGCAATCCATCCGACGTACTCTTCTCATCTACCTCGTCCATCAAGTCCTCTGGGCTTTGCGGACGCTCCTTCGTAAGCTTCCCTCGCTTTCTGGGACGTGGGTCCTCCTCTTCGTCCGAGGCTACAAGCACGGGAGAACTCGCCCTCTTGACCAGCCTTCGTTCGGTCTTCGCGGCAGCACCTTCATCATCGTCATCACTAAACACCATCCTCGAACGTTTCTTGCCATGACTACCAGATGACTTGGCAGGAGATGGGTTCGCGCCTTGTTCTTCGCTGCTGTCGGATACCTCGATGATCCCGGGCTCAAAGCGAATCACGCCTGCGTCGCTGCTTTGGCTGCTCTCTTCGTCAAGGGGGATTCGTGAAGGGCCGGGGGAAGCTGCTTTCGCGGTGCGTCTCGCAGTCTTCCGTTTCGCCGGCGCCCGAACCTTCGACTGAGCGACCCATGTTCTCGGCTTTCGGGTAGGGGAAGGGTTGCGTCGAGGGCTGGGTGCAGGCGGGGAGCTGGAGAGGAAGGCGTCAAGCTTCGCCTGTGTCCGCTGCTTCTGCGTGTCGGCCGTGCTTCCGTGGCGAGGCATGACGTGCACAGCAGGAGTAGTGATTCACAAATCCGCGAGAGAGAGATGAGAGTAGGGCAATAAGTAGCTAGGGAGCAGTAGACGCACGTCGTGTCGCTCTGCCGCCTGGACGCGTTTGGCGATTCCATCACGTGATTTGCGCGATCACTTCTTTGTCGGGCGTGCCAACCTGTGTCGGGACCGCTGTCTCTCGATCTCCTGGTTTCGCCAAGTCGCAAATATGCTCGGAGCTTGAACACGACACTCTTTGCTTGATTTCATCTACGCTTGACTGCCTCCATACCGACACGCCATCTGCACAGCTCGCATTCATGTCGACTCCTACCCTCCGTGTGGATACCGCTTCGGCCAGCCCGTACGTAGTCGGCAACTCTTCATCTCTCTCCCCGAGCTCTCCGAGATCTCCATTTGGAACATACACAAGAGACCGTGCCCGAAGCATATCTCAAGCGGTGGGCCTGCCCTCCTTCCGCATCTCTGGCGACACCGAACGGAAGTCCTCCGAAATCTCAAGACCTCAAGCAGCCGGCAGCAACCCAGGATTAAACAGGGCGCGCAATGAGTCGCGTAAGCTGTTGGCGCACATCCTTTCGCAGCTACAGATCAGGCCAGTTCCTCCTTCGTACCTCAGCACACTTGCGACCGGTCAACCCCAGAATGAGAAGGGAGGAGGCTCTATGTTTAAAAGTGTCAAAGGGGCGGTCAAATACACTGGACAGCTGCGCGGGCGACGGACGCACCAACCTGTCCCGCAAGAAGACGACGATTCCGAAGACGAGCTGGCGGACGGCTTCTATACGGACACCACAGTAGACCTCATGAATCAGCTCAAAGACGTGCTCATGCTGTCGATCGCGCACAACTGGGATATCTTTTATGACAGGTCTGTACAACTTGCTAAGCGTTTTTGTGTGAGACGCTAACCATTTCCCTAGCAACACACAGACCCAAAGGAGCAATAGCGACAGGCTGAAAGATGCTTTTCGACGCCGGAGAAGCTTGTCCGTCGGTCGAAATTCACGTTCGCGTTCTCCATCGGCGGACCCTGGGGACTCAGAGGCTGTCCGCGCACCAGAGCTTCTGTCTCAATGTATCTCAATCCTCGCGTCCATCATTGCCGAAGACTGCCGCTACAAAATCTCTTCTCCTCGCCCCTCCCTCCCACCCAACGCCCTCCAGTTCATTTCGCTAGACGTCGCGCGGTTCCTCTTATACACTCATCGCCACGACCCACGAGTCGTAATGCAGATCGGATTCGCTCTGCTCCCGGCCTTCTTGACCTTTGGACTTGAGATGCAAACGCGGCTGCTCGCATTCATTGACGAAGGCATCGTCGGCACGTTATTAGCAGACTTGAGGAACCTGCAGGGGACACGCCAGTTGACATCGCCTCCGGCAGGTGCGAAGTCTTGCTATGTGAGGAGTGTCACGAGGCTGAGTTTTTCTTAGATGGGGCATACAACGACCCGTCCAACGATCCGCCTATGGTTTCTATCCTGGTGGACGAAGTGAAGGAAGAACGAGTCTCTACTCCAACAGGGCCGTCGTGGCGACGATGGACTCAGGCTTTGTCGCCCGAAGACGTTGCGCTGCGGTCCACGTCTGCACCTTTGCAAGACATTGCCATCTACCACCTTTCTTCGGTGATCCCCACTGTGCTCGCCGCAATTCTGGAAGGCATCGACTTGGCGTCCGCCAACTCGTCTGTACTGCACAGGTTCCATAGGCTCTTCAGTAGTATCGCCGAAAGCAAGCCTGACGCGTACCTCGACGTCCTCGCAGTCATTGCATACCACACACCTCGCTCGCGTTATACTGCTATCAGCCTCCTTCTCTCCTACTGGCCGCAGTCGATCGGACACCTGACGGTCAGCAAGCCCTTTCCCACCATCAGCTACCAAGACGCGATCGCTCGCGAAACGCAAGGGGTCACCATTGCCCGAAGACAGAACACGCACCCATACGCACACCAGTTCGTCCCCTGGCGTTTTGCCCGTCCAGTTGGGCCGAATATATTCGCTGGCATATCGCAACACGACTGTCATTGTTGCTCGAACGTCATCGAGGGCTTTGGTCTGCTCTGTTCATTGTGCTTGTGCATGGTCCACTTTGACTGCTATGACTACCCCGACGGGAGCTTCTTCACACAATACAGCGTCGCCGCGGATCCAAGCCTCCAGAAGGTCGCCGTGCACCGTTTCTCCCATATCCTGGCCCACCGACATTCACACGGCGCCGAGGTTGTACTCAAGGAGAACCACGCTTTCCGCCCTGTCAACTTGTTCAGTTTGACGCTATGCTTCATCTGCAAGAAACCATTATGGGGGTCGATTGCTCAGGCAATGAAGTGCGGCGCTTGCAAGCAATTCGTTCATTCGTCGTGTCTGACCTGGGCCTCGTCTGGAGAGCTCGTGCGCTGCAGGTCGGCCACCATCGACGACACATACATGACAATCTCGTGGAGGGAGCTCCGACAATCCTTCGCAGACCACTACCGCGAGATCTTCCTCACCGAGGCCGACCTTCCTCTTCGAACATTCGAAGAGCTTTCCGTCATTTTGTCGGTGCTCTGGATCCAGCAGCAGATCCTCAACAACGGATTGGCACTAGGTTCCATGGTGGTACAACAGGACAACCCATCATTTGACGAAGGCAAGTTGGACGAATTCGAGCTGCATTACCTGGTGGATCTCTTGGAAGCATATCTTCGGTCGCGTACTCCCGCGGTGTCGCCCGCTCTTTCCGACCACTTCATCGAAAATAACATCCGCGCCTCTGAGCCAGAAGCTCACATCTTCTTCAATTGGAACGTCCTTGCCTTCGTAACCAGTATCGTCAAGACGCCGCCTACAACCCTCGACCCGATGCCTTCTGGAGACTTCCTGTTAACCCCCAACGGACCACAAGATAGAGATGGTTCGCTCGAAGACAGCTCATACCCCTTCGAGGTCGCTACTCTGGCACATCTCCGAGACCAGCTCGGGGATCAACTCGATCTCCGCTCAGAAGCCACCGCCAAGTACCTGCTGACCCACCTTTTCCATCTTGGCTTTTTCCAGCGCGTAGACTCTCATGGGCGACTCTTCGACGGTAGCCCTCATCCAGAACGTTTGTTATGCTCTTTCCCTATTCCCATGGGACTGGAGGTCTCCACAGAGGTTGAAACACTTGTATCTGCGATCGAGGCATGTCTCCAGGATATTAACCTTTCGGTCAACGAGACGGGCCTTCTGTTGCTAGTGCGGAGGTTCTGGCCCGATGGCATGCTCACCGAGTACGCTTTGAGGCGCTTGACCAAGACCGTACTTGCATGGGTCTTGTCCGAGGTGAGCACTGCGCTCAATCATTGATTAGCCCCTCTAATGCCTATGTAGGATGACGACCTCGCCACCATGCTACGAGACTACGTTGCACGCGGTCTCAGTCTTCCGGGTGTGCGTTCTGGCGCGGGGGAGCAACCTTGGCCTCAGTCAACCCAGTCGCGACCTGCTGGGGCGGGCTCAGCCAACAACGGAGGAGATTACATCGCTGGAAGGCGATCATTGTCAACGCGTTATGCTGCCAGGTGGCTTTTAGCGCTTCACGACCAGGATATCAACAACTACTCCGTCATAGTCTTCGATTTGCTCGTCGAACAGGCAAATGAGCTTCCAGTAGGTGACGACTTCTTTCTCGGTAAAGGATACGGAGGCGACCAAAGGAAGGAAGCAATCATAACCGAGAAGATTCTCCTGCTTATTCTGAAGCTGAGCCAAGCATCAGTCCTCTTCACCTCGTTCGACGACCTCTTCCAAAAATGGTTGGAACGTGCCTCTTCTCTAGATGTCGACAAGCAGCAAGTGAGTGTAATGGATGTTTGCCTTCATACTTCAACTGACCCTTGTTCAGCCGCTCGCCTCGCTGTCACGCTTATTCAATAGAGAGCTTGACACAGCTTCTCAACGATTCAGCGCGAGCGTGATCGAGCCTCGGCTGTCCATGTCAGAGACACCGAGTATGCTGACCACTAATCCCCTCAAAATCATTGTCGATATCGCGAACAAGTCGTACGAGGGCTACGACATGACACTACATTGGCTCTGTCTCTTCGTCCGGTCAGGGGTTGAAATCTCGGGCCAGACATTTATGCAGCTTGTGAATCTTGGAAACAAGTTCGGCGTTTCTTTAGAAGTCTGCACACTCTTGATCAAGGCAGCGCTATGGTCGACGTGGTTGAAGTCAATGGGACGTCAAGATCTTCAGACCGTAATCGCGGCTATCCATACAGGGATTGGGCCACAACTTGTTCAGTACCTTCAAGCTTACCATCGCGTCGAGGACGTGTGAGTTGCTCCCTGATATCATTTCAGACCTGACGATGTACTTATTTTGGTTTAGGCTTCAAGTTATCAGACAGTCACTCGCGACATGTCTTCTCCTTTACGGCTGCGACCGAACATATTTGCAAACCTGTGGCATGATTCTGGAAGATGAGGTGAAGGGGCTTCCGTCGAGGTATGTGAACTATCCTTCATCATCAAATCACAATGCTGAAGACCGCATGTAGGAGAAAACTTCACGCTCGCAACCAATCGGTGACAGACCCTATTATCGTCAACTCTTTGATAATCGACGCTTTGCGTACGTACGTTGAGACTGGGCTGCAGGAAGTTTCTTGTGTCGCTGCCAAGTTCTTGGACGCCTTTATGCACCATGCAACACTGGTGGAGTCTTACGAAGTTGACAACTTCGTTCTACGAAATGGATCATCGCTGAGCACTTGGTAAATTCGCTTCCTTCACCCAAACCATCTCATCTTTGGTAAACCTCGGTTCATAGCATCTGGCAATTCTATGGCGTACAAGCTTCACAAATATCAACGATTCGCACTTCTCTGTTGCTACGTGTTCTTGTTGTAGACCCTCAACCAATGCAGCTGCTTCTGCAAGACACATTCGAGTTCAAGGGTAATTGGGAGGCTCGGTAAGCGCGACGTGCGGATAAGCTATTTCGAGCCTAATCTCAGTACTGCAGGCTTCAAGCTGTCGTCAAGCTCTTCCGCATCGTCGAAGATGTCACGAGTCCAGCATTCAATGTCGAAGACCGACAGTGGCGGTCAAGCGTCAATAGTATCTTCTACTACTTCTTCAGAGCTCTCTGGGAAGATGATCATGTATGTTCGCTGGTTTCCAGACATGCAACCCATTCTGACAAAGGTAACGCAGGAGGAGATTCGACTCTGTGTGGACACCTGGACACAAAGCTTGCTCCGGTGCCCACTTTGAGGCCATCACACTGTGCTGGAACGAAACACTGACGAAGTCACCTGTTGCTGAGAGAAGGAAATTGGTCTCGTTCCTCAACCAGCTCCGGCCCCACTTCCCTCATTGGCCTTGTGCGTCGCTCGAACACCGCGCATGGACCGCAGTGAACTCACAAACAGGTTCGAAGTGTTATCGTGGCAAGTTTTGCTGGAAGCCCTACTCGAAGCAGAGTTCAACCAGCGGAATGGTGACGACGAAGAAGGGCCTATGTCAGCCCATCTGGTAGAACAACGATCATTGCTCCAGTGGAGACTGAGACTGACACATCCCTCAGTCAATGTATGGGCTACCCCCAGACTCACGGAAGACTATGCTTATTGATCCGGATTTGTTGTCGCTCCAAGTATAGACCTTGACATATATCTTGACGACTTTGTACTAACGTAATCTCAGAATTCCCTCATATCACTCGCTCTGCGGATGGTGGCCGATGGCATCCTCATCGACGTCGTCTCCATGCTCAAGCTTAAAGACCATCTTGCGAAGACGATCGGATACGCCGAGGTAGCGATGCTATCAACCGGGCAAGCTGGAAGCATCTACGTTCAGTTCGGAAGCTTGAACTCGATATCGGAGGCGGCGTACCCGTGCTTAAACGAGCTCATGCTCTTGCTGGATTCCCCACAACCGTACAACCTCACCTCTGCGACCATGGGCGCGAAATATATCGACGACGAACCCGCCTCGACTCTGCTTGTCGGATCCGTTTTCGTTGATCTCTTCCTGGACACGTTCGTACGATGCTACAAGATCGAGACACTTCCGGCACTCACGCTCAAGAACATAATGAGGTCATTGGTCGTGGTGATCTACAAGCACGATTTCGATAGCAGGCCACTCAAACCGCTCCAAGCCGTGCTGCGAAGGGCCGTCAGGAGAGCATTGGATCTCCTAGTCGTGGATCTGAGCTACGACATCCGGCAGCTTGTGTTGACGGTAACGCATGCGTTCATCAAGAGGTGGCCAAATCTTGTTGGGAATCTAGTCGTGTAAGAAAATCGTTCAATGTTGTTTGGTTGCTGATACTGAGAGAACGATGACAGCGAAGCGATTGAAATTGCAATGGACCTCTTGGAGAAGATGGACTACCTGCAACATGGCGATGATATTCTCGTCGACCAGACCAAGAATTTCGTGCGGACCGAGCTCGCGCTGTAGGTCAATTTGTTAAACCGTAGACACGAATATCGCTCAAATTCTCGCACAGATACGCATTCAGTGGTGTTTTCCACCTGTTGTGCAAGGTCAGTCGTCCAGCCTAAATTATTACTCTTGTACCTATTCTCACAACTCCCAACACACTTTAGAGACCACGCACACCAGAATTCTTCGGCATCATCAAGCAAGTCATTGGACCGCATGTCCTAGCCGAGCATAATCAGTATCCACATGAGACACTGCGAGACGGGCTCCTTCGGGACACCCTCACGCGAGCCGTGGAGGGCGACGACGAATCGTTTCAATCCATAGTCAACAACCTCCACACCTACGTTGAGGTCGTACATCACACCGACTACAACCTTCCCCTGATGCAATGTGAGTATCGATCCGAAGATCCGTGTGACAAAATTTCTGATAAGTGTGCAGTTGTTGGCCTGACACTGGCCAACTTGACGCGGAAGACGGCTGACCTTAGCCTTGCCCGCTTCGACCCTAGCCCCTTGCTTATGCTCGCATGCCTCCTCATCCAACATAACAAGGCGCATAGTAGGGTAGGCATCTCAATGTCTATGTATCACTGTCCTCGTGTGCTGAAACCTGCCTCCAGGATCTCCTAATGTACTTGGAGACGCTTCTTCGCTCCTCTCTCGTTCGGTTCAACGTCTCAGTCTCGAGCATGCGCCGCGTCTTGCAAGTCACCACGACCCTCTACAGGAGGGCCGCCAAAGCATCCGGCACGAATGCGGATACGACCCTCGTGAACCCCATTGCCGGAGCCATGTTCGAAATTACGAAGGATAGTCTCAACCTCAAGGCGCGCGTACTCCCCGCAACGCTTGCGGCGTTGGTTGATGCGCTTACAGCCAACCCCGCGCCCGAAAGCTCGCCGGTCAACTTCGTCCCGCTAGAATCACAGCTTCAGTTGGCGTACGACGGAGTGTTCTACTTATACCAGGAAAGCACACTCGACGGTTTGATGCATTCGGACTTTGCGACCTCCCAGTCCGTCGCGAAGATGATCATCCAGGGCGCAGAGATTCAGCCTTCGCTTCTTCAGAACTTGTCGGTTGGTGCTCACCGCCAACTTCCAGGCCTGAATCTGCTTGCTAAACTACCCTAATACTTGCAGAAGAACCCGATGACAGTACGCGTGTGGAATATCTTCGCCCTTGCCGCACTGTCGCGGCCTACTGGTCAAGCCGCCGCACTCCTCTTCGAGCACTTCATGGTCTTTTCGCTCGTATATAACACCTCCCTCGCCCCTTACCACAACTCGAGCTGGCCGGGATACGACACTCCGGACGGACAAGACCGTGCACACGCAGACGTGAGCTACGCGTACGCGGCGATCAAGCTCTGGCTCCTTCTCGCCCGCAAAGCTGCCTCCATCCGTCCTGGCGCGGTGGATGAGCAGGGGTCATGCAAGACGGGGAGGGTCTCGCAGCGGGAATTGTGTGGAACGAACTCTGGCCACCATTCGAGATCGTGCTGTCTACATTCGAGGTCGACGCCCAAAGCGGAAACGCTTCGGTAAGTCTTGGCTTCAGCGACTCTGCCAAACTCAACGTTAACGTGTCTGGCAGCCGCTCGCGTCAAGCCTGTGGACCGCCGTGGGCGATTTGTTCCTCTTTGTGCGGCAGTCTCGCGCAGTGATCGCGCTGGACACGGCCCTTCCTTTGCGTGTTCTGAACGGGATCAAGGACATTGTCCGCGGGGAGTCAAAGGTGAGACTGCACCTGCGTTGGTCACAACGGACTCTGACGGATGGGACTGCAGGTGGCACGAATCGCGAGGAGCTTGAAGGACCCACCGCCCGACGATTCATTAGATTACTTCGTGAATCAAGTGCTGACGGAGTTGACCGCGGAGGAGAAGCTGCAGGCAGCCAAGCGACAGATCAATATGGAACGGAGCAGGAGAGCTGTCGGTTGATGACGGTTCGTTTGACACGATGTTTTATTACGACACTTGATTCCGGGATATTGTATTACATGGACTTTTTCGCACGTTCTGTTTCGAGTTCTTTCGCTCCGTCCTGTATAATGCGAACTCCAAGAAAGAGACCTATGGCAGAGATTCCGAGAATGACGATGAAGGTAACGATGCGCATCGCCCACTCTCGTGCCGGGAACCAGGCATGAATGGGGGCGGATTCGTCGAAGAAAGGCTGCAGGGAGAGCCTCAGCATGGCAAGGATCGGACCGCGAACCACTTACCAAGAGCATAGTCCAGAAGGTGTAGTACAGGAAGGTAACGGCTGCGGCCAGGAGCAAGACGCTCCCCCGTGCTTTGTCACTCATTGCCTGGAATATGCTGTCAAGGTAACATTTGAATGCACACAAGGGAAAAGTACCATTTTCTGGGACCTCCTTCCCTCTCCATACGCGAGGATCGTGGTTGTGGTTGGAGGAAACCCCACCGCCGCCCTCCAGGAATAGGTCAGACGCCCATGACGCACAGACGCCGGGCCGCCCCGCCCGGACACGTCGCGTCGCGCGCAGTTCTGCAACAGCCTGGACGGGACAGCATCCAAGCCTCCTCCCTCCGCCTGCTGCCAGCCATGCTGCTGCTCCCCTTTCTCTCCCTTCTAGCCCTTCCTTTCTGTCTCGCGGCCTCTGCAGACTCGGCGTACGAGCAGCTCACCAACCTCGCCAAGTCCAACAATGGCCTCATCAAGCTCGACGACAAGTCCTACGGACTTTTGACCCATGCCAAACGCAACTGGACCTCCTCTGTCCACTTCACTGCCCTCGATCCGCGGAGACGATGCGCGCCTTGCAAGTGAGCCCTCCGCCCCGTTTCGTGTGGGGTCAAGTGTCTGAACGAAGCGGACTCTAGGGAGTTCGACCCTTCGTTCACCACTGTAGCAAAGGCATGGAACAAGGTCCCCGCCAGAGACCGCAGCTCGCACTTCTTCGCGACAGCAGACTTCGACTCCGCCATGGGCGTCTTCCAGAAGGTGCGCGCACCGTGCATGTCAGACGGCCGTCCGCTCACAGCGCACAATGTGCGCATACAGCTCGGCATCCAGAGTGCGCCGGTCGTTCACATCTACCCCGCTGCCGAGGGCCCACGCCGTCCCGCGAACGGCCGCATCTCTCCCATCGTCTATGACTTCTCCAAGTGAGTTGCCCTTCCCTTCGAGACATGCATGCGCACCGTTCAAACGTATCGCTCGCCAGTGGCTTTGACGCGGGTCCGCTCGCCGAGCAGCTCTCCGCATGGACTCCCGTCCCGATCCCGTACAAGGCCCCCATCGACTGGGCCAAGTACGGCACCACCGCCGGCTTCGTCCTCATCGCGCTCTCCAGCATCCGCATCATGCTCCCCGTCATCCGCTCCCGTTGGGCATGGGCCGTCGGAATCGTTCTCACCTCGCTCGTCATGACCTCGGGCTTCATGTTCGTCCGCATCCGTGGTATGCCCCCCTCTGGCCAGGGCGGTCAGTGGATTGCGCAGGGCTACCAGAACCAGTTTGGCCAGGAAGTCCAAGTCGTGTCCTTCGTCTGTGAGTCCCTGATTCCACACGTTCAAGAGCACTTGCTGACGTTCGCGATGCCAGACGGTCTCCTCAGCGCGTCCTTCCTCATGCTCACCCTCATCACACCCTACCAGAGCAGCCCGGCGCGCCAACGGCTCCAGGTCTACCTCTGGTCCGGAGTCATCTTCGTCATGTTCTCCGTCCTCATCTCCCTCTTCCGCGTCAAGAACCGCAGCTATCCATTCAAGCTGCTCTTGTAAGCGTAGACTTGGAGAATGTAAAAGCCTTGTTTGCGAGACTATCTACTGGCTACTGTTGCATGACGATGTGCCAATGCGTGAGGGAAGGATGAAAAATGTACATGTGCGTGTGCGGAGGGCAGAAACAATCATATGATACCATAAAGCGCCTATCGGAAAGGCTCACAGCGACACAAACAGTGCAGACGACAAGACGGTGAAGCGTAGCGACGGCTTGAAGACTGGATCACGCTCCACCTCCTTCCTGAGAGAAGACGTCGACGTAACGGCTACGCACGTTCCGCTTGCCGGGCGCACCCCTGCGAGAACCCGTTGGAGGACCAGCCCCAGGCGGTGGTGTGCCTGATGTCGGAAGGGGCGAAGACGGCATCGGCGGCGTCCCGTCAGCTACATCGCTCGGGACGAGATTCGAGCGCATGCGTGTCGGCGGCCGGCGAGGGGGCTCTGCGGTGGGATCCATGGGCTGCGTGGTCGCCGGTCGTTGAGGCGGAGGCGGCACAGTGAGCGGCGAAGGCGGCGGCACAGCGCCCAGCTGTCTACCAGGGGACGCAGTCTGCGCACGTGGAGGCGGGGGAGGCGGTGACGACTTCGCGGCTTCAGCTCCACCCTAGAGAAGAAGGGTCAGCAATGACTCGGAGGCGATGATAAAATCAAGACACTCACAGTGTTGTTGACCCAGCGCTTGAGTTCCTTGTCGTAGTAGAACGACGACTGCTCGCCAAGGTTTGCCTTGACGGGTCCAGGTGAAGAGCTATCGCGCTTGCCTCCCCAGATACGACTGAGCCAGCCGCCTGATGCGGTCTGCTTGAGATCTGCACGACAATTAGTGTTTGACGAGTTGGCAGGAGAACGTTTCCAACGTACCTGGCTTCTCGGGTTCGGACTTGCGCTTTTCTTCTACTTTGGCCGGAGCTCCATTGGTCGCAGCGGTATCATCCTTCTCGGGGGCGTTCTTCGTCCGCGACGACGAGTTGCCCAGACCAAGGTCGTCGTCGTCATCATCATCATTGTGCGCTAGACGGGACATAGAGGTCTCCTGCCTCGGCGTGGCAGACTGCATGGGGGAGTCTATGAGCGAGAGGAATCCAGATGCGGAAGTTGAGGAAGACGGTTGGTCGTCCAGGGTCACGAAAGACGTTGCGGTCGGGGTCGATGCGTCCGACTCCGATGTGCCCCACCACGAGCCAGTGCTCGGCGGTTTTGAGTGTGAGGAGTTGCCTCCTGACACGTCACCATGGGAATAACTGCCCTCGGCCTTAAGATGTGATGAAGGCGCGGGAGCATAACCGTTTCCGTACGGGCTCCGTGCCTGTCCGTATGGCCCTGCATCAGCAAAGGTGGCTGCGTTCGCGGACGCAACACGAGCGATAGGCGAACCACCACGCTGGAAAGGTGGACGTACGTGGTCCATTGCGGACGCGGCTCTGTTTATTTGGATGTGATTACGGGAGGGAGGGCGCGCTGAGCCCATGGCAGAGCCCGTGCGGAAGGGCGGTGCGAAGTTCGGGGTCGAGGCCTCCGTCAGGTCTGTGACGGACTGATGGGGTGATGGGTACGCGGATGTCGTTGCTGAGGAGATGGAGCTGTAATTTGCGAACGGACCACTGTAGGGCTGTTGCTGCTGCTTCGCCATCTTGCCTTCCTCTGGTAGAGGTGAGTCGCCCTCGCCGGCAATGAACTTGGTGAAGCGACCTTCGAGCCAGTTACCGATACCATCCAAGCTGGGCTTGGCGAGCTTGCCACCTATCCAGGCGCCATTCCTCTCGATCTGCGGTGTTGCAGTAAGGCGGTCTGATAAGCCCTTCAGTTGCTCGAGGAAAGTGATGTTGATTGAGGGTGTGCCGCGGTTAATGCAGGCCGTGATGGCTTCACAATACCTGTGGTATATTGAGCTCTAGTGTGCAGAATCAAGGTACGAAGAAAGCCTACCTGTTCGCCAACTGGACATGTCCGAGCTCCGCAAGATTGTTCGCACGAATGAGCCGGTACGGTTGCAAGTGAGGGAACCCGATAAACTGCTCCATTCCCTTCGTCGGGGCGGCCAAAGACATCGCGAACTCGAGGATCTCCGAGAACACTATGTGGTCCGAATCTCTGTAGAATAGCGGAAGGCTTGTGGGAGCAGGACTTCCCAGCAGTGTCAACCGTGGGGTGCTTCCAAGACCAGCAAGGGGAGAAGTCTGCGGAGAAAGCATGTAGCTGCAAAGTCATTAGAGAGGGGCCCAAACAGCTGGTAGCCGTGATAAATACCATATATGCGCTGCCTCTGTCCACTGGTGAGCGAGCATTTGATCGCCCAATGCAGTAAGGGCCGCAGACGACTCAGAAGTCATTGGATTGGACATGATCATTGCTGCCGTCTTCGCCCATGGGGCGAGTACCTCAGGCGCAATATTCAGTGGCTGAATGGTCGGGAAGTTCGGCGTCAAGGGCGTGACAGTCGTGGGGGGTTGAGGTATTTGCAGATTACTGTTGCTCCCAGCTTGCAGCAGCAGCGACTTGGGATGTACCAGCTCTTGGACTATGGAAGCTTTAGAAGAAGAGTGGGTAGATCAAATAGGATATCCATACCTGCAGCAGCACCGTTCCCACCAAACAAGCTATATGCGACTCGCAGTGGCTCTCTCGGCACCGTGGTTGTTTCTCCCTGGCCGGGCTCCGAGACCAGCTCCGCGCGAATCCATTCCGTTACAACCTCTTTCCAGCACTCCTTGTCGATACTACTGGCGATGAGGAGAGCATGTGACCAGAGCTTCTCATCAGCAGCGTAGTGGCATGCTCCTCGGCGGTCTCCTCGAGCCAGCAAGTCCTGTATCTTGTCCAAATGTGACGACCGAACAACAGTTTTCACGACAGTCTGGTTCTGGGTGTTCGGAAGAGCGGAGCTCATGGAGTAAGCATTCGACAAGATCTCAGTGGACGTTGCTGGGATCATCGTGGAGCTGCCAGACGCGGAGTCCGATGTTATGCCATCCGATGGCGCCAGAGCAGCACGAACCGCAGCATCGATTTGGTCACTGGGTCGTCCTTTGAGCACAAATCTCACAGTTGCATCAGAGTGACGGCTTACCTCCCCGACAAACGACCATCGTTGTCAACCATGACCTTCAGCAATAACACCATGATGCGCTTTGCCTCGGCTCGACTCCTTTCCACCGTACCCGGCGAGTGGTACCCCAGCCCGGCAGCCATCTCGTCAGCCCGTTCCTCCAGGTACTTCGCAACCTTGAGCTTCTTGGCCTTCTGAGCTTGTGCGCCTGTGCGCACCAGACTCGTGGCATTCGGGGTCCCAGGGTCCGAAAACAGTGGTCCAGGGTACGATGTAACAGACACGTCCATGACGGACTCCGGGATGATTTTGCCCAGAGTGTGAATCTTGATATCCGTGGATTGGCGGGAGGAGAGCGCGACGTCGAAGCCGGTATTCATGTTCGCTCCGTGGAAACATGTCACGATCTTCCCGCCGAAGCCGAAGCTAATGACCGGAACGCGGGCAGATGTCCTACCGAGAGGGTCGTTGGTGCCCAAGAGCGACGGCGAGGGCGCATAAGCGGACGAGTGCACAGGGGTAGCAAGCGTGACGACCTGTGCCCCCGCCCGATCGTAGGTTGGCACAGGGGCTGACTGCGTGGGCACTGCGAAGCTGCCGTATATGTGCTCGCTTGACTGCCGAGTAGGATGGCGGGAAGGCGCATACGGATCTACAGAGGACGTGGAATACATGGAACCGTTCGACATCGCACGGTCACGCGCCATCGACGGACCGTTGGGCTTGATTAACGGTGAGTACGGGTCGTACGTGCTGTGCTTTGAGGCAATGGATCCCGCAGGTGAGGCGGCGCGCTTGAGATCAGCCACAGCTTGCGTCTCGTAAGGACTTGAGTATGTCGACCTCCGCGACTGACTAGAAAGAGGCCTCGCCATGACAGGCGAGGTGTTGGCAACGGAATCCCTCCGGGGTGGAGGTTGGTAGCCTTGGACATGGCCGCTTGCCACAGAGCGTATGGAGGAAGCACCTGGAGACTGCGCCCTCTCCGACTTCGGCGGAGGAGCGTAAGGATCATATGCCAAGGAAGATGCCTGTGATGTGAAGTGAGGAGCAGTGCTCGATGATCGAGGGGGTGAGAACGTCTTGTCAGGTGAGGAAGAGCCCGAAGCATGATTTGTCCATGAGGGTTGAGCAGAGGAAGGAGAGTCTTGAAATGATGGAGGCAATGCGTGTTCTACAGAGTTGGAGAGCTCTTGCGAAAAGTGCTGCGAAGGACCATGCGGTGTAGCATCTTCCGGTGCTGGATCGCGAGACGTCGAAAGGACCTGCTCTTCAGGATCCTCGGATTCCGGAATTTCTGACAGGAAGGTGTGGGTGGCCGTGGTGTCTGCGTGCGGGGCTTCTGACTTGCTTGTCTCTTGGAAAGCCGCAGATATGTATGCTGCCGCAGAAGGTGCGTACGTGTCGTTCACCCTCGGAAGTCCCTCCGACAATGCACCATGGGATCCACTCCCATTGTGGTCTCCGTTCACAGCATGGCCACTGGTGGCGTTCGCAGGGGTACTGCAGGACGGCTGGTATGTAGATTGTGGCTGATAAGCTGACCCGTTCATGGCAGGTGCAGGGGGTGCAAATGGACTAGAAGCGGATGGCCGTGAAGGGGAGTGATGCGGACCCGTAAGACCGTCGCGTCGGGTTTGCACAGCAGCGGAATGAGGATCCGGGGTGCGGCGGGAGCCCTTAGGTGGGGGAGCGACAGTAGGCGGGCTGAGAGCAGTTCTGGGTGGGGGCGTCGCAGGAGAAACGGCACTGTACGCTTGCCGCGGAGGGGCAGAATACCGCGACTTCGCAACTGGTATTGGTGGATCGTATGCATTCGACGTCTTTGGACGGAACTGGATCACGTTCGTGGCGGGAGGGGGGACCAGAGGCTCGGAGACGACGGGCGCGGGAGGTGGGGGAATGGGGACAGAAGCAATCCCGTACGAAGTGTGTGAACCGGCGCCGTATGCGTACACTTGCTGTTGGGGTACAGCAGGGCTGATGTATGCGGGCTGGTAAGGATCGTGGCTAGCGGGCGCGACCCCGCCCATCGTCTGCGCATAGCTCGGTTGCGTTTGCGTGGGTTTATAGGGGTCATATGCGGAAGTGGAGTAGCTTCCGTCGTGCGTAGTAGAGGGAACTGGCGCCGCGCTCGGCGTGAAAGTCGAGTTTTGCGTGTGAGGAGCATACGTTTGGGGAGCGTAAGTTTGCTGTTGCGCGTAGGCAGGCTCATATGCTATAAGCCGCGAGTGAGGGAGGTGATAGGGATGCTCGCGAGACCAAAGACGTACCCGAGGATGGAGTCGGCTGCCCATACTGCCCATACTGCGAGTATGTCCCATTCTGCAGCTCGTATGAAGACGGCGCCTGGTACTGGGAGTATGCGGTCGAATTTGCGTTGTCGTAACCGTAAGCCTGCTGAGCGGAGCCGTCGTACCACGTCTGTTGCGCTTCGTGCTGAGACGCATTCGAAGAGCCTGCTCCGTCGACGGGGGCGGGGTTCGCGGAAAGTCCAAAGAGATCAGAAACCGCGTTCTTATCCTCTACCTCTACGGTGCTTGCGTGGTTTTCCAAGGGGGACTCGCTGCCTAACAAGGCCGAGAAAGGGTCGGGCCCGGAATCCGCGGCCCCAAATAGAGAGGCGGCCTCGCCTGCGGTGGACATGGTGAAAATGGCCCAGCCAGGACCAGGGAGAAGACAGAGGAACCGGGGGAGAGAGGTGGGACCTGTGGGAGGAAGTGACGGACGAGCAAGCGAAAGGCAATGGTCGAGCCTCGGAGCGGAAGTGTATTTGGCCGAGTTTGCGCGTCCACGTATGTGCGCCTGCAGACGGCCCGGTGTGGTGTAGGAGGTCCTGACCAACAGTTGACAGACGTATAGCTCCCAGTCATCCGACCCACTAGCTTCTCCAGTGTGTAGCGGGATATCTTCGAGTCGCCACGTCTACTAACGGCAGTATAAAATCCATTGGAACGATGCATCGCTACACAGTCTGTGTCTCGTCCGGCTTCAGCGGCATCCCCACGCCGCTCTTGACCCATCCTCCTTCCGCTTGTCCATATCACCCTCGACTCCTTCTCGACGCGATCGTCCGAGAACGTCCCACACCGCTTGCGCATCTTCCCGCTCCCCGTCGCTCATCATCATCGATACCGTATTGAACCGGGGCACCCGTGGCATATTGACCATAAATGCATGCGCTGTTTGAGCGCTCCCAACGTCGTCAGGTGCAGCTTCTTGAGCTTCTCGTACGGTACGGAGGAGTGCAGCTAAGAGAGACGCATCGAGCGACGTCTTGAAGAGTACCGGAAAGCGTGTGGCGGGAATTTGCTAGGGAGTTCACGGTGACTAGCTCGTTCACTGTCACGACGTTGTGTACACTCACTTCAGCACGTCCCATCGCTCATCCTGAGTACGCAGCGTCTCCCATATGCGCATGAACGCGACCAGCGTTTGCGGAACCTCGCGCTTCGGTGAAGATCCTTGTGTCCCGTTCGCAGCAGGGGAATAGAACAAATCCATCTTGCCATCTGTCCTGAAGATGCCGCCGCGCGGTCGCGCTTCTTCCCGAGCCACCTTGGCCTCTTTGAAAGTCTGCGGGGTCGGCTTCGGTCCACTAGCGAGCCCAGTACTCGCACCTGTAGGATGTTGTGGGGAGCTGACAGGTTGGGAAGGAGGGCGAATGAGAGGCCGCGACGACACTGGCGTCATCAGGTCCGACCTCGTCTCGGATTGTGCGGACGAGGAGCCAGAGACTGCTGCTGTCTGTGAGTCGACCTTGGGCTTGGGCTCGGGCTCGACAATGGTGATAGGAATCCGACGGCGTTTTGGAGGTGGAGTGTTTGTCGCGGGTGCACTGGTACTAGTAGTGACATCGATGGGTTTCCTCTACGCAGATATGATTCATGGGAAGCTACGGTACGCTGAAGGTGAACTCACCGGCTTCAATACGCTTGCTTGAACGATTTTGAGCGCTTCCTGTACCTTCTTCAGCTCCTGCTTGACTGCATCGTTGGCGGAATCAATCTTCAAGACATCCTGAAAATCTTAGGCACGCGTAAGGGTCAATAGTGGGCACACGACCGCAACGAGTGGGGTGTACCTGATCTCGCGTCATCCAATCTCTGCAACGCGAGCCTCGCCTGTCCCCGTCTGAAAAGAGCTTTCACATTCTTCTTGTCCAGACGTAATACCGCGTCGCAGTCCCTCTCCGCATCTTCGTTTCTGTGATTCCAGTAGCATGACACGTGAACACGCGTCACTTTTACAACAATGAGGATCATGCACGCACTCACTTGCCGAGCTTGAGATATGCAGCAGCACGATTCAGCGGGTAGGTTGGATTTGTGGGGTCAGCGATGAATGCAGCGGTATAGTGACCAACGGCAGTGGGGAAATCGCCCGCTTTGAATGCGGCGTTGCCCTGGACAAGGATGAGAGGTCCGCCCAAGGTAGTCCGGGTCGGGGCAAAACGCACCTTGTCCTTTTCTTTCTGCGCGACTGTAGCCATGTGGATTACAGGCTAGGTACGTGCTATCGTCAACAGGCGCGAGGTAAGTCAGTCCTGCACACACACAGGCGAGCGGTCCGAGAGGTCGGAGGGAGAGTGTAAGGGCCTGTAAGGGCGTGCGCCGGCTGGCTGTCACAGAAACTGAAAGAATGTCGACGGGACAGCGGGCCGGCGGCCCGGATAGGCATTCGCTAGTCAGCTCAACGCACACGGGAAGGGCGGTGACGACAACCCGGTATATGTGGCAGATTATACTAGCTATTCTAGTGGCGTATGTGGATAGCGACGGGAAATGACTGGGTAGATGTTAGCACTGCTGGGTAACTAAACGAGATGCAAGGTATTATACGGCGGTATATCGGGGGAAAAATGCGTGGACAATAGCTATGGGACACAGTCCGAATGCAATATCCAACAGACGAAAGGAGCGGAGAGAGATTAAGTGTATGATGCAGAGCGAGACTTGCGATGCGATGCGTTAGACGGACTACGTATTGTAAGTGTATGAGACGGGACGATGAGCACGAGACTGGAGACGGCATAGCTGATCTGGATGTCGATGAGAGAATGCGAGAGAACTGGACGGAAATGCAAATGGCGTAACGTATGCTGGAATGTCCTAAGCAGAAGAAGGTTCCGCAGTGCCCTCAGCGTGTGCACTCTCTGTCGCAGGCGCAGGCGTCCCAGAGCACTTCTCGAGGAGTCGCTCAACTGAAGCTATCATCAGTGGTACGCGCGGAACGCGGGCTGCTGAAACACGTACTGGCAGAAAGATGCTTGCTGTAGGCGCTGGAGTATCTCCTCATGTTGACCAGGTGTGGCCGGACCTTGCTGATTAACTGTTCCTTCTGCTCGCCCTCGGCGACAGTCAGGGCGCGCTGGAGAACATAGTCTGCAACGCGCGGATCAGAACGTTGCTCGCTCGGAAAAAAATCAGCCACTAACTTCCGAACGAGTCCTTCATGAGACCCATGAGAGGACTGAGACCGTCCTGCTTGGGAGTCATGATCTCGTCGATGAGCTGACGACGACTGTCCGCATCGGCAGTGACCAAGGCCTTCTCACACACGTTCGAGGCGAACTTGTGCTTAGCCATGTTGTTCATCTGTCCATTGAGTTTCGCAATTATCATCGCGCGGTCCTGAGGCTTGCCGTGCTCAAGCACAAACTGAACGACGTAGTTCTGCGGTTCAGGTGAGCACGGCGTAGCATGACGAAACGAGTCTGTAGATACTCACCCCAAACTGATCGATCATCAGGTTCGAGACATACTTGTGCAGCTCGTCCAAGAGTGGGCGCGTCTGGTCGTCCGGTAAGTACTCGAAGCACCGCTGGAGGACACGGCACCCGTAGGGATGCGTGGAGAGCTCGTAGACGCTGCCGCGGAATGCGGTCACGAATCCAAGACGCTCCGGAACCACGTGCTCAATGATCTTTTGGATAACCTGTGCAACACTAAGCGTCAAAAACGACATGCCGAGTAGCGCAGATTGAAGACTGACATGATTGCCATTGGCGTCCTTGACGCACCGAAGCACACTCGGGCTAAGCTCCTGTACAAAGACAGCCTGTTGCTCAGGGGTAGTGTACTCGATCGCCTATAGTGCCAAACGTGTGGTCAGCCCCTGTCAGATTGAAACAGCAGCCTACGACTTGCCTTCTGGACAACACGACAGCCATACATCTGCAATGACAGCCCGAGGGCTTGTCCCTCCATCGTGGCAACGAGACGTGCCTTCTGAGCCGGAGTCCCAAACTCGAACAGCTTTTGCACAACCTGATCACAAACACGTCCATCAGCATAATCTCGCACGGCCACAGCGCTCCGGGACGCACGTAGTTGCCGAAGACGTCCTGCATAAGCTGGATCGCGTACTGAGGCACGATCTCGTCGAAGACGATCTCCATCTCCTCGCCATTGGCTGTCTCAAGCTTCTGCTGGATGAAACGGGAACCGTGCTGGTCACCGCTGAACTCGACAATATAGCCGAAAATGTCCTGGACCCACGCGTCAGCAGGTGTCGAATTGGGTTACGTCGCCGTCGGTGAGAACTCACTCTCAGCTCCCACTTGCGCGACTTGTTCGCCCGGAATTCGTCCAGCTGTGCGCTCCGCACTGCGCCGTCTCCGCGACGCCCGTGACGACCACTGTGGCCGAATGCACCGCCAGATGGAGCGCCGCCGGGCGGGTAGACCGCACCGCGTGGCACCTGGGGACTGAAGTCCATAGCAGCGCCGTACGGCGTTGAGTGCGGCGATGGCGAAGAGCGCATGTTAGCGTACATTAAGCTCTGTTTACGGGTTCAGTCTTAGTCAGACAGACAACTTTAAGCTGACATGACAGGTACGCACCTGATCCATACGCTTATCGGGGCCACCCAGCGGGTGAGTCGTGAGCATAGGGGAATGAGAAGGGGGAGCATGGTAAACAAGAGCTGCGTGGGGTAGTAGTACTGGGAGCCCATCGCCCGCGGGGACCCTGCGTAGTCATAGAACTGCTGGGGATGGATGTCAGTCATAGCATGGGGGTGCAATGTCTGGGGGCCCAACCCAGGATATACACTAGGCGTCGCAGGAGTAAGGGCAGGAGACGACCCGTAAAGCGAGGGGTCGGTTGTCGTACGATAGGCGTCGTAGGAGTATGTGGGACCAGTGTAGTACGCCGCATACTCCGTCTGAGGGTACGCGCCGTATGGCCTGGGCGGCTGTTGAGGACCACGTATAGACAGGCCGGGCGTTGACTGGGCAGCCTGAGGACCTTGTCGGTAAGACGGATTCTGCTGCGAGAGCCCATAGTCCTCTTCCACAGCCATGCCGCGCAGAGCGATAGAAATGTCCTCCACACCGAGCGAAGACGAGCTTTGCAGGGCGTCGTAGCTTCCGACCGGGGCGGCGTTTTGTCCTGCGAATGCAGATGATTCAGTTCGGCGTCCCGAGAACATCTCGAGCCCAGAGCCAAACTTACCCAGGACGTTGGTATATTGCTGGGAAGAAATCTGTCCCTGCTTGGTTGCCGATGCTGGCAACCCTGCAGACTGAGCGGAGACCTGTCGTGGTCTCACCTGCGGCAGGAAGACACGACAGTGAGCTCGAGCATTCGATGGTGAGTGTGCAGCTAGCTGAACACAGTCGACGCACCAAGCCAGACAGATCCTTCTGCTGCGCGTCCCCAACCTCTTCCCACCCTGCGCTGACGGAGCGGCCGCCCCATCCTTCATTGAGGTGCGACATCGAAGACTCTGGTATGCTGTTGACGGAAGAACCAGATGGGTGTCGTGACGAATTGCCACCCCAGACCTGTGGGCAAGTGCGTGGGGGGGGTTAGCGCACGAAGGGCGCCTTTAGGGCACAGGCAGCGGTCACGCACCTGCCAGCCCGTGTTCAGGGACTTGAGGCCGTTTGACGGAACCATTGCGACGCCGAACATATTCGCCGAGCCTTTCCTTTGTGGGTTAATCTGGAAAGTTTGTCAGAGAGGGCGGCACGTGAACAACGGGAGGCGAACGGACGGGATGGGGAGAACCAGACGGAGAGTGTCCGCGAGAGTGAGAGGAGGATCCAGATGGTTTACGCGAGGATTCGTGATTAGTAGTCGACATAGTGCGACCTGGGGAGTGGAATTTATATGGGGGAGCGTCAGGCGGGACGGTGACTCACATACGAAAGGCAGCAGTAAACGGGCAATACGCGGGACCAAACGCGTTTGTTATTAATCTAGAGGGTAGGCAATCAGCAATGAGCGACGGCGGGCTGGCAAAAGCCACAAAAGGCGGGGGTGCGCGTGGGCGGAGAAAGGAAGGGGCGTGGCGGACGCGTCGATCGAAGCACGACGTCACGCGTCGCGGGGTCGGGCAGGGCGCGCACCTGGGCTCGGGGATGGACAGAACGGCGGGGCGGGACGAACGGCGGGCGGGGGAGGAGCTGGGACGAGACTGGGGACCGGGGCGCGACCTGGTGGAGGAGAGGTGCAGCGCGAGGGCGTCGAGAGCGTTCGGCAGGCGACGAAATACGGGGGAAAATAGGCGAAAATGAGGAAAATAATTCGGGAGGAGGTACCTTATTTGATTCCGCTGAAACCGAGCGGCGACGGAGCGTCGGCCAAGTTGACACGTGTAACGCCGCGCGCGACCCGTCGCGCGGCGGGGTCCGCCCCGCCAACGACCTCGCCTGCCGCATCCGGCCGCTTACCTCACGAAGCCCCGCCTGCGCCGGCGCGCCCATCACGCCGCTTCCACGACCCTGACGGCGCTCACAACAGCGTCCAGTTCGCGGCCCCATCGTTCCGCCCGGCCCCGCCTTTCTCCCGCCGCTTACGTCCCAGCCCACGCATATCACCTCGCCGTCCTCCTTCTCGCATTCCGCCTCGAACCCGCGTCGCGTGCCTTGGTCCGCCCACCACCGCACTTGATCGGCGCGCACCCCGCACGGCGCGCACACGCCCCGGACGCTTCCTGCTCATTGGTCTCGCGATCACCGGCACGCCAGTGTGACTGTCCTCCTCGTCGGCGCCCCAGCGCTGCACGCTTACCCTCGAAAATTTTGCCCCGTCACCTCTTGTCCACTTGTCTGCTTCGCTTGAGCGGTCGTGAATGGCGTGAAGACCGACGCGTGCGTTCTTTGCTCTCTGTATTACGGACAAAATAATAGGCGAGTAGATGCAGTGTATAACATACAGCCAATGCGGGTGAGGAACGGCAAGACGTGACGACAAGGCGGCCGGGTGAAGGTCTATCGCGACGAGTTGAAGTTGAACCACGATTGCCGTTTGGCTGCAAAGCGGCGTGTCAGTACCCCATCCGAGCGCCCGTACAAAGCATCCGTCACGTACCCGTGCTGTGACGACAAACGTATTCCGACAGCCGTCGCTCGCGGTAAGCATACAGGCAAGCAGGCGAGCAGAGCGGCCACGCACCCGTTGTCCTCGTTCTGAATCCGCGTCAGGGGACTCGCCATGCTCGGCGATGCCGGGCCGGCGGTCGAGGGCGCCGCTGAGCTCCCTCCTCCGCCTCGGAGCGGCTTCGCGATCCGGCCAAAGTTTAACGGCGAGGCCGACGCAGCCTTCTGGGCTAGACGCGCGGAGAAACAGGTCAGCCAATGCCCGAGCTGGAACGCAACAATTAATGAACCGGCACTTGCCTCGTGCCTGGTCCAGCCGTTCCTTGACGGCCTGCAGCTGCGCCTCGAACTTCTGGTTCTGCATCGCCAGTCGACGGTCCGCGTCTTGGAGGAGAGCCTCGAGGTTCTGTATCCGCTCGTTGCGCGCGAGCAGCTTGCGCTCCGCAATCCCCGCCTCCTTCTTGAGTGAAGAGTTCTGGTCCACGAGCTAAGTGTGTGAGGCGCCGCAGAGCGGATCAAAAAACCCCGGTTAGCACGACCCTGCAACGTCGCCCGTCACGGCGCACCTGCTTCTGGACAATGGTGAGCTGCTCCAAGTTGCGCTCCAGGAACGCCATCTTCTTCTGTTGCGCCTTGCTGTTTGAGTTGCGAATGACATTGTTATACTGCTCTTTGATCTCGTCCAGCTGGATCTCGAGCTCCACCACCTGAGTATCACAGGCGAAGGTCAGTCGTGCGAGTGCTATAGGCAGTGGAAAGTCTATTACCTTCTCGCAGCGGTTCTGCAGATCACGCATGAGAGATTTCTTGACCCCATCAAACTCGGCAAGCTGCACGCTGATGGCTTTGCGAGTGCGCTCCAAGTCTTGCGCGCTCTCGGCTAGGTTCTTCCCGCCTTCGATACCAGCCGACGTCACTGCGAACGCCCGCTGCGGCGCAGAATCAACATATCAGCGCTGATGTTACAACGACGCGCTGGGAATGCTCATACCTTCAGCTCCTCGTTCACACTCTTCAAGCTATCAATGGTGGCGTTGAGGGTGCGAATCTCGCTGCCCTTGATGTCGAGCTGTTGTTTGAGGTCTTGAACTTCACCGGCATGGGCGTCGCGTTTCGCGGCGTACTGCGTCTCGAGCTTGTTCTGGGAAGAGTACACACTGAGCGGTGACATCATGACGGGTATCATACGTCACGGTTACCTTAAGCTCAGCCATCGACTCCGCGATGTCGACATTGCTGACTTCTTCATCATGAATGGTTTTCTCTGTAGACGGAGATATAAGCGGTATGAAACCTTTGAAACGGGTCGACTGACCGAGAAGCTCCTCATACTCTGTCTCCAGAGAGCTGATGCGCGCCTCAAGCTCGTCACGGCGACGCTGGTGCATTTCGTTCTCCTCCTGCACCTGCCTAAGGCGATCGACGGTCTCGCGAACGAGGGTCTGGGTGTCCCCCACACGACGGCGGAGAGAAACAATGTCCTCGTGCGTAAGCGAGGACACGCCTTCGTCGTTGTCAATGGCGTCCAACTTGGCCAAAATGGCACGAAGTTGCTCGTCCTTCTCGGAGAAGGTGCCTTGCTGTGTTCAGAGAAGCTCAACGCTCATCTTAAGAAGGTGAGAATGGGACGATACATACGGAGTCAAACTTCGCCATCATGAGCGCCATCTTCTCCTGCTTGCGTTTCTCCTTATCTTCCGCCGACGCATCCTTTTGGGCCGCCTTCAGATCCGCGATCGTCTTCTTGAACTCTTCGAGCTCGTTCTTCGCGTCTTGACTCTGCTCCTTGAGGATGTCGATTGTGATGAGGCTCTCCTTGTTGTCGTAGGTGAGTCGCTCGACCTGAAGTCGGAGGTCGTTGAGTTGACCCGACATAGACTTGTTCTCCGTCGAAAGAGTCGCTTCTTGCTCCTTCAGGAACGTGAGCTCCTCCTTCAGCTCGGAAACGAGCTTCTCTGCCGCCTTGAGTGCAGACTCGCGCTCGCCGAGCTGATCGCTGAGCTCGTTCTCGCGCTTGAGGAATTCTTCGCGCTCATCCTTGTCCAGCCCGATGACGGTTGGCGTCTGCGGCCTGCTGTCAACGTCACCACGCAAGTCCTGGATAAGAGGGTTGACGGGAGTCTGACTCCGCGTGGTCGTAGCAGAGGGTGTAGGAGAAACAGGCGGCTTCTTAGGCGCAGCAGAAGCAGGGGCGCCAGCCTTCTCTGGGGATGCCCAGTCGGCTTGATCAACAGAGCCACCAGCCCGCCAAATAGAAAGCTCGGCCTCCAAAGCAGCGATGTACTTCTGGTACGATGAATTGGCGGAATTGGCCTTGGAAAGAAGAGCCTTGAGTTCCAGAGGAGAAAGCTCCGCGTTGACGCGAGCGGTGTTCTTGATAGACTTTGCTCGGATACCGAAACGGAGGGTGGAGAGCGTTTCAGCCTCATTGTAAGATGAAGGGGAGCAGTTGATGATGAGTGTTGTGCGCGAGTTACCACCAAGCGATTCTTGTAGGATACGTGTGAGCTTGGAGTCGCGGTATGGAATGTGCTTAGCCTGTATAATATCACTGATGAGGTTAATGCAGTGCAAATCGACTTTGTGACAGACCTTTCCATCAGTGAGTGCGTTGATAACCATCCCAAGGGCCGACAGGGACTTGTTGATCTTCTTAGCCTCCTCCAGAGTCTGGCCAGACGCCCCTGTCTTGCCGACCTTCTCGGAACCGGCAAGATCGACGAGGTATAGATTACCGGTCTTTTGAGCACCAGTCTCCGTGTTCCTTTGGTTGATTGTGATGAGGAAGATGGAGTGAGAACGAGAACTCTCGGCATTCATGTCTTGACGAAGATTAGCCTACAAAGCGGGCGCCTAATAACGTCGTACTTACTGGTGTATGAGACCACACGCGCGGCACCCCCTTGTCGCATAATCTCGTAAACTTCCCGTGCGCTCGAAACATAGTAATCCGAAAGGTTCTTCACATAGACTCCCTTTGACTTTTCCTCATGGACTTGCAGGTTATCATTCTGAGCTGTTTACATAGAGCAATGGGCCATCAATGAACCGTGCGATTGATATTAGGCAAGTCTCGACACTCACGATGGAGCAAATCCCTAATACGCTCCAGGTAGATCTCCATGTACGAGACCTTTACCAGGTACTCTAGATGTGCGTCCGACTCTACGATAGATTGGAAGATTTGTTCGGTAATACGGGGTATCAATCCCTTGAGTTCAGGGGAGTCTATGTCCGCGCCCTAGATGAATGATGTGAATCCTGTATTCAACTCACAACCAGCCCGGGACATACCATCATGGTGAACGTCTTTCCACTTCCCGTCTGACCATATGCGAAGACCGTGCCGTTGTATCCATCCATGACATCTGCAACCATCCAAATCCACATGAGTCGCGGTTCACAGTGAACAACATAAGGCTAGAGAGGTCGGCATGTGATTCGATCGGGACAACACTGCCGACAGGCAAAGGGTGCCAACTTGAACAAATGCTGGAAATACATGCTGAAACGTACCCTTGACGGTACTGAGGATTGCTCAGTGAAAGCCGCGTAACTCGGGATAGGGTACTCACTCCTTGACTCCGTAGTCAAAGACCTCCTGCTGCTTGGTACCCGGAGGGAACACCCTATCGAACGTGAACCCATCCCTCTCTGGACCAGATCCAAGTTGTGCTGAGCGGATATTAACAGTCTGCAAGTTCTCGTCAAAGGAAGTCACGGTCTCCCCGCCCTCCCGCTGCTCGATGGAGTTGGTGGGACGAAATCTAGACATACCGCGCCAGGTGTTCAAGATGATGGAGCGTTTCGGTAGCTACGACAGACGTACCGACAGACAACCTTGATGTTTGTGGACATGACTGTGGACCACTACAGGTGATTGAGATGCGGGAAATGAATGTCGATTACAAGCTTGAGAGCGTCAGGTGGATCCCTAGAAGGGATGCACGTTACCAGTCGATGCCGTCCGGAGTTGCGAGTGAGAGTGGAGAAAGAGAGTGGGAGATGCTGAGGACAAGAACCCGGCTGCCTATGTCCACGGAGGGAGTCCGACAAGGCTGGAAGCAAGCCTGAACCAGATATTTACGACTGTTGTCAAGTCCGCGCACGCGTCCCGTTTGGCGCCACAGTTCCATACAGTAATTGTTAATTTATCGGCGTTTAAGACAGGTGCAGGTATACCGAGTGAGGACGATGCAACACTCCGAGAGGCTTCACTACAGCTGAACATTGCAGACGCTATACAATACACGGGAATCTTGTTATACACGGAGGCTAGGCTCTAAATCATGTCCGAAGGGTATGTGCCCGGCGAGGAATGTGTCAGAATGCCTATATATGTACTAGTTTGTACTAGTCGTCGTCGCTCCCGACTGAGGGCGCACGAGTTGGTCGACTGGACGATGCCGCTGGTCTTCGCACCGACGACGCGTCCTTCTCCGCGGCATCTGCAGCATCGATCCATTCTGAGTAGATGTCGATGGGCTCCGTCAAGTCTGAGAAGTGTTGTTTACACAGGAGCGCGACTACTGGATTGAAAAGGGCACTCACGATTTGCTTTACTTTGGAAACGTTGATCGCAAACTTTACAAAGCAACTGAGCAATTCCCTCTTTCCTGTTGATGCGGACAGAGACGGATTTGTCGTGGTGGCAGAATAAACATGTGAACGCAGTCTCTGCATAGGTGATAAGAATTCGGACCAGCACACATATGGACAGGAGGGCTCACCCAATGGATCCTTCCTGCGAGGGCCAGCAGGCTTGCGCGCGGCCTTCTTGCGTTTGCCCATGGTGTTAAAGTAAAGGAGGAGATGCCTCTCGTGCCACCCAACACGGAAGCCAGTCTAAGTCTTGCCACTCGAGGCGAGTTCCCACGAAGCGATCACGTGGAGTACGCGACGCGCGAGTGACGCGCGTTGTTGAACCAGAACTCGCCGGTGCGATCTAGCTACTGCTCCCCACTACCTCCCTTGTCCTCAGCGATGGCTTCCCGCCGTCCCCCGTCCCGCGCGAAAAGCAGCGCGAGTTCCGCTATGCCTCCTCCCATGGCACGTCCACGATCTGTGCTCACGAAGTCCGATTCCTCCCAACGATCCGGCCCCACTCCAACTTCAGGTGATCCCGGGGCGGATGCCGGCCCATCTAGGACTGGAGCTTCTCAAGCCAGGAATGCCGGCGGGGACGCAGAAACGAACATCAAGGTGGTCATTCGGTGTAGGCGGCGCTCCGAGCGCGAGGTCCAAGAGAACTCTCCGATTATCGTGACCACCAATGGTGCGCGGAGCGAAGACATCACCATCGAAACATCCGCTCCCACCACTAACTTCGGGATTGTTACCCTCCCGACGACAAGAACGTATCCTTTTGATGCTGTGTTTGGACCCGAGGCGGATCAGGTTACTGTTTTCAACCATGTGGTTATGCCGATGTTGGGTGAAGTGCTGGATGGGTATAACTGCACGCTATTCGCGTATGGTCAGACGGGGACAGGCAAAACGTGAGCATATGATGCCTCCATTACTCTTAATCTCATGCTTTGAGCAGCCACACGATGCAAGGCAACCTGACAACCACCCCGATGGGTAATCCTTCGGCTCAAGCTGGAATGATTCCCCGCGTCCTGTTCAAGTTGTTCCAACAACTTGAGAATTCAGCATCCGACTTCAGCGTCAAGATCTCTTTCGTAGAGCTCTACAATGAGGAGCTCCGTGACCTCCTGGCGCCGGAGCTTCAGGCTCCTTCAGGCAACAATCAACCTATGGGGATGGGCGTTCACAGGGACACCCCCGCTCTCAAGCTCTTCGACGACTCCAACAAGAGGGGTGTTATCATCCAGGGTCTAGAAGATACCCCGGTCCGCAATGTTACAGATGCCCTTGCGTTGCTCACCAAGGGCAGCGACCGCAGACAGATCGCTGCTACCAAGTTCAATGATCACTCCAGTCGATCACATTCCGTTTTCTCCATCACCATTCACACGTCCATGGCCTCCAGTTCTGGTGACGGCCTCTTGCGCGTCGGCAAGCTCAACCTGGTGGATCTCGCTGGGTCTGAGAACGTCGGGCGGTCTGGTGCAGAGAACAAACGCGCTCGGGAAGCCGGCATGATCAACCAGAGCCTTCTGACTTTGGGTCGTGTTATAAACGCATTAGTAGACGGTTCCTCCCACGTACCCTTCCGGTGAGCAAATTGTTACATAGATCTGGCTTGCGAACTAACCAGCACACAGAGAATCAAAGCTCACGCGGTTGTTACAAGAGTCCCTTGGTGGTCGCACAAAGACCTGTATCATCGCTACCGTTTCTCCCGCACGATCGAATATGGAAGAAACCTTGTCGACCCTCGACTATGCGATTCGCGCCAAGTCAATCAAGAATCGTCCCGAGGTCAACCAACAAATGAACCGCAATGCGCTCATTAAAGACTACGTCGCAGAAATCACCCGCCTCCATGCCGACTTGCGCGCTGTCCGAGAGAAGAGCGGAATCATTATCTCCGAGGAGTCTTGGGCGAAGATGACGGCTGAACAGGAACTCAAAGAGACGGAGTGTCTCGAGGCGGTGCGTCAAGTAGAAATTCTCGAGGGCCAGATGAAGGCGAAGCGCGAAGAGTTCGAAGAAGCAATGGCCCTTCTTGCTCGCACCGATGAAGAGCTGCGCTTGACTCGTGTACGGCTCGAGGACACCTCTGCAGAGCTCACTGTGACGAAGCAGCAGCTGATCGCTGTCGAAGGTGCGCTCGAAGAAGAGATCGTCGTCCGTCAGGCCCATCAGAGGAGCGAACAAGCCTTGCACGGTGTCGTCGCAGAGTGGAAGGAAGTTGCCCGCGAGTACGAGGGCGACGTAGGTGGTTTGTTCGGCAAGTTAGGTAAGCCCAACGTTTCCTGCGGTTCAATAATAGCTCACCCTTGCCAGAGCGGAAGTCGACCGCGCTCGGATCCAATATGAAGGCTGTAGCCTTACACTCCAAGACGCTATCGTCAGAAACTCAAACGATGTCCTCCAAAGTCGACATCTTCATGAAGTCCGCCACCCAGCATCTGTCCAAGATCAAGGACGAAACGGAGGGATTCCAGGCCAAGGAGCTGGAGGCTCTCTCAGCAATCTCTAGCCGCTTGAAGGAGCAGCTCGAGAAGGTACAGGAGGGTCTCCAACTCATCCACGCCAAGGAAGAAGACTCGAAGAATACCATCGAAACTATTCGCACCACCATCACTGAGGCACAAGAGAGCATGCAAGTTGGCTTCACCGCCTATGCGGGACAGCTTCGAAAGCATTGCGAGACGGTCTGCAAGGAAGCCGAAGCGTCCAGTCTTGCCGGCTGTACCACGGTTGGTCTTATCGACCGCTTCATAGAAAGGTGGCTAACGGTGGTTTCCACAGGTCGAAAAGGCTTTCCAGGAACTTGGGGCTCTCACAGAAGCCATCAAGCAAGAAGCATTGGAGTTCATCGCAACAGAGCGCAAGACTCTACAAGATGCGAGGGCACTGGCAGACAACACGACGAACACCGAAGTGGTCCGGCTTAAGCAGCAAAACGCCCTCCTGACTCGGTTACTGGAGACCGAGCGTGCCGAAGCGAAACGAGCGGCCGACGCTCTACTCGACAAGATCGGTGGTTTGCTGGAAGACTTTACGACGGAGCGCGACCGCAGCTTGCGAGTGACATTCTCCGAAATGACCGACAGTAACACCGCTGCGGAACAAAAGATGCTCCAGCTCGGTCAGAAACAGGGCGAGCAGCTTGATGCTGCTGTTGCTCGAGGAAGTGCCTGGAGTAAACATCTCACCAAGCGCGGAGTCGAGGGCAAACGTTTAAGGGACGATGGCGTCGAGGTACGTCGAGTCGATACCCTTCTTGATGAGCTCACGTCGACGTCCTCTGCAGACCGTGAACGCGACAAGGCAAACTATCCATGACGGACTTGTTGATATCCAATCTTCCATCTCATCTTCGACAACTGGTTTCAGCGAGCAGCTCAAGCGCATCGCAGACACTGCCAATGGCACTTTGTCACAAGGTATGCAATCATTCACTACATATTTGATCTCCATCTCACAAAACATAAGCTTTCGAACGAGAGCATCGTGTCAAGCGTGCTCGCATGGAAGCCACCGACGGTCTCGTCACCGAGGCGCAGTCCGGGTATCGCTATATGCAAAGGGGCATTGCTTCCGCCTCTCGGAGCATTGAAGGCTCCACCAGCCGCATTTTGTCCGAGACGGCTGGCATGTCCTCTGCAGCTGACGCGCTCAACTTTGCTACTACCACCTCACTCGGCGGTTTGCGTCGCACCATGCAGACCCTGGTTGACGAAGGGGCTAAAGAAGACAAGCCCACCGGTTACACGCCTCGCAAACGAAGTCGCAAAATCATCGGCGACCAACCACCCACCGAACACCGGGACGTTCTCGTCCGTCGCTTCAGGTCCAATGGCATTTCTATGGTTGGGGGCGAGACATTCCTTGCCGAGCACGTGCCCCTTCCCGAAGGAGATGAGGTCTCCTCTCCCGCAGAGACCGAGATGGTCGTGGACTCTCCTTTGGAAACTCTCCCTTCAGACGAGGAGAACCGTCCTGAATTCACGCCAGAAAATTCGCCACCACCAGCAGTCAAGTCTCTGGCCTCTTCCGCCTCTTCCTCTACCTCTATCCCACCCCTACCCGTAATCAAACAGCCGGCGAAGCCCCCCGTGCCCGCTATGGGTACTCTTACCGAACGTTCCACCAATGTAGGATTGCGCACACGTACACAGCGTACCCGTCGGACCGTACGGTAACGCTGTTGTCTCTGAAGATATGCACCACTGTACTTGTCACTATAGTTATTTCGTCCTATTCGATCGCGTGTCACTTTGCTCCCTCCTAGCGCATTCAACGCGCATCGCTCTGGCAGACGGCAAAACCCCTTTGATTGCCTAGGGGAGACTAGCAAAAACCTGTAAACACACGTGAACGTAAGTACTGCGCAAACGCACTTACGTAATCATTCGGGCATGCGCGCGTTGGACTGAGGCTCGCTCTTGCGCACTTCACTCAGCGTCCACCACCCTGTCCTCGTCTTCCCTCTACTCCACGCCTCAGGGACCGTCTCTATGGCTAACGCAGGCATTAAAAGTGAGCGCACATATCTCGCTTTCGTAGACTGCCTGTATTCACGTGAAGTGGGTTAGCGGTTATCCTCCTCTCCTTCGTGTTGGCAGTAGGTTTCCTGCTTGTCATCCTATCCTGCGCGCTCTGGGCGAACTGGCTTCCCCTTCTTGTTGGTGCGTATCTCTTGTCTCCTGTGCTGGTACATGGGCGACTGCTCACTGCCCCGCGATTACCCGACTTAACCAACCCCTGCCCTTTCCCATCCAAAGCCTTGACATTCGTCCTCGCTCCCTTGCCCAACGCCGTGTTCGCTCGCTGTGGAGGAGACGATTTCTCCACCGAGTATGATGGCTCAGGTCCCGTGGATCTCGGTCGCTTCATCACTGCGTCGGTCGTCGTAACTGGGTTTGCGCTCCCCCTCGTTCTTGCACACTCCGAGGTCATCGCCAAAGGAGCGTGCGCGATGTCGATTGCTGGTGGAGCGTACGTCTATTCCTTCTTCGCTTTGTTCGGGTTGCTGTATTTACACTTCTTAATTCCAGACTCGTGTACGGCACAATCATGGCGTATAGTCAGACATTCAAGGAGGACAGTTCGGACTTTGAGTGATGGTATATATGTACGTCTGCGCCGGAGGACCGGAGTATCATTATGATGCGCCTTCAGAGGTGGTTGTACACTACCGTCTTTGCTGTTGCTGTTGCTGTTGAACACGATATTACTGGATCCATGGTACAAGGGTGCATTGTGAATGCGTTGACCCATAAGTTATAGGTAAGTAATACTAAGTAGCACATTACAGCACATTGGCTCCGGTCCACAGTCCGTAATTCATGTCTAGCTGTTATGCAACGCTAATCCGCATTCTCCCATGTCCCACAATAGTGAAATCTGGTTGTCGGCCGATCGCCGACACCTCCGCGCCGAAGTCGAATCTTCCGCAGGCAATGAAAGCCAGAGGTGTCTCCACTTCATACGATTCGCCCCGCGCTAGTCGTCCAATTGGGATGTCGACGAGTTCGCCTTGCGTGACTACATGTGCCTCTGGATCCAGCTCGAGATTGAGCATGAGCACGAGCTCAGACGCTAGATGTCACATTTTGTCAGAGCTCGACCTATTCAAGCTTCACAATACGGTTACTCACGCGACAAGTTAGTCACTGTTGTCCTTAGGTATACAAACTCATGCGGTGGGGGCATGTACTTGACTCCTGCCGGATCGAGAGGTATCGGCTTCTCGTTGCCATTGTCGTCATGCTGAACCAGAGTCATGCGGACACGAGCCGTCTCCACACGGAGTGCCTCAAGCATGGGTAGCGTCATACGCTGTTGCCGCAGGGATAGGTCACCGGCCCTCGTTCCGCCGTTCTGAACATCCGATCAATGATTGACATTGAGAAGGGGCATGAAGACTCACCTCGCGCCATTTACCCCGGACAGATTTGAATAGCTCTTCTCGGTACCAGAACAACTCGCGTTGCGATCGTTCCTCTTCGGGGGAGAGCTTCGAGGATGATACCACGTACTGACGATCCGACAACATAGGGATTGGTCTTGAAACGTGTTCCTCAGAAAGAGAGAGCTTCTTTAGAGGTAATACAATGCTGCAGCATGATCAGTTTCAAGGCCCTGATTATGTAGTCTGCACTCACCGAGATGTCGACCCAGGAGGCACCAATGTTGTAATAGACGCGGCTTCAACCCCTACACCGAACATAACACGTTACTAAGAAGTTGTCACAGGGGGGACAATGTCTGACCTTCTTGATGGCGTTCGAAAGTCACTTCGAAGGGAAGCCCATACGTATTTCGCACCTCTATTGAGAAGATGCACCAATCCGCAATGTCGCCAACGTGCAGTATTGACTTGCGAATACGTGCATCAGTAAGCTCCTCGTCGTCTTTAACCCCTGGAGATAATGTCGTTGTCGCGCCAGAGTACGACAAAATGTCCATTGCGTGACATTCGAGCATGTGGTACACGGTCACGAGCACCGGGTAGGAAAGCTGGCGAGTTTGGAAGACGTCTGCCAGCTCTTTGGGGTTGTCTTGTGCACGGTCAACGTATGCATAAGACACATGAATGGCGCCGTTGGTGCTGAGAGAACGGTCAGTTGAAACGTCATGGCACGTACAGTTCAACGTACCAGCCGACCTTGCCGAAACAATTGACAGCGACGACTTTCTTCTGACCGGGCCCGATCTCTTGCGGCTCATGTTCCGCATCCCACGTGAACACTGGACGATGCACAAGGTCGTACTCCGTCTCGTAGGTGTCAAAAACTGACATTTCCCCTTCTGCCAGAGCTTGCTGTCCGGGGCCGATCGTAGAATCGTCGAACGTGAGTCGGACAAGATCAATCGGTAACGATGAGACGTTCTCCAAAGTGATACGGATCGCCGACCTGGTTCTTCATCAGCAATATCCAAGACAAGACGTATGGTGATGACATACATTTCACCGTTATACAGCATCACAGCCCCATGTGTTAACGAAGTTCTACGAATCCTCAAGAGCGGCTGTTCTGGAACGACAACGCACTCCAGGTATTTGATGACCCGTTTTGCCGGGGCGGCATTCGTCGCGGTGACCTGCGTGCTCCCTCTCTTGCTCGATTTCTCCCAAGGACGTGAGGCTAACCCTGAATGTTTCGACCTTCCGGTCTCACACTCGATCGCGCTTCGTCTCCGTGACTTGCGTTCCTCCTCTTCCTCGGTCGATAGGGGAAGAACAAATTCGCGAGAGATTCCGCCTTGCGCTTGCACAATACAACCACGGACGACCAGAGTACCTGCCTCTGTGGCCTTCCCGTTAATCGTTACTGGATGGAACGAATTGGCAGGCACGACAACAGGGAACCCTTTTGATACAAATGTGACTCCCGAAGTGCTATAGCGAAGGTGAGCTTGGGCAAACTTGAGATGATGTGGTACATACCTCAACTGCAGGTTTTGTAGCTCCAGGTCAAATACATAAGGGTTGCGCAATGTGACGACTAGATCGAACGCTTCGTTTTGTACCAAGATAGTCCTGGTCTATTCCGTGTGAAGGTTAGGGGTCGGGATGCAGAGCTTTGAGGAAGTTTCGTACCTGCCCTTGAAGCATCTTCCGAGGGTTGTATAGGAAGGGATCCCGGACACCGGAGATGATGGAAGTGGCTCCAGCGGCAGCACGAGATAGAATCGATATGGGCTTCTCGACGGGGAGCCTCACCAACGGTAAGCTGCGATAGACGTTTATGAAGTGAAAAGGACGGCAAGTTGCATCACTCACGGAAGGACCTCTAAGCTAACCACTGGTTGACTAGACCAGTAATCCACTGCTCGCCTATCACCTCGTCGCATTGCGGTTGCCAACGCACGTGTGCCTGTGGTATACAGCTGGTGTTGATCACGAGCAGTCATAACCGGATGAAGCAATTTCAACGCAGAGAAGGAAAATTGTGCCACAGCAGGGTAATCTAGGCTGTATTAGTTTCAGTGGTCGTAAAAATGCTCTGAGACTTACCGGGTAAAGCCTCAGCCACTGCAATTGCTTCTCGAATGATGTCCATCTGTAGCTCTGGCCATCCGAACGGCTCTTGCAACGAGCGTGCGAGATCTTCGTCCGTGTCTTCGTCCTCGCAGTCTTCCGAAGCTCGACTATCACGACCAGGATGGCGAGGTTCAAGGAGCTTGACGGCTTCGAGGTCGATCCCATGGACCTTACAGACGTGTTTGACAATGTACAGAATGCTCTCATTGCCTTCAGAGCGCTCATTTTCGCGGATACCGACGGTCCCCTGTGCTGTCGCGACGTTCAAAGAGTTGTTGCGATTGCCAAGTCCTGCGCTGAGCACCCGCGCACTCCCAGTACTGCTTTCTTCACGACCGCATACAACCATGTCCATCAAACAACCCAGAACCTCGCGAAGAGTGTAGGCCTCCTTCCGTATGTGGCCCAGAGCACCGAACATGGCTGCGATGTACTCCAGCATTCGGACCCTCTCCCGGATGTCGAGGTGATTGAGCCAAGGACCGTGCGCTTGGGATATCGACGCAGATATTTGTGCTCGTGTGACCCCAGTTATCGTAGTCAGTCGCTCATAGGCAGCGTAAGAATTACGTGCACTTGATCGTTCTGTCGGGCTGGCGCCGTTCGAGAGTGTAGGAGGTAGGAAGGGGGATGGGCCTGGTTGAAGCATCGCAGCAAAGGCAAGAGGACCCCATCCTTTCGAGGACCACAGAGAGTAGAGAAGTGTGCTGTGTCGCAAAACCGAAGAGCAATAAAGATATGCGAGAAGGGAAAGGGTGACCTCGGGTTCCGAAGTGGGTGTTGCTTTCATGTAAAGTGCCATGGCTTGAGTGAGTTTATCGGAAGGATCTGCCCATGGGTCACGATCGCCGGCAACGCCATTCTGTAGACATTCGTCATTAATGGATCGACTTTGATACATGGATCAAACCAACTATGCCATGAGAGGAGGACCATGCCTCGACGATAGGAATGGTTGCTAGTCCTTCTAGAGCTGCCGCGTGCCACGCCACGTCTTGGGCCGTCTTGCAAAGCACAATGGACTCATTGTACCTGGCTCAGAAGATCAGCACAATAACCGTCACCAGAAAACGATACAATATAGTCACCATATGGAGGCTTCCTCTAAACGGCCTGCCAGTAAGAAGTAGTCGGCGAGAACCTTGAACAGTCGACCGTGGGATGAGGCCGCGCCTATGGTAGTAAGGCGTTTCTTCGTGGAGGCGGTTGTAGATGTTTTGGAACCTATTGCGGGAGTAGGAGGAAGACTGCTGTGACGATTCGGCATGAGACCAGGACCCAGGGTGGAAGTCCTCTTCATGCCTAACGGAGTCTTGGCGCGCTGTTGCCCGTTCAAGTCGGGTTGGCTACTATGAGACGGAAGGAGTGGTAATGAATCCCTGCGAGCATCATCATCCAGTGACCGGGGCATCTCAGAGGACGGTGGGAGATGGGGGAACATAGTAGCGTTGAGATATTCGTTGCCCAAGGGACTTTCCAAGGTTTGCATCTATTAAAGCAACACATTATACACTGCGCCAGTCCCACCAAGTCCAACCTGAGCGCGTACCACGGTCGCAAGTTCAATGAGCACTTTGGAGCATAGATCGGCTACCAGTGTCCCAATATATGTCTTCTTGTGTCCCATGACGCTTGGAATGACCACTAAGCCGGGGAAGTGGTCTCCGAGGTTGATATTGGTTGTACTCTCATTCTCTTCAAAGACAAAGCAGTTACTGGTCAAGGGAAACATAGACCCTTGCGGAAATACGTCGTGCACTGCTGTTTGGAACTGAGAGAGGATGGTTGCAAGAGAGTCATTAGGAACGGATGACGCAATGCCCAGTACAGCGAGCGGAAAGTCGGCAGTACGAAAGAGGGACAGAGGGGTATGGGAGTCCGGGGGAGGGTGTGAAGGATATTTCAGATGTAAGCTCCCACTTGCAAGCTGATGGTTGGGCATGAAACGGGCTATAACCCTCTCGGCCGTCAGTCTACTTCGAGGAGGCCGAAGAAGTGGGGACGCACATCGCTCATCCTTGACATCTGTAGTCAGGTCTGCTAGTCCAACCGTATCAATACTCCGGATGTCCTGCGCATAGCTATCGAAAGCCGAACGCCGTATGTTTCCCACTGGTAAGAGCAGGATGCGGATCTGCGCGAGAGACCCATAGGCGAATGATTCCATGCAGAGCAATCTCGGATCTCCAAGACAAAGGCGAAGCGAGGGATATTAGACCGAGTATGTGATTATGTGTCGGAGCGTTGAGATCATAGAAGTAGAAAGAGGGCGCAGAGAGCGGAGGGCCGGGTTCGGCGCGGAGCGAAGGGGACGGGATGAGATGAGGGCGAGACGCTGGGAGTGCCCCGCGTCGGATCGTCGCAAGACCCACTGCTCCGAGCCTCCGACTCGTTGTCCACGCCTTTGCTCGGGCAGGCTCGCCCTCACGACCCTCCCATGTCTCATGCCCTTCTTCTCCGTCTCTTCCTGTCCCCCTCGTTCTTCTCCGTCCATGTCGCGCTCCAGTACCTCAGGATCTACTCGGAGAACATTGGCATCACGTACTACTTGACCGGGCGGTTGAAGGAACTCGATACACAGGAATTGCGAGAAGTATGGGGCTTCGTATGGTGATTATGAACCGTACACAATACCGTTCCTTCGTTGATGTCTCCTTCCCAGCCACCTCCTTGTCACTCGCCCATCTCAGTCGAAGGCTCTTGAGAGTTTTGTAATAGAGATCGCGCACAAGTCTACGCATATTGCTATGCTCGTACGTGCTTTCGCTGGAGTCCCCGACGCTCCGACTGTAATGACGATCGTAGACCTTCTGGTACATGCAAGCATACCTCAAGGACCTTTCGGACCAGAACACCACTTCTGCGTCCTTCACTATATGCCAACGGATAATTCACGAATGCCATGAAATACTCTTCGGCGATCTTCCTTCCACTCCCTATGCCTCTCTTGGCGTATCCGCATACGCTGGACCATCTCGCAGAATGGTCCGAGAACTCGTTCAACCAGCAATAATCGGGATCGGGATGGTGTGGGCAGGCGTGCATGCCCTGCCGGAACTTACACAAATCATGGGCCCCGTCGCGCTGGAACAAGGTCGAGTAGATGAACAAGGACAGGACATCCGGAGTATCGAGCGTCGCTCAGAAGATGGAAGAATGTCGCGAACCATTTCATCCAACGTGGCTATGGACAGCGGGGACGACGACAACGATTCGGTCATCGGATCGCCAGTCGTCGGAGCACCTCCGCCTCCCGACGTTTCGGACAGCCATATATCTCAGCAACCTGTCTCCAGTGTCCCTGGACGTCTATCCAGGAGACAAACGATCGCCGCACAGACCAGTCCGGCCCTTCCATTACACTTGCGCGACGTGCGCAAGTCGAGAATGTCGGAAGATCCGTTTGGGCAAGAAGACACGCCTCCCCCCGCAACTTCCTCTGCGGCTTCGCCCTTCCAGTCAACTCCATCGTTCGCGTCGCGACATCCTTACAGACCGAACAGTATCCCAGCGGCAGATATCCTACTTCAAAAATATGACTTCGCCGCACAAATGCATCTCCTACGCGGACATTATTGTCGTTCGGAGGTACGTTTGCTGTGCCCCGCTGTTGGTACCATGTACGACCTCGAACACAGGTTCAATTCATTCTCACATTGGAAAACATCTGCAACAAGCTTCTGGTCGTCCCTAAGCCCGCGCGAATCAGTGCTCTTCGAGCGGAGCTGACGGGCCTGAACCATAAACTTCCTGCGGAGGTGTGTTGATTCGCGGTTTTCGCACCGATATTCGGAGGTTCACGCAAGAGATTCACGCAATACGCTAGATCTGCATGCCTATGTGGTGTTCTTCCTCTGACACACCGAGAACGGAGCAAGGTATCTCGCAACCACACCATCGCATCGTTCGAATACCTCCGGGCGAAAGCGTTGTACTCAACTCTGCTGAGCGTGCTCCCTACTTGCTTATCATCGAGATTCTTCATGACGACCTCGACTTTGATCCTGTAAAACGAGCTAACAAAGAGATCTTGAAGAAGATAGTCGTCAAAGAGAACGAATCGCATGGAACGTCGAGAACCTTGGCCACCTTCGCGCGAGCTGATTCGTCCAAGTCCAAACCCGTAGTCATCATCCCCGACCATGTCAATGGATCCGAGGCAGCTTTGGGAAGCGATGCTGGAGATGGGGATGAAGCCTCAGTCCACACCACCACTTCTCCGTCGGCGATTTCGCCTTCTATTGACCCAGAAGAGGAAATTGATCTGGTCGAGCAACTCTACGGCAATGATAGCTCACTCAAAGCCACCAACATTGATATCTCCGATTCCATCATACTCCCCCCTGCACCCAAGAACAGGGAGCTTGAAATGGCCGCCTGGTCTCGTGCGTCATCCAACCCAGAAACGCCAACGTTCGACCAAGCGGACCCGCTTGCCTCGCAGCACGCTCCGCACTCGTCACTCAGCCTTGCAGTCCCTCCCTCCCGTGCCTCGGGTTACTCAAGCGATCCCAACACTCCTGCGCGATCCTCCAGCCACAGCGGCATGCCATTACGCGTCCTGTCGCTCGACGAGTACTCCGAGCGCATGCGCACGGCCGCCGTCATGCTCGCACAACTTAACGCCGCTGGTGCGCTCGCCGGCATGCCGCCGACAGGTCACGAGGCATCCATGCTTGGAGCACCTCTCCGTTGGCTTCCCGGCACGAGCTGGTTGTCTGTCAACGGCAACGGGAGCGCAACACCGGCAGAGCCGGGCACCCCGAATCCGGCGGCCGCGGCGTCGATGCGCATGAAGCTACCCCCCGCGGAGGCTCAGGCCATTCGAGATAGGATCATGGACGAGATGTTGGCGCTGGAAGAGGAGCGGATGGCGAGGATGCGGGAAAGCGGGGGTGCTGAGGGGTCGTTGAGGATAGCCCCGACAAACGGGGATCTGAAGAGTGCGGAGGACGAGGGGATCATTCGAAGAGAGCTTAGCAAGGCTGACCCGTCTGCGGTTGTATTCAGTGAATCATGGGCAGCGAAGAAGGTGGGCTTGTCTGATACTGTTGATTGCTGTTTTGCTTAGTGGAACTCCACAGGCTCGCGTCCGACAAGCATCCCCGTATGGTCATCTCGGTGGGTTAACTGTGTTAATATATCCCGACAAAGCTAATGGACCCACAGCGAATTGGGACTGCGTATCCGTTATCGTGAAGACTGGTGGCGATCTGCGACAGGAGCAGCTCGCTGTGCAACTCATCCAGGAGTTTGAGAATATCTGGCGTGACGAGAGCTGCCAATGCTGGGTGCGATAGTAAGCACCATCGCCGTTTCGCGTCCAAGTACACCCTCATTGTAGCCCCCAGCTTCCGTATCCTCATCACGGGCAATTCTTCCGGTCTCGTGGAGACGATCACCGACGCTGTCTCCATCCACTCCATCAAGAAAGCGGAGTACGCGCGGCGCCTCGCTGAGGGTCGTCTCGGGCACGTCACTCTCATGGACCACTTCAGGATTACCTACGGGGACCCGGCATCGGCGAAATTCGCTCGCGCGCAACGCAACTTTGCCAAGTCGCTCGCTGGATGCTCTCTTGTCACGCACCTGCTCCAGATCAAGGACCGCCACAACGGCAACATCCTCCTCGACCGTGACGGGCATCTCATTCATATTGACTTCGGCTTCATCCTCGCCAACTCGCCCGGCAACATCGGCTTCGAGGCCGCACCGTTCAAGTTGCCTCTCGAGTACATCGAGGTACTTGGTGGGCTTGACAGCCCGGCTTTCCATGAATTCCGGAGGTTGTTCAAAGAGGGCTTTGAGGCAGCGCGGAAGCATTGCGACCGCATCGTCAGTGAGTGGTGCCTGCTTGGGACTAGGCTAGGCCACTAACGCGCGCACGCCATCGTAAAGCGCTGGTCGAGCTCATGCAGAAGGATTCGACTCTGCCCTGCTTTGCTGCATTCGGCGACCAGACCGCGCAACAATTGCGGGACCGCTTCCAGCAAGGTCTCACACAAGCTGCGGTTGAGGAGCACGTTCAACGACTGATCGACACCTCACTCGGATCCAATTGGACACGACTATACGACTCGGTGCGTCCACTGACCCTGTCTTAATCCGCTCCAGGTTCACACGCTGACGGCTTCGTGTTGAAACATTAGTTCCAATATTATTCACAGTCCATATTCTGATGACCTTGAGCCGTTAATGTCACCACATCCATTGTCGCACGTAATGCGCATGTATGTACAGATACGACCTCCAGTAACCAACTACTCGGGCCTTGCAGCCACAACAACGGCGCGAAGACAGTTGAACAAGGATATGAAGCAAAATGATAAATATGACATAGGGTAAGCTAAGGACAGCATCATCGCATGCTCAAGCTCTCTCGCGAGGCCGCTACCCATCACTGGAAGAGGGCGTCGTAGCGTTTGAGACAGCTGTACCACTCATAGTCGAAGTTGTCTTGCGGGTTGCACCAGCACTTGCCCTTCTTATGCGCTTCGCCTTGTGGGCAGTGCTGGAACGGATTGTGACGGTAGCCTGCCGAGTAATCGTCAACCATAGCTGATGGTCAGGATCCATACAGGACACATACCAATGTCGTTGAAAAAGTGGATTTCCTCCTTCTTCGCGAACAGCGCCGCGCCGATACTGTGTACCGGCGCATCTCCCCATCGCTGATGCGGACGATCAGCGGGAACACTGAGCCAAGTATGGGCGCGACGCACCTCGTAGTAGAAGCCACCCTTCTCGTCAAGGAAATCGAAGTACTTTTGGTACGCCTCACCTCTCCAGAAATCAAGGTCGCCGATCTCGAAGTTGCTCCAGACTGTCAGAATTGGTCAGCCTGCATCTTCGGAAATGCATGAAAAGGCTTACAGTGGCACTTGTTATAAGTATCTCCACCATCATCAGAGATGAACTTTAGGGCATTGCCCTCGGGGAGCAAGCCAGGGTTAGCGTTCATAAATTCTACGGAGGAGTCAGAGGAGTTACGAAGGTAACAAGGCGACACGCACCCTTGGTAGCATCCCACAAGGTGGGGATGGTGGCAGGATACTCGTACAGCGAGACAGTGAACCCGTAAACCTTCTTCTGGTCTTGCATGAGGAGTAGGGGCTGAACAGTGACGATGAGACAAGATACCCTGGCATCATGTCGACAGCACTTACATCGTAATGAAGATCACAGAAGAAGTTGACGTCGGGCCTTTACAGCGAGGGTTAGGGAGTAGATCAGCTAAGAAGTGTAGCTACGCACTCGACGCGCCAGTAGTACTTGTACTTGTCGAGGAGGGGTTGCCTGTAGAAAAACTTGTAGACGGTGAGCACTTCGCACCAGGCTAGCATCGACACTTTGAACTCACTCCAGAGTTGAAGCGGCACATGTTACGGTAGGGTACGCTTCCTGGAACTGGAGGTGAGGAGGTCGTCGGCGCGGCCAGTCAGGACTACGCACCTCCGTAGATGACATTGTGGTCAACCATGTCTTTCCTCGCCGCGGACGCCCTGGCCTCATCGATCCACGAGGGCTGGGTCCATTGCTCCTTCGGAATAAGACCGAACTCCACCTTGGCGTCGGTGATGGTCAGAACGCGCCTAAACGTCGGTGAGTAATGGGCCGCGGAAGAGCCGAAACAAGGCGCACTGCTTGAATTCTTCGGTAAAAGGCTCCTCGTTCAGGAACACGTAAGGGTACTGGAACTCCTTGTTGAACCGATCCTCTGGTGCAGGATGAGAACTTGGGCAGGACGTAGGCAGGGCGACAACGCACCAACTTGCTTCATGCTAACCATGACTCCATTGAGGTCGCCGTTACGAGCCAGCATCACGAAGGTAGCGTTCGCTTTGCGAGACTGGATGGGGGTTTTAGGGGGCACGTAGCGGTCTTCTGCGATGCCGTCCTCATACGGGGGTGGGATCCGGAGCCGGTCAACTGCTCTGAGAGACGCGAGATGGAGGTCGCGCGGCCATAATCCTCGTGCGAGAAGCTCAGTATGAAGTGTAAGCTCAGCTACGTGTCTCTGGAATGAGTGGGAGGTCGAGGTCGACGAAGAGGAGGGGAGATACGCACGACGATGGCCAGTACCAAGACCACATAACGCATAGGCGTCATCATGTCGGGCAGGGGACGGGGCCGCTGGGAGGCGGCGGTGCGAAAGGAGCGGCAGGAAGTGGGAGAGAGGGAGAGAGGGAGATGGGAGTGCAGCTGGGCCTGCGAAATCGCGTTCTCGCAGCCGTGGCGCTGCCACCCGACCGCAGGCCCAGCGTCTGTGTCGGCACCGCAGGCCTGAGCACCCCACACCTTGTAAGTTGTAACAAGCGAGATCTATATGTAGTACCGTGTGGGAGTATAACGGTTCGTTGGTGTAGTTGGTTATCACGTCTGTCTCACAAGGACGATCTCGGGATCGAACACTATAGCTTGTTCACAGGAGGTCTCCGGTTCGATCTCGGATCGAACCATTTTGTGCCCCGTACCCCTGACTCGCGATATTTGTTGGTCGGACATGTCGCCATGGCGAGGAGTCCCCAATATTAATCCGGCGACCGGGTGGTGTAGTACTAGGTCCGCCGCAGGTCTCGCCGCCGAAGATACTTACAGTTCTGGCAAGAATTCATCATCATCATCATCATCATCAGCATCATCAGCAGCAGCAGGTCTCGCCGGAATTGTCCATGGTGGAACGCACATACGCGATTGGAAGAAACGGTTTCCGGTGTGAGCTAGCTGTACCGAGTGCAGTCAATCGATGGTTGAAGCAAATTAATACCCAAAGGCCAGGTGTTTGTGAAGACACGCTGAATGTTTCAAATGTTGCTGCAACTCCATTCAAACATGACGAATTCCAAAGTTCCATTCAGATTACACATTATGTATATAGTACATCCTACCTTGCGATGACAGCGACGACGATGACCGTAGAGATACATTTACATAACCAGCGCATGCATGATTCATATCCAACTCTAAGATCTCGCATAGATCACGGAGACACTGTCTGCAAGGGGCCCCGCCAGCGGAACCGTTCAAGCCGTCGTGTTCCTCACCGGGACGGACACATGGCCGTGTTGAGTATATGGATAACCTGAAGTTTGGTGGCTCGGAGGTTGCGCCGGAGTGGCACTTGGAGCAACCTGCTGAACCTGCTGCGGCTGTGCGGCCGGTTGCCCTTGTGCTTGAACCTGAGCTTGAAGGGCCTGCTGTTGCGTGAGCAGGTTCGCCCTGAACGACTTCTGGTACGGAGGACGACCGTTCTCCGGGATCTCCTCTCCAACGTCGAACGTCACCCCCGGGCGACGACGCCGCACCTTCCCCCGCCCCTGTTGGGCACTCTCCTCGTTGTTCCGCCACTCATGCGCTGCGGTGAGGGGGTCGCGCAGAGGTGGCGAGAGACGACCGGCGGTTGAACTCCTCGTCGAGTTGCGCGTTGAGTCACCGCCGGTGAGCATCGCGTTGAGCTAGGAGAGGACGTCACGCTCAGCATCAAGGTTCCAGAACGACGATGACAGACATGACTTACAACGGTCCCATCCACTGCATCGACCGACGCGGTGGAGATGGTGCGATACTTGCGTGACGAGAAGAGCTTGAACGCGGTAAATGCATTTTTCGTTGCACCAGTTGTGGCACCTGGGACGGGGGCGGGGACCGGAGCGATCAAACTAATCCTACGTTGTCCCGGCAGTTCACTCTGCTTCTGAGCAAGGGGCATAGTCCTTGGCGGCTCAGAAGCTGTGGGTACGTTGTCCACCTGGCGACAGGCATAGAACTGTGAGATTTCATCGGGTTGACTCGGTTGCGACAGCTGCCGTTCGCGTCTTTGGATGTGGAGAGGAGGGGCTTCCACTTCGCGCTCTTTGGGGGGCGTGGAACGAGAACGGAAGATGCTGAAGGATGGGAAGAACTTCTTCTTCCCGTCCCTGTCCCTGTCCTTCTCCTTCACCGTACTCTTTGACGAAGTACGAGAAAGAGGAACGATAGGTGCTGACGTCTGCGGGAGCATGGACGGCGCGAGCGATGAGGGGGTGAGCAGAATATCTTGTTGTCCGCCCTCCGTCGAATTCACTCGAGGACGAGGGTGCCCGCGGCTGGGAAGGCTCTGGGAGGCGTAACCGGACTGCATTCGGCCTGCATACTGTGGATCAGAGGCCGTTCTCGAGTGATGTGAGGGGTGCGGGTGATAGGGTGTGATCGTCGAATGCGCAGGGCCTGGAGCGGGGTACGACTGATTACGGGGATGCTGTGCAGGAGCCGAATGGAGAGGGGGGTTCTTGCTAGACGGCGATGACACGGTGTTCAACCGAAGAGGACGAATAGTCGGCGCCGGAGAAGCTGCGGAGCGTGAGGGGGGCCGAGCTGCAGCGGCGGGGTTGGACGGTGCAGCAGCTTGCACAGGGTCTGGTAGACGAACTCCGATCTCGTTCGCCAGACCTGCACGGCTCTGGGAGTAAGACGCAAATGGCTGGGGCTGCTGGCCACCACTATAGCTTGCAGCAACGGATGCGAAGTTGTATGAATCGTATGGGATGGTCGAAGTTTGGGTACTGTAAGATGGTGACTGAGTGGCTACAATGGGCGTGAAAGACGAGGGATAGGCATTAGGGTATCCTGACGGAGCGGGCGAACGGTAACGTTCCGGGTATGATGAAGAGGCGTTAGGCTGGCGAGAAGTCGTGACGGCGTCGTGACGAGCAGAAGGCTGCTGCAGGGTGGCGGAACTAGTGCGGTGAGTGGGAAGGTGCTGTTGAGAGCCGTTTGGAGAGGGCTTCGTGGGGCCACCATGAGATATCGTGTCATTAGAGATGTTGCGATGGGAGTGGAGCCGTCCAGAGGGAGAATGTTTTGGTGTTCCTGACGACCCTGCGGACACTGCAAGACCGACTACGGCGGGTGATCCCGACATATGAGATTGCAGACGCGGGGGTCCTGCCTCAAGAGACGAGGGTTTGGGGGATCGCATATCGGAGGTACCTCCATGGGAGTAGGCCGTTGTATGAGCGGGCGCAGAGGCACCTGGGTAGGTCGAGCCCCGCTTGGGACTAGCGGAAGCGGTTGGTTGACTGTGTGAAGGGTTGGGTCGTGTCGCTGAGTCTTCATACAATGGGAAACGAGCAGACAGATCCTGTGCAGGCTGCTTAGCCACAGAGCGATTTGCATCAGTGGCACGTGAAGATGGCGTCGTTGACTGCAAGTACGCAGCCAGCTGTGCCGCTGCACTGGGAGAGGCTTTTGATCGTGACTCTGAAGACGGTTGAGGTCGAGTGGACAACTGTACAGGAGCTTGCGGTTGCTGGACTGACGTATTGGTGTAGTGAGCGTACGATGGCGCTGTGGAAGGAGGTCGGACGACAACATCTGGAACAGAGGGGTGAGGTTGCTGATATGTAGGGTGGTGCTGCTGATGTGCTGATGATTCAGGTTGTCGTGTCGATGCCGTAGTTGACGAAGCCTTGGCAAGCGTAGGTATGGTTTGAGGATCGGCCGGACCCTGCCCAGCGCGAATTTTGACTAACTGCGCTCGTTGAAATGTAGTCAGACCTACAAGTGAAGGAGGTTTGCCTTGAGAAAGAGTCGCCGGCGGAGGCGCTGTCGATGACGACACACCGTTTGTGACTCTCTGGGAAGTATCGGCGATTGGGGCTGCCGACCGCGTCGGGGCGTCATGCTGGTGCTGTAGACGGCCTTGCATCAACACGAGGCTTTCATCCGGGTGGACGGCATGAATGCTCGCCTGGCGATACCAAGCACTTGCGATCTCCTGACTGGATGTTGGTGCTGTCACGGGCTGTGGGTCTGTACTCATGGTCCTCGACTTGTGATGGGATGTGTCTCCGTGTGTCCTGTGCTTCCGCTGAGGAGGCGATCAGTTCACGAGGAAGGCCGCACGAAATAAAGGTACTCACACGTTCCTTGGGAGCGGTGGGAGCTTTTTCGTTCTCGCTGCCCGACGGGCCGGACGATTGTCCACGTTGGAGGCTTCCCTGCTCCCGCTGGTGCCTTTCTGTCCTGCGCGACTGCTGAAGCCATATTCAGTACTGTCCATCGCCCTTCCATACACTGCGTCAGACTGACCCGTTCCGTGATAGACTGCTCCTGCTCGCTGCTTTCGATACCGGACTCCTGCCCGGCCTGGTGGGAAGACGCGTACTGCCGATGAGGCCGATGAGGCTTCGAAGACGTCCGCTCGCGCCGGTACCCGGGCGGAGGGACGGGAATTGGTGGATCATCCCTGTCAGACGTATACGGATATGATGCCTCGGCGGCGGTCGCGGCTGCTCCTCGTCCAGCAGAGGTCAATCCAATCCACGGAGCGGTGGAGAGCGGTGCGGCCTGCTGGGGCTGCGTGGAGGGAGGCCGGGCGTGGTCCTATCAAGGCGCCGCAACGTTTAAGGGGACGAGAAATATGTGATGTCAGAGGAACGTACTGGGTATCCCGCTGGGTTCCTGTCCACAGACCTCTGGGCAGTCGGAGCGGCCTGCACATGTGCAGTCTGGTACGCGCTTGCAGCATCCTGCGGTCGCGTTTCCGCGGTAGCCCTCCCCGCGCGATCCTTCCGGTGCTCTCGCGGCCGCTCTGCTCTATCTTTGCTTGGCCGTCCCGCCCCATCGTCCCGCGCCTGCTCCTTTTCCCGACGCCTCCTTCGCTCCTTGTCCTCCGCCTTCTCCACCACGGGGTCGCGAGTCCTGGGCTGAGCAGCGTCACGAGAAGTAGCCTTTTCACGATCTTTCTCCCGTTCTCGATGTTGCCTTGAAGAGGAGCCTGGGTCCTGCGCAACCTGGCCATGCACTGCGACGTGCTCAGCATACGCGACATTGCTCTGAGGTTGTAGGGTGGCGTTCTGATACGCTTGTTGACTGCGGTGACCGGACCGCGAGGGTTTGGTAGTGTCGAGTGCCTTCTCTTTGGATGATGGAGGACTGTGCCGGTCTGTCTTCTTTTGAAGGTAGTGACGAAGGTCGTAGTAGGAATCCGGAGGCTGATACTGCGCGGAGGGGTTGGAAGAGGGTGGCACGGTGTAATACGCGGATTGTTCTGCCGTGGACGATCGGTCCTGACTTGAGGATTTGTGGCGGCGGGAGTAGGTGGCTGCTGAGTCAAGCGGATCCACAGCGTCCACTCGCCGAGAGCTGCGATGTTTTCGCGTCGCATCCGTGTCTGTACTGTTATGCCGCTGGGTGGTAGCCATCGTTTGACGAGGGCGGTCCGAGTCCGAGTCGTTGGGCTGCCATGGACCGTAGCTGTCTTTGCGCGTACGATGACGGGTGGTCATCGCGTAGGGAGAGAGATACGCAGGAGAAGGAGAGGAAGGCTAACTGGTCTAGGTCTGAGTTAATATGGGAGGCGGTCGTCGGATAGAATGAGTGTTATGTACAAGTGGGCGGCCTCGAGGCCGGAGCAGAGCGCGAGCTAAAGTTCCACTTGCGGCCCTTACGTATCGCCTCCGCGACGCGCCCCTTCATTTCCACACGCTCCTCCCCATGTTCTGTTCACCGTCTAACCCGCTCCATCGTCGCAGACACTTGCCTGTTGCTCAGCAATTTCTCATAATGGACGGACTCGTTTGTGGTCCAACTTTTAGGGTAGCAGCAATCAACTTCGACCATAGAGATCTGCACGAGGCGCAAATATTTGTAGTCCCGCCTGCCGTCAACACCGCATTGTCCTACCTGCAAATCCCCGACTCTAGCTGGAGCCCCAACGATGTCGCACAAAACGCACATGTAGATTCCATTATATCATACAACCATGGATCCACGACGATATCGAAGGCTGTCTACAAGAGATGTGTGCAGGGACTACGAACGGACAGTGTTATGAGATGCCCAGATAGCAACGCAGTCCGATGGTAGCCCCGCGCGAAGGCTGCAAAGGAGCGGGGAGCGAACTCCAACCACCAATCCAAGAACAGAATCGGCGACGGCCACCCTTCCACAGCTTGGTCTTACACGATTTTGACTCATTACACGACAGTAGACAGCGGAAAAGCTGGTGGAGCTCTGAAGCTCCCTGTCGAGACAATTTAAGGATCGTGTGGAAGCAGATATGAAATCAGCATTCGCGTTATGGGGCTGGAAGCAGACCGAGAGCTCGAGCAAGTAGAGCACTCGATAAGCTTTCAGCCCCACGAGGCGTGTCTTGTGTCGAATGAGGTCGCGGTAAGAGGCAGAGAAATGCGGTTGGGAGGCGCCGGTGCCGCAAGCGCTTCGTGCCGCTTTGTCATTCCCCAGAACCGGCAGGAGATTCCCACCGGCGACGGGCGAGATTCTGGGTGCGTACGGGAGGAAGAGCCAGTGCAGGCCTCCTTGCACATCGTCCACATTTCTTCTCCCCTCCGTCCCCTCCCCGCAATCATTTCCGCAGCGGGTCTACTTTCGTCATCATCGGAGGATTGATTTCTCGTCTTCTTTCACCATGGTGCGTTCTCTGTTCCTCGGTTCGGCGGCTGCTTGATTGGCGTGCGTCATAGAGTGATACTATGGACACCCTCGACGAGAAGGCGAATGGAGGACCACCGATGGAGGTTGAGGAGATCGTGTCTGTCAATGATCGTGAGTTTCCCTCCCAGATTCTTCCCTTCCCTTCTTCATCGTGATGTGCTCCGAATACAGATGAGGCGTTCGCGCATAAGCATATGCCAGACCTCGGGCACGACATCAAAGAGTTCAAGGTGTTCTCTTGGAAGATTACGAATTGGAAGAAGCTAGAAAAGAAGATCACCGGCCCAGACTTTGAATGTGGAGGGCACAAATGGTATGGTTCACTAACGGTACGACAATGTGCTCCTTCTCACACCGTGTGGCGCGCAGGCGCATACTCCTCTTCCCTTTCGGCAACTCCAACGCACCACCAAATGACACTGTGTCGGTCTATCTCGACTACGCCGAACCCAAACGTGCTCCGGAGGGATGGCATGCCTGTGCACAATTCGCTCTGGTTATCTCCAACCCACTCGACCCCACCATCTACACCGTTAGCCGTACGTAGTGTGCAACTGCCCACACACGTCAATATGTTTGTCAGTCTCACATGCCATTCTGTAGATGCCCACCACCGTTTCATTGCCGAGGAGTGCGACTGGGGATTCACGCGATTCAGCGAGTTGCGCAAGCTCTTCACTGTGCAAGATGGGCATACCCGGCCTACTATTGAAGAAGAAACAGCGGAAGTAAGCGTGTTCGTCCGTGTTTTGGAAGATCCGACTGGCGTGCTCTGGCACAACTTCGTCAAGTAAGCCGCTCAGCCATCTAGCCTTACTCAGCACGACCTGACATTCAACTTCCCAGCTATGACTCGAAGAAGGAGACTGGCTTCGTAGGGTTGAAGAATCAAGGAGCGACGTGTTATATGAACTCCTTGTTGCAGTCCTTTTTCTGCACACCCTCGTTCCGAAAGGTACGCAGGGAGTATATGACCAAAGTTTGATGTACCGCTAAGCTCTTCATGTAGGCTGTCTACCAGATTCCCACGGAAGACGACCACCCAACAGAAAGCGTTCCATTGGCGTTGCAGCGGGTATTCTACCATCTGCAAACATCCGATCAGCCAGTCGGTGAGCCGCCTAATCGACATCCACGATGGGCTCGTTTGTTGACTGAGTCCTAGGGACTACCGAGCTCACTAAATCGTTTGGATGGAAGTCACTAGACTCATTCTTGCAGCACGATGTACAAGAGTTCAATCGTGTGCTTCAAGACAAGCTGGAGATGAAGATGAAGGTTAGTCTTTGAGTGAGGCCCGCGGTGAACTTTCCATCAATGTTTTACTAGGGCACGAAAGCGGAGGGAGCCATCCAGAAGCTCTTCGTCGGCAAGATGAAGAGTTACATCAAGTGTGTGAATGTCGACTTCGAGTCGTCGCGCATTGAGGAGTTCAACGGTAGGATTATACACGTTTATTGTGAACATTGATAATCATTCTCTGGTAAGATATCCAACTGAACGTCAAGGGCATGAAGAACTTGTACGAGTCATTCAAAGACTACGTGGCCGTTGAGACTTTGGATGGCGAGAACAAGTACATGGCCGAAGGATATGGCCTGCAAGAAGCAAGGAAGGGTATCGTCTTCCAATCATTCCCGCCAGTGCTCCATCTACAGCTCAAACGTTTCGAGTACGACATTCAACGTGATGCTATGGTTAAGGTACGTCGGCCTACTCTCTGGACTTCATGAAATGGATGCTGACTTTTGATCAGATCAACGATCGCCACGAATTTCCATTCGAGATTGATCTTGGAGAATTCCTCGACGAGACTGCTGACCGGTCACACCCTTGGGTGTACAAGCTCCATGGTGTATTGGTTCACTCCGGCGACCTTCATGGTGGCCACTACTTCGCCCTGATCAAGCCCGATCGGCAAACAAGGTGGCTCAAGTTCGACGATGATCGTGTCACGCCGGTGACTGATCGAGAAGTACTCGAAGAGAACTACGGAGGGGAAGCCTTGAATGGCCTGGTCCCGCCTATGCAGCGCAACCAGGTTCGCTCTGTGAAGCGTTTCACGAACGCTTACATGCTTGTGTACGTGCGTGAGAGCGCCATCGATGAAGTTCTGGCTCCATGGAAGGATGAGGATACGCCCGCACACTTGAGTGAGTTCCGGTCGTGTGACATTTACACAAGGCACACTGACCCTTCGACAGAACGCCGGCTAGAGGAGGAACGCTTGCAAATGGAAGCGAAGAAGCGCGAGCGCGAGGAACAGCACCTGTATCTCACTGCCAAGGTTATCACCGATCAGACATTCTCCGACCACGAAGGCTTTGACCTGGCGACCTTCGATGAACGGAATTGGCCTGCTACTGAGTTACCTACGTTCCGCGTACTCAAGAACGAGCCTTACAGCACATTCAAGGCACGTGTGGCGCAACACTTCAACTACCCGGAGAGTCAAGTCCGACTATGGGTCTTGGTTAACCGGCAGAACAAGACTGTTCGACCTGACACTCATATTCCGGAGAATGAACCTCAGCTCAGTAAGTATTCTGACCTGTCTCTTCATTTATGAACTCTAAATCTCTTCAGCTGTTGAGGTGATTCGCAACAACATGGCCGTCCGCCAGCAGAATGATCTCCGCCTGTACTTGGATGTCATTTCTGATCCTGTGCACGTATGTCATCTCAGCACTTGGCGTTCCTTCAATGATCTCACGCCTGCGCAATATTAGCCCGAGCTCCCGGCAGGATCTATCATGATCTTCCTCAAGCACTTCGACATCGCAAACCAGAGACTCACTGGTGTTGGCAAGATTTACGTCCCCCGAGCCAATAAAGTGTCCGACCTCATTCCTCTTATCAACGAGCGCATGCGATGGACGCCTGGAACACCTCTGAAGCTCTATGAGGCAAGTGATCCGTCCATTCCATGGCTTAGAATCGTATACCGACAAATTCAAACAGGAAATCAAGCCTGGCATGATCGAGCTCATGAAGCCCAAGCTCACCTTCACGCAGAGCGAGATCCAGGATGGCGACATCATCTGCTTCCAGGTCGACATGACGGAGAAAGAGTAGGCCAGAATCTCTAGGTTTCGTGGCGATATTCTGACTGCTTCTAGGCTGCACGACTATGAGGCACAAGGGCTGTACCCGAACCCAGTTCAGTACTACGACTTCCTGCAGAACCGCGTCATGGTGCTGTTTAGGCCGAAGTTCGAGGAAACGGACGCGGAGCATCCCGAGTTCCACCTGACTCTCAGCAAGAAGCAGAACTACGACACCGTAAGCATCTGGCTTCTCTTTCTGTGGGACCACACGTTGAGACAAGCCACCTTAGATGTCTGCGAAGGTAGGAGAGCGACTAGGTTGGGACCCGATCAAGTTGCGCTTCACGACAACGCACTCCTCCAACGGCTCGGCCAAGTCGGTTCTCAAGCGTTCTCTGAACCAGAGCATACAGGAGATCATGCAGCCGAACTACGTCAACCCGCAAACGACTGTAATTTTGTACGAGAAACTGGAGGTCTCCATCGTCGAGCTCGAGACAAAGCGCTCTCTCAAGGTCGTGTGGACTGGCATCCACAATAAGGAGGAGTCGACACACAACTTCTTGCTTCCGAAGACAAGCGTGGTGCACGACCTTGCTGCGGATCTTTCGAAGCAAGTCAAGCTCTCGCCTGGCGGGACAGGCAAGATCCGTGTCTTCGAGGTCTCCAAGGACGGCAAGACGCAGAAGGAGTTTACCAGCTCGGAGATGATCGGCAACATCCCGGACCCTGTTGAGCTCTATGCTGAGGTCGGTTGTGCGTCGGTCCTCTGCCCAAGCGTATGTTGAGATTTCAATGTGTGCCAGGAAATCCCTCGCGAAGAGCTCGAGGCGGAGGAAGCAGACAAGGTCATCAGCGTGTTCCACTTCTCCAAAGAGGTGTCTCGAACGCACGGTGTGCCTTTCCGCTTCGTCGTGAAGCCGGTGCGTGCCCGAGCAGTCACGCTACGCAGGACGTATTGGAAGCTGACGGTGCATGCCTTTTTAGAACGAGAAGTTCTCCGAGACGAAGAAGCGTCTTCAGGTACGAATAGGCGCACCGGACAAGGACTTCGCCAAGTATCGCTTCGCCTTGATCCAAGTCGCGACCTTCAAGCAGCCGTCATACATCGAAGATGGTACGCCTCTTCGCATTTATCTTAATGTTCCTGGCGTTTACTTGTTGCTCCGCAGATGACAACATCTACGACCATAAGTTTGCTCCAGAAGACGTCCTTGGTTTGGATCACGTAGACAAGTCCGGCAAGACGCGCACGGGAGCAGGAGAGAAGGCTATCGTGATTCGCGGTTGATGGACGGACTTGCAGCTCGACTCCTGCAGCGTTAGCGTTCGCGTCACCTCTCACCTCGGCCTGCTCTGTTTTTCATACATGTATTTTCTGTTCTGACTATCTCGCGTTCCCTTACCACACTGCACAACTGTGCGGTTCGCGCTGCGTTTATGACTGTACATCATCCCCAATCGTATTGCCCGCATGAAAGATGACACAGGAAATAATATGCATCGCAACGACGTGTAGGACTGGGCTACTTTCGCTTCTTCGACTTCTTCGAGGGAGACTGAGGGAGGTTGAAATCAGCCGGTGGCCTATGAGGTGAGAGACGACGAGTTACTGACTTTGGGCGACTTTCCAGGCGATGAGGGTGTGGGCGAAACCGAACGCTCGCTGTCGCTGAAGGCACCACTCTCTGAGTTCGCACTTCCTGGGGGAGCCAACCCATTTGATTTCATTGCGGGCGATACTGGGGTCAGTGGACGGGCAGGTGTCGACGGGGAAGAGACCGCGGAGTTGTTTCCAGAGAGTGTAGGGGGAGGAGCCTCAACAGTCAGAGTGGGAAGGGGATATTTGCCATACTTGCGCTCTGCAGGCGGGTTCCACACATTATTCCGAGCATCGCTAGCATAAGACTGACAGTACACACCTGCTTCAGCACGGATGGCAGGGATCTTCTCTACGAGGGAGCGCATTTTCTCGTTGTGCATCATCTCAGTCGCGGTTTGGAAGATGACACTTCCCCAGCCCTCCACGTACGCGTTCGCCTCGGCGGCGACCTCGAGGATCTCGGCTTCGAGCTCCTTCTCAGCGGCGAGGAGACTGTTCCACAGATCGTCGCCAATGGAGCCCTTCTGGAGGAGGTTCTGGAGCGCAGGCTTGTCTTCGCGGATACGGATTATGCGGGTGACATCGGTCATGGCACGGCGGACGAGAGCAGCCTTGAGGAGGGTTTCGGGAGCAGGAGGATCGGACATTTGCAGGAGCGAGAAGTAGACATTGCGCTCCTCGTGTGAGGGGAAGTAAGGCTCGAAGGTCTTGCCTAGGGTCGCGAGAGCGAGATTAGCAGCGCATCATAGGCACACAAAAAGGCTTGGTACAAACGCGCGTTTCTACAGCGGTAGTAGGAGCTGAAAATGAGGAGCGAGCCAAATACAATAAGGACATAGAGAACGGGGACGAGGACGGAGGTCATCGCAACACACGGCGAGGCGGAAGGAGGAGGAGAGCAGGCGAACGTGGACTGCGAGTGCGATCTGAGCTGGCAAACGACGTGCCTGCCTTGCGCTCGCGTGGCACTCACGTGTACGGCGGCCTGACTAAGCCGTTTCCGCCCCGACGGCGGCGCCAGGGCGTTTCCGGTCGAATGCCGGACCCGGTCATGCCGCACCCGGGCTGGACGTGAGGCCCGGCGCGTCGGGCACATGAAATGCAGGCAGGGCGAGCGCGAGTATTTACCCCGCACCCTGCCCCGCATTCACCACCCTTCTCTTCCCCCGACCGATCCGCAATGTTCAAGAACTCCGCTGCGATTGCCCAACGTCTCGCGCGGAGCCGTGGGCAGACGCGCTTCGCCTCCACCAAGGTCTCTGTCCATCCGCCTGTTGCGCACGTCCGCGCGTTCTGACCCCGCTCTGCATGCAACGTTAGAGTGTGAGAGAGGTCCTCGAGGAAGTGGTTCCCAAGAAGCAACTCCAGCTCAAACAGCTCGTGTGTCTTCCTGCTTTTTCTTCATGACGGGTGTGTCGGTGCTCACCTCCTCACAGAAAACCGAGCACAGCCAAGCAGTTATCGGGGAGATCAAGGTGCGCGCACTACGACCCTCTGCTGTGCACGCTATCTGTTAAGCGACGTGGTAGGTCGAGCATGTCGTTGGTGGTATGCGTGGTTGAAGTCAATGATGTGGGAGGCATCAGTGTTGGACCCCAACGAGGTCAGTCTGTCACTCGTCCGACGACACCAGCTTACCTGCGAACTACAGGGCATTCGCTTCCACGGCCTCAGCATTCCGAGTGTCAGAAGGTGCTGCCCCCTGCTCCAGGCGGCAAGGAGGTCATTGCGGAGAGCATGCTCTGGCTGCTTCTCACCGGAAAGGTTCCCACCGAAGCTGAGACGCGCCAACTCTCTCGTGAGCTCGCTGAGAAGGGGGAGCTACCCGAATACATTGAGAAGCTCATTGATTCGTAAGTAGTGCCATCACAGTTGTTCCTGCCTTTACCCGAAATGTTCACACCACTCTAGGTTGCCCTCGACTCTGCACCCCATGACCCAGCTTGGCATGGGTGTCGCTGCGCTCAATCACGAGAGCAAGTTCCAGGCCGCCTATGAACGCGGCATCAAGAAGAGCGAGTACTGGACATACGCACTTGAGGATTCCTTGGACCTGCTCGCACGCCTCCCCACCCTTGCTGCACGCATTTACCGGAATGTGTACCACCCCGGAAAGCCCATTCCGAAAGTCAACAAGGACCTCGACTTGGTTGGTGAGTGCGCGGATGCTTTTTCACCCGAGCAGCGTACTAACTCCGCATCACAGGCAACTACGTGAATATGCTTGGCTTCGGTGACAACCACGATTTGACCGAATATCTCCGCCTTTACATTGCTATTCATGGTGATCACGAGGGAGGAAACGCGTCCGCCCACACCTCTCGTACGTTCTATCTCGTACACCATTTCTCTGCCTCTCAGCTCAAGTACAACCTCAGACCTCGTTGGTTCCACACTCGCCGACCCGTACCTCTCTTATGCGGCTGGACTATATGCCCTTGCTGGCCCCTGCACGGGTACAGACTGGTCTCTGTGAAACCATGCGCCATATACTGACTCCGTGTTAGCCTCGCCAACCAGGAGGTTCTGAGATGGCAGATGAACATGCAGAAGGAGCTCGGGGATGTTATTACACATGATAACATCAAGGACTTCCTCTGGAGGACCTTGAAGAGCGGCCAGGTTGTTCCGGGGTGCGTAGTATTTGGAACAACTGCTTTTTCTTCACTTCATATTCTAATTTTCATCATAGCTATGGCCACGGCGTTCTTCGAAACCCCGACCCTCGCTTTGACGCCCTTCTGAAGTTTTGTGACACAAGGCCTGGCCTCATGGCTGACCCCATCGTTCAATTGTCAAAAAGGCGCGTATGGCACGTGTGAAGCACACGGCAGTGTATTGACGATGCCGTGCAGACTTTCGAGGTTGCGCCGGGTGTCCTCAAGGAGCATGGCAAATCCAAGAATCCTTACCCCAACGTTGACGCCGCTTCCGGTAAGCCTGCGTTTCCATCAGGAGAGCAGTGCGGCTGCAACTTTCATTTTGCAGGCTGTGTCTTGTATCACTACGGCCTCCAGGAGTTCAAGGTGAGTTGCATCGTCTTGATACGCTATTATGATCATTGATAGACCCATCAAAGTACTACACGGTTATCTTCGGCGTCTCTCGTGGTATGTGATTCGTCGTCTATCAAGTTCTTGCCTATTTCTGACCATATGTTTACATAGCTCTCGGCTGCCTTACGCAGTATGTGTGGTCTCGTGGTAAGTCATCTCACGTCGGATATCCCTGGCCTACAGCTGTCTCTCCGCTCCGTCCGACTAAATATTCTTGCTCATCATTCTCGCCTAGCCCTTGGACTACCGATCGAGCGTCCTAAATGTGAGTCCAGAATACCGTTTCAGGTGATGAGGAAGGTGTTGATTGTGTTGATTTAGCGCTTTCCATGGATGCCATCCTGCAGCTCGTTAAGTAGAAACGAGGCTGGGACGCTTGATCATGCAGTCTCGACGTGCCACTCCCTCATGCTCGTCTCTCGTTTCGGCTCACGAAATCAACGTCGAGTACTGGATTGAGAACATTATCGCTCTGCTGCACTTCGGGACCCTAACAACCTGTCTCATGAGTTACACAGAAAGGAACACCATGGTTGAGCCTGCTCCTGTAAAATTCGAACATCCTGTCTCTTTCGTCGCAAAGTATGGTACATTGTTACGGAATACTGCACTCGTATGGCGCGCTACGCACAATCAGGTCAACTGGAACTGTCCCGCATTCATACAAGTCATAAGGTCAAGCGTACAAGAAACTCAGAGATCTGGGATCTGAGTAGTGACGAGGGAAACCAAGGAACAATTATATACGCTGAGAAGGGGAAAAGGGAACGTGAAGTGGTAATAAGCGCAGGTACCTTGAGCTGCTGGGGGGCACCTGGTACAGCGCATGTGTCAGGGTTTACTACCAAGAGGATCATCCAAAGTACAAAACAAAGACACGGAAACTGCTTGTCCTATTAGCCCAGAGGTTACAATGAGGTAGACGGGAAAGACGAGCAGGCGAACCGAAGTCGAAAGCATGTGCAAGTCCAAGTGTCTCTTCTCTGCGCCAGTGACTGGTCAAAGGCAGAAGGACGGCCCCAGGGAAGAGTGGGTATAAGCGAACCGCAAACTAGAACCGGCCGGGCGGCGGTGAACCTGCCTGCGGCGGTGGACGAGCGCCTGGTGGGAAGACGTTTGGCGGAGGCATACCCCGACCCATACCACGACCCATGCCTGGTCCTGGAGGACCACCGGGGCCAGGAGGGAATCCACGACCTGCCGGCGGTGCCACGAAACCGCCTGGGGGTACACCGCCAAAACCGGGACCTGGCGGAGGGCCTCCCCGTCCGTGGGGGGCATACCCATCGGACCTGATCCGGGCGGTCCACGCGGTCCACCGCCCATGGGGCCACCCATAGGGCCTGGAGGAGGACCACCCATGTGGGGACCACCCGGCCCTGGAGGGCCATTAGGAGGGCCGCCCGTGTGGGGAGGAGGCGGTCCGCGCATCTGGGGAGGAGGCATAGGACCAGTGTTGGCGCGCTGAGGACCAGGAGGCAGGCCCCCAACACCGGGATCACGGAGGGCAACTGGAGCAGGACGACCGCCGGGACCGGGCACGGGAGCACCACCGGGAGGGGGCGGGTTCTTTTCCGCTGCTTTGATGATTTCGTCGCTGACGGTAGGAGGTGAAGATGAACAGGAGGCGGATAGGATCGGTGGACCAAAAACGTACTCAAGCAAGTTCAGTGCTGCACACAAGACAACCCACTCTACACAGTCCTCATTGCCCTCCCCCAATGTTTGCCACACTGCCTTCTCTTCGGCAGTCTTTCCGGTGATACTGATCCGAGTTCCACCTCCGTTCGGTCCAGGAGGGTTCTTTTGGATTTTGCCAAATTCGATTCGCTTGGGCGGAATGTTGTGCCCGGCGTAGGCAAAATAGAACATACTCCAAAACTGCGCATTGGGATTCGGCTTGGATATTTGGAAGAGTGGAAGATCTCCAGAGTCGGGAGAGGGCAGCGCGAGCTTGTAGATGGGAGAGAGTACACCGGTGTTAGCGATTGTCCATTTCAGGTTGCGCGACGCCTCGCAGCGGACGATCTTGGAGGACGAAGAGGACGCGTGACCAGGGTCGGATGCAGTTGCTTTTCCATTGCCAGCGTTTGGCCGTGGAGGGAAGAGCTTGGCAACACAGAGGTCGCCTTGGGGCGAAGGCGTCAGAAGATAGTTCTCTGCATTCTAGTGGGGGGTGAGAGGGCGGACGGAAGGTGATTCACGGCAGACGTACGTAGTTTGTGTGGAGGTACGAGTAGAGGATGTTTGTGGGCTGGCCTAATATGGGGGATGAGCGCACGGTATCGCGGGACGCGGGATGGGGACGTACCATGCGGGGTAACTATGAGCGTCGGGAGATGGTTAGGGATGGGCGGGTGATTGGGAGACGTGTAGACAGTGTAGATCGCTGTCGTAGAGGGTCAGCGTGCGGTGCGCAGCAGGAGCGAACACGACGGACCAGCCATGCAGACAGAGGGGCGGAGGAGATGGGGGGAGGGAAAGAGCGTCGAGAAGAGACCATCGCGAGCTTGCTCCGTCTCCGACGCGCGTGATCGTCGTCGCGTCACGGGCCGTCACAGAACGGTCACAACGTGCGCTGCCCATCGATCCTGGCAGGCCTGGTCGACAACGCGAACGCTTCCCAACTGCCTCCGACCCCCGCCGCCACGTCTGACGACCGTCTCGCCCATCCGTCGTCGACGTCCCGTTGCCCACCATGAAGGGTTTCAAGATAAAGGTCGGCCAGGTTCGTTCCCATTCTTATCTCCCCCCGCTCATTTCCAACTCCCGACTCCTGTAGCTGGGCAGGAAGAATTCCGCCGATTCCACCTCTTCCAAGGGCAAGGAGCCCAAGGCTGCTGCTGCTGCGGCCGCTACCGGCCTCCCCCCTCCGCCTCCCCCCAACTCTGCTAAGCCACTTCCTCCCACTCAACCTATAGCCCAGTTGAGCACTCCCGGCCAGCTCCCTGCCACCAACGGATCTGCGTCCGCTGCTCCCGGCCGTACCACTGGTGTCCCTGCCCCTGCAGACCGCAGGTTCACCCCCGGACAACCCGGGGGAGCACCGCCCATTGTTGTCGTCAGTCCTGACGCCTCTGGTGAGGACAGACTTGGCAGTGACGGCCCCATAACTCCACCCCGTGCCGTGTCTCTTACCAACCGCGGTCTTCGGCCTGCACCCAAGGATACCATTCCGATAACCGGTAAACCTCCCCGCAAGCAGCGCAGCAGTCGCTTTGTTGTGAATGAGAGAGTCGAGATCGAAAGGTTACCGGCATTCAATGGTTCGTTGCGTTCCTGCCTGTAAAGGTTTAGACTCCCTCAACCCCTGCGTCCTCAGAAACTCCCGCGAGCGACCGCCCTCAACTCTTCATCCGGAAACTCCATCAATGTGCTGTCGTCTTCGACTTCAACGACGCCAATGCAGAACTCAAAGGCAAGCAGATCAAGACGCAAACGCTCCATGAGATGCTGGAGTACATCACGACCCAGCGGGGCGTGATTACCGAGAACGTATACCCCGAGGTGGTGAAAATGGTGTGTCTATCCTTGCCTCGTGCGAGAGGCACGGCTAACGCGGATTAGTTCGCTACCAATCTCTTCCGCTCTATACCCCCTCCTGTCAACCCGACAGGCGATGCTTTTGACCCTGAAGAGGACGAGCCTGTGTTGGAGCTTGCCTGGCCTCATCTCAAGATTGTCTACGAATTCTTCCTCCGTTTCGTTGAGAGCGCGGACTTCAACACCAACCTTGCCAAGCGCTACATTGACCAGTCGTTCGTGCTCAATTTGCTGGAATTGTTCGATTCGGAAGATCCTCGCGAGCGGGATTTCCTCAAGACCACACTCCATCGGATATATGGCAAATTCCTCAATCTTCGCGCACCGATCCGCAGGAGCATCAACAACGTGTTTTTCCACTTCATCTACGAGACTGAAAGGCACAACGGCATCGCGGAGCTGCTAGAGATCTTGGGATCCATCATCAACGGCTTCGCCCTTCCCCTCAAAGAAGAGCACAAAACATTCCTCATGCGTTCCCTCATCCCGTTGCACAAGGTCAAGAGCCTTTCGATGTACCATCCACAGCTAGCCTATTGCGTCGTTCAGTTCCTTGAAAAGGACGCCGCATTGGCAGAAGACGTCGTGCTCGGTCTTCTCAAGTTCTGGCCCAAAGTCAACTCTCCCAAGGAGGTTATGTTCCTCAGCGAGATGGAGGAGGTGCTTGATGTAATTGATCCTGCGGAGTTCCAGAAGATACAAGAGCCGCTTTTCCAGCAACTGGCACGCTGCATCAACAGCCAACACTTCCAAGTCGCAGAACGTGCTTTGATGTACTGGAACAACGAGTACATAGTCAACCTCATGAGCGACAACCTCTCTGTCATCCTTCCCATCGTTTTCCCGGCCTTGTACACAAATTCGCGATCACATTGGAATCGGTGAGCTTGGATCGTCTTTCAGTCATGGTTCGATCTTATTTGCTTCGAACAGCACGATCCATGCTCTGGTATACAACGCGCTCAAGCTCTTCATGGAGATCAACCCAGATCTGTTCGATGAGGTCATGCAGCACTACAAGCAGCGGAAAATCGAGTACGTCGTACGACTACCCTGCTACTCCCACCGTCTCACGGACCGTATAGTGAGCGGCAACACGCCATTACACGATATGAAGAATGGCAGAAGTTGCGGGAGCTGGCACTCCAAAACTGCGGCGGCAAGTTGCCACCGAACTTTGTCGATGTGGAACCCACGCCTCCACCGCCGCCAGTCGAAGATCTCGACATCATGGACTTGTCAATTGACCTCAACGCCGTGTCGATCGACGCGGAGGTCCCTCTCAACGAGCTCGATGACTCGGGCATCGAACGGGTACCAATGGCGGATCCTGGGATGGATGTGCGTACAGCTACCTTTGGTGAATGAGCGTGATCCGAGGATTGCGTGTATTGACCAAGGTTGTATCTTCCGCGTCGATCGAATATCTCTAGCAAGCATTCCCAGAGGTGGGCTCTGAGCATTCCTCCCCGGGCGGACTGCACTCTCGGCGGAAGAGTGCATTACCGGGTACGCAGCTACTTTGACGCGTAGACTACTTAGATCGGGCTCACGCGACGTCCTTTCTCCTCTCCCGTTCGTAGTGGATCCGACGGTCCTACGGGATCTCCAAGCCCACCGCAGTCTGGAGGATACTGTTGCGCCACGCGGACACCCGGCAGGAGACATTTAATCGTCGCCTGCTTGTGTGGCTTGGCCTTCTTGGGGCAGCGGTGCATGCTCTCACCCTTTTTGCCGGACATTCTTACCCTACTCCTTACCTGTATCAGCCCGTCCAACTGTGTCAACTGCCTGCAATGCGTCCATACACATTTTTCACCTTCATGCGGGCTCAACCACGTTAGTCCTACTGTTCTATGTCATATGTTGTTCTACTTGCGCGGCGGTGCATTGGCGTAGTAACTCCTTCAACACCGCTTTTGTATCGTCCGGTCCGGTCCCCTGTGTTTTGATACCGTACTTGTTAGTCTACATCTTCTCTGTCCATATGTACATGCTTAGAACACGCATGCCCGCGATACCAACGCTTGTCTAGCTAGTTTGTCGACCTGATATCCATCATTGCGCGTGCGACCATTACATCCGTCACAGGGGTCACATGTGACGCTACGCGCTGCAAGCTACTTAATAGTGGCGGCGCGTCTGCGACGCGTCTCAACATCATCTCCCTCGTTTTCAGACCACTCCCTCATCTGCACATTAATACCCCCTCCGGTCTAGGAGTTCAATGCAGAGCAGGAAAGAAAAGGGCGATATCAAGCCCGCCGCTGTAGGAATACACTCCCTGCGGACGGACTTGAAATACCCTCTGCGTATGAACTTGTGAGTTGCATATCCCTACTACGGAGCCTGCATACAGACAAGTTTACAACAGTTATGACAAGCCGCCAACAGAGGATATTACCATTGAAGAGTTCGAAACCGCCGCCCTCGATCGCCTGCGGGTACTGGCCGAGATCGAATCCTGCTTTGCGCGAAATCGGACCTGGGAAGACACCAGGAAGATAATGGACGAGATCTTCATCAAGCACCTCCCTCTGGATCACAGTACAGCCAAGACGAAACCGATTGACGAACAGCGGAGGAAGGATCACATCGGCCATTTCGTCCTCAGGTTCGCGTTCTGTCGGACGTACGTGTGGTTTAAGGGGTAACACCGCGCATCTTGGTGCTTATCATTAGGGCAGGGAGGATCTAAGGAGGCGGTTTATCAAGGCGGAGGTTATGCTGTTCAGACTGCGCTACGCCGATGAGCCAGCTACTGAGCAGCAGGCTTTCATGAATTCTAAAGACTTCGATTGGCAACTGGTGAGTAGATTTTATCCATGGTCCTCGTTGCTCTCTTGAAAACAGGATGCGTAGGCCACTCCAGAGGAAATGCAAGGGATCTTGCAACCCATGCCAAGTGAATCGCAAGGGCGTTACTACAAGGTGAGTCCACTATCTGAGGCGCATAGGAAGACTCTGAAGACCTCCAAAGCTCAAATGGACACGAGTGCCGAACTTGGTGGAGAGACGAGAAGTGATCATGAAGGGTGGAATGGCGTATGTTCACTCCGCCAAGCAGGCCGAGATTTTGTACAGAGAGTTCCAGACACATTTGGAGAAAGAACTGGAGGTGGGTTCGGATGATCATCTAGCAGGCGATTGTCTGAGCTTGCGACGCTTTCAGGCAACAGCGAAAGCCCTTCCGCGGTTGGACGAAGACACGCGACTTGTTCCCATTCTCGACAACCTGTCTAAGGGCTTCCAAGCTGGCGTGGCTTCGCAGTGGTCTGACGTGGAAGGATCTCCGGACGATACGCTGACGGCGGAAATGATTGACGAAATGGCCTACAAACATTTCCCCGCCTGCATGCGCAACCTGCACATGTGTCTCCGAAGAGATGGACATCTGAAACACTTCGGCCGCCTTCAATATGGTTTGTTCCTCAAAGTAAGAACTGCGGTCTTCACCATGCACATAGGCTGACGTTCGTCTGGCGTTGCAGGTCTGTGGACTCTCTATAGAAGAAGCCTTGGTGTTCTGGCGAAAGGCATTCCGTCGGCCCGATATCACCGACGACAAGTTCAACAAGGAGTACAAATACAACTTCCGCCACTCATATGGTCTGGAGGGGAAGCGTGCCAATTATGCCGCCAAAAGGTCAGAGTCTGTTCTCTTTTGGCAAGTGTGGGCTAACCAAAATCAACTACGCACAGCTGTCAGCAGATTATCATGGCCGGGGCGCGAAGTGCAGGGGACAGCCACGGCTGCCCGTACATCGATTTCTCGATGGAAAACTTGCAATCGGCATTGCTCACGATGTACGGGGAATATGGGCTGTCTTCCACAGATATGCCCGAGCTCATGGAGCTGGTTAAGAAGAAACACTACCATGTCGCGTGTACCCGGGTCTTCGAGATCACGCATTCGCGTCAGGGCGTGAAGAAGGGCGAAGGAGTGGGCGCCGGTGAAAGTGTCACGCACCCGAATCAGTACGCAGCAAGGAGCCGGGAGCTGAGCCAGGAGCTCAAGAAGAAGGCCGAAGGGGAGACCGACGTTGTGATGCAGTAGGACTGGGTAGCGTGAGGTTTAGGCGGTGATGCCCACTCCCGGGAGGATCTGAAGTGGTGTACTGATCCACTGTGTAGTGTACGAGTGTCTCTGTCCATCGCCCTGCTCTTGTATCGCTATCCCTTCGCTCTTCTCTCCGCGCAGGTGACTGGACTTATCGCGCTAATATGCCGGCGCAGCGGAAGACCCTAACCTCTCGACTGCACGTGTCGCGTGACGGCATGCGTGTGGCATGACGCCGGCCAAATCCACCTTGGACAACGACCGTCACTCCTCCCCATTCCCCATCCTCCACCCCCCTCTCTTATCTTGGTTATGAGTAAACGTCGCGGCGGTACCCCCAGCACCAATGGCGCCCAGCCTGAGGAAGAGGCCAAGACGGCCGCTCTCCGTCAATACGAGACGACTGAGGGGCATTTCTCGCTCGTCAGGTAGATTCCGCGTCACTTCAGTGTTGTGCCTTGCCTCATCCTGCTGCAGGAATTTCCGGCTAGCCGACCTCATCACTATTGCCAACGGGATTTGTGGATCTTTCTCCGTCTTCATGTCCGCCAAGTATCTTGTGACAAATGACGAAGACTACTTGTGGTCCGCGCTCGCCTTCCCTCTCGCAGGTCTCCTTTTCGATTTCTTCGATGGAAAGGTCGCGCGGTGGAGAAACGAGTCAAGCATGGTGGGGCAGGAGCTCGACAGTTTAGCCGACCTGGTGCGTCCGAGCCGCTCCGCACGTGAATCCTATCCTTCGTACTAACACCGCCCCTTTCCCCCTCCACCACTGCTGGTCGCGTGTCCGTCCGGATGTCGCGCACCTCACCTTTGTGTCGTACACGCGTATGGCAACTGCAGATCTCGTTCGGAGTCGCCCCCGCGCTGCTAGCATTCGTCATCGGCTTCCGAACGTACCTCGACACCGTTGCGCTCACGGGCTTCATATGCTCCGGCCTCGCGCGACTCGCACGGTTCAACGCGACCGTCGCTCTGGTGCCCAAGGACACCAAGGGCAAATCCAAGTACTTCGAGGGCCTCCCCATCCCCACCTCGCTCGTGCTCGTCGGTGTGTTCGCATACTGGACGCTTCAAGGATGGATTGACGGCAAGCAGGGGTTGCCGGGCGGGACGATCACGCTGTGGGGGGAGCCTGGAGGGGACGGGGACATGCATCTAATCACGCCTGTGTTTGCGTGCTGGGGGGCAGCGATGGTGAGCAAGACGCTCCGGGTTCCCAAGTTGTAAACTTCGGTTATGCGCTGCGACGAAGCCTGCTCGGGGGGGGGTATAGGAAGTGTGAGGATAGGGATATGGGGAGGATCTGTAGATACTCTACGACAATCTGGACGAGATATTCACGACTCACGCCCATATATCATTTGCGGAATAATCACTAGCGCAGTCTTCCATGGCACACATTGTGAGCCTTAAGCCTGTTCCGATGCAAACGGTGATACTCACAATGCGTGCCTGTAAACAAACACAAACACGATAACTTGATGAACGCCAAATAGGTGCAGCTCATCGGCTCTGCTCTAGCTTCATAGGCGGTAACGGACTCAGCCGGCCCGTGATTCCCGGGCCGCCAGAGCCGTGGGTGGCGTTGGTTCCCTGGGCCCTGGGATACAGGCTGGTCATCGGGGTTCAAGCGGAGTCTTAAACCCGAGCTCGAGCTGCACAGGACCAACCCTCGCTCGCCGCCATCGACAACCTCCTGCCCTACCGCAAGAAACCATGGGAAAAGGTGCTTCATCAGCCTCACTGTGTTCATGTCGGTTGAGTGCTTATTGGATTGTTTTGCTTCCCTCGGATCGTATCTGTAGTTCACGGATCCCTCGCCCGTGCCGGCAAGGTCAAGTCTCAGACCCCCAAGGTCGAAAAGCAGGAGAAGAAGAAGATCCCGAAGGGCCGTGCAAAGAAGCGGATGCTCTACAACCGTCGGTTCGTTGCAGCCTTTTTCTCAAGTCGCTCTCGTGCCAATGATCCGTCCAGCTTCGTGAACGTTACCCTTCTCCCCAACGGCAAGCGGCGAATGTGAGTTTTCGATTTTTACTTTCTTCTGCTTTTGTTCTGCGGCAAGAAGCGTTCCCCAGCGTTCTCCTTCGCTGTTCCTGCGTTGGTGATATCACGAAGATGACTGTATCTTGTATGAACATCCGTCTTGATGTCTTTCACTTATATCCCCCTCGCATTTCCCCTTTTCTCCTACTAACATCTTTATTCAGGAACGCCAACCCCGAGAAGTGAAAGGGTCGCCCGCATCCGCACTAGACTTGTCCACCTACCACCTGCGAGGAGATCGTTATATCTGCGCTCTTGAGCGTTTATAAAACCTCCATCTGGTTTGACCCCAGGGAGTCGCCTTAAAGTGCACCCTACAGGAGCTCGTCGACTCTGACTTTGAGCCTGAACGACGAGTGTGCAACGTCCTGTCGCCTCTGCGATCTACAGGCTTGCTAGATATCAGCCACGCATTTGCTCTTGATACTTGTCCATTGTGCTCTCCCGCGACAGAGATATTGAATCCGTCACAGGCAGTAGTAGGGAGCGACATACTAGTACGACTGAGGCTGGTTTGTAGACGGTATACTCGTCACAATATCGGTGGTTTGTATCAATGTCCTTTTGAGAGTTCGCGAAAGCCCGCGAGTAGCCGTGGGAATACAGAACGCGTCGCGTCCACCAACGCGTCGACCCGCGCCTCCCTCTCGACCTGTCTGCATCTGCGCCATGACCGTTCATTCCGGCGACGTCCAAAGGCTTTTCATCCAGGCCGTCATCTCCCGGCGCGTCCTCTCCCAGCGTCTTGCCGCCACGATTTGGAAAAAATGCATAGAGGCCACGAAAGGTGCAGGCCTAACCACCGACCCTCCGCGCTCGCTCTGATCACCTCCTCGGCCCGCGATTCAGCCGCGAACGAAACGCTCAGCATACAATATCGCGACGACCGTGCGTCGTGGGACACGTTCGTGACGAGTATCAACGACACGCTCAACTTGCTCGACCTCGAGTTCGCGCACCTGCACGACGAAGGGAGTGGCAAGGAGCTCTATGCTATCGTGAACAGGAAGGGCGATGAGATCGCGCAGATGGCGACGGAGTACAGCGCGCTTGAGATCGCGTACTTCAAGGCCGTGGTGCGCACTTCCTTCCAAACCCCCTCCCTCGAGGGACATGCGAATTGTTTGGTCTGCAGGTCGAGCAGATCATGCTCGCACCGAACGAGTCGTTTTGCGTGTCATCCCTGGCCGCCCTTCGCGAGACGAACAGCCTGAAGACCTCGAGCATGACCAAGTCGCAAGCCGAGTCCACGCTGGGCAGCTTCGTCGCCAACGGCTGGCTGGTCAAAAGTCGGTACGTCCGCGTCCTCCTGCTCGCACCCCGCCCCCGCCTCATCAGCTCGCTCGGCAGACAGGGGCGGTACTCCCTCTCCACGCGCACGGTCATGGAGCTGCAGACGTACCTGCGGCAGACGTACGAGGACCAAGTGGTGGACTGCACGATCTGCATGGAGGTGCGTGCCTCTGCCGGCATGCTGTCAGCGTTGAGCTCATGCGAACGTAACGACAGCTCGTCACGCGCGGCGTCGCGTGCCCCACGCCACAATGCAAGACGCGCCTCCACCCGCACTGCCTGACAACCTACCGACGGCGCACACAGGCGTGCCCGACGTGCAAGGAGAACTGGTCAAGCATGGAGCTCCGGCCTGTGGGCGAGGTCGCGTTTAAGGAGGGCCAGGACCAGATGCGGCAGCGGGTGCGGAGGCAGACGTCGGCCGAGGAAGATGAGGACGTGGATGACGAGGGGGAGGTCTACCCGGACTCGGACGGAGAGGCGGACGGCGGGAACGCAGGGCCGTCGCAGCCCAACAGCAAAGGCAAAGGGAAGAAGGCGCGCGAGAGCACCATGGATGTGGAGGACAGAGACTCGCCCCAACCTCAGAAGCGGAAGGCCCGCCGATAGAATCTCGTTGCGAGTGTGGCCGTTGTCACTAATTTTGCAGTGGATATTCGTGTGTATTAATGTATCTACTTGTATCCCTAGAGCACGCCCTCTTCTAGTACATGACAGCTTCCTCGAGTCCATCATGAGCTGGTGGTCAGATGTTGTGACTGCGAAGGGACAGGTGGTGAGACGGCTGGGTCGATATGAGCCGGTGCAGCCGCCGCACTGTCCGCAGAGACGATGAAGCCGAAACGGTCCTTGCCCCACACCTGCCGCTTCTTGCTCTTGCGACCCTCCCCGAACTCGTCGTTCCACTTGCGAAGCTCCGAGAGGCTCCCGAGAGCTTCGGATGCTGACGGCGTGATCTCTTTGAGAGCTTGCTCGAAGTTCCGCCACGCGAGCGAACGCGCGTGGGCCGTCGCCTCGGCCGCGTTGGAGTCTTCGTCCGCGGTCTCTACGTCGGGTGCAGATGAACACGCGGTAGACGCGGACGCGGTGTCCGCGGGCGTCCGACCTTGACCTTCCCGTGCGATCGCTGGCTCGGCGGACGACGAAGGGGCGTCCACAGCCTCGGCCGAAGCGCCCAGAGCGTCTACTGTCGGGGAGGCGTCGTCGGGTCTGCGGTCCGCAGCGGGTGTGGTTTCTTCAGCGGCGGTAGCGTAGGTGGATGCTGCGTTCTGCGGGAGACCGATGGCTTGTCGCCAGGGCACGGTGACACGCTCTTTGACGGCATCGAGGGCGGCGCTGACGCAGAGGTCTAGACAAAGAAGCAAAAGCGAGGCATCAGCGACCGAATATTAGGGATGTGTGCGCGCACAAGGGGCGAGAGAAAGGAAGAGGGCGACCCTGAAGGGAACTGACGTTTGAGATCAGAGCCGGAGAAACTTTCGGTCTTCTTCGCGAGCCGCTTGAGGTCCACATCGTGCGCGAGCGTCTCATCCCGGAGGAGAATTTTGAGAATTTCTGGATGGGGGAAACACCGGTCAATTGTCAGTGAGACTGAGACGCCAGATCGGAAACGGAAAACAGAAGAAATAGAAGGCGGCTTCGCGCGTCGATAGGAAGGCGCAGAGGAGTAGGGATTGATCCGAAACAGGGTTCGTAGGAGGTAAGACGCACCTTCCCGTTCCTTTTCCCCTGGCAGATCCACGAGGAGGCGGCGAGGCAAGCGGCGGAGGACGGCGTCGTCGAGGTCGAAGGGGCGGTTAGTCGCACCGATGACGATCACGTTGCTGTCCTTAGACGACTTCAGACCGTCCATTTCCTGCATGAACTCGGTGATGACCCCGCGGTGAGCGATCGAGGAGCCCGACTCGCGCGACACCCGTGCCCCGAAGAGTGCGTCGAGTTCGTCGATAAACACGACACATGGGGAGAGGCGGCGGGCGAGCGAAAAGACGGCCCGGACGAGCTTCTCGCCTTCTCCAACGTACTAGAAGCGCAACCGTGAGCGTGGTGAACATTTCGCGGACTGCGAACTTACCATGTCCATGATATCTGAGGGCGAGACCACGAGCATTCGACAGCCCGCTTCTTTCGCAAGGGCGCGAACGACGAGCGTTTTACCTGTCCCTGGAGGGCCGAAGAGCAAGCAGCCGGTCATGCTGTGTTCTTTCAGGATCCCGTGCTGGAACGCGCTGGGGTGCAATAACGGCAGCGAGACCATTGTCCGAACAGAATCTATCGTGTGATCCGGTAGGTGCACCTGACTGAACGTTGTCGTAACGAACGCTGTGAGCATTCTAGCGGTCAATATCGCCCCTATTCTCCATAAAGGCGTGCCCTTACCCGTGTCGACGATGCAGCCCAGCAGCCGTTGCTCGTGCTCGTCAAGATCCGGATTCCTCCTCAACTTCTCGATGATCTCGTCCACGTCCGCCTCTTCCTCACCCGCGGTGTGCTCCTCCGCCTCCGCCTCATGAGGCAGCCTCCCGGCGGGCGGCGTCGCGAACAGCGTCTTCCACAGGTCGGCCGACGAGCGGTCCGCGGCCCAGGCGTCGAATACCGCCGACCACGGCACCGGCGTCGGCTCCAGCGACGGATGTGTCGGGAGGTACGTCCGGCTTTGCGCGACGACGCTGCCCACCGCCCGGTCCGCGATCCGCTGGACGTGCGGCCAGACCTCCACCGTGCGCCCCCACTGTGCCCACAGCTGCTGACGCGCCCGCTCCTCAGGCCCGTGCGCGCCGCCCTCGCCGCCCTCGCCGCTCTCAGACGGGTGCGCGCCGGGCGCGTCTGCGAGCGCACCGAGCACGCCCCCGATCTGCTGCACCCCCATGCGCATCACGAGCTCGTTGATCTCCCGGCGGCGCGCGGTGCGGCTTTCGCGCTCATGCGTGAGCGAGCGCACTGTGGGGTACACGAGCGAGGTCCGGAAGAAGCCCAGCTGGCTATTCGTCCCCGCTGCGTCGCCCTGGCCGCGGCCACCGCCGAGCACGCGGGAGAGGAAGGGCGGCAAGGCAGGGAAACCATCCTGGCCAAGGACGAAGACCCCAGAGCGGCCCTTGCCGTCGCCGTCTGCGCCGTCGTCCACGGGAGCGGCGAGGCGGGGGAGGTCCTCGGCGTTGCCACGGGACCACCGCTTGAGGCGTCGCTGTATGCGCTTTTCGCGCGCCTTTTCGCTGTTGCTGTCCTCCCCGAACTCGTTTTGGGACTTCAGCGCGCTTCCAGAAGACGGGCTAGCGGCTGGACGGGACGAGAGGACGTTGACTCCCTGCGATGCGGGTGTGTTTGCCGGCGATTCAGGTACCAGGAAAGAGGGGGTAATGCCGAACACGATCGCAGTGGGATTGTACACCGGGGAGTCGGATCGCGACAATGCGCCTTGCCGGCGCTGCCTGACCGCAGAGAGTAAAGTGGGATACCATGTGGACGAGGTGGGGGCGAGCGTGGGGTAATCCCGAACGTAGATGATACGCGGTCTTCTTGCTTGCTCCTGGTCGGCCGGTGCCTCCGACGGCATGTTGATGACTTCGCTGAAGAACGACTTCAGCTTCGACTCGGTGGTCCGAGTCGTACCGTCAACGGCAGTGCGGAGAGGCCGCCTTGGCACGGCAGCCATGACGTGCACAGTCATCGGGCCATACGACGACTGCTGTTCTTCCTCTTCTTCCCCCGGCTCCCGTGGCGACGCGGCGCGAGACGTCGACCGTGCGGACGATGAGGCGAACTGGAGCGGGTTGTTCTGGAGCTGCAGCGCGGTGGCCGCTGTGGCACCACACGTCTTTGCGTGAATACACTGTGCTCGTGCGCTCGGACGCAGGTCGCGTACAGAAACCGCTCACCTTTGCCAAAATGCCCGCACTCGCCCGCGGCGAGCTGCACCGCGTCGAGCACGACGACGTCCGCGCCCGTCCGGCGCGCCATCTCCCGCACCGTCTCGTCCACGATGTAGTCCCCGCCCTCGATCGGGCAGTAGAGCGCGAGCGTGGGCTCCACGAGCCCGCCGCCGCCGCCGCCGCCTCCGTTCCCGCCGTCGCCGACGTACACGCTCCGGTGCTGCGTCTGTGGGTGGAGGACGATGTGGAGGTTGTGCAGCGCGGCGTCGAAGATCTCCGGGGGCGGGAGCGTCACCGCGCGGTCCGCCTCCGAGCGGGGCGAGCCCGACGCGCCGTAGTCGTCCCTGGGTCCCCAGAGGACGTGCGTCCTCACCCCGTCCGGGAGCGCGACCGCGTCCGCGTCCCGGGCGGGGGCGGCGGAGCTGGCTCGGCCGCGGCGCTTCGGCTTCTCCTCCGCGTCCTCGGGCGGGGGCGTCTCGGGCGTGCTGGCATTCGGGGGCGGGGTGGACGGCGATGCGGACGCGACGGCGGGGAACCGTCTGTCGAGGTCTCGGACGAGAGGGTTCGGCGGGAGAAGCGGGGTTGGGAGGGAGGTGACGTGCGTTCCTTGCGCGGAGGGTTGCGGAGAACGGTGGGGGTCGTGAGTGTCGGTGAGCTGCGATGGGCACTAGGCAGGGTCTTGAGCAGAGACCGTGTGCGGCGAGCGAGAAGATGGGACCGCATCCAAAACAAACGCAAGCCAAGCTGGAAGAGGACGAGAACAAGCTGCAGCTCACCAGTCATCCATGTGTCGTCGTGCGGGCCGAGCGTCTATGGGCGACTGACTCTAAGTTATTCGATTATAAGTCTTCATTAGTGTGATTTGTAATCCTCTAGTATACCCCAACTATAACTCGGGTTGCAAGAAGCCTTCAAGGCGACAAACAGCGCGTTACTATATGCGACTGCCGCGTACTCCATGCGTACGCGCGGCCGATTGGGAGCCTGGCGGGCACGGGTCCGACTCCGGGGCGGGGAACCCAGCTGGTACAGTGGCGACGCGACGGCCGACGCCGGGCTTGTTGCCAGCGATCGAGGGCGTCACGGCCCTGACTCGGCAGCACCCACAATTGTAGGCGGTGTGGTGTATACGGCTCGATAACCACGCCCACCGCGTCTGATCGTGCGTGGGCGCCGAACCCCCTCAAAGTTAGCATCCTCGTGCTCAGAGGTCGTCGCCAGCCATCCGTAGAAAAGCAAAATCGATAGCGAATGTCCGACTCCGAAGAATCACAGCATGCATACAGTCCATATCCGCTCAATATCCGCTGGCTACAGCTCGTCTCGATGCTTGTGACCCTCCCCTTCCTCTTCCGCCCCCTCGCCGCCGTGGTCCTCGTCCTGCCGCCCGTGAGGCCGGTATGCTTTCCGTTCCGCGTTGAAACGGAAGCCCTCGTGGTGGAGGACCTTGAGTAGTCGTTCCTGCAGGTCCTCGTCGGCATTGAAATGCAGCTCCCCGTCGCCACCGTCGACATCGTATAAATCGAGGTCAATGAACTCGACGACGAAAGGCTCGTCATCGTCACCGAAACCTTCCAACACAAGCTCCATCTCCTTGTCGTCACCTCGGTGAGCCAAAAGTTTCTGCACGGCGCGAAGGAGCTCCTTGTCGTCGGCCGCTAATGCCTCCCCCCGACCCTGCTGCTTCTGTTCTTGCGCCGGCGGTGGGGGAGGCGGCGCAATAACTTTCGTCATAGGAGCGCGCTTGTAAGGAAACGGGGTGTTCGGAAGCGTTCGATCCACCGCCGCGTGCGCCTCGGGTTCAAGGATCTCGCGGCAGCGGATTTCCTGCTCCTCTTCGGCGTCTACTCGCGACTTGAAGCCAGGTTCGCCGCAGAGCCGCGGGGTTGCTATATGCAGCACATAATGGCACGTTTGCATTTCCTTCACATAGAGGATCGTGTCCGTCATTGTCATTGAACAATGGAACTGTACGTGGAGAACCGAGGTTAGGGACGGGGAGGCCACTTCGCTGAAGGCACCCTGGTAACGGCGAATTACGTGCCTGGATCTCGACCTCGCGTTTATGGCCTGTCTTTTCACAGTACGTGCCGTCACCCCACCGCTGGACGAGATAACGCGACCCGGCCCCTCGGGCAAGCTCGAGGCTCGCGGCGGCGGCCGCTTCTGCGGTCGTGAGCTCCGCTCCAGCCTCTAGCGTCGGGGGTGCGCGACCGAGTGTATACGCTTCCCACTTTGAAACAAAACCGTCGTCAAGTGAGAAACTGGAACGGTCATGGGGCAGCGCTTACATCAGGATCTTCTTCAGGCTTGTACCCACCTGCGGCGAAATAATCAGTAACAAAGCGTGAACATGCAGGTGAGAATATACCTGTGCTGGTGGGTTGCTGGTTTATGAGCTCGTGGAATTGGCGGACATGGGAATTGTGGCAGTAAGAGTATGTGAACCACCCTTGGCGATGCTGGTCCGGGATATCGGTGACATGATTGTGGACAGTATGACCGGCCACTTACGTAGAGACAGGTTCCAGACAATGGCTGGAGCAGCGTCCAACTGTGGACGGGGGTTGTGACCTCGACCGGCGGTTCCTCAGCGGGCATGGGGGCTTCTTGCGGTGCGGGTGGGATGAGACAGAGGTAGACGGTCTTCGGACCCATCATCATCTTTTGCAGCGTGTAATTGGACCCTTGCGACGAAGCTACCTGCGCGGAAGCTCACCGTCAGCGGCGGTAATGGCGGAGCGTGGGCGTGCACGGACATTGGCCGAGGAGTCTTCTGTTCCTTCTATGCTCTTCAGCGGGTTGGGGGGCCACGACGACTCTTGCCAAGGGCGGTCGAGGAACTCGAGCTCGCCGCCACTGAGGCCCTCGTCCAGCCAGCGCCTCGCGGTCTCATTGAGGACGGGGAGGCCGTTAAGGAAGGCGACACGGAACTTGGGGAACGCGTGCGGGTCCTCGGGGACGCGCGAATGGTGGACGCGGGCGGAGGCGATGGCAGCGAGGGCGAGGGGGAGGAGGGGCGCGGGGCGCATGGCGAGATCGGGTCGGGGGTTAGAGGGCGACCAGGCGCGCAGACGGACCCGGGGAGACGCGAGAGGAGGAGGAGGGAGTGTGCAGTGCGCGGCTGTGGGTGTGCGGGTTGGCAGGCACCGCTGGCGTAATTGAATAGGCGCCGGGGACGGGAATTAGGGCGGAGCTCGCTTATCTTCCGCTGGCGGCGTGGCCAGTCTAACCGGGCTCAGGCAACGTGGTTGGGCGGGCCAGCGGCTGGGGCGCCATTGGCCTGTTGCCCCCACCACGCAGCTCGTCCCGTCCGTGCGCGCGGGCCTGGGCAGGGTGCAACGGTCTGTGGGCGTCGCAGCGCGCCATCAGCGCGCCCTCGCGTGCCGACGACGCGCGAAGGCCCCCGTTGAGGACGTCTGCGAACGCATCAGCGAGGCTGCAGCCGATCGGCTGGCCGCTGCGAGCGTGGCCTGCCAGGACTTCATGTGAGCCGGCGTTATCTGATTTTTGGCACAAATATTCTCATCGCTGTCCCGCAACGCCCCCGAGGCCGTCGTGCGCTGTCTCCGCCGCCGTCCCCCTGCGCCGCGCCTGCGCCACCCAGCACCGGCGGCCGCGCACGCTGCGGGGCGGACGCGGGGACGTCGGGGGCGTCGAGCGCGGGCGGGAGGGGCGGATGCCATTACGTACATCTCTCGAGGGGGGATGATGCTTCCGTTGGACGTTCGAATAGGCTGAGCGAGATATAATAATAAAGCCCGCTTTTGGGTGTTCTACGCGCGAGAATTCCTCGCGGGCGGATTATTATTTGCTCGTATAAACGAGCCCGCGTCGCCCGTTTTCCCTCTTCCCTTCATCCGGTCGTCCCTCCCTCCCTGCCCCTGTCCACCGACCGCGATGTCGGCCTCGCCAGAGCCCAAGGCCCCCAGCGACGACGCCAAGGTCGACGAGATCGACGACACTGGCCCCGAGGCCGACTCTGGTGCGTTTCCGCCAGTCCCGCTTAGCTCCGTTCAAGCTCTCCGCCTTTCCTGCAAGCGCCGTGCTCACCGCTGATCTCGCGATCTCAGCTCCTCCCCCCGACCCCCCAAAGCGCAAGCGCGGCCGCCCTCCAGGCAGCAAGAACAAGAAGACCCTCGCCGCCGCGGCCGCTGCTGCCGACGCAGGCACCTCCGACCCGCCCCGCAGACCGCGCGGCAGGCCGCCCAAGGTGCGCAAACGCGCGTCTACCCCCGCACCACGCCGATCGGTACTAACCCACCGTTCTGCATGCGCGTGTATCCTGCAGCGAAAGCCGGAAGAGGGCGCGGCGACTGAAGGCGGCGACCCGCCCAAGAAAAAGCGCGGTCGTCCCCGCAAGAATCCGCTCCCGGAGCCCGCCGCTGCCCCCGCTCCGCCTCCCGCGAGCGAGGAGGCCGAGTCCAGCACCGCCGCTGCCGCCGCAGCTGGCCCCTCCGACGCCCCTCAAGTCAAGCGGAAGCGAGGCCGGCCCCGGAAGGACTCGTCGTAAGCGGTCGCGACCGCCGCGGCCCGCCGCTGCTATAGTCCTCAGTGCGCCGTCCGTGTCCGTCCATGTTCCACCCGTGTCCTCTGTGTCCACCATACCCATCCCACCGTCAACCCGTGCGTCGTTGCAGTCACACGCCTCACCCGCTGTCTCGCCGTCCTGTCCGCCCCGTCCGCCCGTCGTACCTTGGCCCCCTCTGCCCCCGCGCAGCCTAGCCACGGACCGTGTACAGTATGACTGTCTCCTCCCAGGCGTTTGTCCGTCTACGAACCACTGTATGATCTTGCTTATGACCCGAATACCAGGTCTCGCTATGCTACGAACCGTCCTTGCTGCTCTCGCCGTGCTGTTGCTCCTGGAAGTCTCAAACAATACATCGCATCCCCTCTCCCAGCCTGCAGACTGGCGCGTCCAGCCGACTTCCCAGTCTCCCCACTGCCGCCCCCTGGAAGCGATCACGCGGCCAACCGCCCGCCCACGTCCCAGGGCGTCCCAGGGCCAAGGCCACCCAAGGTTGGCGACGCGTCCGTAACGTCTGCGCCTGCGACCCCTCCCGGGTCCGTTCTCTGCGTCCTTCTTTTCCCCTCGCGCCTCTGGGCCCTGGCATGCGTCCGGGGCAGCGGGCCAGGCTGCGCTGTCACCGGAAAGAACAAGGAATATTGAAAGGCAAGCACGAAAAGCCTCCGCACCGTGGGGCTCGTCCTCGCACGCCCGCACCGTTCGCGGCGTGTGGGACGGTGGTGGCGTCCCCGCACCCCGCGCTCACGATCGCGTGCTTTGCTCCCGGCGATCTTTCTTGTCCGAGCGGAGGCTTCCCGTCGACCGTCAACCGCTTGCACCCTCGGCCCGTGCTGCGGCAGCCCCGAGAGAGGTGGCCAGACGAAAGGCGGCTCTGTGGGATGTACTGCGTCAATCCCTTTTCTGTCGTGAGCGTTAGAGGGCGGGTTGTTGCGTGAGCATCGTGATTTTCGCGGTGTGCGATTAATTACTCGATGAGTCCCGCGGCGTTCTCCGGCCCGCTCGATCGCTCCCTCCCCGACTGCCACGACTTCTCGTCCGCGGCAAGCCACATACGCGCATAGCGACCGTAGCCTTGAAAGGCCAAAGCGGACACCAGCGTATTGGCGCACAGTGCTAGTTCCAAGACAAGGTCCCGAGAGAAAGAGAGGGAGAAAACAAGGGCGACGAGATCCGGGCGAAACATCCCTGGCGACACATCCCTGACCTCAGCCGTACGTTCGAACGGTGCGCAGCCGAGCGTGGGGCGCGCCCGGCGAATTTCGCCGCACGGAGAACAGCGCCCCTGGCAACTTTTCCGCACGCGCGCCCGGCGAACAAAACGACGATCGCTCGCGCGAAGCTGGCCCGCGTAGCACCCCGGCTCCGTTGGCGAGGGTGAGATGGGCAGATGGGCAGATGGGGCGCGTTGACGAGCACTGCGCAGGGTCCGGGGGGGAGGACGCGCGCCGGGCGCTGATGCGCGGGCAGCTGGGGGCGGGCTCGAGTGAGCGCGCAGGGGTGCCCAAGGGTGCCCACTGCAGGGTCGGCCATGTGCACCACGCGGCGGGTTCCCGCGCACGGACGACAGGATTACGGCATCGGGCGATGTTAATTGACGAGGGAGCGAGCGCACGAGCCCGAGAGCGCAGAAGGCCAAGGGCCGGGAGGCACCTTCATTTTGTCGCAAGCGGGCGATGGCGCAGCCCGTCCGAACTGTTGGCGTCGCCGCCGACGACCCCTCCGGCCTCGGCATCTTTCTTCTTGTTCGCGGGTTCCGGTTCCCTTTGTTCGCCATTCCGCTTCCGACCGCCTCCTTCGCACGCGACGGCGGCAACCACAACAACACCCAACAACGCCGTCCGCCCATAGCCGACGCCTACATGCGCCGACGTCGACTTCCGACGGCCGCCGGATGTGCCTCACCGTCGCCCACGGCTCGCGGGACTGTGGCATGGGCGATGGTTACAACTTCTAGTGCCATTGTGAAGCTTGCAAGTAATAATGTGCTACTCCGTTTGCGTGCTCGTTCCTTTCCATTGGTCAGGGCCGAGGGGTGCCGCCCCGGTGGCCGTGCCGTGCACGTTGAGGCTCTTCTGGTCCGCTGGTTCTGAATGCGTCCGTGACTTGTGCTGAGGAAATTCTAGACCGGACCCGGGCTCAAGCGCGCCCATACAGTCGCCGCGCCAGAATCGCGGCCCCGATCCCCGCAGTACCCAGCACGGCGCTCACGCTGATCCACCCCGCGGTCCTAAGCACCTCCGATTGCCTCTGCGCCTTGCGGCGCACCGTCGAGTAGCTCACGTCCGGCCGGAACGACACCATCGTGTACTGCGGCAGCCACCCGGAGACAGCGTTGGAGAACGTCTTGGTCGACAGGCTCGGCATGACATCCCCGGCGGTGGTGTGGGACCAGTTGAAGGCGTACAGGAGCTCGTCGAGCGCCGTGCGGAAGCGGTACCCAAGCGTGACCACCTTGTGGCGCATCTCGACACTACATGCGCCGAAATCGCGCGTTAAATCGATGAGGGGACTGATAAACGGGGCGAATCAATAAGGGCACTCACTAGTTCTCCATGGCAAGGTCGCAAATTGCCACCAGGTCCTCGTGTCGGGTTTCGGAGTACTTGCTCAGGGCACTAGCCAATCGCGGATCGATCGAGCCTTCAGGAAAGCTCATGGTGGGGTCCACACTTGCTTCGCGAAGGAGAACGTCCAGTACACGGACGTCTTCTAGACCACAGTTGAGGCCCTGGCCATAGAACGGAACCATGGCATGCGCCGAGTCGCCTAGGATGACGGCGCAGTCCTTGTAGTGATACGGGTTCGCCTGCACGCGCCGATGTCGTTATTGCGGCGGCGCGTAACACAAGACACGGCCAAGAGATGCGTGGGATCAGACGGCAGACCACCGCTCAGCGCCGCTTAAATCATACTCTGAAACAAGAGAATTGACGCACCTTCACTGTAATGAGCGTGCCCCTCGGGTTCCGATGGAAGTCTTCGAGGAACGCTTTGTCGCCGATGAGAGATAGAGCGTCGGGGAAATGGGCGCGGAACCACCGGAGGACCTCGTCATCGGAGCTCGAGGCCAGGTAGTCGAAGGTCGAAGTAGGCGCGAAGAGCGTACAGGTGAATGAATAATCCTACACGCGCACTCCATGAGTCTTCCACATATGGGAGAAGGGAAGGAGAAGAGCGGGGGATCACCTGACCTTATTCGGGAGCGCAATCAGCATGAAGGTGTGCCGCGGCCAGATATGCAGGTGGTTCTCATCGAGCAAAAAGGTGGGATCTCCGCTGGGCTTGTTCGGCGGACCCATCGGCATCTTAAGCTCCAAGTACTCGTGGGGAATGTATTGCTGGGCGTAGTCCATCCTGTGGGAGCACGGTGGGTTTACAGCGCGTCAGATCGGTTCCAGTAAGCATCCGGAGAAGGTTGGAAATATCCTGCAGGCTGAAAACGTCGGTACGTACCGAACCACACGCATCAGCTGACTCCGGACGACAGAGTAGCTCCCGTCCGCGCCGATACAGAAGTCGAAAGGGACGTCGAGATCCTCGTTTCCTTCCACGTTTCGAACCTTCATGGTCTTGCGGTCGAAGTCGATAGTGGCGATTTTGTGTTGGAAAAATGCGCGGATGCGCGGATTAGCCAGCGCTTCTCCTAGGAGATCCTCATTCAAGAATGCGCGCCCGATAGAGTTGATGCACTGATATACCCGTGTACGTGTGGTGGGAGCGACGGAAGGCGGGGCGGAAGATGGATGCGGGAGGAGTCAGTTCATTGAACAGATTGGCAGGTGGGACAGGGCGCACCTGGCCGTCCCGATCGTAGGGCTGGCTCTGTTGGCGCCCTCTAGGGTCGTGGATCATTCTGCCATGCATGGGAATGACGGTGCTGAGGAAACGGTCCGCGGCATCAGGGTCGATGGCACGGATGGCAGCGATGCCGCGAGCGGATATGGCTAAATTGATAGAGCGCTGCTGCGCGGCGGCCTTGGACGAGGGCAGACGCATATCTTGGGGACATGGGTATTCAAAGCTGACTACCTAGGAAAAGCCGAGAGAGGGACATACCGGGACGACCCTCGTAAATGTCCACGGACCAGCCCTGGCGGGCGAGGGACATAGCAGCGAGGCATCCCACGGGGCCGGCGCCGACAACGACCGCCTTGCGAGGATTGGACGCGGTGGGCGACATTCTGATTGGGTCAAAGAACTGTGAATGGGCGGATATTAGAATTCGCGAACGGTGCGAGGAAGAGGAAAGCGGCATTCACGCTGAGGGCGAGGCGAGGCAGTCGGGTTTGGGATGGGATTGGCGAAGAGGTGGATGTATGCGCCCGCGCGAACGGCGGGGATATAGGCAGAGCGGGAAGAGAGCGACGCCAGAGAGCGACGCCTGGCTGGCGTCGCTGGTGACTGATTATGACGAACGCCCGAAGCGCCGTTAGTGCTCCGCGCGTCAAGCAAATCGGCTCGACATCGGCGCGCCATTAATCGCAGCCTCCTCCGCGTCCCGGGCTGCGTCGGACGGTGGCAGGGCGGCGGCGGGAGGAGGAACCGCGGCCTCGGCGACGCCTGGATGGGTCGGTAGGAGGGCGGGAGGAAGAAGGCAAATGCCGCGAGTGTGCGTCACTCGCCCGATGTGGGACGCTGCCTCTTCGACGCGCCGTTCTCATTACTGCAGCCGCGCGCACGCCTCCCGCCCCGCGTCTGAAAGCCTCTTTCGCCTCCCCTGCCGCTTGTCACCGGGCCATCCTGCTTCACATGCTATCTGCCCGTCGCGCGTAAAAGGCAACCGCTTCACAAATGGTCCAAGAAAATCGCCGTCCGAGTCTCTCCCTGCACTCGTCTGCCCCCACTGCCGGGCACGGCTTCTTTACACTCTGGCCGTTGTCCGTCTAATGAGGGCGCAGAGCTGCACCGGAACGCCGTGTGTGTCTCGCGCTCAGATAGGCAGCCACTGGCCTGAGATGTGGACCAGAGTGGACAGGAATGCATCTCACCTCGCTGAGCGCCGGACGATCCTCCATAAGGCTAGCATCGGCCTTGCCACCCCGAGCGCTGTTGGACCGTCGCTCGCGTTTGCGTCTGGCGGTCCACATTGTTGTGCTCTGCGCTCCACCGTCTCGCACCGGCTTGCACCGTCTCCCTCTCATCAAACCGTCTTCTCACCCCTCTCGGCTCCAGCAATCATCGTGCGGTCCCCCGGGCCGTACCCGAGCCCCCATATGTATATACTCCAGCTCCTCATCGCCGAAACTATCTCAGTGGGCTGACCAATTCCGCGCCACCGGAAATTCGTATCACTGACCCCGACACGCCGAGCCGTGTGCGCAATCCCGAACTATCGTAGCAAGACCAGCGTGCCGCCAGCCTGTCTCCAGCACGATCCCGCACGACATCTGTTCCGCCGCGCTGTCCAAGCCAGCGCTTCGCCAGTCCTAGATATCAACTTAGCCAGCGCACCGCCCACTGCGGATCTCTGCGGATGTACTTACGACTAGCTGGGCGCATGGGCGCTTTCGGTCATCGTGCTGGGGCTGTCACGCTCCGACGTGATGGCGTGACACACGCGTCCACGGGCGAGGGGCTGGAGGCTCATGCCGGTCGGCCACGGTGCGTCTCGTCCAGCTCCGTTCTACTACGTGGGCCCGCCCTCCGCCCCCTCACCCCCCGGCCACAACCTCAATGCCTTCCAACGACACTCGGAAACGGCCCACTATGGACATTGTCGATGCGCGCGTCGCCGTCGGCCTCGCCACCAAGCAGACATACTCGGAGAACGTCTTCCTCTTCGTCCCCAATCTTATCGGTCCGTCCCCCTCTCCGCCTCCCCCTCACGCCTCTGACCGCTGTGCGCGCCCAGGATACTCCCGCATTATTCTCGCCGCATTTTCTCTCCACTACATGAGCTACCACCCCAAATACTGCACTGTGCTCTATAGTATCTCCTGCTTACTCGATGCCGTCGATGGGCACGCGGCCAGGGCCCTCGGCCAGTCCTCCAAGTTCGGAGCTGTTTTGGACATGGTCACCGACCGGTGCGTCTCTTCTTCTCTCGGCATGCCTCTTTCCCTGAACACGTCTCGCGAAGTTGTACAACATCATGTTTGCTATGCTACCTTACGCTAGCGTACCCAGAATGGGCGCTCGGCTTCCAATTCCTCATCACCCTCGACTTCAGCAGTCACTATATGCACATGAACAGGTACGTCTCCACGCAAATTCTGCGTCCGCCCCGCTACATCCCCCGTCCAGCTCGCTCGTCACGGGCTCGAAAAGCCACAAGCAGGTTGACGGTGACGTCAGCAACCTGCTACGATGGTACTACAACCCCGTGCGTGTCCCCGCCGCAAGTCGACTTTCCCGATCTGACGTCTCCCTTCCCTTCTCTGTCCCGTCCCGCCTCCCCGGCCCGCGCAGACCGTCCTCTTCATCGTGTGCGCCGGCAACGAGCTCTTCTACATTGCCCTCTACCTTATGAAGTGGGTGCACACCCCGCTCTCCCAGTCTTTCGGCATCACGGCCGAGCTGGCGACACAATGCACCTGGGCACATGTCCTCCTCGCCATCTCGGCCCCCGTCTGGCTGCTCAAGAACGCGCTCAACCTTGTCCAACTCTGGAAGGCGTCCAAGGTCCTTGTCGGCGTTGACCTTGCCGAGCGCGCTCAGGCGCGGGCGGCGGCCGCGGCGAAGAAGAGCTAGGCCGCGTGCACCGCTGCTGCCAGGGGAGGTGTCCGCAGAGCGGCTCAGGACGATGGCGAATGGGCCGAGGCACCCGACATAATGCTGCTGCTACTCTTTCATATTACCGCTACCATACGAATACGTCCCGTCCATAGACCCGAGTACTACCCCGTGCCGCTGTACTGCGTGTACTAGCACCCTAATGACCGAAACGATTTCTCGCCCAGACCGATGGCTATCTCTCAGCGCTCCTGTGCATTCCCCGCCGACAGGCCTGTGATTGCTTTTTAAATGAGACATCGAGGGTTGAGGAACCCCGTTGATCCTGCTCGAGAATGACAGGGAAGAAGGAATGTCCTTGATGAAGCTGTTCCTGGATTCATTCTCCATGCGCGGGCCGGTTGGCCACCATCCGCCTCTCACGCCGTCCGCCGACGGCCCTGCCGATGACGGGTGTATCCCAAGGACAGCACAGACTCGCTATGCATGACCTTACGCAGTCGCGTAAGTGCGTACGACGGGCATTAGTACGAACCATGTCGAAGAGCGCAGAGACAGTTCTGCTCCGCTCACTGGATCGCGGTTGTGAAGTAGATCTACTGTCGCGGGGTGCGCTTACCCCACCATTCGTGAGCACCCGGCTCGTCAACGTTTCAACTTCGGAACAAGGCACGCAGCGAGCCTCGAGGCAGACGGGCGGACAGAGAGCATAACGTGAGACCGCTGTTACCAACGGAGCCAGCGACGGATTGCGAACGAGGGACGGCGTACTAACACGGATCCACTGCTACATGGGAAGTTCTAAAGGCCTATTATACTGGAACAAGAGGGGGGACGAGAAAGAGCGTGTCGTGCGGGACGGGCAGAGACGAGAAACTGTGGATGCGAAATGATAGTGCCGGGACGTATGGGAGCGAGAGAGGAGTCGGTACTGTTCATCCTAGTGCATATGTGCATGTGAGAGAAAAGGGAAGCGGGAGAGCGGCAGCGGTCATCCGCTCGGAGGACGGAATGGGGTAGCCGGAGGTGCCATGCGGGGGGCGACGGGGCTGGGAGGAGGGTGTGCGCGCGTGGGGGAGGATACTGGGGGCCCGGGCATCAGAAGAGCGGATGGAGGAAGGATGCGAAATGCGGACGGCGACGGCGGACAGCAGCAGCACAGCGAGGGCAAGCGGACATGTCGTGTGGGCGACGACGGATGATTAGCGGGGGTGGACACGTGCAGTGAATAAAGAAAATAAGGAGTGATACGGTATCTTCGACTATGGGTACTCCGCAGGCAAGGGGTAATGGCGAGGACGAGTATGTGTATAACAGCATAACAGCACGACAGATGCCGATCCCGTGCGCGATCATAGAGATGGAACAGAGTTGGTCGTAAATTATTCCGTGTAGGGCGTGGAAATGCGTGAAAGGCATCAACAAGGGAGCAATGGAAAGAGAAAACGATTGGGATATGGGAGACATGGGGGTAACCATGGTGGAGCGGTCTATGGGATGAGGCGGTGCAAAGAAGGATCTTGGTTCACCATGTTCCTGATGAAGCCGATGCCCGAATCTTCTGATGGGGCGGGGGAGGCAAGGGCCTTGTTGGTCGCTGGCGTGGTTGTGACACGCGTCGCGGCGCTGGTTTGGGAGACGTTGCGGGTACGCTTGGGCATTGGGATGGCCGCGCGCGTGCTTGAGTCCCACGTCGGTCGATCACGAGTGATGGTGACCTTCACCGAGTGGCCTTCGTCCGAGTGAGGCGTAACCTTGCGGTTCGTTGGCGTAGCAGTTGTTCTGCGACTTGCGGGACGAGGGACATGAATTTGCTCGTTAGCTACAAGGCGTGTTCCGAACTTCGCATTGGCAGAGGACTCGCGAGCGTACGCGGTTGTAGGCGTCGTGGTACGACGGGGACCATTGGATACCGGGGGCTTGGGCTTTACTGTTGGCTTTTGGAGCGTAACCTTGTCTGCGCCCCAGTACGAGAAACTCATCTTGCTCTTGCGATCAGAGTCGTCCGAGTCTCCTGCGGCCTCGTCGTCGTCGTCGGGCATCGGTACAATACGAGGCTGAGCCCCTGAATGCACCTGCTGTCTTGACTTGACCACACTACGGATAACCATCTCAGCATCTCAGATCAGATATTAACTGAAGGGCTACTTACTCCTCCATGGAAACGACGCCTTCTCGAGGTTGTACAACGTCGCCAATATCCCAGGTCTCGATCTGTAACGCCATGAGCACACATCGAAAGGAGTTCGAGGGCTTACTGACCTTGAGGAACTTGTACATGTTCCGTGGCTTGGTATGTGAGCCTCTCCTACCACTAGACGCGTACTTCGCTTTGCCCTGCAGCTCAGGCAAAGAATTCGTGCGTGTGTTCGAGCCAGCGACCAGTGGCAGTGAAGTGGTTCCAGTGCGCTGACACCGAAGGACCACATCGTTGAACACGACAAGCCACAAGTCCTTCTTGCCGCCTATGCCGCCGTTTCCTTGAAGAACATCGCTTAACCGCTTGAACGAGGTCTTGCCCTTGACGTTCTTAGGATTCTGTGATGCGAGAGGTGGCGATGACGACTTGCTTTCGGGAGTGTGAATGCCCAGAAGCTGCCTCTCCTCGACAAGTACACGAGAGGGCTTAGGAACCATCAGCTGCTTGACCTTGTCGAGGCCCTCGATACGTGCGAAGACATCGCGAGTCTTGTCGCGCTCCTCTTTCTGGATCTTCTCGTCCTCGATGCTCCGGACGATCGTTTCCACCTCCGCGACCATCTGCAGAGTACTCTCGTACTCGAAAGTGCTGGGATCGGTGTGGTACAGGAGGTTCTGGAAGAGGAGCGGGTACTTGAGCAACCGCTGGAATGGCTTTGACAAGGAGATTGCCAAGCCAGTTTCGCCCTTCTCCGACGCGTTGATTTCGAGCCTTTGGAGTACTGGCAGATTTTGAACCACTGGTCGGCATCCTGCTTCTTGGGCTTCTTGCTTGCGCTCGCAAGGGACAGCGCGTTGTCGACTTGCTCGAGAGCACGCTCCAGGTGAAGAACGAAGGTGGCGTAGCCGTGCAATATGTGCGACTGTAAAGGATGAGCATGCATTCGTAGAGATGAGGTAAAACGGTACACACGTTCGTGACAAACACATCTGCCAAGGACCTTACCAGCGGATATTGATCCTCGTACCTCTTACGCAGCCCCTCGCTCAGACGGATGTGGCCGTCCAAAAGTGCGGACTCAACGACTTCAAGACACTTCCGGAGATCCTCGGGCAGCTGAGCGGGGGGGACAGCTCCAGGGATAATACCTTCCGGACCTGTGCTGCTCTTCTTGAATTTGCGAAGTACACGCGTGGTACCTGTACCATTGGTCTTCATGGAGGGTGCATGATCGTAGTCTCGTTCCCTTTCGGCAATGAACGATTGCCGCCCGAGGGACTGTGTAGAGGACGCCATGGCGTTCGCACGAGGGGGCGGGGGAAGTGACTGGTGCGATCGTGAAGGGAACGGAAGGGATGTGCCGAACTTGTTGCCCGACCGGGTCGCAGTGCTTCCGTAAGGAGACCGCGGGTGGTTGTGCTTTGCAGCAACTGACATAGTAACCGTCTTCTTCTTGCCAGAGTTGAAGGTGGCACCCATTCGGTCGTCTGCCTCATCCTCCTCAGCGGAATCCATCGACTCACCGTCGATGTTTGGATGGTGGTCATCTTTTCGAGGAGAGGCATTCGCCACAGGTACCGGTGAGTCAGAGCGGTCGCCTGTTGGGGAGGAAAGGAAACGAGCGGCAATGGGAAGATGCTCTAATGATTCTCGGGGAGTTTCGGCTCGCCCGAGGTCTTCGTAGATGTCTAGAGGGATGGGGGATGATACTGGGGAGACGATATAGGGATGGAGGAGAGGTTCAATAAACGTCTCCTTCATCTTCAGCAGCTCGGCAACATAGCTGTAGACAGTTGCCGCTCAAAAAGGGCTCGGAGAGGAGAGGAGTACACACACGCACCGTTCCTCACTGGCAACAATCTCCCACAACACCTCCTGTCGTGTCCGCTCTCGCTGACCAAGGTTCGACACAAGGTCCTCCTCCGCCCCCTCACTCCACGACTGCGCCGCCAGTATACGACTGCTGGCGTTGCTCATCTGAGAGTACGGGGTGTTTGAGCGAAGGGACTGATGTAGCGAAGGCTCGTAGCCCTTGTTGGGGTACGGGGAGGTAGCAGTCCGCGTTGAAGCCGCCTTGTTCGACTTGAGGGTCGAAGCAACATCGGTCCGAGACGACGCCGCAGTGGACGTCGATCCTCGCGTGTCTTTGCCATGAGCGGCGTGAAAACGCGAGACGGTCGACTTCACAGCGCCATTGGTAGGTGTTGGTGTGCTCGCGTCAGGAAGGCCGCGATCTTGTAGAGGTGCAGGGGTCGGTGGAGGTGATAAAAAAGCAACCTTCTTCTGCGCGTCGGAGTGAGTCGTCCCATTCGCAGTTTTGCGAGAGCTGCGACCTGTGGAATCAGTCGAGCCTTCTTGACGTGGAGGGCGAGCGTCGCGAGAGCCAGAAGAAGCTGCAGCAGCGGTGGTAGGCAGATTCTCCTTGGTGTCGAGGCGAGGGAGGGAGGGATTGGGGGCGTTGGGTGTGGTTGTGAGGGAAGAGTCCGTGGATGATGAAGGCTCGCCGATGGGGGGTAATGGACGCGCTGAGATGTCTGGCAGGGGCTTGGATGAGTGAAATGAAGTCGGAGTGGATGTTACGCGTTGTGGCGGCCAGTCGGGGAGGGGAGGCAGCTGGGGTATCTTTTCCTTGGGAGCATCCTTTTCCTTGTCCAACTTGTCTTTACCACCGCCCGTGAGACCGCGGTTGATGCGAGTGAGAAAGGCCTTCATGATATGGTAGGCAGCAGCGGGCCGCGCTGTCGAGACAGCTTGTCGAGCAGCGGCTGCGGGAGGGAGGAGCGTGGAGACGGTGCGCGCTGCCTCGTTTGCCGGTCAGTTGCGACAACGCTGCTCCATCACGCCGTGACTGTCACGAGCCACCGTTGCCGCGTGGAGGCCACACCCCACCCACGCGCTGTCCTCCACTGCCATGGCCCTCCGCCCCGCCCACGAGACAAAGCACATCCCGCTCCTGGCCTACCCCTTCGCCGACCGCGTCTTTCACCTCGGCCAGCTTAACGACGGCGCAACTAACGGTACTGGCCTCTGGCTTGGTGCACAATGTCTCTCCCTCTATCTCGCGAACGCATTCAAGTCCAGATCATCCTCCACCGCGGCGACGTCCCTCGCCGGAGCGAGCCGTCCGAGGGCGATTGAACTAGGAAGCGGCATCGGCCTCTCTGCGTGCGTTGCGATCACCGCCATGTCCTCCTCATGCTTGCAAACCATGCCGTCTCACTCTTGTTCCCATGCATAGTCTTGCTCTCGCCCACCTGGGCTGGGATGTCCTTGCCACCGACCTCCCCGACGTCATCCACTCTGTTCTGTTGCCGAACATAGCGCGCAATTGCGAAGAACTCTCCACACGTCTCGGCGCTATCCAAATCCGCGTGCTAGACTGGGTGGTCCCGCCTGACCGTTGGGTGTGGGACCATCCTCACTGGATCGCCTCGACTAGCGTCGACTCGGAGGCTTCGTCCCTTCTCGAGCCCAGCATACCACTCTGACACCGCCGTTCGATCTCATCATCTCATCCGATACCCTCTACTCGCCAGAATTGGTTACCCCGCTTCTGCGCACTCTGCAGCACCTCTGTCGCGCCTCCCTGCGGTCCACCGCGCGATCTCCGCCCGTGTATCTCTGTTTGGAGCGACGCGATCCTCTTCTCATAGATCGCGCGTTAAGCGAGGCGCGTGATCAATGGTTTTTCAAGGTAGAACGCGTTCCTCCTAGGCGACTTGCGAAGGCTATGGAGAAAGGTGGCGCACGGTGGGAAAAGCACTTGTGGGAGGGCATAGAGATTTGGAAGCTGCTTCTTCGTGAATGAAGCGGAGGCGGAGGAGGATGGGTATGGTGGTAGTCTGCGGCGTGTAACGGTACATTAGTACAGTACAGAAGTACTCGAGTTGTATGGTTCGTAGGTAAGCATTGGCATATCCCTTCGAAGATGGAACGCTCAGCACCGTCAACGGATGTGATGTTGCGGGGGCTAGTCGCGCTCCTGATGAACGTGCGTTTGCCTTCTTCTAACGCGTGCAATGCAATTCTGCAACGATGACGCCATGAGCATGATAGCTACGGTGCCGTGGAGTAACTTTGTTCTAGCTCTCGCTATGACCTAGGCTATGATGAACAGAATCCTCACATGAGAGCGGACGTAAACTCACGAAGGGTTGGAAGTAGAACGAGGCTCGGTGTCCACGTCTTCTCGTCTCGTAGCTACGAGTCGCAATGTTCTATCAAAACCATGTGCCGACTTCCAGATGATCTTAGATACCTCAAGCTGTCAAAATTGAGAGACGAGAGGCTTACTAGATCTCTCCAAGTTTCTTCTTCATCGTTCTCTGTCTGCAGCTGATATACTTGCATGAAGCCCTTGAACCTGTGAACATATCGCGTAGATGCTGAGTCCAAAGCTGCAAACGGCTTGTACAAAGATCATACTGACGTCAAGCCACCGTCGTCTGTCACGTCCATGAACTCGAGCAGCTCTTCCTTCGTGTCCGCGTCGAACGGCGATCCATTTGTGTCTCTTGCCCACGCATCGAGCCCTTCAGGAGTAAGATACGCGCCTTGCGGGATTTCGCTCATGTTTTCGGACAAGGGCTTCGGTGTGCAGTACTTCGCGAATATGTGCTTCAGGCAGGACTCCAACTATCCATGACCGCAAATCGGCCCTCAGGACTGACTCGCTACACGCACACTGTAGACAGGGACATACCTGATTTGAGATGGCTCCGTCGTTGTCCAACAGTTGCACGCCTGCCTCGGGCGCATTCCGTCTGCCTTGCCTTGAGTCCGGCTCAGGTGTCTCGGGCGCGGGGACTGGTTGCCGGCGCGGAGCTCTTCAATATCGCGATGCAGTTTTGATATCGGCATTAATGACGGCGAATCGAGGACGGTGAGGAAAGTGCAGGATAATGTAAGGATGAGAGCGAGGCGATGGGGACGAGGAAGTAGGAACCCAAGGGAAGGTACCAAACCCGAATCTATGAGCGTGATTTTGAGCGTGATATATGAAACGAAGCAAGCTTATAGTACTAGTAATACAAAGACTCAACCACAAATCAATGGGACGGCCGCGACTACGTTCCCTCTGCTTTCAGTCATGCTCCTGCTTAGGACAGTTTCTCGGCATCAAATATGAATAGTATGTATTGCGTCGTCGAAATCCAGAGCTCGTTTCCGGTCGCGGTTGCAGAGTTAATTCATGACTGGCGCGTACGAACCGCTTTTGAAGACGCAGCGCCTTCAAATTACCCGCAAACGTTCGAGCCCAAGGGGGCGACGATTATTCAGCTGGTTGTGAACAGATTAGATTGTGCTTCAGTCGCGTAGCTAAAGGCGGGCAGTGTAAGAGAGCATTGCTCTAGGTCAAGCGCGATAGTATCATGAGAATTAGGCGTCACTGAGCAGGGACAAAAGCTCTTGAAATTGAGACCAAGCTCTGCTAACACTTTCGACCGTCCGCGTGGCATAAACGACGTCGATTCTGCAGGAATGACCAGAGATGATAGCACGAGCTCAGCAGTCGTCTTGAACTCGCGAGTGAACAGATCTCAGATGCGTGACTGGGCACGTGGGAGAAACGCGTACGGGCTGCAAGCAGAGTCGCACTAGGCTCTCCGGAAGTCAGACTCATCCTGTACTCCTGCCTTACATTGACTTACATACCTCTTCCTCTGCGCCTCGTTACCTTTTCTTCTTCAATACTGTCGCTTTGCCCTTTCCATCATGGCAGGCCGGTCAGAGCCGCTGTCAATCGAGTCCCTGCTCCAAAAGCAGCGTGAAGAGAAGGAAGCGGCAGCCAAGGTAAGCATTGTCCTGCATATTGTTGAAATAAAAATACCCAACGAGTATGTTAACAGCCCAGGTTCATGACCAAAGAGCAGCGTGCTCAACTCGCTATTCAGAAACGCGCTCAGGAAATCAAGGAACAGCGAGAGAAGGAGGAGCGTTCAAAGCAAGACCGGGAGACGCTTGAGAAGGAGGCAGACGAGATCGGCAACGAGAAAGAGAGCGCGAACGCTCCTCCAGATACGGTGGCGGGGGTGGAGGTCGTGGTGCGTCCGTCCTCCTATGCATGCATCCCTTTGGTTCAACTCAGGGTCTTCTAGATGATGACCGCTATGGTCGAGGTGGAGGCGACAGAGACCGCGACCGCGATCGGTACGGTAGACGCGACCGTGACAAACGATCCCATGACAATCGTAGAGGTGGTGGTGGTGGTGGTGGTGGAGGAGGAGGAGGAGGAGGGGGCGAAAACTACCAGAACGTTCCCACCGGCCCTCGCGCGGAGCGAGACAAGGGGGGTCCTTCTGCTCCGTCGTCCTCTATGCCGCCTCCACCCGTCCCCGGCTCAGTTCGTGACGTTACGATGGCAGATGCATCGGAAACATATGCACCGCCCATGACCGACAACGACTTGAGCGCAATCCGCTCGCGTTACCTCGGCGTGGACAAAAAGAAGCGCAAAATTCGCAAGATGAACGACCGGAAGTTTGTTTTCGACTGGGACGAGCAGGACGATACGTACAACGCCGAAACGCCGGGGGCGATCGGTAGCCAACGTCAGGGAGCGCAAGTAGGCTTCGGACGCGGGCACATCGCCGGTATGGACGACGCAGGAGGCGCAGTGGTACCCGGAAGGAAGGTCGGCGAGGGCATGGTTCTCGCGGACCCACTTGAGCGAAGACGCGCCGCAAGGTCCGGTTTGGACGAGAGGCATTGGTCGGACAAGTCACTGGATGAAATGAAGGAACGCGATTGGCGCATTTTCCGCGAAGACTTCAGCATCGCTGCAAGAGGTCAGCTACTTTGCGCCATTTTTTCCCATCTGGACGCTGATTTGGACGTTTTCTTTAGGTGGTCATATCCCACATCCTTTGCGATCTTGGCGAGAGTCGTCTATACCGGTGGAAATCCTCGATGTCATCGACAAGATTGGCTATAAGGAACCGTCCCCGATCCAGCGGCAGGCCATTCCGATTGGGCTGCAGTACCGTGACATCATCGGCATTGCGGAAACAGGTCAGTAAACGAAAGTCTCTTGTGTGCACCCGAACTCACCATTGTATGCAGGTTCCGGTAAGACGGCTGCCTTCGTCATCCCAATGTTGGCATTCATCTCGAAGCTCCCGGTGTTCACCGACGACAACAGACATCTCGGCCCGTACGCTCTTATTCTCGCGCCGACGCGTGAATTGGCGCAGCAGATCGAGTCCGAGGCCAAGAAATTTGCGAGCCAACTGGGCTTCACTTGCGTCTCCATTGTCGGAGGTGTACGTATCTCACCTTCTCGCCATGATCCGCCAGGACTAAAACCACCTTATCACAGCGCTCGGTGGAAGAGCAGCAGTTCAACTTGCGAGCGGGTGCCGAGATCATCATCGCCACTCCCGGTCGTCTGAAGGATGTCATCGAGCGGCACGTCATCGTCCTATCACAGTGCCGGTACATCGTCATGGACGAAGCCGACCGTATGGTGAACCTCGGCTTCGAAGCCGATCTGACGTTCATTCTGGACAAGCTGCCGTCGGACACGATGGAAGGTGAAGACCAGGGCGAACAAATGGACGTCGATGGGGAAACTATGGTCAAGAAAGGCCGCACCCGTGTTACTACCCTCTTCTCGGCCACGATGCCTCCTCCTGTCGAACGCCTGGCGAAGAAGTACCTCAAGAAGCCTGCTATCATCACTATTGGTGAAGCTGGCCGCGCTGTTGACACTGTCGAGCAGAGAGTGGAGTTCGTCAATGGAGATGAGAAGAAAAAGTATGTACTCACAATCTGGCCCGTTCTTGTCATTACTGACGTCGTATTTCCAGGCATCGCATGCTCGAGATTCTCAACAGCAACCAGTACGCCGCCCCGATCATCGTCTTTGTCAACCAGAAGAAAACCGCAGACATGGTGGCGAAAGATCTGCAGCGTGCAGGGGTACGTTCCTAGGAGATTTCTGACATTCAAGAGCTGACCCCGTTGTTATAGTGGAATGCGGCAACACTTCACTCTGGGAAGAACCAGGAGCAACGCGAGGCGGCCCTACAGTCGCTCCGTACAGGGGATTCATATATTCTCGTCGCCACAGATCTTGCCGGACGTGGTATCGATGTTCAAGACGTTAGCTTGGTGATCAACTACCAGATGGCCAACACCATCGAGGCTTACGTCCACCGTATCGGTAAGGAATTGACTACAATGGGAACGGAGCGGTATTCACGACTTCTCGATCAGGTCGTACTGGACGTGCCGGCAAGCAAGGCATTGCAATCACGTTCCTTACGAATGACGACGACGAAGTCATGTACGTCCGCTTCCGTCGCGTCTGACCATTTGGGCTTGAGCTAACCGTCTTCTATGATGCAGGTACGATCTCAAACAAGGTACGTCACCATACTGTCATAAACCTTCGAGATATGCCCGACTGATGGCACTCTTTCCCTTTTTTGCCTCTACCAGAGATCTCCAAGAGTCCGGTGTCCAAGGTGCCGATCGAATTGGCAAGCACGAGGCAGCGCAACACAAGGTGTCGAAAGAGATGAAGAGGAAGAGAGATGCCGAGGACCAGGGCTGATCTTGAACACATTGACTGTACAGTGTATCTACGCCTCAAGACCGATTGAGGCACATGGTGCGTTTCGAATCAGCGCCTGGGCATTCGCACCGTACGGACAGGTTGGATGGGGTCGTCATAACCGCAGATCGGGTTACGAGACGATACACATCATGTATCATATTTTTTGCGCACGATCCGCGAACGGCATACCTCTTCGATTGCCCAGACGTCAGCGATACCAGACGAATCTAGCTAATCGTCCTGACTCGCTACCTCCACTCAAACAGGGCGTGCGCTTCTTTTGGCTCGACCGTACCTTTGCTTGTCTGTCTCGCTGACTATCCTCGGGGCTGCCAAGCCTGCCTTCTTTTTACCTAGCCTCGGTGCCACGCGCTAACTGCAGGTCATGGCATCCCAGGGCATCATCACCTACCGCTCCTGAGTCGCATTCCCGCGAAGATACTCAGAGTCCTATATCCTTGTGTGGCATGATTCATCACGCCCACCGCCATCAGAATACAAGTCCATCCATTCAAGCCGCGGCAAGCAAAACGCGGTTCGCCGAGGTCGCTTGTCGACGGTGCGCGCACGCCTACGCACGCCGACCTTTCGGTATCCACCACGCGGCCTCCTTTCTCACTTCCATCGCGCCATCTTGCATCAGCCAGTGCGGCGGCCGCGGGCGTGCTTGCTCAGTGCGCAGCGTCATCCACCACCACCGAACCTCGCTCTTCCGAGGTCGATCAAGATCCCCCGCCTCACCCGGAGCGGTCCCCCGACCGGCACGGGCGGTGGCGGGGCGCGTCCGCCGAGGTCCGCCGCCACTGTCGGCCGATCGGCCAACGTGCGCTTGAGGCTGGCTGCAGGACCAATGAGTACATACGAGTTTGTTGTTTGTTTGTTTGTTTGCATCCCACTCACCGCCCGCGACGGCGGAGCTCGCTCTATGGTAGGCGGTAAGTGCGTCGAACAGGATCCTTGCTGTTGTCGAATAGGTGCCGCGCGGTGGAACGGCCACACCTCGAGCGGCCTCGCCTCCAGGGGCACGCACACGTTCGCGCCGTCCAAGGATGATGGGAGGCCGGGCACACTGGGTTACGCACACCGACATTCCGAATTCGACGTGCGATGTTGGGAGTGCGGCCTATCGCGACGCGCTGCTTATTATTCGCGCGGGCTGTCTCTCTCCCCCGCGCGCGGGGTTTACCCGACTTGCTGCGCGTGCGCGACGCCGTCGTATCGATGGCCGTTTCAGGCTGCTGCGATGACCCATCATCCCATGCCCGGAGGCGCGAGTCGTCCGTGCGAAGCGATAGACGTTGTGGCGCCGATCGTCGACGCGGCCACCGTCTGGAGTACGTGTGTGCTGGCGCTGGCGTTGGACGCTTGTTCTCTGTTTCGTCTCAGAACATATCATCCAACGAGCAACTCCCGATCGTTCAAAAACCTTTCAAGATTATCTGGGTTTCTCTGGCCCGCTGCAGATGAGTACCTCCGGTTTCGCGCGCAGCGCCAACCGCACTGACACTGACAGAACCCTCACGGCGCCGGAGCGGATCTGCGTGCAAAATGTTTGGAGTCCTATTTGTGCGCACGCGCGGAAAGCCTCGGCTCGGGTAAAGCCCTTCGGTGCGCTCTGTCGAGACGGGCCAGGGGCAATGAGCGTGAACCCTCGCGAGGCAGGCAGCGCCCGTGCCTCGCGTCCGCAAAGTGCCCTTCGTCCGTGCAGTTGGCAGTTGGCAGCTGCTTCTCGCACGAAGACCCCGCCAGGCCGCCGGAGATCGAGACTGAAGAACAAGAGCCGATAGGTGGATAAAAGCAGCCTCCGAAGGTGAGTCACATGTTCGTCCAGCCGCGGTCGAGCCCACGTCAGGCTTGTGTAACCGGGTACGCTCTTCTTCGCGCGAAGGAATCCGAATGGGCGCGCCCCGAATGCCGACGGCGCAGCGAGCGAAGGCGTGCACCTCAAGTCGGAAGGCGAAAGTAAGTACCCAGCCGGACACTCTTACTAATGGCATTCCTGGTACATGTTAGGATTCGGAATGGCCGGCACAAACCGTTCCGAGACGGGGCGTGCGTTCGCAAACCACAAAGGGCTCGCGCCCGGGGCGTCGCGGGACTAAAAACATTCGGCCAGACGGCCGACTGTCGAGCCCCGGCCCGCGCTACCGAGAGACCTCCGTGCAGCTCCGAACACAAAGCGGGGCTCACGACGCACAGTCAAAACGTTGACGGTTCTTGAGGCCTGAGATCTGAGGTGAGCTGCAGCTTGGAATGGGTGAATGACTTATTGTGTGTCCCTGTCAGATAACTGGCATTCAATTATGTACGCAGTGGTGGAGGGGCTTCGGTGGACCTCCTTCGAGTGGGGTAGTGGTCAGTGATTCGAGATTGCCTCCACTCGACCGGGTACGCCGTACAAATAGAACGAGAGAGGCGTTCGAATGGGCGTTCGGTGTCTTGCAGGCTCGAAGACCCCACAGATGGCCCTGATGCCGCAAGGCCGTCGCGGCTTCTCTTCCCACAACGCACTCACTGGACTCACGGGTATTTACGGGCATCAAGAGGCATCAAGCTCCCCAGAAAGTCGGCCCTGGATCCGCGTGTGAGCAGGTCGTCGTGCAACGACTTCCGAATCGCTTCACAACGGAGAAGTGTTTTTGAGGTGCATCTCAGTGCACAGCGGCACACAAAGCCCCGCGCTAGATGTGCGTGTAAGCACGCCAACGGACACCACAACGTGGCGCCGCTAGAACAAGCTAACAACAGTTCCGACAGAAGCCAGGAGAACGACAAATAGACATCCGCCCGCAGCGCACAGCTCGAAGCAGCCATTTAATTCGTCTCCTCTGGGCGACAGCGACGCGGACAGGCGAACGCGCGTTCGCGTCGCGTAGGCCGTTTCACCAATGTCATTTCTGCTGGGTGTCCCATTCGTCTGCACAGCTAGCTCTAACGGCACCTAGACGCATGCGCAAGCGTTAGCGCGACGACCAACCCGCTCTCGCCTCGCCAACGCACGCCGAGAGACGCAACTCGCCCCACCGCCCGCGCCAATCACCCGCTCGATCTGACGAGGAGGAGGAGCGCGACTCCGACGCGAGGGGCTCACACGACCGGGCTCATCGCACGCGCCGGCGCCGCGGAGGTGCGGCACGCTTGGCCCGGCCCAACGCTACAACGGCTAGTTGGGCTTCTTCGCCAGAGCCGGGCTCGTCCTCGCGCGCGGGCTCGACGGAACGTGAGGGCGTGAGGGCGTGGATCAAGCGGGAAGCGCTCGTACGTGAGCCTGCGTGCACCGAGCACACGATCAGAACGCTCGACGACCGGACACGGCGTGACGGCTGCGGGCCATTATAATTGTGGGGATGACACGACTCCGCCTCCGCGAGAGGCCGGGACGACCGCTGCACCCCGCGTCGGGGCTGCGGGCAGCGGAGCTATGCATGCAGACGCGGGGGGTTCAAACGTTCAAACGCCGTGCCAAGCGCGAAGCTCTCCGGCCCAGCTCGCGACGGGGGACAGCTGCGAACGGCGGTGCTCCACGGAAGCACGGAGTCGGAGGGACGACGAGCGTTGGTGCGACCTCGGAGCGGGGATGGGAGAATCCCACTGCTTCGCTTCAGCTTCCAGTGTTGCAGGGTCGGAACGCACGCGCTGCGCGCGGAGCAGCTGACCTCCCGCGAAAGCCGGGCACGACTCGGGCGCATTCGAGCCTTGATTGGGCTCGCTTGAAGACGCGTGGCCAAGAAAAAGGGGGTCGTGTCTAAAACGTCGCGCGTGAGCGGGTTGACAGAAGACATGCGGGGAGACCGAAGGCAGGTCCTGACCAGCACCACGCCGTGCGCACGCTGAGAATATTTTAGTTGGAGACAAAGTAGTGCTTGCGACAATGGCACTGACGAAGAAAGCGAGGGAGGCGGGCGATCGCACGAATGCCTCCTCGTTATCCGGCAAAGCGGTCATTCCATGACAATCGTTCCATGACATTCGTGCTCGGAAAAGCCAGGGAGAAGCACGTTTGTCATCGCGCAGGGGAACACATGTCCACTCAACGGCCGAAGGGTGAGTGGCCGGAGGAGTGGGTGCGCGCCGAGCGGTCCCCGGCGGTCCCTGGCGCAGCGATGCCGGCCGTGGGGTCTCGAGATCTGCCGGGAAGATAAGGAGGCTGCGCGAGATCGCACGGGCACGCGCGGGATGCGCGACCCATCTGCGCCTTCTCTTCCTTCGCGCGATATCGCAGGGTGCGCAAATATTGCTTGGAGGGACAGGTGCCCAGTGGGCTGGGCTGCGCAAGCTCGCGCAAGCCGTCGCCGAGAGTTTGGTGGTCGGGCGCGCACCGGGGACTGGCGCCGGTCGAGGCGGGGCGACCACATGGACCGACAGGCGTCCCTGCACTGGCAGCTGTCTACATATCACGAATCGCCGTTGGGTGTGCTCGCCGGCCGCACCGGGGTGGCCGCTGTGGACAGGCTTTAGGATGACGCGAGACGGACTGGACTGCGGTGGGGCGCGTAACGAAAGCGGGGTCGGCGGGTGGCACGGCGCGGGGCTAAAGCAAGCACCCTCCGCAGAGGTCGAGAACGGATGTCCGGAGCGACGGCGGGCAGCGAGTGTTGCAAGGATTTGGTTTGGGTGCCTCGGAGCCCTGGGCGTACCTGGCTTCATGATGCGGAGGCGCGCGGGCTTGAGTTTGTTTCAGGCGCGTCGGGTCATGGGATGGAGAAGAGAAAGAGTTTGGTCGCGAAGAGTTGAGGAAGAGGAAGCAAGCGGCCGCTTGCGTCGCGCACGGTCGCGATGCGGCGTTTGGGAACATGGAACGGATGGACGTGCGGGCTTTGTGCGGCTTCTCGCGCGGAGAGATCTTGAGAGGCCGCGAGCGGGAGCGCGCGCACGTCTGTAGATGGAGGTGAAGACGATGTGGACGCAGAGACGGTCAGCTCGGAGGAGGCGGGGGAAGGAGGAGAAGCGCGGTGGCATCGGGCAGAGAGAAGATCGGCGAGGGATTGGGAGAGCTGTGCGTCGAAGCGAGCGGGTGTGGGCTGGATACTTGGCAGAGAATCGAAGGGGCCTTGGCGGCGGCGAAGAGCAAGCTGAAGGATGCTTGGGCGAGCGAGAGAGCGTACACTGCACGAGCTATCGGCCGGACGGGAGATCTCGAGAGCCCGCGCACCCGATCAGCGAGTGCCGATTGGAGCACCGCGCGGCAGCTATCGCCACCCAGCCCACCCAGCGCGATCCGCCCTACACAGATCCTCCTTCGCGCGACAAGGGAGCGGACGGGCTCGGACGGCGGACGGGACGCGGACGGCCACACCGGCGCAGTGCGCGGGGGCGGGCGTCGGGGCGGGAGGACGGAGGACAGGCCCGACGCGTTCGGCTCGGATGCCGGCCGCCCCCGCTCCCCTGTCCCGACTGATGGCCCAATGACGTCGGCCCCTTCCGTCTGTCGCGATGCGCGCACAGGCCGCACTGCGGCCAGCGACCGACGGCGGTCCTTTGCGGTCCTACGGCTCGCGAAAGGCGAAGGCGTAGCCAACAGCCGGCAGGCAGCACGGACGGCGGGGAACAGGCGAGGGGCGGGGCTGGCGCTCGGCAAGGCTGGATGAGGCAAGGGACCGGACGGGCGAGATCTGAGATGGGTGCCGAAACGATGCGCGCCGCATAACAAGTCGGACGGACTGCCCCGTCGCCCTCCTCGCGTAATCGCCCCTCCACCGTCCCCTTCTCCGTCCCGCCCAACCTCTGTCCGCCTTGCCTTCGTCCGCCATGCTCTCCGCCAAGCTTCCGCCGCCGCTCGAGCTCTCCATCCCCGCCGCACGCCCTGCTTCCCACCATTCCTCCCAGTCCCTCTCTGCCGACATCTCCTCTCCCTCCTCCCTCCATCACCCACCATCGCCGTTCAGACTCCCTCGCCAACCCCGGTGACCTCGCCTTTCCCACCACTCCAACTCCCGCCAATCCAAACGGCGTCTCCCAACCACAGCCCAAGGACCAGGTTCGTGTTGCGATCCCTCTTTTTTGCCGCGCATATGTCTGGACCCACTCCTGCCTCTCATATATATCCCGTTTCTCTCTATCCTCGTCACGTCATCGTGCTCATTCCTCCCCCCCCCCTATGTTCTGTCTTTGCCACTCCGTCCAGGCTCCCGCCCCCACCAGGCGCCCCTCTCGCTTCCTCTCCACCTCCTTCGGCAGACGGAAGTCCCCCTCCCCCACTCGCTCCTCCGCGACCACCAGCCCCGTCAAGGACCACGCAGAGTCCTCCATGTTCTCCTCCCGCCCCCGTGCAGGATCCCGCGCCAACTCAAGGAAGGCCAGTACCCCCTTGACTTCCTCTGCTGCCAGCCCAGCGGAGACCCCATCACGTGGTTCGCTCGACCACGCTCCTCCCCCCGCTTCCGCCGCCCTTCCCCCTCCGCCCGCAACACCCGCAACGCCCGCGACCCCCGTCCCGAAGAGTGCCAAGGTCGGCCCTCTTCACGACCTCAAACGCTTCCTCAACAACCATATACCCCACTCTCACCATGGTACCCCAGCCGCGTCCGCCGGCTCCACCCCCGCCGCCCTCAGCATGACCGACGTCCGTCTCGCCAACGGCGATGGCCCCCAAACTCCTTCGTCACAAGCACCTCTCACCCCCGCCACTGCGTCCATACTCACTGGTGACAACGGGTCTTCAGACCTGCTCACCATTGTCGGCGAGGTCAAGCACAAGGAGGGTCGCCTCTCGGCTCTCCTTCGCGGCCACCCAAAGGAGAAGCACGTACTGTCGGACGATAAGGTCAACGGTTCGTCGACTGCTGTCGCCAGAACCCCATCACCAGGAGGCTCCTCTGCAAAGAGCTCTGGCTCCCCACCTGGTTCTCTCCACTCCGAGACCAGCAAGACGAGTCATGCGCAGAGCGTTGCTTCCAGCTCGCTACTCCCCGTCAAAGTCGAGAAGCCAAGCCCTCGTAAACGCCAGACGTCTGTGTCGACCGGTACCACACCACACCACACAGCGTCACTCTCACAGGCCACACAAGTACAGATGTCGAAGAAGTACGGCAAGTGGGGGCGTGTCTTGGGGTCGGGGGCTGGTGGCACCGTCCGCCTGATCAAGGCTTCGACGAAAAACGGAGGGACCACATTCGCTGTCAAGGAGTTCAGGCCGAAGCGCCAAGGCGAATCTGAACGCGAGTACCAGAAGAAGGTGACTGCGGAGTTTTGTGTCGGTAGCACCCTCAAGCACCCCAACATCATCGAGACCGTAGACATCGTCACCGATCACGGGCACTATTACGAGGTGAGCTCCGTACTCGTCTACCCAGCTGTACGGTCTGCTGTGCTGACTGATCGTGTAATTGCATCTAACTCCCGCAGGTCATGGAATACGCCCCATACGACCTTTTCAGCGTCGTTATGTCCGGCAGCATGTCTCGGCCTGAGATCTACTGCGTCTTCCGCCAGATTTGCGACGGTGTGGAGTACCTGCATTCTCTCGGTCTCGCGCATCGTGATTTGAAGCTGGACAACTGCGTCATGACGAAGGAGAACGTCGTCAAGCTCATCGACTTTGGCACGGCCACCGTCTTCCACTACCCTGGGAAGAAGATGACCGCTGCGACGGGAATTGTCGGCAGTGACCCCTACCTCGCACCTGAGGTGCTCTCCCAGGACAATTACGACCCTCGCAAAACTGATGTCTGGAGCGTCGCCATCATCTTCATGTGCATGATCCTCCGTCGTTTCCCGTGGAAGATCCCCGACCCCAAGACGGACCCCAGCTTCCGCGCGTTTGTGAATGCCCACCCTGATCTTCCGTCAAGCCTTCGCCGCCGCCTGAAGTCCCCCACGATCAAAAGGAGAAAGGGAAGGAGGCTGCGCACGACGACTCTGGGTCGTCCTCAGCAGCGTCAGAGTCGGCCGCCGCCGATAGCTCTGTTGCGTCGTCACTCTTCGAGAGCTCGGACAGGACGTCGGTCGCGGACTCCTCGAGTTCGGATTCCACCGAGCTGACGGCTCCTTCGATGAACTCTGGGGTCTCTCCTGACGATCGCGAGGACTACGAGCGCGCTCTCCGCCGCAACCGGGTTCGCGCCTCACTCCAGGCTGGTGTGATCTCTCAGTCGACGCAGACGCTCCCCGCGCTCTTCCCAGGGTTGGAGGCCGTCGTGCGCGTGACAGCCCACAAGATCTGGATCCCTCTGTGCTGACGTACCCTCGTCCTGGCTCGTCAACAGAGTCACTGCCGGCGTCGCCATCCCTACCACCGCTGACCTGAAGCGTTCTCACCTGAACACGACGTTGCGTTCGAACACACTTCACGTGCTTTCGCCCACCGTGGAGGCTGTCAAGTCTGCCCCACATGCAATCGACGGCGCAGCGGAGGATGCCACGGGCAGTCCGATCAAGACTCGAGACTACGCGATGGACACCATCAAGGGTAACGGTGCCGTCTCACCAGTGGAGGACGAGCTCGAGGCGGAGGTTACTGGACCAAAGCGTCTGAGGGCAAGTCTGTGCCCACACCTACGCCCTCCCGCCCCAAGCCTGAGGAAAAGGAGTCGAGCAACACCGTCCGCCGCCGCACACGTACGAGCTCCGTCACCTCCGTTGCGACCTTCCACACCGGCGGCGCCGAGTCCATCTTCCGCCTCCTCCCTCGCGAGTCACGTCCCGCCATCCGTCGCATGCTCTTCGTCGAACCCACCGCGCGTTGCACACTCACCGATCTGCTCAAGGGCCGTGGCAAGTCGCACGATCTTCTGTGCGGCTGCCACTCGCACGACCAGGACAGCGCGCCGTGCCCCGATCACTGTTGCCGACCGGAGGAAGAGGATGAAGGAGACGAATGGTTGAAGGGCATCATGTCATGCTCGATCGAGGGCCACACGTCGACGCATGTGCACATCAAGCCGAACGTGGAGGAGAAGCATCACAAGAGGCGATTCTTCTAGGCATGTCGTGGGCGACGCCGCCGCTGAGAGGCTGCCCTTTATGCATCCTCGCCTGCGTGCGGTCGTGCGTGGTCGAGACCGGTATGGGGGTCTGGGCGCGGCGGTCTTTGAGCTCGCAGTGCTGTCACCCAACGACGGTGCCTGTGCTTCTCGCTCTCGACCGCCGCCGCTCTCGTTCTCGCCTCCGTCTCGCGCCGTCGCTCCCCGTTTTTACCTTATTCTTCCACCAATATCGGCTCGCACGCATCACGGTCCCTTCCCTCGCTGCATCGCATTGCATATACGTCTGCTGCTCATCACGCTCTTCGCTCCTTCGTCCCCGCCCTGCTTTATATATCTATTGTTCTCTCGTGTGTCTAATCTGCGCACCATTACTTTATCAGTGTTGCCGTCTGCGCCGCCCTCGTCCATAGATCGCCGACGTCGTCGCTGCCGCCCGGGCCTGGCCTCTCTACAGCGTCATTTGTCCCTTCGCTCTGTCCCTCTCTTGCTGCATTTACGTACATACAAACGCCCGCGCCCAACCCACTACGCACACTCCCTCTCTCACCCGCTACGCCCATCGTTTGGAATGACGTTCTCCATCTCCATCGGACCTTGGACTCTGCTCTGCTCGCCGACCCCTCGTCCCCTCCGCAGTGAGCGGTGGCGCACGACATGTCCCCACCTCCTCACCATCCTCCTCAGCGCGCGGCTCTCTTGTCCCTGCCGCTCCGCCTCACCGCTTCCCTTCGTCCCCTCCTCCCTCTTGTCCTCGCTTTTGGGTCGCGCGTCGGCGCCAGTCTCTTTTTTCTTTCCCGCCGCGGAGGCTGCGCGCGCACATGCAAACACACGCAGCCCGAACAAAAGAACAGACAAACAGTTTTCCCTCTCCGCTGTACACGATATGATACTAGACAGGGCGTTCGTGTAATTGTACGCGTACATTCGAAATACATAGCCAGTCTCTGCCGTCTGCGTCGGTGTGTGCGTGCGTCGATCGGGCCCTGCGTTGGCGCACGCGTTCGGTGGTGGTTGCGTGCATGCTCGCGTGGGTACGGGCGATCTGCGGCACATGCTCTCTGCGGTCTGCGGACGTCTCCGTTCTACGCGTCCGCGCGGCGGCGGCGTCGTACGCGGCGTTGTGTATGCTGACGCTGCGCCCGCTCGGGTCCGACGCGCACCCCCAGTCCGCGCGGGGCACCCACCTGGGAGCGCGCGCGCACACACGCACGCGGGTCAGCGCGAAATCGCGCGACGAGAAAAGAGCGGGACGCACCTCACCGCGGTCGCCGCCGCCGCGGGCGGGAACATGCCGTCGAAGGCGTCGCGGATGAAGTACGCCTCCTTGGTGTCGGGCGCGCCGTCGGGCCAGCGCTGCGCGGCCGCGGCGAGGGCGGCGTCGGAGACGACGGACGCGGCGTGGTCCTTGATCCTGGCGACGGGGCGGGGAGGACAGTGAGGACAGGCAGGATGAAAGAGAGGGGGAAGGGGGACGCGGACGCACCCGTCGATCCAGGAGTAGCCGACGCCGTCGGAGAACTGCTCTTTCTGCCGCCAGAGGATCGACCGAGGGAGGTACGGCTGGGAGAGGTCAGTCAGTCGGCACGAAGACGCGTCGGGCACGAAGGAAGGGGGGGAAGGCGCCGCACCTTGCCGTCCGGCGAGCAGTCGAAGGCTTTCCGGAGGATGTACTGCGTGAACGGGAGTCGTGAGCGGCGCGTTCGACGGAGAAAAGGCGGGCGCACTTTCTCCATCTTCGGGCACCCGTCCGCGTCGACTTCTTGCGCCGAGCCCTTGCTGAACATCTTCTCGGCCGGGTCGATGTTCATCGCGACGTCGAGGAAGGCCTTGTCGAGGAACGGCACGCGCGCCTCGAGCCCCCACGCCATCGTCGACTTGTTCGCGCGGAGGCAGTCCGAGGTGTGCAGGTTCTTCACGCGCTGCACGCACTCGATGTGGAACGACTCCGGGTCAGGCGCGGCGTGGAAGTAGAGGTAGCCTGCGCTCGCGGGATGGCGTCAGTGCGTGGGCGAGAATACGGGGGAGAGAGGCGCACCGCCAAAGATCTCGTCCGAGCCCTCGCCGCTGAGGACCATCTTCACGCCCATCGCCTTGATCTTGCGGCTGAGGAGGTACATGGGCGTGCTCGCCCGCACCGTCGTCACGTCGTACGTCTCGAGGTGGTAGATCACGTCCGGGATCGCGTCGAGGCCCTCCTGGACGGTGAACGTGTACTCGTGGTGCACGGTCCCGAGGTAGTGCGCCGCCTTGCGCGCCGCGAGCAGGTCCGGCGAGTTCTCGAGCCCGATCGAGAACGAGTGCAGCTGCGGCCACGCCATGATCGTCTCTGTCGCCGCCGAGGGCGGTCGCGGTCAGCGCCCCTCCATCGCAGAGCAGAGGGAAGGGAAGGGGGGCACGCACGCGCTTCGTCGACGCCGTCCTCGCCAGGCGTCGGGGGCCCGCTCCGCGCCTCCTGCAGCTTCCGCCGGCGCGCCTCTGCCTGTGCCTGCGCGACCTTCTCCGTCTCGCGCGCGGCGATGGACGCGATCAGGCTGCTGTCGAGCCCGCCGCTGAGGAGGACGCCGTACGGGACCTCGCTCATGAGCCGCTTCCGGACGGCCTCCTCGAGCGTCTGGCGGAGGAGGTTGAGGTCGACTTTGGCCGTCGGCACGCGCGCGGCCGTCTCGGAGTCCCACCAGGCGGGACGGAAGTAGCGCGTGGTCGAGCCGTCGCGCGAGTCGAAGACGTGGCCGGGCGGGAAGGAGATGATCTTGTCGCAGAGGTCGGTGAGCGCCTTGAGCTCGGACGCGAAGAAGGTCGCGCCCGGGCGCGCGGAGGACCAGCCCTGGTAGAGGGTCGTGATCCCGATCGGGTCGCGCGCGGCGATGATGCGCGGGGGCGAGACGGACTCGTCGAGGAGGACGAAGGAGAACATGCCGTCGAGGAGCGGGCAGAGGTCCTTGTCGAGCTCTTGGTACTGCGCAGGAGGCTGAGCGCGCGCGCGAGGGCGGCGGAGCAGTGGGGGCACGTACGAGCGGGATGATGACCTCACAGTCCGAGTGCGTCTTGAACTTGTACGGCTGCTTGAGTGTGCCGCGGAGCTTGATGTGGTTGTAGATCTCGCCGTTGACGGCGAGGATGAGCTTGCCGTCGTTGCTAACCAGCGGCTGCGCGCCGGTGTCTGCGACGCGTGCAGTCGCATCGCGCGTCGGGGGTCGGCACGCTGAGGACACCTCCGCAAACGGAGAGAACACTCACCGACGCCTACGATGGCGAGTCGCTCGTGCGCGAGGATGGTCTGTTTGCCACTGTAGCAGCCCGACCAGTCAGGCCCGCGGTGGCGGATTTTCTTCGCGCACGCGAGGAGCTTGGGCCGCTCGGCGGCGGGGTTGTCGATGCCGTGGGCGATGACGATGCCGCACATCGTGTGGTCTGTTGTCACGCAGGTGCTTCGGGATGCGCGGGGATGCACAGAGGATGTGGACGACGGAGAGGAAAAGAGGGCAATGACTCGGAAGGCAGGCGAAGGGTTATCATATCCGCCCGAGATTAGATGTCCAGATCGTGGCCTCGGCGCGACCTGCCCGTCCGAAACTCCGCCTCCGCATCCCTCTTCTTCTTTCTCCGACAGCCCAATGGTCGCAAGACAGCTGTCTCCACCCCTCAAGCGATATCTCACCGGTCCACGAGACCAGGCGGCGTCCCTGGCACGAGGGCGTTCGTGTGCAAGTCATGATAGATGTGGCTCGTCTCTGGGCTCGGATGAATATCGTACACTGCACCGTAACAACTTCAGATCCCCCAACGTCCACCAATTGCCGGTCGCTCATTGCCAGAGATGGAGCATCTTGGGATCGACAGCGTCGTTGTAACGACACCTTTGATCGGAGTGTTGGCAGCACCTCTGAAATCTCCGCCAACTCAGCGCCAGTGAGCTGGATGTCCGCCACTGCAAGGTTCTCCAATTGCGCTTGGCATTCCTGCAGTGAGCATTCCTTCAGTGGCAGAATCGGAGGACGATGATGGACGTACGAGGAACCAGGGATGGGGATTACATGATCGCCCAGGGAAACGACCCAGGCGATGGCGAGCTGTGCAGGGTGACGCCCTTCTTCTCTGCGATGACCTTCACCTTTCGACGAGCGCGAGGTTGTGCTTTATGTTCTCTTCGTCAAACGACTAAATGGTGACGCATGTCTCCGGCTGCACACAAGCAAGGAGTTGAGTTATTTGCACAGTGAGGGTAAGGACGACGAGAACGAACGGTTGAGATCCTTGGGGCTTTTGATCGTTCCAGTGAGGAAACCGCGGCCAAGAGGTCTAACAGTCAACAAGTGAGAACGAGCGTATCTTAATGCACTTGATACGTACGAGTATGCCGCTACCACAACCGAGCTCTTTCGACGTCGCGATAACCTTCTTGGTCTCCTCTTCGTAGGACCACAAGTTCACCTCGATCTCGACCACGCTAACAGGGTGGATCTACGTTGACATTCACTCAGAGTTGGTCGCTCATGGTCCGGTGGAGCGCTCTCACCGAATGGGCTTTCTCCAACGTCTTCGCGCTGCATTCGGACATTCCGAGGTGCTGGAAGTGGCCCTCGTCCTTCAAAGTTTCAGAGTGTTGAGAGCTTCCTCCAGAGAAACGTTTGACGGAACGCGCGCCATCTCGAACAAATCCATCTTTTTGATTCCACCGAGCTCGGCGTTGATAGTGGTGACGCTTCGTCGAAGGTTCTCGGCTCTGTGTGAGAGCCAGGGATGAGCGACCTCCAATTTATGAGCAATCAGGGGCTTCTTACGAGCCATCGGGGGTCAGTGAGTTGGCCTGCGTGCCGCCCTTGACGGAAAGGAAGGTCTTGTCGGCGTACTCGGGATACTTGCGTAGAATCGGGAGAGCAGCTGCAGGTTCGCGGGAGAGCAGTTAGGCCCGTAAAACTCGCCTGGTGGTACCCAAATCAGAACAGTTGTGTACATGTCGCGCCCTGAGCAGACGGAGTACGCACCGCTGTTGAGCATCAGCTTCACGCCGGCAGGCATGGAGTCGACGCCAGCCTTGATAGCTTCGAAAGCCTCCTCGTCGGGTAGAGGGAAGTTAGGATCGCGCCACCTGGTAAGATCGGCAAGGACTGTTAGAAGCCTATGTTCAAGGCCAGCAGCATGCGCACGTCATCATCATCAAGCCATGCTGGGATTCGGACACATGGTGAGCTACAGTTTGGACAAAGACGGAAGACGGAAATCAGGACTGACGCCGATCCTGCCGACAGTGACCGCAGAATCGCCAAAGCCAACCTTGAGAGTAGTAACCATTGCGATGTTCCAAAGGTGGGACGTGCTGAGAGGGTGAGGGCTGTAGGATGGGGCTGCCGACAAAGAACGTCAGCTGGATCGGTGAACGCGTGGTTGGTGGATACGTATACGCAGCAGTGGGGTCGTACAGGCTAAGAGAAAGCACACGACCGACCCTCGCGAGCCTCTCTCGAACTTGGGCTCCCGCAGTAGGCGCCGTCCACCTTCCGCCCTCTCTCCCGGCAGACGGGCCAGAATCAAGCGCATGACTGTGGCCATTCACGAGTTCTGTGTGCATGTAGGAATACATACGTACTGACACTCACCTAGAAGGCCGGACAATCACGAGGTCGGGACTCGGAGTCGTCAGTGAGTTAGCGATCGACCAAAAAATAAAGAGCATCTTGATTCGTTGCTATAATATGTATGGATGTAGGTATGCCAATAACCGTAAACTTTGAACGAGGCAACTGGAAGGAAATGGAGGTTGATGAGAAGGTGCCGGGCGGTTGTTGAAATGATGCCTAGTAAATTGCAATTATAGCCTCATGGGCTCGCAATGCTCTCCCGTCCGCCATGTTCACATCTGCTTCATTGGCCCCCAGGTTTCACTACCAAGGCAGCAAGTAACGTCCACAATCCATCTATCAAATCTACACCAGCCAGCGAACAACTGCTCCAGCAGCTAAAGACACCACGGCTCTCACCCTCACAGGCAGCCCGACTATTCAGAAGTCGCCCGGTTCGCGAACCCGACCCTTGCACGACTGTCTCATGTCTCCCCAGCCTTCCCGTCTCAGACGTCGATGGACCGGGACAGGCAAGCCCTACTTGAAAGTCGCGTCGCCAACCGAGTGGGGTCCTGTCATGCTTCAGCCATTGGCCACCAAGTGCCCGATCTTCGTCACCGGTTTCCCGCCTGTGGATGTGGAGCGGGACGTCCAGTCGCTCTCGACCACCCCAGGAGTAGAAGGGGAATTCGACGGGATTGTTACTCCCAGATCGAACGCGTTCTAGAGCGAGAAATGGGAGGTCTCGGACCTCGACTCACTGCGGGTGATGGTGCCAGTGAGGACCAACTGAGGCCCCGTATAATGCATGCCATCCACCCTTGCTCTCATAATTTCCCCGCGAGTTTGCAACAAGCACTCTCAACGCCTCCCTCACGATCTCGAATTCCAGCCACGTGCATAAAGGACGCGCTGTTGAAATGTTGACGGTGCGTCCTATCTAACTCCCTGCCTGGCCAGTGTTTCTCACCTCTCGCTCGCTGGACACGCCGTTATCCTTACACTGAACGGTCGATGGTGTATCGCACCTATCCTCCGCATCCCAGCAGTTTCGACGATAACGCGCGCTATCCGCGAGGTTCAAACCGGCAGGTTTGCATGTTCGGAATGAAATATGGATGATGAGATAGTTTCCCTGGCTCAGGAACCTCGCAATGTGGACGGATTATTACCTGCGCCGTGTACGTTTAGTAGTCTCCTTGGAGCTGGCGAGGATGGGGATCCTACAACTCGCACACTTGTCTCGGAAGACGTCACGGGGTCGGTATACCAACGAGTTACAGGGAGGTATCGTCAGCAGGGACCACTTGTTCATGCCCAGAGACCCAGCAATTTCGGATCAACAGCGTCGTTGGCGCGACCGCCTCTGATTGGCGTGTCTGTCAAAATTTGGTCAACCTCCGCGAGGTCCGCGTCGGTGAGCTTGATCTCAGCGGCCGCGAGATTCTCGAGGTTGCGTTTCGCGTTCCTTTATGTGTCTTAGTCACGCGTGGTCCTGACGGACAGCTATGGGACGTGCACTTACGAAGAGCCGGGGATGGGACCACATGGTCCCCGCGGCTGATGACCCAGGCGATGGCAAGTTGCGCGGGAGTGACGCCCTTCTTCGCCGCGAGAGCCTCGAGGGCCTCGACAAGTGCCAGGTTGTGTTGGACGTATTCGTCGTTGAATCGAGTATAGTTGCGGCGGATGTCGCCAGCTAGGTGAGGTCATTCGCTTGGGGAACGAGGTGGAGCAGCCGATAAACGCACCAGGAATTTCATTTCCACTCTTGATAGATCCCGCGAGGAATCCACGGCCAAGTGGACTGTATATTTGCTGTCAACACTACGGTCTACGTGACGGTGAGTCAGAACGACGTACGAGTAGGCGGCCACCACGATCCCGAGCCCCTTGGCGACAGCGAGGACCTTCTTCGTCTCCTCCTCGTACGACCACAGGCTAACTTCAGTCTCGACGATGCTGACGGGGAGAATCTACCAAAACACGTCAGCCACCGAGAGTAGGGGGCCAATGGCAGAGACAAGAGGGCTTACCGCGTGCGCCTTGCGCAGTGTCGCCGCGCTGCATTCGGACATGCCGAGGTGCTGGAAGTGACCCTCGGTCTTAAGTGCGGCGAGCGTCGATATAGCCTCCTCGAGCGGCACGTTCTGCGGGACGCGGGCCATCTCATACAGGTCCATCTTCTTGATCCCGCCCAGCTCCGCGTTGATGTTCGTCACGCTCCGTCGGAGGTTCGCTGCCCTGGGACACGGACGCAGCGTTTAGTCCAGTTGATGGTGACTCTCGGGATGAACGACGACGCTACTCACGACCCATCAGGTCTCCGTTCCCCAGGTGCGAGGCCGCCCTAAACGGAAAGGAAGGTTTTGTCGGCGTAGTCAGGGTACTTGGCATAGAACCGTGAGAGCATTTTGAGGTTCGCGGTGCTGAGGTTGGGGCCGTAGAACTCGCCTGGTGGTAGCGCGTGCGTAAACATCGGGGGCCTAGGCGGGATCTAGCGGTGGCTCCTACCGCTGTTAAGCATCATCTTCACGCCGGGGGGCATGGAGTCGACGCCAGCCTTGATAGCTTCGAACGCATCCTCATCGGGGACCGGGTAGTTAGGATCGCGCCACCTGAGTCAAAGGCGGTCAAGGGTTTTTCAGAGCCTTGGGGCCAAAAGGATCGCTCACGTTATCATCATCAAGCCATGCTGAAGCGATGTATGGTCAGCCAAAACACAAAACAAAAAATTGGGGAGTGGCACTCACACCGATCCTGCCTATGGCAACCGCAGAATCGCCAAAGCCAATCTTGACGGCGGTAATCATTGTATCGTCCAATATGCAGGAAATAGAGAGAGCGCTGTAGATTGTGGGGGTAGGACGTCGAATGCGGCTGGGTTTATATAAAGCTGGGAAGTGGGGGTGACGCGTGAGGTGAGTTCGAACAAGCGCGGCTGCGTGTGGTTAGTCGACGAAGGGATCGGGCCCCTTGGTCAGCACCATGTAGTAGTATCTACACCATCCGATGCGCACCGTGGCTCGGAGTTTTATGTGGGTCACCCCGAATGGACGCTATCGGAGCATTCCACCAAGCTTGTTGTTGCTTAAAGTAGTTCGTGTTCCCTTCAGCCATTGCAAGCGGCGTTTCTTCGCCGAACTACATTCAGAGGTGCAATGACAGTTCCGTGATCGCCCCGGATTCATAGCACTGTTTTCAAGTGACTCTTTGCGTCGCCTGAGGGTCACATAAAGTGCAGCACGTCTAGATCTTATCAGTACTGGATCGTCATATGGGGTGGAAATATAATGTCTCACTGGTGCATGGCGCAACTTTATGGCGGCAGCGTGCCGTAGAGATAACCACGTCTAGAAATCCTTCACTGATCATGATCGAGTGGAAGAAGAAAGGTCGCATGTCCGCTGATCGAGGCCGGCGTTCTAGGTTGATCGACTCTGAGCCCGTGCAGACAGCCAGCGCCACCCATGCGGTCCTGTGTCTGCTCCCTGCCTCGCGCAGCAGCTGCGGCTAACGACGGCTGACTGCAAGGAAAAGGCGGAGGACAAGAGGAAAACTGGCGCCGGACTGGGCACGGCCTAGCACGTGCTGCGCCCCAGAGAATTCAGCGCCTTGCTCGCACCACTCCCTCGCGCACGGCGACCAGAGCTTGCTTGGGACCCTGTTCCGGACGCTCTCCCACCGCTCCCCCGTTTCCTTCCCCCTTCTGCCTCTTGCTTTCTCTTTTGCACCCTATATTTTGTCACGATGCAGAACGACCGGATGGCAGCTTTCAGGGTGCGTCGTACCTATGGATCTTTCAAAACTCTTGTTGATCCCCTCCGTCACTTGTATGCACATCTGAACGCAGGCTGGACGCCAGCAGCAACAGCAGCCCCACGAGATGACCGACTTCACGAACGGCGCGAACTCGCCCCAGTCCCCGACAGGCACGAACGGGAACGGGGCTGCACCCACAATGGACAACTTCTACAATCAGGTACGCAAATTTGCCCCGTCGTCGCCATCCCTTTCGTCCGGGGCTCTCCGCTACTCCCGCGAGAGTCGCACGCGCTGACGGCGCGCGGCCGCAGGTCACGCACATCCAAGACGACCTCGCCGCGTTCAACGCGAACGTGCAGAAGATCCAGGACCTCCATGCGCGCACGCTCAACCAGGCGGACGAGTCCGTGCGCACGCGCGATACTGCCGTGCTCGACGACCTCGTCGGCGAGTCCCGCGGGCTGAGCAACCTCATCAAGGACCGCATCCAGAAGCTCTCCCAGTTCCCCGCCGCGCGCCCCCAGGACCAGCAGATCTGCAGGAACCAGGTGCGTCCCCCCAACGCCGCCCCTCCTGCCGTCGTCGCCCTGCTGAGCCGCGCCCACGCCACAGACGAACCGGTTGCGGACGCGGTTCGTCGAGGTGCTCCAGAACTATCAGAGCGTCGAGCGCGACTACCGCCAGAAGTACAAGCAGCGGATCGAGCGGCAGTTCAAGATCGGTGAGCTTTCCCTCCCTCCCTCTCCGACTGCGGGTGCGTTCCCCTGTCACCGGCGCTGACGGGGCCGCTCTCACCACCAGTCAAACCTGATGCGACGCCAGAGGAGGTGGTGGCAGTCGTGGACGACCCCGAAGGCGGCTCGCAGATTTTCTCGCAAGCGGTGCGTCTACTGTGCTCCTTGACGTCGCTCGGATCATCCGCTGACGCGTGGGCGCGCGCGGACGCAGCTGTCGAGTTCGTCGCAGTACGGGATGGCGCGCATGGCGTACCGGGAGACCCAAGACCGCCATAACGACATCAAGAAGATCGAACGTACGCTCGAGGAGCTCGCGCAAATGTTCAATGACGTAGGTCTTCCGCCTAAAACCCAGATGTATCCAGACGCCGTGGTTTAACGACCGTCGCCTGGATTGCAGATGTCCGTGCTAGTGGCGCAACAGGACGAGGCCATCGAACAGATTAACACAACCGCACAGAATGTGGAGCTCGACGCACGTGAAGGGTGAGCACGTCGAATGTTCGGTTCCGCGTGGTCTCGCTGATGGATACGTGCAGTGGGAAACAAGTGGACAAGGCGGTCGAGCACGCGCGCTCGGCTCGCAGGAAGAGGTGGATTTGCTTCGGCATCATCATCTTCGTCATCGCTGTCCTCGCGCTTGTCCTTGGTCTCTACTTCGGCGTTGGTCCCGGGAAGCCCAAGAGCAGCAAATAGTCTTGCTCCGTGCCTGTTGCTGCGACCGCGGCGCCGCCCCCGCCTCCGCACCTCCTCTCGATTACCCCTCTATGTTCCATCTAATTGCGCCTCACGAGACACCACACGATTGCGGCCCTGTCAGATATCCTTTGCGCTTGCAGGGAGGACGCTTATCCGGACGAGACGTGATGACATTCTTGCTTCGATGTATTACATTTTCTAGTATACCCAGTGCTCGCCACATTTAATCCACACTGTCGAAGAAGACATGCGACCCTCGACCACGCAGCGACCACGCGTACCTTCGCGAGAAGCAGCTGGACTCCTGACGGTTTCATGGATTCAAGAGACAGCGCAGGGCATAGCAGTGTCTGGACTCTCCGCCCCATTTTCCCAAGTGTAGATGATCGGCGCAGTGCTGGGACCCCCTCGGCGCAAATGCATTTGTCTGAACGAGGACTTCAGGCATTCCCCAGGCCGCAGCCTAGACCTCGTCGCAGATTGCAGGACGAGTTGAGTCTGGCTTGGCCTGAAGGGAATGAGCACGGTTCACAACAACGCGCGGATGTCGCGATCGGGCGGCGGGCGGGCCAGTGCTTAGCGAGCATTCCGGGCCGACACTCGAGCCCTTGCTCCCATCGCTGTGTTATAGCGACGCTCTCAGGACGTCGCTATAAAACATCCACTCGCCGTGTCCTTCATCAGCACCCCTCCACCCCCCTCCATCCTCACAGAACACCACAGCGCGATGGGCAAGATCGAGATGAACGGACACGCGGCGGAGGGCGCCAAGGCCGCGGGGCCGCCGCTGCCGCTCCGGGACGAGTTCGTGGTGCCGACGATGCGGGAGGTGAAGGCGAGCAAGGTCGCGGTCGAGCTCGGTGCGCGGTCCGCATTCTCGCTCGCGCCGGGGCGCACGCTGACGGCCTGCGCGGGTGCAGCGGACGCGGGGTGCACGTACATGTGCGGGAACTCGCTCGGGCTCATGTCCAAGCGCACGAAGCAGCTCGTCGAGGAGGAGCTCGCGGTGTGGGCGACCAGGTCCGTCTCCCTTTTTCTTTTTCCCGCCGTCCTCGCTATCCCCGCCCCCGCCCCTTCCCCGCCTCCACCGATCCGTGCAGCGGTTCGCGGGAAGGCTGACGCGCGCCCCTCGTTCCCCGCAGAGGCGTCGAGGGCCACTTCGACCACCCGCACGGGCGCAACTGGAAGGACATCGCGGACCTCGTCACCCCGCACTTTGCGCAGATCGTCGGTGAGTGCGCGGCGCGCCGGTCCTGCTGCGATTTTCGCCGGGGCGCTGATCGGGCACGCCAACAGGCGCGAAGGAGTCCGAGGTCGCGTGCATGGGCACCCTCACCGCGAACCTCCACCTGATGATCAACTCGTTCTACAAGCCGACGAGGGAGCGCTACCGCATCCTCTGCGAAGACCACGCCTTCCCCTCTGACCAGGTCCGTTCCCCACCCAACGCTCCGAGCCCCGCGTCCCCCGCTCACCCGCGCGCACCCCACAGTACGCGTTCGCGACCCAAGTCGCCGCGCACGGCTTCGACCCCGACGACGCCGTGCTCGCGCTCGCCCCGCGTCCGGGCGAGTTCACGCTCCGGACGGAGGACATCCTCCGCACGCTCGCCGAGCAGGGCGACACCGTCGCGCTCGTCCTCTTCTCCGGGGTGCAGTACTACACCGGGCAGCTCTTCGCGGTCGCGGAGGTCACCGCCGCGGCGCGCGCCGCGGGCTGCGCCGTCGGCTGGGACCTCGCGCACGCCGCGGGCAACGTCCCGCTCCGGCTGCACGACTGGGGCCCGGACTTCGCCGTCTGGTGCACGTACAAGTACCTCAACTCGGGCCCGGGCGGCATCGCGGGCCTGTTCGTGCACGAGCGCTGGGCGGACCTGCCCATCCGGTCAGTCCTCCGCCTCCTCCTCGTCCCTCCCTCCCTCCGTCCATCCACCCGCGCGTCCGCTGACGCACCCCGTCCGCAGCCAAGCGGGCTGGTGGGGCCACGACCGCGCGACGCGCTTCGCGATGCCCCCGCGCTTCGCCGCGATCCGCGGCGCGCAGGGCTTCCAGCAGTCGAACCCGTCCGCGCTCGCGACCGCGGCGCTGCTCGGCGCGCTCGCGCCCTTCGCCGCCGCGGGCTACATGGCGCCCCTCCGCGCGCGCTCGCTCGCGCTCACCGGCCGCCTCGAGGCGCTCCTCCACCGCTCCCGCTTCTGGGTCCCCGTCGCGCGCGCGGCCGCGTTCGGCCAGGGCGCGAAGGAGGAGCAGCAGCAGAAGGTCGGGGTGACGAGCATCACGCCCGCGGACCCGGCGCAGCGCGGGGCGCAGCTGTCGCTGCTGTTCGTGCCCGCCGGGCGCGGGGTGATGCCCCGGGTGCTCGCGGGGCTCGAGGCGCGCGGGGTCATCGTCGACGCGCGGAGACCGGACGTCATCCGGGTCGCGCCTGCGCCGCTGTACAACACGATGGAGGACGTCGAGCGGGCGGCGGCGGCGATTGAGGAGGTTCTGGTGGAGGTGGACGCGGAGGGCTTGCCCCCGGTCGAGGCGGTGGTGGCGGCTGGTGGGGTAGAAGTTGAAGGGGCATGATATACCAACATCTTAATGAGTGTACAAGGGAAGTGTAAGGTTATCATGTATCATATATCATCTCTCGTCTTGGTTTACACAGTGGAATAATACACCGGGCTTCGACTTCTCTATCGCTTGATCTAGAACGAGAGTCTTCTCTTTAAGCTTGAAGGAAGTTTGCAGATGCGCTTGAAATGTCTATACAGACGTTCAGATTTTAGCCGCGACGACGAACGAAGAACTTACCTCCCTCGACGCACACAATCATTCACGCGTTGGGCGTGACCGCGGCCTTCACAAACTCGGCGACAAGCCGTGGGTACACCTCGCCCCTCAGCAGCTCATTGTGGCCCTCGTCCATCTCGTCCAGCTCTTCTGCACCCTGTCCGCGCCCGCGACGTCGACCAAGTGCGCGTGGATCGCCTCGCTCTGCGCCGCGTCCACGAGCACGTCGCCGGTCGAGTGCAGGACGAGCCAGCGGACGTGCGCCGCGCCGGGCGCAGCGGGTGCGCGGCCGTGTTCGCGTCCGGGTACGCGTCGCGGTCGCCGAACGCGGCGGCGACGAACCACGCCTTGTAGTCCGGGAAGGAGCGGAGGAGGGCGTCGAGGTCGTAGATGCCCTCGGAGAGCACGACCGCGCGGGTGGCGGCGAGCAGCGGCGGGGCGGGCGTCAGGCTCGGCGCGCTCGCCTGGTCGAGGAGGATCGAGGTGAGGATGTGCGCGGAGCAGCTGTGGCCGAGCAGGACGAGCTGCTGCGCGGGTGCGGCACAGCCCGGGGCGGGCCAGGTGGTGAGGAAGTGGAGGGCGCGGAGGACGTCCTCGGCGTGCGCGGGGTGCTGGACGGGCTGGTGGGCGAGGTGAGGCGGTAGTTGGGGACCGCGACGGGCCAGCCGGTGAGGCGGGCGAGGGTGCGGGCGAGCGGGGCGTGGTCCGCCTTGTCCTCGCTGTCGGTGCGATGAGCACGGGGTCAGGCGCGGAGAGAGTCGGAGGGGACGCACGACCGCCAGGCACCGCCGTGGACGAAGACGAGGAGCTGCGGCTGCGGTGGGGCGGGGCTGGAGGCGGGGGGCGGGGAGTGGTAGTCGAAGCGGTGCTCGGGCAGCGGCCCATACGCGATCTCGGTCATCGTCGCGGCGGGGAAGGGACGAGGGACGAGCGTATGACGTCACCCCCATCTCCGCCCGGCTTATATACCCGCGCGCCGCCGCTCTGCCGTCCCACGTCCCCCGCTCGCCCCATCTTCACCATGGCTTTCACCGGTTCTGACATCTGCAAGGTGCGTTCCTCGCCTCCCTCGCCCGCCTCGCCCGCCACTCACACACTTCTAGATCATGTACGTGTCCCCCACTCCCCGCCGCCCGCGTTGTCCTCACCGTCCTCTTTCCCCAGCTTCGCTATCCTGCTCCCACCGCTGGGAGTGTTTCTCGAGCGCGGTTGCGGCGCCGACTTCCTCATCAACATCCTCCTCGTGAGTCCCTTCTCGCCTGTCGTGACGACAAGCGTGTGTGCTCATCGACCTCTCTTGTAGACCCTCTTGGGATATCTGTACGCGCTCTCTCCACTTTCGCGCCACCGACATGTTCCCCCACTGACACCCTTCTCACAGTCCTGGCATCATCCACGCGCTTTACATCATCCTAAAGTATTAGTCGCGCGCCCCATGACGTCCTCGTATTCATGAAGTCATGACGGTTCCGAACGGTGTACACTTCCACCGTATTGCTGCTACTCTGTATTCCACCCCGTATAGTATACCCCGCGCATCGTATACACGGCTGTTTTTCCCTCACTCTACGCGTGTCCGTCGCCAAGACCGACGTCGGCGAACTCGTGTTGCTACGACGCACCGTTGGTGACTTTAAGAGTCTGGAAAGACGCGCAGAAAGGCTGCACGCTCTCATCGCACCATTTCATACATATCGGAGATCGCGCGGCCCCGGACCATGAGTTTCTGCCGTCGTCGGCACCCGCGCGCCTCCCGAGGCGAGCGAGCACGTCTACGATAGTAGAATCAAAGACAATAATCTACACAACTTTTAGCTTCTTCGTGTCGTCGTCGTCATGGCTGACGCGGAGCTCGCGTGCTGCGCGGAGGTGTGGTGGCTGGTGGCGCGGAGAGGTGGGGCCTTTGAACCACCTGTGGTTCAAGCACTTTCGTACTCGTCGCTCTCCTCTTCGCTCTCCGATTCCGGTTTGCTTGGTTGTGCGGCCGGCTTGGCTGCCGGCGTGGAAGACGCTGCGGCTGGTGCTGGCACAGGAGCCGGAGGCTTGGCCGCAGACGGGGTGGTGGGCGCAGTGTCTTCTTCCTCGTCCTCGTCCTCGTCCTCTTCGTCGTCCTCTTCGTCCTCGTCCTCTTCTTCGTCTTCTTCGCTGCTCTCATCTTTCTTGGTCGGCTGGGCCGGCTTGGCAGTCTGCGGCGCATCGTCCTCGCTCTCCTCCTCCGAACTCGCCGCGTCAAACTGCTCGATCATCTTCGCGCCCACCGCCCAGCCCCTCCGCACGCCGTCGCGCAGCGCGCCCTCCTTGAGCCCCTCGCCCCGCGCCGCCGCGCTCGCGTGCCACGCCCGCACGTCGTCCTCCTCGACGAGGTCGAGCTGGTACAGCGCCGCGAGCACCTGCGCGAACAGCGCCCCGCGCGCCGGCTCGCGCTCCCCCGCGCCCGCGCAGTGGTACTGCAGCACCTCCACCGTCTCCACCGCGTCCACGCCCCCGATCTTGTCGATGAGCGCGCCCCAGCGGCGCACGACGCGCGCGATCTCCGCGCGCTGCGCCGCGGCGTCGTCCGGCCGCAGCGCGACGCGGTCCACGACCGCGCCGACGACCGCCTCCCGCACCCGCCGCAGCGGCACGTTCGACGCCATCCGGAGCGTCTTGAGCTCCACCGCCGCGTTCTCGACCGAGTGGCCCTCGGCGAACGCGCGCTCGAGCGACTGCGCGACCTCGGACCGGAACTCCGTCTCCGCCGCCGCGGAGGAGAGCGTGTGGATCGCGGACGTCGACGCGGACGGGTCCGCCGCGGCGAGCCCGGTCGAGGCCGAGGTCGTGGAGGACGTCCGGGAGAGGGCGTGCATGGAGAAGTCCGACTCGGTCTCTGTCTCGGACGCGTCCGTGGTCGAGCCCGAGTCGGAGAGCTCGAGGTCGGACGCGTCGTCGCCTGTGCAGGCCGAGGTCAGCACGGTCAGCGAGATAAGGACACCGGCGAGGTCACGCACCCATGCGCATCAGCCGCTGGTTGTTGTAAGACTCGCGCTCGTCCAGCTCGTCTTCTTCTTCAGGTGACCCACGCGGCCATACGAGAGCGTTCGAATCTTGGCCCACGATCTCTGCGACGTCTTTTTGCTCTGTAGTGGCGCGGAGCCGCGACGAATGTATGAGAAAGCACCGCCTTGAACAACCTCAAAGAGCAACTCACGGGCCTCCGCCTCCTCCAAGTCGGAATCGTCGTCTTCCTCGTCGTCCGCTTCGTCCCCAGACGCAGCCGCCGCGACCGCCTGGCGCCTCTTCGAGACGCGCTCGAACGTCCGCAGCTTCGCGTTCGCGCCAAGGACCACCCCGTCGGCGATGAGGCAGCCTTTCGGGACGCGGGCTCCATCCCCGAGGCGCACGTGCGCACCGACGATGCTGCCCTCGACGACGCAGCCCGCGCCGACGTGCGTGTCGTCGAAGACGTACGCGTCGCGGAGCACGGCGCCGGGACCGATGGTGCAGCGCTGGCCGACGACGGAGGCGTGCACGGTCGCGTGCGCCGCGACCGTCGAGCCCGCGCCGATGAGCGTGTTGTTGCCGACTTTGCACGTTCTGGGGTGGAGGGAATAGCGCGGCGGCGCCGACTCCCGTCAGAACGGCTAGAAGCGAGGGGTGAAACCCAGGGCAGTGAGCGCACCTTGACAGGGTGACTGAATTGTCCTTCGCGATGTATTTGTTCCCGCGCAGGTGCTCGTACAGATGGCCGCCGGGGTGGTTGTCGTCAGGGACGAGTGGGAACGTCCATCTCGAGAGAATGTCTTTGCTGCTCGGAGCAAGGTGGCCAGAAATGAGCACTCGGACACCGGGTGGTGCAATATGACGCCCACCTGACTGCGTCGTAGCTGCGCGTGTCTGCCACGCGCGCCGCATAACCGTCTTTCACAACGTAACAGAAGATGTTCTTCATGAGAAGATCCGAGGTGAGGACGCCGTACACGAAGTCTCTCCGGATATCGGCGTAGTCAAAGTTGTCTTGGAACAGCGATGGGACCTGTGGACACACCCACGTCTGTGAGCGTATTCGGGATACGACGAAAGCCGTGTCTGCGTACCTCCACCGAGCAGACGTCTATCGAACAGTCTATGAGGTCGTTCCGAATCTCCACTTCCGGGTGTTCGGCCAGGATCTCTCTAGGTATGCTGATATGCGGTTTCGGAGGGTATCCAATATACGGCTCGTAGTGCAGACACTCCGACGTCTCCGGGTCGAGCACATACACGCCCGACTCCGCCCTCGACCTGCGCAGAAGTCCACGGCGTGAGCCCCAAGCGCGCGCACACGTCCCACGGCGGAGGCCGCGCAGGAAGAGAAAACCGCCCGCTCACCTCGACCGGTGCGCCGCCCCACTCTCCTTCACGACGACGGTCATGATCGTGTCCTTGTTCGCGCGGCGGCGCTCCTTGTGCGCGCGCACGACGTCGTCGATCCGCACGTTGCTCACGAGGTCGCCCGTGACGAGCACGAAGTCGGAGGTGATGATCTGGTGCGTGTAGATGTCGCGCATCGCGTCCCCGGGCGAGAACGTCTCCTTCGCGGTCACGATCGGCACGATCTTGAGCCCCGTCGACGGCTTCGACCACTTCGAGTCCCTGTGCCCGCGGGCGAGCGAGGCGCGCGTGAGTGAGACGCGGCGGAGAACGGCAGGGGCAGGGGTGGGTGCGGGCGGCGGCGGGCGGGCGAGTGCGTACCGGATCGCGGCCTTGACCTGGTCGGCGTACGACCTGCAGATGACGAAAATTTCCTGCACGCCCGCGAGCGCGAGGCTCTCGAACGTCCAGTCGAGCAGGGTAGCGTTGCATATAGGTAGCAAGCACTGCGGCCGGCGCACGCGACGGGCGCGGGGGTCAGCCAGCCCGAGAGCGCGATAAGATGGCGGAGGGACGCACCCTGGGCTTGCCGACGGTGAGCGGCTTGAACCGTTTGTTGAAGCTGTCGGCGAGGATGACGGCCTGCAGCACCTCGTCCTCCTCCGCGATAGGCTTGTCCTTGCTCGACGACGCTTTCGGGGGCATCTTAGTGGGTGTGCAGAGGGAGAAAGACGTCGGCCTCGCTCGACGCGTTCGGCTCACGCGCCGTGACTCGATCGTCTCGATCACATGCGCAACCTATCGCCGCAGCTCCATCCTTTCTGCAGTCTAATTCTGGGCAGACAGGTATGCGAGTAGAGAAAACGTGTATATTTCAAAGGAAGGACGGGGACGCTCGCGACGGCTAACCTGAGGGAGCACGTCAGCGACTGGAGGGCCGACTGCGCAAACCAAAGACACACGCAAACACATCCAGTGAGACAAAGAAAGTGGGTATGAGGATATCACCTATCCAGTGGACATTAGGCTGAGTAACAGCGGATGAGGGCGATGTAGGTATGCATGTAACTCGTGAGGGGAAAGCAAAGCAAGACCACATCCGTGTTGTAAACTACCGAGGAAGAGCGCAGGAATGATGACGGGGAACGAAATCCATTATCATGGATGCGAATGCAGGGGAGGAGGTACCCAGAACGGGACGCAGGACAGGGGAGACATTAGAAAACAGCTCGTCATGGTCGTAATAATGTAGGAGAGATTTTCGGACCGCGCTCACGCAGCCGCCGCAACGACAGGAGCCGCGGGAGGCGCCTCGACCTTGGGCTCTTCTGAAGGGACCGCCGCCTCAACAGGCGCAGCAGTCTCGGAGCGGGAGCCTCAGCGCGGGGTTCTCCAGGGGCTCAACAGGGGCGGGCTCCTCAATCTTCGGGGGGTTCTCCTCGACCTTCGCAGGCGTCTTAACCTCAGTCTTAGGCTTGGCCTTGAAGAAGTCGCCGACACGCGCCGACAGGCGACGGCCAACCTTGGCCTTCTTCTCAGCAGCGCCTCTTCCTTCTTCTCCTCCTTCTATAGGAGGTACGTCAGAACAACCGACACTCGATCACAAACTGGCGACAAACCTTCTCTTCCTTGGGGGCCTCGGCGTCCGCAGCAGGGGCTTCGGCGTCCGCCTCAGCCGCGGCTCCGCCGCAGGGGTCTCGGCGGGGGCGGCGTCTCACTGGCGTGCAAAATGAGCAAAGGGAAACGAAACCAAAACGGAAGTTCACACTTACGTCTCAGTCGCGGGCTCGGCGGCCGGGGTCTCCTCAACCTTGGGGGCCTCAGCGGTGGTCTCAGCAGCGTCCTCCTTGGGGGTCTCTTCGGTGGCCACAGTGGGGGCAGCCTACGTGCGTACGCGAATTATGAGAAAAATGCTCTACCCAGTAAATAGTCAACTTACCTCCTCCTTCTTCTCTTCCTTCTTCTCAGTCTTCTTGGCAGCTTTCTCCTTGGGCTTCTTCTCGGCCTTCTCCTTCTTGTCCCGCCCTTGAAGGGGGCGAGGAGCTTAGCGAGGATGGACGGGCTCTTGGGGCGCTCCTCCTTCTTCGTCTCAGCAGCAGGCTCAGACTAAATGCAACCATGGGTCAGATGTAGGCCAACGCATATAGCAAGGGCGACGTACGGGCTTAGCCCCTCGGTAGCAGGGGTCTCCTCCGTCTTGGGGGCCTCGGTGGTCTCGGCGGGGGTGGCCTCAGTCTCGACAGCGGGGCAGCCTATAGAATGTTTGTGAGCAGACACGAAGACGACCATATAAAGACAGGACTAGCTTACCTCCTCAACCTTAGCCTCCTCCTTGGGGGCCTCCTAGAGCATAATGAGAAACGGGCGAGAGAGAAGAATCGAGACAACTCACGACGGCGGGCGCCTCAATGGCGGGCTCCGAAGCAGGCGTGGGCTCAACAGCGGGGGTCTCGACGGGCTTGGTGTCCTCGACGGGGACGACGGGGCAACGGCGGGAGTGGGCTCAGACATTATGGAAGACTTAGGTGGTCGTGAGCTGTTGGAACAAAGAGTGGTCAGACGACGCGATTTTATGGGTGACGACGGCCGTTGACAGAAAGGGTGTGGCGAAGAGAAGAAAAAGAATGAACGCGAAGAGGGGAGAGAGACATACAATAGTGGTATATGGGAAGAGAGCGAGGGCTCTGTGGCCTGGCTGGCTGCAGGGAAGGGAGAGAGCGAGAGAGAAAGAGAGATAGGGAGGAGAACACACCTGCGGGCGGCGGCCTTCTTATCCTTAACGGGGCGAACAAACAAGGCTAAACTAAATTTGGCGGGCCCATGTCCAGCACTCCCGGATTGAGAAGCGCGTCCGTTCTGTTGCGACACCTCGATCAGCCGATGATCGTTTAGCCGGGCGAGCCCCCCGTCCTCCCTCGCGCCCGAGCCTGCGTCCGCCGCCGACCGGCGAGCTGAGCAGCGCGAGTGCTCCGACGGCGTGCAGGGCGGGAGCGGGGGAGGGGCGGCGAGCTGCGGGCGGCGGGCGGCGGTGGGAAGCGTCCAGCTGCTGGGGACGAGCCGAAAGAAGGAGTGGTCCCGCGCGCGCGTTCGCGGACTACTTAGCGACGATCGGGAATCATGTCGTTCTGCGACGCCCCAGTCCGCCAAAGCCCGCACCCTTCCCGATCCTCCAGCAGGCCAGAGCGCGTCCCCGCCGCCGACCTGAGCAGGACCCGCCTCTGGCCGTGACGGGCAGTCTCGGGCGGCGCAGAGGGGCGGGGGGAGCCAGACGCGGACGGGGGCTTGGCTCGGCTGCGTGCAGGCGGCGGAAGGCAGCCTGTGACTCGGCGTGAAGAGTCGTTTCACATCCCGCCCAGTTCTGAGTTCCTCTTCTGCGTGGGACTCTCCCGCCTCGCCCGCCCGCCTGTACGTAATCCGCCACCGCCCGGATATGGCAGCAGCCCGGCACGTAAAAGCGTCGTCCCATCCGACGCGCGACCGTCGACGCGACCACCTCGCTCGCCCCATCGCGCACACGTGCACGCGCCTCGCCTCACGCTCGAGCTCTCCGCTTGTTCTCTCCGCTTGTTCTCTCCCGTCCGTCGCGCGCAGCCCCCGTCCGTCGCTCCACTCGGCGGACCTTTTGTTCTGCGAACAACTCCTCGCGTCATGCCTCGTGCACCACTCTCGCCCCGCGCCCGGCCCCGCTCCAGCTGGTTAAAGTATTGTTTGCCTCGCGCGCGTTCCTGCTCCACATCTCCGCTGCACTTAAGCTTGGGCCTCCCGCCCTCGCTGGCCCACCGCTCTGCGCTCTGCTCCCTGCTCTGCAACGCCTCACGACTGCTCACGACCCGCTATGTTCGCCCCACTCGCCGCTCTCTTCTTCTTTGTCTCCTGGCTCCTCCTCCTCCTCGTCTCGCTCTCCGTTCCCATCACCAAGACCATCTATCTCCTTCAAGTCAATGCTGCTGCGTCTTCCTCTCTATTAGACTCCCAGGCCGCGGCCTCAGTACGCTTCGGCGTCTGGGGCTACTGCACATCCGGCATCGACGCCGAGTGAGTGGCCCCGCCCACTTTGTCCCCCTTCTCCCCGCGCTGTCTTCTCGCGCCTCCGCGCCCCTCGCTCACCACCCTGCCACTTTCCAGAGTGTTCGGTTTTGATCACACCGTCGCTGGCCAATGCTCCCACCCCAAGTTGGGCTACACCTTCGACTCCTCTGTCGCCCAAGCCCTGCACGTGGACAGCCTCGCCGACACCATCTCTTCCACACTCTCCGCCGCCCTGGTTCTTCACGTTGTCGGTCGGTTGCTATTTGATATAGACTGCGCACTGCTTGATGCTCACCGCGCTATCCCCTTCGCGCAGATTGCATCCTCGCCTTCCTCGCACTCGTCTCGGCGCTGCTCACGATCCACTGGTCGCGTGCGCACTCCCGCTCGCGCTTCCAGCCCACGTCCGCGCCGCCTTCTTCACCACTCTCGGTGCCGCGCTCCTCGCCGCGATTCTGACGACCGTGACGTTCATCATCGATCTCGTCGTAGCCGCCGTCGCGCGCGACAAGATCACTGATGAAGTCCACGTCTCTCGGGGCAATGCGGTAAGTCCGTGCCACGTCGGGCGTGTTCTCAACCTTCTGACGGATGCGCGCGCGACGCAGATCTGGATGACGGTTTCTGCCGGAGTGTACTCTGGGTCGGCCTGTGCTTCATTTGCCTGGACAAATGCCGCGGCCGGCGGCGGTCGAAGACGTCAGTCGTTTTTGTTGCTCGCTGAGATGGATCATGCTCACATTCGATGGATTCCCTTTTTCCAACAGCGCGTACTAGGTAGTCTTTCTTACATGGAAGACCGCGCTGCCGACGTTGCAGCTTCCAAGCCTCGAGATACCATTGATGTCGATGCGCTCCCGCCGTCCCAGTCGGGGGCGAACACATGCTTGGCTGATGTGAGCCACATGCGCGATCGTGCGCCCGTTCCCTGGACTTTGCTCGCCCGCTATAGCTTTCCGCGTCCTTTCGCGCTTCAACGAATTGTGGCTTTTGCCAGCGCCCCGCCCCGCCCTCGGACCCGACCTCCGTGCTGTATCCCTAGCTTATCAACATACTGTTACCGTTCATCTCGGCAGCGAGCCGCCCCTTGTATTGGCTTCTAATGCGATTGCGTTTAGAGCAGAACACTCGACGCCCGTGAGAGCGCGCAGCCCGGTCGCGAGATAAGCGTGGGTCGCGCGTCCTCCGTCGGCCAACGTCGCCCGCCACAGAAGGCGAACGTCCCTGCGTGCTGCGGCGTGAGCGTCGCAGGGCGCACGCTGTCGTCTCGGATGCGCTCTCCCCCAGAACGCACGGCCGCCTCCGAGCGCGACTCCCGACGCGTATGCGGGGTATACCGCGACGGCACTCTCTCCAGTGGACTCTCTGCGGAACACACGCGCCCTCCGAGCCCGGGCCCGCCTCGGCGTTGCACACTCATCCGCGTCATCCCTGCGACCCGGGGTCCATGGCCAGCGAGATCTGGGGCTCCTCGGAGATCTGGACGTCCCGCCGTGCGTCAAGTCTGGCGTGGCCACGTCTCGTCAGTACATATAAACGTCTCCCAGAAGCTCCGAGGGCGCGGTCAGGTGCGAGCCCACCGGGAAGGCAAGGTCGCGCCACCGCGGCGCCACCCGGGGACGGCAGACGGCACTGGACGGCAGAGGAGAGAGCTGGGCCTTCTGGGGCGTGTCCCGGCGGGCGTGAAGGCCTGACGATTGAACGAGCTGCGGTATCGCATAGGCTTGGACGTCCTAGACGCCCGCGCGACGCCAGTGGCACGACCTCTGGAGTCTGGCATGGATAGTACTGCAGCCTGCTTGCTTTTAGCGCACACTCGCGGCCGAGAAAGCAGCCCGCGCGCACGATGACGTCGCAACACACCCCGCGCGCGGCGATCGTGTTCCGAGACCCCAGTCGCTGGACCCTGATGCAGCAGTTGCGTGCAGCACAACTGCAGGCAGGCTACAACGCTACGCGACTGTATGAGACCCCCCGCACCACGCGCACCACGCGTGTGAGACGAGCCATCCCCGCACGCACGCAAGTTCCAGACATCATTGCGACGGATCTGAGCCTGGGGGGTCGTGTGCAGCCCGGCGCGCCAGAGACGCAGAGCTTGCGAGTTTGGGTTCTGGCGGGACACCGGGAGCGCGCTCCAATCACACCACCTTGTTCTGACGACGGCTCTATCGCGCATGCACACGAGGGACACCCAGACAGCACGAGAGGGCGTAGATACATAGATGGTGCCTCTGGGGTGTTGCGGCACGGGGCACTGCACTGCGTCGCCGGACCTCGGTAGAGTGCCTAACCAGTCCTCCCCTAATCCGGCCCAGTCCCCCTGCGAACGCTGGTTCGCGAGACCTCGACCTCAGACAGACGCCGCGTCGGCCGCAGCCACAGGGGGTGCCGCCGTCTGCGCGCGTGGAGGCACCCTTAACCCCTTCCTCTTCATCCGCCTCCGCTTCATTTCTGCGAAAAGGCAATCAGCACACGTGTCGCGAGGCTCGATACCGACGCTTGCCATGCTCCGATCGCCGCGCGGCTCACCCACGAGCAGACGAACAGAGCCTGACAAGAACGACAGGGAGAGAGGCGAGGAGAGGGACACGAGAAATCGAGGGCTCACCGTCTAGGTACGGCCGGTCCTCGGCGTCGTCGAACCTAGCCGCCGTGCCGTCCGTCGCGTCTGCGCCGTCAACGTCCGCCTTCGCGTCGTGGCCGCCATCTCGCTCGTCCGCCTTCGTGGTGGGCTTCGCACGGCGCTCGACCTTGAACTTGGCGACATAGAAGCCGTCCATGTTGTGCGCGTGTGGATAGAAGCGTCGGGTGAGCGAGAGCTTGTCGCTAAACACCTTGCCGCGGTAGCGGGTGTAGCCCGGGCGGCCGAACTCGAGCCCGGTCTCGACGAGGCGCACGTTGGGCCGCTTCCGGAGCGCATAGTCCACCACTGCCTCGTTCTCGTCAACGGTCACGGAGCAGGTGGAGTAGACGAGGTAGCCGCCTGTCTTCGAATCCGCCTGGACGCTGTCGATCGCGCACAGGATGAGCTGCTTTTGCAGGTGCGAGAGGAGCGCAAAGTCGCGCTCGGACTGGGCCCCGCCGACGAGCGTCGGCAGCCGATGAGGGGTGTCACGATCGTAGTCGATGAGGAAAGGCCGACGTGAACGGGGTCGTCGATGTGCGCCGGCGAGGAATGGTGCTGATGCATCAGCGTCGAGAGTATGTTCGAGGGTGCGGCCGGACCCACCTTATTCGTCTTGACACTCGCGTCCTTGCTGATGACACCCGTCCCGCTGCATGGCGCATCGAGCAGCACCCGATCGAACCCGCCGATCACCTTCGGAAACTCGCGGCCGTCATACGAGCACACGACGACGTTCTTGCACCCCAGGCGGTGCACGTTCGCGGTCAGGCTCTTCGTCCGCGCCTTGTTGGCGTCGTTGGCGAACACGACGCCGGTGTTCTCCATGAGCGCCGCCATGTGCGTCGTCTTGCCACCAGGGGCGGACGCCATATCGAGCACGCGCTCGCCCGGCTGGGGTGACAGCGCGATCACGGGGAGGAAAGAGGACGCCGCCTGGAGCATGTAATGGCCGGCAAGGTATTCAGGCGTCGCACCTATCGGCACGCTGCTCTCGAACACCTGCAGCCCGACGTTCGTCCACTTGCCAATCGGCTCGAGGTTGACGCCACGGTTGATTAAGGCTTGTGCCAAGTCGCGCCGCCGAGTTCGCAGGGTGTTGGTGCGTATCGTCACTGGTCGCGGCACCTCGTTAGCCTCGAAGAACTCGATCGCCTGTAGATGTGATAGCGAGATGAGTTGTTGCGCAGATCACTTTGAAGAGGATCGGACACTCACCTCTGCGATTGGGAATAGCTGAAACAGCTTTTCGGCGAGGAAGTCGTTGTACCCGTAATAACTCGCAATGTCAGAGATAAGCTGTTGCACGTATTCCGATCGCGCCCTGTGGAGATACATGAGCAAAAATGTACACACGCACAATCACGGACAACCCACCGGCCCTTCGCAGCATGACGCTTGAAGTTACCCAACACACGAACGCATTCACGCATCCGTCTTTGAACCGTGTGGACGTCTGGCCCACCGCGCTTTTTCTCCTCTTCACGCTCCTCGGCCGTCGGCAGCACAAAGTCTTCGCTGTCCTCGCCACCCTCGCCTTCTTCGTCCATGTCCACGTCGTCCGCGTCTGCCAGATCGTCCTCGCTGTCCTCTCCCGGAAGCATTGCCTGTCGCATCTCCTCGGCGTCGAGTTCCGCCTCGCGTGCCGCCCGCTCCTCCAGTGCTCGTGAACGTGCAGCCATGTTCTTCGCGGTTACTGGTCCATCCTCATTGTACCCGTCACTCTCGTCTGAAGACGCATCCGAGGCGGTGGGGACGATCTTCACAGGGCGTTCTTGTTGTTTGGACTTCCTACCCTTGAGTTTCACAGGGGGTTCGGGTTCTTCGTCCTCGTCTTCGTCGTCCGATCCAAAGTCGAATTCTTGTTTAGGGCCCCTTAGCAAGTCGTCACTGAACCGAGCCCGCATGCATTCAGAAATTTGCACTCAATTAATGATATCAGAGACGTACTCTTCGCTCACGCCTTCCACGTCCAATTCGTCCAAGTCTCCGACAAACCCTTCTTCGTCACTTCCGTGGAATAGTGTTCTAAAGCGGGGCAATCAGTAAATATCGCTGATGTTTGATTCTCAACATCCTGTTGTGCCCTTTACACAACGAAATACCGCACAGGTAAAATTACCACTGGGACCGCCATGCATTGTGGCTCCCGTCCAACATAGATCAACCAGTGCTCAAATGAGGAGACTCACTTTGCATGGACTTTCAGGTCGTCGCCGTCTTCGACGTCTTCCCAACCCTCGCTACTCCTGGCACTATCCTCATCGTTAAACTGCACTTGCTTCTTCTTGGACGCAGCCTTCGGCTTGGCCTGGGGTTTAGATGCCTTCGACTCCTTTCCCTTCGCCGCAGGATTTTGGGGGGCTAAACCCGCGTCTTTTGCTTTCTTCGCAGGTCTTTTTGAGGGCGGCTCGACCTCCTCTGCCTTGCGTTTTCCAAGTTTCTTCTGAGACGGCTTAGCGGCATTATCGTTGGCCTGAGCCAGAGGAGCCGGATCGCTCTGTTTGTTTTTCGCGCGTCTTCCCATGTCGTGACCGAGGAGTATATGGAGGCGAAACAGACAATTGAAGGAGGGGCCTTGCGGGAGTGAGGGGAAATTTCAGACGCCGATCATTTGCGGCTCGGCGACGCGGGCCGCTCGTTGCCGCCGATGGGGGATGAGCCTCGCGAAGGCTCGCGCCTTGACGTCTCCAACGTTCGCTTCATCCACCACCAGTGCCCTCAACATTTGTTTGCATGCGCCAATGCGTCCCTCCATTCCCTCCTTAGCTTCTCGCCGTGCCTTTTCCAACTATTCCTACTCTAAATCCCGGACACCTGGCACGCTGACCAGATCGTTCTTCACCCCCACTCATCAAACCGGCCTTCGCTCCAGGACTCCTCATCGCCCATTCAAAAGCATCGCTCGCTTTGTGGAGTCCAGGGGGAAGCCTTTCCGTCATGGCGAACACCCATGTGGCGACCACCACCACCACCACTACCACACCCACGAGGAGATGGTCGCCGCGAAGCGCGAGGCGGGCTTCGGGTTTCTTCGGTACACCTTCACTGGTTGTTGCCTGGCCCTCACCTTCCTCATCGCCCCTGCCGTCTACTGTGACAGTAAGTCTCATTCTCTTACGCGCGGTGCTTTGTACGCTGCAACTGAGGCAGACTCTGTGATACCCCCTAGCCCCTCCGATTTCCCCCGGAGCTCGCCAGCCTGCGCCTCCAACCCAGTATCAAGCGCTGAGCCCCGCTCCTCCGCCACCTCCGCCCCCGCAGTCCATCGTAAACTTCTATGAGCTGGGGTTCGGCACCGTGTGCGGGGTGTGTGCGGGGGTGTTCGTCAAGAAGGGCGCGAAGATCGTTGCCTTCGCGCTCGGCGGCGTGTTCGTGCTACTCCAGGTGCGCTTCACTTGCGGTCCGGCGCTGCGCCCGCGGTGTAACTGACTCATTGTGTGTAGTATCTGGGCTCCACGTCACTCATCCGCGTAGACTGGGGTCGCGCCGCCAGTCGGTTCGAGAACGCATTCTATACCAGGGACGCGACGGGGGCGAAGCGGCCGGCGAACGTTGGGTCGGCTTTCCGCTGGTTGATCGACTTCTTGACGGCCGACTTCCAGCCCCGCGCGACGTTTGTTGCGGGTTTCGCTCTGGGTCTTAGGATCGGGTGAAGCCAGTGCGGATCGCCGAGGACAGTTCGTGTAAGATAGATGTTCGTTCATACGCGCGATGGTACAATACGTGACAGCATCCTGGACTCTACTGTACATAATCTTCCAGATCCTCCGCCAATACAGCGTCGATGCATTACTCTCTGGTGTGACAGTTAGGCCCCGCCAAGGTCGAGTGCCATCTACGAAAAAGAACAATTGCTCACCCTGATCGTCTCAGCTAGTCGCAAGGGCCGTAACTTGTGTGATAATATCCTGGTTCGCCTCCAACTTCTGGAAGCCGTCCCTGGCCTCTTGGACGTACCCGAAGAACTCGTAGAGAACCGGGGGAAGCTCCTCATACTCTCCCACTGCGGTCTTGAGCTGCTTCAACACGGGATCCCATCCCTGGACGCTCGTCTCCCTGAAGCGCCCCTCGGGCGTCCTCACGAACAGCCTGTCGATCTTCTGCGACGTGCGCGGGTGCGCGACGCGCCAGGCGTTCATGAAGCTGCCCGTGTCCGGCATCGCGTTCGCGCGCTCCGCGAGCGCGAGCAGCGCCACGGCGTCGTCGGCCTGGAGGCGCAGTGCGCGCCCACGCGCGTCGACGGCGACGTCCGGGCGGAAGAGGGCCATCGTGAAGCCCTCGGGGTCCGCGGGGGCGTTGAGGAGGACGACGAAGGCGAGGGCGTCGGCGGTGGGCGCGAAGCCGCTGGCGTCGGCGGTGGGAAGCGGGGTGGCGCGGGCGTGCCAGCCTTGAGCGGACGGGGCCATCGCGAGGTCGAGGCGAGCGGTGGGCGGGTGGGCGGAGGTGTAGATCGTGCGGAGGATGAGGAGGGCGGAGAAGAGGAAGCAGGCGGCGGAGACGAGGTGGCAGGCGGCGGCGAAGAGAAGGGATCTAGGCGCCAGGGTGGAAGATGGGCAGAGGGAGCTGCGATGTGGAAGTTGTCTGACGGCGAGGGGCGAGGTGGAGGTTACGGATGAAGAGGCAGCGAGCAAGTGGCGAGCCAAGAAACTGCGCTCACCAGTCGGCATGCGCGGTGCACATGGCGCAGAATCGGAGCCGCCGCCGCGTCACGCGTTCTGGAGTCCTTGACCGTCGTCCGAAGTGCCCGCAGACCACACATGCTCATGAGGATGCAAGTCCAGACACCGAGCGTTGGAGGGGCCATAGCGGATCGGATGGAGGTTGACGGCCCAGGCTTTCGGCGCCACTCGGATCTGCGTTTTCGAGCTCCGCCGCGAGGCTGGCAGAGGCTGCGACGTCGGCCCCAACGGATGATTCATTACAGTCGCTATAGCACTCGAAGTGAGCTGCGCGTTGTCGAGGTGAGCATATGCAGAATACAAGGCTGTGAGACGCTGACGCTGAGCCTGAACTCTTACACCAGATCTGACAGGGAGGTGATAGATCGTCCCGCGAGTCTACATACAACTCCCATGGTGTCCACACGTGCTCTCGTCGAAACCCCGTCCAGTGCGCATCGTCCAGATGTGCTGCGGCAGGCAAGTACGCGCTTTGGGCTTCGACAGAGTGTTCTCACCCTCAGCTCCGAGCAGATCGCCTCCAGCCTCTCCTCCCCGGCGGGTCGTCGAAACGGACAAACAACTCCCAACATCCAGTGTTTTTCATGAATGCCCTGCGACTCGCTTACAGACAAGCTCCGCGTGCGAGGCACGGGTGGAGACGTCCTGGTTGAGGCCGAGTAGCTCCATTCAAACTTCGTATCAGACACGCCCCTTATCCATCAGCCAGCCACTGACAGCCCGGCGCGCCGTGCCATGAATGCCGCAACGATGTCTCGCCCAGCCGGAGGAGCAGTGCCTCGATCCCCGTTCGACGCTGCGCTATTCCCACCATCCTCCCTCATATAGCCTGTTCTACTCACCAGGACTGCCTTGCATTGGCCCTCAGTGCTCAGGCCTGGTGAGAAGAGATGTCGAACGCGTCACCAGAGGTCGTGGCATCAGCCGAGTACTGGTTTGTCGTCTACAACGCCGAACTTCTCTACCCGCACACATTGAATCCAGATCTTACCTTTGCAGGAGCTCCTCTGTTCGGTTTGATAATGGCTGGACAGCTGCCGCTCTGAGTGAGTGCAGGTCAATTCTCCTTAAGCTGGCGTCACCTGACACACAGGCTTCAGCAATCCTTTATTACGACTTTGCCTCCACTTTCTCGACTGAAATCGAGCACTTTTGGAAGAACGCCAGGTTTTCCATCGCTTCCGTGCTCTTTGTACTCAATCGGTACTACGGCCTCCTAGGCTCAATCCCGATATTGGTGGAGTTTTTTGCCACAATTCCGGAAAATGTAAGCCCCACACTCATGCACGTCACATGAATACTTACCTATTCTCCTAGCGGTACGCATCTCAGAAATGGTATTAGCGCCTCGCTCTGCTCATTGTTCGTCAAGATGTCGTCAAGTGCAAACATACCACCAATTCTTCGCTCTTACTATCCAAGGGGTTGTCGCCGGTGGGTACGATTCGTGCTACTGTTTGTCAGAGCACTCTAATTGAGTCCTTCCAAGTTACCCTTTTAGTCAGAACATATGCTCTGTATGAGCGGAGCAAGCGTATCCTTGCCCTTCTGCTCGCGATCCACGTGGGCGGAGCTGCAGCGCCGTCGTCAGTCGGTCTGTAATGCTTTAACATTGTCTGGCTCTGAATCTTTCACACAGGCTTCATTTTTCACGACACAGAGTCCTGTGGACACCGTAAACCCTTTGCCGTTCAAATTCAAGGGATGCGATTTATCTTTGACGAATGACCAGTAAGCATCCATAACATACACACCACATATGGCGATTAGACTCTGGTCATGCTATTCAGAGGACTACGTATGTCTCTTCCGTTTGCCGAAGCCACATCATCTCTGATATGCATGATTCGGTAGATCTTGTGCTAGCGTGGAGTGCAATGTTGTTTTCGACAGCACAGTATTTATACTCACCCTCATCCGAGCATTGCAAATGCGTCGGTATGCACGGGGTGGTTTGCTGGAGGTCTTGTTTCGAGATGGTGCGTTCCCTTCACCGTGAATCCTGATTGTCGCATTGAACTTGTTTTCCTGCAGGGACAATCTACTATGGGTCGGTAGCTCACCACATGGACTGACGTAATCTCGTCTTGATGATTTGGCTGGCAGAATCATGGTGGCCTCCGTGTTAGCCAATATTACGACCTTTGTGGTGCGTTTCACGTTGCATCGCTACCATTCTTCCGTGGTTTGAACTTTGATGCAGATAACTCGCGTAATGTCTTCCTTATTATTCGAGGCATCAAGCCTCGGGCTGATGCGTATAATAACCAGTCAAACACTCCGCTGAAGGGTCTGGATACAACTCTCTGCAACGTGTATGTGCTTTTCCCACTCTCAGCCGAAAGACGTAATACCAAAGAAATCCCGACACAGACTCGCCACTACTTTGACTTCGCGTCTAATCCTGAACCTTCGGGATCCGAAGCTCCTACGACCTCGCAACCTCGGCAAGGGTGAACGCCTCCAGACTGACAAGTGGCAAACGACTAATTCAATGCCAACGGATTACGACGCGCCTTCGTTTCAGCATACGTTGACGCATATCGAAGCCGGAGAAGTGGCAACAGAGTTCATGGGAGGCCAAGGGACAATATCCGAAATTAGCGAAGTACCACGCGGCGGCCACGGGTGATGACTCCTGCGAGTGCGCTTGCGGTATCCGCAGTTCGTGAGGTAAGCTCTACCGATACTCTTCTGCGCCAGCTCGATGTTGATATAACTGTCAAGCCTTATGTCAATATATCAGAGATTGGTGTGTACGCGACCTACGGACCGTTGCTGGTGAACGATTATGTCGACACCGACGTTCTCAGCAAGCTGAGGAACTTCCTTCTCCACGGAAGCTTCATGAAACCGCAATGGAAGCCATGAGGGTTTGTTCTTGCAGTGGGTTTGGATAAATGGGGCTGAGTCCGAGTTGAATGGAGATTCATCGTTCTCAAGGTGATACATCTCCCGAACAGATGCTTGGCTCCTCATTTTCATGATCGTCCTGTCGAAGGCCGCCTTGAGCTACCATTCTGTTCGTGGATTCATGAAGTGGTGTTTGTCGTGTCGTCGGTCCGAGTCGTCACTGATGTCGGGAATCTGTAGGTTCTCTCCCACAATAAACGTGGGTCCTGGAAGTTATACGCGCCCCGCTGTGTGAACGGACGTGTTGGGTTTGGCGACCACATTGTCTTCGGCAGGCGCAAAATTGATTGCATCCGGTTCAGGTACAACGCCGGTGCTCCTCCCCACGGGTCGAGGGTGCTTGCTGTACGGAATCCAGCCTTCCAGCAACCGCCTTGAACGCGCACATGCAAGAGGACCTGCGCTCATGTAGATCGTCGGTATGGTGATTGGCATAGGGTGGGAAAGGTGTGTATATCCCGCAGCTCACTGGCGCACCGTCTTACTACCGCCAAACAGCGCCTCAGCTCCCAACTTAGATGCGCCAAGCGTTAGACGGCTCCCGCGTGCATTGCCCCAGAGATGCGGGCCTCTTCCAAGCCTGCCAACGTGTTCCGTTGCGACGCTCTCGGAGGCTTACAACTGCTGCAGAAGGATCTGCACTCTGTTATCAAGGGAAGAACTGTCAGGCGGGGGCACACGCCTCGACCTGGGCTCGGACCAACGCTATTCAGGACGCTCATGAAGGTCGCCGCCTGAAATACCGCTAGCTGAGCTCAGAGCTCGCGTCCCTCCCGAGACCTCCCCGTACTAGACCTACATACCCATGTCGGACTCACTTCGCGCCTCCGCTGAGCAGTTGTGAGTTGTCCCCCGCTCGTGCCCGTGGCCTCTGATTGTAGTAACTTGTCGTCACAGTGTCTCTGCCGTGCGGATAGACTCTTCCTTGACATTAGCGGCATTTTGTGAGCCCGACCCTCCTCGTGATGCTCAGAGCTGACTGTCGATGCTTAGCGATCTTGTACTACGACTTCGCGCTCACATTTTTCTCGGAAATCGAGTACTTTTGGAGTCCCCCAGCGTTCTCGCCGACATTTTTCCTCTTCGTTGCCAGTCGATATTTCGGCGTCTTGGGACCACTACCAGTATTATTCGAGTACTTCGGCATATACCCGGAATTCGTGCGTTCTGATTCTCGTCTCGTCTCTGGCGCGCTCTCGCTGACCGTTGCCTATCCAGCGGTAAATATTGCCATCACACAAAACGTCACAGCACTCAAGCTCCCGCAGATGTCGCCAACTTCAACTCTACCACCAAGTGTATGCTATGGCAAGCCAGGCACTAGTTGCAGGTGTGTATGCCGAAGTCACGCGCCAGTGGACGACGATACTGATATCGGCATGTAGTCCTGTTGATTCTCCGCACATACGCCCTCTACAATCTGAACAAGAAAGTCTTGGCGATCCTTGTTGTCATGCATATATGCGGTGCGGTGCAGTGCCTGGTATGTACCCTGACATGGCTATGAATGCCCTGCGTGCCATTGACCACCCCGACAGACCGCCGTTCTGACAACGAACAGCCCACTCACCACGGACGATCCCCTCGACTTCAACTATTCGGGATGCAACCTCTCTCTGACCACGGATCAGTACGTGCTCAAATATTTTCTCCTGGTTCCATCTGACCCCAGAACGCTTACAGAGGTGTTCGTGAGTCTGCACCCCGTCTTCCGGCGTCTTATTGGTGCAAACCGCTCTTTGGTAGATTTATCGCTGGCATGGAGTGCCATGCTGTGGTTTGACACGGCCATTTTCGGTTTGACGCTCAACAAGGCGATCAGGATGAGGTCGGAGATGACTGGTGGTTTGCTCGAGACGATGTTCCGAGATGGTAATGCTTAGCTCATCTGATGGTACGTGTTCGTCTGCTGATGGCTTTCGGTACGCAGGAACCGTGTACTACGGGTAAGGAAGCCATGAACAACGTGAGAGTGGCACGCTCATTCTCTGCCCATAGCATTCTCATCGTGGTGAACATCGCAAATACCCTCACTTTTCTGGTGCGTAGCATTCTCAGGCTGGGCCACGAGCATGTCGAGACTGACTGCCGTGTGGTTACTGCAGCTAACCCCGGTCAGTCGAGCATCGAAGCGGGCTTATCGTCGGACACGGAAGGCTAACGCGTGACGTGCAGTCAAATTCGCCGATGAAGGGCATGGCCACGTCTTTGACAAACGTGTGAGTCTCCCTGTCCTGTGACGTCAGTGCTCAGCCCAACATTCCCATGGCCACTGGCAGGCTGTCCGTCACGCTCACGTCGCGCCTGATGCTCAACCTCCGCGACCCGGACATCCTGTTCCGACGGCGCGCTGATGCCGCAAGTCCTTGGGAGACCGGGCAGTTCAGCTCCCGGATGATGAGCTTCTTTCATCCGCCAGTCAATTACGAACCGGACGAGGACATGATCGCGATCGAGGAAGTGGGAGAAGATTCGATGGCAACGTCGACCACGATGTCTCGGGTGTAGGACGGAGGCTGCTCGAGCACTCGGGCAAACGTGTACGAAGTAAGTACCTCCCTTTCTGTCCGGAAGTGTGCGTTATTGACCGCGTCCATCGCTTGCGATAGGTTCGATTTTCAGACGATGTTCATACGGGACTGGAATACAATGTACTACCTATCCATCTTTGGTGTGCATGACGTGCGAGGCCGGGGAGAGTATGCAGTATTACAGGATCCGTAGTCAAGCAAAAATCTCACCACGGCGATGGATTATGACCCATTGGAGTACATTCTTGTTCCACGGTTTTGGAGGTATGTTCCATTCATCATAAACTTTCAGCGGCACTGAAGCCTGACAGGCCTCCGTTGACTAGAGATTTGCATGCCTGTGGCTTGTAGAGGGTCATTTGTGAACGATCGTGTCTATAGTGACGTCCTGATCGAGGCGGTGACGCACAAGTTCCTTTCCTTGGTAAAAATTCGTGCGATATTCACACTAATAAAGGATGTTGATTAGCCTCCAGTTGGTGCGTACTATTCTGGCTCCGATCCTGGCTTCCTCTGGTTCTCATTTCGAATACGCTTCACAAGGCGCCCGGTGCGTTTTTGTAATATGTAGCACCGAGTGAGTGGGGACCGCGCCGCCGACGCATCTACCGTTCTGCTTGTGAACTCATCAAATGGTGTTTCCGTCATGACATCGGTGCGAGCTGATACTGGCACCATACAGATTCTCTCCCTGATAACTCCCACAGTAAACGCGGACCCCGAAAGCTGTACCCGCTCTGCCGTGTGGGCAAATGAACCGGACGCAGCAGATATAGTTTCGCCGGCGGGTACGGAGTGCATCCGGTCCAGGTACAGCATTAATTCTCCCCCACACGGTACCGAGAACTGACCGTGCCCGGTCCAGCCCCCGGAGAACTCTCGCAGAAAAAAACAGGCAAGTATTCCTTCACCAAAGGAAGAGTATACAAATATCCACGAGCCCTGCATTTTTACAATTTGGCCTCTACCTCCCATACCGTCGTATCGCTGGCATGGCATGGCATGGCAGAGGGTGATAGAGAAAATAAGCCGCACCGTGATCCACGGCCCATTACCCACAGCGTCTTACACCCGCTGGACTTCTCCGGCGAAATCGCAGGTGCGAAGCTCCCTCCCTCGGTCGAATGGCCGTGGTGCCTCTTCTCGGCCCGTCATTGAGTTCCGTCGCGGTACTAATGGATGCTTACAATTGAAGAAGGGCCCACGCCTCGAGCACGAGGGGAAGAGCTGTCACTTCCAGCCAGGAACGCATGTTTCGGCCTGTGCCCGGTCAAACGCCATCCAGTGAACTACCGGTGGTCGCCGCCTGAAAGACCTCTAGCTGCATTCTCAGCCCGCGTCCCTCCCCAAGACTGCCTCCCACCTGCGTACGCAACCATGTCAAACATAGATATCGCCTCCGCTGAGCAGTTGTGAGTTCCGTATTTCCCTGTAGCTTCTAAGCATACTGATTTGTGCTCGCAGCGTATCCGCCGTGCGCATCGCCGCTTCCTTGACAGTAGCGGGGCTATGTGAGTTCGATTATCCCCCCAGATTCCCATAGCTGACCGGCGATACACAGCGATCTTGTACTACGACTTTGCGCTCACGTTCTTCTCGGAGATCGAGTACTTCTGGAGCCCGCCTGTGTTGTCGCCGACGTTCTTCCTTTACTTGACCACTCGTTACTTCGGCCTTCTTGGGCCGTTGCCTGTGTTTCTTGAAAGCTTCGGAATATTCCCAGAATCCGTGAGCGCTGACATTCGTCTTGGTCCCCCATCTCGCTGATCGCGGCTTCAATAGACGTGAGCAACCTGCGTTACGTTTGTCATCAGAAGCTCAGACCTCCACAGATGCCGCCACCTCCAGCTATATCACCAAGCCTACGCCATGACCAGCCAGGGGATCGTTGCAGGCACGTGTTTAAACTCGATCCCCTGGCAGTCGCTTTGCACTCACCGGGATGTAGTGCTGCTGACCCTTCGAACATACGCCCTCTATAACCTGGATAAAAAAGTGCTCGCGTTGCTCCTCTTCATCTATCTAGGCGGTGCTGTGCAATGTTTGGTATGTGCATTGTTAACGCTATAATGCATCGGACTCGAGCTTACCCTGGAATGTCGCTCACAGACCGCCGTTCTAACGACAAATAGCCCACTGACCACGCACGATATCCTTGGGTTCGCTTACCCCGGATGCGATACCTCTCTCAACATGGATCAGTACGTGCATCAGCTTCTTGACGTGACTGCTCCTGATATCAGAAAACTTGCAGAGGCATCCGTATGTCCTCTACGCCACCGCCACCGTTGCGGTGGACTTTATATAATACTAGATTTATCACTGGCATGGAGCGCCATGCTGTGGTTTGACTGCGCCATCTTCGGGCTAACTTTGAACAAGGCGATTGAGATGAGGCTAGAAATAACCGGCGGGTTGCTCGAGACGATATTCCGAGATGGTAACGTCTCTTGTTGTCCCTTGGAAGTAATCTATCCGCTGATCGACGCGCACCTAGGAACCGTTTATTTCGCGTAAGGAGGCCAACGCCGGGTCGTGATTCCGCGCTAATACTCTGGACAGCATTCTCATCGTGATCAACATTGCGAACACACTCACATTTCTGGTGCGCGCATTGTTGGGCCCACGATCGACCCGCGACTGACTGCTGTGGTTACTGCAGCTGACGCCGGTCAGTCGAGCATCGCGGGCTGATCGTTGGACACGGAAGGCTGACGGGTGACGTGCAGCCCGTGTCGCCGATGAAGGGCATGCTCACCACGCTGACAAACGTGTGAGTCCCGTTGCCCCAGTGACGTCACCCCTGATCCCGATATCTCCGCGCCAGGCTGTCTGTCACGCTTACCTCTCGCCTCATGCTCAACCTCCGCGACCCGACGATCCAGCTCGGACGACGCGCAGATGCCACGAGCCGCTGGGAGACCGGGCAGTTCAGCTCCCGGATGGTGACCTTCTTCCACCCGACCGTCAACTACGATCCGGATGAGGACATGATCGCCATCGAGGAAGTCGTGGAGGACTCGACGGCGACCTCAGCCTCGCCGACGAACTCTCAGCAGAACTCCGGAGTGTAGTGTATAGGCTACTAAAGTACATAGGTGGGTATACACACAATCAGACCTTTGTGTCAAAGTCTTGAGTACTGACTGCGCTCAGATGGTTGTACTCTGTTGCAGTATCCATCGCCAGAGCTCCAGTGTTTTTGCGTGTCCCAACGGTGTGGATCCCCGAAGATCCGGGACGCTCTTAAGAAATCGAGCGCAGTAAGCTGCATAGACTGCGGTCCGGTTACGGCGGATTACCGAAGCCTACAAAACACGCGTTTGTGTTTTGGTCCACCTCGTTAAATACCCTCGATGGCAAAGCCCAATGGTAGACGTGAACTACATGATATAGTAGTGCGGAAGCGGAAACGGTACGCGTGGGGTCATCATCGTAACAAATGGGCCCATGGTGCGGGGGCAGTACCGCAGGCAAGGTGCGACAGTTGCAATCCTATCTGTGCCTGTGCGGATGGTCAAATCCAATGCTAAGTATGAGCTAGCTTCTGGTGGGACCAAGGCAAATCAGATGTTTGAAGACTGCTTGATCCTTCCCTGACCTAGCTCGGCCATCAAGCGCCCACCGGGAGACAGTTGCTGGCCACAGCAGAAGTCCTCCAGAGTCCTCCGTGCTATAGGCGTAGGCCGAGCACATGGAAGTACTTCAGAAGACCCAGCCCACCGTTCTTCGTCGCGATGCCGACGGTCCCTGCGTTCCGCCGCCAGCCGCCGCCTTGCTCAAGCGCTCTAGAACAAATCTCCCGACCCACCGGCGGGAGCATCCCCGTTGCCCACGCGCGTCCGCCGCGATGGCCGTCAGACGAAAGACGGGCTTCCACCTTCGCACGGAGCTCACGAGCGGCCCTGGGCCACCGCGCTAGCTCCCGTAAGACCGGGTCCGCGCCGTACGATCCCGTGCGATCTGAACTCGCGGCGGATGCTTCAAAACCAGAGCACCGGCGTCGTGCTGTTGCTTTGCTCCTAGCAACGTCCCCGCAAGGTCCTCCCCGGTTCTGGAGCCATGGCCTCTTCGCAGTCCACGGAGGACGTTATCGGCTTGTACGCCATCGCATTTTCCCTTACTCTCGCTTTCGCGCTGATGGTCTACAGAGCCGAGTCCATGATGCTCAACAACAACTTAGCAGCCGCGGCTTTTGGTGAGTAATCATCCCCACGTTATGCTCCCCTCTACACGTTTGATAGTGGTCGTTGTACGCTGCAGCTGTGCTATGGTTCGACTACACGCTCACCTTTGAGAGGGAGGTCGAGCACTTTTGGAAAACGGCGAAATTTAACGCGGTTGCCGTTCTCTTCGTCATCAACCGTTATATCGGCCTGTTAGGTCCCATCCCCGTTCTCTTTGAGTATTTTGTGGCTTTGCCCCCCGATGTGAGTCTGTCCTCCCCCTTGTCTTCTCTTCACTGAACATGCAACCACCATAGACGTATGTGTTCAATGCACTCAAACCCCGTCCCGCCACTGAGCGTCTGCGCTTTTAGTTGCCGGGCACTTCAACGCTATCACCAGTACTACGCCTTGTTTAGTCAGATGGTCATCGGTCGTGGGTCTCTCCGTTCTCGAGCGCCTCCTTCTGAAACTCAGACCCTCTCAAGTGGTCCTCATCCTGCGTACTATCGCCCTGTATCATCGCAATCGCAAAGTCATGATTGGCTTGTGGTCAGAAGCGGCTGTTTTGGTTGTCGTGAGTTCTCGTCTTGTCGGTGTATCAGAACGTATTTGGACGGCTTGGAACAGGTTACACTTGTCACCAACTTGTACAAGCCCAAGTTAACTGCCGCTGAGGCTCCGTCCGGTATCGGCATTGGCTGCAATCTGTCCTTGACGGAGGCACAGTGAGTTCCGTAGCTCGTTTAATCGCGCGGGAGTGCTGATATCTTGACATAGAGGCATACGTGAGTAGCTACATCGCCCTGACATCCCGTCACCCAGGCTTAAGACATTCCACCAGGCGGCGTCGTTGGATGGCTCTCCATGTTCATATTGGACACGACCGTGTTCATAATGACCATAATTCGAACGATACAGATTCAACGGGCTATGCATCGACAGACGTTTTTGATGATGCTGTTCCGGGATGGTAAGCCAAGGATCCTTATCTTTGGAGCATGCTTTGGCTGAGATGTGATATACAGGCGCTTTCTATTTTTTGTGCGTGTTCTAAACACGGAGTACGTCTAGCACAGGCTAACAGCTGACGCAGGGTCATCGCTGTCTCGCTTCTCATCAATGTTGTAACATTCCTCGTAGGTGTCCTCTCCGAACTCTCCGTCTTCGCCCCGTCGCTTACAAGCGAATCCCGCATAACAGGCACCCTCAGTACGAGTCCCCCGTGAACCGATGCTCATCTCGCTGATCGTTGACCCTCAGGCTTCAGGATCTAAGCGGGGCCTTGCCACGACGATGGTCAACGCGTGAGTGCCATGTCCACGTGAGTTACGCACCGAATGACGCTGAAAAACATAATCATTAGCCTATCTACAACGCTACTCTCTCGCATCATTCTTAACCTGCGGGACCCCGCGTTAAAACATCTCCACTCCTCTGGGCTGATGTCTGGGACAACTCATTCGCATAAAATGTCGGAACGCGTGCAGATGCTGTCCTTCTGCATGTCGCCGACATCCCACAACATTGATCTCGAACCGGTCGTCATGACGCCGAGGACTCCAGAGTCGTCGGACGCCCTCCCGTCGTGGCAGTCGCATCGCCCATACTCCTCAGTGACGATCCAGTCGTACCATTACCCACCTTACGGATCCGACTCCGGATCCCCCCTGTCTACGCGGTACGACCAGGACTTGCAGCCGACACGGTCTCGGAGGAGCTCCAATGCCTCTCGCCGCCGAAACAACTCTCAACCCCCGCGGCCGCGTCTGAACACACAGGTTCCCTTGGCTTCCGGACCGAACTCAGCACCTCCGCTGCCTTCGCTTCCGGCGCCATGGGTGGCGAACAGGACACCGGAGTCGTCACCTCAACCGCCTCGCGGCATACACTTGTCGATGGACGACACGACCAGGGCGAGGGACCGAGCATGGCATGCAGAGCACCAGCAAAGGCCGCAAAGCCATCACGCCGCGAAACGACTCCCTTCCCTTCCCGAGGTACGTCCGCCGAGCATCACCGCCCCAGTGTACCTTGCTCATGTTGGATTCGACGCGCAGGTTCGGACAGTGCACATGGCGTCCTCTACCCCTTCCCTGCGAACCGTTGCAGACAGGCGCCATTGAGTGAACACTCGACGCCGCCAGAGCTAGGAGCTCGTATTTTGGACGTTGAACCGTCGGACTTTTGTAGATATAGATGCAACCTGCCCTCTGCTGCCACTCGTTTACTACACTACAGTCTATCATATGCCACACTCGTTTTCTGTTCGTTCGTTCGTCGATGTCACTCTTTCCATGCTAGGGCAGTGGCCAGATTCGAGCAATAATACATGTTCTTGCTCCTTTTCGAGTTGTTGTGTGGACGAACGGTTGTCGAATAGGAAGCTAAGAAGGTGGGGGCTGGCAAAGTCCAATTGCTCGCTGAGCCCCAAGGCGCCGGCAGCCAGATGTGGGCGCTCCGTCTCTTGCTCCTTCACCGTCGTCGTGATTGTTTCCTATTCCGCCTCCGGGCCATCCATGACGCACGTTCGGCGACTTATCATGCTGCGGACGCACGCAACAGTGAGCTTCGGGATGAGCCATCTCGAAGCACTCGAAGCACAGAGGTGAGCATCCGTCTTCTCACGTTGGGCTGGGGCTATCGCCTGCATGGTTCCGTGCAACTCCACCGCGCAGTCCTCACGAGTCGTACCCGCCAGATACCCTAGGTTTATTCTCCACGATGAGCAGTAGATGCGGTCAAAGGTTTGTACGGGGCACGAAGCCCCGGTATCGAAACCTCGCCGCTGGCCGGAAGCGAAGGCACTTCAGACGGACCGTTTGCGTCGCATCGCTCGACCCCCCTGCCCGTCGGACATGGATTGTCCATGCATCATTCGCCCGCTTCCCCTCGCCGCCCATGGGAGTGCACCCTGAGCATGTGAAACGGCGCTGCCGTACGTCCACGAGGGCGCCCTGCGAGACGCATGCTCGAAGTCCCGATAGCGCGACGCCCTCCTCGCGTCGGCCCTTCGCCCTCTCACCCGATTTGACTGCGGTGGACCACCGCCCGGTCTCTGCACCTGGCCCGCCCTCCGAGCCGTGGGTTCGCTCCCCACGACACCAGCGAAGGCGCCATAACACACCGAGGGGGCCGCCCCCCTCCAGCCCTGGAACGGTCCGGGGCAACTCGCTGCGGGCGAGACGTCCGGAACCGAGAGTGGTACTTAAGATCGACCCGCGCGAGATGTGCGCCAACTACGTGCGTACGCACCGACCGCTAGCACTGCTCTCTCTCGTAGGCGGTCATGGGGGACGAGCCCTCGACTTCGTCAGCGATAACACTGTGAGCCCATCGGCACTCTGCACATGACTGGATGCGTGCTAAACGGAGCTCGGATTGTAGGGCCGAGTCCACGCGGTTGAACAATATCTTGGCTGCCTCAGCTCTCAGTGGGTGCATCAGTTGGACTCCTCAGTCCGGTCGCGTCCCTGATCGCTGCTGATCTTGTTCCTAGCGATGCTATGGTACGATTTCACTCTGACCCTGCCTAGAGAGATAGAAAGCTTTTGGAAGGACGCGCGGGTATCACTGGTCTCGATCCTGTTCGTCATCAATCGCTATCTCGGGCTCTTGGGCCCCGTCCCTGTCATCTTTGAGTACTTCATAGCCCTGCCCCAGTCGAGGTACGCTTCCCTCGTCTCCTCCATCATCTTGTGTCTATTGACGAAGTACCCAGGTGTAGAAAGCTGCAGAGATACCACCAATACTATGCAGTCATCAGCCAGGTGATCGTAGGCAGTGAGTGCTGCTCATATCCAGGGGTCCGATGCACTGCGGCTGAGTGCGACCTAGCGCTCCTTGTCATACGGACATGGGCGTTATACAACAGAAGCCGGAAGATGTTGATTGGATTGGTGGTCTCGTCAATGATACTTGTCATCGTAAGGTATTCTATGAACGCAAATTCTCAACTACTCCCTAACGTTCTTGACGCAAAAGGTGACTTTGGTAGTAGGAAACCTGAAAGATGCCGAATCAGATGACGATACGCCCTCGTATGACACTTGCGATCTATCGTTGTCAGAGGACCAGTAAGTGAATCCGTACACATCCCTGCTGAACACAAAGTTGACATCTGGGTGTCTAGGGGATTTCGTACGTTATGCTCTCGTCGAAAATAGGTCCTTCTTAATGGATCGTTTAACAACAGGGAGTGCAATAGGATGGGTCGCGATGCTCTTCCTCGACACGACCGTTTTCGCGCTAACGCTGTTCCGGACCCTCCAAATGCGCCACATGATGTACCAACCAACCCTGTTGATGGTCCTGTTTCGGGACGGCGCGATCTACTACGCGTATGTGGCAATTTTCCAAGATAGTATATGCGCTGACCGGGAGTGTTTCCATGCAGCATCCTCGCTGTGGTTAATGCAGCGAACATCATGACGTTTGTGGTAGGCCAGCCGATCGTCGGTGTCCGCTTACATGCTGACTCTAGTCGGATGTTACTATCTATAGTTCCCTCATGTACGCCGCTATTTGCTATATTCATGTGCGAGACTCTGTCACTAATCCAAGGACGTGGCCAGGGTGGCTACTATAAGAGGGGCCTCGTTACCACGCTGGCGAATGCGTGAGTCCCGCACTGCTATTCATAAAGAATCTTTCTGATACTGCGTTCGCGATTCAGACTATCGACAACGCTGGTATCTCGGATCTTCCTGAACCTACGCGATCCAAGCCTAACAGGAGGTGCACGTCGAGGAGGGAGATGGACTCTCACCGGGTCACATGTGGCCGAGAGCGTGAGCACCCGCATGATGTCGTTTTGCAGACACACGTTCAAACCCTCCGACCCGGAACTGCCGCCGGACGACGAGGAGTTCACGACAGAAGCAGATAGACCCTGGGTTGCGCCTCCACCCTCAGCACCTCCCCCACTCTCTTTATCTCCGTCACCGCCCCTCTCGCCTCCCCAGCCCCCGAGAGACGCGACCGTGATCGCCGAAGCAGGACCGTCGAGCAGACCCTTGCGTTGACGGTTTTGAACTAATGATGATAATTACGGAGTGCTGGAGGTAGTCTTCGCGGCCGCTTGTACGAGTATATAGATAGTACACTTTTAGAACGGTACCCTTCATGTACCCTTTTGCATACCACAGGAAGTACAATGGGTACTTGCGACGTCCACCCAACGTGCGATTGACGACCATGTAGCCATAACGGGTCGGAAACTTGTAGCAACGAGAAATCGTTGATCAGTCGTGTTCTCCCGCACAGTTTGTATACCATGCCTTATTCACAGTCCGTCCGATATGGTGTAGTGGCTAACATTATCGCCTCTCACGCGATAGCCCGGGGTTCGATTCCCCGTGTCGGAACTATGCATCTTGAGGCCTTTTTTGTCATCTTCCCTCAAGACAATATCTCTACTACCAACACCATTTCCTATTCCTCCTGTACGAATGATCAAAGCATGCGCATCACGTGACGATAAAGAAGCGTGAGGAGACGCGTCGCGTCACACCGCGTGGTCACAGTCCCCACCTGGAGGAGGCGGCGGCGAGGCGCTGGTGGGGCCACTCTCGGCGGAAGATGGATTCTGAAGATGAGCCCCTCCTCCCGTCCTCCCGCTCCCCCGACCCCGGCACCTGCCTTGAGTCCCGGGCACCCCCGCCCCAGGCAGTTTATGCTCGTGCCAAGGCCCGCACCGCGGAGGTGCTAGAGTCCACCCCGCTCCACTACCTCGTCCTAACCCTCGTACGTCCCCATCGCCCACCTCACCCCCTACACTCCCCCCCACGCTCACCCCCGCGCGCCCCGCACACAGGTCCTCGTCGACACCGCCTGCGTGCTCGCCGACCTCGCCTACTCTTTCCTCTCCCCGGACTGCGCGCCCGTCGACGGGCCCCCCGAGCCCGGCGACGGCGGGCCCGCGTGGCTCGCCGCGCTCGCCGCGCTCTCGCTCGCGATCAACGCGCTCTTCGTCGCCGAGGTCCCCGCGACGCTGTGGGCGCTCGGGCGCGCGCACTACGACCCGCTCGCGGCGGGCGCGCCGCCGCACGCGGCGCTGCACCTGTTCGACGCCGCGGTCGTGCTCGCGACGTTCGTGCTCGAGGTCGTGCTGCGCGGGAAGGAGCGCGAGCTCGCGGGGCTGCTCGTCGTGCTCCGGCTGTGGCGGCTCGTGAAGCTCGTCGGAGGTGCGTGCGGCTCTTGTTCCGTGGACGTGTGTGTACCGGCAGGCTGACGCGTGCGTGCGCGCAGGGATCGCGGTCGGCGCGGGGGAGATCGGGGAGGAGCAGGCGAAGGAGCTCGAGGAGACCCGGGAGGAGCTCAAGAGCACGCAGGCGGAGCTGGAGGGCGTGCGCCTGGAGAACCAGCAGCTGCGGTTGCGGCTGGCGCAGTATGGCGGCCAGGATCAGGACGGGGAGTAGCCTGCAGGTACGCGCTATTTATGGACACTGCCCGGAGCATCATGTACTGGCGGGGGAAGGTCGTAGTATGTGTGTGTATACCCTTGCCTTGTTCAAATATTCCTCGCGAGATGTTGTGCGCAAATCACACTGCATGCAGGAGTGTCAGACACTGATGGTACGCGCATAGCGCGTGCGGCGATCGTTGGGGCTACAATTAGAGTGTGCTATGTACAGGGGAGGCTCGTGTCCGTCGCTGGAGGACGGCGGTGTGTATAGATATAGGCGATGTCTAAGGATACAGTCCGGGGCGTGACGAGGCGTGCGACCTAAAGGATACAAAAGAATGAACAGTGAAGAGAAAAGCAAGAAACCCTGGGCAAGAAAAAGCAAAGCTCGACTAGCGATGTGTGTTGGGGCCCCCCTGGAACGGCGCAGCGGCGAAAGCACTGCGACGGGCGGCACGCGCCCGTCTCTAGTCGTCCAGGTGTCGGGGCCCAGGAAGTTGGAAGAAGGCAACGGTTGGAGTGCGTTCAGCGCTCAGACGACGTGTCGCTGTCCGCGCGCACCCACTGCGAGCGCACCGCGCGCGTCACGGGCTGGTCCGGGTCGACGACGTCCTCGGGGAACATCCCGTACGAGATCGGGCGCGCGGCGCCGAAGGGGACGACCGCGTCGCGCTCGAGGTCGATGTAGAACGTGCTCGTCGGCGAGCCGTGCTGCGCGTCGAGCCTCGGCGGCGCGACGCGCGCCTTCGCGGGGAGCGCGGGCACCGGCGGCGGCGACTGGCTCCAGTGCGACTTGAGCTTGAGCGGGCGGATCGCGGGGAGCGCGACGGGCGCGGCGGGCTTGAGCGAGAACGAGAAGCGGGGGAGCGTGAACGACGGCGGCGGGTGCGGGGCGGCGAAGGGGGAGTCGACGCCGCGACGCGCGGGCTGGGCGCGCTTGGCCCAGCCGGGGCGCATGCTCTCGCAGCTCGGCTTGTGCGGGAGCGCGGCGAGGCGGGACGTCCACGTCGTGCGGCGCTCGACCTCGTCGCGCTTCTCCTGCTCCGCGGGGGACGGCGGCGCGGGGAGCGCGGGCTCGGTCGGTTCTGGGGCGGACGGACGGGCGGGCCAGAGGGGGGAGACGGGTGCGATGGGGAACTTGGGCGGGGCCAGCTCCTCGCCTTCGAGCTCGACGTGCGGGGAGCGCGGCGAGATGGGCGTGGACTTGGTGTGCTGCGCGAAGATAGGCGTGGCGTGCTTGATGTGCACGACGTCGTCGGGGACCTCGACTTTCGCCGCCCAGGCGCGGGTGGCTTCCATCCTGTCCAATGGATCCTCCGGGTGGACGAACCAGGCCACGGTGGGGACGCGCAACGTCCAGAGATCCTCGATGAAGTGCATGTGCGTGATGGTGACCGTCAGAAGGGAGAAAGCGTACAAAAGCACTGCGTGAAGGTGTTAGAGACATAGGCAGGGTGACACAGGCGGCGGTACTCACAGAGGAGGCATGACATCCATGAGAGTGCGGTGACGAGGGACGATGAGGCGCAAGCAGGGACACTGCTTCCCTGGCACAGAGCGGGAGGTCCATTGACAGTGATGTCGAAGCAGCTCGCGAGGAAGAGTGTGGACATGACAAGAGTCCAAGCACACTCTATCCGGACCTGGTCAAGAGGCAGCCTTGAAAACCACGAAGAGGCGACGCAGCCAGAGACGAGAGTGATCAAGAAGCATGCATTGACGATCGTGAATGCTGGGGCGCCGGTGACTATGTTGTACATGAGGCACGGCGTGCAATCAGGGAATATGAGCGAACGCACCATCAACCTCTAAACCTTGAGTATCGTGAGGTTCCATGCCGCAAACCCAATAGTGAGGATGTTAACATATACGAGAACGGCTGGCGGGGTAGATCGATGTTAGCATCAAACGGTTGTGCATGTGTGACGTACCAAAGAGCGCAAAGCGCACGACCAAGAACGGGTTCCGCATGTCGACAGAAGCAACGGGGAAGCGTTCAAACATTATTTGCGTGTCTTGGCAGGCAGGAGAATATCGTACGGTGGGTCGTATGGGTGACAGCCGGCGCGTGGTCGTCGGGGGTCGGTGTGGGGCGTGGGTGGTAGAGAACGACAGAGGCGAGGGCGGAGAGAAACGCGAAAGAAGGGCAGGGGCAATGCACAGGAGGAGGAGAGCAGAAGGCCGAGGGCTAACAGAGGCTGCTGAAGGGCTTTAAGGTCTTGAAGAGATGAGTCAAGACGTCGTAAGAAGGGGGAGGATGTGCCAGGTGGTGGCGAGGGGACGTAAGAATGGGACTTTCAAGCACTTCAAAGCAGTCTGAGACCGCCGGGGCCACAAAGGGCGTGCAGACGGCGGGTGGGGTCTATAAGCCCAAGCGGGCGCGTAGCTGGATGGGGGAGGACAATGAGCCCGGCTAAGAACAATAGCACGTCGTTGCTTCTCCGGCGCGGCCTAGTCGGGCGGCTCTCTCGCGTGCCTTCGTCATTGTATTTCGTTGATGCGCAGGCGGGGCGATGTAACTTGACAAGTGTCCATGCTGGCGAAGCAGGCAGACCCAGACCTCAGGCGGTCGAGGACGTGGTCTAGTGGTCGGTGGAAGAAGCGGTGCCCGCGCTAGTCGAGGGGTTTAGACGCCATCCAGCACCCGCGGGCCGAGACGAATGCACATCTCGAGCCGGTCCACCCTCCTCATCAACATAATGTCCCCTTCGGGGTGACATACGAAAAAATTGGAACGATACAGAGAAGATTAGCATGGCCCCTGCACAAGGATGACACGCTTTCCCGGAGTGGTAGACCTACGGGTCTCAATATTTATGCATTTTGTTACGCTCGATGGTCATCCATACTGCTGCATTGCTCTGTGTGATGTGGGTCAACGCCGGTGGGATTTGGGTCAACGAAGGACATCATGTCGCAGGTTTGACCGAGCGCTGATGTTGTTTGGTGCATCTGTTTGGGTACAGACACACACGAGTAGCGCCGTTCACGCAGCCCGGCGGTCTCGCCACTTTGCAACCTTCGTTCTGACCAACTGCCATGTCCCTCGCGCTGCTTCTCTGCACTCCTAGTTGTCATCCGTGGATTCGCATAAGATGCTAGCGAAGCGACAAAATCGGGAATCGGGACAGCGCGGTCGCTCCGGATCAACAATGCGCTCGAACAGGTCCAGTCCGCGCTCGTCTGCGTGGCGCCCGCCGCCGCTGGTCCTCATCACAGCGCGCATGATGGCGGACATGCACGCCGCGCTGTTCTTATCCTGTCGGCGTCGAGACCAGAAGGCGCAGCGGCCACAGGGGCTGCACGCAGAGGCCACACTGGCAGCTGTCTATCGGCAGTGGTCAGAACCCTCACTGGCGAAGAGGCCAAGCTCGGCGGAGTGCCAGACGGGTGGGCATAACAACCGAACGATCAAACTCGCGCGGTTTCAGGCCCGCTGACGTAACGCAGGCGATGCAGAGCCGGGCCCATTTATGTCGCGGGGCAGGGCGAGCGAGGCAAGCTTTGTGCTTTTCACCTTCTTTTCCTTCCCTTTTCTTTTCCTTCCTTCTCCCCAGGCCACTTGCTAGACGCATTTCGGACAGGATTCCGGACACGGAGCTGGTACTTGATCTCATCGTGTTGGCCTAACAGATCCGACCCCACCACCGTCGACCGGTCCAATCCCCCACCTCACTCTGCGCTCTTGCTTGTGTTCGCCATGGTCTCTCCTCTCTCTGTTTGCCGTTACGTCGCCTTCGGTCAGTCCCTCGCTTTCTCTCCCCACCACCTGTCACTCACCGCGTCCCCAGCTCTTTTCACGCTCTGCAATGCTGTAATTTGCTGTGTTCTGTATGGAATCTCGTCCTTGCGCAAGAACTGGACTTGCATCGTGCGTGTCTCCCTTCCGTGCGAGCGAGCAAACAACCGACTGTTTTCCAGCACTTGCGGATACATTCAACATCGCCATTAGTGCATTTGGCATCCTCTACATCTTCCCCGTGATGTACATTGACCTCCTGCGCAAAAACGCCCTTGTCAGTCGGGTGTGGTTTGAGGCGACGTGGGTGGGCGTGTTCTGGGTCCTCAATCTCGGTATGTCCCCAACATTTTGCGCACTGCGGGCTCGAGCTCACAGGCATGCGTAGTTGGTGCCCTCCTCACCACCATGCAACTCCCACGTCTGCTATGCAACTTTGCAACAGATCTTCTTATTCCTGGTTCCTGTCTCACCACTCGGGTTATCCAAATAGCTGGATGGGCAGGGGTTGCCAACTGTGCGTGTTCGTGCCGTCTCTTTCGATGGCCTTCGCTCACGCAGATATGCAGTGCTCGTCTACTTCATTATTCTGATGGTGTTCGCATCCTTCACTGTGTGGACGACTCGCAAGTCTGGAGCGCCAACACGCGCACCTACCCCTGGTTCCAGCTGCGCCAGAGCCTTAACAGCCCAGTGCAGCCAACCATGCGCACAACATGGTCGAACCCCTCCGCGTCCACGCCCCAAATCCGCGTGCACAACGAGAAGCCCTCACGGGTTGGTACGCTCCGTAGCGCAGCGCTCAAGTCCTCCGCGCTCCGCTCGGCAGCGATGGGGTCGTCAACAATGAAGAGCTCTAACCTCCGGAGCACGACCTTCGATTCCGAGAAGATGACGGCGTCGCCAGCGCCCCCGCTTTCCGCCGCGCGCTCGGCACGCTCCGCCAACAAGTCCGCAAGGATTCTCCAGTCTTCTTGGATATCTTCGACCGTCACTCCCGCATCTCCTCATTCCGACGAATACGGCTCGGGCTCGGACAGCTCAGGATCTGGTTCCGGCTCTGATCGCTCAGACCTGACGTCGACACCAACGGGCATCCCGCCATCGGCGATGTACGTCCCCTTCACGTCTACGATCAAGCCGTCACCGCTCGGGTCTGGCGTCCCCCCACGGTCCGCATCACTCGCGTCCTTCAACGGCCAGCCGCCGATGAGCGCATTGACCCCCTCGCGGAAGGGGATGCCCCTCCCCGTCGTGCCCTCGCCCAAGGTGCCGCTTTCCCGCCAGAGCTCGAACAGCTCGACGTCGAGCACGGGCTCGAACGGGTCCAGGAAGTCGAAGCGCAAGAGCAACCGCCCGCCGCCGCTGGACATGACGCGCCTCCACAGCACGTATGGCCGGTGAGCGGCGCGCGTCAGGCTGCGAGCGGCCTGGCGCGCCGGAGCGAAGCTGCCTAGCGACATTTCCCCACGAGAGGTGGAGGCTGGCGACTCGACTCTGGAGCGACGGCGCCGCCGCGCGAGCCGCGTGCGGACGCAGCTGTCGTTTCCGACACACAAGCTACGGTTCTTGTTGTACTACTACTACTGCTATGGACCGTCCGCGAGACAACGTGCAGCTCGCTCGTGTAGCACTGAGGTGGTGTACGAGTTTGCAATTCACTTTTCACGCATGAAACCCCATCTGCTGTTCGGAGAGAACAACGGAGAACCGCCGGTGCCAAAGTCCGTTTAGCTACGGAACAACTGGACTTCCAGTGCCTGTCCGACACCGCCTAGAGCTCGCAGTAAACCATCACGCCATCTGCCTGGTACATGCGCATGATGATCCAAGCAAGGACTGCCAACTGAACTTGGGTTGGAGCCGAACGCGAGGTTTATCCTCTGTTCACGTATAAACATAGCCTCAGACATTGAATCATCGGCAACACAGGCCGGATGACGGAGCACGGCTTATCTGATAAGATGCCCACGGTCACTGCGCACCAACGCGTTCCACCCACTCAGCTTCGTTCTCCTCCCCCTTTCTCCACCGCCTCAAGATGCGGCTCACCGACGCGTTAAAGGGCTATTTCTGGCCGGTGCTTGTGTGCTGTGGTGTCGCCATGAACGCGTACGTCTTCACTACCTTTCCCCGAGCGCATCCATGCCTGACCCATGCTCGGGACACAGGGTGTGCGCGGGAGGTGTCTATGCCTTTCCGCTCATTGCGCCGTCACTGGTCGAGCACTTGAAGCTGTCGCAGCCGCAACTCACATCTATATCGCTAGCGTGAGGAGACTGTTCACTCAGACCGTCGGTCAGTGGTTCTCAGCGATGTGTTCTCCTCAGCGGTATGATCTCTCAGTACCCCGTCGCGGCGATTGTTGGTCTCGCAATAGACAACCTGGGAACATGGTCATGCTCCCTAGCGGCGTCCGTCATGTTCGCAATCGGCTATGGGGTCTTCGCGAGAGAAGTGGCCGCCGTACCTCCCGGCACGCACGCGTCCGCCCAGACCGTCAACACGCTCATTTTCTGCTGGGCGTTGATCGGGTTGGCCACCGTTTGCACGTACGTGTCCTGTTCCTGTTTGTGTGCGTTGTGTCTGTACGTCTAATGCACAAGACAGCGGCTTCGCGCTCGTCTTCTCCGCGACGAAGGCGTTCTATAAGTACATCGGTGTCGCGGTCGGCTTGAGCCAGGCAGCCTTTGGGATGTCTCCCCTCCTCCTCTCCCTCATCGCCTCCCACTTCACCCCATCCGGCGAGACCCTTGACCTCCCCAGTTACTTCACCTTCCTGGCTCTTTTCGCGGGAATCGCCAACCTCACGTCCTGTGTACTATTCCGCGGAGCACAAAACGCCGGTACCATCCCCATGGGCAGCTCTAAAGTGGCCCCTACACGCTCAGATGGAGAGTCTGTATCGGCACAAGAGTCAACAGAGACCAGTCCTCTGCTCCACGACGCGACATCGACGACGAGGACACACCGAAAGACCCGGTCGACGTTCATGTCGTCGCCTGCGAAGCTCCTCGGGAAGGAAGCACCATCGACCTCTTCAAAGACCCCTACTTCTGGGTCTCGCGCTCTGGATGACCTTCGTCGTCGGTTCGGTGCGCCCCTCCTCCCCACTCCCCGTCCGCCCCTCCTCTCACCGCACTCCCCAGTCCGAGATGGTCTTCTCCAACCTCGGCTCCGTAGTGCTCTCGCTCCCCTCCGCGTCCCGGCGGCGGTTCGACGACCGCCAACGTCGGGCACGCCGTCCGCTCCTCGCGCTCGCCAACACGCTCTCCCGGCTCGCCGTCGGGCCCCTCGCGGATGCCGTGGCCCCCGTCGCGACCCAGGCCCGGACGGCTCGTGGGCGTTCCGCGGCGGCGCGCGGTCACCCGGATGGCGTTCTTCCTCGCCACGCCCGCGCTGCTCGCGCTCACGTTCGCGTGGACCGCGCTCCGCGTGCGTGCGCAGGAGGACGTCTGGCCGCTCGCGGTCGGCACCGGGGCGCGTACGGGACGACGTTCACGCTCATGTGCGTTTCTCACCCTTTTCCTGCCCGTCGTGTTGTTGCGGCTGACGGCGCGTGTTTTTTTTTTTTGCAGTCCAGGAATCATGTCGTCAATTGGGGCTGCCCAGCCTCGGCGCAACTACGGCATCCTATCCTACACCGCGTTCGTGGGCACGTCTATATTCTCGTTCATTACGCAACCATCGCCGACCGCCACGTTCTCCCGGCGACGACGTCTGCAAGGGCGTCGACTGCTGGAGTGCGACGGCGTGGATCTCGTGCGCTTCCTGCGTGGTAGCCTGCTTCGCTGCCGTGGTGCTTCAGAAGGTGTGGAAGGACCGGGTTTAGCCTCGTCTAGAGAGCCACACTTGATAAAAGTCGCTATCGACTGTCGTAGACGGGGGATAAGGGGCTGATATGTTTATGAACATATTGCGTTTGTACAGTATTCGGAGTGTAACATAGAGCAGACTCGTATATGGCAAAGCGACACGACAGCAATACACTACTCGACCTTCTCAGAGCGTCCGGAGTGTGTTGGAACGGCGGTGGCTACTTTGCCCTCTGAGTATCCGAACCAGATGCCTGCGAGCAACAGCAAATGTGCGGCGAGCAGAGTGCCGGAGGAAAGGTTCGTTGAGGGGAAGGTGTTCCATGCGTACTCGATGGCGAGTAGAAGAACCTTCTATGTAGCGAAACATGATGAGCGAATTGACTTGGACAGGAGGGTTCTGCAGCGTACCGGACGGGAACGGGGTATTTTGTTCTCCAGCAGAGGAACGGCAATTGCGTCGCGTACCACGAGTAGAACTGGTAGTGGAGCGACCGCGCAAAGACGATGCCGATGAGATTCGACGTGAACAGCACCGTCACCACGTCTGAAGCAAGCACAATAAGGCACCTGACGTGACGGAAAACGCGGAGAACGCTCACAGTCGGGACTCAAAACAGCTTCGCGGGCGCGCTCAACGGGCTCAACAAGCCTCTGCTCACCACTCTCCACGCACCGCCCTCCCTTCTGCACCACCTAACCACCCGAACAGGGCGAGCGTCCCAGATGGCCCGCGAGGAGCCCCCCGCCCACCGCCGGTCCAGGAAGAGGTCCTCGCCAAGGAAGCGCCAGTTGACGGTCCACTTGAAGAGGAACACGCGCGAGAACTCGTACGCGTGCCCGAGGTACGAGCGCGGGTGCGCGCGCAGGAACGGCAGGCCCGCGCCGGCCTGGGTGAGCGCGAGGAGGAGGGCGAGGGCGAGGGTGCGCGCCGCGCCGCGCCGCTGGAAGAGCACGACGAGCAGGCCCGGGACGTAGAGCAGCGCGTTCATCTTCACGGAGAGCGCGCATCTGGAGTGCGGGTGTCGGCATGGGTATGGAGGAGGAGGGGACAGGGAGAGGCAGGGCGTGCGTGAGGAGGGGGAGAACGTACCCGAGGAGGAGGATGCCCGTTGCGTCCCAGCTGCTCACGAATGCGAGGACGGCGGCTTGGGAGGCGAGGACGGCCCAGCAGTCGTTGAAGAGGCGGAGGGCGTAAATGGAGTGCAGTCTCTTGCTCAAAGGGAGAAGTAGGAGTATCCAGTTAGGGAGGTTGCCAGCCTTGTGGTATATTGCGGTGGTGAGGAAGAGGCCGGCGATGTAGAGGGCCCCATAGATTTGCTGAGCTCGCCACATATCCTGTCCTCCATCTGTAAGATAGTACAGGATTTGATGTACATAAACGTGTCCGGCAGGATAGCTGAGTTTGTGGGTGAACAGAGACGTTTGTTGCAGAGGATCACGGACGTACACAATGGGACCAGTAGGGCCTGAAATTAGTGCATAATCTCGCTCCCCTTTGAGGTATAGCTCCAGCTGGTACATGTACGTTTCCCAGTCAATCTCTGTGTCTGAAATTTAGTCAGCGATGACTACCGGACAAGCATGAGGCACACCAGGGTTTACATGAGATGAACCGTATGATGAGCTGCGTCAGACATGCATCACCCAATACTACCAGCCCAGCAAGTACAACGAAGTACTGCGGATCCAACAGCAATTTCAGCCCAAGGTGCCATAGTGAGTCCAAGAGCCGGAGGGAGGGAGACTGAGACATGTGCGTGGGGGCTTGAAGACAGCTGTGGCTGCACCGCGACAAGCAGTCAGGCATTCCGCCGGCCCGGCGACCGGCGCCCTCACTCAATACTTACCTCTGAAAGTACCATAGGTACAGCACGTGCAACCCGCATTCATCGGACATAGCAGTCTCGTTCGTGCAGAAAAAAACGAAACAAGGAAATAGATAGCCCGTATTGTACACAAATCTCAACGACCAAACCACAACATGTACCCTACCAGAACATACACCTCTTCTCGTTCGGTGGGTTCAGCTATAGAAGCGGTCAGAGAGACGGCGTCGGCAGATGCGAGAGAACACAACTTACCTTCGCCTTGGATGAGCATTTGAACGCCTTCGCGAACTCGGGGATATTGGAGACTGTGCCGTCGACACGGAACTGATTGGGCGAGTGCGGGTCTGTTCGCACACGGGCAACCTGCAAATAGTGGTATTAGACGATACATAACACTCATTATTGAAAAGACCTACAGCGGCTGCTGGCTTGATATTCTGGGCCCAGCTGCGCGCGAAGGAGATGAAGAACAGTTGCTCGCTGTAGAGGTGTATCAGCAAAGGTCGCGAGGTCAGGAAGTGGAGGTCAAACCGAGTATAGCTGAGACCGGGGAGGAGGAACTCAGACTCTTCGCTGTACTGACTCTTCCAAGCCCGGAAGGCCTGAATCAGACCGCTATCCCCAATATTCTCACCAGAGGTCCTATATAAGTGTCAGTCGAGAACGTTCGGGAGGGGGATCTAGTCGCTCACAAATTGCCCTGCAAAATCAGTCAGCTAAACATCCGTCGTATAAACAATCATAACCTACGTTGACGTGAATTTTGCCACCCTTTCCATCATCGATAGTGTACTCTGGAGGAGATTGTTAGATAGTGACTCTTTACGCAGTCGAATAATCAGCACAAACCGGAATATTGATCGACGATACATTTCTGTTTCACTTTGAAGCCTTCACTCGTCTTGTTTGTCCACCACTCCTCAAGCTTGCCGTCTTGATTATACAAGCGACCGGCAGAATCGAAAGCGTGTGTAAGCTCATGTGAAGCGACGTGACCGAAGGACCCGTAATTCATGTAACCGGGCCTGAATGAATATGAGAGGCTGAAAGACTCGCGGAGTGAAGACAACGTTACTCACCAGTTCACATGGAAGAACGGAGGACGGAGAATACCTGCAGGGAAGACGATTTCGTTCCCAGGCGGGTTGTAGTATGCATTCACGGTCGACGCATACATCTCCCATGCCTCGGGATCGCGCTGCTTGCCAATCTGGTACCAGCGGCGAATCTCGTCCCCAACGCTGTATCATACTGAGCCGAGATTCCAAGCAGCCGTGGGTTTACTCGACTTACTTGGCGCTGACGATGTTATCGAAGAAGGTCGCCACATTGATCTTGACATTCCTGTACCAGTTGACCAACGAGCGAGGGTTCTCCGTGTTGGGCGACATGGGATAGCCAACTTTGATACGAAGAGCATCCGCCTGTTCGTGTTATGTTATAGTCGCTGGCTCAAACGACCAAGAAAGGGACGCACCTTGCCCGCAGCTGCGGTGGCACTCTCATCATCCATCCATGCAATGCTAGCCAAAGACTTCTTGAAAGTGCTGATGATATCTGTGCGCAATATTAGCACATCTTATTCAACTAGACGAAGGTGGACTACCCACCTGTGATGACCTTCGTGGCCTTCTCACGAGATTGTCCACCGAACGTCTCCCGAACAAAGTACCGTCCGAGCGCGAAGCCCATGGCAGACTCGACGCGCGCAATACAGTACTCTGAGCGGTCACCGACGGCACCCTTCTTGATCCCATTGAGGACTTCTTGAAGGCCGCGGGTGGCTTGCCACGCCTCGGTCTCCATACCAAGGTAAGAACCATAGGACAAACCGGCACGAGTAATGAAGTATGCCTCGAGGGTGTCTTTGTCGGTGGCGTTCAGGATGCGCGACAGATCAGACAGGTAGGTCGTCGAAGTCAAAATGATCGTGTCGGGGAAGTTGCGCAGCGCGAACGAGGAGAAATACGCCGGGAAGTCGAACTCCGGAAGCTGGTGACTAACGTTCTTGAACGGTACGGGGTTGTACGTCGCGATGGGGTCCTGGTACAGGATGTCGCTATGATGAAGGTGAGAAACTACAGGACCCATGAACCAAGTGGTCCTCACAGGTCAAGACTGGCTTTCGCGATTTGTTTCTCGAGCTTCACAATAGACTTCGCCAGCTTATCGGCACGTTCCGTGCGGTTGACGGGCTTGTTGCCGTCATCGTCGTCGCCCCAGGGCGGCCAGGGCCAAGGGGGCCATACGCGTAGACGCTCTTCGTGGATCGTCAAGCCAGTCGACGGAACGGTCGTGACAGATGCACTCTCGAGCTGCTCGTCCTTGTCATCAGCCACGATCAATAGACGTTGCAAAACTGTGCGGTAAAGCTCGACAATAGCTTCTTCATCGTAGTATTCCTGCAGACAAAGGTTATTTAACGCAAAGACAAACGACAACGACAACGTCATACCTTTGAAGGAAGGCCTAAGTTAGCCTGAGAGAGCCATAGAGCCATGAGGTTGGGGTCGTTTCCCGCATCACCCTCGATGTCATAGCTGAACAGAGCATCGATGCCTTTGATACATAAGCGTTGTGCGGTCGGAGAACCAAAGATAAGACTCACCACGAGAATGCAAATAGGCGACTGTGGCCGTGAGCCTGTGCCTGTCCTCTTCCGGCGTGCTCGCGCTGAAGTCGTCAACCACGACCGTCTTGCCCCGGAAAAGCTCCTTGATCTTCTTAGTCATAGCATTTAATGGGGCTTCGCCCAGGTCGTTCAGGTGATCCTCAGCCATGCAAGAGTTGTACAGACCGCGCAGCTTCTTGAGAAGCAACGCGTCGTCGTCGTCGTCGTCCATGAGAGCCGACGCCTCGGCGAACCGAGACGAGGAGTCTTCGGAGATAATTTGTTGGAGAAGACGCCTGTTTTGCAAGGCGAGCACGTCGAAATGGCCGAGGCGTCCTTTGTCGGAGGGTATGGGATTCTCCTTCAACCAACCGCCGGCTGGGGCGGTGGTAAATCGCATGAAACGAACGCAACGACGACGGTACTCACTCGCAAAGTCATAGAAGTTCTCGCAGGGATCCTGAGTCTCGTCAAGAGAAGACAGAACCGACGCGGCCAGGCTGATGCATGACGCAGAGACGCAAACCGGCTGGAGGCGAGTGAGTAGACGTCATTGCTGTATAAGCACATGAGCGTAAGTACCTCTTCGGGGGGTGCAGTGGGTGCAGGGGCGGGAATGATGACGGTGGTCGTAGAGACCGCGGTGGTTGTGACTTGCGTGGTGGTGGTGGCCGTGGCCGTAGCGGTGGAAGTGACCACTACAGTCTTCGAGCCTCCGCCCGTGCCGGTGTTCAACTTATGCTGGGCGCCGGCAAACAGGCCAATGAAGACGGAACTGAGTAGCAGGAATATGAGAGCGGCAATCAAGAGGAGTTGGGTGAGTGGGGAGAGAGGTTCTTGAACAATGGCGGCGATGCGCTCCAGGTAGCTAGGCTCTTCGTCCGGCGCTGCTGGGTCGTCGTCGGGGTGGGAGACATTCTGGAGCATCGGTGCGCTCTCTGGTTCGGGGTATTGCACGTCGGGTGTGAGCAGAGCCATGGCACAAATGCGTAGTGAGCTCACCTTCGTCCGTGGACGGCCTGGGGGCTCGCGTGTCCGCCATGCCGGCGAGGTGAGGGACGGAGGAGAGCAACGCGTGTGGCCGGCGCCTCCGCGCCAGTCGCCTCCCCGGAACAGGCACGTGGCCGTCACCGCGATTGGCCTGCCAGTGGCGGTGTCCCCCGGCAACCTTCCATCACAAGCGAGCACCACAATTGAACACGAGGTCGTCGCCGGCTTGTTGAGCATGCACAGTGAATTGGTAGTAGCTAAGCGACACTAGTGCTCTGTGTAGTTTTTACTTGTCTAGCCAGTGCCTACTTGCGCTAGGCAGATATCTCTCACTCGAACAAAGCCGCCAACAGGAGGAAAGGGGCGAATCCCCCACTGTCGATAGTATCAACATAGTGCGCAAGTGAATCGTGGCATCCGCTCCTAACTCACCCTTCGGAAGAATGTCGCGAGAAGTAGTCAAAGTCGATGTTTACTATACATACGGGTTAGTGGAGTTTTGGGACGAGATAGGTACCGACGTACCAGCAGTTGCCAGCACCAACTTTAGGCAGGGAAAATAATCAGTGTGCAAAGATAATTAATGGATGAATTACTACGTACTGCTCGTTCTTCCATGTTCAGGTTGCGGAGAGAATACGGCTCAGTCTCATCAATACCACCGTCCTGGAGGTATCGAGTTCCAGAGAAGCTAACAAGGTATGAACCTGCATATACTATGAGAAAGGAAGGTGAATATTGAATCCGAGGCACTGGCCTGTATCAGTGAAGAGCTGAAACAGCTGGATGAGTGTCTGCTCAAACGAATTTGAACAGAATGGGCTCACTTCGCGACCAAACCCACGGAACTTGCGATCCACGCGAGCAAAGGGGATCCCAGTCGCATCTTGAAGGCCAAAATCCCAAGCCCAGAAGCCACCATCTATATGGGCCAACTGGGTAAAGGTATTCTCATCAGGCTCTGGTTCCGGCTGAGGCTCGTCAGCGAGGGTGAGGATGCGGCGTGGGTCCTGACGAAGAAACAAATCATATCGCCGACGCCAGAGATGCCAGCGTTGTTGAACCTCCGCGAACGTATCGAGCACGGGTCTGCCGTCGGCAGTATACTCCGAGAAGTTCTTGAGTCGCTGGACGTACATCCGAGAATTGATGAATGCGAAAGGCCTTCGCAACTGTGTAGAGTCAGGTCAGTAGATATAAACTGACGTCAGACCTTTTTTCCTACCCAGAGGACTGGAGAACCTGCTGCATCCATTACGACAGCCCGGAAAGGTCGATGGGTTCGGAAGACTTGACGCGAAATCGTTGAAAGCACTCCACCACCCTGCTCAGCAATATATCCCAGCGTTTCCCCTTGCTCGTTGGCTGCGTAGCGTATTAGAGTGATCGCAAGTAGAGCGAGATACGGACGCACATATAACGTATTTGTTAGCTTGCTCAAACCCGATGAACAGGTTCAGCATTTCTATTTGTCTGAGATTGCCTCGTCACTCCAGCGCATATCCAAATGTTTGGAAGGACGTACCGTGTTACAAGAAGCCTATCACTGGTCATGAGCAACCGCTCCAACCCCTGCTGTGGGTCACTTGTCGGGGCACGCATCGACGATTCCCAGATGTCTGACTCGTTGATGGGCTGTTGTTCTTGAGCCTGAGGTTCGTCAGGTTTCGGCTCGACGCGTCGCTGTGATTCGACTTTACGTCGCTCGCGACCCCATCCGGGTCTTTCCTTGTCAAACCGAGAGAGCGCATAACCACGAGTTATGATACTTCGGGAGACGGCGGAGTTTGCGGCAGGCGTGCGTAGTGCGTTCCTCAGAGGTGCTACACCGCGGAGTACAGCTCTTGACGAAAGCATAGTGTTGTTCAGTCGAGCACAGACGGCTGATGGGCTCGCCAGCAGTCCAAATTCCAAGAGATTGAAGAGAGGACGCCAGTCGGGATGAAGAAAGTGGTAAAGTATGGAGGCGCGACCGGAGGCGGCAAAGACGCGTCGCGGTGCCAGCGGGCGGCCCCGGTGTTCTGCGAGCCTCGGCGGGGCATCCAGCGTTCTGGGCGTCGCGCACTTCTCTCCGACTGCCGTCACTCCGTATGCTCTCCCTCGCGTCCCGGAGGGCAGCGCGTATCCTTCTCGTCCATGGCCGGCCCACCAGGAGTGTTCCGCGCAGTATCCCTCGCGCCTCTCTCGCCCCCACCGGCTCCCGCACCTTCCTGAGCTTATTCAAGAAGAAGCCCAGGGCCGCCAACGAGCCAAGCACGGAAAGGGCTCCGCTGCTCTCGCAAGACAATCTCTTCCACGAGTTTTCCAAGTCACCTATCCCAGACATCCGCGCGCGGGCTTCTGCCATCCGCCAGCTCGCGCCGTGTCCGGTCTGTGTGGACGAGGATCACGGCGTGCACACCCATGAAGACGCGAAGAACGAGCCGAAAGCGGTCGCGTTTGACTGTCCAGATTGCGGCTGGCCGACACATTGCTCGGAGGACCACTGGAAAGCGGACAAGGAACACGCGAAGTACTGTGGGAGGCTCAGGGAAGTGAATGAGGATGAGCACGACTTGTGGAGTGGCCGGAAGATGACGGAGTTCGACATGCCTGGTACGCAAAGAATGTCCTACAGGTACCGCCTGAACTCATGGATATGGAAATACAGGTCCGCACGACTTCGACGCCGCGCTCTCGTTCTCAAATTGGGACGTCTTCTGGTATACCAGAGAATTCCCGTCACTCAACACGGACAGGTCACGGAGACACACTAGCAAGATCCTGACCTACCCCATCACCATCGGCTCCGTGTTGCACCAATACAGCTATCTCACCACGAGCAATCAGCGACTTACCCGGGAAGGGAGTCGGTCACTAGCTGGTACGCCTCCTGTTACCACAAACGATATGTTCGGCTCATGCTTCTATGTAGCCCTCCGCACCAACCTTCACGTCCCTCTGGGGACTCCTGAGACGCCAAAGGCCGCAGAAACCAAACCTCAAATGAGGATATTCATTCTTGGAGCACGCGCAGAGTCATCGTTACCTCCTCATGTCTGGGAGCAGCTCACGATGCTCTTCCCGTCCGCCATGTTTCACATCTACTTCATCGGCCCCCAGGTTTCACTACCAAGGCCAGCAAGTGAAGTCTACAAGCCTTCTAGTAAACCAACAACATCCAGCGAGCAACCTGCTCCAGCAGCCAAAGAGTACTCCTCAGAAACCACTCAAGCCTCTTCGGAGAACACCGGCGGACTGACTGACCCGGAGCCCTCGTATCTGCCCAATGTCTACGAGCCCCCTACCCCTGCTCCCATCCCGTACCTCAAGCGGACTCGAGACTCGATTCAGCGTTACGGCGTCCCTTCGTACACGGTCCCATACACTGCGGCTCTCACCATCACAGGCATGCGCGCGAACTATTCAGAAGTGCACCCGCAGTTCGCGGAAACCTTCGACCCTTACACGGACTGCTTCTTCATGTTCTCCCCCGGCTTGGGCTTCCCTTCCCAGACGTCGATGGACCCGGAGACAGGCAAGCCCTACCTGCAAGTCGCGTCGCCAACCGAGTGGGGTCCTGTCATGCCTCAACTACTGGCCACCAAGTGCCCGATCTTCATCACCGGTTTCTCGCCTGTGGATGTGGAGCGGGACGTCCAGTCCTCTCGACCGCCCCGGGAGTAGCAGGGGAATTCGACTGGATTGTTACTCCCGGACCTAACGCGTTCCAGAGCGAAAAGTGGGAGGTCGCGGACTTCGACCCACGGGTGATGGTGAGGACCAACTGGGGAGTGTGGGGTATTCGCGGAAAGAGGCGGGACGTACAAGAGCATCGCGGCTGGCTTGGGCTCTCCCTTGGCGCGCCGGAGTAGACTTAAAGTACTTACACTCGTATAATGCATGCTATTCACCCCTTGCTCTCATAAAGTTCCCCGCAAATGTGCAGCTCACTCACGCCACAAGCGCGTCTGACGCGTGTCACGTGCATAAACGACGCGGTGTTGACCGTGTGTCCAGTCGCGTCTCCCGCGCTATCCGACTCCCTGCCTGGCCTCTTCCCTCTCGCTTGCTACGCACGCCGTTCTACATACACTGACCAGTCGATGGTGTATCTTCCACCCCCACATCTATCCTCCGCGTCCCAGCCCTCCTATGCCGAGGCATACGCCAAGATCCTCGCCGCCCACCGCCGGTCTCCAAAAACCGCCGCTTCCTCGGTCGTCATACTCGTAGCGCCGGACGTCGACGCGCTATGCGCCTCGAAGATGCTCTCGGACATACTCAAGCAGGACGACGTCATGTACCGGATCATCCCCGTGGCGGGACACGCAGAGCTGGAGCGCATACGAGACGAGCTAGCTACATATGCGGACGTGAGTAGGCTGCAGTATACCCGTGCTCGTTTGCTGAGAACAATTCGTATCTGTGTAGCTACACACCCTCCTCATGTTCAACATGGGCGCCATCCTGGACCTCCCATCGCCAGAATGGTTCGGAGATTTCCCGCCAACGCTGACGGTGCACGTAATCGATTCGTCAAGACCGCAGAACTTGTCGAGCGTGTTCGGTGCCGGAGAGAACGGCGATCGCATTGTCATCTGGGACGACGGTGGGGTGGAGTCGTTGCAGGAAGAGCGGAAGGCTTGGGAAGTCCTGACAGTGAGTGGACACGTTCCTCCGGTGGGCCGTGGCTGAGATGTCGGTATCAAGTATGCGCCCGAGGTCGACTCGGATGAGGATTCGGACTTCGACTCGGACGAAGATGGAACGGACGAGGAAGACGAGGACGATGACGAAGATGGTGCTTCGTCTGCGTCGTCTCCGAGGAAAAGGAGATCGTCAAACGACGGTGGGCGACGAGGGAAGCGACGGAAACTGGACGTGAGTCTTGTTCGCGCTTCATATCGTACAGCTTCGCTCATTCGCGTTCGTTAGCAACCGAACCGCATTTCTCGAGAGGAGCGCGAACAGCACGAGCACAGACTCATCAAGTACTATCGTTCTGGTACTTGGTATGGTCAGAGCGCATCTGGGACGATGTACATCCTAGCTACCGTGCTTGAACGCGTCGATAATGACCTTCTATGGTGCGCCCTACTGTCTCTTGCTATTCCCTGACACTCACGGTGTATCGTTCAGGCTTGCCATCCTCGGACTCACATACCAATATGTGACCTCGCGCGTGTCAAGGGACGAGTACGACAAATACCAGCAGATCTACAACGACGAAGTCGCACGATTAAATCCTGCACCACCCCCGACGCTGGGCGATGAGCTCAAGGCTCAGAGCCCGGACGACAACGCAGTTTACTCCACTGAAGAGTTCCGCTTCATAATGTTCAGGCATTGGAACCTGTATGACGCCATGTACCACTCCAGCTACGTTGCGAGCAAGCTCGGTATTTGGAAAGAAAGAGGCCGTAAGCGTCTGACCGGACTGCTCGCGAAGATGGGGTGCGTCCATCCAAACGTTTCTCTCGTTGGGTTCCCACCTCATTGTTGCGTGGCTGCAGTTTCTCAATACCCGAAACACAACAACCATACCCTCACATGGCAAAGGACCTCAAAGCCTCCCTTCGCGAGAAGCTAGATCAACTCGCGCCCGAGTACAGCCTGGTCGAACTCTCATATCCCTCCTTCACGCGCTGCTACGGTTACCGCGGACAACCACTGTCGGCGGGCGATGCCGTCGAGGCGCTCTCTGCACTGCTCGACATCGCCGGGGGCACGCGCATCGAAATCGAAGAGGAAGGCGCACGTAACGGCGGCGACTGGTTTGGGGGCGGCAGGGTATGGGACGCCGGGAAGGAGGGCCGCCATCGAGATGACGACAGGGAGAACGTGCCCCCCGGGGCGCTTGCCAATATGGTGAAGACCCAGGTGCAGGGCATGAATAAGGGCGAGGGCGAGGGCGAAGATGTGGAGTGGTGGGTGAAGAACTTTTGGTCCTCGTTTGATGCCCTGAACGAGTACGTCTGCCCTCTCTCGTTCCACTACCTCCCACTGAGACTTCCCACAGCATCGAGCGACAGAAGGACGCGATCAGGCTCTCCATGGCATTGCATCGAGCGATTATCCGGCAAGGTTCCTCCATCATCGACCGACAAGAGATCAAGACCATGCGCGGTCATCGCGTTGTCCTCATCACCCAAGGTCCCGACCTGCAGCTCTTCGTTCACCCAGGGGTGCTCAACCGCCTGGCGTTGTGGCTCGTCGAAGCGCTTCGCGACCGTGTCGACCCCACCACCCCAGCGTACTCCCGCAGCAAACGCAAGAGCTTGCCGGTGGTCGTCGCATGTTTGAACGAGAGGACAAACACGTTCATCGTCGTCGGTGTGACTGGGGCGGCCGACTTCGACGATGTCCGGAAGAAGTGAGTGATGTCACCAGACGTGCCGAGTATGTATGGAGGCTGACCGCTGGTCCAGCGAGTTCGGTCTTGCGTTCCTCGACGCAAAAGAGCGGTGTAATGCGCGCACGCGGCACGGCACGTTCGACACGAGCGTGCTCGAGATCAACAGAGATGATCTCAAGGTCTTCCTCGAGACGCTGTGCGAGAGTAGGGAACGCTTCTAAGTCCTGCCTGTGCTCCCTCTCGTCCTATACTCTTGTCCCTCTCGCACCGCCCGTTGTATCTCTAGATGTATCTCGCTCAGCCCTTGGATGCCACATTGGTTATATATCAGCAAGCCTACAAACAGCATCCAGCTGCACCTTCAAGCGTCTTCTCTTTACGTCCTCTCGATGCCTCACAGCACACCCTTCGTGCTCGGAACGTCGTCACCCCCTGTGCGTTCGATCGCTTGACGGATTGCGAGCGCGAGGGCCTTGAACGCCGACTCGGCCCTACGATCATCAAAGTCAGCACGCTCGAACGCGCGGTCTGCCAGACGCACTTGTGGTGGTCGTTCTCCCCGCGGAGGACGTCGACGTGGAGGGTGACGCCGGACGCGATCGCGAAGGAGTAGAAGATGTGCGGGAACATCTCCGTCGAGAGGTCGCCGACCTTCTCGCGCTTCAGCTTCAGGTCCGTGACGCAGTACGGGCGCGAGCAGATGTCGATGACGGCGCGCGAGAGGGCCTGGATTCGGATTCGAACGAGGTGAGGACGTCGGACTTTGAGGCCGAACGAGGGGGCGCACCTCGTCGAGGGGCGCGAAGCCGGTGCCGTAGCGGCGGATGCCGCGCACTTCGCCGAGGGCCTGCTTGAACGCGGTCCCGAGGGCGATGGCGCTGTCCTGTGCGGGTCGAACGGACTTCAGTCTGGGGGAGCGAGACACGAAAGGCGGGTAGAGAGGCTTATCTGCCGAGTGGTGGTCGTCTATGTGCAAGTCGCCCTTGCAGGTGAGCTGCAGCGACATGCCGGAGTGTTTCGCGAGCGCGTGGAACATCTATCGCGAGCCTGCACTTCAGCGCGATGTGTGGCCCAGAGCGCGCGGGGCGTACGTGGTCCAGGAAGCCGATCCCGGTCGAGACGGAGATCTCCTGCTTGTTGCCCGTCCCAGGCTGGCAGTCGAGGTTGATCGCGCAGCGGATCTGCGTCTCGTTCGTGTTGCGCTCGACGACCGCTGTGCGTGCTTGCATCTTGGGCTTGTCGGAGTTGTCTGCTTGCACAAGGTTGGGCGGATGAGCAGGCGTCGTGGGTGGATGAGTCAGATCTCGCTGTGCCGCATTTGGTAGGCGCGATACACGCCGCTTCAGTTCGTCCGTGAAATTGCCCTATGGTGGCCTCGAAGTAGAAACATCTCCTACAAAAGGCCCTCGCCCTTCCGCCTGCACGTCCATGACCTTCCAATACCCACACCCCTTGCCCTCGTTCTGCGCTCCTGCGTAACACGTCCACCAATATTTCGCAACTAAACTCCGGCTGGCATCCTGTGAAGACTCGGGCGCCTCTTCGTACCGATTCTTCATGTCTGGCCTCAGTATACATGGGACGTTGCACTTGCATTTGGGTATTGTTTGAGAGCGGAAGTCTGGGCGGTAGAAGCGGAATGTGATGTTAATCCGAGCGTTTGAGGAGTCGCTCAACCTACCATCCGCGTCTTCTTCGACAAGGTCAGGAGGGGGTGGGAACGGGGGGTGGAATATGTCAATCGTGTTTTGCACGGGCACACAATGCTTGTACATCTCTTGGCAAGAGGCGTGCATTATGACCAGCTACGGACTGGGGTTACATAAGAGTGGTACGGACTGACAAGCGCATGTACGCACCGAGTTGTGTTTTAGGGGGATGTTATACGTACGGGCCGCTCGTTTATCTTTCTCGTCTGTCGGGATCACTTCGCGTAGTCGAAATATACGACCCACTCCTATAGGTATTATCAGCAGTCTGCTCCATGGAATCACGTAGGATGGCCGGGCTCACCAAGGCTCAGACTAGCGATTGTAGGGTACGGCCCCAAATTCGTCAATTGATCTGAATGAAAGCCAACGCTCTCCTTCGCTCCAGCATAGCAATTTGAGGCTGCGACGTTAGCACGCCAGATCTCAGGCTCTTCGTCTTCTTCACACGGATACCCGCCCCATTCCAGGGGGTATCGTTTCCTCTCGCGCATCTCCTCGTTAACCACGCGTTCGACAATCTGGCATGCCTCTTCCATGGCAGGCGGAAATTGAGGAGGTGGGTCGGTTTTGCGGCCATTATACCTATACAAGGCATGTGAGCATCGAGCAAACCCATCTGCAACCAGAAACTTCCTACCAATACTGTGCGGCCTCTTTCATATCTTCGCTTGGTTCAGTCCGGACAAAGAATGCAGTGCGATGAGGGCTCGCAACTACGCGATCGAACAGCCACCACTTATTCTGCTTCCAGTCACGACTGCGGTGGAGCATCTCGTAGAACAGCCTGCACGCAGTGTAGCTCAGTACCGCTGAGTAGAAGCTCGTCCCCTCCGCGCATACCTGCAGGCTACGTCAGGGGGTAGGATGGAATTGTGCAAGGTACAAGGGACATGTTCAGCGACCATCTGAGGCGAGGTAAGAGTGAGTGGCGGCTGCCGATTCAGCTGTTGCTTTGCTGGGCCACTTGCGGAGTTGGGAGGTCGGAAGAAGGCCATAAACTCGGCATTGCTGACGGTCTTGGCCTCGGAGGTCGGCTTGCTTGGGGACGTCCTCGCAGATACTGAGCCGCTGGACGATGCTGAAGGTGTATCCTCGACAACTCTGTGCTGTTTTACTGGGGACGGGGTCCGCCCGCCGTCTTTGTGGCTGTCGGCTTTGAGCCAACCCTGTAGCCCAGTCGTGGGGGTGACTTTCCGTTTCTTTCTGGGCGGCTCGGAGCGCAGAGCTCGCGCGGCAGCGTCCACGTCGCCTTCCGCCTTGACGAGCGCGTCGAGAAGTGTCGACTGAGCAAGGTCGAGTGGGTGAATGAGGCTGGACAGAATGGCCAAAAGCGTGTCGGTATCCATGGGGGAGACTAGATAAGTACTGGCGAGCTGTCAACGAGCACGCCTGCGTATATGTGTGGATTTGGGTCCTCGGCCGACGCCCTCGGGGATGGTAGGCAACGCTGCTCAATGGAGGAAGGAGTGAGTCAAGATCTAGACGCGTCTCGCGAGGCCCCGACGCGTTGTTGTCACGCGAGCAGGTGATCCACGCGTCGTTCCCACGGATCGCTAGGCCCTCCCCCCTCGGGCGCCTCGAAGTTCAGGTCCAAACCAGCTTCCGTTCAGCCATGAGCCCTACCGGAAGCAAAGGCACATCCCTAGCAAGCAGGGAAGAGGTCTTGTGCCATGCACACGGTCATCGCGCGAAGAGATGTATGACTCGGCTGTTATGGGTTTGTCTGCGTTGTCACTCTGTCCAATGTTTATCGTCGGCTGATAAGCACCTCGACAGGTCCTCGTCCTCGCTGTCGCTCTCGGCTTCGAGACAGTACGCCTATGCTTGGACTACCTGGGTCCTGTAAAGGTGTCTAGATCCGCCAAGGCTATCAAACTTCCAGACTTCTCCCACCTCGCCACCCACTGCGCTGATGTCTCGCCCATCGCCGCGGACTCGTTCGTGGAGCGGCAGGACGCCCTCGCCCGCACCCTCCACGCGCTGGGCGCCGCAGCGTACGTCGCCGAACCAGGCGCCAACGCCGGCTTTTTCGCCAACCTCACCGGCTCCCTCTGGCACCTCTCCGAGCGCCCTTTGCTGCTCGTGATCCAGCCCCAGACGGACGGCCTCGGATCCATCCACGCCAACGTCTCCATCCTGACTCCGACGTTCGAGAAGACCAGGGCGATGTTGCTCCCTCTGCCCAGCGCGTCGTCGGTCACCTACACCGCCTGGCCCGAGGACAGTGACCCGTACGCGCAGGCGCTCGCCCTCATCCCGAACCTGGAGGAAGCGATCATTTATGTCGACGGAGGGATCAGGATGTTCATTGCGGACAGTCTACAGAAGGCGGCGCCCCAGGCTCACGTTACGATCGCGCCGGCTGAACTGAGGCAGTTGAGGGAGCGCAAGAGCGCCGAGGAGCTGGAAATCATGAAATACGTGAACGAGGTCAGTGGTCCTTTGTTCGAGAAAACGGCCGTGCTCATCACTGCCGTGCGCTTGGGCAACTTAGGTCACAGTCCTCGCTATCAGGGCCGCCCGGGATCACATGTACATCGGCATGCGCGAATCCGAGGCAATGTCCCTCGTTGTCAGTGCGTTGAGCACTGCGGGACTCAAGGATACGTCCGCCCTGACTCTTTTCGGAGGTCAGTCAATGCATCATCTTGCTTGGGTAAGTTTGATGAAGCTGTATGATCTCCCGACAGAGAACGCCGCGTTGCCTCATGGATCCGGAACTGATCGCGTACTGGGCAAGACCGACTTCATCCTCATCGACACTGGCGGTGTGCTGCACGGATACGAAAGCGACGTCACCAGAGTGAGCCTAACCCACGCGTTATCTATCCATGGACATTGCTGGAATTCACATGCGTTGTCAGACCTTCGCCTTACCGCAGTCCGAAATCTCTGCAGAGAAGCTGAAGCTCTGGAACATCGTGCACATGGCGCAAGCTCGAGCTCTAGAAACGGCCAAGAATGGTACCGTTACTGCTGAGGTGGACCGCGAAGCTCGGAAAGTCATTTCCGACGCGGGTTACGGCAAGTACTTTACGCATAGGCTTGGTCACGGTGTGTACACCATATCGTCAACTGGGGCAGAAACTCACATCTTGGTCGGTTCACACAGGTATTGGCATGGAAGTCCACGAATCACCCTACCTTCGCGGAGGCACCGAAGATGTCATCCTCACAGGCAATTCATTCTCCGACGAGCCTGGGATTTACATCGAGGGAGAGGTGAGAACATCGCCTTTCTAGGGAACCACCATTTTGAATTGCTGCTGTTTCTCAGGTCGGAGTCCGACTCGAAGACTGCTTCTACATCGACGACGACGGAGTCGCACAATACCTGACTCAAGGCGTCGGAGGGGCTGCGTCTGGGCCATGGACTCCATGATCGTATCCACATCTCTTGGACTTCGATAGACGGACTTGCACGCATAGTCTGTAGAATGCCATGGATTGCACCATGTCGTAATGATACAGCTGCGTGATGCTACAACAATGCTACATTGCCCGTTCTCGTGGCGCCGGCTGTCACGCGGATACAATACATGGCCGTCTCTCTCCTTGAACGGGGCTCACTCAAGCCAGAGGCCTGCAGCGCATCGGTGAGTTGTACTAACACATTCGGACATGTCGTGGGACTGCTCCTCGATGGCCTCCGGCTCGATCAAAGCTTCGCGTGGGAACAGGCTGATGTCGAGTCCCCTGAAAACAGCTGAAGTAAAACTGAAAGCGTTAGACGACTCATCTTTGCCGGTAATCTAACTCGCTCGCCTGGTGTCTATCAAAGGTGTGTTCCCCGGCAACTGCGTACCCGACCTCGCCTTGGTACTTCCGCACGGGGTTACCGTGGGTCCCCTTCTCCGGAGAATATTGAGAGAATCCCTCGGCCCCGTTGAAGTGGTTTGCAAGCACCTGGCCGTCTGTGTCCTTGGGGACCACAAAGATAAACGAGAAACGTGTCTCCTGCGTGAACGAAACACCGTGCTCGAGTAAATTCGAAAGGACTTGACCAACGCCGCCTTGTTTCAATGGGTGTTTCGTGGCGATGGTAGCCTGGAGGAATACGATGTGGGAGCGGTCCGCGCTCACGACAAAGGCGTCGACCGTAGAGAAGTCCTCGGGACAGACGAACATCAGGTCGTCGGCTTGGTCTCCAAGAATCGGCAAGTCGTCGAAGGAGTGGGTCATCACATCAGAAAGGACGAAGTCCCTCTCCTTTCCGTCGATCTGGCAGATGAGGTGGTCCGAAATGCACCAGGTGAGAGCCAAGGTCTTGAAAGCGTAGTCGGAGATAGCCGATAGAGGTTTGAGAGCTCGTAACATCTTTTCACGATGAGCGAGTCCGCTTTCGATGACAACTTTCATGACGCGCATGAAGAGGAAGTCGGTGGGGATGATGCATGTGGCCACGGCTTCCAAGGACAGTGAAGTCCGGGGTCCCGTAACGGTGGGCTGCATGAAGAAATGGTCGTCACATCCATCGACGTCGACGTCGAGGATGGGGAGAAGATCAGTATAGGAAAGTAAGGTCGCAGCAGGACCATAGGGTTGCATTTTGGCCACAGCTTCACCAATATCTATCTTGGACCCCCGGGAAGTCCGCCGGATAAGCGTAGCGCACGTCCGAGCGCACGGTCCGAGCAACAGCATGATCTCCACCGGGGAATAGAATTCCTCTCGGAATGGCCTAGGGCGAGATGGAGACGATTGACCACGTTATAAGTGCCGTCTACTCACCCAAGTCGAAAAATCTCATCCCTCTCCCATAGCTTCGCTGCCCAGAACTTTGCTTTCTGCCGATTCCGAAACTCCTTGTAAAGCTGTCGTTGAGGGGAGCAAGATAGGATAGTTGGGTTCCCGAGTAGTTCTTCGGAAAGTCCTCCAACGCCCTCGTAACCATCGACAAGAGCCAACACCCCGCGCGGCGGTTCCCGGTCGCCAGTCATTAGCGCAAATATACCTCGTGCAAAAAGACCACGAAAGGCGGCCTTATGGGAGAAAAAGACTGGGCGACGGCTGAAGAGACACTTTAGCAGCGTCACCCAAATAAAAAGGGTTGTTCCTGTGTGATGGACGCTGAGAACAGATGATCGACACGAACCGTACCTATCCCAGGATGTCCGATGACTATAAGGCTCTCCGAGGGATGCAAGCCCATATGGGCCCAAATATCTTTGTAATCCTGGCGGATCATAACCTTCTCCGTCGGTACGGGAAGGTTGACATCAGGACGGATGTACTCGATGCCGTCCTGGGCTTCGAAAGGGCTCTCGGGTCCATTCCAGAACCGGTCGATGGCCTCCTGTTGCCACTTTTTGAAGGTCGACAGCTTTTCGGCGGATACTACGAGACGGAGAGAAGAAGATCACAGCTGGGCAACGAATCTGTGCAACATGTGTGGCTCTACTGACCTTCAGGAATAGCAGTGGGCAGCGTGATAAAAATATTGACGCCCTCACCGAGGCCTGACACCAACAGGGGGTCGTCTCCACCGAGGCGTTTGCCCACTGAGTCATCGAGGAGACCAGGGCTTAAGCTTAAGACGAGATTGCTCATTTTTTCTGCGGCAATGTCGGTGTTGGGCCACGGATTCACCAACTGGGTAGATTTACACGTTCACGCAGACGCAATAGGTGAATAGAGGAGGCACTTGCCTTCCAGAGAACCACACCATCCTCGTGTACATTAAAGTATGACCCAGCGAGACGCTTCAATGAGACCACACGGTCCGTGGCGGTCGTGTAGAACCTTCCAAGACGCACAGGACCTCCCGCTTGTTGGTAGAATAGAAACAAGGGGTTCGTGGTCTACGATATCGAGATGGTCAACGACAGTCACGACTTGGCAAGAGAGTTGGCTCGCCATGATCTCCAGGTTGCAGAGTGTGGGGATAGCGTCGTACGTGGAGAGTCTGCCCCGGGGATAGGGGAGCAGTCGAAGTTGATGTCGCAGGCTGGTTGCCCACCGGAATTCGCGGGCCGAACGTCGCTTGCCCCGCGTCTGCCTCCTCCAGAGTCCCCATCGCTCAATGGAGGCCTTTTGGAACCATGCCCCTCTCCCAATTTTGCTATCCAGGTCTTTTACCCCGGGTGTACTTCTTCGTCGACACTTGCACGCCACTGAAACCGCCGGCTGGACTCCTACTGAGAGGCTGATGGTGTAGATTTCTGTGGCAGATGGAGGCTGAAGCACATTTGCTCTAGTGAGTAGAATCTCTAACTACATATTGCTCCTCGCCGTAAGCTTTGTTTCCTCCAATGGAAACATCGCCTTCCACCATGGCGGGTTTTGGTGTCGAGTCATGCCGTTCATCCTTTTCGCGCGGTCGCTTCCTCTTCACGTACAGAAGCAGCGCCATCCATAGTTGCATCTTAATCAATTTTGGCCCCCTCTTACCCCTCCCACAACAGACTCGCTTTGAGCCACGACACACACTCACTCATCGCGCATCCTCCACACAGGGGCGTCCCCCTGTCTAGTATATAATCCAGTAGCCGAGGGAACGGGAGTTGCTGCATCACTCGGCCCAGAATGCTCGCCGCGAGACTAAGAGATGAAGGAGATCCAACTTCCGACACTATTGCGCTATGGCTACTAGGTGTGCGGTCGCCAGAACTTCACCCTCTGCCAGCCCTTCCAAGAACCAGCGTCTGTAATGGTCCTCTGCGCCTGGTGCAATGATTTGTGCGCGCAGCCTTGAAATACTGTCGTTCATGTACTGTCCCGTGAAGCTCAGTTTCAACATCCCATAGGTTCGCGGTGACAACGCCGTCAGAGTGCCTATTGTCTCGGACTATGGAAGCTTTCTTTGCAGCGGCCGACAGGTGAACGGGGCGGAGAACTGTAACAGGCCGTCGGCAAATTACTACCGATGGAGAACTGAGCGGTGAGTCGTCTCAGCAGGCGCCCGCGGCTCACCCCCGACTACGACCGTCGACGAGAACGCGAGGCTTGGCCCCGACGACCATCGCATGCATCCGAGGCTCTGCCCGTGGTCTATGTCTTGCTTCGCGAGGAACAGGACCGGTGCCTTGCCTGTGTGTCTCTTGCATCTCTCTCCTGCTCACCGTCACGCCTTCACCTCGGAGGATCTGACATCTGTCGTGCATGCGCACCTGAGAGCGAGGTACCATCCGCTTCCCGTCTTCGCGCAGCTTCGCGCCCGCCCAGGCCTGCCCCAGTCTGCCCCAGTGTCTCAGACTATGTCAGACTAGCACGACTTCCAAGGCCCGGTCACTCGGCGGCGCTCTTCGCCTGGATGATCGTTGCTCGCAGCGCAACGCGTAAGAGCTGTTAGACGACATTGAGAACCGGAGCACGCGTGTTCTGTCGCTCCGTCGCAAACCTTGCATCCTCCCGCGAACCTGGGCTCCGTCCGCCTCCGTTATAAGCCCTCGGCCACGCAGGCCCGCGCTCCAGGAGTCCTCCGTACCTCCCCCACGCTCTCTACTCACCTTCCTTGCTGCAGGCCCTGCCCCTTTCAGACGCCTCGACATGCGTCCTTCCACCTTCCTTTCCTTCCTTTCCACAGCCGCCGTCGGGGCCCACGCGCTCGTCGCGCCCAAGGCGCAGCACGACGCCCCGTTCTGGATGGAGTCCATCAAGCACCGGGGCATCGCGCCATACAGTTCGGACCCCGCCTCGTACCAGGTCTTCCGGAACGTCAAGGACTTTGGCGCCGTTGGCGACGGCGTCGCCGACGACACGGCCGCCATCAAGTGCGTGCTCGTGCACGGGCTTGTCCCCGTTCGTCTCACTGCCCGCGCGCACCGGTACTGATACAGCTCGTCTTCCCCCTTAGCGCGGCGATTTCAACCGGCGACAGGTGTGGTGGAGGCAACGTGACTTGTCAGTCCACCACCACGACCCCTGCGGTCATCTACTTCCCAAAGGGGTGACTTTCGCTCCGCGTTCGATCGTTGAGCAATCGCTGACTTCCCGTGCGCCTAGAACGTATCGCGTCACCTCCTCTATCCAGTGAGACTCATTCCGTGAAGCTTCCACGTGTACCACAGTGGCTGAACGCGCTTGCTTTTCAGAGCATACTACCTGTCCCAGCTCATCGGAGATGCCCGTCATCCGCCCACGATCCTCGCCGACCCCAACTTTGGGCCCGACGGTACTGCCGTTATCGGTGCGTTGAACTTGTGAACGAGGTGGTACAGTCGCTAACCTCCTCGCTGCTCTAGATGCGGACCCGTCCAACAAGAACGGGAACTGGTACATCAACCAGAACAACTTCTTCCGCAGCGTGCGGAATCTCGTCATTGACACCACCCAGCAGCCTGCAAACGTGACCGCGATAGGCCTCCATTGGCAGGTCTCGCAGGCAACGTCCCTTATGAATGTTGTCGTGAACATGAACTCGGACAACGGTACTCAGCATCAGGGTCTCTTTATGGAGAACGGCAGCGGTGGCTTCATGGGAGGTAGGCACCCGGCAAATCAAGCGTGATACCAGCTAAACATGGTGTGGATAGATATCGTCTTCAACGGAGGCGACATGGGCATGTGGAACGGTAACCAGCAGTAGGTTCCACCAACCACTCAGAACCCACGTTAGCACGTACTGACCAGATATGTGTAGATTCACCGTCAGGAACGTCACCGTCAACAATGCCGTTCGCGCAATCTACTCCCCTTGGAACTGGGGCTGGACATACCAGGGCGTCACCAGTACGCTTACTCCTTCATGCTCTCCATTATGATCTGATGCCCCTCACAGTCAACAACTGCTCCGTCGGCTTCGACGTCGGGACCGGCTCCGTCGGCTCCCTCGCTATCATCGACGCCGTGGTCAACGACACGCCCATCATGGTCCGCGGCTCCGCCAACTCGACCGGGCACGAGAACGCGGCGCTCATCCTGAACAACTCCGCCTCACCAACGTGCCCGTCGCAGTCGGCGTCTCAACACCACCGCCCCCGTCCTCGCCGGCACCGACGGCGCGGGCACGATGGTCATCGACAGCTGGGCGCAGGGCGTGGTCTACACCGGCCTCGCGGGCGACAGCGCGTTCACCGAGGGCGCGCTCCGCGCGCAGAAGCCCGCGGCGGTGCTCGACGGCGCGGGCCGCGTCTTCGGGCGCACGCACCCGCAGTACGCGGACCACGCGCCGAGCCAGTTCGTGAGCGTGCGGAGCCTCGGCGCGAAGGGCGACGGGGTCGCGGACGACACGGCGGCGCTCCGGCTCGCGATCGCGCTGTACGCCGGGCGGAAGATCATCTTCGTCGACGCGGGCGTGTACTACGTGTCGGACACGATCTACATCCCCGGGAACACGCAGCTCGTCGGCGAGGGCTGGAGCGTGATCATGGGCGGGGGCGCGAAGTTCCAGGACATGAACGACCCGCAACCTATCATCCAGGTTGGTAAGGAGTTCGAGCTGGGCGACGTTGAGATCACGGATATCGTGTTTTCGACGCGTGGAGCAGGTATGTCGCAACGGTCGAATAGTTTCTTGCTGAACGTTACTGATCAAGGGTTTCGCTTTGCAGCCCCCGGGGCTATCGTCATGGAGTGGAATATCCATCCACTCACTCAAGGTGGCGCCGGCATGTGGGATACCCACTTCCGGCTCGGAGGCAGTGAGTCTTGATGTTATGGGATTTGAGCTGTGATCCCAACAGCTGCACAGGTGCCGGTACCACCAGACACTCGCGGAGTGCCCTCGTAGCACCATCTCGCCTCAGTGCCTCACTGACTTCCTTGCCCTCCACATTACGATCCAAGCTTCTGCGTACATCGAGGTTGGTTCAGCTCATAGAACACGTCGCTGCTTTTGAATCTAACATCTCCGCAGAGTGCATGGATCTGGCTCGCGGACCATGACATCGATGATCCCAATTTGTCCCAACTCAACGTCTTCAGCGGCCGCGGGGTCCTCTCTGAGTCTCTGGCCCCGTCTGGTTGATTGGCGTCGGATGTACGCCTTTTTTGGCTTGACCTCGTGGCCCTTGTGACTGACTTGCTGCTAGCGGAGCACCACGTAATGTACCAGCTCAACCTCCAAAACGCGCAGAACCACTACATTGGCTTGTTCCAGACTGAGACGGTGCGTAAAGCCATCAGTGTGGCGCGTGCGATGCCGAGACCGAAACTCCCTCTTCAGCCATACTACCACCAGTCCCGCCCCGCCCGTCCGTTGTGTACAACAAGACTTCAAGGACCCGGTCTACACGGCCAACCAGACGTCCTCATGGTCCGTCAACGTCGAGTCCTCCAAGGACATCTTCGTCTTCGGTGCGTCCCATTCACGTATTCTCTACCTCGTGTTCTGAGTCCGCGAAACAGGCGCGGGTCTCTACAGCTTCTTCGTGAACTACACAAGCTCGTGCCCCGGCGCCGGCACGTGCCAGTCGCAGATCTTCAACATCGCCTCCGACTCGGTCGATGAGGTCGCATCTTCGGGCTTTCTACAGTCGGTGCGCAGATGATGCTGTCCGTCGATGCCAACGGCGTCGTGCCCTCGGGGCCCAACTACAACGGCTTCGAGTCCACCATCACTTCGTGGAGCAGCTCGTGAAGGTGCTCAACTCACATTCTACCAAAAACCTCGATCCCTTGGGCCCGTTATACAGGTTCTCCGCAGTCTCTGCTATCACATTCCTTTCGTATTTGTAGCTTGAAACCCTGTAGTTGTAAGGATCAGGTAATACATCAGCTAATCAGAACATCTCTGCGCAAGGATGCCCGCCCCGGAACGTTGTTGAGATAGCGTGAAGTGGCTGCTAGACTCGGAGGTGGAGGATGAAAGGCACGAAATTGGCGTGAAACCACGTAGCAGAAGAGACTGTCGCGTATTTGGACGCCCCAGAGTCGTATCTGGCGCGTCTTATAGCTGATTGTATATTGGTGGAGTCGGCCCGCGATGGGTCGCGCCACACGTGACTGACGCGTTCGTTGTGCGTCGGTGGCCAAACAACGCCAACGCGCGCGCGGGGCGATATGCACTGCGCGCCTATCGTTCCCCCGCCGCCTTCAGCGCTTCAAAGTTCAACAGTCTCACCTCTCTTCCTTCCGTCCATCATGTCCACCTTGAGCAGGACCTACAGCACGCGCTCAGCCAAAGCCGCCATCCCCTCCTCTCCCATCTCCGAGCTCATGTCCTCCCCGCCCGCCGCGCAAAAGCGCAAGCGGCCGTTCACCGACCTCCCCACGGAGCATAACACGCCCACCAAGAGACCGCGCCGCACGTCCTCCTCTTCGTCCCTCCCGTCCTCCTCCGCCCCCTCCTCGCTGAAGCCCAAGGCGAAGCCAAAGCTCCCCGCCGGCACGAAGGCTAAGTCCAAGTCCTCCGCCGCCAAGAAGGCCGCACCCGCGCCGAAGCAGGCGAAGCTCACACAGCTGCACTTCGCGCTCGACGTGCCGACGCTGCGCACCTGCCCGCTCTGCGACCTCTCTTACACGCGCGGCGCGCCCGACGACGAGGCGCTCCACCGCGCGCACTGCGCGCGCGTCCGCCGCGGGCTCGAGTGGGGGCGCGAGGAGCAGCGCGAGGCGGACGCGGCGCGCGTCGAGGAGCTCCTCGCCGGCGTGAAGCTCGCGAACGGCGCGCGCGGCCGCGTCGTGTGCTTCCGGCCGGACGTCGGCGGGAGGATCGGGGCGAAGGTGCGTCGACTTCGATCTCGTCTGCGTGCGCCTGCTGACTGATAGACGGCGGGTTTCGTTCAGCTTGCGGTCCTGCTGGAGACGATCCGGCTCGCGCTCACGTCCCCTGCGCTCTCGCCCGCGGTCCTCCGCCGATCCAAGATCTACCTCTTCCTGCTCACCGCGCCTGGGCCGAGCCCGGCGCGCGAGAAGATCGTGGGCTGCGTGGTCGCGCAGCGGATCGCGACGGCGATGGCCATCGCGCGCCCCTCCGAGGTCTCCGCCGCGCGGTCCAAGAACGCGTCTGCCTCCACCACGAGCACCCCCGCCTCGTCCCAGACTGTCGCGGACGCGCTGTCTTCACAAGGAACCGTCGCTGGCGGCGATCCGTCGGAAAGTGCGCCCTCCTCTCTGGCGCTCCTGCCTGTGGACGACTCGACGAACCTCTACGTTCATCCCACCCCGTTACCGACGCCGATGGGCATTCCTCGTCTGTTCGTCTCCTCCGAATACCGTCGACTGGGCATTGCCTCTCGGCTATTGTCTGTTGCGGCGTCCACCTTCATCTTGGGGTGCCCGCTCAACCCAGCACGCGGTGAGGTCGCGTTCACGCAGCCCACTGGTGCCGGGAAGGGCGTGCTCGAGGCGTGGGGCAAGGGAGGTGTTCGGATCTACGAGGAGGAAGGTGATGCCTGACCCGTGAGACTTGAAGCTTCGGTTATGGTCGATATATTCTGATCTTGAGCCCTGCTGTCACATCTTAGTAGTCTGTGCAACCCATGTAGCTTTGCTTGATCTCTCCGTCCTCGATATATAATACTGTAGATAGTCCTGTTCAGTTCGAGGATCTCATATAATCACTCAATGAATCTTGATACCGTTCTTGAAATCAGGACATTTGCACTGTCTTCAGCCGAGTTGATTCTGTTTTGCTGTCCCAGCACCCCGCGATGAAACAATCTATGTATACAATTGGTATGATGTATTCTGTACATGTTGGAGATATCGTGGTGCAGATTAGTACAATAAATTTCACACGCGCACTTCACCATCGTCCGAGCAGCAGCACGACCGGCCCGCAAGTACGTCATTTGTGTGGACACACAAGACCGCCAAGGTTCAAGGTATGCGTGAAAAACAATTTATGCGACGACCTCGACCGCCTGGGCGGGCCCGTCAGAGATCAAGTTGCTGACGGGAGGAATGAAGGTCTAGAAACGCGACGTGAGCCCCGTGTGGTCCCCATTCGTCATGAGCGATACTCACCCTCTTCTTGATGGCGCCGTCGAATGGCAAGCGCGTGGAGCCGTTCATGAGCCAGGCATCGACCTCGGCAGCACAGCGACGGCCCTCCTGGATGCCCCAGACATAAGTGACTGGCCGCGGCGGCAGTCACCGGCCGCGAAGACGCCCTCAACGTTCGTCGAGTATTTCTAGACACACCCCGCTCGTCAGACCACGCGTCGTACACAGGAAACAGAGGGATGCACGTACATTCTTGGGCGTCTGGATGTTGCTGCGCGCGTCCTGCTGGAGGCCGACAGACTTAAGGAGATCTGCCTCAGGACCAAGAAAGCCGAGCGCGAGGAAGACGAGCTGCGCAGGGAAGAACTTGGCCGACCCGGGCACCTCCTCCATCTTCCATCGACCGCTGCTGTCCTTCGTCCACTCGACGCGGACCGTGTTCAGACCGGAAAGCTTGCCCTGCTCGTCGACGACGAAGTCCTTAGTCGAGATGCAATACTCGCGCGGGTCGCTGCCGAAGTGCGCGGCGACCTCGGTGTGCCCGTAGTCGGTGCGGAAGATGCGCGGCCACTGCGGCCAGGGGTTGTCCGAGCCGCGCGCCACAGGCGGGCGTGGGAGGAGCTCGAAGTTCGTGACGGACTTCGCACCGTGGCGCATCGCCGTGCCGATGCAGTCGTTGCCAGTGTCGCCGCCGCCGATGACGATGACGTCCTTTCCTTTGGCGTTGATGTAGGACGAGTTTTGGAGCTCGGAATCGAGGAGGGACTTGGTGTTCAGCTGGAGGAACTCCATCGCAAAGTGGATTCCGTCGACCCCGCGGTTGGGGATCTTGAGGTCACGCGGCCAGGTCGCGCCCGTGGCGAAGATGACGGCGTCGTTCTGCTCGCGGAGTTCGTTCGCGTCGATGTCCTTTCCAACGCACGTGCTAGGAACGAACGTCTGTACGACGAATATGAGCGGTGAGCTATTGATCAGTCGGAAACCTGAGCTGCTTACCACTCCTTCCGCCGCCATGAGGTCGAGGCGGCGCTGGACGACACTCTTGTCGAGCTTCATGCTGCACAAGGGATCAGATAATGCGTCGATACCTATATGTAGAAGGACTTACTTGGGAATGCCGTACATGAGGAGGCCACCCATCCGGTCGTTGCGCTCGTACACGGTGACCCAGTGGCCAGCCTTGTTGAGCTGGTCAGCAGCCGCGAGACCAGAAGGACCGGAGCCAATGATGGCAATCTTCTTCCCGGTCCGGAACTGCGGAGGTTTGGGAGTCATCCAGCCCATCTCGAACCCTACGAAGAACATCTCAGCCTCTCACATACTAGCATGCTGAAGGAGCTCTCACCTTGTCAATGATCGCGCACTCGATGCTCTTGATACCCACAGGCTGCTCGTTGATACCGAGCACACACGCGCCCTCGCACGGCGCGGGCACACCCTGCCCGTGAACTCGGGGAAGTTGTTGGTCATGAGCAACCGGTTGAGCGCCTCCTCCCACTGGTTCTTGAACACCAGGTCGTTCCACTTCGGGATCACGTTCGAGATCGGGCAGCCCGAGTCCGACTGGCAGAACGGCACGCCGCAGTCCATGCACCGCGCGGACTGGTACTTGAGCTCGTCCTCCGACAACCGGCTCGAGATCTCCTTCCAGTCCTTGACCCGCTTGCGTGGCGGGCGGTACGCCTCCGTCAGCCGCTTGTACTTCATGAACCCGCGCGTCTTATCGAGCTTGCTGAGCCGCGACTTGGTCGTCTGTTCGTCCACGAGCGAATCCTCCACGTCACCCACAGCAGGCTCGTGGCGACCGCGGGAACGGACCCGCATCGCCTCGGCCGGGGTCTCCTTCTTGGTGAGAACGTCCTCGAGGCCGTCGGTCGCAAGGTTCACCTGACTGACGGTGCGCAAAGGAACAAGGTCGATGACGCTCTGGCGCAGCTTCTCCTCCTTGAGCCGCGCCGCCTCTTCCTCGAGCACACGCTTGTAGTCGATCGGCATGACGCGGACGAAAAGCGGAAGGAGGTGGTGGAAGTCCTTGAGGACGCGGTCCGCAACCTCAGATCCAGTGAAGTGCCGGTGGTCCTCGATAAGCCCGCGCAGCTCCGCGATCTCCTTCGGGTCCGTGACCTTCCCGAGCCCCACCATCTCCATGTTGACCTTCGACGCGAACGTGTGCGCGGTATCCAGGACGTACGCGATGCCTCCAGACATGCCCGCCGCGAAGTTGCGCCCAGTGCTGCCGAGGACGACGACGCGACCACCGGTCATGTACTCGCACCCGTGGTCGCCCGTGCCCTCGACGACCGCCTTCGCGCCTGAGTTCCGGACCGCGAACCGCTCTGCAGCGATGCCGCGGAAGAAGGCCTCGCCGGACGTCGCGCCGTACAAGCAGACGTTGCCGATGATGATGTTCTCCTCGGCCTTGAACGTCGACACCTTGGGCGGGTAGACAACGAGACGGCCTCCAGAGAGACCCTTGCCGACGTAGTCGTTCGCGTCGCCCTCGAGTTCAACGGTAATGCCTGGAGCAAGGAACGCGCCGAGCGACTGCCCAGCGGACCCACGCATGCGAATCCGGATCGTGTCACGCGGCAGGCCTTCCTCGCCATACAGCTTGGAGACCTTGTAGGAGAGTGAGGTGCCGAGGGCGCGGTCCGTGTTCGTGACATCGCACTCGATGTGCACGGGCAGACCCTGGGTGAGCGCGGGCTCGGACTCGTCGATGAACTTGTTGTCGAGGCGAACGTAAAGCTTGTGGTCCTGGGGACGCACGCGGTACGTCGCCGCACCGGGACGCATCTGCCAGGCCGGCTTGAGGATCGCGCTGAGGTCGAGGTGGGCGGTCTTGGGTGTGCGGAGCTTCTCGTCGACCTTGAGCATGTCCGCGCGGCCGACCATCTCGTTGATCGTGCGGAAGCCGAGCTGAGCCATGTGGCGACGGAGGTCCTCGGCGATGTAGTAGAAGAAGTTGATGACCTGCTCGGGCTGACCAGCGAACTTGGCGCGGAGCTGGGGATCCTGCGTGGCGATACCGACCGGGCACGTGTTCACTGAGGATACTGATCAGCACAAGTGCGTAAGGACAGCGCAAAGTGGAGGCTTACAGTGACACTTCCTCATCATGATGCAGCCCATAGCGATGAGCGGCGTGGTGGCAAAACCCCATTCCTCAGCACCGAGCAAACACGCGATGGCGAGGTCGCGGCCAGTCCTGATCTGACCGTCCGTCTGAACAGTGACGCGACCACGAAGGTCGTTGAGAACCAGTGTTTGATGCGTCTCCGCAAGACCGAGCTCCCACGGGAGACCAGCGTACTTGATGCCGGTCCAGCGCGAAGCACCCGTACCGCCATCGTGACCCGAGATGAGGATGTGGTCCGCCTTCGCCTTCGCCACGCCGCTCGCGACGATGCCGACGCCGACCTCAGACACGAGCTTGACCGAGATTCGCGCACGGGGATTCGAGCACTTGAGGTCGTAGATGAGCTGCTTGAGATCCTCGATGGAGTAGATGTCGTGGTGAGGAGGGGGCGAGATTAGACCGACACCTGCAGTGGAGTGACGCGTGCGCGCGATGGACGTCGAAACCTTGTGTCCAGGCAGTTCGCCTCCTTCCCCCGGTTTGGCCCCTTGTGCCATCTTGATCTGGAGCTCGTCAGCGTCTGCGAGGTAGTTGGAGGTGACGCCGAATCGCCCAGAGGCGACCTGCTTGATCGCGGAACGCATTGTGTCACCATTGGGGAGCATATGCGAGCGCTCTGCATCCTCACCACCCTCACCCGTGTTCGATTTGCCTCCGAGACGGTTCATCGCGACGGCGAGTGTCGAATGCGCCTCCATCGAGATTGAGCCATATGACATAGCGCCCGTGACGAACCGGCGGACGATCTCGTTCCACGGTTCGACCTGGTCGATCGGGATTGCTGTGGCTTGATCGTACTTGAAGTCGAGGAGGCCACGAAGGTGGACCGCGCGTGTCTGCTCGTTCGCGTTGGCCGCGTAGGCCTCGTACGCACCCTGATTCTTCTCCCGCACCGCATCCTGCAAGTGCGCAATACCAGCTGGGTCGTTGATGTGCGCTTCGCCGCCGGACCGCCAGTGGTACTCGCCGGACTCGGGCAGACCCGGTGGAACGACGGTGTCGCGCGAAGGCCAGCCCCGCTCGTGCATCTCGAACGCGTCCATGGCGAGGAGGTCGAACGTGGCACCCTGCACGCGGCTCGCAGTGCCGACGAAGCACTTCTCGATGACCTCCTCGTGCAGGCCGAGAGCCTCGAAGATCTGCGCTCCCTTGTACGACTGCAGGGTTGAGATACCCATCTTGGACATCACTTTGAGAATACCCCGTCGACCGAGTGGCGGTAGTTGTCCATCAGGTCCTCGAGCGTCTTATCGTTCTTGATCCTGAAGAGATCGACATGGGTCAGATTCGGGGTGGCGCAGGAGGAACATACAGAAACACTTACAGTCCCTCGCGGACCACCTTGTGGATGCACTCCATCGTGAGCCACGGGCAGATAGCATCCGCGCCGTATCCGAGGAGGAGACACAAGTGCTGTACCTCGCGCGCCTCGGCGGTTTCGACCATGAGGGCAACCTTGGCGCGCTTCTTCTGGGAGACGAGGTGATGGTGGACGCCACCACAGGCGACCGCCGCAGAGAGGGGGACGCGCGAAGGGCTGGTCTCGCGGTCGGAGAGGATGATGACCTTGACACCGTCGTCGATGGCCTGCACGGCCTCGCTGCAGACGCGCTCGAGCGCAAGCTTGTACCCAGGCAGGCCGAACTCTTTGGGAATGTGATGTCGATGGTGCGCGACGGCCAGGTGGCGTACGCCTCCTTGAGGTCTTCATCGCGTTCATCTCCTCGAGGGTAAGGATGGGGGAAGGAAGGCGGATGCGGTGACACTGCTGCGGGTTCATCTCGAGCATGTTGCCTTCGGGTCCGACGTAGCACTCGAGCGACATGACGATAGACTCGCGGATGGGATCGATGGGCGGGTTGGTGACCTGCGCGAAAAGTTGGCGGAAGTAATCGTAGATGAGGCGGGGCTGCGTCGACATGGCGGCCAGCGGGGCGTCGTTGCCCATGGAGCCGAGAGGCTCCTTGCCGTCGGCGAACATCGGAAGCATGAGGAGATGGAGCTGCTCGAGCGTGAAGCCGAACGCGAGGAGCTTCGGGTCGTTGCTGAGGGTGAATTCGTCGACGGAGGGCGCAACGGAGGTCGATCTCTGCACGCGCTTGACGATCGTGGGCACCTCGAGGATGTTCGACTCCACCCACGACGCGAAGTCCTGCTTGCGCGCGGTGGTACGCTTGAGTTCTTTGTCGTCCACGATTCGGCCGTCCTCCGTATCGACCAAGAGCATGCGCCCAGGCTTGAGGCGACCCTTCTGGATGACCGTCTCCGGGGCGATGTACACCGCACCGACCTCAGAGGCGCACACCATGATGTCCTCGTTGGTAACGACATACCGGCACGGACGAAGACCGTTGCGGTCAAGGTTGGCGCCACAGTACCGCCCATCACTGAACGCGAAGAGGGCGGGGCCGTCCCACGGCTCAGAGAGACAGGCCGCCCAGTTGTAGAACGCTTTCTTCTCAGGCTCCATGCTGTCGTTCCCCTGCCACGCCTCGGGGATGAGCATCATAACCGCCTCAGGCAGCGTCAACACACCGTTCACAACGAGCAACTCGAGCACGTTGTCGAAGGCGGCCGAATCAGACCCGCCAGCCTCAATGATGGGGTACAGCTCGTCGAGATGCTCGCCAAACTGCGAAGATGCGAGCAAGCCCTCGCGGGCACGCATCCAATTCTTGTTGCCACGTAGAGTATTGATCTCGCCTGTAGCCCGAAGGTGTAAGGGTGCCGTCGGACTAGTACATTCCGAAGGCGCAGATGAGCTTACCGTTGTGGGCGGCCCACCTCATGGGCTGAGCGCGGTCCCAGCTGGGGAAGGTGTTGGTGGAGAAACGAGAGTGTACAAGCGCGAAGTGGGCGCGGTAGAGTACATGGTTCAGGTCGTGGTAGTACGTGTACACTTGCGAGGGCGAGAGCTGACCCTTGTAGACGATATTCTTGGAGGAGAGCGAGCAGATGTAGAAGCCCTTGGAAAGCGAGCTTAAGACACGCAAGGACGGGAAGCACGGCTCAGCGAGCGTCGGGGTGTGGAGTAAGAATCTCGAGCCTTACATGGAATGTGTTGCGCGCTTGCGGAGGATGTAGAGCTGACGCTCAAAACGCTTCGGGTCGAACGGGCCGCCCCGGGCCGTGCGGCCGTCCCCGTAGCTCGCGTGCAGGACGACGAAAGGCTGGAAAATGGCGGGCTCCTTGCTCGCGGCAGCGGGGCCGAGGATGGTGCCGTCAGTGGGGACCTCGCGCCAGCCGAGGACGCGGAGGTTGAGATCGGCGGCGATCTTTGCGAAGAGGGCCTGCTGTTGCTGGAGGCCGACGGGGTTATTGGCTTGAAGAAGACGTTTCCAACGGCGTATTCTCCCGCAGCGGGGAGCTCGCAGCCGATCTCGCGCTCAGCCTCGCGCTTGAAGAAGTGGTGAGGGATGCCAGTCATGACACCGGCGCCGTCGCCATCGCGGGAGTCTGCGCCGGTCGCGCCGCGGTGGGTCATCGCGCAGAGGAGCTGGCGGGCATCGGAGACGATTTTGTGGGACTGGGTGCCCTTGATGTGGCAGATAAAGCCGACGCCGCACGCGTCCTTTTCGAGATCATTCACGTACAGGCCCTGGCTTGCAGGGAGGGACGCGGCCCACGAGGCCGGGTCGCGGGCGACGGCGTCGAAGCCATTTTGCGTATCGGAGCTGGAAGCCGGGGAGACTGCGCGGAGTAAGGAGGGATCTGCGTGGCAATCAACGATAGCCATTCAACGACCGCGGATCTGAGATGTGAGATAGCGTAGGGTGGGCGACGGCACGGTAGCGAGCGCAGGCAGCGAGGGCGACAGTGGAGGTGGTGGAGAGGAGGAGGGCGGCGACGAGGGCGGGTGCGCCACCGTCGAGTTTTTCACCAGGCAGGGAATTGAGCGACGTCGAGTCAGTCCGCGATCGTGCCGATGCTCCTGCAGCGCTCTCCGCCGCCCTCCCGCCGGTGCGCACGAACATATTCCCATAACCGGCCAGGCCACCCCTCTCCCACCCAATCATCGCCTACCCGCGGAGCCCCGCCGGGCTCCCCGCGCCCCGCGTCCCGCCGCACTCGCCCGCCCCGGCCGCCGCTGCCATATAGTCTGGCGTTAGCTCCCCTTTTCCCGGCGATCCGGGACGTGTTTCCGCATGGAGCCAGTGACTGGCTATACATGCGATCAACACCTGCAAGCGCGGCGAGGTTCGTCAATAGGGCCGATAACATATGAAGCTCACAGCTTGGCAACTTGGTCGGGCTAGCCCACCAAGGGAGACCAAGGGGTGCCTCCGAATACACCAGTACTGCCCAGGTGCGGCCCATGGACGCTTCCGGGTAAGCCAAGATACAGTGTTAGTCCATCGTAACAAAGGTTGTGCTGTACATCACACGCTATAGGGAACATTCCACACCAACGGGCTACCGCTCTAAATGCTGATAAACGATCTTCTCTGCACGGAGCCGACCGGAGACCACTCGCTCAGTTCACAAACCTGGGGACAATCCTTACGTCGTAATCCATGGCACATATCACGGTCTGGAGCTGGAAGAGGGGCTCTGGAGCGGAGGAAAGATTGGATCAGGAGGACCTGGGAAAGAGAACAGCATGCCGACTTCGCCTCGAATTGCTGACAGATGTCCAGAAGCGAGGGGGCGGATTTAGGGGCAAAGGGTGAGGGGTTTAGTAGCGAGATGAGGGCTGCAAACCCAACTGCAACCAATTGGACTCCTCTGAGATGCCGCACAAAGCGGAGCATGAAATGGTAATCGCGATGCGCGAAGCTACCCCATCCAATACTCATATTCTTGTCGTCTCCCCAAAAATACCGAGACGTCTGTGATCTAATATCGTCTGGAACTTGTTGGTTATGACGGCGCCGTGGCCGACATAGCACACTTCAAACGTACGCGCCTACCGAGTCACAATCAACGGTGAATCAGCGAAGACTAGAGCATGACGACGTACTCGACAGTGCCGATAGCGTCGCCTTCGCATCGAGAGCATCCAACCCGCCAGGTACCGGTCAACGTCACGCGTCGGCGACCCCGTCCCAATCCTCGTTAGCCGAGACAAATTCGATGAGATCTTGTTGGAGTACGCATAAGTCGCCTCGGGCAACCATAAAGTAATTGACGATCCAATTCTTGATATCCAAGAGTGAACATGCGCTGACGAGTTCCGACTGCGTTATATAGCGTTGCGCAAGCCAGCTTAGTCAGCGCCCTCAGGCACTATCGCGCACCGTCAGCCATACCAGGGGCTTTTGGATCGAGAAACGTACCGAATATTATTGGTCGAGTTCTCGTCCGCACCAGGGAGCACCCGGTTGCAGCCGACCTTCAATCATTATGACTTGAGCTGACCTCGATCCTGCTTTCCCCTTCATCGGTCGGCACTGGTCATCATGTAGAGGGGCATACCCCTGCAGAACATGCTCCCGTGTCGGCCAGGAGCTCTCTAGGGAATCGTCGGCGGCTGCATAAACCGCTGGCTGTGAGTCTGTCAGGAATCATCCTATTATGTCGAGATTCCAATGTTTCGCCCACCCAACCAGCGCCCATCGCCGAGCCCCACCACACGCACGTACCGCGAACAACGGCCCTGTCGCGCCCGCAGGTGTCGCACACGGACTCTCTGATTCTCGGAGAGGTGATCGTCTGAATGGCCAGTGATCCGTGCGGAAGCGCGCCCCGGATCGCCCCCAGCACCCGGGCCTCCGAGTGGCGATTGCCTCCCAGATCGCACCCGTCGGGCCAGCTTCTCGCGCGATTGAGTGCGTCTGCCAGGGTTCGGGAGCCGCTTGGCTTCCGAGGTTCGCCTCGGCGTCACGCACGACCTTGAGGCTTCGCGCGTCCGCCTCCCGTGGGAGGGGCGCCCAGGCCTAGAACTACACGTGCTGATACCCTGGCCGGCCACGGACCAGAAGGCGAAGGGTCCACGTCCTGACGTTACCGTGCGTTGAAAACATTGGAGACACTTTCCCATTCTTGAGAGCTGCGGAGGCGGACAGGAGGCGGTAACTAGATTTGGCGGGGCATGCGTGGGCGTCGAAGGGATCTTGTGCGCAGGAGAGGCCGCGGACGCTGTACATTCGCATCTCATATCGTACACGAGGAAAGAGGGGTGCAAAGCTAGCCCGCGCCGTCGTGCAGCGCGCAACACACCGCCGCTGTTGGTGAGAATCGGCAGTGAGCGGAGGTAGCAGCGATCGGCGGGGGTGCCGAACCTTTTTGATGCCCATTGTATTGTCGTACAGTCTCCCCTGTTGCCATATCCCACAAACGCGCAGTATGGTCGGACGAAGCTTGGAAGCGTGGAAGTCGGCATAGGACGTAATAGGATAAAATCGGCCCGACGCACCTGTTACCAAATAAGCGGAGTCTGCGCTGAACGCACAGTCCCACACCCAGCGCTGATGACCTTGCATCGTCTTGTCCAGCTTGAATTCATAATGTGGCGAGATCGACCATATCTTCACGGTCGTGTCTGCTGAGCACGTTGCAAGGAACCTGTTCGGCATCATCGTTGGAGCCCGTACGGGCTGGAAGCGGCCGACAACACCCACTTAACATCGGGGCTTAATAGAAGCCGCGTGAGGTACTTCGTGTGCGCCTGGAACATCGTCACCGCCTGAAATCGTGGCAGCTCCGATCGCTCGTTAATCTTCCACACGTAGCACTTTCCCTGAACGAATGGCCGTCAACGACGGGCACTCGGGCACGAGCTTCCGACGCACGTACCTTGACGCTACCAGCAACGAGACAGGAGCCATCTGAGGCAAGACTGATGGAACGAATCGGCGTGTCTCCGCCGGGGGTCTGGGTCGCATTCGTAAGAAGCGTGGAAGGGTGGGGACGTGGAAGGAAGGCAGGTACCAGCTCGTGGGTGCAGATGTTTTCCGATAAGTCCCACTGCTTGATTCGCCCGGCCTGGTCGCATGAATTAGCTCGCCTTGGTTAGGGTGCACGACGACGTCGTTGACTGTTCTCAGGAGAAGGTCAGTGCTTCCTGCGTGTACGGGAAGGATGCCGAGGGGCCGTACCGGGAGCCTCGTTATCATAGTTCCTATGCAGGTGGCTGCTACTTCTGCGGAGGCAGGAAATACATGAACACACGCGCCGCTTGATCGCGACGCGCGGGCGAGGAAAGGCACGCACCGAAGATCCCAGATTTTAATGGTACCGTCCTCGCTTCCGGTGACTAACCATTTGCCTTCGGAGTGGAAGCAGACCGAGGTGATATTGCCATTGTGTCCCTCGAATATAGCAACCTGGATCCGCGCGTACGCAGGCGATGAACGTGCGAGGGCGATCCGCGGGGTGGAGGAAGACGCACCGGGCCCGCAGACGGCGCAGCAGCAATCTCATAGATGTATGCTTTCTTATGAATCGCCGCAGCGAGGAGACGTTTGCTGGGGATGACGGAGAGGGTGAGGGGCTGAAGAGAGGCGCAAGCGGGCGAACCGCTTACTCAGGAGAGATCGCGAGACGGTTGACTTGCTGCGGCGGGGGGCAGGGGATGAGACTAGGACGTCAGACGGCAGACGAGGAGCCTCACACCGGACTCCGCGGCTCTGGGGATGGTCCGCGAGCAGATGCCACTCCACGCCTCCCAGAAGCGGATCTCGTGGTCGTAGGAGCCGGTGACGAGGATGACAGACATGTCGGCGCGGGGAGCAGAGGCGGCAGACTGGGAGGACTGGGCCTGGACAGGCATGGCCGTTGGGAGAGAGGGACGCGTCTGGGGCGGCGGGCGCCAGAGGGAGCGCCCATCGGAGACGCCGGGGACTTTACGTGATTTGGTCGGCGTATCAAACACGGTGTGGGCGTGGACGAGCGTCCGGGGACCACGACGGTGCATGCATGGACCCAGGGTTCGCCTGCTGCCACCGCTGCGCTCGTCACCACTGCACCCAACGCTCTCTGCGCACGGACGGCTCTCGGCTCTTTGGCTGCCATGTTCTCCACCACCTCGATCCCGGTCGAGGGTTAGACCACAGTCGTTCTTGCTCCCTCTTGGCGGCGCTGCGCTCCGTTTGCCGGCATTCTTCCCACCTGCGTCTGCCTGTGCACGGTTATCCGACAGGCCTCTGCGCTCCGGCGGACCACTTGCCCTGCTTAGTGTCTCCTCGTGTTGGCCTTCGCGGCAATGCATTTCCCCATTCCTGCGTCTACTCGAATCTCCCTCCTTCATCTTCTCCCCCTCGAGCCGGACCCTTCCTCCCGCGAAGCATCTCACTCCGGTCCTTTCGTTCCCAGAATCCTCGATCTGGACCCAGCCTGCCTGCTTGCCTCCTCGCCTACGCGCGTCCGACCCCTTGAATGCCATTGTCCAGACTTTGCCCCACGATCTCCGTCTTCTTCTGGTGCTCCTTCTCGCGCGCCATCCTCCCCCTTCTCGTCACCGTATGTCTGTACGCTATCCCTCCTGCCTTTTTCGGCCACATCACCCTCGGTCCACCAGATTCGTCGTCCCCTTTACAACGCTACGCCTCTACGCGAGATGTAGCGCCCTCCTTCATACTTATGCGACTCCCGTCCACCGTCGTCCCCACCAATCCCAGACCGTAGCCCCTGAGCCGCAGCCGTCCCCTCGTATATAACCCCCCTCAGCATGGACCACTCAGGTTCGTCAGCTTCCCAGCGCCGTCCCCGTCCGCGGACTCTCATGGAGGACGATCTCTTTCCAGTATGTGACCTTTGCTCGCGACTGCGCCGGCCAAGGGTCGAATGACGCTGACCACCGCCGCTGCGACAGGTCGGCTCTCGCGTCTTTTTCCTCGAAGGCGGAAAGCCACAGTTCGGAAACGTCAAGAGTGTGGAGAGGACAGAGGTCAGTATGGCTCGGTGCCTTGCGGGCGTCGGCTGATCTTGCGTTCTGCAGGGGCTCGACTATGTCGTTATCGTGCGAGAGGGCAAGAAAGAAGAAGTGGTGAAGCTACCGTGCGTGCTCCTCTGCCTGCGCACGTTCCTTGAGCGGCGCTCGTGTGCTCATGCTCACTCGCAGCTCCCACAGTGTGCACGGCGTCACCAAGGCCAGGTGAACGCACGACATTCTTGCCTTGGGGGTACTTCGGATCGTAAAAGTACATTGGACGCTACCTCACACATCCCCCGGACCGTCTGGCTCGTAATTTGTATCATGGACGCTGTAGAGCACGTTTCCCGCCCCTCGCATACCTCGCCTCGCTATTTACTACGCTTGGCCTAGACGATACCCCGCATCACCCGCATCCCCCGCATCCTGCACACACGGACCTGTACCACACTATACCACCACAATTAGACCCCAGAGCTCGTCGGCCAGCGATACTAGATTGGGTACGAAGGCGCAGCGCGGGCAGCTGTGTCCTTTTCACCCTCGTTTGCGACGTCCGGCATCATGTATTCTCTAGAGCATTTCTATGGCACGTTCGGTGGGATCACACGCGCGGATCGCGGACAGGGCGGACGACGGCGACGGGCCTCGCCCTTCGGGTCTTCGGGATGGCCCAACGTTTGATTTGCAACGGACATCGGGGAAGGGTCGACGGCGCGAGCTGCTGTCCGCTCTGGACGGCTTCGTCCTCGTCCGCCTCCTCTCCCTCTCGGACCACGGCCCGGGTGTCTCCCTCCAACGCTCGACCCCGGCCGACACAGCCGAGCCGATCTAGACGCCCCTCCTGTCCTCCGCCTGTCGAGCGCTGCGACATCTGCCTCACCCTCCTTCTCTCCGCCATCTCGACCCGCCCGCTCTCTCTCCGACCGCGTCCTGCCTGCCGTGCGCGATGGACGCTTTCGACGCGGCCCAAAGTCCCGCCCCCATCCTCCTCCTCCGGCTCCTCTGTCCTGCTGAGATCGCAGACCGCGTCCGCTCCAAGTCGAGCACAATCAGCCAGTACCTCCTCCTCGCCCTCCATCTCGTCCTCTACGCAGCCCTCGCCCTCCTGCTCTCGGTCCACGCGCTTCTCGAAGACGCTACAACCCCACTACACGACGGGCTCTGCCGCCTGCTCGCCCTCCCGCCGTGCACCGTGCACCCGCCACGCGAGAGCGCCGTGGTCATCATCGGCGCCGACGACGGTCAGTCCCCTCGAGTCTCTCATACCCTCGCCGAGCTGCTGGATCGCCCACGCGTGCTCGCCCTCGGTGCGCGCGGTGGCGATCGCCCTTCATGCCCGCTTGCCGCGGCACGATTAACCCTCGCCCCGCGCAGCCCTCGGCAGGCACATCGCCCTCAGCTTCTCGCAGCGCGGCTTCACCGTCTTCGCACTCTGCGCGGACAAGCCCGCGGCGCCGCCCGCACCCGCGGACGCCTCCTCGAACGTGTCCTCATCTTCTGTGAGCGCAGCCCGCCCTGTCCCTCTCCCTCCCTCCGCTCACCGCTCCCCCTTGCCTGGCTGATCGTCGCCCATGGACACCGTCTGTGTGCCCCCCGCTTGCCACTGTGGTTATTCCTGGACAGCTTATCCAGGAATGGCACCAGAGGATCAAGAAGGCCTCTGGCGCCCCGGGTGCGCCCTGGGGGCTCGTCGCGCCGATCGTGCTCGACATGGGTTCGCGCACGCAGCGCGCGCGCGCATGCGAGACCGTCGACGCCTACTGCTCTACCCACCGTCTCACCCTCGCCGCGGTCGTCGTGCTCCCCCTCCCTTTCCCACACGCTCCCCCGTTCGGCCCAGGTGCGTCCCTGTCCCGTCGATCCCCGCGCGGTGTTCGTTTGCACTAACTTCACGCGCTATTTCCCGTCTCTGCGCCGGACACATGAATGCACGTCTGTCCACGCACGCCCACACGCCCTCGACACGGACCCACACCCGCGCCGCGTCCGCAGACGGGCTCGCGGCCGGCCCTGATAGCGCACGGCCGATGACGCTCGGCGACGCCGTACGCGCGGGCGTCGAGCTGCCCGCCGCGCTCGTGGACGACTACGCCGGCCTGCTCGCCGGCTCTTCCGGACGCGTGGTCGTCCCGCTGACATGTGCGTCGTGCGTTCGCTTGGTCTGGCCGGTCGCTGAATGGCAATGACGCACGCGTGCTGCTGCTGCACTGCTAATCAGCGAGCTGGCCGGAGCATGAGCAACAGCAACCGCGCGCGTCGACGTCCGTCGCGCTCCACGCAAGCACCCTGCGCGCGACTGCGCGGCTGCTCGGCGAGGCTCTCGCGCCACGAGGCGTGCACGTCGTCACTGTCGACGTCGCGCGCGGACCCTCGACCCCGAGGTCGGCATTCAAACCGGAGTCCAGTGACCCGGCGTCCGCACTGTGAGTTTGAACGCATCCCTCCCGGGCCCCCCGCGGGCTTCGCACCTTCCGTGTTCTGACAGAGATTCCCTGCCCGCGGCGGCCAGCGCCGCTGCGGTAGAAGAGGAAGCAACGACCTCGGGCGCAGGGCGTGAGCCCATCGACTCGCCCACTCAACGTTTCGGCGCCCGTACCGACGCCGTTGGACGTGCAGGGTTCACATCGGCCATACGAGGCACCATCGAGGACGTTCTGAGCCGCTTCGCGCCTCGCAAGGAAGACGTGTTCCAAGCGGTGCACACCATCGTCCGATCCAGGTCCGTCCGCGTCCGCGTTCTCGCGTTCTCTCCTCCGTGCTCTCGGCTTCGTCGGATCGGGTGCTGACCGGGCGAGCAGGTACCCGCGCGAGCGATACGCGGTGGGCGCGCGTGCAGTCCTGCAACATGCGTGCGCGGCGCTCCCGCTCCCGCTGCGCCTGTGTGCGCGCGCGGCCGCGCTGCACGCCTTCTGGTGAACCCCGACGTGACCGGCATCGCAGCGCCCACACGCGTTCTATTTCCCGGACGCGATCGGAGCGCAGATGATTCTGAGAGGAATGGAGGAGTGTGCCATGTATTATAGACGACGGACGCCTCGCGACGGGTCACGACGGTGCCGTGGGTGGGCTTCCCGGGGGCAGGCGGTCCTACGGACGGCACACGGAACGTAATGCGACGAGGGTTAGCACGTCGTCCTCGAGCACGCGCCCGACGGGGCATGAGATCGGAGGAGGACTTACTCTGATCATGATGCTCACGCGCTGCCCGCCGCTGGCTGCCCGGGATGGGTGTGCGGGCAGGATGGCGTGCGTGTAATGATAACGTAGCTCGTCCCTGCGCGTTCGCAGCACGGGGGCATTAGTCGCCGCCTGGGACGACGGGGACGGACCGGCGCACCTCTGCATGTACACGCTCCCGGACGGCAGGGCGAGCTCGTACCGCACGGGCTCGCCCCCGCCCTCGTGGTGGCTCTGGAGGCGGAGCGTGCGCTCGTCTCCGAGGGACACGCCCAGGATCCAGGAGCTGCGCAATCGCGGGTCAGCGTGCCGTGCACGAGTGTTGAGAGCTCACGCTCAACGAGGGGGGACGCACGCACCCGAACGCGTCCACATGGTCGACATGCGGCTGGGCCGGGCAGGCCAGGTCAGCTCACGCGGAGGGGTGGTACGATCGCACGCGTGCGCGCACTCACGTCGATCTGGCCGTCGGACGCGAGGTGGAGGAGGTGGGTGTGGGTGTCCACGGCGGGGTGCAGGCGGCGGAGGCGCTCGAGCAGTGGGCGGACCTCCGGCGCGTCCTCCGGCCACGCGGTGACAAGCATCTCGCGGTAGCGCCGGATGACGCCGTCGTAGTGGCCCTAAACGAGGTTCGCCGTCGTACGTCAGCGCGCGGGCGGCCGGGGCCGGGGCGACGGGGCGGGGCGGGGCGACGCGCCTCTTGGAAGGTGTACAGCTCGTCCGGGCAGAACTCGGCCGGGGGCGTGCCCGTCCGCGGCGGTTCGTGCGGCGCGTGCGCGCGGAGATGGTCGCGCTGGCGCCGTCGCGCTCTGGGTCTCTCTTGGCCGTCGAGCTTCTGGAGCGCGGCGCGGAGGAGGACGCGCTGCTCGGGCTCCGAGAAGAACGCGGGCCAGAACGCGAAGCTGGGGTGTTCGAGCAGCTGGCGCGAGGCGCGTGAGCTGAACCGCCGGCGAGTCGGGGGAGAGCAAGGGGACGGAGCCGGGGCTCGCCAGGAGCTGGTTGAGAGCCTGCGCAAGGCAGAGAGGGTGCCGGACGTGGGGGACAGCATGGGGCGAGAGGATTCGTGTCACGGTCAGGGGCGAAAGGAGGAGAGGCGCGGGCGGAGGACTGTCGCGCCGCGGAAGTGGGACTGCGGGAGTTCCCGGGGAGCGGTGTGCCGCCCAGGCCTTCGATCGTCTCCCTTCTCGCGGGAGACGATCAGGCCGCGAGGCGTACGAAGGAGTTAGAATCAACTCTAATCTCCGCCTTCTATCTCTGAGGCACCCGAGCTGGGCTTCAACTTCGTGGTCCGCTCTTCATGTAACGTAAGTATCCTATCGTTGTAGTGAATCATCTCCAGTGGCCGGACATGTGCTGTCCATCGGCTACTCGCAGGCATGGAAGTCCTTCCTTCGTCTTATCCACCCTGTTAGCCCCTTTCATGACGGACGTCAAAGGCCCAGGCCCCCAGACCCTCGAGACACCAGTGGGCTTGAATGTAAACCCACTACACACCACCCTCAATTTGTGATTCGGTTGGCACACGCATGGCTCCGTATGTAAAGCAAGAGGTTCCCTGAGTAGAGGTAACTTCGACACATACCCAGAACACAATGGCCGACAATCGCTCTCGTTTTCGTCGACAGTCTGACAAACCGATCGACCCAGGAAACTTACTTGGAAGGTACATGTGTAGGCAGAGTCTGCGCTCGCCTACATCGGAGCTAACCTAGGAGTTCGAGGACATGACTGGCGAAGTTCTCAGTCAGACCCCGACAAGTCGTCGAGGATCAACATTTAATCTTCAAGACGGGCGGCCGAGCGCTCGCCGGACGTCCTGGTATAATGTGACCCTCGCGCCCGTCACAAGCAGCGTGACGATGCCACGCACGTGGGCTGATGCCGCACAGAGAGGGCTCTCGCTTTGTGCTTCGCACTTGCTCAGTGCCATCTCCTTCTCTACACAAGCACACCCTTGCTCCACCCCCGGGACTCGCAGCGCTTGATGCTCTCGTCTTTGGATGTCGGACAAAGATGACGACGTCTCACAGCAGTCCAACAATCTCTACGCTGCTCTGGCCCGCACCGCGACCCGAAGCCTGGCCCTGTACTTCTCTAGACCCGTCAGACTCTTCCGGCCCTCGAAAGGTGCGTCATCATGACGCTCCTTACCCCCCTGTTCTCACCCCCTGCTCGCCCTTCTCTCTTCGCAGTCTCCGGGTGGCATTCTCTCAGAGGTCTCGCGGACAGTCATGGGAAATCGCTATCACCGCAGTATGTCTCCTGGCTGGTGAAGGAACACGGAGTGCGTCTCTATCACCGCTGGTTCATTTGCTTGTGAGATGACCCGCTATGGCCATTGTCAGCTGTCCGTCATACCCAAGCATTTCGTTCCTCCCATCCTCGTCAACGGTCTTCTCGGTCTCGTTCTCTGGTCCACCTACACCGAAGTTTCCACGGCCCTTGATTCACACATGTCGAATTATCCAACCGCTGTCGCCGCGATCTCTGGAGGCGTCGCTGGCGGCGCCCAGGCGCTTCTTGCGGCTCCTGCCGAGAACATGCGCTTCGCTCTGGAGGGCACATCTGCCGCCACGGGTTGGCACGACGCGTGGCGGGAGGTTTTCCTCAAGACCGAGCCTACTGTGCCCATCGGTCGTTCTCAACAGCTCCACGAGGCGCGTCAAGTTCACCACTGGATGCGCGAGGTGGGCGAGATGGCAGGGCGCGGATGGGAAGGATGGGGCTGGGGGTGCATGAAGGACATTTGCGGTGCGTTCGCTCTCCTTCGACCCGTTTCGCGCGCATACATCTCACTCGGAGTACCGACAGGCTTCGCCGTGTTCTTTTCCATCTTCGAGATCACACGCGGCGCTGCGGCCGACACCAAGGCTTTGACCCAAGACTACCTCACCCGTACCCGCGACGACGGCAGCGACCCCCGCGTCGGCGCGATCCGCCGCAACGCACCGCGTGTCGCCCACGCCGTGACTCTCGTCACTGGCGGCGCCGTCGCGGGGCTCGCGTACGAGCTCGTCTCCCGGCCGTTCGACGCCGCGCGCAAGGCCGTCCACCACGACCGCCTCTCGCACCCTCCCTCCGAGAAGGGCCACTCTGCGCTCCGCGTCGTCCTCCGCCTCGCGCGCCAGGAAGGACTGAAGACGTTCTTCGCGAACCCGAACCACGTGCCGCACGACCCCGCGGTGTCCGCCGCGCGCCGCCGGCTGACGACCGCGCTGCGGACGCTTGGGCGCGTCGGGCCGTGGGGCGTCGGCTTCCTCGCGTGGGAGGCGTTCGGTCCTGGGCTGGCGTAGCAGCCGGGCTCGGGCTCGGGCGCAGGCGGGTGGCGATACCTGTGTGGATAGATTGATACCTCGATAGAATGCCATGCGCCTGGCCGCTCCCCGCTCAGCACTCGTTCCTCTGGGCGCGGCGTCGAACGTGCGAGGGCTGCTCACTCCGCCCCTCCCGCATCTCGCACCCCTGTTGTAGGCGCAAGGCACAATGAACGCGGATGCGCGAATCACAGAAGACGACAGAAGACGGGAGAGGGGCCACTGCGCGCAGTGAGTCCGTCTCCAGGCGTCCTCGCGCGGGATCCGCGGGCGCAGGGGGCGCACAGACGATCCCGCGCTTACGGTGCTCTCCCTCTTCCTACAGACGCCACGCGGTTGCGGCAGATCTGCGAGCATCGTTTGCTTGGACCTGGCCATGTGCGGCAGACGCTTCTGCAACGGCGAGCTTAGAGGTTCGCGTACGTCAAAGACCAGCCGCCAGTGGCCCAATATGCCCGTAGGCGGACGTGCACACTACGGGTTTGAGTAATGGCGAAGGTTGTGGTGTCCACTGTTGTGGACCGGGCGGCTTTCCCCGGCGGGGGAGCGGAGGGAGAGCGCCAGTGCAGTCGTCGTTCGGGCTCGGTGGGCCCGGACTCGGGCAAACGCCTCCCCCCCGGTCCATCAACAGGCCCCCCGATATTCAACGCCGATGATGGGAAGCCTCCGTGTCGTGGTTAGGGCGGTCACAGGAAGCTACGGATCCTGTGTTCACTCGGTCCAGCCCTGCCACACGCGGTGTGCAGGGCCGGCTCGGGGAAAGGGCACTTCTATCTTCCAGCCTGGTGCGCGGTGCACGCCCCTCCGTCTCTTCTTCGTGTGACCCACGACGAGTAGGAAAATAGCAGGCGACTGGGAGACCGGTCTGCTGCCGTGCGGGGCTGGGATCACGGGCTATCTCTCTCCGCTCATTCTCGTCGCTCCCCTCACCTTCGACTTCACAGGCCTGCACGGACATTCCGCGGTGTGTGTGGGCTGCTGGCGGCCTCGGACACCCCATGAAAGGCGCGAGGCTCTGGAATCGGACGGAGACAGCGGGAGAAGGAAAGGGGGTATATACATCAACACGGTGGGTGTCTTCCTCGCACACATACCACTTGTGGACCTCTTTTCACTTCGTTGTCTCTATCTTGTGCTCGTGCCAACGTATGTCGGTTGGCCAAAGCTTAGCGTGGTTTCTATGGATAGAATGTCCGGTAGCAAGTCTCATTGCAGCACGAGCGTAACGCACCCCTTGAAGCTTGACAGCTGGTTGCCGTTCTCCGGAGACGCAGTAACCCCGGTGTAAGCTGAGGTCCAGGCTCGTGCCCTTCGCCACGCTGTCCCTCTGGCATCCAGCAGCCTCGCTCCCGCCCCGAGAAAGGACGAGAGACTCCGATCGTGATCCGCCGAAGCCGCGAGGTGAGCGCTGCCCTCCTTCTCCCCTCTGGGTCATCGACTTACACCCATCTTCCGCAAGGCTCCAGATTGTTACATGACACCGGGACCAAGTTTGTCGACCTCTCTCCGGCGGCGGATAGAGACCGTTGGTCGCGCCCCCGACCCCGGGCTACCGCCTCTCTAGGCCGCGAGGCGAGCGGCGTACACAGGACCCCCGTCATCCGGGCGGCCGCATGGCACAGTGCTCGTGTGCGTTCTGGTTCTGCTGACCTCCCGTCGCAGCTTGTCATGGGGTGCCCGAGGATCCCTCGACCCGAACGAGGACCGTCGGCGGGCACGTCGTTCGCTGCATGGCCTGGTCTCCGCTTGCGCCTGGAGACCGGCGTCGGGCGAGATGCCGTCCTTCAAGCTAGGGGCGGTATTCTCCTGATCTCCCCTGGGCCAGACAACGGTCGCGGGTCGGGGTATGTGCGTCAACATCTCGTATGGACGAGGATCGCCTCCTATCAGTCGGGTGCAGCCGGCAGACATGGACTTTGTGCAGGCAGCCTCGCTGGTATGGCGTCACGAACACGCGGACCGACGTCCGCCAACCAGCGTCCTCTGTAGGTGCAGAAGAACCGAGGAATGACAAGCACGGCTCTCACTCGGAAGGTATCGTCCGCAGAGGTCGCACTGTGAATCACTAAACCCTACCCTATTCAAGACGCCACCAGCAGACGCGCTCCCTCCCGCTCAGGCGTGCTCGCACGTCCTGAAACGGGGCTGGCACTGCTCGCGGTCCACCCCGGTGCACGACTGCACCACGAGCCCGCGGCCCCTGCCTTCCCAACGACGTACGTGTGTCGCGGCGGGCGCGGCCTGCGGACCAGCGCACGGTCGCCGCGCCAGCTCCCTGGGTCGCTCCGCCGCATCGATGCAATCTAGGGCACCCGCACGACCGCGATCGCCCGGAGGATGGCCCACGCCCCGCGCCCCGCACCCCGCGCCCCGAGCTCCGAGGAACCCCGAGCCGACGGTCGCGGTTTTACGTCGCGCGGGGGCGTGCGCCCTCGGACCAGGACATGGCACTGGCCCCGCGCACGCACCGGGGGGTGGCAGGGCCGCCCGGCCGCGGTCTACCCTGGTCGCGGCCGCGGCCTAGGTGCTGGTTGAAGCCAGGAATGCGTACGCGTATACTCGACGCCGCACCCGGCGTGCTTCTCCTGCGGGTCCCCCGCGTTGGCGCTAGATCGACCGGAACCCTAACCGCCCCCTATGCGCGCCGAGAGAGCGGTGCACTGCACCCTGCGACGGCGGCCGTGCACCCTCGAACTCTGCGGACGCGTCGGCAGAGGTGGGATGGGCAGCGTGCTCGTTCATCTCCGCCGTCCTTCTCGCCGGCGCGCGAGAGGGCAGTGGGGACGATGGGTGGGCTGTCGCGCGGAGGGCTGGACCCGGTGGAGGCAGCAGCGATGCCCCGTAGAGAGCAGAGGAAGCTGTGCGGAGGTCGAGGGGATAGCACACCGAGAGCAGCTGTATGTCCTTCGAACGCCTGGATGAGGAATCGAGCGGCCATAGCCTGTAGTAGATGCTGCGCACCTTCTTCCGCGTGGGCAGCGTTGTAGCGGTGGCGAGGGGCGCGCGCGTCGGGCCGTGAACGTGTTAAACTGCGCGCGGTCCCCGAAGCGTCTTCGCCTGATTTCGGGCCTCGCCTGTGGTGGGTTCGGGGAGCGTCGCTGTGGATGTGGGCTCGGTTGCCCGTTCTAAGGCGCGCCGCTTCTACCGCCCGGCATCGGGGCAGCGTTGCGCCCGCCGAACGCGGAGGGCGGCTGCAGCGGCAGAGGGCATCTGTCGAACCTCCGCATCCGCCTCGCGGTCTTGTCCACGCGCGGCAAGTCCGAGTCCTTCGCGTGGTGGGCAGCGGGCGCTAGATCCGAGACGCGCCTCACGTGCGGAAGACGCGTGCAATTTCTGGAGGCTTCGATCGCGCCGCCGTTTCTGGCGAACGCCCGCCCGCCGCCCGCCCCCCTCCCGCCGTCCTTTCTCCCGCATCCACCACCCCGCCCCGTCCGCCCACCCTATCCGCCCACCCGATGGCCATCTGCACGCGCAAGGGCTGCCAGCAGGAGTTCGATCCCGCCGACAACGCCGGCGATGCGTGCACCTTCCACCCAGGCGCGCCCGTCTTCCACGAGGGCCTCAAGTCCTGGGCCTGCTGCCAGGCCGTGAACAAGCCCGTGCTCGACTTCGATGAGTTCATGAAGATCCCGGTGAGCCCCCCGCCCCACCCTCTCCCCTTCCGCGCGTCGCCCCCGCTCCGCCGCGTGCGCGCGCTCCCCCGCTCACCCGACGATCGATGCCCGCGCAGGGATGCGCGACGGGCACGCACTCGACCGAGGCGCCTGCAGTCCCCGCGCCGAAGCCGGCGCCGCAGGCGGATCTGAAGATGACCTCGTCCTCCCCCGGCGGCGCGGAGACGTACTCCTCGCGCCCCACCCCCGCCCCCGCGACACCCACCCCGCGCGAGACCGCGGTCCCCGCCCCCCCCGCGGCGGCGCCCAAGTTCGTGGAGGAGGAGGACGACCCGACGGCGGCGGTCCCGGAGGGCACCAAGTGCCGGCACAACGGCTGCAAGCTCGTGTACGCCAGCGACGAGCTCCACCGCGCCGACGGCGGCGCCGAGGCCGAGTGCACGTACCATCCGAAGCCGGTGAGTGCGCGCGCGCGCGCACGCGCGGAGAGGGCGCCCGCTGACCGCCGTCCGCGCGCAGCCGATGTTCCACGAGGGCAGCAAGGTGCGTGGCCGCTCCCCCCGCTCGCGCCCGTCGCGTCGCGTCGCGTCCCCGGAGGCGGTCCTCACGCCCCCGCCCCCACCCCGCCTGATCCGCCGTCCGAAGGGCTACCTGTGCTGCAAACCACGCGTCCTCGAGTTCGACGAGTTCCTCAAGATCGAGGGGTGCAAGAAGGGCCGGCACGTCTTCGTGCCTAAAGCCCGCGAAGGTGCCGTGAGTCGATCGCAGTCCGTACCACGAACGCGGAGGGTGCTCAGTGGTCCGCACGCTAGGGCGAAGAGGTGTTCACGCAATGTCGAATCGACCACTACCAGACGCCCTCGGAAGTGCACGCGTCGGTGTTCGCCAAGAAAGCGAACACGGAGACCAGCACCGTCCAGATCGAGGAGGACGAGGTGCGCCTTGCTCTTCTCCGGTCCGACGCATCGAACGCCGATTCTTTCCCTCTGAACAGGTGCACATCGACCTCTACTTGCCCGACAACAAGCGCTTCCGCAAAACCCTGCAGCTGTGGGGACCCGTCGACGTCGAGGCGTCCTCCTTCAAGTTCTTCGGCACGAAGGTGCGCCGCCCTCGCCGCGATGCAGCCCCCTGGTCCTGCGCGCTGACCTTCTCCGTCCTAGCTGGAACTCAAGCTGCGCAAGAAGGACAACAGGAGCTGGACCCTCCTCGAGAAGACGGACAAGGACCTCGGGAACATCACCTACACCTTCGGCGTCGGCGGGCGGACGGGCACGATCGGCGCCAAGGAGCTCGTGCTCGACGACGTCAACAAGGCGCGAGAGTGAGCCCGTGCGCGCCGGCCAATGGGCGTGCTTGTACGTCTCCTGGCGGCACGCGCGCGGGCCCTGAGGAGCGGGAGCGAGTGACGAACGGACAGCAGTGCTAGGCTAGAACGCAAATGAGGAGTGTGTATGATGCATCGAGCCGTCGCAATCTAGTCTAGACATCTACGCTCTACGACACGCGGGCGCAGGGTGAGGATGAGTCTGTGAGGTAAAAGTAGGACAGGCAGGGGGGTTATGATACTGAGGGAGGCGGCGATTAAGGGAATCTAACAGACTTATAGTTTAGCGGGCAGCTCAATCTCCTCGTACATCTCGACCACGTCCCCTACGTGGAGATCGTTGAAGTCCGCGAGGTTGAGGCCGCAATCGTTGCCCTTGCCAACCTCGAGGACGTCGTCCTTGAGCTGCCGTAATGTGTCGAGCATCCCTGCGCGAATCGCGTCAGCGTCCCGCGGAACCACTGTAGCCAAACCGGGAGGGAGCACTGACCGTCGTGGACGACCTCGCCTCTGCGCACGACGCGCGCACGCCTGCTCTTCTGGATCGTGCCGTCCATGACCTTGCAGCCGCCGACCTGCGTCGTGCGCTGGCGCTTGAGCTGGATGTTGAACAGCTGGAGGACATTCGCGGAGCCTGTCACACGCCGCTCAATTATGGGCGGTAGGAGGCCGGCGACGCGGGTCTTGACCTCGTCCATAAGCTTGTAGATGATGGTGGACTCTACGATCGGGACATGTTGTGTGGCGGCTTCTGCCTGGACTGGGCGCGGAGTTTTGACGGAGAACGCGACGACGACGCCTGGGAATGCAGCAGTAGAGGTTAGAAAGGTATTAACGAAGACCTCGAGACGCGCACCATCAGCGGCCTTGGCCCGCATAACGTCCGACAAGGTCACGTCCCCGACACCCGTGGCGATGATCTTCGTCTTCGCGGCGTCGTTCCCGATCACTTCGAGGGCATTCTGGACCGCCTCGACACTTCCGCTGACGTCGCCTTTCAGAATAATTCTAAGCTCCTTCGGACCATCCGCCTGGGCAGCCGCAGAGCCCTCCTCGCCGTCCTCTTCCTCGCGCCGGGCGCGCCGCTGCTCGTTGACGGCCTCCATGTCAACGAGCTGCGCCTCCATGTCCGCCTTGCGCTCGCGGTTGGAGAGGGCCTTCTTGATGTCCGCATCGGAGGCGGTGAGGACTTCGTCGCCGGCAGAAGGCACCTCCTTCCAACCGGACACGGAGACGGCCATACCGGGGAGGGCGACCTTGACGGGCTTGCCGTGTGAGTCGAACATGTTCCGGACCCTGGCCGACGTCCGGCCGCAGATCAAGTTCTGTCCCACTTTGAGGCTGCCACGCAGCACGAGGACGGTGGCGCTGGGTCTGCGGTGAACGGTTCAGATTGATATTGTTCTTGCGAGGAATGAATACTAACCCGATGCCCTTTTGCACCTTTGATTCGAGCACGTGTCCCTGGAGGACACCCTCTCGTTCTGCGCGCAGATCTTGCATCTCTGCGAGTGCAGATATAGTCTCCACCAGCTGATCGAGGCCTTTCCCAGTAAGTCCGGAGACGGGGACTGAAGGCACATCCCCGCCGAAAGTCTCCAATTGTACACCGTCAGCCAGCAGCGCGTGCTCGACCTTGGACTGCAAACGAGTTAGTGACGAGTGTTCCGCTACACATCACGAGTACATGGCACACTTACGATGTCGGCATCCGGCTTGTCAACCTTGTTAATGGCCACAACAAATGCGACGTTGGAGCTCTTCACCAGTTCCAAGACCTCTCGGGTTTGTGGCATGATGCCGTCATCGGCAGCGACGACGAGAACCACGACATCGGTTACGCTCGCTCCTCGGGCGCGCATTGCTGAGAAAGCAGCATGTCCTGGGGTGTCCAAGAAGGTGATCATACGCGCAGGCTCCTTGCTACCGTCAGTGGCAGGAACAGGAACAGAGAAGGCACCAATGTGCTGGGTGATGCCACCAGCCTCTCCCTTGGCCACAGATGCGGAGCGGAGGGTGTCCAGCAGTGTAGTCTTCCCGTGGTCTACATGTCCCATGATGGTGACAATGGGAGGCCGAGCCGGCAAGGTATGAGGTTCAGGGTGCGTTGGTCTGTGCCGAAGGTGAGCAAGCTATAGAAGCCCCCCACAGGAAAAGAACATACGGTGTGTAGATGTCAAACGCAGCTTCGTCATCAACGATAGGATTGCGGTTGAATTCCATAGCCAGTAATGATGCATACTCGGAATTGAGCACTGTGTTATGTGTAAGAAATTTACAAGCTCATATGGACGCCGCGCTTACTGTGATCGTGTGCAGCTTCGTCTGCCATCCCGGCGCGGATCATTTTCCTCCGCAAGGTGTCTTCGCCCGGAATCAGCGTATCACAGAGGGACACAATGCCCGCGCAACATACCGAGTCGAACCTTGAGTAACCTCGCCAGATTGCCGACAGTGACAACGCTGGGAATATACACATCGACCTTCACGGCCCTCGACGCCTTCATCTTCTTCGCCGCCTTCTCTTTTTGTTGCGTGAGATTCGCAGAACGGCTCTGCGGGTCCATGGCAGGCTCTGAAGCCTTCCCGGAGAAGAGCCCCATCATCGAAGACCGCTCTTTATGCTGCCGTCCGTGTCGCCTGTGATGCAAGTCGGAATCGCTCACCGCTGAGGACGGAATCGGGGGAAGAATGTCCTCCATCGGCGCCCACCGAGGCTTTTCCTCCACCGCTACCGACCGAGCCTGCTGCAACACCTCCTTCAGCTCTGCAGGATTCGCACTCTGTCTGCCCTCCCTGTTCCTGTCTCTCCTCGGACCAGCATGTTGGTCTTGTCGAATCAAGGGTACCCGGTCGTCTCGAGATCTCTGAAAGTGTTGGCTGCTCCCCTTGCCAGACGGACCCGGGGTGGGAGTCGGGTCATGGCGACCCCATTCCCGCCTCCGTGGCTGGACCTTGGACGCGGAAGAAGCAGACGAGGGTCTGTCGGAGTTGGGACGCGCCCACGACCGCGAACTCGGAAGATCTGAAGTGGAAGGGGCGGCGCGCGATGGTGGTGGCGTACCCCAATTTCTACTTGCAGGTAGGGGACCAGTTGACGCAGTGTTCCAGGAGGATGGTCGCGTCTCTGCAAAAACACCTGGCTGTATATGGAGCCGCTTTAGCACGTCTGCGCCCATATGTTCGAAGACGGGTTACCTTGAGCTGTGTCGCAGTGGCGGAAGAGGCCTGCCGCAGACCGAGGCGTGCAACGCGGAGAGATCTGCGCATTTTTCGGCCGAAGGAGCGACGGGGGTCTATGTAAGCCGAAAACCGTGCCAGATACGCAGCTAAGCGCACTGAGGGCGAGAGAAGGACGTGGGGTGAGGACGAGTTCTGCGAGGGGGCTGGAAGCGCCTGGACGAGCACTTTGGGCTACCGGCGCTTGCTCGTGCATCCACGCTTCTACCAATAAGCGCCTAAGGACCGGCTGGGCATGATTCCGCCTGAACAGGGCCTGTTGTTTGTGCCGCTCCGCTACTCGACCGGACCAAGCAAGCATCGCCCACTATCTACTACGGTTGCCACACATAGTCAAGTTCCTGCACCACCGAAGCCCGGCTGCTCCCATTGTATGTTGTATCTGTGCAACTGCGAGCACGTCGATCCGCATCGTCATTCCCTCTTTCCTACTAGAGTACATAGGATACCCACACTTGTGGATGCGTTCAGAAGGCAAAAGGCGGGGTCTCGGCTCCGAGCTGTTGTGCGAGCCCAATCTCTGCACGCGGATGCTGCAGGTGACCGGCGAGTCTCGTGACCTCCCTAGCATTGCTCCTCGGACACCAATACAGTATCGTAACCCTACTCCTCCATAGCCTCCGTTTCAATCAAGGCCGAGCGCGGGAACAGGCTGATGTCGAGGTCCCCTGCAAACTGCTGAAAAACAACCAAAACCGTCAGACAACTGTCTTTGCCGATAACGTAATCTACTCACCTGGTGCCCACGAAAGATGCGCTCCGCTGCAACGGCGTACCCGACCTCGATTTGGTACTTCCCCGCAGGTTCACTGCGGGTCCTCTTCTCTGGAGAATATTGGGAGAATCCCTTGGCCCCGTTGAAGTGATTTGCAAGCACCCGGCCGTGGGCGTCCTTGGGGACGACAAAGATGAACGAGAAGCGTGTCTCCTGCGTGAACGAAAGACCGTGCTCGAGTAACTTCAGGAGGACTTGACTAATACCGCCTTGTTTCAAAGTGTGTCTGGTGGCGATGGTAACCTGGAGGAATGTGACATGGGAGCGGTCCGCGCTCACGACAAAAGCGTCGACCGTCGAAAAGTTCTCGGGACAGACGAACATCAGGCTGGAGTCCGGTGGGTTGCGAAGAATAGACAAGTCGTCGAAAGAGTAGGCTTTCACATCAGAAAGCTTGAAGTCCTTCTCTCCGTCGATCTGGCAGAGGAGGTGGTCTGAAATACACCAGGTGAGGGCCAAGGTCTCGAAAGCGTATCCGGAGATGGCTGATAGATGTCTGAGAGCTCTGAACATCTGTTCGCGATTAGCGAGTCCGCTTTCCATGATAACTTTCATGACGCGAAGGAAGAGGAAGTTGGTGGGGATGATGCATTCGGCCACGGCTTTTAAAGACATTGAAGTCCGGCGTCCTGTATCGGTGGGCTGCATGAAGAAGTGGTTGTGATACCCTTCGACGAGGAAGTTGGGAGCGGGGACGATAAGATTGCGGGCAAGCCAGGGTGCATCCACAGCTTCACCGATATCTATCTCGGGCCCCCGGGAAGTCCGCCGGATACGCCGAACGCACGTCCGAGCGCAGGGTCCGAGAAGCCGCATAATCTCCACCGGAGAATAAAATTCCTTTGGGAACGACCTAGGGCGAGACCGTTGAGATGATTGGTGATATTATAGGAGACGTCTACTCACCCAAGTAGGAAGATCTCCTTCTCATTCCATAGCTTCATTACCCAGAAGTTCGCACTCATCAGCTTCTGAAATTCCTGATAACGATGTTCTTGAGGGGAGCTGGAGAGGATAGTCGTGTTCGAGACCAGTCTAGTAGAAAGTTCTCCAACGCCCACGTAAGCATCGACCAGAGCCAACGTCTCAGGCGGCGGGGAGTAGTTACCATCCACTCGTTTGAAGCCACCGCCCATAAATGACGCATGATAGATGGAGATGTCGGAAAAATAGACCGGGCGACGCTCGAAGAGGCACTTAAGCAGCGTCGCCCAGAGGAAAAGGGTTTTTCCTGCGTGATGAACGCTGAGCACAGATAATAATCGACAGCACCCCACGAACCGTACCTATTCCGGGGTGGCCGATGACTACAAGATTCTCCAGTGAGGGATCCAAGGCCATGTGGGCCCAAAGATCTTTATACTCCTGACGGATCATCACCGTCTTTCGCAGTTGGGGAATTTGGATATCAGGACGGATGTACTCGACGCCGCCGCGGGCTTCAAAAGGGCTTTCGGGTCCATTCCAAAACCGATTGATCGCCACCGGTTCCCACCCTGACCCTTCGACGGGTGCTACGAGACGGAGAGAAGAAGATCGCAACTGAGCAACAAATTTGTTCAACATGCGGGGCTCCACTGACCTTCAGGAATAGCAGCGGGCAGCGTGATGAATATGTTGACAACCTCGTGACCGAGGTCTAATACCAACAAGGGATCGTCTCCATCGAGGCGTTTGCCCACCGAATCGTCGGGGTGATCGGGGTTCGACATAAGATTACTCATCTCTTCTGCGGCGATGTCGGTGTTGGGCCACGAATTCACTAGCTGGATGATTGACATGTTCACGCAGACGCAATAGACGAACGGAGGATGTACTTACCTTCCAGAGAACCACGCCATCCTCGTCTACTTTAAAGTATGACCCGACGAGACGCCTCAACGATACCACACGGTCCGTAGCGGGTGTGTAGAACTTTCCGAGACGCACAGGGTCTCCCGCTGATCGGTAGAATATAAACAAAGGGTTCGCGGGTTTTTTTGATGTCTACGGTATCAAATAGTCGGCGAGAGGCACGAATTAGCGTGAAAGTGGGCGTACCATTATATTTGGGGGGTGCAGTAGCTTCGTACGTGGAAGAGCTGCCCAGGGGAGTCAAGGGGGACAGTGGAAGTCTTCGAGGCAGTCGGGATGCATATGCAGATGGCTCGTTTGGGATGAGCGGAGCTTGCAACTTAACCCAACAGCCCCACAGAGCTCCACACGAGCCGAAGGGCGCTCGCACCGCGTCTGTCCGCTGAATCTGCATCCCCCTTATCGTCATGTTCACCAACTTTCTCGATGGAAGCCTTTGATCATGGACACTGGTATGTTTTGTTTTTATTGGAACCATGCCCCTTTCCCAATATATGCTATTCAGGTCTTTTTTGGTAGAATATGATTGGCTTACAGAGGCATTCAGTGGTCGGGCGCATGAGATCGCAAGATCGAATAAGATACAACATGGAAGCGCGTTCGACACTATTGCGCCAGGTGTACGCGGCGGCTACCAGAACTTCACCTTCTGCCAGGGGTGAGGCGGTGGATAGCATGACATAGCATTGACACCATCGTACATACTGTCAGGCAATGATATGGCAATTCAAGGCCACGGTCTTGATCGCGTATTGCAACGACCTTGCCCGCCCAGGTTCGACTGGGATCGATTGCAAGATGGCGAACATCCTGCGACACCATATCAATCAGACCGATCCCCTTGCGACGGCACGGCTATAGTTGAACTCAACCTGCCCTGAAGTGCCGTCGCCTGTCACAATTTCAAAGTTGGACTTCGAGTCCGAGTCGTGTCTCTTGCTCTTTCCTCCCACGCTCTCTCTGTTCCGAACTCCCTGTCGCCTCCTCTCAAAGCTTAGAACGTCGTCGGCCGACACCACTTCATTCACCACCAGTGCCTCCCCCTGCCCCGGGAATTATGTTGCTAGTCATCTGTTGCTGCTGTCCGCCCGTCTGTGGAGTCCACACTTGTCCTCTGCCCCCTCCGCTGCCCTTCTCCTCGTATTGACGATACTCCTGCCCTGCAACCCTCCCTCGTGCTTCTGCATCCGTTTCTGTTCCTCTCGGCCTTCCTGGTTAGTCACTGATGTCATTCATATCGCGCTGTTCACTGTCAGTCTAGCTCTTGTCCGTCTCTACCGCCCCGCCCCGTTCTCTTTCCTCAACGTCCTCGTCCTCATACCTCCCATTCCGTCGTCTCCGTTTCCCGTGTTCATGCTCGGTCTCTCGCCTAGACTACCAGGATAATCTAGGTTTGCCATGATCATGTTTGACACCGTCTGGTGTATATCATGTCGACCTTCATGTAGTAGTTTAGTAAATGCTATTATTTGAGACCATTACAAGCGTGAACCAGTGAAAAGGACGACAAGAAAACGGGACTGCAAGACTGGAGCCCGAATTGCAAGGTGGACGCCTGGAACAGCCATTTGGCGCGCGGTCTTGCGATGACCTTGCAGGAGAAACTAGTCATCTGGCAAGAACGTTCCAATTCGGATCAATCTTGGGACTGTTGCAATGGCATTGGAAGGGCTTCCAAGCCCGATTCAGTTTTTCCGACAACAGATGGGCTTGTGGCTCAGCGGTAACGAAGCTGCTGAGCGGCGAAATCATCATGCGAGTGGGGGTTCGGATCCTACCGAGTGCATTACATTTTTCAGACGCCGGGCCAGGCAGGGCCTTCACCCGCATTTCCTCCTGGAGGAATAGGTCTTCGAGCAACGGTACACATATATATCCTTGTACTTATATGAATGAGCGGCCAGCGGGGCATCGTTGCCCATGGAGCCGAGAGGCTCCTTGCCGTTGGCGAACATCGGGAGCATGAGGAGATGGAGCTGCTCCAGCGTGAAGCCGGACGTGAGGAGCTTCGGGTCGTTGCTGAGGGTGAATTCGTCGACGTCGCGAGGGCGCCACGGAGACGATCGTGGGTACCTCGAGGATGTTCGACTCCACCTACGACGCGAAGTCCTGCTTGCGCGCGGTGGCGCGCTTGAGTTCTTTGTCGTCAACGATTCGGCCGTCCTCGGTATCGACCAAGAGCATGCGCCCAGGCTTGAGGCGACCCTTCTGGATGACCGTCTCCGGGGCGATGTACACCGCACCGACCTCAGAGGCGCACACCATGATGTCCTTGTTGGTAACGACATACTGTACGCGATCTCCTTGTGCCGCATAACAACCTCGGGTATGCGCATCATCGGGCAGAGGGCGACGTAGCAACATTTGAAGGGGTTCGCCGCACAGGGGGTGTTTATGGTGCATGTTCCAGGGGGGCGCGAGGCCGCTTCAACGTTCGTACAGGACAGTCTGTGCGACGCGCGTCGAAGCTGAGAGCATGTCCGCGAGGTATTCTTAATCTGATCTAAGGTGTAATTGTACTCAATCCGGGTGTCGGCAGTGTCGGGGAGCCTATCTTCTCACCCTTGACTCAGAATGCTCGTCGAGTATGTCATTCCAACATTTCCCCAAATATGAATCATTCCACCAAGCGCTACGCCAGGGCGGCGTCCTCATAGGGGACCGGCGAGTCTCGTGATCGCGTGCAGCTCATCCAATACATCGTGACACTACTCCACAGCCTCCGGTTCGATCAAAGCTTCACGCGGGAACAGGCTGATGTCGAGGTCCCCTGAAAACAGCTGAAGTAAAATCGAAAGCGTTAGACGACTCGTCTTTGTCGGTAATCTAACTCACTCGCCTGGTGTCTATCAAAGGTGTGTTTCGCGGCAACTGCGTACCCGACCTCGACTTGGTACCTCCCGGGAACCAGGTTATCGTGGGTCCTCTTTTCTGGAGAATATTGGGAGAATCCCTTGACCCCGTTGAAGTGGTCTGTAAGCACCTGGCCGTCGGTGTCCTTGGCGACGACAAAGATGAACGAGAAGCGTGTCTCCTGCGTGAACGAAACACCGTGCTCGAGTAACTTCAGAAGGACTTGACCAACGCCGCCTGGTTTCAATGGGTGTCTGGTGGCGATGGTAGCCTGGAGGAATACGATGTGGGAGCGGTCCGCGCTCACGACAAAGGCGTCGACCGTAGAGAAGTTCTCGGGACAGACGAACATCAGGTCGTCAGCTTGGTCGCCAAGAATCGGCAAGTCGTCGAAGGAGTGGGTCATCACATCAGAAAGGACGAAGTCCCCCTCCTTTCCGTCGATCTGACAGATGAGGTGGTCAGAAATGCACCATGCGAGGGCCAAAGTCTTGAAAGCGTAGTCGGAGATAGCCGATAGAGGTTTGAGAGCTCGTAACATCTTTTCACGATGAGCGAGTCCGCTTTCGATGACAACTTTGATGACGCGCACGAAGAGGAAGTCGGTGGGGATGATGCATGTGGCCACGGCTTCCAAGGACAGTGAAGTCCGGGGTCCCGTAACGGTGGGCTGCATGAAGAAATGGTCGTCACATCCATCGACGTCGACGTCGAGGATGGGGAGAAGATCAGTATAGGAAAGTAAGGTCGCAGCAGGACCATAGGGTTGCATTTTGGCCACAGCTTCACCGATATCTATCTTGGACCCCCGGGAAGTCCGCCGGATAAGCGTAGCGCACTTCCGAGCGCAGGGTCCAAGCAACAACATGATCTCCACCGGGGAATAGAATTCCTCTGGGAACGGCCTAGGGAGAACCGACTGAGACGATTGACGATGTTATAGGTGCCTTCCACTCACCCAAGTCGAAAGATCTCGTTCCTATCCCATAGCTTCGCTGCCCAAAACGTTGCTCTCTGCCGCTTCTGAAACTCCTTGTAAAGGTGTCGTTGAGGGGAGCAGGAGAGGATGGTTGGATTCCCGAGCAGTCTACTACAAAGTTCTCCAACGCCCACGTAACCGTCAACTAGAGCCAACACCCCGCGCGGCGGACCGTTGCCGGCATCCACTAGCGCGAAATCACCTTGCGCAAATGACACACGATAGTGGGATATGTCGGAGAAAAAGACTGGGCGACGGCTGAAGAGGCACTTTAGCAACGTCACCCAGATGAAAAGAGTTGTTCCTGTGTGATGAACGCTGAGCAAGGATCATGGACGGCATTCCACGAACCGTACCTATTCCGGAGTGGCCAATGACTATAATGCTCTCCGAGGGATGCAAGGCCATATGGGCCCAAATATCCTTGTAATCCTGGCGGATCATCACCTTTTTTGTCGGAACGACAAGTTTGACATCAGGACGGATGTACTCGATGCCGTCCCGGGCTTCGAAGGGGCTCTCGGGTCCATTCCAGAACCGGTCGATGGCCTCCTGTTCCCACCTGTTAGAGTCGAAATGCTTTTTGGAAGTTACTGTGAATGGAGAGATGGCATCTGAGCAACCAAAATGGTCCGACATGCGTGGCTCTACTGACTTTCAGGAATAGTAGGGGGCAGTGTGATGAAAATGTCGACGCCCTCACCGAGGCCTGATACCAACATGGGGTCGTCTTCCTCAAGGCGTTTGCCCACTGAATCGTCGAGGAGACCAGGACTTGAGACAAGATTGTTCATCTCTTCTGCGGCGACGTCGGTGTTGGGCCACGGATTCACCAACTGGACAGTGGATTAGTAGTCACGCAGACGCAATTCTAAGCGAATGGAGGGGGTACTTGCCTTCCAGATAACCACGCCATCCTCGTCTACTTTGAAGTATGACCCAACGAGACGCCTCAAGGAGGCCACACGGTCCGTGGCGGTTGTGTAGAACCTTCCAAGACGCACGGGGCCTCCCGTTTGTTGGTAAAATAGAAACGAAGGGTTCGTGGTCTACGACATCGAGATGGTCAACGACAGCGACGATTTGGCACCAAAGTGTGCTTTCCATGATCTCTGGGGTGGGGGGCAGCTTCGTACGTGGATGGTCTGCCCAAGGAGACCAGGGGGATAGGAGAGGACGCCCGGGATGCAGGTCACTCGCCAGAATTGGCGGGGTTTGAAACCCAGCCTGACGGCTCCTCGCGGCCCGGGCCAGACGTCTGTCTGGCCCGTTATTCGTCTCACTCATCGCCATGTTCACCAACTCACTCTAGGCAAGCATTTTGTAACCACCCACCTCTCCCAAACTCTGCTACCCAGGTCTTCGTTCATTCGAGCAGCAGCCGCTTTTGAAATAGGCGCTTTGCAAGTGATGTTCCGGTCACTTTATTTTCCCGCCATCTTCTCTCTGAACCCCGACACGCACTCTCTCATCGCGCATTCTTGACATAGGGGCGTCCACCTGTCTAGTATAAAAGCTAGCCGAGAGAACGGGAGACGCTTTGGGCTCAGTTGATCCCTACATCACTCGGCTCAGAATGCTCGCCATGAGACTGCGAGATTGAATTATATCCAACATGGAAGCGCGTTCTATACTATTGCGCCAGGTGTGCAGCTACCAGAACTTCACCCTCTGCCAACCCTTCCAAGAACCAGCGTCTGTAGTGGTCCTCTGCACCCGGTGCAATGATGTGTGCGCCCAGCCTTGCAATACTGTCGTTCATGTACTGTCCCGTGAAGCCCAGCTTCGACATCCCATGCTCCGCAAAGAGGTTGGCGGTGGCGAGGCCGTCAGAGTATCCTCTGGCAACAGCGAGCTCCGTTTGATCCAGGCCATGAGGGTCCCCACGCCTGCGAAGATTGGGTCGGAAGGGCCGGGAACGGGAGTAGCTGGACCCATCTCCGGACACGGCCACCATGACAGGCTCGGGAGACGCGCCGTAGTCGTCCCATACTCGTATGGCAGAGAAATCCGTCCGGTGGTTCATGGATGCTTCGCCGTAAGAAAAGAAGCTAGCCGGAAGACTCGACCCAGCTGCGGCGCGGAAGCACCATCCGGGGTCATCCATGCATTGCTCCTTCGTGTATGCTATGGTTAAGACACATGAGTTGTGAAGCGTCATGGCGCCTTGAACGATCACGCTTACCCCAGAAGGCCCAACCTGCGGTCTCGTTCTGATATATCTCCATTTGGGTGGTGCAGAAGTCTCTACGGGCCGCGTCCTTGTCGGGCTCGTTCTTGAGGCTGTCATCTGTGAGAGCGCAGGAGAACTCGCCGACGATGAGGTTCCGCCGCGCCCGTTGGGAGGCCGCGGCGAGAGAGTCGGCGACAGATGTATGGACGTCGTTGGTGTGCTGCGACGCCGGCTCGGCCTCGTCTTGCGGGGTGAAGACGAAGTAGGAATGGGTGTCCTCGACGACGAAGTCGGGTCTGTTCGCTACGAATTCGCTGAACTTGTCGCGGTCGAACCCGTCGTGGATGTAGAGTGGGAGGCACTCTGCGGCAGGGCTCACTGCTCGCATGGTGGAGATGGCAGTGGAGTCTCGTCGGAAGCATCAACACCGGGTCCACGCAGATGCATGGACATAACACTCACAAAAATCGGGGAGCAGTGGGTCGTTCGTGGGCTCGTTTAGGATCTGGATCCCAACGACGTTCGTGACGTTCACAAGCTCTTCCACCAAGAAGGTAAGAACGTCCAGCGTCTTGTTGGTGAACCAGTCGTTGCCGAAAAGTTCCGTCTTCCCATCAGAGATTCCGGAGTGCGGCTGACCGTTCTGGCTGCCTGGAGCACCGTGAAGATCGACGAGAACGCCGATGCCGACGTCCGAGGCCATGTTGACAGCTCGTACGACACGACTCCAGGCGTTCCTGTAGACGTCTTTGACCGGCTCGAAAGGGGTGCCGACGCAGAAGTCAGGTCCAAGGTTCCAGTAACCAATAGGGAGCCGCACAGTATTGATGCCGATGCTGGAGAGGTAGTGGAAGTCGACGGGGGTGATGAACGAGTCCCAGTGGCGTTCCAGCAGCGCGCGAGCAGACTCGGTAGATCCCCAGCCAGAGGCGATATCGATTTCCGAGAGCATAGATCCAGCAGCACAGGTAAAGAGAGAGGGCACCATCCAGTTCTCGTGGACGAACCTGCATGGCGAATGAGCGTGAGATTTGCGAAGACAAGTTAATTGAAGGATGCCCACCAAGATCCTAGGTTGACGGCCTGCTGCTGCCGGTAGCGGTACACATTGGCTTTCGCCGCATCGAAGAGTGGAAAGTTTTGAACGGAGACGTCACCAGGGTCGTAGGGTTGAACTGAGCAGTCATGGTCCGGAGCGACTCCGAGATTCGTCCAAGGCAGCGGGTATATGGCGTCGCATTCTACCCCACAGGAGCGATCTTCTGCTGCTAAAGGGTGCAAGGCTCTCGGAGTCAAGCTGAGCGATTGTAGGAGAACGGTGAAGTTTCGGGGAGAGAAGACCATTTCGTGGGGTTCAAATGAAGGAATGCAGGCGGAGGGAAAGGCGATGTAAGCAAGAACGGCGCAGCCGGATGCAAGGAGAGACTCGAGCCCAGGACACTGTTCCTGAGAGTCAGGCTGGAATTCGACTGATGGCTGACGACGTGGCTGCCACCCATCCAAGCGCCCAGTGCCCATCTTTCGTCTCGACCGCAACTCCGGCCTTCGCTGGATGAATGAAACACACCCGGCCGCTCGACGACCACCCAGAGCTAGTGCTGATTGAAGCTTCAGCATGGCGCGAGTATAGGGTGCACACGAAAGCCAGCCAAAGGTTGAGTGTCGGCCACTTCTGGTTCGATGGGGTCGTCGGTCTCGCCCTCGCCTACTTTTGGTCTTGGGTACGCTGGCGGTTTAGGGTCCAGAGGAACGATGTACTGATGTCTGATTCGCAGGCCATTGCTAGCAAGCTCAAAGTCGCCGTGACTACCGCCAGTCTGCTCGCATACGTTCACTCTCGTCTGACGCAGGTGATCTGGGGTACGGCTTCTGTTGTGTGTGCTAGATGCCCTCACTGATATTTTGTGTACCCCCAGAGTCGGTTGTGATTTTTCCGTCTCTCGGTATACAACTCGAGACACACCGGGGGCTTGGGGGCTTCTCCCTAACAGCCTCGCGTACCTTCATCCCCTGGTCCGCTTTGGAGGACTTCCTCATCAACGAAGGTATCCGCGGCTGGGACATACGTTACTACCTCGTCGCCATCACCCGCACCTCGCAGGGACCTGTCAGGCTCGAGGTGGCTTTCGAGGTCGGTCCCCTCACTCGCACAGCAATGCACATCTGCTCACTCGACCCACAGAACATCCTCCCTCGCTTCCGCATCCTCCACGAGATATACCATGGCGTACAGGACGCCCTGCGCACAGAAAGTGAACGAGCATCAGATACAGAAAATTAGCTCTGCGGCCCGCGCACTCTACAGCAACGCGCGCGCGGCGTCCGACAATAAATACAGCTGTATGGTTACGGTTGAGATGTGTAGCAGTGTCTAGTTCGTTTGTGTATCATGGAACGTGGGGGTCATGGCATGTCGACGATGGGGTTGCTATACACTCAGCAGCGGCCCTCCGTCCTCCCCTCAGGCCTTCACGTGTCCTCGCTCTCGTACGCGCTCAGCAGCTCGCTGTAGCCCTCGTCGTCGCCTTCGACCGCCGCGCTCTCCCGTTTCTTCGGCTCCCGCTCTGCAGACACCTTCCGCTGCCTACCCTCGCTCGAGATCTTGCGCGACCGACCCTCCGTCGAGACTTTGCGGGTCCGCGCGAAAACTTCGCCCTCGCGGCCCTCGCCCGCGGACACCTTGCGCCGCCGGCTCCGCGGGGACGGCGGCATTGCAGGCGGCGCGCCCACGGTCTCGTCGAACGTCTGTGCGCGCGGCGTCGTCGCCACCGTCCCCGTCTCGCTCTCGCCCTCGTCAAGCGCAGGGACATCGAGGCTGCTCCCCACCGCAGGCTGGCCGGGCAGCGGCGGGACGGGCCCGGGGTTGCTCCGGGAGTTGCGCATGGACTGCAGGCGCGGCGGGAAGCGCTTCCGGCGGAGGTTCGCCCGCGCGGAGGGCTCCGTCGCGGATGAATCGGACGCCTCGCCTTCGCGCTGCGTGCGCGAAAGCGTCGCGGTTCGACGTGCGAGGAGCTTGCCCTCGTGCGCGGGCAGGGCGGCGTACGTCGGCTCGCTCTCGTTGAGCACGACGGAGCCGCGTTGGCGCTGCGACTCGGGCTGCTTGACGCGGACTTCCGTCGTCGTTCCGTCGGCCTCGGGCGTGCCAGGAGGCGGTGGGGACGGGTTGGTACCGGGCGAGTCCGGACTCCCTTGGGCAACGTGGGAGTTGTCTTCGGGCGCGGACTCGTATGCGGGCAAACTCTTGGACGGCTTGGGTGGAGTGGGCGGGCTCATCGAGCTTCGGGAGCCGGCGCGTCTCGAAGGAGCCATGGGCGATGGAGACTTGTTCCGGTTGATGGGAACGATCCTGCTCCCACCGTCCGACTCCCAGTCCGATCGAGTGTCTCTCTTCCTCGGCGTGAACTCCGAGGGCGATAGAGACGAGACCGACGACATGGACTGCCGGTTCCCCACATTGACTGACTGCGAGCGTACGCTTTCGGCCCACTTCGAGTCCATAGAAGGCGAAATGGGTGACCGCGCAGGGGAGCTCGTCAAGAGAGAGGTGGAGTTGAGCAGCAGTGGGCGGGGGCCGGAGTGAGAACGAGGAGGGATGCCATCGGGGGGCATGAACGCCGAGGACAACGACGCCCGGTGCCCAAACCCAGAGTCCGACACCGGTGACGGCTCCCCACTGCGGCTGATGGGCGAGGGGATCATGATGCTATCCCGCACTGGTCGAAAGAAGGCTGGCTTAGCAGGCGGGGTGTACGTCTTGTCCATGACGGGCAAAGAGCCCCGTTTCTCGTCCGAGGCCCTGAATGAGGTCTGTATTGTGGTGAGCGAGATGCTCCTGCTGTGATCTGTGTAACCCACGGAGGCTGTCGACTGAGAAGATGAAGCAGGCGGAGCGTCGCTGGTAGGAGCCGTCCCTCGGTTGCTCCACGCGTCGAAAGCCTTCACTCTCCAGTTGGTGCTGACCTTGGCCAAGGTGGCTGCAGCGTCCGAGTTCTGGAACTTCTCCGCGTAGCCGAAAATCATCGAAGTACCACGGGCGGCTGCGTTAGCCACCGCTTCCCGTGGAGGAACAGCGGGTGTAGAAGTTGAAGAAGGTGACGGTGAAGGTGGCACAGAAGGCGCAGGCGACGCAGTGGGGGTCGGTTGCGGAGAAGGGACATCCATCGCGCTCCGGTTCGTTACACCTCGCCACACGGTGTTTGCTAGGCGTGATGTGAACGTTGACTGCGCGCCGGAATTCGGTGGGGAAGCCGTCGTCGGTTCTGGTCTTTCATCCTCGCTTTCCTCCATCTCGCTTTCGTCGGTCTCCTCTGGATGAGAGTCCAGGTTGGAAGACCAAGTCTTCCACATCGTGTCACGAAGTCGTGCGCCCAACCCGGCGGCCGCACCATTGGACCTGGGTGCCGCAATGGCTGCCTGGCGCTGCTGCGTGAGATCGTAGGCGGTTTGAAGCACCTTCTCGATACCACCGATGGAGCTTAACGGATAGCGCTGGAGGTACGACATGCCTTCGATGAAGGCCTCCTCGAGCTCGCGTTCCCCGAAGGCATCGGAGGGAATGGCGGCAATCTCATCGGACCAAAGGTTGTGCGTTTTGCGATGTGATCGGCCCAGCCTACCGTCAAATATCAGCAGTTGACCACGAGACGTTCAGAGTGAACTTACTGCAGCAGTGTGCCTCGAGCACAGATCAACATACTCGTACAGACGTCCAGGAGATATTCAAGCTTCGGAAGCGACTCTCGTTCCCGCATAGGCTGAGCGAAGAGTGCATCCCAGATCATGAGAACCGCAGGCAGCGGTAGTGTATGAGTGAGTAAAGGAATGAGCCAACGGCTACGATGGCTGTTAGCAACAAAACCACACCGGAAGGTAGATAAGAACACACAAGGAGTAATGCGGAAGACCGGGATCGAGTCCTTTGATAGACTATATGTAGAAAGTTAGCCGGAAGGTGGGAATCAGTCAAATTACCACCCACCATGTCATCCCACAGCTCGGGGTCGGCCCATTGGAGCCGTTCGCTGAACCTTTTCACCCACACGGTGCCGTTCTGTTCGTCTTCGAGCTCCGAAAACTCGCCCACCATCGCCTCGAACAGCCAAAATGTGTCGGCTTCGATATGTGGGATTTCGTTCGGATCAACCTCCTCCACCAGAGCAGCATAGATCGGGACAAGAAGGGAACCAATTTGAGGAGAGCGATTAGCAGGGTTCAAGCAAGCGTGGATATACAAGAGTCGGAGCAGAGCCGAGGTGTGTGTGTTGTGGGCACTAAACGAGTTATATGGCCTCGACGGCAGGAGGGTGGTGGAGAGGGCGGAGCGACTAGATGAAGGGGAGTCGGGCACTTCGAGGGACATCTGCGCCTTTTTGCGCTCAACTGGGGAAGCCTCTTCGAGGCGCACTTCTGGAGTGGCATCCAAACGAATCTCGGGGGTCGAGTCTAGCCGGATCTCAGGCATCTCGTTCGAGTCGTCGTTGGTGTCCTCTCCTGCGTCCTGGCTTCGAAGGATCTTGAGCCGGGCTTCCAAGTTACCAGCAGCGGCAATCTTGACGTCTGCTGAGGCAGACTCGTCCAGCGGACATTCGGCACATGGCTCGGGCTCTTCTTCCAACGTGACAAGAAGGCCAGGTGGCACCATGGACAGTTCATTGAAGACGTCCAAGATAGATTGGTCAGTCGGCGACAGAGGGACTGTGGGCGCAGGCAGAGAAGAGAGCGGCTCCAGCAATCTCCGAACTAGATCCTGGAGATAATATGTTCATTGGCCTGGCAAAGCAAGACAATAGGTCGACTCACGTAATAATTGTCCCGTTGTGTGCCGGCTTCCTTCCGCCATGTCGATTTGTCGAGAGGTAAGGTGCCGAGGAAAAGCCTGATCATCCTCAATAAACTCACTCATCGAAGAATGTACTTTGACCTACTTCCAGACTCGCGGACGCAACCACGGAGGATGTGAAGGAAGACCTGTCTCATCGTGAGCAATGCTCTGTAACGCGTGCGGATCCAAGTCCGGACTTACCGTGAGCGCAGAGATTGCGTAGGTTCTCTACGTTCACCACGGAAACGATCTCTGGGTCCACAATGGGAGAGATGGCGTTCACCCTGACCAGTGCACGGGCTCTTAGCCCCGCGCAGCGTAGCATGTCCCATAAATAGATACGCACTTTTGCTGGGGCGACAAGTCGGGGTACCACTGCACGTTGTTCGCCCTCGCGATCTGGTAGAGGTACTGGTCGAGCGCCGCCGCGGTGGGTGGAGGCGCAGCGACCGCTCGGAGGACCTGTGCGGCGTAGTGAAGAAACGGACGGACGCCGAGGGGTGGAGAGACGCACCCGCGAAGAAACGTGACTGTCCTCATTCTCTACTGCGGATCGCGCAAAATCCGGGCCCAACGCGAAGACAAGGAACTCCCGGACGTGCTGGAGGTCTGGGGGATGCAGTGGCTGAGCGTCCCGACGTGCACAAGCTCAGACGGGCGGGCGCACCTTTCGACTCGACGTGGGGGGCGGCGTAGATGATGCTTGAGGCGGCCTCCGCGACAATCGGGCTCGGGGCATCCCTGCACGCATGGACGAGCACATCACAAACAGAACCAGGCGAGCGAAGCGGTCTCAGCGCAGGGAACTCAGCCGGTTCAATCGGGAAACACGCACCGCCGCTCGAGCTCGTGCATGTGCCCGAGGATGACGCCAACGTGCATCTCCAGGGTCTGCATGAGATCACTCTTGACGTCCTGCCGGATGAGCTTCTGCGCCTTGGCGCGCGCGAGGGCGACACTGCCCTGCGAGAGCAGGATCGCGATGTCCCGCTGCGTGAGCCGGCCCTGGGAGTCCATCCGGTCCTGGAGCTGCCCTAGCCTCTGTGCCGTGTACCGCAGGTGGGACTGGGTAGTAGCACGGTGTCAGTGCCAACCCACAGTGCAGCGAGCCATGGAGGCGGCGGCGACGCACCTTGACCCGTCCCGGCTCCCATTGCCCTGCCATCTTCGGCGCCTTGAGGAGGGGATTATGGCCGTGTTTAGGAAGAAGAGAGGATTATGGCCGTGTTTGGAAGGAGAGGAGAAGGGAGTGAGACGATGTAGGGAGTGGAGGGCGTCAGGACATAAGAGAGAGTCGTGCGAGTCCGTGTTCTAGCCGAGGGTCGGGAGAGATGTGAGTGTGCCCAGAAACGCACGTGGCACGGGACCCCTCCTATACTGCATTACCGCCTGGCGCCCACGGCGACGTCGCAGCATCATAGTCAATCTCGCCGCAGGGATGCGATCCATCGGCAACAGACTGGGTCCGGTTTCACAGCATGTGCGTGTTATATTGTTACTACAGTTAGGGGTGGCGTATCGATACAGTGTGAATGCAGTATAGTAATAAAACATCAGTACGCCCACGGGGCGGGTTTGGAGAGTCTTCCTGAAGACCCTGGGGAAGGCGAGTCGTGACCGTCGTTTTCGAGCAGCGTGGGCAGCTTTGGGATTAATCGGGAGGAGTGACGTGAGTGATGCGGGGTGGGTGGCGACTTGAGTGGCGAGGGCTGCACGGATGGTGGACGAGACGACGTGGAGGGCATGGCTGACCTAGGTGAGCCATATGACAACGACGTTTGGGAGTAGACAGAGTTCTGCGAAGCGTAGCGAGGTCGATTCGGCGGCGGTGGTTGGGAGGTGCGTTTGGGAATGGCCAGCGGTGGAGGCCGTGGTCGAGATGGAGACGGCTGAAGCGGCATTGGTATCGACGGCTGGATGGACGCAGATAGCGACGGATGACGAGGTCCGGTCGCCGACTGCAAGCGGGGTACCGACGGCTGAAGCGACATCGACATTCGAGGAATGGATGTCTGGCGCTGGTATGGCGGCCTTTGCATAGAAGCCCGGGCAGCTTGCGGCGGCGCCACTGGCATGAATACTTGAGGTGTGTGATATTGCGAAGGCGACTGGTTCAGCCACAAGGGCCTGCCAAATTGCGCGTTTGATACTGGACCTGGAGCCGTTCGAGGGGTGTCCAGCAGTGTCGCGGAGCTACCGCTACTGTCGGACCCGGAGCCCATGGTCTCAGACACGGCTGACGGACGTCGGGATGATGGCACCATCATGGGTAGCTCCGATAGACGCTTTTCTGGATCCTCCCATTCCGTCACCATGATCTTGGTGGGCTTCGGGCGTAGACAATACATGACTGCCAGGTACGCAGAATACCATACCACTATACGTCCGCCCCATTTCATCAGAATGAACCATAGCACTCAGGCCCACAGGTACTCACGGAGCATTGGTACAACCCAGCTCAGTATTAAAATGACCGTGTTGATGTTGGCGCAAGTGGCGCGTTGCGGCGCTGGAACAACCACCATATCAGCAACGACGATTGATGGCCAAGGCAGCGCAAGGAACACACCCGGCCGCGGGCACACAAACGTCCCGTTCCACGCAGAGAACAAGATCGCAGGGCCTGCCATAGACACAACGTCCGCATCAGTATCATGTCCAGCGCGCACCCCATCTGGACCTGCCGAGACGTACCGACTTGAGCAAAGAGCAGTAAGAGCAGCCTGGCCCCGTCCAACCACGGCCGGAACGTAACGAGCATCCTGTACTAGCGTCAGACTACGCATGACGCGCTGTTAGAGACAGCTGTACTCACAAACACGGCAACGTGATGGCCGTCAAGGCGTTCACGAGGATGAGGACGCCAACGAGGTTTCCTGGTGAAGGAGCGGCGGGAATTCGCATGATGAGAACGCGTGGTCAGAGAGTAAACAAGGTGCTCACGTTGAGTTGGGTCCGAGCTGTCGAACAGCACGAAGAGCTCCACAGAAAGCAGGATTGTCCACGTCAGGCTCAGGAGGGTGCCAATCGCTTCGGATAGAGATGAGAGGGAAGAACATGCGCAGAGAACAGGAGCACTCACAGAACACCCATGCCCTCGCCTTGTAGAAACCATCCCACATCGGAGTCGGGACATCGGTCATGAATCTTGCGGGGGCGTGAACTGGTAAGGAGTGTGTGCGTCCAGCGTCGAATCTGAGTGGTGGTGGGGCGTAACGGCAAGTTATGTGGAGTCGAGCGGATGAAAATGGATACTAGAGCACGAGGCTGCCAGCAGATAGCTTGGATGAAGCAGAAAGAGGGGAGGTCGTCAAGACCAGTCTAACGTCTAATGAGGACACGAGGCAGAAGGGAGCACACAGGCCCGGTCTGGTGAGGACAGACAGAAGGAGGGGGACAAGGTGGTCTCGAGGCGAGAGCGCGCCAGCCACATGCACTATTATGCTAGGCAAGGCCATTGGACGCGTGCGAATGGAAGCGGACGTCGACGCGTTTGTTGTGGAGAACAAAGAGACCTCCCGCCGTACTGGCGCTCAATCGGTGTCCGCAATGCGCATTGTCCTCACGTGATGGAATAGATTAGACGCCATAACTTTAAGTTTATGTACTCGACGCTTTCGTGACGTCAGTGACAAGACAGACGCCCACTCCGGAGTCTGGACAAGATGTGTACGACGGTGGAGTCTAGGGTTAAAACGCGGAGTGCGGCCACACGGCGCATAGAAGGGGCAGTGGTTAACTACAGGGACCATTTTAAGTGCAGAGGCAACGACGAAGAGCATGGCAATCGTCACTCCGTCAGTCCCAGCCAGTGGCGCGCAAAAGGTGCTCCAGCTGCGAGGGTGCGTCGACCGGATCGCGGATTATACACATACGATGCGTGATATACTACGTAAATCTGTCTGTCTGAGAGTGTATGTAGGTACTTAATGATACAATATGGGTGAGAACGGGAGCGCTGCCTATGCGTCGGTGAGACGAGGAAGGGTCGCATATATGCGTCGGAAACAGGTAAGTGAGGGAAAGGATTCAACGACGGCAGTTAAGGTTGGAAGAATGCAACGATGATACGTGAGGAGAGGCGGCTGTGAGTCGTGTACGATAAGTTATGCAGTGATCTATGTGCGACCTTCGAGGTCTGCTGACCGACCAGGCAGCCAACCGGGGTCCGGCTTGGGTACATGTGGCAGGACGATCGCGCGGAAGTGCGGTGACGTCGGGAAGGAGGGTGCCGTCTTCCCATGCCGCGACCTTGCGAGCCCAGTGCATACCTAGGCGTGCCAGGATGAGCTCGAGCGATATCGTGACCACCGCGGATCATGCCAACATCACGTCAACACGCGGGCCGTGCGGGGCCCAGTGAAACTGCCCCCGAAGGACAGGGCTGTTCAGCTTTGTGGAGGTGGTCTTGAGAATGTGGTCCCGGTGCGCTCCAGGCTTGGTGGTATGACCGTCGTAAACATTTGTGGCGAAGGACCAGGCGGCGGATGAACAGTGGGTTCGATGAACGAGCGCACGTCGTGTGAACCGTCGTGCGCCAGCTCTCGAGCTAACGCAGCGGTTCTTTCCGCGACGTCATCGTCTGTGCCGCCGAGGTTATCTGCGAAGCGAGCGGTCCAATCAGTACGCGGCCCCAATGAACAGGTGACGGCAGGCCGGCGCAAGTATTTTCGGTCAAAGCACTCACTCGAAATCAGACCAATGAGTCGCGACGCCCGGATCCGTACGTCGACGATTGGGTCCCGGACAAGTGCCGACAACGTGTCCCAGAACCCCGCGCTGCCAACCACCACGTCGCCGTGCCCGCTGGCCAGTAACTCTTGGACGCACATCACATACGTGGTGCGCCTCCGGGAAGTAGAATCAGTGGCCAAACTCCTGATCTCTTTGCGCAATGCGTCCAGAGACAATGGAGACATCTTCCACGCCTCGACAAAGCGAGGGAGCTGGGGAGCTCGGTCAACGCCTATTTCCATGCTTAAGAAGGAAGACCAACGTACCACGGACACGACGGCCTCTCTGACAGCGGCTATCCGGTCATCCAGTGCCTTGTACAACATCTTCAGGAGCACCTCAGGCTCGATCCCCTCGACCTGCACCAGTTCCCCGAGCGACTTTGCGGCGCCTTCGCGCTCCCTCCATGTCGACAGCTTCCCAGACGCAAGTGCCTCCTGGAGCATTCTCGCGGCTTCAGCCCGCTCTGGCGAGGCGACGGCCTTGACAAATGTGTGCATAATCTCGACGACTTTCATGCGCACCTCGCTCTCATCCGCGTACAGACTCGAGCGTAGGACGTCCATGAGGTCCGCTCGCGCGTGCTCCGTGCCGATGATCTTGGCGATTTCGCCGATGGACGCCGCCAGAGTCCTCCGAACCTTGAAGTAAGGGTCTTGCGAGAGGGCGCGGTAGAGCGAGCGCAGTTCGGGCCAACGCTTGCGTCCGAGAGTCTGCGCGACTGCGGGGTAGTTGAATGCGCAAACCAGCGGGCGTTGCGGATCGTCATAGATATCTGGGCCAACACCGTTGTCGGTACCATAGTCACTCCAGGCGGAGCTCGTGGGTGTGGCAGCTGTCGGAGGACCAGGGGAGCGGACGTCTTGAGGCGAGCGCGGTAGGCCGGACTTGTCACTGTCTGGTGTACCGCCTGGATCTTGCGTCTCCCTGACGCCAAGGAACAGCTGGAGCAGCTCGTCCGGTGGGCCGTTTTCGTCATCCGCGAAGGTGTGCATGACCTCGCCAAGAGCCTCGAGAACCGCAGACCTCACGGCCGTCTGCTCATCTTGCGAGAGGGGGAGGATGACATCTAATGCAAGCTTCCAACGGTGGTTCGGCTGCAACCTTGACAGGATGGCGGGGAGAGCAAACAGGACCGAGTGACGAACGTGCCATGTCGAATCGCGGCACAGAGACTCGAACAGCGGCAACTAAGCACCGCATGAAGGTAAGGAGCGGCGACTGATAGCAGAGCAGGCGAACGCACCAAAATCGACGTGACAACATCCGTAGACACCACCTTGGCCAGCGCCCCAACAGCAAAGCTCGCCTCCCGCCTCACCCAGTACAGCGGGTCGCGGCCGACGCGCTCTACCTCCGCAACAAACATCATCTTGGTCTCCTCGCTTATAGCGCCTGTACAGAACGCACATCAGCCCAAAATTCTCGCAGACACCGCCCGTGACGTACCGCTCGCAGTGACTGCGGCCATCAAGCTCATGCTTGCCAGCCTTCCCACTGCCGCCTCCTCACTCAAGTCTCCTGACAATGACCCAGTCTCCTCCGCGCCTTGCAGTTCCATCGGGGCCGTCCGCGGGCTCGTCCATCCCGCCCTGCGTGATGGCTGCTCACGTGCGGGGCTCGCCGATGGCAGCGCGATCACCTGAAGGATCGGGAAGCCTGTGATCGGCGATGTGGGCTCTGTCGACGTGGCCGCGGGCGGTGGCGGCGGCACTTCGAACGGCGGCGTTGTCGGGAGGGCGTGCGCTGTGGCCCACGTCATGGCACTTGAGGGCATCCAATCCTGCTGAGGAGGAGGCAGATCGATCTTCATCTCCATGCGACCGAGCGTTGCGTTCGCTCCTGGGGCGTCGAGGTCCATGGGCTCTTCGCTGGGAAGGGCATCTACCAGAGATATGTCAAATTGCTCGGACTCGATTGAAAGCTCGGGTGCGTCTGGATAATCGCCAGAGGTTGAGGATGTTGATGACGTCAGTGAGGGCGTTGATGACGACGAATGACCGGGCGACCCCTGACAGCGACGATGTGGCGGAGACAGGCGGGGAGGGAGAGAGGTGGGGGGAGAGCGTTGTCGCCGTGGACACGGCCGGCACCAGCTCAACATTTGGCAATGCCGGCGGAACTGCGCTAGCAAAAGGCTCTGGGGCAGGAGCTAGGACAATGGGTACGACAGCTGGGAAGTAGGAGTCGATCTCGGCAGCGGCTGGCGCGTGTGCTTGGGGCGTCGGAACAGCTGTAGAAGGTCCCGAGTCCGCGTCATCCGCTTCTGCTTCCTGCGGTTCCTCCGGGGTGTTTTCTTCGAGGTCGAGCCGTCCCATGCCGATAACGACCTGGTACACGAGTTCTTGTTCTAAGAGCCTCCGCTGCTCGCGCTGGAACAGACCGACATTGAGCGTAGCGTCGTGCTCAAGGTACTCCTGCTGCGACGGCGTAGGGCTGCCGCGCGAGCGCGACTGCCCAGGCACTCGCTCCGATGTCGGACCCGCGAACTCCCTCGTCCCGTCCTCGCGGTCGTCCGCGCGCCGGAGACGCCGAAGGAGCTCCACGACTGCGTAACGGGCAGAACCACCCACGATGCCGTTGGGACTGAGCAGAAGCGTGCCTAGAATAGGAGTGAAGACCTGGACCGGCACTTCTATGGGCGCCTCAGGGTGGACGTCACGGATAGCGTCTTCGCTGGGAAAACCGGCGCTCGGGCCAGTAGAATGCCCGTCGAGCTGCGGAGTGAGAGGTCGCGGGAAGGAGCCCCGCTCAGAGCCAGGGGAAGCATTCGACGACAGCGGGGTGGGAGCGGGAGGCGACGGCAGCGCAGAGTCGTCGTCCACGAGCTTGCAGTGGGTGACGAACCACCAGATGATGGGCACGAGCTCGGCCGCTAGCGCTTCCTTCACTGACTCGTCTGGTTGTCAGAACGCCATACGTAGCATGATCCGCGAGAGTGTTCCATCGCATCCACGCGCAGGTAGACACACCGCCGGACGGCAGTCGATAGATCGAAACAGGCGGCAGCAACGCAGAGGACGCGCGCGATCAGATTAACGGCAAAAAGGTTATAAGAAATGAGCAACCCGCGCTGATGTCACGAGGAAACCGGGGGGACGTACCGTCATCCATCGCCAGCCGGCTCAGAAGCGGAAGGACATACACGATGGCTTCGCCCGGCGTGATTTGCTCGATGACCTCTCGGCTCAACAGTTCGCCACCCGACACCTCGCTGCCGAGCAGGTAGCCAGGCAGTGCATGAGCGATGAAGACCCTGTGGAAGCTAGCTTGGCTCTGCGAGAAGAGGTAGATTTTCTCGAGAGCGCTACATCCATCCGTGTCAAAGTCGCCGAAGTCAATGCCATCAAGATCAGACGCCGGTACGAGTAGGTCGACGGCGTTGCCGGGTGTCGGGGTCTCCAACGGCGCCGCCGTAACAGCGTCGGGAGACGTCGAGCCGGCGGGGCTGGCGATGGATTGTCGTGGGGGCGAGAGAAGCGGGGGCGAAGGCGTTGAAGTTGATGCCGTGGGGTGGGGAGGGGGAAGCGAAATCCGGAGGGTGGTTTGGGTGGGGGAGCTCGCAGAGCTAGAGAGGGCCGCAAGAGGGATGAGCTCACCAGACTCCCTACGCTTCGTTGTGGTGTCCTCAACATACCGCAGATGAGGCGGGGGGAGAGTTGGGGGCTGCGAGCCCTCTGGGGAGTGGGAGCCGGAGGCGTGCGGCAAGTGCTGCTCGAAGGGATTTGAGGAGCTTCGCGGGGAAATGTTCTCGAGCGGGTTGGAACGCTGCTCCGAGGGCGATGACTTGACATGGAGGGGAGATAGGTTCGCGCGGGTGATGGGGGCAAACGGACCGATGACGGGTTGAGGGGAGAGTGTACCGATGCCGACGCCATGGAGGGAGTACGGGCGGTTGTCGAGCGGCGGGGAACCGATGGGCACAGATTTCGGGGAGGAAGGGGGAGAAGGATCGGGAGCGTCATCTTCTGCGGCGGGCTGGGTCGGGGTGGAGGAAGCTCCGGAGGCGCAAGAGGACGAGCGGGAGGCGTCGGAGGGAGGGTCGGAAGGTGGGACTGGGGATGACATGAACAGAGAAGGGAATAAGAAGGAGAGCAAGATTCCCATGTAACTGGCAACGGCGCGGCGACAGAACGTGGTCAGCGAGGGTGCAGGCGGAGCAACGGGGCGACCGAGGCGGCGGGGGCGGGGAGGGACGGAGAAGGAAGCAGGAGGGGAACGGGGGAGGAGAAGGAGGAGGAGAAGGAAGAGAACAAGGCAAGATGGTGGGGGAAGGGGGGCGGACTTGGGCCGGGACGGAGGGAGAAAAGGGAGGCGGTTAGGGCCGTGCACGAGGGAGAGAGCGGCACGGGGGGAACGAGGAGGAGGAGGAAATGACGCAAGAGCGTTGTGGCTGGAGAGAGGACCGGGCGGCGAGCAACGAGCAGGGTGGGGGCGGCGGTGGGTGCAGCATACAGTGCAGCGGGTCGCGTGTCGGCGCACACAGGGTCGGGGGGGCGTGCCTGCGAGAGGGCGAACACGGAGGGGACGGGGGACGGGGGAGCGGAGGGTCGTGGCCGGTGGAGGCGTACAAGCGCATGCACCACGGGTAGGCGGCGACGGGCGACAGAAGAGGACGGGCAGCGGGCGGAGGAGAGCGCAGCCGGGCGGGGAGAGAGAGCATGAAAATGATGGGGAACGATCCATCTCAACCCTTGCCGTATGATGTCACTGCTCCTTTTTCGGCCCCAATAGGTCTAGGCTGCCGTCCAGGCACACATAACGTCATTTCCCACGCCCTCTAATCTACACTTCGTATGAACCTTGTTTCCTGCCTTTCCTGGCCGGTGCCACCCGTCCCCCGACGCCCGCCCTCCGCGACCGGCAGCTGCCTAGAGCATGCCCCGGACGGCCTTGTCGAGCGACTCAGCGAAGTAGCGGATGTTGTGGCTGTTCAGCCCGGCCATCGAGATGCGCCCGTTCTGGGTGAGGTAGATGTGCGCCTTCTCCACAATCGCCTGGCTCTGGCTCGGGTTAATCCCCGTGAAGCTGCAAACAAGCAGGGTGTCAGCCCACACGCCATCCCACACCCGACCCCCGTCTGCCTGCTTGATTGGCACCCCCGCCCGGCAGCCCGCCCGGCACGGTGCCAAACATCATTCGCCCGCCCACCATCAGCTTCTCCCCGACGGCCTCTCTTCCAGCGGATGATGCCCCACCCCCGTTCGTGTTCCACATTGTCCGCCGCCCGCCGGCCTGTGGCTCCTGCCTCGCCCCCTCTCTCCGCAGTCTGCCACACCTCGACCTCCCCATCCGCGCGTGAGCCTATTTCGCCTACCACCCCTTCCCGCACTCGCCCCATGTGAACATGCGTCATACGCTCGGGTTCGACGACCGCCCATCCCGGACCTCAGCCGCAGCGCACGCGCCGTGAGGTTCCCCGGTGTCTCCAGGCCAATTCCGCAGGCACCGGCCGCTCGTCGTTATATCCAAGCACCGCAGAAACAGCGCCCATTCCCCGCACCACAGCCGAAAGCACGTACCTGAACATTCCGATCTGGTTCAGAATGTGATCCCAATTTCCGGGCGTCTTGAGCTCCTCGCTCAGCAGCCGGTGCAGCTCCTTGCGCATCTCGATGATACGCCCGGCCATCGTGCGAATGTCCTCCTTCCAGGCCTCAAACAGCTCCGGCGTGTTCAGGATGAGCGACACCTAACGCCCCGACGATCACCACCCGCCGTCGTGGCGCCCCCCACCATCAGCTCGATGAACGGCGGTTTCGAGTCCATCTCGGAGCAAAGCACGCACCAGACGTGCGCCGTGTGCCGGCGGGTTGCTTATCTCCGAGCGAGCGAGCACCGACAGCTGGCTCTTGACCCGCGTCGCGCTCTCCTTCGAGGGCGACACAACGTGCAGCGCTCCGACGCGCTCGCCGTACAGCCCGGCGTTCTTGGCGAAACTCTGGAAAATTGCGCGTGACATGAGATGGGCGTCTCGCCCCACGGGGTCGCTAATGAACGCGATCGGACGCACCTGGCAGACAAGCAGCGGCACGTCCCGCCGAACGAACTCGCGCACCGCCCACGCATCGTTGTCGAGGTCGCCGCTCGCGAAGCCCTGGTAGGCGGAGTCGAAGAACACAAAGTGGCCCTTCTCGAGCATGACGTCCGCGATCTTGCTCCATTGCTCGCGCGTGGGGTCCACGCCCGTCGGGTTGTGCGCACAGGCGTGGATGAGGAAAACCGAGCGGGGGGGTGCGCTCTTGAGAGCATCCAGGTAGGGCTCGAACGCGAGGCCGATCGTCTTCGGATCGTAGTAGGGGTACGTCGAGACCTCTACGCCGACGAGCGGGAAGATCTGGTGGTGGTTGACTACATAATCCGACGTGAGCCTCGGAGGATTCGAGCATTCCGTAAAGCCAGTGCGGGGAAGATGACCGCCACCCGCTAAGGTCTGGAGATTAGGGAGCAAGGACTCACCCCATGTGGGATCACTGACGTACACGCGCTTGCCATTCCAGTGGTAGAAGCGGCTGAGGAAGAGAGCCCCGAGGTGGTTCGCTCCCGTGCCCGAAATGGTCTGCACGCTTGTGATACGATCTTCGGTAACTGCGGGCGAGTCCGCGCCGAAGATTAGACGCGCAGCCGCGGAAGTGTATTCCGGCAGCCCGGTGATGGGCAGGTATTCATGGTCGAGTGCGGGGTCATTCACGAGGATTTCAGTCGCCTGTCGTCGTGACGCCGTATGAGTGACCGCAAACGACACAAAGCAGCGTGGAAGTGGGGCGGGTGTATGCGCAGGACAGCCGAGAAACAACAGCGCACCTTCTTCACAACAGGAAGAACCCAGGGCTTGTTGTCGTCATCGCGGTACGCGCCAACACCCAGGTTGACCTTCTGCGGGTAGGTGTCCGCCTTGTACGCCGCAGTGAGCTTGAAGATGCTACGATGTGGAGCTCAGCGCCCTGGACCGGGTGAAAGGCAGCGAATCACGTACGCGTCCGGGGGCGCGAGAGGAACCTCGTCCCATTTCTCTGAAAGACTCGTTTATTCCCATCCATCCGAATCCGACCCATGCCAAACCCACGACGCACCGGCAGTGATCGTTCCAGACATGATAGACTGCAGGTGATTCTTTACTTGCGTTAATCTGGCGGCCATGTTGGAAGCGCGCGTCCGCAATGCGGGAGGAGGTAGAATGCAAGCAAGGAGTGGTATCGGGTGAGCCCGCGCCGGATGCGGTGTCTAAAAAGCATGTCGCCTCACCTGTGCTTTCACAGTTGGCTCGGAGGAGCGATCTCAGCACGGTGCCGACGCACGTGAAAGCAGTGGGTTATTCCGGAAAGGGCTGCGAGCGCGCCGGCGGTGAGCAGACGGTCGCGACGGGCCTGAAACAGATAGGGACTAACAAACGATAAGTCGTGGCGAGTGCGGGGGCGGGAGGCGGGAGGTCGAAGTGAGGTGGGGGCATCGGATCGCCGTGAAACCGACTCTTATACTGGCACGGCCCGGAAGGGCGATTTGACATCTTGTCTACCATCTATCGGAAAGTGGGGATATAGCGTGACCCCGCACACCCACCCGCACAATTTCCGGCATCCCCGCAGTGCAATGAGGCGAGGCTCGTTACCGCGATGCGCAAAAGCCTCGTCCGCTACTCGACCATCGCGTCTCCTGTGTACGTCCCAACGCAGAGCCTGGTGACAACTCAGGCCCGCCGAACGTCGTGATGGACTCCGTGCGAACCCCAGCCTGGGCTTGTGTAGGGCCGCCCCGTGGGCAGAGGGCGACGAAGAAAAGCGGAGTTACGCGAATCGAGACTCGCCAAGGCGTGTACGAGAACTCAGAACACGGTTTCCACGAGACGGCGAGCGGCGGCAGAGCGTACAGCCATACGGACAGGAAGCCATTGAGAGAGGTCGTGAGATCTACATCGATAATACCGGAAAACTATATGAAAACATGTAAGAACACCGATGTGGCAGCGAGTGCGGGGGGGAGGGTGGAAGCAGGGAGAAAACACCGGGAGTTACGGAAGTAGGGGATGATATTATGAGGTATAGCATGCGTCCGTATGTCGTGATAGCACCGATATAGTGGGTCGTAGAGATGAGCAACAGATGAAGCCCAAAGAGGCAAACCGGAAAACGGTGACCTGAGGTGATGACCCGCACTGCAGGCCACATGCAAGATTCATGTTCGGCAGCATGCAGGGGCAGGGGGCAGGAGGGGAGGGAGAGGTGGGTCGAGCACCTATGCGGTCGCCATCTTAGACGCAACAGTCCGCTCACTCTCCAGCTTCGCCTTGTTCTTGTCGAACGCCTGTTGCCGGCAGTTGTCCAAATTCAAGCACTTGTGGTGTTCGGGCATACGGTGCTACGGAGGGAGTGAGATGAGTCAGCCAGAGATATGACCCCTCCAAGGGGAATGATACGCACGTTGCCACAGAACTCGTGAACGCAATGAGGGCATTTGCCGACGATGCGGAGGACTGCCTGGTTGCAGGGAGTCTCGTCCTGGAACTGGCAGCGCTTCTTGGCGGGCATGATAGTTGAGGAAGCGAGAGGTCGTGTAAGAGAGGACGGAGGTGGGGAGTGCGGAGCGGCTGTGGGACGGTGTCAGCCTTCAAGGAGATCCGAATGGAGCGTGAGGAGGCGGACGTACAAGACGACGAGGCGGACGGGGACGGGACGGAGGTTGTGCTCGGCGCGTAGGGGGATGGAAAGGAGTGTGGTTGGGAGGGCGAGGGCTATATATGCGGAGGGGAGGGACGCGTCAGCTCGAGAGACGGATCTGAGATCTCACGTGGAGGTGTTGCGAGAGATGGGGTGAGATCGCCTTCCCGATTCGCCTCCGAGGGGCGCTTCCGCTTACTTCCCCGCGCCCGCGCCGTCTCCTCCGACCCCCCTTCCGACCCCCGTCGCTGCGTCCCATGGTCTGTCCGCCGTGCACGGTGCACCCCGGGCTCGCCATCACCGGGTGCGCTCGCCGCGCACGATCCGCCACCGTGGCCAAACGCGGGTCCCGTGCGTCCGCTGGCAACGGCGCCCTATCTCCCCGCGCCGCTTCCTTCAGCCGCCGCCACCCCGCAGGCCCAGGGCCCCAGGGCGATGCCCGGCGACGGACACCCATGATGAAGCATTGCGTGGAGGCGCGAGCCAGCCACTGCCGCGCACCTCGCCCCATCCATCGTCTCCGCGCCGTCCACCCACGACCAACGAGGCCTCCGCCAGGTAGCCGTGTGCTCTCTGCTTCCGCGCGAGGCACTTCCCCGCCGTAATACTTGATCTTCGTCGTCCCCGACCTCCGTCGCAGCTCCCGCTCGCCGTCCGCTGTCATCTAGCAGCCGCGCCTCGGAGACGCCGCGCCGCGCCCTGGCCCCGCGGGGAGCAAGTCCAGACCGTTCGAGCAGCGAATCTTCCCCTGCATCGAGCAATCTGCGGTGGAGTATCAGGTTCCTCGGTCTGCTGACAGGCTACAGCCAGTCTTCGTCCCGCTGGCCACACGGCCTCCGCCCAGTTCTGGCCACGCACCGTACACGCTTCTTCCGCTTTGCTTCTGCTATCGCGCCGACATCAGACTTGGCAGCCCACCGGGTCGGCCATTCATCGGAGGCGCCAGCAGTCGTACAAGGTTCCTGAGGGCAACAGGATCCTAGCCAACCGGCCTTTGTGTTCCAAGAATATCCGGCGATTGCGGCGTCAAGAAAATGCTTTGACGAACTGCGGTGTAGTACTATGTAGGCTTGCATCTGAACATGTCCGAGAACGTGCAACAGGGTATGATAAGGGGTATTACTCATCGAGATGGGTACTTGCGCCCTCATATAGACCCATCTGACCAAGCGAGGTAGGTCGTCGTAGATGTAGATCCATTACTACGGGAATATGTAAATGTGATAGATAGATAAGCGGGACACAAGACATGCGCGCGACAGGAAGAACAGATTCTCCGCACCGAGGTAACATGTCAGCCCAAGTCCATGAGAATAAAGGAAAGACTACGAAAGTGTCCCAGAAGATCATAATGGCTACGGTACACTTCGGAGGCGGGAAGGCGGGAAGCCATAGCCTATTTCTTCCGGTTCTGAAGAACGACGACGGCGACGACGATAGCGATAATGATGAGGATGACAAGGAACAAGATGAAGCAGATCCAACGCTTCTTGCGGGCGGCCCGTGCGGAGTCAACTGCCTTTGACGTGTAGTTGAGACTGAAGGGGCGCATTATAAGACACGAGTCGAACATGACAGAATAGGACTCACCCAGTTTCGACATCCTTCTCGACCTCTTTCACCGTGTCGTTGATGACCGTGATCTGCTCGTCCTGTTGCTCGACTAAAATGCTCATCTGTGATTCATGTGAGACCGTGATTGGTGCACTCGGCATTTATCAGGCACGCACGTCGTTAAACAGCTGAGCGAGCTCCGTGAGTGTCTTTTCAATCTTCTTGATGTCCGCATGTCGCTCCTGCACCTCACGGTACGCCGACCGGGCCTCACCGTAACGGTTCGAGTTCATCAAGGCCTGGCTGAAGACCTGGCCGCCCTGATCGTCGTCCACGACCGCCTTGACCTCTTCGGGGCTCGCATCCGGCTTGACTGCATGCGTACGTAACCGTCAACATCTCTCCCGCGCCCTCGCAGACACATGAAAGCACGCACCAATCTTGTACTGGCGCTCGAGGCGCTGCTTGTACTTTTGGCGGTGCTGCTGCTCGACGGTCTGGTAGTTCTGGATGGCCTCCATGAACTTTTGCTTCACGAGCCCGGTCTGCTGCTTGCGGATCTCGCCGTCACGGCCGGCGCCGCCCTGCTTCTGGAGCGCCTTGACGCGCCGCTTGAGCACATTCGAGAGTGCGCTGGTGTCCGCGACGAGGTCCTCGAGCTGCTGCGCTGTCCGCTGACTCGCGGCATCGTCCGCGGTGTTGAGCGAGCGCGAGTGCAGGTCCGAGATCCGCTGAACGTTGTCGTTGAACGTCCGGATGTCGTCCTGTACCGACGAGATCTGCGTGGTCACGGCGGCGGCGGGTCAGCGTGCTGCTCAAATGAGGGTCTAGAAGCGCCGGGGAGGGAGGGGGTAGTAGAGGGGATGAGGGTTACGCATTACGCACCTCGGCGTAGAACGCCGTCATGCTGTCTCCACCAAGGTTGGTCGTGCTAGGGGCAATGGGCTCCGGCTGGTACGGGTTGTCGTCCTGCTGGGCGTAAGGGTTGGCCTGACGAGCACGAGACCGGTAGTCGTTCGTGTCCTGCATCTGGTACGCATCTCTGTCATAGCCAGCGGAAACCCCCGCACGCTGAGCACATGGCGTACTGCAAAGTGACGACACCTGGGCACTCACTGGTTACCATACCCCCCGCCGCCCTGCTGAGCCTGAACAAAAACACGCAGATCAGGGGGCTGTTACCAAAATGGCCTTGTGTAAAGAAGCTCACCCTCCGCTCGGCGAGTCTGTCTCTGGAGGCCATTGCGGGATGATAATGGGGTTGGGATTAGTGGTGTCGAGGGATAGTAGAGAGGCGGGAGGAGAGAAAAGGCGAGAACTGAGCACTCAGTGCTGCAGAGGAGAAGGGGGCGGGCGGTAAGGGGAAGGGGCGAAAGAGGTTAATAAAGACCAGTGGGCCTGCGAGGGAGGTCACTGAGGGGCAGAGGAAGGCGGTGTTGAGTTGGCGGTGTGCGGCCGCATCCCTAGTGATTGCCGCCGGCGCCTGCCCTCCCTGGGCGCAGCCGCCCCAAGCCACACGCACATTTTACAGTAACAGTGGTGAGACCGGGTCACTGGTGACGTTCCTGTAACTGTAACAACCAGACACATCTATCGTCTGCATACTATAGGCCAGCAACGTGCAAATCGCTCCCGTATCGTGTCTGTTCACTCCTCAATCCCTCTCGACTTTGGTAAGTACACAGACTCGAAACCATGTAAGGTACCTTGATGATCTTTTCCGGGGCGAACGTACCAAGAGGAGTGCAGGAGAACGAGAAGAGCACAGTTATGTGAAGGCATGAGATTTCGTCGTCACAAACGCACGCGTCCACACCAGTGTTTGAGGCGGAGTGATCTAAATGCACACCTTGTCCGTTCCTTGACGCGTTCTCATCCCTCCCTCTGAAATTTGGTGCATGGTCTTTGATTCGTCTTAGAAATGTATTCTAAAATTTCCCAGATTTATTGCACAGGAAGGACGGGCACGATCATGATTTAGCACTACTGTCACGTTTTGTACGTCCGTTAACCCGGGTACCTCTAACTTCCCTCTTATCTTCCAAGCTCCGACAGGCCACCAACCCAGTGCTCTACAGCCGGTCGAGGACTGCGCGTGCATGACACGTTGGGACAGACCCGGTCAATTCGCAATCACGCTGCGCAGAACTGCAATCTGCCTGTCCACCATCTTCCGACTCGGGCCTCCAATCGCTTGCCGCCGCTCCACACTCGCCTCAAAGTCAAACACTTGCATCACGTCCTCGTCAAACTTCCCGTGCAGCTGCCGGAAGTCGTCGAGGCTGAGCTCGTTGATCTGGCACTTTCGCGCCTCGGCAAGAGCGACCGCCCGTCCGGAGATGTGATGCGTCTCGCGGAATGGGATCTGTGCAGCGCAGCAGTCCGATAGAGTCGGAAAGGACGGATAGCGTGAGCGGGTAGAGAGCGGGATAAAAGTACGTAACGCACCCCTTTCCGGACCAGGTAGTCAGCGAGGTCGGTTGCGAGAACATCCATAGTTAGCGCAGCGCGCATTTTATCGCCGTTCACCTTCCGGGTCTGCATGTCAGCATGTGTATAGCCGGGGAAACGGGACGCCGTACCTCCATCGTGGCAATGACGCCCTCAGCTATTTGGAGAGACGCGGAAATGGTATCAACAGAGTCGAAGAGCGCCTCCTTGTCTTCTTGGAGATCCTTGTTGTATGTTGAAGGGAGACCCTTGTACGTCATGAGGAAACCTGCCATCTGCCAGATGGTTATTACAACGAATCGATATATCTCGGACGCCGCCAAAATTAGTACGCACGTCGCCAAAAACGCGTCCTGACTTGCCGCGAAGAAGCTCAAGAGAGTCGGGGTTCTTCTTCTGAGGCATCATGCTCGATCCAGTACTTCGTGAACCCTCATTTAGTACATCAAGGAGATAACCCCGCATGCATGACTCACCTGTACGCGTCGCTGAGGCTGATAAAACCAAACTCTGCGGTCGAGTAGATGATGAAATCTTCGGCCATTCGGCTGAGGTGCGTCATGGCCAAGCTCGCCCACATCATGAACTCGACGATGAAGTCACGATCACTGACCCCGTACAGGCTATTTTCGGCGACCGAATCGAAGCCGAGTTCCCTGGCTAGGAACTCACGGTCGACCGCGAACGGGTTCCCGGCGAGTGCCCCGGAGCCCAGGGACAGGACCGAGATGCGTGGGATGAGCTGCTGCAGGCGCTCAAGATCCGCACGGAACGAGAACGCGTGCGAGAGCAGGAGGTGGGACCATCGGATGGGCTGTGCGCGCTGCGAAGTGCGAAAATGATCAGCGAGTCGCAGGCAAAGAATAGGCGGCACAGCGCACCTGCAAATGGGTGTACCCCGGCATGAGGATGTCTTTCTCCTTGTCCGCGCGCTCGACCATCACGCGCATGAGTGCCTTCAGACCCGCTTCAACCGCTCGCACCTCTCCTAGGAGCCATAGGCGCATATCGGTCGCGACCTGGTCGTTGCGCGAGCGGCCCGTGTGGAGCTTGCCGCCGAGGTGTCCAATGAGCTCTGTCAAACGGCGTTCGTTCGCGGTGTGGATATCTTCGTCGTCTGGCTGGACTTCGAACTGCACGCGCGAATGATGAACATCTGGGCTGGGCGTGTGCGCGAGAACCGGGGCTCACCGTGCCGTGCTCCCACTCTTTGCCCACCGCTGTGAGACCGTCGACGATCTGCTTGCGCTCGTCCGCAGTCAAGATCCCCACCCCCTCGAGGCTTTTCGCATATGCTATAGAGCCAGCAATGTCGGCAGCATGCATGCGGCGATCGTATCGCAGTGACTGATTAAACTCGTGCATACTGGTCGGAATGGCATCAGTGAGTATCCGGGAGATGGTTTCGATGTATGGGCACGTACAGAGGGTCCGTCTTGCCTGTGAACCGGCCACCCCAGAGTTTTTGCTTGGTTGGAAGATCAGACATGTCGTATGTTGTATGCAAGGTACTGAGATGCGAAGATAGTGGGTGGTAGTGGAAACACTGACTCGATCGAGCTTGTCCACCGCGTACAAAACGCGAGATCTGGATCTGCAAACGCGCTCGTGACCTGTAATTTCGCGACGCGTCGCAGGCGCTAATGTGCCCTTAGAGTCGTCTCCCCGAATCATTCCTGAAGCTCTCCTCCGCGGGCGGACGTGCACGACACGCTCCGACTCGTTCTTCGTGCCCTCCTACCTCGCTCTCGTCCTTGTCCATTCTCCCGACGCCAACCGCCCCTCTTGGCATGCCTACGCCCAAGGTCCATCAGCAAAATGGGTGCATGCACGACAGGGCTCTGTAGTACACTGTAGTATGTCAGATAGCGCTATCATTATTGGTAGTTCAGACGAGCAATGATCCGATAGTATCCATGTTTGGTAGATTAACGGCGGCGACGATCGGCATTCATCTGCATCTGTCGGACAAGACGCCTTCCGATCGGGCATGGTCAGACGCCAGTGAACGTCAGATCGAATCCCGGTGTGTGTATGATCATTAGCTGACCCATGCATGATCTAACATCATCCGCGCAGCCGCTATACTACAGTGCATGTTTGACCCGACAAAGACCTGTCGAGTGCGATCAGACACGGGTGTTGACGTCCATTACGGACCAAATGACGGGTCACAGGATGCCTGGTGCGGTACAATCCACTGACATCATGCACACACTTATAGCAGGTGTGCAGCACAAACCATTGTATTGCTACTTTATATCGAGTAAGGTACATACTACACATTGAAGAGAGCGACAAGAATATGTTGAATGTTATGCTAACAATGCGTAGTCACCGTGTCAGCGGAATTAAGACCGACTCTCTGTGCTCATACAGCGGCTGGCAGGCAGGCCGGCGGAGGTCGTGGTCGAGCACGTGAAGCTGGTATGCCGCATGGGTCTGTGTCCTGTGGGTTCCGTTCTTAGGGACTAAGAGGAGCGCGGCGAAGAAGCTGAACTTAACGCTGAAAACTTGGCGTCAGCGTCGGGGCTTGGGATTCGGCGCGAGGGCGAGGGAATTCAAGACGTACTTCCGGCCTCAGGTGCCTTGGGGCGTCCAGGTGCCGAGTAGCGGAGGGACGGTCGGCACGATGTTGGGTTCAAGTGGGAAATGGTGAGCGCGGGGCGGGCGGAGGAGGAGTGGGATGGTACGAACACTGACAACCAGCGCAGTCACTTGTGACATGCTGACGTCGCGCTGCGCTGAGCTGCGCGTGGGCGACGCGCTCGGTGGCCTCGAACCCGGGGTTATTCCAGTGGACGGCGCGGACGGAGAGGCCGAAGCCAGTGAAGGGACACGGCAACCGGGGGAGGTGGATGCGTAGGGCGCAGAGGGGTGTATCGGTTGAGCGCGGGGAGATGGACGCGTTGAGGGCGGGAGAGATACTCACCTGAGAAGTCGTATCCCACTCCTCATGAACCGGTTCCAGCGGCGCCAGCGGCGCCGCACTTGCTGTCAAAGATTGGTGAAGCAAGAGGAAACAAGACAGGGGGAAGGAGGTTCATACTACAGCAGTGCGGGCCCCAGTGGTATAAGTGTTCTTGTTGAGCGGAGTTCATGTTGACCAGGATACTGTTGCCAGATGGGCTGCGCTTGAACCGGGTGGCAACGGGAGGATGCACATCTAATCATCTTACCTGCTGATGGTGACACCGGCCACCATGAGCTTCTGAGAGGCTCGTCAGCAATAATATCAACTGGCCAACAAGTCAAAACACACTTACGACTCAACAGATACGGCGAGGGAGACGATTCCACATACTATGTAGGTACGAGACGCGGAGATCCGAGAATCTGATGAGGGCACGAGTACCGTGAGACAGGAGGTCCGAGGGTGTCGCGCAGGAGAGAGGGAGTGGAGTGGGCAAACGCGGAGAAGATTAGAGGAAGGCAGGGCAAGCAGAGAAAAGCATACTGAGCACGATGGGAACTTCGGGGATGGCGAGGCGCGAGGCTTGACAGAGAGCGTGTGACGCCGTTCAGGGAGGCGCCACGTAATGAGAGCGAGCGCGCGCGCGTCTGCAATGGTGACGGGGTCCGGAGTCGAGTCCTGTGGACGTGCGAGTGGATAGAATTGGGAGAGTAGTAGTACCAGCGCCCCTACCGAGGATGTTCTGACTACACTCCAGCTCCTTCTTAGCGTGAAGAGGCAAGGAATAAGTTTCATCTATCATAATACATCTGGCTCCCCAGTGCTCTCTCAACAAATCTCTTACCAGATTATCACCGGTCGAGCAGAGCCCTACACTACGCAAGTCGATCGTGTCCGATCATTGGGCATCCGGTCCGACGATGTCTGGCGTCTGCCGAGCTGACATCATCCGCTTTCGCCGGGCGCCACAGCGCTCGATCGGCCGCCCCTCGTTTTGCTGATGTCACATCAAGCACGCGTTGACTACGTCTACCACTGTCTCACCAAGACCAATTGCTCGGGCTGGATTGGAGGACGCGCGGTAGACGATTGCGCGACAGGGGCTCCTTCGCTGCACCGTACGCATTGCTCGCGTGTACTTGTTTGGGCCCTGATAGGCCCTGATGTGCGCGACACGCGTGTTCAACCCCACTGTTGTAGAACTCATGGAGGCTGCCAATTGAATGCTCAAGAATCTTCACACCTCGTGGATTAAATATTGGCTATAGTAGATAGAACTATAGCACTTGTGTTTGTCTGTCTACTCTGTCAAACGATGGAACATCTACAGCATGAGTGCGAGGTAGTACTGCCAGCCCCGTATAGCCATCGAATTAGTACTCTCTCTCTCTCTCTCCTCAAAAAAGAACGGGGCCGTGGTGAGTAGAAATAGAAGGTATAGTCTAATTACAAGGGGGTAATACACTAAATACCCGTCCTTCCATGATCAGCACTTATGATTATGGATGCAACGCATTCAGAAGCATGAAAGCTCCAGCAGCAAAGGCGGTGGCCCCAGCATAGATCATAGCTCGGACATTGGGAGGATTATAGGTGAGGAATGGGTACGGGACTGCAAATCCAAACAGACTCAATTGAGCGTTGGTCCAAATTGGAGACAAAGAGTACGCACAGAAACCATTATAGGCCGCACAATGCTCCACCCAACACGCATACCAGGTGCCAAGAACAGATGCGAGTGAGAGCGCACCATAGCGGCTGATCGACTTGGAGTATTTCTTCTCTAGCAGATAGAAGTCGACGATCAAAGAGATGGCGGGTATAGCATGGAGGCATAAATCAACGTGGAGAGGCAAGCGCTGCGATTCCGGCTCTCCGGCAACGGATGAAGGCTCCGGGTCCTCGAGCAGAATGAGGGTAGGGAGGAAGATAAGGAGGGTCCAATAGATGACGGAGATCACGATGGCCAGCTAGATTGGAAGTGAGCGCGCCGAGATGGCAACGAAGTGCGGCACCACGTACTGGCAAGGCTCCCATGAGGAACGCACGTTTGGCGTTTCTAAGGAGGGCTGCGACACACGTTCAATGAGGGATGCGTGGGGGAATGGGAGAAGTGAACGGCTCACTCGAAGACGGGATGAGGTCGCAAGCCATGCTGGTGAGCATGGTGAGCCAAGCAATAGCAAGTCTGTGGAACCCGGTTGGAACCCGGCATGAGCAGCGGAGTGGCAGAACCAAGGAGACGACGCACCCTTGAATTGTAAGGAATTGGAAGTGTCCACCTTTCATCTCGTCAATGGGCACGCCTGCAATGGTGTGTGGGAGGGAGCTATAGCCATAGCCCATGGCCGCAAGCGCGGTGGTGTGCAAGAAGAAGGGGAGTGGCCGGGTGGTCATGGTGGAGGGAGACAGGGGAGCAGAGACACCGCGGAATGAGCAGTTATGATATATGATATATGACGCCTGATCGGCATGTGCGGCGTGCCCGACGAATCTGGGCAATGTCCGCGGTCGCGACCAAGGCGGAAACCGTCAACCATTGGACGGCGACCAGCTGCACTGCGTCACCCGCAACCTCGTCATGGCGCCGGATGACGGCCAAACATGACGTCGCTGCGCAGTCTCAACACTTTCCGGCCCTGCGTTCCCGGGCGACACTAGCGCTTGACACGCCGGGATAAGCGCCCGCCTCCCGACCGGTCCTCCGAGCACCTCTCTCCGATCTCCGCTTCTCCCCTTCCGTCTCCGTCGTCGGACCTCTCCACCTCCCGACGCTGCTCTTTCTTGCCAGTCGGTGGCACAGCCGTCGCATCCCCCATCATCGAGGCGTGTAGGAGTCTTTTTGGCGTCTGCGGGTGTGTCCACTCCATTCCCGTACTTCTCAACAATGTCCTCCCAAGCCGTCACCATCACATACGCCGGCCCGCTAGTATTTCTCTCCACGGACCATTGGAAACAAATATATGCGTCGCTATTGTCCCAGCTTCCTCTCAGAAACCTGCACTGGAAGTCCTCCGCTCGGAATGCCCTCCGCTCTATCCAGGAGCTCGACGTGAAGCTCGTCGCGCTTGAAACGCTCCGCGATGACCATGCTGCATCGCAGGTGCCGCAGACTGTACTTGACAAGCCACTTTTGAACATGTACATATTCATTTGTGAGGTGAATGTTATCGCTTTGTTTTCTCAATCCGTCCTCATGTTGGTGTCCCAAGGACAGCGAATCCTATCGGGTGAACAACCGTAAACACATCAAAGAGTGGCACGCGTCCGTTAGCCAGCGCAAGAATCAAGAGTGGCTCATTGTTCACGTCGTGCGGCCAGACCAAAATGTGGCTCAAGGGAGGTTGTTTCAGATGAAAGCGTCAGTGCTTGACAAGGTCAAAGCGGACTTCAATGCAGACAAGAAAGACCGGTCAGCAGTTCCGTACCTGTTGAATGCACCCATTGTCTGACATGACATGAAGATGTGTGCAGCTCGTGTGGTCTGCAGAGAAAGACAGCCCTGCTGTCTGGGCCGACCTTGTCACCAAGGTCAAGGATGGGATCTTGTCGGCCTTCGATGGAGCGTTGAAGCAGCGGGAGGACGAAGTAAAACGGTCGGAAGGACAACGTCAGATGCCTGGTTGGAACTTCTGCACATTCTTCATTCTCAAGGTGTGTTACTTCCTGTACTTTCCGTCTCGTGTCTATTTAGCCCGAGGTCAGGAAAGCGTGGCGAATTCTCTTGAAGGCATGAACCTTTATGAAGACTCTCTGCAACAGTACTTTGAGCTTGAGGAGATATTCTCGCAAGTACTAAGAGAAAAAAACCTTTCATGGTTCGGCACCTTGATCACACCCACTCCCAACGACGACTCTGCTCCTCTTCTGTCGGTGGATAAGAAACCATACCGTGATCTAATTCTGGCCAACACTATCTCTGTCTTCGACTTCCGTATATACCTACTATCCCGTGAATGCGCTCTGCTCGGCAAAATGGGCGATATGGAAGAGCTCTGTCGGAAAGCGGCCTCGTTTCTCAGCACATTCGCAAGAACCTTGCGTGAAGTTGAGGTATGTTCTCACGATTCAGCGCATGCCACACTCGCACAACCCATTGTTTAGAACACGCTGGCCCCATTCTTCATCGAATCATGGATCTACTCTTCGGCACTGTCTGTCGTTGACCAGAGCGAAGATTGGGCGCGCACACTGCAGCTAGATAAACCGGCCTTGGCGTCGTTCAACGCTGCAAAGGGAGAGCTCGTTGAACTTGCCCGCCACCAGGTGAGCCCATCGTTAGTTACAGGCGAGGGATGACATCTTACATCCAACAGCTGGACATCCTGGGAATCGCTGCGGGCTTCCTTCCTAACAAACCCCCGTTCTCTCTCGCACTCCCTTCTTTTATCAACCTCGCGGACAAGAGTCCCAGAAACCGACGTGCATCCATGGACCTGACGATCACACGGCCGGAATTGCTCTCCTCGTTAGTAGATGCAGATGCGCTTTACGATCAATACGTGAGCATAACCAACCGTGCCATCGACCTCTACGTAACCGCCGGCCGTCGCAAATTTGCATTGAAGATGCACGGTTCCTTGGCGGCGCTCGATGTGTACGTCTTGTGGCACATTGTCTACTTCTCTCGCTTAATTGATCTTTCTAGTCACCGGGACCGTCTGGGCAACGCGTTGCAAACATTTACATCACTTCCTGCACACTACTCGCCTCATGGCTGGACGTCATTAGAGGCATTCATGCTGAATCGCGCTCTAGATATCCATGCTTCGACGGAGAAGACGAAAGATAGGGAGTGGATCCACATCTTGCTGCATTTCCTTCGAGCATATGTGGACGGCATGGGCCGCGATCTGCTCATGAGTGAAGAGGACAGCAAGGTATATGTGGAGGGTCTTGTGGCCTCGCTCAAGGATGCAGCTCAAGAGATGGATTCAGGTAACACAGATGATTTTGAGCTCTTCTTTCTATACTGACGGGCATTGTATAGACATACCATCCCCTGACCACACTGTGCTCTCCGTCTCTCTACCATTTCGCGATGCTACGCTTGCAGAGAGTCGAGATGGGGCACTCCTCGGAATTGTGGTTCAAAACAAGCTTCCTTGTGTATGGGGTATTTTGCCTGGTCATGAACAAGGACACTGATTAGCATCGTCTAGGCATTACCCGTTGATGAGGTCGAAGTCCAACTCGGCGGAAGAGACAACACCAAGATCACATTTACCGTCAAAGTAGCAAGTCTCGCTCCCGGGCTCAACAAGCTCACCGCATTCTGTCCTGTGAGCTTCGTCGACATCGAGGTTAGACACACACTCACAATTTCTTCGCAGTCGTCAGCCCCTGGTACGTATGCTTTGTTCAGCACTCAAATTACTATGTCTCGCCTGCTTTTCCAATGGAAACATACGAAGACGGCGAAGCAGATCCGCGCCGGAAACCTACCCACATTAGTACACATTCCGAAAGACCATTGTGCGCTCGATGTCAAGTTGAAGCAACCACCACGAAGTGAGTTGATTTCCATTATGACCAGTTGATCACGTGTTGACATCTGTGAAGTCGAGCTTGGAATACCGTCAAGAGCCGTCGTAGTATTGTCAACTGGTCGAAACGAGGTTGCTTCCGCCGTGGTGAAACTGGGTGCACCATCCGGTGTCACCTTCAAGTATGCAGAGACAGAGATGATCGGGGACGGTGAGCTTGTGCACACCCACGTTCCCGCAGTCATTAATATCTCGTTAGACCCACCGCCGTTCCGAACCGAGAATGACTGCGTTATGTTCTTGGACATAAAGCCAGGGCAAACCGTCGCTGCTTCAATACCTCATTCAGACGCCTCGGCCTACCATTACATGGTACGTGCGCTGTCATACGAAGCCACATAGGAGCTCATATGTCCACGTGCTTCAGAAAGTGACTATAACTGTCGACTATGTGACCACATCCGAGCAAGCAATCACCCGAACTTTACGCCTCAATCGGATGATAGCCACTTCGCTTCCTGTGGCAATCAACGTGGAGGACTTCTTCCGTGGCACAAGGCTAGTGGCCCTTCCAACGTCAGCGGGCCTCTGTACTCACTTTCTTACTTCTTTAGGTTGTTTACTATGTTCACGTTGTCCACCACGTCTCACCAGCACGTTCGCGTGAAGACCACCCAGCTGTCATCGCAATCAGAATCCAGTGGTGTCAAGGTCACAGGCTGCACGGCGCAGAAGCCGAGCGTTGTGGTACGCGCACTTGACTTTCATTTCCTTTCGCGCAACTCACGCCGCGTGGTAGACGATCACACCGGTGCAGCCGGGGCGGTTTTTGTTCCAGATGGATTCCATTCGAGGCCAAGGTATGCACTTCTACACGCACGAACGCTCGGTGAATTTACACTTTATTCAGTTCGCGAGGGTCTCAAGTTGCATATCATGTACCGGATGCTTCGCGAAGGTGGTTCACCTCGTCTTGAGTTGCTAGTTCCCAGCCTAACCAGTTATAAGAGGTCGAGTCGTTGGTCGAGCTTGCAGTCAAAGAAGCCGTAGCAGAGGATGCAGATATAGCGCCTCATCGCCAAGACATCGTCGACAAGCTGGTGCAATCTCTCGAGTCCAGTGCGACATGGGTAGAATTGTACGGGGTGACAGGCGAGCTTGTACCACCCGGTGTGGAACCTAGTGACGACCAGATAGGCAAAGGACTCCGGCGAGCATTGGAGGTGTGTCACAACGACACTGTGTGCGGCGACATATCTGACTAGTGGCGAATAGATCTTGAAGCAGAAACGGACACCCATCTCGTTTGGAGACTGGAGGGAAATCGTCATTCCTGTCGATGTCCCTCAGATGCACGTAAGTACTTCACTCCGTATGATTTGCATGCCCTTATAGTCCAACCAGATCCTGGCAGCTGCCAGACTGCAAATCTTGGAGAATCCCGTTGCGGAGGGTACCACGAAGACGGAGAGGCGCAAGCGCCCGCTATATGCTGGCCAACCCATCTCTGCGCTTCTCGCTGTCCAAACGTCCTTCCATTGGGCACCCCTGGAAGACAAGAAGGTCGAATCCTATCACATGCGGTACGAAGTGGAGGACCTCATCAATGACTGGCTCGTAAGTGGGAGAAAGAGAGGAGACTTCACAGCAAGGGTGAGCCACTTGCACCGTGTATGGTGTTCACAGACTGATCCCCGTTCAGGACGGCGAAACACTTACAGTACCGGTGACTCTCATAGCGCTGCACCACGGAGAGCTTGCTCTTCCCAAGATCAGTGTCACGGCTTTGCCTATCATTGCCGGTGGAGAGCATAGGATGCGCTCAAGTGTGGTACCGGGGTGTGATACGCACCAAGTCCATGGAGCAGAGAAGGTGCTAGTGCTTCCCCGAGGTGGACGTACCACGTTTGTGGTCAACATGGGAAATAATGATGCAATTAATCCATTGTAGTGCACGGCGCGTTGACAGTAACTTATTATTCTCGGATGTAGTATGGAAGTTAGAATTCACGATCTGTTCTCGAGGGCTGAAGTCAAGCTCAAGTGAATGTGTGACTCTATGGACATGCTCGACGCCATCAGTCACAAGGTGACACGACGCGCCCGGTCGCGCTTATGGTGACGCCGACAGGCTGTCTCTCCCCATCCTTGCAGCTCGCCCTCGCACATCCTATACCGCGGCTGTACGACTAAGGAGAGAAGCAACATGTCCGATACATCAGATTAGTGAGTCTTCTGCCGTCTGCTATAGACAAGCTGTCTTCGGGAGTTAACGGTCCACACCCCAGTGAACGCGATCGTCAAGCAACCATTGCCCGGAATCGTGAGCTCCTAGCACAGCTCGGTCTCTCGGATGCGGCGTCAGTAATCAAACCCACGGACGATCCGAAGACCAAAGCGAAACCGGTCCAGCCCCGTGCTAAGAAGCCGAAGGAGGCGCCATTACCCACCCGCCAGTCAACCCGACTGCGGAGGGGCGCAATAGATCCTAATGAGAGCCCTGCTGCGAAGAGGAAACGAGAGGTGAGCTCTGCCATGCTTCATTGAAATGCGTCATACCGAGATGGCTCTGTAGCGCGCAGAAGAAGAACAGAGGCGAAGGGGAGAGGAGGAGCGTCGTGAGGCGGAAGAGCGCGAGAGAGCGGCGAAGCGTCCTAGACATCATGAGCTAGATCTCGATGCATTGGCGGATGTGGCCTCCCCCGAAGAGCTATCGGACCTCAAGTCCATCTTCCAAACTGTACTCAAAACGCCCCGACCTAGAAAAAAGGCGGCCGAAGATGCGTTCGTTTTCGAAGATCACAAGGCGGAAAAGGCGGAGGTGGAGGAGCTCCAGGAGAAGATGAGCAAGCTCAAAGTCGTTGCGCGCGCCAAGGTCACTCAGGACAGAGTCTACAGCGCTGCATATCATCCAGAGCCTACCAAGGATCTGATCTTCTTTGGAGGTTGTACACGATCTCTGCTGCTTCGTTCGGGTGCTGACTCCACTTTCCAGACAAGCATGGGCAACTTGGTATATGGGATGCTCGTGCTCCTGTAGACGAGGTCACAGATGACGACGACGAGAGGCCGACAGACGACAGGGAGGGTGGCAAGTACTACCGCCTTCAGATGCATTGGCCAGCTACTTCCAAATCATCTATATCATGCATCAAGTTTGACCCCATAGACGCTTTCACTGTACGTCTCTACTCGCCCCACGTCACCCTCCACCGCTGAGACTAGTCCCATCAGGTATACACCAGCTCATATGACTGTACTGTACGGTCTCTATCTCTTGTGTCGGGAATCTCGAGCGAGATTTTCGCGACCGACGATGTTCTTATTACTTCTGTCGACCTACCACCCCAAGGGCAAGAGATGTGGATTTCCGACGCCATGGGTGGTATCACACAGATGGACCTCCGTGCAAGCCGTTCTTACGCCAAGCGGTACAACATAGGAACTCACAAGATCGGCAATGTCAGTATCAACCCGACTCACCCATACTTTCTCGTGACTGCTTCCAACAATCGTGATCTGACGTGAGTCGGCCTCTTTGACTTCGACGCATATCCTCATTGTCGGTTCATAGAGTCTGGGACACGCGGATGCTTATCGACCTGGATGGGACTGCCCCTTCAGCTCCTGCCAACGAGTCTCCGCGCAAAGGGAAGGCCAAAGCTGTCGATGTCGTTACGTTTCCCAAGGAGGTGGAAGCAGAGGCAATCACCGAGCTGTTGGATGCACCGAGCGGTTTATCCGTGAAACGAGCACGGTGGAGTCACAACAAAGCTGTCAGTGCAGCTTACTGGGATCCCCGAGGGCGTTCAATCGTCAGCACAAGCTATGACGACACACTCAGGCGTAAGTTTCTCGTCACTCCATACCCGGTTTAATCTGACGAATGTTGATGCTAGTGTGGGAGTATAAGCCCTCCCAGCTTGTCAAGGAGGAGCCATTCCCATCTGCACGACCATTCAGCCAGATCCAGCACAACTGCCAAACAGTACGTTTGGTTTACATCCACCTCACACCTTCACGACTGATATTTGATCCGGCACAGGGGAAATGGCTAACCATCTTGAGAGCTCAGTGGTCGCCCAACCCGGACGTCTACCCTCACTTCACAGTGAGCTCGCATCATCTTCTACCGTGGCTGACGTTGGCTTGCTTACGTCTCATGCAGATTGGGAACATGAATCATTCGGTGGACGTCTACTCTTGCAAGGTCGGTAGTCGTGTCTATCGGGCTTCCTCGTTCACTCACCCCGCGACGCAGGGCGATCACATCGCTACTCTAGCCGATAAGTCCAAGTACGTCCGCAGAAACGTACCCAGTGCCCCTGCTGAGTGACATTATTCCAGGATCACGGCCGTTCAAGCTGTGACTTGTTCTCATCCGAGTGTGGTGGAGCGTATAGCCACAGGTAATGGCAGTGGTAGATGTGTGTTGTGGGCACCAGACCACTCGTGAGATGTCGGCCACTTGCACGGTCACCTAGCTATGTTCTTATATATCCATATATCAGCTGTTTTTGTATGCCAACTTCGTGTGGCTATTATTGATACGGGCTTCCAACTGGTGTAAGTGATCGAAACAAAAAGTGCGTCACCTGAGCGATTCGAACACTCGCGGGCAAAGCCCAACCGCTGGCAGCTATGATTAGCAGGCGATCCCGTTAACCACTCCGGCAAAGTGACTACGCCTACTCTCTGTAATACAGTCAAACCCCTCGTAGTGCATACCTGTGATAGTGCATACCCCCACATAGTGCATACCTTTGGCCTCTTCCCGAGTTGGTATAGGGGCATAACGCATACCCCCCCGCATACCGCATACTGCATACCTCGGCCGGGGGGTCCATAACGCATACCTGTGTATATAATCAGTATTAGCGCCCCACATGTATGCCTTGCATGCCGCCCAAATGCGGGATAACTTTCCCATGTGCCCTCCATGCCCGACTGCCAACAGCCTGGAATAGCCACACAAACCGTCGGGACTGGCCGGGGCTCACGCACGACTTGATCCCACCCCCGGCCACCTCTCCCTGCCTCCGCAATGCTCCCTATATCCCTCTCGCCCTCCTCTAATCCGGCCTTGCTGTCCTCGAGAAGTAGATGAAAGAGCGCCAAACGGCCCTTCAAGCTTCTCTTCAGGCAGGGGAAATCATCTCGCAGTCATTGATTACTTCACTCGTATGTAGGCTATGTAGGGGGCGAGGTCAGATAACAAACGGGAGGAATGTGCGCACGAGGAATGCGGCGTGAGGATCAATGCGCGCGCCAGCAGCCAAAAGGGCGCCCTGCAGAAGGGCGTCAATGGGTCTCCCACGATGAGCGCTTCTCTCATACTGCATACCCCACATAACGCATACCTCGGGGGCCTTCCGAGGGGTATGCACTATGAGGGGTTTGACTGTATTACGTATTATGATAATCATTATGCCGCCGCGGTGAGGTCACAGTGTGAGCGTCGTTCGCGCAAGTTTATATGATGCACATTGACACAACCGTCATGGCAAAGAAGAAAAAAACTGCCCCGGCAGCAGCCACGGCGGCCACTTCTCAGACCAAGCCCGTGCAGGTAGTGTTTCCTCCCTTGTCGTTGAAAGAAGACATACGACCCCGTGTTCTTCTTGAAGACCAGATCATCCTTTTCGACGTCCGTTACCTCTCCATATTCACTCGTGCGCCTGCTGAAGCAGCGTTACTTCAGGACTTATTCTCATCTGAAGAATGCAAGGCCTACGTGAAGTTCATCGACAATCTGCCTCTGGAGCCCACGCCGCCACCGAAGAAGGGTGAGGCAGAGCGGGTCAATCGTGCGTCTTCCGTTCTGCCGAATCGACCTGTTCAAATCATTGCTTTGCGCCGTTCCTCAGATCGCATCTCTATACCTTCCGTTGATTTTGCGCAACGACTATTCACTGTTCTCGCTCCTCATTTGCCTGAGTTTCCCTGCCCGGCTTCGGCGAAGCGACCCGCCAACGCGATCGGTCGTGCGGCCCATTCTTTGAACTCCAACATCCGGCTATACAAGTACCACGCGGGTCAGTACTTTGGACCCCACTACGACGACTCGGTGCGCGACACCGCAACGGGAGCAAAATCGGAATGGACATTGCTCATATACCTCACTGGGGAGCAGGACGGCGTGCAGGGTGGCGAGGTATGTACGTCCCGATCCTGCCTGTCTTTCGTGATCCGTAGCTCTTCGTGCCATTGCACAACGTAGACGATTTTCTACAAGGAGCAACGAGGAAAGCCTACTGAGTCCATCATACCTCCCTTGCACAGAGGGACCGCTTTATTGCACCGGTACGAGGCTTAGCTCGCTCACTAGGCGAGGAGGCTGACGGCCCGAGTTCTTAGTCACGGCCAGGACTGTCTGCTGCACGAAGGCTCACCTGTACTGAAAGGAACGAAGTATGTGCTGCGTTCAGACGTCATGTTCACGAGGTAGATAAGATCACAATAGAAGGCGGCCCCCTCATCTCCTCCCTTTCCCCTTCGACTTTCTCTTCATCTTGGGCATCCCTGCCTCGACCACGTCGTCGTCTCGATCCATGTCATCCTTGCCAACGCCTTCTTCTCTCTTCCTCTTCCTGCCATGCCCGCCTTTGATCCCCTGCTCCTTCAGCTCTGTCGATGCCAGCCTGCACGCCTCATCCACACGCTCGCGCAAGAGCGCCACCTCCTCCTTGTCCACGGGCCAGAGGTCCATCTTCTTCCCAGTCACTTGCTCTATGCGCAAGACGAGCTCTACGTCGTATTGCGTGACCAATGTGATGGATTTGCCGGATCGACCCGCTCGTGCGGTGCGGCCGACGCGGTGAATGTAGTCTTTTGAATGTGTCGGGATGTCGTAGTTGATGACAACGTCGACTGACGGGATATCGAGCCCACTGTGAGGTGATAAGTGCATGTCTTGCCTTGCCAACCAAGACCGAACACTGACCGACTCGCGACATCAGTTGCGACCAGCACATTCCGTCCACCGCTCTTAAACTTGCCGAGCGCGCCCAGTCGAGCACTCTGGCTCAACTGTCCGTGGAGCGGAATTGCAGCAAAACCAAGCGAGCGGAGCACAATTGACAAACTAAACGGTGAAGGATAAGGACGAGGAAGATTCCTCGCAAAGAGGAGAAGATTGACTTGCCGTTGTGCATCATGTACCGTGCGAGTGAACACTATCATGGAGTTCTGTGCAAGGTTGTTGGCAAGGTAGATGAGGTGCACATCTTTTTGTGGTAGAGGCATGAGGAGGTAATACTGCAATAGGGTTGAAACCGTGGAGTATCTATCGCACGCTCAACATCTACCGGGATATGAAAGTGTATGAGATGCTCACTTCGAATTGACCTCTACTCGCACAGGGCTCGACAAGCTCGCCCTCTGCAGCTTAGCAACTTTGGTTGTCATTGTTGCCGAAAATAAGTAGGTTGTGCGTTCTTTGGGAATGAGCTTGAGAATCTGGTCGAGCTTTGGTCCGAAATCCATGTCAAGAAGCCTGTCCGCTTCATCCAGAACCTGGCCATATCCCGTGAGTTGGGGTCAAGGAAGAAGCCGTACGTATCGTTACTTACCAAGAACTTCAGATTCCTCAGGCTGAAACCCTTCGTCTCTTCCAGATGCTCCAGCAATCGTCCCGGCGTCGCGACCACAATATGGGGCTTTTTCGCAAGCGCGACCTTCTGGGGCTGAATGTCCACACCACCGATGATAGTCACGCACCGCACGCCCATCGCCGCCCCGATGCTCTCGAACTGTTGAGATATTTGGTACGCGAGCTCGCGCGTGGGCGCGATCACACAGGCGAAGAGGCCCTTCGGTTCCTCCCAGAGCTTCTGGAGAATGGGAAGTGCGAAGGCCGCAGTTTTGCCGGACCCAGTGGAGGCGACGCCAATGATGTCCCGTCCCTGTAGCGCGTGAGGGAGGACCTCTGCCTGAATATCGGTGGGAGCCTTGAATTTCATTTGCTCGAGAGAATTTAGAAGAGGGTCGATGAGCCCGAGAGACTTGAAGGTTGAGGGTGCTAGCGGAGCATCCTGCTCCGGAGGTGGAGCAGACGTGGTGGCATCCTCGGGTGGTGGCATGGCGGTGAGGCGGTTGTGAACGTGGAGGAGGAGGAGGGAGGGAAAGCAGCCTCAGGCCTCAGCGCTCAGCAGTAGGCTCCATCATTCAGCCGCTCGGTTTACGGACCGCTCAAAAAGGAAGGTGTACCTGAACTTGGACTTAGAAAAACCGCGCGTTTTGGCCTCTGGAGTTGTTGTAGCTCCCCTGTGCACGTCCCCCCAGGGCCCAGTCCACTCCCTCTGGCGTGCGGGTTGTAGCAACTAGCTGTAATTTCACATAATAAACCAGCATTGCCGTTCTCGACATAAGAGTCAGGTGTTGTGGCCACTATTAAGTATGTGTTGCCGGCACTCCGATCTCGCTGTCCGACCCCAATTTCCATCATTTTCCGAAATTTCTGCGTCGCTCGCCTCAGGCCGTGCACGCGCGGTGGGACTTTCCCCAATTTTTTCGTGTCTGTTGCCGCTCACGTAGCGTCGGAGTTGGTCAGGCAATTATTTCGAAGACAGCTGTAAGGAGAATGGGCCCAACCGACTGGTCTGCGAATCTAGTAAGTCCCGTTCATGCTGAGCACCGTTGGCCCAAAGTAAGTGCACACGTTCCTACGCTAGGGAGCATCCCTACTCGAAGCAATCGGAATACATCTAAGGCTCCTGAACGCCTTCGTAAAGTAGACTCAACATCCCCTTGTCATGCGCGTGAACAATCGGAGCATAATCATCTATCCCATCCACCGGAAACACGTGCTTCGACAACTGGCACGGATACCGCACCTCGCCCTCCCGACCCGCCCAGTCGAAGTCGATGATAATCACCCTGCCTTCGACACCCTGCCACCAGCCAAGCAGGAGCAAGATGTTAGTCGGGCGCAGATCTCCATGCACCATCCCGTTATCGTGTAGGACCCTCAGCGCGCGCCCCACCTCGGGCGCGGCGGCCCTCTGCTGCTCCGGCTCGAACGCGGGGATGCCCTCGACATATTCCATGACGACCATCTCGTGGCCGCGGCACTGCAGCTCGTCCTCTCCAGGCCAGACGGGGCCGTGGTAGAGCAGGGCAGGCGCGAGGCGCGCCTCCGCGAGCAACTCGTGCGCCCGGGTCCCGTACCGCTCGACGAACTTGACAACGACGGTGCGCGGCCCCGGCTCGTCGAGGCGCGCGAGGAACACTGTAGAACCCTCTCCGGGGTCCTTGAGCACGTCGACGTATGTGAACGTCACGACGCGGTCGTCGCCTGTGATGTACTGCGTGGCGAGAGGGAAGAAGCGAGACATGTCCTCCGGGAGCGGAAGGTGGGTATAGAACGTGTGCAGGCGTTCGAGCGCGACCTTGAGGGAATAGAGCACGCGCGCGTTCTCCAGGAGCACGTCTCCGTCCAAGTGGTGGTCCTGCGATAGCCGTATGTCTTTCAAGCGCTGCACGACGGGCTTTCCCGTGATCATGGCCAAATCATGGCGCCCGAGATGGAGATGTGCGGACCGTCGACGCCGATCACGAAGGAGGGCGCAAAGCAGCTGTTGAGGATCGTCTGCGAACATGAGGTCAGATGCACGCCGCGACGACGCTCTGAAGAGAGCAACTCGCCCTTTGATCGATGTCACACCAATGCGCGATGTAAGCAAACGTTGAGCGAAGAGCGGCGGTCCCGAATTCTTCATCCAGCTCAATCGTAGCCAGCGCTGCAGTGCCGGAGAACGGAGGAGGAACAGTGGAGGGAATGAAGTAGCCCGGATTACTTCGCGTGATGGACTTGTTGGACGGTCGCTGGAGAGGGAACCCGAGGAGAGCGGAGAGAAGCGGACGGACTGCTTCTTCGAGTTCCCATACGTCGGGGAAGATGCGAGCCCCAACGTACATGAGCTCTGCGGTCGTGCGGACGAAGTCTTCAGGCACGGAGAGACTGCGATCTTGACACAGACGCCTGAAGGCGGCAAAGACGGGGTGGAAAATGTCAAGTGGTGGTGGAAGGGGGTTGACGGCGACGCTCGTGCGACGGCCGTCGATGATAGCGTCTGCACCGCGTTGAATTTCGAGAAATTGGGAAAGACGGCAGTTCTCAGATGGCGTGCCGGGGTCTTTGGCTTTGAGCCGTCTAAGTCCTAGCCGCCGCCAATAGAAATAGTCAGCTTGCATTCTCGGGGTCTAATATATGCCTTGCGCACTCTTCATCATATCGTTGAGGATGCTCCCGTCTTCGTCTTCTTCATGACGCAGCTTCTTGAAATCGAAAGGTGGCACGATCTTGACAACAAGAGCCCGTGTCGTGTCAAATGGTTGTGAGGGTTTGATACCAATTCCTCCCTCGACGGAGTCGTTGTGACACATGTGCTTCGTGATGTAGTCGCAAAACGAGTATGGATCGTAGTCATGGACCACGAAAAGCGATTGCAGATAGGGTCCATAAGTGGCGAAAATGGCGTCCTTTGGCTGAGTACAACGTTTTGGATGTAAGGTCGATGGCACGGGAGTGAGGAACGGAAAACAGTGTAGCTCACTTTGAATATCAGACAACGAGACGTGTCAGGTTGACCTACTACCTTGGAGACAGCGACAAGGAGTTTGAGGAAGTGAGCATCCGACGGGACCGTGACTGTTTCGGGTTGGGGACTACGCAATGACCGCCCCTCGAATACGAAGAGTGGGATGTTAACGTCCATGGGCAAATAACAGAGGAGGATGGAGGAGAGAGAGACAGTTCTCAGCGAAGACAGACAATGTTTCGTTTCGATGACAAACTCATGTTGGTACGCCCCTGGACAATACAGTGGTGTTGAGGGTGGTCCGCCTTCGGCGGACCGTCGAAAAGGGGCCAGGGGAATCTCGGCCGCCCAAGAGTTCCCTCGTCGGGGCAGGATAAGCGCCTGCGCGAGCGGTCGTAGCCTGCGTGCCACAGCCAATCGCGAGTGCGGCTTGAGTCGGCAGTCTTGCGTGTCCATAAAAGATATGGTGTACTTCCGGGCCGGTCGTGTGCTGCTCGGACGATGTCGAAGTGCGCGAGTGGAATTTATTGTACTAATTTGCACCACGATCTCTCCAACATGCACAGAATACATCATACCAATTGTATACACAGATTGTTTCATCGCGGGGTGCTGGGACAGCTAAACATAATCAACTCCGCTGACGATAGCGCCAATGTCAAGAACGGTATCAAGAATGATTCATTGAGTGATTATATGAGCCTCGGACTGAACAGGACTATCTACAGTAATATATATCGAGGACAGAGAGATCAAGCAAAGCTATGAGTTGCACAGACTACTAAGATGTGACAGCAGGACTCAAGATCAGAATATATCGACCATAACCGAAGCTTCAAGCCTCAAGGCCTCAAGGGTCAGGCATCACCTTCCTCCTCATAGATCCGAACACCTCCCTTACCCCACGCCTCGAGCACGCCCTTCCCGGCACCAGTGGGCTGCGTGAACGCGACCTCGCCGCGTGCTGGGTTGAGCGGGCACCCCAAGATGAAGGTGGACGCCGCAACAGACAACAGACGGGAGGCAATGCCCAGTCGACGGTATTCGGAGGAGACGAACAGACGAGGGATGCCCATCGGCGTCGGTAACGGGGTGGGATGAACGTAGAGATTCGTCGAGTCGTCCACAGGCAGGAGCGCCAGAGAGGGCGCGCTTTCCGACGGATCCTCGCCAGCGATGGTTCCTTGAGAAGACAGCGCGTCGGCGACGGTCTGGGACGAGGCGGGGGTACTCGTGGTGGAGGCAGACGCGTTCTTGGACCGCGCGGCGGAGACCTCGGAGGAGCGCGCGATGGCCATTGCCGTCGCGATCCGCTGAGCGACCACGCAGCCCACGATCTTCTCGCGCGCCGGGCTCGGCCCAGGCGCGGTGAGCAGGAACAGGTAGATCTTGGATCGGCGGAGGACCGCGGGTGAGAGCGCAGGGGACGTGAGCGCGAGCCGGATCGTCTCCAGTAGGACCGCAAGCTAAACAAGATCACCGTCAGTCGGCAGGCCCGGACGCCCGCGCACGCGCACGCAGAGGACGACGAGGTTGAAGTCGACGCACCTTCGCCCCGATCTTCCCGCCGACGTCCGGCCGGAAGCACACGACGCGGCCGCGCGCGCCGTTCGCGAGCTTCACGCCAGCGAGGAGCTCCTCGACGCGCGCCGCGTCCGCCTCGCGCTGCTCCTCGCGTCCCCACTCGAGCCCGCGGCGGACGCGCGCGCAGTGCGCGCGGTGGAGCGCCTCGTCGTCGGGTGCGCCGCGCGTGTAGGAGAGGTCGCAGAGCGGGCAGGTGCGCAGCGTCGGCGCGTCGAGCGCGAAGTGCAGCTGTGTGAGCCTCGCCTGCTTCGGCGCCGGCGCGGCCTTCTTGGCGGCGGAGGACTTGGCCTTTGTGCCGGCGGGGAGCTTGGGCTTCCCTTTGGGCTTCAGCGTGGAGGGGGCGGAGGAGGACGGGAGGGACGAAGAGGAGGACATGCGGCGCGGTCTCTTGGTGGGCGTGTTATGCTCTGTGGGGAGGTCGGTGAACGGCCGCTTGCGCTTTTGCGGGGCGGGCGGGGAGGACATAATCTCGGAGATGGGAGAGGAGGGGATGGCGGCTTTGGCTGAGCGCGTGCTGTAGGTCCTGCTCAAGGTGGACATGATGGACGGAAGGAAGAGAGGTGAGACTGTTGAACTTTGAAGCGCTGAAGGCGGCGAGGCAACGGTAGGCGCGCAGTGCACAATTACTTATCGCCACGCGCACGCGTTGGCGTTGTTTGGCCACCGACGCACGACGCGTCAGTCACGTGGGGCGCGACGCCCATCGCGGGCTCCTCCACCAAATACAACTCTATAAGTACACACCAGATACGACTCTGGTGCGTCCAAATACGTGACAGTCTCTGCTGCTAGGTGGTTTCACACCAATCCCGCCCCCCCCGCCCTCCACCTCGTCCAGCAGCCACTTCACGTTATCTCAACCGCGTCCTTAGGCGGGCATCCTTGCGCAGAGATGTTCTGATTGACTGATGTATTACCTGATCCTTACGACTACAGGGTTGTTAAGCTAAAAATACGAAAGGAATGTGATAGCGGAGACTGCGGAGGAACCCGTATAACAGGCCCGAGGGATCGAGGATTTTGGTAGAATGCGAGTTGACTCGAGCGCCTTCACGAGCTGCTCCACGAAGTGATGGTGGACTCGAAGCCGTTGTAGTTGGGCTTCGAGGGCACGACGCCGTTCGCATCGACGGACAGCATCATTTGCGCACCGACCGTAGAGAGCCCGAAGATGGCGACCTCGTCGACCGAGTCGGAGGCGATGTTCAAGATCTGCGACTGGCACATGCCAGCGCCGGGGCACGAGCTTGTGTAGTTCACGAAGAAGCTGTAGAGACCCGCGCCTGTTTCGCGATCGTCAGGACTCAGAACACGAGGTAGAGAATCCGAGGGCGTGGATAGGACGCACCAAACACGAAGATGTCCTTGGAGGACTCGACGTTGACAGACCATGAGGACGTCTGGTTGGCTGTGTAGACCGGGTCCTTAAAGTCCTTGTTGTACACAAACGGAGCGGGCGGGGCGGGCCCGGGCTGGTAGTATGGCTGAAGAGGGAGTTTCGGTTTCGGCATCCCGCGCGGCGCACACTGATAGCTTTACGCACCGTCTCGCTCTGGAACAGGCCGATATAGTGGTTCTGCGCGTTCTGGAGGTTGAGCTGGTACATTACGTGGTGCTCCGCTAGTAGCAAGTCAGTCACAATGGCCACAAGGTCGAGTAAAAACAGCATACAGCCGGAGCCAATCAACCAGACGGGACCCTGGGACTCGGAGAGAACCCCGCGGCCGCTGAAGACGTTGAGCTGGGAAATGTTGGGATCGTCCATGTCATGGTCCGGGGACCAGATCCATGCACCCTACAGAGATGTTAGATTCGGAAGCAGCGAGGTGTTATACGAGCTGAACTAGCCTCGATGTACGCAGAAGCTTTGCTCGTGATGTGGAGGGCAAGGAAGTCAGTGAGGCACTGAGGCCAGTTGAAGCTGCCACGAGGGCACTCCGCGAGTGACTGGTTGGTGCCGGCACCTGTGTGACTGTTGGAATCACAGCTTGAATCCCAGAAAATGAACACTCACTGCCCCCGAGCCGGAAGTGGGTATCCCACACGCCGGCGCCGCCTTGAGTGGTTGGGTGGATGTTCCACTGCATGACGATAGCCCCGGGGGCTGCAAAGCGAAACCCTTGGTCAGCAACGTTCAGCAAGAAACCATCCGACCGTTGTGACATACCCGAGCCACGCGTCGAGAAGACGATGTCCGTAATCTCAACGTCGCCAACCTCGTTCTCCTTACCGACCTGGATGACGGGCTGCGGGTTGTTCATGTCCTGGAACTTCTCGCCCCCTCCGATGATCACGCTCCAGCCCTCGCCAACGAGCTGCGTGTTCCCGGGGATGTAGAGCGTGTCCGACACGTAGTACACGCCCGCGTCGACGAAGATGATCTTCTTCCCGGCGCACTGCGTGATCGCGCGCTGGAGCGCCTCCGTGTCGTCCGCGACCCCGTCGCCCTTCGCGCCGAGGCTCCGCACGCTCACGAACTGGCTCGGCGCATGGTCCACGTACTGCGGGTGCGTGCGCCCGAAGACGCGTCCCGCGCCGTCGAGCACCGCCGCGGGCTTCCGCGCACGAACCGTGCCCTCGGTGAACGCGCTGGCGCCCGCGAGGCCGGTGTAGACCATGCCCTGCGCCCAGCTGTCGATGACCATCGTGCCCGCGCCGTCGGTGCCGGCGAGGACGGGGGCGGTGGTGTTGAGGACGCCGACTGCGACGGGCACGTTCGTGAGGCGGACGTTGTTGAGGATGAGCGCCGCGTTCTCGTGCCCGGTCGAGTTGGCGGAGCCGCGGACCATGATGGGCGTGTCGTTGACTACGGCGTCGATGATCGCGAGGGAGCCGACGGAGCCGGTCCCGACGTCGAAGCCGACGGAGCAGTTGTTGACTGTGAGGGGCATCAGATCATAATGGAGAGCATGACGGGAGCAGGCGTACTGGTGACGCCCTGGTATGTCCAGCCCCAGTTCCAAGGAGAGTAAATTGCGCGAACGGCATTGTTGACGGTGACGTTCCTGACAGTGAACCTATGACGCGTATCTCGTTAGTACGTACGAGCGTGTGTTTTGAGTGCTTGGTGGGACTGACTGCTGGTTGCCGTTCCACATGCCCATGTCGCCTCCGTTGAAGACGATGTCTGTCCACACCATGTTTAGCTGGTATCATGCCTAATCTGCCGGGTGCATACCTCCCATGAAGCCACCGCTGCCGTTCTCCATGAACAGACCCTGATGCTTAGTACCGTTGTCCGAGTTCATGTTCACGACGACATTCATAAGGGACGTTGCCTGCGAGACCTGCCAATGGATGCCTCTCGCGGTCGCGTTCGCAGGCTGCTGGGTGGTGTCAATGACGAGATTCCGCACGCTGCGGAAGAAGTTGTCCTGGTTGATGTACCAGTTCCCGTTCTTGTTGGACGGGTCCGCATCTAGAGCAGCGAGTGGTCAGCGAGTGTACCGACCTATTCACAAGCTCAACGCACCGATAACGGCAGCACCGTCGGGCCCAAAGTTGGGGTCGGCGATAATCGTTGGCGGATGACGGGCGTCCCCGATAAGCTGGGACAGGTAGTATGCCCTGAAAAGCAAGCGCGTTCAGCCACTGTGGCACACGTGGAAGCTTCATGGAATGAGTCTCACTGGATAGAGGAGGTGACGCGATACGTTCTGGGCACCAAGGGAAGTCGGTGAGTGCGCAGCGTTTGGACGTAGAACGAAACTCACCCCTTCGGGAAGTAGATGATCGCAGTGGTCGTGGTCGTGGACCAGCAAGTCACGTTGCCTCCACCACACCTGTTGCCGGTTGAAATCGCCGCGCTAAGGGGGAAGGCGAGCTGTGTCAGTACCGCTGCGCGCAGACAGCGAGACTACGGGGGCAAGAGCACGCACTTGATGGCGGCCGTGTCGTCGGCGACGCCGTCGCCAACCGCGCCGAAGTCCTTGACGTTCCGGAAGACCTGGTACGAGGCGGGGTCCGAACTGTACGGCGCAATGCCCTGGTGCTTGATGGACTCCATCCAGAACGGGGCGTCGGGCTGCGCCTCGGGCGCGACGAGCGCGTGCGCCCCGAAGGCGGCCGTGGAAAGGAAGGAAAGGAAGGCGGAAGGACGCATGTCGAGGCGTCTGGAAGGGGCAAAGGCCCGAAGGAAGGAAGGTGAGTAGAGAGCGTGGGGGGAGGCACAGAGGACTCGTTGAGGGGGTGCCTGCGTGGCCGAGGGCTTATAACCGAGCCGGACGGGGACGAGGCAGGGGTCGCGACGGAGCGACGGAGCACGCGTGCTCTGGCACAGCTGGAGTCGACCCAGTTCCCGATGTCGTCCAGCACCCCTACGCGTTGCGCTGCGAGCAGCGCGGTTGTTGATCGTGAGGGCGAAGGGCGCCGCCGACTCCTGAGGCCTGAGTGATTGGGCCCTGGGAGTGGTGCTAGTCTGACCTGGTCTGAGACACTGGTGGCGGGCACAGAGACGGGGAGCGGATGCTACCTCGGCCTCAGGTGCGTATACATGACAGGATGGGCCAGATGTTAGGCGTGAAGGCGCGACGGTGAAGAGGAAAAGGGTGCGAGAGGCACACGGGGGTTCTGCTCCTCGCGAAAAAAGACGTGGGCCATAGGTATGGTGGATGCATGCGATGGTCGTCGAGGCCGAATCAGTCGCGAGGTGTTCCGGTGGACGGTCGTAGTTTAGGTTGAGCCGCGGGCGCCTGCTGGCGGAAACACGCAACGGGCGTTCGTCCGATTCACTGCCACCGCTCATCGACACAGCTCTCAGTGGCTAGGTTGCCGACGACCCCTCGGGCCTCAAGGCTTCATGGCCCCGTTCACCTGTCGGCCGTTTCGGTTGCACGAATGCCAAGAAAGCTTCCATAGCCCAAGAAACAAGGCGTCCATATATATTCGCATGGTATCTGCATCCTCAGGCTCCTCTCATCTCCTCCCAACCTCCTCGCTAGTCGCCGTCGGACTCGCTCACGACTGCGTGAACGTGATCGCATGGCAGACCGCGCCCTCGTTGGCGTGCCCGCCACAGCCGATAACCTCGCTCCCGAGCGTGAGCAGCCCGGGCCAGAAGGACGGGATGCCGGTGACGACGGTGCGCTCGCCCCACGCGCCCGTCGCGACGGGCGCGCCGGTGACGACCTTGAACGACGCGCCGTCCGGCCACGAGTGCGCCGCGGTGTTGTCCTCGTCGGTCATGAACGAGACCACGAGCTTGTCGTCTTCCGTCGCCGCGATCTGCGGGGCCCCGGCTGGCGCGCGCGCGGGGTCATCAGCGGGAAATCCGGGTTCATGCGTGACAGAAGAGGGCGGGGCGTACCGTTGAGCGAGCCCCCGGGGTTGTAGACCACGCTGCGCTGGCCCCACGTCGCGCCCTCGTCGGTGGAGACGACGCTCTTGACGGAGAAGAGCCCGCCGCGGCCCTCGGTGGTCTCGAACACGCACATCAGCTTGTCCGCGCCGTCGTTGAAGTCTGCGCCCATGTCAGCGTACGCACGCCACGCGCTCGAGGGGACGCACTCGCGCAGCCGGGCATGCCGTCCCGCCCGGTCGTCGTCGCGCCCGCGACAGTCACGGGCGCGCCCCACGTCTTGCCGCCGTCGAAGGAGGTCTGCATGAGGATGTCCTGGTCCGCGCCCGAGTTCTCGGACGCGTAGTACACCTGCAGCGAGCCGTCCTTCTTCGACAGCCTGAGGAACGGTTCCTGCACTCCGCGCCCAATCAGCCCCGGACGGCCACCCCAGCACCGGCGGACGCACCCAAAGCCCGTTGTTGTCCGCGCCCGCCGCGCGCTCCGCGACCTGGCTGAGGAAGCTCCACGTCGCGCCGCCGTCGTGCGACACGCACGCGGTGATGCGGTAGTACGTCGGCGCGCCCGCCGCGTTGAGGTCGTGGTTCCGGAACGCGGCGAGGACGGCGCCGCCCGGGGAGAGCTCGAGCAGGTTCGCGTTATCGAGGTCCCCGGGCGCGGTCGCGATCGAGCCGAGCGCGGCGAAGCTCCGCCCGCCGTCCGTCGAGCGCGTCACCTGGAGGATCTTGTTCCCGCCCGAGACTTGGGTGACGGTGCCGAGGAGCGCGCCGGAGGCGAGCGCGGCGAGGCGCGGGTACGCGCCGTCCCCGGCGGGGAAGATGTCGACGGCGGTGGGGCTCACGTGAGGGACGAGGCCGTCGCGCGCGGCGAGGAGGGGGCGGGGGATGTTGAGGGAGAGCGCGAGGGCGGCGCAGGAGAGGAGGGAGAGCGCTTGGAGGAGGCGCGCCATGGAGTATGCGGAAGTGGGACCTTAAATACGGATGTGTAGAGCAGGATCCTGCTGAACGAAAACGAGAGGCGCGGTCGGAGAGACAAAAGTAAACCGAGAATGTGAAGGAAGGCAGTCGAAGGGGGTGCGCAGAAAAAGGGTGGAGAGGTCAAGCGGAGACTCGCCTTTTGTACGAGATCATCGGCGGGAGGCGCTGCGGTTACAACGGTTTACGCCTAGATGAGCCTAGCTGGTCTCAAGGATGGTGATGGCCACAGAAGCACCGAGCCTGCTAGCACAAGTCCTTATGGTGTGGGGTCATACAACGTGGTCCACATGGACCCCTGTAGATGCAATGATGAAGGTTTGTCTGTGTAAGTCACCCAGACAGGCAACCTAGCTGGGTCACTCTTGCACAGTCCGGGGAGTGAACTCGAACAGCCTGGATAATGGCAGTCACGGCAGGCCACGGCTCGACGGCTGATGGAGACGGCCCCGAGCTTTGAACATCTGGTCATGATTAATATGATGCTGCTCGGAGGAGAGCAACCCTTCGCATGGGTCAGCAACTGGAGCGATAGTCTAAGTGAGACACGAGGAGATGGGTGGGATGCGAGGATCGGGCGTCCAGGTGGCAATGCAGGGACCTGGGGCCTGTATCGCCTTAAGTACTGCCACATCTTGTACCATTTCGACCAAATGTTCATGTCACGCGTCACGGAGGACCACAATGAGGAGCCACATGAGATCCATTGAAGAGTGACGGCATCAAGGCTGGCCTTGGCGGAGACAGTCGCGAAGAGTCGAGAGACGAGTATAGAGCGGAGGGACACCAGTACAGACGGCTCAATGTCCTAAACTATACTTGACCTAGCCAGGTGGACGAGATTAGCAGGTGTGGTTAAAGACGACACATACCTGTGGACACAGCGGCGGACGAGAGACTGCTGCCACTGAGGAGAGACTGGCAAGTGGAGTGTGGACACGGTCAGAGACGTCCCACCTTTTGCCACGAGCACTTGAAGACGGCTATCAGCGGGGGATGCATCAATCAGCAACCAGCAGATGCGATATCGCCGGCTGGAGGCTTGCGGTATCTTCTGTCTTCGAGGAGCGCAGTGAGCTTCGATTGGCGGGCAGTGTTTGCGGGCATTGGAGGACGTGTGGGAGTCGGACGTATGTTCAAAAGCGGCATCTAAAGTTGGCGAAAGGCGTCAACAGTGACATCATGGATGGTCACTCAAGTAGAAGACAGGTGGTTGGAAATAGCAGTCCGAGGGGGCCGACGGCGGCCATCGGCCGGCGAAGGCAGCCACGACTCTTTTTTCAACCATGCGGAGAACATGACACGGACCTGGTTGGGTACTTGGGATTCGCCTTTGAGGATACCTTTGGCGCTGTGAACGGCGAGGCGAGGGCGAATTGGACTGCGGTTGCGGGCAGGCCTCACCTAAGTCCGGCCACGATCGCACGACGGTGGGAGGCTCGGGGCGAGCGCAGACCTGCGCAGACCTGCCATCCGCAGACGTCAGTGGACGGGGGTCCTGGCGGCCTGACTCGACGGATTCGACATCCTGTCACGTAAAAAGTGGGAGGCGCAGACGCCTCTTGGCCAGATCGTTGGAGGCTCTTCAGCCTTGAGCCAAGAGATGCAAAGACCGTACAGTGTGTGTGGGACACGGACGAAGGGAAGACTAAGTGGTCTCCTGGGCGATGGACGGCGAGCTCTGGAAATGAAATGCTTGCCGAGGCGTGCCGGCAGGCGCGTGACCCGCGCAGCTCAGGCGCTCGGGCTGGGCGGTCGAGGGAGGCGCGCCCGCCGCCCGCTCGCTCGCGCCCGTCGCCTCTTGTCTCCCCTTCCGGCTTGGCGCCACTGGCTCTTTCTCTCTCTCCTTCCTCTTCCCCTCTTCCGCGAGCCGCGCTCGCTTTCCCCTCGTCCCACTTCCCCCGACGAGGCCCTCTCCCGCCTCGCTCGCTCCCCCCTCTTGGCCCCCTCCCCCGGTCCGATCACCCAAACTGGTCCCCGCCGCTACGTGAGTCTCGCTTGGATCTGGTCACGGCCTCCCGCCCCCGTTCATTCTTACCCGACGCTAATAATCCTTGCTCCTCCCTCTTCTCGCCCGCTCCCTCTTTCACGCTCTCTTTCTGGTTTCTCGTCGCTCCTTTGCCCCCCCACCTCCTCGCCGCCATGGCGCACCAACACAGCATGTCCAACACGCCCTACCAGCCCGTCTTCGTTCACAGTAACCCGTACAGCCAGCCAACCGACTCCCGCGAGTCCTACTACGATGGCCCCGAGGCAGAGCACCTCCAGCCTCATCATGATGCTTTCGCCGCTGGGTCCTCCCAACCTCGTTTCTTCCCAGGAAACCGTGAATCCTTCGCCTCTTCCAACCCTACCCTCACCGGCGACTACCACGATCGTAATGGCTCCTCCATCGCGCTGAACGACAAGCCTGGTTATTACACGTACAATGACTCCGGGGACGTGGGCATGCCTCCACGCACTGGTCCCTCGCCCTATCTCAACGAGAAGACCGCCTTCCCTGCCAAGCGCTCTCGCAAGAAGGCCATCATCATTGGCGTCCTCGCCGTCCTCGCCGCCGCTGTCGCTGCCGGCGTCGTCGTCTACTTCTTGGTCATCAAACCCAAGAGCTCAAAGAGCTCTCCGTCGGCCAACACGTCCGGCGCGAACGACACGAGCACCGACAACGGCAAATCGGACACCACCAAGAACAACCTCGTCGTCACTGGCGGCGATGGCAGTACGGTCACGACCGATGCCGGCGATACGTTCACCTACACGAACAGTTTCGGCGGTGTCTGGTACTACAACCCCGAGAACCCTCTCGAGAGTGGCGCACGTGCCCAGTCGTTCACCCCTGCGCTCAACGAGACCTTCAAGTTTGGCGAGGATCCCATTCGAGGGTATGCCTTCGCGTCCTCAAAACGCGTCCCATATGTTGACCGGTGTGACGCACAACAGAGTCAACGTTGGTGGCTGGCTTGTCACTGAACCGGTACGCGTCTGCTTCTATGTTGCGGCTGTGGCAACTTGCTCATGATTGACTGTTACAGTTCATGTGAGTTTGATGTCAGATGAGGTCGAACGCATCTTGACGAACCCCACTGCGCTCAGTGTTCCCGCGCTGTATGAGAAATACATCAACGGCTCGACTCCGGCGTTCGACGAGTTCGATCTTACTACCAACATGAGGGCCGATGGCAGCCTGAGCGACCTGGAGAACCACTACGCGACGTTTATTGTACGTCTTCCGGTGACTGGTTTTACTCTCTCATTGACTTAGTTTCGTCCAGACCGAGCAAGACTTTGCCGAGATTGCCGCTGCCGGGCTCAACTTTGTCCGTATCCCGATCGCATATTGGGCCATTGAGACTCGCGAGAACGAGCCGTTCCTCGCCCAGACGTCGTGGAAGTATGTATGCTTACAGCATCGCCACATAGTGCAGTACTGATCACAATTGCCTGCATTTAGGTACTTCCTCAAGGCTGTTCAGTGGGCACGCAAGTACGGTCTCCGTATCAACCTCGATCTCCATGCTCTCCCTGGCTCCCAGAACGGCTGGAATCACTCTGGACGGCTCGGCAACATCAACGTCCTCTACGGTCCGATGGGGATCAACAACGCTGAGCGCTCGCTGGACTATATCCGCATAATCGCCGAGTTCGTCTCCCAGCCCGAGTACAGCGACGTCATCGTCATGTTCGGCCTCACCAACGAGCCCTTCGGCCCGACGATCGGCAAGGACGCCATCTCGCGCTAGTCCGTCCTGTCTCCCTTCCTGCGACGCATTCCAACTGACCCGCCCATAGTTACGTCCAGGCGTACAGCAACGTTCGGACTGCCTCGGGCAACGGCAACGGACCCTGGATCGTCATGCACGATGCCTTTATGGGTCTCCCCAACTGGGCCGGCTTCCTCCCCAATGCGGACCGTGTGCAGCTCGACATTCATCAGTACCTCTGCTTCAACAGCCAGTCCGCTGACGATTACACGGTGCGCACGGCCGCTACCATCCCTTGCGGCACCTGGGGTACCGGACAAAACGCGTCCATGTCCGCCTTCGGAATGACCCATGTTGGCGAGTTCAGCAACGCGATCAACGACTGCGGTCAGTGGCTCAACGGCATCAACATTGGTGCTCGCTTCGATGGCTCCTTCACTCCGGACCCGTCCTTCAAGGCTGTTGGCAGCTGTGAGACCTATCTCGATTACACCCAATGGGATCAGCAGTGGAAGGACTCGATGAAGCTCTGGGCCCTCCAGAGCATGTCTGCCCTTCAGGTACGTACTCAGAGCTATGGGCCATCAACCTTGCTCACCTGATTTGCCATAGAACTGGTTCTTCTGGACATGGAAGATCGGTAACTCCACTGTTACTGGCCGTCCCCCATCGCCCGCCTGGTCCTACCAGCTCGGTCTCCAGGAAGGCTGGATGCCCACCGATCCCCGTGCTGCCGAGGGTGTCTGCGATGACACCGCACCTTTCGCCGGCACGATCACCGACGGCTCAGGCCAGGTCCCGCAGACGTTCCTTGACACCTTTACGTGGCCCCCTGCGTCGCTCACCAACGAGCCTGACCTCGCTACCCTGCCGCAGTATACCCAGACGGGTACGATCATCACCCTCCCTCCGCCCGCGTTCACGAGCGGCAGCTCTACGATCTCCGCGTCCACCGGCAACGGCTGGAACAACCCCTCGGATACCGCATTTCTCTTCGTGCCCGTCGCGAGCTGTGGCTTCCTCGACCCCTGGATTGGCCCTTCGGCCACCATGGTCACCTGCCCGCCTGTGCAGCGCCGTGAAGACTTCGTGCCTCGCGCCGCGGCGCCGACACCCCCGCCGATGCCCCGCCGGTGAACGCACGCCACCGCTTGTTGTGTCTCGCGCACTGGGCCGTACTCGTCCCTCTTTCCGGGCTTTGACTCAGACTGTCCGACTGTAAGTACTTACCGCACCACACATGACGACAGCCGAACGCTTGCGCGCCCGGCACCGTGCTCCCTAGGACATTGACCGACTTGTTAGTAGTACCGTACTAGTTCATGCTGCCCTTTCACCCCCGTTCCTTCACACGGTGGCATGTAGTATACGATTTGCGTGCGCAGGGTGTGTATCGCTCGCTTCCCTCCGTACGCGGACCCTCCCTCCCTCCTTCATTCCGATAACGACCCTCGGGCAAGCTTTGCCGGCGCCCCTCACGCATACATACATTCATACCTTATTCCTTCGGCCATGATCCTCGATTCCTCTCTCGTACTAGGTAGTGTCGATATTGACGGACTTCTTGGACTCGTGCGACTGTGTTGTGTCCGTCCGTTTAGACGGAATGCATTGGACCGGATATCCGATGATGAGTGCTGAGAAGGTGGGCCTGTGGCCTTGTACCTAGGACTCATTCGTCAAGACTATACATACCCTATAGGCAGACCGTGCGCAGTGGGTCTTCCGCCAGCAATAAATATTGCTGCGAGAAAAGCGTCGCGACACACACGCCGCTGGGCGAGCCCTCCTGCAGTCGATCACAATTGCATCGCGAGCGGAAACTGGAGTCTGGGCTGCTGCACTACTAGTACTGTACATTGCGATCGCGCCCGCCGGGACCGGACGCACGCGCTCAGTGCTCCCCCGACGTGGTCGCGTACCGGTCCTCGAGGTCCTCCTGCCCGCCGAACCCGCCCTCGAAGTCGCGGTCCACCGCCGCGGCGGGGTCCGCCTGCGCGGGCGCGGCGCCTTCCGTCTGGGCAGCGCGCAGCGCGCGGAGCTGGTCCTGTTCCTGCGTGCGCACTTAGCCGGGGAGCCCCGGAAAGTTGAAACGGCGGCTGCGCGCGAGGCCCGCGGGCAGACCAGTACTAGTGGACGGTGCGTACCTTGGCGCGCGCGTACTGGGCCTCGGCGGCCTGCTCCCTGGGCTTCCAGGCGGAGTCCTGTGCACGGGGGCGGGCGCGGCAGCCTGCGGTCAGCCGACTGATCACGGAAATTCCAACTCACCCCCTTAACGCAACCGAAAGGAAAAGGCGCAAGGAAGATGGGGCGCACGATGTGGCGGCGGCGGCGGCAGCTTCCATGTCATTGTGGGACGCTTCTTTACGTGCGCATTGTCTACATATTGTATTTAAAATGCCCTGGGTTATATGGCGATGTAGTCTTGCTGTCTATGATGCTGTGGTCAGCGCAAGAATTGTGGTGGTCTCATGGTTCGAATCCTGGAGGATTTTTTTTTTTCAATTGTTGCCACTGGTTGTACATCCAGAAGTGAATTTTCTGTCTGTCCCTCGTTTTATTCATATGTGCCGCGCACGAGTTCACAGCATGTCCCGACTGTCCGATGAACGAGTCAGTGTCCCATATTATACTCGCTTTTTCACATTGTGTGACAGTACTTGCAGGATTCTGTCACTCCCGCGGAGTGTAGCAACGCCATACAGACCCGCACGCCCATGGGCCCAGGAACCAGCAGCCATGCCTCCCGCTGCTGACGTGAGTCTTTCTGCGCCTCACACGCAGATAGCTACCTACTTATGGCTGACCGAAACCCACCGAGTTATTTGTGTATCCCATGCCGCCCCGCAAGTACAACTGTTCCAATATCAATAGGCCGTTCTCGCGCAGGAGCGTCTTGGAGCGGGCCACAGCGCTAGCGCCCTCGCGCACCACCGCGCGACGGGCAGCACGAGTCTGAGCGCACCACCGTGGGCGCCGCGCAGTCGTGGCGATGTCTCTGCGTGCACCCCGTCGTGCGCGAGGAGTTTAGATCCGTAGTGCACGTATATCGCCGCGCGCGCGCGGTGCTCGCGGCGGTGCGCTCGGACTCGCGCTGCCCGTCGCGCGGTGGTGCGCGAGGGCGCTAGCGCTGTGGCCCACCTCGCGAGAACGGCCTATCGCTCCCGTAAACTACTCCTCCTCCTCAAATCACGCACCTCTTCGCTACACTCCTCCGTACTCGGCCCATTTCGGGCGTTAGATTCCATCGAAAGAACACCTGCATTACTAAGACTACCAAATCGAGCTATTTAGGCGCCGGGTTAAGGGGGTGAGTTGGATTCTCCTGATCACGGCTTGGATGAGGGGTGCACGCTTCACTCGCCTCGGCGGTCTTTCCTGAGCTCATCGGAGGTGCTGCTTGGGGAAGTGCTGAGCGGTGGAGATGGGGGGAGATGGCAGGCTTGGTTGTGGGGCCCCGCCGCCCTGCGGCCGAGTGAACGCGGCGGGGACGGGCCGGTGGACTGGGTGCGTCATTTGCTTGTGGGCGTCTGAGGCGTAGGGCGAAGTCCGCGGCGCTCGACGCCGTAGGCAGCACCAGGCTTGGCCAAATACAGCTGCTCCTCCTACCAACTTCACTATGGTATAAGCGTCCCAGGCCTGGACGATCCTTTGTTGATTCGCGAAACCTTGACTCGAGGCGATTGATCTCATGGCCTGTCATCAATACCCGTAAGATGTGGACACTAGTCGTAGAGTCGCCTTCATGAGACTAGTAGTACGAGTAATACGAGTACAGCGCGAGAGCGTAGACAGCAGGACAGCACAATACAAAAAATAACACGAACGTCAACCAAAGCTATACAACCATTGCGTACACAGCGACCATCATGCGTGAGGGAAGCTGCCATTGGGCCCGGTTTGCTGCTGCTGTTGAGCGTGGGCGGCGTATTGCTGTTGCTGTTGTTGAAGACGCTGCACGCCCTCTCAATCTCGGCTGCCGACAAAACGAGCGGACAGTCATCACTTACCAAAAAAGCCTGGATCTGTTCTACCGAATGCAGCCCCTGCATCGCCTGCATCGCCGGCGCGCCGCGAACGTGCATGTTGTGCGGATAGAACGGCGTCATGTTCGCATGCACCATCGGGTTCACAGGCGCGCCCTGCACAGGCTGGCCCGGGACCGATGGCGGCCGCTGCACGTTCGGCGGGCTCGCAACCGGCAGCGGCGGCGACTGATGCGCCGGCACCCCGGGGACGAGCTTGCCTGTCGCGCCGCGAACGGCGGTGAGAGGTGCACCGAGCTGAGCGCGGGCGCCGCCGCCGTGAGCGCCGCCGACGCGTTCGACGGCGGGGGCATCTGCGCCGGCATCTGGGGCTGCGCTGAAACCTGCGCCTGCTGCGATGGCTGGCCGGGGACTTGCTGCTGCTGCTGCTGCGCCTGGCCCTGTGCCGCCGCCATCGCTCGCATGTGCGCCACCTGCAGCTGTTGGGCGGAGAGCTGAGGTGGCGACATCCGCGTGTTGGCGCTGGCCAGGGCCGCAGCGATCCGCTGCTGCTGTTGCTGCTGGGAGATCCCGACCTGGCTCCGAATGGAGGGCACCATCGGAGACTGACCGGGGGCAGCACGAGCAACACCGTTCGCTTGGGGATGCATCGGAGTTTGCGGGTTTTGCGGTGGATGCTGCTGAACGATAAGCTCGAGAGGACACGTACAAATTTATGTAGACGTACTGCGTTAGGAGGTAACCCTTGCGCGCGCTGCTGCTGCTCCCGCACGAGTTGCTGTCGATTCATATTAGGTCGTTGTCGCAATGCTAGGTCCTGCTGGTCTCTTGCCTCCTTTTCGGCTTTCATTCGACTAAGCTCCGCCGGCGTCAGGCGCGGCAGCTTCGTGAACTGGCCGTGTGTGTCATGCACCGCGGCAGGCTTGACGCGTGGCGCAGCTGAACAAAGGTCAGGAGGAATTTCTACGTAGATCCAGCACAGCGTCTTACCAGAGCTCTTCTGCAACGCCTCCCGCTTCTTCGTCGACTTGCGCACAGCGTCGTGCATCGACGCATGTCTGCGACGCTTGCGCGGCTCACCTGTAGCTGAGGAGCTACCCGCGGTAGCGAGCCCAGACGTTTGCGTGAGCGACCGCTTGTGCCCTCTTGTGGCCATGTACGCCGGGCGGCAGAGGCGGACGCGCCCTCGTCCGCCCCGTCGCCCCGAGACGAACTGGCCCTGGTCTCCTTCGCAAGTTGAGTCCAGCGTTCTGCGCATTCCCATGTTGTACGTTTGTCGGTGGAGATGGTGACACGGGAAGAGTTGAAAGCGTCTGCCGCGAGTGCCCAATTGGTTGGGTAACGGTCCACAGCTTGCTTGAGCAGAATGTCCTCGGCAGGGGTCCACACGGTACCTTCGCCGTGGTCGGCATTGCGCTTCCGGGGATCTCTGAGGGGAGTGGGTTGGGGAATGATATGGGGTCTCGGGGTAGACGTTTCGAAGAGTGCTGAAGAGATTTCAGCCAGAGATTCACCTATTAAAACGAACCCCTTACCACAAAGATGCTCTTCGCGTGGATGAACAACATCGATGTCGAGGAAGACCGGAGTATCCTCTATACGATCCCAGTGCCCGTCTTCGTAGTGCTTCGCGGGCTGCAAGGTACCAAGTAAAGCGGGTTTGATATGCATGAACTTGCTTGCTGATGTGACTTTGAAGTACGTGGTCTCGTCATGACGCTTGTTTGGATCGTCCTTGTCGCTTTTCTTGTCCCCCTTCTTCCTAACCTCGTGAACAGGAGGAGGGGCGACGTCAAGCATCGTGAACGGCACAAGATCGGGGAAAATGGTGGCGAGGTCGTGAGGGACCGGTGGACCGCCAGACGAAGGGGCAAAGGGGTCCTCGGTGGTGGTGAGTTCGGACATCCCCTTGATGATGTCAAGGTCGTCGGGGTCGATGAAGAGCTTGTCGAAATCCGAGTATATGATAGCTTCGCGGAGAGGTGCGTATTGATTCGCTTTGCTCTTCGTAGACTTCTTGTCCGAGACCTCTTTGCCAGCAGCGCCGAGAACAGGATCCTTAGAAGTCGATTTTAGGCCTGGATGTGCCTCCAATGGATCGGTCTTAGAGGCGTCGACATCCGGAACTCCAGATTGCTCAGTAATGTCCTTCTTGACGTCGACGTTCATTGCATTCTCGGCTCGTGCGGCAGGAGTTTCCCCAAGTGCAGTGAGGTCTTCGATTTCTTCGACTTTGGGCCTGAGAGAGACTCCGGTGGCGTTTGGCTGATTGACCGTGGCCTGATCTTGTTCGAGTTGTTCGAGAGCATCTTGAAGCGCGCCTCCAGGAGTCAGGCCGTCTGCGGCCTCTTGCGTCTCCTTGTCTTGTTCCTCGTCGCTCTCATCGTCCGTGGCGTAGCCGTCGAGAGGAGTAGCGGTCTCCCTTGAATCTGCACCATTCTCATCGGCCTCTTGCGACTCACGGAACGGACCGTCTGGCCGATCTCCTTCACCGTCAGCCATTTCGGCGTCTTCTGGAGGCGGCGGAGTCCAGCGTACGACGATTCCGCGGTTTACGCGCTCTTCCAGAGATCCAGCTTCATGCCACTCCACCACCGCTCGAGAAAGGGTGTACGCCAACGCAAGCTTCCATCGTCGCTCCTCGCGAAAATCTGTCCGCATCCACCTCTGCAAGAAATGATCAGCGCCCTCTCAAGAATGCGGGTGTCATGCCGCCTCACCATCTCGTCGATGAGGTAGTCCCAATGCGTCTTCACGGACGAGCCAACCCCGCGCTGCTTCTTTGGCTGCCTGAAGCTCCACGCGCCGTCCTTGAGCTTCTCGATACGTTCGAACGCGCGCATGTAGCGCAGCTCCGTGATGCCGACCTGCACAATGTTGAATCAGCGATTCAGAACGTGGAACCGTTGCAACCGGTCCCTTACCGACCAATCGCGCGTGCTCAGACACTTTGACGACCGTGACAGCTTGGGATGCAGTGGATTCGCTTTCAGGGTAGCAGCCCATCTATTGAGACTCATAGGCTGCCACTCCTCCTTCTTCGACTCCTTCTCCTTGTCTTTCTTCTTTTTCGACGACCTCTTGCGCGTGAACTCCATAGGCAATAGGCTCGCTGGCGGAAGAGGATACGGAGGTTCGGGCCCAAAAGTAGGATGCCGTACCGGGTTCTGCACGAAGTCCGTGGCACTTTGCCCATCCGCAATTGAGTAGTCCTCCATTGGCTGGGGTCGGGGTAGTGGTATGGTGTAGGCCGGGTGACGCTGATCCTCGCCACCAAATATGAGGTAAGTTTGGAGTTGTGAAGGCGCCAAGATATTCATTGACTGTTGTCCACCGTGCGAGCCGGAAAGCTGAGCGGGAGAGATGGATATGACTGGCGCCCCGTTTGCTTCAGATCTTGAAGTAGCCAACGCCTCTGATTGCTGCCCGTTCGCTGTAGGTTCCTCGACTTCCATAACAGTATCTTCCCCCAGAGACTCGGGCTTGACATCGTTAGACTCTTTCGGTACTTCATCGGGCCGCTGGGGTGGGGATAACGGCGACTTCGGTACGAACGAAATATCAAGGTCCGTGGGAGGAGACGGGGAGGAGAGCGTGGGGGAGTCTTCAGGAGGTGCGAGGGCAGCAAAGTGTGGGGAAGGGGAAGGTGTAGGTGTCTTGGCGGGAGTATGGGACTTCACAGGCCGAGTGACCTCGGCGATAGGCTCGACGACGATGAGTCCCGGCGACTTCGGTATGATTTGCGGCTCTTGTGTGGGATGCTGTGACGCCATGGAGACATCCCCAATGGCCGACTCACTTGGGAGAACTGGTGTCGCGGCGACGGTGCTTGATTCATCGATGTCCATGTCCATGGCGGAGTTCTCCTGCAGGGGCTCTGGAGCCTGAACTGTCACCACTTCATCCTCGCGCTCTTCTTCTTCTTCTTCCTCTTCTTGGGCCTCCGCGCGTGGCGACGTGGGTGGGTCGGACATAGGCGAGTCCAGTATGACATTGACAGCGGCTTCCGCCTCTGCCTCTGCCTCCGCCTCTGGTTCCAAGGCAGCTGCCGGCGGTCCAGGTTGTGAAGATAGCTCTAGCCCCAGCTCCGGTGTTGGCACCGGTACCAGCTCGGGCTCGTCTTCATCGTCCGCCTTGATCTCTTGCGCGGGCTCCGGCAAGGAAGGACCCAGCTCTGGCGTTAGCTCCGGGACGAGCTCCGGGTCCGGGTCGAGAACGTGCATAGGCACGACGGGGGAGTATTCTGGGGGCGTGTCCGGTATGGCGACCTCATCTTCCAAGAGGTTCAAGATGAGGCCGGAATCCGGGCTGGCACGCGCCCAGTGGGTGGTCAGAGCTATGAGGGATGTGGCTGGACGGAGCACTCACTGTTTCTCCATGTCAAACCGCTCCAGGAACAGTTTGAGCGCAACGTTGTCCTCATCCTCCACCGCGATGACGGACCCTAGGTTATCGCGTTTCTGGATGAGGTGGAACATTTCGGACAACAGTTCATTCCGCCGCCGCCGTATTTCTCTGGGACGGGGAGCGCATGGGAAACGACCGAATTAGCAGGAACACATGGCACTCACTGTAGATGCATCACACGTTCCTCCACAAGAGCTTCCGCACGCTGTGCCATCGTTCGGGGAACGGCTGGGCCGAGAGCGAAGGGTGGTCAGGGCTGAGTCGCGTGTGTGGCTGAAGGGGAGAGGTCGAGGTGGCGCGCGACAGAGACGTGGAAACCGCGCAAGAAAGTGACGGTGGGTCGCGACAGCGTAGTCAAAGAGAATGGTCGGCTGTAGGCTTACACAGGGGAGAGGAGGGGGGATGAAGAGAGAAAGAGAGTCGGCTGCCCGTGAGCACATACACACCGGCAATAGCCGAATGTGTGCTTTTCTGTTTATGGCAAGCGTCGTAGTTCATCCACGAACATGTCTTCTGCGACCATACTCGTGAATCACCTCTCATAGACACAAAATGTAGTTTAAATGAATTATAGTGCATGCAGAGCCCTCTTCTTATTTTTACCGACTCTGGATTGCCTCCATTTGTGGAAGGAGCCCAAGCGTCTCCCCAGGTGCGTTCCCACCAGCCGCGCCTGCTCACGCGCTCACGAGCCCACCGCGAGGCAGATGCTGCGATAGATCGCACCCTCCGTCTACACCCCCGGCTGTGCGCGTGCACGCCTCGCCCGCGAGGCCCCCCCGCCTCGTCCTCTCCCTCGTTCTCCCCGCCCTCCCTTGCCTCTGCTCCCTCTCAAGCCCGCGGTGTCGACCATCCCCACTCGACCCCCGCTCGACCCGGAGATCTCGACCGACGGAGCCCAAGTGCGCAGACCCGCTCCGCGCCCAAGCACCCGCCACCCACCATCCGTCACCCGCCACCCGCACGCTATACGTTCTCGATTCCCCCTCGCCCACAATTCGAGCCACACGGTGACCACCCGCGATCGCCCACGTCCATGTCGACGTATACGTACGCACCCCCCGCCACTCGCCACCGCTCGCGCAAGGGCAAAGAGGTCGACCGCCCGGAGGCGCATTGGCCCTCGAACGCGACGAACATGCGCCACACCGTCGACCTCCGCCGAGGGTGGGTACCATCTCCAGAGCTGCACGCGCAGGTGCTGCCTAGGCCATCGAGCCCTGCCGCAGCACCTATTGTGGCGGAGGAGTCTCGCGCCACCAACACCAGGACGTTCCCGACGACTACGACCATACCGGCACGGTCTGCAAGGAGTGCGCGTGCGTATGACGGAGACTATCCAGAGCAGGAAGAAAGGCACACGGGCCCCCACCACCCGCAAGCACAGAGACATACGCTCGGCAATGATATACCCCACACCCGGCGGAGCGCTTCGACAGCGGCATCGACAACATCGCGCACACAAACCGGGTCCATCGAGCGCGAAAAGCAGGAGGAGCGGTCGAAGTCATGGTTCATCGCGCTCTTAACTCGCAGTAGGTATTCACCGCCGCGCGCCTCGATCGTAATCCTCACGTGCGCGCGCACGACCGTCTACAGGGAAACGCAAACGGACCAGCGCGACCAGTGGTGACACAGGCGGGCGCGACAGCGTCGCTGAAAGTTGGGGCAGCGCTGCACACCGCGACCGCGCGCACGAAGTCGAAGAGCCCGCGCCCGCGCCCGAGCCTCTCCCAGAGATCACCCCCACACAGTGGCGCGCGTACGGTGTCTGGGCGCGCCCGCTGCTCGGCCCGCCGTGGAACATGGTCGTCCACAACGCCAGTACGTCCCCCGTCTCTTCCCCTAGCCTCTTCCACATCCCGCGCGTCCTCAACGAACGCACTCCGCACAGCGCCCCCGCGCCACGCTCGCTCGCTCAGCCCGCCACAAGTGGACGCGATGCTCGCCAGCCTGCGCGACGCGGACGGCTCCCCGCACCCCGAGCGCTGGGTCGCGCGCGTCGCGCACCCCGCCCTCCCGCCGCGCCCCGCGCTCTGGCCGACGCCCCGGCAGAGCTTCGACGCGGCCCCGGGCGCGCTCCAGCTCAACCCGTTCCTCCTGCACCCCCGCGCGGGCCCGCCCCCGCTCCACTTCGACCTCCGCGGCGCGCTCGACGGCGTCCTCTTCGGCGCGCCCCTCGCGAGCCCGTACGACGACCCGAGGGAGGAAGCGGAGGGCGAGCGGCCGCGCGCCGCGGACGCCTTCTGGTGCGACGGCCCGAACGGCGCGCAGCCCGCGACGTTCCCCGGCGTCCCCCGCCTGCGCATCACCGCGCTCGCCGACGACCCCGCGCCCCCGCCTTTCCCTGGCCGGTCACGGTCCTCCCCGGGGACGCCCGCCTGCCCGTGCGCGTGCGCGACGTGCTCGAGGCCCTCCAGCAGAACTTCGCCCAGCGCCTGCACCCCGACGAGTGGGCGGAGATGGGGCCCGCGCGCCGTGCGGCCGTCGGGAGGGCGTACTGGCTGAGGGTGAAGGGAAGGGCGCGGTGGGGTGGCGGAGACCGGGAGGACGGGGTGCGGAGGGTGGATTATCTCGGCGACCGATTCTGCTTTCGCGGTCTTGAGCCGGACGCGGACGGGAGGGGTTTATGATGTTCGTGGGCGCGCCGGCGTAGGAGGTGCGGAAGGCGTGTCGCGTCGTTTCGTACTCTCCTCTCTCTTCCTCTTTTGTGTTTCTCTGCGGGACTTCGCATGTCGCACACTTGCTTTTCGGAGTCGTTGGTACTTACGTAGGGTTGCAACGGAAGAATCTGTACGGCTGTACAATACATCGCTATGCTGTCCATTTTGCTATCATCATCTCGTTGTACTAGTATTATACCCAAGTGTTGCTGGCCTTTGCCTGCCGCTCCTTTTACGGGCAGCGAAGCTTGCAATGTCTTTTTACGATTTTTATCACCGACGGCGAGAGGTGTGATTAAGGTGCGGTCGCGAGCGGGGAGTGCCTCCAGATGTAGCGATGGACACGGTGCCGCCAGGCAAGCATGTGCCAACTTATGAAGGCTGTTAAAGGACTGGGACAGAATAGCTGTGTCAAATGAATGGACGTTGGCAGAGGGTCACGATGACCTGGCCAGTACTTACAACTTAATTTGTCACCGAGCCCTATGAATCCACACTGCAGTGCACACACATCGGAATATTCGGCCACCAATTCCGAGGTCCACGATGCGCATAATAATTATCGTTACGGTACTGCCATCACAGCTTACTAGGGTGTAGCTACGGGTATCGACGAACATGAGGCATGACGGGGCAATCGACGATCGACGTGGATGCGAGTGAATGAGCGAAGAGGACGAATGGCCAGAGGTGCGTGTGAGAATCGATGATGTTAAAGGATGGAAGATGAGGAGACGTCGAACCGGGCCCTGTACGCATTTTGCAGAAAGAGCATGCACTAGTCTAGGGAAGGAGCGTCCGTACAATGTGAGGCTGGTATCGGGACACCAATGGCACACTGAGCACGCGCCCGAGAAGATGCAAACGAAGGGGATGTCGACAGTCCATTGCCCGTGCACGAGACTACTGCTTGGTCTCCACCGAAACTACCGAGTCAGTTCTCCGCTTGCCACCGAGCTGTCCGAGTTTCTTGAGTCCTAACGACACGCTGCTTTTCTTCCGCCCATGCTGCTTCTTGCTGATGGCCGAAGCCTTGGAGTCGATCGACTTGATTGACGCTACCTCCGCCGTGGGATCGTCTTCAGGTTCGTGCTCATCAACGAGTACAACATCCTCTTCGCCCGCGTTGCCTGAGAAGCCCCCTGCGCCAACCAGTCGGATTGTTGACTCCGCTTCGTCGGCAGAGGCATCCGTAGCATCAACTAGGACAGTAGAATCGTCCTCGAGCACCACAGAACCCACAGGCTGAGAAGGGCCCGCGCTTCGATGACACCGTCCCGGAGAAGGTTCGTTGCGGTGCTAGGGGAGGTAACTGGGGTGGCGTCGGGAGATTCAACAAACGTTGGCTCGTGTGAGACCAGGGAAAGCTTTGGCGAGGGGGACCTTGAGCGTGCAACACGTGGGGGCACTGTCGTGAGGGGGACACTATTAGGGTCCTCAGCGGGACGTCCCTCGATATCGTTCTGAAGGGGGAAGTTGAGCGTGCTTTCGTCATCTGGCGTGAGGTTGCTAGGGGAGGGTAGGTCGACAGGCATGGGTGCTGGAGGCTTCGTCACGGATATTGATGGTAGTCTTGATGGCTGAGAGAAGTTCGTAACATTACCGAGGGGAGTAGGGAGACTTGACTCGTCTTGTGCCGTCTTCTCGTCGTCGGTAATGACGGGGACCGAGACCACTTGGCCCGTAGCGATATCCGTTGTTGAAGCAACGAGCACCGGCTCTATCGCCTTTCGGATGCCTTCTCCTGCGGAATATTACAACGAGGAAATAAGACGTTCGAGAAAATCAAACTCACCTTGCCCTTATCCGCTGCACCTTGCTGGAAGATATTCTCGGGCACAATCCCTGCGTCTATCCATCGCCGTACGCTCTTGTCTGCCCAGGCCTCGAGGACGTTCCAACCCTTGTACTCTCCAGACAGTTTAATCCCACCGGACCCAAGGTCGCCACCAGTGTCGCCCTGCCCGCCGCCCACGCCGTTGAAGAAGTAGTCGTTGTATCCAACGGAATCTTCGCTGCCTTCGCTCCCCTCGTGGCCCGGACCCATCTCATAACCCTCTCCATTCTCCAGGTCGTCCACGAACCCAGCGAGGAACTTGGCCCACCCCCCGGGGCCGTCTCCACGCCACATGACGACCTTCGTGTCGAAATCACGCCCGAACACGATGACCTGCCCGACCGCGCCGCCCTCGCCCGGGTTCATGTCGATCCCGAGATAGTTGCCCGCCTTGTCCGCGACGAGCGGGATCCAGCCGCGACACGAGTACTCGCGGCGGACCCACCCGGCGGGGATGGACTCCATCAGCTCGCGGAGGCCTGCGTTCGCGCCCGTGGCCGGGTCATCGTCGACCTCGCGCCAGAAGCGCCACTCCTCGAGCACGTCCTCGAGCGGTAGGAGAGTGAGCCGAAGAAGAGCCCCTCGGCGCAGCCCGCGGACGACTCTGGCTCCTGGCCGTCCACGCACAGGAAGGACTCCCGGACGGGCTGTGGAAGCGCAAAGCCAAAGGCCATCTCGGTATCCGCGAGGTCCTGGGGAAGGATACCGTAGTTGAGGGTGTCACCAAGCTCGGGGTACTCGCGCTCGAGCCACTGCCGGAGCCGGTTCCATGTGTTCGAGAGCGGGGGATACGGGTGGCCGGCTGGGACGATCGGGTGGTGGAGGGGGAGCACAGAGGCCTTGGAAGAGGGTGCGCTGCGGGCGCGTCAGCGCCTGGGATACCATGATGATACCGGTGTGCACATACGACTTAGGGACTTCGTAGTAGGGGCCCGACGGGGACGAGGGAGGGTAGGAGTAAGCTGGGATTCCGTACTGTGTAGACGCAAATGCCTCTCCATTGAACGCATCGGGGTGACCTCTGTTGGACGAGGACGTTGGAAGGCTGAAGGCCTCGTGGGTGGAGGTCATGGTCCTGCGGCTATTGCTGCGATTGCTTTTGTTTGAGAAGAGGCTTGCGAACCAACTCATGGCTAGGGAGGCCGGGGTCGGCACGGGGCGCAGTCGGAGAGGCAAGGGACAGGGCGGCGGACGGAAAGCGTATAGGTGAAGCTAGGCGAGACACGAATGATGCGCCTGACAAGCTGATGACGAAACGCCGACAGTCGACTGCGGGCCTTGACGGACGAAGAGATGGGCCAGACTGGAGAGGCCGGGGGCAGTGGAGGAGGTGGATGGAGAAGGGAGAGCAGCACAGCACCAACAGCGGAGGGTCACGAACGACGCTCAGCGCGGGTGGAGCCCGTCCACGGGCGGCTGCCAGGTTGCCTCCAGCTGATATGTTTGAAGGGGCGATCTCTCACCTAGGAGCTGCTCCTGTCCGTGCGGTCCTGACGCCGACCGTCTCGCACACGTGCGGATGGGAATGGCTGCAATACTGTACAATTGATTATGCAATGACGACTGTCCCGGGTGCGTACAAAAATACATATGCGGAAGGCTATCTAGAATGTCGCAACATGGCTCGAAACCTTGAAGTCGCACGCCGTCTTCGCCTTGAGCTCGTCCATCGTCACGCCCTCCGCGATATCGGTGAGCGTGAGCTCGCCTGCGAGACGATCGACCTGGAACACCGCCATGTCCGTCACAATCAAGCCCACCGACCGCGCGCCCGTCAGAGGCAGAGAGCATTCCTGCACAATCTTCGGCGTTCCATCCTTCGACACATGCTGCATCGTCACCATGACTTTCGTCTTGTCCGGGTTCGATACCAAGTCCATCGCACCGCCGATACCTGCGCGTCCAGTTAGCTGCTGCGTTCGTTTTAGAAGGAGCTAAACTCACCCTTCACGAGCTTGCCGGGGATCATGAAGTTGGCAATATCACCCGCTTGTGATACCTGCATGGCCTGATCGAGCAAAGTCAGCGCGTTTCGTGGAAGCAAAAGCTGGGTGCTCACTCCGAGACAAGTAATATCCATATGACCACCGCGAATCATGTTGAACGACTCCGCAGAATCTGTGTCGTAGTTAGCCTTTGTCGCTCGTCTGCGTGCTACACGGTCTAAACTCACCGAACGTGGATGCGCCTGGGAGGAGGGTGGTGGTCTCCTTGCCAGCATTGATGATGTCCCTATATGCAGATATGTTACTATTGGATTTCCATCAGCGGTCCGCCCTAAGTACTCACGCGTCAACCTGGTCAGGTGTGGGGTATGGACCCATGCCAAGAATGCCGTTCTCGCTCTCCAGCCAGACCTTGATCGACGGGTCGAGATGCTGCACGGCAACGCGCTTAATGAAAGCCCCTGGACTCCAGTGATAGACCGCGCTCACCTCAGGAATGAGTGTCGGGATGCCCACGCCCAGGTTGACGTAGAAGCCGTCGCCGATCTCCTTGGCCGCGCGCCTCGCGATCCGGTGCCTCCAGTCCTTCGACTTGTCAGCGTTGGCATTCGCAGCTTGTGTCTCCTCGCTGGGAGCGAGTTTGGTGACCTCGATAGCTTTGGGCTCTGTCGCCTGCACTATTCTGTCGACGTAGACACCGGGCACGTGAATAGAATTCGGAGATAAGCTTCCAACCGGGCTGCAGTGGTGTGATTGAGTTACGTCCGTTCGTTTGAATAAAAAACCCAGATTTCACATACACGATCTCTTCGGCCTCGACGATCGTCAGCTTGGCGTTGCGCGCGATGACGCCGTTGTAGTTGTTCGCCGTATACCTGTGTGAGCGGCGAGATGTCAGACGAGCGCTCTAAAGCCGATCACAGATCCGGCGCACCTGAAGACCAGGTTTCCAACCGCGTCCGCCTTCCACGCGTGGACGAACGCAACATCACCGACGACGCGGGCTCGAAAACAAATCGGCGACCACCGAAAATACGGGCCTCCTTCGGGTTTCCGGGGATCATGACGCCCGCTTTCATGCCACCAGGGTTGTAGCGGATGGGAATGCCGCCGCTCTCGACCGCGGTGTTCGCGCCGGTGGGCGTGAAGACACCCGGCTCGCCCGACGCGTGCGCTTGCAGACGGGCGACGAGCGTGCCCTGGGGGACGAGCTCGATGCCGACATCGCCATTGAGATAGCCCGACTCGAGGTACTTGTTCCTACACAGCGAGAGACCGCGCGGAACGGGTCAGCTGGCACGAGAGACGGAAATAACACGGGAAGGACGCACCCGCCGAGGTAGGAGATCATGACCGTGTCCAGCTGCTGCGTCTTCATGAGCTTCACTGGAGGGTGTGTCAACCGAGTGGATCTCCATGCGCAGAAGCGCTCCCACGGAATGCGCGCGGAAAGACGTACCGAGCCCGTGCTCGCCTGCGCCCGCGTTGTTCGAGACGGCGGTCAGGTTTTTTACGTCCGGTCGGCGCGCGAGTGCGGTGATTAGGGTCTCTGGGATGCCGCAAAGTCCGAAGCCTGTGGTGGCGCAGGTTAGAACGCCATTTGAGCACAGGGGCATTGGACGCACCTCCAGAGAGAATGGTGTCCCCGGTCTTGACGTCTTTGACGGCCTCGTCGACCGAGTCCCAGACCTTGGTTTTCTTGGGCGCGTCGCGGACGACGGAGTAGTAGCGCATGCGCGCAGCCACCACCAAGCGGCTGCTGCTATGCGAGCGGGGTATCGATACCGCGCGGGCCTTGAGGGCGAGCATTACGGATTAAAGTGGGAGGGGGTATGGGAGCGCGAAGGGTATCCCGAGAATGTCACGGAGAACGCGGGGAATGCGGGGTAGAGTGCGGGGAGAGTGCCTCAGCAGAAGCAGCCATCGCGGCTTATAAGCTGAGAGCAGTGCGGGGAAAAGACTTCCGGCAGATTTCCGTGCGGAGGAGGACGCGACACGCCCCATGTGAGGGAGGTGTGGACAGTGGCGGACTTGCCCTGAGGCGTGACTGCCGTCCCTTCCCCGAGCTCGAGCGCCAAACGGCTGCCAATCAGCTCGCCGGCCGCGTTCAGCCAAATCACTCGCCTAGTTCCGCACCCAAGCCGTCTTTCGGCGATGCGGTGGTTGCTCCAGACAACATCCTCGAACGCGTCTGGGGGTCCGTGGCGCGCCGTGCTTTGCCCAGCACCACGCAAAGTAGGAATCCAGAAGGCAGCACCCACGAGAAGAAGGAGCACTACAGACCGCCGTTTCCGAAGTAGACGGAAAATATAGAACGTTATACAAATCAGAGTCGCTATTTGGCACCGTCTATGGCCGCATCCGTGCTCACATTCGCCCGAGCGTGTCCGATACCATGAAGTCGCACCCGGTCTTCGCCTTGACCTCGTCCAGAGTCACGCCCTCCGCGAGTTCCGTCAGCGTGAGCTCGCCTCCCAACCGGTCGACCTCGAACACCGCAAGCTCGGTAATGATGAGACTGACGGTCCGAGCGCCAGTTAGCGGCAACGCGCACTCCTTCAGGATCTTCGGGCTGCCATCCTTTGCACAGTGCTCCATAACCACAATGACCTTCGTCTTGTCCGGGTTCGAGACCAGGTCCATAGCACCACCGATGCCCTTGACGAGTTTGCCCGGGATCATGAAGTTAGCAATGTCGCCCTTCTGTGAGACTTGCATGGCCTGTGCATGCGGTAACAGAAGCACACGAAGCGTTGTCAGCGCACTATCTCCCTTGACGGGCTATTGTCGGACTCACGCCAAGAATTGCAACGTCAATATGACCTCCGCGAATCATCGCAAAGGAGTCATAGGAGTCTGCAGACTTGTGGGTCAACGACAGCGATCGCTTTCACAGGCATCTCCTTACCAAATACCGTAGATCCAGGCAAAAGGGTAACGACCTCCTTGCCGGCATTGATAATGTCGCTAGAAGAAGAACGCTCATGTGAGCCCACAGTGAATAGACTCAGTACGCCGACACTCACGCGTCAACCTCCTCCTTCTTGGGGTAAGGACCCATGCCAAGTATACCGTTTTCACTCTGAAGCCACACTTTGACGTTCGATGGGAGGAACTGCAGAATCGTATCAGATCGCGTGCCTCCACTGAATTACGCTTCAGCCTGACCTCGGGCACAAGCGTAGGCATCCCAATTCCGAGATTGACATAGAAGCCGTCCTTGAGCTCTTTCGCCGCACGTGCCGCAATTCTGTTCCGCAACTCCAGTGCGCGCTGCTTCACCGGGTCCGCCGACGTCTCATCCTTGGCCGAGCCCTCCTTCGCGAGGGTCATGAACTCGATCTGCTTCGGCGCCGTCGCCTTGACGATGCGGTCGACGTACACCCCGGGCAGGTGCACCGCGTTCGGCGAGAGCGAGCCCACGGGCACGATCTCCTCCGCCTCGACGATCGTCAGCTTCGCGTTGCGCGCCATTGTCGCCGAGAAGTTGTTCGCCGCGTAGCGGAAGACGCAGTTGCCGACCTCGTCCACCTTCCAGGCGCGCACGAACGCGACGTCGCCAACGATCGAGGGCTCCATGACGTAGCGCCGTCCGTTGAACTCGCGCGCCTCCTTCTTGTTCCCCGGGATGGCGACGGATTTGCCGTCGGGCCCGAGACGAACAGGGATAGACCCTTCTTCGACCGCGGTCGACGCTCCGGTTGGGGTGAAGAAGGCAGGGTAGCCGGCGGCATGGGCATGCAAACGCGCGACAAGGGTACCCTGAGGGATGAGTTCGAGGGAGATTTGGCCCTTCAGGTACAAGCCTTCGAAGTGTTTGTTGCTGGTCCGTAACATATCAGAGAAACGCGGTAGGCGTATGTCGACGCGAACATACCCGCCAATGTAGGAAGCCATGACCCTGTCGATCTGGCCAGAATGCAAGAGCTTGCCTAGAGTTGTGGTGAGCGTTGTCGTTCAGCTGGCCACTTTTCGACACATACCAAGACCCATAACTCCAGAACCAACATTGTTGGAGACGACAGTCAGTTCCTTCACTCCATCCTTCTTCTCAGCGAGCGCGCCAATAAGCGTGTCTGCATCATGCTTGCGCGTCAGGTCCTTCCACCCAACCACACATGAATGCCAGACACTTACCAGGAGTCCCGCAGAGTCCGAACCCTTCATCACAAACCAGCTGAGATTACACTTCCACGCGCGCATACAGCCGAAGAGGTGACGCACCTCCGCTCAGCAGGACGTCCCCGCTCTTCACGTCCGCAATCGCCTCCTCGACCGAATCCCACACCTTCGTCTTCCCAGGAGCCTCCTCTGCGGCCGCGACGGTGCTGTACGCGCCACTCTGCACCCGAGTCGGCCCTCGGCCATGTGCCCGCGGCGGTACGCTGGTTAACGCCGCATGGTGTAGCGTTCCGTAGACGTTCCGTGTAGGCTGGTTCCGGAGGAGTGCGCGCGGCGCGATCAGTTGGACGGAACACGCTCGCCGAACGGTGTGCATCTGGGTAAGCTTCGCGGAGTCTGGGCTGGCTGCGGGGGTTGGTGGACGGAATGTGTGCGGGGCTTTACGGCGGGGCTGCGCGGGACGTGGCGGGGTGCGGGGAACTCGGGTGCGGGGTAGTCCGGGGTAGCTTGTTGGGCGTTGCGCTGTCGCCTCCGCGGTGCAGGTGGTCGTTGGTGGGAAATACGCGCAGTGTGGAGGAGATTGGGCATCGGCCAGCTAGCGACAGTCTATATAAGGGGGGCCGTCGGGGACGCATGTGAGCTAGTCGTGGGCATGTGAGGGAACGCGAGAACTGTTTTGGACAGGTTGGGATCAAATGCCCGTTCCGTACAACCCGCGTCTCAAGGGTCTCAAGCTTCAAGCTTCAAGTCTCAAGACTCGACACTTTCGCCTATGTATCTGTCACACAGGCCTGGAAAACATGCATGCAATTAATACCTGGGGGTGCTGAAGTTGTAGTCGAGCGACTCTGCAGCGACCTGCTCTAATCAGGACATTCGGAGTCCGGACATCGGTCTCATGACTTACCACAGGCGATAGGCCGTCGGCCGACAAGTTTCGGTCGACCTCTGCTTTCTGGTGACCGGAGCTTTGTATTAGCGCAGTCACATACATGTTTGTTCCTAGTCTACAGGTATATACTTCTTCCTCAGTGCTCACGAGACGTTGAGAGATCGCTTCCCTGGCAGTTCACCGTCTCCGCCCGGGGCCCTTTGGACGCGCGAAAGGTTTCTTGTCACCATCCGTTGCTGGTAGCGCGCTTGCCGCCGCGGTAGTGTCCGACAGTCCAAGCGAAGAGACAAGATACGCCTCGTCTAACTCCGCCGGATCCGAGGTCTCGATCTTGCGAGCGGCCAGGATAGACGAACTCCTTTCTGCAGCCAGCAAGTCCTTCACTTGCTTCACGACGGTCAAAACTGCACTAGAGTAGAGCATGCGATGGCGAACCGCAGATGACGGCGGGCAAGAATAGATGGGGACTGCATGCTGACAGTTTAGCCCGCGAAGTCCAGTTCAAGATGAGTCGTTCACTGACCAACCAGGCGAGAAGAGGGTGATGTGTAACTTTGCGGCCACGCGAAATACGCTAGGCCTGCGCGACGGTCAGTCGTTGTGAAGGGTATGCACAGAGGGACACTCACATGGGTCTGATGTCGGTAGAGAGCTCGCAAGTTGCGAGATGTCGATTGTGGAAGCAGAGGTCAGTTGAATTGCTTCAGTTGCCGGATTGATGTTCTGCTCATTGCTCAACACATGCAATGTGGGTTCGGGATCCAAATAGATTACTCACAAGGACAACGAGGTGGTAGTCATCGCTTGTACCCAGCGCTTTCATGGCTCCTTCTACCTCCGACGTCCATTCCATGGATATCCGCTCACCCACATGAGATGCTCTCGCCCGACTACCTTCGTAGTTGCGCCCGCCCGCTTCGCGCTCCGCGGCCTTGACTTCTTCAATCTCCTTCTCACGTTCACTCATGGGTTTGGGTGCTGCGAGGTGCTGCCTATGTTTCGAGTATGCCTCGGAAGTCACATCACTCTTGGAGGTAGCGAATATGTTATCTGAGAAGTGGGCTGCGCCGAGACCTTTGGTGACAGTGTTCCGGGTGGCTGCATAAACCATCTGTCGGGAACTGAGAACAGCACTGCAATTGTGCGTTATGACACTCACCTTGTCTCTGACTTTCGCATTGTCGGGGACATAGAACACGGCGAGCCAGTCTGACTGTGTTTCGTCTGTGCGGACGAGGACGTATGCGGGTTCGTCTTCTTCGAGAATCTCCGCCAGCCTGTCTAAGTCCTGCTCAAATCTTCCAGATGGAGGATAGGCACCGTTCGGAACCAGGGTTTCTGGTGGGATCGACAGGGGCATGAGCAGCTAGACGGTACATGTGGGCAGACGGAAGGAGCGACCATTCTGGATGGAGATCTTGAGAAACCTGATGTTGCTTGAGCTCACGGCATCTGAGAAGGCTGAGGCGAGCTCGGGCGAGATGGCAATGCCAGTGGGGGCGGACATGGAGGGCGATGTGCAGATCGGGGGAGGCAAGTACGAGGAATCCTGAGGCCTGAGGCCTGAGGAGGAGACGCGCCGGATGCCCGGATCGCGCTGCCGCAGCGGGGAATAACAAGCAGCACAGGTCACCTCCTCATCCTCCACGCCCTCACCCTGCCCTCTGCCCGCGGCGCCGACGACTCTCTTATCGTCGCATCTTGGCACGCTCACTGAAGTAGCCATCTTCCAAACACACAGACGCACGTCACGCACTGGCCAGCGCTGCCTCGCCGTTCACGGTTCTACGCAGCAATCGGTGCCTTTCAACAACCGTCATCGGCGTCCTAGGCTTTACCCCGACCATGGAGAACCCTCCGTATGTCACCTATCAACCCTACAAGGTGCGTTGTACGTACGTCTCTCAATGCATGGTCTGACACCGAGCAACAGTCCAAAAGGCACAACCGCAACTCATCAATTCCCCAGTCCATAGTCAACGAGGCTCCACTGGCCGTGCAGTCGCGCCCCGTGTCGAATCTGATAAATGGCCAAATTTACAGCGAGACAGCGATATCCTTGGCCTCTGATGGTCCTCTCGATGCAGAGAAGCGATCTATAGCTGTGGCTAATGGACGAGCTGTGATGCAACGTCCAGTCTCCATGATCGACTCCCTGCCCCATCTCCGACAAGAGCAGGCGCAGAATCTGCTCATTGCCGAGGCACCCGTGGCCAAGCCCCCGCCTGCCGCCGAGTCTGTTTCATCTCCCGCTGGTCTTCAAAGCAGTTCCTCCCCTACCCCCACTCCTCCACACTCGCCTCTTGTGACTTCTCCACCGACTATGGTTGCAGCGCTACCTTCCACGCCGTCGTCCTCCACGAACTCACCCAAAGCCAATGGAAAATCTATCGCTTTGTCTGTGTCTCCGGTCGCTGGGCCGTCATCTGTACCGTGTGCCGCCCCCGCATCTCCGCGTAGAACCTCCACATTTCGCCGTGTGCCCCTGCGGTTACCCGCTACTCGTTCGGCGCACCCATCCTCCCCTTTGCGACCCGCAAGCATGATTATCACAGGTTCCTCTTCGCTCTCACCACGGACAACGGAGAGAACTCTGGGAGAGCCGAGGAGTGGTATGTCTTCCGCTGTCTCGTCGCCTTCCATACCTGCACAAGATCGTGCATTGCCCTCCATCCCATCGCTCGACCTTCACACTCAACCATCACTGTCCCTCAACCCAATGCATGCGCCGAGCCGGCTCCCGTAGCTCCCGTGGCCGTCGCTGCGGTTCCTACGCGCTCGTCATCTCTGATGACTTCTCCGGCGAGCGAAATCATGCCAACATCACAGCCGACCTCAGTGTCCCCTTCACCCGCCATTACCCCCTCCACGTCCACCTCATCTGCTCTGCCGGTCGCGGGTCGTGCCCCGGCACGCTCTGCCGCCCCGTACCGACCCGGATTCCAGCCCAAGGGTGTGTACCGGCCACGCACAGATGAATTCGTCGAGGCCCGCAACAGAAGTCGGGACGTGGGCCGCATCGAACACACCCGACTCGAGCGAAGGCTCGAGAAGCTCATCAACCTGCATTTTCCGCAGCCCGGCCACAAGGAGGAGGTGTCGGCGGACCACCGGACGACGCAGCGGAACCGGCGCGCCTCGTCTATCTGGGACCTCGACCTCTCGGATCTCCGGACCAAGAGCGCGGGCGACTTATGGCGCGAGGTCGTGCAGTCCCAGGGTGCGCAGAACAGCAAGAACGACATCAGAGGTGTGTTCTCCACATTCTATTTTGTGACTCCCCCGTGAGACCGCGTTTGTGCAGCCGCCGAACAGAAGATTACACCATGGGAGGAAGATTCTGTTGTTTCGCAGTGTCCCCTCTGCTCGTGGGTGCTTTCATTATGTCCACCGGCAAACCTTAGCTTATAATAGTGCAGGTCCACGTTCCATCCCCTGACGAATCGGAAACACCACTGCCGACTATGCGGACGCATCATCTGCTCGCTGCCCGTCAAATTCCCGCAACGCCCACAGACGTGCTCGCTTCTCTTCGTCGTGGACCAGAAGACCGGTCGAATAGAAGAAGTAGGAGAAGGTGTAGACTATGGTGTTCGCAGGCGCACCGTTTCCACGACCGGCAAGAACCCACGGAACGCGAAGCCCACCGAGGTGCTGAATGACGACGAGAAATTCCTGAAGGGTGTGCGAATATGCCACGACTGTCGGCCTGTATTGCTGTGAGTGGTTTAACTCCAGTCAGAATGCTGACAGAGACCATATGGCGATGCGGTTTGCAGCAGCAGCAGTACCGGCATGAGATGGCCTCAGTTCCCTTGTTCGCGAGGCTATACGAGGTGCGCGGCCGGTCGCCCCAAACAGGAGTCACGCGTACTAATCGACGAGCTCCAGACGTTCATCAGCCTGGAGAAGGAAATTGAAGAGGAGCTGCCCATCTTCCAGGAAGTTGTAGTCAACCTCAGGTGGGTTCTATCTGTTTTGTTACTGGTTCAGCGATTCATCGTGCTATGTCAAACAGTAAGCAGGAACGACCAACGCCGGAGGCAATTGCTGCTCGGAAACGCCTCCTAGAGGCCTTTGAGCAGTACGACGCGCTCGCCAAACGAATGCGCAAGCTTCCTTGCGTTCCAGGGAGCTCTCAAGACCGCATACACGGTGCGATTCTCGTTCGCGCAAGCAATTTCCTCCAGAAGAACATGTTCCCGCTCCAGGCACGTCCCCTTCGTCGGCTCATACACCGATTTCATCTTACCGTCCTCTGCTCTCCAGTCCCTCCCGAATCCCAAGAAAGCACCGTCCGGCTCCAACCCAGCCAACGACGCGCCCCCGCCGGACGAGCAGATCATCGACCCGGACTCCGAAGTCGCGCGTGTATTGCAGCCGCTGCTCGAACAGGAGGCCCTGCTCGAGACGTTCGTCGAGGAGGCCAAGGCGCATCGCAAGTTCGAGGACGTCAAGACGCTCAAGCGCAGCCTCCGCGAGATCCGCGACGAGATCGAACGCATCCTTCAGAACGCAGAGGAGCGCGCTGCACCCCCCGCGCCCGCACAGAGACATCGACGGACGTCGACTCGGACTTCGAACGCCTGAGGGTTTCCGGGACGGCAGTCGCGTTGCGGCCGGTCGAATGTATGTTTTTGTCTCTGTTTGCGCTTTTTAAATCGGATTTGGAACTTCGTTGTCAATGGCTTGTGCGCCAAAAACTGAGCCAAAGTATTGAGGGCACCGAGAATCTGCTCAGCAGCCGTCAAGAGCCTGGGGCCTGAGCTGAGCTCCAAATGTTTCGCTTGGTAGGAAGACTTCCGGAGTATTAGAATCATTAGACCTATGTATACGTACACAACACGCATGCAGATGCAACAACGGAGAGTAGTGCAAAACGAACCACAATAAGCGAGGATAAGTTATGTCGACCGAGCGACCGAAATGGGAGTTCCACATCCAGATGTATCTCCGAAGATGCCTCGAAACCCGCAGGGACAGTCTCCTCGGTAGCGTTCCCCATCTGCTACCTGCTGCTCCACGAGATCCAGGCGGACCAAGCCCCTGAGAAAGGTAACCAGCCGTCGCCGAGACCACTCCAATGTCACTGCCGTAAACCGTCCGCGTTGCTCTGGTGCAACACGCCCCAGGCGGGACAAGCTAGCCCCGCAGATGCCTCAACTCAATGGCATGGTTCCTTAAACCTTCATCCCGACAGCGTTGGCGCTCCGGGCGCGTGAGAGGTTGGAGCCGAGGCGCGATTCGTCGAGGAAGGAGGGCGAGGACATGGGCATAGGCGTTAGCGGTGGCTGCGGCGTGAGGCCTCCGTTCATGAAGCCGACCATGGGCGAGTGTGAGCGGAGGCCGGGCGTCGGCGCGGGGGAGAACGAGGACACGTGCAGGAGCATGACGAACTCCTGCGTCGCGTTCGTGAGCCGGACCATCTTCGTGCGGAGCGTCGAGGAGAGCGGCGGCGGTGTCGGTGTACTCGCGCTGGTCGCGCCGTTCGCAATGGAGGCGGCGGGCGTCGCGCTGGGGACAGTGCCGCGCGTCTTCAGGGCGCGAGACAGCTGGATGACAGTCTGAGGGGACAGGAATAGGTCAGCGTCGAGGTACGAGAGGTGGGGAGCGTTGGCCGTCGGTGGGCGGAAATAATCGCATGACGCGCCCCGCAGGTCGGAGCGCAGATGTGCCGAGCGCACTAGGCGAGGCACGAGGCGATGCAAGCACAAATGGGCAGGTACCCACCTTCACGAATAAATGCGCGTCGTCGTGCAACGCCTTCCCATCCGCCACTTGCGAGAAACCCCCTTCCTGAACGGCAGCGATACTTCTCCGCAGACGCTCCGTCACGGCCTTTGCTCGCGCGAGCATATCGCGGAAGTCGTCGTCTGCATCTGAAGCCTCCACGTCGAGAACCTCGTCCATCATATCCCATATCTCTGGTGCTGCTTCTACCGCGGCCTTCATTGCACCGATAAGATCCTTGTCGACAAGCGTGCTCGTACCCGAGACGGATAGACCACTGAGTTGCGGAGAAGAGGTAGAGTTGCTGAGAAGGGACGTTTGAGAACCGTGTCGTGAGTGACCCCCGAGTTGAATCTCCTGTGACTGCTGCTGGCCCGGAAGGACTAGTCGACGCATGGTCCGGACAGAAGGCGTGGGAGTGGTTTGTTGGAAGGCGCCATTCGAGCTGAATCCTGAAGGGAGTGACGGGGGAGGGTCAATGTAGGACGGGAGCAGCTTGCCAATCTCGACGTCTTTGGAACTGAAAGAGCCCGCATGTCGTCGACTGATGTGGATCTTGCCCAAGTCCAAGGAGCGCTGGGTGTTGGTGCGGAGGTGAAAACGTTGTGGAGTTTCTGGTTGACCGGGAAGGAACGGCGATGAGGTGGCAGGGGGTGCAGAAGACGGTGTTCGTGGCTTGTCTCCAGTGACAATGCCGTTCGTCCGTGGTTTCCCGCCGTATGATTTGGAGGGAGGTGGACGCTGGTCGGAGAGATATGGGCGTATCGCGTCGACGTGCGTCGACATCGATTGCCACGCGGCTGCGATCTCTGACATCGCCCCATAAAGTACAAGCAGCATCTGTCGTGTGTAACGTTCATCGTCGTGTTTCGCCAGAACCTTGAGCTGTAGTGAGAGCATTCCGGCAGCTTTACCAAATATTGTGACGTTGTCTCGACAACATTCTATCACCATGCGACAAATGGGTGGGCTTGGTAGCGCACGTCTGCTAACTGCATCAAAGCGGTCGAGCGTGTGGATGAGTTGTGACATATAATGCGCGGCCGGACCCAAGACCTTCTGTAGCACCGCTGACAGGCGTTCATCGATGGCGTAGACGGTGTAGTGCTGCAGAGACTGGTAGATTTGAGAGAGAGCGAAAAGAATGCCTCGAACAGCGTCAACAACTGCCAGCAGGGAGTCTGGAATGGCCTTCGAGAGGGTGGCGGCCGAGAGGGTGGATAATCTTCGGAAATATGAGTTGCGTTCAGTGTCCATGGAGGGAGCTACTTGGTTGATAGAGATTGGTGATGCATGCACCGGTTCGTCCGTAATGGAGTTGTGAGGTAGATGATGGTGGAAACTATGACACGTGAGGACAAGGACATGCGTTGTTTTAGGAGGTCGCTCACATGGGGAAATGATCAGTGCCATGAGTGGCAGCGCGTGGAATACCGCTGAGGCCATGCAAACGGGTAGGTCTAAGATCAGTCATGCTTTTCTTGACAGCAGGATTACTCCTTAGCAGGACTTTAGTAGACCCATTGCCATTTACCGAGGCGTTCGATGAGGCGTAGCGCGCATGCCCCGCATGTACACCGTTGGAATACGGAGGGTCGTCGATAGGAGAAGTCACGGCTTCTGGGGATCTAGGAGAAGGTGTGGCACTTTTCGCCGATGACAAATGGGAGAAGAAGTGGTCGAGATGCAGACGGGGAGCTTCGTCGACGGGACCACGAGGCGGACCAGGGGAGCGAGATCGTGTATGCAAAAACGAGGAGGCTTCGGAGTCCATGGACACAGAGCGAGAATGCAAGATTGACTCGGCATGAAGGGATGGTGTTCGGTCTCCGCGCAGTGGGTCCAAACTGGAGGTGTCAATGAGTGGTACTCCAAGCGGGTCGGGGTGGCTTGTGCACTCACAACAATGACGACTCGTTGCTGATCTCACTGGTCATTGAGTCATCACTGAGCTTCCGTTCTCCAGGCTCCGACGCGTGTTCCTCTAGCCATGACTGTAGATGGTGTATCCAGTCTGCCATAGCTTGAGGGTCGCTAGGATTTCTTTTGAATTCCAGGATTGATTGATTCGGCCATTGCAATGGGTTCTGGTCCACCTTCAGCAGAGTCAACTGCTTAAACTTGGATAGGTATGGCGGAAGTCTCTGGAGTTTGTTTCGTGTGAGGGAGAACACCTGTGTGACTTTACATGAGATCATGCGGAATGAGGCGTGGTGTAGACGATCAAATCCAAGACACAAGATGCCGAACATCGAACTCGGAGTTTAGAGAGACATACACCGATGCGTCAAACTAAACCCTATTGAGGTTGAGCGGGGATTCGCGCCCTCGACCGCGCAGCTGACCATTTGGGTAATGGAAAGGAGGGTATTTGACCCGACCGACGAGGTGGTAGAATATGTAATGGGAGCAAGACTAGAGATATTCACGTACACGCAAGTTAACCAACGAGCCGGGCTGGGAGGGTAGACTCTTGAGTTTGTTCCGGCTAATGTCCAGGATCTCGAGCGATGGCAGCACAGTGAGCTAACGACATAATCAGTAACAACAGGAGATAATTGAAGATAATACGCACAACGTCGGGGAAGATCGAAAAATTGTTGTTCTTCAGTACCAGATAACGCAGGCGTGAGAGTAAAGAAAAGGCCATGGGCAGGGCCGTAAGTCTATTATGTGCGAGCGCGATTCTATAAACATAGATGAGGCGTCCTGTACAGGACATAGAGTTATAGAAGACGTACCGCACTACAGGGCTGTCCATGAGGTCATCTCCATCCTCATCCGTGCCTACTGAAGCGAGTTCCTCTACTCCCGACTCTCCGACGTCGGTAAGCCCTTTGTAGGCAAGGTCCAATGTTGCGCCTCCATCGGGTGATTTTGAAAGAGCCTCAGTGATGTGATCCCTGGTCAGCGACAAAGACGGAAGCGGAGACGATGAGGGAGTTCTCGAGGCCGTGGAGGATTTACGTAGAGAGCGTGCGCCATCAGAACCAGACATTCAGCGAAAACAAGCAGCCGGCGAGAAAGAGAGAGTGCCCGTGAAAGAAGACCGGCGCGGGGAGAGGTCGGAGGAAGAGGGTAGAGCTGGAGACGAACGGGGGCCACTGGAGCCTGTGCAGGACGCGGTCCCTGGACAACTCGAAACGGCTCCTGGACAAGGCTGCCGACCAGCCGGCCTGGGCATCGTTTCAACAGTCACCGTCACACTGGCCTCGTGACACGTGACATTCGCGTTCCCGGGTGCCCGGCCCGCCTGGCGATGAGTCTTTTCTTGAAGCAGTTCTGCTCCCACTCCGGCCCATTCACCTCCTCTGTTCCCTCTCCAATGTCAGTGTCTACGGCTTTTGCAGGCGGATGGGAAAAGCTGCCCACGCCTCTCACACCATGGATGTGCGTCCTCTTGTCACGAACACAATAGGGTGAACTTGACCTTGATTCAGTCTAGATGTCATCAGCTCCATGGGACACACTCAGATGACCCCAGTTCAAGCGTCAACAATTCCGCTCTTCATGCGACACAAAGATGTCGTCGTAGAAGCCGTCACCGGTTCTGGGAAAACTCTCGCATTCGTTGTCCCAATCCTGGAGAAACTCGTGCGGAGAGAGCGAAGGTTGGCGAAAACCGAGATTGGTGCACTGGTAATCAGCCCGACGAGGTGTGTGATATGGTTGCGGTAAAACTTTTTTGTATCTCAACCACATGTAGGGAGCTGGCTACACAAATCCATTCAATCTTCTCCCTCTTCCTGTCCTCCCAGCCCACCTCCCGCCAATCACTCTCCCCAGACGAACCCTCGGGTTCGAACGTCCAGCTCGATTCCGAACCTACGTATCCTCCTCCTCTGCTTGTCATGTCTTCAGATTCGGCCCCGGTACAAGATCTACAGCGCTTTTTGTCAACCGGTGCGGACATTGTCATTGGCACTCCGGGACGCATCGAGGAGCTTCTTCTCGGCAAGGGCAGCAATATCGTAAGCGTTAAAGAACTGGAAATTCTGGTTCTGGACGAGGCAGACAGGTGAGAACAGCCACTCCACGAGTACGACTGGTCAGTGCTGCATATACCGTTCTAAATTTCGTGACCCAGACTGCTTGACCTCGGATTCCAAGCTGTCTTGACACGCATACTGTCACATTTGCCGAAGCAACGGAGAACGGGACTTTTCAGTGCCACTATGACAGATGCTGACGCTATGTCTGAGTTGGTCCGTGTTGGTCTACGGAATCCCGCAAGGATCGTGGTCAAGGTTCAGTCCAAAAAAACGAAGGGTATGAACGCATCTGTGCAGGGTGAGAAGGAAGTTGTGGAAGAACGGCGAATACCTGCGAAGTATGTTGTTCCGCAATCCTTTCAAACACCATAATCGCTAACCAACCCTAGTCTTCAGAATTTCTACATGTCCTGCCGAGCATCCGAAAAGATGCTGCAACTAGTGAGGATCATCCGTCACGAAGTGAACCAGCAACAGTCGTCTCGTTTCATCGTTTACTTCGCGACATGTGCATGTGTGGATTATTTCTACAGAGTATGTCGGCTTATGTCCAGTCAAATACCCAGAAGCTGACTTTTCTTACCGACTTCAGGTACTATCACCGCTTATGCCGCCAGGAACCGACCTGTTCTCTCTCCATGGTCATCTACCACCCAGCGCTCGAACGAAGACTCTGTCCAACTTCACGAATTCCGTCGCTCTTCCTACATCTCCATCAATACTACTTGCGACCGACGTCGCTGCGCGAGGTCTCGACCTTCCTGACGTCGACGTTGTCATACAGTTTGATGCCCCAACTGACACCAAGTCGTTCTCCCATCGATGTGGACGTACCGCCCGCGCTGGCCGTAAAGGCCGAGCCTGGGTGCTTCTTGTAGGTCGCGAAGCCGACTATGTCGAGTTCATGGCTGTTCGCAAGATCCCTCTCAAACAGAAACATCGCTTCTCGCACGACGGCTCTGTCGTTGACCAGAGCGACGAGGACGAGGACGACCCCGAAGTGCAGTCTGTCGTGACTATAATCAGGCAGAAATTACTCGCAGACAGAGCATTGCATGACAAGGTACGTGCACAAGCGTTACCGGCATCGTGTTGGTCTGAATCACCATATCCAGGCCGCTAAAGCGTTCGTGTCATTTGCTCGTGCCTATTCAAAGCACGAAGCATCCTACATCTTCCGACTCAAGGACCTTGATCTCGTCGGCCTTGCGAAAAGTTTCGGACTTTTGCGGCTGCCTCGCATGCCAGAGCTGAAGGAGGTCTCGACTGATGGTTGGGCAGATGCTGACCTCAATGTGAGACCTTCCGCTTTCCATGCACGAGTCTGCTACTGACGTTCCTCGTAGTGGGAGTCTTACATGTATGCGGACAAGGCACAGGAAGCCAAGCGGCTCGCAGAAGCGGCTTCAAAGCCCACACGCAGTGTCGAGGAGATTGAACGTCGCAGAGCGGCCCGGGTAGAAAAGCGAAAGGCAAACACAGCTTGGAGCAGCCAAAGCCGAAGGCAGGAGGAACGTGAGAAACGTCGAGACAAGAAGGACCGAAAGAAGAGGTGGCAGAAAACACAGACATCACCGGGGAGTGAATCTGCGGAAGTGAAGCGGGGGGAAGGTGTCCCACCCAGCGGCAGTGATGAAGGTGATGACTGGGAGGACCTTGCACGAGAGGAGCGTGCAGCAAAGAGGGTGAAGCAGGGACATTTGAGTCAGACGGAGTTTGACGCAGAGTTCGCAGACTTGTGAATGTTACATACGTATGTCCCATGGCAACGACCTGTCGAAAGCGTCTTCATACACATGTAGGGATCGGGGCGTTGGATCTACCAGGCTGAGACAGAACGCGGGTATTATAGGCGAGTCCGCGCAGGTCCGCGCCCGCACCACTAGCACACTCGCCCCCAAATCGAGATTTGTGCGACGTCGGCGCGCTGCGTCTCTGGAGATCTAACCCGCCACCGCTCACTAGCCATGGATGATAGCTAGAACAAAGCAAATGTTGGACGGCTGCGCGTTGGGCTCAGACGGACAAGTGCTCGTCAACCTGACACTCAAAGTTCCATGCGGAGGCCAGTCACTGCGTTTGAGCAGCTCGTAATCGATTCCGTACTATAGGAAAGGTCGATAGTCAGACGACAGAAACGATACTCACGGCACAGATGTACAGAGTGTGACACCGGGTAGAAGGTACCGAGGATAAGCATGAAAGGGAGACCTCGCCACCGACACCAGAGGCCTTGCGCGACGTCTCGTCGGCCCGCACGCGAATGAATCCTGGTCTCGGGGTAGCTGTTGGGAAAAGTGTGGGCGAGTGTCGTACGGATCTGGAGGCTGCAGTGCGGGTGGCGACACGCGTGGGGAATCGGAATCCTTCGTATGCGGAAGGTCTGCCTAGGGAAGACTACTGAATCTGGAACGCCTGTGGCCATACTCCTCTTGTACTCTGCCCATCTCATCTCCGCGTTTGCTCAACTTCCAATCCGAGACCCTCATGCGGCAATACCCACCCAAGCAGCGCAGGTGTTGGGTATGTTGCATGTTCTTTGAAGCACTTCATAGCCGTACCCTTAACACAATCACGCATGCTGCCAACCGGTACATACGCTTGCCCTGACAGTATTTTGACCACCACACTGGCGAGATTCTTCGCGACAACGCCTGGCACGTCAATGCCGCCTCCACTTGCAACTACGCACACCCCGAGGATCCAGAATGGCGCACTGCATCCTTCGCTGCGAAGTGGTTTGGGAAAGCCGACAAGCAGCGCAGATCCCCTCCGCCCCGCCGCCATGCACCCGACGCCTTGCTTCCGCTCGATTTACCGAGTGGCAGCAGGCGATTGCCGCTCGGCGAACGTCTCTCCTCCGCGGTCTCCTCCCCCTCCACCCTCCACCCTCCAACCCCCCGCGGCTCCGACGACCACATGGGCTCCCACCGCCCGCGTCACTCGCGTGCCGACTCCCCAACGTCGTCTATCGCGTCCTCTTCCCACCTGGCGCGGAAGACGTCCTATTCGAGCCTAGCCACCGACCGCCGCAGAGAAGACGAAGACCGCGACAGACGCCATCGCGACAGCTCGCGCAGGCGAGACCATGACCATGACTACCGACGAGAGCACGACAGGGACCGAGATGGGAGGTATAGCGATCGGCCAACGGAGGAGCGAAGTCGGGGGGACAGGGACAGGTCTCGAGGCCGTGACCGGAGCCAGTCGAAGCATGCACAACGACCGTCATCTGCGTCCAAACCAGACTCGCACGCGCCGAGCCTTATCCCAGCGCCGCGGAAAGAGCTTACGGAGCAGGAGAGGAAGAACATATGGATGGAACGGGTCAAGTGCGTATGCTTGTATTCACTCTGCCGCGCCACTCCTCATACGAGTGCAATTCCTCCGCCAGAAACATGACCGAGATCGTCCAGCAACGAATTGAACAGATCCGTATCCGCGAGGACCTCAAGACGTACGAGCATCTGGCCACGACGGCCACAGTTGCTGCGATGTCGGACGGGGACAGGGCTGAGGTGAAGAAGCACATAGATGACATCAAGGCCAGAGAACGTAGCCAAGTTGCAGAGCTCAATCGCTTGCTCTCGAAGCTCATCCCGAAGGAGTACTTTCCCTTTGCGCAACCTCCGGAGAAACTTGACGAAGGGCCCTACCGCGACATGGTCACCTTGCTTGAGGCTTTACGTGCAGACATGCACAAGCTCCACGACACCGTCGACGCCCTGCAAGCAAGGTCGGACGCCCTCGCCCCCATCCTCAAGGAACTCCCGTCTTTGGAGAAAGCCTCTCCAGGGCCCGCAGGAGCGACCGCCGAGTCAAGTGCTCACCCCAAGAAACGGCGGCGGCTGTCTGTTGACGACCACGAGGGCGTCTCCGCCGCAGCCGTCCCCAATCCGAATATGCCTACCCAGGAGGACTTCGAGAGGCTCCAAGCTAGGTTCGAGCGACTGGAGATGAGGACGGAGACCTTCACCAACGAGCTTGTCCAGTATGACAACCTACTGCACGACCACGTCGAAGCTGCGCTCGACTACGAGCTGTATCGCATCGGTTATCACCCCAAAAATCTCAGAGGGACGAACGCCAAGCTCACTGAGCAGGTCGATGATCTCATGGAGTCCGTCGCTGCCCAGAAAGCGAGTGTGGAGGAGATCGTCTCGGGTCGCTCGTCACTGAAGGACGATGGAGAGAGGCAAGAGCAGGCGAATGAGCAACAGAGGGTGAAGAACGCAGAGCTTCGAGCCCAGCTCACGCAGGTACGCCTGTTCCTCCGCCGCCGTGCTTTCGGTCACTGAAATTCTGCCGCAGGAGTTGGAACGTGGGAATAAAATACGCGACAAAATTCAAGAGCAGGAGGACCACATTGCAGCCCTCAAACGGGCCGTGCAGGAGTTTCTCACTGCAGCGCCATCGCGCCCTCCACCGCAGCTGGGCGGCCTGTCGCTCGAGGAAGTCACGGCGCTTCTTAAGCCGAAGTTACTCGAAGCAGCGCACGCAGAAATTATTCCTCTGCTCTCTAACACCCATGAAGAGGTTGAAAAGATGCTGGCCGACCAGACGAACCAAGTCAACAACTCGGTTAACACAAATCTCTCCCCCACCGTTCGGTCGGTGGAAGCACTCTGGGCCTGGTTGAACTCAACGCGCTCTGCTTCGTCCCACGTGGCGGCAGGAACTGCACACCCACACCAGGCTTCATCATCTCATTCGCGACGACCATCACAGTCGGCTGAGCGAATTGCAGCGAGCTCGAGTGCATAACTTGTACCAATCCTGTAATTCCATCGTCTGTATGTGCGCATGTATATGTAGCATTCTTTGATTGCTTTTTGTCGAGTTTGGCGAAAGGCGAAGGTATTTCGATGCTACAGTTAACTATTAGTATATCAAATGGGAGTTCGTCAACCAAAATGATCTGGTCCCCCCGAGGATCGAACTCGGAACCCTTGCATGACAAGGTAGTGATATCCCTATAAGTACAAAGCTCTAACCAGTTGAGCTAAGGGACCATGCAGTGGGGACTGCTAAAGGTATATAAGTACGCACAAACTACCATGCTTCGCTGCCGACTCGACTCATCAGTAAACGCTATGTCATTTCGTTCCTCGCCTTTCCACCGCAAGTATTAAAAGGCGAGTGGCCGAGCATAGTTCCATGAGCACCAGTAGGACTTTGGGAGAACGAGCCTGAGGTCATGATACGACGTACGGTTTGGACTTGCTTGCCTTCAGGCTTCAGTGTCAGCCCGTTTCTGCAAGAACGACGCCTGATAAACGAGGTCCGGAGGACTTTCTGATGGTTTGTATTCTGGATAACGATCCCTATCTCACACCTCCCGGCGACAAATGATAAACGTCTGATAGGTGATTCAACAAAGCTAACGAGTGCGTTCGCGTCTAGCAGTCCGGTTCAGCGAATACATGCATTACGTGAGTGGAATGTCTCGCGGACCAGCAGTGGTTCACTCCCTCTACTATGAATGCGCTGGTATATTCCTCCAGAGTTTGGCGTCTGCAATGTGCACTGTCCACAAAACAATCAGATCAGCCATGACCATAGATGCAGAAGTCGATTCGTCAGACCTTTGCCCTCGCATCACACGCCTGAGTCGGGATGAACCTCTTGCACCCCACCAGCAGTGACACGAAGGAAGCGCGTCCCGACCCGCTGGCCCTGCTCCGGCGAGTGCGTGACCCAGATGACGGCCTTCAATTTCGCCTCCGGGTCCCTCACGGCGGACACGAGGTGCTTCTCGATTGCCGTCGTAGACTCGCCGTCCAGCGCAGAGGTCGGCTCTGCGTCACGTCAAGTCGGTACCGCTGTCCGTAAAATGGCGCGAGCGTAGTACGCACCATCGAGCAGCAGCACCTCTGCGCTGCACGCGCCAACGGCGATGGCAAGGACCACGCGCTGCGCTTCGCCTCCGCTCAGGCTTGCCCACGGTCGGTCCCAGAGCTCGCGCGGGACGCCCCATGTGTCTGCAAGGTCTAGTGCAGCCGTGGGGCAAACTGCGTGCTGGGCGGCGAAGGAGGAGACGGCGGTGAGGAAGTCGCGGGGCGAGCCCGAAAGAAGAGAGGCGCGCTGGGGGACGTACGCGACCTGCGTACGGAAGTACGGGACGCCTGGAAAAAGGTCAGCGTGCGGGAGTCTCCAGGTGGTATGGCGAGCATACCGTACGATTGGGGGGTCCTAAAGGCAAGACCGCCTATGTGTCAGCGTTTGCTTGCCGTGATGGCCCATGGGTGACATGAAAGACGCACTGGCCGCGATACAAGACCTCGCCTTCGTACACATTCAAGTGAGAGATACATTTTAACAATGTGGATTTCCTGGCGAGAACGTGGACTTCAGAATGCACCGAGAGCAACTACTTGGCTGCACCCACCCACACCCGCTCTTGCCCTGTAGGATGAGAACTTCACCTTCGTTCAGAGTAAGGTGTACATTGGTGAAGGTAGGTTGCCCCTTTGTTTTGCACCAAGCAACGTCCTTCAACTGAAGCAGCGGCAACTCAGGCATTGCGGATCTGGATGGTTGCAGTAGAGCAAGCCATCACAGTGGATTGGATTACGGTGGACACTGGCGTATTTGCAACCTGGCCGCGTTGACCGGCGGTTGGAGAATCCGATGACGTAACCATTCGATCAAGACTGCGCATCCTCCCAGATGTCAAGGACTGCACACTCAAACGTTCACCACCAGTTGCGCGAAAGGAGCGGTATGAAAAGAGGGAAGCCGTAAAATTATGCGATGCCCAGTCCATCCATTGAGAGCGCGTTAAGGAGCAATAAGCGACTTGCAGTATTATCAGAGCATGAGGAGGGGTAGGGATGCAACACGGCACCTAATAGTCTAAGCTACTAATGTACTTGAAAAATGATCATCTCAAGGCTGAGGCATGCCAGGCATGGGCATCTGCCCCGGCGACACCATCCCCATCTCCTCCGGCGTCATGCTCGCGCTCTCGATCATCACACCCACGCCCACCTTCGCTGCGTTCTGTAGAAGCATTCGCGTCAGCAAGAGACTGAAGAGAGAGAAGACAGAACACGGACCTTGAAGTGGTCGATCTCGCCAGAAACAAGGAAGGAGAAGGTAGGCGCAAAGCGCTGCTCAAGGTATGCCGACACCTTGCCAGTTGAGTCGAGCTGCGCGCGGAAAGAAGCCATGCGCAACTCGTAGCGTGCGCCAACGGTCGCGAGTGCGTCCCTACGGCCTTGTCCAGCGATGACCTGTAACTCCGCGGCGACGTCGACCTTCTCCGAGAGCTTCTGCCAGTACGAAGCCTGGATCATGCCTGCTCCCTGTAATTGCGCGGTCGCGATCCAGTCCCGGTTCGTACTTGTGTACTTGGCCATGTACGCGGTTGCAAGCTCGGCAGCAGCAGGGCTTGGCCGCTGGAGCATACCCTCGACTCCAAGCGCGAGATTTTTGGTGATGGACTGAAGGTACGAGCCCATATAGATTCCAGTGAGGTCAGCCGGTGACGGGTTGACTGCCTTCGCGTTCAGTGAGTAGTCGGCGCCCGAATAGTCGTGCTCGAGCTGCACGAAGCTCTGACCCGGTGTTGTTGACAGCTGTGGACGTGGCGGTCATTACGACGCCGTGACGTGGTTTGCCCGAGGACATCGACGCGTTTCTGGGCCAATAATCAACGGGAATTGAAAACGAACCTGAGCTTGAAGCTTGGACACGTTGTCCGCGCTCCATCCCTGGTTCAATCGCGCAGACAGGTTGCCATCATGGTCGATGTTGCCGTGCATGAACATCTGCGCGCCACGTAGAGGACATGTGAGCACACGCGTAACAAGATTAACGCGTGAACTGACCTTGTCATTCGCGAACAGGGCACCGAAGTGATATGACGGTGGCGCGGTCTGGGAGCCCAAGTTAAAGGAGTGCGTGACGTTGAAGTGAGGGTTCATCGACAAGCTCTTGGAAAGGTCGGCCCTTGCGCCATCGAAGGCGAGGTTGTTCAAGAGCGTGCCTGGGAGAGCGCGTTGAACGAGCGAATGGCTCTACAGGGGACGGCCAGCTCACCTTTGCACTCCTTGCCAACGTTCTCGGTGGTGCCAGGGTTGGGGAGATCAAGGGATCTCCGCCATGCTTGGAAGCGGTTGTACAGACCGAATGACCCCGAGGAAGAAGAAGAAGGACCCGGGGCGGGAGGGGGGGGCGGGGAGTCGACGGTGACGGGGCTGGGGGAAGACATGACCTGAGGACCACTGGGCGTCCACGCGAGTCTACCTCCAAAAAATCCGGCGCCGGCCCGACGACGCCCCCATTAGGCAGCCTCCCCGGCGGATCGCCGGCGGCCGTGACCTCGAGGCGAGACTTGCAATCGATCCCAGACGACACCAACTAGTGTGCTCACGGGGCTGGGTTCGTCACGCGGAGACACCAAGCTCGCGCTCGACATGCCTGGGACTTCCTGACTGCTCTCTCAAACCCCAGTTGGTCTCATCCCCGACAGAGCGGCAGATCGTCGACGTTTATCACTCCGCATGTCTACGCCGTGTATCGATGACCGGGTGTGTGACTCTGTGTTCAATTGGATCGATGTCTCCGCGCTGCGGCATAGGATCTGAAGGGGCCCTGACGACAAACGCTGAGCAGCAACGATCCAGCCAGCCTACGTCATACATGTGGCCGTCGATCATGAGAGTAGGAATATTTTACGTTAACACAGGCGTGCGCAGGGACTGTCATGCGCGGGATTTTAGAGCGCACAGGCATGCAGATTTCAGAATCCGTATATCCATAAGTCATGGGCCAGGAGGGCGACGCTTACAAAGACGAGTCATCGTGTGAGGTCGAAGAGACAGGACCACGGCAGATGAGTGGAGTGCACGCGGGAAAGTTCGCGAGCGACGATGGATCGACGGGGCCTCGTATGTTCCTGCGAGCGTTTTCCGGAAGACGCTTTTATTATTATTATTATTTTCAGACTATCCCAACACGACACAAAGGCGGTTTTTCCGGAAGACGCGGGGTGGATCTGCAGGGCGCCGGGGACGGTAAGTAGCGGCGGGCACGTGACATTGCAGGCGTGGAAAGCTCTGGAACAGGCAAGAAGGAAGAGAGAACATCCCCGAACTCGGTCGAACGTCCTCTCCGCGGGTTGTATATAAGCCATGGGCCCCTCTCCGCCACCCTCCAACGATTCGCATTACGACCACTTGTACTCTCTACTCCTCGTCTCTCTACCTCTTTCTTAATATCCCTCTCCGCAACCATGAGCAAGGCAGTTGGTATCGATCTGGGCACCACCTACTCGTAAGTTTTCATCAGATCTTATACGTCCTACCCCTCGTACTGATGCGGTTTTCTCCAGCTGCGTCGGTGTCTGGCAAAACGACCGCGTTGAGATCATCGCCAACGACCAGGGTAATCGCACTACACCCTCGTATGTCGCCTTCACCGACTCCGAGCGTCTCATCGGCGATGCCGCGAAAAACCAAGTCGCGATGAACCCCTACAACACCGTCTTCGACGCGAAGCGCCTTATCGGCCGCAAGTTCGCGGACGCCGAGGTCCAGGCCGACATGAAGCACTTCCCCTTCACTGTCTTTGACAAGGGCGGTAAGCCGTACATTCGTGTGTCCTACCGTGGCGAGGACAAGGAGTTTGTGAGTACAGAAACCTTCAAAGTTTTTCCTTCGGTTGCTGATTCGTTTGTGGCAGTCTCCCGAAGAAATCTCCTCCATGGTCCTCAACAAGATGAAGGAGACCGCTGAGTCCTACCTCGGCGGCACCGTCGCCAGCGCTGTGGTTACCGTCCCCGCCTACTTCAACGACTCTCAGCGCCAGGCGACGAAGGATGCCGGCACTATCTCGGGTCTCAACGTCCTCCGTATCATCAACGAGCCCACCGCTGCCGCCATCGCTTACGGTCTCGACAAAAAGACTCAGGGAGAGCGGAACGTCCTCATCTTCGATCTTGGAGGCGGAACCTTCGATGTCTCTCTCCTCACCATCGAGGAGGGCATCTTTGAGGTCAAGGCTACGGCTGGTGACACTCACCTTGGCGGTGAGGACTTCGACAACCGCCTTGTTACCCACTTCAGCCAGGAGTTCAAGCGCAAGCACAAGAAGGGTAAGTCGTCTGGTGTTGCTCATAGCTAGTGTCCGATCCTGACAGCCTTGTTCTTCAGATCTCTCCGGCAACCCCCGCGCCCTCCGTCGTCTCCGCACCGCATGCGAGCGTGCCAAGCGTACTCTCTCCTCCGCTGCGCAGACCACCATCGAGATCGACTCCCTCTTCGAGGGTATTGACTTCTACACTTCCCTCACTCGTGCTCGCTTCGAGGAGCTGTGCCAGGACCTGTTCCGCAGCACGCTCGAACCGGTTGAGAAGGTCCTCCGCGACGCGAAGATTGACAAGGCGCAGGTCCACGAGATCGTCCTTGTCGGTGGCTCCACTCGTATCCCCCGTATCGTCAAGCTCGTCTCCGACTTCTTCAACGGCAAGGAGCCCAACAAGTCGATCAACCCTGACGAGGCCGTTGCCTACGGTGCCGCTGTCCAGGCTGCCATTCTTACCGGTGACACCTCCGAGAAGACCCAGGACCTCCTCCTTCTCGACGTCGCCCCTCTCTCCCTCGGTATCGAGACCGCTGGTGGTGTCATGACGCCGCTCATCAAGCGCAACACCACCGTCCCGACGAAGAAGGCCGAGATCTTCTCTACCTACTCCGACAACCAGCCTGGTGTGCTCATTCAGGTCTTCGAGGGTGAGCGTGCGCGCACCAAGGACAACAACCTCCTTGGCAAGTTCGAGCTCTCCGGCATCCCCCCTGCACCACGTGGCGTTCCACAGATCGAGGTCACCTTCGACATGGACGCCAACGGTATCCTGAACGTCTCCGCCGCCGACAAGACGACCGGCAAGTCGAACCGCATCACCATCACGAACGACAAGGGTCGGCTGTCGAAGGAGGAGATCGAGCGCATGGTTTCGGAGGCTGAGAAGTACAAGGCCGAGGACGCCGCCGCGACAGAGCGCATCTCCGCAAAGAATGGTCTCGAGTCGTACTCGTACAACCTCCGCAACTCGCTCACCGACGACAAGCTCGCCGACAAGTTCGACGCGGCGGACAAGAAGAAGCTCGAAGATGCCGTCAACTCGACGATCGCCTGGCTCGACGGCGCGCAGGAGGCGAGCAAGGAGGAGTACGAGGAGCACCAGAAGGAGCTCGAGGCTGTCGCCAACCCCATCATGCAAAGGCTCTACGCCTCGGCTGGTGGTGCGCCCGGCGGTTTCCCTGGAGGTGCGCCTGGTGGCTTCCCTGGCGGCCCCGGCGGTGCTCCCACAGGCGGTGCGGAGGACGGCCCGTCGGTCGAGGAGGTCGACTAAGCGGTTTGCGCCTCCTTTCCTCGTCTCGGTTGAGTCTTGCTTGTTCACGACCATGTTACGATAGCGGACTGCAAAGTAAAAGTATCTGCATGTACATTAGTTGCATCTTTTAGAATCTTGCACGCATCTTCTCGTTTTCTCTCATCATTGCTTGTGTGCGCTCCGGAGTATTGGATATGGTTGTGCATTTGGTGCAAGGCATGGGACTCGGAGGCGCGGACTTGAGGTCGACGCGACTCGCGACATTTACTTCCCACGCTATGCTGCTCCAGCTCATCTTGACCCCGCTCGGCTGGCTCAAGAACTCCGTGTCTGTTGTCGCCGAAGACGCTCTCCTCGCAACACTTTCCGCTGGCCCAATACCACAGCACGTCGCTTTCATTCTCGATGGCAACCGGCGGTATGCCCGGAGCAAAGACAAGCAAGTGAATCTAGGCCACACCGATGGCTTTTACAATCTGAAGAAGGTGAGAGCGACACTACTTCCCAGTTCTGAATACGCGCTGAGAGAGATCGCGAAAGATGCTAGAGGTGTGCATCAAGATGAAGGTGCGCTGCGTTAGCGCATACGCGTTCTCGATCGAGAACTTCAAGCGGTCGCCCGGAGAGGTGGAGGCTCTCATGGACCTCGCTGAGCAGAAGCTGCTCGAGTTCTGCGAGCAAGGGTACGATTTTGTCCTTGTACAGTGCATAATGCACCAGTGCTTACTGGACGTGTTGCCTGCACATAGGAGCATCCTCGAGCAGTACGGCATCAAGCTTGTCGTGGTCGGACACAAGGACATGCTGCCAGAGCGCGTCAGGGCGGCCGCGGAGAAGGCGGAAGCGTTGACCGCACATCACGACCGGTAGGTCCAGCACCCCGCGTTCGCACTCCCCGCCTCCCCGCTCAGTCCTGCCCTGCCCCGAAGTGCCATCTTCAACCTCTGTATGCCCTACACCTCGCGCGACGAGATGACGACGGCCGTGCAGACGTGCATCCAGGAGTGCCTGGTGAACGAATCGATGGACAGCAAGATCTCCGCCGAGGACATCGACGCGCACCTCATGACTTCGCTGGCGGGCAGCCCGCCTTTGGACATCCTCATCCGCACGAGCGGGGTCAAACGCTTGAGCGACTATTTACTGTGGCAGGTATGTCGTAGGACTACCGGGAGGTTCAGAAAGACGTTGACGTTGCGGGCAGTGCTCCGAAGATACTCAGCTGCAATTTTCCAACAAATACTGGCCTGAATTCGGGATGCTGGACTTTGTGCCGATCATCTTGGACTACCAGCGCAAGGCATGGGCGCAAGCATCATAATAGTCGGACGAGATCTTCAAAACTCTTTAGTCGTAACTTATTCCTTTCATCACACGTTCGCAGATGCCAATTATACATGATGATTTATCGTAGGCAGTTTGAGGAGTTCGTCTGGTTGCGCGTGGGCCGATGGGAACGAGTATTTCCGTAAGATGTACAACGGATTCGAGCCCGTATTGAATACGACAGCGATGAGTGGACAGCAATGTACAGAAAACGTTCTATGTCTAGACGTAGTTGATGCGCAGAGACAGGTTGAAGGGGAGAGTAGTTGCAGTGACGGTGACAGCATCGCCGTCTGCAACAAGCTCTGAGACCTTCTTCTCTAAATTGGGACGCGTCGCTTGCTCTAGCTGTGGCGGGGCTTGGAAGTAGATATGTTTGCCTGGCGCGGCGAGGGACGGTTTCTTGACTTGACTGGAGTGAGAGAAGGTGAACACAGTTTGAGGTGAAAGGGACTCATACAACTTACATGTCCTGTCTTTCAATGAGCATCTCGATCAGCCGTTCCACGGTCCAATCCTTGCTGATCGAAATCTCAAGGGACTCGCCGCCGCAAACAGGGCAGTCCTTACGCTTCTCGTGCTCGAAAGTGTACGAGTAAACGCTGTCAGTACCGATGAGCATGAAGTAGTTGTTAAGGAGAGCAGCGGAACTCGTCGCAATCTTGAACGCTTCATTGCAGCAGGAGGCTGGGAGACACACGGTGAGAGAATGAAGAGCATCAGTGTGCGAGTGTGTGCGTACCTGAAATAATGGCATTTGTGGAGGCAATGGCAGGGATGATGTTCTTCACGACTCCCTGAGTCAAGGAGTATGTCACACCTTCAATGTTGAACTCCTTAGCACGCGCCGCAGCGACCTGGTACAACCAAGAGATGTGCTCGGGATTATCTGTGTCCATCTTCTTGTCTAGACAACCGCATGAGTCTCGAATGGGAGATATTTTTATGTCTCAACGGACCTCCATGAACCCGCGGCCATTCTAGTACCGAAGCCCATTCTATACAGTGTTCGGGGAGACGAGGAGTGTTCGCGATGGTGCAAATGGGGAACGCGGTTGGCTTGTTGAGCATGTCAAGAGAACACTCGTAGCATGAGCTGATGGTGGGGAGGATGACACGCGCTTGACCCTTGAAGCCTGCGCTGATTCAGCAGGTGAGTGAACAGCGACGAAAAGAGAACTCGCCTTCGGTACCGCCATCAATGAGAGGCTTCAGGCTTTCTGGGTTCTCCTCGTCCACCATGTTCACAAGAGTGGCGTTGATCCATCGCCGCGCCTCCACGGAGTCAAGTCCACAAATAATCAGGTTGAACTGCATATAGTATGCTTCGTCCTTGTCCTGGATCTTTCCAAAGTAACTAAGAGTAGTGTGAGATGGTTACGGCACTGTAATGGGTTTAAACACGTACGGGGTCACTTTGACTCCTGGTACACGGTTCATGATAAACTCTGCCGCTGCGATGGCCTTCGAACTACCGACGTCCTTTGGTCTGGTCATTCGCCGTTGAATATATGCTCATAGCACCCAGTATGACCACGTACCTGAAGAGAAACTGACGGTTGAGGTTGCTGATGTCGATGGTATCCATGTCGATTACATGAATATCCTTGAATCCGGAAAGCGCGAGGTTGGAGAGGATTTCGCAGCCCAAACCACCCGCGCCGATGACGAGAATCTTGCACTTGTCCCGCAGAAACGTCTTCACCTACAACACATGAGGAACTGAGACGTCCGACGACGAAGGAGGACATACCTCGTCGCCCGCTGCGAAGGAAGGATCTGTCCTGGGACCTGGCCGATCCAGAATCTGGTCGACATGGTGGTAGCGACCTTCCCAGTCGCTCGATGGTGCGCTCCCGTTCACAACAGCAGCAGTGGCCATCTCGGGTGGACGCACAGAGGGGTTTAGGAGGAAGGGATAGTTGGCAGAGTCACGACCGCCGCGGGGTGGCTGCAGCACTGGGGATCTGAGCGCCCGCGAGCATGTAATGGGCGTCTATGGGGCGATCGAGGATCTCGGCTCGCGCACCTTTCTTTTGACCTTCCGAGTCTCGCTCAGCCACCCTCCCTCGCCCTCCTCTTTTTCTCCGCGTTCATGGCCCAAGCACCCACATTATTGCAGTTCAGCGGGCAAAAATACCTGAGGCATCGCCTGGTAATTTCCATCCTTAGCGGAAAGCCTGTGCGCATCGACAAAATCCGCTCCGACGACAAAAATCCTGGTCTTCGAGGTGAGCATTGCACCATCCTGCTTTCGATGCGTTGAATAACACGCTGGGAGTTAGACTATGAAGTAAGTTTCCTGCGGCTTCTGGAGCGGGCTACAAACGGCACCGTCATTGAAATCTCGGTGACCGGTAAGCCCTCAACCTAGGCGACTTCTTCATACTCATTCAACTCAGTATAGGTACCGCCATTCTGCTCAAGCCTGGCATCATTGCAGGCGGAGCCATCAATCATGACTGTCCCCTATCGCGCTCTGTGGGCTACTTCTTGGAGCCCATCATCATGCTTGCTCCTTTCTCCAAGAAACCTTTCAACGTCACGTTACGCGGGGTTACAACAGACGAGAATGATCTTTCGGTATGTGCCCTCCCGGTTCGTTTGTCTTTCTGCATTGTGAAAATTTTACTGGAACAGGTGGACATTATCCGTACTGTTACCCTCCCGCACCTGCAACTGTTCGGTATCTCCGATGGTCTGGAGCTTCGGGTATGTATACTGGCGACTTTTTAGTGTTGTCTACTCTGAGCGCTTCGCCCTAGATAAAAAAGCGAGGAAGTCCTCCACATGGTGGTGGGGAGGCCCAGTTTCTGTGTCCGGTAGTGAAGCAGGTGAAAACGCTGAACTTCTTGGATCCCGGAAAGATCAAGCGGATACGAGGGATTTCGTACGTGCGTGTACCCGCCGTGTAATTGTGGAAATACTCACAGTTTTTGACAGTCACGCTGTCCGCGTTAATCCACAATTCTCGAATCGTATGATTGAAGCTGCGCGCTCGGTTCTCAATCGCTACATCCCGGACATATATTTGTACTCTGATGTCTACAAAGGCGAGGACAGCGGAAAGTACGTTGATCTACCACTCATTCATCGGCAAACTCTGCCCTTACACTGGATCAGGTCTCCGGGATACGCTCTCAGTTTAATGGCTGAGTCGACAACTGGCGCGATGCACTGTGCTGAAGCCGTTTCAAAGCCCGGAGTACCACCAGAAGATATAGCACTGCTGGCCTCACGGTCCCTTCTCTCAGAGGTCCGGAGAGGTGGCTGCGTGGACCGGCAACATCAAGTGCTCGTCCTGCTCATGATGGTTCTCGGTAGTGAGGATGTTGGTCGTTGTAGAATGGGAGAACCAACTACACGAACGTACGTATCTCATCGGTGAAACACCCTCACTGCAGGACTCATTGTCGCTTCGCAGAATCCAATTTTTACGTGATGTCAAAGAGTGCTTTGGGACTGCCTTCAAAATCACCCCCGCAGATCCGACGGATTCTGAATCATTAGAACTGCATTATTCATGCTATGGCATCGGATACGTGAACGCAAACAGGACAATAGCATAGCCTCCTCTCCCAGTTCTGCATATCTCGTTCATGTTACTTCATCTGTATATTATAGAGATTTGCCCATATTCCTCGTCTCCTTCATCGCCTTCCTGTGCTCCACCAGCTGCAAACAGCCATTGCCTCAAGACAGGCCAACCAACCTCGAACCGGGTACATATCTCGTCCGTATGGTGTTCTCCATCCAATAACTCCAGTAGGTCTGATGGGAACTGCGCCTGGCCTTGCATTTCCGGCGTATCTCGAGCCACGCGTCTTCCGAATCCACCGCCTGTAGACCTTCCACCACTTGACTGCTCGCTATCCACTGTGTCTGCAGCCAAATCTCGCTTGTCGGGAGATGCTGAAAAGACGTGCGTCGCCTGCGACCTCGCTGGACCCACTGGGGCGATATCCATAGTCTGCTTCCGCCGCGTTTCCGTATGCGTATACAGTTTCGACATCGTCTGGTACGCGCGGTCCTGCGATGGCTTCCCGCGCGCATCCCGGCTTCGCAAGAGCGCGAGCGAGCTCTCCGCCGCGCTCGTGCGCCGTGCGAGCGTTGCGCCCGCTGCCACCTGTCGCCCACCACGCCCCACTGCCGCCGACGCCGACGCGAACGTCGCCGACGTTGACGACGCGACGAGCTCCGCGCCCGCAGACGCCATCGTCGGCTGCGCGTCCTGCACGCGGCTCCGGACGCGCAGGGACTCGGTGTCCATCGCACGCGGGGCGAGCGGGCTGTACTCGGTCGTGGGGGCGGCCGTCGCGGACTCGCTGAGCCCGCGGCGGCGGCCGAGAGTGGCCATCGAGGCGCGTTTGTCTTGCGCGGTGGAGGGCGCTGATGGTTGCTTGGGAGTCGGCTCGGCGTCGGCGCTGCGGTGGAGGAGGATGGGCCAGCGGTGGACGCGGCGGAGGAAGCCTTTGATGACGCCGAAGGAGGTGAAGCGGCGGACATCGATGTTGAGCTTGTGCACGCCGTGCTCTTCCATCCACTCGCGGACGGTCTTGCCTGCCCGAAATCGAGAATACAGGTGGAGGAGGGTTGGCCAGTCAGGGATGACGTGCTCTTGAATATCGTCAGTGGCTGGAGAGGGCGGAGAGGAGGGGGTACGGACTAGGTTTGGTAACGTAGGGCCCGCATTCTCCTTTGATATGCTCTTCGTCTGCCAGCCATTGCATGCTCTTTCGGAGAGCATACATGTTCGAGTATTGGAATATGTCGATCATCATGATGACCTGGTAGTATCTTAACAAGCGTCAGCGATCTGCTTTCAATCGAGCTGAACCATCGAGTGCATACAGAAGATGTGATATGGCTAGCCTTGTGAGATTGAGGTCGCAATTGGCGAGCCTGGCAATGCGGCTGACGTGGTTGATGCCGTCGATGAAAGGGCATACCTATGAACCATGATGGTATGTATAAATATTGTCCACCGATTTGGCGGATGACTTGACCACTGACCTTAGCCACAGTGAGGTCCCAGTTGGGCTCGATCCTATTCGGAAGGTCGATGAGGGCCAATGGCACTGTCCAATCTTTCACAGGGGATGGGTTTGGATAGAACGAGAAGATCTTCAGCTCTATCGAGTTGAAACGGTCGATCGGGATAGAGGTCTCAGAGTACGAGTTGAGGTCCTCATATAATTGTTCCAGGATTGCATGAATGGCCGGCCCACTGCCTAGAGAAGACAGAAACTTCGACTCTTGCTAGACAGGATTCAGTTAGTTGTAAGTGATTTGATCGGTGCAGTGATTAACGCACTTCGCAGCTGGTAAGAACCCGACTAGTTTTCCTTGCTACAGGCTCGTAACAGCTGAGGTCAGCGGTGCGCTCGAAGACGAAGCAAACGTTGTAGAGGAAGTAGTTGCGGGGATACGCTTCATCGTCAAGCCGCACGGGAAATCCGAGAATGCGGTGCGACTTCGTTGTGCAGATGACCAGTCGTCCACAGAGCGCTTTGGGGGGTATCACATACTTGGATATGTCGTCGAAATGAAACAGAGCACGGTTTGCCGAGGGGCCGCGTTTGTGCGGAGAGATAATACTTGTCCTGGGGTCGAGTCGTTGGGAGATGGGCGAAGAAAGGAGAGAGCTTGAGGATGTGCGTGACGGGAAATCGAAATCTGCGAGTGAACCTGATGATCCGACAGATATCGGCGACAGGGCGAGGAGGCTGGTACTTGACCCGCTTGAGACATGCCCAGATGGATTGGTGGTGGCAATCAGGGCTTCGGGAACCTGAGAGACAATCTTGGGCCCCTGCTCTACATCGAATACGGCATAGAATACAGACTCAAGCCGAGGTAGAAAGGAGGCCCCTGTGGATGTCATGGCGAACTCAGCCTATGTGCATACGTAGTACCTGTCGCAGTCATTAGTGAGCAATCAGTTCAGAAATTGAAACTTCTGACGGCATACTGCAGCAAAAGAAGTAACACAAAATTGCGCTATGCCAACACAACGACACTCGGCGACAGTAGCTGCAAGGCAATTGGCTCTGGTAGACTCGGCTCGAAAGTTGCACGCAAATGATAGAAAACAAGCGTTTCAGTCCTAGTCCGACTGTATCGTTAGTGTGTTTCATGGGAAATTATCAAACACATCCCGACTTACTGGATTGATATCCTCTCTCGTACCAGGTGAAGCACAGTTGAAGTGAGAGCTTGAAGTATTGAGCACTGGTTGAGCGCTGGCCGCGCTCGATATCCGCTGACTCAGCAGGCCTCCCGTAAAGTGTGGTGGCACGAACCCCGGACCGTTTGTCAACTGCCTCTCCCTACCAACCTCCACCCCCTTCCTCCACCATCCCGGATTCAATATGCCCAAGGCAGACATCAACAAGGCAGGCTGGGAGCAGAGCGAGTTCCCGATTCTATGTGAAACATGTGCGTCCTTCTCTTGAACCAATGCTTCTTCGTACCTACCGTTCGAAATGCAGGTCTTGGGGATAACGCCTTTGTTCGCATGGTGCGTCCACTGGGATTCATGCGAATCTTTCACTCAATCATCCGACATGCAGTCGAAACAAGAGTTTGGTCGCTCTTGTGGCACATGTGCCCGTCCATTCACTGTGTTCCGCTGGAATCCTGGTACTGGAATGCGTTTCAAGACGACCGTAATTTGTCAAACGTGCGCAAAAATCAAGAATGTCTGCCAGACCTGTCTTCTTGACTTGGAGTACGGACTTCCAACGCAAGTACGTGACACGGCACTGGGGGTGGAGAGCGAGGCTCCAACAAGTGAGATCAACCGGGAGTACTATGCTCAAAATATGGAGGGCAAGGTGTGTTCTTCTTCATTATCCTCCATTCACCTCATTAAAATGAGGCCATGCATGGAGCTCGACGGAGCGAAATCATTGCTCGATGTCAATAGCAAGCAGTCCAGTGCGGGCAAGGAGATGCTCAAGCAACTCGCGCGGACCGACCCGTACTACAAGCGGAATCGCGCCCACATTTGTTCCTTCTTTGCCAAGGGAGAGTGCAATCGTGGAGATGGTTGTCCGTACAGGTACGCAGGACATCAATTCCTCTCGTACATGAGCCAACTCCACATTAGGCATGAAAAGCCTGTGCAAAATGAATTATCAAAGCAAAACATACCAGATCGTTACCACGGACGCAATGATCCCGTTGCGAAGAAAATTCTATCAACTCATGCAGCCAGCATGGGATTACAACCTCCCGAAGACCAGAACATCGTACGTCCTAATCCGGTCACCACGATTCCACCGTTGAGCTGTTTCATGCAGACGTCCCTTTTCCTCACGTCACTGTCACCGACATCAACAGAAGAGACTGTTCGTACAAGAGTCCTCAAGTCTCTTCCCTCAGTACAGCCTTCTCAGCTCAAGTCAGTGGTGCACGTAGCAAAGACACGGTATGCGTCCGGCCGGGTATTCCTCAAGAACGATGCTGAGTTGCTTTCTACGCAGATGCGCATTCGTTAACTGGAAAGATCGAGCCACTGCAGAGCTCGCTGCGCAGGCTTGGGCTAATGGTCTCGAAATTGACAACGAGATGGTTGGCGTCCGTTGGGGAAGAAGCAAGAGTGCGTCGGGCAAGGCACCTGCTGCAGGCCCATCCTCTGTGGTTGCATAGTTCTGTCCTCACTTCATCATCATCCTTTGTGTACTACTGTAACCCTAACTATATTGTGTTGATACGTCGTTACGTCTGATCAGCCTTTGTGAATTGGCCACCTGAAGAGGATTGACTGGTCTGTAAGCGAGAGTAGCCCAACGGCCATTCAGTAGAGTTTGACGCGGGGAATCCTGGCACGAGCCGCCATGGCTCGAAGTCTCCCACATTTCCTCGCACCCAACCCGCTCCCACTGCTACCCGACACCCTTGAGCTCTCGTTCATCGCGTTGACGCGCGCCGATTCTAGCTTCCTGGCACCACATTGAGCGGTCTCACTACTAAGTCCTCGGCCGGTGTTCTGAGTCCCCGCGCTCTGTGAGTTGCCTGTATCATCCACATCAGAGCGTATCCTCGCATTTACTGGCCGCTATATGAAGGACCTAGTAGACCATTTCTCCGTTCCAGGTTTCACTGATCACTAACATGCCCTTCGTTCGTTGTAAAGTGAGAGCGCTTTGCCCGGATACAATTATTCATGATCTCACCGTAATACATACAGTTCTTCGACGAGGACGGAAGGCCCGCAAAGTACCCATGCCGGAACGGTTCCAATTGCAAGTTCATCCACCCAAGTGATCCCAACTGGGAAAGTGCGCCCGCTCCGAGGGATACGCAGCCTGCCCGGGCGAGGTTGATTGCCTCGAGACCGCGACAGAGCGAGGCGACCCCCACATCTGGAGGATGGGGCTCAGTAGAGTGGGGCGACAATAACAATGCGTCAACATCAACCCCTGCATGGCCTGTCAATGTCACACCGACGGCCTGGAACTCGCCTTCAACATCGAATCCCACCCCATCAGCGCCATCATGGGGCCAACCAGCTCAGTCCGCAGGCGCATCATCAGGAAGCCACGGGTGGGGGGTTCCGGAACCTGGGGATTTACAAAGGGGGTGGGGTGCGCCGGAAACTCTACCGGTGGTGAGTCCTCTCCATGTCATTATTTAGGGTGGATGCTGAGGGAGCGGTGGCAAGGCCCCTCAGCCAGGCCCAGCCGTTTCTCGTCCATTGGTCCGGACGACCATGACCAAAGACCCTCGTCAAAGACCTGCAGTCAGCGTGCCTCCCCAATCAAGTGAAGCCAGTGCCCCTCAAGCGACGATTGAACCCGCCGAGCCCGTACGTGTACTGAGTAGCGGCGTTCCCGCCCCGCCAGGTTCGGACGTCTCGGCCATTTCGTCGACGAACCCATTCAGTTTTCCGGACTACGTTGCGCCGGAGTTGGAGGCAACCACCTTGAGCAAGGATGAGATGCCACGGGGTTCTCCCGAGCCTATGGAGCTAGACGAGTCTGAAGGAGCCGATGCTACCAAGACCGACTGGGACGGGTTCGTGAGGTGAGATTCTCGATAGTCACCCTCTCTTCCTGGCAACGCCGACCCATCCACGTCATAGAACGCTCTCAGAAGCCATTCGGCTGTCAACAGAGGAGCGTGCGCTCAACGAGGTGACAGAGAGGCAACGTCGCATGCAGCGTTCAGACACATATTCAAGTGCCTCTCTCTCGGCGGCTCACGAAAGGATCGAAGGGGTTCGCAGCTGTAACTCAGAGAATATTCTTCAGACCAAGAAACAGCTCGACGAGACCATGCATCGCCTCCAGCAGTACCCTGTGGAGGGTCTCCCAGCACCGTCCCCGTACGAAGAGGAGCGACAAGAAAAGATCTCTGAGATCCGCGTATCCGAAGCGTCGATCAGAAGGTGGATGGCACAGGTGCCCGCGGTCGTAGAGAGTTCTAAAGCGAACATCCAAATCCTCGAGCAGAAGAAGCAGGAGATCGTCAAGCAGAAAAAACGCATAGAGGAAGAGGAACGCGTAGCCGCAGCAGCCGCCGCGGCCGTTGAAGCCGCAGCCAAACCGCTCCGCGACCTTTTTGACGCAATTCAGAAGACGAGCAAGAAGGTTTCCGAGAACATGTTCGATCTCGAGAGCTATTACGCCGAGCTTCGTGAAACGCCAATCAAACCAGGGGACGCTATCAACGACGCTCTCGTTGAACGTAACATTGTCCAGCCCGGCCAGCCACCACGTTTTGGCAAATCGAGCGAAGAACTTGTGCCGGAGATCGCATATCTGGCACAGATGATCGACGAGAACGAAGAGAAGCTTCAGATCGGTTTGCAGCAGGTGAAGGAGCTCCGAGAGTACAACGTCATTCTTGAGAGGACATTCCATAGCCTGGCGGCCGACAACGCAGACCTGACTGCGATGTTGCAGCAGGTACGTTCTTCTTCTCTTGCACGGACTTCTGTTCTTGCGGAGCGATGCTGACGTTCTGGTGCAGCTCACTGCGCACAATAATGAGATGGCGGAACGCGCAGACAAGAACGAGGAAGTGCTGCGGGCGCTCCGCACCGAGCTTGCAGCTGCACAAACATCGACCCCTATGGCTCCGGTTGGACCAACCCCCGAGGACGTCATGCAAGAAGTTCTCCGCGTGGTGCTGCCCGAGATAAAAGAGTCGTTGTCCAAAGCGCTCATGGCACTCAAGTCTGGCGTGGAAGGCACACTCCTCTCCAATCAGACAGATCTTTGCTCTCTGCTCATGGAAACTGTTCCGCCCATGACACGCACGGTCGGGGTCTTGAAGCGGTACTTGGATGAAGAGGTCATTCGCAACCCCGCTCTTCATGCACAGACAATCGTACCGCCCATTCCTCCAGTCCCTACGTGGCCTGCTCAGAGCGCCCAACACTGAAATACGTTGCACCTGTACTTGTACCGCCCTACCGTCACGTCTTGTATAATCTATAGTTTCGTCGCAGTATGACACCCACACCTTGTTAAAGAGCTCATGAAGGGGGTGGCCAGGACATGTGTCCCGATTTGGCGGGCCGAGGAGCCGAAGGTGAAGGCGGGTCGCTTGGGTCGCGCCCTGACCATGACGATGACCGTGGCATTCGCCCTGCGCCGGTCTCGCACTCTCCTCCGCACCACCTCGTACTCAAGATGCTATTCGACACCGTCGACGGTCAGCATTCTTGGAAAGAAGTACCCTATCGATTCCACGACCAATGTCACTGCGGCCATCGTTGACAAGGTCGGGCGAAACCTCTACATGGACCCCTCCCATCCCCTTGGAATCCTCCACTCTCTCATCTCCTCTCATTTCCACGACTTCAACTCCATGACCGGTTTGCCACCCGTCGTCACCCCTGCCCAAAACTTCGACGACCTTGGCTTTCCTCCAGACCATCCCGGGCGTGCCGTGACGGACAGCTACTACATCAACCGCGACCACCTTCTCCGCACGCACACCTCCGCGCACGAGGTCGAGACCTTCGCGCGCGGCGAGCGCAAGTGGCTGCTCTCCGCCGACGTCTACCGCCGTGACGAGATCGACGCCTCACACTACCCCGTCTTCCACCAGATGGAAGGCGCGCGTGTGTTCGCCGCCGGCACCGCTGGCCGCGCCGAGCTCGAGGCCGACAACGCCCGCCTCGCTGCACACCTCGCGCGCTCACCCATCGTCATCGAGGACGTCCCGCACCTCTCGCCCACGAACCCAGCGCAGCCCGCGCACGACCCCGCGCACGCGGCGCTCGTCGCGCAGAACCTGAAGCTTTCGCTCAACGCGCTCATGCTCACCCTCTTCGGGGACCGCGCCGGGGCCGGCGAGGGCGTGCCGCTGAGGGTGCGCTGGATCGAGGCGTACTTTCCGTTCACGTCGCCGAGCTACGAGGTCGAGGTGTTCTTCCGCGGGAAATGGCTGGAGATTCTGGGGTGCGGGGTGGTGCAGCAGCAGACTTTGGACCGCGCGAGTGAGTACTAGGACCCGCGTCTTCTGTGTGCGTTGTCGTGCTGACTCCAGCGTTGCGCAGATGTGCCGGACAACGTCTCGTGGGCCTTTGGCCTTGGCCTTGAGCGCATTGCTATGATTTTGTTCTCGATTCCGGACATTCGGTTGTTCTGGTCTCAAGACCCGCGCTTCACTTCGCAATTCACGGCGGGCCAGATCACCACGTTCAAGCCGTACTCAAAGTATCCCGCATGCTACAAGGATGTCAGCTTCTGGCTGGAGCAGAACAGCGCTGGTCTGCATGACAATGACTTCTGCGACCTTGTCCGGGACACTGTTGGCGACCTTGCGGAAGATGTGGTCCTGGTGAGTGTTGGCTTTGTGACCCTGTTGTTCGGCGACGCTGAAGTGTCCCCAGATCGACTCGTTCACACACCCCAAAACAAATAAGAGCAGTAAATGCTATCGCGTGAACTACTGTTCGATGGACAGGTGAGCGCAAGCGTGCATTTAAAGAGAAGAGTATGCTGAGCGGGTAACGTAGGTCGCTGTCCAACGACGAAGTCAACGCCATCCACGCGCGAGTGGTTACAAGTCTCGTGGAAAAGTTCGGAGTAGAGATTCGTTAGTCAATTATATGGCATGTTATATCGTAGAGTAGAGCCATCTATAATCCCCTCCGCAACTCTCCCCGTCCGACCGGCAGTACGACACATCAGAAGACGTCGTGTGAGGGTCATGACCGGGTGTCCTGCACAACACCGACCTGGGCGGCACGCAATACACGACCCTTGATCGTGTATCCAACCTTTGCGCACTCTAGTACAGAGCCGGGCTCCTTGCCAGGTATAGGCGCCTGGTACATGGCCTCGTGCTTGTTGGGGTCGAATTGCTCGCCAGTAGGGTCGAAGGGCTTGACGTGGTGCTTGAAGAGAGTATAAAGGAGTAACCGCTGGGTCGCCTCGACACCGACGTACAGCTCTCGGATGTGGTCGTCGGCGGTCTTGGGGGTGGGGGTGTCGGATGATGAGTCGGCTTGTGGTGGCGACTCGGTGTACTCTTTTGGCACGGACTTGAGAGCAAGGGAAAGGACGTCGACGGTCTCGAGGAGGTCGCCGGCAAACTTGGTGATCGCGAAGTCTCGCGCCTGCTCCTTGTCTTTCGCAGCGTTACGCTGAAGGTTAAGGAAATCGGCTTGGAGGTAGCGCAGTCGGCTCTGTAGAACAGGAGATGAGTGAGCCGCCCACAGCAGACAAGGGTAGGGAACCAGAGCGTAAGCAAGCGAGAGCAGGACGTACCATACAATCAGCCACCTTCGCCTCCTCTGCCTTCAACTTGCTAAGAAGCTCTGCGTCTGGCGAGACATCGACCGAATCCTTCTCCTTCTCCTCTTCTTCCACCTTTGAAGATGATCCCGCCTTGTCTGAGTAATAGCGTGACCGTGAGGCGAAGGCTACTGTCCTTCCCACAGCGTTCACCGAAGAACGTGCGAGGGTGCGCGACGACAGGGCCCCAGTGCAGGAGCGGAATGCCTGTACTGCCTGAGCGTTGAACATGGCGGTGGGGTGGTGAAGACAAGGGAGGGGGTGCGAGTGCGGACGTGGGCGGATGACGGTGGTGAGCAAGACGCTGGGGCGAGCGCTGGCAGCACTCTTCGGGAAATTTTGGAAAGAAAGCGGTCACGTGAGCTTTGCTGGTGAGTGCTTCGGGCAATCCACGGCTCGCGCTCTTCTCTTGACTCGGCCAGCGACCACCAGCACACGCTTCTTGCCTCGCTCCACGCCGCGTACGCTTAGCTCGGGAACGCAGAGGGACAGGACTCGCGCCGTGGGCAGACGCGAGCAACAGCACGGACACGCGAGCCACCGCGAGGAGTCCGCGCGCGCGCCCCTGCCTGCCTCTAAAGGGAATTCGAGATGTGGCGATCCCTGCACACAGCGGGCCTCCGCCCCTTCCTCTCCCTCCGCCACCATCCTCTCCCCCGCCTCTACCTCCGCTCCATGGCGTCTCGCGCCCAGCTCATCGATGGCACCGCCATCGCCAAGTGCGCTCGCTCCCGCCCCCTCGCGCTTGTACCCTAGCTCACTCGCTCGATCCCTCTAGATCTATCCGCGACGATGTCGCCTCTAGGATTAAGGCAACACAAGCCCAGTTCCCCCGCTTCAAGCCCACCCTCGCCGTTATCCAGGTGGGCGAACGCCCCGACTCGTCCGTCTATGTGCGCATGAAATTGAAGGCGGCAGAAGAGGTCGGCATCCAGTTCAAGCACATCCACCTCGCCGAGTCCGTCGAGGTCGCCGAAGTCGTCGATGTCGTCAAAAAGCTCAACGAGGACGACTCTGTTAGCGGCATTCTTGTCCAGCTTCCTCTCGGCCCCAATGTCGGCGCGGACGGCGAGCGCACTGTCACCGAAGCTGTGAGCCCCGAGAAGGATGTCGACGGGTATGTCCTATTCGCGTGACGCTACCTATCATGCACGAGGCATTATTTACACGTGTCGGCTCGGAATCGACACGTCTTTCCTTCTCTTGGACGAATATTTCTTCAACGTGCGCGGGCGCGAGCTGTTGACTGACACGCTGGTGCATTGCAGCTTCCATGCGTACAACATCGGCCACCTTTCGTCCCGCGCTTCCGACCCACTCTTCGCCCCATGCACCTCCACAGGAATTATTCGTCTTCTAGAGTCCACCGGCGTGACTATCTCGGGCTCCCGCGCAGTTGTCCTTGGCCGCAGTGACATTGTCGGCAGCCCTGTCGCCGCCATGCTCCGTCACCTTGACGCTACAGTCACTCAGTGCCATAGTCGGACCAAAAACGTGCCGGAAATCGTACGTTTTTCAAACCGTGGATTCTTGGCAGAACAAAGTTGACGCCGTCCCTCCAGGTCAAGGATGCCGACATAGTTGTTTCCGCCATTGGAAAGCCACAATTCGTCGAAGGCTCGTGGCTCAAGCCAGGCGCCGTGGTGATTGACGTTGGCACGAACTATATCCCCGGTGAGTAATGTTTTGCTCTATCAACACACGGCTAATATCCTGTAGACTCGACCAAGAAGTCTGGCCAACGTCTTGTAGGAGATGTTACTTTCGACTCTGCCGCCGAAGTAGCCTCGCACATCACTCCGGTGCCTGGAGGTGTCGGTCCGATGACAGTCGCCTTGCTCATGGTGAACACGCTCACGGCTGCGGAGCGCATCTGGGAGCAAGCGCGCTCGCTTCGTATCAAACCGCTCAAGTTGAAAATCCTCGAGAAGGTCCCTAGTGACATCGAAATCTCGTTGGCGCAAACCCCCAAACCCGTGTCTCAGCTGGCACATGAAATTGGCATTTACCCCGATGAGCTTGAGAATTACGGCAAGTACAAGGCTAAGGTTGAGCTCAGCGTTCTCGACCGTCTTGCTCACCGCAAGGACGGCAAGTACATTGTCATCTCGGGGTGAGCACTTCTTCAGGATGCGGTCTTCGGTGATCTTAGTGGCTCTGCAGTATCACACCTACACCACTCGGCGAGGGCAAGTCTACTACCACTATCGGGTTGGCGCAAGCTCTCGGTGCACACATGGGTCGTCCTTCCTTTGCCTGTGTGCGTCAGCCCAGTCAAGGACCTACGTTCGGTATCAAGGTGGTGCTGCCGGCGGCGGATATTCTCAAGTCATCCCGATGGATGAGGTACGAAGTCTCCGCGAAGCGATTGGAATGAGCTGACCAACCTCGCGCTTAGTTCAACCTGCACTTGACTGGAGATATCCACGCAGTGACAGCAGCGAACAACCTTCTTGCCGCTGCGCTTGACGCGCGAATGTTCCACGAAGCCACTCAGTCCGATAAGGCGTTGTACAGCCGGCTTGTGCCCACGAAGAAGGGCAAGCGCGAGTTCGCGCCTTTGATGTTCAAGCGTCTCAACAAGCTCGGCATCGACAAGACGAATCCCAACGACCTTACTCCTGACGAGATCAACCGCTTTGCTCGCCTCGACGTCGACCCCGAGACCATCACCTGGAACCGCGTCATCGACGTTAACGACCGTCATCTTCGGAAGATCACTGTTGGTCAGGCGCCGACAGAGCAAGGCCACTCCCGCGAGACTGGCTTCGATATTTCGGTTGCTAGCGAGTGTATGGCTGTTCTTGCGCTCACGACGAGCCTTGCGGACATGCGGGAACGCCTCGGCAACATGGTGGTTGCCACCAGCAAGCGCGGCGAGCCCGTGACCGCGGACGACCTTGGTGTCGGAGGTGCTCTCGCCGTTCTCATGAAGGACGCCATCAAGCCTAACCTGATGCAAACCCTCGAGGGTACGCCCGTGTTTGTCCACGCTGGTCCTTTCGCCAACATCGCCCACGGAAACTCGTCTATCCTCGCCGACCGTGTCGCGCTCAAGCTGGCGGGTATCGAGGAGGGCGACTCCCCGGACCGCATCGGTTACGTCCTCACCGAAGGCGGCTTCGGCGCGGACATGGGCATGGAGAAGTTCTGCAACATCAAGTGCCGCATGAGCGGGCTGAAGCCGGATGCGACCGTCATCGTTGCGACCACGCGTGCCCTGAAGATGCACGGAGGCGGACCGGACGTCGCCCCTGGCAAGCCTCTCCACGAGACGTACACGAAGGAGGACCTTGTCACGCTCAAGGAGGGTTGCAAGAACCTGACGAAGCACATCGAGAACTCACGCAAGTTTGGTGTGAAGGTCATCGTAGCAATCAATCAATTCTCGTAAGTACCACGCGTTACAGATATGGAGATTAGACTAATCAAGATGATCCGTAGCTCTGATACCCCCGCGGAACTTGAGCTCGTCAGAGAGCAGGCCCTTGCCGCCGGTGCGGACGGTGCTGTCGTCAGCAACCACTGGGCTCAGGGTGGCGAGGGTGCTCGTGCGCTCGCCGAGGCCGTCATCGCGATCTGCGAGGGGGAGTCGAACTTCAAGTTCCTCTACGACCTCGAGCTCCCGATCGATAAGAAGATTGAGATCATCTCGAAGGAGATCTATGGCGCGGACGGTATCGAGCTCAGCGAGGAAGCCCAGAAGCAGGTCGACACCTACACCCGTCAGGGCTACAGCAACCTCCCTAGTACGTTTTCTGCGCTTTCTGATACCTGAAGGCCTGTTCACTCATTCTTATCCAGTCTGCATGGCGAAAACCCAGTACTCGTTCTCGCACGATCCCAAGCTGAAGGGCGTCCCCACGGGCTTCACCATCCCCATCCGCTCCGTCCGCCTGTCCGCCGGCGCTGGCTTCCTCTACCCCATCCTCGGCGACATGCAGACCATGCCCGGACTCGGCACGCGCCCCGGCTTCTGGGAGGTCGGCCTTGAGACCGAGACCGGTCGTGTCGTCGGCCTGTTCTAAGCGCCCCCTCGTCCCCCAGTGCAAGTTCAACCTAGAGGTTCCCCAGACGCTTCGCTATCTTCACCAGATATATCAGGACAGAGGAGAGACTATAGACGCCCAGAAACCGTTCAACACGGCTAGGCCCGTTCACCGGGGCTCAACGCCCCGGGCACGCCGCGGTCGGTTCAGTGTTGCATACAAGCGGTAGAGACTCGGGTTCGTCTCCAGGTCACGTCCGGATGCGCGGGCGGTGGTCCCGCGAGCAGGTTTGTAGATACCCTTGTGGATTTTCCGTAGATTCCCCAAGGCCCGATCGAGCAGTAGAAGTAGCATTAATGACAGGTGTACATCAGCGACCCTGACCGCCGTGTGTTTCCACAACGGTCTTCAGTTTCCGATGGTCCGTCCGCCCGGGAGCCTGAGCTTGGTGATCGCGAGCGGCGCCTGCATCCCGGCGTGCTTGTCTTGCACCGCGCTGGCGGGCGCGGGCGCGGGCGCGAGCGAGCCGCTCTGGACGTCGGAGGTGATGTTGTTGTTCACGGCAGAGACCTTGCGGCTGAAGGTGTTGCCGTCGTCGTCGGCGTAGGAGAACGTGTTCGAGTTGGTGCCGTTCCCGGTGTTCCCGGTCGACGCAACCTTGAAGAAGCCGCCTGCGGGGCTGTGAGGGACGGTCGCTGCGGAGGAAGAGACACGGCGACTCACTCGCGAGCTGACGCTCCTGGATCGTCGAGCCTAGGATGAAGGGCGCAGGGTCGGACTTGCGGTCGTACGAGTGGTCGAACGTGCACTCGACTGTCAGATCCGGCCAGCGTCAGCGCATCCCAAGCGAGGCGAGCGGTTAGCGCGGCGAGCGACACGCACACTGGCTCCCGTCGGGGGAGAGGAGGGTGAAGTTGATGAGGAGCGGGTACGAGAACTCGTCGACGAGGACCGGGACGCCGTTGTGCGTCGACACGGAGCTCCCCGTCGCGCTCTGGTCGACGACCTGCACCGTCGTGTTCTCCAGGTAGCGCTGCGTGTTCGCGTACGCGAGCGTCTGCCGCCACACCACCGCGGTCGTCGCGCCGCTCCCGCCCGTGATCTCCGCCGCGATCTCGAGCGTGCGGCTCGCGCCGACGGTGACGTTCACGTCCCCGTTCGCGCCGACGCGCCCCGTCGTCGTCGTCGCCGCGAACGCGGGCGCGTCCACCCTCGTGATCCGCCCCGTCGTCGGCAGCCCGGACGGGTCGAGGACGACCTGGAGCAGCCCGGAGACGAACCAGTTCTGGTTCACGCCGTGGTCGGCCTCGGCGGAGACGACGTCGAGCGCGATCTCGTGCGGCGCGCCGTCGGTGAGCACGGGCACGAACGGGGTGAGGTCGAGGAAGTAGGTGGGCAGGTCGAGCGCGCCGTAGGACGTGATCGGCCGCCACGCGGTCGGCACGATCCCGCCGGTGAAGATGACGGCGTAGGGGAAGGCGACGCCGGCGAGCTGGCCGTCGACGAGCATGCGGACCTCGCGGAAGGGGCCCTGGCCGAAGGTGGTGCCGGAGGGAAGGTCGTCGAGGAACTCGTTCGCGGTGTTGAAGTACTGGGAGGGGGTCCGTGAACGTGCGGTCGGGTCGGTCGGTCGGGTCAGCGCGGCGGGGTGGGAGGACGTACCCAGAACTCTTCGTTGCCGTTTCCGGACGCGTACAGCTCTGCGAAGATCTGGACGGCGTTGCGCGGCACGGTGACGTTGAGCTGGAGGCGGAACGTGGGTCAGCCGACGCCCGCCGCTGTGAGGAGAGAGAGCGAAACACGGACGGAGAACTGCGGGGGCACAGAGGCGTCGTTTCCGGTGTTGTTTGCCAAGGTTGACACGGGGATGATCAAGTCGGCTTTGGGCGCGGGCGGGTGCGCGGCGTCAGAGGCAAAGAAGGTCGCATCCAGGGTGGCTATCGAGAACGGGGTTAGAGGTCCTGCGCTCGAGGGTACGAAAATACGTACTGGCGTACTGGCCGTCAAGCCCAGTCTCGAGCAGGTTGTCGAGCTGGAGGATGAAGGTGCCGTTCTTCGCGAACAGAGGGGTATAGCGCGTAACATCCTTGAGGTACGTCCAGATGATGCCGTCGCCACGGGTAGGCTCGGGCGTGGACGTGCGCCAAACTGCAAAGAGGTGGTGAGTGCGCGGCTCTGGGAAAGTTGGCGGGGCTGCCTACTTTCGACGTTCTGGAAGGTGAAGATTCCTGCAGGTGCAGTCAGGTGACGTGGGCGTGCGACATGGTGCATGACGTACCTAGGCGGTCAAACTGGGTGCCGTTGGAGGTGACGGTAAAGTTGAGACTGATGCCAGCCCAAGAGCCGACGGGACCGCAGTCGGTCGGAGGCCTGTAAAGCGATATTCCGGTTATGAGTTCCGTTCGACGGCTCTTTTGTCGCCTACGCACTCGAATTGCACGACTTCGGCCCTAAGAAAGCAAGATTCTCTCAGCGCGTTCCACGCAATTGCTTACACAGGGGCACATACGCGCCGAACGAGTTTCCAAACGTGTGCCTGGGCGAATCAAGTGAGCCCAACCTGGGGCGAAGATTGCAAGAGGAGAGCAACGCACTTGAGGATTTGGACTGTGCACTGTTTTGCGCCCTTGGGGAGCGGTGGAGGTTGTGCGACCTGGAAGTCAACGAGCACCGTGGCGCGCGCGATGGTGGCGCCGAGCGCGAGAGCAGCGGCGATCCTGGAGGACCACGGAAGCATGTTGTGCGCTCCGAACACTCACGGATGGGAGGGAGGGCAGAGGTCGAGCGGCTGGCAGCGGCTGGCGGGCATCATGGGGGCGGCCGTGCTTATATGCGAGCAAGGTGCTGATGGGAATATGGAAGCAGGCCGGGAGGGAGCAGCCATGTGGTGGCGAGGGACGGTTGCCACTATTACTGTTAGTATTACCGACGCAGACCACGATAACGCGCGGGGCGGCGTCGCTGTGTCGGAGCAGCTGCTCGCTGCACTGGTCGTCGGTCGGCGGTTGGTGTGCGTGCATTGCGCATCAGCCGACAGGAGGGGCGGGAGGCGGGAGATCTCCGGACTCGCGCGCTGTTGGACCGACGTCGATAAGCGTCGAATGCATAGGGCACGGAGGGCGAGAAAGCAGCAGCACATGTACAAGAACGACCGAAAACGCACGGCGTCCGTCCACCAGGATTACCTCGTCCAACCTCTCCTCTCCACCGTCCGCTCAGAGTTCGTGATTAAAGATGTCGTCAGCGTTCGTCCGCCGCGCCGCCTCGCTCTCTCCACCGCCCGCCGTGGGCTGCCTGTCGCCGTACAGCCCGCCCTCGGCGTCCTCTGGGAACTCCGTCGTCGACCCGCTCCGTTGCGAGGCCGCATCGACGTCGAGCCCCGCGCTCTTCTTCTTGCTGCTCCGCTTGCTCTTCTTCCGCTTGCTCGAGGTCTCGTCGTGCGCCGCGTACGCGTCCTCCGTCCGCGCCCACCGGTCCTTCTTCTCCTTCTTCCCCCGCTTCGCGCCCTTCTTCCCCGCCGTCATCTCCGCGTCCTCAAAATTGGCCGGGTACCGCCAGCGCCCGCCCGAGCCGGCCGTGTTCACGCTCGCCGAGCTCTGCCCGTGCTGGCCCTCGCCGTAGTAGCGCTCCTCGGACGGGTCCCAGAGCCCGCCGTTCGCGTTCGTGCGCGCGCCCCCGCGGTTCGGCGCCGACTCGTCCGAGAGGTCGATCGACGAGCCCCCGACCTCGCCCTCGGCGTACGGCTGGCCGTCGAGCGTCGAGCGCGGGAGGCGGTCGTTGTACCGGTTCGCCCACTGCGAGCGGCGCTCCTTGCGCTTGATCTCCGAGGTGTCGACGAGCCCGTAGCGCTGCACCCACTTGGGCGTCCGCCGGTGCGTCTTGTTGTTGCGGATGTTCTGGGCGAAGGGCACGGTTGAGCATGCGATGCGCAGTGGCGGGGATCGGGGAGCGCTGGAGTGCGAAGAGAGAGGGACATACCTGGATGTAGAAATTGTGTACATGGCCTGTGGGATCTCAAGATCGGTGTGCGGGTCGAGGGAGGTGGGGGTGGAACGTACCGGGAATGTATCCGGCGATGGTGAGTACGACGTTCAGCCAGAAGTCGCCACCGATGCCAAAGCGTGCGGCGACGGCTGGGAGTGCATTCAGGATATAGGAAAGGGTGAGCTGGCGAGACAGAGACGTACCGAGCGGGGGGAAGAGCGTGCCGAAGATGAAAAGCAAGACTGAATATCCATGGTGCCTCCTCGGGGTGAGGTCGACGTTGAAGGAGCGCACGCGGTCGACCATTGTGGGACGGGCGTCGAGCGAAGGGAACGACGGGGCCGGGCGCGGTGTTGTGTACGGATGTAAGCAGGGTCCGCGAAGGAGTCGAGAGAGCGGGTGGGCCTAACGGATGGGGGAAGCGGTGGAACGCCGGCAGCCGGGACACGGCTAATGTCTCATATCGGCGCCTGTGCTTGACGCAGCGAGCGGCCCGGCGCGCCGCGCGTACGATCCCGTCCTGTCCCCGGTGTGCAATTGGCCACCACCCAGCGAGCAGTCCGCGCAGCTCCGCACACGTCCACAGGCGTCGTGTTTTCTCTCAACGCTGTCGCTCTTGGACAGCATACTGGCCACGTCCCGGTTCCATTGGTCAGTGGCATGACATGCGGCGCTCCGCGAATGCATAGCCAGACGAGACTCTCGGGTACATAGCCGCAGCCACCCAACTTGTATGAGTGGCCCCCTAGCTATGCTATTCTCAGGGTCGCCACTATGTACGTACGCCCCACAATGGCGGATACAGCACCAACCTGGGTCCTCACGAACTCGCACCATGTATCGAGCATTCTTTGAGACAAATCCTGCATCCAGGCCTTGCCAAGCCAGAGTGGTACCGTTGCCTACACGCGGCACAGGCCGATAGCATTGTCACCAATTAATTGACACGAGAGTCTGGCAAGCGTTGAGTGAACCCCAAGACATCGCCCAAACACGCAGACGGAGACGATCGTGGGAGAGGGGATGGAGTGTTCCGTGGCCAAGATCACGTTCTACCCAACGGCAAGACGGCGAGCAGGTCACAGGAAGACGTCAGAAGGAGATGAATCGCGGAGCAAGAACTCGTGGCTTGCTCGTGGGCAGAGGCAGGCAGCAGGCGCCAAGGGCAGGCTTCCCGTGGGCGGAGTTCGAACTCGCTGATGAACCACGCCGGTGTGGCAGCCCTCGCCTCCAAGGGCGATCCGCTGCTCTGTCCCCGCACCGCTGCCCCTCCCCACCGCCTACAGCCCAACCACCACAGAGCCCCCTTCGCCCGCGCTCGCTTTCGCGACCTACGCGCGCGAACACCGCATACACCCTCCAGTAAGTCCGCCAGTTCCCGTCACGACGCGCGGCGACTGACGTTGCCGACCGCGTCCTACAGGCTCTCCCCATCCCCCACGCGCCCGCACGAGGCTTTCATCGCGAACCCGACGCGATCTGCCCGCCATGGACCAAGACGACTCTGAGGTCGCTCTCGCGCTGTCGGACGTCGTGCACGACGAACCGCTGCCTGACAACCCCCCCAACCACCACATGCACCACATGCACTCCCTCGCTCTCCCGCCCGTCTCGCAGCATCACCACCACACCCCCGCCGCGCCCTCCCCATTCCAGCATCAGCCGTCGGTGCACGCGTCGCGCGACGTCCCCGCGTCCCTTGACCTCGAGCCGGCCCACGAGCACGAGAGCGACTTCGATGCTGCGCTCTCGCCGGACCCGTCATGCCACCTTCACATCGAGCAACTCGAACGTGAGATCTCGTCCCTCCTCCACCAGAACTCTGCCGCAGCCGCCCTCAATGACTCTCTACACTCCTCCCATCCCGGCGAAGGCCATTCTGCCTCCCATCCCATCGACCTCTCGGACGTTCCCCAACACGAACCCCACGAGCAGCCGGACGCTTCGAACATGCATCTTGGCGAGGCTCTGGCAGGCGTGCTCGGCATGAACCTCAACAGCCTTGCTGCTGTGCTCCAGGCGGCCCAAGCTCAGTCCGAGAACGAACGAGCATCCAGAGAGGATGGACAACACGGGGACTCTCTATATCACTCCTACGCAACGACTGAGCCTGTGCCCCAGCTCACACACTCGGGCAGTCCTACAGACGGCTCGGAATATCTCTACGACGATGAAGGGGACAGTGAACACGAAGACGGGTTCGGTGGCATGCGGGGTAGTAGCCTTCACCACGGTTCGTCGTCCCCCATTGACGGAAGCGACCGGCACTCCCAACCCCCCGAGTTCACGGATACGGAAATCAACGACATCCTCAACCACTTCACGCAGTTCGACCAAGATCCTCCAAATCCACCATCCCTCAGACACCCATCTCCGCCGCCTCTGGACCCCCCTTCGAGTGTTCCTCCATTGCCTTCGACCCAGAGCGAGCACCAATCTCCGCCCGATCCGCCTATTGGCCTCTCGCCTCCGATGTCATCGTCGTATGACGGCGGCTTTGACCAGCCGGTGGCTTCAACATCCACGCTCCATCCATCAGCAGCGTTGTCCACGGCCGCGACGAAGATCGCAGACTCGTTCAAGGATAAGAACAACAAGCTGCAGCAGGCACACGTCTGCGACCAGTGCTCCAAGTCGTTCAGCCGCAGGAGCGACCTTTGCCGGCACATGCGCATACACACCGGCGAGCGGCCATTTGTCTGCCCCGAAACGACCTGCGGTAAGACGTTCATCCAGGTTCGCCCCCCCTTTCCGACCAACACTCCTGGACACCGGCTAACCACCTATGACCTTCCTCTTGTAGCGTTCCGCCCTCCATGTGCACCTTCGCGTCCACACGGGCGAGAAGCCGCACTTCTGCGAGTATCCAGACTGCGGTAAGACGTTCGGGGACTCGAGCTCTCTCGCACGCCACCGGCGAACCCATACCGGCAAGCGGCCATATCAGTGCGAGGATCCAGCCTGCGACAAGACATTCACTCGGCGGACGACGCTCACCGCACACATGAAGACACACGACCCAACCTGGGAGCCCGACCCCAACATGTGCGTGCCCCCGTTCGGTTAGGCCGACTGACGTGGTACTAACGCCGGTCTCAATTTCCCTTCCCCTCCACAGCAAATACAGCTTCAAAGCGAAACGCCCGAAGCTGACGGACCCGGACAAGGAGGAGGAGGAGCTCGAGGCGTCCGTCCGCACGCTCTCCGCGCTCCTCAGCCAGGGCGACCCGAACATCATCGCCGCGCACGCCCTCCCCGGCGAGCCTTCCCCCACTCTCGAGGAGCGCGTCGCGGCGACGCTCAGCGCAGAGCTCGCCGCCGCCCTCGCCGCCCAGCAGCACCCCCCGGGCGCGCCCCGGCGCGTGTACACGGCGGCGCGGCGGAGCGCGGGGTGGAGTTCGAGCTCGACCCGGACCCAGACGAGGACGGCGAGGAGGAGGACGAGCTCGACGACGACCAGTACGAGTCCGGGCCGGACGCGGACGACTCGCGCCGCCGCCGCGCGTCGTCGTCCCCACGGAGACACGCCCAGGCTCATGCGCCCCGAGGCCAGAGCCAGGGCCGCGGGCCGCGGGCGAGGACGAACACGTACCCGCCGTCGCTCGGGGTGGGCGCGCTCGGGGTCGTCCCGGGCGGCCCGAGCGAGAAGGGCGGGGGCGGGGGCGGGGAGGTGCAGGTGATGATCGTCGCGGGGCCGGATGGGGAGGCGTTCTCCGTCCCGCTGCGTGCGCGGAAGGGGAAGGAGGTGAGCGGGGTGGGGGTGAAGCGGAAGCGGTGACCGGATTTCTGGGTGTGGCTTTGAGGGGGCGAGATTCAGTTGCGGTATGTGATGTTTATTGTACAGTCCGTCAGTAACATATCTAGTGCGTAATACGCCGCCCGCCAACGGCGATGGATGTAACATTACAAAGGGACCCTGGCTTGGGTCTTGCACCTTACACGACAAGATACCACATGGCAATCACAAAACTGTCCTTGAGAAGGCGATACAACTCGGGAAATGGTCAGTACAATGGCAAGGACTCACTCCTAAGATAAGTACTGAGAACACGATTACCCGGCTGTAGTGAGCAGCCCCCGCAGGCGTCCGCACGTGAGCGAGGAGTATGCTCTATCATCGTCGCGTTGCCGAGACGAAGCGTGGGTGCACAGCGTTCGCAAGCTGCAGGCGCAGAATACTTTACGCATCGCTCTAAGGTGATGTTGTGAGAATAACGATTCGAGTTGGTGAGACCGAGCGCCAGCGTCTAGTTCTCGCAGTAAGGTTTCCGGACGCCGGGAGCTTGCCAAACTGACTAACAGCCTTGGAGGATGGACGGGGGCGGTTGGGCCGGCGTGGGCCGGCGTGGGCAGGAAGAGGAGACCGGGCGGGCGGACCGGGGGGGGAACATGTGAAGTGGAGGCTGTAGGGAGAGAGGGGCCCCGCCTCTCCGGACAAGCCACCGATTCCAGCCCTCCCGTCCCTCTCCGGCCTGGCTATAAACCCGCGCAAGGCTCGCGCGCATCTCCCACTCACCGACCCGCTCCTGCCCCTGCTCGTCTGCCACAGTCCACTACTCTACTCTCTCTCTCTCTCCCGCGATGGCCGAAGAACTCCCCAGCACCGACATCATCACCCTCACCCGGTGTGCAATCCACATCTGCCGTACTCTCCCGTACCGTAGCGCTGACCATCGCATCCATCGCGCGCCCCCAGCCACGTCCTCGCGGACCAGTTCAGCCTCGGCGCGCAGGCCACCGGCGACCTCACCCTCCTCCTCACCGCGATCCAGACGACGTCCAAGTTCATCGCGACCAACGTCCGGAAAGCACGCCTCATCAACCTGTTAGTCCTCCCCCTCCTTCCGTCCCACGTGATTCCCTGTGCGCACCCGACACTGGTACTGACCCTCCGTCCGTCCCACCCATTCCATCCAATTCCGCCCCTGCCCTGCGCGCACTCGATCCCGCCACCATCGCGCACCGCTCGATCCTTCCGCGCATGCGACACCGTCCATCGTTCGCACACCCCCGCACGCGCTCCACAGCGTCGGGCTCGCGGGCGAGACGAACGTGCAGGGCGAGGAGCAGAAGAAGCTGGACGTGCTCTCGAACGACATCATGGTGAACTCGCTCCGCGCGTCCGGCAAGTGCGCCGTGCTCGTCTCGGAGGAGCTCGAGGAGGCGATCATCATCGAGGGCAAGTACAAGGGCAAGTACTGCGTCGTCTTCGACCCCCTCGACGGCTCGAGCAACATCGACGCCGGCGTGAACATCGGCACCATCTTCGGCATCTACCAGATCGTGAGTGCTCTCGCCCGCTCCTGTCCCTGCTCTGCCGGTGCGTGCGGGCGTGCGGGCTGCCGCCCCTCTCCGAGTCGTGCGCGCGCATGAGACGGAGCTTCCCGCGCGGGACGTCGTCAGGGTTGGATATGCTCTGAAAGGGCACGCGCTGACTTGTGTGTGAGAAAGGCGCCAGACTCCAAGGGAACGATTGCGGACGTGCTGAGACCGGGAAGCGCTATGGTCGCGGCCGGGTACACGATGTGAGTGCTCCGAGTGCCCGGCGTACACCCCTGGTTTCTCACTGCACGGTCTCGCATCCAGGTACGGCTCGTCCGCGAACCTGGTGCTTACCACCGGCCACGGCGTCAACGGCTACACGCTCGACGCTGCCCTCGGCGAGTTCATCCTCACCCATCCTGACGTGAGAGCCCCCTCCCTGTCTGCCCTGGCGCGCACGCGTACTAAGTCACCCCCGCGCAGATCAAAATCCCGGCACGAGGCAAGATCTACTCCTTCAACGAGGGCAACTCGATGTACTTCCACGAGCCGGTGGTCAAGTACCTCGAGAGCATCAAGTACCCCGCGAACGGCAAGGCGCCGTACTCGGCGCGCTACATCGGCTCCATGGTCGCCGACGTCCACCGCACCCTCCTCTACGGCGGCATCTTCGGCTACCCAGCGGACAAGAAGAGCAAGCGCGGCAAGCTCCGCACGCTCTACGAGGCCTTCCCGATGGCCTTCCTCACCGAGCAAGCCGGGGGTCTCGCGACGACCGGCACGGAGCGCATCCTCGACATCGTCCCGACGAACATCCACGAGCGCTGCCCCGTCTTCCTCGGGAGCAAGGACGACGTGCAGGACCTGATGAAGTTTTACAGCGCGGCCAACGGTGCTGCGTAGGGCGTGCGAGCGGACTGTAGCATTAATCTCGACGGGCCGGACGAACGTCTGTTATAATCCTGTGTATCCTTACGTATGTAAGCTCTCTTACGGAAGCTCTGTTTCATTGCTCGTGCTCGAATGCGTCTTGAGTCTAGGGGGATCAATGCAGAAAGTACGTATGCGTGTGAGTCCAAGGGCTGATGCGGGTCGTGCGTAGAGAAGAGTGCAGGAGCACAAAGATGCGAGAGGAGACCAAAATCCAGACCAGGAAAGTAAGCGAGTTTGCAGCTTGGGAAACCGAGGCGTGACAACGACAGCAGAACGAGAGAGGCGGGACCGAGCGGACCCCAGGCCCCGGAACCTCACTACCATACGTTGACTATCTCCGATTCGTGCGTCATGACCGCCGCGTCCTTGCGCACGGGGTTGACACGCGGGTTCACGAACTGCGAGATCGGAGCGCGTCAGTGGCCTGCGCCGCGTGCGCGAAGCAGTGGTCTGCGCACCTTCTCGTCGTACTCGTGCAGCACCTCCGCGGCGATGATCGCGCGGTCCTTCATCAGGGCCTCGTACGAGTGCGCCATCGCGCGCACCTGCAGCAACGTCAGCACGAGCCGCGCACCCCCGAGCAAAATGAACGGAACGAGTCCGAGCGGAGGGCGTACGCACCTGGATCCCGACGAGGAACATGATGAAGAGCATCATCATCCAGTTCGCGCTCGTCGTCGCCATCCACAGCAGCGCGTGCACGGGCGAGTAGATCCCGAGGAGCGCCATCTCGAGCTCGCCCGGGGTCCACACCTCGAGCTGCTGCACCCGCTCGTCTTCCTCCCACGGCTGCGGCGGGCGCGCCTTTGGCGGGCTCAGGTTGAGCAGGAAGCGGACGCTGACCACGAGCCCGCGCCAAAGCGCGGACAGGATGGTGGCAAGTAGGCTGTAGAGGGAGGAGAGCGTGGAGCGGCGCGGGAGGTCGTCGGACATGGATGAGGACGAGGAGTTGCGATGCGAGGTGCGAGGGCGTTTGATGAAGGAGGCGTGTGGAGAGGAGACAGGGTCGGGGGCGAGGGTGAGGTAGTAGATCTTGGTGCGGGTAAACAGGTAGAGCACATTCACAACAGAAGCGCTGATCACTAGGAAGGTGACTGGTGTTGTCTGGACGAAGCGTGCATTAGCTAGGGCATGCGAGGCGTGCGATGGTTGGGGTGGCTAGGAAGACTCACCCAGTCGAACCACGGCTCGCCCTCGCCCTCGCGGTACATGTCCTCCCAGCCGAGGTCGGAATCGGGCACTTTTCGAATCTGCGACACACGCACGCAAAGGTGCAGGAAGTGCAGGGCGCCACCAAGGATTCGTGCGGAATTATGTGGAGACGGCAGTGGAACATTGCTGGGAAACTGAGAGATCTCGAAAGACACTCGGGAGGGAATTTCGGAAACCCTGTGAAGAACCGTTAGTCTCGGCATAGGAACACCTAACAAATTTTGAGTGGTCCAGGAGACAAAGCTACAAGTTCGCGCTGGGATTTTTGCCGAGGACATTTCTAGGCATTTAGGCGTGGCGAACCGACGTCGATTCACTAGGAGTACGAACAACAAGCGAAACGACAGTTCTACGCGTCATGTCTAATGCACTCTTGCCCCCGGACTACCGCACAATGACAGGGATAAGTGCTCACCGCTCGATAAAGGACTTTTTGCGTACTACACGCTTGCTTGGAGTTTTCCCTGGAGTGCCAAAGTCGCTCGGTCGGCTGTTCTTCTTGGCATTGGGGGTGGCATATGGAGCTGGCCGTCGTGACCGCGCAGCTTCCCAGTCGAATGGAGTCGAAGCGGACAGAGAGGGAGAGGTGGCAGGAGATACTGGATATACGAGACGCGTCCGGGAAGTGGAAGTACGCGTGGGGGTGGATGGAGAGGGGACCGCGGACACGCTGGACTTGCCGCCCGCTCTCGGGGATGCGGAGACGGCGGCATTCGTTTGTGCAAGGCGGCGGAGGGACGACATCGGGAGAGGCAAGGGAGGAGGAGCCTGCGTCTGGGTACGGCGCGGTGGCTGCTCGGAGGGAGTCACGGAGCGGAGCGCGCCGAGGGCACGCACAACGCGTGCGTGATGGCTCCATGACCTGGGACGAGGGCTGTGACGTGACGTGGCTTCCTCCCACGCCACATCAGCCACTATGGTGCCAGCTCCGCTTCGGAGTGATGGGCGGAGGTCATTCTATTGGCTCGCCTGAATCCCCACGCGGTCGCCTCGTGAAACGAAAATTCCATTGGGGAAGAATAGCATGTGGTGTGACAATTTATCAGCGTGTGGGAAGTTTTGGACACGTGTGTTGTGACTTGTTTGCAGACCGGCTGCCTGATTCGGAAAACGAACCAAGGTTGAAAAGTCGACTCTGCTGGGGTGACCCTCCTCACTCCCCGCCCTTTTCTCCTCCGCCTTTGTTCCTCCCGTACATCAACCCGCCTCCCTCCTCTCCCCTCCCCTCCTCTTCACAAACCCGAATACCGCGCTACCCTTTCCCCCTCTCACGATTTCACCATAACGTCCACATACAGGACCCGCACCTCCACATCCTTGTCGCCCTCGCACTCCGTTAGCGTCAGGATGGCCCAGCCCTCGTCCTCTCATCGTGAACGAGAGCGGGAGCGCAGCGAGCGCTCCTCCTCCCGTCATCACCACCACCGCACCATCTCCTCCACCACTCTCCTCCTCGTCCTCTCTCTCGTCCTCGCCGTTCTGGCCGTCATGCTCTCCCTCCCCTCCAATCAAGCCGCCAGCACCGCCGCCGCCGCAGCAGCAAGCGGCGAAAACGCCAAGAACGAGGGCTTCTGGGGCATCATCACCCCGAAGCGCACCCAAGCTCTGCTCGCTCGTGAAAGCAACATCGCTGTCCGTGAGGCCGAAGTTGCTCGCCGCGAGGCCGAGATTCTTGCCGGCGCTCCGGGCGGTGTTGTCGCTCAGGCCCCAGTTTGCCCTCCCTGCGCGACCATTGTGGAGAAGATCACCGAGGCTCCCCTCCCTGCACACACCGTCATCAAGGAAGTTGTCAAGGAGGCAGACCTCACTCCTCCTGGATGGTGGGACCAAGCTCGCGTGCGCGCTGAAGACATCCTTGACCGCGAGTTGAAAATCGCTGAGCGCGAGCGCGAGATCAGTCGCCGCGAAGAGGCCGTCAACCGTCGCGAGCACGATGCTTCAAGACGCGAGGGCTGGATTATGGAACAGCTTGTGTACGTGTCAAGTAATCTTGCCGAACACGTGGAACACACGCTCATGTTGGCTTTGCAGGATGCTGAACGAGGCTCAACCTGAAGTCGTCGAGGAAGATTACATCTACAACGAACCTCCCCCTCCCCCCATTGTTCCGCCCATGGGTGGCGGTTGGAGGAAGCCCAAGGTACCCCCGACTCCCCCCACTGGCACGCAGCGACGGTCCGAGCTCTGAGACGAAGGGGGGAATTCCTTGCCAATATTTCCATTATCTTTGCTTCATTGATGTACAGTTCGTATCCTTTGACGCATCCCTCCCCTCCTTCGTCCCGGGCTCGGGGGACCACGGTGTTTTTTCGTCTTGCTCCCCCGCCGTCCTACTGTATGCTGATAGCCCTTCTGTGCCTTGAGCGCGTCATTTGGATCGATCGGCGCGCGTCGCGCGTGTTGGCCTCGCGCCCACGTGATGGCTCGACACGTCCCGTCACTGAGCTCGTCACCGACGTGACGATCGACGCCATCGACGGTGACGCGCGCCTGGGTACAGAAGGGCTACCAGCATGCTCCCCTCCCTCGTTGAGCGGTATGCTGACCCTTTTCGTCCTCCAGGCCATTCCTCCCCCGCCTTTTGTCATAACCGAAACCGCCATTGAAATGGCGACCGAGACCCGTACAGTCACCCACACTCTCCACGAGACCATCAAAACTGCCGCCACCAATGCGCCCTCGAACACCCGTCGTGTTGCGTCGCCCACTCCCAACATCATGAGTTCCTCGTCCACCTCGTACATCCCGCGGACAACGTCTGTGGAGGTCGTTGTGGAAGAGGAGATCCTCGAGCCAGAAGAGGTCGAGACAACCGTCACCATGATGCGCGGCCCTGGCAGGAAGCGGCACCCCACCGGCAAGCGGTGGTTCGGTGGCTGGTGAAGTCCCCGCAGTATATCTTGACGATTGTGTTACGAACATTTACGTGACTGTACGATGTCTTCTCTCTTTTATTGCTTTCTCTTTCGACCCCCTTCCTTGATGGCTGGCACCTTTTCCCCTGCTGTATTTCTGCTCATCGAATTCCCCCGCTCCTCCCGTCTCATCTCCCCGCTGCGACACCTATACTCATAAATCCTCTGTACGGCCGCGTGCTGCGCCATCCCCTAGCTAGTGCTTAGCTGATACTGGTACTCACCACTTACGACTACTGCTTGGATGTAGATCCAAATAGCACGCTTGTTTTACGGTTTCCCCCAGCCCTGTAAATGCCGATGATGGTGACGAACGATGGGAAACTTGTAGAACACTAGGATAGTTGTCGTCATAGTCATGCCCAATCTTACTCTCCGACTTGAATAGATGATCTACCTGCGAATGACTCTGCCAGTGTCCTTGGCGCCTAAATTTCTTTCCCTCCACTCTCGCCATGGACAGCCAGTCGGCGGAAGACAAAGGCAAGTTGCCTGTCTGTGTTCCCATCGCAGCCGTTCACAATGACGCGCTTGTAGCCCACACTGCTCTCAAGCTGCTCGAACAAGCTTGCGCCGGTGCGATCGACTGCCTCCGCCAGCCCATCTCTATACCCCAAGCGTCGACCGTTCCGTCCACCCACCGCCCCGCGCTCGCGGTCCTCCATAAAGACTTCCAGGCGCTGCTCACGCTCGTCTACACCTCCACCACCAAGGTCGCGCTCGTCCTCCGCCCCGCGTCGCCCGCGCACGCCGCCGCGCTGCCCCCGATCGCGGACCTGGGCGCCGCGGTCGCGAGCCTCGCCGCTGCGCGACGCTCTTCGACCCGCACGGGCGCACGCTCGCCGCGGACGTCCGCCGGCGCGCGGGCGACGTGTGCGCGGGCGTGCGGGTGTTCGCCGCGGGGCTCGTGGGCGCCGCGACGGACGACCACCTGGTGCACGCGGGCGCGGTGCACGAGCTGGTGGAGCGGGCGCGGGAGGCCCCCGAGGGGAACTTGGCGGCGGTGAAGGAGAGGTGGCGGGCGGACCGGACGATGATGCGGGACTCGGCGGAGGAGGTCGACGCGATGGTCGACGAGGGGCGGAGGGGGCGGCGAGGAGGAGGAGGGGGCGGCGAGGAGGAGGAGGACGGGTTCGGGGACGACGACCTGGACGCCGGGGATGAGTGGGACGAACTTGGGCTCGGGACGAGCAAGCGGATGTCGGCGGCGGAGCTGGAGCGCACCAAGAAGGTACGTCGCGCGTCGTGCTTGCTCGCATTTGTTCGCTCAGCGTCGTGCGATGGCTGTAGATCCAGCCTTTGGTGCGCTTCGTGACGCTCTACCACAAACGAGTCTTTCCAGACGTGCTCAATGCGCTCGCGGAATCGCCAGCAGAGGCGTTCAACGCGCAGCTAGATGCGCTGCCTTCGCTAAGCGACGCAACGGTCCGGTCTTTGGAGGAGGTCGTCGCTGCGCTTTATGCCCCCCAGAAGTTGGAAGCTCTAGCAGATGCCGTTGGGTCTATGGCGTCCGCGATCAATGCCGTGCACGAAGTTGTGGCCACAGATACTCTCACTCCGCCTCCCGACCTGACGCAAGCTATGGGCCAGCTCAGTGTTGACGGGGCTTCGAGTTGCGCAACGTCGGTAAAGAAGACGAAAGATCCAAGAAAATGGTTCAGGCTTGTTTGGCGCAGATACACAAAGTGACAAACGATGTAGCGGAGATGCTGAAACGAGACGCAGCAAATACAACTTGAGTTCTACAGTGCTACCATGAGCGAGAGAAATGGGTCATGGCATGTTTGCCTGTCAGGATCCCGGGCCTGCATTCTTGAAGCTCCTACCTCGCGGCTTCTTCCAAGCTCTGCCAGCCAACATTCTTATCCACCGTTCGGCTAGAGTACAGTTGGGGATGTGAGGGAGAAACGAGATTGGACAGCGTCGATGACAAGATTGGACAGCTCAGGCGGGTCGGAGTACTGCGACGTGAAATACATGGCAGAGAAACAAGGACCAGGTAAAAGAATATCGCGCATACCATGGCTACTTTGCCTTCCCTCCTGCGGCCTTCCCTGAGTCCGCCGGCTGTTCTCCCCTCCTGGGACCTTCATGCAGCTTGTCCCAAATCTTCTTCCTAGACTCCCCCTCCCGTTTCCACAGCGCGGCTATGCAAGGCCCGCATACCCTGTACTTGTCACCCGCCAGCCCCACGATCTCAAGGCGCAAAGCGTCGCCCAGCGGGTCTCCGTGCACCGCAGCCCGCCGGAAGTCCTTCTCCGCGCGCTCCAGCCCGGCGCGGCACGAGCGGAACAGGCCGGCCTTGCACCCTTCAGGGACACCTTTGTACACCGCGGAATGGGCGTCGACGGCATCGACGACGAGCTCCTTCTGTAGCGCGTAGACGTGATCGAGGTCGGGCTGTGCTAGTGTCTCGAGCGTCCCGTCTACGCGCCGAGCGCCAGTGGAGATCACGATTGAGGGCAGCTGCGCAGCGAGGTAGTAGGCGGCAGGGAGCATCGCGCCCGCGGGACCAGTTGGTGGGAGGGAGCGGAGGAGGATGACCGCCTCGATGGCGTTCTGAGGAGAGAAAGAGCGGGAAGAAGGCGCACGGAGAGACTCGTGCTTGTCCCAGTCGTCGATCGTGGAGGGGAAGAAGGCTTCGAGGTGCTCGAGGCACTGGTTGAGTATCGAGAAGATGGAGTACTTATGTGCGAGACGGGCGGCTGATGCAAGGTCGCAGAATTCCATTGGTTTGACGCTCTTCATATACCTGCCTGAGTTCAGGCGGTGCTGTGGAAGGAGGACAGATAAGAAACTCACTCAAAACCATCGTAAAGGATGTGCAAGAGATGCTTAAAGTCATGAGCTGAGTCCGTGACGTGCAGCTCGAGGCCATTCTCATCCCTCCTCGCATCCTTCATCATCTGACGGAAGACATGAGAGCGACGGGCGAGCACACCCTCGTTGACGCGGAATAGTTCTCCCTCGGCAAACACTACCACTTGCCGTCTTCGAACCACACCCCGGTGGGGTTCAGGGGAGGAGGAGCATGCCGTCGACCCCGATGAGAAACTACTCTTGCCTGTGTACGGATCAGAGTAGTGCGGGAATTAGGATGACGGCACGCACGAGATGCCTTGAGGTCATAGAAGAGGGCGGACGGGGCGAAGGCTACCGCAGCACCACTCCCTATGCTCCACCAACTCTAAATGCGGTCCCCACGGGGTCGTGCATCGACTCGCGCCGGTTTCTACGGCAGTCGGAGTACCTGTACGACGAAGAGATTGTTCGGTGCAGCGAACGAACCCAAGCAATAACCGAGCCAACAAAGGCCACTGGCTCCGCATCCGATCTGTACATGCGCCTTGTATGTAAATCTCGCTATGAGCTTCCTGGACTGCGTTTACTTGGCATATCACCTGTGGGCACCATCGACATTGATTTTACGCAGAACACCGTTTCGTACAGGCCTTTGCAATGCTCTCAAGCACGAGCGAGACCGTGCTTGATCATGCGGCGCGCGGCAGACCGGGCGTGTCTGACACTGGGAGCAAAGCACCGGACCGGATCCTCGATGTCTACATACAACTCCTCCAGACGAAGAACCTGAGTGGGGGGTCTTGACCGCTTCCTCTCGACGATCACGGTCATGGGGAAGGCGACTTTTCATTCTCCAAGGTCGTAGCTGCACAAAGTGGAGCGTCTCTCCCAGACGAACAGAGAGTACGCGCCACATGGTGGTGTACAAGGCGCATAATAAAGCCCACCACCGTCGCAGAGGGCCGCACTCCTCCCATCGGTCGTTGTAGTACTTGTGAGACGTGGGAGGAACGCAAGAACAGTTGGGACCCACCCAAACGAAGACCCTGTGCCGCCCATCGTCTCGTCTGCGAACAACGCAACAGCATCCTGTTCCCCTTCTCCTCGTCGAACCGCGCGAACCCGTACCACGCTGTGCCACTGTGGAGCGTCCACTGCACCCCGAGTGCGAAGGCCGGGAAGCCGCGAGGACATCGACACGGAGGGTATCGCCCGGGCGCGTGCCCGCGAGGTACGGTACCCCCAGGGGCGTCGACATTGGTCGGGCTGGAGAAGGAGGGAAGAGAGGGTCGCGGCGGTCGCGGTGGGGGTGATCAGGAGTGATATAGCCTTTGGAGGCTTCGAGCGTTGTGGCAGTCCGAGAGAAAGCGCTGTCCGGATGGCCGGGTGGATGCTGGGTGTGGGGCGTTCGCGGGAGGATGGGGAAGGTGTGGATCGGCATCGTGGTCGAGTGAGAAAGGTTGTCGATGAGACTCCGAGCCTATTCCCCTCTGGTCATCAGTTCCCTTTAGACGAACGAGGCGTTCTGGATTTCGTTCGGACCGCGAAGGCCAATATCCCGCTTTCTGAGGAGATGGTTGAGGCACTTTTCAAGGATCATGCCTGGCTCATGTTTAAGGTGTTCGTCATGAAGGACCAAAACGGAGAAGGCTTCCAGTGGGTGTTCGACTCCTCACAAGTGCTGTAATTGGAGTTTAGCTCAGACTGCGGCGTCTTGTTTGTCGTTTATTATTCTCGGAGCCGTATTTCTCCTACGCTCATGTACTACGATATTACTTGACATACATTAGTTCCTCCAAATTACACATGTTCCGATGCGATCGTCGGCTGTCGCCAGTCTAATCTTGTAACGCAATGCAGTGTAGGTATGTAGTCACACGGGTGTCATATTGTTTTGCCTTGCCACGCTTTGGAAGCTAACTATTGTGATCCCATGAGAGAACTGCCATCGAGGACACCCGCACGCGACATCCACGCATCCCAGGGGATGTCGTCCGAGGGGCGATGGGAGTTCACAGAAGATGATGACGAAGGGCGAAAGAACAAGTGAATAAAAATACGCTCTGAAGAGTCCGCTCTAGATTACAAGAGCACGCCCGGACCCCACGCGCGCACCTGGGTACTTCCTACAATAGGGTCATCCAGCCGTGTGATGTCGTCGTCGTCGTAAGTATGTCGTCGCCCCCGTCTCGCTTCCCGGCGCTCAGACGGCTTCGAATTCTCCTGATCACCAGCAACCGGTCAGCGCCGCCCACAACCCGCTGCGCCCGTGGCCACGGGCGCGGACGTCGGAAGACACGTAATTAAACACGCACCGGTGATGCGCGGCTTCCGCAGCTCGACGTCGGCCTCGAAGCCGTCCGCGGCGCGGTGCGCGCCGAGCTCGTGGCTCCCCGGCGAGCTGCGCGAGAGCTTCGAGAGCGAGATTTCTTGCGACGGGAAGCCGCCGCCGCGCGAGCGCGTGCGCTCAGAGGACGTCGCCCAGCGTTGACTCACGTGGCCCGCCCGTGGCGTAGGAAGTGCCTCGTCGTGCATCTGTCGGAGCTTGGTGCGGTTGTTGAAGACGAGCATGAGCGAATTCGTGTAAAGTTTGCTCAGCATGAACGCGCTGTGGTGGGTATGAGTACAGGGCAGAGGGGAGAGGGAGAGGAGAGGAGAGGAGAGGAGGGAGGAGAGGAGAGGAGAGGAGGGAGAGAGACGCACGGGAGCATGTGCAGGTTGTTGTGCTTGAACGCCAAGCAGAAGATGAGGTCGAGCGCGGCGAAGGATGCGGTGACGGAGCCTGTTTCGACTGAAAGCGTTATGAGGCGCGAGATGAGCTTGTCGGATGCTAGGCCTTGCCGCTGTCGCGCGAGCTGATCGGGGATCCAATGAACATGGATAGTGGACTGGGAGGAGCAGTGGATACGCACCAGGAAGCACATGCTGACCGCGATAATGATATCACACGCCGCGCTACCACCTAACCACACAATCAGGGCATTCTTCGCTTTTTCTTGAATGAGAGCGTTGTTGTTCAGAGCTGGTCCGGTCTGATGGGAGCGCAGGGACGATGAATGGGAGATATTGCGGCAGCTAGATAAAGCGACTCACAATGACACCAGTAGCCACTCCCGCACCACATTGCATGAGAGCAATCTGAGGCTAGTGAGCGACGCAACTGGACACACGACGGGAAGAGCTCACCAAAACAATAAAGGGAGGTAGGATCCGCGAGTTGCTGAGGATAAATATCCGCCATGCGAAGAAACATTGTACGGTGGCCGAAACTATGGATGCATGTGAGGTCTAGGACGGGCCAAAGTGACAATGGAGCACTGCGCACCGAGGGCACTCATTATGGGTATGTCGAACCACAACCATTGTGGGCTGGTCAGTGCATTGAGGTCACCCCATCCGGCGCCATATACTTGAAAGGCATCATGACTGATGAGGATGACCTGGACCCATTCTACGGCATATAGCCCGTAGACTTGTGGTCAAACAAGCATGAGCGAGGAGCAGTGCACGGACGGCAGGACAAACGGACCGAAGGCTTTGAGACTGACTGGGTCAGTAGGGAAGGCGTTGTAGTAGCTGTCTACATAATTTTGCTAGCTTTAGGCCATAATGTGGAGCAAAGGAAATCGACTTACAGACTTGAGCGGAAAGAATGCCGAAGAGGCCGTAATTGAAAAGGTGGCCGAGCAGCTGTCTGGATGTTAGCACAAGCTCGCTCAGGGCCCGGGGCACCGCTTACAGGAGGGCCGGCACTGGAGATGACAGCAAGCACTGAGAGTCAGACTCGGCTAGAACGTTGGGCGGAAGGAGAGACTCACAGGAGGGCGATATCGCTGGGGATCTCCTGGGACGTCATGGCGGGGGCTAGAGCGACAGGCCGAGCGTGTGCTCTAGCTTTATGAAACGTCTGGAGGGCGACGTAAATAAGCGAACAGGCTGGCGTCTTCCCCCGCCCGGCATTGGCAAAGTCGGCGATGATCACGTTCACCGCCCTCCGTCGGAGGTCCCGCACTGATGACGCGAACCTCGCCCCCTCCGCCTAGCGTAGGCCGTCTGGGGATGTGTCGCGGAGGTCTGGCGGCACGGCGGTGAGCAGGGCGGACGGTGCGAGCTGGCGAAGTCATCCCGGTCGAGATGGGCGGGATGCGCACAATCGACGATCCTCGTGTCGAGCAGCGGTCCGACGACGGACGAAGGTTCGTGTCAGAGGTGGGGCGTGTCGCCGTCCGAAGCGAACCGCGGGAAGGGAGGGCGGCCTCAGCTGACGTCTTCTGGGTGGGCGCGCAGGCCTCTCTTGTCATCGTCCGGCTGGTGTGGGACCGCAGCCGCGTGCACAGCTGCTGAGCCGCTCGACTATCCCATCTTGTGGTCGATTGTACCGAGTTCTAGTTGAGCTTCGAGCACAGAAGCGGCGTTGAGTGTACCGAGCATACCAACGCTCGCCGTGTTGCAGTATTCGAAACCTAGCCAACATGCGATCTGCTCCTCACTCGAAGGCCATCGTGAAGATCATCCCCAGAAGACCAGGGTGTGTGCGGACCCTCGCCAAGTCTGGTGGTGATCAGAGAAGCAAATGGACGAGCTAGAGTGGCAAGCGGACCGAGATGATGTCGATGAAGGCAAGTCCAAGGATTTGCACCCGTGCAATCAGGAGGCACTCACATCTTCTGATCCAGCTTCGTCTGTTTCGTGAGTGTGCGAATGCAAAAAACATACAAGGCCATATTTACCCATGAACATTTCGGCCCACACATGATGGACTGCTGCGAGCGCAGGCAAAGCGCGCCCGGACCCCAACCACCGGGCTTCGGGCAACCGGGATCACGGTGAGCGCCCGCGCTGTGCACAGATGCTCGAACGCTGCCCTCTTTCGCCTAGTCCCGCCCACACTTCTTGTCCATCATGAACCAACAAGCACGCCGACCAAAAGCACGGTGGAAACGCCCCGAGGCGCTGCTCACCCCTCGCCATGGCTCCCATCACAAACCCCCGCGAGTCAGCGCTGTCCATGGTGGCAACACTTACCGCCGCTTCCTACTCGACCCATCCCTCCTTCGCCTCTCCACAGACGAGGTCATCTTCTACAAGGCACAGACTGGAATCCAGGCCGATGACGCGCTCTTTGACCACATTCACTCCGTTGCCGCCGACGCCTACCAGGTGCGTTAAACTCCGAGTCCTCGTGCTAGGCTCATGCTCACGTTGACCTGACTTCTTTGCGCCGGGCCCCAATCTGCAGCTATTTCCGTACCCATGCGTCCGCTGGTACACGTTCACCCAGTGTGTCTTCATGTTCTCCCCGCCTCGTGCGCTTCCTCATCCATTCACCTTGAAGACTCGATGTCGCAACGCACCCCGCGTATCAGCACGTTCTTGCCAGGGTGCCACTAACTCGAACCTCTTCCTCGACATCGGCGCAGGCTGTAAGTCGGATATTTTCCCGGCATGGCACCTCAGGCTCTTATATGCGTCCCGTTGGCAGTTGGCAACGATCTCCGGAAGCTTGTGCACGATGGCTATCCCGTCGATCGCATGATAGCGTTCGACATCCGTCCAGGTATGTTACTTCAACCATTTCACGCCGCACTCCCCCAATCACATCGAGCTCATGGCGTCCACTCACAGAGTTCTGGGAGCTCGGTCACCGGCTGTTCAACTCCAGCCCGACATCCTCCCTGTCCCGTTCGTACAAGGAGACGTCTTCGACCTCGAGCGCGCCTTAAACTTTGACCAACCTTGCAATCGGACAGACCCTTCCGGCTTGGAACCCGTCCCAATCCCCCGCGCGCTGACTTCGCTCGTCCCGCTGGCCGGTCACGCGTCTGTGGTCTACGCCAGCTACCTCTTCCACCTCTTCAACGAGGCCGACCAAGCGCGGCTCGCTCGCATCCTCGCCCGCCTCCTCCGCCGCACGCCTGGGGCAACCATCTTTGGGCGGCACAAGGGCCTCGCATCAGCGGGGCTGGATGACGCGTTCACGTCAGAGCGCCCCATGTACTGCCACTCGCCCGAGAGCTGGCAGGATCTCTGGCGCGGGGTCTTCGGGGAGGACGTCCCGGTCGAGATCTCAGCGGTGTTGTCGGGCCCGTCAACCGGTAGCCCAGAGGCAGGGGCCGCCGCTGTGGATGAGACGGAGTCGCCGTTGCCGGCTCTCCAGGCGGTCGGGCGGGGAAGCGGACACCGAGGGGGTCGCATTATCTGGTCTGGAGCGTACGGCTACTCTGAGCACAGCATCGTACCGTGTACGTTAGAATGCGGATACGATTGTACGACTGGAGGTGCGGACCTGGCACTGTGAGAGACTTTCTTGATACATTGCTTTATACGTTGATCTCAAACGGCGGTGGTGCGCGCATCCCGCGGTGTGCAAGTCCGCAGCCGACGCTCGTTCGGCCATCGAGCTGCGTCGCGGCCACTGGCATCGGACATGCTCACTCTCCCACGTGAGTAACAGTTTGCGCATGCTCGGACTGGCTTCTGACGCTGGAGTTTGGTGCAAGTGTCTGGGGGCACGACCCCGTGGTTCGTTCTCACTCTCCGGTGGCGGACAAAACACTTCTATCCTCCTTTCCAAGACGCCGCGGCCTCGGCGTGGCCTGAGACATCGACAGCGCTCGTACGCCCTTCATAACGTACGCCTCCGTGTTCCCGAGGCACACCCCTCCCATTCGCATCTCATGGCCATCCCGTCTACGTCCGCAGATGAGTTTTCGAAGTCGGCGTACGACTATGTCGTCGTCGGAGGCGGCACCACCGGACTTGTCGTTGCCGCTAGGTCCGTCCTCGTTCCGGTCTCTGCTCGCGCCGAGCGCTGAGCTGCCACTTCGACTCCATTCAGACTGTCAGAGGATCCGGACGTGAGCGTCGCCGTCATCGAAGCTGGCGGATGGGATCCAGAGGTTCCGGGAGTAAACATTCCTGGTACCTGCGTCTGCCTGCTTGGGACCGGAGGGCGGAGGCTAATTGGCGCTGGGGAACAGGAATGGTCGGCAGCACGCTGTTCAACCCCAAGCACGACTATGCGTTCTTCACCGTGCCTCAGACCAACTCGAACGGCCGCAAGGTGTACCAGCCTCGGTCAGTACTTGTCGTTTTCCGTATTCGTCGTCCGTCCGGCTCGTTCTAACCCGCTCACGCGCTTTCTACAGCGGGAAGGGCCTTGGGGGCTCATCGGCGGTGCGTCTTTCGTCAACTACGAGCTCTTCGAGAACGCCGCGTTCTTACATGTCTTCTGGTGGCAGATCAACTTTCTTGGAATGAATCGGTATGTGTGGATATAGTCGCCCTGGTCATGGGTATCCTCACTTTTGGCTTCAACGTTCAGCTCGTCGGCGCACGAATACGATGGTGCGTTCTCTGCTCATCAGCCCCGCTGAGTTCTTGCTGACCTCAAGCGTGCGCTCTAGCCATCGAGGCGCTGGGTAATCCCGGGTGGAACTGGGAGGAGTTCCTCAAGTACATGGTCAAGGTAAGACCTCTCAAGTGATCTGCCGCGGAGCTGACCCTCTGCGTCCACACAGTCTGAGACGACGTTCCCGCTCGACTCGCAGGTTGCAAAGGACTTCACGATCGACATGCCTCACGATAAATGGCACGGCACTCCGGGCCGATTGCGAAGGCGTACCCGACGCACTTCAACGCGCTGCACACGGCGATCACCACCACGTTCGAGAAGGTCGGCGTGCCACTCAACTCGGAGCCGGTAGTGCCCGGCTTTATCACAGCTGTGAGAAGTAGCTGATGCAATGTGGGACCCGCAGAACAGCGGGGATCTCCTCGGCTCGTCCATGCAGTTCACTTCGGTGGACCCAGTCTCAGCGACCCGCAGCTATTCTGCTACGGTGGGTTGCCATCTGCGCAGCGTAGCCGAGCGAGGTCGTCGCTGAACATTATGACTAGGCATACTATGTCCCCAACGCGTCTCGGAAGAACCTCCACGTCCTCATCAACTCGACTGTCTCCAAGATTGTCTTCGAGTCCGGCTCGGTCCCCCTCGTCGCTAACGGGGTTGAAGTTCTCAACGACGGCCGCAAGTTCAATGTCACAGCACGCAAAGAGTGATCTTGACCGCAGGTATGGTGTCGTTCGGATCCGCATCATCGGTTGGCGTTCGTCTCACAAAGCGGCGGGGCAGGTCCATTCCAGACTCCGCAGCTGCTCGAACTCTCTGGCATCGGGAACAAGAAGATATTGGAGAAGTATGGATAGAGACTCTGTTGGATGTTCCCAGTGTCGGCGAGAACCTTCGTGGGTTCTTTCTTGGTTGTGTGCGGGACTCCTGCTGACTCTTGCGTTGTCAGAGGTGATCACCGCGACCTTGTCTACGGCGCATAGGTTGCTGATCCTGAACAGGACCATATCTCCGCTTGCATCATCGACGAGATCGACCCCAGCATTGATACCATCGACCCCACTCTTTCTCAAGAGCCGGAGGAGATCAAGAAAGTTCAGGCGCTGTAGTGAGTACCTGTGCGCACCGCAATTTCAAACAGTGCATCATGCTCTCACAACGACCAGCGCCGAGAAGAAGGGTTTCTTATCGTCTGCATGCGCCGACATATTCGCGTACGCTCCGGCCAGCACCTTCGTCCCCCCGGAACAGGTGAAGGCCTGGGACGACCAAATGAACATGCTTCTCAAGACAGCCTCGCCCGGATTGAAGAAGCAGCTCGAGATCCAGCGCAAGTGGTTCCACGACCCCAAGTCTGGCGAGGTCGAGTTCATCCCTTCCCGGCTTCTTCCTGCCCACCGGGCTCAAGATGGCCCCGGGAAAGCGTTACTCGTCCATGTCTGGGATCATCCTGCACCCGACCTCGCGCGGGTCCGTCCACATCGCTTCCACGGACCCCACCGCGTCACCGGCCATCGACACCAGTGCGTTCTGCCCCTCTCTTCCTCAGCCTCGCTGCACCCGTGTCGTGTCGCTGACGCGCGTGAACCCCAGACTACTTCGGGAACCCGCAGGACCTGGAGACGCTGCTCGCGATCGTCAAGTTCGGGCTCAAAGTGCGCGCCACCGCGCCGTGGGCGGACGTCATCCGCGCGCCCGTCGCGCCGAGCGCGGAGCAGCGCGCGTCCGACGAAGGGCTGGTGCAGTACATCAAGGACAACTGCGGGCCGGTGTACCACCCCGTCGGGACCGCGGCGATGCTCCCGCGCGAGGACGGCGGGGTGGTCGACCCGGCGCTGCGCGTGTACGGGACCGCGAACGTGCGCGTGGTGGACGCGTCGATCCTTCCGATGGTGCGTGCTGCAGGACTTTTCGAGAGCGGAATATGGGGGTGTGCTCACTCGGACTCGTCTGCGTGTGTAGGAGATCACGGCGCATAGTCAGGCGACGGTGTACGCTATTGGGAAAAGGTGGGTGTGCATGATGTATGATCTGGGTACGGAATGCACGCTGAATGCCCCTGCAGGGTGCGGACCTGATCAAGAAAGACATGTGAGCGGGAGTTCGGCGCATGGTCCTATCGGTTGTGTACATTTTTAATGGTACTGCGTTCTACATGGCACCAGTGGTCCGAGGAAGATTGAATACGCTTCTAGACTCAACCCGAAATCCTGCGACAATCCATTCCTCGGCCCTCATTTGCCCCAACATGAGTCTACTTCATGACCCCAAGCTCGAACTTTGCGCTTCACGCGATTTGTGCGCTCCAAAAGCTCTCCTTTAGTTCCATGAGTTCCCTTCTAAAGGCGCATTGATATCGAAAGCTTGAATTATATTGAGGCTGGGGGTAAGCGCATCATCATCGGACGTATCAGCGAGACATGATAGAAGCTCAAGTACGTGATCCCGCCTGCATCGTAGGTCCACAACGAATAGAACCATGTAGCAGGCTTCGAAAGTAATTTGGGAAGCGCAGCGACGCAGGACCCTGGACACTTGGCTGGTCACGGTTCGCAACATCTGAGCACTTCGACGCCCCTTCGACTTAGATCTCTTGGGCTCCCGCCCATCTTGCAACTTTTCTGCACGCCCGATCTCTTCCTTGGGGCCACACCCCCAAACCGGTGCGCCGAATGCAGGTATCCCGCCGCACCAAAACATCCCAAGAGTACCATTGCTCATGTCGCACGGCTCAAACAGATAGACCCTTGGTTCGTGTACGTGATCCGGTTGTCCTCAAGGCCTTATAAGACCTTGTCGACATCAATGAGCTGGGAAGCGCCTCATTTGATCCAAAGCATCACTACGCCTTTGTGACAGCGCCGCAGATCGACGCGAACGGATGTGCAGTACCCCAGCCTCGGTAGGTCCACAAGGACCTGCGCTACGTACCTCCGATCAGAGTACGTTATGACACGGTACGTGACCACCTAAGTCATGTCCGATGATGCCTCTAGAGATTCACATGAGTGAATAAGTGTTAAAGTCCACTACGGTCAGCTCACAGAGCAGCCCAGATAAACAATGAGTAGCTATTGTGAGTATCTGATGTTTCTGACTTGTTCTAGATCGCGGTTTCGACGATATGACGCGAGGATGCGAACTTCGGGCAGAGGGAGGGGAGTAAATACTACTGGAGCGGCCGGGCGTTATTTGAGCAACACACGACTTGATGCGAGTGTGGCCGTAAACCCATTCAATATCTCAGGACGTATTGGTACAAGGCTCCGAAATGCAATCCTTTCAACAGAGATCGTACAGCTTGGCGCAAAGCCGGGGAGACTTCACATGTCCTCCTTGACGAGATCCGCACCCTGCACGACCCGTGAGATCACACTCGCAGCGAGAAGGTAAGAGCAGGAACACACCTTCTCGGCGACGGCGTACACCGTAGCTTGCGAGTGAGCGCTGATCTCCTGCATTGCGAGTAGCGACTACCCCACACCGCCGCTCCGACAGGCACATACAATCGGCAGGATCGAGGCGTCGATCTGCACACGGTCGCGGTACGGTCAGCGCGACCCCTCGACAGCACGTAGCCATGCACTACTCACCACGCGCACGTTCGCGGTCCCGTACACCCGCAGGCGTGGATCGACCACGCCGCCGTCCTCACGCGGGAGCATGGACACGGAGCCGACGGGGTGGTACACCGGGCAGCAGGTGTCCTTGATGTACTGCACCAGCCCTTCGTCGGACGCGCGCTGCTCCGCGCTTGGCGCGACGGGCGCGCGCACGACGTCCGCCCACGGCGCGGTGGCGTACAGCTTCAGCCCGAACTTGACGATCGCGAGTAGAACTCCAGGTCTTGCGGGTTTCCAAAGTAGTCTGGGACGATGCGTGTCAGCCGATGGCCGGGGATTGAGATAAGACGCGGGCGCACTGGGGTCGATGGCCGGCGGGGCGGGGGTCCGTGGAGGTGATGTGGACGGACCCGCGCGAGGTGGGGTGCAGGATGACGCCGGTCATGGACGAGTAGCGCATGCCTGGGGTCATCTTGAGACCCGTGGGCAGGAAGAAGCCGGGGAAGGGGATGAACTCGGCCTCGCCGGACTTGGGGTCGTGGAACCACTTGCGCTGGATCTCGAGCTGCTTCCTCATCCGGGGGAGGCTGTCTTGAGGACAACGTCCATTTGGTCATCCCAGGCCTTCACCTGTTCCGGGGGGACGAAGGTGCTGGCCGGAGCGTACGCGAAGATGTCGGCGCAGGCGGAGGAAGGAAGCCCTTCTTATCGGCGCTGAACGTCACACGAACATCAATCACCGTTCGAGAGGACAGCGTACATTAACACTTACTATAGACCCTGAACTTTCTTGATCTCCTCCGGGTCTTGAGCCAGGGCGAGATCGATGGTGTCAATGCTGGGTCAATTTCGTTGATAATGCAGCTGAAGATGTGATCCTGTGGCAACGTCAGCACCAGGAGATCAGTTGGCGGTCAGATGGTGATATACCTCTGTGGCGGATCCAGTCAGAACAGCGTCAAAATAAATTGACTGCAACACACTCACGCAGGTTCTCGCCGACGCTAGGAAGATCCAGGAGCGTTTGAATGCCGTGCTTCTCCAGAATGGTCTTGTTCCCAATCCCTAGTGAGAGCATATAGCCGAATGTGCTGATGCGGGGGATCCCAGACACGCACCTGAGAGCTCCAACACCTGCGGGCTCTGGAACGCTCCTGTGGCCAGAAATGAACGGATGAAGTGCTTTTATCAACTCGGGAGACACACCTGCGCAGACGATTACCTCCTTGCGCGCCGCGAGATGGAACTTGCGACCGTCGTTGACCACTTCGACTCCATTGGCCACGAGCGGGCTCGAATCGGGCACAAACGTGATCTTGGAGACAGGCGAGTTGATCAGAACGTGAAGGTTCTTCCTCTCGGCGTTTGGGAGGTAGTAAGCCTGTGGGTGATGTCGTGAGCGAGTAGTGTGACGAACTGCTGCAAAATGTCATACACTAGCTGAATGGCTCCGTGTAGCAGTGGTAGGGTCCACAGACGTGAATTGCATGGAGGACCCCAGCAGGTCTCCGCTGTTCTGCGAACGGAGTAACGTCGGTGCGTGTTGAATCAGCGGACAGTGGGAGACAGTTACCGGCTCAGAGTTGAGTGGAATGCCAACTTTGTCGAAAGTTGTCGTGATGGCAGTGTGAAGCGCGTTGAAGTGAGTGGGGTAAGACTTCGAGAGCGGTCCCGATGTTCCGTGCCACTTCTCGTCTGGCAGATCGATCGTGAACTCTTTCGCGACGCCGGGGTCGAGAGAATAAGTCTTCTCCGACTGGGACCCAGAGAGCCAGAGTTAAACGTGAAGTAGGCAGCAGAAGTATTTCCCCACCTTCTTCATGTACGTGACAATGCTTTCCCAGTTCCATCCTGGATTCCCGAGAGCTTCGATAGCTGAAGGAGACATGAGTATGGTGCATGCTACCACGAACCAAGGGCTACAAACCGTCATATTCATGAGCCGACGCGCTGATCAGGGGCAGTACGAAGTCAGGAACAAACCACAGCAAGCGAAAACGTTTGCTTACCGGTTCATCCCCAAGAAGTTCAGCTGTAAGGGGAAGGATGCAATGACTTCAGCGTTCCCTTTCGACATGTAAAACCACATACCGTAGACGATCCACCGAGACCCTTCCCGCTGATCGGTTCGGTGCGCGAATAGTGAGCGAGCTGCCATCGACGCCATGGTGGGTCGTGTCACTCACCGAGGCTGATACACGGCGCGGTTGTTGGAGTTTTGCTGAGGGACGGTGAAGAAAGCGTAATCATGGTTAGGGTTGAACAGAGTGCTGCCCACAAGGCCTGCAAGCAGTCAAGCACTGCGGACGGTCGAGGAGGCGCTCGGATGCGGACCTGGAATGTTCACGCCGGGGACGTTTGGGTCCCAACCGCCGGCTTCGACGACGGCGACGGTGATGTCCGGGTTCTCTGTCAACCTGGTCGCATCGTACGTTGTCAGCAAAGTGGAGACGGTAGGGAAGGAGACCAGAGGCGGTGTTCAGCACGAACCTGGCAGCTACGACAAGCCCGGCGGTGCCACCACCGACGACGACGTAGTCGTATGCTGCTTTCGCGAAGTCTTCCGGGGAGGTGCTCGGGGAGGCCATGTGGAGATGCGTTGTCTGGTGAGTGTAGGTGTGCGAGGAGTTGCTCGAGGAGCACGAGGGGAGCGGGGACGAGCAGAGGGTTTAAGAGGGTGCGGAGTGGGTTCGAGGAGTCGGGAACACAGCGGCCGTTGGCTCTCGTGTATGGATGGCTGTTCATCATGATGAGCCCGAGTGAAGTTGAGAACGAAAGGGATGCCGGACGGATGCCGGGCAGAGAAGACAAGAGAAGACGGAATTTGACAGCATGAGGCAGTAGAAGAAGCACTGCGTGAGACGTGGATGCATCCCCACAATAGCGCATACAGACTCTTGCGCAGTACGAGAGCCTCCTCCCCGAACAGGGGCCCGCAGTTGGCTGCAAGGACTGTGAGTGGCTTGTAAAGTTATGCATGCCATTGAGGGACTCACTCGAGGGATCTGAGAGGCTGTAGCCGTGCTTATGGGGTTTCCACGTCACCGTGTGGTGGTGGTCTCGGCGGCGCCCACAGTCCCGCCGCGCCCGGGGAGGGCGGTTCACGCGGTGCCAGGGGGGTCAGTGCTGCTTCCATCAAGTTACTCGACGCTGCGACCTGTTCGCGCGGAAGGAGCCCCGGGTCTCCCCCGGTGCGACATCGGAGGACAGCTGATCGGTGTCCCTGGGGTGAAAAGAACCTGATTGGGTTGGAAGAATGAAAGATTGACAACCCCCGTGCGAGGGAAGTTGGGACATTCGACGTTCGATCCACTGATTTACCCCGCCGGCGTGGAGGTAGCGGAGAAGAAGGAGAGTGCTCGAAGGCGACAGCAACTACGCGACGTGGTTCGTGGATGAGACCAATGCCCAGCGCGATGCTGCGACAGGCTCGCGACAAGCGTGGGATACCGCCGGCCTTACGCCGCGGGCGCCTCCACCGTGGCCCCGGGTTTCCTTAACCATTCAGCCAGGAACTCAATCCACGACACGCAGAAGAGCGAGCGCAGAGCGACGGACGTTTGACGTCCCCGAACGTTTGAACAATGTGTCGAACCCTATCCCTTTACCCAGCCATCGTGGGACGCCTATAGAGGGACGGGTATGTGTTATAACCTCGTGCGCTCACCTCCCGCCCTCCCAGGTATTCGCTCACCAGCACCGTCATGGCCACCCCAATCCCCGACGACATTGCCCTCCTGTGAGCCCCCTTCGCTTTCTCTCATCAATGCCGACCGCCTAATTCCCGCTACTCATAGTTCTGGTCCTCCGGTGAGGTCGCTGTGCGCTCTCCTGCATATTGGCGCTGAGCTTACATATCATCAGCTTTTAGGCCACTTGTTCAACTACGGGTTATTCGGCATCCTCTCCGCCCAAGTCGGTGAGTCCTCTTCACGCCCCTTCAGGAGATGGCGCTCAGCGCCCTCCTACAGTCCACTACCACCTCTCATTTTCATCCGACCCTTTCCGTCTCAAGGCATTCAGTACGTCATAGTAGAGTTTGCTTTCCCGCCTGGTGCATACACTCATTTCCCCTCGCAGTCTACGGATTGTATTTGGTCGAATGGGTGCAGGTAATCCTCATCACCCACGACGCCTTTCAGGTGTACGGCGCTGGGTGGGGAAACTTCGCCGCCCTCAACAGCCCTCAGTGGCTCTGGTTCGACATACCTGTGATGACCGCACTCGGTAAGACGGTCACGGTTTCTTTCGGCGCAAGGCGATCTAACCGAAACCTTAGTGTCGGCGACCGTACAATGTTTCTTCGCGTGGCGGATTTACGCCTTGAGCGGGTCTCGCATAATTTCGGTGTTTGTCGTGCTGGTAAGCGCTGGGCGGCATATCCGTGCATATTTGTCACTCCAACACCTTTCAGGTTGCGCTTATGCAAGCAGGCGGTGGAGTCGCGACTGGGATTCAAGTGAGTGTCGTATCACGAGCGTTGCAATTCGCCTACGAACCCGACAACAGGTTGGCCCATTACTCAACAACAATGCCTTGATCCAACAAACGGCTGAAACCGGCCTCATCATTTGGCTTGGAGGAAGTGCCGCGTGTGATATCATCATTGCGTGCAGCATGTCTTTCCTGGTGAGTGCAGCACTCGTCCTGCAACGTCGTGTAACGCTGACATGTACTCTCCTAAGCTCCTTCGCCAGCGACGTGGTCTAGCTTCTGACAAATTATTATCCCGCATCATAACACTGTCCGTAGAGACCGGGATCGTCACCGCTTCCTTCGCCACCCTGGACCTCACTCTCTGCATGGTGTTCAAGCACAACAACCTACACATGCTCCCGTACGTCCTCTTACGCGTTCATCCTTCGACACGACCTGCTTACTGTTGTCCTCGCCACACCGTCAGTGCATTCATGCTCAGCAAACTATACACGAACTCACTCATGCTCACTTTCAACAATCGCACCCGTCTTCGGGGAGACCGTAACGAAGCGCAGGTAGTCCGCAGCGACGGCACCTGGGGCGCGACCTCCTCCTCCCGCGCCCGAGCCGGCGCCGCACCCCAGGAGATATCGCTCCCGAAGCTGCCTGTCAAAGCGACACCGGCCAGACAGGGGAATGCTCACACCCAGGATTCGAGATGGACTTGTGCAAGCCTCCCCGCGTGACAGGTGAGTGCAGAACTTCTCCACGCACGCGACTGCTGACGCATGCTGCCTGGCGATCTGTAGGCGATTTCGAATCCGTCTAGACGAGCTATGTGGGTGGACGAACGGTTGTCCGCTTCGGATGAACCTGCGACTGACGAGCGAACGCGCTCCAGTGTTACACGTCGTGCATGACACTGCATTGTCTTGACGATGCGGTCGACTTGATAATACTATATGGACGCTGCAGTGACCGTCGTCGAAGTCTCATTTCGCCGATAGGTGGCTTTTCATAGATCCGCAGGCGTCTGCAGGGAGAAACTCGGTGATTCACGTCTCAAATAACCGACAAGCCCAGACCATTCCACCTTTTCGACCGTTTCACTCATGTTAGCGTGTCTTGTTGGTCCCGTGTGTGCGCTTTCGCCGGGAGCAAGCGAAGGCCGCTTCACGGCGGTTGGGAGGAGGTATCTGTATACAAAGCGAACGATTATGCATGCCGATATCATACGCGAAACCGGCTTCGTGAAGATGGCTTTGCTCGCTAGACAGGAGAAATTTGAGTTCAGCGGATAAGAGATGGAAATAGAGGCGGTGATAACGCCTTCCCACCGTATTTGCAGACTGTGAACGGCGCTGAGAATGGCGCTGGTATAGCCCAAATTCAATTTGACATGATGGACGGTCCGTGTTTGAGCGAGGTGAACACAGCAGCGAAATGGTTCTATAGGGCAAGTATTGATACAGGTCGCTCGAAGGATTAAAATACAATGGATGCCTATTGATGGCGGAGAGGGGAACGATTACTTTGTGCGTGAGTCCTGAGGAATAGCTCCTTGAGCGATGCCCCAAGGATGTTGGGAAACGCTGCCGGCGACTGTCGTGCTTTGATTATCTCTTCATACTGCTGGACCTTGTCGGGTGCAGCCTGAAGGTCAAACGTATGTTTTCTCTGTTACAAAGACAACGCATCAATAAGGGTTACCACGCGCCGGAAACAATATAAGCCTCACCGCATCAGCCTCTCGCTTCGCCCGAGCCTCATCTCGCATTTTGTTGAGCTCTTTCCTCCGTGCCTCTTCTTTCTGCTTCCTATCCGTCCCAGAGGACGAGGCAGAGGCACCTGGTTGCTAGCTCACAGTATAAATACGTGGTTGCAATTCCAATCGACATCAGGACATACCGCGCTTCTGAACAACTCAGAGTACACAGACGAGTCCAAAAGGTTGAGATCGGTCGAAGCCCCGGCGGGTTTGCGTTGGCCGACCTGGTTTGTCGTCGGAGCGAGTCCTTCTCGTTTCTCAACAGGAGTAGGAGCAGGGGGCACCGTCCTGTGCGACGCTGGGGTGGAAGGGCCAGCTGAACCGGACCCCGGCTGCTTGTTTTTCTTGATAGGCGGCAGCTTGCGTTTCTTGGGTATAGGTTCGCTCAACGGGTCTGGCATGCTCCTAGGACCGGAGTCTTCGCGCCTCGCCGGATCCACGACGGGAGGAACAGGAGGCTTACAGTCACCCAGAAACCGCGTCTCGTCCTCGGATTCGTCGTCTATCTCCATCACACCTCCTTCTCCTTCTCCTTTTCTTTCTCCTTCCCACTCCCGCTCGCCTTGGCCGTCTTCGTAACGCTAGAAGCGCGGGAGGTTTTCTTGGACGCTACAACCTCGGCGTCGAGCTCGAACCCCTCATCCATGCCCTTGCTCTTGCTCTTCGCGCGGCGAGGCGGCGCAAACCGCTCGTCCTCCGAGTCCGAGAACACGACGGAACGCTTGACCTTCTTCGTCGGCTTCACGATCCGCTTGTCCTTCCCCCGGTTCTTCGTGCTATCGGGCAGGGTGGACGCCATCGCAGAGATGTTACCTGGCAGGCGCAACTTCACGCTCTGCTGCACTGGGGAGAGGGGCCGCGACGTGCTCGCCTGCGGGTCGGGCAGGAACCGTGTGTCGTCGGCGTTGGTGTTGCCGTGATCATCGCCGTCGATGTCCACGTCGACGTCCTCGTCCACCAAGCTACCCTCCTCGGGGTCTGCTGACGCGGCGCGGCTCACTGTGCGAGCCTTCTTGTGCACTGGTGCGGCCGAGGCCGCGTCGGCGGCGTCATCTTCGTCGTCAGTGTAGGCAATACGCTGCGCTCTCCGCTTGGCCGGCCGCGAGTCTGGGGGCTGACGAGGGCATTCGGTGCTCATTAGCACTACCACCAACCATGCCCCAAGGACGACTTACGATGCTGGACTTGCCACCAATTTTGATCTTGAAAGAGGTAGACATTGGCTTGTGCGTAAAGATTGCAACTGCACACGGTCGCAAGACGCAGTTCAGACACAAGCCAAAGCGTGAGCAATGAGAGAGGTAGGGAGAGACCAGTGATAGAGGCTCAGCGCTCAGTCACAGTGCAGTGGCGGCGCGTCTGGCCGTGAGCCTGCACGTGGCCACAATTCAGTCGGCAGTTGCCGGTCAACGTTCAACTCGGATTTCCACGAACCGCCACTAGCCCTCGCCAGTATTCTCGCATCGTGACATGAGCCAAGAGGCCTTGCAAAACACCCCTTCACCCTGTCGGGGTGAAGATCACCCCATGGCTTACGAGTTGGCGCGACGTGGCATTCATCCCTTCGGCCTTCGCGCTCCAGTGAGCGCATTCGGCAGCACATTCAGATCGACTACACGACTGTGGAGACGTTGGCGCGGCCATCAGCGTGAACACCCACTACGGGACGATCCGAGGACGCAGAGCAGCAAACGGGGCGGACTCCTGATCCCGCGAACGCCCGCGATCTGCTCCCCAATACGCTACCACCCAAAAGATTCGCCGGCCCTGTTCCGCCAACCAGCCACAAGTACAAAGACGGGGACTACATCCCCGAGAGTAAACGTAGGTCATCTGTGCTTGTGGTGTCGTCTGACAACTTGTCTGAGAGGTGACCGCGTAGATTGGGCACAGCCGAGGAACGACGGCCAGGCGGCAAGTACGCGACATGCGGGCGTGCCTTACGTGGACGAACTATAGGCTTGGGAGCACTCAGCGAAGATCCTTAGGATTGTCCGATTTTGCCTCGTGCTCGCTTGTCACTCTGAACATCCAGGCTGTTCATAAACATCGTCGCACCACCCTCATTCCCTGAGAAGACAGGTTTCCCCGTTCATGTATACATTCACAGCGGGTAAGCACCCATCTTGGCGTGTCCTATCGATCGGGGATTGACGGCGTATGCCTCTAGGTTTCTCTCCGCATGGGCTCAGCGCGCGCAGTTTGCCTCTGTGGAACACGACCAAGTCTGGTTGAACATTGGGTACAGGCTCTCCGCCTTCGGATTGCTTGCATAGGATGAACCTGAGGTCCTCGACAACTTCGGCTTTAAGGACCAATGGCTCGGCATCCGGTGGATTCAGAAGAACATCCAGGCTTTCGGAGGTACGTATCCAGTACATCCTCCAGCTTTCCTACTCACACATTGCCTTCGTGTAGGAGATTCTAATATGATGTTGACCGGGTTATCTGTTGGTCAGAGCGCATATAGTCACTTGCTCGCCTTCGCACTGACCATGTCCCAGGCACACAACACTTGCATCACGTCTTCTGGAAGGCGTGCAGGCCCCATTCCATCGCGCAATCTTGCCGTCGAACGCAATCTGGTACGTCGTTTTGTAGGCGATCTTCCTGCCCTCCCTGACGGTCTGTGCAGAACGACTCCGAAGACCATCCGAGTTGCGCGCCCCGTACGCCATCCGACGTCCCCGTTCTCCCTTGACACTCTCCGGGAAACGACCTCCGTCCCCTTCGCCAAGCTCACCCACCCCATCGAGACCGACGCGGGGGGCACGGCACCTGCTGCAGGGCCTAGGAGCCCTTGTGGCTCGGGCGCGAGAACACAATGGACTAGTAGCGCTCCGGGGGACTCGCGCGCGGTCTGCGCGTCCACGATGTGCGGGGCGTCGTCATCGAGGAATGGTAGTGCTCGATCGCTCACATAGACTCGACCCTGGCCGACGTCGTGCGCAGCCCCGAGCGGTACTACCACGCGGACGTTGTCACAAAGATGTTCAATATCCCCCTCGAGGAGAAGGGCGAGCCCGCACCCCGGAAAAGGCCGCGCGGGCGTTCGGCGAGGTGCTGAGTGAGGGGCAGATGCACCCCCTGGTCCGGCTGAAGTTCGCGTGCAACAAACTCGCGGCCGGGTTCCCGATCGTGCGGCATGAATATATGACGTCCGGTGTACGCCAGAGCATCTCAGCCCGCTCGGTGAGTTGCTGACGACAAATGCACACATTGAACAGCAAATGGCACTCCGGATTGGACACTGCCGTCAAGTTCGTGTACTACGTGGAGTGGGAGTCCAAGGCCGTGAACCACGAGCGGTGTCGGCTCCCTCATAGGGTTATCCCTCAAGTTCACGTTGCCCGCGGCGTCGTGGGCGTTCTTCGACGCGAAGTTGCTTTGGCTGAATGGATTAACCTCGTACTTGCATCCCTGCAGATTTTGAGACAACCTGGGCTTGACTGAGCCGCGAGCTACGGGGGTCTTTGAGCGGTGACGGACGCTTGCCAGAAGGGCTAGTGCCGTTGAAGCGCGGTGATGGAGAGAAATTGGCCCGGGGCGAGGTCGAGCATAGGTAGGGCGCGTCGGTAGGGCGGATTCATGGCGACGAACACAAAGCGGGACTGGAACCATGGGTATCGGGAGGTATCGGGATTCGGAAGCGCGTACCTGGGATTGTTTGTATGTAGTACTCGTCTTGAGATAGGCTGCCGGTCAGGTTTCTGAGATCCTACTGTACATACCTTCGATTTTGGGTGGGCATCGAGGCCACTACTTGACTCACGCCGGCGCCACTCCACTGCATGGGCACCAGGAGCTCCAACATCACAGAAATCCCCCGGATCTTGCAAGAGGATCGCATCTGCTTAGAAGATTATCGGAAGCAGCTTTATCGGTGTAAGGTACGCAATCAGTGTAACACGCAATTTACCCAATAGAACTGCTTGCAATCTGCGCGCTACACTGTTGCAATTGTCTTGCAATCAAGCAAATATTCCACGGGTGGTCAAACATGAGGATATTGGGCCGTCTGGTGAGTGTGTGCCAAAGACTACAATGGTTGGAGTGCTTGTAACAGCACAAATATTATGTAGTCTCCTGAGCATGTCTTAAGGGAGCCATTATATCGTGGCTTGTAACTGCACTGGAAGGACGGCCGTCGGCAACGACACCATCCATCCCAACACGCTTCCAGAGGGCCAAGGAAGAGTTGCCATTTATGATGTACATAGCATGTAGTACCATACATTGATCGTGCTAAGTACCATGCAACCACAAAGGACGACCCTTCTCGACACCATGGTTCGCCACCCTCGCGGAGACGACCCTACTGGTATGCACGCTCCACAAATTGTACCGGACACGCACCACTAAACTCCCCCCACCGTCCTCCCAGCGGTCGAGTCAGTGGAGACGAGGGCAGCGCCATGCCAGCACGCTTGCCACCTCGTTGTTCTACCGCGTCCAGGAGCGATCCGAGAGGGAGAGCAGGCTGGGCGCCGCTGTGTTGGTGCGTGCGACGGCGAGGAATGGGAGAAGGCGCAGGTCAGCACAGCGGAAAGAAGAGGCAGCGGCGAAGACACGCACCGCTTTCGCGACAACATCCGCCGCCTTCACACCAACGCTTGTAGCTGCTGCGCCCATTTGTGCGGAGAGCAGATCCACGATGGTCGACGTCCAGCCATGGTACATGAGTAACACGTCCAGGAACGGGTGGTCGGCGCGCGCAGGGCCGCCGGCGAGACCCACGCCCCTCACGATCCCCAGCGGGCGCGTTGCTCCATTAGGGTGGTAAGCAGGCAGGAGAGGACCACGGCAGTTTGAGCTCCTTGAGGCGCGGAAGAGTGCCTAGAATCGGTGTCCGCGGGGGCCTGGCCGAAGGCGATGTCGTGGTGACGACTTCAACCACGGGGTGAACGGCCAGGAACACGGCGGCGGCGTTGAGGCATCTGCCGGGCGAGCAGGTGAGGGCAGTGAGGGTGAGTGAACGCGGCGCGGCAGAGGCGGGCATGTCTCCCTCGTGCAGACCACGCGCGCCCTCACCGCCACCAAGGCAGCCGCAAGCGTGGCGACACATCGCATCAAGCGCGAGCTCGCCGGAGCGGAGGAGTCGGGTGCTCCGCGCGCAGTGTGGGCGCGAGCGGTGAGGGCAGCGTAGTGATTCATGAGAAACGTACCTGGCGAGTGTACTCTTCTAGGCCATCAGGACTGCCATTGGCGATGTCTTCTCTCAAAGCCGGAGACCCCCTTCGTGAAGATCTTCTCCAAAGAGCTCTATATCGTAACGTTGACCGAAAGGAGGCTCAGGTAAGCACTACAGGGCGCTCGTCGGGACATGCACATACCTAGCTGAGAGCACGGACACTGGTGAATTGGGTTGAGCAGCTGGTGATGATGAGGCGGGTCAAAGGGTGAAGCTTTGAAGCTTGAAGGATAGCACGAAGTGCCTGCGAGTTAAGGAAGGCCGGGCGCCGGGCGGCTTGAATGGGTGGCTTGATGCTGGCTAGTTCATGATTAGAGTTCAAACATCACGTGCAGTCGTTCAACAAGTTATTTGAGGGCAGAAGTGACATCATTGGTGGTGAGTGTCTTAGAGGAAGGTTGGGAGAGTGTCGGAATAGACCTGCAAGATAGTTGCAATGAGCGCAATCGTGTTCGGAAGCGATCTCAGTTTGCATCTATTTGCAACTTTCTCACCACTATCTCGCATGGAGGCCAACTTATGTGCCTGTTCCCAGCGCTCCCCAAGACGCGTGTATGCTTGTCCCGACAAGCGCTATTCTAAAGGCGCTCGCAAGGGGGCCAATTTCAGGGAGAATTCTGTGATGAATGTCCAACCTCCTCCTCCTCTTCCCCCTCCACCCCCTCCGTCTCTTCCCCTTCTACTGCTATCAGTATCCATAATACTTATGCAACCCCTCTCAGTACAATGTACTGAGCAGCCGCTCTAATACCCACCCCTCGTTTCCGCACCTTCCCTTCGTACAACGATGCCGGAGCCTCCTCGGTATTCAGAGCTTGTCTCACGCATCATTATCGTCTCTACTCTACTCCACTATGCCGTTGCCGACCCTACCCCCACCGAGGTCAGCAAGTCTCCTGAAGATCTCGCCCTCATCAGTGTGTGGAAAGCAATCGCTTTTCTTCTAGGTTCTGGCGATGGATACAACCAGGCTGTGATCAAGGTGGAGGCCGTGACTGGTACCAGGCTTTCAAACGTCATCACTGGGTTCCTCGTGTCACCGAACACCGACTGGAGCGAGGACTCCGAAACCTCGCGAGTGTTCAAGCCCAACAGAGCCGACGGCGAACTGCTTTTGCACACCTCACCTACGTTCATCAAGAGGTGCGTTGTTCACTGATATTCTCGGACGAGTCACTCAATATCCTGTGCAGAGGCTCTTTGGACTGCGCAGCCCGCATCCAGGGCGTTCTTGACATCGTCCAATACTTCGCGGACCCACCGGCAGTTCGCCACGCCGCGTATGATAAACGTTGTCTTTTCGCGTTCGTCGTGAGATGCTCCTACTTTGACCTCTATCTCCGGATTGCCCAAGGCGACAAGACATGGATCATCAACAAGAAGGACGAGGGCGAAGGGAGTCGGATGGAGGAGTCTTCGCAGGGCACGCTGAGCAAGCTGGTCAATCTGTTCAAGTTGTTCACACCGGGCGGGGATAATGAGTCGAAGAAGGGCAAGGAGGGCGAACGGAGCCAGTCAGAAGAGCCGGTAGACCCCAATGCGAACCATCCCACGACCCGTATCCACCATATCCTCTGTTCCATCCCACCAAGACACGTGCCAGCCGGCAGGAGCGTCGCGTTCAACGACCATTACATGAAGACCGCCCTGGAGAGAGCTGGTCTCGTGTCTGGCCGGGACGGTCAATACCCGGTTACGAACAAGAACGCGAGCCTATGGGCGGCAGTGCCGATGCACTGCGTGAGTGACATGAGGAGCCTTCTGAATGACCTGCGAACGAACACCTCTCTCTCTGGCAAAGCCCTATTGGATCACTATCACAAGTTATGTACTGCAATGGTCGTCTTGCAACAAGTCCTCGGATCCAAACCCGTCGTTCAGGCCATCTTCAGTCCGGCAGTTGTGGGACGGCTCGATGCCATGCGCAGGACCGCCTCCATGAAACAGCGACACTGCGATCTCGAAGGTGAGATTCTGTGGCTGGGTCAACGCACGTCCTCTAACTCGCATCCAGAACTCATGAGGAAAGCGGCCGGGTATCCAACAAATGTCAGGAGAACTGATCCTGAGCGAAGTGCGTGTTTTCTGCATATTTTACGTGACCTACAACTGACGCATCAGGTGTAGTTGACGCCACAGTTGGAATGGGTGAAGTCGAGAATGGTATGTGATCTTCGTAACTCATGCACGTGTTTGCTAGGAGTTAAGCGAGCTGACGGCGGTTGTTTCAGTGGCGACGACATCTGTCGACCTCAACGAGTCGCCGATGGACCACTTCATCCGTTATCTGAGGAGCCTCGTTGCTCCCCTCGACATCATGGCGATAATATCTCGCCTTGCAAATCAGAGCACGCTGAGACCGCCTGTCACTGTGCATGCCGTCTACGTAAAGGACTCCCCCTCAAAATTTGAGTTCCCTCATGACACCCGTCTTCTCGACGAACTTAAGGAGTCGTGGAATAAGACGTTCGCTGTTCACTCCTCTTACACCGCCCCTGCGGAGCCTCCAGACTTCCCGTACACCCTGAAGGATTTGTGGGAGGCCGGGTCTGCCAGAGCACAAGAGCACGCGGAGGCCATACTTATGGGCTACACCCTGTCGGTGCATAGGGGGACTTTGGATCTGTCGCAGGAGGGTCACGATCTGATAGATTCGGCGTTATTAGTAAGTCCACGATAGTGCTCGTCAGCCGTCGCTGACCCGTCTCACCCATCCAGCACGACAAAATTCCGATAGGTGCCATTGAGACTAGCTGCGTTTGCTGTTCCCTTCTCGCCGAGGTGATAGCCGAGAAGAGTTTGTCTACCCGGTCGACATCGCGTGTGGAGTTCGTTCTCCCTGGCACCCACGGCAGGGTTGTTCCGTGGTACCCTCCCTCGGGTCTACCAGAGGATGTGTTGGAAGAGATGGCGACGCGCCTAATGATGATACTGGACCAGGTCCTGGAAAATATCGGTCGACGCATTGGACTTCGGACAATCAATTATTTCGACCTGAGCACAGAGGAGTGAATTGCAACCATCCACCGCTGCAGGGCACTCCACGCAATGGAATCTTGACACCTTGTATATGTAGTTCTTCGCATTCTGTGCACGTCGTCGAATCTCTTCACTACGCGCTGGGACGTGAGACAAGACCGTTTCGATCCATCCCACGCACATCCCTTCGACAAAGCCTCCCCATCGTCCTCCCTACCGAGCGCCGCACATGCCTCCTGCCTGCTGGACCCTCCGGCCTCATCCTCCACCTTACCCACAAAGACGGCATGTCTTCCACCCTCTTGGAGCGCGGAGCAAGCCCGTCCGCCCGCGCCTACCGCGGTGGCACCCTCTATCTCTGCCGGAAACACGGCGAACACGCGCTCTGCGAGAATGGCCCGCCTGCGGTAAGGGCTCCCGCGTCGTTCTCGAAATCCTTGACAACCGTGACATCCGCCCCGAAGACCTCGGCGCTCAGCCCCGAGATCAACCGCCGCGCGCTGTGGCAGATCATCCTCCGACTGGAACATGATCATAAGGGCAGGTCTCGTTCAGGTATTTGTATCACAGTTCAACACGTGTCCACGATGCCGCTATAGAAGGCTCGGGCTTCGGCTTCAGGACGACGCGGGGGTATGGCGCAGGTCCCTGATATAAAATCCCGCGGCATGCTTTGGACAGTAGGCTGCTGCTACCGCGGTGGCAAAATCTAAAATAGTTGACACGATTGAGCGTTGATTCGATACGCCTGGATCATCCTGTAGAGGACTCAAGTACATGTAACTTTTATCGTCACCAGAACGCATACCGCTTGGGCTCCCACTCTGAGTGAACCCAATGGTGATTGAACGTTGAACGCTTAACCCTCGCATACGCTGTGGCTCGCCCTCGAGGCCCATCAAGTACCTCGAAGTCTCAAGACTGCCGGTGCCCCAGTGGTGATTGTCGATATGCCCTTTTCCCGGCACGAGGAACTCCCACACGTCCCTGATTGACCGGTAACGTGCGAGAACCAGGTGGAACTGCACAGGGCAAGACTCAACACCAACCGGTGAGTAGTTCTCCCGGAACCGATTGCACAAAGCTGATCGAAAAAAGGAACAATTGCAGTTGAAGAACTATGACGCAACTGGCTTACGCTCACGGAGAGGTTCTTGAATCGTAATGCAAACGCTACAAACACAGACTGTCGAAGAAGGCGAAATACTTGCATATATGTATGTACGCAACGAAAACGTGATCAAAGCAGTACCTACAACCAGGAATTGCAACCACTATGTCAGGGGACGAATCGGCCTCACAATGCCGTGAAAGAACGCACGATGCAATATGTATGATGTATCAGACCTCAGGCCTCATCAGGGTCTAATCGATGGCCCCTCTCGAACACAACGGTAGCAGTATGGCAATTCCTCGCCAAAGGAAAGCTCACGTTATGTTGTTCCCGAACTACGTACGCTAGACACGTTGGTCCTCTTCCTTCGTTTCACCCTATCAATCAGACTTGTTTCGTCTTCGACCGATGAGGTGACTCGAGAAACGTCCAACTGGACGAGGACCTCTTCTGTGATTTTGATAGCGCTAGCTTTCTTGGAAGGACCACGCTTCCTCTTGTTTGACAAGGCCGAATGGGGGGTCAGGAGGCCCGGGCTAGTATCGGACTCGTCAGAAATTCTATCCGGAGTAAGACTAGGAGTAGGCGGGGTAGATGAAGTTGAGATTCCGTATGAAGCAAAGGACTTCAGATCCGCCGTGAACAGGACCTATGAAGACAAGCACAAGCACATGTCAGCAGCTGATTCCCGGCTAGAGCGAAGAAGCTACACACAGAATGAGCCCAACCAGCGTGACTGCCCCACACCGCCGCAAGTTTCCCACATACTTCGTCATAGACTTTGGGGATAATGTTCCCGACTTCGCAGGACCTCGGAGACCGTAATGCTTGACGGCAATTTGGTAGACATGGGTATCAACAGGTATAACTTCGCGCTGTGCTCGGTACGGTCAACCCACGTCTGTTCCGTGATGTGCAGCTGGACTGACCTTGTCTAAACTCATCAAGAGGACGCAGTCCGCAACCTTGCGCCCTACTCCCATGAATTTAAGCAGCTCTATTCGCGCGTCCGCTGTGCTGAACTGTCTGAGGGTCCTAAGCCATACTTCCGACGGTTCCATTTGTGTTGTGGCATCAAACGAAACACCATGGCTTTCCACAAGCATGGCGGCAGTCTTCTGTAGGAAGTCGGCGCGATAGCCAAACCCGAGAGCTCGTAGCTTCGAAGACACTTCGGGCGCGGCAAGGGCGGAGGGCGGAGGGAAAGGATAGAAAGCCTCTTCAGCTCCGCCTGAGTCGTCTGGGGGTGGTAGAGAGAGAAGCGGGGGAGAATACGCGAGGCACAAGGACTTGACCATCTTCGTGATCCGCGCAATGTTGTTGTTTGAAGAGCAGATGAATCTGCGGGGAGCCCGTGAGTCCTGAGAATGATATACAAGGAGTTGTTGACACTCACGATATGAGATTCTCGAATGGGTCTTGCCTCAGCATCCTGATGCCCTCGAATCGGTCCTTCAGACGAAGAAATACTGGATCCAAAGAACCCCATTGTTGGTAGAGCTCTACCAGGTCGACGTCGAGCTGGAAGTAGTCGCGTATCCATGCCAGAGTCTCCGCATCCCTGCACTCATTGTCTCCTGGCGTTGAACGAGGGAATACAGAGCGATAGAAGAGAGCATCAGGAGACTGACGGAGACAGACCACTCGATCGCGGAGACAAAGTCGGTACTCGTGGGATGGGCCCCCGAGGTGGCTTGAGGACTCTGTGTTGAGGGAATACGCGCTCCACCGGAATGATGACCGCATTTCAAGACCGCAGCGAGTGACAGCTGTGCGAGAGGCAGCGGCAGGGCGTGGAATCCAGCCGGGGTTGGAAAGACCATGGTGGGATGGGGGGTCAGGGTGGCGAGGTCGGGTCGTGGTATACAGGGGAGTGTGCCAGGCAGCCAGAAAACACGTCGCGCGTGGTCGAATGTAAGAAGCGGAGGCGGGTCGAACGCGGCGCGAGCACGAGAGCGTTTGGAGCCACGATCGCGCACGTCATGCGGATTCGGCAGCGCTTCCGCGCGTCCTCGGCCTCATACAGTTCCTCCACACTTCCCATCGTCCACCATCCACACCACTACCCTCGCGATGTCAAATTCTTCCACCTCTCAACAGAAGGCGAAGGAGAAGGCCGTTGACCCCGAGCCGATCCAGGATGGCGCTCACCCAGACGACTCCGACGAGGATGAATCTGGCTCGGAGGTCGGGGTCGAGCCCGAAAATATCGCGGGCTCGTCCAACCTCCAGGCAACATCTCCGTCCACTGCAGGAAAGAAGAAGAAGAAGAAGCGGTCAAAGGCGATCAAGGCTCTGAACGCGCTTCGCCCCGGCGGTAGCAAGGAGATCCCGGAGGATGTCGTCAATCTAGTGCTCGACAAGGTCCGTGCCGAGGGTGGTGAAGCTGCCGCGAATGCGGACTCGGAGACTGTTAGGATGGCGCTTGAGCAGATGAAGTTGAAAGAGCTTTTGCAAGGCAAGTCGGGCATTGGGGGGAAGAACAAGAAGGAGACTGGGGGCACAAGGTCTGTTGCTCCTCCGCTCTCGTAGCTATACCAGTGATTGAACACTCGAGATCATATAGTTCTGGGCCACCCAGCCGGTGCCACAACTAGGTACGCCAGTCTCTATTGTATATTTCTCCCAAGTCATTAATCATGCTTCCTCAGGCGAGCAGCCCTCGGAAGTAGATGGGTATATTGAACCTTCCAAGCCTCGGGAAGAGGTTCGGCAAGACCCATATCCTCTACCCAAGGAATTCATGTGGTCCACCATTGACATTACAGAACCTGCACAGGTAAAAATCTAAAATATATGTGCGTGTGTAGCCAAGCTGATCATGAGAGTTCTAGCTGAGGGAGCTGTATGAGTTGCTCTCCGCGAATTATGTAGAGGATGATGATGCGTCGTTCCGCTTCCAATATTCTGCGGAATTTCTCTCTTGGTATGTGGTCCGTGAGAGTTCTGCGCTCTTGGCTTAACTTGGTTCTTCAGGGCTCTCATGCCGCCAGGCTTCCACAAAGACTGGCATGTGGGTGTTCGTGTAAGCTCGAGCAAGAAGTTAGTCGCATTCATTTCTGCGGTGCCCATTAGGGTGCGTGTACGTGAAAAGTACGTTCATCACCTACCACTATACCTGTTCATCCCATCTCATATCGTCCGCAGCCAATTCGATGCATGCGAAGTCAACTTTTTGTGTGTTCACAAGAAGCTGCGGTCTAAGCGGCTGGCTCCCGTGCTCATCAAGGAGGTTACTCGGCAATGCCACCTTCAAGGGTGTTCCAGGCGCTGTACACAGCAGGCGTCCTCCTGCCGACGCCAGTATCCAGCTGTCGGTGCGTCACGGCGTATCTTTGCTGCACTTAAAGCTGACGGTCGATCCCCCACATAGGTACTTCCACCGCTGCCTGAACATCCCAAAGCTCGTCGACGTCCGCTTCACCGCCGTGCCCTCTAACATGACCATGGCGCGCATGATCCGCGTACACAAAGTCCCCGACCGCCCGCGCCTGCTCGATCACGGTCTGCGAGAGATGACGGACAACGACGTCCCGCAGGTCGCCGAACTCTATGCGCGCTACATGCAGCGCTTCGATATGGTCCCCGTCATGTCTCACGACGAGGTCCGCCACCAGTTCCTCAGCGGCCGCGGCGCGGGCCCGCACGGGCCCGACGCGTGGAAGAGCCCGCGCGAGGGCCAGGTCGTGTGGACGTACGTCGTCGAAGACCCGCAGACGAAGCGGATCACTGACTTCTGGTCATTCTACTCCCTGCCCTCGACCGTCATCCGGCACCCCAATCACAATGTCCTCAACGCCGCGTACCTCTACTACTACGCGACCGCGACCGCGTTCGAGCCCGGCGCGGAGGCGGCCGGCCGGCTGAAGCGGCGCCTGGAGGACCTCATTGGCGACGCCCTCACCGTTGCGGAGCGGCGCACTTCGATGTCCTCAACGGGCTGACGCTCATGGACAACATGTCGTTCTTGAGGGACATGAAGGTGCGTTTTTGCGCTGGCCAATTTCCCGAGAGCCAGATAGAAGTGGGCTGACATATGCACTGTAGTTCGGACAAGGTGATGGTCTCCTTAATTTCTACCTGTACAACTGGCGCACTGCTCCTTTGGCTGGTGTGACTGAGGTTGGGGGCACGGCTGCTGGCAAAGGTGTCGGGGTTGTAATGTTGTAAGCCAGGTCTTAGGTTTGTACCACGCATGAGTGGCCGCACTCTGTAGCTGTAGTACACATCATCTATTGTGATAGACTAGCTCATACATGCATCCATACAACACGGTTACTGCCATTGTCAAGGTGTTCAATACATCGTGCGGTCGTCATGAGTCCATTCAGGCGTAGAGCCGAGCCTACAGGCAACAGCATTAGACAAGGGGAGACTCCCATACCATTCCGTCTCACTCCGCTAGTCGCTATCGTACTCGATATAATCATCGTCATCATCCACTCCGAAATCAGGAGACGGGCTGCGAGTTTGCTTTCTTCCCGCCTGTGGCCGACGGTTGGGTAGCACGGGTACAGTCGCACCCCCGGCCCCTACTTGAGACTGCGACGGAGGAAGTCGGCTGCCCAATGTTTGACCGCCGGAACCCCAAGACTTGGAGAGGCCGGGTCCTGTTCCTTCGCCTTGCCTTTCGTTGACGAAGAAAGCTGGGACCGGCCATTTAGCATATTCCCTGAACCAGAGAATGCCGTTCCCTGTACGCAGAGCGATGAACATAACGACAGGAAACATCATGGTAGTGATCTACCTCCTCTTGGGACACCAAAGGCTCTTTGGTGGGCGGAACGTACGGCTGTACGGGAAAACCGAAGAACAGATTACCGAACGGCAGATTGAGGGGCGCAGGCGCAGAGCCTTCGCCCTCCAAACTTTCGTTCGTCACAATACGATGTTTGCTAAACGTGTGTTCGGTATCACATGTTCACACAAGAGGAAGTGCTGATCTACGCACTCTGTACGAATAATCTTGCTGCTCTCTGGAGCTTGCTCCGCGGCCCTGTGAGTGATGCCCTTGCCCTTCGTCTTGCGCCCAGTGAGGGTTTCACCTTTACCCTTGAAACTTTCCCAGTTGTCTCCGCCCTTGCTGATAGCGTTGGCCCTAGATGCACCTCCTGTAAATCCTCCCGCCATCGAGGAGCCTGGACGAGATGATCCTGGAGTCGATGAGGTGACGTCAATGTTCAGCTTGGAGGCCATGGTAGCTTGGGTAGTCTTGGGGCGTTCAGGTTCTACATAACCGAGAGGAGCTGCAAAGTCGACTTCGAGATCTGTGTCAATGACGCTGATTCCTCCTCCGTCTGGTTGTGTCTCCATTACGAGGAGGCCGAAGACGATGGTGTTGTAGGAAATTTCGATGATATCCCCCTGAGTCAGAGCAGCAAAGTTGCGCAATGCCTGCTCCAGGCTTGAAGGGGTTGAGAGACAAGTGCGAGGGACGAGTCAGATGGTTCACGTACACAGCTTTGGGATCCGAGATCTCCAGGAAATCTACAGTTTGTGCTTGAAGCTTAACGAGCTTACCCTTGGGAAGCTCGCAGCCTGTGATACGTATGGGGTCTCCTTCGTTCAGACGCAGCGTTTGCATCATCCATTGGGGGAGATGGACACATCCCTCCTCGGCGATGAATTCGAGCACGCCGGCGTGGGTCGAAGCGGCAGGGTTGGCCGGGTTACGGAGCTTGAACATCCACGGAGACTGGAGGTCCATCTGGTGCAGATTCGCAAGAGCAGATGTGGGCATGATGACTGCGCGCCACTAAGCATGAATGATTAAATGGAATGACAAGGGCACGCACTCTTTCCACCATAGCTGACGTTCTCTCTCGGTTTGCCAGGAAGCAATGCGACGCTGTACGCCTTGAAATATTCGTCGTAAGCTCGAGGATCTGGTCGCCCAGTGCGGTGACCGGCGAACCCGCCCAGCCCTCTTCAGAAGCAATGAATAACAGATTCCCGGAGAATCGTGCAATGGACCTACTGGGCGTATTGCGCAAAGAGGCCTCCTGCGCCGCCGAATTGATCCTATAGTTGCGTCAGTGTAAGCCACACAAGCAAGAGCAGGGTACGTACAAAATTCATGGATGGATGAGGGGAGGTAGTGGAAGCAGGACAAGGAGTTGCTGCAGCCCGGCTCAGCGCTCAGTAGGACGCGTAGCCACAGTGCGTAATCGAAGGCGCTTATTGCACGTGTGCGGAACCCATAGGCGCCTTTGCGCATAGCGGGTTTTCGAGATCTGAGTGTCCTGGCTGCCTACCCCTCCTCCAGATCGCTATGTCTGCCCCTGCTGCCTTCTCGGCCACAGCCCCTCTGATGGTTGGGGCGAACAAAGCCTTTAATGATAAGGCGCGTCTTTACAAGATATCGCAAGGGATACTTCACTGACTGCGTCTGTAGGGCAAGCCCATGGAGGTGCGCCTCTCTAACATGGTCGCCGCGAAGGGTACGCGTTTCGTTGCACCGAGAGTCCTTACGCGCTAAGGAAACGCCCATAGCGATCAGCGATGCGGTGCGGACGTCGCTGGGTCCCAGGGGAATGGATAAGATGGTGCGTACTTATCCATCGCGCGATTCTCTGGTCCTCATCCTCGTCTACTCAGATCCAAACATCGAAGGGGGAGCTCATCATCACCAACGATGGAGCGACGATTTTGAAGAGCATTCAGGCACTTCACCCCGCCGCTAAGATGGTATGTTGCAATTCCATCCAGTCATGTGCACTCCCTAAAGATGACCTAGCTCGTCGATCTTTCTGCTGCTCAAGACGTGGAGGCCGGCGATGGCACGACGTCTGTGGTAGTACTCGCGGGTAGCCTTCTCGGTGCTGCGGAAAAGATGCTGCAAAAAGGCATCCACCCAACTGTCATCGCAGAGTCGTTCCAAAAAGCCTCAGTGAAAGCGGTAGAATACCTGACGGAAATCTCCACCCCCATCAACCTTGATGACAAGACATCGCTCCTCCGTGCTGCGACGACTTCATTGAACTCCAAAGTATGTTTGAGCCTCCTACCCTCTCTCGCCTTACCAACTGAGCCCGGTTCATAGATCGTCTCCCAATACTCCTCCACCCTTGCCCCCATCGCCGTATCTGCCGTCACTCGACTTGTCACCTCCACGTCCTCAAACGTCGACCTTCGCGACATCCGAGTCGTAAAGAAGGTTGGAGGAACTATCGAGGATACCGAGCTCGTTGAGGGTGTCGTGTTGAACCAGAACGTTGTGACAACTGTCGGTGGCCCAACACGGATAGAGAAGGCGAAGATTGGTATCATCCAATTTCAGCTGAGTGCCCCGAAACCAGACGTAGGGTGTTCCATGTTCGGTGCTCTATATAACTGCTCAAGCACGGCGTGCACAGATGGATAACACTGTCGTCATCAATGACTACAGGCAGATGGACAAGGTGATCAAGGAAGGGCGGCAATACCTCTTGAACATGTGCAAGAAAATCAAGAAGGCGAACTGCAATGTCCTTTTGATCCAGAAGTCAATTCTCCGCGACGCCGTTGACGATATATCTCTCACCTTCCTCAAGCGTCTCAATATTCTTGTTGTTAAGGATGTTGAGCGTGACGAGATCGAATTCCTCTCCAAGTCTCTTGGCTGCAAACCCATCGCCGACATCGAGGCCTTCACAGAGGACAAACTGGGTTATGCCGATCTTGTTGATGAAACGACGCATGCGGGTGCGAAGGTTGTACGTATCACTGGCGTGAAGAACAGGGGACGCACCGTGAGTGTGCTCACCATGGGCAGCAACAGCCTCGTACTCGAGGAATGCGAGCGCAGTCTGCATGACGCTCTCTGTGTGGTCCGTTGTTTGGTTAAAAAGCGGTAAGTACTAACACTGCAGCTTTTGAGTGCGAAGCTGACTGGATTGTCGACAGCGCGCTGATTGCTGGTGGCGGTGCCCCGGAAATCCATGTCTCGCGAATGCTCTCACAATATGCTCACTCTTTGAAGGGAATGGAAGCCTACTGTTTCCAGGCGTATGCGGACGCATTGGAAGTCATTCCAACGACGCTGGCCGAGAACGCGGGTCTCAATCCCATTGCTATCGTCACGGAGCTCCGGAACCGCCACGCGCTTGGCGAACGGAACGCAGGCATCAACGTCCGCAAGGTACTGTCTCCTCACCAATTCTCCAAGGTGCTATACTCACTATCTTTAAGGGCCTGATCTCGAACATCTTGGAGGAAGACGTTGTTCAGCCTCTATTGGTGTCTACTAGCGCGCTCGAGCTTTCGACGGAAACCGTCTGCCTTTTGCTCAAGATCGACGATTACGTTCAGACACGATAGACAGTAGCTTGATCCAATCCACGTGTACATCTAGAAAGCTCTCTGCTGTGTACCATACACGGACGTTCCATCCTCCCAGACTCGGAAGCGTAAAAGAGTCATCTCAGTGTCGTCTTAACAATATTCCTGAGCGACTCGTCCTCGCATCGAACCCACCACAAACAGCTATCATCGTCGCTCTCCTTCAAGCGGATGGCTGCAAGTCCTATCTTGGAAGCCAGATCACCCGTCTTCGGAGATATAACAATCTTCAGGTCACCTATGTAAAGCCGTGTCAGCGTCCTGAATCCGCCAGTGCGACAACTAGCACACCTTCGAATGGTGGCCTGTCTCGTTCAGTAACCCTAAGAGTATGCCCCAGTCCCTGTAACCTTCGCAGCATTGTATCCATCGATGACTCGCACCATCCGCGCATGACACTGTCAGACAGCGCGTTCCACGTTGCTTCGAAATCTTGTTCGATGACGCTGCTCATCGCGCTGGAAATCGACAGCGCGACTGGTTCCGACATGAAAGGGGAGTCGAGCGTAATGAGGTCCGCGGCGCCACCCTCCAAAATGGGCTCCTCGTCCAGTATCTGGACTATCGGCAACGGGGAGATCGCCTTCGTTTGGCGCGGCGAGCCCTGTGGATGCACCTCGGTGTCAAGACGACTGGTCCAGTGAGCATGAAATGTCGACTCACGCTCGCAATGGAACGCAGATCCGATGTCTGTGCCGCAAGAGTCAGGTCGCCGGGAGTGATCGTGGCTGACATGGGGTCTTGGTAAGGCCTGCGCCCCTCCTCGGAGTTCCGAGAGCTGCTACTGCTGCCTCGCCTTAGCCTTGGTGTGGGTCTTGGGGCATCGTACGCAGCGTATCGCAATTTGTTTGGAACAGGCGAGGCGCGAGACGAGGATGGTTCTGGTGTGTACGGTTTGAGTGAGGGCGAGCTGGGAAGAATAGACGGAGATGTTGACACGGCACGTTCCTGGCCCGCTTCGTGCTTCTCCAACGCATGCACAAAGTCGGGGAGCTACGGTTGCTTAAGGATCGATGATAGACTGCTAAAGATTGGACCACATACCGACGACGAGCGAGTGTTGGCGAGAATGTGTTGAAGCGCATCCTTGGACTGCGTTAGCGTCAAGAATTGGTCGCATCGCTGTGGAGGTCTTCAGCAAGAGTATGACAGAATGACGACAGCAACATACACGTCTCAGGTGTCTTCCACTACGGCTCTGAAGCTCTTTCACAGCATCACCGACCGCGGTAGGAATAACATCCACTGTGACGGATATCCTAAGCATGGTCACTATACAGACATCTTGCAATGCAGCTGTTAACCAAAGTCAGTGAAGACATCACTGAAATACTGAAACACCATACCTGAGTATAAGGACAGTCTTTTGGCCAGGTCACTCAGCAGCTCGGTGGGTGAGTTAGGAGCAAGCACGAGGTACTCGCAGAGCAACGCCGTGAAAATGACCATAAGGGTTGGTCCCACTTCACTCTCCGAGTCGACGACTGCGGTGAATAGAACACCCAAACACCCACTCCGCCATTCATCGTTCGCTTTTTCATGTTCAGTCATTTGGATCTTGGGATGGACTGAAGTACATACCTGCATGCACTCGACTGAGCATCTCTTCGACAGCCTCCTGGACTACGACCCGTTTGTTGATCGGAACATCGCCTTCTGCAGCCTTGAGCACGTATTTGAGCTGTTCGGCAAACGCTTCTCCGTTTCCTGCGCACAAAACATCTAAGATCTCGAAGAGACGAGGCAGTGTGTGCTCTGTGCCCATCATGGGATCGGAAGATAGGTCGCCCTGGAGAGCTCTGACATAATATGACTCCACGATATTGCTGTCGATTCGGAGTAAAATGCCCATTGTCTGACGGTTATGAACAGCTGCCATGCACATGAGATGTGACTTTACACACCTGTTTCCGGATCAATCGGTCTGCGCATTCTAATAGCTTCATGACGCGCTCCACCTCCCACTCTTCTAACACAGCAGGGACATCAGGAGTGATGCCTGCCCATAGCTGAGGGTCGGTCGATGAAAGACAGTGCACGAAAAGGTATTGAGCATCTGGATCCTGAGACGTCAGAAGTGATCGAATCTCATTCACAAATGATTTCCCCGTGGTCTGTTGAACAGCAGCCACCGTCTCTTTGGATGCAGCCGCGACAGCACGGAAACACTGATGAATGATGGCTGATGTGCAAAGTCAGCTGAAGTGACGGCATGAAGTCAATAAACGCACGGTACGCGGTCGACGCTGGAGGAACATAGCACCGAACAATTTCCATGATTATAGCGAGGTCTGCTTCGTGGGTCTGAAAGTCAGTTAGCGCACATTCACTTTGAGGGCCGGGGCGAACGCATACCCGAGGTCAGTAATTGTCTGCAAAATTCTGACACAAAGCCTTGTTTCCGTAGGTTCCGGGTGCAAGGACCATGCCGCCTTCAGAAGTCCAAAGGCGACTGTATGGTATTTGTCTCGAGGGAGGTATGTAGCCTGCGTTTATCGATATTGAGTTGGAACGGCCCGTTTGTCGATCATGCACAACACTCACTTTGAGAAGGGTATCCGCGAGCGTAAGGGCGGCGCAGACGACGGAAGGATCCGGGTCGTTCAACCTCTTTCGTGCTTTGCTCGCTATTTCCCTGAGAATCTCCGGTTCTACTTCAGAAAGCCTCTGGAATGCGAGCAGAGCCGTCTTTTCACGTGCTGGCTAACGAGACGGTGAGGTAAGAGTACAGAATGGTTTCATGCGGTGGTACTCACGAATTGTAGGAAAGCAGGTCGTGCAGACGCGACTGCACTGCTGGTATGACATCCCGTGAAGGCGATTGGATCAGGGTGTCAAGTGCAAGACATATCCGAGGGATGGATGCACTTTCCAAGTCCTGCCAGATATGAAGATCGAAGTATCACTTGCAGACATACAAACAACGTACCTTGCGTATGGAGTTCACGAGCATGAGCTGCAGCTCATGCTCCGGCGGCATGACCTCGGCGCAGAACAAGTACCCTGTCCGGGTCCTGTAGCCTTCCTCAGGCGAGCTGACCTACATGCGCGTACCTGTTCGCTTGTCCTGCGTCGTTTGCCCCGCTTCGGCGAGATTGAGAGCGTGAGGAAGCGCGAAGGCAAGGTCAACTTCTGCGCCAGGATTGATGGCCATTGAGCAGTACAGCAGGAGAATGAGGCATTCTTTGCATTGTTTCTGTGAAACGAATGATTAAGGCCTGAGCCCAACACCTTTAGTTGCGTGTACTGACCAAAGTGAGCGTGGAACGTGTTAGCTGGTTGCGGATTGAGTGAACTTCGGCGAGGAGGATCTGGTCGGCAGCATGAGGGCTGGCGGACTCAATCTTGCGCACGAGAGCATAGTGCGCCCGGCTCATCGCGCCGGACGACGAGAACGGCACGTTCATGGCGCACAAATGTGCGGCAAGGGGTGGGGGAGTCGCAGTCAGGTGTGGGGGCAAGCGACGGGAAGGAGCATGTCGGCGTGTTGAGCGAACGAGTCCGAGATGAAAGCGGAGGCTGAGGCCTAATAACTGAGGCGTCCATCAACAGCGTGCTCGGGGTGCTCAACGTCTTCGTTCCTGACCACCACCACCACCACCACCACCCCCCACCTCCTCCTCCTCCTTCCTCTGGTCCCTTCTTGGCCCCATGTCCACTACTCCGGACCCCTCAGCCGTGGCGTCGGCGCATTCATTCAACAAGATTTTGAACCAGTACAAAACAGCCACCAAAGCGCGATCCGCGGCGGACATGGAGGAGTCGACCAAGAAACTTCGGCGATTAATCCTGGTGGACGGGATTCCTTCCGCAGTGGTATGTGTTTTGATATCGGATACTTAGAAGGCCGGCCAACAGTATGCATAGGACCCTTCCTTGCGTCCGAGGATATGGAAGGTCCTGCTTCGCGTCCGTGAGATCTCCGCGCCCGCCTTTCTGGAGTATGTTGGCCGGGGTCCTTGCGAAGTCCGGGAAAAGATCAGGAATGACACGTTCCGGTGGGTGCATTTGCGCCACCCGGTCAACTTCGGTCTCATATCACGACAGGACTCTTGCGACGGATAAGGGGTTCAAGGAGAGAGTCAGTGAAGACATGCTTGTGCGTTTGTTGGATGCATTCGTTTGGCGGAATCACGGTGAGTCTGCTTGAGGTTTTTGCACCTCATGATATCTCATTTCTCCGTACACCAGACCGACATGAGAACGTCCAACTCGGTTTCTCATATGTGCAAGGAATGAACGTGCTGGCCGCGCCTTTCCTCTACACTATGCCCTCAGAACTCGAAGCCTTCTACTCCTTCGCGAAGTTCATCGAAGAGTCATGTCCATTATACGTTCAACCTACGCTCGAAGGCGTTCATCGTGGTCTTAAGGTGAGCGAAAACCGGTTCCACATCAATGTTCGCTAACCGTCCCCTTCAGCTTCTTGACCGCTGTCTGAAAGTTGTTGATGCCGACTTATACGCACATCTGCGCTCAAAAAACCTTTCGGCGGAGATTTACGCATTTCCATGTCAGTAACCAATCCTTGTCTTATACTCCATACATTCTGAAGAGGAAACCTCAGCGGTCCTCACGCTCTGCGCATGCACACCTCCACTCGATCAAGTTCTGCAACTCTGGGACTTCCTGCTCGCATTTGGCGTCCACTTAAATGTGCTCTGTGTGATTGCGCAGCTGCTTCTCATGCGGGACGAAGTAATGAACTCGTCTAGGTAAGTCTGTTACACCTGTCAACTGGTGTAAAGTGGGGGCTGACGGTACGCACGACAGTCCTATGCGCCTCCTTCGCACGTTTCCTCCACTAGAGGCTCTTCCAGTCATCGGTATTGCTGTTACACTGGTTCGCGATCTGCCTACGGACCTCTACGAAGAGTTGGTGAAGCACCCATACGCCGTCCACGATTGAATTCGGACTATCTAGGCTTCACTCCATATGGCTTCTATTCCGTTCACGTTTTGCTCGCTGCTATCGTTGTTGTTGTGATGCTGTGTTGTATCATTAATCTATGCTTGGTCCATGTGCTCTTGTCATACCACTGTCACTGCGCGAATTTTGCCTCGACCCGCGGCCCCGCTATTCCACGCAAGATTAACTCAGAAAAATTTCCAACAAATCCACCTTGCGTCCCTCAAAAGCACCCCCAAAACGCTGCAGTACAATGTACACAACAAGACCTTTTATCTCTTCCATGTCTACTCCTGATCACCGTTTTCGCCACTGAGCATTGTATCTCACAGGAAGGAGCTGCTCAATCAACAGAGTCAGCTATTACAACCTTTTGCCCCAACCGGAACCCACTCACCGCGCGCTCAATTGAGCACCAGGAAGTTCGAGAACGACCCCCCGACCAAGTTGAAGCACGTGTTCACCACCGGGATCTTCGCGAAGTTGGTGCACCCTGACGGGCCCACGTACACCGCGAACGGCAGGCCCTGGTTGCTCGGTTGGCTGATCGACACGCTCGAGAACGCGCTCGTGGCGAGGCAGGTGTCTACGGTCGTCGTCTGCAGGTTGTATGACAGGCAGTTCGCGCAGTTGAACGACGAGCAGAGCAGCAGCACTGCCGGGAAGATCGCGTCCGCGACCTCGGTGGACGGGCCCTGGAAGGAGGCTGCGGGGAGCGTGCCGTTTTGTGCGGACGTGGGGCGGGGCCCGAGGGGGGAGGTGAGGTCGTGCCGCGGGAAGGAGGCCGCGGTTGTCACGTCCAAAGCGGAGGCTTCGATGGGGTTGGTGTGGGCGTAAGCCACAAGGGCTGCGGCGACGAGGGTAAAAGAGAACATTGCTAGTGGTTTGTGTGGAATGAGAGTTCTTGAGAGCAGGGGATGTGTTGCGTCTTGCCGTCGTCCGCCACGCTTCAGTTGGGCCTTTATGCCTCTCGTTGAACGCTGCGTTCCATAGAATGCATTGCAACGTCAACGCCACTTAGCCCTGGCAGACTGGCCATCGGACAGCAAGGGTCAAAACGGATAGGGACATGAGAGCTGGGAAGCTCCAACTTACAGAGAGGCAGTGGCTGGCACGGCTGCCCGTGAAGGGCGTATTGTCCGAGTAGTTGGGAGGCCAGGCCAAGGATCTGCTTGAGAATACGGCCGCTCAATGGGGTGATATATCCAGTGACCTGCGCGAGTAAAACAAAGGGATAATGAGTATACACGCACACAATGATCTGCGTTCAACTCACTTGGGAACTTGGGGAATGACGACGACACCAAGGACAGCATTGGATAGGGGAGTGCCAAGCGAGCAGGTGGAAGTTGTCTGAGGTCATGTACAAGAGAGGTCCCCGCGTGGACGATCGGGTCAGCGAACCCATCGACCGCCTCTGATTCGTTTTGATCCATCTATGCATCAGCCGCGAACGGTTTGCTTTGTATGTGAACACGTCACCACGCGACAATCTGCAGTGCAAACGCGGGTCGATGGTTGGAGAGGTTGAACACCTGCCGACGGCTAGGAGGCTCGGAATGAAGAATTGACGATGTGATAATAGTGTATCTACCTAAATGTACACCGGCAGGAAGGCCCAGGCCCTCGCATGCCCAAATGCTCTAGATTCTTTCATCGTCGCGGTCTCCATCCCCGGGCAGGGCGTCGATGTACGACGCGGTGAGGTCGAAGAACGTCCAGAGGAGCCCGTGTGTCGTCACGCTTCGCAGCGCGCTCACGCCAAGACCCTGATAAACCCGCGCAAGGCCCTTCAAGATGGGCTTCGGGTTGTTCGGGTCAGGCCCTGTGAGGGGAAGAGATCGTCAGAGGGACACAGGTGTAGGAGTTTGAGGAATGGGCTTGCCTCGAATCAGTCGATGGCAAGTCTCAAAAACGCCTCGCGGGCGCTCGCCTGCTAGGGAACGCTGCTGCACTTTGGTCTTGACGCTAAGGAGAAGTGTCAGTGATCGGACTAGTATGGTCCTAAATTGTGCTCACACGTCAAGAGGGTATATCAAGGCCCATGAGGTGACCCCTGCCAACGAACCACATAAAAAGGGCACAAGCGACGCAGGGATTGGAAGCCATTGTGGAGTAGAACGCTGCTCGCCGTTCGCATCTCGACCCATGATATACCGAAACCCGTCGTACTCAAAGAAGTACAACGCCGTCCCCGTAGTATCTCGGACTACGCAAGAGGTTAGCATGTGTGTCATCAACTTGGGCCCTATACTCACTGAAATGTAACCGGAAACCAGTGTACAACCCCATGAGACCACTCGTGCGGAAGATGTCACGAACGGCTTCCATCGTTGACGGCGCCTTCGCCAGGCGCACACCTTTGGCAGCGGCTATCGAGTACTCGAGCTGTCGCCGAACCTGCAAAGCGCATCTACGGGTTGGTACATGACCCCTGCACCTTTAAGGGAAAGGCCGACCTTCACTAATTCAAACGCTGTCGGGATCATACACGTTGAACGTGCCGTAATCCGGAGAAGAGCTAAAGAGTACGTACGTGCGCTCCCAAACGAGATGAGGGACCCTGAGAGGGCCCCACTGTCGCAAGACAGGACGTCAGAATGGCGGGCGACGCGAGCGGGGGAGAATCGAACCTGACCCCCCCTACCGCAGATACGTCGAAGATGCGATCCCGCGCGAGCCAGTGGCGATCACGAAAATACTCCTTCGTTCGCGAGTAGATAGTGAATGAGGCCGCACCTAATGTGCCCCTGAGTCTGGGGGGTTCGCGTGACATGGAGAAAGGACACGTACGAACGAACGAGATAGTCATCAACGGAATCCATAGCCCTCGATAAAACCCGACGATACCCTCTTCCTGGTAGACAGTTAGGGCGAGGCGAGGTATGGATACGCGCTGCTTATTGGTCTGGAGACGCGACTTGATGGAGTCCAGCTTCACGCGACATGTCAGGATCGAGGGTAGTGGCGATCATAGATACATGCATACCGGGTAGCCTGCGAATGTCGAGATATAGCTCGCCGAGAGGGCACAGACCACCGCCTTGTAGTCTGTACGAACGAGCGGTTATTTCCCGCACAACGCGACGAATAAGACGCTGGGCTACTTTTGAGAGTCTCATTGAGGGCAGTCGAGCCAGTCAAATAGTTTAGAGGCCTGTTGCAAGCACGTATCAGTGGTGCGCCACGGAAGAGACCGTGTAGAGGGTCAGCGGACCTTTTCTCGGTCATAGGAAGCTGTCACTGGCCGGGCAACAGTCCGTGTTCGTGCTGGAGCACGCGCGTCGTTGGTTTGAGGCGAGCCAAGGTGGAGACGGGCGGCGGGCAGAGAGGGAGAGGGTGGAGGGCAGAAGAGAGCACCGACAGCCCGCATTTCCGAGCCCGAAGCCACTCCGTTTACCCGGCTGCGTGACCCGAAATACGATGCGCGCGCGTCATCCACCCGCCGGCGGGCGCTGGACGTCGACCTCGCGCTCGCGCCTTTCTACTCTACCGCGCGTCCGCCTCATGGATACGTGGAGCCTCGTGAAGCACCCTCGCTATCGGTCACAACCCTGTTCTATTCTATGAGACCTGTTGAGTAGTTACCGCGACTGAGCACTCATAGCGCGCCGATCTCGACCTGTACATATCAGAACTGCGCGGAGGGAAGCCACCGCGCCCTTCGCACCCCACCCATTGCTGCCAGTGCGACCCCGTGATTCAAGGGTCTGCATTCAGAACCCGCCCATCTTCTTCGTTGGCTTCTTCTTTACGGGTGGCGCCTTCCCACCGTGGGGACCGGGTAGGACTTGCGTGCTCGCGAATGGCTCCTGCGACGACGGCGGCGCGCGCCAAGCCGCGGTGGGTTGACTGTTGCTGGCAGGTCTCTTCGGAACAGTCTCGTGCGACCTCGACACGACTAGCGGGGCACGGATGCGACTGGGCTGGCTGGTGGCTACGATGGGTGGGGGGCGCGTCGCCGCGGGCAGGACCACTGGAGGACGCTGTGACGGAGCTGGGACTTGGGTTGGTTCAAGTTCGGGCGGGCCTTGAGCCTTTGCCGTGCTTTTCGCCGCGCGACAGGCTGCTGCGACGGTGGCCGCTGGTGTATCGTCGTACGGGTCTTGATAGACGTACTCCTGAGGATTGCTTCCGAGTTCCCACTCTTGCAGCAGCAGGCGCACGCCTAGCGGCACTTCGAGCTCGGTTGCCAGATTCGCCGCCTTGTTGCCGGGGATGATGGACTTCGGGATGGGGCGAAGGAACGAGAACCCTACCTGCCGAGGCTCAATGTCGCCCAATGTCATGGCCCGGGTTGAGAGGGATATGCTGAGCATATCATCGTCGAGATCGTCGGAGGTTTCGGGCTTCGGTTTCCTCGATAGATATGCATCCGAAGCCAAGGTGAGATCGAGCGCAAGGCGAGAGCGAGCTTGATTCTGATGACGCGAAATATTGGGCAAGGACTCTGCTTCTGTGAAGTCATACTGGGAGAGGCTGTCGAGCATCTGCCCGGGATCGGGATGAAAGTCGGGAACGTGCCGGCGGACATGAGAAGATAAGTCAAGGTGCCATGGCGCAGCACCAACGAGTCCTTGGCGAGGGATTCGCCCTTGACCCAGAGCGATATCGCCAGCCGCGGAGTTGAGTTCGCTACCTGTGAGCCAGTCATTTCTAGAAGCACTCTCCGGCTCTGACCCTGAGCGCATGGCGATATCGAACCTAGACTTGTTTGAGAACGCAAACTCAAACAAACAACATTGAACTTTACGTTGTGAGTACGTGCTCGGATGTATCGTCTACACGTTGCCAGAAGCTAGGCATTCGATCTAACAGATCTGCGACAACATCAGGCTTGACTGTCTTATTTGTCGTTCCTTGAGAATATAATCCTGCCAATTGCTTTAGTAACTGTCATTTAACGCCGAGGCTACGCTCACGTTGATAGGCATGAGACATATCCGCAATGCTGTAAACTCTTCCAGCAAGCGGTCCTGAATCGTTCGGTTTTGCGGTCTGAGCCAGCGACTCCACGTGTGGAGGCCATTCCTCTGGCGTTTCTACGAGATAAGGCTCGTAATAGTCGTCTCGGGACAGATGATCCAGATCAAACACCGATAGGCCGCCCCCTGCTGAGAGTTGGAACAGACTGATTTGCTTACTTCCTGCCAGGGAGGGATCCTGAAAGAAGGTATGGCCAAGGTGGGGACCATCTGCAGCAGCAGCTGACGGTAGCGCATATGGATAGCCGGAGGAATGCACCAGGTTCTGTTCACGAGTGACGTCATACACTGTGACGAGGGAGTTGCGTCGGGAAGTGAGAAACGTGAGAGACGCTGCGATGTTGATTAATATGCTGTATAACTGCAGACTTGCAACAGTCATCCCACCATTTGTGAGTACATAGGTATGCGCCTGAAGTGTTTGATCATATTCGCGTCCATGCTTAATTGCTAAGAGCGGCTTGCGTATGTTTCTCGCATCCAGCCATAGAATCTCTTGCGTGGAAACAAGCCGTATCACTTTATCCTCATTACCTGTGTCCGCAGAAACCAGCGAAACGCCGTCCTGAGGCACGTTGTAAATCTGATAAGCTTGCTTCCCGGCCTAGAATGGGTCCTGAGCTCAGCGGACATGACTTCTACATGAATTACAGGCTTACACGCAAGTCGAGTATATCGGCACTCTTATCCGAAGTGTAGAAAAGCTCTTCAGTGTCCACTAGTGTGCTGATGCGATACAAGTGAGACTCCGGGTGTTGTGTGGCATACACTTGTTCCCTGGGTTTCGCATGCAGTTCGCGTCAATACTTGGTATAGTGGAATGCACTCAGAAACTTACGTGACGTCTGCAGCACAACGATAGACGTGACCGGCATTGTTGACAACATAGCCAGTTGCTTCCCCGGAACACGGAACACAAACATCTACGGCGTGCCTATCTCCTAATTCGCTGCGCTGGACAGTGGTGAGGGGTGTGACTTGCAGTGTCTGGTGTCTACCACGACCCATCTTCGCTTGCAAGAAAGTGGTGGAGCCTACAGTCCGAACGCCTATCATTGCGCTGTCTGCACTGAAGTCATTAAATTATATTATAACAAGTATACTTGACTAACCGTGTCGATAGAGCACAGGCGAAGCTGTGATATGGCGGATAGGTGTGTCGAATGAATAGGCGGGTGCGGTCGCAGGCTTCAACACGACCTGCTGATGCTCTGTCGTGACCAGCGACACGTCTATTGATTTGGTATTAGCATGGAAGTTGAATTCATGGGGAAATGGTACCCACTGAGTTGACATCCGGTTTCGCCCATTGGGAATGCCGCATAGGTTCGGTGCTTGTTGTATAGACGGGTGGACAGGAGATCAACTAGGTTCCCAGCAGAAATGTCATTCTTTTTGCGAGACGCGGCTTCCTTCTCTTCCGCTGTGATGTGTTCTTGTATGAGTTCAGCGGGTACGTCAACGTCTGGATAATGTGTGCGCAAGAAATGGGCCTTTCACGACATAAGTTAGTGTGGCTCAATACATGAAATCGAAACAAACGACGTACGCCTTGTTCTACTCGTTGAAGAGCAGTTCCTTGCACAGGGACATGTTGGCGTTTGGTTAACGTCGGAGGGAAGACTTCCCGGGGGGCCCGAGCAGGGACAAGCTTGTAACCTCGGGAGAGCCAGGCTAAGATGCAAATATACAGGAGAGCCGACTGAAGAACATACCTGATGGTTGTTGCACAGCAAAAGTCCACCCATAGCGGCCTGCATTCCGGTGCAATATACCTGCTCCAAGAGTACCATAGTCCACAACGGGGAATGTCCAAGGCTCCTCTACCTTCTTGTCCGAAGCCTTGGTCTTTCCATTTGGTGCCGGGTTTGCTGTGCTTGCATGTTCACCAAAACCAGGCCAAGCGTCCATTCCATTTGACGAGCAAAAAAGTAGACACACGAGCAGGGAGGGTGTTGGCGGTCGGCTGAAGGGGCGCTCCGCGATGTGAAAGTCGGAAGGGTCTCACACGACGGGCAACGGCCTAGCTTCGGAGCTCGAAATGCGTAGAAAAGACTGTGAGAGATGACATTTCCAAGGGCACAAAACAGGAGCTAAGGTGACCTTCTCACCTTGTTCGACAATAACACAGGTTATCACTTGTATTACTTCTTTGTTACTCGCATACTAGTATACACGTTCTATTGTCTTTGTTCTTAGTTACATCAAGGAAGGTCACCTAACCTTCCGTTTTGTCCCTTGGAATGTGATCTCTCACAGTCTTTTCTACGCGTTTCGAGCTCCGAAGCTAGGCGTTGCCGTCGTGTCAGCAGGGACGCGGAGCCGGAGGAGGAGGCGGTGGTGTCCGAGGTCCCGCACCGCGTCGCGCCGTAAACTTCGGACGCGCCCTGACGCGCCGTGTCTCTTGCTGCCACCGCTCCCTCCCTCCTCGAGCCATGCCCACCTTCTGGTCGTCCGTCACCCGCGCTGCCCTTCCGCGATGTAGGAGACTTCATAGCACCGCCGTCGCAGATGCCACCGCAGCCGCCACGGAGGCCGAGTCCACCGCCGCCAACAAGCAGTGGACGCCCTTCTCTATCCGAACGGGCCTCATCGCGCGGAAGCGGGGAATGACGGTGATGTACGACGAGACATTCGGGACACGGTTCCCCGTGACGGTTCTGCAGGTGTGTTCAGATCCTCTGTATCTTGTTCAAAGGAAGGGTTTGACGATGCTTCTTAGGTGGAACAGTGTCAAGTCACCAAGAACGTCCACTTCGTTAGGCCTGACAGCACAGAATACCACGCGGTCCAGGTGGCTGCGACCGACATGCGTCCAAAGAACGCTACCAAGCAAATGCTCGGACACTTCGAGAAGGCTGGCGTGAACCCGAAGCGTATTGTCAAGGAGTTCCCGGTCACTGCGGACGCGCATGTACCAGAAGGTGAGTTTATATCTCTATGCGCCGCTGTGCGACTCGAATGACCATCTGTGCGTATCACAGGTACGACATTTTCCGCCGTTCACTTTGTGCCCGGTCAGTTCGTGGACGTCATTGCGAAGTCGTAAGTCCCTTTTTGTAGTAAAACCACGAACAGGCTTTCATGTGGCGTAGCATTGGGAAGGGGTTTCAGGGAACGATGAAGAGGTGGAATTTCAAGGGCTTGCGTGCGAGCCATGGTGTATCTGTCTCTCATCGGTCCGCCGGTGCAATCGGTGCCCACCAGGTACGCCATGGGCCATATAACCCTATGTGTTTGCTTGACACCGTTCTGCGTCTGCTTTATAGGATCCCGGTCGTGTGTGGCCTGGTAAGAAGATGGCAGGCCGCATGGGCGATAAGCGTATCACCACCCAGAACCTCGCCGTCGTTCGTGTCGACACGGATCTCGACCTCATCTACGTTCGTGGAGCCGTGCCCGGCGTGGATGACGCGCAAGTCATGGTTCGTGACGCGAAGAAGAAAATGAACCAGCTCTCTCGTCACGCAGCTCAGAAGGACGAGACGGACAAGGTGTTGCCCAAGGGTCTAGTTACTCTGCCCTTCCCCGCAGGAACAAAGGAGATGGCAAAGACCTTGCCTTCTATCATCGCTGCGCCGTCGATGCGTGTCACCGACCCTTTCATCCCTCGAGATTAGTTACTTCTACCATATAATATACTAATGTTCCTATCCGCTCCGTTCTGCCCGTTTTTGATATCCACGACCCCAACCACAACACTTCGCAAGTGTTCATACGGTAGGTTTCTAGTCCCCCAAAGAGAGCATTGTAGTCTGACCCCATGGCGGGCTCAGATATGACCAATTACTGCTTGCAACGCGCTGCGAAATATAAGCCGGAACTTTGAGATGCAGCCAGTAGTTCAGTATCGCCGCCGGGTGGGACTCCAGGTCATGCGGCCTGGAGAGTTGACGTTGAACGTTGAGGTCCATGATATCATCACCGGAAATCGCGTGTAATTCGCACAGGTGGCTCCACACCTTTGTTGTGCCGTCCACCTTACGACGAGGTAGATTCCGAATGAGCTCTCCATCATAGACTCAGCGATTGCTGGGTATCTGCTCAGTCAAGGCAGTAAGTACCGGGTCACAACTCTTGCGTATTCGCCTTGTACTTACTCGAGTCCAGTTGGCGTGAATCACCACCGTGGAGTGGACTCTCCACCAAAGAAGTCCGGCAGCTGCTTCGACGGGTCCCCGACGTCCCGTGCTTCCGAACAGCGGCAGGTGCGTATCTCAGGCCAACTTGCATTGTATTCACAAACTAGCCACAGGCTCCACGACGGCGTACCTCTCCCATCTCTCGGCACTGTGGTTAGAGCTCACCTGCCGCCTGCTTGCTGCAACAAGAGTCCGAACAGTCCGATGACGCGGTGCTGTGAGTCACCTTTCGAGACTTCCATTCAATGCCGAGCTATGTATCGGCCCCACCCAGTGCGTATATAAAGCAGACTTGCGGATCTCATTCCCCTCCTTCAACCCATACCCATCTCAGCATGAAGATCCTGGCAACCATTTCCGCCCTCGTCGCATCATCCGTCGCCCAATCTGTTCTTATACGGTCTCCCGCTCCTAACGAGACCGTCTCTCCAAATCAAACCTTCGTGGTCGAAGTAGACAAGCCGGTATGTTTGCGTCATATGTGCTTTCTTCCCTCCACGCTCATACGCTACTTCAGAACTCTCTCTCCCCGTCCATGGATATATCTGTTGCCATTGGGATGGAGAGCTGCAACGCGGCAGGCTGCGAGGCAGTCAGCCAGGCGCAAATGCTGGGCAATGTGCTCTTCGCCGGAGGCTTCGACCCTGTCTTGAAGCCAGGCACTGGTGACCTATTCCAAAACTTCACCGTGCAAGTCCCTGCAACGATGCCAAGCGGACAGGCGATGCTCACTGTCGCACACTTCTACCTCCTCGGGGTAAGTTGTCCTCATGCTCCACCAGTGTCCATGGCGTGAGGCTGACTTCAAGCTAGGCCGGCGCGAATCCTGCGGTTGAGCTGGCCAACGTCACGCTTAATTTGCAGAATGTGCAGTAAGATCCGTGGACGCTATTTGTGTCGTTTCCGTGAGTGCGAAGGTGGTGCAGTGCCTCTGTACTAGTAGGCCACTCAGATACTCAATTCGTACCGTACTACCTGTATTCTTCGAGGACTTGTGTCCGACGTATTCAATAATGTACTTTCACCACCCAAGACCTTCCAGCGGCATGCTTGATAGATCCTTCAATGCAGATATGAGGGCTGAGATCTTGAGAGCTGAGGCCTGAGGGCTCCTAACGGAGAAGTAAAGACGCCCGGGAGCGTGAGCTTGGACAGCTGGGATACTTATTGCTTGGACCTCCGCGACCTCCATTGTACCCACTTATGCTCTGATCCACTCTCTTTCTTGCTACCATGTCGGACACCTCCTCCCGCCCCCTCGTTCAGATTGCTTCTTACAACACCAACCTGCAAGCCGAACGTGGTCTTCCCCAAGACCTAGTCGACTGGCTCGCACCGACCCTCCAAGTGTCCACTTTCCTGGCGCGCGAGCGTCGTGCCCCTGACATCGTCGCGGTTGGCTTTCAGGAGCTCCTGCCGCTTCATCTTGGCTGTGAGTACTCGGTACGGAAGGCCATGTCCCCGTGCTCGACCCGGCACACGACTCCCTGCTGACCTCTGTTCAGTGGCTGGCATCTCTAAGTCGGTGCTTGAAAGCCGGCACTCACTCATCCTCTCGCAAATCGAGGCACACGCTCCAAATAAGGAACGCTACACACTCATTGCCAAGACCGTCAATGTCGGCGTCGCGCTCCTTGTCTACGGCCGCGACGACGGGATAGGCCGCCGCGCCTGCGACGTGCAGACGCAATGGTCGAGCTGCGGTCCCGCGTACATGGGGAACAAGGGCGCCGTCGCGGTGCGCTTCCGCGTTCCCGGAGAGGGTGGAGGGGTGGGCGAGACCTTCACGTACGTTTCCCTTCCTCCCGCCTCGAAGGACGACGCTGAGATGGTCGGTGCCGTGCCCCCAGGTTCGTGTGCGCGCACCTCACCGCGCACGCGCACCTGAACGCGCGCCGCGTACAGGACTATCACCACATCGCCCGTACGCTCCTCTTCCCGCCCCTGCCCGGGTCGCCGCCGCACAGCGCGCCGACGACGATGTTCGCGAGCAGCCACCTCTTCTTCTTTGGGGACCTGAACTTCCGCCTCGAGCTCCCCTCCACGCACACACTCGCGGCGCCCGAGCGGCTCCCCGCGCTCTCTGAGGCCCTGTCGCACGACGAGGGCAGGATGCCACTGAAAGAGTTTGACCAGCTCGTGATTGAGCGCGACGTCAAAAGGACTATCTTCCACGGCTTCCGGGAAGGCGAGTTCTGGCGGTTCAAGTGCAGCTATAAGTACCGTCTGGGCGAGGTGGATCAGTACGAGTACGTGCGACAGCAGTTGCTGTTTTGTCCATCTCTGCTGACTGTAGAATTACAGCTCGAAGCGAATGCCTGCATGGACAGACAGAGTCATGTACACCACGCACTCTGACTCTCCAGACACGCCTCGGGAGTCTGGCATCCAGAATGTCCTGTACACTGCGATTCCTTCGTACACTACCTCGGACCACGTATGTTCCTACCTCGTCACCGCGCATATGGACCCTCCGTTGACCCTCATTTCGTGCAGAAACCCGTGGTCTCCGTGCTGCTACTTCCTCCACCCGTGCCCACTACTAATGCCGTCCCGGTAATCCGGCTTCCAGCCGGATACCACCTCGTTCCTGACCGTTTCGCGCTCCTCAAGAAGTACTCGGGTCGCGTATTGGACCGCGTCGTCGGCTACACTTGGTGGCTGCTCACGGTGCTCGGCGCAGGGTCTGCCTTGCTCGGCCTCGGAAACCTCTTTTTCAGTCTCGGCCTTTGGCGTTGGTGGAGCACTCGCACCAACCAAGAATTGCTGCTGCCTTAGAGAGTCGTGTCGCTACCAGTGCCCTCACCGCCTCGGACACCTACTTTATACACGGAACGGACTACCCGGAAGACCTATCCTTTCAATGCCGATGCTGGTGTTCGTCTCTTAGCCTATCTACGCTCAATGTATCTTGATTGTTATAATGTAGGGTGAAGCGGGCTGTCTGAATATACATGGCTACTGTTACAAGTGCACTCGACAAGACGACAACTGGACGGCACGAGAGACTGTTGAGAGTGACTAACGAACGTTCGGGTAACGGAATGAGGCAAGGATACCGAGAGTCCGAAGGAACATTATGCACAAATGCAGAACTGATGAGGGCAAGACTGGCAGTAGGGGGGCACGTTGTGAAACCTACACCTCAAGGCTTAAACCTCGGGAACAGGTTTGACCACCGCTCGGCCCTCTCCATCGTCGACGACGACCAACGGCTCCGGCGCGCCAACGAGCGTGTCCCGGCGGCGGTCGTCCTCATCTTCGTCCTCATTCTCGCCGGCGACGAGCGGCTGCCGCTCCTCTTCGTCCGTCCGCCCCGCCAGGTCGCCCTCCGGCAGCCGGACGCACATCACGAGGACGAACGCGAGCGTGAGCGAGCACGTCGCGAGGACGAAAATCATCTTCGGGAACGTGCCCACCGTGCGCGCGTACGTGAGCCCGTACACGAACGGGCCGACGACGCCGAGCTCAGCGCCTGGAGCACGCTCAGCGCGCCGAACAGCCGGCCGACGTCGCGCCCGCCGCGGCGCTGGTAGAGCGCGAGCGCGACCGAGTGCACGGCGGGCATGAAGCCCATCCCGAGCGACGCCGCGCTCGTCGCGACGGCGAAGCTGACCCGGAGGAGCTCGCGAGCATTGCCAGCATCGTGAGGATGTCGACGAAGACGGAGCCGCGCGCGAGCGCGAGGTCGAACTTCGCGGTCTTGTGCGCCGTTACGGCGGCGGCGGTCGCGCGCTCTTGGCTGGCGGCGCGTTGGGCTTCCGGGGGCTGTGGGAAGGTTGAAGTAGTAGTAGGGCTAAGAGGCTCGACGGGCTCGACGGGGAGCTGCACGGGTTTGGGTTTGAAGATCCGGATGATGGCTAGTGGGACCAGGCATAAGCTGGAAGAGCATCACTCGAGTATATATTATCCTACTTGGTAGAATCAGCGTTAGGAACACAGCGCGTGAGACCCCAACCGAGCTGAACCAGTAGTTGATCTAGAAGAGAAGGTGAGCACTGAAGAATCTCAGCATGATTGATACCGTTCAGAGACTCACGTTCTCTGTCGACCATCCGTAGACTGTGGACATGTACTGAATCGTGAAAAGGTACATTCCCTGTGCGAATATCAGTACCGCACTGCAACACATAAACATTACGACCCTACCAGGTTGGCAATCACGAACGTGTACGCAGCAGCAATCAGCATCAAGCTCCAATCCCAGCGCTTTCCCTTGGCCGGATTCCCGCCCTTGTTTAAGTCGACAGGGAAGAACAGCGAGATTGGGGACAAGAACGAGAATATCCTCTGCAAAAATACCAGGATTCCCCCTTCGGCGTGAGCTGCCTTATATTCTTCTATGTCGAGCTTGTACCGCTGACGGGCATCCTGCATCTTCTTTGGGGACAGAGACTCCGGAATGATGAACCATAGGAGGAGAGCATAGATGAGGTGAATGATCGCAGAGATGTAGAAAACGATCATGAAACTGCCTGTGACGCGGACCAAGACACCGCCCAACGCCGGACCGAGGGCGATACCAGTGAACATTAGACCAAGGTCCAGAGAGAACAAGCGTGATCTAAAATTATTGATCAGCACTCATCAAAGAATATTTGACGAGTATATTACCGGAGGTGAGGAGGGCTAGTGTCCGCGAAGTACGCGTGCACGGTGGCACTCAGCAGATGACGTCCTATCTCCTGCTCAGCATGAAGAACGTGTGAATGCAAGGGCATTCTCACCTCCAAGAAGTCCTTCGCAGAGGGGTCCCAGCATGAGGAACCAGTAACCTCCAGGAAGATAGTCGTAGAACCAGAAGACGGCCAGGAACGTGAGGTCGGCAATCAGCAAGCCAATCACTGCGCAGCCCAAAATCCGAATTCGCCCAACACGGTCTGACAACTGTGGAGAATAAGCACACAACGTCAGCATTGACCCAGTCTGACGAAGGGCGACGCACCGAACCCCACCAGGCGGTGGTCATGCACGCGATAATGCCCCCGCTCGTGGTCATGAGCGTCGTGAGTTTGGCGACGCCAGCCGCGACGACGGGGTCGGTCTTGCAGACACCCTGACTGGGAGCTACATCCCCGCAAAATGTGAGACCTGGCGCGAAGAAGCACACCAGAACACTGACCGTCGAGCGCAGACAGCATCGCCCGTGCCGCGAGAGTCACCATCCCGTCGCCCAAACCGTGGTCAGGACTGACAGTAGGCTGGATCGCCAAGCAAACGAGGTACGTGAACAGCTCGATCTTAGCCGCAACGGTGATGCCCATCGCGATCGCAGTAAAGGGTATGAACGCCAGGAACCTGTATTCGCATTCGTGCGGACGAGGGTGGGTCAGTCCCGATCGGCAGGCGCGAGCGGGACGAGCACTCGCACCAGTACGGGGATGGCCGCCTCCACCACGGCCGCTGCATCATCCACGCGTTCTCGTCCCCATCGTCTTTCGCGAACCCTTGCTCCTCGCCAAAGGCCGCGTCGTTGACGAGCGTTTCCTCGGCACCGTGGTGGGGGTGTACGAACTCATGGAGGAGCTCCACCTGCTCCTCTGAGACGAGTGAGCTCGAGGGGTTGAGGAGGTCGGCCGGACCAGGGAGCTGGCCGATCGAGTCCGTGGTGGAGTGGGAGAGGTGCGGTGGACGGGGGCGGGAGCGCGGCTGAGACTGTTGGGCGCGCGAGCGGAGGAGGGGGTCGCGGGACGTCGCGCGCGGCTGGGGCTGGGACATGGCTGAACGCTAGGGTCAGCAACCGGGGGTGTCCAGCAGTGTGCCCGGTCGCTCTATGAGCGACGGCAGGGAGAGGGGATGGGGGGAAACAAACGAGCGGGAGTAGGCACGCGGTGGTGGGGAGGCAAAAGAGTTATGTATAGTCTCAGTCTGAATCAGCGGGAGGTGAGAGACTGAGCCTGATAACAGCACTCCCACTGCCGGTCTCGGGGTCTCGGCCCGCGCCACGCACGCATTCCAAGTCTTACTCAGTGATCACTCTGCTGCCTGCCACCGATGGGGTACCCGCGTGCGGTCAGAGCTGAGCGCTTGAGCGCCGATCGGGCAACGACTCTCAGAACCTGCGTTCGTCGCGCTCGCAGTACTGCTGCGCCCCAAGCACCATCTGAGTGTTTGCTCGTACATCCCCTCACTTATCGCATATCGATTCGATGTCCCACGCGCAATGGCCGAGATACGGTCGCCCGGCTGCAACGGCCAGGGGCCTCATTCCCAGGCGCCGCGTTGGACTCACGGTGGCCCCTGGCGCTGCTCTATGTTGATCTATTGTGAAACGTGTACAGCACTGCTGCTACTGTAAGTACGGCGAATCGCTGATGGCGGGGATACTATGCAGCAGCCTGCGTCTTCTCCGCACTACATCCAAGTTCATGATGTAAGCCCCTCGTCATTCCGCCCCGACACATGATGCGCCCTCACCTTTACGAAGCTTGCCTCCCATCCGCAGCGTGCGCAGACTCTTCGCAGCTGGGGTCGTGGCCCGCTCCCGTTGAGGGCGTGTCGCGCAGTCGAATGCACATCAACAGAAGCAGCCCGGCGACAACAGAGGCGCAGCACACAAGGTAGAACGCGCCGGGAACTGTTGCCACCGTCTGCGCATATGTCATGCCGAAGACCGCAGGCCCGATGATGTGGGAACTGCACGCGGCAAATATTAGACCGTAGCACGGGGCATTGGGGTTATGTCAAGGCAAATGCTCACCTAAATGCGGAAACAACAGTCAACGCGCCGAGTAGGCGGCCGGTGTCGCGCCCCCCACGCTTCTCGTACAGGCTGAGCGCGACACTTTGCATCGTTGGCGCAAAGCTCTGGCCAAATGAAACGCTGATTGAGAACACCGCAAAGAGCTTGCCAGAGTCGGTGGTGAAGCAGAGCGCATAGAACACGGCGTCGGTGACCAGTGCAGCGCGCGCGAGGAACAAGTCGACCGAGGCCGCATGGGATTTTGCGTTTGTTAAAGGCCCAGCTTGTGCCCGCTCAGCGTCCTCGGAGGGTAGATTTCCAGTGTCGGAAGGCGTAAACCTCCGGCTGCTGGTCCACAAATAGCTGAAAAGCTTCATGACGGCTGTGATTATGGAGTGTCGTGGAGTGTGAGGGGTACGTTCTGAGAAACTGACGGTAGCACCCACTAGGGAAAATCATAGTGAGGTATACCGCTCTCACGATGTGGGCACATCCCAGCCAGTAGCTGACCTGTATCATGTTCAGCCTTGTGTCAATGCCACACTCTAACCAACGCACCATGTCGGATGACCACTTCATCGCATAGTAAGCGTACTGAATCTGTTGGACTGTCGAAGCTTGCACGAGGGTCCCAAAGCCAAACGCGCATCCTAAAATAGTCATAGTCCAGTCGATCGACTTCTTGGAAGTAGAGTGCTCGGTCCTATGGGGCAAGAGGAGCGCCAGAGGAGATATGAAATCGAACGAGGAAGCTAGTCTTTTCAAGGGGGACATGGCCTGTGATGCAGCCTTGCGTAACGCCCTACGGTGTTGCATCTCCTCTTGAGACAGAGATTCTGGTATAACGAACCACACTCCCAGCGTGACAATGAGGTCGATGGTCGCCGTTGCATAGAACACGGGCAGAATAAGGCCCGTGGATCGCATGATGTACCCTGTGAGGATCGGGCCTATACTCATTCCTACGAAGATAATGCCCATGAGTAGGGAGAATGCTCGGGACCTACGTGCGAAGTCAGGAAGGCCACGTTCAGGGCTTGTGGGGCGGTTAACGCTCACCTTGCTGCGGGTTCGCAACAGTCTGAGATATATGCGTGCATCACAATTGACGCGACAGAGATGCCTGCCATCAACCCGTCAAGATAGGATGCATGCACCGAATAGGTCGTACTCACCTCCCACCAGTCCCTCACATACTGGACCAACTGCGAACCACCAGTACGTTCCCGGAAGGCTTTGCCAGAAGTGGCAAACGGTCAAGAAGCCCACGTCTGACAACATGAGCCCCAGCACGTTGAACCCGAGCACGCCTATCCTTCCGTAGGAGTCCGAGAGCTATCGCTCATGTTAATGGCCTGGTCGAGATGAAGTATAGTCTGAGCGACTCGCGACTCACCGAACCCCACCAGGCTGCAGTGAGCATCGCCAACGCACCCGAGAGCGTCATAAGCGTTGCCATGAGCTCGGCCGCGGCCGCGGATACCTCGGGGGTGTTGCATTCCGCTGGATCCAACCCGTGCGAGGCGCACACCGTGCGCGTGTACAGCTCAACTCGCGGCGCCGCGGTGCCTGATGTTGAGATAGCAGCGATTGCGCACAGACATAAAATCCTGTGTGGGCGAACGCGTTGAACGACCTGCGTGAAGAGCATGAAATGCGGCATGAAGCGAGAACTCACCATACAGGGGACGGTTTCAACCGCTTCGATGCCGACACCGAGCGTGAGCGATGAGCATCGCGTCCTGAGGTCGTACCATAGTTTTCTGCAGGTACTTGAATCAGAGCCGCGCCTAAGGACGGGGCACATTCAGCAAGCGCGAGCGTGTTGCCAATGGAGGGGACATGCCTTCAGATTCCTCGCCCAGGAGGGGCGTGGCTGCGGAGGACATGGGGGAGAGAAGTCAAGAACATGCTGCGCAGCCGGGAGGAAGCAGAGACCATATGTATGGCCGGATGAGATGGACGCAGTCGCGCCCGGGTCCCGGCACAGAAGGCGTTCCGCTAGTAGGCTTCGCGCGCCACCAGGCTTCCAATCAGCAGTGAAGATGTAGACGCCATGTGGCCGACATCTTATCTGATTGCTTGGCTGCTGCGCAGTCCTCCGTTTCGAGGCTCACACGCACGGAGGACCGAGATCCGCTCAGCCTGATCTACCCCACACCACCCACTACTACAGGTCCAACAGTCCTCGTCCAGACACAAGTCATGGTGTGTCTCAGTCGCACTTGATGCCCTCGCGATCCCTGAAACTATCTTCCGAATCGGTTCTGGATGCTCCACAACCCATCGCCCGAGCATAGTCTCGCACTGTCGACATTCCCCAGGAACTGAAGGCTGCCCTTCGTAAATTTAGGTTTGCGCGCCGCAACTCTGGCCATGCCGCCATGGTCATCAAGATCAATAAGAAAGACCTCATCATGGAGGAGGTTGAGCAGTTTGACGACATCAGTATCAACGATCTCGCCGAAGGTATGTTTCTAGTGCCCCTGTTTTGTTGCATTTAGCCCCGCGATTCGGCTCAACATGTTTGCTTTAGAGCTCCCTGAAAACTCTCCTAGATATGTCTTGATGTCATACGAGTTAAACCACAAGGATGGGAGAAAGAGCTTCCCCCTCGTGCTCGTCAACTGGGCTCCAACGTCCAGTGAGATGGGCCTCTTGACACTACACGCGAGCGCATTCCTCGACTTCCAAACCACGGTACGTCATTCTTGTCCAACTCGCCGCGCTATGACCGGGGCATTCAGATTGTCTGCGCAGGCGGACGTCAGCAAAGTCATCGAAGTGCGCGAAGGAGCAGAAGGCTTCACCAAGGAGATAATCGACGAGAAGCTGCTCACGTCATGAAGTAAGCATACAGCCTGGGCGATGGGTACACCTACGGAGACAAAGATACGGCCGGCATGTACGAGTATATTGATGTCATCCTGCTATCGACACAACATCATACTTTTCTTCCTGATCAAGTTTGCATGTACGCATCCATGATCCCCGAAAGAACCCAGCAGTTCCCAACGACGTAGATGAGTCCTCGGATCCATACGCTGAAGAAGACATTCTGGGCGAGAAACTCTAGCTTGTATGCTTCAGCAAGCCAGAGCGCCTGTGTGCCTATCCATACAACACCGTAGAGGACCGCCTGGCGTGTGTTCATGGATAAAGTCGGCACTAGCAGTGGCAGGAATAGAGTGTACCAAAGGAAGTACTAGGACGTTTGCGGGTTAGTGATTTGCCGAGGGACGCAGGAATGTAAAGGGCTCACCTGGGACGTGCAGACTTTGTTGAACACGACGAACACGAAAGTCTGGACGAACCATGCAAAGATCAGGTGTTCGTGCCTGCGCCCGAAGAGTAGACCTGTCCCGACGGCAAGGATCATTTGGGGGGCAAAGCTCGTTAGAGGCGACCGTAGCAATGCCTGCCATGCAGTAGTGGGTGTTGATGACCCATCGGCTTCAGGATAGGTGAGGTAGATGAGGTAGAAGTAAGGCGAGAAATTGTGCCTGTGATCCCGCCGGTGGACATGGTAAAGGTACGTTTCGTCGAGGAAGGGCTGGCCCCATCTGTTGTGGCATATAAACATAGGAAGAGCAACAGATATAGAAGAACTCACATGGCCCACATCGCTACCCCCAGCGCAAGAAATGTCCCTCCACTGACCAGGCCAAATTTCACCGTTCGCGCGTTCACCAAAGAACGAGCGTACCCTTTCCATCCCCCGACTTCTCCTGTGACTTGCGTGTTCCCGATGACTCCGAGGCAAGCCACCCCGTAGATGAACGGGTATATTTTCCAATGTGTCGAGAGACCCAGGAGGACCGCAGCGACCGTCCACTTGTTCCTCAGCGCGTAGTAGAGAGTGGCGAGAACGAAGAGCGAGAGAACCGATTCGGACGAGCCGCGTGTGGAGATGGTGAAAACGAGCGGACTGAGGAGATGTAGCGAAACGAGCAAGGTCGCCCGGCGCGAGATGTCATGGGCGTCGTTGACCACGTCTTTCTGTGTCTCGCCCTGTTTAGACGGAGGGGGGTGGAGGAGAATTGTCGACACCAGCAGGTTGTACATGAGCACACCCGCGAGGATATCGCAGGCCGCGAAGAGGAATTTCCCGAAGGATGGATGCAGCCACTCATTGGGCGCGAGTAGTATGGCGAGTAGTGGGGTATAGCGATATGTCGCGCGGGTGTATGGACTGGTGGGCAGTAAAGAATTGGGTCAGTTATGCGTGTCAAAGTCGGTTCGTGAGACGATATACCTTCCAAGGTTGAAATGACCTGCTAACGGGCCCACTGCGCGATTGCCTTGCGACGGAGCGAGGACAAACCTAGCAGCGTCACTGAATACGCGGTAGTCCACATCGGTATACTTCACCATCGAGCGTGCGTCATGCCATTCACTGTACGCGATGAGCGCGAGGCGCAAGAGCGATGAGATGACGAGGATGCTCGAGAATGAGGGCACATGTCGGAGGACGTCGTTGAAGGTCAAGGGCATGACGCGTGTGACTGCGTCCACCAGCGCACAAGACAAACCTGACGCCTGCGCAGTGCGGAAGCTCGTCGCCGAACTTCCAGCCACCAATTAGTCCAAGTGATCATCTTGCTAGTGCTGACAGTCTGAACGTCGATGGCGCACTTGCACACAACTTGAAGGTCCGAATGGCACATACATTAGAAACGGAGGGCAAAGAAAAACACAGCTGACATTCCAACAACACAGCGAACAAGGATGTCAAGACTAATAGGAAAACACATAGGTCTACGCCGGGAAATGACTACGAGTGATACTTTAGCCAGATGGTAGCGAGTATACGTCCGGTACTGATACTCAAATCTGAGGGAAGGTGGATATCAGCCGTCAACACGGAAGTTCAGCAATGCGAAGTACGCACGTATTGTGAGAGCCATCGGAAACCTTCTCCGTACCCTTGACGCTGCACAACCGAGCACATGAAGATCTCAATGGGGCGGATATCGTTGAGGGGGACCTTTCCCTGAAGCCGACGTGAGAACGCGCAACGGGGGGTGAGGCCAAAACACCCACCTTGCCCGTGGTCTGGTATAGCCCAAGCTGATGCCTGAGTTCGTCCTCGCTCACCGCCCCAGGTGCGTCAATCTTGTTGCCGAGGATAAGGAAGGGCACCTTCGACAGCTCTTCGATGGAGAGAAGAGCGTCAAGCTCCGCCTTCGACTCGGAGAACCGCTCGAAGTCGGCACTGTCGACGAGGAAAATGATGCCGTCGACCTCGGGGAAGTAGTCACGCCAGAGACGACGCGCTATGGAGACCTTGAACGTTCGTGACTGTGGAAAGACTCAACTACGTGGGGAACGCACCCTGCTGGTGACCACCAAGATCATAAGTCGTGAACTTCACGTTTCCAATGGCAAGCTCCTCCGACGCTGCATGGCATGTCAATGCGGATTGCACCTCATTGTAGACGGTTCACATACTTGGGTGGAGTGTGGGTTGGAGGGTCGCTAGACGGTCGTTCTTGAGCATGTGCAGCAGAGTCTGCACACAAAGTCAACATATGCGCCCTGTTAGGACTGGTAAGACACGTACGGTCTTGCCAGCATTATCGAGACCCAAGAAGAGGATCTTGGCGTTCTTGTGCAAAAGGCCTGCAGAGGCTCAGCTCAGTGCCAACTTGTGATGGGAGCTTGGGCATAGAACACACCAAGCTGAGCAAGCACGTCCCAGAACCAGTTGATGATGAACATGGCGTCGTCGGCGAAAGAGGTACAGAGAAGGGAAGGGGGAGAAGGAGGCTGAAGCTGAAGAGGTGGGAGTCTCTGGCGCCTCAGTTTAGAGTGACGTGGACGTAGACGCCCTCGCTCGAGACCTTTCTAGCTTTCCAGAACACACCGCGCTCGCGTGATAATCAGCGTGGCTTGGGGCAGGCATGTTTGGCAGTTTGAAGATTCATTGTCAAAGGCGGATAAGCAATTTGATGATACGAAAGCATTACTTGGACTTGGCTTCTCTTTGAGCCATAGCCCACGGGAATACAAGATATGGACGAAGGCTCAAAAGCCCACTGCTCCTCCGCAACGTATGGCGACGCACGAGTAGTAATTTAGTGGCATTACACAAAAGCGGCCATGACGATCTACTACAAAAAGATGCGCAGAGGTTCTGACACTCACTACACCACGACATCCCGGAAGGATGGGTGCGTGAGCTCTATTGTCCTCCCCAACCTACGGTATTTCTCTCCGCATAACCGAATCGCCGTGACCTTCGTGTTGAGGAGAAGGACAGGCACTGTCTAAGAGGTTGCGTGAAGAGTTGGGTCAGAGCTGCAACCCATCCTATAAAATCCTCTTGTTTGGCTGTGTTTGCCTTTTTCACGTGACACATATGCTTCCTCTAGCTACAACACTCAGATTCACAATTTCACATAGCAAGCTTGAAGCTTTGATGTTCCGTTAGCAAATACTGCACAACTATACAGAGTACAACTACGCGAGGTCTTCCAGCCACTCGCGCAGGGGTGACAAGCCGTCGCCCCCGGGATGTTTTTCATCTGCCACCGCAGCGGCCTTCCCAACGTTCACCGAGGTGCCAAAAAATGCAACCTCCCCGCCCTCCCACTGCGCGAACTTGAACTCACCACTCCCAGAGCATTCCAACCCACTCATCTTCGACTCAGACTCCTCTGCGCCCAAACTTTCGATGCCTACAACGTTCACCTGTGAGGCTCTGCGCTTCTCCAGTTCACGTTCAAGGATGGTCTTCACGCGATTGATGGCAAGCTGGTCGCTCGTCGCGCTCGCAGTGGCTTTGAGAAGGTCGCATTTGTGAGCGAGAATACTCAGAGAGGGGGTTTCGCGAGATGGGGGAAGGGACGTCAAAGCGTGGAGGATCATGTGCAGATGCCTAAGGGGGAGAATAAATATCGAAGGTCACGGACGAGGAAGATAATACTTACTCCGCAACCGCAGGACAATTGCGCGAGATTGTGCTTGCATCTACGACAAATGCGATAGCTTTGGCGTGAGGCATGTATTCCGAAAGCTGGTCGCGGATACGAGGGTGTCCCGGTATGTCGATGAGACGCAGTGCCTTGTTCTTCTCCGAAAGCGTAACTTGCGCAACGTTTGTATGCATGGAGGTATGTGTGGGAAGAGTTTGCTTGTAGACAAGCTTTCGGGAGAGGTTACAGAATGACTTCAAATTCCAAGCGAGATATAGCCTACCGTAGAGAGGATCGCGGTCTTCCCTCCATCTGAGCAACCGGCAAGGATCAGAGCGTCTCCACGAGCGGAAGTCTTCCTACGAGCAAAGATAACAGTAACTGCCCGGCGAATCAATATGGCGCAGGGGCTACGCGTGCGTTTACTCACTGCCAAGCAGGATGACGGCAAGCAAGAGAGCTGCTACGATGCGTAGTTGAGGCGTAAGGGCATCGGCAGGTAGTGGAGCATCGAGTTTGACGTGTGGTTCGGCCATAGGCGGAAATATCGGTGAAGTAAAGGTGGAGGAGTGTAAGCAAGGTATTGCCACAGTTCTTCGAAGGCTTGAGGTGGCGGCTGCGCGTAGGCGCCCAAACGGCTTCCGAGATTCGCGGCCCGGAGACAGGCCGGGGTCCCTGGACGCCAGACATAGTTTGTTCAGTGAAGACCGAACACAACATGGCACAAATGTATTCTTTGACATGCCTGAACTTGGTGATGTTGTTAACATCTTCGTACTGCTGAAATGTTACCGTAAAAGGCCAGAAGCAGGCAGCACTTGGGCAGCACGAAAGGGAGTAAACCCGTATTAAATATCACGAAATGCCATTGAACTGTTGAACGCTGGTAGTAATCTACTCGGACACTTCCAAATCACGACCGAATATTCCACCAGCACCAGAAGCCTTGAAGCGAGCCTGGGCATCCGCCTTGGTGTCGCAGACAAGGCTACACAGCGAAATTAGCCAGATGACCGGGACACCTAAAAAGCGCACATACCTCGTTCCGGGGGAGTTCACCAAGGGGAGGGCAAAACACGTCAAGCCAGTGTTGCACGGCGTCAGGATAAACCGGCCTGCAACACATTGGGCAAAACCGCCGTTGATACATGCGTTCTGGCCAGATTGGCAGGGACTGTTGGCGTGGAGGCTCTTGAACTGGTTGTTCAGCCTTTGGGCCTCCTGACCGTTGGCCAAAGTGAACGAAGCGCGCCTGTGTAGACGGTGTGAGCGCTACTGTTTAGCGGAATGCAAGAGTGCTCACGCCTCGAGGTCACGGCCCTTCAAACCGCCAGATGCACCTGTCCGCGCAATGCGAGCAGCAGCATCGGACTGAGTGTCGCAAGTAACACTGGGACTCAATTGTCAACACGAAGTGCACCGGGTGACACAAGGTCAGAACAAACCTGGTGCCTTTGCTGTTGACAAGCGGCAGTGCCACGCAAATCAAACTGGCCGCACACTTTGTCGTCACGAAGTGGCCGCTGACGCATTGTGAAAACGCGCCACCGACGCAAGCCACATCGCCCGATGTGCAGGGGGTGTCGGCCGAGAGCTTCGCAAACTTGGCGTTCAGAGCTTGAGCATCCTTGCCATTCTGGAGGGTGAACGACGACCGGCGCTCCGCGACGGGACCTGCAGAGACGAGACCGAGGTAGACGGAGAGGAGCAGGAGGACAGTGCTGAAGAACTGCATGATGCCGCGAAACAGGGAGATGAAGTGGACGAAGAAGATCGTGAAAGAATGACCAGCGTGCGACTGAGCGCGAATTCGTGAGGGTGAGGGCGACCGGGCTCCTGAAGATCGGCCAAGGAGGGTCCGTCTTTTTTATACCTCCGGAGACGCATCACCTTGTGCTGACCCTTGTTTGAAATATCGAAGGCTGCACAAATCACCGCGCGAGCCCCTGGGTGCATGATTAATCCTGAACTTCACAGCCTTTCCCCTACCGCCGTGAGCTTCCGGGGATATCACATCGGGACCACAAATTTTGGACTCGGGGTTACTGTGTACTTGATAGATGTCTTCCCACAGAACGCATACGCAACACATGTATGGCATACGTTGTGAGGCTTTCAAGGTTGACTGGGGACTTAGCTGGGAGACTCACCTGCTTTCATACACGTTCCCGTAACTATTAAAACATATCTCAAATTTCTGGCCAGGGTGATTTAAGTTCGCGCCGGGGCCAACGTAATATTTTGACAGGACCTGCCGTTGCGTCTCGCTGGCGTGTTGGGATCACCCCTGGTGTGCCGCATCACATCTGGCGTAGGGAACGCACACCACTGAAAATAACGCATATCCTTGCCTGAGGATCTTTCCGACGATTTTTCTTGGGAGTTCAACTGATATGTGGAGATGCAGCGTCATGTCCAGCGTTCATCAAACGGAGGTTATTGAGCGAGGAACAATCTGGTTTACAGATCTTTCACGTAAGAACTGCGCTGTGAGAAGATTAAAAACATATCCAGGACCTGGTGACAGAGCGCACTGGTACAGAGACGATGATGCTATCCACATGAACAGCCAGAGGACGTTTTGGGACGTAACACGTGGTGGTTGAAGTCGAGCGACGAGCCAGGCGCTGCAGGTAGTGTTGCGATGGCTCGGCTTGGCTCGGCTTGGCTCGGCTCAGGACGGCTCCGAGAAAGCCAAAACTCGAGCCACGGCTGCGATTTCGGCTGTTATTACCAAAGCCGAGGCCAAGCCGCCCAAGCCATCCATGAGCCGCCTTTTTCAATTGGCGCTGGCCGCACAACAAATATTCATGCTTTGTAGTGGAACAGAGCAACAGGAGGATGATAGGACTGCATTTATATGTGCCCACGATGCACAGAATGTTTTAAGATTGTCAGGAGGACGATTGGACAAAGTCGACCAAACACCCATATTGCAGGCAAAACTCGAGTCGAGTCTCAGATCTCAGATCTCAGATCTGACGTCGAGTCCGATCAAGCGGGGTGCTTGATAACTACAAGTTACTTACACAAGCTACGACTTATAACACCACAACTATTAACAATTTAATGGTTAGCTCAATGTCACCTGACTGTTCAACTCCCCTCCGCCTCCGACCTCGACCTCGACCTTGATGCCGTCCTTCACGGTTCACCGGCCGCATCCACATTGTACGAGGACTTCCATCCGGAAGTCCTCAGTATGGAAATTCGGGTATGGAGGCCGCGGCGATGTACCGCGGCCCTTGTTATGGTGAGTCCCCTCCTGCACTCCCTCCTGCTTCACCCATCCACGCTGCCCCCGCCCTCGACCCTCTCATTCGCGTCGCCTTCCTTCGCGCGCGTCGTTCGCCTGTGCGTATCCCACCTCCTGCGCGTTGCTCACCTGCGTGTCGCCACCTACGCCTGCGTGTCGCCCACCTGCGCCTGCACGTCGCCCACCTGCGCGCTGCCCGCATCCTCCCTCCTTCGCCTCCGCGTCGTCCGCCTCTGCACACCTCTGCGTTACCCTCCATCTGTATCGCCTACCTTCGCGTCGCCCGCCTTCGCCTCACCCACCATCTTGTCCGCCTCATTCCGGCCCTCAGTCTGGGTCCTCTCGCGAGCCCTCCCTGTTGCCGTCCTCCGCATCCGCATCCCCGGCCTCTGGGTCCCCCGCGTTTACGTTGCCCACATGCCCTCCTCCTCCTCTGGGTCCTCCATCTCGTGTCGCCCACCTCTGCCTCCGCGTCGCCCTCCTCCGCCACGTTGCGGCCCTCGGCATCACACTCCGCCTCCTCCACCTCGTCGCGGCCCTCCGGAGTATGTGCCGCCCTCTACCTCGCCCTCCTCTGCTCTGGCGCACGTCCTGCTCTGCGCGCACATCCAACTCGCGCGGGCTCGGCACGGCGTCCTCTCCTCACCCTCTGCCTCCACCCCGCTCTCCTTCGTCTTGCCCTCCTCCGCTCTTGCGCGCGTCCCGCTCATTTGCGCGAGCACATGCTACCCGCGCGGGCGGAGCACCGCGTCCCACTGCCCCGCTGCCCCATCCCGGCCCTCTGCCTCGCCCCCTCTATGTCGCCCTCCTCCGATCTTGTGCGCGCTGGTAGAGCTGTGGTCAGCTGCCTTGCCTCCTATTTTGTCTCGGCCCTCCGCTTCCACCTGCCCCGCTGTTGCCACTATGTAGTAGTGTACTAATAAATATATTTTCGTTGCCAATCCTACGCTTGCGTCATGCAGGAACATATAAGAGAGTTCGCATAAATCCCCTTCTCTGGGCGCCCAGCGAGCGAGCTGGAAATATTCTGGAAGAGCCGGTCCTCCGTCTTGGGAGGAGGCGCCCAAGACCGGCTCTTCCAGCGGCTCAGCCATCAGTCCATTCTGGCTGCTGGCGTCAAGCTCTCCCCTCGTGGGAGGCTCGTTCTGAGCCGATTTTCCCAGCCCGGCTGACAGCCAAATGACCCGGCTGGCGCAGCCAGCCGAGCCGAGCCGAGCTATCGCAACACTAGCTGCAGGCATCTAATCTTATCTGCGTTCCATTGGCCACGTGAGCGAAATTCTCCCGCTGTGGCGGATGCATGGGCTTCCAGAGCCTGTGAGCACGGGTTCGCCTAGTTCCCTAGCCTCACATCATCCTCTACGCCGCTTCAGCGTTCATATCCCTTTGAAAATGGGAGCGAACTTAGACGTTCACGTCAACCCTCCTCCCAGGAAACGCGCAAGACTCGAATCTTCTGCACCGTCTTCAGAGCAGGAACCCCGCCTCTTCGCACCCTTTCGCGCTCTGGGTTTAATCACCAACAGTGTACCCTTCGTGATACAGACACGCTCTCACAAAGGCGCGACGGATGGTCCGCGCATACACTTGCTTACGTGCTTGGGTAAAGCTTGGGCGATGTGGGAAGGCGAGAAGATGGGCTTGCTGTTTGTAGGTACGCACTCCAGCTCTAGCAGCACATTCACCCCCCACACTCATGACTATGTGGACCATAGGTCCAGATGCACCCGCACAAATTTCGGCAATGGCTATGGACGGCAACGCAGTCTGGATTTCCTCGGGGCAGTACATCATACAGTATGAACGGGGAAAAGAGGTACGCATCCGTGCAAATGCGGTAGAGATGATCTATTGACGCATTTCCGCCAGGTGCACAGGCTCGTCAACCCCTTGGAGACCTCATTAACCAATATTCTGGTGTTTGGTCCCCAAGTCCTGGCTTTGACCGAAGACGGTAGTAGAATGTTGGTCTGGGACGCCGAGAGTGGAGGTGAGCAACTTGTGTTCGATGACCAAACACCGGATGTTCAGTTTTCCGTTAAGAGTTGCAAAAAACGATCCAGTTTGAGCCAGGCTTTACGGCCATCATGATTCACCATCCTCCCACCTACCTCAACAAGGTCCTTGTTGCAAGCAGTCAGGGTAGTATGCAGCTTTGGAACGTTCGCACGCAGTGAGTACACTGGTCAGTATGCCTATAGGGGAGCCCACTCACAGTCCGAGAATCTTTCAGAACCCTCCTCTACACGTTCCCGGCGGCCTCACTACTCGCATCGCCCTCCGCGACTTCCCCTACTGCCATCACTGCTCTTGCTCGGTCACCGGCAATAGATGTTGTTGGGATAGGCTTCTCATCTGGAGAAATATCCATTTATGATGTTCGGGCCGATGAGAAACTCATGCGCATGGTCATGCAAGATGGAGGTGTTAAGGCATTGTCCTTCCGAAGCGGTGAGCCGAGCCCAGGTCATGATGACCCTACCGACTGAATTTGCATCCCAACCCAGACGGGCACCCAACTCTAGCTTCGGCATCAACTACCGGCCATATTGCGCTCTGGGACCTGAACGCAGGTGGTCGGTTGTTGCATATCGTTCGCGGCGCGCACGATGGTGCTGTCACGGGGTTGGAATGGGTACCAGGGCAGCCAGTGCTGATCAGCTCAGGTGAAGATAACAGCGTCAAAGTGAGTGCGTTCTCCGTGCGGCTCTAGATCACAAGTTGACAGCGTGGACAGCAATGGCTTTTCGACACTCCCACTGAAGCACCTCGATTACTGAAGTTTCGCTCTGGGCACCATGCACCTCCGCATCTGATTCGCTACTTCGGGGCCGATGGAAAACAACTCCTGACAGCTTCTCGTGACCGCAGCCTGCGGTGTACGAGCGTTGTGAGAGACTCGCGCAGCTTTGAGCTCAGCCAAGGCAAGGATTTATATGCGGGCGCGTGGATTTCCTTCTTACGGGTCTCTGGATACTTTAGGCCCGCTGACAAAGAAGGCAACAAGTCTCTCCATCCCGATCGCATCACTCAAGTTCCCTGCTCCAACCGCGATCTCTTCCTCTACCACCCGATCAAAAGATTGGGATGACATCCTCACCGCCCACACAGACGAGGCTGTTGCTCGGACATGGTCGATGAAAGACAAGCGTGTCGGTAAACATGTGTTCACTGTTGCGGGCGAGAAGAAAAAAACCACAGTTGGCTCTGTCAAGGTAGGTTCACCCTGTCCCCTGGAATGCTGCGGCTCTTACTGATCCATTTCAGGCGGTCTGTGTGACAGCCTGCGGCAATTTCGGGATCACTGCCTCATCAACGGGACCAATAAACATGTACAACATGCAATCCGGCATTCTACGGAGAACGTACGAAGTTGGTTCATGCCCTGCCAACGTCACCAGCCGGTTCCGGTCGTCCGGCAAGAAGAAGGGAGAAAGGTGTATCACGGGTCTCGCGAGTGACGCGTTGGACCGAGTTCTGGTCGCTAGTACTCTGGATGGGACCATCAACGTGAGTGCCTTTGATGCCTTTTTATGCACCCGTGGACCTGACCGCACGTTGTAGTTCTTTAATTTCCACACTGCCTCATTAGAGTACACCCTCATTCTCCCCTCTGCTGTGGCAAGCATTACCTTGCATCGGGATAGCAATCTACTCGCAGTTACCTGTGACGACCTCATTATCCGCGTCATCGATATCGAAACTCGACGGATTGTTCGAGAACTAGGAGGGTTCCGTGGCCGCGTGCTAGACGTGGTGCGCTTACTACTACTGGCGCTCTTTTTAGGCTCCCGCTGATTACTTCGCAGACCTTTTCGCCTGATTCGAGATGGCTTGTCACTACCTCCATGGACTCAATCATTCGTACCTTCGATGTACCAACAGGTCGCTTGATTGATCTTTTCCGCACGTCAAGCGTCGCTACAAGCATATCGTTCTCTCCAACGAACGATTTCCTGGCTACCTCTCATGTGGACAGTGTTGGAGTCTACCTTTGGTGCGTCTAATCACTCACGCACGTTGCTGTCGCTCACTGTTGCTACAGGGCTAACCGTGCGCAATATGCCGAAATCTCATTCAAGAGTATTGTCGAGGACGATGTTGTTGACGTGGCAATGCCGTCAATGCAAGGCGTCGTGGAAGATGAAACACTCAATGCTTTGTCCGCTTTGACAGTCCAAGACAGTCCCGCCGACGTTTTTAGCACACCACCACAGCTCGATGGGGAGCTTGTCACATTTACGCTTCTCCCGCGCGCGCGCTGGCAGACCCTTCTCAACCTGGACGTCATCCAAGCTCGCAACAAGCCCAACGAACCCCCCAAACAGCCTGAGAAGGCGCCATTCTTCCTTCCTACTCTTCCCGGAGTCGAACAGCGCTTCGCGATCGAAGATCCCGAAAGGAAGAGGAAACGAGAAGCCTCAGAAGCAGAAGCAGAGAAAAAGGCTCGCATCTCAAAACGTCTGCAGCACGCGGCGGGTGACGTGGAGAGTGTCTTCTACCGGAAGTTGGCTGATGCCTACGAAGGTGGTTCAACTGATTGTAAGCCCTACCATCATTCGTGTGGACAAGGATGGCTGACCGGTCTGCGCAGACGAAGACTTCTTCAATTATGCCAAGGCGCTCTCACCGGCAGCCGTTGACCTTGAACTCCGGTCGCTCACCTCGTTGGAAGCGCTGCATATCTTCCTACACGGTCTCACGAGTCGATTGCGTTCACATCGAGATTTCGAGGCGGTGCAGGCGTTCATGAACGTCTTCCTGCGCATACATGGAGAAGTCCTTGCCTCGAACCTGGAGCTCCAGGATACCCTCGAAACCCTCGCGGCAGCCCAGCGCAAGGAGAGCGAGAGGTTACTGGAGCTCTTGGCATCATCGCTGGGAACTCTAAGCTTTGTACGGGACACGATGTAGCTTCGGCGCCATTCCTGTGGTGGTCCTCTAATCATGCAGCAGTCTACAAGACTGGAGTCCCTGAGTCCGTTCTGCTCTTCTGTCACGGTCAAGCTTTTCAGTCTACTGGTTCTGCGCGGTGGAGGGGCGGATAGATAACGGGAGGAGAAGGCGTCACCGGTGGTAAGGTGCAACCGCCTGTCATATCGCGCAGCGAACTGTCACTGAAGCCACTTCGGCGCGAATTTCAGCTTGAGACGCGCGCGGCTTGATTATGCATAGGTTGAATGAGTTCAAGTCCGTGGCAGGAGCGGCTGGTCTCTGCATGGAGATATTGAGAGTTCCAACTGCACCTGAACCGCACGCCGGTACTGCTGCACAGTGGCCCAAGCAGCGGCTTGCACATATGACCGCACCCTGGCCCGATGCGGAAGTTGCGACGATCATCCCCGGAGGGCAGGATCCCCGCCGCCGGAAGCAATACGTGTCGGATCTCCGCCGCTGTATCAGAGCTTGAGTACAGCATCCTCATATACCACAACGGACCCCACGCTCCTTCTCCCCTCCCCTCATCGAGCCCATGTCGGATGCAGTGCACGCCTTCGCAGAGCAGTAGTAAGCCGCTCCTTGCATTCGCCTTGTCGGTGTCTGATTGTTCTGCATCCAGTGTCTCTGCGGCGCGCGTGGATGCCTCCTTGACCCTCGCCGCGTACAGTAAGCCTAAGTGACATCTAATTGGTTTATTGGTGGCTCACCCCCACACTTGAACAGCAATATTGTTCTATGATTACCTGCTTACTATTATACCCGAAATTGAGTACTACTGGAGCGGCTCAAGGGCCTCCAAGTCTTTCGCTCTCTACATGGTTTGCAGATACTTTGGACTATTGGGGTCACTACCGTTCTTCTGGGAGTACTTCGGTATTTTTCTCGAACACGTGAGTAATTCATCCAGTCTATCTCAATATGTGCTCACACCATCCAGCAGCGGTAAGGATTCACTCAGACTACACGGGATCTTCACCGATAAGGAGGCAGGTGTCGGCAGCTTCAGTTCTACCATCAAATCTACGCCGCAGTTTGTCAGTTACTTGTCGCAGGTAAGGGCTTAACAAGAGATTCCGCATGTAGTGCACTGATGCTGCTCCCGCAGTGCTCCTAAGCCTGCGAACCTACGCTATATATGACTGCAGCAGACGGATGCTGGTTTTTCTGCTCGTCACGTATGTGGTCGGTATCGCGCAATTTTTGGTGAGTATATATATATCTGTGACGGAAACTCTGCGTATAGTTGTGACTCGATACTGTCGTCGATAGGCAGCCTTCCTTACCACGAAAAGCCCCCTTGCCACCGATATTTCATTGGGCTTCAAGTACGCCGAGTGCAAGCTTACGCTCACAGAAGTCCAGCGAGTTACACATCTTTCGGATCAACTTCACTGATACTAACACACCTTACGCAGAGGCATTCGTAAGAACCGACCCCCTCACCTCATTAGCAGCAGCTGAAATCGTGGTTTCCCAGACCTTGCAATAGCCTGGAGCACAATGTTATGGTTCGATGCTGTCATATTCGCTTTAACGCTATACAAGGCCATCAAGGCCTGGAAGGACTCGTTAGCCTCAGGAGGGTTGCTCCAGACTATGTAGTACCGCGACGGTGAGTTCACCTTGCGCCGGAGATCCGCCAGAGGCTTAACCTCAAGTCCATTCGAAGGAACAATCTACTTTGCGTAAGCACAATACCTGGCCATCGTGGGGGACCCTCGAGCTCACCTCGAACGCCGCCGACGTAGCATTCTTATCGTAGCCAACATCGTGAACATCGTGACACTCCTCGTCAGTGTTTGGCTGTATGCTCCCAACCGACTCGAAACGGCTAACCGGGTTATTTTGCAGGTCGTTCCGGTATGTCACTCTTCCCCATTGCGCGAGCTGACGTGCAACATACTCAGTCGTTCATGGCATGCAGGCTCAGTTGCCGATGAAGGGAATGGCTGTCATGATCACAAACGTGTGAGTCGAAATAATTCGTGGCATAACCCATTTCCCGAGACCCACGAACGACGGTTCACCAGGCTGTCATCTACGCTGATGTCGCGTTTAATGCTCAACCTTCGAGACCCGGCAATTCAAGTTCGACGTCGTGCGGATTCCAGCCGCTGGGACAACATGGGGCTCTCCGAATGCACCACAATCTCGTTTCAGCCCCCCGGACAGTCAACCTGCGCCACGCTCACGGTTGACGATAATGGTGGGACACCGAAAATATACAGGGGCCCCGGGGTGTAGAACGAGAAACAATACTCAGTAAGCTGTGCGTAATAGGACATTAAGTCCGCACTAACAATGCGTATAGGTAACGGCTATGTAGGGGCTACTTCAAAGATAGTAATCGGGTAATGACGGGCTGGGGTCACGCTAGTATGCGACAAGCTACTGGAAGAGTTCGGAGGGAAGGAGCCTAGTCCATACATTATCACAGTGTTGTTCGGCCCCTATGGACACCTCCAAAGCGACCCCGCGCCGCCGACAAGTAACCTCTAAAGCCCTGAACGCGTCGAGCCATTCTCTCTGGCGGCCCCGGCGCTCCACGCGCCTGAGAGAGAGGAGGAAGCCAACATTTTGTAGAGTGGGCAAGTTCCTGTCGTCCTCCAGGAATCCGTGTAGATACCAGACATCAGAGGTAGGAATGATCCGACACCGCCGGGCTGTAGTTCCGTCCGCTCGTCCGCGATTGTCAACGTCTTGATACTGGGTGAGAGTGAAGCCGAAGTCGCAATAGCTATGTTACTTGAAGGCATAGCATATTCCAGCAGATCAGAACACAGCTCTAGAGGACGGGGGTTGAAAGGTGCGGCGGAGAGCTGGCGCAGGCCTTGGGCATGAGTTTCCAAGAAGCGAGTCTCGTCTTTAGCCCACGCGACGGCGCGCAAGCAGAGGGCGTCGAGGTGAGGGAGTATCCAAGATGAGGGGTCATCCGCCCACTTCAAGCCCTCCGAGACAACCAATATGCGCAGAGCTGGTAGATGGACAGGAGGAAGGGTGACAGCCGTGTCCTTGGTTTGGTTCGGCGACAGCCAGAGAGCCGTGAGTGAGGATTTGAGAGGCTTCACTGTGGTGTCCATGAGACGGAAGTCGTACTTGAGCTCCAGACGCCGAAGGCTGGTACTCCTTCCAACGACGGCCATGGTATCCATGTAGTGGGGATTGTCGAAGAACGCAGGAGCGCAGGAGCAGAAGACGTTCGAGAACACACGGACGTTGGGGCAAGCAGAGATGATCTGAGAGATTGCGTTCGTGTGGCTTTCCTCCCAGCGATGAACACCCTCTAGGGCGAGCTCGAGCCTGATAGTGGACGAGGAATCCTTCATGGCGTGCCGTGTCAAAGCGTCGGAAATTGCGATAGCATGGTCCCCGCTCTTGACCAGGAGGTACCTGAAAAGACAGGGAGTTCCGAGGGCATTCCACGTCTTGCAGACCCGTATGAGACGCAGCAGAAGATTTGAGGTTTCGCGATGTCGCTTGTGAATAACGATGCCATACTCGTCTCGCGAAAAGGCGAGCAAGGCTTGCCCGTTGTTGTGAGAGTATGCTCCAGGGATGTCTGTGGCACGCTGAAAGATTTGCATCCAAAGTTCGGCCGGGAGAGTCGGTCTCATGTGCGCGGAGAGGGCGGGTCGTGGTCAAACTCCGAGGAGAGGTGCAAGCATCCGCCGACGGTGCCGCGTGCGGGAGCCCACCGGGCCGTGGGTGACCGCCAAGTGGCTGGCAGTTCTCCCATGTCCGACTTGGTCTCGGTCTACACACCCCCTCCACCTGTCCTGCAATGGATCCGGCCATGCCCGTTACCGTCGCCAAGGGTGCCCTGCTCACATGCGAGTTCGTTTACCCGGCTCTCAACGACGTGAATGATACTGACCAGTATATTACGCCCTGCAGCTGTCACCGCGGGTACACTGACAGGCTCATACGCCTTTCTCAAGTCGTACCCTGACGCGATCCACCTGGCGATGCGGTCGGCGACGAATGGGGGAGTTGCAGGCTCATTGTTTTTCGGTACGTCCCCCAAACCAGCTTCCGGCTGTCGCCGCCGACGCGAGCTTCATGCCTCCAGGTGTCCGTGAAGCCGTGGTCTGCCCCGTTTTCCGCATGGCTCAGGACAGTTCAAGTAATGCGTCTGCCGAGTCACCCATCCCTTCACGCCATCATGGTCGCAAATGAGGATGCACAAACTTCCCGAAACCGCTATTAGTGGTGCTTTCACTGGAGGTGTAATTGGTGCCTACCGGAGTACGTCTCCAAGTGTCCATACATCGGCTTGTACTGAGACCCTTTTCTTAGGTGGTCCTTCTGCTGTATGGGCGGGAGCGCGGACAATAGGTATCATCTGCACCGTCTTGCAACTCGCTTTCAACGAGCTTGAAGTAAACCGCGTCAAATTTGTTGCGGCCCAGTTTCAAGAGGCGAGAAAGCAAGAGGCCATCCCTCTGTTGTCCACAGGAGAAGCCGGAAAAACTCGATCTTTGACGGATTCATGACCATGATTGGGTTTAGAAGAGTATCGCACGAAGAACATATCGAGAAACTGAAGAAGCAACGAGACGAGGCTCTGAAGCGGATAGCGATACTGGAGGGGGAACGACTAGCGATGTCACAGCTGGAAGGGGAGACCGGCAAGTCATGCTGACCCGACGCTACCATTGCATTTAGTCGGTGTATATTATATCGAGTATACATAATACTAATCGCACCACACCATACTCCACTCGTGATGTCGCGAAGTGGCCTATACAGTCGGAGACGAAGCCCACAACCCCCGCATACACAGCGCATCTGCCAACCCTTCTCCCAGGTCTGCCACGGGCTCATCCCGCCCTCAAACCCAGCTTGCGCTCCCCGACGACGTCCGAGCGACCTCCACAGCGCACGCACAGCACCGTCGCCACGCCGCGCCATGACATACCCTTACGCACGACATCCATGCTCTTGTCCTTCAACGGACCCGCGGGACGCTCCGAGACGGTTATTCGTGAAAGCCCGTCCGCAAGGTCGGACGGTTTGACGAAGAGCCGCGCACGGTCGATGGCCTTCGAGGTGACGATGCGGTCGACGGCGCTGCGCACGTGTGGCTTCAGCGAGGGCACTGGGCAGCAAGACGCCAGGCTCCGGCGAAGATCCTGCGCTGGATGGGAGTTAGCTTCTTTCGGCGCGGCTGGGAGCGCAGTTTCTTACCATCCAGCTTCTTGCAATCTTTGAGAATGTCATAAAGCAGTGGCCCAACGAGCTGGATGTCGATGCCAGACCCTCCTGTAGTATCCATCAACACGTCCTTCGCGATGTGGGAGCTCTCCCCTTTCGCGGGGAGCTTGGCGACTTGGTCGTGGAAACGCTTCACGTGCTCGAGAGCACTATGGAGGTGGGCGAGCGCGTATGGGTGGGTGAGGTGGAGGAAAATGGGACTGTCAAGAGTCGTAGCAGAACCTGAACATATTCGATGATCGGTGACTGTGGTAGAACGCCGCAAAAACACACTCACTGGCCGTGGAAGTGGGGAGCGTAGGTTCCGGCACTCTCCGACGAAGATACACTCTTTGAAGAGATTTTCAACCAACTCGATGATCCACCCCGTCATCCCAGCCAGCTGCCACACAGCATCTGCACAATCGCATGAGCCCGTGCCTGAACCTCAGGACTGACGCAACGCACCAAGATCGTAAATGTCGCCATCACGACAAGTCTCAAACGCGCTGCAACACGCAGAAAGGGAGGCAATCTCATAAGACACCTGCCAGCGGGCTGTGCACACGTCTTTCTCTGCACTTCTCTCTAGTCGCTTGGCCCTGGCGCTGAAGGCATCTGACGTCAGGCAAAATCGAGTATTAAGAATACCACTCGAACCTGTACACTTCCGCCGCGACACCTAGAAGCTCGGCTATCCACATGTCCGGCAAGCCGTTCGAGTGCCGCTCCATGGAGCTCAGCGTTTGAAATAGGGTGTCCACCGTTGCATCTGGTGGCAGAGTTGGCATTGCTAGAGCGTGGATGACGTCTGATGTCGAATATCGCGAACGAATGGCTGCGACAAGATGTCTTGATAGGTCTCCATGTAACTGCGAACTTGATGCTAGAGCCGAATCTCTAGATACTCGCCGCGGAAGGTTTTGAACAGCAAGATGAGAGCCGAGGAGAGGGGATGAAATACAACATATCAGTGTCTCGTTAGGGGAGAAGGCGACGCTGACGGGTACTGTAGATCATCGACGTTATTGCATGCTGTACACGAGCATGATCATATAAGCTTACCATCCACGGTACCAACCTGAACATGAGAATGAAGAGGTACACTTTCCCACATATCATGGGTGCTCAAATCTGGGCTAACGGAAAAATCAGTCACACCGCGCGAAACGTTGTTCTACTACTCACATTTGTAGTATCTCGATTGCACCCACGGTGACTTCGTTTGACTTTGATTTCTTATGGGGCAGGAGGCCGCCGACATCCAAGAAGCCTACAGCCAGGCCATTCCGAATCACTGATGGAACAAGAAAGCACGGACCTTGGTTTGACACAAGCGTTTATGTTCGCTCTTCAGAGACTGTACAACAAATCAATAATGAGAATACTTCACGCGGATAAACACGGACCCAACCGCTATTTTGAACAACACACTGGTAAGTGTAAGAAGCTAGCTCTACTTTGGGTGGGGATGTATCTTTGAGCGGCAAGGTGAGTATTTTCAGGACTCCAGAGAACAGTACGGGCACTTACAATCGCCAACGTCATAATATGTTGCTACGAGGGTGAGATTCGGCCTAGATTCGGGTTGTGATTGAGGAATTGGCGAACAGCAGAAAACCAAGTCTGCCAGTCGAGCGCCAGGATGTGCGATAGAGGTGAGTGGGCGAGTCATGACGGCTGTTCATATACGGGTGAATCACAATCTCTCAACCGTGAACCGACCATGACTGACGGGTAAAGTGGCTCTGTACTCGATGCGCACTTCACAGATAGAAATGGTTTGCTCCTCGCCCCATAGATCCCACTCTGGATAAGGAGAGCTCTCTGTTGGTGGTTGACTTATGTCCATACCTATACTGAGATCCATAACGCCCGAGTTGGGAAACAATTGATTCGAGTTCTGGAGGGTAGAAGATGTGACTGCATGGCGACCAAAATTGTGGGCTCTGCACAGATTAGCACGGGAAATGTTACGTGCATCGAGAATACTCACGTTGGTAACATAACCCGATGGCAGCCTTCACGCACACTTTGTCTCCACCTAGCTTACCGACCGAGCTGGGAATCTCGGTAGGTACTGGGGATGTGTAGGTTGAAGCAGGTTCGCGCGAAACTCTTTCGGTTTCCCTATCGGTGACAGGCTGTACACATGAAGGATGTGGCTTTCCGTGACTAGTAGTAGCATAACGGACGCCGCAACAACCGCAAGGGACCTTTCGGAGGGAGACGACTAGGAATATCTGCGTCGGACACAATCCACTGTACACTTCAGCGTAAGGCATAGATTTCTCACGAGAAGACAGAGCCATACCTCACGATGCGCAGATGTCCAGGCGGCACAGACGATACCGCTTCCGACGGGATACTCCCAGAACTCCCTAAGTTCCCACTTGTCCAACTGGGCTTCTTTTCGCCAGGCGCATCCAATACCGGGACATGATTTTCCGGGGAAGTATGCATACAGCCAGTCATCGGTGGAACAAAGGGACAGGATTGTTGCCGGTTCATAGTTGTTTGCGAATGCGACCTGGAGAAGTAATGGAGGGGGAGGGAGCACAAATTGGTGGGAGGAAGGGAAGTGTCTCCCAGAATGTATGGTTGAGTCTCATGTGGGGTGAATATCGCTGATGTTTTGCTCCACTGAACGGGTCTGAGGAAGGGCCATGTGGGTTACAAGCGAAGGTGTTGTGTACGGACAGACGAACCTTCGGGTGCCTTCTAAGGCGTGAGACAGATCCCACCATCCCAGTTGCCAGTGTACGCTATCCTTCGTCTTTCCCTTCGCTGCCAGGGGGATGCTTCGTTCATGCATGACTTAGCGTTCTCGCCGATTCGAGGAGTGGTGCGGGTATCAGCCACAGGTGTGACGGAGTAGTATGAACCTCTGTTGGGTACGACGCTTGCAGATGCACTCGTGTGTGCAGAAAATGGTGTTGCGTACGAAAGGGCGACGCGTAAATCTTGCGGCAGATGCGTGTAGACAGGGATGGGTCACTGTCCAGGTCAGACGGATGCACTCAGCCACAGCTTGCTCGACAAGACGCGTCGCGGGAACCGGGCGCGCTGCCAGACGCGCACATCACTGTCCGTAGGACCGTGCCCCCATTTGAGATCCTCACTCATCGTTCAGCCTCATGCTCCAGTCCGCAACAGCGATCAGGAAGTTGGAGGGAGTGCAGACCGACGTGCTCCTACAAGCGTTCTCGGACCGAATCGTCGTGCTTGTCACTCAGCTGGGCAAAGTCGGCAGCTTGGTGAGTTGAGCAGTCGCATAAACGAGACCACGATGGGCTGACAAGCTTCTCAGCTCCAAGCAACCATCCCTTCTACGATGCCTTTGCTGCCTCCTCCGCCTCCGGATCCATCGCAGCCCAACGTAGTCCCTCTCCCCGTCCCGCCCCCTCTCTGCAGATCGTTCCCTTGTTGGGCAGCGCACCATCAGAGCGCATTCATACGCTGCACTCTCTATATGCGTCGCAAATTGCCACTCTAGTATGGACCATGGAAGAGGCGAGCGTCATGGAGGCAGACAGGCGTGCGGTGATTGTTGGGGTCGCTTTGGCAAAAGTACCTGGAGCGACAACATCCGAGCTCACGGGACAAGACAGGGCGACTTTCTACGGGGTCATGGAAATGGTGAGAGAGTTGTTGATACAGAAGACAGCAGATAAATGTATGCGATCTCTGTTTGAAGGGCCGAATATACACTGATCATGCACGCTGTCAGAGAACGTCTACCGTTGTCAATGTACGATATCCCGCCGAATGTCACGCCTTTGCTGCTATTGAGCTCGTGGGAGGAGCTGCGCTCGTGATGCCGTATGCTTCCGACAGCAGGCCACCTTATCTCCGTCATCACAACAGCAGAGCGATCGCTTCTTCCTCTCTCCCACCACCCATCCTCAGGCTTTCGCTCTCAGCCTTCACATCCCCATCTCGATTGTATGTTCACCAGTTCGATATCTAGATGTTCTCACAATACTGAATTGTCTCCTGGGGTTCAGTTTTATGCGACTGCTTGATCTTTGGACAGGCCTATTTGTCTCGGTCGACCATCCTCAAGATGTGTCCTTTGCTATCCTCTCACACGTCTGGGACGGCAGCAACGAGCTTTCTTACGAGCAGCTCTCTCGGATCCAAACTGAAACCCTCGCCTTTTCAAAAGGGGATACGTCTCAGGATCAGATCATCGACAAGCTCCCCCCGAAAGTGAAAAACTTCTGCCTCTATGCCCGCAAGCAAGGCTACAAGTATGGATGGGCTGACATGTGCTGCATTGACAAGAGCAGCAGTGCCGAGCTTTCGGAGGCCATCAACTCCATGTACGAATGGTATCGGCAGGCCACCGTCTGTTACGCCTATCTCGCAGACGTTGATGACCACGGCTGTACCGATCCCTTATCCGTCGCTCGGGATCAGCTCGCCTCGAGTCGGTGGTTTACGCGAGGATGGACGCTTCAAGAACTCATAGCCCCGCGGGTTGTAGTTTTCCTTTCCAGGGGATGGCGCCTCCTTGGAACCAAGGACAGTCTTTCTCGCACAATCACACAAGTTACGGGGATCAGCCACGACATACTCTCCCATTCAGCACCCATCTCCAGCGCCACCGTTGCCTGCCGTATGTCCTGGGCTGCCTCTCGCCGGACCACCAGAGTTGAAGACGAAGCGTACTCACTCCTTGGCATCTTTGGAGTGCATATGCCTACTATTTACGGAGAAGGCCGTCATGCGTTCCTTAGGCTGCAGGAAGAGATTATGAAGCAAGTCCCAGACCAATCCATCTTTGCGTGGGGGCCACAGATGCGGTGGGAGGACGGGATCGACAAGATTGCCCCCCTTGTTCCCTCCCATTCCTCGTCGTCTACACACTCACCGGCACTTTTGGAAGGCAGTCTGCTTGCGATGTCCCCACGCGACTTCAAGGACGCGTCTGGAACTCATCCCCTTGCGGCTACAACACATCCCGACTTCCGAAACCTTCTCGGCAGAGACATCCCCCTTCCATCGTACTCAGTAACGCCATACGGCATTCACGCGACACTCCCTATCATCCCACTTAGTGTGTCGACGGATATCAGTCGTCCGCAGGTCCTACTCGTTGTGCTCGCTACCGCGGATACAGGCGCCCCGCCGAACAAGCTCTTCGCGTTGCTTTTAACGAAGCAAGCCAGCTCCCTGAGCGCGGTCTTCCTAGCCGGCGGTGTCTTCTCTGACCCAAAGTCCGGTGGCACGACGTCGCGAAAACGGATCGTGCTCGTGTCACCGACAATGATGACCCGCCTGAGAGCATCGATTACGCTCAAAGAACTCCACGTCTTCCATCGGCCCGCCAACATCCATGATCTTTCTCCACATACACGTCAGCTCTCACTTCCTTGCGTCACGACCAACCGTACCGACCCCAGTGTAGCTGTTGCACCCTGGTGCCTTCAGCTACTTACCGCCCAAGGATTCTCCGTCTCCACACCGCATGGCTCGAATGGAGTTGAGGGCGATAACATCCTTGCGTATAATACCTTCGTCCTCATCCGTTCCGATATCTCCGTCCAGGTCGCCATCGGCCATTGCGTTAGCGCGGAGCCCCACTGCCACCCTACGATTGCGACCGCACAGACGAACGAGCGTTCCACGCGGATCTCTGTGACCTACTGTTCCGTATCGCAGTCGGAAGAGTCGACCGGCAGCAAGTCTGAAATCAAATTCTCCCCTCATGTCCATGAATTCTCTCGCCGGTCCCTCACGACGTCCTCCGAATCCTTCAGCTTCCCCTCTCTCGTTCTAATGCTTTCGCTTCGGAAGGGCGGTGATCGTGACAGCAATGGACTCGATCATATCGTTGTGGATATTGAAGTGGTGGACGACCCAGCAGAAATAGGCAGTGGTGGTAGCGCATAGTGGTCAGGTATCTGCAGGCACCGGGTATGACCAGACTAGAACTTGTGTTAATACAAAATCTCGGTCTCGAAAAATTCCACTGGGTGATAAAGCCCTTCCGCCGGCATGTCCTTGACGGTGATTGGACTGTCCACCTGCAAGTGGTAATCCCATGCCTTCGAAGGTAACTCTGTTCCATGTCTAGCTCGCATAGTACTCCGCGAACTACACCGTGGGCGAGATCTCCCAGACTTCCACAAACCCCTTGCCTCCTTTACCAAATCCTCCTACAGCAACGGACGAGCCATTTGCAGTCATGGCGTTCACCTTTTCGAGAGAACGACATGTTCGTTCTCGGGATTTTGCAACTGACAGGGTATCTTCTGCGTCCCGGGACACAACATATTCTGTGATAGTGCCGAGCAAAGTGCAGGTGATCAGACGATCGGCCTGCACAAATGCTCTGAAAGATCGCCCGTATCAGCATAGTGAACGCCAACCTCCAGACAGTTATGAAGACACGTACGTCGCAACGACGGGCCCTTCAGCGACCTGTAGCCACGAACCTGCGTCAGTCTTGAGTCCCTCCCATTTGCGTGTTCGTTTCTTCTTCGCTGCACCTGGTCTCTTCTCGCCTCCACTTCCGATCCAGACGCGGCCGTCCGCTGTGCTTGCAGCTAAAAGCCCCGAAGGACTGACCGAGAGCGAGAGAACAAAGGGCGGTGAAAGTGAGACACTTTGACCAGGTGTTGGTGGCACAGACGCGATGTCGAATCGTGAGAGAATGATCCCTTGTGCGACGTCAAAGTGAAGCACAGCGGAGTCGTATCCCCCACTGACAAGCTCGCTGGGCCGATCAGGGATAAATCTGGCAGACCCGCATACCTGTGAGGGCGAGAGTACTTGAGTCGGGTGATGCACTCGAGCAGAAGGCAGCATACATTTGTGTGTCGTGTCTTCATGCGCGAGATCGATTTGTTTGAGATGTCGACAATCCCGACCGCGCCGGAATCGGAGCTAAAGGCGAGGGTTTTCCCGTTGTCACTGAGAGTCAGCTGGCTATTCGGAGGAGGATAAGTTGGAGAGGCCACCACTGTGATGCGAAAGGCGTGCCTCGTTCAGAAGATCGTCATCGTCTTCTCCGATGAAAATCTCAGCTATCGCATCATCTTTACTCAGGATCATTTTCTGGGACTCTGTCGGCAGGCAAAACACCTAAGAAAGATCAGCCCAACTCTGAGAGGGAGAAGATCGCTGAGGGCGTGACGTACGTTGCGCCCTGAAGCTACCCATGCTGTCTCCGGCTCATTTCTGTGCTGGCTGTGTATCGAAATGGATGATATCTCATCTCCCAGAGACTTGATCGCTTTCACTACTTTTGTTGACGGCAGATTATACCACCGGAGGCACCCATCGTCTAGAACTTCTGTCAGGACGCTTGGCGCACTCACTGGGGAGAAGGGCGTTCACCAGAGCCTACGTAGAGCGTCCCCCTGGCCCGAAAGCGAGGGCGGAGACGGGGGACGGGATAGCAAGCGACGCGTCTGGGACGGCGGTGGCGGACATGAGATCTTGAGAGAGAGAGAGAGTAAAGCCGGGCCGGCGGGCAGTGGTGGGCGCATCGAAGCGAGTGGTAAGTAATCGCGATCCGGCGCTTGAACGGGCGCCTGGATGAATACTCCAGGACAAGCGGGGGCATAGTCAGGTTCGCCGTTATCTCTTCGACTCGGACGACCACCATCTCACAAGTGCTCAGGGAACATACGGAACCGCAGGCATGCCGGGAGAGAACCTTGTAGGCGTCACCCCGACGTCGATTGCGCCGAAATCCATCGCGGACTTGGAAGCGCTGCTCAAGGACGATATCAAGGTCAAAGTCGCAGGTCGGTCGCAACTGCGGATTTGACACATCGATCGTTGCTCACAATGGACCAGGGATCGATGGTCAGTTGCTTGGTGGCCCCTCGCTCACGCCACGCTAGAGACTGACTTCTGACGTCAGTCGACGGCGTGTTGAGGGGCAAGTACATGGTAATGTGCTCTCGTTGTCACAGGCTCGGCATACATTAATCCCTCATCAGTCCAAAGAGAAGTTCCTGAGCGCGGCGAGCTCGGATGGATTTGGCTTCTGCAGTGTCATTTTGTGCGTTTCTAGTCGCTCTCGGACCCATAGGCTAACTCACTCCAAATACTCGCAGCGGATGGGACATGCACGATGCCGTCTATTCCAGGGAGTTGCTGATATCGAACCGGGCGAATGGCTACCGTGATTTGATTGCCTCCATTGACCTTGCCACCTACCGGCGTATCCCGTGGGAGGGCAACGTTCCTTTCTTCCTTGTCTCCTTCTACGATTCAGAGACAAAGGAAGCCATTTGTGCCGACCCCCGAGGCGTGCTCCGCGCCGTTGTGTCAAGGGCACAACAGAAGGGGTGGAGATGTCTCGCAGGCTGCGAGTATGAGGTAATTTCCTTGGTGGTCTCTCCTCATTATCGGCTTAACGTTTTATGCATTCCAGTATTTCCAATTCAAAGGTACGTAGCATGAGGACACAGGGGTCATGAATGTTAACGATGAGTCGTGACAGAGACTCCTGAGTCCTTGGCTCAGAAGAATTTCTCTAACATTCAGCCTCTCACTCCCGGCAGTATGTAAACATTCATTCGGCGCGCTTGCCGCAGGAATTGACATTGACCTCTTTTGAAGTGCATGGGTATTCTCTTCTGCGTACACAAATCAACAGCGACTACTTTAACGACATCTTTGATGAGAGCCTCAAATTTGAGGTTCCACTAGAAGGCCATCGTACGTCTTTCCTTGTGCTGGGACAGTCTCACCTCTGAAACCCCGACAGACACGGAAACCGGGCCCGGGGTCTACGAGACGGCACTGGCCTATACAGATGCCCTCCGTATGGCAGATAATGCAATTCTCTTCAAATTCCTCGCCAAGAGTATTGGCATGAAGCGCGGGGTAGTCCCGAGTTTCATGGCCAAACCATGGGGAAATGTGAGTGTCTTGTGATCCCGCAGATTTCTCGTTCTGACAAGATCAGCTTCCTGGATGCAGCGGGTACGTCAAGAACCGACCAAACAGGTTACAGCTTGCTCACCCTTTTTAGTCACATCCACGTCTCTCTGCGTGACTCCAATGGCAAGAGCTTGTTCGCGGTGTCAGAGGCCGAACTCAAGACTGGTCGCGAGAGTGCCCAATACAGCGACACCAAGTTCGTCAGCCAAGAGTGCGAATGGTTCCTCGCCGGTGTCCTCGCCGGCCTTCCCGACATCATGCCCACGGTACGCCCCCAACTTTCTTTCCGCCATTCTAGCCCCCGCACTCACATCCCCCCCTTCCTTCCCAGCTCGTCCCCACGATCAATGGCTACAAACGCCTCGTCGGAGGCGAGGCCTTCTGGGCGCCGAACGCGGTCACCTACGGCTACGACTCTCGCGCGGCCTCGGTGCGCATCATCGCCCCGCCCTCCGTCCCGCCCGCGGCGACGCGCCTCGAGGTGCGCGTTCCGGGCGCGGACATGAACCCGTACTTTGCGATCAGCGCGATCTTCGCTCTCGGCATGCGCGGCATCGAGAAGAAGTTGTCCCTCCCCGGGCCTCCGGTTTCGCAGCTCACGCTCGAGGACAAGAAGGCGGGCAAGGTGCGTCGTGCGCTCTCTCCTGTGGCGTTCCGAGGTGCAGAGCGGGCAGGAGGGCGTCAGGATCTTGCACGCCCCAGATGCGCGACTGTGGTCGGCACACACGTGTAGGCCACACGGCCAGGCCTTCTTGAACCACACTCCCCTCTTGATGGGCCGCGTGCCCGACCCATGGCGCACTTGCGAACTCATTGCTGACGCGGAGTCCCACAGGTCAAGATGCTACCCACTTCGCTCGAGGCCGCGACCGCGCGGATGATGGCCGCCGAGAGCATCGCGCGCGAGGACGCTGTCTTCGGGCCCGCGTTCGTCGAGCACTTTGGCGGCACGCGCGAGCACGAGGTCAAGCTTTGGAACGAGGCCGTGACGAACTGGGAAGGTGCGCAGCGCTTTCACTCGCTCTGTCGATCGTCCATTGATCCTGTCCCCTGCGCACCGGTACAGTTGAGAGGTACCTGGAACTTGCGTAAAGACGGCCTCATCAACGAACCCAATCGGGCACACGAAGCTAGACGTCGGGCACATCGAGGGGTGGGTTGCTGACGAAGGTATCGGAGATGAACGGGGGGAAGAGGTCGAATAGAAACTCCAGATTTGTGCGAATCGATAACCTGTACAACACGCGGTCGCGGGGCACTACGAATACACGGCATACACCTCGAACGACCTCGTCTAAACTGCGGTGGCTGCTGCCACCTCTGGCTGTGCAGCCTCCGCGGTAGCTGTGGTCGTAGCAGGTTCCGAGGGCCGATTCTTGTGCAACCATGCAAGGAAGTGAGTCACATCCTGCCAGAAGCAGATTACCAATTAGCAGTGCCCGATGTTGGCGGAGATTAGGAACTGGTCCACCCACATGAGAGATCGTGCTCGCCATGGATGAGTCGGCGACGAACTGGGGTATGTTGCCGCCTGGGGTGCTGGACGTGGCCATCCGCCATTCGACCTTGCCGTTATCGAGCTCCTGGAGGCATTCGACGCTCACGTAACGGCCCTTGACACCTTTCTCTTCCACCTTGGCGAATTCCTCTTCGCCCGTAACGTCAACTGGAATGGATACAATGATGCTGCTCCGGGCCAGTTAGTGACTGGACATCACGCGATAAGGCGGGACGGATCACGAACCCCGTCCTGGGGGACGATTCGCTGAGCCAGGTCGTCTGCACCACGGTGAACACGCGCGGAGAGACCGGGGGCGGGAATTGGTAGAAGAGCGTCCAGACTTGCTGGGTAGGGGAGATCTGCTTCACCAATTTGACTTTCTTGATGTCCGGGATGAATCTATGCCATGCCAGGAAAGCGTCAGTACTCGCAATCGCCCGTGTGCACGTTCGAGACCAGGACAAAGCGAGGGTGGTTCGGGGCTATGCGTGAACGCATGTAGTATGTATGCGGCCGCACGAGCTCTACGCGGGGAGCAATCAAGCGACGTACTGCATCTCGTTCTCCGCCTTGTCCTGGCCGAGCTTGCTCCAGAATTCGTCGAAGGTCGCATCCTCCTTGCTGTGCTCGCTCACTCGCGCGTACCAGGCGGTGCCGTCCTTTGGCCCCTTGGGGCGGTGGAAGGTTTTTACCGTATTCTTCTGGTAGCTCTTGCCCTGCTTCCAGGTCGCAGTTGAGTCGATAAGTTCGCGACCAGCCTTGATGATCGCGCTCTCGGCGGGAATGGCTGCAAGTCTGGTTTGAGTCGCCGACGGTATGCGCAGTAGCAAACAGCACGAAATGCATGCATACCCGAGACCTTGAGGGGAGTGATTGACAAGTACAAGTCTTCGCCAGACATTTCCGGTCAGTGTATCGTTCGTCCGGTCCGCGCAAGGGTTGGCGATGCAAGGGGGCGGTGTGCAGAGGCTGCGTCAGTGCGGTGAGAGCGATCGAGACGGTAACCGCGGCCGGCGTGGATCCCGAAGGCGTGCGAGCGGGGAGGAACACATGGAGGGTTATTCTTGCCCGTCACGATGGCCGCGCGGGGTCGTGATCAGGAAGAGTAGTGCAGTGGCTGAGCGCTGCCGGGCAAGGCAGGCGGACTTGCACCGCGGAGGGGTCGGAGGCCAATTCGAGCAGCATCGATGGCATCATCGCCCCGGGCTCTCCATGGCTGGCTGGGTCAAGCTCAGCTCGGGTCTTGCTTGTTCTCTGCGCTCACTCTCTCCCTCGGCCTCCGTCGCGCGCCGCCTGCAACGGTCCATTGTTTCGCTCGGGATCTATATCTATAAAGAAGGGAGCGGTGGTGTTAGTAAGCCGCGTACGTCGCTTGCAGCGATACGCGAATTTAGCGAAGTTGCCGAAATAAGCGACTCTAACCGAGGTTTTGCCATGTGGCTTCCACGTGCGCCGGCCGGCCGAGCCTGCGAGGCTGGCGCCTTTGTGTGGCCGAGCTTGCGAGGCCGCCCCAGGTCGGGACTGTCTTTCGGCCGAGTTTACGAGGTCGATGCGCGAGGCGATGATACCATTTTTTTTTTTACAGCTGGCTCAATTTTCGTGCACGAGCGCAAGTGGGGCCGTGTTCAATTTCGGAGTGGGCCACAGTGCGTAGCGCCCTCGCGCATCACCGTGCAAAGTACAGTGTGAGTCCGAGCGCACCGCCGCGAGCACCGCGCGCGCGTGACGATATCTCTGCGTGCACTGCAGACTCCCCGCGCGCGAGCCTCGCGAGGTACGGCAATAGCACGGCATCGTATCGTGGAATGGCCACTGCACCCGGTGCAAGGTCCTGTTTGGACATGAGTCCTCGCGCGCACGCAAAATGCACACGGGTGTTCTGCGGTGCATACAGAGATGTCACCACACGCGTGCGGTGCTCGCGGCGGTGTGTTCGGACTCGCGCTGCACGTCGCGCGGTGGTGCACGAGGGCGCTAATCACTGTCACCCGCTCGCGCTCCTGCCAGTGCGCGAAACTGGCTTATAATCGATATTGGACCAGCTATACGAGGCCGACCCCCCGCGACGCTTCCCTTCTCGCACGGGGGCGCGCACCAGCCGGCGCTACATTGCACTCCTACCACACGGCGCGTGGGCATGCATTAGAGTGTAACTGAATGGGGTGGGCGCATGCCCTGCGGAACTGACTACATACTATGCCTCCCCCAGAAGCGGCGGGGGTACCGCCGTTCCGCAAATATATCTCCCCCCTCTCCCCCGTTTGCCTTCCTACTCTGCACATGGGTGCCGAATCCACATGCCCTCCTATGTACCAAATTTCACGAAGAGCGGACGAGTAGGGAAAAATTGCGCAAGGATCCAATACTGGCGCACCCCCAGAAACAGCGGTTTGGCGCTGGCTCGGGTTACGCCCGGGTCACATAACACCCCACTATCCCGACAGGGTATAAAATTCTGAAATACCTGGCCGATATCACGTTATATAAGAGGGCCAAAGGCCCGCACGCGCCGTGGCAACGCCACGGGTGAGCACTAGTAATCCTCGTGCCAAGCTGCGCCTCGCGCATTGCCGGACCCAAATACCCCGCAATGGCAAGTCATGGCAGACGCCTCCCCGGGCAGGCTACGCTGCCTGTGCGGGGCGGTTCGCGCAGGGCCTGACGTATCAGAAGCAGGCGCGGCCTCCAGCCCACTCGACTCGACCGACTTTGCGCGATTGACTCCAGCTCCCACCGACCTGGGCTCGACATATTAGGTCCTCGGCTGCGCGCCAATCCGCCCTTCCTCCTTCCATCCGGTGTCCCCGCTCGACGAGCACCACCCCATGGCTGCCGCCCTCGCCACTCTCCCGCCTATCGTCCCCGCACCGGCCCAGTCCACCAACGAGCAGCAGAGCTTGGCCCGCCTCACCCTCAACCACATCCTCTCCCCGGAACTTTGGGACCTACCAGAATGGAATGGCCCGCAGTGAGTCAACTCCCCGATTCCCTACTTCCACCGCGTTAACCCCGTGCGCCGCGTAGTGTCGAGGACCCTCACAATGTCGCCGAAAAGGTCGGTCTCATGTCTTTTCCGTCCTCGTGTAGCCAGTACCCATCCGTCTACCCCAGATTGAGAGCATAGACACCTCCGTCGCGCTCCTCAAGCGTTACCGCAACTCCCTCCGCCCCGTCCACAGACTCTCGCCGGATATTATGGCGCTCGTGTTCATCGAGATGACCACCGACTACGACAGTCCCCTCCACGGTTCCTTCGGCTCCTGCTCATGGTCGTACATCGCCCATGTATGCTACCGGTGGCGCGCAATCGCCCTCGCGTGCTCCACCCTCTGGACGCAGCTCAGCACCCGATATTCGGACGCCGCCCTCACATGCCTCGAGCGTTCTGTGGACGCACCTCTCTCGTTCGTTATCGACTCTCGAGCTTCCGTGGACAACGCAAAAGACCTCGTCGACCGCGTTTTGCCCCACATGCACAGGATGCGCCAGCTATACATTCCCTGGACGCTCCTCCATGACGATGCTGGAAACGTTTCCCAACTCGTGTCTGGCCTCATCGACGCCTCGGCACCCCTGCTCGAAGTGTTCCATCTTTACCAAGTCCGCAATGATGGCAAATGTTTCGCCCTTCCCCCCATATTCGGAGGCCAAACGCCTCGCTTAACCCATCTGAAGCTCGTTTACTCGTTCCCTCAAATGGAGTCGGTGTCGTTATCCAACCTGAAGGAGCTATATATCAAGGGCAGGAAACGGGATTTGATCACCATGGAGCTCGCCCGGCTTCTGGACATGCTGGCTTCTTGCCCTGTGCTTGAAGTCTTCGTCACACTGAAAGCACGCTTCGTAATCAACGAGCCGCTCGAGGAGGAGGGCGAGACCCCTCGCCAGATTCGACTGGACAACCTCCGACGAATCGACATCGCGCGCTGCTCAGCCGGGGTTGTCACCGATCTCCTCAGTCGTCTCATCATTCCCAATTGCCAGTTACGCATGAGCGTGTGGCTGGAGCGCGGTAGCGACTTCCGGTTCGTCTTCGGGGTCCCCCTCGAGCTCAGCGACGAACATCCACTCCGGGACATCCGCAAGCTGCACGTCAACTACCGCTCCAGCATCGGCGCCCTCACGCTCGAAGGCAACACGGGTGCGCATCCCTTCCACCTCTCGGCCACGATCCCGAACGGGTCCGACATTGGGGACATGCCGACAGTCTCCGGCCAGCTGCTTCTTTGGGTCGCCAAGACGCTAGACCTCGGTCTCCTCGAGGAGTTTGTGATTGCGGAGTCGCAGTACTACCACCCACACATCGGCTTTTCGCGCGAGGTCTGGCTCCAAGTCCTTTCGCGCATGCCGCTCCTCCGCACACTCCACATCCGCCTGCAGAGCATCACCGACTCAGGCTTCTGCCGCGCCATCCTCTCCGCGCTCAACACCTCGGACGAGATCACGGGCAAGTTGATGTGCCCGCTGCTCGAGCAGATCATCCTCGTCGACGACAAGACGTGGTCGTCGCTTCAGTGGTGGAAGTTCGCGCAGGCGCGCAAGGCGCAAGGCCACGGGCTCAAGCGACTTTCGCTGTGCCTCCCCCACTACGAGAACGTGGAGGACATGGCGGACACGGATCTCACGGAACTACGCGAAGTGGTCGAGATCGTCGACCTGGACCCGCAGGAACCACAGTCCCCCGTGTTTGCCAGTACTGTAAATTGGTGAGCAGTGTCACATACGTTGTCTCGGGAAACTTGCTGTGTAAATAATGTAATTCTACCCCTGCTGTACATGACCCGTACGTGCGGCTCATTTTGTATACCTACTAGAAGTCCACAGTATCACAGTGCTTCGCTCATCCATACCACTCAGTCATGCATCCTTGATTCCGCAATTACGATTTCTTAAGTAGTGAGATGTACGATACATGGGCCCCGCGGATGATTGACATCTCTCCAGCATTGACCCAGGGTGATGTGTTGTGGCCAAGCAACGTCATGACCGCGATGCATTCAAAGCATTGAGGTCCACGAATCCAAAGTGGCGACTGCGGCCGTATGTTGTCTCGTCGCGAGGGAGCTTCTCCGCCTTGTTCGTCACAACACCGATATATTTGGTGTCTTTCCTTGAGCCAGGGACGCGGTAGAAACGCACAAAGCCGGGCACAGTGGCATAGAGCGTGTGGTCCCGGCCCATCTTCACCTGTGCATGAACGTGATACGATGAGACTGCGGACGTGCATAGACCGAGACGAGATGACAAGGACGTACATGTTGACCTGCGTGGAACGTCGTTCCACGTTGTCGGACGAGGATGTTTCCGGGGACGACATACTCCTCTGCGCGCATCTGTGAGACACGCACGGGGGAGGGGACGCGGGAGGGACGCGGCCGAACGTCACGCACCAGAGAACTTTTTCACACCGAGCCGTTTTCCGGGAGACCCGCCGTGGTTGGAGACAGTGCCTCCCGCGTGCTTCGTGGCCGTACGGACAGAGCCCAAGCCTGTGCGGTGGGCGGGAGCGTGAGGCGAAAGCTCGCGACGTGGCCGGGGCATTGCAGTGCGTGGCGGAGCTCACCTGCGGGCCTGAACGGGTTGCGAAGGGCATCAGCACAACGCCACAACGCCTGGAAAGACATGGCCGAGGACGGTGATGGGGAGTCAGAAAGACAAGGAGGGGGAGCAGGAGGCGGCACAAGCGACGGCGCGTTGTGCCACAAGAGCGCGCGTAGGTGTCGGGCACGCGCCGGCTGATATAAGCACAGTTAAAGGCTAAGACGGACGGCACCCACTGCGCCTTCCGCGTTAACCTTCATCATCTCCCCATCGACCCCCTTGTCCCTAGACCCCTCTCGCTCCACAACTCACCATGGTTCTCCTCGTCACCTCTGATAATGAGCAGTTCGTTGTCGACAAGGAGGTCGCTGAGCGCAGCGTCCTCATCAAGAACATGCTCGAGGGTGTGTGCGCCGTTGCGATCGCGCTCGTCGTTGCCACTCATCCCCCCTGCCTCCTTTTTCTACCCACAGACGTCGGTGAGAGCGACCAGCCCATCCCGCTCCCTAACGTCTCCTCCAGCGTCCTGAAGAAGGTGCGTGGCGGCGATGTTGGGGCCTAGAGCGCATTTTGACTATCGTTTTGGCGCGCGCCACTAGGTGCTCGAGTACTGCGAGCACCACCGGGGCGAGCCCCTCCCCGCTGCGGACGCTGAGCAGAGCCAGGATGAGACGCGCAAGCGCACGACCGACATCAGCGAGTGGGACCAGAAGTTCATTACGGTCGACCAGGAGATGCTCTTCGAGATCATCCTCGCCGCGAACTACCTGGATATCAAGCCCCTCCTGTGAGTACCGGAATCGATGCATGGATCCTCGGCGTGGTATGCATGAGGCTGATATATGCGCGCTCCAGCGATGTCGGCTGCAAGACGGTCGCGAACATGATTAAGGGCAAGACTCCTGAGGAGATCCGGAAGCTCTTCAACATCGTAAACGACTTCACGCCTGAGGAGGAGGTGCGTACACCCCATTGGCTCGCTATCGAGTCCGATATCTGACCATATCTGTGTGCTCTAGGCTCAAATCAAGAAGGAAAACGTGAGTAAATTCGCCGCATGTCACAGATGCGAAGCTGACCAGGATACTGTGCCTGTTAGGAATGGGCGGAGGACCGGTAATTGCGCGTGCATGCCCCCTGCATTGTCATTCTGTGTTGCAACTTGCGCTGTATTGTACATGTCCCCCTGCCCCTGTCTTGTACATTATGACGAAGAAAAGCATGTCTACCCCTTCGCCCCCTACGGACGATGAGGCTTTCTTTCTGCCTCTCATTCTCTGCGCGTGCGATAAGCGTCATGGCCTGAGAAATCGGGGCAGACGATGAGATGCCCCGTTCTTCGCGGCTGCGCCCTCGGCAACTGCTCGGTGCCGTCACGATGATGCGTGACGTGTCCTCGCACTCGGGATCACGTGCGCACAGTCACAGCGTGTGCATGCTTGCGCCTCCTGCTAACTCTGGTCAACTCTCTCTTCCTCCCGTCGCTCGCCACTCGTCCTCGCCTTCTCCCTGCATGCCTCGAATACCAGATCTGCCGGGAAACCTCATCCCTCCGCACTCCGAACAAGAGCGATGGCTGAAGCGGCACGTCGCCGCCCTCTGCCATTTGGAACACGAACGGTGTGTGGCGCTCCTCTCATTTCCCAATAACGACCCACAAATCGCCGCTCGCGTCTAGGTTCCCTGGGAGCCAACCCGTCAGCTTTGCAGCCAAGGACTTGGACAGACTGGAGGAGAAAGAGTGCGTCCCCTTCGTGCGCGGCCATGTGCAGTAATTCACGCCGTGCTCAGCTTCTGGGTGGCGGAGAAGTCGGACGGCGTCCGCGTCCTGCTCCTCGTTTGTCCCAATCCGTTCGACGGCGAGCAAACCGTGTACTTGGTGAGTGCTTCCCACTTGTGCGCGAGGCGCGCCCGTCCTCAACTTGCACGCGCGCGCCCAGATCGACCGCCACAACAGCTATCGGCAGCTCGAAGGGCTCTACTTTCCCCACCACGAGAACCCGGCGCAACAGCTGCGCAACACGCTGGTGGACGGCGAGCTTGTCATCGACGTAGACCCACATTCTCAGCACGTTTGTGAATTCGTCTTCGCCCGCCGCCACCCTCGCGCTGACTTAGTTTGTTCGCTTCGCCTTCGCCCCCTTCGCATCGTTCCGCTGCGTGTCGTCAATGCTCGCGCATTTTACGCCTCGGCTTTTCGTGCACAGGAGAAGTTGCGCTATCTGGCGTTCGACTGCCTCATCGTCGACAACCAGTACGTCATGGACAAGAACCTTGAAAGTCGTTATGGGGTGAGTGTCTCGTTGCGTCGCGCCGCGCGGGCGGAGCCCCGTGTCCCGCGTTCGCGCACGGCGCGTCCGAGCCCCCAGGAAAGCCTGCTGACGCGTGCGTCGTGTAGCGGCTCCGGTCGTGGATGTACAAGCCATACCAGCAAATGATGCGCGACCACCCGCGCATGGCTCAATCACAGCCCTTCGAGTACGTCTTCATCCTTTGTTCGCACACTCCTCCTCGCGCCTTACCGCGCGCCCATACGGCCGTTTAGGTTCAAGGTCAAGGACGTCCGAAACTCGTACAGCGTCGAGGGCGTGTTCAACATCGACATCCCCGCGCTCCAGCACGGGAACGACGGCCTCATCTTCACCTGCGTCAGCACCACCTACGCGCCCGGAACGGACCCAAACATGTGCGTCTGGCGTGCTTGTCGCGCTTGTCCGTGTGCGGTTAAGCAGCGAGCGACGTAGAGTCTGACGCCGCGCCCTGTCCTTTGCAGCCTTAAATGGAAACCACCGTCAGAGAACTCTATTGACTTCAAGCTAGTGCTGAGGTTTCCGCCGGCACCAGGAAAACCAAAGACGCCTGACTTCCAGACGAAACCGGTGTTTGAGCTGCACGTGTGGTGTGGCGACGTCCGGTATGAGCCATATGACGTGATGCATGTTGAAGATGAGGAATGGGAAAGGTGAGTTAGCGTGCCCCGCCTGTACTCGCAGCATGTTGAATGCGCATATAACGTCACAGCATGAAGTTGTCGAACAAGCAGCTCGACGAGCAAATCGTGGAGGTTCATTGGGACATCGAAGGCGAAGTCTGGCGCATGATGCGCTTCCGCAACGACAAGCCGCACGGAAACCACAAGTCCGTCGTGGACAACATCATCAAGAGTATCGCGGACGGCGTCGAGAAGGATGTGGTGCGCCCCTTGGTCCTCTTGCGTCTGCTCTCAGATCGCTGACCCCCCTCTCCGCGCACTTGCAGCTCCTCCTACGCTCCCAGGCAATCCGCAACAACTGGAAGCTGCGGCACGGCGAACCCACCGGCGGCCGTCCCCCACCCAATTCCCTTCCACAAAAACCGGTCACCAGGCCGCCCCTCCCCACACCCACCGCCCACCTGCCCACGCCCCCGCCCCCGCCCCCGCCACACGTGCAGCACCAACCCCCGCCGCAGTCGCACGCGGACGCGCCGCCCGCCCCCGCCGTCGCGCCGCGCTACGCACGCCTCGCGCCCTCCCCGTGGAGCAAAGTGACGGGCCCGTCCATGATCGGGGGCATGTACCGCTGAGGTCCCCCGCGCCCGAGACGAGGGCCGAGGTAGTCAGGACGACTGTCTTGAGAGCATTTGGCGGGTAGGACGGGCCGGCGCGGCTCTGACGATCACCTGCGCTCCCGCCGTCTGTGGCCGACGTCTTGCGCGACGTCTCGTCGGCCCGGGCGGCGGCAGCGTGCTGGGGCGCGCGCCGAGGACGGGGACGGGGACTGGGACGGGTGCGTGTGCGCGGGGCGGCGGGCCGTTGGGCGAGAGTGGCGGACGGACGGGGCCGTCGGTCGAGGACCGTTCGAAGACGAGACGTACGCGTACGGGCAGAAGGACGGAAGCTGGGCGAATCTGGAGTTCACCTTCTAGCTCGGAGGAAGCGGACGTTCGACGGCGCGAAGGCCGCTGTCCGAGTTCCGCTTGGCCGGCGCACCGCGTCCGACAGTGGACACGTCCTGGCACCGGCAAGCACGCGAGACACCCGCACGGACCGACGGGCTCGAACCGCACGTCCGTCGTGACGCGCGCACAGACCCGACTCACTCGGGAAGAAGACGAGGGACCAGCCTAGAGACCAGCCACCGTACGTCGATGCACCTCGGCCGAGCAGGGATGGTACAAGACCGACAACAGGTCGATCGGGGAGACTCAGATTGGACTGCAGGAGGTGTCGTACGCGGGAGCAATGGGCGGGTGAGGGAGCTGCGGCGCGTTACGTATGTATGTACAACTCTCGCTCCGGCCGCGACCGTATGTGGCGCATACGTATGTACGGAGGACGCGAAGTAATACCCCTCTCGCTTGCAGCCACGCGGGGGGACTTTTCTCGTAAAAGGTCGTGTGACAACGGGCTTCATTTCGGGGTCGCGGGTGAGTAGGCGGGTGGGGTGATGGAGGTGAGTTCGGGACGGGTTGGATATAGGTATCGAGGGATGCACGACGCGTACTCGAGCGCCGCAACGGAGGTCGTTATGTGCGTAATGAGGAGGTACGGACAAGGGCCCGGCTACGCGACGGCAGTCGGTGGGACGTAGAGGTAGGTAAGACAGGGGACATCAGAAGCAGCGGAGCAAGGACGCTGTGGCCGTACGTACGCGCGCTCTCGCCCGTGACGCGTAAGCTGCAGGATGATGGGGGGATGGGTGGAAAGCAACAACAGCGGGATGACAGCAAGGCTGGAGACGGGCGAGGGACGCAGGCAGGGAAAGAGGAGTGCATGTCTAGTCGTTACAGAGGTGGAGAGAGAGCGCGCAGACACGGGGGACGCCACACAGCCGCCAAACGAATGGGGCCGGGCGCAATCGAGGAGCGGACAAGGAACAATGTTGAGGACAATTGGGCAATGGACAGTTAAACACAAGCGTCGGGGGCCGTGGCGTTCGTGCGTTCATCACGTCGTGGGCGGTCGTAAAGGGCCGAGGGTGCGCGGTCGTGCGGGGACGTGAAAGGTGAGAGACGATGCAAACGGAACAGTGCATTGAACGAGGCCGGGGATGTGTGGATGTGTGGTGAAACAAAAGTGCAACAAGATTACAGTGTCCTGAGATGGAGGGGGAGATGTAGATGAGATGCATGCGCGGCAGCTCGCCTGCGCGAGAGCCATGACGGGAGATGGAATGTGGATGTGGAGAGAGAGAGGCTGTAATGCAGTATGGGGCGGCCGACTGTGGGACCTGGATGGGCCAGACGATGCCAACGACGGGCCTTGTTACAACGGGCCAACCAAGGGCCATGGGCAAGAGGTCGAGAAGATGCGCCTGCGACTAGTCAACGGCTCACGGCGATGAAGGGGAGGCTATGTGCGGGAAGGGGAAGGGTGTCTTCATGTCGACACTTTTCGTCGTAACACAACATGTCGAAGGAAACGCGGGCTATCACGCGCGCGACGTTCACTCATAGAAGAGGTCGTCGATGTCGCTGTCGCCCATGGTCGACGAGAAAAACGGAGGGGGGGAGGGGACGATGTCCTCAAAGCGGTCGTCGTGGACGCGTGCCGTGGAGAGCCGGAACTCGACCGCCGAGTAGCTGACAGACCTGGATGTGATGGGCACCGAACGTCCGGTGGGCCTACGGGCAGCGATGCCAGAGGCGAAGACGGAGGGGTACGCGGGGGTAGCACCGTTGAGGACATCCATGTATGTGGGCAGGAGGGAGGACGAGTTGAAGGCAGGGGAGCTGTCGACGGACGAGTCGGAGGACTCGGAGGCAGACCTGCGGAGAGGGGTCCTCGGGCCCACCGAGAGGGCGGCGAAACCGGCGAGAGGAGACATCATCTGTGAGAAGGTGCCTGGCGGTTAGCTAGGATATGGGTGGCGTGCGAGGATGGGGGGCGCACCTGGGGAGAGCTCGTGCCAATGGAGCCGTCGAAGGAGAGATCCCACAAGGGGCTTGAGAGGACCTGGCTTTCATAGCTGCCGAGGGCGTGAGCGGCAGTGGTGAGGGGCATCAGGGTGGGGGCTGAGGGGTCGACGCCTTGCGGGGACGGGACGTGGGCGCCGAGAGTGCGAACCTGCGCGTTCTCCGCCGCACCGTGCTCTTGGGACTCTTCCTGCTCGGGCGATGGCCCAACGTACTCGCGCTGGCCATCCTGAACGACCCACCAGTCGAGATCGGCGAGGACACGGCGGTTGTTCGTGTCGGAACCCGAGGAGCGGCGAGGCTGGTGGGGGCCAGCACGAGTCGCGTGGGCATTCGCAGCTGAGCTGGAACTGGAGCTGGAGCTGGAGGGGTAGGAGTAGGGCGATGAGCGGACGGAAGGGGTGGAGAGGGTGCGGCGAAGAGAGGGCATGGTTCAAGCAGGCGGACGTAGACGAGAGGCGAGGGAGGGGCGGTGGTGGAACGCGGGCAACGCCAACGAAGACAGAGACCACGGCGGGAGGTGGAGGGTATCGGTCGACGGGAGGGGCTGCACGGCGCAGACGGGGACCGGGTCGAGGGCGCGGCGGATTTATAGCTCGCCTGCGAGTGTTCGCCTGTCGGGCAATCCGATGTGAACGATCCCCGCAAAGGCGCCCATCATCCGCCATTAATTGCCGCCCGCCCCGCTCCTCCTCCTCCTCGAGCTCCTCCCGCCACGGTCCCGGGCGCAGACGGTCGGTGATGCTCGCCGCTCATGCAATGTCGCTGCCACGGCGGTACAAGGGTGCGGTGGAGGGGACAATGTCGCGAAGAGCAGGGACAGGAGCCGGGCGCACTGGGACCGGCGCAGGGCAGACAAGGAGCCATGGATGCGCTGATAGACCGCTGGGCGACCGCATCACGGCCTTGGGCAGCGCAGAGAATGCGCTGGCCTCGTGCACCGATCGCCCGTCGGGCACTTGTTGCTAAACAACCTTGGCCGCACTCTCTGCCATGCGAGAACGGTCTTGTACTCCTTCTTTTCTCTCTTGAGCCTTCAAAGCACAATCGTCTCACATAAGCCGTTCGTCGCTCGCTTTGCCTCTTCCCGCTACGCGCCGTTGTGGTTTGATCAACCGAGGGGAATATTGGCAGTTTGAAAGGGCCTGTTCGCCCTGCCCCGCCGTTGCGCCGGCTCCACTCGAGCCGCCCATCGCGCTCGCTCGTCGTCGCCTTCCGAGCGACGTCACTTCTTTGCCACATGCGTCTTCCTAGTCTGGGACGCCCGCGCGCTGTCAGCCACCGACGCGTCCCCGCCGACCCCGACGCGTCCTCCCCTTCGCTCGACGCGTCCCGACGCGTCTTTCTTCTCCGCTATCCCCCTGCCCGCCGTCCCCAGCGCATCCCAGTCCCCGAACGCGTCCTCTGCGCGCGAGTGCACGGGCACGCTGCGCACCGGCCCGGACGGAGCACCGTCGCAGAGCTTCGAACCAGAACGACCTGCATGTTGATGCACTGACTGATGCCCCGTCTGCAGACCCTGTCCGTTCGCACACGACCGCTGCCCCCGCCCCCTCCGGACTCGCCACTGCCGCCCTGGGTCCGGCCCCAGCGGCCCAGCCAGCCACGACGCCCCGATGTCCACTTCTTCCTTCGCGACTCGGGTCCACGCCCGCCCCCTCCCTCTTCTGGTCCCTCCCCCCTTCCAGGCCCACCCAGCGCTCCTTCTGTCTCCGGAAAGCGGTCAACCGCGTCTGGCGGTGCGCCCGCCGCGCCCGCCCACTCCTCAGTTCTCCCACCCGCCACCTGGCTGGCCGTGCTTCTCATTCGCCCTTCCTCGGACTCTTTGCTCTCCTTCTCGCCCGCGAAGAGCACGTCTTATCACCGCACGAACCCCGCGGCTGCTGTGCCATCACCGGGTGCGCGCAAGCGACCCGCTCCTCCCCGCCGCGGGGCGTAAACATGACGCGCCGCGCTCGCCGGACGAACGCTTCGCTCGCTCAGTCCAGGCAATGCCCACCTCCGTTACCCGACGTCGTCCTCGCCCTCAAGCCCGCTCTCGAGCGGCGGTCGCACCGTCCCTTGACGTCCGCGGCCTCCGACATCAATTGCGTCCAGCCATCAATCTCGAACGCGGTTTGTGGGCGTCCGTTGGCAGGGATGCTTTCCCAGACGCCCGGGGTCCGAGGGGACACAACACGGCCTCGCCTTGGCCGAGTCCAAGCGTCGCCTGGGTGGACGAGCGAATGGATGGCGTGATCACGCTAATGGTGGTTAGACTCGACGAGACGCCTCGACCGTTGGGAGAGCCAACGCCGGAACTTGAGGGCAAGTACTATATCAGCCGTTAGCGTGAACACGTCGGCGAATTGTTGACGTCCGAGGGTGCTGTTGGATGCGAACGATGGGTGGCTGCAACAAGCATTTGGACGATCGGAAATTGCCCGCACCGGAGAGAGGAAATGACGGTCGCTGTCAATATTGTTCGGCGAGTGATGGTACTAATATGCATTGCACGGCGCCGTTACCACACCCGTCCTTCGAGACATGTTTGAGGAACACGCCTGCGCCGTAAGCGTCCAAACAGACTGCAGAATATCGAGCCCTGATCCGCTCCTCCACGGCCAGGGCTGCGAATATATAGGCGTTGGCTGGCTCGGCTGATGATCCTACTCACCTGCCGAAAGCGGCAATGCCTGGCGCCGGGACCAGGAACGCTCGTTAGGCGCGCGGGGGCTCGGCAGGCTCTGCGTCGTGCGAGCTGCGGGGCGGCCGTCGAGTCGATTGGCGAAACGCGCGGAGGACGCCAGGCCAGCTCTGTCGCCCGACAGGCCATGCTGGGCCACGCCTGCCTCCGTGCTCCCCTCCTCCCCTCCCTCTCCGCGCCCTGTGCTCCCCACCCCGCTGTCCAACCCGTCGAGAAGCAAGGAACTGCGGACCGTCCACATTAGAAGCCCTTGGACCGCATGTCGACGATCTTCTACGGGGCACTCATCTCGCCCATTTCACTCACCACGTACGATGCACTCCCCCGCGCCCTGCTCGCAGTCTCTCGCGCGACCGGCGACATCGACTGGGTCGAGCGCGACGTGCCCCCCGAAGCCCTCCAGCATGTGCTCGCCCGCCACGGCCTGCTCGCGGACGACGTCGAGCTCGTAGAACTGAAGCACGGCGAGTTCCTGATGCCGGGCTTCATTGACACGCACATCGTGAGTGCTGCGGCAGGCTGCCTCCTCCCTCGCCCTCACCTGCTCCGTTCTTGCATGACACCAGCACGCTCCTCAAGTCCCAAACATCGGCAGGTGCGCCTCTTCTTCCCTGCGATTGGCGCAGATATCCCGATAACCTGTGCTCGCGTGCTCTCCGCAGTGGCCAGCAGCACGAGCTCCTGGACTGGCTGGCCGAAGTGACCTTCCCGATGGAGGCTCGCTTCGCGGACGTCGACTTCGCGCGGCGGACGTACACCTCCGTCGTCAAGCGCACCCTCGACTACGGCGTGCGTCCCCTTCTCTTCCCTTCTTTCTCCCCCTTCACGCGCACGCGCAGTCCACGACCTGCTGCTACTACGGCACTCTCCACCTCGAAGGCACAAAGGTCCTCGCCGATGTCGTCCACGGCTACGGTGCGCCCCTTCCCCGCGCCCCTCCCTCCCCCCACGTCCTCACTCACCCCCGCCCCGGTCCCGCCCAGGCCAGCGCGCGTTCGTCGGGGTGCGTCCCTCCGTCCCCCCACGCCCCCCACCCGCTCACCCCCCACGCAGAAATGCAACATGGACCGCAACGCGCCCGACTACTACGTCGAGCCCTCGCCCGCGGCGTCGCTCGCCGCCACCGCCGCGCTCGTCGCGCACATCCGCGCGCTCCCGCCGCACCCCGCCGCCGGCGACGCGCTCGTGCGCCCGATCCTCACCCCGCGCTTCGCGCTCTCGTGCACCGGCGAGCTCCTCGCCGGCCTCGGCGCGCTCGCCGCCGCGGACCCGGGCCTCGCCATCCAGACGCACATCTCCGAGAACGCGGCGGAGATCGCGTTCACGAAGGCGCTCTTCCCGCGCGGGAGCCTCCCCGGGGCGGCGGCGAACGTGACTGCGGGCGACGACGTGGACGGGGAGGAGGAGACGACGTACGCGGGCGTGTACGACGCGTACGGGCTCCTCCGGCACAACACCGTGCTCGCGCACGCGGTGCACCTCGACGCGCGCGAGGTCGCGCTCATCCACGCCCGCGGCGCGGGCGTCGCCCACTGCCCGACGAGCAACTTCAACCTCCGCTCCGGCTGCGCGCGCGTCGGCATGCTCCTCGACGCCGGCGTCAAGGTCCGTCTCCCCCTCTCCCCTCTCGTCTCCGTCCTCCTCACCGCTCACCGCTCACCCCACCGCAGGTCGGACTGGGGACGGACGTCTCGGGCGGCTTCTCGCCCTCGATGCTCGCCGCCGTCCAGCACGCGAGCATGTGCGCCAAGGTCGTCGCGCTCACCGCCCCCGCGCCGCCGCCCGCGCACACGACGTTCACGGACCGGCAGCTGCCCGTGCCCGCGCTGCTCCACCTCGCGACGCTCGGCGGCGCCGCGGTGTGCGCGCTCGCGCACCGCGTCGGCTCGCTCGCGCCGGGCAAGGCGTTCGACGCGCTCGTCGTCGGCGTCCGCACCGACGCGGGGAACCCGGCCGTGTGGGGCGTCGACCTCGACCGCGCGCTCGGGCTGCGCGCGAGCGGCGGCGAGCCCGGCGACGAGGGCGGGCGCGGCAAGTCGGACGTGGAGGAGCTGGAGGGCATGCTCGAGCGCTTTTTGTTCTGCGGGGACGACCGGAACGTGCGGAGGGTGTACGTGCAGGGGCGGCTCGTCGGGGGCAAGGAGCACGCTGCGGCGTAGGGGGTCGCGGTCGGTCCTTGGCTTTTAGGCCGAGCCCTTTGGCGAGCAGTGCGCACATGATTGTGCAGATCCGAGGATGGAAGGGAGTTCGTGCTATAGATAATCTGTCGTGGTCATGCATAATGTACATGAGGATGGTATTCTACACAAATAGTTGGTATTCCGACGGTCCGTGCTAGTGCTGATAGTTCACTTGTCCCCTGGATGGTCTCTGTCATCGTCCTTGAAGTCCCCAAACTCCCACTTGAAGCAGTCCTGCGCACGGTGGGATCAGCAAAGGCCCCGAACGCCCCGAACGAGCGACTCACTATGCAATCCTCCTCCACGCGCGCTTCGGGCACCTCCCTCGCCACCCCGTCGTCGCCCACCCACTCGACGTCCGCCTCGATAACATGCGTGATGACCTCCTTGATGACGTGCTTCCGGACGTCGACCCGCCACCCGAGCTGCCCGACGGTGTCGTACACGACCGACCGCCCGAGGTGGCACCGCGTCTCGAGCGCGTACCCCGCCTGCGCGCACGGCGAGCCCACGCCCGCGCACGCCCCCTGTGGGATCGGGTCCGCGTTGTGGAAGACGTGCGTGACGGGCGCGCGCGCGTGCGCGGGCGTACTCCCCGCGGGCGCGGGCGCGGGCTCGGGCATGTGCGGGAGCGGGAGGTGGAGGCGCTGCGCGGCCATGCGCTCGCCCGGGGCCTCGAAGGCGACGGCGGGGAGGCCGAAGGTGGTGCCGAGGAGCGAGGCGAGCGCGCCGCCGAGCGAGTGGCCGACGAGCCACATCGTCGCGTTCGGGTAGAGCGCGGTGAGGTCGCGGACGAGGCCCTGCGGAGTGGGGCAGGTCGGTCACGGTGCGGAACGGGACGCGGGGGGCACGGCTGCTCACCACGCCGACGGTGTAGAAGAGGCTGTCCTGGACGAGGGCGTCGGTGAGGCAGGTGCTGTCGCAGCGCCAGTTCTTGGCGTAGCAGTCGCAGACCTGGCGGAAGACCCAGGTGACGTCGACGCGGGCGCAGCAGCAGGAGAAGAGGAGGTTGTCGTTGAACTTGTCTTTCTTGGACGTCGGTCCTTGCAGCGTCGTGCCTTTGATTGAGAGGACTACGGTGGAGTTGTCGGGCGATGTGAAGACGTGCCCTCGGAATCCGTCCGCCTTGCCTTCCCAGCCAAAGGGAAAGCTCTGGGTGCATTGACAGACATGTAAGCAGACGGAAAGCTCAAGCAGCGGCCTTTTCTGCGGGCCCCACCCAGCAGAAGATCGCAGTGGTGGCACAACGGAAATAGGTACGGGGGAAATAGAACGCACAGTGTTCCAGGCAGGATCTATGTCGTACCAGTTTGGCCGGCCGGGGAGCTGGTACGCGTTTCCGGCCATGCGAGCGAGCTGCGACAGAGTGTGCCTGTCCGTTACATCCGGCGCGAGCAGGCTCACAGGTTGCCAGTCGACGGCCTCGCTCTCGTGCGACCGGAGCGATCGAAGGCGGGCGCGCTGAAACGCCACCTGGTCCTGGGGACGGTGCACGACGGTTGGGGTAGCCTGGACGATGAGCACATTGGACGGAGGACGATCGCCAGCTGCGGTGGACCTGTCGAACGTGGCCTGGGCGAGATCGCGAGCGTCGTCACTTGGCTGCGGAACAGACCGAGGTGTGTACTCTTCTCGCAGTCTGAAGGCTATGGGCACACGGGTGCTGGGGAGATCTCGGGGCTGGACGAGGGATGCGCAAAGGAGGACAAGTAGAACGAGGCCGGGGCGACGCATGGGGAGAGAGCAGACATCCGCCTGGGCGTCGTCGATCGGCCAAGGCGAACGCTGTGGCGAGTGGAGGCCGGGCGGCAGGAGGGAACTCAGGCTCTGGCAAAGGCGGGAGAACGAGACGTTTCGGGATTCGAGACGGGGAGCGCTGCTAATTCCGGCCTTGTCGGTGGCCTTGTCCCAGATGACGCACGTGGGGCTGCGCAACGCCCGCTAGGCCGAGCCCTTCGCTCTCACCACCTGGTCCCTCCCCCGCCATCCTCCTCGTCGCCCGCCTACCCCCTAATCTCCTCCACCCGCCGCCTCTTGGTATTCTCCACATTCAGCAGTAACGACTTGACACGACCTGACGACTTTCATGACCTCTTACCCCGACCACTGGCTCGAGGCGCCTCCTCCTCCATCTCGTTTCCGCCGTCCATGGTCTCCAGATCCCTACGACCCTTTACCCCACACCTCCCGCCAGCTACCCCGAGACCAGGATCCGTACAGGTCCGTCGGTCAATGGGTCTCGGAGCGCCGTCGTGAGCCCTCCGATGTTTCTGTTGAAGCACTCGATCTCGCCGACTACTCTCAAACGCTGCACCGCAACCAACACTACCTCTCTCAGCAACCCGCTTTCAATGCATACGATGCCTACCCCCCTTCACCACGAGGCCACAGGCCACTTGCTCGCGTTGACTCCCTTTCGCCTCCATCGCTCATGTCCGGTTCGAGCGAGCAGTCGCACTCAGTCGGTCCTCATTCGCCGCCTGCACGGCGCCCATTCTCTCTCCCACCACCTTCTTCCTTTCCCAGCACCCCCCGCGGCGGCTACTCTTCGTCCAATGGCTTTCATGGACGTCAAGATCCTAGAGTAGCAAGCCCGGACACGGAGTTTGACATCGCTCAGTTCCCTTCCTTCGCACAAGGATGGTACGGTCGCGAGCGTGGAAACCCTCTCGCCCCTCCGCATTCTGCCCACGGCCATGAAGGAGAGGGCACGCCGAAACGCAATCCCTTCGATCCCGCGCTAATCAACGAGTACGATCCCTTCGCCGACCCTTACAACTCCTACAGCTCTCCCCCGCCGTCCTATCCGTATGGTTCGTCCTACGGCCCCCATTCTGGCTCCTCCCGTGACAACCATATCGTACCATGGAACGCTGATTCCGAAGAGCGTCCTGTGGATCCTGGCACCAAGGAGGAACGAATACGAATGTTGGAGCGCGAGTTCGGGAAGGATGCCGGCAAGACTGGAGAGCCCGAGACTCTTGTTGGGAGCGTTGACCTCCGTGGACGGTTGATCACTGAAGGTCCGAGGAAGCGTTTGGCGACCCGCTGGATCCAAGTCCTGCTCTCTCTTGCCACCGCCGTTGCATCCCTCTACACTGGCTTTGTGAGTTGACGAACCTCGTGTTCCGCGCACCTCGGTTCGGCTTACATGTGCTCCTTTAGGTCATCAAGCCTCCTACTCCCGCCCCCCCTGCAAGCAAACTCCCCGCATACGTCCTTTATGGTCTCTCTTTCATTTCCTTCTTTGGCTGCACGTTTTTCTACCTCATCTACCCATGCTGCTGTGGCACGCGGAAACCCAGGAGCACACCCCTCACCGGCCCGCAAGGGATGATGGTGCTGCCCGTGCAGGGATTGCCCGGCGGGAAGCCGAAGAAGAAAGGGAAGAAGGGGAAAGGACAGCCAGACGGCGGGGTGCAGGTCAACCTCATCGTCGACCCTTCCATGTTCGGCAACGGCCTTGGTCGAGAACGCGAGGAGGATGACGACGACGACGACGGTACCACCGTCATTCCTGGCTCGTACTCGGGTCCATCGAGCAACGGTCAGAGGCGGAGACCGAAAAGGCGGAGCGTCTTCGAAGGGCTTGCTCTTGAAGAGCAGTGGAAGAGGGCGAGGAAGCTTCTGAAGTGGGTTGTGACTGTCGACACCCTCGCGTTGCTGCTTTGGGGGACAGAGTTTGTTCTGATCCTGCTCGGGAAGCGCTGTCCGGTTGGTGGATACCTTGGCTGGTGAGTCTCAGTGATATGTGGTCCGTTTGCTTGTGCTTATGCTTTCCATAGGTGTGATGCCTACAACATCGCAACTGCTGCAGCGTGTCTGCTCGCGTTCGCGTTCGCCTTTAGCATCTTCCTCGACGTCAAGGACCTTTCCGCGAGCCGTGCTTCTCCCCGCACTCGGACATAACCTCCGTCCCTTGTTTCGGGTCCATCGTATCTAGCACATCTACAGACATATCGCATTGCTCACAGGCTGCTTATCGAAGGTTTCTGGTGTTTTAATGTTGGTGCTGTTTGCTTGTTGTCTTTCTTGTCACTCGCACATCGGACTTGCCACCTCACGACCCGCTCACGACATTTGACTTATTGCTATCTGGTAGCCGCGTAGTACAGTAATGCAGTGTATTCCACATGTCCCAATACACATTCACGCATCTCTTGGTCGTTGGGATCTCTCCTTTTCCTGTTCGCATCTTCGATTGCATCCACCACCGCCGTGCCTTGCCGTGTCCAAAACGCACCAGCTAACCGAAATCCTTGGACGAGAACCCTATTAGTGAGCTCACCTGGCTTTGTCTTTGCACATCGCCGTCAGGTCTGCTCCAGTCAATGACGCCATCTTCGCCGCTGGCAGACGGCGCCCACACACCATGGCTCCCGCCCTCGAGGATGTCCAGCACTCAGTGTTGATCACCACCATCCACGGTCTGCATGAGGCTCCAAACTTCCTCGCCACAGCCGTGTCCACTGCAGCGCGTCACACTACGGAGAGCCTCCAGATCGTGATCATCTCCTCGTTGTTCAACCCACCCGCGGTGAGTCCCCATCCTACTCCGCCCGTGATCTTCGGGTGGCTGATTGGGTGCTAGGACGGTGCTGCGGATGTCTCTGCTTCGAAGGGCACCCATAACGCCCCAGGAATCTCGCGCATCGCGCACTGGGACGACGTGCAGCGACTGCTGACCTTTGTGTACGTGCAGGCCACCAAGGTCGCGCAGGATGTCGGCAGGATTCTCCTCAACGTCGATGTGCTCCTGCGTGGCACGGCGGAGGCGTTCCCTGAGCAGGTGTTGGAAGGCGCAGCGCGCATATACTCGGGTGAGCGCACAGTCTCGTCGTTTGCGCAAGGAGCCGTTCTCCCTCGTTCCCCCCACCCTCATATGATCATGTCCCGCTCTTCCCGCGGCACCGAGATTCCGATGTTGACCCATCGTGCATCCTCCATCTCGTCGCAGTGACCCCCCACGATTCCTCCGTGCCGCTGCCTTCGTGCCTAGAGGCTCGGCGCGCAGAAATCGTCGCCCTGCCTCCAGACGACCACCCGCTCCACCACCCGCTCCCGCCGCCATCCACCGCCGCGGACCCGACCGACCCCCCGCTGCTCCCCGTCGTCGCGCTCGGCGGCACGTTCGACCACCTCCACGCGGGGCACAAGATCCTGCTCAGCATGGGCGCGTGGCTCGCGCGCGACAAGCTCATCGTCGGCGTCACAGGCACGTCCCGTCCCCCTCTCCCCTCCCCTCTTCTCGTCTCCACCCGGACCTCGCGCTCACGCTCACGCGCAGATGACGCGCTCCTCGCGGGCAAGCAGCACCGGGCGGTGCTCGAGCCGCTCGCGGTGCGCGCCGCGCGCACCCGCGCGTTCTGCACGCTCTTCAAGCCCGCGCTCGCGTACGACGTCGTACCGATCGTGGACGTGTACGGGCCCACGGGCTGGGACCCGAACGTGCAGGGCCTCGTCGTCAGCAAGGAGACGCTGCCCGGCGCGGCTTCCAGTGCGTGTCCCTATCTCTGTCCTCGTCCCCGTCCCCGTTCGCGCCTGCCTCGGTTGCAACTTGCGAGCCGTCCTCCGCCGACGAACCTCAAACGACGACGAGCGCTGACTGCCGTCGTGGTCGCCCCCCTTTTCCGCAGTCGACGAGCGGCGCGCCGCGCTCGCGCTCCCGCCGCTCCGGACGTTCGTCATCGACGTCATCTCCGCGACCGAAGCGAGCGTCGACGCCGAGGACGCGGCGGTGCTCAAGACCGCCAAGATGAGCAGCACGTACATCCGCGAGTGGATCGTCAAGCAGCAGCAGGGGACGTCGACGACCTGAGCGGTGAGTCTCCGAACGCGGGGGTGACGGCATACCAGGGGCTGCTTGTGCCTAGTGTGTAGGACGACCGGAACTCGGAGCTCGATAAGGGGCAACTCGAGGACTGAAAGAAGCAGGGGAAGAAGCAGGGACGGATCACCGCGTCGGACGTGTGTACGGCTCGTGTACGACTAGGTCCCAGATGTGTAATACTTACTACTTGCTCGCGGCGCTCCCAAAGACGTTGCGTAGACGTAAGCATAACGCACACCGTGCTCAGCACGTCACAACAACTCGCCCGCCCGCGCGACGCCCACAAGCCCACACCGATCGAGATCGCTCGCGGAAATGAGCGGGCATAGAGAGCGAGTAGTGCTAGCAGGAATCGAGCGAGCGCCCGGAGAGCGGCGAGTGTTTAAATCCGTTTGATACGACTAGACGGGGCGCGGACGAGAACGGGGGGGGTCGAAGGCGGCGGCGCGAGCGCGTACGTACAGCGAGCGACCCGGCCGACCTGCGCGTCCGCAGCCGCGAGCGGAGCGGGGCGGGGCCGAGGGAGTAGACGCAGCGGGGCGTGGGAGGTACTTGGGGGATCAGGCTTCAAGAGGGGAGGGATGCGACGGACGCGCGTATGCGGGGAGTCGTGGATGCACAATGGGTGGGGATTAGATATCGAGCGCCGTCTCGGGGGTCGCGGGGCAGACAGGTATGCGGGGGAGGGGGACAAGAGCGAGGGTGGGTGGTATGTGTCAGGGTCGGGGTCGGGGTCGGGGCGGGGCGGGGGCTAGTAGTAGCGGTAGTAATAGAGTACATGTCCGGCGGAAGACCCGACCAATGTGTGCAGGGAGGAGACGAGGAGACGAGGAGAGAGAGCAAGAAAGGAGAAAGCAACGTACACGCGGGCGCCCTCGCCAAAGCGAAAGTAACGTAGAGAGGTAGAAACGCCGTGAGCAGAAGACCCGGAATGTGAGTGATCATGAGGAGAGCCATAGAGTGTGTGGAGAGAGTGGTAGGGACGGGCGTTAGGAGGAGAGGTGAGTGCATGTGTGAGTGAATGTCCGAGATTGTCCGTCCTGTCCGTCCGCGGGACTAGAGTATGTTGTTGAGCGAGCCGAGGTCGATGAAGCGCGTCACCCGCTTGTTCAGCGTCGGCGTGTGGTGCACGTGCTCGTCGGGATCGTCGCCGTAGTCGCTCGCGTCGTCGTCCTCGAACTGCTGCTCGAGCTCGCTCTGCGCGTGCCGGTCGCAGAAGAAGCGGCCGTCGACTTCGTAGTACTCGAGCAGACGCTCGCCGCAGCGCGGGTGCTCGCACACGAAGTGCTCCGGGTGGTAGCGTGCGCCGGCGTGCGAGACCGCGCAGGGGCCTTCGACCGGCTCCCCGCACTTGGGCGCGCGACAGAGCGAGTTGTTGGCCTCGTGGTAGTGGTAGGCGCAGAACGGCTTGCCGTCGTACACGTAGAAGCTCTTGTCCGGGAACGGTTTCTGTGCGAGGTAAAAGGCGGGCGACGGCGTGAGCACGTCGTGCGGTGGGGACGCAGCGAGAGGGGAGGGGGCACGTACCTCGCATGTGAAGCAACTGAAGCACTCCCGGTGCCACTTGCCTTTGAGCTGTCCGTCCGACGAGGACACCGCTGCCTTTTCGATGTTTTTGTTACAGCGCCGACACTGGGCGGGCACGAGCGACGTCAGCCTCACCCCGCACCGCACAGCGCAGACGACGGACGCACCTTGGGCAAGTACATGTTCTTCCAGCACCGGTCGCACAGCACGCTCCCGCCCTCCATCGCGATCCACCGGCCGTCGTCGATGCGCTTCTCGCAGCGGACGCACGCCTTGTGCCTGCTCGCGCCGCGCTCGCCGCGGCTGGAGGAGGACATCGTCGGGCTCGTGTGTGCGCGCATGGGAAGCTTCGGGCTCTTGGTGAGGCTGTCGCGCTGTGAATCCGCGAAAGGACGTGGGGAGGCCGTGCTCGTGCTCGCGGTGGCGTCCTCGAGCAGCGTCTCCATCACGCGGTCGATCGCGCCCGTCGACTTGGCGATCGTGCGTGCGGTGGACGCGGACAGGCTGCGTTTCATCGCGTTCGCGGGCGAGTCCATGGTCGTCGTCGCGGAGGAGGAGGAGGAGTAGCGCGACTCGGTGTTGGCAGCGAGCGACGGGAACCGGACCTTGCCCTCTCCCTTCAGCGGCGGGGGCGGCGGCCCGGCGTCGTTAGCCTGACCGATAGGCTGTGGGGAGGTGCTCAGGGGCACATCGCTCATCCCGAGCACGCCGTTGGGCTTGTCGTCGTCATCGTCGTCGCCGTCAGAATCCGCATAGGCTAATCCGCCATAGTCACTGTCCGAGTCCGTGGGCGATAAAGGCGCCGGCTCGGTAGACTTGGCAGCCGTAACCGTGTCGAGGGCGAGCTCGGGCATGTTCGCCTTCAGCTTCTCGACGAACGGCACCCGCGCGAGCTCGTCGTCCAGGTCGTCGTCGTCGTCGTCTTGCACCGTCGTTCGCGAATCCCGCACCGGCGTCCGGTCCTTCTCGGCGCTCTCAGGTACACGCGAGTCCCGTGCCTGGAGCTGGACGACCGGCGAGTTCGCGACGGGCGTCGTCACCGCCCGCACCGCGGGCGACGGTGGGCCGCTCATGAGCGGGCTCCTCTGCGAGTACGGCGAGTGTGGGGAGATCGAGGCGGTGCCCGAGCCGGGCGACAAGGGCGGAGTGTTGGCCGACGCAGCTGGCGACGCGGGTCCCCGGTCAGGACCGCGGCAAATAATCGCAGTGAGCAGCCAAGCGGCGACGCACCGTATCGTGTCGCGGACGCGATGTCCAGAAACCGCGGCGCGTTCGCCCGCTTTCCGTCCATGCCCTGCCCCGGCTCCTGCAACGCGCTCATCCCCATCGGCCCGGGCCCCAGCGGTGGAGGACCCATGGACATGAACATCGCCGCCCTCGCGGCGGCGGCGAACCCCCTCCGTCCGACCCCGGCCATGCCGGCCTCCCCGCCCGTCTTCGTGTCAGGTTCGGGTATCGTCGGAGAGCGTATCGGCGACGGCGACGCGGGCGACCTGAGCGGCGGGGGCGGACCGCCTGCCGCGAACGGGGGGCGCTGGCTCTCCATCGAAGGGCTCCGCATGCGGTCCGCGCCCGGGCGGAAGCCGTCGCCCGACGGGCGGCGCACCTGGTCCATCGACGGGCGCAGCTGGCTCGCGTTGGACGGGGCGCGCATGCGGGCCGGACCGGTCGAGTAAATCACGTCCGGGTCGGCGGGTGAGGGTGAAAGAGGTGACGGGGGCGGGCGCGCGCTCATGTTGGTGCCTGCGCGTGCGCGGCCAGCGAGGGAGTGCATGCTCGCGTTCGAAGGGGCGCGGGAGCGCACGCCGCCGCCGCCGGACGGCGGTGCGGGTGCTGGCGGAGGACCGCCGTAGTTGCTTCGGGCGGTGCTGGGGGTGGGTGGATTGGGAGAAGGCACGCGGGATGGGCCGGCGGGACCGGGGGTGGAAGGCGAAAGCGGAGAAGAGTCCATGCTGGGGCGGCCGTCGCTGCGGCCGAGAGGGCTGGGGCCACGCTCGGGGCGGCTGTCGGCAGAGCGGGAGGAGAGGGAGGAGGCGGAGGAGAGGGCGCGGGAGCGGAGGGGAGAACTCGGGTGGTGCATGGACGGAGAAGGGCTCTTCGGGGGCGCGGGGGCGGGTGCAAGCGAAGACTTACGAGCGGAGGGGTGGCCAGCGGGTGGCCCGGCGGGAGGAGGTGCAGCAGAGACGAGGGTCTGAAGTTTGGCGGGCAGGAGGGCGGCGACGGATCGGGGAGACTGCGGTGGCCGGAGTGCAGGCATCTGGGGCGGGGGAGCGGGGGCGGGGGCACAGACATGGTCGCCGAGGTCTGTGATGCTCACGGGCTGGGAGCAGGAGGAGCACTTGACGGTGGGGAGGATCTGGGAGATACGCTCGCCTGCAGGGGGGGAGACGAGGAGGGACGCCATGTAAAGAACGTGGGGGCTCGAGGAGCCAGTGGGCGGCGGACGGGAGGGGGTAGCGGCTCGCGCAAGCGGAAGGGGGGAAGAAAAGAAAGGCGGCGAGGACGCGGTTGGGGGGCGTGAATTACGGGGGCAGACGTGTATCGTAGAGTGCACTGTACAGTACACAGTCAACCAGCTCGACCGAGTCCCATCACGCACCCCTCCCCCACAGGCGCCCGCCCTCCACGTGCGCCCACGCCACTCTCGGCCTCTTCGCTGCCGCCGCACGCTTCCATCTGCCTCTATCTGCAGCACGACCACGCAGGCAGACATCGACACCGTCCTTCCCGTAGCACAGCGCGCTGGTGGATGCACCTACAGTACTTTGTCCGGCCCTGCGAAGTGTGGGCGTGGAAGATCAGATCGTTCCGCGCCCAGCCAACTAGAACCGCCCGCGATCTGCGTTCTCGAGCCGGCCCCATCGCCCGCCGGCGCCGAGAGCCGTCGGTCCCGTCGCGCTCCCCGTCGTGCACGTTCTCCACCACGCACGCCGTCTCGCTCGACGAGCGCGTGTTGCGTTCGCTGCATCGTTCTCGCGCCGTACGTGCACACACACGCGCACGCACGCGCGACGTTCGAAGCCCCAACCTCCGGCTATTCGCGCGCGCGCACGCATCTGATTGGCACGTCAAAGGAGAGCAACCGCCTATCTCTTCCCACCTCTTCTCCCCGCCCTGCGCATCAACCGCTCGCTTGGGAGACGAAAGACTGCTGTGCACTCCGTACCACGCCACCTCTCTATTTCCCCAGCCACGTGAACGTTCGACGAGCGCGTGGACTACCCCGTGAGCGGATGTGGATTTGTCTTCCAGCTGACACGCCCTTGCAGATGAAGATGCAGATCACGAGCATGTCCTGAACCGTTCGCTCGTCATCTCTCGCGGCGGCGGCATCAGCACCGAGACGGATGAGAACGCGTCCGGGGTGCCAGGATGGACTAGCTGAGAACGCAAGCCACGCTAGCAGCCCAGAGAACGCGACAGACAGGTGCTAGCCTGTGCTCGGGTGGGGCCTGCACATGGTCGCCCGGCCGCAACATGCACCACGCGGACAGATCGCGGGGAGACAGCAGGCTTCGATCCATCGAGGCTCAGTGAAACGCGATCTAGCGGTTGCGAAACAACGCCGCTGACGCAGCCCCGGACGTTGGTTCGAAGGCCTGAATTCAGTCTTTCAGAGACCTGGCTTCACACCCTGCGAAAGCGCCCGGCAGCGACCCACGCCAGGACGGATCTGCGCACGCCAGCTGCTGCGCTCTCCGCCATCTTTCGTCGTGGTGGTCGATGGACAGGCTCCGAGCGCGAAAAGCCCCTCCGTGCGATCGCGTCGACGTCGCGCCCGCGCCCGAGGCCAGACGACATTGCAAGGCCCTCTGCCCGTAGGCCCACGAACCTCGTCTCGCGCGGAGAATGGACGCCGGGAGGTGGCTACTTTGACTGGCACTGACTGATGGCGGGCGAGGACATTGAAGCTGTCGTCGGCCCTGGACGGCGCATCGATCGTCAATAACTTCCCCGCCCTCGCTCCCCGCCCCGGCCCCGCGCCCGCCCGTGGGGCAGACTCTCCGAGACTGTGCGGCGTGCACAGCGATGCGCTCGACCGGACTTCGAAGTTCGCAGGGCCGAGGCCACAGTTCCCACGCTAGGACGAGTATGACCGCGGAGATGTCTCCATCTGATCCTTCTCTCGTCGTCATTGCCACAGCCACAGACGTGTCCCTTCGACGTCGCGCCCACGTGACCGGTCCGATCTTCCGACCCAAATGTCTTCGCCCTATGTACTTACACCCATCCACCGCGGGCCTAGGCCTTGACCGTGAACATTTGAACCACCCCGGCGCTCGTCCACAGAGTGGGCCCAACGTCTTCCAAACCTTTGTTGGTCCTCAGCGTGGACGGCCACGCCTAGCTGGGTTACCAAAACGCACATAAGGGTGACAAAAATAAAGGGAACTCGAGCGCGGTTTCGTGGACGGACTTCTAACGCATTGCGCGGCATGGGTACATGTTCTATTTGCTGGGAGATTCCTCTATATCGTAGCACGCTCCTATTCAACTTCTCTGGTATACTCCTTCAAGCCTTCGCGAGCAGCGAGCGCCCCGTCATCTCTGCAAGACCAGGTTAGTAAGCAGCCAGCAACCAACGGGTACCCACGCACCTTCCGGCTTCGGGAGCCCCATGATATCCAGCACCGTCGCGCGACGTCGCACAGAGCGCCCTCCTCCTCTTCCCCGTCCTTCTTATCTTCCGCGAACGACAGCACCTTCGGGTCCCCCGTCATGATGAACGGCACCGGGTTCGTCGTGTGCGCCGTGTGAGGTGCGCCCGTCTCCGGGTTCACCATCTGCTCCGCGTTCCCGTGGTCGGCGGTGACGAGAAGGATGTAGCCCGCCTCCTCGCACGCCTTGTACACGATCCCCACCGCCTCGTCCGTGAAGCCGATCGCCTCCACCGCCGCGTCGTACACACCCGTGTGGCCGACCATGTCCGGGGGTGCGAAGTTGCACATCACGAACTCGTGCGTGCCCGCCTTGACGACCTCGGCGACCTTCTCCGCCACGCTCTTGACAGACATCTTGGGCTCCTTGTCGTACGTCGCGACCTTGGGCGATGGGATCATGTGCCGTTCCTCGTCCTCGAACTGCTTCTCGACCCCGCCGTTGAAGAAGAACGTCACGTGGGCGTACTTCTCTGTCTCTGTAGACCGAGGAGTTAGTGCGGGAGGGGACCGAAATAGCCTTTGCTTACCAGCGAGTGCGCCTGCTTCACGCCTTGCTTCGCCAACCACTCGGCGAGAACGTTGGTCATCGCCTGAGGAGGGAACGCGACTTTGAACGGGAACTCAGAGTTGTACCGCGACATGGTGGTGATGTGCTGTCACAGTCGCGTCGGCATCGAGAATACGAAGAGAAACAGCGAACTCACGAGGTCTTTGGAATCTCAACCTCCATGGGCTTGTCGGGAGACCAAACACGGACGCGATTTCGCGCATACGGTCCGAGCGGTAGTTGAAGAAGAAGAGGGTGTCGCCGTCTGCGGAAATCGTGTCAATGTGCGCAACGGTGAAAGGTGGACGTGGAAGGACATTGGGGGTGACAGAGAACGCACCTTTAATCCTGCCCGCGTCACCGTTGACGATGATGGGCTTCAAGAATTCGTCCGTCTCATCCTTCGCATACTTCTCCTCGATCGCCTTCACAGGGTCCTCACATACATCGCCCTTGCCCTGGACGAGACCGTCGACCGCGATCTTGATACGCTCCCACCGCTTGTCACGATCCATGGCATAGTACCGGCCCACGATAGTGGCGACGGCACCGAACTTCTCCTTGTCGATGAACGCCAAGAGATCCTTCATGTAGCCGGCAGCGGACCTCGGCGCAGTGTCGCGTCCATCGCCGAAGAAGTGGATGTAGACCTCCTTGAGGCCGACCTCCTTCGCGGCCTCGAGGAGGGCGTAGAGGTGTGTGATGTGGGAGTGGACGCCGCCGTCAGAGATCTGAGTTTGCGCATCGAGAGGGTGAGCGAAGGCGTGGAAAGTGCGTCGCAAGGGAAGACGCACGAGGCCGAGGAGATGGAGACGGCCGTTTCCCTGCTTGGCATGCTCAAAGCTCTCGAGGATGACCTCGTTCTTGTGGAACTGGCGCTTCTTGATGGAGACATCAATGCGGACGATATCCTGCCAGACAATGCGTCCAGCACCGATGTTGAGGTGTCTGCGCGAGCGCGACGAATGAGCGGGGTGCGGGGATACGCGGCGTGGAGAGCGGAAGAGGGTGGATGTATGCGCCGATAGAGGGATGGAGTAGCTTACCCAACTTCGGAGTTGCCCATAAGGCCGTCACTGAGACCGACAGCGAGACCATGGGCGGCGAGCTTGCGGACACTGTGGTCAGCGGCGATGGTGTCCATGTTGGTCGTAGTACCAGCGTCGATGGCGTCGCCTTTCATGCCCTTCTCGGGCGCGATGCCCCAGCCATCGTGGACGCTATGGAATACAGTGAGGACGCGTTGGTCGGAGAGAGAAGAGGACGGACATGAGGCAGACTTTGTTCTTGATGTCGACCATGGCGGAGTGAGCGAAGGAGCGGGCGCGGGCTGGAAGCTCGGACGAGAGCAGGCCTCGTCTTGGCTTCGAAATCGCGCGACGATCGTGCTCAATCTAATCTAATCTTGCCCTCGGCTGTCTGGCATCCGCCGAGTCTCGCTCTCTTCGAGTTCTCCACCACGGCCATCAGTCTCCGCAGGTGCGTCTACGCCCAGCGCAACAAGGGGAGCGTTTCAAGATTTCTCCTCATCGTTCACAATCTTCGCGGAGGAATACCGCGCCTCAGTTCATCCAGTTTCCGTCGCTGCCTCCAACATGACAACCAGTAGTAGTCGCCAAGTAGTCGCAGCCAACTCGCATCCCAGAACTGTCCGTAACGCTTTGTGCTCCCTGACAGCTGCACAAAAAATCTTACTGCAGCCAAAAGACATATCCCAGTGCGCGCTCGAGTATCTTCGCCTGCGAGCCGCAATGTTGAACGCGCTAACACGCCACTGCTTTGTTCTTCCTTAGCGGTTGACAGCCCGGTGCGCCCCCTCTGCCACTCGGCGGAACAACGCACGGACGCTTTCCGCACGATGTGTCACTACCTTATACCATCCCTCTCGTAAACCTCGACTCAAGCCCATGCTTTAAACTCGCCCCGATGTCGGGGTTGCGATCCCCCAATCCCCGTCGGAGTTGAATCTCCTATCCCGCCGCTCCGCTCCGCATCTCTCCTTAACCAGGCTGCCGGTCATGGTAAGTACTCTCTATGGCAACGCTACTCATGAACTAACGCACACATCGTACAGCCCTCTTCTACTTTGAGCGCCACGGTGTCTGCTCTGCGTCTCGCTAGCGAGATCGCAGACCCTATTCCTGTCCCTGGCCTCTCGGTCGCTCTTACTACGGCGCTTAAGATCGCAGAATTGGCCCAGGTGCGCCTATCTCTCACATTTTTACCGCTTCACAACATATGGACACATGTCACAGGACGTGGATAACGCGCGGGACGCATGTCGAACTCTAGCGGAGCATGTCGCTCGCCTAGTGGTCGTCGTGCACGAGCGTCTGGACGCCCAGCGCAAGTCCTCAGAGCTTCACTACGACTCCGAACACATAGAGACGCTTTTGATGTAAGCCATGCGTCTCCGATTTTGAATCGTACTCATACTTGACTGTGACAGCGCGCTGACGGAGGTGGAGGGACTCATGAAGCGACGCATGAAGATGGGCATTCTGCGGCGTTTTGTGAAAACTCCCCAGCTCAAGAAGGACGTCTCGGAGGCTCAGACAAAGGTCGATAATGCTTACAACGTCTTCCAGGTAAGCATCCTTTTCCCCTCCATAGGCCGTCTCTCATCCTCGGCGGATTCAGGTGGAATCAGCCATCAACAACTTCCACGAAGTCGCGCTCCTGAGTGTGAGACAGGTCCAGCTCCTTCGGCACGCACAAGATGCGGAACGCACTCAAGAAGCCGTGTTTGCGCGCTTGAGTGACTATGACAGTAAGCTTGACAAGATCATGCAGAAGGCGGGGACGAACCCCAACTACGATGGCGTTGTGAGTGTGGTCTTTCCATACACACCCTCTTGTGCCCTATGGGCGCCCTCCGAGGCCCGAGGACAGACATCGTGCATGCGCTGAACGATGGAATCTGGACGCTCTTCTCGCTTGTTGCTGGTTTATACCAGGGTGGGGGCGATTTGGCCCCGTTAACTGACCCAGTGGTGTATACCATCCTTGATTGAGTGCTGATCATCGTCTCACAGATGCGACTCTACGGACGAGACGAGCTAGAGCTGATCGAAGACCTCGGCCCCGATCCCAAATCTAACGAGGAGCCACATGCAGGATCGTCGGACGATAGCACGACGACATCCCGTTTCGTGGCCAGGGTTCTACAGACGGGGCGTAATGTCACCGTAAGACGGTTTACGAGGCCGGATAACACGTTCAGCAACGCCGTCGGCGTGGCAAAGAAGATCTGGTGGGTTCTGCATTTCATGCGTTCGCCAAATTTCTGTGCTCAATGTCGTCCAGGCACCCCAACATTGTATCTGCCATCGGATATTCTCGCGAGGACCCTACCAATGCATTCATCGTAGATGCAGGAGCTTGTGCGTGTCCGCCAACCGGACCTCGCACGCCGGGGCAGCAGTGCTGACGACATGTAGACTCACGAACATTCGATGTATTCACGCAATCACTACGAGGCTACGACAAGCAGATGTGGACAAAGAAATTTGTGGGTTCTCGTCTTTGCGTGATGACTCTTTTAGTGACTGATTTCTTCCCCTACTCCGACAGACAAGACAACTTGTCGTAAGGCTGACATATCGCGCTGTAGTGAGCCATTTCTGAGCATCAATATCCACAGTCGGCGTTGGTCTATTTGAAGGGCTTTAGCGCATCGCTCCAATGGACGCCAGACGAAGATGTGAGTCTACTTTGGGGCGCTCTCGCTCCTTGCTTGACCAGCCTGACCACCTTTTCAGATGCGTCCAATTAACGCAGACAAGGACCTCATGATTGTCCACTCTGGGGAAATGTACAGCTTCTCCTGGATGTATGCGCGTACGACTACACTCAGCTCCCAAACGCTTTGATTCACGACGAAGGGGTGCGAGCAATTTTTCCCTCTGCTTCTTTCAGAGTGGCACTCATGCTTATCCAGATGGTCGAGCTACACGAGTCTGGCCGCGCTACGATCCTGGGTACGCACCCCTCTCTTGTGAACAACAATTCGCCCGAGCTCATTCTCCATAGCGTCGCAAGGTTCACCTTCAGTCGCAACCCCAGCTGCGCAACCCAAATCCTACTCCGCGCTTGCGGAAGAATGGCGCTCCCTCGCGCTCATCGCCGACTACGACAGGGACATCTTCCTCTGGTGGCGCAATCGGGGTTTCCAGCTCCTGGGCAGTGCTTCTCAGTCTCGGAGCAAGGTATATTGAAGGTCTGGCTTCGAAGAGCTTAGAACCCAAATCGGTCTCACGGCGCACGTCAAGGGCCGCGTGTGGTCCACAACATGTCGATCTCGAATCCGATCTTCATCGTCGACCCGCCCGCAGAGGTAGCTTCCTCGAAATCCAGCGCAAGCGTGGCCCCCGCGCCAGTCGTGGAGCACGAATTGGTCATGAGATCGATGCATTCGTACATGAGCAGAAACCCGCGCCGGATGTGTGATGTACCCGTGCGCCTGCGAAAGTAAGCCCACAGTCTGTTTTGGCGGACAGTGACGCTAACGGTTCCGTCAGGTATACCGTGACCGACATGGCCCCCGACTGGGCCCTCAAAACGACCACCACGATGCGCGAGCGTGGCGGGCGGGCCTGCCACGACTGGCTCATGCACCACGCTCCCGACTACTGCCTGACTCCCGAAGATCTGAGCGACCTCGCGATCTGTGCGTCCTCCCCGCGCTCTGCACACTCCACCGCCACCTCTGACCACGCACCCTCCCAGGCCACTCGCTCACCTTCCACACCCGCACCGCGCTCGTGCGCTCGCAGTTCGGCGTGCCCGGCGCGGACACCGCACCGCGCACGCTCTACTTCTACGAGCGCGTGCACGACAACCCACGAAGAGCCTCGACCTCTCCCTGCACTGGCCGTGGGGTTCTGGTCGACGGACCCGGACGACGTCTGGAAGGTGAGCGAGATCGGGCCGGCCAGCAACGTGCACTTCGGGTACCACCCCGGCGTCGGCCGCGGCGTGCTCTTCTACGGGGGCGAGACGCACCGCGACGGCGTCTTCCGCTGGAAGCAGATGCTCGGGCTGAACACGTTCTGATCGAAGTCCGGTGCGTGCGTGCGTCCCTCTCGTGGTGCGAGCGAAAGCTGACTTGTAACGCGGACAGCGTGCAAATACACGCGTTCGGGTTCACCCCGGACGAGTGTCTGGTGCTGCGCGAGATGGCCGCGTGTGCGACAGAGGCCGAGCGCGCGGAATGTCGGTTCGACGAAGACCCCGACGACGATGCGGACGACTGTGCGATGGTGGAGGAGGACGAGCGGTGTGACTCGGACACGGAGTCGACTGCGTCGGGCGAGAGCGGTGTGGAGAGCGGCACGGACACGGACACGGACACGGACACGGACGACGACCCGTAGCTTCTTTCATTCTCATGGTATATCTCAATGCTATCTCATCTCAAAGTCTGAGACCGCTCCTCACTGTGCACATGTCGTGCAAAGCATGCGCTCATACATTCACGCGAAAGTGGTACAGGCAAACTGCCACGTAAGCTGGTCAGACAGTGTTTTCAACACCTGCCATGCTTGATTGGAAGCATGGGTGCCCAAAACCTTTGGGTCCTCTCGCTATCCTTCGACCGGTCCGTCGTACTTGATCTCCATCGGTAGTGTTTGCAGGGTAAGAGCGCAGCGCATCGGCGGCAGGTTGTCGAGGTTGTTTCGCACTCACATCAATTCCTCTTGTTCCGGTATGTTGTCTCGACGATTGTGCGAGTCTAGAAAGGGCCCGGTACAGCGATAATGAGCGCGACCTTCTGTTTTCTCGGACGTACGTGCGAAGCTAGTGTGGAGAGCACAGAGTGGAACACTCCGACTTCAAAAGTATGTGAGACGAAGGGGTGAGCTGTACAACCGCCTAGGCTGGTTGTGGTTGTGGTCGCAGTGGTTCAGCATGCGCCCCCGCGCTGTTGCAAGCCGCGTGGATTGCATTGATGGACTTTGCAGTAGTGAGGTCTCGTTTGGAGTCCGTTCCGCGCCCGCTAACCACCCTGTTTACAGCACGAGCAAGACACGAACAGGCAGTCACTTCGGTGACGGTGAGCACCATGCCGCGCATCAATCGCGAGGTTTGTCGTATCGCTTGTGCTGTATTCCGATCGGCGATGGCGCTGGGATCCCGCGCGTGGAGTTCAAGCGCGGGAGGCTGGCAGGCGAATGAAGGGCGCCGCATCAACCTCCACGCGCGCGGGTACGGGCGCTCCCGGACCCCGCCAGCACGCGACTCCGGGCGACTCCTCACAAGATCTGAGTCCGAATCCCGATGGCGCCGACATCCCTGTCGGCTTTGGAACCTCGCAAGATTCATCCGGTGCGCATGGCCCGCCAAGTGTTTTCTCCTCGTGCGTCCGCGACGTCGCCGCTGTGGAGCGCACGATGATCGAGGCTATCAAGAAAGTGCCGCCTCCTCCCACTGATCATGCATCATGCACATGCGCGCGGTCCCTCTCGTCTCCAAAAGCTTCCTGAAAATTTTTACATAGACGAGACGGGGGCGGACACGCCAAGCCCTGCAGGTCTCCGCTGCACCCCGCCGAATGCGACGCTTCACTTGGCGCATGCTCGGCCGGAGGCAACAACGAGCACGGGCCATCGCACCGGCGGCCACCCTATTGAACCCCGCGCGGGGCCCACCTCGAAGTCCGGGATCGCTTTTTCAATCTGCCGGCCGTTGTGCGAAAACGGCGGCTGTGAGGTTACGGCGACGGCCCCGATGGTCCGAAATGCCCGACCGCCCAGGGTGCACACTGCACAAGGCGGCCCTGCACGATTTTACGCGGCAGAAGAGCTTGGGCAGCGCTGCTCGAGCATCGAGGACCTCATGTCGTCGTGCCTGCCGTGCTTGCTCGCCGCTCAGCGCTCCGAAGCCAGTCGCTGAGCGGCTGCGTCGCCCACACGGCGCTGTGATCCCAACGTAAGGCGCATGGGAGGTGCGGGGAAGCACCTTTCGATGACGTCGTCTCGGCGGCCGCTTTCGAAGTCGGCCGAGACGTCAGTCGGACGTACTCTCTGCAGTCGGATGGGGCCAAGAGCGAGAACGGATGGAAATGGCCAATAGGGTGGACGGAGAGCTTGAGGGAATTAGTGTAACAGGCGCGGTGGCGAGGGGAGTCTACTACATATGTGAGACCTTAATGTTACGAGACTAATAACTGACACGGTGCGTAATCAGGATAGCGAGGCGACAACTAGTACTACGACGGAGCGAAGCGGATAGTAAAGGGTGGATACGGGGGTAAAACAGAAAACGCGGAGTTCAGCGTGGGAGCAGCTCGACGAGAGTCTCGTTGCGGCGACAGTGGCCAACGTAGGCAAGCACGTACGGCGAGTCGTATGATAGCAAGTGTCCGTCCGTACGTGCACGGCGAATTATAGGGTAAGGTAGACGTGACGGACGACGGCGCCGAGCAGCCGCGGTCCCAAGTACAGTACCAGGGGGGCAGACGCACGGCGAGACGATGAGCTCATCCCACTACTTCCTTCCCTTCTTCCCCCTCTGTCCTCGCGGTCGTCCGCGGACGCGTGACCGCCCTTCTGCCGCCGCGGCGCCCTGCCCGACTCCCACCGGTGCGCCCTCCACGCGCGGGCGCGGACCCGTTGTCGCAGGCGGCCGCGCTGCTTCACATGTGGTCTCCGGGCCCGGGAAAAAAACGTCCCTGCTGCTCCTGCGGCGAGCAGTGCTCGCCGCCCATGGGCAAGTCCCCGCGGCCCTGGAAGCCGCCGCCGTTCATCGGCCCGAAGCGCGAGAAGAACGTGTCCCACTGGCCTGGAAGTGGGGTCCACCGTTAGCGTGCGGCTCATTCTCTGCCGGTGACAGTGTAAAGAAGGGGCGGCGAGAGACACATGGGAGAAGCGAAAACCGAAGAAGGGAACAAGGGCGCGGGGATCTAGGACAATGGTCGACGACGCACCCCAATCGAACATGGCGCCCGGGATGCCCTCGAGGAAATTGACGTCCGCCATTGTGCTCTGCTCGAGCACGTTGCCTTGCAGCGGCTGATCGAGCACATTGATCACCTGCACATTTCCTGGCGGCAACGCAAACTGGTCGTTCAACATCGGGTTCATGTTCGGGAAGCCCAGCTGCGTGAAGTTGACCATCGGTGGCTGTTGGCCCTGCATCGACTGGTTCTGCTGTGGTTGGTGCTGCGTCTGCTGCTGCAGTTGTTGCTGTTGCTGTTGCTTTTGCTGTTGCTGTTGCTGTTGCTGCTGCTGTTGTTGTTGACGTTGCTGCAGGCGCATTGAGCTCTCCCCACCTCCTTGAACACTGCTGCCTTCGGCTTTGATCAGTGTACCCTCGGGCAGCTTGGTGAGCAACTCGCTGTCTTGGACAGGCCCTTTAGCAATGAACACGCCGCCGCCAGGGCGAGTGCTGTCCTTCTGGAAGCTCAGCGCCGACAGCTGTGACTTGCCCTTGACGCCTCCCGTCGGGTTCAGTGCTGGTTGGACACCGAGTACTAGCGGCGCCTGCGTTGCTTCGTACAAGAGCGTGATAATTTCCGCCGTCTGCGAGACACGTCAGTCAGGCTCTTGCGAAAGATACAGACCGGCTCACCTTCCGTCGGGAGGACATGTGCTCTGGCGAGTGTGCTGCCTCCCACCTGCGGATACAGTCTCGGAGCTTCTTGAGCTTGACTTGAGCTTCCGGATCTTGTCGGCGAGCGTAGGTGTGATACTGCGATGCGCTGGGTCAGTACATGCTCGTGTCGGCCGCCCAACGAGAGTAATAACGCACCTGCACCAGCGCACAACTTGTCGCGCAGTAGGCGACCAACATCCAGACGTCGTACATGGTCTCGTGCGCGTCGAGCCAGTCAATCGCATCGCTCGTCATCTGCACGAGTCCGGTCCATTTCCCGACGGTGAGTGAGAACTTGAGGTGCTCAGGACAGGAGTACGAGATGCGCATGAACACACGCCAGAACATCATGTTCACCGTTGTGTAGAACATGTACAACAGTCCTGGATGGGTGTACGTCGGTCAGTGTCTGCGAAACCAGCGTGGTATGATAGTTGACCCTCCGGTCGGCATCACAGCTTGTCCGGCTGGTGGAGAGGAGGGGATAAAGTGTCACTAGCGGCAAGGCCCGGTGTGAACGGCGACCGACAGCGTCCCTCGCCCCCTCGCTGCATTGTGCCGACGAACCCACCGGCCATTTCGCACAGAAGAACAGAACGTACCAGCGATCTTGGGAGTCTCAGGACCACGGTACTGCAGCTCCGGCGGCAGATGCTCTTTCCATGCTTCGAGGTCGGCCAAAAGAGCGTACAGCTCCTCGTCGTTGGTTGAGTTCAGTCCCGCAGGTCTGCCGGCCGAGGATCAAGTCGATCGTCAGAATTGTCGGTCAGACACACACTTCGCTGCCATGGCGGCTGGCGGAGCCGGAGCAAGGGGTGCGGACTCACGTATAAATGGTCTTCTGGACACGACCGAGGAGGACACTCAACCGGACCAGTTCGTCCAGGTACAAGTCGTTCGGGTCGCCCGAGGATGGCAGCCGCGCGTCGCAGTCGCGAATGTCGATCATGTGCGGGTGCCCGAACGTCAGGCTGATCCTACGCACAACCCAACAGGTAAGTCGTGGTCTTAAAAGTCGCCCCCGTCTGCCCGTAGAGGACAGGAGGCAAGGCGAGGGCGCAGACAGACGGAGGACATACCACCGGTCGCTGATCACGCAAACACCCCACAGCCTTCTGCGCATCTCAATGTTCAATTTCACGGACTCGGCTCTATGCAGGCCCAAGTCTTGTGCCTGGAGGGAGCCGGAGCGCATGCAATAAATCACCATGTAAGCAAGACTGTTCAACCAACAAAACCAATGAATCGCCCACCATTCGGATCGCACAGCCGAGCCGTACCCACAGCGCCGATAAAGCGTTGGGCACGTACTGTGAGTGACAGTCGCCGACCATCGCAAGGATGAGCAGCGACTGGACATTTACAATTGACGCCGTGGAGAGAACGTCCTCGGCCTTGATCAGACTGTTCACAGTGTATCGTATGGACTCGAACACCTGCTGCGACACGTCTCGTCGTGTGGCCGCGACAAGGCATATTGAGTACAAGAGAATCGGAGGTGGAGGGTTGTTTTCGATGAACTCTTCTCGGGTGACGACAGGAAGCATAGGCGCGACATCGGCAAAGTAGGAGTTAACCAGCCGCTCGACCACGTCGCGTTCTATCCGCAGGTCGATCGGTTTTGGTAGCGCCAGTTGAAGCTCGCCCTGCTCGGGCTCATGCACCCTGATGACGCCGTCCCCGTCCGCACTCAGGTCCCATGAGTGATGATATCGCAGGTCGTACGCTTCGTACGTCCGCGATGAGACCAATGGGTGGGAGTGTAGCATGTGCGCAGCAGAAGTCGGGCCTGCCAAGCGTCAGCCACCCAATCAACCGCCAGAGCTCAAAGGCTGCACTCACCGAATACTCGGATGTCCCCGGTCTTTGGGTGGTCGGCCTGAGGAGAGGAGGTGCTCCGCTCGTCCTTTTCTCTCTCAGCCGCCGCCGCCGTTTCCTCTTCGATTTTCTTCTTCTTGAACCGCGTCTCCGTGATGGGGAGGAAGAAGGTGCATTCAAAGGAATATTGCTTACAATGCTGGCATACCGGGGGATCAGCATCCACCAGGATGTCGCATCTGAGAGCGGGGTTATACCCAAGTCAGCCGGTCCCCACGTCAAGGTCGGAGGAGAGTGAGAGAGGAAGAGAGAGGGGAATTGGCGGTGTGGGGTCAAGGAGGGTAGGGAGGTGTAGATGTATGCGGGATGAATACGCGCAGGTGCGAGGAGAAAGGCCGGGAAACGTACCTAATTTTCCTGGAGCGACAGCTATCGCACGCGCGCTGGGTCTTTGTGCGCTTCTTGCTTTCTGCGATTGCGGCGGCGGAGGGCTGGGTGCCGTGCTGGACGTCCGCGCCTGAATCTGCACCTTCTTCGTCAGACGCTTTGCTGTTAACACCGTCGGGGGCGTACTTCCTTTTCCGTTTGCCAGTGGAGGGCGCGGGCGCAGCGGACGCGCTTTGGCTGGACTCGGGGTGGCCGCCGGGCGCTTGGTACACCATCATCCCGGGGGGATAGTGTGCGTAGGGGGCGTAGCCGTAGGGCTGGTGAGGGACAGCGTAGGGATACTGGGGGTGCGCTGGGACGTTCGGAGTGACATTAGCACTCTGGCCATTCGCTGGGGAGCCGGTGGTGGGGGGCTGGTGGAAAGGGGACGGGGAGGAGGGATATGGGCTACCATTGATGGGGTACGACGGGTTGCTCATCGGGGCGGAGTAGCTGGCGGGGGCCGGAGTGGAGGAAGACGGGCCAGGGTAGGGCTGGAGGTGAGCGGTGTAGCGAGCAGAGGACTGCTGCAGAGGCTGATCGCGTACGTTTGAGATGCGCGAAGCTTTAGGGAAGGGAGGCACGTAACAGGAGCCAGTTAGTTCGGAGGCGCCATCTGATTAGAAAACAGGGTGACGCACTGCGGGAGTCGGACGCCGGGGGCGGGGACTGTGTGCTCGGGGACGGGGGGTGGTGCGCCGCACCCGGGGGCGGTTGGGGGTCGAGCGGCGGCTTGGGGGCGGGGCCGGACTTGGGCTTGCGCTGCCGGGGGGTCTTGGACGGCGCGGGAGCGGACTTGCGGGAGGAGGGGGTGGGAACCGCGGAGGGCTGAGCGTTCGCTCGGGGCGGGTTTTGGTCCATTCTTCCGGGGGTGGCGAGAGGACGAGGAGTGATATTACGCTCTCTGCGTGCAGCTGCCGTCTGGCGCCCCGAACTTGGCACTCGCGCGATGCAGGCGCCGGGAGCGGGCGAACGCGTGCTGCTCGCCGGCCTCTTTGTCCTCCGCGCGTCCGCGGGCGTCGGGGGTGGCGTGGGCGGGCTGGGGACGGCGCGCGCGGCGGGGGTTCCTGTCTGTCCGCTAGCCGCGGTGAGGGAGGTGGACGAGGACGGACGGTGCCCAAAAGCGCGCCCCGCCCCGCTCTCCCCGTGCCGACGTGCCGAATTCAATCTCCGCACTGGGTGCCACCGCCACATGCGGAATGCCCCCCAAGCGCCCTCGGCCCGGCCCCCGCTCCTCCGCCGCCAGACCTCCCGCCTCCTCGCGAGCTTCCGGGAGATGCGCTCGTCGTCGCCCGTTGACGATGCGCGTCCCGACACGCTGCATACCGCGCCCCTGCGCGCGGCGGGACGCTTGCGGGTTGCTTGCGGGGGCCGCTGTGGCGAGGGCGGAGAGGCGCGTCAGGCAGAAAGTGCTTGCGTCACCGTCGCGTGTGGGTTCCCGATCGCCTCGCAGCGCGCCTTCCGCGCTCGTCCATCCCCACCGCCCTGGCGCAGCTGCCAGAGGCCAAGCCCGCCTGGGTCACAGTCCAAGTCCGGGACCATGCTGCACGTCGCCCCAGCCGCTGTCGGGGTTTGTGCTCTTCTCAGCACCCCAGATCTGTCCGTTCTCACCGCATTGCCCTGGTTCACACCCTTGTTCCGAGTGCGAGCATCGTTCGTGATCGTGCCTTGTCTACGTCAGACGTGTCCCAATTCTTCGCACTCTAATAATTCCCCGCCTCCTCCACCATCCACCTACCGAATTCACCCGCTCGTCGGGCCCCGTCATCGCACTGCCTCTGCATATCGCTGTCCGCCTTCAAGGTGTATGTCACATTCAAAAACGCAGCTCGCACAGTTTCCCTGCAGTGAATAAACAGTCTGGGGCCTAGAACTCAACCAGAAATACGAGCGCACAAAATACGAACACAACCACCTTACCAGCCACGCTTGTCCGAGCACACGCAAACGATGCCAACCGCGCGTCCCTGACGCCTACCGTCCCATCATCATTCACCCTTCCCACGACCCGCGCCATGCTCAACATCTTCCGGCCACGGGTCTTCGTGCGGCAGCAACCCCGGATTCACTTGTCGCTTGTCCTCAGCCGCCACCGCGCTGAAGTCGATCCACGAGTAGCCCGTCGGTCGGCAGAGCATGTACACCACGTTTCTCCGCCAGTTCCCGTGCGAGAAGGGATTCGGGGGTGCCGGCCCCGGCACCAGCGACTTGTGCGCTTGGTTTCGAATCTGGTGTCGCCACGAGGCGGAACAAACACGTCAGAAAACGGAAGAAGAGGTCAGGCGTCACCAAAGGGCCTTAGCATCCGTAGGAATCACCACCGATCTAGCCAGAACCCGCGACCCGACTGATCGCCGGCGGCACCACACGAGACCAGGGGGGGGGGGGGTGCAATGCATCGGAGCGCTGGCGAACACGTACCTGTTCTATAGTTGTGACGTTGAGCAGAAGCAGCTACCCGATCGCAATTGTCGTTAGTCCGAACACGTCGCCGCTCTGAGGGTCAATCAAACTCACCCTGAGGTGGTACGACAGCAGCGCCAAGAGAGGCCAGATGACGAGAATGGAGACTATGAATGTGACGGAGCTACCGATGCCTTGAGGTGTCGAGATAGCACTGTGGAAGCTCATATGGAACTTCGAGGTGAGCAGGAACAGGTGAATTGCCGTGGTGCAGATCATAAGGATCAGTGTCATCACCTGGAAGATGGAGGAGCTGTCAGATTACATGGGGCACGAACGAGAGAGATACCACGCGGTTGACCGTGGTGGTACTTACAGTGGAAAAGAGGAACGTGAAAAACAGAGTGTAGTTACGGCGGCCGATGCAGTTGTTGACCCACTGGCAGTGATGATCACAGCCGTCTACACAGTTGTCACACTGGTGATACCAGGGAGAGAACGAGAAGGAAGGTAAGCAACAGGAGACACGTGCGGGTGGTTAAGGACGCACCATTTTGCAATGGCTCGATCGAGGCGGGCGGTAGGTCATGCAGGTCGGGCAGTACTTGGTGCGTACACTATGTTATGGTATAGTCAGCCAGTGCCTGGGCGCTAGAGAGAGGGTACATACATGCCGGCACGAACTTTGAGATCTCGGGGAAGAGGAACACGGAGAGAGCCTTCGGAGGACGAGGTAGCCGGATATGGGGGGTCTGGATCCAGATTGCGCGGAAGTATTCCCGGATCTCGGAAAGCCTGCAAGTAGACACCGAGAGGGATTAGTGACCGGCGGGAAAGCTCTCCGCAGCAGTAGCCTATTGGGCCCCGCACTGCCACCCTCCCGGCGACGCCGGAACGTGGCCGAGACGAAGGTCCAGACAGGCACTCCTGCGCCGACCCGGGAGCGACCATGCGGGACGAAGAAACGAGCCGAGCACTCACTGTAGCCAGCATGCTCGAAATCGTGAGTAGGCACATGTACGCGCCCACCGCGGCCACTGCCGGGCTTTCGTTCGTCCACCACCACACGCACGTCGTCCCGAAGTACACGCCTGCGACGATCACCAGCAGCGTGAACGAGCCGATGAACGCCCAGGGCGAGTCCCCTCCTGTGAGCACCCGACCTCCAAGGAAGAAGCGGTTCCGCGAAGGATGGAGCTGGTAATTGCGTATCGGCTTTCCCGTCTTCGGATTCAGGACTGGAGTGGCGCAAAGTGGTGGGTTCATGTGTGCCGGGGCCGTTGCCATGAACGACGCCTGCGCTAGCGACATTGTAGAACCTTGAAGGGGCGACAGGTTGTGCTTCTGATGACCCGGCGACGTCGGAGAGCGGTCCGCGTTCATACCGCCCATGCCTCCGACGTTCAGCTCGAACGTTATTGGTGATGTGTTGCCCGAGCGTGCTTGAATGGGCGAGAATCCGCTGCTTGGGCCGGCATTGACGGGCGTTGTAGGCGACCGTTCAAAGTTGAACCCTTTCTTGAAGAGTTTCTCGAAGCTCCCGCGCATTCGTGCACCCGCACTGACGTTTGAGTCGCTGCGACCATAGGGACTCGAAGTATTCGTGACGATGTTCGGGAGCGCGGTCGAGCCCGACTTGTGGGGGTTGGTGATGGGGAGGAGGGGCTCACGACTGAACTTGTTCGTCGACAGGGACGGGCTGAGCTTCACGTCCTCTACCGAATGATCCACACTGTCCGACGCCTCCGAGATCCGGTCTTCCTTCTGCTGCGAGGGCGACGATGCAATTTGCGACAGGCGCATGACGTCGACCGAACCTCTTGCCGACGAGTACGAACCGGCGGTCGACGGGCGGGCTGTGGGCGGGGTAACAGACAGAGGAGGGTAGTGGGGGCGTGAAGGGTTGAAGAACGAAGCAGAGGGCAAGACTCCGCCTACATGCGTGCCCACAGAGGTCGGACGGGGCTGATGGATGGGGAGGACCATGGAAGGAATAATGGGCACCTCGTTTGCATGATGACTCGCATTCACTGTGGCCCGCGAGCGCGACGACATTAGCGACCCCGACCTGGTGTGCACCTGCTTTGAGGTTGGGGTCGCGACAGGTGAGTTTCCTCTTGAAGGCCTCCCGGAGGACGCGGGCAGGGAGGTGTTGATGCCAGGAAGTCGGGGAGCATTATTGGAGGAAGGAGAGAACGGAAGTTTGGCGACAGTCCTTGACGAGGGAGTGGGGGGTAATGAGTGTGGTGTCGCCATAGTGTTTCCAGCTTAAGCTCGACGGAGAATATACAGGGATATGGTATTCGTCGATGGGTGGGTGGGAAGCTGAGAGGGGGTGGGTGGTCGGGGAATCTGCTGAGCACCTACGTGCGGCGAGGAGCAATAAAGCTAAGCCTGCAGTCCAGCCGTGGATATATCAGAGCATACGGTTGGTTGGGAGCCTGCAAACCGTGCTCTCTCGGAGAGTGAAGGGGGAGGATGCGTATGCACGCAGGCCTCAAGCGCTCCGTGCCCAATCAGCAGCTACCGGATCACTCCAGTTCACTTCCAGTTCATCTCCGCTGCGGCTCCGACCACAGGCAGTTCTCGCGTGCCCCTTCACATTAACCCTCCTCCCGGTACGGGCGTGGCCAGCTATTATGATACAACCCATCGCGGAGTAGCAGAGGGTACCCAAGCACGTACAGGTGTCTACACAGTCCCAACACTATCAGCACAGTTCAAGAAAATGTCCGTCAACTCCCGAGCCACAATAGTCTCTTCACGCCGTACTCCATCTTTGCATAAACGCTCGTCATCCGTTGCGCATCTGCCAAACTAGGTTGCGGACCACGGTTAGCCTCGCGCGCATCTCGCGGCACGCCTGTTGTCGGACTCACCTCACGACATCCGCTTCCTCCAACAAGCCTTGGTGCTCGTTCCCCAAGTCTTTACACGCCTGTTGAATGGCGTTCACAATGAGGTCCACCGCCTCCTTGCAATTCTGAGCAGTCGTGTAGTCGTCCTGGGATTGAATGAAGCTTCCCGTCTCGCGTCGGGCACGTGCCGGGTCCACAGGCAGTGCCTTGAACGCGGCGAAGATAGTCTCCTGCCCTGCGGTCGGGCCTGCAGTTTCCGCCAACACGCGAGATAAAGCCATGGGAAGGGTCGGCCTCCGCGGCAACGCGATTGAGAAACGACTGCCGGTCTTGCGTGGGGGTGGAGATGGCGGTGTATTTGCAAAATCGAGGCTGTTCCGGATCGAATAACTCGCGACGCGGGTGTCCTGTCGGTCGGAGTTGTTCCACGTCACAACGAATCCAGCGTTCTGCAACGGATCACGGCTCGCCTCCTCGAGGGGCGAGAGGATATAAACCCCTATGCATACGCATTAGTACCAAGACATAGGCAGTGTGACTGCGCTCACCTTTGGTGATACCCACTATTTCACCAAGGGGAACGCGGGTATAGATCTTCACCTTCTCCAGGGTATAGTCATAGCTCTGATACACGCGTCAGCGTTCATGTAACCATGAGGCAATGCATGCACACTCACAATAATGTATAGTGCTTTGACGCTCTGCCACCAACCATTAGAGAGGCGTCGGGCGCGTGTCTCAGTTGGACACATACCAGCAGAAGAACCTTCTCCTCAAATTTGTCTCCCACTTTTGCGTTCAGTTGCTCGGGCGCAAAAAGCGTCCACCCGGACAACAAGCGTTCTCCTTCAGAAAGCACGCGTGAGACGCACGTGGCGATGGCGTCTGCGCGAATCTTGGATATCCGGATGAGATCTCGCGGGTCGGTGGACTGCAGCTTATTGAGGAACTCGGAGAAAACGGAAGTAGTCCGCGTTCCGAGCATGAAGTCAATGACCGCTTGGCTGAACCAGTCAGCGAATGTCGACGTGTACATTCTAGCCACAGGCAAAGCATCAGCACATGGTCATTCCGATGTGAAAATTAGACCCACCGTGCCAGAGAGTTCACCCCATCGTTGAGCATTCCGGCCAAGTCGCGCTTGCCCGTTCTGCACAGTGGTGAAACATCAGCCGCAGCTCGCAGCAGAGCAATGAAACCTTCCACCTGGTGAAATCACCCTAGAGGTGGATGAAAGCGAGGTCAGTGATGCAATAATCAGCGCAACGCCGCAGCAGCTCGCCTTGAGAGCCGATGTTCCCGCACTATGGGGGAGGGTCAGTGTGAGACTATTGTGCAACTGGGATCACTTACTAGGCACGACTGATAGCATCGCCATTGTTTGCCCACACTGAATGGGAAAGAAACACAACCTAAGTGATATTTTGTGCGTGCCAATGCGCAGCACCACGAACCATCATTGAAGACAACGTCCATTTCCGTGCGACGGCCATCCTCCTGATTGAGGAGAGCCACTGCGCCGAGTTGCCTGTTCAATACATGCCGTGCAAAAGCAGACTGCGGAATCAACGTGCTCAGCGAGTGTTCGTAAACCAATGCTCAACCACACTCACCTCAACGACATTAGTTCGATCCAGACAGTCGATACAATTGACGCGGAAGACGCCTTTCTGTTGTGACATGATACGGTCACTGGAGATCCAGAAATACCTGACTTATGTCATTAGTAGGGAAGCAAAATAAAGGCATGGTGGGGTGATGCGCACCCTTGGCTCTCGAATGTTCTCTCGAGTTTGTCAATAAGATTGGAGATGTTCTCATATCTGATGTGGCGGGTTCAGTGACTACGCGCATTCGCAGAAATGCAGCGGTTGGCTCACTTCATCCCTCGAGTCTCAGCGTGGAAGTCGTACGCATGATACCTGGTTATTGATCAACATCATGGCGAGGTGACTTCGTTCTGATTGCGCACCGAACATCCTCCGATGCTAGTTCAGACACGTAATCGCCGAATGCGTTGGTTACCTGGCCTTCTTTCCCGTGCAGCTCAGCCAAGTTGACGATTGTCTACGGCTAGTGTCAGGCAGTAAAGCATGAGGATACAAAACTTCCTGACCAGGGGACCATATGCGGCAGTAACTCGCGATAGATGTCGTGATATTGCACGCGAGTTCTGATCGTGCGTGCGATCGGGATCCAATTGAGGCGCTGGTTTCAAACCTGCTCCTTGCTGATTCCAGTACAACGGGACTACAAAAGCAGTCGTCAAATCGCAAGACCAAAAGGACCTCAACGCCTTTACTTACTTGAACCCCTAACCTGGACATGGGCAAAGACATTTGCGAAACCTTCTCGCTACAAAGAAGAGGATGAGTATGCAGGTGCAACCCAGATTGTTGAGTAAACATACCTCCACCCTCATAATGGTTTCAGTCTCAACAAAGTTGGCTACGTTTGAGTCATCGTCGATACCTCGACGTTGATACCTGAGCCCTGCACGGTCCCTTGAGCGACGCGAGATTACAACATACTCCACGGCTACGCTGTCCCCCTCCTCATCCGCGACGGGTTCTCTCTCAATCTGGAACGATGAGACTTGGAAGAATCCTTGCATGATAGGCATTACGTATGAATGAAGCTACGGAACGGTCACCACAGGATAACGAAGATGATGAGTAGACAGACTTACTCCGGCGTCAATGAGAGGTTTCGACAACCACTCATTCCACCAGAACCGGCGGTCGACTCGTCGCCAGAGTGGTAGCGCAGCGGATGGTTCTACGAGTACGTCGACCTTCTCAGTCGCCGGGCCCAGTCGCTGAGACTCGTCTAGGGCGTCCAATTTATCTAGCAACACAGTCTTCGACTTCGCAGCGGAAACGAGTTCGTGTTTGTGTTGCAAAGAGCGGGTCATGTCTGTCACAGCAGTTGAGATGCGGCGTAATGGCGTGATAGTGCAGGGGGCTTACCAAATGTGTAGGTGAAGTACATCCCACCCCGCGAAAACTCCCGCACACATTCCCGCACGATCTTCTCTTCGAGCTCGGAATGCCTTTGCTCTGCGGTGTCTGGTGCGGGTGCGGATGCCGCGATGATACTTTCAATCACTTCCTCGGGTTCCTTCGAAGGGTCTTTGATGATTGAAGGCGCATTCACGGGATCTACCTCTTCGGTCCCAGGCTGTTCCATCAACACATGGTCGATAGAATTATGCTTGGAATTCCTCCGGGACGCCAGAGACCAGAAGGACAACCGGTTAGCCAACGTCTTCACCACAGTTTCACTGTTCGTAGAGACGATGGACGATGGCGTCGAAGCTGTCGACGAGGATGGCGAAGGCGGCCTGTCGCCGTCTGCCAAGTCGAAGGTCTGCTCGGGCCGTGGCGAGACCATCTTAATGTCTAATTCCTCGGCAAATTTGACGCGAGGGGACGCTCGTCCATCCGAAGCGGTGACCCCAGTAGCTTCGCCATCCAAGTCCTCCTCTTGCGGGACCTCGGGAGGCAGAAGGGAGGTACGCCGATCAACCTTGTTACGGGCGACCAAAGCGGCCAGGACCGCCTGCGCACGTTCTTCCTCGAGCGGGATGGCGGTCACGCCCTTCACGCCGTACACGGTGTGCCTCGGGTCGAAGACTGCGCCCAGCATGAACATTCAGAGGATCTGCCCGCAGGTTGGGCGGGCACTCACAGTCACCTATCGGGGTCCGCGACGAGACCACGAGGAGATAGGACGCTGTGCGTGTGTTACTACATGCACGCACGGAACACAGGACGGGCGAATAGCTACCAGAATAGAGTTCGAGGAACCCGACGATGCCATACACGACCGCACTCTCGTCCCACTGTGCGCCCGGAACCTTCGAGGCAAGCGTTTGCACTTTGCCGCCCTTGCCCCAGTCGATCTTCACCTCCGTCTCCTCCTCCTCGCTCTGTGGCCGGCCAGGATGCCGCGGGCGCATGAGCAGGCCCTCGGGGGTGGCCAACAACGAAATGTGCTCATAAGGACATGGGTGCGGGACTGGGGGAAGGATGTCCTTCGGTTGGAGGCCGACATGGTGGGCCGCAGGATTTGCGGGCGCGGGTGAGGCGTCCGGAGCGGAATTTGCAGCCGCGGGCTTGGGGACGAATGGTCGCGTGAAGAGACGCTTCATGTCCGAAGGCAATAGATCGAGCTAAAGCAGGGGCCAGAGTGCATATGTCCAGCTGAGAGCAAGGGAGGGCGGGAATGGGCAGGCAGCTGGAGGGAGACCACGAGCAAAGTGGGCAGCTCCGGTGGCGGAGCGAAAGACCGGCATGACATCAGATCGCCAGATCGGGCCTGACTAGGACTAGCGACTAGTTGGACCTCCCCCGATCTAAACACGTCTCGGTCGCGACTCGCTACAGTCGCCCAGCACTCCTCCCAGTCCGACAGGCCCGCCGTCGATCACATGCAACGTTATCACTACTCGTACACGCCGCAGGAGGGGGTCGAAAGCTATTGCAACAAAATACAGTACATCCCGATCACATTCATCTCTACGTGCGAGTGCGAGTGCCGACCCGAACATCGTACCCGTATCCACCACCCTGCGCACCCGGAACATCACCCGGGCCGTTGTAGTGCAGTTCCGACACGTCGTAGTTGCCTGACCCATCGGAGTCAGCCGGCTGCCCGAGGGATCACATGTAGACGTGGAAAACGTACCGATGAACTGCCACCCGTTCTCCTTCACGTGGTACAAGTTCACTGTGTTACCTGAGAAAGCATCTCGGTGGCCAGCAGCGTAGATGCTGCGCCTGCCGAGCTCTTGTGCCTCCTCATCCGTCAGATCCCACCGGTAGCCCTGATCGAGCACACCGTACGCGAACGTGCTTCCGGAACCAACGGAGAAGAGGTCACCCTTCAGCCGTGTGCCGTCGGAGTCGACATAGAAGATAGCCGGGCCCTGCAAGAATTGTCAGTCAACCTTAACGACCACAGTCAGTGGACTGAAACACACCGTCTTGTCCCATCCACAGATCATCGTTCCCTGAGGATCCATTTCAATAATGTATTCGAAGCCATGCTGCACTGACACGACATACCATGCTGAGGCCCATGCCCTTGTAACCGTATACGAGATTGCTCAAGTACTTGCTCGCCGCGGCGACGGAGATGCGCTCCCGGTTCCGCAATTCATGTAGCCTGCATTGGATGCCCAGGTACGTCTCCCAGTACTGGCAATCGGCTAGGTAACTCTCCGCATAAATGCAATGTAACTCGATCGGAGACGCGTATGCTTACCTGCGCCACCGGCCATGGTACCAAGCAGGTACGGGTTAATCTCAATAACCTTCTTCACGGTCCCAGATGCTATGGGCCGTCTGATAAGAAAACGCATGGACAAATCCAACATATTACTCACCAACATAACTGCCCGCAGTGGCCCGCGAATCGACTGCGACAATGACGCCTCCCTGGAATCGGAACGCGAGTGTGGTGGTACCGTGCTTGATTTTGATGCGACACGACGGGTCCGCGTGGTCATCTGTGTGCAACCTCAGGAAAGAAGTGGGCTGGAAACAGAATATATCAGCCTGTTAAGTACCTACAAAGACAGCGCACAAGTACGCACATCTGCCACGGCCGGAAGTTTAAACATGGGTACGCCCGATGCGAGGTTGCCGAAGCCGCCAGCGGAGCCCCACATCTCGTTCAAGACTTCATCGTCGTCTCCAAAAAGCTCCTTCGCCTTGCGGATGTCTGCCTCTGGCGACGAGGCAGAGTAGCGGGTGAGGAAGGAGTTCATGGTGGGAGGTGAGGTACGCGTATGCACATTGGCGCCAAAGGGCAACGTATGCCTGAAGTCGCTGTCACGTGCGATATCTACGCGCCGCGCGTCCTGTCCCGGTCCGCGCGGCCGCTTTTCACCATGACCCCGTAGTATGCGTTCTTGAGATAAGGCCGTTGTGCTTGCTGAATCGACTCTAGCACACTAACTAGCCTTCGTGGGACACGACATCGCTCGCTACGCAGTGCTAACAACGTGTGCTATTCTAAACTGCAGCCTGAAGAGTCAGTGCAGACGGTAGAAACAAAAATGCGCGTCCAACTACACACGCGATACAACCACCCAGAAGGCATTCCTCAAATATCTCGATTTTCTCACACTTTTATCGCTCAAAAATAAGCATGCAGATAGTGTAGCACGTTGAAGCTATGTTTTGGCTGTTTTAGCAGCTACATATACATGAGAACTAAATCAAACAGAGGCGAAGTGGGCATTTCGGTTCGGGGCGCTAAACGTTCTGTTTGTCATTATTTGCATCGCCGTTCACGCCCTAAGCACTGAATTGCTCGCTGCGCTCGCAATTACGGTTCGCTCTTGTGCGTATATTATGCCGCAGAAAGTGGTACATGACCAGCCTGCAACTGTTCTACAATTTGCATTCCGTACACGGTCTTCGACGGAGCTCCTTGCATTATCTTTGCGCACGGGAACGGGCGATAGTTCGATGTCCCATTCGATACGTCTTTGCGGCCGAACGACCTCGCGCAAGGACCGCTTGCTCTTGAGGGGAAGCACATTACTGAAGTGGCTTCCGGCAGTAATATCCCGGATCGTCCTTCCAGTTCACTGCGACCTGGCAACGGAAGCCGAGAAGACCCCTTGGATTGATCTTGACGTTCCGTGGCCAACGGAGCCAAAGCCGTGGAATCCACTACATACCCGCTCTCGGGCCAATGTCCGCACAGAAGCCGATATTTCCGATGGCTACTTGACGTATATACATAGTGGAAGCGCAGTGCGCCCATGCGGAACGAAGCATAGACACTGCACATCACGCCCAATTTCCTGTCAGGAAATGTTTAGGATAGGTTGTATATCCAACACATATCCCGCGTATATCCCGGGATCCGGATTCCCGGGCCATTTTCGATGACAGGCGACCAATTATGTCCACGTGACCTGCTCACCTCGCGCGTCTTAACGCGTCTGCGCGTCGAGAAGCACCTTGCATTTCCCTTGCTACATTCCCCCATCCTTCCTCAGGCCTCAGGCTTAAGTGCCATGTCCAGCCATCCCTATGACATCCCCCCACACCCCATCGCGCAACGCCGCACCGCTCTATCAATAGGCTCGTCGTCCGACGTCCGTTACCTTTGAGTGCCTGTGTTCAGTGGCGGTTTACTTATCCCCAGTCAGGTGTGCCTCACCTCCGATCAGGCTAGATCAAGCGCAGTTATACATGCATGAAGGGTGTTACGGGCTTTCCCGGGATTTTTGGGCGGATACAGCAGCAAAGGTGAGTATTGCTCATTCTTTGGGTGATTATATGCGCACTGAGTTGTGCTATAAAACATCCGCAGTGTGACCGAACGGTGTGGCGATGATGCCCGGGTACGTCCTTCGTCTCATCTGCGTGCTGCCTTGGAATCGATACCCCTTGAAGTCAGTGCGACAAGATGGACACGATGGACGCAAGTGACAACGGAGCGCCCGAGTCGAGGTGAGTGCAAACACCTGAGAAGTGGTATAGGTTGCAGCGCGTGTGCCGCTTTGCAGTCGAGACTGGCTCTCTGCTCCCTGTTTGGTTGTCTCATATATACGTAGTCATATTGAACTAGCTACAGTACTTGCAAGGGTGCAATCGTCGGCCGCTCAAACCCTCACCCAAGAGCGTCGCACGGCAGCCGCGAGCCCAACCTTCGCTGAGATCCCGCCCGAGCATATATGGAGGATCTGGTCCGCGATGGGCATCGGGTGCGTTCTCTGCTCTGTCTCCCATATCCTCGTCCTCGCCATCCCTCCTCTCCATCACGCGTGATCTGCAGGATGCTCTACATGTGGGACTGGCCGCTCGTCAACCCTCCCTAGAGCACCATACCGAGGTCCACGATCTCCCTCAAGGACTTGGCCCTCGCTCGGCTCCCCACCCATCTCTTCGCGATCTGTGGCCCCGCGTCGGTCTCGTTCCTCAAGATGTCTCTCAGGTGCCACCCTACCCGCACCGCGACCCGATCGAGGCGCTCAAGGCGTACTTCTACACCCGGCGCACGTTCCCCTTCCTCGACCGCATGCTCGGCGTCCTCAGCGTCCTCGGGCCCTACGGGCGCGCGCGCGAGGACATGGGGCGCCTCCAGGGCTGGCAGCGGAACGCGCAGGCGATCTGTGCGGTGTTCAACTTGCTCAACGACGCCAAGCTCCTCGACAACGTTTCCCGCTTTGTCGGCCGCATCGACACGCTCCTCATGCTCGTCCGCACTGTCCAGGGCGAGGCGCAGAACATCGGCGTGCTCGGCGTCATCGACGCGCGCGCGTGGGCCGCCGTCGCCGCCGCCTGACGTGCCGTCCATGGCGCGATAGCGGACCCTGCTCCCCGACTGTGGCCAGCTGCTGCGTATTATTGTGAATCCAGGTTACCGCTAGTATCTCTGCATCCCTGTAGCACGTGTCAGTAGCATAGACGTCAGAATATATACATGCTTTTACCAATATTGTATGAACCACGGTCCACGAACGCGCCCGGAATAGCGAGTACCCTGGAAGCGCCAGCCGGGATGTGCACAGGATATTCCTGGGAAGTTGTGAGGTTTCGAGGAATGTCCCAGAACTTCCCTGCCAGGAAAAACCTTGGATAAATCTGCGATATTCATCATATCCCAGACATATCCTGACAGGAAATTTGGCGTGATGTGCAGTGTAGAGTGTGGAATTATATCGGCCGTGGTTCATCATAATTAGCTATAATACAGCAAGCCCAACCCACCGATGACGATTCTGCATCGGCGGGGAAATAAATCAACGAATAGACAGCAGCAGCAGGACGGTGGACGCATTATACAGAGAGCATCCCAAACCAACAGAAGAATATACGACAGGACTCCCGATAGGAACTCCCAGAACAAAGGAGCGAGCCAACAATGGGCGAGCCAAAATAACACGGACCTAGACCGGCACCAACTCTGTGGGTGTCGCCGCGGCCCCCGCGTGCACGAAAGTTCGTGCACGCGGGAAGAAGGTACGGCACTGCGACCGACGGCGGCGCTCTGGCGACAGCGGCGTGGGGCGTAGCCCCAGGCCCGCGAGGCGCACCGACGTTACCTCTCACAGGACACTAGACGCGAGGGACCTCTAGGTCAGGGTCGCTTCACAGCCCAGGCGAAGGTCCAGCGGCTGTGGAGGTGAACGCGCAGTTCACGTAACTCCGCAGCGGCTTCACGCTGCATTTTGTCCACGCTTTCGGGGAGGTATCCCTCACTACACCGGCGTGGTGAGCGGGAGGTCGCGGAAAGGGAAAAGGCGGAGCTGACTTACCTGAGGAGGAGGGGGCCCATCCCCGAAATATAGCGCAGGCAGTCCTCACGGAGCATCTCCGCAAGCAGGCGTTCTCGCTGATTCGCTGAATGACGGTCAGGAAGTGAGGCGTAAATGGTGTCCGCGGTACGTACAGTAACGCCAGGGTCCGATCGGTATGAAGACCTTATGCCAGCCCACGTCCGTGTAGGAGTTAATGGCGCGCAGCCATGTTGGTGACATAGATGCCGAGTCAATGCTTCCGCCTCGGTTCTTCATCGCGTTGTATGCTGCGAAGAACACTCGGTGTGTCCATGAGAACTCCGGTGTTCCCTCTTCGGCGTACGGCACGGCGTCTTGGAATTCGTCGTAGATTTGCATATCGCCGTCGCCGAGCAGGACGACACCGCCGGGACACAATGCTTGCGAAAGCTCCTCCAAAAACAGGGGAAAGTCCCGGATCTACGGTCATCATCTCAGTACGCTGGATTGCAATGCTGCGGAAGGATGAACTAACCCCGGCGGAGACGGATCTTGCATGAATTACGTCGAACGCTCCTTGATAGTGCAGGAAGCCCAGATTTGCCTGCATCCGAACATGAACGGCAGTGAATACATCAAAGAACCCTGACTCACATCATCAATCTCAAAACTTGGCAACGGGGGGAAATTGAATCACGACCGAGCCTTGCGGTAAATACAAAACGACGCACCGACAGTTCGGTGGAAGATCTCTGCGGATTAGCGATCAGCAATGACGACTAGTCATCGCTTCGAATAAGCAGGGTCGCTTACCCATCAATTCCCGGGGGCGCCAAATCGACTCCGACGACTGTGGTGTGGGGAAACTGTCGGGCCATGTCGATGGCCCTAGGAATCCTGTTCAGGGGCGACGCAGGACTCGAGTCATTGAAGTCATACCAACTGCCGCTTCCCGTTCCGACGTCCAAGATCGCGGGGGGTTTCCCAGGTCGGGGTGTAAGAGCCCTGCGGACCAGATTCGGGGCTGGAAATAGCCCACCCAGAGCAAGAGTGAGCACTTGATGTTGTAAATCAAGCCTACGGTGTTCTTCCGTGTCCTGATGTACGTAATGATTTGAGCTAGGAGAATGAATCACGATCACAACGAAATGGTGGCTCACCGCAGGAAGAAAGTATGTCTATCAATGAGTCAGTAACAGATCTGAGGGCCGCGTGACGGGTTCACTGACATCGTTTTGATTGTTGAGCATGCGTCCATAGACGTGACGTAGCTTTCCAGGAAGTTAGGAAAACGGCAAAGGGCAGTGGGAACAGAAACAATACCATCAGACGTCCGTCGATGGACGAAAAGGAATAGAGCGAGGGCGCAGGACTGCCACTACGGCCAGCAGAGCTGGTGTCGATATCGATGTCGTCCTGCTCGGAAGACATGAAGACGTGGGCGGCGTGAGAGGCTGAGAAGGGGTGAAGTACCGAGCTGCATCCCAGTGGCGAGTCGCCGGAGTCGGAAGCATATATATGCGCGTCCTGGGGCTTGGGGGGCGCCCGTTTGGACGGCCTGTGTGCTCTGTCGGAGCCTGGCAGCAAACAGTCAGATTGAGGGATAACGTCACGAGCAGCCGGCGGGAGACGAGGCTGACCGTTCATCTGGCGAGATAGAGTTCAGAATCGCTCTAGGCGAGGGAAATTGCAAGCTCGACGGCGATTTACTCAGTGGAGATAAGGTCCCTCGGGCGCGTGGAGGCTGCGGATGCGGTGAGCTGGGTTGCTGGGAGACTGGAGCCCGCGGGGACGCACTTGCTCTGGCGGCGGCAGCGGACGACTTATCTGGCTGGTGGGCGTATATCAGCGAGGCGTACTATCTATCGCTAGCTCGCCCGGCTAGAAGACGGTCCCAGGCAACTCGTCCCCAGACACGCGCAGCGGTCCGCGTCTTTGTCAGCAGATCGCGCGCGCGTCGGCAACGCCCGCACCGCGTCCATCCGCCACTCGCAGGCCACCGACGCGTCGTTTGTCTCCTCCACCATGTCTGGCATTTGTAGAGCCCGTCTCGCCGAAGAGCGCAAGCAGTGGCGCAAAGATCATCCTTTTGTACGCCTATTTTCTCTCGTTCCACCCGGCACCGCCTGATCACGCCCAGGGCTTCTATGCGAAACCCACCAAAGCTGCCGATGGCTCCATGAATCTACTCGAGTGGGAGGTTGGCATCCCGGGAAAAACGGGTGTACGTACTCCTTTGCGCCTCATCGTTCCCTGAGGTCGTTCCTGAGCGCGTGGACCGCAGACTCCATGGGAAGGAGGTGTTTACAAGCTCATGATGATCTTCCCCGAAGGTATGTCTCGTCTCCAGCTCCATAACGTACTACCATGTGGACTCACCTTATTCGCAGACTATCCTTCCAAGCCGCCTAAATGTAGGACAGTTGGTTGACGTATCGTGTCGACCCGCGCTCATTCTCCTCAGGCAAATTTAACCCACCTCTCTTCCATCCGAACGTTTATCCCTCGGGTACCGTCTGCCTCTCTATTCTGGACGAGGAGAAGTCATGGAAACCGGCCATTACCATCAAGCAGGTCCGTCCGTTGCTTCTAGTCCCGTTGACTACTCTCACAGTGTCCATAGGTTCTCCTTGGCATCCAGGAGTTGTTGAACGATCCTAACGTAAACGATCCGGCGCAGAGTGATGCTTACACGATGTTCAAGTAAGCACGCCCACCGTCATCCTACAACACCCACTCACGTCTTTTCTGTCTAGGAACGACAAAGTTGCATACGAGTACGTGAGATGGACGTGCGGCAATTTGTGGTATGCTGACTCCGTTGGACAGACGACGTGTGAAGCAGCAAGCACGAGAGAACATTCCCAAGTAGTCTCGGCTCTCCCCGTTTCTCTTTTGCACTGCACTGCTGTCACATTATTTGCTCTATCGCACGTTTTGCTTCCTCTGGAGTGTCTGTCGGGTGTGGGCATTGTGATATGGTTCTCACTAATGCACGAGGACATGTTGTACATTACATCGAAAATGGCATTACTACGACTCTCTGCCAGCGCCTAGTACATGAGCCTCTCGACCTCCCTCTTGATGTTCTGGATCTGGCTGGAGAGCTCCTTGTTCTCGTTCGTGGTGATACTCGCGGCAATGACGGGCCTGGTGACCCCGCAGGCACGGCCGAGAGCTGCCTTGGAGCTGACGAAAATGTACGGGACATTCTAGCAGCAAACGTCCAGCCCTTCATTGTCCATCTGACATGCAAGAGGTACTGACAACGTACCTTTTCCTCGCACAGAAGGGGGAGGTGCAGCAGGATCTCCAGAGGCTCGGTGTCGGCGGTCAGAATGATCAACTCCGCGATACCACGGTTGAGGGTTTTCGTAGCTGGACATCCCGTGATATGAGAGCGAAGTAAATGCACGAGCGCAGTAGTCATGTACCCTCGTTGGCACCCTTTTTGAGCTGCTTGAACTGCGAGGCCCGTTCAACGAGATCGAGGATCTAGCGACGACGCTCCGTCAAGATACAGCTCCAGTGCACCAGCGGAGTTGAAGGCACGTACCGGATCGTTGAGGTCGGCGGGCGCGAGGGGCCATGCCTTGGCTTTGGTTTCGGCGTCGGCCATGTGAGATGTTTTTGGAGTGCGACCTCACGTCGGGATGATCCTTGGTCGGTGTATAGGGTCAGCAGACAGCGCACGCGGGCGAGGTGAAGACGGTGCGGAAGACGGAGGACGACAAAACTTCCGCCACAAACGCGCCTGCCGCCGGCAAATCCGACGCGTCCCAGAGTGGAGGCGCCATCAACTCAGACGCGCCCGAAACCTCCGCGTCTTCGAACCACGATGACGCTCCACCCAACCTCTCGACCTTTCTCCGGATAGGCTGTCTATACTTGCCGCTGCCCCTCGCTTTCGCCTCATCTACGGTTCTAACGCGGTAGAACTTGTACGGCGTCTCAATCGGTGACCCTGTCATGCATGTTGCAAAACAAAAAATAGGCCGGCTGACCCGCCATAAGTATATGAGCCCTCGCCGTACGTCGTAGTTCACCAACGTATACACTGGTACCTGGGCTTCGAACTCTACGCTTGCGTCAACATGGTGCTCCCCCGTGGATTGCTCGCTCTTGCTGTTGGAGTCGTAGGTTCTGCCACCTTCGGTATGTTTTGGGTTGTCCTCAGTGGCGTTGAGCTCATGCACACTGGTCTATTAGCGGCCGCCCAAACAGGTTCAGCCTACTGCGACTCCGCTAGTGGCATTTGTTTCGCGGGGTACACCGTAAGGCCGTGCCCCCCTTTGTTTTAGACATAGATTGCTGAGCCTACACGATCGCTATAGGACACCACCCAGGGCATGACAATGGGTGTCGTGATGCCCCCAATCTCCGACCCGCCATCGGATGAGTATATTGTGCAGATTGTGGCTCCAGTGAGCGACGGCTGGACAGGGATTAGCATGGGGGGTGCGATGACAAACAGCTTACTCTTCCCGATGTGGCCGTCGGGAAGCGACATCATCGTCGGCCCCCGTTGGACTGAGTACGTCTTTAGAAGGATTCAGTTGACTTGTGGGCTTACGAGGTTTGCTTGCTAGCGACTACGTGCTCCCCACGGTATACGCCGGTCCGACAATCACTCTCCTCCCAGCGTCGTCGATCAACGAGACGCACATTAACGCCATCTTCCGCTGCGAGGTACGTCCGGTCCGACCGGAGAGCCACAACTCGTATCAGCGTCGCCGAAGCTAATCCTTTTCCGCCCTGTCACAGAACTGCACCGTCTGGGAGGGCGGCTCCTTCGGCTCGGGCGACCTGAGCGGCACCGCCGTCATCGCCTACGTCTCGTCTTCGACGACGGGTCCCGCCGATCCCGAGGACGTCGCATCGACCTTCAACGAGCACGATTTCTTCGGCTTCTTCGGCATGGACCTCAGCGGCGCGCACTCGGACGACTACACCTCCTATCTTGGCTCCGGCGCGAGCTCCTCGAGCACCGCCGCCTCGTCGACCGCCAGCTCCACGCCCGTCTCGTCGTCGACGAGCAGCGCCCCCGCCGCTGGGCAGACCGTCGGACCAGTGCGTATATCCCCTTAGGCGCCCTCGATCATGCCGCACGCCCTGATACACCACCCGCCCTCTATGCAGTACGGCCAGGTGAGATAGCGCTTGGGCCTCATGCCGTGCGTGGAGGCGAGCGCCCCGGATTGCCCGCTGATTGAGGCTTTTGCGTACAGTGCGGTGGCCAGGGATACACCGGTCCGACAGCCTGCGCTCCGGGATACACCTGCGTTGACATCTCAGCGCCGTACTACAGCCAGTGCGTGCCAGGCTCGAGGAGGTAAACGAAGATCATTGCCAACAGAAGCCGGGAAAGGTGGAATCACAGCAGTTTTAGTAATACAGATGGAATTCAACGCCCGAAATGGGCCGAGAAGTGTGTGATTCAAGAAGGGGTAGCGTCTTCGACCGTTGCCTGTGTGCCGTCTTCCGGGCCTCCTTTCGCTGGTGATCGAAGGGCCAAATCCCTCCAGCGCACACATTGGTAGCATATTTGCGGGCACGTCCGATGCGTGGCCTCCTCCTGTTGAGACGGTTGCAAGGTATCTGTGCTCAATCGACACTAAACAATTTATGTCAGGGGATGGCATTGCAACATATCGTATACTATTTTGCGGTGTTTACTGGGTGACCAGCTGGTATTTAATAGGTCTTAGTTTTATCGAGTGCCGGCGCCTAGGCTCGGTCATTCAGCCATTTTCGTCGTAACCTCCTCTAACTACGACGGAAACGGCTGGAGATCGGGCCCACCGGCGACCCTATCATGCATTCTACAGGACATAATGTAGGCCTTCTGACACCCCTTACATGAGCCCTCGCTTGTCGTAGCTCACCAACACCGTACGGCGTACACGTACGTACGCTCGTCGAACTCTACGTTTGCCACGCCAACATGGTGCTTTCTCGTGGATTGCTCACTTTAGCCGTTGGAATCGCAGGTTCTGCCACCTTCGGTGTGTTTTGGCTGCTCTCAGGAGCGTTGAGCTCATGCACACTGGTCTGTTAGCGGCCTCCCACTGAACGGCTTCAGCCTACTGCGACTCCGCTAGTGGCATTTGAATTCGTGGGCTAACAAGCTTTGTACTAAGTGCTCCCCACGGTCTACGCCGGTCCGATAATCACCCTCCTCCCATCGTCGTCAGTCAACAAGACGCACATCAACGCCATCTTCCGCTGCGAGGTACGTCCGATCCGACCGGAGAGCCACAGCCCGTATCAGCGTCGCCTCCGCTAACCCTTTTCCGCCCTGTCACAGAAGTACGCCGTCTGGGAGGGCGGCTCCTTCGGCTCGGGCGACCTGAGCGGCACCGCCGTCATCGCCTACGTTTCATCCTCGACGACGGGTCCTGCCGATCCCCCGAATGTCGCCTCGACGTTCCAAGAACATGATTTCTTGAGCTTCTTCGTCATGGACCTTAGCGGCGCGCACTCAAACAAATACACTCCTACCTTGGCTCTGGCGCGAGCTCCTCGAGCACCGCCGCCTCGTCGACCGCCAGCCCCTCGCCTGTTCCGTCGTCGACGAGTAGTGTCCCCACCGTACGTACAACCCTTTGAGCGTCCTCGATCATGTCGCACGCCCTGACACACCACCCGCCCTTGCGCCGCACCCGGGATGTTGATCAAGGCTTCTTGCGTATAGTGCGGTGGTTAGAGCTATGTACACCGGTCCGACCACCGCTTACCCTGTGCCAACATCTCAGCGCCGTACTACGCCAAGCTCTAGAGGGTAAGATCGCTGCCAACAGAAGCCGGGAAGGGTGGAATCATAGTAGTCTATGTTCTTTCGACGGAATCCAACGCCCGAAATGGGCCGAGAAGTGTGTGATTCAAGAAAGGAAGAAGCCCACATGAGTAGCAGCTCTCCCGAGAATCTCACCGGTACCCGTGTGCCCCTGGCGATCGAAGGGCCATATCCCTCCAGCGCCCGGACGGTTGTATGACGCGGCGGGGCCGCTGTGGGAGGCGGGTGTGCCATCCGGGGTACAGGCCGCATAGTATCCCGTTAAGTTGGTTGCAGCTCATTCTGACACTAAATACTTTCCATCGGGCATATTATACACTATTGCATGGTGTCTACTGGGCGTCTACCTATGCACAAGTCTTGGTGTTATCGAGCTCTAAGTCCGTGCCCGTCAGCGCGTGCGCAGCCAGTGGCGCCGGCTCAGCCCAAGCTCAGCTGGCACGTTGTTCACGTCGGGAAACGGACCGCGGACTGCGGATCCGTCGCGTACCTACGTAACGATGCCGTTACGTGTGGACTTCTCGATTCCCCGCGCGCAGCGGTTCGGGTGGCAACTCACGCTGCTGCCGCTCTGTCCTTGGGCTGCACGTCCGCTTCTCCGCCTTCCGTAGACCCTATCCTCTCCGCGCAGACCTATATCACGGCAGGGTGCATCAAGTGGTCTAAACCCTGACCCCCCTTTTCCCATAAGTATCCCTTTGCAGACACTATGGCTACCGTTCCAATCCTTGCAGGACCTACAATCATTGACGTCCACACCCCCACTACCTCCTTTGCTATCATCTACTCTGGTACGCCTACACTCGGATATCGTTTGACGCGTGACATGACGGAGTTTTTTTGACAGACTCGGAGGACACCCTGGTCACTCTGTATGGCAAGTTGAGCAAGAAGGCAGGAGACGAGCTGCGCGGCAACCCCATCCGCGACGGCTGTGTGAAATATGAGTGGAATAACAGCGTATGGAATCTGGACGACGGTGCGTGTCAGGTTCCTTCTACGACCGCCCCTTCCTCACCCGCCCATACTCAAGAGTCCGATTTCGCAATATTCGCATGGAGACTCAAGTCCTCCCCGCCGGGCAGCGAGTCCTCCCCCGTGCTCCACCTGCGCGACGTCGACCAGCCCCTGCCTTCCTCGCACGGCTACCGCAACCCTTCCTTTTACATGTTCCGGCCAAAACCCGAGACCCCGTCGTCCTCGCTCCCCACGAGTCCGGACAGCTCCTCCGTGCGGACAGGCAGGTCGCGGAAGAAGTCCATTAAGCCTAAGGACTCGACGCCCAAGCATAAAATCGACTTCGAGAGATTCCACAACGAGAACGGGGTGCGCACAGTGACGGGCAGCATCGGCCCCGTGAACGACGGTGCGTGCTTCCCTGCTGAATGTTTCCCTGCCTCCTCGCTCACGCCCTGCCGTGCCGCGCAGTCCGCATGCTGCTCAAGAGCGGCTACCGGCATGTGTACATATCGCGCAAGTTTGCGATAAAGCACGGGTTCATCCCCCGGGATGCTGCGCCCGGCCACTACGGCTACGGCGGGCTGGTCAAGTAAGCATCGTGTGCACTCGCGCTGACTCGCGCGCACGCCAACTGACTCGGGCGTCCTTGACAGCCTGGGGAAGTGGCCCATCGCAGTGGGCCGCACCCGGTCGTCGCACGCCGTCTACTTGTCAGAGGAGTCGCATTTCGACGTCGTCCTCGGCCGCTCGTTCGTCGAGCGCAGGCAGATCAAGTTCGACCCTGTCGACCCCACGGACGTGGTCTGTCAGGACACGGGCGAGAAGATTGACTGCGAGCTCGTTATTCTCAAGGACGGAAAGGGGCAAATTGTCACCGTAACATGATTTCAGGCTGTCAAGGGCGCATGCCACCGACACACGTTTGGTCGCGCCGAGACGCTGTTCACCATCCCTTGTACTTTTGCCGACTTTATGATACCCTGTGATATGGACATTTGCGTGTATTTGTGCCGTGCCATGTATTCTGTATCGGCTCGTTGGTTCCCAAAGAGACCAGGAACGATGACCACGTATGGCTGAAAGCGTGTCTGTCTGCAGCCCCACCGAGCGCGGGTACGAAGGATGCCAGACCCGGCGAGGTGGGGCGGGCGCCAGAGATTTGCGGGCGGCTGACGCACGTGGATGGCAGGGCACGGAGAGGGACGGAGGCGCCATCGACAACGGTCTGTCCGCACGTCGACGACGCCGCTCGTCCTCCAACATGTCCGTCCTCGCGCACTTGCTGCGTCCAGCAGCGGGTGCCCGCCGGGCCTACTCCGTCTTCTCCAAGGGCGGCGGGTACTTCAACTCGTCCAAGTCCCCCAAGGTCGTCCCCGCCTCCAGCAAAGCTAAGAAGGTCGACACGTCGTCCCCCTCCTCCACCGATTCCACCTCCGCCTCGTCCACGAACCCCTCCTCGCCCAAGGAGGACCCGAACGCGTCCTCCTCGAGCACCGTCGCCGCCGCCCCGGACCCCCGCCCGCTCGTGCACCCGTCGCCGGTCGGGCCCCCGCCGGCGTACGCCTACAACCCGGCGCTGCAGGTGCACTCGCCCGTGCACCCGCGGCCGTCCGCGGCGGACCTGCGCATGCACCAGTTCTTCTCCCTCGGCCGCCCGCTGCTCGCGCTCGGGCAGCCCCCCGCCGCGCTCTTCGAGGCGCACGCCTCGCCGTTCCCGCCGCCGGCGCCGACCCCGCCGGGGCTCGACTCGTTCGCGGCGACGGTGTCGCTGACCCAGGCGGAGGCGGACGCCGAGGCGGCGCGGCAGCTCGCCAGGGCGCTCGTCGTGCAGCGCGTCGGGGCGAGCCTCGACTGGGACGCGGCGCTGGGGCGGCTCGGGCTCGACGTCGACGCGGCGGGGCGCGCGGCGGAGGTGCACGAGGCCGAGGAGGCGTTCCAGGTGTACATGGACAGCACGAAGCGGAAGCGGCGGAAGAAGATGAAGAAGCACAAGTGAGCGTCCTCCCCCTCCCCCTCCCTCGCCCGCCGTGGTTGTCTGCCGTCCGTGTTGCTCATCGTTGTTCCGTACCCCTCCCCCATCTGCGCAGGCTGAGGAAGCGGAGACGTGTAAGTTTCCCTCGACCGTCCACGAGACCCCGCGCAAATGCTGACAGCGTGGTTCTTTCCGGTCTAGCTTACTCGGGAACAGCGGAGGAATGCTGGGAAATGAGGAGGGGGCTTACGTGCTGGGCTTCTGGTCGGACTCCGCCGAGATCTGAAGAGCCCCGAGATGTACATCCGGCTGCGCATGGATTCGTTCCCCAACTTACGACTGATTGCTCTTACCAGATAATAATCAGATTCTGCTCTCAGACTCTGCGGTTCGATGGGTCCCGAAAGGTGTGAGAACCGTGTTCCTGGCGGGCCGTGGGCAGGATATTACTTAATGGTGAGTGCTGTCCTAGGATGCGTCCACATGTCGGTATGGTGTTCTCGCGGGTCTATAAGCTTTGAGGGTCCTAGTTTGGACTGAAGAGAACGCGCGTATGGATTGGCCTGAACGCGCCGGGGGTCGTATCATGATAGGTTGCGATGGATGTCGAGGCCCGGGAACATATCGGGTTCCATGTGCGGAGTCACTTCGTCTTCATCGTTCGGGGTCACAGGCCCTGGCGTCCCTCTTCTCTTTTCATCTCGGCTCTCAGGCTTGATTTCCACTCGACTGTTTCCTGTTATTCTCATCTCAACGCACCGCCTTTGTGTGGCCGCTCTGGGCCGCTCATTACCGGTTGGATTTGGTCAAATTCACGCGAGAAGGATGAGCGGCGCCACGGGAAGCATGTCCGGCCTCTTCTGTTGACAGCACCTGCCTGAAGGATATGTTGAGCCAGACAAGATGCCGTACGCAGCTTGAAGCCCCGCGCGGCGCCGGTCGCGCCCATGCAGTCCTCGTATCACTGTCGCGCGCGCAGGCGGCGCTGATGTCACCTTTTCTGTTACGTCTGGCTGCCGCAGAAGTGTTGACGAAAATCGCGGGTGTCCCGTTTCGCGCCTGCGAGGGTTTCCTATCCGGGCTCCCTCTGCGGTAGAGGCCTGGAGGCGGAGCAGGGCCGGGGACGGGCGGCGGCGCGGATTCTCTCCAGGGTGCGCTTCTGCCGCAGACCGTCGTCGTCTGTGGCAACGCGCACGAGGGGGAGGCCTTTTGTTCGTGCGGGACGGAGGGCGGCGGGTCAGGCGGGTCGAGGAAGGCAAGGAGGCGTCGGTGGACGTCACAGCCACCGGTGTCGTCCCCCACAGGACAATGGGCCCGATCCCTCCCGCGGCCTGGTTGTTGGCCGTCCGCGGGTGCGCCTTCCATTGGCGACCGCCTCGTCGCCGGCTGTGTTCTGAATATGTCTCCTTCCTAATTCAGCCCGCGGGGGGCCCAAGGCGCGGTGCAGCGCGTCCCGGGCCAGTGTCCGCATCCGGCATATTCTAACAGTAGAACGCCCATCCTCATCCTCTGGGCCGCCCGCCGCCGTGCCTTCGCATGACTCCCGCAAACCCGGCTGGCCTGATCGAGCAGGTGCACCCATATGGCCCCCGTGCACGTCAGTCGCCCGCTCGCTGGACCGCCACCCCTCCTCCCATCCGCGGCCCCGCAGCACAGTACTTAAGCCCTTCCTCACCCACCTCTTCTGTCCCTTCTCCAACGTCCCGATAATCCTTCAATCACATCCCCCGTTCTGCGGGGCGCGCCCCACCCGACCCGGCCATGTCGTCCCGCCCCGCCCGCCCTCAACCCATCCCTGCCGTTGCAGGCGGTCGCCCCCGTCGGCGGTCGCCCTCCGCCGCCCGCAGCACCTACGCCGGCTTCCCCGATGCGGCCTCCGGCCACACCAGCAGTCGCGCCGCGACCCCAGCGTACCCCGTCCCGCCCACCGAGTGGCCCTCCTCGCGCGGCCAGCACCCGCGCCCCGGGAGCGCCGCCAGCGGCTCGAGCGGCTCGGACCTGCTCTTCCCCATGGACTCGGAGCGCGGCTCGAGCGGGAGCGCGAGCTCGTCCCGCCGCGGCTCCTTCGGGCCCGCCCCGCAATACCTGTACGACCTCCCGACGCCGTCGCCGTACGGGCCCGACCCCGACCAGCGCAACATTGCGGCGCTCCCCGTCTGCACCCTCTGCCGCCGCCAATACTATCCGGGGTCGCCGACGTCGCCCAGCCGCGGCAGGTCTCCCCGGGACGTCACCGCGCTCTGCCCCGTGTGCCAGCGCGAGGAGTGGGAGCACCAGCGGCGCGCGACGCACCGCTCGCCCACGAGCGACGCGAGCTTCAGCCCCGCCAGCGACCGCACCCGCGGCGCGCGTTCCGCCACCTACCGGGATCGGCACGCGTTCCCCGAGCCTCCGTCTGGCGCCTCGTCTAGCCACCCCCGGCCGCCCGCGCCGCCAACTCTGTCGTCCAGTACGTCCGCCTCTGCCCGTCCTCTGCCCGCGCACGGTCCCCCGCTGCACCGGCCTGACGCACGCCCCGACGCAGGACCGGCCACGCACGCCAATCTCGGGCGGCCGTTCCCCGCGTACCGCGCGCCGTCGTCGCCCACCGCGCCCCGCCGCGCGCCGTCCGGCCAGACGCGCTCCGCCGCGCCGTGGACGGACCCGTACACGCTCCCGCCCGCGGAGCTCGTCGTGGGCCCGTACCAGCCCGCGCCGCGCCTCCCGCAGCTCATCGCCCAGGTCCGGCGCCCCGCGGAGCCCTCCAGCCACGTCTCGCGCCCCCGGACCGCGGACCCGTTCGGGGCGACCGCGACGTCGATGCCCGCCCGCTCGCACCACCGCCGGGGGCAGTGACGGGCCGCGCGCCGTCTTCCGTGCGTTCTTGTGTTCGTGTTGGGTTTCTTTTGAACACGCCGTTGCAGCTGCTTAGATTGTCTTGCCATATGCATGCTTCGCTGGCGCTCACCGCTCTCGTCGGCGCGCAACAGCGAGGGCGGTGGGTCCCCGTGCGCATTTCCTTCCTTCTTTGATCCCCGTCCTGTTCCTTGTCTTTGACGTTCGTACCCTATGCACTCTCTTTTGATCTCCTCATCTCCGTTCGGCGGACCCGCACGTGCAGCACAAAACCGTGTATCATACGACCTGGATCTCCGTCTACACGTACGCCTCGCCCCCTCTATACTACGCTACACGGCACCTACGATACGACTCGATACGACATCGCCCGCTCGCCCGCCCACGCACCACTCGCTCTTGCACTCACGGATACCCGCCGTCGGACACCGAGTGGCGGTAGTACTCTATACGGACTGCGGTTCTATTAGGACGGGAAGCAGGACTACCTAGACTCGATATACCTCCATACGAACGCGTATGCGGCGAATCGGGGCGAACTCTCTCTCTCTTTCTGTACATATATAAGCAGTAGGTAGCGGGTACGGTTGTACGCGCGCCCCTCGAGTCGGTGGGGCTCTGATGACGGCATGAATTAGACTCGTGCAAGTACCCTACGTGGCGTTGAAGCCGGCGGAGAACGCGGGGCCCGTCTACGTACGTAGCGGACGTCCCGGGGACGGGAGAGTTGTGCGGGGGAGCACGAGCGTGCGAGAACGACGTCGACCGCGCGCCTTCACGGCACGTCGACCACGACGCCCTTCTCGCGGAGCGGCCGCGCGATCCGCACGAACTCGTCCGCGGCCGCGGTCGCGGCCCAGTCCCCGTGCAGGCGCACCTCGCGCAGCGCGGGGAACGCGGGGCCCGCGAGCGCGGCGAAGTGCCTCTCGAGGTGCGCCCAGGCCTCCGCGCTGCCGGGCGCGCAGAACGCGGTCGGCGCGGCGTGCAGCGCGACGGTGCGGAGGAAGACGGCGTCGCGCGCCGGGGCGGGGGGGTGCGTGAAGTGGACGTGGTAGCGGAGCGCGGCGAGCGCGGGCGCGCCGGCGAGCACGGCGGCGACGAAGTCCTGCGCGAAGAAGCGGAGGGAGCGGCCGAGCTCGGCGCTCGCGAGCTGCGCGCCCGCGGCGTCCCAGAGCGGCCAGAACATCTCCGCGGGGCCGACGTGGTCGAAGACGACGTGGCGGAGGGCGGGGAAGGCGGCGGTGCGGCAGAGCTGGAGGACGAGGAGGGCGTTGCACCGCCGGAAGCGGAGCGTGTCGAGCGCGGGGAGGACGGCGGGGGGCGCGCGGGCGGAGAAGAGGCTCTGCCAGAGCTCGCCGCCGACGGAGAGGTAGCGGAGCGCGGGGGCGGCGGCGAGGACGTGGGCGAGGGAGTTGATGCCGCCGGTGCGCGCGGCCTCGTTGTGGTGCCACCAGTCGAGGCGGCGGAGGGAGGGGAGGGCGGGGCAGGCGGGGGTCGCGAAGTCGTAGACGATGGGCGTGAGCGGGTCGGCGGTGCGGACGAGGACCTCGAGCGCGGAGCAGAGCGCGATCACGTCCAGCGCGCCGGGCGGGGTCTGGGGCGCGGGGGTGACGGTGGAGGAGAAGGGGAGGAGGGCGCGGCGGACGAAGCGCTGGCAGGGCGGGATGGAGATGCCGTGCTCGGCCCAGTGCTCGCCGTCGCAGAGCTTGTGCTTGAGGTCGTGGTACGTGCGCGGGACGCGGATGTCCTCGTAGAGGAACGGCATCGTCCACCGCCGCCACTGCTTGCAGACCTGGACGAGGGCGCACTTGGTGTGCAGCGTCTCCTCCGCGTCCGCGGCCTCGCTGGCCGGCGGCGGCGCGTCGAACGGCTCGTACTCGGTGCTGTAGCGCGCGTGGGAGTAGTGGTCGAGGGTCGCGCAGCGGAAGATCTCGAGCCAGAGCTCGACGGGGAGCTCGTTTGACCGGACCATGGTGGACGTGCGCTGGCAGGTGGCCGAGAGGAGGGGCGAGGGCGAGATAAGTGAGGTCGTCCGACCGGGTGCTTGTCGGGGCAGCGCGGCGGGGCAGCCATTGATATCAATCCTCGCGCGGCCCGCCACGAGGCCCCGACGCGTGCCAGGCGCGACGACGCGAAGCCTCGGTCGGACGCGCTCCGCGGCCGCGCGCGGTTGTCGTACATAGGAAGAGAACAGGAACGCGTCCACTCCCGCCCTCCGTCCGCGCAGTGCTCGCGCTTCAGCTGCGGAAGCGCCAAACACGCACCCCTCCCGTCCGCCGCCCATCTCCCTCCCACCCTCGTTCCACCGCCCACACCTCCGCGTATCCGAGCCGCTCGAGGAGCGCCTTGATGCCGTCAATCTCGAGCAGCGCCCCAAAGAAAACGAGGTTCTGCGGCCACTCGTGCCTCCACGGATACGCGCCTGCCACTTCCCCCTCCCCTGCCTTGGACGCCGGCAGCGGCGACGGCGGGAACCCGCCATCCACGCGTGCCGGGAACCGCGCCGTCAGGTATTCCAGCGGCGCGTCGTAAAACACGTCTGTTTGATCCTTGTACGCCGAAACGTCCTGGCCCCTGCGACGATACCGATCAGCTTCGCTCTGTTCCCTCGCCCGTCCGAGCACGTACTCGAGCGGAGGCTCGCAGCCGAGCGCCCACAGGCGTCCCCCGTCGGCCAGGTCCGGGCGGTGGAGGTGCGACTGCCAGGGGGTCGAGTGGCAGGGCATGAGGAACCCGACGGACGCCGAGTCCGCCGCGGGGAGCGTCCGGAGGTAGCGCACGACCTCGACCTGCGCGCGCCCGTGAAGGAGGGCGACGTACGCGACCGCGCCGACGGACACCGCGAGCATGCTCGCGCGGTACGGCGTCCCGAGCACCCGCCGCGCGGTCGGGTGTGGTCCGGCGTCGGGCGTGCCGTCCACGAGGGACTTCGCGGCGAGGACGTGGACGAGCGGGAGGAGCGGGTGGAGGAACCGCCATTCTTTGTGCCCGGCGAGCGAGTAGACGGAGATTGTCCATGCAACGAGCCCAGCGGCGACCTTGATCGGCGTCGGGCTGGAGCGTCTGGCGGCGAGCGATAGGCCGTCTCCGGCCCAGATGACGATCGGGAAGCACAACACGGGGATCCCTTGCGAAAGATAGTAATGCCAGGGGCTACTGCCGTAGAAGAGCGAGACCGACGACGCGTTGGTGAGCAGGAAGTTGAGCGGCGTGAACGTGGGTTCCCCGTAGAACCAAGAGTCCAACAGAAAGATGGACGCCGCGATGACAGCACTGGGACGCATTTGCGGTTACGTGAGCGCGGCCGCGAGGCGGATGGTGCATCGAACTTACCCAGCAAAGCACCCTCTGACGAGGACGAAGGCGACATCCCCAAGCCTCGTGCGGAGCCCCCAGAGGAGGAACGCGAACATGTACGTCCAGATTATGGCATTCGTCGGTCTCACTGCGCACGCGACGCCCGCGAAGAGCAGCGACCATGATAGATCAGTCCTAGTGTTGAACGTGCTCAGCGGAGATCACGAGCGGTAAAAGTGCATGCCTCACTTCCAAGCCGACCGCGCCGTGTCCCACGGAAATTGGGCGAGCGCAACGGTCGTTAATGCGGTTTCCGCGGAGTTCGAGAGCGAGCGAGAGAGCGACAGTCCGTGGAAGAACGAGGAAAGCGAAAGATAGAACTGGGTGGGACAGCGTCAATCAAGGTGTGCCCGAGCTATGGAGGCTTCAGAAGCATGCGTACTGCGGTCTCAACGTAACGTTCGCCTGCGAGCCGTCGGGCGAGGCTGAGGAGAGAGATATCGGTTGCGGCAGCCAGCAGGCCATGCAGCACCTTTGGCGCCCACACCTGGCAGGAGAGATGGTCAGCGAACAGATGCGGCTCAACCGGACAAACATACGAGGGCGGAGGTGGAGTCGAGGTCAAGCGCGCTCAGAAGGCGGTATACGGCCACGTTCAATGCCGGATAGACGATGCTCCGGATGGGCCGCGAGGCGACCCATTCCCAGGTGAGGTGGCCGTAGCCAAAGACGGCGTGATGGGCGACTTCGAGGGACTGGAAGAACTCGTCGGGCTGGAAGAACGTGTCGGTGGCGAGTGCGATCCCGACGCGGACGGCAATGGCCAGAAGCCAGCGTCGGTCCATGGAGGCGAGAGCCAAGTTACAGCGAAACGCCCGTCTGCTCCGTCGGCGCTTCTTGGCACAAACGCGCGCGGGGCACTCTCTTGGGAGACCAGAGCAGAGAATAAATACTACTATCGATACATCAACGTCAAGAGATCGACCGCCAACCGGACCGTGTCTGTTCCGTGCGTTTACATCCTCTCCGCCAGGAACCTCGATACCTTCTTCTCCCTCGTCGGCGTCGGCCCAGCAGAGCGCGACACGCCCGGGCCCGCCTCGCGCACCTCCGTCGACACGATCGGTCTTCTCCGCTCCAGCACCGACGCGCTCATCGGCCCGCTCAACGGCATGCCGGCGGGCGAGGTCGCCCTGGAACCGAGCCCGGACGACGTCGACGATACGGGGGTCCCAACGACGGTAGAACCCGGGCTGCTGAACGACGGCGACTCGAGGACCATGTCCATGGGCGCGAATGCAGTTCTGCCCGCGGGCCCCGGGAACGACGGCGAAGCGACGATCATCCCGGGCATCTGCATCGCTTGCACCGAGGCCGCTTCTGGGCTCCGCTGCGAGGACCCAGCTGCGAACGGCGTCTTCGAAGGCACGGCAATCGGCGAACCGCTCAGGTAGGAGCTTTTCGGTGACGATCTACCGGTGGAGTTCACAGGCGTTGGGAGGCTCGAGCCAGGTGCGCTCGGGCTGGCCGGCGTGTTGGGTTCCGTAAGAGCCTTCTTGAACTGTGAGATCTTCGACGGTTTCGCGCGAGGTGTTCTAGGCAGGGCTGTCGATGGCGAGGGCTCCGCGGACGATGTACTTCCGTTCGAGGCAGTGTCTGTGATAATCGACGGTCGTGACGGTGGTGCCGAACCGGACGGTGTGGGTCCCAGGTTGGTGACCTCGCCGCGTTTCAGCATCTCCAGCACCTCCTTTGCCGCATGATCTATGTCGTCGTCGCTCTCACCATCTTCTCCTCCTATAAGGTTTCCGCCTTCAACTTTCCCCAGTCGGACCGCGGCTTTCAGTTTCGACGTCTCCGACACAGGGAGTATGGACGAGCCAAGTGAGGTGGACGGAAGAGACGCCTTGAACTTCGATATCGAAGGTTTGGGTGGAGCCGAAGAAAGAGTCGCTTCGAGGGGTACCACCTACGGTGAATCTCCGCATTAGCACTCGAAACAGGGAAACATGCAAGTCCACTGACCGGCTGATTCCACTCATGGTCGTCTTCTGTGTGCTCATGATTTCGCATGGCGGCCAGTGCTTCGGCGCCTATGGTACCACGCTTCTCGTAGTAGGCTAGCGCGATTTCCCGCTGGTGTTGAGCGAAGTCGTAGCTTTCGTCGTCCCATTCGACAGGCTCCTTGTCTTCAACCACGCCGTAGTCGCTCTCATCCGAAGAGTCTGGAGGATTTGAAGGCGGAGTCTCATCGGAAAGATCTGACCGCGTGAAGTTGGCATCGTCGGAATCAGCAGGAACGTCGGAGCCGGGGTCCGACTCGTCGTCTGAGTCTTGAGGCACGTCCGGTGGAGGAGGAGACTTGGGGCCATGTCCCATCTTGGCATGACGTTCTACCACCTTCATTCGCATAGGTCCGAGGTCCATCTGTTTCCTGGTAAGCAGTGGGCTCTTCCCGATGGCTTGCACATTTCCTGGCGCGACATCACCCCAGTCGAACGGTGGTGGAGGCATGGGCGGGCTGTTTGCAGGCTGAAGCTCGTGGTCTGGAGGCAAGTCGGCGAAGGTAACGCTCTTCTTCGGTTTGAGCTTCCGGCGCTCCTCCCGCTCCTGCTTCTCTCTCTCTTCCTCTGCAAGTTTCTCCTTCTCCTGGCGGTCGCGTGACGCGGTGAAGTTGGCGAGGAGAGCCTTGCCCATCTTCTTCTGCATCGAACGGGCCTTCTTGAGCGCATCCATCTCCGCCTCGGCCGCCTTTTTGCGCTGCTCGAGCTCGGCCGCGAAGCGCTCGCGTCCCTCTTCCTCGTCCTTCTCCGTCTGCACTCGCTCCTCCTCCTCCAGGGCGTCCAGCAGCCGGGCTTGCTCAGCGCGTCTCCGCGCCTGCTCGGCAGGAGAGAGCGTCCATATTGGCGTCACTTCAGGGTCCTGTTCCGCAGTGGGCGCGATGGACGCAGATCCGGCACGGGCGGTTTCGTCCAAAGCGGGCACGGGCTCAACGATGTCGACGATGGGCAGGCCCTCTTCGTTCAAGATCTGCAGATGGGCGCGCGGGCGGGTTCGAACGCGGGCTCGGATGCACAAGCGGGCGGACGCACCTCACCCTTCGCGTTCCTCCGGGACGAGTCGGGCACCGCGGCCTCGCCCAGGATCTCGCTCAGCTTGTCCGAGAGGCGGCGGGCCTGGTCGTCGTTAAGTGTGGAGGAGCTGTGTGCCTCCGCGCCAGGGGCGAGGGAGGCAAGGAGTGCTTTGAGGGCTGGAAGACGTAAGGAGCGGACGAGCAGAGCAGATCATGTCAGGCATGGGCGAGCGCTCGTTAGATCAACCACAACTCGCCTTCTGCGCGGCTGTCAGCCATGCTCTTCGCGGACCCGCCAGGGTCGGGGCTCGCCATCGTCGACGGGGTCAGGGAGGGCGTAGGGCGCTGGGATCGGGCGGGGGTCGGGGGGCAGGAGCAAAGGGCGGGGCACGCACACAGAACGGGCCTGCACGCACTCGGCACATGCCGAGCTGCATCCAGAATTTCTGCAGACGCCCGCTAGCTGCCTTTGCTTGTACTCCATCCACTCCCCGATCTGGCCTGCACTCCCCTTGTTCTCCGCCATGGTCGCCATCCACCCCGAAGCGAGCACCTCTGAAATCAAGCACAAGAAAAGCCGCCGGAAAATGGCGAAGAAGCCCGCTCGGATCGCCCCTGCAGAAGGCACGGAAGACCTTGAGATGGAGGAGGGCCAACCCGCCAGTGCAGAGGAGGCTCCTGCGGACGAGGAGCAACACGAGACGAACTGGAACGACCAAGATGACGAAGTGATGATCGACACCGACGCCGCGGCACCACCCCCCACAGACGCACCCGCATTCCCTCCCCTCCCCGCATCGGCGCAGCGGTCCGCCCTCAAATCCGAGGTCCGCAGGATACCTATGCCCCCTCATCGCATGACGCCTTTGAAGAAGGAATGGGTGAACATCTTTTCGCCCTTGACAGAGATTCTGCAGCTGCAAGTCCGTATGAACGTGCGGCGGAAGTGTGTGGAGATCCGAGTGAGTTCGCCACAGTGATCGCGCGAGACCTGCAAACTGAAGCATTAGTTAGACGTCCAAGCATACCAAGGATGTCGGTGCCATCCAAAAAGGCGCGGACTTTGTAAAGGCCTTCGCTCTGGGTTTTGATGTCCATGTATGTCTTGGCGCGGCATCTTTGGTGGGATCATACTTATCCTTATCTTGTCGCAGGACTCGATTGCTCTCTTGCGGCTTGATGATCTCTACCTCGACTCTTTCGAGATCAAGGACGTTAAGACGCTCCACGGAGATCATCTTTCCCGTGCGATCGGTTGGTTTTTTAAAGTAATTGTGAGAGATACAAGCGAGTTGTCTGACTTCTGGCACCAGGTCGCATTGCCGGTCAAGACGGTAAGACGAAGTTCACCATTGAGAACACGAGCAGGACTCGCATTGTCCTCGCCGACACGTATGTTTTGCGTCTTCTTCCCTCCCTTCCCTTCGCTTATTGCACGCAACAGTAAAATCCACATCCTGGGCTCGTTCCAGAACATCAAAATCGCTCGCGACGCCATTGTGTCTTTGATTCTGGCTCACCTCCTGGCAAAGTATACGCTGGTCTTCGGACCGTTGGTGCACGCATGCGTCAGAGGGCTCTTTGAGTGTGTTTGTAGGACACGTTGGCATTGTATGGTTTGTGTAACATATACCCTCGTTTATGAAACGTTGGTGTTATGATGAAGAATGCAAACGCGATATCGTCCTCATCCATTGAAAACAGCAGGTACTCCTACAAACGAAATGTACACATAACATACGGATAAATTACTTGCCAGACTGGGAACACATCTACTCATCGATGTCATCCCTTGATCGCTTCTTCCTGGGCGACATCCGCTGTCCCTGCGTAGTTGGAGGAGTGACCAGCTCCAATCGGCTTCCCTGCCTCTGTAACCCCTTCTCAGGCGACTCTTGAATCTCCCCCAATGCCTTCGCACGAGTAAGTCGTCGTCTCTTGATCGGAGACCCCTCTTCAAGTAGTACTTCTTCGACATCTGCTTCGTCGTCTGTCGGCAGGTCCGGGTCGAGCTGGGAGTAGTCAACTTCGTCTTCGGACTCGATGTCGGAGAGATTGCGCTTCGGTGAATCGCGCTTGCGCTTCCGTCCGGCGCCTTCTGTCTTCTCTTTCTTGGGCGTCTTGGTGCTGCCCTTTCCTTTGCCTTTGGGCTGCTCGCCGGGCTCGTGGACGTGGCAGAGGTCCACGGGCATTCCGGCCTGTAGGAGCACGTCTATCCACACCTAACAGCCCCAATGAGTCGTCTGAGGGAAAGAGAAGATGAAAGACACATCACACCTTCTGGTTCTCCTGCAGGGTATCGCCGGGACCTTTGACTTCGACAAAACGCGCCCAGCCCTCCTCCTCGTGCCACACAATGAGGTCCGGCACTCCACCCGTACGAGAGGTGTAATCCTCACACATGACGCAACAGATGGTGCTCAGCGCCTTCGGTTGAATGCACTACGTTCCTGAGTTCAGCACCACCGTCCACGAGAACTCGCAGAGACTGTGACGCAGCTCACCCGAACGATCCCCAGCAAGTCCTCCTTCGTGAACAGATCCCATCGCACGCCTTGGCATATCACGTCCTTGTGCTCGTCATACGCCTTCTCCAGCACCTCCACCGCTTCCCTTGGGCTATGGCTTCTAACTGTGCATCCGCGATATCCTGGCGCGACTCAAAGAAGGTGTCTTCGGGGAGGTCCAACGGGGCCGCCTGGTAGAGCGTCTCGAACGCTCCAGCCACCGGAGCGAAGAGCACGTCCCAGAAGAGCAATCCGAACAGCGTGGTGACAATCCGACCTTCGCAGTGAAAGCCGCGACAACCTTGGGCTTCGTAGTACTGCAGAGCGAAAGTCTCGACGTTGACTTCTTCGTCGTCACGACCTTTCCAGATCGATCTGACGCCCTTCGCTGGCTTCTCCTGCGGGCACCACTGTTAGAGAACAGTACACGAAGGGTTGGGCCCGAAAAAACGTACACCGACCTCCGTCTTCTTCGCCGGACTGGCAAGAGTGCGGTTTTTCCATGAGAGCTGGCTGACCTCGTTCACAACCCGTCCCTGATCGATGACCAAACTTCCCGCACGGTGCTTGATGCGCGTGCCCTCCACGTAAACTGCATTCGCAGTCTCGAGACTTCCTTCGCAGATGTGTCGCTCTTCAGGCGGAATCTTGAGACGTTTTTCTAACCTTGTCAGCCTCTGACAAGCTGGGGTCTGACGGCTGTCGGGGAGGGCTTTCAGTCTCTAGGCACGATACGTTCAAGTCGGAAGACTGACTGAGATGCGTATACGGGTCACGAAGCGCGGCGATGACCATGTCCATCGCTTCTTCGTCCTCCTTGAGGTGGTGCATGAGCACAAGCGCGCACCGCGAGTACCATCGCCCGCGCCGAGCCCGGCGCCACCTTGTCTGCTCCAACAGCACCTGGAGTATCCGGACTTCCTCTCGAAACTCCTTCAACACGCTTAGGGCGTACGTGCCCTTGCAGATCACGCGTGTGAGGATGTGTCCTGTATCCCGATGTTAGCCCGCACGGATGGAACGAGAGTGGGGAAACCACCGACCGCAGTCGAAACGCTCCAAACCCTGCCGCCGTGCCGCCTCGTCTCCATGCGCAGCGACGAGGTGCACCATGTCTGGTATATCGACTCCATGATCTCCTTCACTCGTCGGCGTTCTTCACGCGATCCGACTCTCCCTGCTCCTCCTTGACGTCTCCTACGGCCGGCGTCTTGCTCCCCGTCGACCGCCCACGGGCTCCTGCGCCATATGGAGCAAAGGAACCGTCTCCGAGCAATACGTCGACCTCAGCTTCGGTCGCTAGCGCGGCTTCATATGCGAGGAGTTCCTCGCGGGTGCGCCAGATATCCGGGGTCCTGGAGTAGAAACTTCGACGTACGTGCGCCGCTTGGCGATCGCGAGAACAGCGGGTACGAGCAAGTCTGGGTCGTATCTGGTTGACCGGAAGTAGATGAGGTTCGTGCGGTGAAAGAGTGCGACGACATGCGGGTTGATGCGAATGCAGCGCTCTATATGCAGTGACAGGTGAACATATGAGGGTGAACGTCATAGGGAGGGGACGCACTGAGTTTCTTGATAACCATGATACGAATGTGCTCTTGCTGTCGACCTCTCGAGTCTCCTGGGGGCCGGAATGCTAGTTGGGTCTGACGAAGGGACTTTGGGGGCGGTTTCGAACCCCACGGAAGTCGAGTCTGGACCATGGGCTCCTTCCCTTTCTTGGAGATTTTGGCGAATGGGAGAGTGGTCTGAGTGGCCGACTTGCGCAGAATGGCGTCGATAATGACATCTCGCTGGAAGCCTTCAATGGATTATACGGCTCGGCTGACAGAAGGACATACCTTCTTCGTCCGCACGGTGGTTTTTGTCTCCTTGGCCAGCTCTTCCAGCTCTTGCGCATTCAAGCACTCCATGAGCTCTGCGAGCTCTGCCTGGTCTTCGTTGTCGGCAAATACGGAGTAGTCGACAAGATCTGGAGTCTGAGATAGAGCAGGGGCGGGGAGTACTGGCTTGCACTCAGGACTCATGCGAGAAGGACCCGCCTGCGGCTGTTCGTCTTCGTCGTCCAAAGTCAGGTCGATAACTTCCCGCCCAGGCGGCTTTGGCCCCGGCTGCTCTCGGGGAAGAGTGGGCTCTGAGGGCTCCAACTTCGGTTTCACGTCCTCCTCTGAGGGCTCAAGCTTCGGCTTTACGTCTTCTTGCGAAAGATGAAAGGTGGGTAGCAATTCTGACACGGACGCATCTAGATCCTCTTTTTTGGGCTTGATGTCCTCCTGTCCGAGCGGAGAACATAGGTGGTCCATTCCGCCGAGAATCGCCTCGGTGGAGCCAAGCTCGTCGTGGTAATTGAGCGCGCTCAGCCTGTGCCATTTGTCTCGTTTCCGAAGGCACAAACGGCAAAACAAGTACTTCGCATTATCTGGGAGGGGCTTGGCGTATGCGCATGGAGAGAGAAACGAAGGTAGTGCGTACAAGGTAGGCCGTCCCAGGCCCTGAAACAGTCCAGCTCTTCTAGGGTGAATAGGTGCCCCTCGCCGGCGAGAACGGCTTTGAGCATATCTAACCACGAGGTCAATATAAGATATGCACCTCAATTGACTAAGAACGCGTACCTTCGAAGACCGTCACATACATGGAAACTCCATTGAATTTGCGTTCGGTACGCTCCAAGGTACACTCGTGGGTTTCTCTGGGGTCATTGGAGTCTGTCACGCCACTGAAGGTCGAGTCGGCCTCATGCGAGGTGGGAAAGACGAGTTTGGATGCGGAAGCGGCAGAGGGGGATCCGAGCACCATGTCGGACGCGTATTTGTGGGCAGGGTCGCGGCGTAGATAGGCCAGAAAATTGGCGAAGACGGTCAAAGCAGGTTGTCAAAGGAAGAGATATCGCAGACACCTGACAGGCCTGGGATGGCTTGAAGAGCGCGCTCGGGCCACGCTGCACAGACGCGACTGGGGTGGCTTGATTGAGTAAGTACTGTCAGTGTGAGTCGTGACCAGACGCGTCGAGATCACGTGTCGTCACGAACGCGGTGTGACAGTGACGGCTGCGTATTGAGCGGAGGCGATGACATCGGCCACCGCCCTCCGCGTCTGCTTCTCCCACCCGCTCCGCCATAGCACAGGCGCGTCCGAGCTCCGGTATATATTCGTATTTCCTCTCATGCCCGACGCCGCCCTCTATCTGCTCCCTGGGCTTTACGCTCGGTCCTCCCCGCGCTCTGCTAGTTTGCACGCCCACTATGTCCCTCCTGTGCACGCCCCTCGCCCTCGCCGTAGCATCCTCACCGAGTCTCTACTAAGGCTCGCTGAGTCGAGCTCCGAAGATTCCCATAGCGTTGTGGAGCAGCTTTCCTTGGTCGAGCTCACTGTACGTCCATGTCCCTTCCGCCGTGTGTTTCTGAGAGCTCATCCCCTCGCACGCAGATCAAGCCCAAGGAGCTCCACCTCGCGTTTGATTGCGGTACTTTGCGCTCTAGCAAGTACTCTCGCTTCAAGCCGCTCCACATTTCGTCTGCGCGCATGCGATATGGCGGGGGGAAGCTGTCGATGGGTCGCTCAGACACCGTTTTCTCCACCCACACTCACGCCATGACTATCACCTCCGATGTGCCATCCTCATCACCCGGCCCGTCCGGCGCGAGGCGACGTACATTGTCTGGGGCGCCATCCTCGCACTGGATCCATCCGAAGGCACAGGGCCTGACTTCACTGTCTTCGACGTTCCCCCACGGCATGTCTTCGTCAAGATTGCAGTAGACGAGGAAGGCGGAGAGGACCTGCGCGAGGACGCCCGCTTGCATCAGCAGCTCGTAGACCGTGGACTGCGGTTAGGTTACTATGGGATCTTCACTGACAGTATTGGAAGCACCGCAGTCGTCACTGAAGACTTCGACGGCGAGACGGATGTAATTACGCCCACCTCAAGTCCGTGATGTCGCGCTGTTATGGTGAGCATCGTTCTCAAGCTATTGTGCGACTCGTCTAACACAGCTGTTTCAGGTTGCCTCGCCTTTCGTTCTTCGTTTTCTCACCCGGACCATGCCACTCATTCATTCCTTGTTACCCAATTCTACTCGGACTCTGCATCTTCCGCGCATGCCTCCCTTTACGATATTCGGACGGACTCCTCGGATCCTAATATTCCTCGTACACTGACTTGCATACTTTAGCTGTATTTCATACCCACCGATGACGGGAATTCTAGCCTTACGGAGTCTGGCTAAACGAATATATAGTTGTAGGAGTAGCATATACATATGCATACATACACATCCACCTCTTGTCGCATTCAGAACCATATTACCACGAAAGCCCCCAAGCCCGTCTGCTTCCACAAGCCCTCCGCGCGCCCCTCCGACTCTCGCTAGCACTGCCAACTATGCGCGCCGCATCTAAAAACTGAACACCAACGCCGATTGCCCCGCACTCAGTACCCGCGTCTGAGCCGTTCATTCTCCTCCCTCAGCCTCCTGTTCTCCTCTCGCAACTCCCTCAGCTCCTCCTGGATCGCGCCCAGGCCATCACCCATCTCCCGCCGCCACCCCGCGCCCATCCGGATGAGGTCGAGGTGCAGCCCAACGAGCTCCCCGCGGGTCTCCTGCCGGAAATCATGCAGCGCATCGCGCAGCAACGCCTGCAGCATGTCCTGTGCCGCTCTCGCTTGCGGCGACCCTGGGCCCGTCCCCGTAGGGTTGCGGAACGGGGACGGGACGGCCGCCCGCTCTGTCCAGCTCGGCCCGCTCCTGGACGTGCGCGCGAAGCCGGGCGAGGGCCCGGCGAAGGACCGCTGGGGAGAGACCTGCATCGCGAGCTCGGCGCGAGGCAGCCGCGCGCTCGCCTCGGTGGACCCGTCATCGCCGTCCGAGTCCGAGTCGGCGCGTGCGGGACCGCCGTCCTCGCTGTCGCTGTCTCCAGCGAAGCCGACGCGCTTGCCGCCCCCTCCGTGGCCTTGCTGCCCCACGCGCCGAGCTCCGCCGACGCGAGACTGCGCGCGGTGCGCGCCTGTGCGGCGGCTTTGGCCTTGTGCGCGGGGATCGGCGTCTCGGGCCCGCCGGGGCTAGGCGTGCGGGTGGTGAGACGGGACGAGATGGAGGAGCCTGACACCCGTCGCCGTTGTGGGAGGGTAGCAGCGTCGGAGGACGGGCGCCGGGACGCGGCGCTGCTCCCAGATACGGAGCGCGTCCGAGGCTGGGCTGCAGAGGCCGACTCGGATGCAAGTGCCCGGGCGTGTGTGGATGCCTGAGAGCCCGCGGAGTCGGTGCGCCTGTGCGTACGTTCGGTGGTTGAGTCCGCGCGCGTCCGCGCAGAAACACGAGACAAGACGGAGGGGGCGCGTGAGGCTACTGAGGAGGGCCTGTCGTTGTCGAGCTCGGCTACTACGTCCGGGACAGCTTCGCGATCCTTTGCTGTGGGTAGAGCCAGGAGATTCTCTACACCGACTGCACAGTTGCAATGAGGATCCGGTTTCGACGGTATACATGAGCAAATACGACATACCGGACAGATCGCCTTCGTCATCCCCGTCCTGCTTGTCGGAATGTGTGACCAGTGACTTTGGCGGGGAGAACGCGCGCTTTGACGGAGTACTACGAGCAGCTGTGGGGGACTTTGCTGTAGCAGGGTTCATTCGCTTCGTCCCGGCGGCAAATCTACTAGCAGGAGAAACATTCTGGCTGGAGCCGGAGGTTGTGCGGCCAAGAGGCCGACGGGGAGTCGTAGTGGTTAGAGCCGACAGTTTTGTTCTCGAAGTTGCTTTGTCCTCCACACTTTTCTTCGACGCATCGGAGCTTGCGGTGGTACTGCTACCGGTCCGACGAGCAGCAGGGGCTGCCTTGTTGGTGTCCCGCTGTACCAGTGGCTTTGACGCAATAGCAGCTGCAGAAGGCTTGGTGACCTGGGCCTCTCCCGGTTTAAGCTTCCTCTGATCTCGACAATAAGCACCTCATCCCACGCCCGCAAAGGTTGACGCACCTGTATCGAGATGGCAATGATTTGATCACCATTCTCACTGACAGGGATGGATTTGGGTGGCTTGTCGAGTGCTCGGAGATCGAGGATTAAGAGCTTGCCGTTCTCCGTACCAGCGTATAATGCAGCGCCCTCCGCGGAAAATGACAGGCAGGTGATCGGAGCTGGCATATTGACCACTTTGAAGAGACTGGATGCGTCGTGTGAGCCCAGAGCCTTGGAAAAGGTCCAGCATACGCACGATTTCTCCTTGTCCAGGTCCACCAACGCGACCATTCCCCCGCTACACGCCGCCGCAACGAGTGTCTTGCTGAACGGACTGCATGTGATCGCCACAATGGGCCCAGGGTTCTTCTGCTCCTTGTCAAGCGGGATGATCTTGGCTGGTCCCGATGGACGAGTGGTGTCGTAGACCAGAATCTGTGCTCCGCTGCCCACGAGGAGTCGTGTGCGGGAATGAGGATGGAATGCGCACGTAGAAACGTCACCGCCCCCAGATGGTATGCCTCGAAGGACGGTATGTGACGAAAGGGTGAGATTGTGGACGTGAACGCATTCGCGGAGGTAGATGCGAGGAGAGAAGCATCATTGGATAGAGATAGTGAGCTGACTGTTGACTTGTGGGATTCGAACGTTTGCGTGATCTTGCTCGAGTGGTGGATGCCAGAGTAATTAAACGTCCTTTGCTGCAGATCACTGTACTTCCCTTGTCCTTGACCAGGAGTGAGGCAACAGCTTCGCCATTGGTCGCAGGTAGACAACTTGTAGAGCGCCACTGGCGATGTTGTACACCTGGATGCCGGATGCTGCAGAAGCAAGAAAGACAGAGTTCGTCTCTGCACTCCATGCAATGCCGTACATGGAGCAGCAAGAGCGCATGCAGGATGTGTGGAGGAGGGTGATACTTGAGGGATGGTTGGTCTAAGATAGTGAGACTTGATGAACTAAGGATCGCCGCCATGTTGTGTCGTGGGTCTCCAAAAGGTCTGGGGGCAGAGAAGTGCCACGGAGGCCAGGAAGGAAGAGGGGCTTGGCGGACGCTGCCAGTTGCCGCCGGTGCAGTGTGCACCCGAGTTGGTTCCTTCGCGTTCGTCCCGTGACCGTTCTCCAAGCCTCCGTCTGGTGTACAAACGCTACATATTTTTCTTTAGGGGCTAATGCCAAGCCATCGTGGCGCAATGGTAGCGCATCACCTTCCTACGCGGGGATGGAACCCTGAGTACGGGTGAGGTGGGGGTTGCGGGTTCGATCCCCGTCGTTGGTAGTTGGTTCTTTTTTCGCAGTTGGCCGTTGGTTCTGTCACATTGGCGTAAGTGCAAAGGCTATTGTCACATTTTTCGTGAAGGAAACCCGAGAAAACGGTGGCGTTTTGATGCGCTGGCGGGCTGCTTTGTGCTAATCAATATCTGTTTCCCTCAGGCACCCTAAAGTCCTGCGGTTCGATCCCTTTCTAACTTCACATTTTCATTAGTCCGCTACGTACACGATATCACTTTGCGCCTTTGCGTCGTAGAGATGGAGGAGCATATAATGGATCGGGTTGAGCCATTCAGACGCTAACGAGTCGTCTCATCTGGGAAGGGTATGGTGACAAAGCTACGGAATGACAGTTTGATTTGGCTACGTGCAGATAGCGACATGTGGAGCACTCCGAGACGCCCCATCCTATGTCTGTTCGTTCTCATCTGCGCTAGTTTGTTGCAAGACACTGCCGACGAAGGATGAGCAACCACAGAGACAGAACAGGATACGAGACGAAACTCACTTGTTGATGGCGGCTCTGTCGACAGGTGGACTACGTCCGTCTCCGACAAGTAGTCTGACTCCGACGCTTGGCACGCCATCCGCTACCACGTAGATAAAGCCCGGACCAGGCGGATAGATGTTGCCGTGTGGCGGGCCGGTAATCTTCAGTTTTGTCCTGTCGTCCGACAGAGAGAACTTCAAGTAGACCAAACGAGAGTTGGCGTGCACGGCGTGCGTCACGAATCCAAGGTCCATCAAGGCGACTATATGCGGCAGTGAGCAATCCGTACACCAACATCAACCGTCCGTCACGCACCTCTAATTTCTGTGTCGGGACGCAGGTTCGGAAGGCGGACTTTGACCTCCATCGTGCTGCCGAAACCGAAGAGCCTAGGGACCTTGGCGAGTATTTCTGGGCGCTCCTTCTTCATGTAAGACGGGCCTAACCACTCGACACGATACTCCGTGCCGTACTTGAGCTCGCTTCTGTCCAGGTTCGGGTTGCTCCCCGCGATCATCACGCCGCCCTTTGGCGTCAGTGTCGCGACGGAATGGTACATCCTCGGGATGTTGCTCGTCGGCATGCCGCGTGAAGAGAACCGCCGTCCGAATGTGCCGTAGGTGTCGTAGAGGACCGGGGAGAGCACGGGGCGGTCCGCGTTGGAGAAGCCCACCTGGTCGACGACATTGCCGTAGCCGGAGATACCGGAGCCCGCGCCGTTCACAATGAGGACCTCGCCGGTGGGGAGGAGGACGGCGTCAGGCATGAGGCGTGCTTCGGGCATCTGCTCGACTTGCCAGCCCTTGGCGATCTCTTCGTCCGTGAGGATCATGCGCGCGCACTGGGTCGAAGCGGGATCCTGTGAAGAGATCTGGAAGCCTGGTTTGGTGTCGTCAATCGTAGAGCCGCCACAGATGAGGACCTCGGGCGTGTAGTCATTCTCAGGAGAGAGAGGGAGCAGAAGAGCGGTGCCAGCCATCGGGTAGGTGACGCGGACACCGTTTGGAAGTCTAGGCAGCCTCCGTTCGGCGTTGGTCTTCCAGTTGTATATCATGGCGTCCCGGTTGGCAGCAACAAAGACAGACCCGTCAGGCAGCAGGAAGGCATGGGGGAAGAGGTTGGAGTTCAGCGTGTCGACGAGGAAGGGCATATGGATTGGCAACCCGTTGGAGTTGTGGATGTTCTTGGGCGGAAAGTACTCGAGGGTGGGGTTGTTGGTCGTACCGTTGTTGATCCATCCACCTTTGCGCGAGCCTCCGATGATCATGAGGCTGCCGTCCGAGATCCGGAGAGTCGTGCTGTACCAGCGCGGGCTTGCCATGCGTACGTGTTCGTGGTCCTCGAAGATGTCGCATCCTGTGACGTCCTGGAGTTCGCAGGGGTGGAAGAGACGTATTGCCTGGAGTCCGCCGACATCGCCAAAGTCTGCTGCTGAAGTTTTGTCCTCGACGACCGGGTTCCCGCCAACGTTCGCCAGCGTACCGTTCCCAAGGAAGCTGCCGCCTGCGCAGAAAGAGTTGGACTTCATAGACAAGGGTTTCACCGCGTGCGTCTCAAGGTTGTAGAGGGCGCCCCATGCCGGATGCCCAGAGACTGTAAGAGGATTGTGCTCCACCTTATCGATGACGATCGCATGAGACTCCGAGATGATAGCGAACTGCATAGCGTGAACGCCAGTGGAACCCTTCTGCACCAAAGTCCAGTCGTCCGAGGCCCCGGCTCTGGGAGACAAGTCGAGCAGAGGCAGATCCGCAGCGTGTTTCCGTGCGGAAGACGACGAGTTCCGCCGATGACCTCTGTGGGTAGGTGCGCTGCGGGTGACCACTAGGGCGTCGACGTCCACCACGGTGCCCTTCGACGCGTCTCTCTTGCTACCAGTGTTGAGGATCTTGAGCGTATGCTTGCGCTGCGGGAGGCCGTAAGTCCAGAACACTCGCTGCTGCTTCATCGCGACGGTGCTATAGGTGTCCACGAGTTGTATGAGCTCGCCATCCAGGAAGACCTTGGAGATACCGTGTTTCTTGTCGAGATTGCCGAACCATTCTATACCGGTGCCAGTGAAACTGAAGGTTATCGCTGCATCACGCGCCGAGGTTGAGCGGATACTCTTGCCGATATACGCTGAAGAGAAGGTCTCGGACCAGGCACCAGTAAAGTGTAAGAGAGGCGAAGACGAGTCGTAGCTCTTTGCTCCAGGAGGTACGTAGTAGGGGGTGAACCTAGAAGGCTCGGTGGATCCGGGGGTTACGCGGCCGTGCCAGGCTGACTCCGCCAAAGAGGTTGTGGCCAGCGAGACGACCAGCGCCGTGACCAAGAGTAGAGACTGGATGCCCATGCTGTCTGGGCGGGGAGGAGATGATGGGAGAGGGAAAGGTTCGAGAGACAGGCGGTGAGTCCGGCATGTGCGGCTTGACGTCCAGACTCGCTCGCTCGGCGGCTCGCTCGCGGCACACATTTATGGATCCTCATAGATTACAGGTACTAACATAGAACATCGATTCAACAGAGCATCTACCATACAGTGTCCATAAATCAGGAGTCGCGGTCTTCAGCCCGGTCAAGCTGTTGCTTTTTCCTCGAGCCACCACTGGAATAACCGATTAGCACAAATATAGCGGAACACGGAGAACGTGCACTTACACCTCAGTATCGAGCCCACGCTTGCGACCACTTTTGGCCTCATCCAAAACTTGTCGAGACCGAAGACATCGCTAGAGTCCTTCTCGAATTGCACAGGGCCCTCACGAACTTCCTGTTCGTTGGCTCCCTCGAACCCTGCACGAGGCTGCCCGAGCCCGAAGCGGTCGTTGTCCAGAGCCTGACCAATACCCTCCTCCGTCCGCCACCAAATGACTCCTGGTTGCCCTCCGAGATGTTCCCCCGCGCCTTGTAGATGGCCGCAGCGGCAGTGGAACCGTGGAACAGCGGGCGGTCGTACAGGTTGTACGCATCATCATCGGCAAAGCTGCCGGATAGTGACTCTTGGTTGAAGAGACGCGAGTCGAGCATGCTTTCCTTGGAGAGCGTCGGCTTCGCAAGCCCAAGTGCGATCTTCTCCGAGATATCGCGGTTTTGCTGGCGCGCGAGCATCTTGGCGCGCATCTCCGTGCCCATGTTGCTCATCCGCATCTCCCGTCTCGTCCCTTCTCTTGTCCGCGCGCATCTGGTCTCGCACCTTCGCTGCATCCGCGTCCTCCTCGTCCTCCTCAGGCTCCCCGTCTGATTCGCTGTCCGAACCAGAGCCGTATCCTCCTAGAGCGGACTGCATCGCAGCGGTACGGTCGGCGGTCGGCTTCGACTCTGCACGCGGCGCAAGGCCAGAACGTTCTTCGCGCGCTCGCTGGGCCAGAAGTCGGAGGTTCTCCTCCTTTTGCGCCTTCTCCTTCTCGGCTAGCTTCTGTTGCATGAGGGCACGTTGCCTGACTTCCTCGCGAGCGTGGCGATCGGCAACGAAAAGCGCCTCCGAGAACTTTGCAAAGTTGTCATTGATATGCACCTAACGACACGAAACCATAAGCCACCAATACTGTAAGGGAAATGAAGCGCTCACATCCTGGAGACCACGACCGTCCGCCGCAAGACGCTTGTCGAGGGGGATGGTGTAACCTTTGTTGTTCTTCCAGTTAGATATGCATGGTGGAATCATCCATTCCTTCTGCTCCTGGGCTGTCGCCTTACGAGGGGGACTGCGAAGAACGGGGGGCGGAGGGCTCGGGGGACCGCGGGGAATCTTCTTGTGTTTGAACCGTGGCGGCTCGAGAGGATCCTCAACGACTTCGGTCATCTTGATGATACGCTGCTTCAGGCTATCCGAGTTTCCTTGCTGGCCTGGTGTGTAACGGATGAAGGACGTCTTGCCCTGACTGTCAGGGACGTTCTTCGGCTGGGCCGCCTTGATTTTGCCATTGACGAGCTTCTCCAGTGCGGCCCTCGTCTTCTCGGTCGTTTCCTGAACCTCTTCCTCCGACGGGCGGTCCAACGATCGATCCGCGTCGTCAAGGTCTTTCCGGTGGGCAAGAGGAACGAGGTCCTTGAACTGAGACTGGACCAACTTGCCGGAGCGTTGACCCTGGAGCGCTATGGCATCGTAACGAACGTTGCCTTCGGCATCCACTTGGAGAGCCAGAGTGTTCCCAGCCGCCGTCTTGAGATTTTGTGAGAATTCAGAGAAGTAGTTGGCAGAAGTGCGACCCACCTTCTTCTTGCCCATGTTTAGAGGATATTGGGCGACATGACATTCAGGGTACGCACCACCATCACCTAACGCAGAATAAGACAGGAAACAGCATCTTTAGCAGGTCACGCACCGAAGTCCTCCAAGGAAGTTGGCTTCCAACCTCTCCTCTGACCATACGGCGGCACTGCCTGGCGAATGACCACAGCAACGGAGGGACCTGCCTGCTGAGGTTGGATTTCGGAAACGAATTCTTCCTCGTCATCGGAGACCACAGGCGCATTCACCGGAGTGGGGAGAAGGCTGTAGGGGCATCAGCAAATGCAAGGTGATCCGGTGTGCAGGGAAAGACTAACGAGGTGAGGGCAGCCATGGCGACGGCGTACGGTGAAGGCGGAGGTGGCATAGGCGCCCTGAGAACAAGCAGCAGGTCGAGTGTTGACCTGTGTTTGGGACGTGGCGCGGCAGGCGGGCCGCTCGCGTCTCCGGCGCGTGCCAGCGAGCGACGCGGCCGACGCGCCACGCACGAGACAGAAAGCTTCGGCTGTCCAGCCGCGCTCCGTTCTGAGCCTCCGCGTCGACCGCGTCCTCTGCCCCATGAGCTCCGGCGGTGACAGTGTCTTCCCCAAGCCCGCGCCTCCCAACTCTGGCGTACGGGCCGCCCTCCAGTACACCGGCATCCCCGTCTCCTGGCTCGACAAGCGTCCCTCTCTCCCTTCGCGCAACTGGCTCATCTTCCTCGGCGTAACTGGCACGGTCGCCGGCTACTACATCTATGACCGCCAGCAGTGCAAGAGGATCCGCCAGGAGTACAAGGACCAGGTGAAGGACCTTGCAGACGTCCCATTAGGCACCAAGGACCTCCCGCGGAAAGTCACTGTGTACGGTGCCAAATGGTTGGGCGACGAGGACCATGACCGCAGCATGAAGTACTTCCGCAAGTACGTCAAGGTTCGCATTTTCGTCTTCTTCGCCTTGCCTCTATTCTCAAGCATGTGTCGTAGCCCATCCTAGTCGCTGCTGCGATAGACTACGACATGGTCACAGGCCGACGTCTCGGGGACGTAGCTCGTCGTGTAGCGGATGACATCCGTGAAGAGCGACGTAAATTCGCGGGCTTAGACCCTCCCCCCATGAACCTCCTCAACCTACCAAACTCGTCTCCAGCAGAGAAACACCAGCGTCGGCTTGAAGGCGGGATCGTGATCGTCGGTCGGCACACGCTCAAGGAGTACATGCATGGGTTGAAGCGCGGATGGACGGATGGATTGCAGAAGGTAGATAGAGAAGAGCAGCTGGCACAGGCACTGGAGAATGACGGCAAGTTTGACGAACCTGAGCCCGAACCCTCCGAGCTTGCGCTGGACGACGACGAGCCTCTTCCGACGCCTTCGAAGTTGCCTCCTTCAAGACCATTCTCCGTCCTCTCCGCTCCCAACCTTCGCATGCCCCCTCCCCCTCCAAAAACCGCAGAGGATATCGCCCCCGCGGTCAATGCCCCTCCCTCAACTATCCCTCCGCAGCCTCCCATGCTCCTCGTCACTTTCACGAACTACATCGGACTGACTCAGATCCCCCTCATGATCTGGGATTTCTTCAACGAGCGGCAGAAGGTCCGCGCTGGCGCGGAGGCAGCCATGAAGCTCGTCCGGGGAGCCACTCGACCCTTCACGGCACCTCCTTCCTTTCCCGCAGCAGACTCCTTGGTGTCGGACTTCAATGTCGACCATGATGGGCCTCAAAAGCCTTTCCTTCAGGAGCTCTCCCCTAGCGATCTCGACTTCGATCGCGAAGGCGAATCGTGGTACAAAGCGTCGACAGTCCGCAACTATTCCTCCGAGATCGAGAAGGCCCGAGATGAGTACTACAAGTCCCTCGCCAAGAAGCTTGAGGTCGCGCGCGCACTGGCGCGCGGGACTAGGGAACCTACGAAGGAGGAAAGCGAGAACCCTCCGCCCACCGAGGTTGAGTTGCGCGCAGAGCGGATGAAGAAGGAGCTGAGGTGGACGAGCGACGAGGAGGGATGGGACATTGTCCGGCCAGACAAAAACGTTGATTGGGACGAGCGGCTCAGGAACATTCTCAGGGTATACACTGAACCTCCTCCTCGGCCTTCGACCTCTTTCGACGCTCAGTCTTCATGATACATCAGCATATAATTGTCTAATCACATACACACCCCTTACTTAGCGTACAACGCTTCACTGCTTGTCCGTTTGCGACGCCTCTAATCACTCCTCCACGACTTCTACTGCTCCGCTGTTCAACCAGGACTCGAAGTCTCTCAACGGATCATCATCGGGCTCCGACGTTATGTTGTGGGCCGATCGCGCTCCAGGGGGAGCTTCGTGCTCGCGCCCTTCGGATGTCGCGTTGGCTTGGTCTGGCCAGCTGTGTTCAGGTGAGCGACGGCTCCCTTCTACTTGGTATGACGCTGTAGCGCTGATTTCTTTGGGCGCAGGCGAACTGGGGTACACGATGTCGAACATCGAAGAGTCGAGCCTGAAGTCTCCATCTTCGTCCATGGAGATAGGGCTGGCTTCTTGTATTTCCGTGCTCTGGACGAAGTGCGACGGACCTTCACCGGACACGTCGTACGATGGCGAAGGCGCAAATGGAGGCGTAGTTTCGCGGCGCGGCTGTAGCGACTGCGTCAGAGAGGCTGAAGATTTGGATCCTTCGCGTGGCTTACCGTCGTCGCCTGGACATCGGGTCTCAACGCGACTCGCTTGCTTGGCGGTGGGGTCGCCTCGATGTTGATCCTGGTCCTTTTCCGGGAGACATCTTGCGCCGATTGAGGTGCGCGCACAAGAGCTGTCCTCGCTGCAACAGTGTTGCGCCAGCTTCCCGCATCACTTGAGGACGGCGGCTTTGTGCGGGGCGATGTGTCGATTATCTCGCTCGCCGTTGGGAAGTCATCCTCCGAGTCGGATGGCAGTCCTTCCACTGGATTCGGGACAGTTGTGAGGGGCTCTTCGAGGATGCTGGACAGCTCGAGGTCGAGAGCAGCTTGGCGAGGTTTACTGGCCTTCCTGAGGTCGCTCGAGAGCTTGAGCTGGCCCCCTTCGCCGAGCTGTATGTTCTGCTGCACTCCAGTCCGCTTGTGCAAGGACTCCAAGTGGCCCAGGGGCCGATCGGATTTCGAACGCGGCTTCGGCTTCGGCTTTGGGGCAATTTTGCTACTTGTGACCTTCGACATCGCAGGCTGCGTGTCTGCGGCTGTATCTTCTCTCAAGAGCATCTCAATCCGTCTTTTGGTGATGGGTGGAGGTTTTTCGAGTCCCTCTTGACAGCTGTACACATGGTAACACCCTCAGCACGGTTGTTTTTGGCAGAGATTCAGTATTACCATCTGTGTTTGCATTTCATCTTATCCTTGCAAGTATGGTTGCACCTAATGGCATTCAAGAAGAGTCAGACAGACCATATTTCTGGGATAATGTTAGGGAACAAACTCGAAATTGCCATTAGGAAGTTGTTTTGCAGCAGGATAGCCTGAACTGGAAGAGGAAATGGATGATTTGCTACTTCTCTGGAACTGCTTCCCTGAATCTTCAACTTCCAGATCATCTTCTCCAATATCCCAGATTGAATCGGCAATGTCTTCTAAACCTTCTAGGTCTCTGGCCTGGATGGGAAATATGGATGTGTCTATCAATCCTGCTCTGAAATACTCACTAGAGAATCCTGAGGGTGGGTTTCAACTTGTGGGAAGCTTGATATCTGGATATCTGGCTTGTACACAGCTGTTGCTACCAGACCTGCATATACATCCTAAATAGAGAACCAGTCATTATTCACTCAGAATAGCGGGTTCTAAGTCCTAACTGATGAGATTTGAGCTATAACACCTTGACTTGGCTTGATGAAGGGCACATTGACCTCAAAGGTTTTTGGTTCCTTCAAATTATATGTTCTTGGGTCCATATTAATACAGGGACATTAAGCATGCTTCTAAATACTCACACAATATGACGAAAATCCACAAATGTGTTGTCAGTCATCATAACCAGAACTGATGTCATATCAGTTCCTTTAGACTTTTTGCTTCTTTTTGAGTGATTTAATTTGCCACTTTGAAGTAGTCCACATGAGATAGATAATGTTGCTTGTACTGCATTCTTCTGACTGAAAACCTCAACTTCTGATATTGATATTGAGTATTGAGGGAACTGGCAAGCTGCAGATAAGATATCATGCCCAAAAGGAGGTTTTCTATTTAGAAGCTACTTTGATGTTAGAAAAGCATTTAACCATTATCAGAGATACCTACAGATTCTATATGTGCTGGATCCATTCTCTTCAAGGCTGAGAATGAAGTGATATTATGTTCTGCAAGGACCTGTATATAGTTTTAGGGTGATATAATGCTGTGATAAAAAAGCCAAGCTTGCCTTAATGCTATTTAAAATTTTAATCAGCTGTTTACTACTAAGTGTATTGTCACTCACGACTTGGGACCAATCTCCTTGATTTGCCGAAAGACTAAACTGCAGTTTTCCCATGCCTTGGCATTAAGGCAACGAGATCTAGAACATATGAGGCAACAAGGTAATAACTCTGGTAACGTTAGAAACATACACTTCAAGGGCATTTTTTAATAGCAGTCCATGTTGTCTAACAATAGCAACTTCTATCACAGCTGCAATTGAATTTTTAGGTTTCTCTTTACAGGTAATAGTTAAATCACTTGCCTCGAGCCAACCTATTAATGTGGCGCATAACAGGAAGTGTTTCTAGATAGGGCTGAGTATTGGCACTCTTGTACTCAGGGCTGGAGAGATTGATAGATCCAAGGATAGCTTGCAGAAGTATGAAAACCTTGTCAGATGGCTTGTCAATCTTTTTGAGGGGATATCTCATATCAGGGTGAACCCGTAGCTTATGATACACCTTTTCAAGACGTGAGTAGAAAGACTGCCTTTTAAAAAGAAATAAGAGTACCTGCTTTTCACCAGATCTGAATCTGATATCCTGAAACCTAATATCAATTAGCAATCTTTATACTACAATAAGTTGGTTTAACACCCACTCATTTGCATGGCATAAAACTTCAAGCTAGTGGTTTTGTATAAGCAATAACCCATCAATCACCTCTACCTACTTACAATCTCATAGACTGATGCAGTACTTGACAACTTCATAATAAGCACCATCTATAAGAGTAATAAGTATCTACAGCCTCTATACATTATTAGTTTATCACTCACTGTCTTTTGATGAATATAAAACTAGATACTTTTAGCAGCTGAAAATTATAACTGCATGAGGCTTCACAAGCTCACATACCTTGCTCATTATATCACCATATTCTGTTGACTTCAAATCATCACTGGTTTCATCACATTGAAGCATCCCAGTGAGTTGCAACTCCTTGATGCTACTAGTAACTATTTGATCCAGCTGAGTTGCCCAGGGAGTAGTGTGTTCATCTTCAGTTCTGATGCCATAGTATGTAGGATTCTGTTTCAGTCTTTGAAATAGAAAAGAAGTATGAAGCCACTTCTTTGCAGAGTCAAGGTTGGCAATTGTTCCTAGGGCAACCTCAGAATTCAAGTGCTCTGTCAAGTGAAGGTGAAGACTGCTTTCAAGAACTGTTTGGCCTTGAGCAAGAGCTTGGTACTTTGCTTCCAATTCTTGTTCACATATGATAATAGCCACCCCACTTTTGTCAAACTGAGGCCTGCCCTAAATGTGCTGGTATTAACATATATGCCATTAGATCAGAGAAATTAGCTTACAGCTCTTCCAATCATCTGCATAATATCAAGGTCTGTATATTCTTGTGAGGCATTGTTCTGAAATAACTTCACACCCTTGATAATAACAGTGTGTGCAGCTAGTCCACTTAGAGTCAACCTTACTACTCTGGTAATATAATTTGAACTCACGCAAGTTCACACCAACTGCAAGTGTCTAAAGAATTGAATCAGAGGAATAACATTGTAATTTGGGACATTTACTCACTGAAGTAGCAAACAGAATTTTGATGTTTTGTTTAAGAAACAATTGCTCTGTGGTTGCTCTTTCATCTCTACTAAGGCCTGCATGATGGATCCCAATCCCAAATGATGCCAAACCTGATACTTGTTAAAAGGGTTTGACATAGATTCCAGGAAAGCTTACGATTAAGTTGTGTGTTGCTGAATAAGTAGCCTACACTACAAAAAGCTATTAGTCACAGCCTATAGCATTAACTGTACCATATGTCCTACTGGCAGGTCTTAGCCATGGCAAGTCACCTTTCTTCATGATTGCTTCCTCATACTCCTTGCAAACTTGTTCAGCCGCATTAACTACACCTATAACAAATTAAAGCTAGGTTTTAAATCTTCCCAAAAACACAGTTACCTTTACGAGTAGGGCAGAAAGCCAGAACAGGTTTGTTATTGCAGTGTTGTTGCAACACAGAGTAGATCTTATAGTCTAGAGTCTTTGCAAAAGCAAAGTCATTTGCATCCTTGTGACGGTATACCCCATAGACAAATCTAGCCAACTGGCAAGGTCTGTACTCTTCACCAAACTGCATTTCTGATCAGCCTCACTTGTTGAAGTGATAAATATATCTGTACCTGTTGTATTGAGGCAGCTCCTATACCATTACCATCTCCAACCCAATAGGCAATATCTTCAATGTTAGGCACAGTGGCTGATACTACCATAAAGCGAACACCAGTGCCCCTCATCTTCATCCGGGCTGTGATCACTTCTAAAGTGCTTCCTCTGGACTCATTAAGCAGATGGACCTGACAGAAATAGTTTTAGTTAGACTACAAACTGCATATGAGATGCATTTGACCTCATCAATCAAGAACAGCTTGATCTTTGATAGTATCTGGCTATGATGTTGCCTGACCTGTATATTACTAGTGTAGTTCTTAAGCCAAGAGATCACACATACCAATTCCTGGTTAAACTGTCCCATTTTTCACCCTACAGTAGTGTTAATGTAAGTCATAATGGTTGCCAGAATGACCCACCGTTGTTACTCTGGAATGGGGTAAGTGATATGCTATTGGTAATGAGCATGTAGAACTCACATCACAGTTGCATCAGCAGCATCTCCCCAGACTCCTTGCCCAGCTGTAACTGTATCCCCAGTCAACTCAGCACCTGCATATGAGCATTGTAACAAAATGTTAGCACTGCAACTACTGAGTAGTGTAACACTTACATTTCACACCAAATGGTGCAAACTTGGTATTCCAGTCACTGGCTTTCTCAGTGCAAAGGGACTGCGAAGTTATCAATACACACTAAATATTGGATTACAAGTTGTTCTGACCTTGGTTGGTGCAATGTATACACATTTAGCCTTGATTGTGGTGCCAACCAACTCCCTGAGAATTTTATGATGGCCAGCTCAAAAAGGACAGTTTTGCCACTGCCTGTAGGTGCTGTGACAGTAATCTGGTATTCAAAGATTGATTCCATAAGCGCTATCCAAGACAACTCACCACTGATGACCTAGGTGTAGCCATTCAGCAAAGAACTCTCAGACAAATATCATATCATACCATGTTATTGTTGGTTTTCATTACCTATAGCACCAAGTAAGTAGAGGATCCGCGCTACAAAGGAACACAAACCGTGTCGAAACAACGTGATTGCACGGCATTAAACACTCCGAACTTGAACACGCTGCGATATATGTCCGCTGCACCCTCATGTCGACACTCGGGTAGCGATCGGTAGACACATGATGACTCACGTAGATCCGAAACGGGGCGCAGCCGTGCAAACCCCGAATCTTGTTGCTGACGGCCCTGCGCTCTCGTGAGGGTCGAAGGAGATTGTCTCGACATGGTGTCCATGAACATGGGAGAGTACGTGATCGTTGAGGCGCTCATTCGTTCATTCGCGCGGTAATCCCACTCTTCGCTTGGCGAAGGGGGCAGTTCCATGCTCCGATGTTCCCAGCTGAGCTCTTCCAACGGGCTGTTGGAGCGGAGACGCGGGTCGGAGAGCGCCGTGAACTCATCGACTTCCTCTGGCGGCGGGCTATGAAGCTCGCTGTCCCACATTCGAAGAGGTGAGGAGTGTAGCGAGGGGTTGTCATGGCCTATGAGTGCACGAAAGGGAGACCATTTGTATAGCTGAATGCTTCGAGGGGACCGCATATACTCACCTCTCTCTCTCGACATCCCGGCGTCTCCATGGTACACTCCGTGGCATACGGGCCTTTGAGGTGAACGAGGATAGTGAAAGGGATCTTGATATTGCTCGATACCATCGTCGTACTGAACGTTAAAGCGGAAGGGGGCGTCCATGCTGAACGAAGGAGAGAAGACGGAATTATTGGAGCCGCGTCGGAACTGGAGTCACGCTCGTCCACGACCCGCTCACGTGTTTTGTATGTCACGCGTGACAACTCGCGTCGAGGTGTCGAGCGGCGCGATCCTCGACTCTCCTACCTTCAGTCTATACGCTTCGCATCCGACGAACTCGTCCGCGCCGGTTTCCTCAGCGCGATCTGACTGGACACTTTTTTTTCTCTTGCATACTATGGCTTCCAACGACCTCAAGAGTGACGCCGCAATGCGGAAACTTGAAGAGTACATCGAAAAGTAGGTCGGACGACTATATGTTGTGGGGCAAAAGCTTATGTTTGTCAGGATCTACTACTCTGAACGGTACTCAGACGACGAGTATGAGTACCGCCATGTTGTCCTCCCGAAGCCGCTGTTCAAGATGATCCCGAAGAACCTCTTTGATCCGGACAACACTGGAACTTTGAGATTACTGTCGGAGGAGGAGTGGCGAAGCATTGGGATCACGCAAAGCCTCGGATGGGAGCATTACGAAGTCCACGGTATGTCTCCTAGGATAGATCTTGATATTTTGTCACTGAGGATACCGTCCTCCCAGCCCCCGAACCGCATGTCTTGCTTTTCCGTCGACCCAAGAACTTCGACGCGATGCAAGCCTCAGGAACGAACGGAAGGGTTGCTGGAGGAGCGGCTAAGCCGAAGCGGAAGTGACGAAGGGTTCATCGGTCCGTCAATTCCTTACGTCCACGCTCTGTTGGTGGGCTGGTCGCATGATCGTCCGTCCCTTCATGGATATTTTCCCCTACGACTTGCCTCTCTCCGTTCTGTATTCTATCATCAGCTTTGTTGTGCACTGTTTCATCGCTCTCATTTGCTGTACGCTGTAACTCGATAGGCTAGTTTTCAACCCCGTACTGAGTCCCAAGATCTGTCGTCAACCGTCGGCATGAGAATTGAAGAGACGCGTAGACGCGATACATATGATCAAACTCAAGGCCGAGCAGGTCTGAGATGCGAGGAACACAAGTAATGTATGGACATTGCCGGATGGGTTTCAAGCCGCTTGAAGCTTGAAGCCTCTTGAAGCGCTCCCTCGGATCTCGATGCCGTAAGCCACGCACAAAGACTGCGTTCGAATCGTGCACTCAAGAACGCGCATGTTGCGACTCTCCGCCGCCCCTTCTCTGCCGCGGCTTCGCGCGTTTCCGGGACCCTCCGTTTTGCGGTCGCTCCTTTGGACTCGGTCTCACTTCTGCTCGCACTTCTCTATGGCTGCTTCGGTTCCTGTAGCATGGACACGCGTCACCGCTGGTCAAACATCCTTCAGTGTCTTCCCCAAACCGATTCAGAAGTCTCCCCAAGATGACCGGGAGTACAGGATCATCAAGTTGGACAATGGCTTGCAAGCGATGTTGATTCATGACGCGAAAGCGGACAAGGCAGCTGCTAGTTTAGACGTAGCTGTCGGTCACTTGTATGATCCTGTGAGCACTACATTCTGCATGTTTTGAGATTCTACTAAGACCGAGTTTCTAAACCAGGATGACATGCCCGGTCTTGCGCATTTCTGCGAGCATCTACTATTTATGGTACGATGCGTGATCCGTGCTCTCTGGCTATGAATGAACTGGGTTGTTAGGGAACGGAACAATATCCGAAGGAGAACGAGTATTCTGAGGTGAGCGCTGCCCCGAGGAGGGTTCACGTAAGTGTTCTGACCTCCACCGCTCTCTGTAGTACTTGTCCAAGAACAACGGAAGCTCGAATGCCTTCACTGGGACCTCCAACACGAACTACTACTTCAACGTCTCCACCACAGCCCTCTACGGCGCACTGTCGCGCTTCTCTGGCTTCTTTCACTCTCCTCTCTTTGCGCCGTCCTGCACAGCGCGCGAGCTCAATGCAGTAGACTCGGAACATAAGAGAAACCATCAGAGTGACATGTGGCGTATCTTTCAGACCAACAAGCACCTCAGCAAGGATGGGCACCCATGGCGCAAGTTCGGCACCGGCCACAAAGAGAGCTTGTCTAAGGTCGGTCGAGAGCTCAAGGCGAAGGGTACCCTCAATAGCAATCTGGTCATGAAGAGCGCGGATGGTAGCTTGGCCCCGACCCCCAACGACTCTCGCGCCCCTTCGCCCTCTCCATCGGTAAACTCGACGAGTAGTGAGATGGATGGGGACGGTGGGGTGGTAGGCCGTGAAACTCGTCGGAGATTGGTCGAATGGTGGAGCAACGAGTATTGTGCAGGTCGGATGCGTCTGTGCGTTGTGGGAAATGGTGCGTACGCTTTAAAGACGCTCTAAAATATTATTCTCATGGTATCGTAGAATCTCTCGATGAGTTGGCTGCAATGGTAGCGAAGCTCTTCTCCCCGATACCCAACCGGGGGCGTGAACCCCTGCATATGATACCCGATCATCCATTCGGACCCAATGAGATGGGTGTACGTGATCTGCTGTTCAGCCGGATATCGATACTAAGGTTTATTTCAGACACTCGTTTCTGTGCACACAATCATGGCGTTCCATGCTCTAGAGATCAGCTTCCCCATACCCTATCTTCCTCCTTATTGGCGCCATAAACCCGCGAGCTTTCTTGCGCATTTCATCGGACATGAAGGCCCGGGTTCTTTGCATTCGTACCTCAAGGGGAAAGGCTGGATCACAGATTTGAGCAGTGGCCCGCAGAACCTCGCCAGAGGTTTTGCTATGTTCAAAGTCACGCTGCGCATGACGCCTCAAGGATTCGGTCCGTCCCATTGATCTAGACCCTGCTTCCTTGGTTCTAATGTTGAGCGATACAGAAAATTACGAAACGATCATGGAGCATGTCTTCAACTACATCTCCCTTCTCCGCTCCTCCAAGTTCCCGGCATGGTACCAACGCGAACGTAGTCAAATCAGCGCCACCCGCTTCCGCTTTGCAGAGAAGAGGCGTCCCGACGACTACGCCGTCTGGGTCACCGAGCACATGACATGGCCTGTTCCCCCCGACCTCGTAATCAGTGCGCCACAGCTCGTGGAGGAATGGGACGAGAACGACGCAGAGCATGGTGGAGAGAAGGAGATGCGCGCGTTTTTGGACCTCCTCTCCATCGAACGCTCACGTGCGGTTCTAATGGCCAAGGCGGAAGAGCACGAGCGCGTCCGTGGCAAGGACGTCGTTTGGGAAAAGGAGCCGTGGTACGGCACTCCATACCGTGTGGAACGTCTCAGCGTTGAGATTGTCCAGAAGGCGAGAGGACCCAACAATCTCTCGGAGTTGTTCCTACCTGGCCCCAACGAGTTCATTCCGACCAACCTCGAAGTCGAGAAACGTGATGTTGAAACGGTAGCTTTCCCGTTGAAAATGGTTGAACGTCGCTGACTATACCTGTGTTCTCACAGCCAGCGAAGCGACCTCAGTTAGTGCGCCAAACACCGTTGTCATCCTTGTGGCACAAGAAAGATGATCAGTTCTGGGTGCCGAGGGCCCGCGTCGTCATTGACATTCGCAGGTAATGCTGCATCTGAGAGGCAAAGTCGTGAACTCATGGATGATTTCCCTGCAGCCCTCTCGCTAATTCCTCTGCGCGATCGATCGTCATGACTCGGTGTGTCCTAGTTCACATTCAAAGCAGAGGCATTGGCGGCTAATCGTTACTGTGATCTGCAGGCTTTTCGCGGATCTTGTCACAGACTCGCTCACCGAGTTCTCATACGATGCCGACTTGGCCGGTCTTGCGTATACCTTCAGTCCCCAGTCTCTTGGACTCTATGTGATGCTTCACGGCTACAACGACAAACTGCATGTCCTCACGAAAGATATTCTGACGCGCGCAAGACGCTTGGAGATCAAACCTGAGCGACTCGAGGTTATGAAGGATCAGGTGAGTACTCTGGAAATGCGTGGCTGATTTTATGATGGACAAATGCTTTGCAGGCCAAGCGAGAATGGGAGAATCATTTACTCGGTGCCCCGTATCGGCTATCGAACTACTATTACCGATTCCTCCTCGCTGCCCGGGACTGGAGCGTCGAGGAGCTTATCGCCGAGGTTGCATGTGGGTTAGCTGTCTTCTTTCTGTTTTTCTGGCTGACCGTTTCAATAGCGATTACGCCCGAAGAACTCCGCAAGTACATCACCACCCTGCTCTCGAAGGTACACATGAATATGCTTGTGATTGGTAACATGTACAAAGATGTACGTGGGTCATTGATGACCGCTAGAAGCTTCGCAGCTGATCGTCTTTACCGCGTTTCAGGAGGCCTGTGGGTTGGCGAAAATGGCAGAGGACATCATCCAGGCGTCACCGATACCCGCGGATGAAGTGCAAGAGTTGTCTCTCGTTCTACCTCCGGGTGAGTTCTCCGCTGATGTACAATATGCTCGCCTCATCCGCGTCCTCAGGCTCGAACCACACTTGGGCCACTGTAGTGCCTAACAAGAACGAGGCCAACTCATCACTGACGTATTACCTTCCTTGACAAAGGTTACTGACAGAAAACGACGGGTTACCGCATCACTCCTTGCCCACATTCTTTCGGAACCAGCTTTCAACGTGCTACGCACGCGAGAACAGCTAGGCTACATCGTTTCAGCAGGACATTGGCAAGTCAACGGCGGTGGACAAAGCGGCATCGGCTTTGTCATTCAGAGCGAACGGACCCAGTCTATCTAGAACAACGCGTTGATACCTTCCTCGTCGAGATGCGCGGAAGCTAGAGGAGATGAGTCAAGAGAGCTCTTCGAACACAAAACATCGCTGCAAAAACAATGGCGCGAAGCGCCGAAGAATCTGAACGAGGAGATGAACCGCTACTGGAATCATATCGAGTATGGCTTCCTGGACTTCCACCGCCGTAAGTTGTGTCCTCCTTCGGTTTTATTACCTCACTCACTCGCCTGCAGGCTTCATTGAAGCGGATCTCATCGAAGGCGTTACAAAGGAGGAGGTCCTTGAGTTGTTCAGCTCGCACGTCGACCCCTCCTCCAAGGAGCGCTCAAAGCTGTCCATTCACCTGAAGTCGCAGAAGCCACGTCCTCCGAAGATCAGTATTGCGGCCATGGAGGCATTCGCGCAGAAGGTCGCCGAAAAGGGCTACACCGTCGAAGAGCAGGCCTGGCGAGACGCTCTTGTCGGAGATGGCGAGACCGCGCTAGACAAATTCGGGCAGTACTGGCGGGATACACTCTTGGCGCAAGCGGCGACAGTTCCTCCAGAGGTGGCCCAAGGACTGACAGCAGAAGTGCCCGTGCTGATGAAGCAGTGTCCCGCTGTGGATGACGGCGCGGACGAAGCGACGCTTGGCAAGGACGTCATCTTCATCCAGGAGCCGAATGCATTCCGCGCGTCTTTGGCAGTCAATGAGCGGCCCCAGCCAATGGTGGAATGGGGGGATTTGCCCACGTCGAAGTACTGATCCATGTCGCCGTCCCCACGTACATCATCATACATATTATCTACAGTTGGCGTATTGTGTCTCTGCGCTCGGATAGGAATGTACGTGCGATGCCAGTAAGAAAGAGTCAAAGGAGAGACAATTGGCGCGGCTGCGACCGACTCTCCCGCTTTGGGCAGGTGGGAGCTGGGGCAGTGGAAACGCGGCGGGAGTAGCAGCGCGCGTCTGCTGCTGCTTCGAGCAGCTCTCGATGCCACCGCCGCGTCCCGCTCAGCCTCTTCCCTCCCCCTCGCTATCCCGCATCTTGTATCAACACCAGCCGCCGTCTCAGGCCAAAATACACGACCATTCGCGTGCAGACGCGTCCTAACCCCCTGCGATGCCCTCCCTACCCCGCTACAGCCGCCAGTCGCGCTCGGGCAGCCCCACTGTTTCCTCCCCGGCGTATTCCGTCTCCCATGCCACCGCGCTGGGCCCACAAAAGCTCAACATCGTGACGCGCGTAGCGATAGAAGGTGCGGCCGAACGAGGGAAGAATAACGTCACCATTCGCATGTACATGAGGGTATGTCTGGTGGTTTGCACTCTTGCTTAGGACGCGTTCGCTCACGCCCAAGCGTGCCAGATTTCGCTGCCTGTAGACAGCGTCACTCCAGGCGCCGCCATACCACTCTTTCCCGGTATGTCCTTGTTAAGTATGCTACAGGGTCGCGTCTGACTAATCTTCTTTTGCAGAGGAGAACTTGAAGATTCTACGGTCGCATGTACACCCACTGGACGCGCACTCAGCGCCCTACCATTTCTCCACGAAAGAGCTCCCTCTTCTCCACAAGGCAATGCGCGCGCTCAATCTCCCCGACCGTTTGTCGCAAACCTACGAGGGTTCCATCCGCAGTTCTTCCACCGAGCCCGCGGCCCTAGTGGAGAGGTATTGTGGACAGGTCACCGTGAGCTCGTATCACATCTCGTACATTCTACCAAAGGAGATCCTCCGCCAAGAGGTACAAACACCGGGTCGTAGGACAACCACCATGGTCCAATTCATGGCAGCCATAGAAATGCTTGTACCCTACACCTCACAACCGCCACATGCCCCCTACTTCGTGAGCATCTCTTGAAACCGTCCTGTGATGTCTATTATTCACCCAGCATGAAGCTCGCTATACCGGTACCCCGCTGCCTGTCCAATCAGATCAAACTCAAGATCTTCCCTCCCAACGAGCCCAAGAAGACCTCGTCCTCGTTGGCCTCTCTGTCATCCGCAGACGAAGACCTGGGTACCTGGGATCTCACCTGCGACCCCCATGTCACTCGCAACGTGTCAAATCGGCTCTCTCGCACGTACTCGTACAACAACTTCGCGGATGACGAGTCAAGCGACGCGTCTTCCGCGGGGTTCTCCGACGTGTGCGTCATCCAAGGTTCGTTCCCAAGTACGGACCGGATGCGCATCAGGTGGGCCCGCCCTACCAGTACCACTTCAGAGCTTAGCGGGAAAGACGGGCGCCGTCGCGTCGGAATCAAGGAGGTGAAGGCAGACATGACTTGCAAAGTGCTGGGAACAAGCGGAACACACAACCCAGAGTCACCTCCGGTGTCGTGATGCGCGTCGAGTACGAAGCCACTTGCAAGGGTGTCTGGTTCCCCGGTGTCGCAACTTTGCTAGGACTCGATGTTCAACTCGAAGCTGACAATTGTCTCGTGGAATGGGCCTCGGAGAAGACTCAAAGCTGGACCGTCACAGGTGGACCGGGTTTCACGGGTCACGCACCTGCACTCTCCAGACAGCCCTCCACGGACAATCCCTCTATATGTGTCCTTCCGTCGTCTCCCGACGCCCGCGGTTTGGTGGCGGCCTTCCCTCAGGCCCTGCCCCTGTTCGACATGACTCTTCGTCATCCACCTCTTCATTACTCCGGGCACCTCTTCCGCTCCAAGCCGTCCCAGACTACTCGTTCGAAAGCACACCAGCATCGACTCCTGTCTCATCGTTGTCATCATTACCCATGCTTTCAAGCCCGGAAAATGGGAGGCGTAGTAGAACATCTTCGACAAACACTCACTACACCGACACCGACGTGACGTCGACGCCGACACGAACTCGGACGTCGTCCACGACCCCAGCGCACCAATTATCGTGCATCTCAACATGAATGAGTTACTCCCTCCCTCGAAACACGACTTCAAATTCAGCATCTCAGGCACCGTAGTCGTTACCCCGAAACCGCTCATACTGCAGTCATCGCGTCGCTACATGTCATCACCCAATCCATCCCGACCAGGGTCTGACTCTGAAGACGCACAAGATGTTCTCGCAACGCTGCGTTTCCGGATTGCCACAAGCGATCGCGAACATCTCTCTGTCACCGTCAAGAATGATGCTCACGATGGGGACCTCGATGTATTCAACGCCGTAGGGGATATACGCGACGCTCGTACGCTGAAGGCCGTTCTTCACCGAGGTGGCCAGGTTCGATGTGGCTCTGACGGTGCACGCGTCACTCTCCGGCCTTCACATCGATCTCCGTCGCCGATTCGAAGAGGTCGCATGAATGGAGTACACGAGTCCGCTCGCTCGCGCAGCCGTCCAGGAACCCCAAATGGTCTTTCTTACCACGACGTCTCTCCTTCCACCTTGCATTCGCTCTATGCCTCAGCACTCCGGACCCCCATCCGCCGTGACGCCCTCGGATGATCCCTTATGTTAAGGCAGAGATCACTCCATTATGGGCTGTTGGGTCCTCAAGAATGCCTAGTTACGCCGTGCGGATCATCATGCCCGCACTCTCGGAAGAAGACCAAGAATGGTTGGAGTTTGGACTCGCTTCCCCACGTTCGCGCAGCGATGTTACTGCCATCACACACCAGACGTCCAGATAGCAAGTGCCAGCTTTGAGGTGTTCCCGTGCGAGTCGAGACAAGAGGCATCACCAAAGCGTCTCGCGATGACAAATCGTTTGGAACTGCCAGCGCAAAGGAGTGGGCGACTTTGGTCAGGATTCACGTGGGCGAAGTAGGTGGTGGCAAACTAGAAATTCTCTACATCGTCCACCGTGAAGAGGGCCAGAACAATGAGAAAGCAGAACAACGCTCAGTACCACAAGCCACTGTCTTAAGTGCTGTTCTCCCCAGTTTTCAGCTACCGGTCGGCGAGCTGGAGGTCAGCGTCCCGGTCCAGTCAGGTGGGTTGATTACTATCTTCTATGTTAGAGCCAACCCAGTTGATCAATCACGTAAGATTTCGATGTTGTGTCCTCGGAGACTAACCTTGCACACGAACAAGTGTCTGTGCAGGGCCGGAAGCTGATCCACTACTCCCTACCGGGGTTCTTTTGTCCTACGCTTATCTTGGCCTTCCTGCCGCCCCAATCTGTGACCCCGCCCGCCAGACCGCCCCGCCTCCGATGGAGTTGGAATCACTTCCTGACGGCTTCTCTGCTCACTGCATGCCTTGTTCTCCTCATCAGCCTCTGGCAGACACAGCTTCAACTCTCTCAGGCTACCCGGCCAACGGACGCCGTGGATGCAGCCGCCCCCGACCGCGCGATGCAGCACGCAGCTCACCCCCAGATCACGATCACGACCACAGCGGCCGTTGAAACGACATCCGTGCACTCGCGATGGCTGGATCACACCCACATCCCCGCTTCCCACAACGCCGCGATCCCCAAGGGCACGCCTTCTCCGCCCCCTCCTCCGGAAGCTCCAGCGGCCCCATCGCCAATCTCGACCGTCACCCCGAGCCCGATCAGCACAGCCGACGCTGACCCGGCGTACGATTTGGTTCCGTCCCACTACTTCCCGGCATTCTGGCCGATCCAGTTTGAGTTCCCAGCGATGGCGGACCTGGACATTGTGAATGTGACAATGGACACTGCGCTCCGGATCTCTGCTCGCATCTACTGGCTCTGCCGGAGGCTCATACACTACCCTTTACCCCCGCCTTGAGCGATACCTGCACAGTTTCCTACCTGGACGCCTGCTCAACGCTAGCTTACGTACGCACTGACTGGACCGACGCCCTGTATGAAGTTATTTGCTATATCATATGTGTCCACACGTAGAGTTACGATACCCTTAATCTTAGGGAACGGATTGACGATGTTACGCCTCATGTTGTTTCCCCATCTTGCTCCGTCAGATAATTGTACCGTGTACGCCCACTGCCCAATGAATCTAGCTTTGTGCAGGAGATCGGGGCGTCCGCCCCATTCATCATGATCGTTGCAACAAAGCATGCCATTCATGGTACTGCATACAAGCTGCGGAGCTAAAAGTATAGTACAACGGCGGCAAACATAGGACAGAACTCAAGGTGACTGCTCCCGAGCAACGAGCACCGGCGCAACACGCGACACCCGGTCACAGACCGCGTCAAGTCATCTACCGCCCCAATCGGAGGTGCATAACAGATTTGCCAAGTACTGGGCCTCCTCGCGGTAGTTCAGCGGTTGGATGCGCGAGATGCCATAGCGGACGCGTGTGGTGTCCTGTGCGGTTAATCAAGTCAGGCCGAGATCGGGTAAACGCGGCGCAGCAGTGTGGACGTACGTTGTAGGTATCTTGCTTTGCCCTGCACGCGAAATTGAAGGTCGTCCCGGCGGCCTTTTCGATGACATGGTTGAACTTGGTGTCGTCGCGGGACTTGATCTCGACAAGCTCGTCCGCGGTCATCCCAAAGAGCGCCTGCCCGACGTCGTTGAAACCTTGGAACCACGCCTGACCTGAGTAGTCGACGACGGCCATAGCGATCATATACCTAAGTGCGCAAGCTATCAGTGATTACTGGGGTACGTCGACGATTCCGGACAGACTGACCTATACTCGGGCTGTGGGTACGACTTGTCGCACTTCTCGCACCTCCATTGATCGCCCATCTCAATCACTTTCTTTCCACAGCCCGTAGTAGGGCATGCCGGGTATGCAATGTTGTCAGACTTGATATGAGAAACCGTGGCGCGAGACGAAAACACATCAGGTTTGTCGGACATCCCGAGTTCGCTGGTCCTGACATCATTGAGATTGCGAATCTCCGCACGGTCGAACGCCACTCCGCCTCCGCCAGAAGACATGGTGTTCGTGTGTGCTTGGAAGGTTTGTTCAGAACCCGTGGCGTCAAACCACCCTCGGAGATGATGTGCTTCGGGGATGTCAGGGTTCACAACCATAGTACTCGATGAGACCATGGACAGGGAGCGACCTGTGTATGAAAGATATAAACACATGGGAGCCTGCCTCATCACACAAGCGCACCTTGGAAATCTCCGACTTTGACACCCTTGAAAGCAATAACGGGCTGATCCGTCTGATCATACTGTTCAGCCTGTTTGCCCCACAGCGTTAAGCGGACCGAGTAGTTTGTGCGATCAACGAGCGTGAGCTCGCGCTTAGGAATCTAACGGGGGTTGAGCACAGGGTCTTGGTCGAGGCATATCATACATACCACTCTGCTCGTTGCCTTGGACGTGATGGAGGAAAGTTCACCGACATCTTTGACGACACCAATGATATCTGCGGCTCGTAGGTCAGTCACCATAGAGGCTCCAGGATGCTCAAGTACTTACCGCATGTAGCATCCTTGGGCACCTCGTGAAGCCCTTCGATAGTCACGAAAGTGAACTTCACAGTGGGGACGTCTGTCGCATCGTGAACCTAAAAGATAGTGAGATACAAGCAAACATAAGCTGCGCGACGACATACCTCTTCAATCTCAGTGTTGCGCTCCAACGTCAGCTCATACTCGTTGTTCACATTCGAGAACTTCCTCTTCGCGAGGTTGACCTTCGCCTTAGAGATGGTGTAGACCTTGCCCTCCTGAATGCGGTCGTAGAACTGGTCGACGGCAGCGTTGAACGCAGTCGCTCTGATCTCCCCACTCTCGTCCATCAGAGTCATGTTGAACAGCTTGCCTTCACCGCGCTGGTTCGACCACGTCCTGATGTCGGATTTATTGGTGACACGGGCCTTGATGGTCCAGTTGTTTTGGTACGGACTGAGACTCTCAATAGGATATATGGATGCTGCACGGCCCCCACGCGCGGCCTGCGTGGTCGGACGGGTGGGTTGAGCGGCAGCGGCAACAACGGTAGATGACGAAGGTCCTGGTGTTGCGGCGGCGGGTGCTGCGGCTCCTTCACCATCGTCATCGCCGCCAACAGGTTTGAGAGGCTTTGGGCTACCGATCTTGTCATATGATCTCTCAATGATTTGCAGAGCCAAGATGATCAGGAGGCTTGGGGACGCGATGAGGATATGAGCGAATGCATCTGGACGTGATAGCTACTCACCGCCTGTTCTGGATGAAATTCACGGTGAACTTCTCGATGACCGCAATCGCCCCCTTCGCAATCTGTTCTTCTTGCACGAGGTAGTTGAGTTGAGTTGCGAGCATGGACTGGAGGAAGTGTTCTCCATCCGAGACGATCACGCGGTAACGGTCTGTTGCGGAACCGCCTGTGGGGCCGACCTGCTTGAAGGAGAGAAGCTGGAGCGTGGGCTGGGACTCAAAGACCGGAGTGTTTTCATTGGAGGGGTCGTTGAGCTGGGCGCAGATGCCGGCAGTGAGTTGGAAGGACATGGTGGTGAGGAGTAGAGACGCGTCGCGCGCATCAGGAGCGCGTCTGCTTATGTCGACGCGTTCCTTAGTCAGCAAGTCTCGCCGGCGCCCATTGCCTCCAAGGGGCGACGAGAACTTACAAGCGCCAGACACCGTTTCCTCTCGTCTCTGTCCAGTCTTCCGAGTTCGCGATACGCCGCCCGATGAATTATCCAAGAAATCTAGGTTGATTACATAGCTCTACTTATATGGGACATTCCAAGCTCAACCCAAACGTGAGTCGTATGGTACGCACATGGTTCCGACCGTCCGAGCCGTTAATAATTTACCAACTCCTACAACGCCTCAGTTCAGAATCGCGCGCGCAGTAGCGTCACGACCGCCCTTGAGCAAGGTCGCCACCGGATTCCCCCCAGTCCCCCTCGAACGATCCGCCTTCGCCTGCGCGCTGAAGTCCGGGGTGCCCATACACTCCGGCCGCGATGAGTTCGCCTGGGAGATCACGAAGAGCGTTCCAGTCCGGATGTGCGCGCTCCGGAACGCCTTCAAGGCCTCTACCGCTGCGTTGTAGGGCCCCTTGAGCTCGGAGTGGCGCGCCATCGTATCCCGGATGTTCCGTTTCTGGAGCTGGACGAGGTACGCCCGGTGCTCGACCGGCATGTACCGACGCATCTTCTCCATGAACCCCGCCGCCGCCGTCTCCCTGTTTTCCGCAGATGGCGCTGGCTGACGTGCCTGGTTCAGCGCGTGGTCGATGTCGAGGAAGGCGTCCAAGGCGTGCATCACCGAGCTCTGCCCCGCCGACGCGCCGCCCAGGTCGAACGGAGTGTCCGACGGCACTCCTTCGAAGACCCACGGCGCCGCAGCGTCAGACCCGTTCCACCACGGGCGTGCCATCCAGTAGAAGATGTTCGGGTCGACGGTCTTGCTCGCGTTCTTGAGGATCGCGGCAAGCTCGTCGATGATTCGGACAAGCTTCTCGAACTCGCGGGTCAGGGTCGCGATCCCAACGCGGTCCGTGCAGTATGGCATGTTCAAGATCTTCTCGAAGACGCGAAGCATCTCGACTCCCTTGAGCTCCGCGGCCGCCGAAAGAAGGTAGAAGTTCTCTTCGGTCTTCGTCCCTGAGAAGTTGTTGACATAGCGCAGATTTTGTAGGAAGGTGGTTGCTCAGGGTCAAGGAGCTCCCAGTTCCACAGAACGATGTCGGCGAAGGTGAGGACGGGGGGCAGGTCGATCGTCTGTGACACCTGCACAAGCGGGATGGAGAGGGGCTTGGGGATGACCACCCGGTCTTTGGCCTGGTATGGAGGCAGCGAGTGGACATAGAAGTGCAGGAGGCAGGTGAGGACGTAGTGGGCGCGTCGGAGGACGCGGATGCCGTTTCCCAAGTTGCGCACGTCCAGTAGGGGCCACTATAGACGTCGGGTGAGTAACCTCGTATTCGGGATCAAATGGGCATTGCTCACCGACCGCAGACGTTGGCGCCATTCCTCGCCCTTGGCGCATTTGGAAAACGCATCCGACCCCCGGTCTTCTCCCAGTTTCAGCACGGACCGCGCGTTCTCCAGTTCGTGTTCCCAAAGTTCAAACTCCCCAGGCAACCTCCGATACGGTTGCGACGGGAAGAACCCCATCTCGGGGTCGACGTCGAAGAGGCGACCGGTGAACACCTGGGTGCTGCTTGGAGGTGCGCCTGAACGGCTCTTGCGGTAAGTTTCCATCCCGTCGAAAAGGCGACCCATCATGTGTACAGGAGAGGGGAGGATGCTCATGGTGTGTAGAAGGTGAGGATGCTTGTGGTGACTTAGGGAGGGATTGTAGAGGACGTGGGCTGCTCGGATGGTGTCTCATTCCTCGACATACTGGTATATATATCCCTTCGTCAATCCGCAAGATGCTCACGCGCTTACTGGCAGGGATATGGGTTGTACCAAAGCGTACCGACAGAATAACGCTCAGTCACGCTCGAGTTGCAACGAAAGAGATTTCTCTCCACATCGCAGATGCGGTCGGAATCGGCTTCATCCCCGCGCAGCCACCTTTTGTCCTTACCGGGCGGATCTATAGACCGAGCGAATGTGCACGCCGTCCGCGCCACGTCCGGACATCTTACTGTTCGAGGCCTGATTTTTCAGATTGCCGTTTCTCCGTTGCAATCTCTGACAGCTGTCTCCCTCCAGACGCCAGCAGCTGCCTGCGAGGGTCTTGAAAAAGGGCCCAGACGTGGAATCCGTTCACAATTACTATCCATGGGCGCGAAACCGCAGACTGGCCAGATGACTCAGTAGCGTGGTGTCCTCGGGTTTGAAGGGCCGGGTCAACTGGATCTTGGACATACACACCTCAGTGGCCTTCCCGGCACACATCGGCCCTCTCTGGCGGCGGGAAGAGAGCGAGCCGTTCAGGATGCTACTCGCCAACCTGGCGCTCGCAGTTTCCACACTCGACTGAGGGGCTGTGTAGGCGACAGGTCGCAGCAACGCCTGGCTAACGTGCGACATATGGCGTTGTTGCATTGGGGGCAATGCTTGTCTATAATCAGGCCGTGTGGCAGCACAACAAATTAATACTGGCGGTGTGCCGCGCGCGTGCGCCTGCAAACACCCGCTCTCTCGGGTCAGATGCCACTTTCGGGCGTCCGAGACCTCGTGGCTGGTCCTCGAGATCTAACAATGTTCGGCCTGCTGCTGCTCTGCTGTCAGGGTGACAACGGGGAGGGTGGATCAGGATCAGTGGCACGCGTAGAACGCTGGCTCGAGGGTGCCGCGACAATGGAGAACACATCCGAGACCTCCGGCTTCGCGGCTCCTTCGACTTCCAGCTTTGTGAGCGCGCGGGTAGGCGTCAGCGCAGTGTGTGCGCCAGCTTCTCCGACGCTGCGACGCTCTTCTATCCCGACAAACCGCAAACGGACACACGGTGCCACCGTCATTCCGACATGTCGGCCTGCGCCTACTGTCCGCTCGACAACCCGCACGGGCACACAGGTCAGTGCCCAGACAGGCAGGCACCTCAGCTGGAGATTCCCGTGCATAGATCAGATCACGCCCCGGGTCGGGCCTTCGGCGCGGCAGGACACATACGTCCCAGCTCAAGTGAGCTTGCGCGGCCCCGATCTGACCAGACGAACACCGCACACCCCACAAGGGACAACGACTCGAGCAGAGCCCGCCTGTGCGCCCTCGCGACGCTCGAGGCCCCCGGTGCCCTGCGCCCGGTGCGACGCAGGGGTCGCCCCGGGGTTCACGCATTCCACATGTGTCGTCCACCTGGCCACCGCGGTCCCTGCCGCAGTCGAGACAATCGCACGAGCAGGAGTCGCGCTTCGAATGGGAGACACCCGCTGCCGTCGCTGCCCAGTGTGACACGGACACTCGGTCGCGTCCGTGCGCTGCGGGCCTCGCCAGCACCGCCGTTCGGCGGTACCCGCACCGGAGGCGCGAGTACAATGCTTGCTGTTCTTGCTGGAGTGCTTTCAAGTCGGGAGCATTGTCGACTTGGCCGTCGAACGTTGGGTCCGGACCACGCGGGAGCGATGGAGCTGCGGACAGCTCCCGTCGTTGATGATTTCATATTGTGAGTTTGCGCTGTGAAGAATTGGTGTCTCAGATATGTGGTACGTTCGTTCGACGGGGTCCGGCTGCGTCTTTCGGCGCCGTTGTAGAAGACGGACATCATGCCCGAAGTCATTGGGCATGGCGAAGAGCCATCGCTGACTCTCGGCTTCATTCGGCTACGATGCGAATGAAAGGGAGGTGGATTAGACAGCAAACACAAAAGAATGCACATGTAGAGTACGTCGCAAAACGGTGATTAGGCACCTCAAATCTTCCAGCTGAGCCACTGCTGGGAAGAATCTGACCCCTGTGCAAGGACGCACTTCCGTTGTACGACCTCCAAAATCTTCTCCTCAACGCCGGCCTTGCCGCCACGAAGTCGCAGGAACTTGGCCACGAGTTCGTCAGTAGTGATGGTCGTGGCCCCGCTTTGAATGTGACTACCGTCGACCATGGAACGGATTTCCTCCTCCGTGGGGAGGGCGAACCGCATGGGGTCTTCGAGCTCCTCGGGCTTGAGGACGTACGATGGAGCTGAGAGTGTGGGTGCCGACGTGTTCTCAGAGAAGAAGGTTTCTTGGACCATGGAGTCATCGACCTCCTCAATGGTCGATGGAGACCAAGCCGGTCGTTCGGAAGTCTTTGCGACAAGCACAGTCGATACTCCGGTATCGAAGTCGGGGCTTCCACCGTTCTGTAAAGCAAGATCAGAAAACACCGACGATGTCAGGAATATCGTACTGACACAATAGGCGTGGGCAATATTCATCTCCATCTGCAAGGCTTCGAGAAGCGTCAGGCTCTTCCCCTTCCGGATTGCGGCCAGAGCAACCTTCAGACTCGTCGGGCTGCGCAACAATAGAACATCCAGGGTCTCCGACGCCCACTGACGGATTGATTCGTCCTTGTGGGTGCCTGACATGTCTTTCAGGTCGGCGATGATTTCCTCAACCGTGTTGTGCCGGAACGCCCGGTCGACAGCTTGCCGCTTCAAACCAACGATGGAGGACGGCGATGCTTCCGCGTCTTTTCCTGAGCTCTCCTCCTCCAATAATTGGTCAACCTGTTGCAGTGTTGGATCGTCGAGCGCAGCAAGACGCTCCAGGAGCGCGGGAATCCGCCGCGAGGGTATGTAGTGGGTAGCGAACCCATGATCACTATACGAATGTGGTGAGCGAGGCCGTGCGAAGCGGAAATTTGGTGACGTACAAGACGGCACGGCCAGAAATTGTGTTGCCGGTGAGGGCCAGATACGTTCCGATATTGCCATCCACACGGGAGAGGAAGTAGCTGGCTCCGACATCGGGACAGTAGCCAATTTTTGTTTCCGGCATGGCGAAGACGGTCTTCTCGGTTGCAATCCTGAATTGCGCGTTGACCGCAAGACCGACACCTCCGCCCACTGAGAAGGGAAGCATGTCACGAAAGGGGTCCTAATAACACCCGAGAGAGACGTACTGGTAATGCCGTCCATCACAGCAACGTACGCCTTGGGCAAGGCTGCAAGAATGTAATCCATTTCAAACCTGGCTCAACACATGAGACGAAATGGGCCATGATGTATGGTCTCGACACGTACTCTCGGTGAAAGAAGTCTATTGCCTGAGCGCGGGTCTCCTCCGACCTGGCGGCAACCACGACACCTGGGGCTTGTTAGGACACCGGACCGGGGAGCCATGGGATAGAAGGAGACTTACTAGCAACATCTCCGCCCGCACAGAACGCCCTTCCGACTCCACGTCCGACGATGACTTTAGCAAGAGAACCTTGCGCCCAGTTCTGGATTCGGTTGGGCCGAGAGCAGCGGAACAAGGAAAGATAGAGCGTACCTCAATTTGGGGTCGGAGAAGATTGAGCATGGGTTCGTCGAGGGCGTTGAGCTTTTTGGGGCGGTTGAGGACGTACGTCCGGACAGGCCCGTTCGACTCAAAGAGCACCGGGTGACCTTCGACGGGAGGAGCGGCGGTGGTAGACATGAGGTGGCGGCCGATGGCTGCTGTGCGGAGGGTTGCTGAAGATGGGCGGGGCATTCTCCTCAAGAGCAAATTGCGCGCATACATCTGGGCGATAGGGACAGAGGCGACCACGAGGACTCGTGGCACTAGTGGGGAGGGGCAGGCGGGGGCCGGGAAGGACGCTGAGCGGACTGCCGACGCGGTGAGAGCGCGCCACGCGTCTGTTCGCCGCGCCAGGTGACGCGCTGCCCGTCGCGCACGTGAGCCGGCCCGACCCCGAGAGCAGCAATCGGAGACGAGGCAGCAATGCCGCGTCCGCTCAGGCTGTGGTCCTCTGCAACGACCGTCAGAGTCTGCCCGACCGCCATCTCTCCCCCTCCCTGCCCCATCCTTGTGAGGTCCATCCCTCAGAGTTTCCCACACCGCCCATCCGCGCCGCATGTCCACAGCTTTGCCCGCGATAGGAACGCGCCTCAGCTACTCCGGGGCCCTGGGAACGATCCGGTTCACAGGCCCTGTGGATGGAACGCAGGGCGTATGGCTTGGCGTCGAGTGGGATGACCCCGATCGCGGCAAGCACGATGGGGTCAAGGACGGAAAGCGATACTTCTCTTGTCTGTGAGACAGTACATTCCTTCCACTTTACAAACATCGGACCTCACCGTCCGCGATCCAGGGTCCCAAACTCGGGCTCTTTCATCCGACCCGCCGCGGCCATCAACTACGGAGTCAGCTTTCTCTCCGCTCTCACAGCGAAATATGTTGAAACCGTTCGCGGCACTGCATCCCAAGAGAAGGTCGTTCTCGGTTCGTCCGGAGGCGCCATCGAGGTGGAAGCCGTCAATCTCGACAAGATCCGGAGCAAGCTGTCCCGGCTCGAGAGGCTGAAAGATGTCAGCCTCGACAACGAGTCTGTCTCGAGTGCGAACCCACCGGGGGAGATTGCCCGGACATGCCCAGGTGAGTGGTTATGACAAACGGAATACAAGGGAGCCTCGCCTTGTGATGCGATACCTCCGATGCTATCGCTCCATTGCTCCCGCTAGTGCTCCAGGTCAAGCAATTCTGTACTCTTCCGCCTCAAATTCACTCGCTATAGGCACGGTGACCGCGCATTACCAAAATGTCTACATGATCTGTGCAAGCCAGTGGCTAACAATAACGGGCCCGTCCCCATATAGATTGAGATCTGTCACCTTCCTCCCGTGACACCAGAGCCGTGTACAACATATATCATGCATCATTTTTCGAGGACTTGCTTCCACTGGGGGGCCAGAACCTACTTTTTGCAGTTTATTGAAACGGGACTTGGCTCGCTCACAAATATTGCGCCTAGAAATTCGTGGCCTCGATCTCTCAAAGAATCTAATTTCGTCGTGGGAGATAGTTGCCTCCATCACCACCGAACTTCCGGATCTTCGTACTTTGTCTCTTAAGTAAGTTCTTTTCGCGCACATCATGACACCTTCGTTCATTGTGTCCAGTCAGAATCGCCTAATGCCGCTCGGGACGTCCCTTTCTGTGCCAAAGCCGTTCCAAAAGCTTGAAGATTTGCAACTCAGCGCGACATTAACCACATGGAACGAATGCCGGTCACTGCTACAGTACTTGCCCTCTTTGAAGGCAATAGAGTTCGGTTATAACCGTATACGGTTGCTCTCTGACAATGACTCCCCGTGGCCTAGTCATGAGAATCTTCAGAGTGTGAATTTTGACAGCAACGAGTTGTACAGCTTCACAGACTTGCACGATGGCCTAGAGAACATACCCGGGTATGTTGATTAGTCTTTCTTCCAACGTCACGGCGATGAACTAGCTGACCATCTCATAGACTAAAGCGACTTATGCTCACATCAAATCGGTTTAGTCGAATCCCCGCACCGCCCAAAGGCACCTCTAATAAACCTATCCACTCCCCGCTGCGCTCAGTGAAGCATCTTGCGCTGGCGTTCAACCTCCTCGCGACATGGCCTGATATCGATGTGCTTCACGAATGGGCTCCGGGTCTGGAGTCTCTCACGCTCGCTGGCAATCCGCTCATGACAGGTGCGTCATTATTTCTATATGTCAGCATTGGCTGTGTTATTAAGCGCTGTGTATCACTGTCTAACACTGACTGGATCTATTCTTTGCATCGGCGGAATGCTCACCGTCGGAACCGCTGCTGTATCGCCATCTTTGGTGACATTTTTTGAAACATCTTAATGAGGTAGATCCGACACATGCGAGCTATGCGCGCGCGTTTGCAATTGTGAAGATTCCGTCACTCACATCGCTGGATGGTACATGGGTGCGTGAACGTCTTTGTACCTACTACCACGGTTGCCCCGCTCCTTCGGATCCGTGTACGAGCCATAGATACTTCCCGTTTTGTCAGCTCCCTGCGCGCTCCGTGTTATGCTCCGACGGTTCTTGCTGATCGTGCACCCACGACAGATCTCTACCCGCGAGCGCACCGACAGCGAGCTTCTTTATCTGACTCAGGTCGGCAAAGCATCATTCTCTTCGGGGCCGGAGAAGCACGCGTTGCACCCACAATGGCTGCGCCTAAGCCAGAGTGCGTATTTCAAAGGTTTTTGTGTCCCAGAGACTGCCTCATGGGTCTGCTTTTTTGCGTGTATCTGTCACAAACGCGACAACGGCTCCGACACGGACCGAACGCTGCAAACCGTCTCGTTTCCGCGTCGGCACCCCGGCTTCTCTACGCCGCTCGACATCTCCGTACGTTTGACCCGTGCACCACGGGCATTCCCCCCACCTCGATCGCTCTCGACCATCGCCCCGAACCTCAGAGCACGGCGTATCAGACACCCCGGCCGCCCCCGAAGTGCAAGACACCCTCAGCAACCATCTCATCGGTACGTCGCGCCCGCCCTCCTCTTCCACCCCATGTCCACCGGCCCCCCCTCCTCCGTGTGCCGTGGGTGACGTGGGCTCGCCGCCCCACCTGCCGCACCGAGACTGCGCATTCCGCGCTCGACGCCTACGCCGTCCGTCTGCCGCCTTTCGTGTCCCCGAGCTCACGTCTCCCTCGCGCCCGCCAGGCATCCACGTCTATCATGCGCCGACCGCACCGCCGCAGGCCCTCACGGAGCCTGTGCTAGTCGCCTACCTTACCGCCGCCGGAGCGCCGACCGCGCTCCGTGCACTCACGTCAATGACCGTACGTTCGCTGCGGCTCAAGCTGTTCAAGGCGTGCCGCGTGCCACGCGGGCAACAGGCGGAGGCGCGGCTCTGGCTGGTCATGCCCGACGGGGGCCTCGTGGAGCTCGACGAGCAGTTCGCGAACCGAGACTTGGCGTATTGGGGCATCGAGGAGGGCGCACGTATCGTCTTGGTCGGTGGGTGACATCCATTACTAGCGAGTGTAATTGCGACGGCGGCGGGTGCTGTCTCAACACGGTGAAAAACAGAAGCGAGCGAGGATTGATCATTTGTGAACGAATGTGCTACTGTAGCTGGCTGGGAAATACATGTGATGGACAGACAGAAGCCAGGTGGTACTTGAAACGCACAGAACATGGACTCACTCGTGGGAGACTTGCTGTTTTGGGTCGTCGCCTGGTTTCCTTGACATGTGGTGACCACTTGATTTGCTGCTGGCGAAGACAGTACAGATGCAGTGCCCAGTCAGCGCAAGCCGGCAGGATGTAAGGGATATCGGGAAGCAATGCGCTCCTTCTGACGGCACGGTGCATTATAGGACCGAGGGCGATGTTAGGGGCGGCGAGCGAGCTGAGAGGAGGATGGGATGTGTCGCGGCGAGCGAGGGAACCGGAGGCTGTCGCCGTCGGTCCATGTACTGAGAATTCGCGAAATGGGAGCCTCTGGCGCGGCTTGACGGCCCGGGGCGGCGACGCGATGACTCGAGGGGCCAAGAGTAGCGCAGGCCCTCCCGACGCGTACATTCTTCGACGAAGACTGGCACGAGGCCGCCGCAAGCCCACGGCTACCCACGCGCGACCTTCTGCCATCAAAGCGCATCGAAGGCCTGGTGCGCGAACGATCCTGCGGCAGTCTATCTCGACGTCTTGTCCCAGCTTGGGCAACGAGGGGATTCCACCGGCGCCCAACGCCAGACGGTCCTGGGCGGCCCTCGCACGCGACCAATCCGACGGTCTTGAAGCCAGAAGAAGGGTCCAGAGGCCAGACATTTGCGGAACCAGGATGCGCCGTTGAGGCCGGTGCCACCGTACAGGATCGCGGGATAACCTTGCGCTCGAGATACAGGATTCCGTTCCATACAGGAAGAACATATTCAACGGAGGCCGAGAAGAAATCCACGAAGCCTTTCGGAACCTTTCGCCACTTTCGTCCGTTTCGGAGCCACGATAGGGAAGGATGTTATCCAGGACCGCGGCAAACCTCAACGCGCCCAGCTGCCGCTATCCCCGTTGGTGTGTCTAGCAGGCCTGTCCTCGTGACGATCGTCTCTCTCGTCCCGTCGCCGGTCGTCCCTGCGCCTTTCATGTTCATCCCTGCGACGGTCATAGTAAGGGTCAGGGCCTCTTCGGTCATCGTAGCCACCTCGCCGATCATCGTACCCTGCAGGCCTGCGGTCTTCATGCTCCCTCCGGGGAGGCGGAGACCTGGGGCGACGATCATCGGGTTCCCCGCGGCGAGGAGGCGACCTGGAGCGATCCCTGCGATAGCCACGGTCTTCCTTGGGACGTTCATCCCGGTAGCGTTCATCGCGGTGACGGTCGTCGCGGTAGCGATCGCGGTCTTCTCTGCGATCGTCCCGCCCATAATCGCGACGATCGTCACGGCGGGGCTCTCGGCGATAATCATCAGCGCCACCACGCTGCGGATGGATTCAGCAAGCAGAATGACATCGAGATGAGGAGCGACGAACCTCGCGATCCAGAGCAACCCTAACGGGCTGGCCACGAAGATCGCGACCGTCGAGCTCCTTGACGGCACGTTCTGAATCCTCACGGGATAGGTATTCGAGAATACTAGCATGTTGTGAGCCTACAACCGGGGATGCAATAAACAGATCCGACTCACCCTTCCCCAGGGTAGTCACGGTCAATGTCGGCGTAAGAAACGCTGCCTGCTTCACGTCCAAAATCCTTCAAATCCTGGTTGAAGTAGATGATTAGGGTCCGGCTCCATACGGCGGTGGAAGGCGTGGCGATGTGTCGACCCGGGTCCCGTTCGGTGGGATCTAAACGGAATGGATGTCTTGAAGAAAAAGCTCACCTGCCAGCTGGTATCACGGGAAATTCCCGATACGACCAGACGAAATCCAGGGGGCCTTCTAGCCCGAGGAATGCGATCTGCGTCATACGGGTCACGACGGGGACGAGTCTCTTTGGCGAACTCGACAACGATGCTGATTGGACTATTAGCAAAGGCGCCAAATACTCACATAGGCACAACTCACTTGGTACCCTGGAAACTCTTGCCGTTGAATTGCTGCATGGCATCTTCGGCGTCGCGCGAGGTCTCAAACTCGACGAACCCGAAGCCTAGACACAATATTGAGCGTAGTCAAAGAAAGCCTTGATAACTCCAACGGACCCGTCATGACGCGGCAGTCGATAATACGGCCATAACCGTCGAAAAACTTTTGGATATCCTCAGATCGGGTGTCAGGAGGGAGCTCTGTAAGGGAACATGTATCAGCGATAGAAAGGGCAGCGCTGAGAGAAGAGACGCACTGCCAAGGTAGAGACGACGGGCCATGGTGTATCTCGATGGTGGGGAGGGAAGGGGGGAAAGGGAGATGTTGCGTTGGGAGCCGCCACGCTGTCGCGGTGATTGGCTGCTGGTCCGTGCGCGGGAAGACTGGCATGGCATGTGTTGGTCAGCCGCGAGAGGCTCAAGCGTCTCGCGGGCCGCTTAAGCGCTCAAGCGTCAAGCTTTCACGGCCGCCGTTCAGCGCTTCAGCTGCAACCTTACTACTCCCAGAGCTCAAGCATCTTTCCCTCGTCTACTGCCGTTCGGCCATCCCTCTCCTAGAGCTCTGGAATATCGGGCTCAAGACTCTGGCGATCACTGAAGGCGTTTTGGACTTTACAAGCCGCCTCCCGGTCCTGAAATGCGCGGTGTCCCGCGCGCGAGCGCGTGAATAATATCGGGCAAAGCGGGAAGAACGTTCACTTGTAACATGTATTCTGCCACGCGAGGAACCGTATGTTATTAAAAATATGGCTCCTAAACTACGAGATAGTTCGCAGAACGCGCTGGGCTGCGCGCGCGAAGGGTGGAGGCAGAACGGGACGAGGAAGGGATCATTCTTTGGACATAATAGAGACGTCAAACGCCTGTAGTAGCAAAACACACAGGGAATAAGTAGTGTAGATTGGCACGAACAGAGTGTTAAATGTGGAAGAAACGATGGCTCCATCTGAAAAGGCAAATATTGAGGTGCGGGGGCAGGGAATAGCTAGTAGGACCCTGCGTGGACCGAGTCGACCGCCGGCTTGCGCGCGCGACTCGCTGCCTCGCTGCGGGGGCGGGCAGCCCGGCAGGTACTGAGTGCCATGTCTCGTGCGCCAGTCCCTACGACAGACACCGTGGGCTGAGCGGCTTCTCCCGTGGACATAGCATCGAACAACCTGCACCACCGCTGGAGACAACACCGTTCCTATCGTTGTTGCTGCCTTGGCCGGGACAGTATAGGGACGCCAGATACTGAGGTTGTGGGCTCGCCGTGATCCATGCTATGTATATAGACAAAATCTCTATCATACGCGTGACCACTTGGCGATCGAGCCCAGCGAAGACGGATTTGTCGAGCCGTCCGTCAGGAAAGAGTTGAAGCAGCTTCTTGCCAGTATAGGAAATTCCACAGTGATAGGGAGGGTTGAAAGTGGTGGTACCACTGAGGAGCCGGACGGATTCGAGAGGCTTGACAGGCGAGCTGTCGGGCCAGTGTGCGTGGGGGAGGACAACAAAATCATAGTCGAATTTTGTGTTTTCTTCGTAGAACTGCCGAGGTAATCGGTACGTGAAAGGGAGACCGGAGGAGTGATTGTGGTGGACACTCACAGCAGATATGTCGGTTTTTTCATGGTCCTCATATCGGAAGCCGCTCACATCGGCGAATAAAGCGAAAAGGATACTGCTGTTTGTGGGGACGGGAAACCAGTCCTCGGGCAAGGATGTTTGGGCCTTCACGTGGTCAAGAAGATCACGCACGCCAGCATCTACCAAACCGTGGGTCCCTTGAGGACTTCGGGTTTGCGGCGCAACACCAGTACTCACCTGATTCTATATTGAGATCGTGATCAGCCTTGAAGATGCAGCATACAGACAGCTTGTCAAGCTACGCGCAACATGATTTAGCAATTCTGGCAGTGTGACCCATACACACCTGTACAACAGAGACATCCTGCACTGACTTAGGGTCGAAATCCGCCGCGGCGCGCCGACGGGCGGTCTCGCGTGAGTCGCTGTTGAATGGCACCCAAAGCAGGTCGACTGTGTCACGGTAGAGCTTTCGAAGTATTCCACCAAAACCGTCGTAGAGCATGTATACAGCGATAAGGAGGTGTTCCATCTTTGAGGGCGGCAGAGGGCGAATGCAAGGCAATTGCAAGCCTGAGTGGCAAAGATGGGCCTTAAGCCACTCCGTACATAGGGGCAAATACGGGAGAGACGCCCAGCTGACTCCGGCCTCCGATCATACTGGCGCAAGTTATCAGATAATCCTCCACCCAGCCCTCTTTCTTGTCGTCCACCATGCTCACCAGGGTGTCCACCAAGTCCGGCAGAGCCCTCTGCCGCTCCGCCATTCGTTCCTCTGCCGCCCGTGTATCCGTGAAGGATGCGCATCGCTCCTTTGTTCAGCCCTCCGGCGCCGACCGCGCCAGTGTAGTCGACGTTCCCTCGTCATACCAAGAGGACACGGCGTTCTCACCGCGCGGCGGTGAGTTTGTCACCTTTTTTTTGAGTCAGGCTTACCAATGCATGTCTAGACATGTTCGGGTTCAAGCTTGAGTCTCGTCGCGAGGACGGGCTTTCTGAGAAAACTCGTCCCATTTACCTCGACATGCAGGTCAGTGTGCTATGCGCTGGCACCGGACGCGTACTCATGCGCATTTTAGGCAACGACCCCAGTTGATCCCCGGGTGCTGGACGCTATGCTGCCTTACCTCACGGACCAGTACGGGAACCCCCACAGTCGGACGCATGCGTATGGTTGGGAGGCTGAAAAGGCGGTCGAGGATGCCCGCATGGTGCGCAGCTTGCTTAGTTGTGTTTGCTGCTCTCAGAGCTTGACCTTGGTACAGCATGTTGCCGATCTCATCGGTGCTGACCCCAAAGACATAGTCTTTACGTCTGGAGCGACGGAGACGAACAACATGGCTATCAAGGGTGTTGCGCGTTTCAACAAGGATAGAAAGAAGCACGTTATCACCACTCAGACCGTGCGTACGTTCTATGTCCTTAGAATTTTCCACTGACCAGTAACAGGAGCACAAATGCGTGCTCGACTCCTGTCGTAAACTTCAAGAGGAGGGTTTCGACGTGACATATCTCCCGGTTCAGACGAATGGGATCATCCGCCTTGAAGATCTGGAAGCCGCCATTCGACCTGACACTTCTCTCGTTTCAATCATGACTGTGAACAACGAGACTGGTGTCATTCAGCCTATGAAGGAGATCGGAGAGATTGTTCGTAAACATCGCGGCCTTCATCTGCACACAGACGCGGCGCAGGCGGCAGGCAAGATCCCAGTCGACGTCAACGAATGGAACATCGACCTTATGAGCATCTCCGGTCACAAGCTGTACGGTCCGAAGGGTGTGGGTGCGGCCTATGTCCGGCGCCGGCCTCGTGTCAGGCTGGAGCCTATCTTGAGTGGTGGTGGCCAAGAGCGTGGGTTGCGGAGTGGCACTCTTCCCGCCGCGTTGGCAGTTGGGATGGGGGAGGCGGCGAGGATCGCGAAGCTAGAGATGGCGGTGAGTACCTTTCTTTTTTTCGGGCCTTGATGAAACCACGCACGCAACCATTTCACACTATACGAGCATCGTGGAGCGCCGCTCAATCTCCGAGTCGACCCCAGCTTTGCAATGACCCTGCGTGCAGGGGTACTGAGCCCTTGTACTTCAATTCAGGTGATTCAGAGCTGACTTATACCCCATCCAGAGAGATAGCGCGCGGGTGAAGGAGCTTTCAGACCGGCTCATCAATGGGATCAACTCCCGTGTAGAGCATGTCGTCCGAAATGGCGATGTAACCGGGTACCCTGGTTGTGTCAACTTGAGCTTTTCGTACGTTGAGGGCGAGAGTTTGCTTATGGCGCTCAAGGTTCGTTGGCTGCATTGACATCTCCGACCCGCTTCTCATGTTTCATCGTAGGACATTGCGCTCTCGTCTGGCAGTGCATGCACATCCGCGTCCCTTGAGCCATCATATGTCCTGCGGGCCTTGGGAGCGGCGGAGGACATGGCGCATTCGTCATTGCGTTTCGGCATTGGTCGCTTTACGACCGAGGCCGAGATTGATTACGTGGTCGACAAAATCGTCGCAGTCGTCCAACGGCTGCGCGACATGAGGTGTGCCCCGTGTTGCTTCATTGTGGCGTTTTCTCACCCTGCCTTACCTCTACAGCCCGCTATGGGAAATGGTCCAGGAGGGCATTGACATCAACTCTATCGATTGGTCTCAGCACTAATCCCCGACTCGATCTCTGCCAACACTCGCCGGTGCCTTTGCTTAGCGGACCGTGGATTTGTATCTCGTCTATATCACCTTGCATCATCAGAGTATACGGTCTTCCTTCCGACGTGTTTTTATCCATCGTACCTTATACTCTTCTGGATGACTTCTCGTGTATGATACGCACGCTGCGGGCTCCAGTAATGTCGTATACTACCCTGACGGCCCTTACCGATCTGTTACCTCATCCCACTCACCCTCGAACGACGCGCCAGGCTTGACGTGCCACCCATGATTATGTGGAGGCGGCGGTGCAGGGGGAGGGTACTCTCGAACTTACGCAGATGAAACGACACCAGCAAAGTGATAGTCGTTCGTGCCACAAACTTGTGCCGCCGGCGTCGCACGCCCGCACATCCAGAACGAGGGGGGAAAGAAATCCTGATCATACACAATAGCGGCGCGACAAAACGGGTAGATACACACTAACGACCCGAGAAAATCCGGATGTAGACTCCTTTACAGCGAAGGGTTCGCCTTCGAGACCAACGTCTCGAAGTACGTCTGGAACCATGTCCCCGCCTCGGGCGCCGGCTGCGTCGCGTCCGAGAGCGAGCACGTCGAGTCGAACCGGGGCGAGGACGAGTTGCTGGTGCCGTCGGACTCCCCGCCAGGCTTGACCCAGACGATGGCGTCGATCAGGCTCGAGGGCGTGCTCGTCGTCGGGCGCGTGCCGAACCCGGCGCCCTTGATGTTGCACCAGTCGCCCCACTGGTTCCGGAGGTTCTGCTGGCCGGAGCGACCCTGGTCGACGACGAACTGCGCGGGGAACCCGGCGGAGGCGAGCATCGGACCGAGCGCCTGGATGTAGTGCAGCTCGTCGTAGTTCGAGTTACCCTGGGTGATCGGGTCGGGGGACGCGGCGGAGAGCGCGTTGTAGTTCGCGACGTCTGTCCGGACGGACGCGGTCAGTTGAATGAAGAAAGGGCGGGTAGGGAAGGGAGTGGGGGATACGCACTGGTGGCGAGGCCGCGGACGAAGGGCGACGAGTTCGCGCTCTTGTACATGCTTGCGAAGAGCGATGCCGCGGGCTGGATGTTGGCGGGCCAGCCGAGCCAGCCGGCGTGACCGGCATCCATGTACATGTACACGCCGACGGACGCGAGCTGCTGGAGCGCATAGGTGACGCAAGTCTTGTACGTCGTCTGCGCGTTCGCGCACTTGGCCACGTTCAGGTTCGTGACAAGGTTCGCGAGCGAGTCAGGCTCGATGACCGCGACGACGCGCACGTTGGGGTACTGCTTGATTTGCGCGACGATCTGGTCGATGTAGTTGTAGTAATTGGCTTGGCCTCCGTTGGCGATCGAGAACTCGCCGTTGGACGCCTTCGCTGCGCAGTCGCGGTCGGGGAGGTCGTAGACCACGATGGGGACGATCTGCTTCTTTCCGGAGCTCGTTTGGAGAGCGGTGGCGTTTGAGAGGAAGGTGCCGAGAGTAGGGACCTTGGACACGGTGTCAAGCCAGAAGAAAGAGGGGATGTTGGCTACACTAGCAGCCTTGGCAGCGAGAGAGGAGTCAGTCATCGCCGCGGCAGCAGCCTTAACCTCAGCTGCGTAGTACGGGTTGAGGAACACCTGTAGAACTGTGTGTTAGCATTGATACTCGGAGAACCACAGAATTCGACAACGTACATCGTAGCCAACGAAAGGGTTGCCAGCAGCAGGAGTGGAGGTAGGCCCGGTGCCAGTCGTGGTGGTGCTGGTGGTGGTGCGAGTGCTCGTGGAGGAGGTGGTGCTGCGTGTGCTCGTGGAGCTGGTCGCAGAACCAGGGCTGTTGGAGTGTTGGAAGTTTATTTCCGTGTAGTCCAGGCAAGGTGGGTTTCCACTTACAGACATTGCGAATAGTAGTCATTGACATAGGTGCAGACGGAGCCAGACACACACGTCGTGGGACCACCTGTGCGTCGCTTGTCAGCAATACAGCGTTGGTCCGGAGAGCCACGCGAGACTCACCCCACTGAATACCACCGCATTGGCCGTACACTTGAGATTGGGCGTACGAGATAGATGGGAGAACGGAAAGGAAGGCGAGGAGCGACGCGAACTTGAACATCTTCGCTGTGGTATGCCGAGGAGGATCTGTGGCCTGGCTTCTCCGGCACTCCACCTCGTCGAGTTATATATGGTGGGGCCTTATGGGAAGACGGGGGAGAACGTCAGACCCGTCCCCCGAGTCGAGCATGGCAGCGAGTGCCAACTCCCTGGAATATCCGGCGAACATCCGAAAGGGCGAAACGGAAAGACGTCGGGAGAGGACGGTCGGCGAGCGCGACGCGCATGAGGGCGGGTCATGGGATGGGAGGTTCAGCCGACACGGCGCCTCTGGCACGAGGTGCGGGCTAAGGACGTAACTTGGACGACGTCCCCTCGGCCATCTTTGACGTCGATGTCGGGTCAAGCTCGGATGGCGACTTTCACGGCAGGATCAGATTGCATGTTCACATATGTTGCTGTGTGTTTTCAACAGAACCGGGGGGATTGCGAGGCTGTTCGACGTCAAACAGATTCAAGGTGGGTCATGCATTGCGGAACGACTTCGCCCGCTTTGCGGATGCGGTGGCACCTGGCGGATGGCGAAAGGGAAGTGAAAATGCGGGTTATGCATCCGAGACACTGCTGACCTGTAAACGGGCGACAATCAGAACAATTCTCGCAGAGAGAACACTAGACCGGCGGTACGAACCACAGCAAGTCGCCCAAGGAGCAAACCAAGAGCAACCAGGCTGCCCAGAACAGGCGACGCGGTGGTCCCGTGATGCCAGGAACCTTGCGGATCTGGGCTGCAATGCCCCCGGAACCGGTTCAAAGAATGATCCGGGGCACAGAGGGGCGGAACAAGGGATTATTGGGTGATTTTCCGTAAGGAAATACGGAACTACGGACGCTCCGTAGTTTTCTAGACCGCTCAAAAGGGCAGTTCCGCCGAGATGCCGACGAGAAAGTGATACCCGAGGATCTCAGTGTGGCGCTGGAATAACAAGCGCCCAAAAGTCTGTGGAGGGTCGGCACCCCCTCACAGAGCAAACAAGCCTCCCGAAAAGCTGTAGAGGTCTCCTGAAGGCCTATTTTGGACGGGAGGTAGTGATGTGGACCATTATTGGCGCTGACAAATCGACGACTGGGCCTCAACGGACCTCCATGGGGTCTGGCTAAGGTCTCCGCGCGGTGGAGGCATTCCGTTGACGCTGGCTTGACGCCAGAGATCCCTCTCGTCGCTTAGCCTCGCTTAAAGCTCCGGAATTGCATTTACGGGTCTAGTAAGAGCGGTCTGGCTTACGGACCGTCATCCATTGATGACGACAGCCCGCTGATTTCTCCCGCTCGTAACTGTCCCCGGAGCGGAACGCTAGGGAACGCTTGGCGGGACAGCATTCGCACGTACATGTCGTGATCCCATGCCCTTCGAGCGGGACACCGAATGTATCTCCGCGATTCCACACAAGAGCCACCGAGCGTGCATGACCATGTGTTCGACCCCGCCAACAACCCCGCTCCGAAGAACATGGTCTTGTCCATTCTGCGGGGCATTTACTGCAGGGAGAGCCACATTGGAGATGATGGCTACACTAATTGAGCCTCGTGTTCCTCCGGAGATGAAGCTAGAATACGTGGATCAAAGGACGCGTGTACTGGGAAGCGATGGAATATAGATTACGGAGTACTGAAAACCCGTACAGGAAGACATCATCGACGCGGTCTAAGAGAATGTTCGAAGTCAGCGGCTAATGGCTCAAGAGAGGTGCGTCAAAACTACAAGACCCTGCTGATACAACGCATGATGTGACGAAAGCCATCCACTGTCACCGCCTGGCACTGGAGGAGGAGGGAGCAGTGCAGGAATGCCGCTGCTCCAGAGCCAGAGCTCCCACCCAGTAAGTTCATTCCAGAGCTGCTGTTTGAGATAGGCTTGCTGGCCTTGCCCGGGATCGAGATGGAGAACGTCTGGCCTTCCTTGAGGGTATAATCTTTTTTGGGTCCAGCAGGGATATGAGGCGAGGGCTCGTTTGCAGCAGCAGCCGGATTCTTGCTTGCTTTCCATCGCCTTGATGCGTATTTAATATGGCATCACACGAAACGTGAACCACGGACACTCACTTGGTGTAGTCTTGCAGAGCAACATCTGGAGGGGTGTCGGTGGTAAGTTCGCTGGTTCGGACGGCAATGGGGTTTGTAACATACTGAAGTCGAAACTGTCTGTTCGTTCCAGGAAGCCCATACCAATGTACGCTTTCCGACCGTTGTCCTCTACACGGATGACGAAGTACCTAGACGAGTCGAGAACCGCTTCTACACCCGGTTTAGCAGGATCGTAGTCGGCCTTCGCAAACACTGGGACAAGCCATGCCATCAGTTTGAAATGTGACGCATTGAGGTTGCAACATACGTTCGCCTAAGAAGTCGCAACATGAGCGCACGCCTCGAGAACTTCACGAAGAGGGGCGCACCTGTATTCACGTCCTCAAACTGCAGTGCAACTCCGCTGGATCGCTCGATAATGCGAATTCTGCCCTTCCAAAGAGGCTGGCCCAGATCTCCCCACTCTTGGGCACGGTGGCCTTCGTTTGCTTTCAAAGGTGGAATCTTGTACACTGACAGCGATCGAGATGAGATGCTGACCGCGCTCGCATGAAATGAGCCTCACCAGACACTTCCCGTCCAATCCAGAGAATGCTCTCAATATCCTCCTCCTTAAAGTCGCTGAACTCGTCCATGGTGGTCGTGTGATTATGAAGGTGCTGGTGATGTGGGGAGAGGTCGTTGCTTCGCTTCGCCTCACCGCGGACGGCGTACATCTAGGCGCCTGCTATATCGCACGCACGATGTAAAGTGGGCGTCAGAAACGCGTACGCCTGTCCTCGCCTCTCCCAGCAATCTCTATCCCTGCTCCTTGTCCCGTGTGCTCATCTCGAGTTTTGATAAACATCACGATGACTGGTCCGCCGACTCCCCCTCCTTCTAGCGCAACTGAGGTCCAGGATGCAGCCCGCGCCTCCCTACCGCCCCAGATTGCAGAGGCCCCCACCGAGCCTCTGCCTCCAGTGGCCGCACCACCAGAAATCCCTGTACAGCAGGCCACGCCCGCGCCCGCGCCTCAACCGGTGCAACAGACTTCATACGAGCTGCTCTTTCCCAGTATAGCAGAACTCGCGCGGTCAGGGAGCGTCAAGGAGCTGGTCGAGGTGGCGGAACGTGGTGATCTCAGTGTACGTCCATTCTCGCGGTATGAGCATCGTGCACGATCTCACCGGCGCCGAACGCGCCCGCGCGCAGGCCGAACACGACAAGCATGAAACGCGTGTCTTTGTCGTCGCGCCGCTGGTGCTAGGATACATGATTCTGGACGAGCTGTGCGTGCTTCTCCAATCGCTCCGCCACCGCAGACCATCTCATCCTTGCTCCGCCCGTCGCAGGTCTCTCGCGCGTTTTGCCCTGACGAGGCTTCCTGAGAATCTCAAGAATTTGCCACTGGTACAGAACCTGTTCAGCCTGCTTGCATCCGTGTCGGAGCGGAAGTATGAGTTGATCTACCCACGAGCGGAGGCGTTCCACCAAAGCTTGCAGCCACCAGCCTTTCCAAGCGAGGTGCTTGGACAGATACTGGCCGGAATGACATCAGCCTTTCTAGGTCCGTGGCGGTTTTCTTTGCGTCCACCTGTCACTAACTCCTGTTACAGAGGCTTTCAGGCAGCGGACATTTGCGCTTCTCGCGAGAGCATACACCTCCATTCAACTGCAACGCGCACAGGTTTACCTGGGTTTTACGGCGGAGCAGGTTGTAAATGGTGCGTTTGCCACCCACTTCCTAAAGTTACCTACAACCGACCATAGTTAACTAGTAGTTGCTGTCCCGGCTGGATGGGAATTCCATGAAACCACCTACATCCTGACGCCCCCAAAACTCACGCCAGGGCAGTCCCGCGTGGCCAGCTCCAGTGAGTACCTCGTACACTCGCAGTACCATCATTACTCAGCTTCGTTTTTTGTAGCGCCCTCGACTCTGGCTGCGTTGAACCTTGTGACGGATAGTGTAGCGAATCTTGAGTTTTGTGGATGAGTGCGCCAGATGCTATATCATGTACAATCAGTCTTCCCTGTATCATACGTTAGGCCAGCATTATCGCCTGTGACTCGCCGATTGAGGAGTTCTCATTGAGTGTCGCCCTCTACCGGCAATAGTAGTTTGTGGAATTCTGCCCTGACGGTGTTTCGCGAAATGATACATAGACGCACATGTATTCATAAACCGAGGTGCCGCCGCGGGATTCGAACCGCCGGCAGTGCCGGTGGGACCACTGCCACTCCTCTTGAACCTCACCACCACCGCCGAAAGTGTGCCACCCCGCAACCCTGCATACACCTCCGTTGTAGACGATCACATCCGTCGAACGAGACTACTACCAGTAGTATTATGTCCTCGGGTGACGTATCGCTGGTGGCCGTAGATGGACCCTCGACCGTAGTCACAGCACAGGTAGTCGTTCGGATTCCGGAACCATCTTGTGACACTTGTCTCACACTGACTTTCCTAGGTGGACAGTGTGCCCACAGAACAAGAAGAAAAATGGGTCCATCTGCAGTTCAGCTGGAGCGGCCAGTCCTTCACCTTGGACGTCGCCGAGTCCGACATGTACGTACGCCCGCGCCTTTTACAGACGCGTAAGCGACCGGGTGCTGATAAGTCAGTGTCGTTTGACAACGACAGGGTGTTTGACCTGAAGGCGGCGCTGATGAGTCTCACCAACGTGCCGCCTGAGCGGCAGAAGATACTCGGGCTTGTCAAAGGCAAGCTCCCGAACGACAGTGCGCGCGTGTAGGTGTCGAGATGACCTCGGAACCTTCGTGTCCAGGAGCGCGACGTTGAGCAAGTTGTCTACAGCGCCGACATGAAGCTTGTCAACGGGAAGAAGTTCACGCTCGTTGGGACCCCACAGGGACACGAGCTCAAGGAGCCGCACGGCAAGTACCAGATGCGTCGGAGCATGTGGGCGACCAGCTGAATGTGTTCCAGAGCTTGAGTTTATGCCCGACGTCATCAATGACCTGGACGTCGACTTCAGCGCCGACCCTGCCGCCGCCGCGGCATACATCAACGATCAGCGGAACCAAAGGAAGATCCGAGAGCACACGAAGAAGCTCAACATCAATATCATCAACCCCCTCCGTGAAGGAAAGCGGTTGCTTGTCCTAGATATTGACTACAGTTAGGTTTGTCTTCGCGTATACATGCAACGATCTGACAGAACCTCCTCGATAGCGATTTTGGATACCAAGCCTCTAACCTCGGGCGCACTCCCTCCACAGGAATGCGCTCGTCCGGGACTACATGAATTCCTTGAGGCAATATACCCCTACTACGACATCTGTATCTGGTGAGTCCTTATGTTCGAGGCTGTTCCTTGTAACTAACCGTGATGTTGAAGGTCGCAAACAAGTTGGATATGGCTTGAGACGAAGCTTGTAGAACTTGGTATGCTTGGAGGTGTTCACAACTATCGAGTATGTGTTCCCGCAATCGGTCCATGTCTTGTTACGACTGACATCGACAATTTCAGATCTCATTCGGTATGACCGACTTGTCCATATGTCGATCCAAAGGCTAACCCCGATCATCCAGTACTCGACAAGACGTGCATGTTTACGGTCTTCACAGTAAGAGACGGCAAGCCGTACAAGCACTCAGTGAAAGCGCTCCAGATCATTTGGAACCATTTCCCTCAGCTGTAAGTGGAATCCGCATCCTCTTTTATATCTATACTCAAGTGCAAGTGCCAGATCCGCGAAGAACACGGTCCATGTAGATGACTTGGTAAGCACTCCGTTGCTAGCTTTGGATGGCGGGTGTTCTCATAGTTATTTTCAGGGCAGAAACTTTGCGTTGAATCCTAAAGAGGGATTGAAGATATCCGCCTTCAAAAACGCTCATACCCCGGCAGCCATGGCTGATAGAGAGCTTTCGAAGGTCTGCCGATACCTGGTTCACATCGCAAATACCACAAACGATCTTCGTGAGGCGAATCATTCGGTGTGTGAGGCTGACATATGGGTCTGCGATGATCTTTTGCCTTGCTCATTTTTTTGCCCGTTCACCAGCAATGGAAGCACATTGTCAAGACACTGCCGCCGTCTTAGCTCTCAAGCCGCACCTATCGTCATCTCTACATTGTATACTGCTATCGGATGTTACATTGTGTTCGAGGAATCCGGGGGTTGGAGTCTGTGTAATTCATACCACGGGAATAGAACAAGATTCTCAGAGTCGACCAGGAGGGATGTCGGGCCCGGCATGTTCCACTCGTGAGTAGTACTTGATGCGGGGGCAGAGTGCACAGCCATCGTCCCGCGTGTTTGCCCAAGACGTCCATGATCGCCCTCCGCGGCCTCCGGCATGCGCGCGGCCGACTCCTGGCCGGGTTGACGAAAACATTGACTCCGACTCGCGCGCTGCCTGCGCTGGCACCCCCCGCGCGAAGCCCATCTATCACTCTACTCCATCCAGCCCGCACGATGTCCTCGAGCTCCGCACCTACCTCCGCGAACCCCCCGCGGCCCTCGGTGCCGCCCCGGCCGTCTGCAGCGGTCATTGTCGTTAATGCGCGCAACGAGGTGTTGATGGTCCAGCGGAACCCGAACGCGTCGAACTTCGCGAACGCCCACGTACGTCCCCGCCGTCTTCGGATTCGTTTGGGGAAAAGCGAGGGGCACAGCCGGCAGTGCGCTGATCACGCTTGTGCGGCCTCGACAGGTCTTCCCGGGCGGCAACTGGGACGAGAAGCAGGATGGCGAGGGCGGCCTGGCTCTCACCGCCATCCGCGAGCTCTTCGAGGAGACCGGGCTGCTGCTCGCCCACCCGCCGCCGTCAGGGCGCATGCCGTCCGACGCGGAGCTCGACGCCGCGCGCGAGGACATCCACGCGCAGCGCCGCATGTTCACCGACTTCCTCGCGCAGCACGCGCTGCGGCCGAACGTCGAAGCCCTCCTGCCATTCACGCAGTGGATCACGCCTCCGATGATGAGTCCCAGGTGAGTGCCCCCGCTCGCCCCCGCCCTTGTCCCCCCTTTGGCCGGCGGTGCCTCGCGCAGCCTCCTGGAACGCCCCTTCCTCAAGCCACCTTGTTCTCCCCCTCCAACCGTCAGGAGCCCTGACCCTCCTCACGCAGACGCTTCCACGCCCACTTCTACGTCGCCTTCCTCCTCGACGCCTCTCCCGCTTCCAGCTCCTCCTCCCCCACCACCGGCGACCGGCACGACCGCCTCCCCACGCCCGACGGCGGCGCCGAGGTCGTCGCCGCGCGCTTCGCGCACCCCGAGCGCGTGCTCGCCGACGCCGCCGCGCACCGCATCGCGCTCTTCGCCCCGCAGTTCTACCTCCTCCGCACGCTCGCCGGGCTCCTCGCCGGGCCCGCGAGCCGCGCGCCGCAGCGCGAGCAGGTGCGCGCGCTCGCGCGCGGCGCGTTCGGCCGCATGGTCGTCAACCCGCGCCCCGTGCCCGACGCGGACGCGGACCGGGACGGCTGGAGCGTGCTCGCGTACGAGGGCGACGAGGCGCGCGGGGGCCCGCGCGGGAGGCGGCACCGGTGCAGGATCAGGCCGTCCGCCGTGGTGGTGAGTCCCGGGTCTGTTGTTTTGGGGGAGGGTTGCGGGGCTGACGGGCGTCGGTGCAGGCGACGAGCGATATTGTGCTCGAGCGGAATTTCGACATCTTCACCGAGCTCGAGGAGACACTGGGGCATGGGGCCGCCAGATTGTGATCCCTTCGCGTTTTTTTTCCTTATTCCTATGGCTCATTATCGTACATTTACTGGAGTTCGTCGCGGGGAGAGTATGAATAGCACGAGGCGCACAGGAACATTTGGACCTCTCTTTCGCTATTGTGTTTGTGCGAGGCAGTTCCACCTTCCCCGGCCGGTGTTGGTGGCGTTTTTAATGTCGCCGGTTGCCAGAACTACGCCAGAAGCAGAGTAGGGAACCTGTGCAGAAGGTTTGTTGGGCCCGATATACCACGAAGTCCGCCGGGGACCCAGGCAGGCGGCCGGTCGACTTGCAACCGGAAGTATTGGTTGCTGGTGCGGCTGAACGACCTGGAGGCCCCGTGCGACACACCAGTACAAAGTATACTTTCGGTGCATCAGACAAGGCAGGCACACGGCGCCTGGCATGAGCGCACAGGGACAACAAGTTGCGAGCACAACAACATGGCGTATATTGGGGTCGACAAGGGCTACAGCGCCAACCAATCGTGGGTGGGCAGAGGTCAGGAAACGTGGTCTGATGCTACATCGAGACGAGTCGTACGGAGCCCGGTAGGGCGCACCGCGGAGAGCATTATGGATACACAGAGGGGCCGAGAACCAGGTCATAGAGCTAAGTAGAGCGTCAGAATGATGTCTCTGTTCAGCATTAAGGATTAGAAAGGGCGGGGGTGAAGGTAGTGTAGGGACCGTCATCGCAGGTCGTAAAAACCAAGAACCCTGTGGAGGAGCCGTGTCGTGGGGTTTTGTGATGTTATTGTCGGATCATGAAAGTCGAAGTAGGTGTGTGCCGAGTCGCGGGACCGCGACCTGAGGGGAGTGGAGATAGTGCGGATGGGGCTTTAGATCTTCAGAGGTCGAAGACCTGGTAGTCGTACTGGACGAAGTTGCCCCAGTAGCTGGTGTTGCACGCGCCGACGGTGGCAAGGCCAGGGGCACCGAGGTTGATCGCGTTCACGTTGTCCGTGCCCGCGACGCTCCACGCGGCGAAGCCGTCCGCGTTGGGCGAGCCGGTGCGCATGAAGTTGGCGTAGCGCGCCTGCATCTCCTTGGTCAGCGCCGTCTGGGCGGTGGTCGGGCTCGGGACCGTGCCGAACTGCAAAGCCGCGTCCAAAGTAAGTACAATGCGCGTGCACGAGCATTAAAGCGGACGACGCACGATGATCTCGATGTCGTCCTGGTGGCAGACGGAGCCGCCCGCGGTGCAGAACGGCACGGCATCGTTGCCGGGGTACGTCGCGCCGACCTTGTACTCGCCGACGAACGCCTTGCCGCCTGCGCCGACCCAATTGCGCGCGAAGGTCCACGAGGCGCAGCGCCAGATCTGGTCCGTGCCCAGCTCCTCAAGGATCGGGCGCTGGTCGACGTCGACGCCGTTCACATCGGGAGACGCGGCGTAGACGGCGGTGGCCAGGATGCGGGATGTGCGAGGCTCGTCAAACGTGAACGAGACCACGCTCTCGTAGGTCGCGGTGCTGATCGGGTCGAGGAAGTTCTGGTAGATGGTGCTGCCGGCCTCGTTGCGAACTGTGGAGACGATGATCGGCTTCGATTGCGACGGGAAGGACGCAGTGAGGTCGAGCGGGTTGGGGATCATCTCGCCGTCGAGAACGGGACGGATGGGCTCGAACTGGCCGGCGGCGGCGGGGATGTTGTTGTTCCAGACGGCGATTTGGAAGTTGCTCTGCGCGGACATGATGTCGTCCAAGGACATGGTCTTGAAGCAAGCGACGTCTGAAGCATCACAGCTGGCGTCGCCGGTGAAGGTACTCAGAATCTGGTCATGCACACTGGTCGAAAGGAAGCCGTAGTCCTGTAGTTGAGTGTCAGCTCGCTTGTGTGTGCATTGTGGGTACAGCGGAGCATACCATGGGGTCAGAGTGCAGGATGGCAGACTGGAAGAGCGACGATGCGGCGGGGATCGCAAGGAGGGCGCGGACCATGTTTGCGCCAGAACTCTGGCCAGCGATGGTGATCGAACCGTCCCCACCAAAGCTGGGGACAACCGCCTGAAGGAAGCCCATGGCGGCAATGACGTCCATAACACCGAAGTTGTGACCACCGCTGGGGTCCAGGAAGCCGAGAGCACCAAGACGATACTGGATGACGGCGACGATGGAGTTGGTCGCAGCGGCGAGGTTGGAGCCATCGAGTCCGGCGGCGGTGGCCGAGCCGGAGGTGAAAGAACCACCGTGGATCCTGCCAATCTTTGTCAGCTGGAATGAAATGTCTGCCAAGATGTGAGGGACCTACCACATGAACGTCGGAACGTTGCTCCCCCTCGTAACCGAGGAGGGCACGTAGAGAATCATTGAAGACAGTCCTCAGTGCCGAGTGAGTTCAGGTTGTCGTCCAACTGGGCGCACGGGACCGGGAGGGCGGTAACATCGGTGGAGTTGTTCCTGCAGAATCGCGTTAGCTCGCACCCAGATCCGATCGCATGGACACTCACGGGAGCTCCCAGGCCGTGGCCGGTACTGGTGGCAGCCACCGGGGGGCAGCGGCGTACTTGACTGCGAACCGCGTCGCGCCGGTATCAGCCGCGCCGTGGGCGACACCGATGGGCGTGGTGACCGTGGTAGCATTCTCGCGAGGGCAGAGGATCTTCTGCAGGCGCGGAGACAAGTTGCAGAGTTCGGTTTTCCAGCTGTAGCGGAAGATGCCGTGGGTGTTGGCTGCTGGAGTGGGCAACGCGGACGTCGACGCGGCCAGGAGGAGGGAGACGACAAGGGACTGGATGGCGACCATGATGCTCTAAGGGGCTTGGGAGGCAAGATGCAGAAGCCGAAGCAGAGTCCGAAGTCTAGGAGGGCGAGGACGGGAGAGCCTGGGGAGGAGGAGGCGGGCAGGAGGCTTTTAAGCGACGGTAACGGTGCCTCTGCGTAGCACAGAAGGCGGACGCGAGGGACCGCGCGCACAGGCAGGGGCGGGACATTCTTCGGAGCCCGTCCTCGCTCGATGGAGAACAAAGACGAACCGTCGCTCCAGGCGTCTCTCGGCTGCGTGGGACAGCGCTGAGCGGGCTCCACGCTTTGGGCCATCTCTTTGTGCCGCGAACAGTAACCACTCGCGCTCGCTGCCCTGGCCTCGTCTTCGCTGTGCCTGTCGGCCAGGCGGGACGCGACGGATGCCTGTCTGACGCTGTCGATGCCGCCGGTCTGCCCAGGACCCGCGCCACGAGGCAGCGCCCAGATACACTGTCCAAACAACTCCTCCCAAATACAGGACGACATCTCCGGGCTCCCACCACCCACATGGCTACCTGAGCGCATCGCGGCAGATCGCGGCATGCCAGGTCGTGCGAACACGCCCTGTACGCAATTGAAGTGTGCCCCTGGCGTGGTCCGGCAGGAGGAATGTGCCGTCTGCGCACAGTGGCATCACCATCCAGACCATGCGTCCCGAAGCCCTTCTCCGCAAGCGACGTCTTCCTCATTGAGTCGCAGGCACTGCGGCAGCACCTTCACGTAGGTGCACATACTCTAGGCAGGCTCTGTGTCTCCACAGCAGCTCAGCGAATGCATGACGTTCCAGAGAAGACTGACCTTGTTAGCAAGTCTGGATCGATCGCAAACAGTGCGGATCAAAGAAAGTGGCGCGTTCATTAATGAGATCTGTGTCCTGCCGGATCACTGGTCTTATTCGCCGGTTCCGAGGGCCTCTAGGGGCCTCTACGCTCCCTTTGGCCTTGTTGTCTAAAAGGAGAACGTTAGGGCAAGGAGGGGGGGCGATTAAACGGGCAGAGTAATAAATACCGTGGGCACATATTGGCTAGTATTTCTATCTTCCAACCCCTGGTGCTCGGCGGCCGTGCGGCAAGAGTACCACACGACTGCCATTCACTGCGTCGACAATTCACGATTTCAATCTTCTATGAGGAAAGGTTCAAGATGAGCACACCAGGGACCAGCCAGGTACCGTCATGTTCTTCAGGAACAGATCAACCACATACCATGTCACCGACAACACCACCGGTGTCCAGGACTGTCCCAGTGTTACTAGATTCGAAACATAGCCAGAAAACCGAGAATCATACCGGACACGTGTGACAGGAGCAACTGAAGTGCATGCACAGGCACCAACTATGCCAAGTTTCAGTTACGGCCGGGATAGCCGCTCTTCATTATGCGGTCGTGCTCGTCGGATCCTCCTGAGTCCTCTCGTGGCAGGGCATTCAGCCTGCTGTGACTCTCCCGCAGACGCGGCACCCTCGCCCGCGCGAAGGCCACACGCGGATCGATCCATACTCCTGGGACGTTTTCGGCGTTGCCGCATCCTTTAAAAACAAAGTCTTGGTGAATGTTGATTGGATCCTTATTACTCACCACCTAGAGCTCATACAAGTTTACAACCTTGTACTGCGGTTCGTTCGGTGGTCATCGGGAACGAGCGTGAGGACTGCATGGTGGGGCATGTCGGTGCCACCCAACCGCATGGCAGGCGGGTCGTGTGCTCGCCGTCGTGGTGCTGCTGGAGCGTGTGCATGTCGCATGTGAGGACATTGCCCTGCGCGTATTGTCAGCTTTCGGTTGCTCTCCTACTGCTGTATAATTGATTCCGCCGCACCTCGTTGCGCCGGTACCTACGCCCAAGATGTCCGCACGGTGCGCACTCCGGATTCCGGGAGCCGAAGATCGAGAACCTCTCGGGCCCCCTCGAAGCGTCGGGTTTCGATTCTTGAGAGTGCAAAGCTTCAATTTGGCTGCAGTGATCCAGGTTCAGCCCGAGAGACGCTGGAGGAGGGCCCTGGGACTTCAAGGCGCCTAATAACTCGACCAGACGAGTGAGCCATAGCCGCCCACGCGCCGAGGCGAACGCTGACACCAACTGCCAGAACGCCGTTCACAACGACTCCAGACAACGACTGCCAGTACTTACTAGTTTCTCCGTCTAAAGCAATCGCCGCCGCATTTTCCCCTGTCCCTGTCCTCACCCGCTTTCCTTTTCCCCGTCTTCCTTCTGCAGGCGATACCTCCGTCTCGCGATCACGTCGACCCTCAGGCCTTTTTATCCCACCTCAACTGCCCGCTGTTAAAACGTAGCCAAGCACGGCATTCAGTACTGCCGTGACGCAGGGCAACATGTCTACCGCGAAAGTGTACGCGTGAACGTATTGTTCCTGTGCATATATTCACGTTCACTAAGCTTGACAGTCGGCTCCGCTGTCGGTTCGATTCGCGAACTCTTTGCCAAGATTGAGTCCATTGACAAAAAACACGGCAAGTTCGACTTCGTACTTTGCCTGGGAGATTTCTTCGGCCCGCCCAAAGGTGCGGAGGAGGCATATGAGGACGACCATGAGATCATGCAGCTTCTGAATGGGAGGTTAGAAGGTATGTCTTCACGGCTTTATGCAATGACGCGTCCTTAGCGTGAATACCCATGTTCCAGCTCCCGTGGAATGCTACATAATGCAAGGCGAGCATGCCCTCCCCGCACCAGTGATCGAGAAGTTCGCGAAGACGGGAGGCGCACTCAGCAAGAACGTCTTCCTCCTTCGTACGTTATACGCCGCATAGAGAGGCTGCCCAGTGCTGACCATGCATCTTAGACAAGTCGGGGGTGTTGACAACCCCGCAAGGCATTCGTATCGCGTGTCTCGCGGGAACATACAACTCCAATGAGTACGCTTCTTCTGACTCTGCTCCGGTAAGCTTTCCCTGTTCCTTGCGGACCCGGCGAATATGCCCTATACCGACCACTCCGTGTCCAGGGCTTTGCATCTCCCCATTTCACCGCTCAAACAGTCGAGAAACTCCTTGCGAACACCATGACCTCCTCGAAGCCCGCTGACAAGAACTACATCTCCCTCGCCGCCATCGCCGGATCTTCCGCTTCCTCTCAGCTCGTCGACATCCTCATCTCTAACGCTTGGCCGGCCGGCATCGACGGCTTCTCCGCTGCACCCCTCCCGGCCCCAGAACTCTCGGCAATTGGGGTCCGTCCCGTCGCCGACGTCATCCGGAAAACGAAACCGCGTTACCACTTCGCGGCAGGTGGCGGGAAGCCGGCCAAGTTCTGGGAGCGAGAGCCGTATGTGTGGGACGAGGACAACGGGCGCGTCAGTAGATTCGTGAGCGTCGGGGCTTTCGGTGGGGAGCAGGGTCCAGGGAAGAAACCAAGGGTGCGTGTGGTCTCCGAATTCCAACGGTTCAACGCGCGTGAACGTCGACGCGTAGTGGTTCTACGCCTTCTCCATTGCGAGGCTCTCGGCGACAAGCGAGTCTCAGCCCAAACCCGCAAACGCAACGCTCAATCCATTCACGAACCGGCCGCCGAAGCGTCCTCTGGAGTTTGGTGTGCAGCGCGACGGAAAGCGGAGCAAAATCGGTGCGTGTTTTTGACTGTCGCGGCGCATGAGTGCTTACCGCTTCTTGGATGCGTAGACGGTCCTCCTGGAATGCCTCCAACAGGATACAAATGCAAGATCTGTGAATCTCCAGATGTACGAGAGCTCCTTTGGTTCCATACTCATGGGTTCCCATACTAATCATAAACTACAGCACTTCATTACGGACTGTCCTGATAGGGAGAAGCCCCACGAAGGCTATGTGTGCAGGATATGCAAAGAGGTGGGTTCACTTCACCAGACTTTGGAATTATACTGACTTGTTCGTAGTCTGGGCACTTTATCCGTGACTGCCCAACAAAGAATGCGGTAGGCGACACTGGCGGTCGCAAACCTCGTGAAGGATACGTTTGCAGAGCGTGTGGGAGCGAGCTACACTACATCGAAGACTGCCCAGCCGCCAAGCAAATGGGCGGACGACAAGGGAGACGACCTCCACCCAAAGAGATTGCCCGTGAGTCCATGCGTTGCATGGAATCTATTATTTTTGCTGATGGTTGATACGACAGCGGATGAGTGTTGGTTCTGTTTGTCGAATCCCAACCTCGCGTCAGTCCTTGCATTGGACATGCACACCGTCACTCGCTAACCCTGCTACCCTTGTCCAGGAAACACCTCATCGTCTCCATCGGGACTGAGTGCTATGTCACCCTTCCAAAAGGTCAAATCATCCCAACTCACCTGGGTGCCGATCACCCGAATACGCCCAAAGTCCCCGGCGGAGGCCATGTTCTCATCGTCCCCATCACCCACTACCCAACCTATCTCTCCATTCCTCCCGACCTCTCCCAACCGATCGTCTCAGAAACAGAGAAGTACAAGTCAGCCCTGCGAGCGATGTTCGCGAAGAACGGGGCTGTGGCGGTGTCCTTTGAGGTTGGACGCATGAGCGCAAAAGGCGGGCACGCGCACGTTCAAGTCGTTCCCGTACCGAACAACCTCAAGGACAAGGTCGAGCAGGCGTTCAGAGACGAGGCTGCCTTGGCTGGTGTCGCATTCGAGGAGGACGCGGAAGAGGCGCTGAACGCGGCTGCCGGCGGGCGTGGAGGATACTTCCGAGTCGACTTGCCGGATGGGAGGAAGCTGGTGCACCTCATGCGGGAGCGGGGACCGTTCAGCATACAGTTCGGAAGGTGAGGTTCTTGTCCGTCTAGACGATGAATGACGCTCATTCCTTTCGCAGACAAGTGTTGGTCGGCCTGCTTGGGATGGGAGACAGATTCGACTGGAAAGCTTGTACGCAGCGGGAAGAGGACGACATGGAGGATGTACAGGCGTTCAAGGCTGCGTTCGCGCCTTTCGACCCGTCGCTCGAGTAGTTTGGATGCACAGTTTTATTATTACAATAAGACTCGATCAGTGTACAACAGAGAGCGGCATGAAACGAGGAGCAACGCACGGAGGACCTGCGGGTGTCATGGTTCAGACTCGGCATCCTCATCATCCGAGCCCTCTTCCTCGCTGCCCATCTCTTCGCTCATGTCTCCAGACGCATCCGCGGTGCGGTCGAGGTCCTCCATATCCGCATCGAGGTCTTCCTCCTCTTCCTCTTCCGAGGACTGAGAGTTTTCTTCTTCCTCCATAAGCGATCCACCCTCTCCAGACCGGTCTGACCCATCCGAACCCTCCGAAGCGTCGTCAGCCTGCGGAGGGAAACACAGCAGAATGAGACATGGTTCCGCAAGCGACATGCACACGCCACTCACATCGTTCTTCTCCTCGTGCTGCGTCCAAGTGCGACCGATTGGGATAAGGAAGTTCCATCCTCTATTCCGTATGTCGATGTTCTGATACGCCAGACTCGACGTAAGCACCTACCACTGGATGGACAAGGCTGCGCACACACCTGGTCGTCGATCACCCGCTCCTCTTCGCTCAGCTCGTCCATCTCGCGCCATAGGTCCCGGTAATTGGAGAGCCGTTCGCGCCGGCGATACGACGGTGCAGGTGGTATCGGGTGTGGGTGTGGGGGCAGGGGCAGGAGACGGGGGAAGAGGGGACTCCGAGGCACCACAGTGGGAGAGGCAACTGGAGCGACCATCACGGTCGGGGTGCAAGGCGGAAGCGGGTTGGCGGGCCGACGCTGAGAACATGAGACGCGACTCCGAGAAGCTCGGAATCAATCTCTTTCACATCCACCGCTCGCGAGAGTTGCTCGACGACCCTCTTCCTACCCTTCCACCCCTCCTCCTCCGTGACGTTACCAGCAATGTACGACGAAGGCGAAGAGCTCGAGGATTGGCAGGCCAGCGAACCGGCCACTCCAAGCCGCCACCATCTTTCCGACAACGACGACGACGATTTCCTCGCGCAAGACGGGCCTTCGCAAGGATTTTCAACCTACACCTCCTTTGACGCATACTTTCAGCACACTTCCAAGCCATCTCGCACCTCCAACAACGTCTTTTCAGCGCTCGTACCTCCGCTCACCCCCGAGGAATACGCCGATGTGGTCAAGAGGCTCCAAACGGACACTCGCGAGCAAGACCTTGTCCTTTGGAGAGACCCTGCGACGAGGAAGACGAGCTTCAGGCGCTATCGAACAGAGCTGGAAGAGGGCTTCAACCTAATGATGTACGGCTACGGCTCAAAGCGTGAGTTTCTCAACGCCTTCGCCCAACACCTCGCGCGCAAGGGCGAGCACGTCGTCGTTGCGAACGGCTTCCAGCCGAGTTTCGCCTTCCGCGACCTGCTCGACTCGATCGACCGCGTCCCCGGCGTGCTCGATGCGCCCTCCTCCTCGGGTGGCTCCGCATCGGGGCAAGACGCACACGTCCAGCGCATCCTCGCCTTCTTCTCGTCCCAAGACGCGCCCCGGCTCTTCCTCGTCGTGCACAACATCGAAGGGAACGCGTTCCGGAACGCGAAGAACCGCGCCGCGCTCGCGCTCCTCGCACTCGCCCTCCGCATCCACCTCGTCGCCTCCGTCGACCACATCGCCGCGTCGCAGCGGTGGTCCCTCTCCGAGCTCTTCGCGCGCAAGTCGGAGCCCCTCGATCCCGCGTCTCCTGCCTTGGCGGATGTTGTACCCCAGCGTGGGTTTGCGTGGCTCTGGCACGACCTCACCACCCTGGCCCCGTACGACTTCGAGCTGGCGTACGCGGACCCGACCTCGCTCACGGGCGTCGCGGCTCTGCGCGGGGCACGCGCTCCCACCGCGTCCTCCGCGGTCGTCGGCCCCCCTGGAGGCACCCAAGCGGCGATCGTCACCGAGACGGCGGCGCGACACGTCCTCGCAAGCGTCACGCAGAAGGCAAAGAAGCTTTTCGTCATCCTGGGGTCCAAGCAACTCGAAGTGATGGATGCGCATGGCGCAGACGGGAAGGACAAGGCGGACGGAGACAGCGGCGGCGACAAAGGCCCCACGCCGGGAGAAGGCGCGTACGACTACGACCGGCTCTTTGCGACGGCGCGGGACAACTTCGTCGCGACGAACGATACGGCGCTGCGGGCGCTGCTGGGCGAGTTCCGGGACCATGGGCTGGTGGTGTCGACGACGACGCAGGGCGGGGAGGCGATGTGGATCCCGATGAGGCGGGACGCGTTATTGAAGGTTGTGGGCGACCTGAAGGCAGAAGGCGCATGATTTGGCGAAGTGACTGTGCTCCTGTGTCACTAGTGCTGTTTGTATCATGGAAATCAAACCCGACCGTGCTTTGAACGAGCTCAATCGCTTGGCGACTCGGACGGTATTGGAGCTCCGATTCTATCAACACATTTTCTGGTCTAATTTGCGTCTGGTACGACAGCGCTGACGCCCACCTCCCTGCATCAAGCACCCTGAGTGTGGACAGCAAGAGATGGGGAACACAAGGACCCGGGAAGAGCAGTTGAATTCGCGACTGAGGGGGTCGCCAGTGAAAGCGCATCGGACGGGACACGGAATGGGTCCGAGAACCTCGAGCCCCATCCTCGATCCAGGAGTCCGGCCCAATCGTCCGGCTGACGGCATTCTGCCTCAGCGCCCCGTTCTTCTCACACCGCACTCACAGATAAAGCTACAAGACGCCACGATCCCCACCCATCCTCCGCTCACTCAGCATCCTCTGTCTACTTGGCCGGTTCATGGCCATGGTCGACATCTCTCATGAGGTGCTTCTCGAAATATTCTCTCACGTTCGAGATGCTATGTGCTTTGAAGAAGACCATCGCGAGATGGTGGTAGCAATTGAGGAAGCAGCAACTGTGAGCACATGGTCCGACTTACTTGTCCCGATACTCATCACGTTGATTCCCGCAGAGATGCGAGGCACTAGGTCCTGTGCCGACGTGGCAAGGCGGGAAATATTGTCATCTCCCATGTCTCTCGCTATTGGCGAAGAGTTGCTCTCGCCTTCCCTTTCCTTTGGACATATGTCCGTGTCACCGGCTCCCACGTCAATAGCCTAATGGTCGACGAATTTCGCCTACGTTCTGGCAAACGCCCTCTCTTCGTGGTCGCACTTGAAAGCCTGCCCATAAGAGCGACGACGCTTGATGTCACGACAGATTCATTCAGCCCCACAAACCTCTACAGCCCACATGCCATCTCAACAACGGCTGAACCTGAACCTTCCCGGCCCAATTACTTCCTTGTTACGATCAAAGCGTTGAACGACAGCGGTCGCATTCACCACCTAGGCGCTCTCTTGAATCCCTACGCAACGGGGTTACTCTTCTACATGCTCCCGAAGTCAGCGTACTCGCGTTTGCGCTCCATCTGGATCGCTTGTCCGAACGTGCCCAGTACTAGAGTCGGCCAAGTACCTCATTTCGAACATGAACTACCCAAACTGCAAAACTCCAAATCAAGGACCTTCCCTCTATAAAATCCATCCCCTGCCGTGACCTCCGGGTTCTAAAGCTCTGGGATACCGCCCTGACCGAGCGCTCCCCGTTCCTCCTCGCCCTCCAAGGCAACCCGCTCCTCGAGGTTCTGGAGCTCTGCATCTTCTTCGCTCGCAACGCCGACCACGCACCCAACGACGTCCCGCCCGACTTCACCATCGACCTCCCCCACCTGCGCCATCTGGTGATACACGCGATCACGAAACCTCTGGCCTTGCCCGGCTACTACAATACGGCCGGTCCAGCCGCCGCGGCCCACGTCCTCCAATACCTCTCCCTCCCCCCGACCGCCCGCACCGACGTCGTCCTCGACGCCCAGTCCATGCCGCACACCGGCGACCCTCCCCGCGTGCTCCACCCGCTGCGCACGCCCGCAGAGACGCTGACGCACGCGACGCTGGCGCTCCCCGACCAGCGCGGCGACGTCCGCCTCCGCGGGCGCGCCGCGGAGGACGGCGACCCCGACGGCGCCGAGACGTTCGCGCTCCGGTGCATGCCCTTCCTCTGGACGGAAGCGCGGGGGTGCGCCACGGCGCTCGCGTTCCCGTGCCTCGCGCGCCTCGCGCTCGCGCTCGAGGGCGACCGGGCGTGGCTCGCGCGGGAGCGGTCGTGCGAGGCGAGGACGGTGCGGGCCGTGTTGGACGCCGCGCCCCACCTGCGCGAGGTGACGGTGCGCGGGGCAGACGTGGCGCTCGAAGTGTTCGCGACGGTGCTCGGGACGCGGTGCCCGGAGCTTGGGTTGGTGAGGGTCGAGGGTGGTGCAGTCGGAACGAAGGGCAGGAAGCGATTGGTTCGAATGTGTAAGGCGCGCGGGCTGCAGGTCTTCCTGAACTGAAGCTGGAGTTGCCGAGCGTGTTCTCGAGGCCGGGAACGGTTGATGCCGTGTGCAGTCGCATGTAGTTTCATCTCCCGAATCCGCACTATCTCCGTCGGATACGTCTTGTGTACTTGTGTCCTGACGGAGGTGTTCGTACGTGATATCGAATGCGTGCAGAACTCGTGTTTGCGCGTAAATAGTGAACATGGTATGCATCTAGGACTACAGCGGCGACGTGTGCTCCCCCGCTCCAAGCATTCTGCCCCGCGGGGAACGTCTAATTCCTCCCTGCCTCTCCTCTTTTACGTCTATGCCAAGACATGTTTGCACCTGTGGGCGTCGGAAGCGACGCGTCGCTTACCACCCGCAGCCAAGACGCGGAGGTTCCAGGACCTCAGACGTGCTTGTCGAGCTGGTGCACGCCTTCGATGCTCTTCTTGTAGCTGTGGCCGAACGCATGGCCGCCCTCGCGCCGCGCCTTCTTGAGCACGCGCCCGATCGCATCGAGGCCCTTGTCCAGGTCCGCGAGCGGCGGGCCGAACGAGAGCCGGACGAAGTGGTGGCAAGACGAGTGGAAGAGGTTCCGGCGGTGGGCCGGGTTGATGTCGAAGAAGATGCCGGGGATGACGATCGTCTTCTCCTTGAGAAGCTCCTCGAAGAAGGTGAGGCCGTTGTTGAGCGGCGCCGGGAGCTGCTCGAGGTTGAGCCAGATGTAAAACGTCGCCTGCGGCGGGACGGCGACGTGCAGGCCGAGCTCGTCGAGGCGCTTGAGGACGTGGTCGCGCTTCGCCTTGAAGTGTTTCTGGAGGGCGAGCTTCTCGAGGCGGATGCGCTCGAGGTCCAACAGGGGGATGGCGGCAAGCTGGAGCCTGTGAAGATGGTGATGAGTCAACAGTTCGTTGTTAGAAGCCTGCGAAAAGTACTCACGGGTGGTTGGCACCACCGTCGAGGAAGGAACCAGCCTGCGAGAGCGCAGTTATCAGGTTCTTGGGGCCCAACACCCAGCACACTCGCCAGCCAGGCAGACGCCAGTTCTGTAGAGAAAGATATCAACCTTGATTCGGTGGGGAAGGAAAGGTTTCTACCTTCGTGAGACCGTTCACAATAACGACTGGATCACTGTTCACGTTGTCGACGTATTGAGCGGACGATACCGTCTTGCCGAGCTCTGCTTCGTCCTCTGGGTACATATACCAGGAGTAGAACTTCGGATGAGAGTTATGAGTCGTGGATTAAACCAAAACGTCTCAAGTCGCTTACTTCGTCCATGATGAGAGTGGCAGAAGCATCTCGGCAAACGTGGACAAGCTCTTCGAGTTCCTCCCCTTCGATGACCTGACCGGTCGGATTGCGCGGGTTGACGCGAGAATAACCTCCAGTCCTTGGGTGCGAATATCCTTCTTGATTTGATTGACATCGAGACGATACTTGTTTTCCGCGTCAAGCCTGTGAAGAAGTCGGCCTCGTGCAGCGTCTGATTGAGATACCAACAGGGTGACTTACGCGGTCGGAACGGGAACGAGGCGTCTGAACGCGCTCAGAACCTGGTCATACGCGGTGTAATCAGGGACCTGGTACGACTGGATTGGTCGATCAGTATCGCTGCGTCCGATCCAGAGAGGCGGGGCGGAGGACTGACGCAGTAGACATCACCGACGACCGCGGCGACACGAGAGAGTCCGGAACGGCCTCCAGGCACGATGCAGACGTTTTCGAACGTGTATTGGCTCAGCTTGTCCTGACGGTATTCGGCGTTGTACATCGCAGCCACTGCCTCACGCAGCGCTAGAGGGATCATGTGAGATGCTAGCAACAGAATCCGTGTTGCTATCAAACCTACCCTTGACACCGGTCGTGGGCGCATACTCGAGCGAGTCTTCCGGGAGAGGGATGCTGGTAGGCGAGGAGGGGCGTCGGGGATGTGGCCTACTTCTGGCGCACCCTGGCCGAGGTTGGCCCACTCGTGGGAGGAGGCATACGAAAACCCGTTTGCCATGGCACGGTCGGAGCAATAGATGACACCGGTGCTTCCAGGGTGTCAATACCCGGAACTGTCTCCTCGTCCGGGTTCACAGTCTGGGGAAGGAGAACATTGTTGGCAACCTTGGGCTTGTGACCCGCAGAGTTGCGGAAGATCTGGAAGGTTATGTTGGAGAGAGAACTTGGCAGAGGGACGAGGACGAGACTCACTCGATGGGCCTCCGAGTCCTTTTCGTTGCGGAAGTGACGCACAACCTCGTGCACCTTTGGACACCGTCCGTTACGTTCGATGTTCTACACGCCGAGAGCGAGTACTCACGACGTCGCGGAGGTGAAGAGGAGTGGACCTGCCGGACCTGCCGCCGAGGGGGGTGCTTGCGCCGGACATGTGTGGAGGGAGAGGAGATCGACGAGCTGCGGGGAGGGCGGCGAGGATATATATACGAGGCTGTACCAGACGGGGACCCCATCACGACTACGAGGACCATGACGAGACACAGTGACCGCGTGCAGGCAAGAACAACAAGCCCGCGTAACTATTCATAGCTGCGATTAGATTAGATCGCGCCCACCGTCACGCGCCGCGCCCTCCCCCGGACCATCGGAGATCGAGCGCTGGGCAGGTGCGTAAAGTCTCTCCTCCGCGCGTTTTGTGTCGCCGTCGCTCTCTTTCCTGCACGCTCTCTGCCTCGCTCATATCTTGCTGAACACCCATAATGGCCTCGCACCTCGAATCCTCTGTCTCTCGCTTTCTCCCCGACCCCAAGACCGTTGCCGTAAGTGTCTTGTCTTCCTCCTCCCGGCATTCGCCTTGACCGGTTTATAGATCGTGGGCTGCCCCTTCAAGTGAGCCTTGTTTGTCTCTCACGCCCGCACACAGACCTAATCAGTACGTCATCCCTCGCTAGAGGTGGCCAGGTGCGCGACATTTATTCACCGTCTCCGACCCTCGCACTCAAGGCCTCGCCCCGCTTACAGACGAAAGCGGGTGTAGACAATGGCCCCATTCATCTCGTCGCAGCTGGGCTCCCCGAACAACTCACCGAGCTCGGTTGGAAGGTCCTGTTCGATGGTCACCACCAATTCGACCAGATCTCTGCAGAAGACGACCCCCAATTGGTAAGCTCAAGAACCCCCGCACCGTCTCTCGCGTCTGCGAAGCCGTGGCCAACGTCGTCGGGGGCCACGTGAAGAAAGGCGAGCTCCCGCTCACTCTTGGCGGGATCACTCGTTGGTGTGTCTCGTCTCGTTCTTGTGCGTTGGTCGAGACTCATGCGGTGGGGAGTGTAGGCCATGGGCACCATCTCCGGCACCTTTCAGTAAGCCGGTACGCCCCCTCTCCAAGTGCGACCAGCCGTTGACGTGGCCCAGGAAGTACCCCGACGCCTGCGTCATCTGGGTAGACGCACACGCGGACATCAACACCGCGAGACCACGGACTCCGGTTCGTCCTCCCGCCCTGCTTCTCCGCTCTTGGTCGGGCCACTCACCTCTCCTCGCCTCCACCCCCCACGGTCCCCCCACAGGCAACATCCACGGAATGCCCGTCTCCTTCCTCATGGGCCTCGGCCCCAAGGTCGACGAGTTCGCCTGGGTCCAGCCCGTGCTCAAGCCGCACCGGATCGTCTACATCGGCCTCCGCGACGTCGACCAGGGCGAGCGCCGCATCCTCAAGGAGCACGGCATCAAGGCCTACTCGATGCACGAGGTCGACAAGTACGGCATCGGCCGCGTCGTCGACATGGCCCTCGACCACGTCAACCCGGGCCGCACCCGCCCCGTGCACCTCTCCTTCGACGTCGACGCCCTCGACCCGACCGTCGCGCCCTCGACCGGCACCCCCGTCCGCGGCGGGCTCACCTTCCGCGAGGGCCACTACATCTGCGAGGCCGTGTACGAGACCGGCTGCCTCGTCGCCCTCGACATCATGGAGGTCAACCCGTCCCTCGAGGACCAGAGTTCGGTCGAGCAGACCGTCGCGGTGGGATGCTCCCTCGCGCGCGCGGCCCTGGGGGAGACGCTGCTCTAGATCTGCGGACACCGGACTCCTCGCACGGCCGACACGAATGTAGCATAGCATTATGTAGCTAGATATCACAAGGACAACCCGGATGGAATCTCACGACCTGGTCTTCCCTTTCACACGAGAGCTTCTGGGTCTTCGACGCATGGTAGAAGCAAGGAAACCATTATATTCGTAGCAGAAAGACACGTGGCACCCATTACTTTTTCATCTATGATACAACCTTGACATAGTCTGGGGCGGAGACAGGCACCCGGTCTTACACGAAGTAGCGGTAGTCCGGGTCGAGGTCGCCCATCTGCTTGCGCTCCACGGGCGAGAGATGGTCGTAAGCGCCCTTCGCCTGCAAGCGTTCGCGCTGCTTGTTCTCCCAGGTCACGCCGAAGAAGTAGATCGTGCAGGCCATGAGCGAGAGGCCGATGAAGGCGATGCAGATGCTGTAGCCGGGGATGTACTTCGGCGCGTCCTTGGAGAGGAAGGCGAAGGTGGAGATGATACCACCGACTGAGGAGGTACAGAACGCAGCGTAAACAACAGGAAGGGGACACGGGGGAGAGTATGGACGCACTGTTGCCGAATCCGACCTGCCATGCCGTACCCACTGCGCGCCTGTGGTGACCGCCCACTGCCAGGAGAGGTCAGTGGCTACGACATTGATGATTTCACGGATGGATGCAACTCACGATTCGTGTTGAACCAACACACGATAATCGGCATCGCCGAGTACGTCCCACTCGTCGCGAGGAACAGGGCGCCGTACTGCAAGTGAACGTTGTTGTGCACGACGAGCAGGATGATGAAGCCCGTCAAAGAGATGGCGATGGTGGGCAGAATGAACAGGAAGCGCTTCCGTGCCCAGTCCGAGAGCGTCGCGGAGATCATAGCTGTGGCAAACGCACACGCCCATGGCGGCACGGAAAGCAGCTGCGTGCGGATGGCGGAATAGCCATAGCTCTGGATGATGCTAGGCGCGAAGTAGGCTATGACAAAACGATGGTTAGGTGTGTCTAACCTGGGTGGTGAAAGTTCGACAAACCATAGCCGTATGCGGGGACGACCAGACCGAAGTACATGAACCCGCCGCAGATGATCTTCCCTGTGGAGTGCGTCAGGATGACACTATCAGACTGATCGAAGCGACTCACAATCCTTGAAGACGCCGATAACATCCTTAACGGTGAGCGGTTCATCTCTCCTCGAGGTGCCGACGTCTTCGTACAGACGGGCCTGGACGAACTCCTTCTCTTCCTTGCTAAGCCACGTGACATCCTCCGGGAAGTCCGAAATGGTGAAAAAGAGGATGAAGGACACGAGAACGGTAAGAAGACCCTCTGAGATGCAATCAGACCAGGAGACCGTAGCTTCATGTCAGAGGCGTGCGCACCAAGTATGAAGATCCACCGCCAACCCCTGAACCCCTGGAGTCCGTCCATCTTCCCGATGGCACTGGCAAGGAGGCCACCGAAACCGCCCGCGAGGGTAGTAGACGAGAAGAAGAACGAGTAGCGCTTCTGGGCCTCCTCGCGCTTGTACCACATCGCGATGAGATAGAAACACGCGGGGAAGACTCCGGTCTCGACGACCCCGAGGAAGAAGCGCGTCGCGATGAGGCCGGAGAGGTTCTGCACGAAGCCCTGGAGCAGGGTTATGAGGCCAAAACAGAACATACAGAAGGACACTAGAAAAAAGTCAGAAAGGATGTATGCGCGCTAGGCGAGGGAACGTACACCAGACGTGGGGCTTGAAGTGCTTGAGTAGCGCATTCGAGGGGATTTCGAAGAGGACGTAGGGCACGAAGCTGGGAGAGCATGAGAAGGGGGCGAATGGTATGCACGGCGGGACTCTCACAAGACTACCAAAGCCTGGTTGAACTGCGTCCCAGTCAAGTTCAGGTCGCTCTTCAGGCCAAACACCGCCGCATTCGAGATATTCACTCTGCGCACAGGGGTGGGGTAAGGAGAGCAGCGGACGCACTGACACGAACGTATGCGCACCGGTCTAGGAAAGCGAGCAGGTACAATGCGCATAACACCGGCACCACGCGCAGGTCAATCTTGCGGATGACCTTCGCCTCGTTGACATCGGGGAAGCGTGCTTGGAGATCAGCGGGGCTGCCTGTGGGGGCCTTCTCGGGGTCCGCCGCACTGTCGCCGTCGCGCGACGAGATACTGCGCTCTGAGCGGAGAGCGGGTGGGTCAGCACGACGACGACGAGGTGCATGTAAATCCGAGAAGACGCACTTTCTGAGCTCATGGCTGGGACGTCCAAGTGTTCAGAGGGGTCCAAAGCGCTTCCCCAGGAGTGGGGGCGGGGAGTAGGCAGGCACGGAGAGCGGACGAGCGAACGCGGAAGGTACGCGGAGGGCGGCTGGCCTTTATGAAGAGACTCATGGCGCCTGGTCGAGTCAGCTGGTCCGATATTGTAGGAGGAGAGGATGATGCTTGCGCCCGCCGGGGGTCGGGACGATGCTTTCCCCACACTATGACCAGGCGCCCACCGCTTGGCCGCCAGTTCGACGGACGAATCGCCGCGCTCGGCGGGCGCGGCTCGGTCTCTCAACGTTGTCCGTCCCTGGCCGGCCCACGCCGGACATTCGGAGATCCCGCAGTGGGCTGAGCGGCTGCTGAAGCGCTGATATCCGTGCATTCACCTTGTATCCGTGGCATGTTCGACATCCTCCGGTGCCCGAGGGTGACAGAGAGAATGGTCTGCAGCGCCTGCAGGATTCGCCCGAACCTCAAACGGGACGCACTAGAACGGTCAGATGACTGTGTCCCGCAGAGGCTGGCATTATATCGTCTAATTTACAAAGTATAGGTCCATCCTCCTCTGGAAATACCGCTACGCTGCACGGCGTTTGAACTCTCGTTGAACTCTCGCCCGATGAGCATCCGCCTGATCTCTTGCGTGCCTGCGCCGACTGTGTAAAGTCGTGTATCGCGCAGGATGCGACCCGTGGGGTAGTCTGCCGCAACCATGTCAACTCTTTCCATTCGAGAACAATGGATAACGTACCGTTGATATATCCATTTCCTCCCAAACACTGCATTGCGTCCATTGCAACCTCAACTGCTCGGTCAGACGAATAGAGGATAGCGCCGGCACAGTCCTGCCGGCCAGCCGGAACTCTTGTCTCAGGTCCACAGGTCACACTAAGAGGCACATGTAAAACTCACCCTCCTGCTGACCCGTCCCTCATCACACGCCTTCGCCACCGCGTACACATACGAACGTGACGCGTTCAGCTTTGTGTACATGTCCGCGATTTTCCCTATAGGCCGTAGGGGTGAGCCAGTGAACGCACAGCCGGGAGCTGCCTTGAGCGCACCTTGCATCAACTGGAATTCACCAACGGGCTGACCAAACTGTTCCTGTCATGGACGTATTCGACCGCGATGTCGAAGGCCGCCTGCATCAGCCCCAGCGGTCCGCCGCTTAGGACCAACCTCTCCAGGTCGAGCCCAGACATCAGCACCTTTGCTCCGCCGTTGACATTCCCCAAAACATTCTCTGCACCCTGTCAGCCGAAATGAAATACACGACCATGGCGCTCGGGCTCACCGTCGGGTACAAAACAATCTTCAAACACCAGCTCGCACGTGTCGCTCCCGCGCATCCCAAGCTTGTCCAGCTTCTGGTGCGTCGAGAACCCCTTGAACCCGCGCTCGATGATGAACGCCGTGATACCCTTCGAGCCATCTTCGGATCGCTCTTCGCGTACACCACCAGCGTGCTCGCCGTCGGGCCGTTCGTGATCCAGAACTTGTTGCCGTCGAGCACCCAGCCACCGTCGACCTTGCGCGCGCGCAGCTTCATGCTCACGACGTCGCTCCCCGCGCCCGGCTCGCTCATCGCGAGGCTCCCCACAGCGGTGCCCTTGATGAGCGGCGGGAGGTACTTGGCCTTCTGCGCGTCCGTGCCCCAGCGGTGGATCTGGTTCACGCACAGGTTCGAGTGCGCGCCGTAGGAGAGCGCGACGGAGCCGGACGCGCGCGAGAGCTCCTCCATCGCGAGGGTGTGGTGGAAGTAGCCGAGCGCGAGCCCGCCGTACTCTGGCTTGACGGTGATGCCCAGGAGGCCCATGTCGCCGAGCTTCTCCCAGACGTCCTGCGAGACGCACGGTCAGCTTCTGTGCGTCTGCGCGTCTGCTTAGAACGGCGAACGCTCCGTGTGGGTGGGGGGTTGCATACAACGTAGAGTCGAGCGAACAAGACTCGTGCTCACCATGGGGAAGGTGTTTGTCCTGTCGATCTCCGCGGCTCGTGGGGCAATCTCCTTCTCCGCGAATTCCTGGACCGCATTCCTGAACTGCGATGCAGCAAGTGTAAGGTGTAGGTAGGTGTACATGGCAGCACAAGCACGCACCTCTGCCTGATCCTCTGTGAGCCCTGCCACGTCAGAGTTGTAGAAAGAGGCGTGTCTGCGCTGAGACAACGCGGCGGCGGCACGGGGAGCAGCGCGTGCTCGCAGGGCCGGAGCCAACCTGCGGAAAGCTGAGAACGGACTTGAGAGCATAGCGTTGAGAAGGGAAGACGGGGAAGGCGGTCTCTTGGGGTTGCAGTCGGCGTTGCGCTGCCCCAGGGGCCGAGGCGGACGGGGTGGATGTGGGCCAGGGTAAGGAGGGAGACGAGTGCGGGGTCGCGCACAAGTGATCGGGAACCACAGCCGAGCCGGGTCTCATCCGGCACAGACGCTCACTCCCACCGCTGACTCTGACGACATCGATGCACGGCAGCCTGATCCACAGAAACATGATTCCCAGAAGCGTCGAGCGATATATGGCCTACATTGACTAGCCACACTACGCCACGCGATGTGAGGTTCACGACTGAGAACTTGTGATCGTCGACAGCATCACAATGCCACCCACCGCAATTCCTAAAAGCAGGTGAGCATACGCTGCACGCCAGACACAATACTCACCGTGGTTAACACCCTCGCTTCCTGCAGGAATAATGTTGGCAATGTTTGTCGCTACGGTGTTGTAGGTGATACCATCGTGACTCGGTCTTGGGTCCGTCGTTGTGTTCATGATTTCGCGCTGTGGCCCGGGGTCTCATCGGGATAGCCTGCCCGCCCGCCTCACTCACTCGGTATGCCCTCGATCCCTGGAAGACGTTTCTCGTGCACAAGAGCAGAGCAAAGCCGGTCTACGTTTCCAGCTCCTCATCCTCGACATCGTTGTGTCATGGGCGTATGGACGAGATATACTCACGCCTCCTCGTATCCCGCTCAGGGAACAAGGGTACGTCGTGTGGCCTGACGTCTTCCTGCGTCTCATGCTAACGCATGTGCACTCTCAGTTGCGGGACAGACCATGCTCACGCAGTCAAGATAGCCACAAGGAAGGCCTCATCCGCGTTCGTCGCGCCCTGCCAGGCACCCACGCCGCCATTTGCGGGAGTTTGTCTTCAGTGCGGTTCGTGGGGATGGGTTTGCACTGCAGTGAAAACTGAGCCGACCCATACCCAGTTTGTGAATGCTCCAGACATGGGTAAAACGTGGGCACTCGAGTCGATGAAGAGGCTCAGGAGGCTCACCGGACCGGCGGGACCTCCTGACTGTTGGACGCGAACAAAAATGAGCCAACACTCGGTTACTGCATACCAGGGGCATTGGACCCGGTTCTTTGACGAAGCACCACCATCCCATCCCCTCTTCAGTCATGTTTTGGCAGAAACACTCCAAACACTGCCATCCACTCGTCTATCACTACGCAGCGATACGCCTTGATCCCACATCTCTGGTCGAACATCTGCAAGATCCCATCGCCCTCGCTGATGCGGCCAAATTACAAACAAAACGTACCTAGCATACATCACTACGGCCAGTGGCCCGTTTTGCTTCTGCATGCATGACATTTACTCTCCTTGACTCAGTCCATGGGTTTCGAGGACGGCTACTTTAAGTATGCCATGAGCCTTGTGGGTAGCGAACCCCCGCCGCATATGACGGAGCGGTTCCGTGGACTGGAGACGAGCGCTCCAATCTCGCCTAACAAGACCCATCCAGCAGGGAGAGAGCCTCTCATCACGGACCCCGATCCATTCCCCTTTCCCACCTGCTTCCACTGGCCACCTGTCCCTCACGGGATATCGGTTTCCCAGACTCGAGTGATCCGGGGGCCGTGCCGAGTCTCCTTGACTCAAAATCCCACCCACCCCCAACTATTAGTTAAACTACAGGGTGCTTTCCTTGCAGGGAAGTATTCGACGCCTCTACTAAGTATGGCATATGTCCAGTCTCCCCCCGTATGTTTTCCCCGCCCGGCCCCGTGATGTCCCGAGTCCCGACCCCTCCGCCATCAGAGCCCCGCCCCTCCTACGTCATTTCCCGCGCCGGCGCCGCGCGCTCTGCCGACTGCCGCCCCATCACTGCTCCGGCATGCCCGGACACCGGCGCCCCGTGCCCCACCACCCGTGCTCGTCGTCCCCAACAGCGAGCTCGCTGTCCCTGCACCCTGCCTCCCCCTCCCCTCCGTTTCCCTCCGTTCTTTTTGCAATCTACTTGTATTTCAAATGCGCACCTAATGACACACAATGCAATAGCTACACTTGCCTGAGTGTGCCTGCACTGAGCCCATATACCCCCCAAAATGCGTGCAATATAGGAACATATACAAGCATTCAATTGATCGGCCAAGTTCTGCAACATGTAGTTGTAGATGAGAGCTGCTCTAGTATAAAATCGCAGGTGGATAGCTAGAGGGGTGCAGGTATGATGTCATATGTTATTTCAGAATGACATACTTCACAGTGACATGGTATATACATGTATCGTCTTATATACACCCAGAATCTTACCTAGAGATCATTCGGAGCGCATCGAAAGAAGAAGCAAGTGAATAGATGATGTTTTGGTGAAGATGTGATATGTGTTCAGAAGGGGGTATTGCATTGAAAATGCGGCCTTCATATGTTCTTGTGCAGACCTCTGATCACTTTACATCTTGTTGCATTACGTTCATATGTATGTGGAAAGCTCAGATCGTCAGTTTGGTGCTTATCGGTGAAGGGTTGAACACAGGCCATGGTATGTCATTATTCTATGACATAGAGTATAGCGATATGACATGTGCTCCGATTATTATTCTGAAAATCGGAATATAACGGGGTGCGCTTCTGCTAAACGATACAGAAGGAATATTGAAAAACGGTTGAGAAGTGGTTGAGATATGTCAGATGGGTCTAGAGTGGCAAGTTGTCCAGAGGACGCCCTTGAACCACCTACAGCACTTTGCGCACTCTGGGCTCGCCTGGCATATCTCAACCACTTCTCAACCGTTTTTCAATATTCCTTCTGTATCGTTTAGCAGAAGCGCACCCCGTTATATTCCGATTTTCAGAATAATAATCGGAGCACATGTCATATCGCTATACTCTATGTCATAGAATAATGACATACCATGGCCTGTGTTCAACCCTTCACCGATAAGCACCAAACTGACGATCTGAGCTTTCCACATACATATAAACGTAATGCAACAAGATGTAAAGTGATCAGAGGTCTGCACAAGAACATATGAAGGCCGCATTTTCAATGCAATACCCCCTTCTGAACACATATCACATCTTCACCAAAACATCATCTATTCACTTGCTTCTTCTTTCGATGCGCTCCGAATGATCTCTAGGTAAGATTCTGGGTGTATATAAGACGATACATGTATATACCATGTCACTGTGAAGTATGTCATTCTGAAATAACATATGACATCATACCTGCACCCCTCTAGCTATCCACCTGCGATTTTATACTAGAGCAGCTCTCATCTACAACTACATGTTGCAGAACTTGGCCGATCAATTGAATGCTTGTATATGTTCCTATATTGCACGCATTTTGGGGGGTATATGGGCTCAGTGCAGGCACACTCAGGCAAGTGTAGCTATTGCATTGTGTGTCATTAGGTGCGCATTTGAAATACAAGTAGATTGCAAAAAGAACGGAGGGAAACGGAGGGGAGGGGGAGGCAGGGTGCAGGGACAGCGAGCTCGCTGTTGGGGACGACGAGCACGGGTGGTGGGGCACGGGGCGCCGGTGTCCGGGCATGCCGGAGCAGTGATGGGGCGGCAGTCGGCAGAGCGCGCGGCGCCGGCGCGGGAAATGACGTAGGAGGGGCGGGGCTCTGATGGCGGAGGGGTCGGGACTCGGGACATCACGGGGCCGGGCGGGGAAAACATACGGGGGGAGACTGGACATATGCCATACTTAGTAGAGGCGTCGAATACTTCCCTGCAAGGAAAGCACCCTGTAGTTTAACTAATAGTTGGGGGTGGGTGGGATTTTGAGTCAAGGAGACTCGGCACGGCCCCCCGGATCACTCGAGTCTGGGAAACCGATATCCCGTGAGGGACAGGTGCCACTGGCCCGAAACCCGTGTTATATACCGCATCAAGCGGTGTGCGTCCGGATGGGACTTCCACGGCGCATATGGTCTTCCAGCGTCGTCTGTCCTGCAGCTGGAGGATTACTGGATTAGCGACCAGAATGCTATACATGCCGCGATGATAGCGGCGAAGACAAAACAGGAGGGGGATGAGATCGGGCATCCGGCACGTGCGTTCATGGCTGATATTGCCATATTACCATCGTGACTGACTAGTCACGATAGACACGCTCATGGAGACGGAGGAAACTTCATACCCGAATCCCCCCACTGGGCCATTGGACCACTCCGAATCACTTGAAGCACATCCTGACGCAATCTTTCAGTCCCTCGAGCTGGAAGCGCCCCCACGGTCTCCACCATATGAAGAGTTCTCCGCAACACCCTCACCAGTACCAGCAACGTCACGGTCGTGTTCATTCGATTCTGGCTATTCAACGCCTTCTGGTGCAGGGGTACTGCCACAGGACAACTCAGATGTGGAGTCGGAGGCCGACAGCACTGTTTACTATCTTGCGCCCATCATCAACTTTTCATACGATATCCGTCGTGCCTTCAAGAAGACATCTATCCCCCGCCCAGACGAGATGTGGGGGGAGCTGGAGCAGCTTAAACAGTAAGTATCATGCGATCATGTGGAGTTATACCGCCAACATTGTCCCGTAGAATCATCGAGGCGTCTCTCTTGCGCAAAGCCCAATCATCAACGAATGCCACTTCGACGGCCGCCAATTCATCGGGCATGCCACTCAAAGTCGATGTTGCCACTACTGCCAAAAAAGTCGTCGATGGCGGCCCGATGTCAAACAAGATCTCTCCACCCACTTCGAAGGGTACGAATCTATACTTTCATACACCGACTCTGATGACTCACGCCATGCTCAGAGAAGTTCATGCGATGTGCATTCATTCGGGTCAAAGGTTTCCTTAACTTTGTGCTTTCTAAGTAGACCTCAGACAGTCCTGTAGCGTTTCTGGTAGTTCATCAAACGTTCACAATACCTCCCCCATGTGTAGAACTCGGTGTATACTCTTCCTTGGCAGTCAAGCACGTGCCGCGATCCGCACAATGTCACCAGTGAGGACGTGTTTTGTATTAATTCGAGAGGTGAGCCGAAGGTAATGATTACTACGGGTGGCTGGGGTACGGGGTCGGGAGGGAATAGTGAAAAAGCTGAGGTGGGCAGCTGGTCACTGGACCAGGCCCGACGATGGCGTGGAGGGGGCATCTGGGATACCCAAGTAGATGCTCGTCCAAGATGGACGAGGTTGCCTGGTCGCCCTCGATCATGAGGAGCTATGGCGATAATTGGAGAAGGAGTGACAAGCGCGGAGGCTGCGCGTGAGGCCAAGACGAGGCGCAGGAGGCCGACGCGGAGGGCGGCACGGACGCGGGCAGAGAGAGGTAGCGCGGAGGTGGAGGGGACGCGGAGGGCTGGACAACGCGGAAGGCCCCCGGGAGGAGGTGGAGGTGGGCGGAGGAGGGCGAGGTAGAGGAGGGCTGCTCGGGCGGAGGCGGGCGACGCGCGCAGGTGCTGTGGGCAGAAGAGGGCGAGGCGGAGAGCTGGGACGAGACGGACAAGGGGGACGGCGGCGCGGACACGGAGGAGGCGGACACGGGCAGCGACACGGGAGAAAGTCTGGGACGAGCCGGAGGTGGGCGACGTGGTGGTGAATGGGACGGACGAGGACGATGACGAGGGCGATGTGTTGAGGCCTTGAAGGGCCTTGAGGGGCAGTTGGTAGTGTAGTGGTGAGAGGGAAAGCAGATATCGGACAGACGCCAGATCGGGGATCTCCGACGAGTCCAGTTGCGTCGCCTCGACCACGTTCCTCCTCCTCCCACCCGGACGCTGCCATCCCCCGTGCCGCAGGCTAACTTAAGGGGACCTGATTGATGTGAGGTCCACCTCTTTCGCGTCGTCCGAGCGTAACCTCTCCAAACGCCCTGCTGGGCGCTAAGCAACCTCTTTCATTCCGCATATCTCTTGCCTGCTGATGATAATCAACTTCCCGTGGTGCAAACTTGGTGCGTTCAAACCACCCAAAGCGAGGCCAACTCAGTTGAATGCAATGGCACACTCACGACCCATCTATCAAAGCGTTCTACAGGATGAAGTCGCTACGATGTCCGCAGGAGGGTCACTAATGTCAATATCTTCACGATCGGCCGGGCAAACGCAGGGGAGGTCTGCTGCCATGGTGAAGAAATGGTGCTGAGATCAAGTGTGAAGGGTCAAAGGTCAGTCTCGGTGCGTTCTTAGTACCCAGTCAGCCTCGGCGCGTTCTGACCCAGCCAGCCTCTTCTGTTTCGCCATACAACTCCAGACTCGTCTTCCACTCTCGTCCAGTGCTTCCCATTTCCTTCTTTCATCGCTTCATCCTACACTCCCCCTAGCACTACGAGTAATCGATAAGCCTCCCTCTGCCGCCATGGTCTCGACCCCTCCTTCGACGCCTCAGAGACGGTCTCGCTCAGCTCAGGTTATGACTCCGTCCCCGGTCAACCCGTTGGTATACGTGCAGCAGGCCCCTCCCGATGGGTCAACACACACTTCAGCGCTGGCGCTATCACCCCTCCCGTCTTCAATCCCTTCTTCCCCTTGGCTCCGACTTCTACGCCCATCGACTACTTCCACCCTTCCTTCATCCCGGATTCCGCCCTCCTCGCGCAGCAGGAGATGGCTTTGCTTTCTTTGCAGCACCAGCAACTGGCTTTGCAACGAGCGATGCAGCAACAGCAGCTTCACATGGCTCAGCAGCAGAACACCTTCTTCCAGCCTACCCTTAGCTATCCCTTACCCTCCCCTGCGACTCAGCTCGGACCGCATGGCACGGACTGCATCCCCGTTCAGACAACTCTGCTCCCCTCTGGCCCGCCAATGACCGCGATCAGAGATCTTAGCTCGTCTTCTGGCTCGTCTTCGCCGCCGTCTGTGGAGGAAGCAGAGGCAATCGTCGACGCGGTGCGTCTAACCCCCACCAAGCCTCGGCTGCGTCGTATCCCCCAAGCGTGCGAAGCGTGTAGGAAGAGGAAGGGAAAGGTGTGTGCGCTATAAGACTCGTAGGCTCCGTATCCATCCTCACGTGCATTCGCAGTGTGACGGCGTCCGCCCGGTCTGCACGCGCTGCAAGGAACGTAGCCTCGAGTGCGAATACGTACTGGACCATCGCGCGAACAAAACCAAGTCCCGACTCGTGAAGTTCCTCGAGGCCGGGCCTCCCTCGCGCACTACAGATGAATGCCCGGCCCCCGCCTCGTCGACCATGCTACTATCCCTGCTGGACCTTGCGTGGTTGTCTCGCCCTCTTCTCCGAGATCCCTCTTGCCGTTCAGACAGCCCACTTGAAGCCCGTGTTCCAAGTCATATCGCCGGAGTATGCGACGCCCGTGAGAGAGGTTCGTGCTCTTCGAGCCGCGAACAAGGGCAAATCACCTGCAACGCAATCCCAAGATATCCGAGAGTGGGCCAGGTGTGTCATTTGCATCAATATCTCTCTCATCCCATCTGATTTGCACCTGTGTAGGCTGTCTGCCATCTCCGACCGACTCGACGGCCATCCTCTCAACAAGCCCGTGGTGGCCCCGATGTCCATTGCGATGAAGCTAGGACTCGTACCCAAGGACCCTCGCGAGCAACTGCCGAGCGGAGCGCGGGAACACTGTGGATCGCCATCCCCGCCCATCGACCAGTCATTGTCCACTATGAGTTCTAGTGTCCCGTCGCGCCTCAGGACGCCTGCCGTCTACACTTGCGATCCAATGGGGACACCGCCAAACGTTTCTGACTTGGTCGCTAGGCTCGAGAAGCTTTCTCCGAAGGGCCAGACCATCCCGCAGCCGCCCCTAGCGCGCTCTTATGCTTCCTGCGGATTTGAACAGTATCTTCCAGGAGGAACGTCTCTCGAGTGCTCCTCGCGCGACCTCGGGGGGAGCCCGGACACGTTCCTATCGCCGACCATGTTGGGCCCATTCCCCGGCAATCTAGTCCCATCCTCGGCGAGCAAGACGGGTCTCGACCTTCCTTCGTGCGCGAGTTCGTCCTCCGACGATCTCAGCTCGCAGGCCGTGGAGTGCGACCTTGGAGACATCGCGTTCAACACCTTGGAGGACACGTTCTCCCTGAACGACTAGTCATTTATCACCTCGTCGTCTAGACCACGATCCACGTTATAGTCCGAGCTTAATAGACAGGTCATATTTGTACACGGCGCCCTATCTGAGTTTGACTATGCTGCCAGTGGCTTCGTATGAGTCCTAATTGGGTGCGACGTGTGCATTGAAGTCGTGTGGGCGCGACTTGGCGGAGAATGGTACAAGGCGCATGGGGACGCTCACGTAAGGGGCGGAGACGGAGGACAGACGATCGGCGTAGCGACGTTTGCTCCTGTCCTGCCGTCCCACCCAAATACGCTCACCCCAGATGTGGCTCTCGACCTCGACCCCCTCTCCCCACCACGCCCAGCCAGCCAACCGTTATGGTGTCCAATGCTGCCCTTCCTTCGTCCGTGCCTGAGTCGTCGCAGCCGCCGGGCCTTGCGAAGGAGATTCCGATCTTCGAGTTCACGAAGAGGAAGCGGTGGGCTGACCTCCTCGTCACCGAACTCAACGACACCATCATCCTCGTCCTCTCCGAGACCGGCGAGGTCTGGTACTGCGGCAACGCGGTTACGGAGCTGCTCGGATGGCGCGACGACGAGCTGGTGGACACAGAGCTCCTGGACCTCGTGAACGGTGCGCGTCCCTCTTCCATCCATCGCACTCCTCCCCAGCTCAGACGGGCTTCCCTTCGCGCCGCGCAGCGGACGACCGCGACAACTTCCGCGCGGCGTTCACCGAGAGCATCCACGGCCGCTCGGAGATGCTCACGTACGCGCGCATCCAGTGCAAGAACGAGTTCTACGTCGCAAACGACTTCACCTCCGCGCCGCGCGAAATCCTCTTCGAAATAAAGGGCCGTCCGCACCATCTGCCGGACACCGGCGAGTTCAAGTGCTACTTCGCGATGGCCCAGCCCTATCCGAGCCGAAACACGGCCATGTACGTCGTCCCTTGCCCGTGCTCGCGCGTATACCGACCCGGTCGGCGTTCGACAGGTTGAACACGTTCCTCGAGCTCAAGATGGAGAACGAGCGACTGCAGCAGCGTGTCGCGCAGCTGCGTTCCCAGTCTCAAGCTATCGACGGGATAAGCGAGAGCCCGTTCACCTCGTCCGACAACTTCGGCGGCACAGACCCTTCGCGACCTTCGTTTGAGCCGGGTATGCCCCCAGAGCTCGATGACGATGGTCCCCGAAAGAAGGTGAGTCCACATTGCGTCTCCTGACCGACTTCCGCTGACTTGTGTTCTTTCAGTCGAAGCGTTTAGCTGCAGAACAGCATGTCTGCGTTACATGTGGCCGGACCGATTCTCCGGAATGGCGAAAGGTGGGCTGAATGTTCGATACTATAGAACCCCTTGGCTGACATTCTGCGTCTTAGGGTCCCATGGGTCCCAAGACACTGTGTAACGCATGTGGGCTGAGGTGGGCGAAGAAGGCGCGGAAGACGGGCGAAGGCGATGGAGACGGTGACCCGGCCAGTGGCTCGGCTATAATCTTCTGAAGTACTTGTGAGCTCCGTTGTTCCGGCGGTTGTGATGATGTGTACGATGCCGATGTTCTTGCTCCGCATGCGACCTTGTCCGAACAGGCTGTGTGCTCGTCCTTGGTCCGTTGCTCTGGGTCCACGAAGCGCCCACATGCATTCTCAAGTAATCGATAGCTCGGAGTCCACTCCCTCTCCCCCTCCCCGTCCACCCCCGCCAAGCGCGACGAACCTTCGGTGGACGAACTGCCCATCTCCGTCTCGACGATCGCCCTTGGCGGAAAGCACACACACAAGCGCTCATACGACGCCTATAGCCATGGACCCGGACCCGCACGTCGAGCAAACGTCCCCGCACAACTGGAAGTACATCGCCGAAGGCGGCTCGACCATCGTCTTTTCCTACTCCGGCAGCCCCAGCCCCGCGTTCGACGACACCGCGCTCCGCCTGCGCAAGGGTCCGGTCTCGAACGGGGACTTGCCCGTGCTCCTCGACGATGACGACGACGCCGAGGATCCGAATGTGGCGGAGGAGGCGGACGACCCGACGATTGTGTTCCAGCGCGAGGTCATCGAGCGGCTCGTGCCCAAGGAACACCTCCCGCGCCTTGAGCCGGTGCGCGTCGCTCGCGGGTGGCTTCTCAGGCTGGCGGCGCAGACGGAGCCCTGAGGCCCCTGGAGCGGCGGAAGAAGGACACGATCGACATTGGGCGGAGGAAGGCGGTGCTTGCGACGGACCTCGTGGGCGGACACGGCTGGGCGGTCGAGATCAAGGTGCGTCCCGGTCGTTGGCCCGAGCGCGAATACGTCCTCAAACTGCGCCTCCTTTGCTCGCGATTTCTGGCCATCTTGCCGTGCAGCCCAAGTGGGGCTTCCTCCCTTCCCCTACACACCTCTCCTCCGAGACGCGCGAGGTCAAGACGCGCACCTGCCGCTTCTGCATGCACGCGCACCTCAAGCGCGCCCAAGGCGCGGACGCGTCGCTGGGCTACTGCCCGCTCGACCTCTTCTCGCCAGACCCGGATCGCGTCGGTGCCGCGCTCGCGCGCCTCTGGGACGCGTGGACGGAGAGTCGCGGCGCGGTGAACAACCTCCGCGTCTTCGTGGGCGGCCACCGCGTCACCCCGAGCGACGACGTGCGTACACCCCTCCCGCTTGCTCGCGGGCCGCTGCCTGTATGCTCACCCGTTCGCATCCCCCCAGCCCGCCTCGCTCGCGCCCCTGGCCGCGCTCCTCGACCCGCCCTCGCCCTCGTCGCACGCGCACACGTACCTCGCGCCCGACCCCGCCCCCGTCCGCGCCGCGCTCCTCGCCGCGCTCCAGCCCGCGCTCCTCCGCACGCCCGTCCTCCGCACGCTCGCGCGCCTCCAGCGCACGCTCGACGCGCTCGACGTCGAGGGCCTCGCCGCGCTCTGGGCCGCGCACCGTCCCGGCCGCACGGCGCTCGGCGCGGGCGAACGCGAGCCGGACGTCGACGACTGGGCCGCGTTCGTCGGCGCGTACCTCGAGCGGTACGGCGCCCCGGACGCCCCGGTGGCCGCCGTGGAGCCGGGGGACACGGCGACACTCGTCGCCGGGGGCGAGGCGGGGGAAGTGGAGCGCGAGCTGCGGTTCCGGCTGATGGCGTACCTGCTCTCCGCGTCGTTCAAGGACTGCTCGATCATCGTCAGGTTCCGGCCAGACGGGGCGAGCGAGGGCGGGTGGGACGCGAGTGTGACGGTGATTGACCTGGACGTGAAGAGCATCGACAGGCTGCCGAAGTGGGCGAAGCTGGACAGGGAGATTGTGGAGGCGTATATGGATGTCGAGCCCAAGGATTGCAAGGATGTGTAGATACGCAGCAGCGGAGACAGAGGGATGCACTCTTATGCGCTTGTCCCATGGCTATCACGATAACTTGTGTGCTTCTCCTCATATGCCTGTCGCATGGATGGGAAGCAAAGTGCACAACTGTCATCAAGGACCGCATGCACAGCACATGCACATTTTGGTATAAGTAATAGTAGCCTACGTTACAATAGAGACCGGTTCGTTGGGGTAGGCGAGAGAAAAAAGGGAGGGCGTAGAGACAGCGAGGTAAGCATAGCGACGGTGCAATGTCCCAACGAATAGGCAAGGAGCGGCAGTAAGATACGTCTATGTGAGCTTTGAGAAAGAGACAAGGTGAGCGAGAATATTTCTATCCAGTTGTCCACTCCCACTAGACCATTGAAGAAAGGAGCGACATGACCAACGGAAAGACAGCAGCAGCAGCAACGCGCAGTTGTACTTTGGCACATCCGAGACATTTAGATGATGCAGTAGCCACCGTCAACACGAATCTCACTGCCAGTCATGAAGCGCGACGCGTCGCTAGCGAGGAAGACAATGGCGCCGGAGAGGTCCTCAGGGTCACCCATCTGGAAAGCGCGTCGTGTGGTGAGCCAGCTTGCTCGGAATAGGTGAGACTGCAGGCACTCACCCGACCCATTGGCGTCAAACTTTCCCAAGTCCTCTGACGTGTGGAGCCCCAAGATCAGCAGATGACTTCAGGCACAAACGAATGGACAACTAGCGCACCTTGAGCTCTTGGTCGTGGGCGAGAATGGTGCGGGTAAGCTTGGTGAGCATGTAGCCCGGGCTACAGACACGGTGTGAGCATTCCGGGACTCCAGGAGCGTGCTGGGGACGCGCACCTGAGTGTGTTGACGCGCACTCCGCTCTTGGCCCATTCGACGCCGAGCGACGCCGCCATGTGCTTGACGGCTGCGGGGACGAAACATGTCAGGCAGAACCGCCGCAAGGTTGACTTGGATGGACGCACCGGCCTTGGCCGCGTTGTAGGGCGTTTGCGGCTGCGGGATGTTGACAATCTGGAGTGGAGTGCGGGGCATCAGCCGAGCCGGCGCAGACGATCACATCGGGGCGCGGGGCACTAACGTTGGCGCTCATGCTCGCGACGAGGACGATGCTCCCGCCGCCCAGGGGGATCATGTTGCGCGCCGCCTCACGCGCGGTGAAGAACGCGCCGTGGACGTTGATGTCGTACAGCCGCTTGATGCGGTCGAAGGGGTAACTGAGAACAGGCGGGCGCGCGTCAGCATCTGGGAATCTACGGGCGGAGCATGCGAGCGCTGTACGTACTCGAATGCGGAGTAGTTTTCAACGATTCCTGGAAGTCGCCGACAGCGGTGGGGCAAAGTGAGGAACGCGCACGCTGTCAGACGGTGGGCATGACGCACCCGCTGACGCGACGACCGAGTCGACGCGGCCGTAGGTGTCCATGACGCGCCGGAACGCCTGGTGGACCGAGATCTCGGACGAGACATCGCAGCCGATGCCCATTACACGGTAGTCGCTGGGTTCCATGGGACTGTCAACTTCACACCTTATCAGCATTCTGTCGCATCTCAGCGGGGATGGGGCGCAGGAACGCGTTTAAATAACGTGAGGGCGGAAGGAAGATACTGACCGCATGCAGCCTTGACGAGCTCGGCGGCGGCCTCCTCCGCCTCTTCCTCCTTGAGGTCGACGATGGCGAGGTTGGTGCAGCCCGACTGCACGAAGGCGCGGCAGAACTCATAGCCAAGGCCCCGGGCGGCGCCGGTGACGACGGCGACCTGTGTGAGGGCGGAGTAAGCGGATGCACTGGGGAGCAGGTGAAACGATGCGGGGGATGACGCGGACCTTGTTGGCCATGGAAAAGTCCGGGAGGGTTTTGACGACGCGCGCCTTGGCGGCGACAGCGTTGAGATCGGCGGGTGTGCTGGGGGCGTCGGTGCTGTTGAACCGTGCGCGGACGAGGAGGGTGACCCGGGGGGCACGAGCGAAGGTGCGCGAGGCGGAGGGGAGGGCGCTGCGGGCAAGCAGGGTGGGGGCCATGGCGTGAGGTGGAGGTGGGAGAGGGAGAGAGGCAACGGGGCGCGAGCGTCGAATTTATTGGAGCGGGAGGGGCCGTGTCGCAGTTTCGTCCCGCGGGAGGCAGTCAGGCGAGCAGCGCGCCCCGCTCGCTTTCCCCGCACGCCCGCCGGCTCTCTCCACGCCCCCGCCATTGGCTAGGACCCCCGAAAGCGCCTATAGTAGGCCCGCCGCTAGACGCCCACTTTTTCGACTTTCATGTCCGGACAATTTGGGGGTCGGTGTCCGGACAAACCGGCGACCATCCGGGCGCGGGTCTCCACCGTGTCCGGACTTTCGGCGGTCATATAGGCATGTAAGGACGCTTGTATTCGTGCAAAAACCGCGTTTTCTGAGCATACATGTACTCTTTCATGCTGACTCTCTTCAAAAAAGGACGCATTACTCCTCCGTCGCATCGTCGACGTTGTCGACGGCGTGCTGGCCCTTTAGATGCGGTGTTTTCACTGTTACCTATGAGACTGGATGCAGCGTCTCCCTTCCAGCGCACTTGTCGCTCAGTGCCAGTGCCCGCTCCGCGGTCTATATTCTGCTCACACAATACGTGGTAGTACTTGGCCAGGATCTGGCTTCGCAACGACTTGGGACTGGCCGATCTTGAGTCGTCCTGTGTGTCGGCGATCAAGGTTCGTGTGTGCACTCCATCTGCCTCTTGCCAGTTGACGAGATGCTTGAGCTCGAGTTGTGTTGCCTTCAAGACTGGAAGAGAGAGGGAAGGGAAGGATGCTGGACTGAGAGTGGACTGAGATCTTGTCGCGACGGGTGCAACGTCAGAAGAGGGGCAGTGGCCACAATGGCCGTCTCCCTTCTCCTCCTCCGCGTCCTCCGCATTGCCCACCTCCGGCTCGCCCGCCTCCGCGTCGTCCACTTCTGCGCGCGTCGCCCACCTCTACACTGTCCACCGCATCGCCCGCCTCTGCCCGCCTCGCTCGCCTCATCCTCGCCCTCCTCCGCAGATATCGCCCGCATCCGCATCGCCCTCCTCCGCCCGCGCTGCCCTCCTCTGCGTCATCCTCCTCTGCCCGTGCTGCTCTCCTCCGCATGTCTCCGCGCGCGTTGCCCACCTCCTCTGTGTGCGTCGCTCGTATCCGCGGCGCGCGCTGCCCTTCTTCGCCGCCGCCTCCTCCTCCTCCTCCCACGAGCACTCGGCGTCACTCGCTTCTGTGTTGCCCTCCTCCGCGCGTGTCGCCCCTCCGCGTCGCCTACCTGCGCAATGCGCGTCACCCGCCTGCGCATCGTCCATGTGATGGTCGCGCAAAGGGCAGAGACGCGAGGACAAAGAATAATGCGTTGATCGCTGTCGTGAGACAATGTAAGGCTGGAAGCTATATACTACTGTAGACAGGAGCTTGCAGAAGACCTAGAATCACGGAGACGGTCATGGGAATGGCGTAGAGTAATACAGTGGAGAACATGAGTCGAAGGCCAAGAGAACGTACAGTAATAGGAGCGTCGTGAATAGCAGAAAAGAGTATGCAGATAGCGGAACGCGTGGATAGCATCGGCGCGAGCAGATAGCGATGCGTGGGCGCGCATATGGACTATGGCCAGGCCCATGACACCATCCCCTCTTCAAGGAGCAGCATCAGAGGTCGAGGCGAAGTGGCGGTCTTGAGATGCGGCCAGCGCGAGTGGTCGTGCGCGCGGGCGGCACGTAGTTGTCGACGAGATTGATGCGTGGGGCCGGTGGCGGCGATGGCGAACACGGAGACACCTGAGGTGCGCGCGCGACGATTTGAGAGAGCGGGGGAGGAGGCGAAGGTGACGCGCGCGCGGGCGCGATTGACGTGATAGCGCTAGCTGGAAAGGAAGAAATTTTGTCGAATATAATGGGGTGAGGGCGCGGTGCACGCGGGTGACGACGATGAAACCGTTCGACGAGCTCGTGAACCGCATCGTCAAATGGAAGGTCGCAGAGCGCGAGCCAAACACGTTCATCGAAAGAAGGGGAATGCATGAAGGAGACAAGATAATCGTAGCGCTTACCGATGCGCCTACAGTCGTGTATCTCCGCGATCGTTGTCGACGGATCTTCAGGTAATTGCAGGCATGCGGGTTGAGCGTGTGCGTGAAACTCGGAGGGATCGTGGTAGGGCTCGAGAAGAGCGGTGTTGAATACGGGATGAAGGCGCGAGAGGTACGGAGGCAATCGAAGCTCGTACGCAGATGGCCCAATCTTGCGTCTGATGGGGAAGGGACCGAGACGGCGGTGATCGAGTTTGTCGGATGGTCGGGTGGTGGTGATATTGCGGCGAAGCAACCAGACAAGTCGTCCGACAGGATAGTCGGGGTCAGGAATAGCGCGAAGATCATGATACTTAGCTTGAATGCATTGGGCGTTGGCGAGCTCAGCGCGCAGTTCGGCGTGTACGATGTCGAGACGCTGTGCAAGGTCGGCAGCAGCGGGAACATTGGAAGGCGCAGTGAGTGAAGGCTGAAAGGTGGGATGGTAGCCGAGGTTTGCGTAGAATGGGGATTGACAAGTTGAAGTGTTTTCGAGATTGTTGAAAGCGAATTCTGCAAGAGGAAGGTAATCGACCCAGTCATCCTGCTGATAGGACGTGTATGCGCGAAGGTACGTTTCGAGAGTCTGATTAGTACGCTCCGTGAGACCATCTGTCTGCGGATGATATGCAGTGGAAGGTTTGAGATCGATCTGCAAAGACGAAGCAATAGCGCGCCAAAAATGAGAAACAAAAACGCTGCCGCGGTCAGAAACTATGGAGTCAGGAAGACCGTGGTAGCGAAAAACGCGATCGAGAAAGAGGGAAGCAAGAGCGGGAGCGTCAATAGTCTCATTACAAGGAAGGAAATGCGCGGCGCGCGTGAGTCTGTCACAGATAACCAAAATGGAATCATACCCGTGTGAGCGCGGTAGCTTGACGATGAAATCCATCGTGATAGCGCGCCAAGGACGGTCGGGGATTTCGAGAGGCTGGAGTAGACCGAATGGCTTGTGTCGCGGTGTCTTGATACGAGCGCACGTATCGCACGCCTCGCAGTACCGACGGACATAAGTCGTGACGCCAGGCCACGAATAGTCGCGCGAAACGAGAGCGAGGGTGCGCGTGCGGCCAGGGTGACCAGCAGCGGGGATGTTGTGGCGGGCATGCAGAATATCAGAACGAAGAGAAAAGGGAACATACAAGCGGCCTTTGTGAAAAACGAGATCCTTTTGAACGGAGAAGTCGTCATCTCCTCGCGCGACGGCCTCGCGCCAAACATCATCGGACGCGAAAGCGGCTTGAAAACGCGCAAGAAGATCTGCGTTGTCAAGAGAAATCACGGTAAGTGCAGCCTGAGCAGACAGAGACGACACCGAAAGGGATGATGTGTGCCTCTCTGTGAGGAGCGTTTGATGCTGTCCTGTCAGGACATCATCCCCTCTTCGAGGGACGAAGTCCGCGCGTCGTGACGGCGCGTCAGCGATGTTCGCGGAACCGGGCGCCCAATTGAGGTGGAAGTCGTAGTCGGAAAGAAACATTGACCAACGTGCTTGGCGACGGTTGAGAGGTTGGGTTTGCATGAAGTATTCGAGGTTGCGGTGATCGGAAATGACAGTGATGGGGTGTGGTGAGCCGAGGAGCCATGCACGCATGTCGCGGAACGTGTCGACGATGGCGAGAAGCTCCTTGTCGTGGACTTCGTAATTGATCTCAGCGGGCGAGAGCTTGCGAGAGAAGAAGCCGACGGGATGAAGGGAGCCAGAATCGTCAGGTTGCTGGAGAACGCCGGCAATCGCAAAGTCGGAGGCGTCGGTGATGACAGTGCAAGGGCGGTGGGGGGAAAAGTGTTGGAGGACAGGTGCGGTGACGAAAGCGTCCTTGAGCGCGGCGAACGCAGCGCGCGCGGGGTCGTCGAGGTGAAAGGGTTGGGGAGAGGAAGAAGGCTTGGTGAGTAGGGTGAGAGGAAGAACGATACGCGAGAATGCGGGAATGAAACGACGATAGAAATTGGCAAACCCTAAAAACGATTGAACGTCTTTGATAGACGCAGGTTCTGGCCAATCAGTAATGGTGTCGAGCTTGTGTGGGTTCATGCGAACACCGTCAGCACTGATAATAAACCCAAGAAACTCAACGGCAGTCTTATGCCACTCGCATTTGCGCGGGTTGGCATAGAGCTTTGCACCGCGAAGCTTGTCGAGGATAAGACGAACATGTCGTTCGTGCTCTTCAGGTGAAGCTGAAAAGATCAGAATGTCGTCAAGATAAACGACGCAAAAGATATCCAGATACTCGTGCAGCACATCTTGGATGAAGGATTGGAAGGCAGCGGGCGCGTTTGTGAGACCGTACGGCATCACCAGATGCTCGAACAGGCCGAGTGGCGTCCGAAACGCTGTCTTCCATTCATCGCCCTCCTTAATACGTACGTGGGAGTAGGCGGACTTGAGATCGAGTACCGAAAACATCTTGGATCCTTGAACACGGTCGAGGAGATCGTTGACAAGAGGAAGGGGGTAGCGATTCTTGCGAGTGATGGTGTTGAGACCACGGAAGTCGACACAGAGGCGAAGTTCGCCGGTCTTCTTGCGCGTGAACAGAACGGGCGCAGCGGCAGAGGACGTGGAGCGACGGATGTGACCACGCTTGAGGTTGTCGGCAAGGTGCTTTGCAAGGGCGTCGCGTTCGTCGATACCAAGGCGGTAGAGCGGACCAAAGGGTGGTGAGGTGTCGGGATCGAGATTGATATCGACGTCGTAAGGACGGTGTGGGGGGAGATGGTCGAATTCTGCAGGGTTGAATACAGAGTCTTGGTAGGTACGGTACTGCGGCGGGATGGACTCTCGAATAGTGTCCCACTCGGCGGGGTCCGCGACGGCATCGTAGTGAGTGCGAAACGCGTCGGAGAGGTCGGAGGAGACCGCGCGGGTAGTGGGGTCGAAAGAGAACGAAGAAAGTACGCACGTAGGATCGTCGCGAATGGCCTTGAGAAATTTCTTGGCTGAGAGCGTCCGAATATGGCGTCGGCATGGCGGCGTGCGAGGAATCGGGGATTGGGGGCGACCGAAGCCATCCGAACCCGAACGGAGAAGCGAGGGGCGACCGGAGCCATCCAACGCGTCGATGGACGAAGAGGCGACATGGGAGTGGGGGATCGCGGCCGCGTGGAGCGACGTTGAGACGTCGTCCGGAGAGAGTGCGGGGATCTTGAGGGAAGCGATCAAACTGTGATGGTCGCGCAAAGGGCAGAGACGCGAGGACAAAGAATAATGCGTTGATCGCTGTCGTGAGACAATGTAAGGCTGGAAGCTATATACTACTGTAGACAGGAGCTTGCAGAAGACCTAGAATCACGGAGACGGTCATGGGAATGGCGTAGAGTAATACAGTGGAGAACATGAGTCGAAGGCCAAGAGAACGTACAGTAATAGGAGCGTCGTGAATAGCAGAAAAGAGTATGCAGATAGCGGAACGCGTGGATAGCATCGGCGCGAGCAGATAGCGATGCGTGGGCGCGCATATGGACTATGGCCAGGCCCATGACAGTCCACCTCCTCCGCCAGCGTACCACCCACCGCATCGCCCTCTCTCTGCGTCACCCTCCTCTGCGTCGCCCTCCACTGCGTCAACCTCCTTCACTTCCGCGTTGTCGCGGGGCCACGGCGAGCTACCGTGGCCCCATTCTTACTTGCTAGCACTCCTTTGTAATAGCTTGATAACAAATACATTTTAATCACTAACCATATACAAAAAGTGTGGTCTAAAACAAAGAGGGAGGTGAGCTCACTGTCTGAGACGGTGAGCTCGGGTGGCAGCGCCCGAGGCGCCGGTTTTCGGACATGTCGGGGCAGCGTCGCGCCCATGTGGCCGGCCGGCGGCGGGTGCGCTGGGAAGCGGCGGCGACGTAGCTACGTATGTAGTCCATCCCATAAAAGGTCGATCAAAGCGAGCATTAGTTGGAATTGTAGGATTGTTATTTGGATCATCAATGTCTGAATAGATTATCTACGACGAATGGCAGCGCCCTCTGCCAGCCTCTGCCAGCCTCCGGAGTCCGGACCCTCCCGAAGCATGTCCGGATTCCGGACAGTCCCTGAAGCCGCCCTCGGCCCATGTCCGGAAAATCGGCAGCCAGGTCGTCAAGAAAGGCCCTTCCGGTGTCCGGATCACGCCTAGTCCTAGGGCCAAAAATCGTCGATCTGTGTCCGGATGACCGGCGGGCCTACTATAGGCGCTTTCGGGGGTCCTCATTGGCTCCGGCCTCCGGTCCGACCCCCTCGCGTCCACCGCCCAGCCCCGCCCCACCCCTGCGACGCCCGCGAGCTACCCGACAGCCCACTCGCTGGCCAAACACACGTTCACGGTCCGTGCGCATGCGACGTCGCTCCATCCGCGCTCGTCTGTCGCGCGCATCGCCCTCACGCGATTCGGAGAGCCCTCGCTTAGCAGGCAAACGCTTCGTCCCACTCGTTCCTGTCCGCGGACCGAGGTTTCACTCCGCCGAAGCCCTGATCGTCTTGGGCGATTGACCAGCATAGCAAGCGCTGGTATAGTCAACGGTCTCGAAACATATTTCAGAGAACAGCTAGCTAAAGAGTCGGCACCAGGATGGGCTGGAGATCATATGGGGTCGGGTGGTGGGGAACGAGCGTGGGGGTATCCGTGGCTACAGACAGCAAATCCTAATAAACATCTCTAAACTACGTATGTGTATATGTACTCAAAGGCGGTGTGGGGTACCCCGCGGCAAAGGTGTGAGGGTCGGGAGGCCGGCGAAGACGAAGTGCGAATACTGCGGCGGAGGACAAAACGGAAACAGACCGGAGGTACCCAACGCGTCTCGGTCCCCCCCGCCTGGGAGTGTGTAAAGTAATGTACAGTGCGTGGGCAAGGAGCGCGATCGAAACAGTGAGATGAAGAGGCGAGAGATGACAGGAACACATGGACCGGGACAAACGGGACCGAGAGAGAGAGAGGGAGGGGGGGATGATGGGAGAGATACAGGATTCCTCCTCGTCATAGGCACGCAAACTTGGATTTGCGCCGTTGCAGCTCTTCCATACGGGTGTCCAACTGCGCTCGTGCACGCTCCTTCGCTCGCCTTTCCTCATCCAACCGGCTTTCCAGCGATTGCTTCTCCTCCACAACCGACCGGCGAACATTGACGACCTCGGCCTTGGCCTCGGCAAGGTCAGTGCGGAGGCTGACGATCTGGTTGCTGAGGTTATCGCGTTCGCGTGCGAGTTCCGTCGCCTGCATCCGCGCCTTCCGGACTGCGTGGGCAAGAAAAGAAGCCAGTCAGAACCGGAACCGTCCCGAAATGAATCTGAACTCACGATTTTTCTCCGAATCGCCAAGCGAAGCCTCTAGCGTAGCCACCATGTCCATGTGGGCCTGGAGGTCGCCCTCGCAATGCGTCAGCTGCTTGTTCAGGGTCTTGATCATCGCCTCCTGCTCATCCAGCTGCTTTGCCTGCTGCTGGACTTGCGCTGTGAGCTTGGGATCGGGGTCCCGCGGCCCGACCAATGGTGAGGGCAATCCGTTGGCGATTGAATGGCTGATGGACGTGGCAGGGGTCGAGGGCGACTCCATGCCGTCAACGCTGATGCTACGCGACGACATAGCGGTCGATGAAGACGAGCTGTGCTGCTCATGGATGGCCCGAGGTGCTGGAGGGATGGGAACGGTAGGAGGAGGAGTAGGGGGAGGGAGCTTGCCAGGCGACATGATGCCTGTCGCACGAGAGTAGGAGACGTTACGGTCCATGGTTGGCCGCGCACTTGGCGTGGGGCTGCCGAGCTGTTGCTGGAGGTCGCGGAGGAGTGCGTCTTGCCGATTCTTTTCCGCCATAAGGTTGTCCATCTCGTCCTTCGTCTTCTGCAGGTTCTCCTGCATCTCGGCGATGACGAAACGGTGTTTCTCGAGCTCGTCTACGAGGGACTGCCGCTTGGAGGCTTCCTTCACAAGCGCCGATGTTTCCTCGCGGGTACTCAGGAGCTCGGAACGCAGCTTCTCCAGCTCAGCAGAGAACGAGTCACGCTCCGACCGAGCAGTGGACAGCTCAGTCTGGAGCGACGTGATGTTCTCGTTCTTCTGCTGGATTACGGACTCATGTGCCTGGCGCATCTCCTCACGAGCATGTGCCCACTCGTCCGAAGCAGCCTTGTGCGTGTCGAGCTCGTCCAAAAGAGTGTTGTGCTCCTTCGAGAGGGTCTCGAGTTCCTCGGCGTGCTTCTTCCGGAGATCCTCAAGGAGGAGGTCGTGCTTCCGGAGGAGGGTGTCGCGCTCTTCGGAATGCGTCTTATCGACTTCGGCAAGGGTCGCCTCGAGTTGCTCCTTCTCGGCCGTCATGAGTAGATTGGACTGTGAGCGAGAGGCCTCGAGTTCAGAGCGGTGCTGCTCCGTAGCCGCAACGAGCGCGTTCTGCGCCTCAGTGAGGGCTGTCTGGTGCTCAGCTTTGAGGCGAACGACCTCCTCGGTGTGCTCCTTGACGAGTGTTGAGCGTTGCTCCTCGGAAGTGCTTGAGGACGACGAAAGAGCATCCTTGTGAGACTCGGCAAGACGCTCAAGCTCCTCCGCGTGCGCGCGTTTCAGGTCAGCAAGCGCAGCAGAGTGCTTCTCGTCACTAGACTTGGACATCTCCTCCATCTCCTTCTTGAGACCAGCTTCCGCCGCAGCGCGTTCAGAACGAGCCTCCTCGAGAGCGCCAGTGAGGCGAGCAATCTCCTGGGTGGACTCCTCCTTGAGCTTGGCGGTGACACCGGCGTGCTCCTCGACGAGGCGCTCGTTGGCGGACAAGGCAGCCTTCTCCTTCTCAGCAAGCACACGAACGTGCTCGGCCTCGATGCGGTCGATGCGATCTGCGAACTCCAACTCCTTAGCCGCGAGGGTGGACGAGTGGTCGGCCTTGACACGCTGGAGGGATTCGCGGTGCTGGTCGAGCTTCGCGGTAAGTGCAGCGGCGTGCTCTTCCTTCAGGCGATGTATGTCGGCTGCAAACTGCTGCTCCTTGTTCTTGATTGCAGAGGCGTGCTCCTCCTGCAGGGACTTGAGAGCCTCGTCCCGCGACGTCTCCGACTCGGAAAGAGAGCCCTGCTGCGCGATCTCGGCCATCCGAACGTCGCGGGTATGCTCATCCTTCAGACGTTCCAGCGCTGTCGCGGACTCGGCGGCCTGCCTCTCGAGAGCCTGAGCGTGGTCGGTGCGGAGCTTCGTGAGCGCGTCGTAGTACTCCTCCTCGATGCGCGAGAGGTGTAAAGAGTTCCGCTCCTCGATCGTCTTCATGGCCTCTTGGTGCTCAGAGGTCGCCTTTGCGAGAGTTGCAACATGCTCGTTCGCCGCCGCCTCGTGAGACTGGGTGAGCTCTTGTACACGCCGGCGAAGCTCCTCCTTGTGGTCGGACTCGAGTTTGCCGAGAGCCGCGGCGTGCTCCGCCTTGAGGACAGTGAGAGCGCCATCATGGTCGGAGACTGCCTTCGTGAGGGCGGCTTCATGGTCAGCGCGTGTACGCTCGAGGAGCTCGGCGGCCTCGTCAAGGCGACAACGTAGCTCCTCCTCGTGTTCGGCCTTGAGCTTGCCGAAAACTTGCTCGTGGTCGCGTTGAGCCATCTCAAGTACAGACGCCGACTGCGCGAGCTGCGTGCGAAGTTCTCCCAGAGACGTCTCGTGCTCCTCCTTCAGCTTGACAACGAGGGCGTCGTGCTCCTCGCTCTTGACGTGAATGGCTTCCTCGTGCGCCGCCTTGAGTTGCTCAACATCGGCAGAATGGGTATCCTCCGCTTGCTTCAGCGACTGGATGAGCTCAGCTTCGCGCTTGGTGAGGTCGTCGAGGGAGGCTTGGAGTGCAGCATGTTGGGCCTGTGACCCCTCGAGCGACTCGGTGAGCTCTAAATGACGAGCTTCTGCCTCTCCTTGTTCGCCCTGAGCGGCGACCAGATCGTCATGCCTCTGACGGAGAGCATCGAGCTCCATGCTCATGTTCAGCGCCTGAAACACGTGTGAGTAGATAGTGGCGGGGCTGTTTCTTGGAGCGTACCTGATCGCGCGAGAGTACTTGCAAGTCCTCATGCTGCTTGCGAATAGAGGAGAGTTGATTGGTGAGGTCGTCAACGACTTCCTTGTGAACAGACTCTTTCTGAGCCATGGAACTACCGAAGGAACAATTCATCAGCACAAGCCAGCGTTTCAACGACAGTACGTACCGCATAAGCTCATTGAGTCTTACCAGAGACTCGTCAACATCGGAATCGGTGAGGTCGGTAGATGGCCGGAGGTCAAGACTCTTGCGGATCTCTGTGAACTGACTCATAGTTTTCGGAGAGAGGTGAAGTGTAGCATCGCCGTTGGTATACGGGACTGGGTCTTTCAAGCCATTGGTCATAATATGAGGGGTGCCCGGAGGAGTGGTCTTCTCTTTCAACGTGGATTCTAGGACGGTAATCTCCACCTCACGCTCCTTGATGACATCCTGGAGGCGCATGATCTCCTCTTCCAGGCTCGCCACGGACCGCTCTGTGGGTGAAATGGTGACTGACGGTAACGAGATTGACAAGTTGGGGCGCGAGGTGCTGGAGATGGAGCTACTTGTGCCATGGCTGGAAATAGAAGCCTTGCGCGACCTGGCCGAGGACAGCTCCTGCGATAGCGATACAGATTGCGAGAGCGATCTGACTGCCAGGTGATTAGGACACGAACATTGAGTTGACGATCACATACCTGGAGTGGAGCGACTCTGACGAGACCGCGTTGCGGAAAAAAAGCCGTCGACCCGAGCCGCTGGAAGACTCCTGGTCTCGGGACCGTTGCATCCTGCGGCGACCAGGTGAAATATCTCCTCCGCGTTCAGGGGACTCTGGCGGCGGAGGTGGAGCGTTGACTTTGGCCTCCTGGAGCTGAGCAGCGAGATCGGCAATCTCACGCAGAGCATCACGATACTTCGCCGTGACAGATGACAGGTCCGCAAGGGTTGCAGTGTGTGTCTGCTGAAGCGCCACTAGCTGAGAGTCAACCAATCCATCGGCTTCATGGATTGAAGAAACTTCCGAGTTGGCGCCGGTGGATGTGGTACCGTTCGTGGTTGCGCCGTTCGTCTTGACAGGGGACGCTTCCAGCTGTTTCTTCGCCTTGGCCACCTCGCTGGCGAGCTCGTTGAGCCGCTCGCGCTCCTCGTTCGCAGCTTGCATCTTGACCTCCCAGTCCGCCATCTTCGTCTCCAGCTCTTGCACCCTAGCCTCCCTGAGCTCAAGATCAGACCTCCAGCTTTCGCCGTCCTGCTTTAAGCTCTCTAGACGCGACTCCAGGGCGGTCACTTGGTTGCGACGCTTCTCGCATTCCCTCTCGAGAACCTCCACAGTTGCTCTGAGAGCGAGGACTGACTCGTCAGACTTGCTGAGGCGAGCTTCGAGGTCCGCGATGTATTCCGCTGAGTGGGACTCGGAGTCCTTGTACTTGGCAAGCTCCCGTTTGAGGTCGGTGATAGAGCCGCTCGAAGAGGTGGAACTCTCGTCGTACAAGCGTACCTTCTCCTCAAGGTCGTGGACATAAGCCTGAATGAAAGTGTTCAGAGAACTTCTACGTGCATAGGGTTGAAGCAACGCTTACCTCCGTGGATGCTTCTCGTTCTGCTAGCTTAACAACACGCGCCTTCAGCTCCTCCAAATACATCTCCGTCGTTGAATGGCGGTCGGCAAGAGTGTTGTACTCATTCTCCTTCTCGTCATAGAGATCGTTTGTGTGGCGGAGCGCGGCACGGTTAAGCTTGAGCTCAGCCTCCATCGCACTTATTGTCTTCTCGTACTCCTCGATGACAGGCCCGACGATCTCCTCGTACTTCGCGGTGCCGCCCAGACGACCACCGGTGGAGTTCCGCTGCTTCTCCGCAAGCTCGTTCCGAAGACGGGTGAGTTCTTCCGTGCGCTCAACGAACTTCTCGCGCAGATCTTCGTAGTTGTTCTGGAGCTCGGTCATCTGCGCAAGGACCCTCTTCGAAGAGCCCTCCGATGCCTCCGACGGCCCAGAGCTGATCACGGTGGCACCAACACCTCCGCCCTCCTTTATCTGCTTGACCTCCTTCCGCAACCGGGTCACCATGCCTTGCAGCCATTCCACGTCGTCCCAACCTTCCTCCCTCTCGTTCAGGACGGCGCGGTTCTTGATGTTACGGGCGCGGTTAGCGTACTTGAGCGTGTTGATGGTCTCGTTCGCGTTCCACTCCGCGGGGCTAACACAGGCAATCATAAGGGTGTGCGCATTGCCTCCCAGCGAGTCTTGCAGAAGACGGGTGAGCTTGGAGTCCCGATACGGGATGTAGGACGCAGTGTTGGTCTTGGCCTTCGCAGGGTCTCCCAAAGCCGAAATGACGTTTCCCAGCGCGAGAAGACCGCTGTTGATGGAGATACCCTCCTTGATCCGCTCACCAGCGGCGGCCGTGCGTTTGAGCTAAAGCCAGATGAGCACGAGAATGCCGCCAACCGGGTTGGTGTACATACCCGTTCGGAGCCTGCCAGGTCGACGAAATGGAACTTCGATGTCACGGTAACCCACTCTCCGCTGCCGCTCTCACCACCGGAATCCTTCTTCGGCATCTCCGGAGACAGGAAACCGAGTGAACTTGCCGGACGGGTACCTCTAGCGATAGCCGACTGGAAACTTGGAGTGGCGGGGCGGCCAAACGTGGGGGAAGAAACACGACCATTGGAACTGGTGCCAATAACAGAACCCGGGCGACCGATGCGTGATGGTGACCGTCCACCAGGGGGGAGAGGCGATGATGAACGGGGCGGCGGTCCGCTTCCAACGAACTTCCTCTGAATGAGTGTTAAGGAGAAGATGGCGTGTGAGCGTGAAGACTGTGCGTTCATGTCTGTTTCGTTCGTGCGTCTGATCGAGGCACCTTGGCGGATCAGACTAGATAGGTTGATGTGAGCAACTTGTCTCGTCACATGGTGAGGTATAGCACAGACGTAGACCCTTTGCAGGCCAGGGGGAGGTACTAGGGCGCATATACCAAAGAGATGTACTCACCTCATAACCTCGTTGGCGCTTTTCACGTTGACCTCCCGCAACCCCTCCCAAATAATGTGACCTTGTTTATCTTCGCGAATCTGAACGTCCCGTTTGCCACCGGTGTCCGCGAGAAGGTCGATTAGGTCTTCGTTGTAGATTTCGATGTAGGAGCCCTTGAGTTGGTATGTCCACGCGCCTGAACGCTCCTCCTTCATCTCCCTACACCGCGCAAAGATGGTAGACACAGCACGGGGAATGATACCCATACCGTTTGACGCGTCGGTAGGGTCCGCATCCAGATCAATACCAGTCATGGTGAACGTCTTCCCACTGCTTGTCTGACCGTAGGCCAGAATGGTACAGTTGAAACCTTCCACGAAGCGAGATATGAGGGGCAGCGCTGTAGAGGTGAACATGGCGTGTTGGGTAGTAGCTGGGGGATGGACTTGGTCGAAGGTGAACGTCTGCTTTTTAGCACTGTTGGCCGAGGACGAGGTAGGTGCGGGAGCACCAGGGCCGGTAGAAGGAGTGGAGTCCACGCTGACAGTGGTGTTCGAGGCGGCATTGATTACATTACGCTGGAAGCGGCTCGGGATGGTAGAGAGGTCGTGCTGGTTGGTGGGGCGGATACGGAGGGCTGGGGAACAAGAGACATTCTCATGAGAGCTAAGGTGAGAACAGCGGGTCGTGACGACGTACCGACTTGCACCGAGGTGGAAGCCGCATTAGACGGCTGCGAGGGCGCCATGGTGGCGGAGGTGGTACACAGCGACGAGAGCGCAGGCCTCGACGACGTCCTGAATAGCGAAGGGGAGATAGAGAAGGGGCAGGGGAAACAGCGAACGGAACGACCCCAGCCTGGGGTTAGTCACCAGGCAAGAGTCGGCTGTCGGCCAATCACGGGATTTGATCCACCTATCGGCAACCCGTTTCCGGGACTTAGCTGCCGAAATGCTTGCTTTTCCTGGGTTGTTGGTTGAAATGTCCTGGGTCCCCGATCTACACACGACCCTACCACGGTACCCGCGACCATGCATCCTATCCTCTCTCGATCTCTTTGTGATAGCCATGGAGTGCCAGGGGATGAAACTGGCGAACAAAACTTCCCGCACACTCAGCGGCAGCACCAGCTGAACCAGCTGATCCGTGATCTTGTTTACTTGAGCCCTTGCCCGGTTGTCGTCGTAACCGTTGTACTCCGTCCCCACTGCTGAAAGTCTGGACTTTGCGTCATCCTTTCTTCAAAACTTCACCCTGAGGGTAAATCAAACTCCCAGTGATGACGGCCCAAAATTTCTGACAAGCACGACTGCGTGATACGACGATGTGGTATATGGGTAGGGCTGTGAATTGGTGGTATTAGCGATATCCATGCTTTCCAGACTTGGATCAGGCACAGCACCCATAATCGATTATGTAATCCTCCATATGGCCCTCGTTCCTGTTCAGAAATGTTCGACGTCCCTGGTCAGAAATCTGGGTTTGATGTTGCATAAGCGTCACGAGTACAACACCTGGCCAAGGCTTTCTACAGTTCATGCCGAGTGCGAAATGTACTCGGGTCTCGAACGTTTCAACCTCCGCACTCACCCCCACCGGATGCATTGACACCGTCCCCTCACACGATACCCCCATCTTCCGCATCTTTTTTCGGAGGGAAAGAAGCAATCAGCTCTCTTGTACACGGCCTCGGCGCTGCGATCCGTCATCAGCAAGGTCGCCTCCTGCTTCACGTCGGGAGGCGGTACGTCTGGGGCTTCGTTTATTCCATGGCTTTACCTCTAGGTAGTAGCGCGCGACGGTGCGGACAAGCGTTTCGGCGATGCCACGACGGCGATACGCCGGGCTCACATAGACATTCTGGATGGCGATGGGGCGCGGTGTAGGTCAGCCGCGCGACCTCAGGGTACCCAGCGGTGATTGTGAGAAGGATGGGAGAATATTCTTGGTGGCGTAACTTGCCTTCCACACCACTTTGGGTTCATGCAGGAGCAATCGCTTCCCCGCTCGCACGTCGAAAGGGGGCCCATCTTCGATGCCGATGATGGTATCGGAGGTGGGCGCGTTCGGGGGTGCAAGAATGATGTCGCACAGGAGGGAGGGTGGAGGCCTTCGCGATCAGGTCACTGGTACAAATCCAAGAACCGATAGGCATATTTTGGATGTGAGGCGTGGCTTTGAGAGCCAAGCACAGGCGGCGCAGGACGGGGCGACGCTTGATCAATGTGATTTTTAAAACCTGCCTGTGAGCCGTCATGGCCATGTCGAGCGGTATGAGAACTGGCCGAAACTGTTCTCCTTGATACACACCCAACATGAGGAACATGCTCGTGTCCACCAGCGTCGGGCTGTTCTTTACTGTATAAAAAACACACGGCTATATTCATGAAAGACTTATCATGGCATTATATGTATATGGCTCCCAAGAACTTTTCTGGATTATTGAAACGGGTGACACACAGAGCTTCCATGCCACGGAGAAGAGGAGAATGCTCGTGCACGGCCAACGTGTCATGACTTCGTTGGATCAACCCACAGTCAGTGCAGACTGACAGGGGGACGGCACGGAAGTTTTGTCTAGAGGGCTTGAAGGGGTCCCGGTCAGCACTGCATCATGCACACAAGAAAAAGGAACAAACAATTTGTCCAATGGATGAGTTGCAACATGTATTCGTGTATGTATGGTGGCCAGGCAGCGGTAGGAGAATAACCAAGGGCGTCTAGTCACCGAAATGACGCCAGCGCAATAGATGAAGACGATCAGACGCCCAGTCTTTAAGACCCTTCTCGACTGCGCTCCTCCCACCTACGCCGAGTCGACTGACCAGAGTCCTCTGCGAATCTCCACTTCGATTGCGAACATAATATGGCCCCCGTGGATGTTTTCTCTCTGAGCCATCAAGGCCCCGTGACGTGCCATGCGTTCAATGGCGACCGTTCCCGTAGGTGCGGATGGTGTGTAATCGTTCACAAGCTCACTTCATCTATAGAGGTCGCCGTTAGCCTGAACAACAACGAAGTGCGCATCTACGCCCGCGCCGGCAACGACTGGAACCACATCGAAACGTTGACGGAGGTAGGACGGGTACAATCCTTTGGTATGCACCTGGACTCATACCCGTTCGATGGATAGCACGACAAACCCATTACATCTATCGACTGGGCCCCGAACTCCAACCGGATCGTCACCTCCGCGCAAGACAGGAATGCGTACGTATGGACGCTGACCCCCGATCCTCAAACTGGCCATATGACCTGGAAGCCGACGCTTGTGCTGTTGCGCATTAACCGTGCCGCGACGTATGTTCGCTGGAGTCCCAACGAGGATAAGTTCGCTGTGGCTAGTGGTGCTCGGTGTGTATATTCTTTCTGAGGGTAGATGATCTGTCCTCATTCCCTTCAGTGCGATCGCCATCTGCTCCTTCGATCCAGAGGGCGATTGGTGGGTCTCCCGCCTGCTCAAGAAGCCCATCAGGTCGACCGTGTTGTCGGTCGACTGGCACCCCAACAATGTCCTCCTTGCTGCCGGTAGTGCGGACATGAAGGCGCGCGTTTTCTCCGCGTACATAAGGACGTTGACAAGAGGTATGCATCCGTTTCCATTCCACGCTCTCCTGGCGCCCTCTCAACAGAGTGACAGGCCGTCAGCCTCTGTCTGGGGAGAGAAGCTCCCTTTCAACACCATCTGTGGAGAGTATGCTAGTCCCTCGGGCGGATGGGTCCACGATGTTGCCTTCTCGCCATCTGGTGATGTGCTTGCTTTTGTCAGTGAGTATCAAGTTCCCTGCGCATTAAAGTCCTACGCCTCATGTTCCCAAAGGCCATGACAGCACCGTGAACATCGTGTACCCCGGCGGCCCCACTGTATTCACGATCAAGATGTCCAGCCTTCCCCTCGCTACGCTGACGTGGACCACAGAGGAGTCCATCGTCGCCGCCGGGCACGACTGTCAGCCGCTCGTCTTCGCGGGCAACACCACCGGCTGGGAAGCCATCGGGACCCTCGACGACCCGCAGGCGTCCAAGGCGCCTGGCGGCGGGCGTGGCGGGATGGGCGCGTCCCCCGTGGGCCGCCTGAACAGCGCCGCGTTCAACACGTTCCGCAACGCCGCCGAGCGCGGCATCTCGAACGTGCCCGGCTCGCCCACTGCGGGCGGCGCGGGCGAGTCCGAGCTCTTCACGGTCCACCAGAACACGATCACGAGCGTGCGGCCATACGCGGGCGAGCGGGGTGCGGTGAGCCAGGTGAGCACCTCCGGCGTTGACGGCAAGCTCGTCGTCTGGGATGCGAACGCGGTTACTCCCATCTCCGCCGCGGGGCTCACGGGGAAGCTGGGCAAGATGTCGATGCGATGAAGAGTCTAGGGTCGTGTACGAGTACATCACATGCGTTGTCTACGGATACAATATGCGTGGGCGTGTAGGAATGAGAAAGAAATCTGATGACTGGGAGAAGGCGGCGGCAGCGAAGCCCTCGTCTGTTCGCACCTGTGGGTGTAGTGGAGGGCCGCGCACCCAAACGAGCACATAACGCCCACCCCTACTGCCGAACGGTCTCGTTGGGGGTGATGTCGGACATGTTGGACAAGTCTGCCATAGGCTGTTCGTTGATTACGGCCCACACCGATGCCTTGAACTGTATGGATGCATCGGGTGCGCGCGGGCGTGCCGTCAGGACTCACCGCCCCATTCATGACGGATAGCAACCACGAACGCACCAGGGTGAGCACGAGTCCCATCTTGACCTCCAGCGCGCGCAGCTGTTTCAAGAGCGACTCGTCCGGTGCCTCGCTCACCCGCCGCGTCTCCGCAATCAGCTGCAGTTCCCGCGCACGTCCAGATATGTCGTCAGGGTCTGAAGGGTGCGATGAAATACGCGTCGCGCACCTCTTTGATGTTCTGCGATAGCTGGGCGTATTGCCACAGCACCTCCGCCTCGAGCTCGGTCAGGTTCGGGTGGCCTTGGTATGGATTTGCCTCGAAGACGGTGCTGCTCGACAGGGAGGTAGCCATCGGTCGCGATGAGTGCGTGCTGGGCTTTGCCTGGGCCGGTCGCGCCCCGCTAAGACAAGGAAGAAAGCGCAAGAGGGAAGGGCAGACACTGCGACCGATCGCGACGCGTTCGCCGGGCGCTCGCGCCACCCCCGGCCGCCTCGCGCGCGCGCGATTCAATTGGTAGGAAGCTCAAGCACTTTCTTCTCCGCCACGACTTGCTCATAGCAACGACTTTCTATCTGCCTCGCTGACCCGAGAAGGATTGGGCGATCTCGATGATTTCTCTGGTCTCTGCCTCGTGCCTGGCTCGTGGCGTCCAGGCGAGCTTTCCTCGATCGGGCTCTTTCTTTGCGCTGCGGTGGGGGACACACCGAACCAAACCTTGCGCCTCGAGGCTGCTGTTGGAGGTGCCGACAAGCTTACCGCCATGAGAAGGATGTGGTTCTAGGTTCGCGCTGGACGCAAACAAAACTCCAGCTCTTATTGTCTTCCGCACTCTCGACGCGGGCGGCGTACGACATGCAGATCTTCCGTGACAGACTGGAGTGCTGTGCGCACTTCACAGATAGAATGCCGTACGATGTGTGGTGTTTGCCGAACTCTCACCGCCGAATTTAGCATCCTCACTGCGTCAAGTCAGGTAACGTTCGGGACTTCGCTATCCGATGGCGCTCACTGACTTGATTATGACCAGAGCCACCACCATGACCTCCACAGTTCATGTGCCTTTATCAACGATGACGACAAGCCTATGGATATTCCGAGCTACGACGCGATTGTCACGCAATCCCACGAGCGACGTCCTTTCCAGGGAACCGCCATCAACATTGGCGGTGTGCGAATCAATCTCGACAAGAGGTCGGATCGTGTGTGCCACATCTGGGCCAAGTTTGGCTGGAACACCACCATGGGCAAAGCTAGGACGCAGCAATCTCCAAAGGAGCAACTTCACCGTGCGCGGATCTCGTGTTTATTTCGCCTTCACGTGGGGTGTGCGACGAGTCCGATGTTGGCCGCGTCGCTGCCGCCGCGCAAGCCCTCATCACCATCCCGGATCCCAGTTCAATGCATGGTCCTATCAGAGGATGTCGAATCGAGCACTCTTTCTCCGTCGACGAGCGGTACTCATCCATCTGGTACGAATCGGTTGAGGAGCTGCAGGATCATGTGAGTTTATTTCCCTTTGTTTCTATCTCTCGCCTTGGGTCTTACCGACGGTGACTCGCGACTCAGCTGGTTGTTCGTGCAACTGAGAGGGACGCGCGCATTAATACAGTGAACGAAGTCACCGCACACAGCCTGCTCCTCTGTGTATCGGACGTGAAAGGTGTCGACTTCATGAAAGATCGAGAAGACAGGACCCTCGATGTGTGTTTCACAGGTTGCTGTCTTCTTTCTTCGAGATCACCCTCAAACAACAAAACGGAAACTTCGCACGGTGTATCTTGTCGATGCTCAGCTATTTGCCATGTACACCAGCTAAGCCACTAGGCTGGCCGCTTCCTACGTGATGGTCCCATCTGACACCGATAGAATTGGTGAGCAGATCCTTTTATGTCATGACGATACATCAATGCTTATATTGACTGACGTTTCTTATGGTGCTTGCTGCTATGCGCAGAGGAAAGAACGATCGTAATAGTACGGGAAAATCGAGATAGAACAAGCGGCGTACGTCACTTCGTGAGCGTTCTTGGGAACCTGAAGACAAATGGATTGTGAGTGTCAGTGCAGAGCCCACACGGTAACATTGCGGCTGACCCGTGACTCTGTCGGTAAAGTGCTTTTGTATCCCGGTGCCGTAATCTATCCGCGACATCGCCATTCGTCCATCTCTCCCTCTACGCAAGTAGCACGACGGCGCAAGCTTGTCTGACGCTGGGCTCATAGGGTTCCGCATGCCCCCCACACGCTGGTGACTTGTCCACACTCGCACAACCTACCCAATCTAGTCATCCCCAAGCGAACGTAAGGTGCCTCTTTCAGTTGACCGCTTTCGGTTCGGTTCCTCGCTGCGCCCGCCGCCGCGCCGCACGTCAGCGTCGTCAGGCCACTGGGCGTGGATCCCATCATCCGGTCAATCATGCATTCCGCGATGCTGGTCCCAGGACCCGCGAGCCGTCGCCGCCCCGGCGGCGCGGTCCATTGACCGACCGAGCAGTCGCGCCGACTCTGCGAAGCGCCATCATACTGATCCCGCGACGGTTGTTTCCTATTGTCTTGCAAGTTGCCCATCCTCTGCGCACCGGGAATCAGAGAAGGCCCAAGCCGCGGCCAGGGATGGGGAAGGAAGGAAGCGCACATCTGTGATGCTCGTCCTGTGGTTCACAGGCGTCACGGCATGACTCCACGGAGAGCACGCTGACATCCGTCGGATGCCCAGCTCACGAGCTGAGCTCGCAGAGGGGACGAGGGCGCGCCGGTGATGGGCGCCGACAGGACTTGTGGACCTCGACCAGAAGCCAGGTTCGAAGGGCCGCCCCGCGTTCGAGATCCGTTCTCTCATCACGGGGATTGGGAGAGTCGTCCCCGACGGTGGGGAGCAGGACTCGCGCATCTCGCCATGCATCGTGCCGGGCTGGTTCTCCAGAACTCCTGGGACGCGCTTCCGGCCACCGCGTCCTTTTTCGACCGCCCCTTTGTTCAGTGCCCGTCGCCAGCGACAATGCATAAAGCACCGGCGCCCGGATCCGCCCGCGTGTTCTCGTGAGTGCAGAAGGCTGCGGCAGCTACTCGGTTCTGCGTGGACGTCCAGCTACGCGAATTGACCATTTTGCTTAATGCGGCACTCTTCCGATGGACAACGCTTGGCAGTGAGCGGGCGCAGGCTCGCGTCGCGCGCCCCTGCAGCGCGGAAGGGGTACGGAGATGCGCTGGGTCTTGTGTATGGACATGAAGGTGAGTCCCGGACGAACGCCGATGGTGACGGACGAGGCGGCGGAGGAGCCGAGATGAAATCGAGAACATATTAAATCCATGAGGCTATCTGCCGCTCGGGTGCAAGCAGATCATGGCCCAGGACCGTGTGGGGCACGAGGCAGGCGATCAGAGATGTGCAGGGGGAGGAGCTCGTGCAGAAAGCGCGTTCGCAGGCGAGGCGGGGCAGGGGGAGATGGGACGGGCACGAGGCTCCCGACCAGGCTGGCGCAAGACAATAAGAACAGGCGCCGGGCCGCGGCAACGACGGGAGCGTGGAGGCGCCGGGGGCAGACGCGGACGATCGATCTCTTCTCGAAGCGGCAGACGGAGTCCGGCGGGGTGGCCGGCGGGGAGAGTGGGCTCGAGGGCGGGCGTGGTTGCGAGGCAGCCCGCCATCGGTGCCCTGCCTTTGCCCATAAATCTGCCCAGCGCGGGTGCGCGGCCTCTCTTTCGTCTGTTCCCTTCGCTCCCCTTCGTTCGTCCCACTTGTCCCGGCACCCTTTCGACGCAGCCACCGCCTGGCCAAGACAATTGACAAGCGGCCGCACGCGCAAACAGTCCTCCTAGTCCGCCTCGCGCCTGGCACAAGGCTACCAAATCAGGCCCCCCACCCTCCTTGCCCAACATGTCTCCGGTAGACAATAGCTCCTCCCTCCCCGTCCCTATAATCGCCGTCCGCCCCGGTCTGCCCTCCCCCGCCCGGCCCACTGGTGCCCTTCCGTCCCCCGATCCCGCACAGGCGCTCCGCCGCGCAATGCACCACGTCTCCTTCGTGCCCCGGCCCTTCCCCCCGCCCGCCCTCGCAGACGTCCCTCTCGAGTACATCGTCAACCAGCTCCACCGCCTCGCGTCCCACTACTGGAGCAGGCCCGAGACGTCCGACTGCACCATTGGTACGTCCCCCACTCGTTGCCCACGCGTGCCCCTCGGTGCTCACCGCACCCGACAGTTGTTTCACTGGATAACGAACCCGCCAACAAGATGCACGCTCCCCCCAGCGTATGCGACGCGTTCCAGCACATGGGCATCCGGTCCGACGACCCCCTCGTCGACGATGCTTCCGCGAACGCTGCACGCGCCGCGCCCAAGTCTGTTCGGCCACGACGAATGATCATGAAGGTCCGTCTCCTGTCTCCATCCCTCTGCCCATCGTCTGAGTGAGGGCTTGCGTATAGCTCCATATGGACTACCTGTGTGCCCATTCCGCCCTCTTCCGCGGCCTGCTCAGCGGCGCGTCCACCTTCGACCTCGCCCCGGACGCGTCCATGCTGCGCCCAGGGTCCCCCACATCCGCGCCCTCTCCCGCACTCTCGCGCCAGTCGTCGGTCTCCTCCCTCAAGGTCCCCTGCATCCTCCCGTCCTCGACCCCCACGCACCCTGTCGTCCACCTCCCCATCCCCGACCCCGCGTCCTTCCACCATCTCGTGCATTACATCTACTTCGGCTCCACCGCGTTCATCGAGGACGGGCTTGACAAGGGCGACCTCGCCTGGGAGGGCATCGCTCGCAACGTCGAGTTCCTCCGGATGGGGTCCGAGATCAAGCAGTTCCTCGGCCGCTACTGGCGCCGGTCGCACACCTACTCCGACTACTCCGAGACCGACTCGGACGGCGAGGCCGAGTACAACTCGGACCTCGACGAGTCGAGCGATGACGACATGGACTACGGGATGTCCGACGAGGACGAATCGACGCTCGCCGACCCGGACGAGGAGGGCATGTGCCTCGCCGACGATGAGGACGACGACTTCGGCGTCCTCAAGGCGAAGGCGAAGGCCCGCGCCGCTGCCCAGCGCGAGCCACCCCGCGGCCGACAGCGCGCCCAGCGGCGGCTCGGGCACTCTTCCTCTGACCCGGTGATCAGCCACCGTGTCGCTGGAGCAGGGCCCTCTGCGCCTCGCCGTACCAGCCGCCATTAGCCTCGAGTCTCGCACCCCCACCCCCACGTACCCTGGACCCTGGACCCTCACGCTCGCTCCCCCTGCTGCTGCTTCCCGTCGGACGCTGTTCCCCGTGCCGGCCTCATGACATGACCCACACACGTCGTACCCAGCGCCCCGCTTCCGCAACTCGTGTGCCGCGCTGCCATCACGTTGTCGTCCGTGCACAACCCCGGATATCTCGCATTTAATCGCCTCGCTCCCACCTTTCGCCCACCTTCGAGAGCCCCTAATCTTATTCTAATCCACCGAGGGCTGTGTACGCTAGCAAGAAAGTCTAACCGAAGAAGAATGTGAGCTCCCCCTCGCTTCTTCGCGCAGCAGAGGCTAACGACACCCGTCTGCCAGGTTCGTTCGCCAATGTGTCACTATCGCCAGAAACGGGCGCCCTTCCCACTCGCTCATAGAAACCCGCTCATTCGTCTTACACGTACCACACGCGAGCCGCTGCCCGCCGTATTGTCTGCCAATATTACCTGTCCTTTCGCCGTCATCCCCGCCCCCCGCCTTCACCACCAAAACCATGACCGCCACAACGGTCTCGGTCCCCCAACCGTGCACACTCCGCGGTCGGCACGCCTCGACGTCGTAATGTGGCTGCACCACCACCCTATGCTAGCAGTTCCTCGATAGTTGCAGCATGGCCGTTCCCCGCTGCGCTGGAGTATGGGTTGAATGCGCAGGAAGAGGACATGGAGGAGAGGATGGGGACGAGGACCGGCCGGAACGCTCGCTTGCACTTTACCTTGCTTGCTGTTATCGAGTTCTCGCAACGCGAGCAGCCAGCCAACTAGTCGTTCTTTCCACTCGCGTGCGCTCGGACGGCCGGCTTCGACTCTCGAAGCACAGGACATGTTGCAGTGTGTTGGTGCGGGCGTGGGGAACAGCGCCCGCCGTGCCCGAGCTACGACGTTGACCGGCGTACGCTCGGTAGTTCAAACGTTCATGCTTGGTCGCCGGCCGGCCACAGCGCCGTGCTGGCGCATCATTCTAGGGCAGCCCATGTCGTTTCGCCCTCGACCTCACCACCCTCCGAGTCTACTCCTCCATATCATTGAATTGCTTCCGCAGCCCTCTGCATTCCCCGCCGCGCCTCTACCTTTAACCTCTCCACACACCGCCTTTTAATACCGAGTCTGTCGGATGGACGCAAGTCGCAGCGCGATCGTCATCTGACCGCGACGGTCATCCGGAGTCGCCGGAAGCGGCGGCCCGCTGCATCTCGATCCCTGCTTATTGTGTGAGTCGACAGATCCTTTCGACGAAGCCGAGTCCCGACGCACATCCCTCCCGCGTATCGCAGGGCCGCGCTAGCAGGCTCATCTATCTCGTCGCGTATCTCGTCGCCGCCCGACCCGTGGGCTGTCCGACCGTCGAGACCCCGCGCACGAGCACCTGCGGGGTCCGGAGAAGACGCATCAGATCCCACCGTCTTGTCCTCCCCGCGCTAGTCTCGCGCGCGGCGCCCTTCCAGAACACCTGCTTGGCGTCGCGCGCGACCGCTGGGGCGGACCTGCTCTATCCGGGAGGGCGCGGTGCCCAAACGCGAGGATCGGTACGTAGTAGGTACGAACGTAGCTCGGTTACCGACGTGCGATGCGATGCGCGAGCTCGCCGACGCCGACGCCGACGACACGCAGGTCGTGCCCGCACCACCGGCTGCGAAGCTCGTCCGACGACTGTGCCTCTCGGCTGAGCAGCTCATGCGGCACGGCGATCGAGGCTAGAAGGTCTGTCCCGCTCGTTTCTCGACGTCGAGGAGTCGGCTCGACACGCACGCGCGGGGGCAGGGCGAGGTGCCGCTCCGAGAAAGTCGCAGTCGCGTGCGCGCCGTCATCGCGCGCGACACGCTTCTCCCGAGTCCCGATCTTGGGGCTTCCCGTGCGCCGCCGGGTAAGGCAAAGTTGGAGGTTGGCGCAGCGCGACGCGGGCTTCACGTACGAGGGAAGTCGTTCGGATGTTGAGTCCCATGGCCAGACTCCGAGCTTTAACTTTGAGGCTCGTGGTTGTCCACGAAGGCAAAGACTTCGAGCCCCATCCTCGAGCCCGCGCCCTGGTTCGTACACATGTCGTAACGGCCGGCAGTACGGCGTGCCGTTGTGGAGCGTCTCTGCATACGTTCCTCGTGGCCCCTCACCTGTCCTCGAAAATCTTCTGCAAAAGCAACACCCTCCGGATCCAGACAGTCCTCGGGCCCGGGCATGTTCCGTCCTCGCACCGCACACGAAGATCCTGGTCGCGAACTACCACGAGCGCCCCACCCACGGAGTCGTCGCGCGCGAGGCCGTCCGGCGCGCTCGTGGCCTCCTGCGACACGTCGCGGACGGCAGGGAGCCTCGCGCTCTATTGTGTAGCGCAGCGCGAGATCCAGCCGCGCGATCACGCGGCACGCGCACGGAACGTCCTTGCGCCGCACGCTGGCTCCGGGACGCCCGACGGGAAACCAGCTCGCGTTTCGCGCGCACAGTCTAGGTTGCGCGTGCCCGAGGCGCTGGGGCTCCCTATTGTGTGGGGCTTGCCTCGCGGTGTCGGAACCTCGTTCGCGAGCTCTTACAAGACGTGCGGGAGCCCCGAGGCTGGTGACGGGGCTCGATTAGGCTTGTGGCCAGTAGACCTCCTTCCTCGAGCGGTCCGGAGGTGTGCGGAGCGAACGTTTGACGAGCAGGCGAACAGCGGAGAGAAGGCTGGATTCGGTGTGTGTCCGGGCAACAGAGAGGATTACAGATGTATGATACAGCTAGTTGGATTGGTAAGTTCCGCCTTGCGCCATCGCGCGTCCCAGTGGTCCCGAGGTAAGTAGTAACGCTACAAAGGTCGTGTACAGCATGTCAGTTGTCGTGAGTGGGGTATGGCTACATAGCACTAGAGGAAGCGCCGCTTCTTCTTGGGCCGCAAGTCTTCGTCCTGAAGGATATCGTCATCCAAGAAACGTGCCGAGGGCCGCTTGCTCCGCAACCCGGGCACCTTGATGTCCATGGGGAACGGTGCACGCCACGCAGTCGTCGGGTCGGGAGCCGGGTCGGCAACGAGCGGAGCCTACACGCGATGGGAGGTTAGTCCGGACTTGATTAGAGTATTGGATACAGACAGTGGACGGCGCACCAGTTCGATCCTGCGCTCAATCCGGCCCCAGGGTATGTCACTGAGGTAAGGCTCCTGCCTAATCTCCTCGTTAACCAGGGTGCCTTTATGTACGACCGAGCGACAGCATCGGCGCCTGCTTATGTCGTACTTGAATGCTGCCCTGAAGTAATCACGAAGCAATGGAGGCATCGTCTTGTCGTCGATAGAAGCAGTTTGCCTTTCATCAAACAGCTCATCTTCGAGCTCATCTATGCTGCAACCTTGGACAGGCTGAACCAACTTCAATAGAAGTTTAAGGACGTTCAGGGAGGATCAGACTCACGGGTTTCTTGAAGAGCAATTCGAATAGGATCACAGCGAGACTCCACCAGTCGCAAGCGAATCGCTCCTCGAACGTCTCGTAGTTGAGGAAAACCACCTCGGGTGACATGAATTCCAACGTGCCGATGTGGAAGCCTCTCCAGTCGGTGGCGGCATCGACGCGGTGAGCGTACCCCATGTCGGTGATCATAGCATACCCGTCGGCGTTGATGAGGACGTTCTCGGTCTTGATGTCGCGGTGCACTATGCCGTGGGAATGCAGGAACTCGAGTCCAAGAGCGATATTGGCGAAATAAAACTTGGCGACCTTGGGCTGCCAGGGGCGCTCTTGCAATTCATAGAGGGTGGCGCAAGGAGCGTACTCAAGCATGATGTACGTGTTGTGACTGTCGATAAAGGCGTCCACCACGCCTGCAATGAATGGGTTCCACGGAAGCCCTGAGAGGGCATTCAGTTCGCGGTTCTTGCGGTCTGCGATCGCTTTGCGGTCCCTATGGGCCTCGTTCTGTGAATGTATCAGCTTGGGAAGTTGAGCGCGAATGACGCAAGTCCTACCCTCTGCTCATCGCGCAAGGATCTCTTCGATATGACCTTCATGGCGAAGACAGCCTCGTGTCGGCGGCGACGGTGGCTGCGAGGCCTCTTCGCTTGGACAAGGCAAACGTGCGCCTGCGCTCCTTCGCCTGGAAGGATTCTATCACGACGGGAGATAATACCAGCTTCTGTGCGCACTCACCCAGCTTCGTGATTATCCTTAAATCTGAAAGTGTTGTCTTCGAGTGACCGACAAACAAGGGTGGCTGAGCCACTGTGGGTGGCGTGCACTCGGGAACGCTTGAACTGGACCCGACTGGCTTCTCTTCCCACCCATCGAGCTGCTTCCGGCATGATTAACTCGAGAAGCCGCGATGAGGGCGCATGTTCCACGTACGGGCGTTGTGGGTGAAGATGGTGGTCGGTATGCCCTCTTCATTGGGTGGCGCACCGGGGTTCTCGGCGGGGAGGTAATCATGCAAACAGTCGTGTAGTTATGTGGTGAGAAGAAAGATGTAGACGTAGAGGGGGCAGATGGTTCCGCCGCCGATTCCTCTAATTGAAGCGGATAGAATGTGTGGGGGTCGAAGAGGGCGAGTGGCGTACGCCGGAGGAGAGCAGCTATAGTAGAGTGGAGGCTCTTGCACTCCGTTCAACCCGGCCCGCCACTTTCGGCTATTGTTCAAACTCCGCGACGCGTTGGATGCTACGATCACGTGGGTCGCGTTTATGGGCGTCTACGTGGCGGATTGCAACGGACGTCAAATGCCCTTTCCGTTAGATACCCCGCCATAGCCTGAGCATCGCCTTGCTACTATCACACGCGCGTATATCTTCAGGGATTCACCCATACTGCAAGGCTTCAGTCTGGCATGGATTGGCAAGTGTCGTCTACATCTCCCTAAAGCACGTATTGACCCTGTGTTCAGTCTTGAGCTGAACATCCGTCAGCTTATTCTCTCGGACCTTGCGTCTAGCATAGGCGAATTCAAAACGCATTCTGAGTCAGCTGAGAATGTGCTTTCTGCCATCGACTTGATTACGTCCAAGGTCGAAACGCGGGCTGGAGGTGACGAAGTCCCCGTCCCGCAACAAGAGCACGTCGAGAGCAAGCGGTTTGAAGCCACGAATGGAACATTTGGAAACGTAGCCATTCTACTGGACGACGAAGTTAAGATCCGCATAGAAACCGATGAGCCGGAGGAGGAGCTAGGGGAGGAGCGGGTCTTCATGGTGAGCCATACCATCCCCTCGTGCATGTGGGCACATTCTAAGCGGCCCAGCCCAACTCGCGAGCACAATGCAACATAGGATTTGCAGAGTTGGCAATCAATCTCCCCGACGCTCATGTCCACGCTACCGTTCCCGTCCTCATCGACATTCTCCGCGACGTTCCGTACATTGACTTCGACCAATGTCTCTCCTGGGAAGGTGTGCTGCCGCCATCCATTTGTTATCATCGCAAACTCAAGACTGTACATCAGATTGGGCTATGCCCGACCAGTTAGTTTCGACTACTGTGACGGCCCTCCTCAAAATAGCCAGTGGTCATCCACAGTACCGAGGTGGCGCTTTCAAGGCCATAGTGGGGCTTGCTACCGAAATTGTTGAACGCTTCAAGACCGCAGATCGTGGGTCTTTCTCCACCTTTGGCGAACGTAAAGATATTGACACATATCTAGCCTTCGACGTCTTATCGCAGTATGCCCCCGCGTTCCACGGGTTGTACAGGGCTATCATTTCTATCCCATTTGACTGGACCTCCGCAGAGTGGTGCACATTGGCTGAGCAACTTAACCCTCTATTCGCCCCCGACATTGTAGAGCGTCTCAACAGACTTCCAGTCGAGGCGCTATCCGGCAAGTCCGAGGAGGTGGAAAAGCTGGAATACATCCAGACCCTCGTCTCGCGCTACGTTTCACGCGGCCGCCCTCTCACCGGCTACTTCATCGTCTGCTGCGTCATCGAAGCCCAATGGACTATCCTTGCCCAGGCTCTTGGTCGCGATTTCTCAGCCGAGGACATCGTCTTATCGCCCACTCCACAAGAGGCAGAGGCAGCCGGCATCGCGTGGCTCAAGCTCCATCGGTACCTTGAGCCTGGCTCTGGCCTTAACGAAGACAATGAGAAGGAGGTGGTGCGGGCCACGTTGAAGCACGCTTTACAGACCTTCACTACTCTTCTCGTTCAAATCGAGGCGCTAGACACCGACCCTGCGGAAGATAGCTATGCTTGGGAGACTATGTCGGAGAGTCTGGTGAGCAGACATAGTCATTGCTTCAAGTATCTCCACTCATTCTCTTTCAGAAACTCGCTGCTGTCTGCTCTGTTGCTTTGAACGAACTGGATGTTGGACTCTACGACCGTCTAAAAGCGCTGCTCAGTGCTGACTCCCCGATCTTCGACAACCTGATACAGGAAGCCGCGCTCAAGTCCACGAGTATAGTCGTGCGAAGGTGTGCTAAGCGACGTGTCAAAAGTAAGCAGGAACTGACGAGACTGATACAGCTTCCCTGACATCGCGGCTTCGATGGCGAACCACTTGAGACGCTTCGTAACGTCGCCACTCTCCATCTTTGAATTCGAATTCGCCACCACCCCGCATACCCCCACCACTCTCCTGGCTGCCGCCAGATGCCTCTCGCTCTGCATCTATGTAAGCATACAGTATCTTGTCACTCTCATTCAAAGCTCATGGTTTATTAGCTCGCACCTGGGGACGACCTGATCATGTCCTACATGTACTCGCTCCTCAACTACATCGCGGCGTCAAGCAAGGACATCTTCGATACCTCTAGTATCACTCCCAAGAGCGCCGGCGACCTCTCCGATCTTGCGACTATGCACTCCGGCGACACGAGCCTTCGTGGCCTATCCGAAGAGGAGAAACGCACAGTGGGCATCAGCACTATCTCCGTTGCCACCCAGCTCGCTTTGGAGAGCAAGTCTGAGGAGGTGAGAGTGTACAGTGCGTCGAGAAACACTGCATTCACCCCGTAGCAGGTTTCCCGTCTTACCGTGTCCATGCTTCTGCAACGCATGCGTTCTGCTGAACCCACCGTGGAAGCTGCGATTGCCTACAATCTGGTAGATTTGGCGCTCACTGCCCCTCAAAGTTCATTCATCGACATCATCCGAGCTTTCTCTTCGATCAATCGGTCAGCCAACTTGGACGATACTCGGTTCTCGAACAACATGGTATGTTCTACATTCGCTTCCATCGATGAGGTTCTGAGTGGCCGTTCTAGGTTCTCGCTGCACAAACCCGTCTTGCCAAGGAGTTGAGGCGCCGTCCCGAGCTCTACCAAATTTACTTGGTTGAGCTCTTGACCCTTTTTGCCGACAAGGGCGTTGCTATTCAAAACGCAGCGATCGCAAACCAGCGGGCGAAGGTAACTGCATTTGCACACATACTTGAGAACAATTCGATCTGATCTGTCGTTTTGCAGCTTGAAGAGATGTCAGAGCAGCTTGCATCGTTGCTGCTTCCAATCGACGCATTGTTGGGACACAGCGATTTCGATCTTGGTCCCGACATCTCTTACAATGTCGTCACCCTCTTCCGTAACATGTGGTTCCTGTGCGTTCTGTTTGGGTTCACAGTCCCCAACAATCAGCCTCACAACGCGATGGAATGGCGTCAACCCGCTCTTGCTCGTATCGCCGCTCGGACCCCATCCATTGTTCTTGAAGAAGCGCACGACACCATCGTCAGCGACCTCGATTATAACACCGTCATTCGGCAAGAGTACGTCGATATGGCACTCGGTCCCACCCGCGAGACGGTCATTGCGAAGTCCCGCGCACTGCTCTCCAAGCACATCCCCTTGCGGGTTAGTGAAGTGCGGTACCTCGTCCCCGGGCAAGTCCTCTTCCTCTTGGCAATGCACGACGTGGAAAGCATGCGCGCAGCCTCAGGCCGCCCGTCTTCTCTTGTTTCTTACTTCGTCAACAAGGGCATCAACAAGAACGCCGGGCTGTTGGCTTGCATGGAAGGTGTTGCGGAGAAGGTAATCAGGGGCGCAGTGTCAGACCTCAACGGTCTGGCCGCAAAGCAAGCACTTCCGCCAGTTCTCCCAGTCGAGCTTCGCGCGCTTTTGGTCGCCAGCACCCATCGCATTCCGAAGGCGCGCGACATCGCGTCACGGTACCTCAACAGGCTCATCACGTCATTCCCCTCGCTCATGTGTGACCAACCACTGGTCTTCGCAATTCTCGAGGTCTTGACACTTCTGCGTCAAGCCACTGAAAATGAGTACCTAGACGAGGTACGCCCATGTCTACCATTGATTGCATTCTTCGGACTCACTGTCCTGGTGTAGGATAACCCAACCTATGTGTATCGCTCTGACCGCGCAGATCTTGAGCTCCAGTTGTCAGACAACTACGAGGCCAGGAATCAGATGCTATCCCAGTTACAGCGCGATTCCGCCAACTGGTTCGAGCTTGCGCTCAGCAGGGCTCCTATGGAACTTCACTCTACGTTGCAGGTGGGTCGACATTTTTTCTAGACTCTGTGAGTAACTCTTAAGTTTTATTTCAGAAATACCTCACCACAATCGAGGCTGCATCGCTGTCGGACTCCTCTGAACTCGGAGCCTCCGTTGCTGTTCAGTGGGCGAAGGCCATTGGTCCCATTGATAGGAAGTTGTGTAAGTGGGAGACGTATTGACATCATTCTTCGTCTGACATCATGTCTTTCTGTAGCATCGCTAGCTTCAATGTCCATGTTCAAGCCGGATCGGGCGAAGACGATGGCGAGCCAACTGGCGTCAAAGGGTTATTACACGGGCGAGGCTGCCGGATACCGGATCGGACGCGCGAGCGGGATGGACGATCTGGACGATCCGCTCAAGTTCGTGCCAGCGCGTGAACTCACCCAATTGAAGTCTAGGATTGCCGAGGCCATCTCTGCCATCCGGAACAAGCAGAGCGTCCTGACGATTTCTGACTTGAAGCGACTTCTGTTCCGCGCGGCGTCCTCTCTCATATTCTTCGATCAGGTACTTCGACATCCGCTTAGGAAGGGATGACTGCTGACTAATTTTGTAGTGGGATTACGAACTGGCACACTACATCGTCGCGCTTCCCTTTGAGGCCTTCACTCAACCGGCTATCTCTGCGGGGATCGAATCATGGTCTTGGGTCATTGCAGAGCGACCTTCTTACGAGGTAACGATGATGTCTGAAATTGCGTCTGCGTGGGACACCAGCGTGAAGCTGGGCAAGGGCCTGTTTTCAAGAGCCAAAAGTAAGATCAGTCCTAGATACAAGCCGTCCAAAACTAATCAGATTCGCACAGCTACCAAGACCCATTCCTCCACGAAATCGAGTATTCTCCGACAGACAAAGCTACTATCGATCGCGCAGCACGAGCGGCCCAACGACTCCTCACTCCGCACGCCCTAGTCCTTCGGCTTCTATTCAGTCGCTTGCAAGCTGCCAGGTATCGCAGGCCTGGGTTGATGCTGTTGTTCCAGCGACTTGCACTATCGTCTGCTCGAGCCATGCTTCCATGTGGTGAGCAGATTGTTGCTATGAGGCGTCGAGGTGTCCACCTGACGCATTCGCAGTACCCATCCGCTCTCCCGTCAAGCGCGGTTCACATTCCTGTTGTTCGCGTTCGAGACGCTGAAGAGTTCTTACCTGGACGTCTTCTGCGAGAATCAACTTCGGCTTAGTGTCTACCACGCGGCGTATTCCTGGTTCACGACCCGTCCACAGTGTGTAGTGATCCCATCCCAGCGTTAGTATCATGCTGATGACCATCATGGTAGATGGTCGTATGGCTCGAACAGGGTTGTCGTCGATGCAGACATCAAGGTCTTGTCCGAATTCTTGTCCTACCTGCAAGCAGATTCCATCCGAGGGTATCCACCAATCTCTAGTCTAGCACCTGCCCACGCCCCATCGCAGTACTCTCGTGAGTGCATTATGATGTGATGCAGGTATATTGCTGAGTTTTGCCTTAGATTACGTCGCTTTGCTGAAGAACCTTGGCCTCCCTGTTCGACTCTTGGTCGAGAACGAAGTCTACCGACTCGGTGTGTGGGGCAACCCAGCAAACGACGTCAAGCGTGGAACAGACCACCTCTCTGCGTTGGAGAAGACGATGTTGGACAATACTTGGACCAGTACTGTACGCAGGACGTGGGAGATTGACCCTGCCATTGCCGTCCACATGGCGGAGCGCTTCAATCATCCGGCCGTTCAGTCTGCTGTTGGTTCTCTCGTCCGCTCGGCAACTCCAGAGGTCCTCGATGTTCCCGAGGGGCTTCGCTTCCTTGTCGGTGAGAAGTTGGACACCGGCGTTCAGCGGGATCTTCGGGTATGTGACATGTTCATTACTGAGGAAACCTCCCGTCTGACATCCCTCAGTACCTGCTCTTGTGGGCCTCGGTGGCGCCTGTCCTCGCCATCACCTTCTTCGAAAGGCGTTACAACAACCACCCTCAACTCCTCCAGTATGCCCATAGAGTACTCGAAGGGCACCCGGTCGAATTGACATTCTTCTTTGTGCCGCAAGTAGTGCAAGCCCTTCGCTACGACGATCTTGGTGACTCAATTGGTTGTGCGTGTAACTAAATAACTCACTGCCGCTTGTAGGATATGTCTCTCGCTTCATCTTCGAGACTGCCAAAATCTCCCAGCTCTTCTGTCATCAGATCATCTGGAACATGAAGGCCAACTGCTATCGCGATGACGCTGGAGAAATGGTGCGTGAATGATAACAGCCACCAGCGATAGTCCGCCTCACCGATATGCGTGCTCGCAGGAGGATCCTCTAAAGCCGGTGCTGGACAAGATGACTGACATGGTCGTCGATTCACTCTCCGGTGACGCACGTAACTTCTATGATCGCGAGTTTGGATTCTTCAACGAGGTCACGTCCATCTCTGGGAAGCTCAAGCCTTTTATCAAGAAGACCAAGCCGGAGAAGAAGGTTGGTTCACGTCGCACCAATATGGTCTTGTCGCTTATCCCGCGGTAGGCCAAGATTGACGAAGAAATGGCCAAGATCGTGGTCGAAGTCGGTGTCTACCTGCCCAGTAACCCAGATGGAAAGGTTATCGACATCGACAAGAAGTCGGGTCGCCCGCTTCAGAGTCATGCAAAGGTCACTGTTTTCGTCGTCATCACTGGACATGTCACTGAATAGGTTCATGCAGGCGCCCTTCATGGCCACCTTCAAGGTCCGCAAAGAACGACTAGTCGAACGAGCAACCTCCGATAACGTTCTGGAAGCGGACGGCGGAAAAGAAGAGGTCGAAGAGTACGACATCTGGCAGCAGGCCATCTTCAAGGTCGGAGATGACTGCAGGCAAGACGTTCTCGCCCTGCAGGTCATTGCGATGTTCAAGAACATCTTCACGAGCGTGGGCTTGACTCTCTACGTGTTCCCCTACCGCGTGACTGCTACTGCCCCGGTGTATGTCCAATGGGATCTATCTTGTCATATATTGCTGACCCAGGTACAGTGTGGTGTCATCGATGTCGTGCCGAATGCAACATCTCGTGACGAAATGGGTCGGGCCAAAGTCAACGACTTGCTGGACTTCTTCGTGGCGAAATATGGAGGCGAAGACACTGTCGAGTTCCAGAAGGCTCGCCTCAACTTCATTCAATCCATGGCGGCATACTCGGTCGTTTGTTACATCTTGCAAGTTAAGGACAGGCACAACGGCAACATTATGATTGACGGCGAGGGACACATCGTTCACATCGGTATGTTCACGAGGTCTTTTGTGCAGCTCCTCTCACCGACAGTATGTCTGGCAGACTTCGGATTTTTGTTTGACATAGATGAGTTCTATACCATCCATTTCCTCTGTGATCGTGCTAACTAGCCTTCTTCTGTGTCTCTACGTCCTGGAGTGAGTCGCTTCTGCTAACAGGTTTGTTGCGCAGTGACTGACCCGCACTCCAGGGTGTCAAATTCGAGCCAAACTCGTTCAAGCTCACACACGAGATGGTTGTTTTGATGGGTGGGCGGTACTCACAAGGATACCAACTCTTCCAGCAGTTGACAGTGAAAGCGTTCCTCGCCATCCGTCCACATACCGACCAGCTGGTCAGCACCGTCCAGCTAATGCTGGACACGTACCTTCCGTCCTTCAAGGGTGAACCGACGATCAAGCGGCTCAAGGATCGCTTCGTCTCGCACATGAACGAGCGTCAGGCTGCAGACTACATGATGTCTACCGTGAGGAACGCGCACGAGAACGTGCGTAGTACCGCATATGATGAGTTCCAGAGGGTATGTTACTCTTCAGCCTCTGTCATCACACCGATCGAATAACCATTGTCTCCCAATAGCTTCAGAACGGCATTCCGTACAAGTAGTCACTGGGTCGTTGTAATCGTGGATGGACTTGCTCTCTTCTGTGTTCGTTTCTCATGTTATAAGTAGTCAACTGGTCATCGCTCGCTACTCGTCGTGCCTTATTATTCCTTTATTGGTTCGCGTTCGCTTCATGTGGGCTTTCTGGTTGATTTGGGGTCCAATTTGTGGTGTTGCATAGCACTGGCTTTGCAGAATGAGGACGTCAAAACGAGCGCTTGTGGCCCATGTATGGGCGTCCACAGTGCTTAGCCTGGAACTACCTCGTTTACCGCAGCACACAACATGCGCCCAACACCTTCGATATCGATCAACTTTGCTTCGACCGTGACAGTCCGATCTCCACCTCGGCTTCCCTGTTCTCAGCCACTCGGTCCTCGGTCAAAGCACATCACAGCCGTGTTGCGATCTAGCCACACTCTACCTTCCACCCCTCGTTCTCGCCCTTCAACATGGAGGTAGCCCTCCAAGACGTCGCGTTTGATGCTAGCGTGTGGGACGTGAAGAGGATTTTGGGTAGCGTGTTGCACGGCGATGGATTTTACGACGCGTCTGATCCCAAAGCTCGACCTGTGTGAGTGGCACCTCTGTTCAGACTTCGTAAGATGCGCCCTCACCCCCACAAGCAATTTCAAAGTAACGCTCAACCCTGGTCAGGGTGCGCAGAACGACGGCACCGGATCACTGATCCTGCCCAATCGCAAGCTGGGTGACAAGTTCATGAAATTGGTCTGCGAAGAGAAGAAGGCGATCGTCCTGAACGGCCGCAAGATGCGCTTTTACAGGAGCAAGAGCAAGCCGGGACGAGGACTAAAGGAAACCCTCGAGAAGACACCATATCTGCAGCCCGAGCTAGAGGAGAAGCGAGAGGAGAAGCTTCGTCGTCTCGACATGGCATTGTACGTAGACAAGTTGCAATTCGGGATATTCTACCGTCCCCCGGGGTCCCCAATGACCGCCTCACGAGTCTTCTCCAACGAGTACGAAGTTAGTCACAACCACAGAGGGGCCGGGCTGCTATGGTTCGAGTACGATCACAAGCTCATTCGAATACAGGTAAGAGGCGTGTTCCACTCTCCTGTAAACCCGTTCCTCAGACCAGTGAGCAGCTTGGTGATAAGACGACAGAAGAGATTTGCTCAAATGTAGCCGTTAGCTTCTCCAACATCCGGAGGCTTGCGATTGGGGTTGACTTCGGCAACCCGTGTACGTGGATGTGAATCCCTGTTTCCCCGTGCTGTTGAACCAACTCTCCCTGCAGTCATCTGTTTTGAGCTACTTACGCCACCAATGCTCGAGCGCGAACGGTTCAATCGGACCCTCACGGGTCGCGAATGGCAGGACCAGCGCAAGTTCCGCCAGCGGCTTGATAGCTTGAACGAAGCTCACGCTGTAGTGGCACCCTACTGTCACCACCTGCGCCTGATCCTCCACACCGAAGAAGACATTCGCACGTTTGCAGAGCTTTGTGTCGTGGCCGGACTTAGGCGTCCCTTTTGGGCCAACGTAGAAGCTTTCAACAAGGGTTTCTTCTCCCCCAGATCCCTCTACACCTTCCACAACTGGTTAGGGAAATTCGAATGGGGCGTCGCATTCCAGATCGAGGCTCTCCTCCGAGGTGGTTTGTTACACACAGACGACATACTAGTCACGTTCAAGCCGCTGATCGAGGATCTATGCCGGACTCGGCCCTCAGAGCTGCCGACATCCTACGACACTTCTCGGAGACCGTCCGCACTCGCGATCCACACGACACCCTCCACGATTGTTTCGAGCGCGTACTTCCCGAAGGAGGCAAATGGAATGGTGGCTTGAGGAACGGCGGCCCGAAGAATGGTCATCGCAAGAATGGAACAGCTACAAACGGCTCAGTAGAGGCGATTGGTCATTTCGACGCGCTAGGACGAGAACGAGATTTGGGTAAATTCAAGTGTTATCGCACAACTTTCACGCCGACCCGCATGGTGCTGGAAGGCCCATACGTTAGTCAAAGCAATCGAGTTATCCGACAATTCGTCGGATACGAGGACCACTTCCTCCGTGTCGACTTCCGCGACGAGGATCGACTGCAATACAGATGGGCGCGAGAGGTGAGCCTTCACACATTGCCCAGCGCTGATGCTGAATCAAGCCTTATCAGGTTGATGGTACCACGCTACTCCACAACCGCGTGGGCGGTGTCTTGAAGAAGGGCTTTGAGCTTGGCGGGCGACACTTCGAGTTCCTTGCCTATTCTTCCTCGGCCCTACGGGAGCACGCGGTGTGGTTCATGAATCCCTTCCATCACAAGATGCAAGGATGGATCAACGCCCACAAGATCCGTGAAAGCCTAGGAGACTTCAAGAACGTCATCCGATACCCGTCAAAGTACGCAGCACGTCTAGCTCAAGCTTTCACTGCAACAGACCCGTCGGTGTCCATTACGAGGGACCAATGGGAAGAAGTCGAGGATCTCGGACCAAAGCTGTATCTGTACACAGACGGTGTAGGCACCATATCGCCCGAACTCGGTGAAATGATTTGGGAGGCACTTTGTACTGCCAAGGAAGACCTTCGGAGACATGACCGGAAGCCTTCCGCCGTAAGTCTGTTTGGTGTCTCGTCTGTCGCTAGGCTAATGGTATACAGTACCAAATACGTTTTCTAGGTACGCCTCCTTGAAAACTCGCCGAATAACCGCTTGTAAAAGACATTATTCTAGGGTTCAAGGGAATGGTTGGCATTGACGAGCGGCTCAAAGGGGTTAAGATGCGCTTACGCAAGTCGATGAAGAAGTTCGAGGGACTGGACAAAGACGCCGCCCCTATCGAGATTGCCCGATGGTTCGATAAACCAGGTACCTCTTACTTAAACAGGTAAGGACATCCTTCAAAACCCACCCCGACGCTGACAAGAACTCCTCAGGGCTCTTGTGATGATTCTCGAAGATCGCGGGGTAGACAAGGAGGTTTTTATGAAGCTTCAAGAAGACGCAATCACGGAAGTTGTCAGTTCGTCTGACACGGTCGATGGAGCAACCGGGATGCTGAAAATGCACAACCTGGGTCTGAGCTTCTCTATTCCCTTCATTCTCGACCGCCTCGGCGCGGCAGGTATGGGAATGAAAGGAAAGAACGCGGCAAACTTGCAGGGAACCTTCCTTCACAGTCTCCTCGCATACGCCAAGAATCACATCTTGAGAGACATGAAGCACAGTGCCCGGGTGCCCATTCCTGAAAGTTATCTGCTCGTTGGATTGGCGGACGAGGGCCCTGCTTACTTGGAGGAGCTGCGCGCGGAGCGGCAAGATGGGTACGACAAAGAGAAAGTCTGGGACGGCGTCAGTCCAGAAGACATCCTCTGTTTGGAAGATGGCCATATATTTGGTGAACATCACCTCGTCATCTCTGTGAAAATACTCCCTTATACGTCTTCAGCATGTGTACAGCACGTCGACGGCCCCCCAATATATATCCAAGGTAAGTGAGACTAACAAACCTCCGGTGCTTTCAGCCAACCTTTCAACAGGAACTGTGATCATACAGCGGAGTCCTGTTGTCCATCCAGGTGACGGTGAGCATGATTCGAATCATGTGTGCCATCTCAGTACTCAATATCTCATAGTCCAGCGGGTGTATGCTATCGGTGAACCGCCGGCAGGCAAGATATGTTCGTTCCGCAACCTGCGAAATGTCGTCGTCCTTCCCAGCCGAGGTACCCATATGACTTCCAAGTGTATGACTTCTAACGACCTTACCACGTACTATATAGGCAGCCGTTCGCTAGCTTCAATGTTGGGTGGAGGCGATCTCGACGGGTGGGTTCCTTGGATAGTTCTAAGGGTGCATCACTTACTTTTCGGGTCGTTTCCAGGGACTTATACTCGGTTATCAAGTACAGCCCGTTGCTACCCACCATTGCGGCCGGTCCTGCGGACTACACAGGAATGGGAAGCCGCAAGCTTCCGGACGGCCAGGAAAGTACGGTTGATGACATTTGCGATTTCGTGGTGGAATATATCAACTCCGATGTCTTGGTGAGCCGACTACGAGGGTTTCCTGCGAAGACAGTTCGCTCAGCGTGTACTATTTGACAGGGTCTGCTCTCGGACAGACATTTGATCATAGCCGGTGCGTACGCCATCGACGATGGTTCGATGCGTTTGCTCATCGGCGCACCCTGCAGATCAATCTAGAGCAAGTCTCTATACTTGACTCGATTCACGCGCATAGTCGCTGACTGATGTTCAGGACGGAGTCAATGATCCCGCATGTCTCGATCTCGCCCAACTCTGCAGTCAAGCGGTGGATTACCCCAAGAACGGTGTACAGGTCGATATCCATGATTCCCCTAGACTCCTCATCCGAGCGAAACCTGACTGGAAAATGGTGCGTCCGCCCATTTGTGCTGCCCTTCCTCTCTAATAGGGTCTTTTCAGGCTGAGGAAGATGATCCACGCGATACGGACTACTACATGTCTTCTCGTGCTCTGGGAGAGTTGTTCAGGAGCATCACCGTCAGTAAACCTCAAGTTCCCAAGCAGTCTTTCCCCGACCCCGAGGGACCGAAAATAGTACAAAAACCTCCAACCAAGCAGTCAATCCTTTGCGATCCTATATCCCTAGCTCTCAGGCCATTCATCGAGCGTCAACTGCACTACTTTATCAACGATGACAACAACGTCGCCGACATGCGCACCCTGTTCCTCCGCTACGAACGCGAGCTGCGCTACATCTGTGTCACTCACGCGCTCTCGGACGCTCCGGACATCCGACTACAGGAAGAAGAGGTCGCGATCGGGACGATTCTCGCGAACTGCTCCCAACACCGCTGGCGCACCGACCGGATGCACCGGATGCGAATGCACGCGTCGGAGCTCGCACGCGACATTCGCTTGAGGCTGTTCCGGCCAAGCGACACGCTCAACCCGGACCAGGGCGAGCTGCTCTATGGCCTGTCGCTGGCGTGGCTTGCGTGGGACTTCGGGATGCGGAACGCACAGGTGTTCGGGGCTCGCACTTTCAGTCTCATCGCTCTCGGAGTGGTCCTGGACACTCTGACCAAGTTGGGGGCTTTGCCTCTTCAATACCAGGAGCCCCGAGTGCAAATGGTCGATTAGGCGTCTTCTGGCCGTAGTTGTTGATACCAGACTTTGTATGTTTTCCGTAGATGTACCAGTACTACCGCCGTGCCACAGTGGAGGCGTAACCCTACGCTATGGTCTTTCATTCTCCCCATTCCCTCCGCCACCACGATGTCGTCCGATGCCCGACATCGGGTCTGTCTCATCTCATGGAATAGCTTTGTGCTTTGTCGACTGGCGCTCCTTGTTCTCGCTTCTTCTCTCTATGCTGTGAGGCAGGCAAGCTTGGCGAGCGTGACTTCACCGCTCTGTCCTCGAAGGCCATAGCATCCCTCGTCGCCTCACCCGACCCCATCCGAAATGTGGACCCTCACGATCCCAACTCCCATCTATCGAGAATACTCATCCCTCGGGCTCCTGACACGGTCAACAACACTGCGGTCAAGCAGTACATTGTCGACACCATGAAGAAACTGAAGTGGCACGTCGAGGAGGATTCATTCGCGGACAGCACGCCATACGGAGTCAAGAAATTCACCAATGTCATCGCGACGAAAGACCCCAAGGCCATGCGACGCGTCATTTTGGCCGCGCACTTTGATAGCAAGTTCTTTGAGAACAATCAGGCGAGTTCAGCGCGTCCAGAGTGCTATGTGTGCCGACTGACTTGACGTCGTTAGTAGTTTCTCGGTGCCACCGACTCGGCGGCGCCATGTGCGTTCATGCTGGACTTGGCCGAGGCACTCGATCCTCTCCTGAACGAGCGACACGAGCGACTGGAGAACGGTGAAGAGGATGACGAAGATCTGGCGAGACTACTCTGCAACTTGTGTTCTTCGATGGGGAGGAGGCGTTTAAAGACTGGACGGCTGTGGATTCCATCTACGGTGCGAGGTGAGCGATTCACGTTCCCTCTTGCTATGCCGTATACCGAGCCGCATAGACACCTCGCCCACAAGTGGGCTACAACCTACATCGCCCCCAACGCAAAGCGGAGACTGCTCCCCGCTTCGGAGACCGAGCTCGGAACTATAGAGCATCTCATCCTCCTCGACCTCCTCGGTGCCAAGCAGCCCATGATTCGCTCCTCCTTCCTCGACACTGCATGGCTCTTCGACCGGATTGCGTCGGTCGAGCAGCGTCTTGCAGACAGCGGGGCGTTCACCTACGAGAGAAACGGTGTGAAGGTTGAGGAGAGTTTCAAGCCCTACTTCCTCCCACGTAACGCACGGCAAGCATTCGGAGGCATTGAAGACGACCACATACCTTTCCTTCGGCTGGGCGTGAGTGTGCTGCACATTATCGCCAACCCTTTCCCGCGTGTGTGGCACACACTCAAGGTATGTTGCTGCCTGCCTATGCCTTCCCTGGCTCACAGATAACTTCAAGGACGATGCGGACGCATTGGACATCCCGACCATGCGACGCTGGAATTTGATCCTGCGCGTCTTCATGTCAGAATACCTCAACCTTCGCCCCCATGAGTTTTCTCGGGATGCCAATAGCACGCCGCGTCCGCGGAGGAGCTGGTGGGTGAAGATACTGTACACAAACTCGTCGAGCTCACGTTCTTTCAGTAGCCCGTTTTCGATCCTATCGAGTCGTGACGTGATTACCCTATAGTTGCATCGTTCTAGACAGGTTGTATTACCATTGACACCAAATGGTCCTCAGAGGGTTTTCATGGGTATTTTGCACGCAAAACGCATGTACGAATGCCTATATGAATATCGAGCTCTAAACCTCCCATGAACGAGCAAGCGCGCAATATAGTAGGGCGACTAAGACAGTAACAACGCCTTGTGGTACTTGAGAAGAGCTGACGCGTCTGTCACGACTAATTTCGGTGAGCATTGATTCGCGCTATCAAGGATTTAGCTCAACCTTTTGGTACTGTATATTCTCATCCATTCGTCTCCTTGCTAGGGCAACCATGTTCTTGCGAGACTTCTCACGCGCAGTTGATTGCCTTTCTACTGTTGAATGGATCGGTCGTCGCGTTCTTTTCCATGCAAACGTGATCACTTACACATCTCACTTGTTTCGTTTGTCAGCGCAGCGCGACGATGAGACAGATCCTCAATAACACCTGCACAGTGGTCAGCAGCTTCTGGATGCACTCCTGCGTCGTGCCTCGGTCAGTGATCCCATCTACCGTTCACCAGCCCACGGTGCTTACTGTCTCCGAATCAAAGGCATGGTTAACGATTTGAGTGCAATATCCTGAGAAGTTTCCTGAGCCTTCAGCTCTCCTATACAAGCCCGTGCTCGTTCTCTATCTCGTAATCAGATGTTGTGCTGAACTGCTGTATTTTGGATGCACGCACACGGTAGCGAGGCCATTTTTGATGATGTCCCTGGTCCTTTGCCTTTTCTTTCCGAATAACTCAGACTTGGTGCGCTGGAAAGCTACAGCCCTAGCTGACGCCTTTGAGGCTTTATGTTCTACTGCAGAGTTTGAGAGTTCGTTCGTCAAGGAAGAACTGGAGCTTCGCACTTTGTATCTCTTGTAACATGAGGAGCATGTCCATGGCGCTGTCCATAGCATATAGCGATAACGTGTTGACTGTATGCGCTATGGACTCACTTCGAGTCGTCAGAGCCATCCTCTTCTGCCACACCCTCTTCCTCAAGATCCATCTCCTCGTCCTCCCGTTCTAGTTTCTGAGAAGGCTGGGCTATTTTTCGACCTGCTGGAGGCATTGCGCGCGAATGTTGTGCTTTTCCGTGGTTGGATGGCCCGGCAGGATTCTGACCGTTGACGCCTGTGGCAAGAGACCATGAGGGCTGGAGTCGCGATGACTCCTTCAACTGACGAGTTGAGCTCGTGGCTTTCTTGGGCATTCTGTGACCGGGGATACTAGGGTGGGGTCAAACTTGAAGGGGGCGGAAAGGAAAGTCGGTCGCAGAAGGCAAGTCTCGAAGAGGCCTTCCTATTCAGGACGCCGGATGCAATTCGTTGATGCGTCACTTCACGGGGTCGTATTCCAGGGCTAGTGACATGCTAGAGTACAGGATACCATAAATAATTGAGAGAGAACTTTAGCCCAGAAGCTGGCCGATGCGCGTGTCAAAACCTTCACTCCGAATCGGCATCTCTGGTGTATGGAACGGATTCTTCATGACAGCGTCCGCGTAGATCTCATACACCTTCTGGAGCACCGTGTCCGCGGTGGGCTCAACGAGTGAAGTCATCAGTACAAATTTGGTACCTTCACTGGTAGTGAGAAGTGTGCTAACAGTTGTAGAGAGCAACGTGCATACCAGTGGCTGTCAATAGGATGTTCATCTTGAACGTCTCGCCCGAGATGACATGAGCTCCAGAGCTGGATCCGGTAGGAGACAATCGACTCGTGATGGCATGGATGCCATGCAGAGTTCCGGCAAGTACCAGGTATTCGTTGGAGGTCAGGTGTGGAAGACCGTCTGATAAACTGTGAGTAAACGCATCGGACTGCAAGCCAAACCGCCATACCTCCGAAACTCCGTTCATAAACGAGTCCTCCTGCTTTATTGATGACCTTAAAATTTCGATGAGCACGCGAGTCAATCACACACGGCCAGGCTACATACCCAGAGCCCGAAAATGGCCATGATAGAAACAGTGTGAGGCGCTTGGGAATCGAAGCACAGTGCGCGGAGTCATGTGAGCAAACGCGTCGGCGCGCGGCGCGTTTAAATCTCCGAATCAATATTCTCAGAACCCGGTCAGGACGGAGACTGGCCCTCTTGCACTTGCACTTGCACTCTCCCATCCTGTTCTTGCCATTTCCACATAGTCACGACACACAATGAGGGCACAAGTGCAAGCGCAGAGGACAGACGTCAACCAGGTACAGTCAGGCTATGCTCTTTACCGTGAGTATACAATCTCATATCCACTGCAGAAGACAATCACTGCCGCACAGAGTCTGCAGTCTGTACAGACGCTTCTGAGGGCGGGTCTGGGATGTATAGCTTATCTGAGGTGTGTTTTATTTTCTATGCCCACCATTGATGTCTTATTTGCGTAGAGATCTGCTTCCATCGGACAATTTCGTCGAAAGTGTGTTTGGGTTGACTATATGCGGGTCGTTCCCTCACTAACCACTAATACAACAGGTCAACTCACCTCAGAGGCTTTGGATTCCGCCTCTCATAGTCATGACAGCTCTGGGAGCTCATTTTCATCCGACGGACGGCGGAATGCGAGCGGATTCAAGGTCAGAACGATCCAACGAGGGGTTACGAATGAAGCAGACAAGCTGCTTGAGTATCTGGTGAGTCCATATCCGTGATTGGCTCCTGCTATTCCAATAGTACATATCATATCAGGAGGTTGGCATATTCGATGCGCTCGAGAAACAGTACCTGCGCAGCATTATCTTTGCCATATATCTGGTATGCACCCACCGCGCGTCCTCGATAAGGAAGCTAAAGTCAGGCACAGGACGACCAAGATCCCAACAAGTACGTCATCCACCGAAGGATCCCTCGACACGGACATCTCACATCAGTTTGCAGCATCGTTGAAGCGTACACTTTCAACTTCTCGGTAAATTGTGCATGTTGTCAAGCAATTGTGTCTCCTAAGCCCGTTTCCTCCAGTACTGCACTGTTCCAGGGACCCAAAACACCATACCTATCATGTCTCTGGACGAAGAGTTGACGAAAATGTCGCTCTCGGGGCATTCTTCGACCAATGATCCCGTGGCAGCAGCGATGCAGCAAGGGAGACGTCCTACGCTTGGCGAAGTCAAACGTAGCCTTAAGGTACATTTTTTGTTTTCACCGGAGCTATCATTATGGACCTCTACAGACCCTTGTGAAAACGCTCATTCAAGCGATTACTCAAATGGATCCTCTTCCCAGTGAGTGTTGTCCTCACAGCACATCCGCGTCTAGAACCAACGGCTCTCTAGATCGACGGTTTGCAACTTTCAAGCTCTTCTACCACGACAATACGCCGGAAGACTACGAACCGCCTCATTTCCGAGCCGGGGACGTGGAGAAAGATCGGTGGTTTCTGTCCACTCATACGCAGTGCGAGATTCCGGATCATTTCAGCGTCGGCTCCCTCGACACCGGCATCATACAGTCAACGTACAAGTCACATCGGTCACTGAATTCTTGCCACAGTCGGAGGATTGCAATGCGTTCCAAGGCACTATGAAGGGCGCTATCGGGTCGGCACCCCCTCTCACCCCAGTGAAAGAAATTGCAGCCCGCGGGCAGCAGATCCAGGAACAGCGACGAGACGCGGAAGACCGCACGATCATGTGGGATGGCGATTTTGGCCATGGTCGAAGGGACGACGTGGTGAAAGTCGATGGTAAGCAACGCTGAAGTTGGAGCATCGAGTACTAACTGAGCCCATTCCTTCTCAGGGGGTCCCCCCACCAAGGTTACTCTGCTCGGAATAAGAGGCGGAGACGGTCTTCCTGTTCCTCTTGTTGCCCCGCAAGCAACTGTCGTTGAAGCAGAGTTCGACGGTCATCAGTACGTCGGAGAGGCCCAGGCTGTGCCTTCGGGCATTGCTCAACTGGTCAGTTTACACATTTCACTTACGGCGTCGTCTCTCTGACCTCATTGGTAGATGTATGATACCGACCAGCCCGGGCGTGAGGTTCCCCCCACTCAAGTCGTTGATTCTCAAGACGTTACTACCCCAAAAGCTCATCGCCTAAACCCCGGGCGCCCTGGCTGCGAATCCCCTCTCCCGCCGTCCGACTCTATCTCATCTGTACCCCAGTCAGCGGAGACAATCGATACGCAACATCTTAAAGATATCATCCTTGCTGAAGATCCAATCGTGGAGGACAGTATGATTCTTGGTATGCACTCGCCATGAAATACATATCCTACCATGATCTGAGATGTCATCCAGATACAGAAACACAACAGATCCCAGCAGTTGCAGCTGACTCCCAGGAGTCTATACAATCGTTCTCCCAAGATGCTTCCATGGAACCAGTTGAAGACCTAATTCTGCCTGAATGTGAATGCGGCGTTCAGGCATGTAACTCATTGATAAAACTTTTCTGTGAGTCTCACAGCAGTCCAGGTCGAAGACTGTGACCTCGTATCCTGTAAAGGCGGGTGTGAACGACGTTTCCATTTGTGGTATGCCTCCGATTTTTAATACAGCTTCGGGCTAGACTAATGGATTGTAGGTGTATGGGCTTCCATTCTTCCCAGGATCACCGGGTGCCGGAGAAGTTTATTTGCTTTGAATGTCGCGTTAAAGCAGACTGTAACTGGCATTTGATTGAGGTCCATGGAATCTTCCCCCATATCATAGCTAGGTTCAAGGATCTTGCCATACAGCGGTGAGTAGTTCAGGGTTATCGCGACCATTACCTGGGTGCTTACTGCGCTCAAGGCGGGGAATCAAGATTTTCGAGACCCACGGTCCAGACTCTCCGGCGACATTCACTAAACTGATCGGTGAGAGATGCTAGTCTGTTGATTTAACTGGCAAAGTTTCTGAGTCAGGGTCAGGTTGCGAGTCCACGGTTGCGGGACAAGTTTTCAAACGCCTCGAAGCAGAGGGTGCCGCTGTCACGCAGAATCCCGGGATGTCATCTAACAATCATTCATAGGGTTTATTGCCCAAGAAATTCAAGATGAAGATGAATCTGGTTTCATGCAAACGACTACTCTGGCTACGAGGCAGAAGGCGAAGGGAGCGAAAGGGAAGACGCGTGGTGCCAAAGCTACGACTCGTCGTAAGAACATGAAGAAACCCGTCTATGTCTTCGTACAAACGATCAGGAACGATGACATCTATAAAGACTACTTCAATCCCAGTGCTGAAACCGAGAGAAGACTGCTTCGTATCGAAGAGCTGGTGAGTTGTTATCACACGATCATGCAGGGCGTTAGCAGCTCACGGTCTATGACAGAAACCGAAGAACAAGACCCGGTCTAAGAAGCAGCATGACCAGCCGTAAAAACCTCCTCCCCTTTCATTTACGCCTTTGACGAGCACACTTCTGTAGGCCCGCTACTGCCAGTTCTTCGCGTCTTTTTGCCCAGGAAGTCTGTCCAGAGGTCGTCGTGCCCGAGGACCGAGATCAAGATGCTGCTCTTAGTGACACTTCTGCCCGCAACCTCAATGATCTGAAGAGGAAAGGTCGAAGCGCCGATACCGACCTTGCCCTAGGACTCAAGAAGATCAAGATATCACTCCCGGTGCCTGTCGATCTTGAAGCGTGAACGGCTCTCCTCGAAGGCCTCCTTGTGCTGGACTGGTCCGGACTCCGCTGTGCTCGCTGTTCCTGCTGTTCTGTCTTTGCTATGCTGTCGTTGTTCTCTTGCTCAATGCGTACTCACGCCGGCCCCGATCAATCCACTGATGTACCAAATGCCATTTTTTTCATATCACCAGTAACCAGCTTGTGTTACATTATACACTCCGGGGACTCGGCCCGACCATATACTGCTCCGCGTAGTTAAAAACCTATGATGCGGTCTCAATCCGCATATCCAACGCATGTGCGCGAGTTACAGATGCCCGATTGATTACCACCAGGCCTAGGCCATATCCGCGGATGATGAGTGGTCATAGGATGCTGTGGACGTCTAGAAATCTGGGCTGAGGTAATGTGAGCCGTATGAGATGCCAGTGTCCGCGACCACGTGGTGAGTGGTGAAGGAGAGGATAGTGGAGTCGTGCTCCGTCGGAACATGAGTGGGCACAACGTCCCTTGGACGTCGAAGGGGCGACATGTCAATAGTTCATGCTTTCTCGCGCGGGTGTGGATCAGAGGTAGAGAGTTCTTCTCTAGGCGAATGACTTATCTGGATTCATGCCCATCGCATGGGCTAGACCACCCCACCCGTCTATGCCAACACCAATGAAATTATAAGATGGGTCGAGACTCGAGCATCCGCCCCCGCTGGCCTACTGAGCGTGGGCGGGCCGCCGAAAGGGTGCACCGAGGTGGCCTGACCCGAGGATGACTCTTTTTGGAAAGCAGGAGTCGGGCCCAATAGCCTCTCATGTCCGCCAGTGGAAACGCAGCCTACAGTGAAGGAATGTCCAAGGCACCGACCGGGGTGGAGGTGCAATGTTGCGCTGCGGCATCGGAGTTAGTGAGGCCTCGAGGACCTAGGGACGGCAGGCTTGGGTAGTTGATCCGACATCAGGGAGCGAACGTGCGGTGAATGAGCGCCATAAGTAAGTGCACGTATATCGTGGATGTGGTACAACGGTTGAAAGAGCGGCGGCGTAGAAGGGACGCCGGAGGCTGCATGCACAGCTGGTTATCGCCGAGCTGGTCTCGTCCCAGCCGCTCTGTACCGCACCCCGCCACCGCTCGTGTAAGCGGTGGCGGGGTGCGGTACAGAGCGGCTGGGGACGAGACCACGCCGAGCGAAACCACAAAGGATTGAAGGCGTCTCTTTCATCGGTGTAGATCGGGCGTAGATCTCCGAGCCGGCCCTGAAGGGGACGCTATAAGAAGGCGCGGGCGGCTGCGGAGGACTTCATCCCCTCATGATTTGGCAAGTTGTCGCGCCTCGTCGCCGCCACGGTCGACGAACTGCATCGTGAGGCACTCGCAGGAGATGAAGTAACTGGTGCATGGCATAGTATACACCTCCGTATCTCCCTGGCTGCGCTGCTCACGTCTCTGGGGCTCGTTAGTGTGGTGTACATTCCTCTCGTTACCGTATTTAGATAGCACCAATAGATTGCAATCTTGAATTGATACCCCCGTCTGCTGTTGCGCCCTGGGCGTGGATCCTGGATGGCGGAGAATCGGAGATGGTGTAGCCCGTCCCACGAGCAGCTGACTGCGAGGACCGCGACTCTGGACGCGGCGTCGGGAGAGCCAAGTGCAGTCGGCCATCGAAAGTTGGAGGCTCTCGAGCTTCGCCGCCCTCCATTCGACTTCGCTCACCTGTAAGTACGGCCCAAAACCTACAACCGAGCCCAAAGCCGCCCGCTACCTCAGCCCACCGCTTCTCTCCCTCTCCCCTTCACGACCGCTACGACGCCTCCTGTGGCCCCGCCATGTCCTACCGCCTCTCCGCCACACTCGACGCCCACACCGCCGATGTCTGTCCTGCTCTCTCCTGCCCGACGCGTACTCGTTGCTCACAAACCCTAGGTTAAGGCCGTTGTCTCACCCACCGACGATCTCATTCTATCCGCCTCGCGCGACACTACCGCGATCGCCTGGGCAAGGGTCGCCCAGTCCATCACGCAGACCACCATTCTTCGCCCCGGCTCGCGCTACATCAACGCAGTCGCGTATCTTCCGCCCGCGCCCGGAGCTCCAGAAGGTGTGCATCTGCCTTTATGGCGCGTGATCTCCGCATCGTGCTCATATCTCCCTCCTGCAGGATACGCAGCCACGGGAGGCCAGGACACTGTCATCAACATATTCGCGCTCCCCGCACCAAAAGGCGAACCCAGCTTCTCCCTCATCGGCCACTCCGAGAATGTATGCGCTCTCCATGTCGCTCAAGATGGGACGATCATCTCGGGATCTTGGGACAAGTGCGTGCTCTTTTAGATCCTGTTGGGGCGCGCGGTACTCACGCGCGTCAGGACGGCGAAGGTATGGAAAGACTTCAAGCTACTTTACGACCTTGTCGGCCACCAGCAGTCGGTGTGGGCAGTAGTCGCCATCGATAGCGGCCAGTTCCTCACAGGTACGTCTATCCTTGACTTCCTTGCCGCATGTACCAACGCGTGCGCGTTGGCCGGCGCGTGCGTGCCAAGGCTCCGCGGATAACACCATCAACTCTGGAAGCAGCACAAGAATGTGCGCACGTACCCCGGCCACACCCAAGCTGTGCGCGGCCTCGCGCTCATCGCGGACATTGGCTTTGCGTCGTGCTCGAATGACAGGTGCGTGCGCGCTCTCCCCCGCGCTTCCACGAACACGGTCTAGACCTCGTATGTTTCCTCGCCTCGCAGCGAAATCCGGGTCTGGACCATGGAAGGCGACACCGTCTACACGCTCTCCGGCCACACCTCGTTCGTTTACAGTCTTTCGGTGCTTCCCAACGGGGACATCGTGTCTGGTGGCGAAGATCACTCTGCGCGTGTGTGGCGAGGTGTGTCTGTCTTCTCAGCGACCCATCCTGCTTTATTCCGGGGGTTCCTGACCAAGCGCACACGCCGCCGCCGCCACCTTCCTTACCGCAGACGGTGAATGTGTACAAACATTGGTACTCCCCGCCATATCTGTCTGGTCCGTTTCCACCATGCCGAACGGCGACATCGTGACCGGTAGTAGCGACGGGATTGTCCGCGTATTCAGCACGGAAGAATCGCGCTGGGCTCCTGCAGACCAGCTCCAGGCGTACGACGACATGGTTGCCGCACAAGCCCTCCCGTCACAGGCTATCGGGGACGTCAAAAAATCTGATCTTCCAGGTCCTGAAGCTTTGTCACAGCCAGGTACGATTTTACAATGCAAACGCAGACAGACGTCTCATTTCCGACTGTGCGTCAGGGAACAAGCCTGGAGAGGTGAAGATGATCCGGCGGGGTGAGAGTGTCGAAGCACACCAGGTGACACTGGTCCACCTTCCCTTCTTTGTGGCGCTTTCTGACCTCGGTCTCATAAACAGTGGGATAGTGCGAACGCTAGTTGGCAGAAAATCGGCGACGTGGTAGACGCTGTTGGGCCGGGCCGAAAGCAGCTCTACGAAGGCAAAGAGTACGATTACGTGTTCGACGTCGACGTCAAGGAAGGCGTGCCTCCACTGAAACTACCATACAACGTCAGCGGTAAGTGTTTTGTCGGTTCCTGGACCTGCATATATGCCCATCATATATATTTCTAGACAACCCGTACTCAGCTGCCCAACGCTTCCTTCAGACCAATGAACTCCCATTGAGCTACTTGGACGAAGTGGTGCGATTTATCGAGAAGAACACGGCTGGGGTCAATGTGGGAACTTCAAACGATGAGTTCGTGGATCCTTACACGGGTCAGTGGCGGAAGGATCTGCCTCTCTGCGTATATTCACTTCAAAACTCTATTGCAGGTGCTTCCAGATACCAAGCGTCGCAGACAACATCCTCGGGACCATCCGAGTTCATGGATCCGTTCACAGGTGCGGTGGCTCTACATATTCACATCTCAGTCTTTTCTCACATACCATCAAGGAGCATCGCGCTACCGCGCTGCACCCCCAGTAGCGTCATCAACGCCTGCTTCGTCTGGTGGTGATCCGTGGACCGGCGCGTCAAGATATTCTAGTGGTGTGACTTCACCTGCACCGGCTTCTCCACAACCCGTTGCTTCGTCATCAGCCCCGGTGATCCCAGTGGTATGTTGACTACTGTAAATGTACAGACATGCGCTAATGTTTAGCAGCAAAAACCAATCTCTTTCCGGCAAGGACATGTTACTGCAATGCAAAGCAAGCTGTACCAGTTTGACCAAGGCCTCAAGAATGAGATCGTACGCTGTGGGCAAGCTTGGCTGGTTGAATAACATTGACATCCATCTGTGCAGTCAACAAGTTCACTTGGAATGTACCCCGACGAGCTGAAGCTGGTCGAGGAAATGTTCTCGTACCTGTCGGCTTCAATGGCGAAGACCTCGACTCAGTCACTGAACAGCAGTCACGTCGAAGCTCTGATCTCTATCCTCGAGCGTTGGCCACAAGCACCTCTATTCCCTCGTACGTGGGTGAATTTGCGGTAGATTAGCTTCACTGACGCCCTTTCACTCGTAGTAATGGATTTGAGTCGACTAGTGGTAGCCCACGCGCCTTCTGCCTACGCAGACTCTGCGGTCCGTGCCCGTTTCTTCGCCGCGCTCTTCCACGGGGCAAGCTGGGCGGAACCATGGTCTTCCCCACTTCCCAAGTCGCGCGAGACAAATATGCTCTTCCTCTTCCGTGCCCTTGCGAACGCCATTCAGGAAAATGCGACTGCGGGCGACGGGAAGTGGCTGGAGGAGATCATCGACAAGGTCGGCGACGCACCGTACACGGTGCTCACGAACAACCTCCGAGTGTCTCTGGCAACGGTCATGTTCAAGTGAGTCCCATTGACCCACCTGCTCTACCTCTGCACTGAATTCTCGCGCCCTCTTAGCATAACATGTCTCGGCCTCCGTGAGCCTCTACCCCCAACACTACGAGACGCCTCCGCCAATCTCGTCCTCGGGGTGGGTCTTGAAATGGCACTCATTTGATATCCCGTACTCACGCGACTCGCTCGAAGATCCTCCAAGCCGAGAAGACCGAGCCCGAGGCCGCTTACCGCGCTCTGGTCGCATTTGGCAACGTCGCCCACGCCGCGCGCACCTACTCATGCCCCCTCGCGCCCGCGCAGGCAGCCGACGCGCGCCAGACGCTCGCCGCGCTTCCCGGGACGTTCTCGGACGCGCGCGTTCGCGACGTCTCGAGCGAGGTCGCGGCGTTGCTCTAGGATAGGGTAGGCCTCGTGTACGGTGTGGCGTGGATCGGGTTCAAAGAGACGGAAGCAAGTTTACGGTTCTGGTTTGCGAAAACGGTCGGGGACGGACGGCGCCCGGCGCGCAACTGCAGGATGTGATATACGGGACGGACGGTGGCTGCGCAGGGGGTAGACTGTATACAAGTAGGTGTACAAGAAGCCGAGGACGGCGTGCCCAGTGTGTACGAGCGTATGGGATTAAAGCAAGGGATGGGAAAGCTTCGAAATGGATTTCGCGACCGGCCAAACCTGGCCGAAGGGGGACCGGCGCATGCCTTCCAACCCACCAGAACGTCAAGCTTGGCTCTCGACACCAGCAGCCGCGATTCACAAGCAAGCACGAGGGTAGAAGCAAAGCGCATCGCATGGTATAGACAAGCACAGGCCAGAGGCCAACAACAAGTGTGTACGTGGACTGTATGTACGCTGTACATGTGCTCCAGCGTCGAGGCTCGACTCGACGGGGCGCTGCGCGTCCATGTGGCGCGCGTCCAACGGGCCACGGGAGGGGAACGACGGGGTCCATTAAGCCGGCGCGACAAGGACGGGTCGGCGAGGGCGCCGCCTGCCGTGCGAAGAGGTGTTTCTGGGGGCAGGCGGGGGGCTTCGCTCGTCGGCACGCCCTGGAGGCTCGGGGTGCGTACACTATGCACGAACGGGGGACGGGAAGGTCAGTAGACGAGCGCCGTGCGGGGTTCACGGGCCATCGAGAGGGAGCGAATCGGGTGGGTAAGGGCAGGCAGGAACGGATATACGAGAGAACGAGAGCACGAGATGCGGAGTGGACGACAGAACGGGAGTTTGGAAGGTGTCGCGGGGGCGCGGGCGAAACTGCGGTCGGTGGCGAGTCTTATGAAACCCAGACTGGAAGGAATCAAAAGTCAGCGGCGAGGCCGGGAGGAGTGTAGAGATGTCGTGAGACGTACAAGCGAGTGCGATAACAAGGTACAGGGTGAGCAGCATGAGGCCTTCCATGTAGTTGGACTTGCCGTCCTGGATGAGGAAGTTGACGAGCAGCACAGACACAAAGAGCACAACAGTCTATTTGGAGGCTATTCAGTGGCTGCGATGCCAGAGCCTGCGGGGAAAGTGCGCACCTCGAAATCCGCAAAGAACAGAGTGAGGTCATGACCTGTGATCCAGCCGACAATGACAAGCAGAGGCACAACAAACGCAGCGATCTGGATCGAGCTACCGACGCAGATACCGATGGTGAGTTCCATCTTGTTTTTCATTGCCATCCAGACGGATGTGACGTGCTCAGCGGCATTGGCCTGGTAAATGGGTGCTTAAAATTGCATGTAATCATCTCGGCCGAAGAAGGAAACGTACGACAATGGGAAGGAGGATAAGACCAATGAAGGGCTTGGGGATGTGGTACCGTTCCGCAGTTTCCTCGATAGACGCGACGACTGCGGGGGCGCATGCGTCAACTTTGCGCTCATGCCAAGCAAACCGCAGTGTGCCACTCACGATAGTCCGCGCAGAAGGAGGTGACGACGGTGACTCCGAGGAGCCTATCGCAATATTAGGTTCAGTCCCCGAAGCATCCAGCACGGCGGAATCCACGCACGCAGTGCCCGCAGCCCAAAGGTTCATCTCCGGTTCCTCTTCCTCTTCCTCGCCCATGGCCTCGTACAGGTGCGCGTGCGTCTTGAGCTAGAAGACGCGGTTCCGTGTCAGCACCCCGTGCGCGGGATTCCGTCCACAATGGCCGCATACACTCACCTGGAAGAGCAGGTACGCCATGTAGACGATGAGTAGCAGGATCGCAGTGCCGCGTGAGATGATCTTAAGGCCCTGAAGTGAGCTTTCGTCGAGGAGCTCTAGGCCGAGGTCGCCCTTGGGGTCCATGGAGCGCACAAGGTGCGCGATGGAGGTCGTGTTCGCAGGCGCGTCGATACCACCGTGCGACTGCGCGCTGTGATACGCTGCGGGGATGACGAGCGCTGTTTGTGTGGGTTGTCGTAAGGGCGGTCGGCACGCGCGGGTAACGACGTCATTGGGCGATTAGGCGGTAGGGGGCAGGTGTGGGTGACGGTCAGCTTGGTTTGGGAATGGGAGACAAGGCAGTGCGACGTACTAATGCAGGCGAGGGTCATGAGCTGAGGTCGGGTCAGCGGATGCATTGCGCGCGGGGCGGTGAACATGAGGTGCAGGGGCGACGTACCGAACTCGAGCTAGAAATTCGAATGGAAGGCATTAGCTGTGAGGCGGTGAACGGCGGTCGGATGGGAAGCACTCACGCCTGCGCGGCGGTCACTTGGAAGTTGCTTTCGCTGTACTTGATACCACCTGATAGGACGCGTGAGCAAAGACCAAGTGAAGGCGGGCGTCGGAAGCTGGAATGACCGATGTACCGGAGAACATGGTTCAGTTGAGCGCACGTACCTGCCAAGAAGGAGCATCCAAGAACTAGGAGGATATTGGAGAGGATGGAACCCAGCAGCTATGCATCCCTTTAGCGACGGGAATCGCGCGCTGGCAGTGCGCGGGGACAACTCACAGAGGTTTGCACGATGCGCAGCTCGCCTGGGAGGAGGGTGAGCGAGTGCGAGCGGAACGGATGCGCGCGCGACACGCACCTTGAAGGAGGGCGGCAATGCCAACGATGATCTCAACCGCGTTGCCAAAGGACGCGTTCAAGAGACCGGAGAGTGTCTGGCCAAGCTTGAGTGAGAGTTGCTCAGTGGCAAATCCGAGGAGCTGCAAGAAGGTGGCGCGTGAGTGGACGGTGCGCGCGTCCGCGCTCGAACGAGGGGGTACACACCGCGGCGAGAGGCATGATCGCAATGAAGCTGAAGCCGAAGCGGAGGCCGGCATCCCAGTCGAGGTAGTGCGCGATGGCACTGAGGGGGACAAAGACGAGGAGGATGTTGAGATAGGAGCCAAAGAAGAACGCGCGGAAGGACGCGAGCCACGACGGCTGGCCCTCGGCCTTGAGAGAGTCGGCGAGGCGCGCGAAGAAGGGCCTGGGCGGGTGCGCGCCGTTGCCATTCTCGAGGAGCGGTGTGCGGTCTGTGGGGGAGGACATGAGAGGAAAGGAAGGGCAGCGGACTGGGCGGAGGAGCGAGCGCAAGGCCGGGTTATGACCTCCTCCGTCCCTCTAGGCGCCGAGCCTGACGCACAGCCCTCCTTACGTAACCGGGCCTCGCGCGTTCTCGTTTGGGTCCGCGCGCGGCGCCAGCCACTGCCGTTCCGAGTCCGCGTCCCGCCCTTTCCGCCGTCGTCATGTCTCCTCAACTTCCCGGCGCCGAAACGATTTCAAAGGCCGCTCAGGTGGCCGTCTTCGACTCCGAGGGCAAGGAGGTCCCCTTCGGCAGCCTCATCGACGGCGACAAGAAGACGATTGTTGTGTTCATCCGTACGCACTCGACAGTATCCTTGTGGTGTGCCCAGCCACTCACCCACGATACCTGCCTCATTTGTTTTGCCTCCACGTCTCTAGGCCACTTCTTTTGTGGTGTATGTCCTTGATCCCACATTCGTATACCAGGGCCACCGCTGACCCACCTGGTCTTGCCCGGAACAGAGCTGCAAGGTATCATATTGTCATCCTTTCTCCATCTTCCGCGCTGACAGTAGACGCAAGCAATACACCGAGCAACTCGCCACCGTGCGCGAGGACGCCCTCAAGGACGCGGGCGCCACCATACTCCTCGTCGGTTGTGGGGACTGGCAGCCTATCAAGCATTACAACGGTCTGTGCGCGACCCCCTCGAGTCCCCGCCGGCGCCCTTGGCGCGATCGGAGGCGATGAATGCGCTCTCATGCCAGTCTCCCCGCAGAATCCACCGGCTTCCGTGGACCCATATACGCCAACCCCGGACGGGAGCTCTACCAGATCTTCGAGTTCATGTCGGGACTCAAGATGACGCCCTCCGGCCAAGAGAAGCGCAGCTACTTGGGTCGTGGGGTCCTCAGCAATGTCATTCACAGTATATGGGTCGGTGTCGCATTGCCTCGCGCTCGGCACGTCGCCCGCTCACTGCTTCTCGCAGGACGGTCCGCTCAAGAACCCCGCAATCGCTACCAAAGGCGGTCCAAGCGCCCAGAACGGCGGTGACTTCGTGTTTGGTCCAGGTAGGTGGAATCGCACAGCCTTCGCTCCGACGGAGGCTCACCGAAGGCAATAGACCAGTCATGTATTTTTGCTCATCGAATGGAGCACACCGAGGATCGTGAGCGTGATTACATCCCTCGAGTGATTCTCTTCAACTCACTGCGTACTTACCAAGATGTCGAGGTCGAAGACCTCATGAAGGCTGCCGGAGTGGCATACCCGTGACGATTGATCCGATACCCCTCGCAGAATCTGGAAGTTATGTATCTTTTCGTTTTCCGTGTACACGTTCACCGTCCTGGACCCAGATGTATCAACATGTCTTGAAATTGCTTTCGTTGGGTTGCAACGGTCGACGCGCGGTCGTGGAGGCTGCATGAGGAAACTGGCGGTTGATGGCATGTGCGCACAAGCAAATGCGATCAGAGCCCCACACGAAATACAAATGGCCCGCCCACGTACGATGACGATACCACAGGAGCAGTCTATAGATATTTTGTACAAGATGCCTATATGTTCAGGAGAACGTATCTCCCCGGAATGCACACCCATCTACCCGATCTCTACTCTTCTCACCTCTCGGCTCCTCTTGAATCTATCCCGACATCTACGGCTGCACGTCCGCGTTGTCCTGCACGAGCTCCCCGTCCAGATGCGTCGTGTCCGCATAGCTCACCAACGCGCCCTTCCCCCGCCCGTTCAGCTCGAACACCGAGATCGACGCGTTGAAGCACCGGCCGACGAGCACGCCCCTGCCCGCGCGCACCTTCCGACTCCCGAGCAACGCCGTCGCCAGCGTCCCGATCAGTCCGCCATGCGAGACCACGAGGACGTGGACCGGCTCGTCCTCGTCCTCGTCGCTCTGCGCGGCCGGCCTCCGCGAGCGCAGCGCCGCCGCGCGCTGCGCGTGTCGCCCGATGGTGTCGTTCCACCAGCGCGTCGCGCGCGCGACGAACTCCGCCGTCGGCTCGAGATTCGTTGGGGCGTCGCCGCGCTCCGAGATGAACTCGCCCTGCCAGTCGCCCATGAACTGCCCGGCGGTGCGCGCGCGAAGCCACCGCCATCCGGAGCGGGTCCGGGTGAGATACGGGTGCGGATGCGGGCGCATTGAAGGGCGGGTGATGCGGGCGCACGGGTGGGTTGCGGGTTGTCGGAGACGCGGAAGATAGCATCCGGCGTTAGCGCCGTCATCACTCCGGGAGAAACGGAAAGCACCCACGCGTTCCCTGAGCGCACTGCACTCCTGCAACTCCACGTCGGGGTGGTCGCCGAGGATGATCTGCGCGGTCTGTATCGCGGCGGTGGATGTGCACAGCACGTGGTCGCGCGAGGACAACGATATGTGGACGCAAAACAGGCGCATCAGCCTCCATACCTCAAAGTACCGATCCCTTCCACCGGCGACAGACCCAACGACAGCCCCGGCACGCGCGCGGGTGAGAGAGACGAGCGAAGGCGAGGAAGCGCACCTTGCGCGCGCGCTGCAGGTCGCTGCAGTACGCGGCGCTGAACGGCACGTCGGCGAGCGCGTCTGCCGCGAGGCGCGCCTGCGCGACGCCCGTCGCGTTCAGCGCGGTGTCGAGGTGGCCCTGCACGATCCCGCGCAGGTTCGCGTCCGTCTCGCCGTGGCGGACGACGTATACGCGGACGACGGGCGCCGCGTCCTCAGCTGCGGTTGCGTTCACGGTTGACGCCGTCATCCTTGGGTGGGTGTACTTGGGTGTATGGCAGATCTGAGGAGGCCGGAGCTAGAAGCAAAGAGGGAAGTCGAGGACAGTCGAGCCCCCGTGGGTCGGGCGTCGAGAGTCGGACTGCGAGGGGAGTGGTGGTGGTGGGAGGGAATGTGGGGGAGGTGTGCGTTCCCTGCGGCAAGGACGGACGGAGAAGGACTGCTGGGGCGGCCGATCGGCCCGGCCACTCTTTAGAGTTCGATCGGTAAGATTACGGGGAGTCAGTACTCGATCGGCTCCGGTCCAGGATACAACATGTATACAACGCAAAGAACAGCGAAGCAGCCCAGAGTACAACCGCTCTCCCCGCTCTCCAGGTGCGGTCCACCTGCAGCGATGATTCCCCGTCTTCAGCCTCATCGGGGCAAATGCCGGAGGCAGAGGTCACAAGTGTGGTCCAGAGGGCCGCCCAGGGGCGCCAGAACGCCTTTGTTCGCCGAGTCCCACCAGCAGTCCGAAAAGTGCATCAGAGACTCGTCGTGCTCGCCATCTGCACCTCGATGGGCAGGGTCGGACGCGGCGTCACGGAGGTTGAGGATGAAGCGCGAGATGAGAATGGATGTCGCGCTGTGTAGGCCAAGCGTTGAGTACGCGAGAGACGGGCACGCGTCAAGTAAACTCGCCTATCGGTGAATATGGTGAGGTACACGACTGACTGGTAATCATAATCAGCCCTAGACCTTGCCATCATGCATTCAGATGTGAGCTTACCGGCTTGTACGTTCCAACGATGTGGAGCGCATTGAGCACCGTCCAGATCCTGGCCGAGTATGAACATCAGGCCGTACCGGTATACGGCGCGACTCACATGAAGTATACAGAGCCTAGATGAAAATAGATATTAGTGGCGCGCTCTAAACAGGGATAAACATAGAACTGACCATCGCGTAACAGCACTGTCGGGATGGAGAAGGTACTTCGGAGGCCCTGTTCGTAGGCAAATCGTACGATGCCGTATGTCTTGGCCCAAGTGACACCGAGGACCAACATATCCGACAAGACAAGACAAATTCTTGAAATTGCAGTCACTAAATGCGCCCACAAACTCCGAATTAGAGCGTGCGGCGAGACAGAAAAGCAGGGTGACCTACATCTAGATGACGATCAGCGCGATGAAATGATGGAATGCTGTATATGCACTCACCCATGCAGGGTAGAATCCGAGATTCCAGATGTGGTTGTACAATACGTGAAGCCGTCGGTTGTGACATACAAAGCCTCTGAACGGATATCTTGAAACTACGAGTGGAACTGTATTTAGCAGGGAAAACTTCGACGGACTGAACATACGTACGATGTACCATCCGATAGGAAAGAGTGACAACGTGAGGACGAGCAAGGAGAAATGCCATCCCCTGATCAGAATTGCGTATGCTCGCAGGCTTGAGAATGCTACGGAGATGCACCCGCGTTAGGAGCGTAGAGGAGCGAGGCACGGGTGCTTACCAGCCCATACAGAATAGAAGAGGATCGTCAATACTTGCGACAAGATTACGCGAACATCACAGCTATATACCACGTTCAATGTGGCTGAGAACAGCGTGGTAACGGTGCTGACCTCTGAACAGTCATTAGAAGATGACGTTGTGCAAAGGGAAATACTCACAGTGGCGTCCATAGGCCAATATAGGGATAGGTCGATAAGATATCGGGCGAGGACGAGGTAGCGATTGAGCAAGAAGATCCAGCTTGCTATTGACCCTGTCCGCTTCCAAACGTGCCGCACCTCGCGACTGCTTGTAATGAGCGTCTCGTATAGAAGCAACACTAGTCGATTGTCTGTCATTGTGAGCACATGATAAATGAGGAAGTTAGACATACCGACTGCTGCGAGAGTACAAGAGACATCGGTCCTGCTGCTCCATAGCGTGAGGACCGTATATAAACCCGAAGCACACAAACTTACAATATACTCGCAAAATCCATGAGGTAGGACTAATGTCAGACACGTGACGGGGACAGCATATATGAACGCTACAGAAAGCAGGAGAGGTGAAGGGAGGCACTGCGGAGGTGGGCAGGCCAAACAGCATTACACTCACCCGAGCATGGGGCTTATAGGCATCCCCCCCGGTGATCCACGCCGAGCGTCCGGAGTGACGGCGCTCGCCCTGCGTGCGCGCAGCGCGGCGGTACAACGCTCGGGGCCTGTAGTATCACAGGCGCAACCCGCCCCTCTGGATCCTCCTCCGCGCGCTGGGTATGGCGGGGCGGTGGGGCACCCCGCGGGCCGGAAAAATTGCGGTATTTCGCGAAGCTTTGACCCAGCACACGGGTTCGTCGCATGGCTTTCTAGAGAGGCGTCCCGCGGCGTGGCCCCGACTCCCGGGCATTGAGCGCCTTGCTGCGACTTACAAGCGCAAGAACTCTGTACGTTGCCGCAGTATCCGTCTGAGGGCGACTTATTTCCGCCCCAGGGGCCAATGTAAGCGAAGGTCGTGCAGGGAAAGTGTTGGACGACAATAGTGGAGGCCTTTGTCGGGTGTGTCGGGGGGCCGGCGCGAACGCCAGGCGAGCTCCCGTCTCGAGCGGAACACTAGAACATAAAAATGTCCATGATGAGCCTATGGTTTTGACCCGGACTTCTAAGTGCGCATCGGGCGGACGTACCTCCTCATGGAGATAGGACTGTTCAGAGGAAGGGTCCTGTGCACACGGCATGTGATGACGCGTGAATTTAAAACCGCTCCGGGATTTCCACGACGATTGGCAGACTTAAAGGTCCCAGCTGAAGATGTCCGCCACACATATTTCGGATGCCTAGGCGATATCCGGACTGTTAGAATGATTGTGAGTGGTATACATCATGTGGAATATCAACTTTGACGCACGAAGATAAACTTGAGGCGATGCTGATCGGCGAACATTGTTTCGTACGGCGTATGTATCAGCAAACAATCGCGAGAACGAAGACGGTAGATTGACATAAGCGGGTTGTAATTTAGACATAAAAAGTGATGCGTAACATAGTGAGAAGGGCAGAAAGCGTGTACCAAACAAATCATGCACCCAGGAGACTGCTCCCCTGGAGCTCTTCAAATTTCGGTCTAGCGAGGCGAATGTTGAGTCGCAAGGCAGCCGTCTCTGAGGAATTTTTCGGTCAGGCGCGTTTAAGAGTAGAGAGCTGAAGCACTCGCCTACTGAGGGGTCATGGACGACGATGAGGACATAGGTGTTCTTCGTCAACTCATCCAGCACCGCTGTGAACTCCGGTAGCTCCATCTCCAATGCGACGAAGTCTTCGCGCACTCTGGAGCAAGAATACTTGAACGCTTTGATGAGCTCGGACGTGCGCTCGTACCGCGTTGGGGCCATTTGGTGCGGATTTGACTCGGCATCCGAACCGTCCTCGGGCTTTGTGGCGGAAACCATCCCATTCGGTTGGGACGTTGGCGCGGTCGGAGGCGGCGGGGCGGGAGTGGATGTAGCGATGACAAGGAACGTCGTTCGCTCGAACAACACCACTTCTGTCGCGCTGCAAGCAGATGCGAGTTTGGCGAGATGTCGGGAGAGTACGGAGGCATTCGGGATGAGTGTATGCACTATTCTTGACCACGCCTGGAAGGAGTCACCAAGCGGATGAGTCTCGGCGGGTGGGCACGAGGACGAGCGGCGGAAGGAACACTCACATTGTAAAGCGACTCGTCATATATGCTGGTGCCAAACACCGTGATCTCCACATCTCCGCTGGCTTCCTTCAGCTCCTTCCCCTTCCTTGCGAGGGTGTCCGCCTTCGGCCCCCGCGCCAAATCCATCTTGTGTACCAGCAGGAAGACAGAGGCGTTTGGGCTGTACTTCTGCAGCGCACCTAGACAGGACTTGTAGTACTCCAGATCCTTCTCCAGATTCCGAGTCTCGACCTCGAACACGTAGATCATCACTCCGACGTGCTGGAAGATGGTTCCTTGTTGTGTAGAGAGGTAAGAGTCCATAAACGCATCTTGCCCTCCGCAGTCCCAGAGGTTGAGGATGAGGTCGCCAAGGAAGCGCAGATGGTTCTGCTCAACGTCTATTGTGGCTCCAAGACGAGAGGTGAGGGACGCGTGGTTGTTGGAGCTGCATCCGTGTCAGCAGGAGATACAGATGAATCGCACGCGACCACTCACAAGATGAGTGAACGCATGGACGTCTTTCCACTCCCCGACGCGCCCATGAGGAGAACCTGGGGACAGGTCACCTTATGAGCAGCGCATGGGCGATAATCGACGAACCTTCTTCTTCATCTTGTGCTACCTGCGCGTGGGATGAGACTTGAAGAGTCGAAGTGGTGGATGTGGATCGGTTCCAAGATGTGTGAGAGTATGAAGAACCAAGAGTGTTCCAGTGGGGATAGGGAGGGAATGCCGCAGAAGAGGAGCACAACCGGATTACCGCAGGCAGCGAGATGGGCAGAGGAAGATTGTAGAGGTCAGAGGGCAAGACACGATCATGGCAGTATGAGGTAAACGCTCGAGGCGCCGGCTGCAGTGGAAAGACAAAATCTATCATACGCGCATAGCTTAGATCCTAGCTTAGACCACCATCTTAGACCGCTGCTGTTTCAAGCACACGGCGAAATCGCTCGCTACGACCAAGCAAGAGGTAATACAGTGTTCCATGTTGGTAACTTCCGCGCTCGTACGTGTTTTACTGTCCTCTACTTCTACAAAAACTTGCCTTCCGACCAGCGCCTGGTGTGCGACGCCATCTCCACCGCAGCGCTCGCCCAATCCTCGCCGTGGTTGTGGCCCTTGTTCTCGCCCCTGCCAATGCCCGCACGCTCAAGAGCCTGGTCGTCTGTGAGCGCGGTGAGGACGCCGAAGATGACGGGCACCCCAGTGTCGAGCTGGACGCGCATGAGCGCGTGCGAGACGGACTCGCAGATGTACTCGAAGTGCATCGTCGAGCCCTTGATGAGCACACCGATCGCGATCACGGCGTCGAAGGGCTGGTGTGGCATTGACGCGGCGACGGGTGCGGGGGTTGATGAACGCGAGGCGGGGTTGAGCGAGGTGAGCCCGCCCAGGAGGTCGGTCATGGTCGCGCCCGCTTGTACGTGCGAGCCGGCGATGACCCTGCGCGCGTACGAGTGTGAGTGTACGGCCCATAATATAGAAAATAACTGCGCACTTGGAGCATGCGAGCGGAAGTTCGAAACTACCGGGGACGGACTGGACAACGATATTCGCCTCCTTGACCCCGGTAGACTTGAGCTTCGTGATCGTGCCGGCTACGAGAGCGTCGATGACGGTCTTGTTCCATCGCGAATGGATAATGGCGATGCGCAGCGGCGAGCCGTCAAGCTTAGAGGGAGGAGGGGCGGGGCCTTTGATAGAGTCGGACATGGTCGTCGAGGGGCAAGTGGTTCATTCCGCCCAACGCTTGGCCGTCGCCGCCCAGTTGGCGACCGCTCACGACGACGCGCGCTTGAATCTGGAAGCATTGCATCACCGGACGCGTGTCATGCGCGTCGTGTGTCCTTATTTGCCCCCCGTGGCTGCAGAAATTTCGGGCCTGCTCGCGCCGGATCACATTGCTCAGCTTCACCTCCTTCCTGCTTTCCCCAGACCCTCTGCCCGCTTGTGCGTCTTACTGGCCGGCATGCGATGGCCGACGGCAACATAGCCTGTATGTCACCGGCTCTTTTCCATGCAAAAAGTGCGAGACTCACTTCAAGTTTCACGCCTCAGCCACATACACCCACATCCACGCGTTTCTGGTCAAGCAGGGTCACACGAAAGCCGCGGGTGCGCTAAAGAAGGCTGTGAAAGATGTTGTCGTCTTGAAGGATGATGTGAAGCTAGAGGGGGCATCGTTGGATGTTATCATCAAGGAATGGAGAGAGTCTAAGGATAACACCTCGTGCGTCCTGCACTAAAGTCTTGGGGCGCACCGCTAAATAACAGCACTACAGCTCTGAAGACTCCAACTCCGAATCTTCGGACTCTGATTCGGACTCAGACGACTGTATGTCCCAACGATTTCGTGAAAGTTGCTTCAGCTGAACGTCGGTTCCCTGCAGCGTCCTCCGAAGAGTCGAGCTCGGACTCGGATTCCTGTGAGCTGAGCATTCCTCTGCCGAGTTGTCTCTGAGACCTAACAGGATATCCTCCCTTGGAATCAGCCTCGTCCTCATCGTCTTCGAGCGACTCCGACGCAGAGTCGAAGAAGAAAGCACGTAAGTCTGTTTGTCCACAGACTCCCTTAGAATCTACTCTTATATTCTACCCCATTGCAAGCCGCTGCTGCAAAAACGCTGGCTGCAAAAACCGCGCCTCCAAAGCCTGCTGCTCCGGCAACCAAGGCGAAGGCGAAATCTCCGTCCACCGAACAGTCGTCCGAGACGCTCTCTACGGGAAGCGGTGATTCGGAATCGGACTCTTCCAGTGAGTCGTCGAGCGGTGACAGTAGTGATGAAGAGTCTGCCAAGGTTCCGCCATCGAAAGCTATGGCGAGAGCAACCCCGAAAACATCGGAGAAGGCAAAGAAGACGAAAGACTCGGAGTCGGAGTCAGAGTCCTCTAGTTCCTCCTCCTCCTCCTCCTCCTCCTCCTCCTCCTCGTCATCTTCTTCCGAGTCCAACTCTTCCGAATCTGATTCAAAGAAGTCAAAACCTACGAAGACGACTAAGGCGACCTCGAAGCCTGCCTCGTCCTCCTCATCCGATTCGTCCTCCTCATCCGATTCGTCTGATTCGTCCGACTCTGACTCAGAAGAAGAGTCAAAATCTGTGAAGACAGAAGTTGTGAAGGAGGAAGTGACGGTGACGAAGAAGCGGAGAACAGATGAAGTGGGGTCTTCTGTCCCCACAGCCGCGGTTGTCAACTCGGAGAGCACGCCTTTCAAGTCCAACGGCGGTGGCAAGAAGGCCAACGGTGGCAAGAACCCTAGGAAACCCAATACCCCATTCCAGAGGATCAAGGTCGACCAAATCGCCTACTCTGATGAGCGGCTGATGAACAACGCGTTCGAATCTAGAGTGAGTCAATGCCTACTGTGACGGCTTGCGGGGCAGGTGAACTGATGGCTGAGCCCCCAGGGCGCCGCGGTGGATGACTACGGTGCTCGAGCATCGCGCGACTTGATCGTGACTCGCGGTGCTGCATTCAGGAAAGAGAAGAACAAGAAGAAGCGCGGGAGCTACAAGGGAGGGAGCATCACGGTGAGCTGCAGTTCCACGACTCCATCACAATTCGCTCATTTTGCTCCAGATGGCGGACCATAGTATCAAGTTTTTCGATTAGATGCGTGCACTATGAGGGGTTTATCGTTGTCTACTCAATACACCCCACCGTGGCTTTGTGTGGTTATATGTGGTAAGCAGCACGATACCGTAACGCTACACTGCATCCAGTGACCGAACGAACTCCATTTGAATCCACTTCTTCGACCGGGTCGTATTCTGTGGTGTGTTCGTCCACCCTGGTAGCTTCCAGAGACACTTCCCGACCTCCATCGTAAGTGCATCCTCACCATACACCACCCTAGGAAGCTGCCATTGGCCATAGAATTCCACTCGGACTCTCTCTCCGCCGGCCATTGCCCAACCGATATGCTTGGGCATATCGCCCACTTCAAACACGATCTTGAACCTGTGGTCGAAAAGCATCTCGTACCGTGAACGACCCCCGCTTTCCAGCGCCTCGAGAAGCCTGTCCGTGACATCGACCCCCTCGGTCGGCGCGCCTCTGCTGAGCGCCGCGGGGGTAGAAGACAACTGGACCCGGTGCGGCACGCTGCGGTGCAGCAGCCATCCGAGCCCTTCCGACCGCCCCTTGGGCGCGCGGAACACCACACCATCTGGCCTGAGGGCTACGGGCATGGCGGTCACCCCCGCGCCCATCGTGAACGGCTTCAGCTCGCGCGCGGAGAGGGAGTGGTGCTGGGCGGGCCAGAAGCGCTCGACGACCCGGCCGAGCGTCGCGCTGTCCCCGTTGGCCTCGGCCCAGAGCGAGCCCCAGGGCCCGTGCGAGCAGAAGCGGAGACAGCGGCGGACGATCGCGGTGCGCGCGTCTGGGTCCGTGGTGATGGCGAGGCCGCCCGCGCTGAGGAGGAGCGTGGCGGCGGGCGAGGGGCGGCGGGAGCGGGCGAGCGCGGTCGTCGCGGCGGCTTCGGCCTGCTCGTGGAGGTCGCCGAAGAGGCGGACGGCCTCGCGGAGCTGGTCGGCGGGGGGTACGTGTGGGGCCGCGGCGCGCAGGGTGGCGGTGTGGGCGGCGATGTTGATAGGAGCTGGGGCTGAGGCCGATGTGTCCCCTCTGAGGGCGCCACGGATGGCGTTCCGCAGGGTCACTTCGGGCTGGAAGTTGGTCGGGTCGTGTATGTAGTCAAGGCGGTTGGCCTCGCACGTCGCCAAAAGCCTGTCCTAAGAATAGTTAAACATCTCGCTATTAGACCCGCATGCTGCGCAGGCTTACTTTGGGGATCTGCAGGAGCGGTCGAATGATCCAGGTGTCCATTCCTAGCGCGCCGAAGGAGGCGTAGGGAAGGCTGGAGTCGCCCATTCCCCACCGCCTGACGGGGCGGGTGGCGGCGAGGCCCTTCATGCCACTGCCCTTGGCCATGCGCATGATGCAGGTCTCGACCTGGTCGTCTGCGTGGTGGGCGAAGGCGATGAGCTTGGTGTCATTCGCGTGCATGGCGGCGAATAGCTGGCCATGCCTCGCGTCCCGGGCGAGTTTCTCGGCGGCTGCGCCCTCCGCGGGCTTCGCCGGGAAGGGCGCGACGCCCCACGGGATTCTCTCTGTGACGGACGTGGCGCCTAGTCTGGTAGCCGTACTGGTGGCGATGTCTTCCATCTTACCGGCGAGCGACTGCAGGCCGTGGTTGACGTGGATGGCCAGCACCTCCAGCGGCAGAGACGGCGTCTCCGGGGCATCACGACTGCGTGGGGTGTTCTGGTGGACAGACGTAAGCACAGGGCCGGCGATGATGACACCGACGAACTTGGGCGAGGACTGTGAGCAGATAGAGCAGCGCAGTGGAATCGGGGCCTCCCGAATGGGCGACGGCTGTGCACGGAGTCAGTTGTGGACGGCGAGAGTCGGGGGGTGGGCGCACCGATGCGGCGTGACCAGCCGGTGGGCGGGATGGTGCGCTGGATGAGCTGGCGAAACTCAGACGGGGAGACAGGATGGACGAGCCTCATCAGCGCGGGGCGCAGCTGAGAAAGCGCAGGTCAGAGGAGGGCGTTCTCACCGCGGCATGACATCGGACACGCACCGATACTCCAAGGAACAAGCGGACGCTTTGCGGATGGGTGCAGCAGCATGGGTGCAGCAAGGACTACCACGACCCGGGACCGGGCACGTGGTCGGAGCGCTCGGTAACCGCCGGCTGAGCGCTTGGGCGACCGGGCTGCTTTCAAGATTTCCATCTGTTCGCGTTCTCCTCTCCTCCCTGCCATCCCTGCTCTCCTTTCCACCATGTCTTCTCAGTCCGGCAACCCCATGTCTCCTCCCCCCCTCGCCGATGCCAACGCCGGCGGGGTCCGCCGCCATCACACTATCTCGGCCTCATCGCGCGCAGCCCGCCCTAACTCCAAAATCGCCCTCGCCGACCTTGACGACCCCCAGGCGGAGCAGCTCTGGGACGGTGACGAGCCCGTCGACCACGACTGGGTCGGCGGAATCGGTGCCGTCGGCGAGAAGTCTTCGCTTCACAGACAGGCCTCCTTGCCTACTAGATACCATCGCGGTACGCCTACTTTTCGCGTTTAGCCTCCACCTTCCATGTACCTCTCCCCGACCTCAGAATCGCGTTCCGAGCGCCGTCTCTAACCCCGCTCTACAGCGTTTGGTGGCCAGGCCGGAGGCTCCCATACCCCTCGCACCCTCAACAGCCTCACCGCCATCGCAGGTCACGAAGGCGATGAGGATGAATGGGAGCACGAGGACGATGTACGCCCTTCGCTGCTGCTCCCCCCTTTCTCCCGCTCATGTCGTCCAGCATCCTGGCATGTCCGTCTCTGACCACGGGCACGGAGTCGCAGACTCCTCTTCTTCTGCGTCCCCCTTATCTCCTCACTTCGCCGGTGGCCTCCCACACGTCCCTTCTCCTCCCCCTGGTGCCGCGGGCGGCGTCCGCAGGCATCAGTCACTCAACTATCCCAACGCCAACACCGGTGTCCGCCGCCTCGCATCCGGTCTGAAGCGTGCAGGGACACTCCAAGCCGGAGGCAAACCTGTTCAGGGTGTCCCTTACTCCGGGGCGCAGAGCCCCAGCCCCACCAACGCCGAGGGGGATGACAACGAGAGCGTTAGGGCGGATGAGGATTCGTACTACGCAGGTGGGCAGTACCCCGGTAGCCCAATCGGTCGCTCATCGCCCTGGGGTATGTCTGGTGTAGGGGGTGAATGGCGCACACCTCCCAGCGGTAACGGCACCGTGTACAACACGGCCGGGAATGCTGCCATTGACGATGTCTCTCGCGCCCTCTCCGCCATGGAGATCAACCAGCAGTACGGCGGCATGCAGGGCCAGTCCGCTCACCCACCGAGGTTCAACCCCGCGCATCCAGCCCCTTCACAGGCGCCGGGAATGCGCTCAGGCAGCGGCAACGGCTCACGGAAGCTACAGCTTGTTACGGATCTTGACGGTCGCAACGGTCAAGGTGTCCAGAGCGCATCCGCGTACGCACCCCCCATCGGCCATGGTCTGGCCCAGATTCCAGGCCAGCAGATGCCCGAACACCCGCAGCACGTTCAGCACCGTGACCGGGCCTTCACCGCGTCTGGTGGCGCGCCGTGGGACCATAACAATGGCGGCAAGGAAAGACTCATCGTTGGTCAAAGGTCGAATCCCAACCTGCAGCAGCTGTACCAACAGGGCAAGATGGACGGGCAGGGCATCCCCAATGTGCCGTCTATTCCGCCCCAATACCTCAACCAGGGTCAGGCGCCGCGCATGGGCGTGTCCAACATGGGCGCGCAAGGCATGCCTGCGCAGGGTGGCAACCAAGGCCAGGGTAACCAGGGCGCAGGTGCCGATAACTTCACTGGGACGCCTATCGACGTGCCAACGTTGATCGCCACAAAAGGTTACAATCCCGTTGACTTCGACACGAGGCCCGCGTTCGTGAGTGTGCGATCAGTGGCATAGGTTTAGCCGTAATTGACTTTTGTCCGCAGGCTAGGTTCTTCGTTATCAAATCGTACACCGAGGACGACGTCCACAAGTCACTCAAGTACGAGATTTGGTCGTCCACGGATCCTGGAAACAAGCGTCTGGACAAGGCGTTCAAGGAGACGGCGGGGCGTGGGCCTCTCTACCTGTTCTTCAGCGTCAACGCAAGGTTCGTTGTGACCAAGCATTTCCGGCACGCCTTCTCTGACCGCAGGTGCAATGCAGCGGGCACTTCTGCGGCATGGCCGAGATGCTGACACCGGTAAGCCTGTGCATCTTTGTGATGCGCGGTGGACAGCTGACGAAGCGGCGTGCAGGTCGACTACACGCGCAGCAGCACGGTATGGGCATCAGACAAGTGGAAGGGCGTGTTCAAGGTTCGCTGGATCTTCGTCCGCGACATTCCCAACGCCAGCCTCCGCCATATCCGCCTCAAGTACGTCATATGACGTAGCGTGATTTTGAATTTTGATGCTTATCATGTCTCAGCAACACGCAGGAGCGGAAGCCGGTCACCAACTCGCGTGACACGCAGGAGCTGCTGCCCGACGCGGGCCAGGAGATGCTCCGGATCTTCCACACCCACCCTGCGCGCACATCCCTCCTCCAAGACTTTGCCTTCTACGAGGTGAGTAGACGTTTGCGGGTGCACGCGCAGGCGCTTACGATTTCACAGCTGCAAGCAATACAGAAGGTCCAAGCGCACGCTCTCTCGCAGGGTACCGCCTCTCCGACGCAGCCTCCCATCGCGCCCCAGACTCCTGGTCAGCAGACTCAGGGTCTCTCGCCGACGACAACTGGTCAACACCCCTTTGCCATGTCCAACCCCGCCGCTCTCGCATACGCTGCGCAGCAGATGACGCTCCCGCAGATGAATATGAACATGAACATGAACATGGGTATGGGTATGGGCATGGGTATGAGCCCGATGATGATGAACATGGGTACCTTCGCCAACCCGCACGCTATGCAGAGCGTCATGCGCAACCCCAGCCCGGGACCAATGCCCATCGGCAGCCAGAACTTCATGAACTTGAACGGCATGCAGGGCTTCTGAAGCGCTTTCCCTCCTTCCCCACCACACCCTGTACAATGCTACCCGTCATCCCCCGGACACTCCGCCTCGGACGGACACGCACGAGGACAAGAATACTCCGCTGTGTCCCTATCTTGAATATAGATGCCAAACGCACCGTACGCTGCGGACGGGTCCACATGGTACATCTGTGCTCTAATCTTCCCATATGCCTTCGCTTGCTATCAGCTTCAGCCCCGTTTCACAACTCCGCGCTCTCTCCCAATGTATTACTAGGAATCCCTGCTTGCAGCGCTCGCTCAAGTTACCCGTAATGACCGCAATGTCTCGCGCCACCCTAGCTATCGTACGCTACGGCTTTCCACAGTAACATCAAATGCCTCCAGCTCCCGACTCTCGCCCTTCTTTATCCTCCATTCCGCACCACTCTCCCTCTCTATCTCCTGTTTATGTCTTCGTGTGCCCCGTCCCAGTGTTCTTCGCAGTACGCTACCTTCATGCATTGCGCCAGTCAGCATCGCACGGGACCATGAACCGAACGGACGTGGACTATCGATGTGTTCGCATGTATTTGTGTCCCGTACATAAGCACTGTAGTAGTTCTTGGTTCGCTCTTGAATTCTCCCATGTACGCGATTATGCCCTCGCGCACGGGCTACTCTCCCTTTCGTTCCCCGTAGTGTGGTCACCAACGTCGCTTACTTGTCCAGCCTGTGTACTGATTACTGTCGCACTGCAGTTCTAAAGCCAAATTTAACGCTGTTTTGCAGTGTTATTACTCGGTGGCACTTCGGACATCCCATATGTACTTGGAGAGGTGGGTAGACTCGTTGCCGCTTAGCGCGCATCACACGTGCACGAGCCTAAACGCGTGACATACCGCGCCTCGCGACGCGTGCGTGGACGCGCCCCGCTTCCCCAGCTTCCCCAGGCTGCTCCCTTTCTTCCCGACCGCCACCATGATGCCCGTCCAGTATTACCAAATCGGCGGCTTTAGAGCCCACTGGCGGTAAGTGTACTCGGCTTAGGGTACTTGCCGTGCTCGTGGCATCCGGGACTCCATCAAAGCATCTTATCGTACACACTCCAGAGGCAACGATTTTGACAACGACAACGCTGCGAAACACCTGATGCAAAAGGGCGTGAAGCTCGTCCTAGGCGAGCAAAACTCCCATGTCACATCCCCTTGGAATCGCAGTCTGACTTCTCTTCGACGACAGGTATCCACCCGAACGGCGCGTCTGCGCTCCTCCTCCCAGCCTCGCGCTCCGCGGCCGTCATCGGGCGCGTTCGAGGTCGACCGTACGAGGCGCACATGTTCCTGTCGCTCTCCCCGATCGAGTTCGCGGGGCCCGCGAGCCTCGCGGAGAAGCTGAAGCGGCTCGAGAGCAAGAAGGGCGGGCCCAAGGGCGCCGAGCCGCGCGACCGGAGCCAGGCGAACACGCAGTACACCGCGGGGGGCCCGAGGCAGTCGACGGACGGGGAGCGGCGCGCGAGGTTCGAGCATCAGAGGTGCGGCGTCTCGGCCTTCGGGGTTTGTCCTTGCACTCGGGCTGACCAGCATCTTGATTCCTCTCTCTGTCGATAGGGTGCTCTATCAGGTGTTGCAGGAGGCGATCGAGCTGGAGGACTACGCGCTCGCGCCCGCGAAGTCGCTGTATCGGTGTCGGATCTGCGCGTTCGCGTTCAACCTGTGGGCGGCGGACACGCGCGTTCTGCCCGACCGGCACGCGGAGCCGCAGATGCTGGACATCGGCTGGACGGAGTTCGACGCACCGTCGCAGGAGGGAGACTTGACGCCGGCGTCGACGACACACGTCGTGATTGAAGAAGGTCGTCTTTACAAGAACCACGGAAAGCGGCCCGCCGTGAGCTTGTGTGTAGTTCTGGGGTTTTCGAACGCTAATACTACGCCCGGACCATCTGCAGACTCTACCTGACGTTACCCAGACTTTGACCCTCAAGGAGTGCTCACGGCTGCTCAAAGAGCTCTTGACACCGGAGGAGAACGAGCGCAGAGACCAGCCCATCCTGTTCCTGGTGCACAACGCGACATGGGCGAAGAGCGTGCTCCGCGCACTCGGCGTCGATGCAAACCAGTGGAAAGGCGGTGTGAGCGATTTGCTCTACTCTGCTAGGAGTGCCCCGAGACTCGCTGGTGGCGTACCAGAGAGCGGCAGGGCGGCGAAGACGCGGTCACGCTCGCGGTCACCGCAGTGGAGGGAGGCGCTTGTGGGCGGTCGCGCACGATCCCCGCATCGGCGTGAGCAGCCTGCTGTGCACCTGGTGGATGTACGAGAGCTGTATGAGTGCGTGATGCACGTACCGAAGGAGGGCGACACAGTGCGCGCGACGGCGAGGGCCCTGAACGTCAAGGACGACGAGCGCGAGGCGGTCGACGGGCTCTGTGCGGGGACGGAGAGCAGGTGAGTGGAGGCACCATGGACGGACGCAAGGGGTTCACTGATCTGGATGCAGGCTGGTCGGTCTGGCATGGGAGGCGATGGCGATGGACACTGCAGTGGACGAACAGCGGGCGATACGTCTGAAGTTCCACAATCACGATGCTGCGATGCCTCCGATGCCGCCGATGCCGCCTGCGGGCGCGGGGGATGCCGATGAGGAGGTGGATCCTAACGATATCATACCCAGTGGACGTGCGCAAGGGGCGCCGGGCCCCTCTTTTGATTATGACGATTTGACGGACTCTGACTTCGAGTAGGATATAGTGGTGGTATATCATGAGCGTTGTGGCTGGCAGAAAGCGTGCTGTGCGAAGAAACAATAGCAAATATTTCTTCTCTGTCTGAAACTGGTCGCATATCCCAAGCCGTCGTCTGACGGAGCCCGTGAATCGTGGCGGGAGAGGATGTCTTGTAGGTGTTTGAGTCCGTCATCTAGGGTGACTACCATATCGGGAAGCGCACGGCATAGGGAGTTGAGCGACAACGACGACCGCACCTGCCTCTGCGTTACGCCCCCTCCACACTCCTTTTCTTCCCGGCCTTCTTCCCTCTAAGCCCTCCGCTGGACGCCCGCACGACCCTCCGAGCCCTGTCTGCCCGCCATGTCCCTGCTCTCGGACCGGCAAAACGAGGAGCTGTACGTGACTTTGGCATCCCCGTCCGGAGCGCTAGCCTCCATCTGAACCCACCTGCGCGCACCCAGGCAGAAGTCGATCCTCGAGTACCTGCACGCGAACAACTTTGTCGATGCCGCCAACGCGCTCAGGGCCGACGCGAACCTCGACTACTCCCCCGACCCGAAGAGCAAGTATGCGGGCTTGCTGGAGAAGAAGTGGACGAGCGTGATCAGGTTGCAGAAGAAGGTGCGCCCCCCGTTTGCCCGTCGGCGTGCTGTTCGCCAGGCTCACATGCGTTCGATCGGTGCTCGACGCGACGCGGTGGGTACGGATGTCCGGGTAGATCATGGATCTCGAGAACCGCAACGCCGCGCTGCAGGAGGAGGTCTCCCTCACGCCTGCTAAACGTGCCGCTCTGCAGACGGATTGGGTGCCGAGAGCCCCCGCGTCGTACACGCTCAAGGGCCACCGACAGCAGGTCCTCAAGGTTGCGTTCCACCCGACGTTCAACGTGATCGCCTCGGCGAGTGAGGATGGCACCGTCAAGATTTGGGACTGGGAAACGGGAGAGTTCGAGCGCACCTGAAGGGGCATACGAGGGCGGTGAACGACGTTGACTTCAGTGGCAAGGGAGATCTCCTAGGTGCGCCGTTCTGTGCCGCATATATTGTATGCACGCTCTGCCCTTGCTGACCCCTGCGTAGTGACTTGTTCGTCCGATCTCTTTATCAAGATCTGGGACGTGCAGAATGAGTGGAAGAACACCAAGACATTCCCCGGCCACGAGCACACTGTTTCCTCGTGCCGTTTCCTCCCAGGTGATCAGCAGATTGTCAGCGCCAGCCGTGACCGCACAATACGGGTATTCGATGTGGCCTCTACGTGAGTCTGCGACTTTGGATCTAGCCGAGCGCTTGAGCTGATTTTGTCTACCAGTCACCTAGTTAGGACAATCTCAGGCCATTCGGATTGGGTTCGCTCTGTCCAGCCCTCGGACGACGGGCGAGTGATTGCAAGCTGTTCGAATGACCAGGCAAGTTTGACTCAGTGCATGTGAGACCATTGGCTAATAATAAAGAGCTCAGACCGCGCGGATCATTGACCCGCTAAACGGCGAGACAAAGATGGAGCTGCGTGGACATGAGCACACGGTTGAGACCGCGGTATTTGCGCCACTTGCCGCGTATGCTGCTATCCGCGAGCTTGCCGGCATTCCTGTACGTCCTCTTTCGGGCATCAGAACCCGGCCACGCTGACATGGAAATAGAACACCGAGCGATCCAAGAGGCCGGGCGCGTATCTTGCGACTGGATCACGAGACAAGACGATCAAGTTGTGGGACGCACAAAGTGGCCAGATGCTTCGGAATCTGGTGAGGATCTCGTGGTTAACCTCCCGTCCCCTCGACCACGTGGCTGACATCATCCCCCCTCCAGGCCGGGCACGACAACTGGGTGCGTGCACTTGTGTTCCATCCCTCAGGAAAGTACCTCCTCTCCGCCTCGGATGACTACACAATACGGGTGTGGGAGCTCGCGACCGGGCGATGTGTCAAGACCCTCCAGGCACACTCACACTTCGTCACCTGTTTGGCGTGGGGGCCACAAGCCGCGGCCTCCGACGCTGCGAAGCCAAATGGCGCTGTTGGCGATGCGAAACAGGAGGACGCCAAGTTTGTGAACGTGGTCGCGACTGGCAGCGTCGACCAGACAATCAAGATCTGGCTCCCATGATCTCTCGTGGACGAGCTCAGGTGCTTCTCTTGGCTCGATTTGCCTCTTGCGGATGCTCCTCGGGTGGGGCTTACGCCGAGCAGATCTCGGCTATTCGCCCGGTGGTCCCCCTCTATACTGATTTCGGTGAGCAAGCTGCACTGCTTTAGGTCGTTCTTGACACTAATGCTGGCATGAACCCACTGTCTTCCTTCTCCGCTCGCACACTCAAGCAGCACCTCGACTAGTTTTGCTTTTCCGATGGTGGCACCCCACCGGACGCGTTGGCCCCCTCTCGTTCTGTCGACCCACCCTACCACTATGCCTCGTACAGCCCGTCGTCACTCACCCTCCTTGCTCTGGATCGCCCCGTCAGTACTGTTAGCCACCCTCGAGACGCATACCCCATACTATGACCAAGAATCCGTCAAACCTACTTGTACAATTTATTCGTCTACGGGGTGTGTCGGCGCTCGGACCGCTACGAATGGAATATCGCCGTATAGACCGGATCTCTTGTCCACAATGGATGCTCGCTTTCCTCTCGCGATGGCATCGTCTCGTTCGTTGGGTCGCCTTCGTTGCTGGGCACCAGCTGGGCGACCTTTCGTTCGAAGAGCACGTCAAATATGGGACGTCTGCTCCTCGACATGTGCCGCGATACTCATTCGTCAAGATCAGGAGACAACTCTGCGGCCATCTATCGCTTGGCCACCGAGTTTACGTCGGATCCGTAACCGTACACCCACCGATGATCAGACTGATATTTGTAGGAGTGAAAGATAGGCGGACGTTATCGACGTCTCGACCACCGCTCGCCAAAGTGGAGCGTTGATTGAGCATCAACGGCTGCGGTGTCGCCGACGACCGCCACCACGTCCGCCTCACGCCGGCCCTCGCTGGTCTCGCGATACACAATCTTCGTTGCCACCAGGCTACCGTGCTAGGTCCATGCGGCGCTGTCAATGCGCGTGGACGAGCGCACTAGCACTCCAGGCGCCGCAGGCCTGCGGCTGCGCAGATTTCCGGACGCATGATGGCCCGAGGGATGATGCTCGGCGGAGGCGACTAGCGTACGTCTTGCCGGGTGCCCTCAGCGCTGCCTCAGCATCGGGGCTGATGGCTCCAGAGGACGCTGATGCATTGGGCGACGTAGCGTGGCTGCGAGATGTTTTACAAATTTACCTGAGTACATACGGGGCAGTTTCGGAGGGCGGGGGCTTGGCACCGGTGACGCGGCTGGCGACACGCAGCTCGGGGACGTGCCCGAGAGGCGTGTGCGCGCACGCAATCTGGGCCGTCTGGGGCCTGCGATACGCGAGCACGCTGTACGAGCGCGAGCTTGTGCTCGCAGGAGGGGCTGGGAGGGGGAACGGAAGGCCGCGCCCTCCGGGGACCGGCAGCGCTGTAGCCTGTACAGTAGTCCGTGCTCGCCCTCGCCCGACTGGAGCCCGGGGGAAACCGAGTGCGTCGAGAAGGATTCCCGCTGTTCTACGGTGCCTCTCCTCTCCCCGCTCCCGAACTGGTGAGGACCGCCAGGGACCGCCCGGACCGCCATGCTCCTCTGCGATATCGCGCCCTCTGACATCACTCTTTCAAATCCCGCGGCGCGACATGAGATGTGGGGGTGGGTGATGGGCCCTGATGGGCCTCGCGTGTTGTGTTGAAGCGTTGGCGCGTTCGGTCCTGCCCGCTCGAGCGAGTCGAGCGGGGTGGTGGGCTAAGGATGGAGCAAGTGCGCGCAGCGATATTGATAGCGCACAAGTTGCAAAAGGGCCCCTCGAGGCCTGGAAGCAAGAACAGCCGCACCGCTGGGACGTTCGCGCGGGCGGGGGACGGAAAAGCTCGAGGTGCACAGCTACGAGATAAGGGGTGGGCGAGGCCGGAGATCGGGAGATCTGTGCGCGGGAACCCATCCTAGCGCGTCTGGATTCTGCCGGCTCGCGAGGCACAACAGGGCACAAACTGCTCGTGTGCCCCTGGCCAGGCGTGCCCTCAGGCGTTCGGAAGAGAGGTGGTTTGGGAATTTGAACGGGATTCAAAATCCACGGGGGTTGCATGTGTGCGCTCACGGTCACCACTACGGCTTCAATCGAAGGAACGGAGGGCGTGCTCACGGCGAGTCCGTGCCGCGCGGAGGAGGGCTCAGATGGTCTCGCCCGCGGCGAACACGGCGAGACAGCGTCGGATTCGAAGGGTGGGCAAGATGCCACCGGCGGAACGGACCACTGGAAGCCGATGAGCAGCTTTGGGGGAGGCCAGCGGTCTCGTGATGATGCCCGCCGGAGGGATCGTTCTGCGAAGAAGAAAGCATAACAACGCGCGAGTTTGCCTTTGCAGATCGAGAGTGTCCGCCGAGAACGAGCGCAAGCGATAGAGAAGCAAACAGGATCTCAGCACAAACATCTACCGTGGGACACCGGAATGCCGAGTCTCTTAGGTGAGTTGTGGGCCCAGGCACCCCTGACAAGACAGCAGAGCTTAACGTTTATAGCTGCAAACCACAGAGCAGAACGATGTGCGAACCGCTCCGGTGGTTTCGCCCCAGGCGGCAGACAAAATCCAAAGCGCCATTGCCTGGAGGATAGAAGGACGTTTGCTGGTGCGGCGCAAAGATGGAAGGGCCCGGTCGGGGGTTGGCTGAGGGTAGCAGTCGGCGGCCGTGAAGCGCGTGAAGCGCGGTCAGCGTTCGATGGGCTTTCGTCGCTCCGCACGCCGTCAGGAACATCGGGCTTGAATGACTTGGCATGGGAACGGAAACTCGCCCAGTTCTCATGCTGGAACAAACTTGCAGATGCTGGACACGACCCACTGGCCGGAACATACGCTACGGACCGGAGGGGCAGATGGAGCGACGCCTCGTGCCGTGTGCTCGTGTGGACGATAAGGAGGGCGCTGGATGGGCGGGTCAGCCAATGCAGGGACCACGGATGCTGTGGTGAATTGGGTGGAGTCTTGGAGATCTCTGCGCTGGCGAAAGAAAAAGATTCGGAGGTCTCACATGCTGTTTCGCGGAGGGTGGTTGAAAAGAGATGCCGCGCGGAGCACTGTGCTTTCCATCAGGCAGCAGCTCTTGGCACGGAGTTGAAGGCTGAGGAGAGGAGTGGATGGAGTGGTTTGTTGTGCAAGTCCGGCCTTCCAGGAACCAGGGACGGCTGGGTCGATAAGCTGAGGGAGAATTGCGGGGACCAGCCCATGTGCAACCGACGGCCGCTGATTGGCGCGGGGCCGTCCGGGGCCGCACTATGCTCTCTCCGCCAGCCACCATCCCGGCCTCTGCGCCGACAGCGACGGCGATGCGCTCGCGTGCGGAGGGGATGCGACCGACGGACGGGTAACGGCCAGCGGGCCATCGGAGCACGCTATCAGGGCTTGGCGGGGTGCCTGGGGATATCTCTCTGACGCGCCATCAAGCTCACTCCATGTGCTTCTTCCATCCACAGCTCTCTTCTAGCGGCCTCCCACCACTCAGCGGTTAGTATATATGTCGCCCGCCAGCCCTGCTGCTCGCCAGGGTCCCTCCCCCCACTCGATTCGCCATGGCTGACCCCGCGAACATCGTCCCGACTCTGGACGAAAAGCAGTCGCTCTCCGACGCTTCGCTCGAGAAGAGGGCCTCCGATGCCGGCGCCGTCGACGACGCTCGCATGGCAAAGGAGGTCGAGGAGTTCGAGGACCGCCTCCAACACGACGAGGCTCCCGACGAAGAGTACCTCGTCCAAGAGGCCTACGAGGTCGCCATCAAGGTATCTATCACGCCTTTCTCCACCGTTCTCCCCACCCTCACACCGCTCTCTCCAGGTCTTGTCCAACCATGACGACCCCGAGCTCCCGGCGGTCACCTTCCGCACCATCATCCTTGGTCTTGGCTTCGGTGCCTTTGGCGCGTGCGTCCATTCCTCTACTCTTCCACCTCGCCTATGCTCACGTGACTACAGTGTCCTTGCCCAGATTTACTACTTCAAGCCGCAGACGCTCAACGTCTCCGCCTTGTTCCTCCTCGTCCTTTCGTACTGGTTCGGAAACGCCATGCACATGATCATCCCCTCCGGCGGCATCTTCCGCTACCTAACCCCGGTCCCTTCAACAGTGAGTACACATCACCCACGAGCTTCCTTCGCCTACTCATGCCCCTTCAGTCAAGGAGCATGTCTCGATCATCATCATGTCTTCCACGGCCGCTACCTCTGCCACCGCCATCCAGGTTATCTCCGTCCAGGACTGTGCGTATTTTCTTACTCCGACTGCTGGACATCATTTGACAGTCGGTCGCAGTGTACTACGACAACCAGCTGAATGCTGGCCTCGCCATCTTCACCCTGATTGGCTCCCAGCTCATTGGCTACGGTTTCGCCGGCTTGCTCCAGGACATGCTCGTCCGCCCGACCAAGTGCTTCTGGCCTGGCAAGAGTATGTCCAGTTATATTCGCTCTTACGTCCATTGTCTGATCGTCCCTCTAGTCTCGACCGCTAACCTGTTCCAGGCGCTGCACTTTGACAACCAGATGACCTCGAAGCGTGTCCGCCTCTTCTGGACCGTCTTCGTCGTCATGTTTGTCTGGGAGATCATCCCCCAGTGGATCTTCCCCCTCCTCACCGGTATCTCGATCTTCTGCCTCGCCAACAACACCAACCCGATCTTCCGCAACGTGTTCGGTGGTGCGAGCAACAACGAGGGCATGGGCTTCCTCTCGTGGTGCCTCGACTGGAACCTCATCGGCTCCGACTGCCTCTTCAACCCCCTCTGGCTCCAGATCAACCAGAACATCGGCATTTGCCTCACCTACATCCTCATGGCCGGCGTATACTACGGCAACGTCTGGCGCTCCAAGGACTTCCCCTTCATGTCCCAGGCGATCTTCGCCGAGGACGGCACGCAGTACAACCAGACCGCGCTCCTTACGAACGGCAAGTTCGACGCGGACAAGTACGCGACGCTCGGCCCTGCCTTCTTCTCGGGCACCAACGCGCTCTATTACGTCACCTCCAACCTCTCCCTCGGTGCGACGTTCACCCACGTCTTCTTCTGGCACTGGCAGGACATCAAGCCCTTCCTGAGGTCGTTCAACCCCTGGAACAAGGAAGAGTACGTCGTCCACGACCCCCACTGGGAGAAGATGAAGGTCTACAAGCAGATCCCCCGCTGGTGGTACTTCGTTCTGCTCGCCGGCGCATTTGCCATCGCCCAAGCCACCAACTACGAGGGTCACTCTGGCCTCCCGTGGTGGGCGCTCATCGTGCTGCTCATCATCTCGTTCATCATGTCGCTCCTCTTCGCCACCCTCGACGCGACGATCGGTTTCCGCGAGTTCAACTCCTCGGCGAACGGCTTCTACCAGATGATCACCTCCTACCTCGTTCCCGGTGACCCGATCGCCAACCTGTACGGTGCGCTTTACGGCCAGCACCCGCAGGGTCAGTGCATTGCCATGCTCGGCGACCTCAAGCTCGGCCAGTACTGCAAGCTTGCGCCCGTGTCACCTTCACGATGCAGATCCTCGGCACTGTCGTCGGCGCCATCCTCAACTGTCAGTTTTTCTCCTTTCGTCTGCCGCGCCTCCCCGCTGACCTCGACGCTCTCTAGGGGTCATGATGGTCACGATCATCGACGCCAACCGCGAAGCACTGCTCTCGATCGCCGGCACCCGTCTCTGGTCCGGCCAGAACGCGCAGTCCTTCAACACCAACGGGATCTCGTGGGGCGGCCTCGGCCCGCAGATGTTCGGCATCAACGGTGTCTACCACATGGTCCCGATCTCGCTCGCGATCGGCGTCTTCCTCCCGCTCCCCTTCATCGCGGCGTGGTACATCTGGCCCAAGTCCGGGTTCGAGAACTTCAGCACCCCGATCATCCTCCAGTACTCGTGCTACCTCTCCGTCGGCATCAACACCTCGGTGAACCCCGCGATGGCGATCGGCCTCTTCTCGCAGTGGTGGGTGCGCACGCGCTACCCGCGCTGGTTCACGAAGTACAAGTGCGTCCTGACCCCTCACTTCTCACCCTCTCGAGCACCGCGCTGACCACCACACGCCCACAGCTACATCGTCGCCGCCGCGCTCGACGGCGGAACGCAGGTCATCTCCTTCATCCTCAACTTCGCCGTCTTCGGCGCGTCCGGGACCGCGCACAGCTTCCCCGAGTGGTGGGGCAACGACCTCAGCCTCTCCGCGGACCGCTGCGCGCCGGCGTAGTCGGCGTCCGTCCGTCCGTCCTCGATGTCCTCCGCACTTGCACGCACGCACGCCCCCACACACGTCCGCACGTCCGTCCATCCACAGTCTCCGTCGCTCCATGTCGCATGTAATGTAGTAGTTTGGGCCGGCCGAGCAGCCCTTTGTTTTGTCTAGGGTAATCTGCGCGAATACACTCCGGATCTTTTCGTCTCCCTCCCCCGCCTGTCCGGCAGCACGCGACGCCTCGAGCTCAACCTTAAGAGCTAAGCAGTCGGTCCGGGGCAACGCCTTGGCATCCGTCCGTTTCGACGGGCGGCGATGATGGAATTCAGTCGGCCACATGCCGTCCTGGGGCAGGCAAACGTTAAAACCTCCTTCCACGCCGCGCGCCCACAAAGCCGCCGCCGCCGCACGGTGGCGCACGCACCCGCGGTCGCCCGAGTGCCGGTGACTGGTGCGCGACGGAAAGCGGCACTTGAGCCCGGCTGCGCAGCCTCGGGGGTCCCTGGCCCCCTGCGCACCTCCACGATAAGTAACATTCAGTCGGCGGCGGCCTGCGCGCAGCGACCCGCGCTCGCCGCTCTAGCTCAGGCAAGGCGACTCGGACGGAAAGTTTCGCCGCGGAACCTGGCCCCTTATCGCGCCCGTCGGATCGCGGCGGTAATAGAGAAGAGTGCAAAGTTGCGGAGTCGGACGGCTGGAGCCTGGAGGACCGACGTGAGGGGTGGACGGTTCCCGGGCTCTGCGATGGACGGGCGCGATGATAGCCTTTGGCCTGGCTGTACGTGCTAGCTAGGTTCGACGGGGCTCGGTGACAGGGCTGGGAGGGGAAGAGGTGGGTACCTGTGCATGCATCTGAGCGCTGAGCGTCGACGATCCATGGCGAGAAGGGTGCCGTCCGCGTGCTCGGACTAGTGGTTCTTGCCAGGAGTCGAGCTGCAGGCTCAGTGTGGAGCGTTAAGCAGCTGGTGAAGATTCACACCAGCGTCGAGATAGACCGTCGGTGACCGGTCTCCGTGAGTGGGTTGTTCCGCTTGGCTCATGTACAGCTGTTCCAACATCGATAGGCCGTTTCTCGGGCGGCGAACACAGAGAGTTTTGTTTACATTTGGAGCGGGCCAAACAGACGGAGCGCGCGCGTGGCATCCCACCCTGCCTGGCCCGGTCATCGGCGTCTTATAATCAACATTCGCTGTGCGCGTCCGCACTATGTAGACATCTGAGTTGGAAGATGTGCATAGAGGCACACACAGACGAATGAACAAGGTACGCGCGACCGAGAGAGGATACAAGTTGTATGGACAGCGGACGGCTCTTCACGCGCACGCGAGCATCAGAGTACAGACCTTCTGGACTCTGCACAGTGCAACTGTGATACTAGTGAGCTTTCTCGGTGTTTTATATGTGTAAGTATGGTAGTCCAATATTCTCACCCTACCGCTCAGCCTCACACCGGGGGCATTACCGGATGAAACACGCGGCTTCATGCTTTGTTCACATAGATTGTCCCATTGATGTACCGCACAAACTCATCTTGAGGGACATCCTTGTATCATTGATTGCTAGCCAATCAGAGCTCGAGCTTCCCATGATACGAGGAGAGACATTCAAAATGAGTCAGGATGGCGCATCCGCGAGGCATTCTATATGAGCCATCAAGGAAACGGCTTGTCTCATCGGGAAATGCCCCCGGTGTCAGTCAACACGCTCTAAGTAGTGGCTACGGGATCTAGGCAGCGCGGGATGCCACGCGTGCGCGCTCCGTTTGTTTGGCCCGCTCCAAATGTAAACAAAACTCGCTGTGTTCGCCGCCCGAGAAACGGCCTATCGATGTTGGAACAGCTGTATGGGGAAACTAGAAGACAGTGCCTATCGCAGAACGCCGTGGCACATTCACCGGTCCGATATCATCTCGGAATTCATAGGAGCAAAAGGGACGTCAGAAGCGAGGCGCCGTCGCTCTCGCCCCAGAACCAGCCGGTGTGCAGAGCCCGAGGGCGTTGGATCGCAGAAGAGTGAGTGCGAAACAACACGGCGACGCGCCGGCGCGCATAGTTTATGTATACATTAGATATTATGGTATCCAAATGAGCAGCTACGTCGTCCGCCGTGATAGATCGAAGGCACGAGCGGGCGGCTCGCGCTCAGGCTGCCCCGCGAACCCCGCACGTTCTCCTCGTCTCCGTGGGGCCAGGCTCTCAAGCGCGTCCTCGACAGCGTCTGCGGCCTGAGCCAGGCGCTGGCGGGCATCAGATTTCGCGGTCACGGCCTGGCTGCTGGCCTTGAAGCTTTGAAGCTTGACGCGAGGTACGTACGCGAACCGCGTGCCCCACGTCAGCTCACGTCCGCCTGCGACGCCCGGCGGAGCGCGCTCTGCGCCCGCACGTGCCGCGGCTGCACCGCGAGCGGGCGGATCCAGAACCTGATGTGCCCGAGCTTGGACGCGGTGAGGAGGCCGCGGGGGAGGAAGACGAGGTCGGTGAGGAGGTCCGCGCCGACGTGCTTGACGACGACGGGCTGGACGACCGCGACGTCGTTCCGCGACGGCGCGGGGTGGAAGCGCGGCAGCGGCGACTCCCCCGCCGGGTTCGGCAGGTAGAGCGTGGACTCGCCCCGGCGGCGGAGCGCGAGCGAGACGGTCGAGGTCATCGACATCCGCTGGTGGTGCGCCGCGGGCAGCTTTGGGCGGTGGAGCGCGCCGCTGGAGAAGTCCCACTGGACGAGGCGCGGGCGGTCGGTACCGATTCGGGGAGAGCGGGCGGAAGAACTCACGAGGATGAACTTGTTGTCTTCGCCAATGCTGCCGAAGCGGTAGGTCCGTCCGTCGCAGCGAAGCTCGTCGAAACCGACGCCCGAAACGAAGGAGGAGTGGCCCTGACATCGCGCAATAACCCTTTGCTCCCATGGGGAGAAGATAGTGACGAGGTCATCCTGTCCTCCCGTCTAGCAGCGATCGACAATTAACAAGCTGCGGAAGATAAATATAGAGAGGACCGACCAAAATGAAGCGACCGTCGGTGACCATGCCACGCAAGTGAAAGCACCGAAATATGACGCGTAGCAATCCACTAGTCTGCAAAGATAATCAGCTGCGCTGCGGAGGGCACGGATTCCGGCAAAACATACTGCTCTGCAACGGTATCGATTACTCTCAGGCAACCGTCCTCAGAGATAGCCGCCAGGAATTTGGCATCGGGTGAGAAGACGAAATCTGAGGATGAACGTCAGCAGCGACTCCGATGTGGTATGAAGTACAGGACGACTCGCCTACGATGCTTCTCCGCGAGACCCGCCAATGGCTGACCGGGTTCTTCGCTGTTTTCTCCTTCTCTGGCTTTGACCCGAGCGGCGCGGACCCACCCACAGTGACGGGATGCCACGGAGGCATTGTGACGAATATCGAGTCCAACGGATTCCATTCGCCCTGTGAATCCGACGAGGAGGAGCCGTCGAGATGAGATGTCGACGGAGCTGACCCCGGCTCATGTGGAGTGAACGCGCCATCTTCCCGTTCCTTGTCATATACGACGATGGTGCCGTCTGCATGGGAGACTAGAAACAGGTTTGGAGACTCGGGCACCCAGTGGATCGAAGTGCATGCAGCGTTGCATATTCGACCCTGGACACTGATGTCAGAACATTCAGAGGCGCATGCGTCAAGTGGCTGACCTGTTTGTTGAATCGGCCGTAGCGCGAAGATATGGGATCTGCAGACGCGAACTAAGGTGCGGGTCGCGGGTAGGTAGGATGAGCGTTCCACTCACCGAACCAGAGGATGTCGCCAGTATGGAAGCCAATGATGACGTCCAACCGGTCTGAGGAGACGGTCGCCAGATTCACGTCGTGGCACGTCGGATAGGCAGAGAAATATATTCGAGCCAGAGGTTCCTGGGCGGGCATACATGTCTGCACAATTCCACGCAGCCGTGACGACCACCACTCACCTTGAGCTTCGCGCCCGCCTCTGTCCACACAAACGTCTTCGCGGAGTTGTAGAACATGAACGTCGTATCGCCCTGCTTGCCGGCCAGAGACTTGCTCAGGTTGTCCGCATTCTGCAGTCGCGTGATGAACGTGGAGGACGTCGTGCGCATATTGTGCTTCGGGCGCGGGGTCGACTTGCGCTTCCCCGCGCCGGGCGCATGTGAGAAGGGCGAGTTGAGCTGGTCGTGTGTGATCGGCGTCGAGGCCGTTGTGTCCGGGGCGGGGGTGCTAGAAGCCTCCGGCGTTCCGTCGTCGATGTCGTCGCTGCTGGACACGCTGTTGCCGTCCTGCTCCCGTGTCGACGGCATGCTGCTGAGCATCTTCTCCTTCTCCCGCTCCCGCTCCTTCTCCTTCTTCCCCTCCCTCTCGCGCCCGCCGCCCAGCAGCTGCGAGAAGCCGGGCGAGACGGTCGCCTTCGACGCCGGGAAGCGCACCTGGACCGCGGTGACCTTGGTGGGGTAGAGGATCGGCGCGGCGGCGATGGTGTGCTGCGCGACGGGGGACGGCTTGTGCTCCTCGGTGACCGAGTACACGCCCTCGGGGGCGACGAACGTCATGTCATTCTCCATCTTTCATCCTCAGGCGGCGGGCGGGCAGCGTGCGGCAGACGAGCGAGGAGGCCGCGGGGCAGGCGGCGGCGGAGGTGGCGGGCGCGGATGGGAGCGCAGGGCAAGGCTCATGGGACCAGCAGCGCCCCGGATCTTGCTCTGCTCGCCCGCCCGCTCTTGCTCGCCGACGACGACCATGTTTGCCCCCCGCAGACCCGCCGCAGCCTCTCTCCGGGCGATATCTCGAGTGAACGTACGCCTTCTCCGCCATTCGTGCTCGTTACTGCTGCTCACGCCCGCAGTCCGCGAGCAGGAGCCGCCGGTGGAACAGCACCGAGGCCCCGCCGGCCGGAGGCCATCTTCCGTCCGTAGCAAACTCCTCATTTCTGAAGCCCACCCGCGACGTCGCGCTGCGCACGAATGGCCTCCAGTGGGTCGATCCAGTCGACGCCGACCCCACGCGCGATATGGTCGGCCGCGAGACGCGTAAGATGAACATGTACCAAGCCGTGCGGGACGCGTTAAGGTACGTCCCGCCCTCCATCTTACTCGCGCAATGCCGAGGCCTCGCGGCTGATCGTTCCTCCCTCCCCGCGTCCCCAGCATTGCGCTCAGCAAGGACGACACGGCAGTCGTGTTTGGCGAGGATGTGGCCTTCGGAGGCGTCTTCCGGTGCACGATGGTATGTCGCGCGCGCCGTGCCGTGGATCCGGTCCTCGCGCCCACCTTCGTTCTGACATGTGCGTATCTCTGATCCAGGGCCTCGCGGAAGAGTTTGGTGTGTGGAGCGAACGCAGATAAGTGCGCCGTATCTCTGACCAGTGGATACGCACAGGACGCGAACGTGTGTTCAACACGCCCTTGACTGAGCAGGGCATCGCAGGCTTCGGCATCGGGCTCGCGTCCATGGGCCACACCGCGATCGCGGAGATTCAGTTCGCGGATTACATCTTCCCCGCCTTCGACCAGGTCCGTCGCTATTCAGCGGACCCGCTTCCCCGCCCACACGGTTCTCACCTCCCGCGCTTCCTGCTCCCAGATTGTGAACGAGGCCGCCAAATTTCGGTACCGCAGTAACGGCAACTTCAACGTCGGGAAGCTCACCCTCCGCTGCCCGTCCATGGCGGTCGGGCACGGGGGCCACTACCACTCTCAGAGCCCGGAAGGGTTTTTCATGGGCGCGGCTGGGATCAAGGTTCGTCCGCGTCGCACCACCTCCGACGGCGAAGCGTCCTGACATGTTGTGCGACATAGGTTGTGATCCCGCGGTCGCCCATCCAAGCCAAGGGCCTCTTGCTGAGCGCAATCCGAGACCCAAATCCGGTGATCTTCATGGAACCCAAGATCCTGTACAGATCCTCCGGTCCGTCCTCCGCCGCCTCGATTACGTCTTCGCCGCTCACTTATTCGTCCGGCGTGCAGTGGAGCAGGTGCCGTTGGACGACTACGAGATCCCCCTCAGCAAAGCCGAGGTCCTCGCCCGGGGCTCCGACCTGACCGTCCTCACCTGGGGCACCCCCGTCTACCACTGCGAGGCCGCCATCCAGATGCTCAAGCAGCCCCCGCCAGCGATCGCGGAGCACGTCCCGGCAGCCTTCCGCGGCGCGACGGTAGAGCTCATCGACCTGCGGACAATCCTGCCTTGGGACGTCGACACCGTCGTCGAGAGCGTGCAGCGCACGGGCAGGCTCGTCGTCGTTCACGAAGCCGGACGCACGGGCGGCGTCGGTGCCGAGATCGGCGCGGAGATTCAGAAGAAGTGCTTCCTCAAGCTCAACGCACCTGTGCGGCTCGTCACTGGTTGGGAGTGAGTGCCTCTTGGGATCGTGCGTGGTGATTTACTGACGTGGTCGTCCTCGTCCGCGCAGCACCCCGGTTGGCATGCAGTTCGAGAAGTTCTACATGCCGGACCCGATCCGCATCATGGACGCTATGGTAGAGACTCTAGCATACTGAAGGACGCATAATACACGGACTCCGGACTCCACACAGATTATCCATGTATAATACTGGAACAATCATCACTGGAACATGTAACATACACTTTGAAACTTTAAATCTTAACCCTGTGATGGCAGAGCATGATCGTGAGGACGCAAGGTAATCATTCTGAAACGCGAAACTTGAGCTTTGCAGCCTCTCTTGTGAATATGGGCGACCACGTTGCGCTCTTCCAACTCCACATCTCGCGACTATCCCCCGCAAGGGCAGCGCGGCCTGGCCTGCACTGAGGCGGACGAGTCCGTCTAGCACTTCCTCCTCTCGGCCGGAACGCTCCTGCGGACTCCGCAGGGCCTCGTACCTCGAGGAGATGGACCACCTTTGCATAACCTTCGTGTCCCTCGCAGATCACGTCCACAAATACTACTATACCACACCCAGAGCGGCTGCCCTCCATACAGGGCCCGTCCTAGGCTACCGCCCCCTCTTCTTCCGCCCTCTGGGACATCTGTTCCGATTAAGTCCGTTTTCTCCCGCTCCGTGACCCGAGTTCGAGTAATGCTGCATGTAGCTTATGCCCACCGTGAGGCTTTGCCCTCGAGGGCGTCAAACAAAAACGACCAAAAAAGAGATGGGCGAACGATGATGGCATAGCGACCCGCGTCGCGAGTGATCTATATTGTACATACATGGCTTCGAGGATATGCAGGTAGAAATACAGCAGTCCATCTGTGACACGGTCAGATTGTATCCCCATATAGCATGGCTGGCAGCAAGTACGAGTACTCACTGTCTGACCCGTAGAACATGAGGTCTGTTAACTATCACCGCTTCTTCTTCGAGTTAGGAGATGTCCGAGACAACTCATCTGGGCTTTCAAGCTTTCGCTTGATACCTGAAGGCGACGCTGTGTTCGGCAGGGTCGGGAGTGCCTCGCTCAGGGCCGCCGCCGCCGGCTCGAACGTGGGGATGTTCAGGAACGAAGAGAAATCGTCATCTTGCCCGGACCCGAGTGCGCTGCCAAACAGCTTCTCCAGCGAGTCGTCCCATTCAACTTGCTGCTGCGTAGGATCATACGAGTACATGTCGGGCTCGGCGCCGGTGTTGGGGTCAGGAGCGGCCTGTGGGTCGAGACCAAGCCCGTCCATGAACGACTGGATGCTGGTTTGGAGGGAGTCGACATCGGCGTTGATCTGGGCGGTGTCGTTGTACATCTTGTTCATACATTCCGCGTTTTCGAGGAGTGCGGCTTGGTTTAACTCGACGCCGTTTGACGGGGCTGATATAACCGCTCGAGGGGTCGGGACAGACGTTCGTAACGGTGGGTATTGAAGCTGGAGAGACGGATCGGTCCAGGCGAAGGATGGTTGAGGCTGTTGTTGAAGTTGAGCGTAGGCTTGCAGGAATTGTTGCCATTGCTCGACAGATAGGCACGGATCGGAAGCTGCTGGAGGAAGCGCACTGTTTTCCGGCGCCGGTGGAGGTACAAATGGCATGATAGGAGGTTCTGCAATGAGTTTGGGTCTTACGATGGAGGGTAGTATAGAAGGGGATTTGGGTATTGAGTCGGTAACCTGCACGGTAGCAGCGGCCGAAGGGTCAGGAGTATCAACCACAACGAAACGGTCGGATGCTAAAAGGAAATGTCAGTGCGCGTCGTGCAATAGCCTGCAATACATCACATACAAGTGGAGAAGGGAGTGCCCGGCCGGCTGCCGCTCTCACTGTGAGCCTCCGCATCACTGCCGAAGTAGTCCGATTCCTCGCCGTGCGTTTGTCGTCCGTCGCCAATGAGGAGTCGCTTGGGAGGCACGTTTGTGTTTTTTGTGGAAGAAGGGTGCTCAGGTCCGTGCTGGACTGTTCTCCCGACAAGTCCAGCCAAGAATTTAAGGATGCGGTTGATAGTGTCTTCGTGCTTTGCATGCCTCTCCCTCGCAGCAATGGCCTCCTTCCACAACGCATCGTTTGACTGCTTGAGGGCGTTCAAATCGTTGGAAATGGATTGTTGTTGACGCCTGATTGCGCTAATCCCCTCCACGATGGATCGCATGTCCACCACCTCCCCTGGACTTATCTTGCTTTCTGGTACCGAGGCGGACAGTAGGCCTAGAGTGCCCTTGCTCTCGGCATGCGCGGCGTGTGCAGGGGCTCGTTTGCGCTGAATGAGACCGAGAAGATCGGGCTGACCTCGATGGAAGTACGGGTGTGCGAACTGAATGTGCTCCGACTCGTCGTTTGAGCGAACAAGCCCTTGCTGGAGGGCAGAGATCTTGCGGAAGCCGTATAAGTTGAGTTGACGAACGAAAGAGGAGAAGTTCTGGTGTTTGAACCATTTCCCAAGAACCTCCCGTGCGAACCTTTCGTGGTCAGAGACTAGAAGGGATATGTTCAGCGAGTGCGATCGGAAATTAGGAAACGCGGGTACGAACGTACTTATGAATGAGTCCCCTGCGTCAGCCCATTTGATCATACATTCGTTTCCAGGATCATTGAGAATTCTAAGCGAGAGGTGTTTAAACCTTAGGCGAAATCAGAAAATGAGCATACGCACTCATAAAGCTTGAGCAAGAAACGAGGGATGCCTTGCAGACTTTTGGCGATAGTCGAGTCGGAGGAAGTGGTGATTGCGCTGGAGCCAGCAATTGCGACTTCATTGTTCGTTGACATCCAGTTCGTAGCGGTAGCAGTGGAGAGTCCCGGCAAATGAGGGGAAGGAAAGGAAGGTGGCGGTCGAAGGACAAGTTGGGTGGGCCACTGGTTGCAGCACGACGTCACTGCACGTGGTCCCGAGTTGCCTCGGCCGCGCGCACAGCGTCGAAACCGCGAGCCCTCTCAACTGCTGGCCATGTCGACCGCTACGCTCCTCGCCTTCTTCAACTCATTCCCAAACTTGTCTCTACCCATGCTCGGTTTTTCGCGTCACCTCCCCATGCCAATCTCACTGCGCTCGCATTTTACTGATCACTCTGGCATCTCTTCTATCCTCTGCTGCATGCTATTACTGGCGATCATCCTACCAATGGTTGCATACCGTTGCTGGGCGTTAAAGCCCGCAGAAGTTGCGGACAAGCGAAGACGGGTTCTCGAGGCTTTGTTGGAAGTTATCGTCCCTACGCAGTCAATTTGGCCATCCCACTATTTGTCCATCGCGCATCACCACGCCCAGCAGCTTTGCCCCAATGCTTGTCCAATCCGAATACCTCTGGGAAAACTATACGAAGACCTCCGTCACGAAAAACTAGAGCTCCGCACCCCCGCAGAGGTTCTTCCCCGTATCCTCGGCACATCGCATGTGCACAACACCGAACTGCCTATCCGCATTGACGTCAACGCACGCTGGTGGTTCCAGTTACTGTGGTGGATCGTCGTCTCTGAGCTCACGTCAATCGATCCCGATCAATACCTGGTCAGTTCCCTTCACCTTCCATGCACATCCCCGGCTGACTTAGAACGTTGATGAAATCACAGGCGAACTCAGGTTACCTTGGTGAGTGTCTGTATGCGCATGACAAGCATGTTGGTGCGACAAATCATCTCCTGTCGTTAGGAGACCGCACCCATAGTCCTTCCCTGGACCATGCACTCGGCTTCGACGTGCCTTCCTTGCTGTTCTTTCGCGCCGTCCTGGACCCCAGCACCCCTTCCATCAGTCTCGATTGCATACCTCATCATCGCCTTGAAGACCTCATACGCAAGCTTCAAGCATCCCTGAAGTCTGGGCAATCTGTCGCTCTCGGTCTTACCGCACGGAGTCCTGCCTCTCAAAAGAGTTTCTGGACCGATTCGACCATTCTCACTGCCATCCCGTTTCTACCCCGCTCCCGTCTCGAGGGATGTCAGCGCACGACTACTCCCTTGTTTGCGTCCGTGCACGCTATCCTCCGGCTCTTGACGACTGGCCCCACGCCTTTGACGATCGACATAGCGAGGAATGTCTCTTCAGAGTACTCCGACTTTCTGCGCGACCACACGGATCAACTGGAGAACGACCCAGAGCTGAGACAACGGATCGTCGAGGGATTAGGGAGACAGGCATGGGTTGAAGAGAGGCTTTGTGCATCTTGGGAGGCGGCGTTGGTTGACTTGGGCTTCCTTGAAAGCTGGGTGATTATCGCAAGGAGGGCGTAGTGACACGCAAGTGATGCATGAATCAAAATGAACTACTCTGTGATGTATAATACCTGCTACAGTATGACGGGCGAAGAGGACATCGTGTTGCACCAAAAGTCAGACTTCTGAGTGCTTTAACACCAGATATGCACGTAAGTCAGTTGTATCAGCTTCTAGGTACCAACTGCCGAGTGTAAGATCCAACCACGGCCCGGGGTTAGCCTTAGCTGCGACATTATGACAAGCTTCCCCGTCCTCCACCAGTAAAAGTTCACCCACAAGGGGTGAAATGCGAGAGACAACTTGTTCAAACGCGTCCTCATCTTCGAGCATGTCTTCTGGTGTGATGTCCTTCAGCACGGAACCCTGCAGGTGAAGAGTTAGGGTGTTTTATAGCAACAAGATGTGCGGCCTACCCTCTCGTCTGACACGGAAACATCCAGAGTAGTCCCTTCTTCATCTTCAATACGGAACCAAATCTGGAAGAATCCCTCCACAGCGGTATCGTCGTCCATAACATCATCACATTTGGCGCATCGTCGGTAAGACTTCGGGAGGCTGATGTGATCCGTCAGCCCCACTGCTTCCAGGCCATGTCAAATGGTCGACCTACGTGATTTGGCAACTTGTGCACCTGTAGACCGCCCATTCATGTAGGTCATCCGGGTAAAAGTCGACCACTCGTGCCCGCACGCGGAACACAGCAGGGCAGGCATTGTCCGCCTTGACAGCGGCGAGAGATGCTCTGTGGTCCTTGCGAGCCTGCTTCCGGGGAGGCTCGTCGACAAACGCATCTGCGCTCGCCTTTCTGACCCTGGGCTTGATCGTGAAGACCGCGGTAGCTTGCGCTTCCGCGACGGCTTCGCGACGAACACGCGACGCGTCGGTCTCGCGTTCGCGGCGCTGCTTCCCCTTCGTCGCCTTCTCTGTTCGAGTCGCCAGCATCTCTTCTCTCCGCTTCAAAAGCGCTTGCAGTTCGGCGTTCCCCTTCGCCTTTGGGTTCAGCTTCCTGATGAGCCGCTGGGGGCCGCCGAGTTTGCCGCTGAGAAATGGGCTGCCTGTTGTTTTGAGGCGGAGATTGCGAATGGAGATAAAGTCGCCAGCAGCGAGGCCTTGCGCAACTTCGGCCTGCGCGTCGAAGAGATTGATCCGCACGACGCGGCCAGCGAGTGATTCTGAGGCGATGTGGGCAGCGATGGGAACGAGGTCTGAGCGTGAAGTGTAATCGGTAACGTAGATGACGGACGAATTTGACAGGGAGAGGTGTACGACCTATGGAGACATGAGAGCGACTCGACATGTTAGAGATACGCACTGACCTCAACGGTGCAATTAAAATGGTGATTCTCTTCGGCCTCATTGATAAGTTGATGCGGGAATTCGGCGACAAGACCGGGGTCTCCAGACGATGCAACCCACTGATGCTTGCGTCTGCAAAGTGGCGTCAGTGAAGGGCTACTTGACAGAGGATGAAGTCACTTCAGCAGTTCGACAAGCTCGGGGTGGAACTCCAGCTCATCTTCATCGAGCTTCTTGATCTTTCTGCCTTCTTGCATGCGTCCCTCCATGTAGCCTCTGTTGCCGTACTTGGATTTCATGTTGTGTATAGCGTAATATCGACCGACTTCCATCTCCGCCGCAACGTCGTACGAGGACATAGAGAACTCCACTTGAAGGACGAAAGGAGCAAGCTTCGCTGGGCACCAATCTCCATGAGTGTGGTTTGTGTGTTCGTTGCGCGTGTAATCCGTGACATATACGGCGAAGTTACGTTCGTCCATCCTGGCGGTGTGCACGACCTGATTCGAATGGTGTCAAGGACGAGTAACCTTTTCCATATACATTCACGCACCTCGACTGTGCAGTCGAAGAATATGTCCTGCAGCACGTCGCTGATGAGCAAGTGTGATCTCTCGCTACGAGAGGAGGATGTCTCAGGGCCCAATTGAACCACATTCTGACCACGCCACCAGTCGGCCAACTCGAGACATTGACGCATCTCGCTTTTCGCCAGGCCGAGGTGTCGGGACTGCCCTTCTGCTGACGTCATTCTCCCTGTAGCATGTCGGTACACTGCCCAAGACCAACCCTTGTAAGAGGCCCCGACTGCCGTACCGTAACCGTCAACCTGAGTATATCGTGAGTCTCTGGCATGGCCACTTGGATGAATGACTGACAGTCAAAGAACACAACACCACTACGTCGCCGGCTTCGATTTTCGGAGGAAGCTGCTTTTTATCGAACAAACTGACCCCGAGACCGTTTCTTGTAGAAACGTTCGTCTGATCAAAGAGACGGATCCTTAGCATGAACTCTTCACGGATGTCAGTTGTCGTTGAAGAGGTAGCAGGGTCAACTACCCACCTCCGCTGTTCGTATTTTTGGTCTGACCCGAGCCCTCTGCAATACCCATAATGTTGACGACCGCTCCTTGCACCGCTTGAATAAGAGGTGTAAACATGCGCTGGAACTTTCGCATGAGAGATTTCGATAAAGATGATTACTATGAAAATTATACGCACCATGACGTACTCGTTGGAAGCTCCAGTTTGAGAGACGTTGTTGGATGGGGTTTCCGCCTCACATTGTGGGGGCTCCTTCTCCGCCTGATCACGGATGGGCGGGATGTTGTCCGGCTTCACAGCATGTTCCCCAGCATGGCCGTTCTCCAAAAGGTGGGACTCACAGAACACTTCATCGGGTATGTCTTCAGTATTTTCCCAGAGATACCGTTCGTCCTCGTTCTCTGATGGAGTCGCCGCGGAGGGTGCACCTGTTTTACCTGCCCAGCGGCTCGCCATGTTCTTATGACGTCGTTTCTGGTTATGTAGATGTTTAGCCTCAGCTTTTGCGCCATGTCTTGGCGACTTCGGAGCGGGCTGCCTCTTCGAATTGTCTAATTCTCGAGGAAGAGGCCGTTCGTGGCGTTTGCCTGCATCCCTTGACGAAGTACAGGCGGTTATAAGCGAAGGAAGTCTTCTCGAAGGATCTTCGACGCTTGACACATCCACGGCTCCAATCGATGTAGCCGCAGCGGAGGGACGGGGCTCCACGTCCATCACAACTGTTAATGAATGAGACACGGTAGAAGGCTGGTCTGTGAGTGCGAACAACGTCAATGTGCGCGACAGTGAGACAACTCAATTTACACACCTGGGGTGTTTCTTTCACTGTTGCTATTACTATCGTGGGCGTGAGGTTTTGGAGGTGTCCTGGATTGATGTTCGACGGTTTGCGGAGGTGTTCTTGGACGCTCTCTGGGTACAGTTGAAGTGGAATGTGATGCATTCGATATCATAGGAGTCGGGAAGACGATTTTGCTATCCGAGTCTGCCAAAACGTCAATCACAACCATTAGCAGCCAGATCGGAAGAAGTACATACCGTCATCCCATGTACTATAGAATGCGGTGTCGCCGGTCTTGTGGTGCTTAGCATGAAGAATCACACCGTCGCGCCAAACGAGTCGCTTCGGCAGCAAAGGTTTCGGATGGTTTGACTTTGGCAAGTCTTCCAAAATAGAGCCACGCAAAGCAAGACATAGCTTCGTCCCAACATTGAGAGGAAGACGGTGGTTCGCAGGGATGCAGCCTGAAAGCAGGACTTGTATGCGTAGTCCAAGCTCTACCGTCAACTGAAGGTCCAGGTACCCGTCTGCCGCTGAGTTAAGACTGAAAACTGTCCCTTCAATGAAGCCACTGCCATCCGTCCCTTTCTTGCAGATGTTGTCGGCTCTCCTCTTCTGCTCGGGTTTGAATACCGCGGCGCCGGCTATTGTAGTGTCTTCCGCCGGAACTCCAACCATTGACAGCTTGGGGGGCGCACGATAGGTCGGATATGTGTTAGGCAGCGACGGCCAATGGTTGCCCGTAGAAAGGAGAGAGGAGTACAATCCGAGACACGGTGGTCAAATGAGAAGACGCGTCGAGCATCGGACGCGATGCGCGAGTCGCGACGCGACTGTGGCGGCCGGCCCGGCATCGCTCCAATTGAGCGAGCGAGCGTTTTCGAGTGCTATAGTCCCTTCATAACTGCATCCACGATCCACGCGCTCCCGCATCTGTTCTACACCATGTCAGGCCAAAACGAAGAGCTCTCCTTGCCTTCGTTATTCCACCGCGCTCTCACGACCGCGGCCCAAGCAGTAGACCTACCCACTATTCAAGACGAAACTCAGGTAGGAATGGACTTCAAAGAACCATCAGTCATCGGGCTGACATTCCGCATACATCTACAGAGTCTCATCCGATCAGCAATAAATGACCTTGGCCAATGCAGGTCTCGCATATCAGCGCTCTCATTGTTCAGCCCCAACGAGCACCTCTCGGACATCCCCACGCGCGATTTGGTGTATATCCTCGTGCCATACGCGCTTTCCGAAGTTCTATCTCGGGTGAAGGCCACGGGTAGAGAAGAGCGGCTGGAAATTGCAAACAATGTCAAGGTGCGTTGCTCGCATGTCTTTCTGCATCCGTAATATCAATTGCGCCAGATAGCGATGTCTGGAATCCTTCGTCAATTACCTTGAGTCGTATGAGGTCATCAGCGAAGAGGACAAGACGTTGTACGGCGCCTCAGCTGCCTCTCTCATCGATCCTGCCAAGCGAAGAGAGCTCAAAATCAAGCAGTTTAAAAGGGAGAAAGATATCAAAGCTAGAATCGAGGTGAGTAAAGCCGGGATGCATTATGTTCCAGACCTGTGACATATGGCTATATCAGACGGTTAGGAGACGCACGAACCAAAACGTTGTCGAGACCTCCTCCAATCTAGAGCTCATTGCGTCCATGCTCCCGGCACCTTCAGACGTGTCAGAATCAGAAGACCTGGACAGCGATACGGAAGATGCAATGCGAGAAGGTCTGATTCTGCTTCTGCGATACCTTTTCGCCGAATCCCGGACGCAATTGGAGAGCACAATCCAAGAAATGGAGCTGCTGCGACACGCGCCTCCAGAACCATCCCAGCGATCTCTCGACGACCCTCGTATGGGGAGTAGACGTGAGGAAGATAACATATGGAGGCTCGATCCACCCCTCAACAGAGGTGGACCGGACGGGAAGGGCCCCTTGCTTGACCCGCAAGGAAAGGTACGAGCAGGGACCTGGTGAATGTTCGCGTGCTAATATCCCGGCCAGCCGCTCCGACCATTCATGATACTGCCCTCAAACGCGGCAGAACGCGCAAGAATTCAAGCACAAGTCTTCCAAGCCGATCATCGTCTGCCGACCATGACTATCGACGAGTATCTCGCGATTGAACAGGATCGTGGCAACATCATTTCCGGCGGAGGGTATGGTCGGCCTGGTATGCGCCAGGTTTGTGAAGCTGAACTACGAGTCTACAGGCCGGCCTCTGAACAGCAACCGACCTCTAAAGAACAGCTAACGCTGGACGCGGAGCAGGATGGTACGGCGTTTGGGGAGGATAAGGCTGAAGAAAAAAGGCTTAAAGACGAGTCGTGGGCTCGGTATACAGACGCCAACCCAAGGGGCTCCGGGAACACCATGAACCGCGGTTAATTACTTGGTAAGGGCGAAACGTATTATGTCTGGCAACGTGAACATCACGGACTTTGATCCTACCTGCAACAATATACATGCTCCTGTTGTATCACATCGCACGGAGACGGCTATTACAACATCCTGGATCCATATTAAATAGCGACGCGTGATTGAGGGGATATGTACATGTAAGAGCAGGCAAAGCAAGGAGATGTATGATACGCTCTATCAATGCGCGAAGAGCTCAGCACTGACACTGCGATGCATCGGGCATGTCGTTTTGTGGTGGCGATGTAACGTCGATCTCTGCGCTCACAAAAATCAGCACAGGTCTCAATAGATCCACAGGTCAAGACGCACTCGTGTTCTGGGCTTCGGACGCTTCATTCTCCTTCTCCATCCCGACCAACGACATAGCAATCTTCTTGAACAAGCTCTTGACATTATGACCAGCCTTCGCAGATGTCTCCATAAACATGATGTTCAGCTGCGTCGCTTTCGCGTTCGCCTCCTCGAGAGTCACTTGCCTACAACGACAACATGAGTAACGAACATCGTAGACAAGCAGATTGAGCACGTACCGCTTGTCCGAGAGATCTGCCTTATTCCCCACGAGGACGATGATTACATCATTCCCTCGCTCCGACCGCACATCGTCAATCCATTTCGACGTAGACATGAAGGACTGGCGGTCTTGGGGAACATTAACTTCGGGCACTTGTAGGACGAATGCGGTAACTCACTTGTAATATCGAAGACCACAATTGCGACAGAGCAATCACGGATGTACGATGGGATGAGCGAACGATAACGTTCCTAGGCGAATGACGGACGAATTTTAGACGTATAAGGCGCCAAGCATTTCGCAATAGCGACCAACCTGGCCTGCTGTATCCCAGAGCTGTAACCGGACCGTGCGGTCCTCCAGGTACATGGCTTTGCTCAGAAAGTCAATGCCTATCGTTGCCTGGTATGTGTTGTCGAACGTGTCATACATGAACCTATACAATATGGCGACAGAAGAGACACATCATTCCATGCACTGGGGCCAACGGAGTCCGATAGTCTGGAGATGCATCGAAGTCCACGTACCTTGTAATTAGACTCGTCTTCCCCACACTCTGGTCGCCCAAAAGCACGATCTTGCTGCGTTTCAGTGGAGGGGACGAGAAGTCGGCCGTGACGGGAGTCGTTGAAGACATGGCTGGAGAAGCTGGTGCAAGGTATGCAGTGTGCAGGGGTACGGCGTCGCACGGAAGAACGTGGGGCTCAGGAATGCTTGCTCGCTGTGCGGGACAGCCGAGAGGCTGTTTGCCACTGTTTGGGATGCGCAGGGTTCCTGGCCAGATTAGATAGACGCGACGTCGACGCTAAGGTTGGGCTCAGTCACAGCTCGCCCCTATGCTGAGCACGTGATATTGGCGCTCAAATAAGTTATCTTTGCGCTAGACACCAGATAAGTCCCCTGCAAAGACGCCAGAATGCGCGCACACCATCCCGAACACACAGCAGGATAGTGAGTGGGTGCGCGAGTAGATAAAATCATGCAAATGAACGTTATGTATGCTATGCAGGTGTCGCGATGTCCGCGCGCTCAAGTATCGCCCTAGGGGGAAGCCCACGATGGCTAGCATACTTCTTTGTTGCCCCAGCCGCCTCCGCTCCGTTGAGACCGTCGCGGTAATAATGCTGAGAGTGTGGGCTTTGCGCCTGAAAGAAACTTCCGACACCACCTGCGCAGCGTTCGCGCATGATTTGGCGCGCAACCGAGCTTCTGTGCAGTCGACACGGAGGTCTTCTTCCATCCACGCACAGGAGCGCTGTCGTCCAGATAGATGGCTAGAAACTCTCGCATATCCACGAGACGGCGGTGAAGCTGCGGGTTTCCTGCTTTGAAAGGCAAATATCTCCTCTTCTTCGTCTTTGAGCGCGGCTACAGTAGTGCATCCAGCAGCTTCAGCCCCGCTTCTGTAGCCTCACGCGTGGGCGCTGATTGAAAGCGTCCTCCGGGTCGCGTGTGTGGCCCCGGAGTGATGCTTCGGATCTGATTGGAAGAGGCCTCCGGCGGCGCCGTTTGGGATCGCGGGGACGACAACACAGTGGAGGATTTCGCTGGAAGGTCCGCAACTGGCAGTCTGGATGGCGTGTTCCCGGGCGGCAGCTGAGGTGCTGACTGAAGTTGGGACATCTCCACAAACATGCGGCGACTTCTCTCCTGCGGGACGTGCACGTCGTGGTTCAGCCCTGTGATGCGTCCTTGAAGTGCACGCTACGGTGGCACCGGGGGCTGCATAGCGAGCTCAATAAGAGGTTTTGAAGAGATGGTATGATATCCATACCAGGTTTTCCTTGTTTGCACTCGCTTTCAAGACCTTCTCCTTCATCCACCTGCCTAGGTTCTTCAACCTGGACGCTTTTGCGGTGCTAACTCGACCTATGGTTGTATGCTAATGTCATTCTGACAGGCTTACTCAATAAACTCCATTTCCTGGCGCTTTTATTGACGCCTGAACTGCGCTCGTCTGCGACACCGCTCACGATGCCACTTCCTTTCCCGCCTTCTCTCGCCAAAAGGAGCTCCAGGGAGTTGTAGCCAAATACTATTGGTACAATCCTCCGGAAACAAACCAGGAGAAAATGCTTCATTCAGAAAAGTACATGGTTTACAATGAATCCTCCACCCAGACGGAGGCATTTTGATCACGTGATGGGGCGGGCTGTGACTGAGCCCAACCTTACTTATATCGCCGCGCTTCACAGGAACGCATGCAGACGCCGGCCGCCGCGAAGCTCAAAGCGTCGGCTCACGCTTCTTGGACGCGCCCCGATTTCCCGACTCTGAGTCACAAATGCCCGGCTGCTAGCACTGTTCTCCTCTCTAAGACCGCACATCTGGCCCCGTCTGTTGCGCCCCGGAACGCCCTCGTCCAGAATGAAGCTCATCGACAAGATCGCGCAGCGCGACCCGCACAAGCTCTATTATATGTTCGAGTTCTTCCCGCCGAAGACCGACCAGGTGAGCGCATCGACTCACAATCAATACGGCGCAGGGACTAAGTTTTATTGCTGGCAGGGCCTTGAAAATCTCCTTGCGCGTATTTCACGCATGATGGCGTTCAACCCCATTGCACTCAGTGTAACGTGGGGCGCAGGAGGTTCGACGAGGGCACGATCTATTGACCTGGCAGGTTGGGTTGAAGAGCAAGGTGGAGAAACGTTGATGCATTTGACGTGCACAAACATGGTGCAGGGTACTGTGGAGCTGCATTAAGGGTGAGTCTCTTCCTATCTCCGCGTTCGGGCGATGTTCATGCAGCTTGAAGGCGGCCAAAGAACACAATATCGATAATATCCTTGCGCTTAGAGGAGGTAACAGTGTTTCCACTTCGAGGACTCTCTTTTCACTGTGACAATGGTAGATCCCCCGAGGGGGAAAGAGCACTGGGAACCAAGTGATCCGCGATTCCAGCACGGTGTCGACCTCGTCCGTTACATCAAGACGACCCCTGAGTTCGCAGGTCTTTGTGTGGGCGTGGCAGGTCATTTGAGAGATCATCTAGCGTTGAGCGTTTTGCTTATTGATACACCCGTTTCCCACAGCGTATCCCGACGGGCACCCTGATCACGATACGGACGAAGCTGGCGAGCTGGAATTCCTCAAGCAGAAAGTGGACGCTGGCGCAGACTTCATTGTCACACAGCTTTTTTACGATGTTGAAGCCTTCGAGGTGTGGTTGGGGAAAGTCCGGGCCAAAGGTATGTGAATCGTATTTGTGAGTCGGTTGCCTCCTCACCTCAAGAGTTAGGCATTACCGTGCCTATCATCCCGGGAATCATGCCTATACAGACCTACGCGTCGTTCCTGCGGATGACTAAACTGTGTGGTACTAAGGTCCCTGCTAAGATGATGCATGAACTCGTTCCTATCCGTGTAAGAACGTCTCATCTTTTCTCAGTCCACTGTATAAGACTCAAAACAACAATTGTAGCATGATGACCAAAAAGTCAAAGACTACGGAGTCAAACTCGCCATCGAGATGATTCAACAGCTTCAGAAGACGGGTATCCGGGGCGTCCACTTTTGCACCATGAATCTGAGAAGAGTGTTGCGCGGGTCCTCGAAGGCCTGGGTCTGACAGAAAGCATTCTTTCAAGCAGCAATAAACTCATTGCAGTGGGTACTTTGATTACTGACGCAACTTTTGGAACTCATGTCCATACAGGATGAGATTGGCCCACCTGAACGAACAGTCACCCCTCACGCAGCAGCCGATCATGCGACCAAAGAGTTGGCTGCCGCTCCTCAACCTGAGAGCGAGGCCGGCAAGGGCGAGCTGAACAACGCTGCGGACTGGGATGACTTCCCGAACGGTCGTTTTGGTGACTTCAAGAGTCCGGCGTACGGCGAGACCGATCGATGGGGGAGCTCTGCGCTTCAGAGCAAGGCATCTTCCACTCCGCTCTCACAGTGGGGTAACCCAAAAACCATCGACGACCTTACCGACCTGTTCCTCAAGCACCTGCATTCAAAAATCACCGCTACTCCTTTCTCAGCGACTCCGCTATCACCGGAGTCGTTGATGATATTCCCGCACCTGGAAAAGCTAACAACGAAGGCCTGGTGGACCGTTGGGTCACAGCCCGCGATCAACGGAGCGCCATCTACAGACGAAGTGGTAGGCTGGGGTCCGCGAGGAGGGTATGTGTATCAGAAGTGCTTCGTCGAGTTCTTCGTCGAGCGAGCAGATGTAGAACGGATAGTGAAGAAGATCGAGGAGGAAGGAGGTGGCTGGTTCAGTTATTTTGCTGGAAATGTTGAAGTGGGTCACTGCACAGTCTATTCGTCTTCGCTTCTGAACGATATTTCTCCAGGGCGAACTCGTGACCAATGTTCCGGAAGGCGGCAGAAATGCCGTCACCTGGGGCGTATTCCCCGGTCAAGAGATTGCGCAGACGACGATCATCGAGGGCGAGTCATTCTTGTCGTGGAAGGTTAGAATGTGTTCTATGCGATGTACGCCCCCTCACCTCTGTTTGGTACCAGGATGAGGCTTTTTCGATTTGGTCGGAATGGGCGTCGTTCTACCCGCCGGAGTCTGAAGAGCGCCGTCTCTTGGAGGGCATTCGTGATCGCCGATGGCTCGTCAGCCTGGTCTGTCATGATTACATGAACCCTGCCGCGCTTTGGACATTCTTGTTCAAGGGGGAGAAGCCGCTGCTATAGCGAATTGGAGAAGAGTACACATCGATGTATCTATAGTACTGGCACACATGCTGCTACTAGCATTCACACGACTTCAAACATATCGCCCTCCTTCCTGTGAGCGCCAAGAGCAACATGTGCATAACATCTGAGGTACTGAGCGTGAAGGGGCCAATGAGTGCGAGTTTGAGGCTGCTGCGCGCTGGGAGTGGGAGACACCTTTGCGCAGCGGGGATTGGATGCGGTGGTCACGAGCCGCTCCTGCGGTGTGGCGACGGCGAGCGGTAAGAGCGAGGGCATCTGTTTCTCCTTCCGGCCACGCTTCCGCCCTCCCTCCCTTCTCTCTCTCTCCTTCCACGCGCAGCACGTCTTGCTGCACCGCGGCGCGCGCCATGCGTCTGCCCCTCTCTCTCATTCTCGCCGTCCAGTCCGTCTTGGCCCTTCAGCCCGCGAAGCGCTTCTACCAGACACATGACTACTATGTCATTGAACACGACCCATACGCCGGAGCATCGCTGGACGAAATCTCTCGGGCCCTCGGCGTCGAGATTGTGGAACAAGCAGGGCAGCTTGTCAACCACTGGCTCGTCCGTACGGAGAAAGGTCTCAGGAAGCGCGATTCCAATTCGGACCCTGTCCTCCGTTCATTAGAGGCCATCCGAGAACAGGTCCGCGCACCCGACAATGTCCTCGCTCGCTCAGAAGATGTCTCTCAGAGTCGTCGGATATCGAACTCGGTACGAGTCCTCCTCCCGCAGACTCTCCGACAACGCACCAAGCGCGCCCCACCGCCCATTCGACCGCCACCGGAGGACATCGAAACTGCATCGGCCGCGGCGCAGCGGCTCGATATCCATGACCCTTTCTTCACGAAGCAGTGGCATCTCGTCAATGACGAGTTCCCGGAGCACATGATGAACGTCACTCCGGTGTGGGATATGGGTATCAAGGGCAAGGGTGTCATCACCGCCTTCGTCGACGATGGACTGGACTACACCAGCGACGACCTTGCGAACAACTTCGTGCGTGCACTGGCTGATTCCTCTCCCCGCGTATTGCTAAAGTCGCGTCCATCAGTATGCGTATGGCTCGTACGACTTCAATGACCATGTCAACCTTCCTACCCCCGTCCTCTTCGACGACCATCACGGCACTCGTTGCGCCGGCCAAGTGGCTGCCGTCAAGAATGATGCTTGCGGAGTCGGCATTGCGTACGAGTCTAAGGTTGCTGGTATTCGTATTCTCTCGGGTCCCATCTCGGACGTGGACGAAGCCGCTGCTCTCAACTACGACTACCAGAACAACTCAATATTCTCATGCAGCTGGGGGCCTCCAGATGATGGTCGGTCGATGGAAGGTCCGGGGTATCTCATCAAGAAGGCAATGGTCAATGGCGTTCAGGAGGGTCGTGGTGGGAAAGGTTCGGTGTTCGTCTTCGCAAGTGGGAATGGTGGCCGACAGGGAGACCAGTGCAACTTCGACGGCTACACGAACAGTATATTCTCTGTCACCGTCGCCGCCATCGACTTCAAGGGGCTCCACCCGGACTACTCAGAAGCCTGCGCAGCGAACATGATTGTAGCCTATACCTCGGGTAGCGGGAACCACATCGTGAGTCCCTCGCAGGTATATCTTCGGGCAATGTCGATATCTTTCATCATTCCAGACCACGACGGATCGAGGCAAGAACAAGTGCTCAAGCTCGCATGGAGGCACCTCTGCGGCTGCTCCTAACGCTGCAGGAGTGTTTGCGCTTGCTCTGGAAGCCCGGTGAGTGGCATGCTGTGCAACGAGCTGCATATGTGCTGACTGCTTCGTTGACAGCCCTGATCTGTCATGGCGAGACGTCCAGCATCTCTGTGTCCGTACGGCTCTTCAAGTGAACCCTGACGACCCTGACTGGGAGATGACTGCTGCCGGTCGCCCATACAGCTACAAGTACGGTTATGGTAGCTTGAGCGGCATCGAGTTCGTTAAGGCTTCTCAAACATGGAAGACCGTCAAACCGCAGACCTGGATCGATCTTCCAGTTATCCAAGTCAATAATGGGTCCATGGACTCCTTCGGGAAGACTGCAGGGGCGAGAAGATTCCTGCTGACGGAATCGAGAGCAAGCTCACGATTACACAAGAACTCTGGACAAGCACAACTTCGAAGGGTTGGAGCACATCACCGTCCGGGTATGGATCACTCACACGCGCCGCGGAGATGTCGAGGTCGAGCTTGTTAGCCCGAAGGGAGTCAAGAGTATTTTAGCTGCTCGTCGTAACGGAGACAGTGCGGACACAGGATATCCGGGATGGACCTTCATGACGGTGAAGCATGGTGAGCGCTCTCTCGCTTCATTTTACTAGTCTCTCATGCATCCACGTAGGGACGAGAGCCCTCTTGGCGACTGGACCATCCGTGTCTCCGACCAACGCAAGGAGGATCAAAGCGGTGTCTTCTTGGGTTGGACTCTGAGCATCTGGGGCTCCGTCGCAGATGAGGTCAAGAGCCACAAATCTTACGTCGTGCCTACCGACGAGCACGACGAGATTCTTCCGCCGCCGCCCAAGACAGTTGCGGATCACGATCACGCGACTACGACCACGGGGACTGCTCAGTCTACCGAAGTCCTGGCTACCACCACCGCCACCAACACGAAGACCCTTGTTCGTCCGACAGAGCATCTCCCGACCGATCACGGTCACTCCGAAGGCGAAAACACGAAGCCCGCGTTCACTTCCGACAAAGCCGTCGCAACCGGCGCCCAGGACCTCGAGACCTCACCGTCCGCATCGGTTACGCCTACACCTGACGAGGGATGGTTCTCCGACCTCTCAAACCTGGTCTCGAACCAGGCTTGGTTCTTTGTCGCCCTCGCTGCCGTCTTTGTCTTCGCGGCGCAGCGGGCCTCTTCTTCTGGCGGCGTGCCGTCCTTCGCAAACGCCGCGCCAACTACACGTCCCTCCGAGGCGACGATGAAGTTGCGATGGGCTCCGTCACTCGCTCGAGCACCGGCGGTCGCACGAAGGAGCTCTACGATGCCTTTGGAGAAGTCTCAGACGATGACGAAGTCGACGAGGAGACCGCGCTCCGACCACACTCGATCTCGCCTCCACTGCCAACCGGCCTCCACACGGGCTTCCTCGACGATGATGACCCGCCGACAGCGGGTAGCCAACGCGCGACGCGCTATCGGGACGAGCCTGAGTCCCCCGTGGGCTCAAGGGAGGGTGACCGGTCGGAGAGTCCGGCGAGTGGGAGTGGGAGTGGTAGCGGAAGTAGCTGGGAGCATGCATCAGAGACGCGACCGTAGTATACATCCGCGTCCGCTGTGGTTTCTCCGTAGTTCGCGTGGGTTGCGTTGGTCTAGAGAGAGCATCTGTATTCATCGTATCTTATGCAGGGACCAGTAATATTTATGTGCTACATAACAGTACACAAGCAAACACAGCAAGTCGCAGAGCTCGAGCAGTTCGAAGCACGTGGAGTACAAACAGTATGGGGTAATCGGGCAATCGTAAGTATGAGGAGCGCCAAAGAGTCTAATCGGTTTCGATGAAACGCAATTTTGAGTTGTTGGCCACGCGAGTCCAGACGTCAAGACCCTCGTACTGTGGGGAACACCATCAACGACAGTCTTCACGACATAAATGCAGTACGCACCTCGAGAATGGTATCCATGAGCTGAGCTTCAGTGAAGCCGCTCGTAAGCACTCGGGAACGGATGTCGACCATGGACAGCTCCTCGACGTCTTCCTCTTCATCGTCGACGTCCATGTCCCGCTCTCCGCCCGACCCCTTTCCAAAACGCCTGGCACCCCGCGCACGACGACCCTTCTTTCCGCCCTGCGCCTGCTTGGCCATCTCCTTGATGAGACGGAAGATCTTGCTGACATCGGATCGGTCGTGGTCGCGCGCGTCTTCGTCCTCGTCGTCGAGGCTCTTCTTGCTCACCTCCATGAGACGCAGCGCCTCGTCGACATCCGCGCGCTGAACAAGGTCTGAGAAGCGGAGACGTGCGAGGGCCTGAGAAAGGCGAAGGACGCCGAGGAGCGTACGCGCGGAGATGTACGTGTGTGACTTGGCGTTCGCGTCGTCGTCCTTGGACCGCTTGCGGAGGCGAACATACGAGTCGACGACATAATTGGAGACGTCTGCCGGCACCGTTGGACGGTATTGTCGTGCGCGGGCGATGTAGTGGCTAGTCAAGTCGATGATCAGCCGAAGTCTTGAAATGGGCAGATGAAGGTTCTTACCGAATTAGAACAGGATCGACAACTTCGAACTCGAGTTCGGGGTGAGTGTTATACATGTGGACGTGGGTGACATGGACGGCGAGCTGCTCGTCGTCCTCACGAGTGGGCTTGTCAAGAATGAGGAACATGAGGTCAAAACGGGATAGAAGAGCAGCCGGTAGGTTGATGTTCTCTACAGGGGACAACTTGGGGTTGTATCGACCGTACAGCGGGTTTGCAGCAGCAAGAATCGACGTGCGTGCGTTCAGCGTGGTGGAGATGCCTGCCTTGGATATAGAGATCGTTTGCTGTTCCATGACCTCGTGAATGGCAGTGCGATCAGACTCCTCCATTTTATCGAACTCGTCAATACAGCAAATGCCGTTGTCCGCGAGTACGAGTGCGCCACCCTCTGCGGTTTATCAATGCCCGTAGCTTGCGACAAACAAAGTGGATACGCACCGAGAACCATTTCATCCGTTACTGGGTCTCGCATAACGGCTGCAGTTAAGCCCACACCCGAAGAACCTTTGCCTGTGGTGTATACGCCGCGCGGAGCAACCTTTGAGATATACTTGAGGAGTTGTGACTTGGCTACACCGGGGTCGCCCATGAGGCAGATATTGATGTCCCCGCGGATCTTCAGACCGTCGCCCATTTGCTTGGTCACGCCGCCGACGAGCAGGAGTAAAAGGGCTTTCTTGACGTCGATGTGACCATAGATTTCAGGAGCGATACTTTGCGTAAGTTTGGCGTAGAGGTGAGGGTCGCTGGAGAGCGCATTGATATCGCGTATGATATCGGCGGTCAGTTCCATGGCACTGTATTGCTTCTTGAGTTGATGAATGTGGTGGGCTTCAAGGAAAGTGTCGGTCAAAAGTCCAGCACGTATAGCTTGGTACCCCGTGTAGGGAATAGGGAGGAAGATGCCACCCAAGTGAACGATGTCTCCGGGGCTCATTTGACGCGTCAGTGTACCATTGACATGCACCGTCATAGAGCGAGGGATGTGTCCCACAGGCACTTGATCAGCCTGGGAGAAAGTAAGAGGTGGTAGAACGCTGAGAGAGGTACGGGCACATACCATCTCCTGTATCTTGACCTCTTGGAAAGGACTGAAGCGACAGGCTCTTGTCTGCATATGAAGAGTGCCATGAATCCCGTTCTTCTTGCAGCTGTCTTCATTCTGGCAATCGTAGATCGGAGCGAACTCCTTGTGAGAGATGTCTTGGAATGTTTCTGACCCGCACGAGTCGCAGGTGTATGCGTTGACAAGAAGGAGCGGCTTGACTTCTGATACACGCGTTACAATCCACGGACAGTGATGAGCCGACCAAGATGAGCACCCTTGACATCTCGTACAGCCATGGCAATATCAGAGCGCAAAGGCTGAAAGTAAAGATTACTGAAAGGCGGTCAGATATCGAGATGGGAATGAATTGCGGGAACCTACTATCGTCGCAATAGATGGTCAGGGAAGTGCTGTTGGCCGGCTTCAAGGTTTTGGTTTTGTGCTTTACGTTGATGGAGGATGACATCTATAACCTCATCGTGCTCGCTGATGTCTTTGGTTGGTTCAGGCATTAGAGAATCGATGACTTCGCTGAAGAGGGAAACGTAGCGCCGCGCGTTTCGACGGATCCGGGAGACCAGCTCGGCCACGGTACGTTCGTGCTAGATAGGGATGTGTCGGAATGGTGGGCGCTTCAGAGAATGAGTGTGTGCGTACCTCGAAATGTCCTCAAGATCTATAACAAGCATTTGCTGCTCTCTGTTGGCCACCCGTTGCTGAAACGGTGTTGAGAACGCCGTGCAAAGCAGACTGGAAGAGACATACCAATTGTTGCATGTACTTCAGAGCTTTCTGCCGCCCCCCATCGGCATTGTCCTGAAGATCAATGTCTGCCATCCCGTCGACCAGATCCTTCTCTTGTGATGTAAATGTGGACAAAAACTGCTCGATGCGCTCTGGGCCCGTGGTGAGATGGTGGCTGACGCGCTTTTATCGGATAAACACACCTTTCTCAGCATGATAGTCAACGTCAATGTTAACCACAGGCAATGACATTGTGGTTGACGCGTCAAGATGGGAGAGAACGCGAGAGTGTGAAGCTTGGAGGTGGGGGTGGAGAGGAGAGGATGAGCGCGTCTCGACGCGTCTCGCGCGCGTGCTTCACGCGCAGACGCCGGCTCTCTTTGCTTTCAACTACGACCTAACATCCTCGCCCTCTGCTTGCCCTGTGTCCGACAACCACCTCCCACTGGACTTGCGGCGCGTTTTGTCCCGTCTCGCACACACCTCGACTGTCCGGCTCCTCCGGCGACCTTGCGTATTACGGTGAATTCAGCTACCCCCGGACCCCGGCTCGTGTTGAGACGTCAGAAGCCATCGTCGTCTATGTCAAAAAAGCGGCCAGCAGGTAAGGTGTGGGTGGAGATCCCCTCGCGGAGAATAAAAAGGTGTGTTTCTGTGTTTCATGTGTACGCTACCGCCCTGACAGCTTGGTGTTAGTCGCGACGCAAGTGAGTTTTCTTCCATATTGGCCAATGGCGCTTCTCTGTGGCTTATGAATACCGCAACAGCGGACAAGTTCACTTTGGATGAAGACCTCTCTCCTGAAGACGTGGTTCTTCACGGAGAGACTGCAGGCTCCGACGACGGAGACGACGACTGCATTCCCGTCCGGACATTAAGTGGCTTCAGCGTCTTCAACGCTCATAGTCTTGAATTCGTGTCGCCACTTACGGTCCTCATGAATGTCCCGGGCACGTGGACCGCGGTTGGGATTGCTCATCCGTACACTGAAGAGGAGGACAACCATCCGACTAGTGCCGGGCAACTCGTTCAGCTTTCGGAGCTCCTCAGTTGCAGTGTGCACTGGGTGACGCGCTCAAAAGGCTCATATACCATAGACCAGTAAGCTTTTCTTTGTGATGTTTATACGTGCTCAATCACTAGTGTCCAGGCATATCTATCTTCGCACTGCCTTTGCCTGGTATCTACTGCGGACCCCATCCCCGGCTTATAAGCCATACATTGCCACATTTGCCTCCTGCCACCAGATCATGCAGTCCCTTCTCGAATTAGCTCTGAGGACCCCGGCATGGCCACTTCACGACATCCTCAAGACTCTGGGATTATCTCCCTCAGATGTAGAGTCCACGAGTTTTGTGAGCTGCATTCACTATAAGGTCATACTTATGCTGACTCATCTGATACAGCAAGAATACTTCACTGCTGCGATGGATGGGCTTTCCACATATCAGGAAGAGTTCTACCGAAGGGTTGTTCAAGCTCAGTGCCTCAAGTCTCTTCCATCCCCACCTACATCCCTTGACCCTACACACTATTGCTTTCTACCTGTGGCACAGGCAGCTGAGCAATTTGTTCTCAAAAGACATTGCTCTACAGTTGTCACTCCAAAAGTGGCAGCTATTGCTCAGTCACTATTTTCCCAGGTCTTGGAGGTAGTGACCTTTGCATCTGCAGAGGAGAAGAGAACAGGTCCTTCTGGTGTTCATCAGGAGCACAACTCCAACCCCCATTTCATAAAATGGGGTCAGGCCTCCTCTATAAACCATGTCTATCAGAGTGTGGGGATTGATGGTGTCATCTACTCAGTGAGTGATATAGAACATTTCTGCATGTGTAGGCTTACAAGAGTGCTATAGGCAGGTGACATCATTATGGTGGAGCCTGGAGAAGACACTTATAAGCCAAGGGCAAAGAATGCAGAGACCAGCCAAGCAAGCTGCCCTCAGAACAACTTTGCAAACACAAGATGGTGGGCTCTATTTGTGAGATCTTATACTGAGACCTGATCTATCTCAGGTTCTGCAAGATTTGCTACTTCTTTGAAGAAGAAGGCTCCAAGTCTTGGAAGAAGATGTTCCATGCCCAATGGCTCCAACATGGTGCTCAAACACTGCTTCAAGAATCAGCCCACCCTAGAGCCCTCTTCTGGCTTACAGAATGTGATGACTTGCCATTACAGTGCATTCTCTCACATTGCAATATAGTGGATTGGCCTGTTGGAACTGCAGAGCCTCCTGAAGATGTTTTTGTATCAGAAAATATGTTCTTTACAGGGTATGTTTTCTGAATTGGCTGCTATCAGAATAGCTTTTGTTCACATTTTTATCAAGCCTTATCTGGGATGCCAATTTCCATGCATTCATACAGCTCCCAAAGTCAAGAAGAGAACAGGCTCTTGCTCATTGTCCAGCAGCTAAACCCTGTGTAGCTTGTGGGCTTCTTACCATTCGTGAAGAAGCAGAGGACTGGAACCCTCTGGATACTGGAGGTTTCTCACATGATGGTGTTGACTATCATGTTCATGACTTCATTTACTACCATGATTCCCACCAACAGGGGCTTCTTCAAGTTGCTCACATCATGCAATTCATCCCTACTTCAAGTGGGAGATTGAGTGAAGTGGAAGTCTGCTGTCTTGGCAGATATGACACTGTGTTGCATGATACACCCACATCCTCCCCCCTTGACAATGTAAGTGTAGGTCCATCCAGTATGAGCAAGCATTGATCTGTGTACAGAGGAGACTTTTCAAGACAGAGGCTACTTTGCTGCTGAAAGCTTCCTCCATTGAGGGAAAAGCATATGTCAGCAATCCTTCATCTCTCAGGGAGAGAGAGGAGTGGTGTCAAGAGGATCATCACTTCTACTGTGATCTGGAATCAAGCTGTATCCATCCAGAATCCCCAGCTGATCTCAGTCCCCTTCTTCCTCATCAACTCCCACAATGCCACCCATGCCTTCAGTCTGTGCACTCTACCCTCTTGGAAACTAAGCAGCTTCTAGCAAGTGCTAGAAAACTCAGGGGACTGGAACTCTTCTCAGGTATGTATTGTAGTGTTCTATTACAGTTGCAATACCCAATCTGACCAACTGTGCAGGGGCTGGTGGATTATCAACAGGCTTGCATCAGTCTGGCTTTGTTGATACAAAGTGGGCTGTTGAATTTTCTCCTAGTGCTGCAAAATCCTTTCAGTAAGTGCTGTCTCACACCAGTGGTTATGACTATTAATGCATTCCTCCAGGATCAATCATAAGGATGCAGCTGTATATTGCATTTGCTCCAATTGCCTTCTGCATCACACCTTAGATATTCACAATGGTGGATCTCCCCCTCCTTTACAATGCCAGACAGGGGAAATGCCTGCTATGCCCAAGAGAGGGGAAGTGGACTTCATATATGGTGGTATGCACAAGATTTGCAATTTACTTCACCATACTCACTGTCACAAACACAGGCCCTCCATGTCAGAGCTTCTCCAGAATGAACCACCATAGAGTAAGTGGTTATTATTTTACATACCTGCACTGGGACTCATGCCCTATTTTGCAGAAAGTTGATGATCAAAGGTATTCAACTTGGGTTAGATGGGAGGCATTTCACTGAGTGCTTCTGTAGGAGTGTTCTGATCTGCAACATGATATCTTATGTGGAGTTTTACAGGCCCTTATACTTTCTTTTGGAGAATGTGGTTGGACTTTTGACTTATACCCTTACTGGCCCTAATCAAGATGGAGAGGCCATCAAGATGGGGGTTGTCAAGTTCATCATGCGTAGCCTCACAGCTCTAGGGTACGTAAATTTCGCATTTTTGGCATGATTATAACTTGAAATCAAGTGCAGCTATCAAGTTCAGTTTCAAGTTCTACAAGCAGGCCAATATGGAGCCCCACAAGGGCGCAGAAGAGTTGTCTTCTTTGGTGCTCGATCAGATGTCCCCTTTCCTCAGTTTCCTGCTCCTCAATATGCATTCCCCAAGCTTACAGGCCTAGGGGTCACAATGCCTACTGGAGAGCGTCTGTACCCTCCATTCTTTTCTGGGTTTATGGACAATGGGCATCAATGTGCACCCTTCCCAAGCATTTCCATCAATGAGGCAATAGGAGATCTGGTCAGTCAATGACTGTCTAAGCTAGATCAATGATATTTCTAACACTAAATTGCATTGCAGCCTAAGTTTGATTGGCAAGTGTCAGCTGAATTGCAGATTGCATTTTTCTCTGATATATTTTGATCTTTAGGAAGAATCCTTGCAATATTCTACCCAGGCAAAAGAAACATATGCAAGACATAGCTGCCAGGACTCTCCAAGGGATCCCTTCACTCAATGCTGTGACCCAGGAGAAGGGTGACCCAGGTTTCAGAGATCCTGTCCCCTATATCTCCCAGCCTATGAATCGATACCAGCATCACCTCAGAGATCCTCAAGAGGATTCTGTGTCCTACCACTATACCAAGAAATACTCTGCAGTGGTAGTTGAGAGGTGAGTCTGACAGTCATCAAACATGGCACTGGTAGCTCACAACATGTTTAGGACTGTCAATGTACCATTGGTACCCAATGCTGGATTCATAGGTGAGCCTGGATCACACTTACTGATGACTATCATCATCTGATGCCTTCATCCCCAGATTTGCCTCTGCTCTCAAGGCCTTGAAGAAAGAAGATCATTAGGTGAGTGAGGTCTTTCTGAAGCCATGAAAGAGGCATCTGAATGTATCTGATTTTATTAGACATCTATGGAAGATTGGATGGTCAAGGTCACTTTGGGACTGCACTAACAACTGTCAATCCAAGTTCAAAGGGAGGCAAGGTGCTTCACCCTGAGGTGAGTTAGCTTAGTAGGAGCCACCATGGTCTCACTCATGGCCCACCCAGCAAAAAAGAGCACTCACTGTGAGAGAATGTGCTCGAGCACAGGGATTCCCTGATAGCTACATGTTCTGCTCAACAAGCACCAAGGACAGCAAGATCACTGAGGATGTAAGACATTTCATACCAAGTATATTCACATCCTAACATGAACACAGCAACTGAGACAGATAGGCAATGCAGTTCCAGTCCCACTAGCACATGCTCTTGGAGTAGAGATTGGTAGGGCCTATACCATGTACCTGAAGAGCATCCAAGCAATTCACCTATAGGTAATCTCAGTATACCTCTCAATGTATAACAATATACTTTACCTAGACTCTGCTAAGATCTGTTCCACCCGAGCCACTTTGCTTTCATTCCCTGTTCCTGGAACAATATCCCTATCCACCCGAGTACCAATCCTGATGTCTGTAGCTACCCGGGGGCCCCCTTGGAATGAACAGCACTGTGGCATGCTTGGATTGCCTGTGTAACCTCTGACCATGGCCCCTCTAGTCCAGTCATATGGCACAAAATCGTCCTGAGCCACAGTGATATAGCATAGCAAACATGACATACCAATGTTTGTACCATAGCCACTATTATCAAAGGACATGTGTCAAGGACAGTGGCTCAACATGTGATAGGAACAAAGACTTACTGCATCTGAGAGATGTTGGTTAAATGTGAGACACAGAGATGATTTCTGGAGAGTGATCATACCTTGTACTTCAATCCACTCTTCTCCAGCACCCGAGCACACTCTGCAATGTACTCGGCAACCTGTCACAATCAATGGACAATATCTTTACTGCCAGAGGATCACGAGCATACCGATGACTCTCCTGTCCCCATAGGAATCAGACAAAAATCTGGATAGTAGATGTCGGTGAGACTGCATATTCGTGAGGTCTAGAACAGACAGACCTGCTACTGCATAGAGTTCACCACTGGCCATATCTGCCGAGATCTCGCGGACAATAAAGCTTTGGGTGTCGATTATGTGCGTGGCAGAACAGCAGGCTGGGAGTGTATCCAGAAGGTGAGCGTTCGTGACAAGGTCGCTCGGCGCGCGTGAGCGTTCGCATCGGCGAACCGCTTGTTTCCCCCCTCCACCACCTCTTCCCCGACCCTTGCATCCCTTCGCCATTTCCCTCCAACACCCCCCTTCCTCATGCTCGCCTCCAGGACATGAACTTTGCACCTGCGCGAAGATATACTCGACGATCGACGTCATGACAATCACGACTCTCGATATTCCCACTCTGAAGGCGGTCAAGAATTCTGTGATTGGCAACCGTACCGCGAAAGGTTCATATGGCAGAGACGAGGCTTTCGTATCCAGGTATGACTTTCCGTTGAAGCATTGCCCCCGCATTAAGGTCTTCGCAGGCTGGTCGAATGCTTGAACGATGCAGTCGTGATAGCGGAGGCGGAGGTCTCCACGACCGACGTACGCATTGAAGCCGCACATATCATCGCGTCGTTGTCATACGGTACGCGTCTCTTTCTGCATTCTGTTCATTGCTCTAAGACCCTACGCTATCCATAGGCTCCCCCGATGCATTCAGAACGCTTCTGAGGGTGAACGCATTACAAGCTTTGCTCTATGCCGTCTCAGCGTTCGGCCCCTCCGATTCTGCGGCTTTGCGAGGAGCGTTGGCTCGTGCTCTCCGTGCTCTATCCTGTGCTATTGCAGACGTGGTTGGACCGTCGCAATGGGGCATCGCGCCATCCGTATCGGACATGCGTGCCGAGGCCAAAGCGGCCGTGGACTACTTGTTCCAGGTCCGTTCCCGTCAATAATGCCCTTTCACGCGTTAACATGCAGATGGTCAGCCCGAAGTCTTGGACCTTTATATTCCCCTCCTCGTGGACCCTTCTCCGCAGGTCGACATCGCTATCGCAGAGCTTCTTTCGTCCTCTGTTCGAGACTCTTGCCACCGATTGAAAGTCTCGGCTTGGTGCCCTCCCGCAGAACGGAAGGCGGAGGCGAAGGGGAAACGCGGATGGGAGAAGCGTGACCCTACGAAGTCGCCGAGTCGACAAGGTGGATGGATCGCACGTACGCTCGTGGCTCTCCTCCAACGTAAAGACGTGAAGGTGCGTGCGTTCGCACCATTCGTTCTTGTGCGAATATCCAAGTTCTTCTCAGGTTCAGGAAGCCGCGCTATCGGCGCTGGCTTCAATCGTGAAAGACAACGAATCTCTGGCCGCCCGACTCTCGAGATCTCCTCCAGGACAAGAACGTACGACAGCCGATGATCCTTCTTACTTGCTTGAGTCGCTCATTCGCATGCGCAGCACCGTTGTCTACGATCATGGTCCTCGCAAAGTCTCGGAACACGGATCTCCAGCTTGCCGCGGTGCTATGGTGAGTTGTCTTTATGTCGGCGTGTTTGGGCAATCTGCTGACCGGCGTAGCGCGACTCATGTCCTTCGAGCCTCGTCTTTGACGGCGATGTCGCACAGCAGTGGGCGTGCTACTTCCGAGGAGGCCATTGCCATTACCATTCTGCATGTTCTCGTTCGAATCATCGGTTCGTCAACGGCGAACAACCATGCACGTGCGAAGGCTTGCTTCATCGTTTGTAAGCTACGTTCCATGTTCAATGAGTGTACCGTGTGCTCACTGGCATACTTCTGCCCAGATCACCTGGTCACAGATCATATGCCATTTTGCGAGTTGGCATTCGATCGAAAAACTCTTCACGAAGTCGCGCATCTCATTAACTCTATCACCCCGACCGAGAAGTCGACAGAGGCTGAAGAAGACGAGCCCGAGAGCGTCTCTCGTTTGCGCGAGGTCTGCTCACCACGTCCCGATATATGGACACGTTACTGATTTGGTCTCGCGATAGGCCGCTCTGACTACGGTTGCCTCAATCTCGCTGTTCTCGACGGATATCCGCAACGCAGTGACCGACGAACTACAATTGATCCCTGCCATCCAGGCAAGCTTGAGACATCCTTCAGTGGGAGTGCGACATGCGGCCTGTCAATGTGCACGAGCCCTCAGCCGCGGAGTATCTGCATTACGGACGAACATCATCGACACTGGGCTCGGAATGTCCGTTTTCACTCTCTTCATGAAGCAGGACGAGGATCGACATGTCATGCACGCTGCCACTGCGGTAGTCTGCAACCTGATTAACGATTTCTCTCCTCTACGTCTAGTAAATCAACTACTTGTGGTTCTAGTTGACTTCAGTACTGACGGCTTTCATGACAGACGATCATCGAACAGGGCGCAATGGAACGATTGGTTCAGCTTCTGGACACCGAGGATCCTGCGTTGCGACTCGATGCGCTGTGGGGATTCAAAAACATTGTGTACAAGGCCACACCCGATCTGAAGCGGCAAGTCATGATGTGTATTGGGTGGGATAACATGAAGCGGTGAGCGCACACTCTACGTGCACGTCGCAAGTGCAATGCTCATCCACAACAGCCTGCTCGTAGACGAAGATCCCCGTCTGCAGGAGCAAGCATTTCATATTCTGCGCAATCTCGCTGACGGCACCGAGGAGGTTGAGGCAATGCTAGCTGAGATGGGCGGTAGTGAGGTCTTACTCGACCTTCTGGTTGACGCGATGGACTCGGAAGACGACAACGTCGTCCTACAGGTCCGCCGACTCACCTAAACATGTTCGTATCCAGACTGATTCCATCGCCATAGGCCGTCTTCTTACTGGCCAACGTCGCAAATTACCCTGCCTATCAGAGGCACATCCTGCTCGACAATCGCATTCTACGTCAACTACGGGAATGTTTGGTGGACGCGAAGAGGGAGATCCGACTGCCGGCAGTCTCCTGCGTTCTGGAGCTTGCGCGTACCAATCCTCGCAGCCACCACGCGCTGCATGAAGCGGGATTGACTCGACGCTGCGACATATGCTGGAACATACGTCGCATGCCGGCACAAGTCCTATCGCACGAATAGCTAGCGGGCGGCAGATGGGGATCGAGGATGATCCACAGATTCAGGACAAGGCGCGGCAGGCGTTGTCGTGGATAGAGCAGAACACCGATATGGATGTGTAACCGTAGACGGATATCGCGGCTGTTCCGGATGGACGTGCTCTCTTGCTCTCGGGCTCTGTATCGCTATCCCGGAATCGCTGGCACAATGTATTTTTCGACACAGGAGTACGCTAGTGTGCAGACCGAGGTGTGGCCGGTCGGCGACTGCGACGAGACGCGTCGTGCCAGACTCGCGAACCGATCCGGTCGCGCGCGCCTTGGGGCAAATGGTGTGACTTTGGGGCGTGACCGATTTCTTCCGAGGCGCGTTGGCCGACACGTCCCGCGCACGTCTGCCTTTTGCCACTTCACCTTCGCCGCCAGCGACCCGTCCCTCGTCCTCCATCCCCCTCCAGTCATGGCCTCTCTCGCTCGGATGCGCACCGCTTTCCCCCGCCGTCTGGTATGTGTCTAGCATCGCGCGGGCGAGATGCTTGTCTGACACCCCCCAGCCATTAGGCCAGTACGCGCGCCTGCTCCAGACCGCCGCGGACACGACACAGCTCACTCAGGACGCGTCGCACTCCCAGCCATTCACGGTCAAGCTTCATGAGGACTCCTTCCGCGGGTATCGGACGGACACCCCTAGCCTAGAGTCGAGGTCTCCAAAGACAACCTCCTCAAGTGGTACAAGCAGATGACTGTCATCCGTCGCATGGAGCAGGCCGCCGACGCTCTCTACAAGCAGAAGCTCATCCGTGGTTTCTGTCATCTTGCTATTGGTCAGGTACGTGCTCGCAGGATGGTGCGCATGGCGCGCGTGAGAAGGCTGGAGCTGAGCTGTCGGTGACTGCGCATATAGGAAGCCATCTCGGTCGGCATTGACTCCGCGACGACGTTTGACGACAACATCATCTCCTCATACCGCACACACCCCTTCGTCGTTCTCCGTGGCGGCACTATCAAGAGCTTGATTGGCGAGCTTCTTGGTCGTGTCTGCGGTGTCTCGAAGGGCAAGGGTGGCTCCATGCACGTCTTCACCGAGGCCTTCCAGGGAGGTCACGGTATCGTCGGCGCGCAGGTTCCGCTTGGTGCCGGTCTTGCGTTTGCGCAGAAGTACAAGGGCGCGAAGAACGCGACCTTCGCGATGTACGGGGATGGTGCCAGCAACCAGGGCAGGTGTTTGAGTCGTACAACATGGTGCGTCATCCGCGAATCATACGATCACGCGTCTCAATACCTTTCGTAGGCCAAGCTCTGGAACCTCCCTTGTATCTTCGTTTGCGAGAACAACAAGTACGGTATGGGCACCTCAGCAGAACGCAGCTCCTCGAACACCGAGTACTACAAGCGCGGTGATCTCATCCCTGGTATCCAGGTGAATGGCATGGACATCATTGCCGTCCACCAGGCGTCGAAGTTTGCCAAGGAGTGGGTGAACGATGACAAGGGTCCTCTCCTTGTCGAGTTCGTCACCTACCGTTACGGTGGTCACTCGTGCGTCTCTCACTATGAATAAATTCCTTGACCTTATCTGCCTTTACAGTATGTCTGACCCTGGAACCACCTACCGTACCCGCGAGGAAATCCAGCGCATTCGTTCACCCAGGATCCCATCCGCGGTCTTCAGCACTACATCACTGAGTGGGGTCTTGCCTCTGAGGATGACCTCAAGTTGATCGACAAGCAGTCCAAGACCGAAGTCGACACCGCTGTCGAGGAGGCGAAGGCTTCTCCCTTCCCCGACGAAAAGGAGCTCTGGACCGACATCTACTCTGCTGGTACTGAGCCCCCCATGATGCGCGGCCGTGAGCGCGATGAGGTGCGTTCAAGCCTGCACTGTTCCTTGTAACATTCTGACACGCTCTTGTTCATAGTACTTCGTGTACTAATTGGGTCATGACTGGGTGGAAGGATGTGGTGCGGGCTGTGACTAGGTTGATATAGACTATACTACATTACGCTGGCTGCTACTCTACTTGCTGCGCCATGCACGTTGTGATGGTTCTGCGAATCTGACCTCCATGCATGATAGATCCCCGTATCCAACGCGTGAGCCATATAAAATGTCTACAGCATGAGGTGACGAGCAACGTAAATGATGTTCATGGAAGGGCCGGCCGAACCAGCACCTCCGTACCGTCATCAGCAATGACCTTGAATCGGACTGCGACCTGTGTAAACGTCCTGCACATGATGTCGTCGAGGTCAACTCACGATTTGGAAGTTCTCTCCCTTCGCTTTCCGAATACTGGTGAAGTACAGAGTACCGGCTTGCTTGTGCCCCTTTACGCGGAAGCTGAGGTCAATAGCTCCCCCCGGCATGTGAATCTACACCCATTGTCAGGATTAGGTCCTCGACTTGCTCTCGCACATGCAAGAACACTCACAGCGCCATTGATCCACGGGTCACCGTTCATCCACCAGACAGGTTCAGGGCGAAGAGCCTCACCGAGCACGGAGCGAAGTTCTGGACTCTCTCGCAGCGCGGCCATGAGCTGCTGCATAACTGAGGATGACAGTTTCTCTTGGTTGGTGACGAAGAGCATGAAGAGGCCCCAGGAGGTGACCGCGAGCGCCCCTGCGGCGAAGATCGCGGGCCATTTGCTCTGCGCCCAGTGAGTTGCGTGGGAGAGCAGACGACGGAGTGCGGTCGGAGGGAGTCACAGGACAGACATCGTCAGAGCGGGCAAGCCGAGGGCGTACGGGAAGGGGGGCAAGGACGCGAACGTACCCGGAGCGGAGGGAGGTCGCGCGGGGAGGGGCGGCTGTAGTACAGGCCCGGGCGCGCGGTCTTGTCGAACGTCTCGGCATCGGGGAGCGGCTTGTGCGACGCGTGCTGGCTCGTCGACGCGTAGCGGGCGGAGTGCAGGGCACCTTGGAGGGGGGCGGCGCGGGCGCAGGGGGCGCGAAGGGCAGCTCGGAGCGGGACGGACATCGTCGGTGTCACGTCCTGTCGATGCTCCTACTTGCAGGAGGGAGACTAAGAGGGACCTGGGAGGTGGGAGACCTGTGTAGAGAGAAGCGTAGGGCGGAGAGGAGGGGGTCGGGGTCGAACGTTGGTGCAGCCGTGCGCTGTGAGGAATGCCGGACAGGATCGCCCTGTGCGGCGCAGAGTCCAATTCCACATGTCAGGCGCGCTCGCGTGGCCGCGCCAGTGCCCGCACTGCACGCCTGCTGCCGCTGCTCTCTTGCGGCATGACTGCCATCTCGCCGACTCTCTCGCCACCCGTCTCGCGTGTCGCGAGCCTCTCCGCGCCCCAGGCGCAGAACCCGATCTCGCTCCGGCTCTACAAAGTCCTCGGCGCGCACTTCGATGACGACGCGACTCGCGAGGCGCTCGACACCCTTGCGGAGCTCTATGCGCCTGCTCCTGCCTCCGCTGCTGCTTCCTCGTCTGGAGCGATCGACGGACACCCACGCGGGGGGAAGGGGAAGCGACTGAGCCTAGACGGTGACGGGTATGGGGATGGGGACGAGGAGAGGGAAAGGACATTGAGCGGAGCAGCCGGGAAACCGAATGGACTGGTCGCAAGAGCGACGCTGGAGGAGACATTACCGGGGGACATAGCGGCGCGGGCACGCAAGAACCTCCGGAGAGACGTGGAGAACAAGCTGGCAGAATCAAGTCGACAGTTTCTGCAGGCGTTCAGCGAGGTAGACAAGGTGTGTATGGCGTTGGATGCTGCATGTATTTACCGCTCAGTTCGAATATGTGCGCATGCACACAGCAATTGGACACCTTGCAGGAACATCTGGGACTCATGCGCGTCCGGTGCGACGAGGCGCAGACGCAGCTACACGAGACGAACGAGGCCTGTAAGTCGCTCCTCGATCGTGCGGGCTCTCTACGAGAAGAGAGGTACGTGCGCACGCCGCCCTACTCTCATCCTGGCTGAAGATTCCCTTTCTTCCCATCCCTAGGCAAGGCGTGGCAGTCCGCCAGTCTATCATCTCGCTTTTCCTCTCCCGCTTCACGCTCTCCCCCGACGAAAAGGCCGCGCTCTCCTCCCGGGACGTGCCCATCGGTCCGCGCTTCTTCGCCGCGATGGACAAGGCCGCCGCGGTCCGCGCCGATTGCCGCGTGCTTATGACTGGGGACCAGGAGGGCGACGCGCGGGCGGGGCTCGACATCCTCGCCACGACCGCCGCGCAGCTCGAGACCGCATACGAGCGGTTGTGCCGGTATTGCGCGGGCGAATTCCGCGCGATGGGCAAGGATGCGAGCTTGGACGTGCCCCCGGCGCTGCAGGAGGCGGTGAAGCGGTTAAGGGAGAGGCCGGAGGTTTTGCAGTAAGTAGACCCTCTTCCTGTCTCTGTTCTCTGGGTCTGGTGGGTGGGGGCGAGATGGAGCGTCGATCTCGAGCTGCGAATCCGACATGCAGCCGTGAGGTCTCAAATTGGCCCACAGACGTCTCGAACCGTCCTTTCTAAAGTTTCCTTTTTCCCCACCACCCGGAGTCTTCTTCGTAAATCTTTGCCATTCCCGTTTACATGCGCTGGTTTGCGTTCGAGACCATCCGCTAATCCCGGCCCACAGAGAATCCCTCACATACCTCTCTCAAACCCGACAAGCGACGCTACTATCTTCCTTCATGGACGCCCTCACCCGCGGGGGCCCCGGAGGCCTGCCTCGTCCGATCGAGCTGCACGCCCACGACCCCCTGCGGTACGTCGGCGACATGCTCGCCTGGGTGCACCAAGCGATCGCGGCCGAGCGCGAGTTTCTCGAGGCACTCTTCGGCGTGCGGGCGACGCAGCGGATGGTCGGCGCCGTGCGCGAACGCGACGAGGGCTCGGCGGACGAGGCCGCGATGAGTGCGCTGCTCGATGGGGCGGTTGCGGGCCTGTGCGGGCCGCTGCGCGCGCGCGTGCGGCAGACGGCGAGCGTGCAGGAGAGCAGCATCACGGAGTACAAGATCGCGAACTTGCTCGGGTTCTACCTGCTCACGATGCAGCGGACGATCGGGAAGGAGGCGCTGGTGTCGAAGACGCTTGAGGAGTGAGTTGTCTGAGAGTAGTGGTTTATAAGATTATGGTCGAGTCTGAAGTGACGAACATCGGATGGCAGGCTCACAGACTTGGCTTACTCCGTGTTTTACGGGGCCGTCGAGACTCAAGGCAGGTCGCTGCTGCGCGTTCCTCTAGTAAGTACTTAGTCTCCGTTCTGGGACAGGCATTGCGCTTACACAGGCACCCCAGGACCTAGATGACGCGGGTGTCGCGCCACCACTGGCCATCATGGACCACACCCAGGTGCTGAGAGAAATGATGGTAGTGTACGAGTCATCGCTGCTGGGGGACGAGAAGGAGGAAGAGCTCCAGGCCGGGTTCCGGGATATATTGGACAAGATGGTCGACCCAGCGATGGAGATGTGCCTTACTGGGGCCGAGGACAAGAAAAAACAGCGACCAAACTGGGACAAGGCCGTTTTCGTGCTGAACACGCTCGGCTATCTGCAGAGCGTGCTCGAGCCGTTCGCGTTCACGGTCGAGAAGCGCGGGGTGGTGCAAGGCCTGGTGGACGCGAAGGTGCTGCAACTCATCGAAGAGCATGTGCGTCGGGCCGTCTTTCGAATGAAATTTAGGCTGATTTCTGTTTCTCCACGATGCCTCGGGTAGTACAGGGACGTTGTCGTGGACGCTGGCCTGGCAGAGGTCGCAGACGCGCTCGATTCCCGAAAGCCGCAGGTGTGGCCCTCGACGGCCGGTTGAGATCTGGTAGCTGACTCTCGCTGTCTCGCGTACGCGTGCGCGCCCCCATGCAGGAACCTCTGTCCCACATCGAGGCGGCAGAGCCCGCGGCGCTGCAGGCAGCGTTGCATCGGTTTTCGGAATGGCTGTCGGGCGCGGCGGTGGTGCACTCGCCGCGGCTGGCTTCGCTTACAGTGCAGGCGGCGGGGGCGCGGGTGCACCAGGCGGCGCTGGGACGGCTGGCGTCGACGTATGGACGGATATGCGAGGCGGTGCGGGCGGCGGAGAACAAGTACGAGGCGGGGGCGACGCTGCTGGGGAGCGAGCGGCCGTTTGGGCAGGTACGGCTGCTGGGCCAGATCCTGGGGCTGCATACGGAGGAGGAGCGGTAGTCCGTGTGTGCAGATATGTCTACAAACTGAGACGAGGGACAAATATCAATTGCGGGAGCGTGCGGGACTCGGGACCCACGAGGCGGGTGGCGGTGCGAAGGCCAGACGAAGACAGCGGGAGTTGCGTCATACCCGACCTCATCCTCTGCGCCCGCCGTCGTCAAAAGCGAGCTCGCCGTGTCCGGTGTCCTCGCCCGCCGTCCCGCCGTCCCCGGCCGCTCCCCAATGTCGCTCGACACCCAGGTTGCCCTCCGCCCGCCCCGCCCCGAGTCCGCCCACTTCTCGCGTGCGGCGCGGCAGATCGTGCCCCCCTTTCTCCAGAAGCTGTACGAGTACGCGGCCTTCCATTGCCTTCTCTCTCCTTCGATCCCGCTCACGCGCCCCGGACGCGCAGGATCGTCAACGACCCCGCCAACGAGAGTCTCATCAAGTGGTCCGACAACGGCGATTCCTTCTACGGCGAGTGGCGTCTCTTCCTTCATTGCTTTCTCTCACCTCGTCCTCCTCCCTTCCTCTCCTTCCCCCTCCCTGCTGCATCCACCCCCATCACATCCATGCGCATACAGTCCTCAACCATGAACGCTTCGCCCGCGAGGTCCTCGGACGCTGGTTCAAGCACCAGAAGTTCGCCTCCTTCGTCCGGCAGCTGAACATGTACGGCTTCCACAAAATTCCCCACCTCCAGCAGGGCGTCCTCAAGTCCGATGCCGACACCGAGCCCTGGCACTTCGAGCACCCCAATTTCCACCGTGGCCAGCCCGATCTCCTCTGCCTAATCCAGCGCAAAAAGCAGCCCGCCCACGGCCAGAACGACGACGCCCCCGTCGCCCTTGCCGACGCCGACGCCACCACCCCGAACCCGAACCTGCTCACGAGTGCCAACGCCAGCCAGCTCACGGACATGAACACAATCGTCAGCGGCGTCGATGCTATCAAGCGGCACCAGCAAGCGATCTCGAGCGACCTGTCCGCGCTCAAGCAGTCCAATGATGCACTTTGGAAAGAGGCCATCGCCGCACGCCAGCGTCACGCGAAGCACCAGGACACCATCAACCGTATTCTCAAGTTCTTGGCCGGGGTCTTTGGACACGCTGAAAACCCGAGCCACACCTCCGAGGGCTCCCATACTCCGCCGCAGGTCACGCCGCGCATCCGGCAGCGACTTATGATCAAGAATGGCAGTGCTCCCAAGCGGGTGGACATCATGGAGGTCGACGACGACGAGGTGGATGATTCACCTAACCAGGGGAGCAGGACACCATTTTCTCCCATGGCCGGTGAGCATTGCCCTTTCGTCTTCCTATAACGCACGTTCTGACCGTAGACGCTCATTTGCTTCCCAGACCGTTTCACGAGTATCCCCACCCCTGCCACAGCGGCTTCTACGCCCTCAGCCATGGAGGCTATCGCACCGTTGGAAGCGTTCTCTCTTGCGGCAGACGGTATCTCGGAAGGTACGAGGACTCCTCCCCCAAACCCCACCGCCCAGAACCTCTCCCGCACCAACAGCGGCACGTCTGTACCCCGCCTGACAAATGGCTCCGTTTCTAATGCGTCTACTCCCCTTCCTCTGTCCGCTCCCCCGTCTCGACCGCAAACTCCGAACTTGATCAACAATGGTGTTGATCCCAGCCTCTGGCAGGCTGCCTTGCACCATGTAATCAGCAGGCCGTCGAATTTGCAGCGGATCGTCCAGGCGTTTGCAACTCAGCAGCAGCAGAATCTCGCCGCTGTCGAACGTGCGAATATTCCCTCGCATACTGCTATGACCGCCTACGATCCCAACCCAATGGACTACACTCGCTGGCTCAACCTCTCTGCGCCTTCCACTTCCACCCCACTACTTCCCCGCCTGTCCTCGCGCCTTCGGCCGACGAGCCGAGCTTGCAGGTTCTTCTGGATGAATCCAACCGTCTGCAGAAAATCTATCGAGATTCGTCTGAGATCGACGCAGACATGGAGATGCTCCAGACGTCTATCAACTCGCTCATTCAGAATCTCGGTATGGACCCTACGGCTTTCTCCTTGGACGAGACTCCTTCCCCTGCCGCCCCTTCGATCAACGGCATCTCACATCCGAGCAGCTTCCACTCCCCCCTCCCTCCCGACTCGTTCTCCAACCCCGGCGCAAGTATGCTGAACGGCATCCACGGGCTCGATCTCAACGGCAGCTCGGAACCCGTCCCCGACTACCTCCTCGATTCCCTCCTCTCACAGATTGACTCCGGCGCCGCATCCTCCGCCGCGGCCGTGACCATCAACGGGCTCAACTCGTACCCCAACATCCGGGACGCGGGCTACGATGCTCCCGCGGTCACTCACATTGACGGCACCGCGATCGAGGACGCGAGCACTGAGCAGCTCACCGCTTTCCTCGACGACGCAGCCATCGCCGCCGCCGCACCCGACGGCGCAGCGCGGCGCTCAGAACGTAGCGTGTCTCCGCAAGTATCGCGCGCGAACGGGCCAGGCTCCACACACATCAAGCGCAAGTCGGATGCGAGGGACGCACCGCTGCCGACCCCGCCAGCGGAGGAGACCGGCCGCAAGGTGAAACGGAAGAGATAATCGGCAGCACGAGGGACACAGAGGACGACGACGAAGATGCGGGTTTGAACGCACAAGGCTCCTTCTCGCCGTCACCGGTGGCTCGCGGTGGCATCGCACTCCCCGATCCCTGTCGTCGACTTGCCCGACACTCACACACCGACACCTCCGACCCATTCCCCACCTGGCTCCCTTCCCATCCCAGCTCTCCGTCTCCCATGACGTTCCTCTCACTGTCCGCTACAACTCAAAATTCGGCGCGCTGCGGGGGCGGCTCGGAAAACGTGCACATGGTGTGCACGACTCGGCACCACGCCAGACATTGAGCGGCCGGTCGCCGTGGAATACATGTACGTGGCTAGCGTGCGCGCGATGGTCACTGGTCGTTAGTCTGTTTCTTTACCTCCGGCTTGGGGGCTTGGCGAGCGGGAGGGCGTGCTTTACCACTTGTCGCTCGGGGCACGCGCGGTCAGACAGTCGGGTGCGTTCGAGCGATTAGAGATGTGTATGTAGCGATATATAGTTGTAATCCTATACGATCAACAGCGACGAGATGGCACGGGAGATACGAGGAGCAGACGAGACCGGGACCTGACTGGGACGGGAAAGACGAAAAAGTAATAGGCAGTGAGTGAGAAGGCAGCGGGAAAGGGGCTCGCGCTGAGTTGGAGCAAGAAAAGAAAGGGAAGATCAATGTCAGATGGCTGGAGATCTGGGGCGAAGCAATGTGATAAAAACACAGTCGAAGGGGCAAGTAAACAAGCTACAAAAGTAAAGCATCGGTATCAGCAAAGCACGAGAATGAGGTTAGTGAGCGTAGGTGGAGGACGAAGGCGTATATATACAATAGCACGCGTGGGTGGAGATATGCACATATCGGGCACAGAGCACGGAGGCGTAGATATAGGTGCAGAGGTAAGTAAGAGAGTATACGCAATAATATTATAGCTTGCGGGTTTTCGCGCGACATCCGACGCAACGCTCACTCAATGAGCACCTTCGGCGGCAGCGGTGGGCGGTTCGGTATCCCGGGGGTCCCGGTGCTCATCGTGCTCGAGCGCGACGGGAGTCCCGGTCCCGGGCTGCTGGGCTTTGACCCGATGCCGTTGCCGTTGCCAGTGATGAGCGACAGCGTTCCCGGCCCGAACGTGCTGTCCTCTTGGTCGCACCGCTCGGCGTCGAAGGGCTCCTCCTCGTCGCTGTCCCCGTCGGCGAGACGCGACGTGGGCGAAGAGTCGATCGCGCTGATCTTCGCCGCCGTGCGGACGTCCTCCGCACGCGTCTCCTCGATGTACTCCCGCGGCGGTTTCGGCGCAAGCGGCGGCGGCGGCGGGATGGAGGCGTAGTTGGGTATGCCGCCCGCGGGCTGGTGGAACCCGTTCGACGGCGGCGGCGACGGGTAGGGGGACTGCGCGTGCACGTTGCCGTTAGTGTAGGGAGCGGTAGCGCCTTACTTCCTCAGCGTCAACAAAGCGCGCAGACGCGCCTTCTCTTCGACGGCGGTCAGCGGGCGTGCGGACATTGGAGTGCCCGGGGTGCCCTGGGGCGACATGGGGGGAGTGGGAGGAGGGCGGCTACGGCCGTTGACCATTGATGCGCGCGGAGGAGGGTGGGCGGGGCGCCCCCGGCCGTCGGAGGAGACATGGGAGGGGGTGCGGCACCGGTGTCCTGCTGCTCGTAGCGACGACGGAGCATCTCCTTCTCCGCGAACGCGGACATGGGCGTGATGGCGACACGGCGTTAGCGAAGGACGGGGGAGCGCCGTTAGGCACTGCGCGCTGTACGGCGCTGGAGGCTGAAGGGGGTATGGGCCAGGAGGAGGCGAGATGCGTAGTCCTCGGCGGGCGGGGCCGGATTCCATGGTTGGGAGGCTGGGATAGGCTGCTGGGGTTGCTGGGCTCGTTGAGAAGCAGCATCCTGTTCCTCGAAGTGCCTGCGCAAACGCTCCTTCTCCGAAAGGATAGGATGAATCGACGAACCAGATGCCGCGAAAGATGGGGGCACCCCGCCAGGAGATTGCACCGAGCTGGGGGTTGTTACAGGAGTGGGAGACTGCGCAGGAGCAGGTGAGTGTACAGGGGTGGGCGACGGCGAACTTTGCTGAGGTGACTGGAGACCTGAAGAGCCTTGCTGGTTCGGATACAGAGCATCGTACGGGACTGGCTCGGCGTTACCAGGCACGCGACCGTAGTGTGCAGACTGCGTCTGCCAGACGGCGTGCTTCGCCTCATAGTATCGCGCCAGCATCGCCTTCTCATCTGCGGCGGAGGTGGGAGGACCCGATTGGCGTGCGGAGTTGGGCGACGGACTCGTAATGGGAGAAGCTGGGTTGATGGAGAGAGGAGCGGGCCCGGATCCGGAGCTGGAAGACTGCTGGATGGAGGGGTTGCGGTTTATCGAAGCCATAGCTTCAGAGTACAGAGCAGCCCCGGCCGACATGCCGGGAGAACGTCCAGAGCCTTCGCCAGAAGGTTGAGAGCTCGTAGTAGCAGCAGTGGGCTCGGAGGTTTCTCTGCCGTGCGCACGAGCAACTGCTTCCTGAGCCTGTCTGTACAAAGCCTTCTCTACTTCAGCCGAAGGCCACTGAGCGTGGGTGGTGCTTGTACTGCTGGCAGGCGCAGCTCCTGGGCTTTTAACTGAACTTGTATCCGAGTTGGCGCTGATCGTAGCCGACTGAGAACGTTTGATTAGTCCGTTGAAAATTAGCATGTCAAAACAGCACGCACATCTGGGGGCCCACGACCCTGTAAACGGTGCACTCCTTGGACGGCCCGATTGTACAACCTCTCCTTCTCCTCCTCCGCCGACGGGAATTGAGATGGGACCGTACCCCTAGGGGCGGCGACTGCACGGGGCAGTTGTTGTGGGGGTTCGAGCGCCACGGGGCTCTCAAGAATCGTAGATGGCTGGCGACGGGAGCGCTCGGCCGCGGCCAGCTGTGCTTGCTCCCGCAATTCGTCTTCATTCAAGTTGACGATTGTTAGGGGTCGCTGTACCTGCGACGCCCCCCTTCCACTGCTGCGTGGGCGCGTCACTCCAGTTCCGGGGGATCCGTGGTCTCCGGACGATGTTCCGCTGCCTGCGCGCGGCCGTTGGTACCCGGTAGCGCCTATGGTCTGGATGTTCTGAAGGGGTGCATCGATACTTTTCTTGCGCATCCCGAGTTCGTCTGCTCCACCAGCGCGGGTGGACATATTTGCGGGAGCTGTGCTGAACTGGTTCAGAGACTGACCAGGCCGCGAATCGATGGAGGAGGCGTTGTGTATGACTATCGGGGTTGAAATAGAGTGGGCTTGGGGTTGTTGCAGTGGAGCCGATTGTGGTTGAGCGGCAGGCGCCGTGTGATGTTGTTGATTGGGTAGTGACACGTTGAATGCGTGTCCTATCCGTCTATAGTCTCTCCGTCAGCCGAAAGCGAACCCATCGGTCGTTTGTTGACATTACCTCATCGCTTCCACGGAGACCGCGCTGCGCGACCGGAGAAGTAAGATGACTATGCAGCAATCGCAAGCGATACACATACCGAGGCCAGTTCGAAATCATGATGGGCAAGTCCATACTAATTGGCTGCCCAGTGCCCATCAAGGCCTTCACGGTGAGGACATAGTTGATGTCGATGTGTCGAGCCGCGTTGATCGTCGCAGAGGTGTGGTGTATCGGCACGGCAAGACTGAGCTCGGCCCGATGCTGCGTACCCCCGTAGAGCGTCACATTTACAGGCACCTTGTGCTCGCCAATGCTGGACACCTTCACCTGTGGACCGCCCTTCTTCCCTTGTGTATGTGGAGCAGCACGGAAGACAGTCGTCTCGCGCAGCGTAAACTCGAACCCACGGAGAACCACGGTGTGCAGGGTGTCCGACTTGACAGTCGCCATCACCTGAATCCGATCGCCTGGTCCGTAGCACGTATGCGCACGTTCGATGATTAGTGTTACGCCGTCTTGAGAATGGTTGCGGGTTTCCGGTTGTGAATAGATGGGCCATGTTGAGTGCAGCTCGTGCTTGTCGATGATGATAGTTTGCGCAGTGGCAGAGATGGTAGGTTTGTCCCTTCGCAAGAAACCCCTGCAAAGCTTCAGCAAGAGACATTGATGTGCCAAGAGCGGAAAGGGGGAAAAGCCACAGCTCAAAGCCAGCAATGGTGCAAACACTGGATGTCTACAGAGGATACTACTCACTTCTTTCCCTGAACACATACGGATGCGATAAGCTCGTACTTGATACCGGCTAAGTAAGGTCGGTCAGTGAGGAGTAGGAATGAACGTGATGGAAGTGAATAGGCGAGCTCACCTCCTTTTTCGAGTGCGATAGTTGGAGGAATAGATTCAGGTATCCGAATGGAAAAATTGAGGTCATTCTAAAGCGCGTCCAGTCAAGCCTAGGACGGTGGTGACACGGAGGACAAGCATACTGTGTGCAGCGGCGAATAGTCATCGTTGGGGGATGTCCAAAGGTTGATGGGGCTTTGACCAACGAAGTCGAAGAAGGTGTTTGCGACACCACCGCCTGGGAGGGTCTCGACCTTCCTGAGTTCGATGCGGACCCATTTGGCCTTGACCCCCTGCTGCCCTACACGGACCTCAATCGCCTAAGAGCTCAATTAAGTCAATACGCGAGATATGGAAAAGGGCGCAACGTACGCCCTTGACCGCGGCCTGCGGCCGGTCGGGGTTGCCAGGCGGGATACCGGGATAACCTGAGGGCGAGGGATATGGGTACGATGACGCGCATGGGACTGGACAGGGTACGCACCCTGCACGAAGTCAACATTCGGAGGGGGCCGTAATGTTCTACATAGAACATGAGCAGCATGCCGTGAAGGAGACGAAAGAGACCGACATCTTCAGTTGGGACATTGGGCAGGGTACAGGACAGCAGGTGGTAGAAGGAGGCAAGAAACAGGCGCAGGTTTCGGGCGAGCTTGTTAACAGTGAGGCACATCAGCACCGCACTCCGCAGACGCCCGTTGGACAGATCCCGGTCCTCTGGGCTCTCGGCCACCCGAGCCTCTCCAGCGTCCGTCACGCTAGGCCAGCGGTCGGACACCGCACGCGACCAACGCGCATCAGCTGAAGTTCTGCGCCCTTCTGCGAGGAGCAGAGGAGAGTCTGCGAGTCACCAGTGGCAATCCCGCGAGTGTTGCCGCCCGCCTGGCGTCTGTCCGACGTCTCGGCGTCCCCGCGCGACTGTCTGGGCTCACCGCGACGCGCAAGCCTGCTCCGCCTTCTCCGTACTCCCCGCCCCGCTTTCTTCTCACCTCTGGCCATGCATCATGTCTAGTTCGAACTCGCGCTCTATGTACGGCTCCCAGTCCATCTACCCCGGTGGCACCAGCTCCAGAGGGCCATTTCTCAACATGCTCAACCCAATGGGCCGGAACTACCAGGGCTACGTACAAGCCAACCAATCTGTCGTCGAGGAAGAGGACGAGGATAATCATGACCTGGAGTCCGGCTCCCCCGCCCAGTCCGCGACCAAGTCGCGCGGCAAGCGCAAGGTTGGCTGGGGCGAGGGTTCTCAGATGCACGTTCTCCGTCCCAACAACCGCCATGCAGATCCCAAGGACGGCGAGGAATCTTCTGACGATGAAGTACCTCAAGACTTTATGATTGAGGCCTCCGCGCCCCGACGCCGCCCTGCATCTCCGCCCACCACAAAGGCTTCGAAGAGGAAGGAGCGAGAGAAGAAGTCTTCACATCGGGCTTCAAATTCAGGGACCTCCAAACCCATCCTTCCCACTACTTCGGCAGATACCCCTCTATCGATACCGCCTCGCCCCTCCGAGCTCAATCCCGACCCTGAACCACCGCAGGACGCGCCCCTACATGAGCCACAGACACGACAAATGCGCGGATTGGACGCTCACGAACGAGCTTTATGGAATTGGGTTAATGTATACAACCTCGACTCATTCTTGCAAGAAGCGTACTACTATTACGAGGGGAAAGGAATCTACAGCATAGCCCTCTCCCGAGGCCTCAATCTCCTGTCCGTACTTTTTCTCAACTGGTACACGCGAACCATACTGATACTTGTTCATAGCACAGTTGGGTTCGTAATCAGCTTCTCTACATTTCTGCTGGGATGTGTAGACTATTCCCGGGTACGACATGACAAGATTACCCGACTGGACGAGGTTATAATTCAGAGATGCGTCTCAAGGTACGTGCGGTTGCCCATCATTGTCGCATACATCCAAAGTGCATGGCCCTACAAACGCGCTCCTGGCATTATGCAAGAGATACTCCCTTCGTCCGCGTTGCGCGCGGTGCTAAGACTCAATCATGCTAATGAACCTTCGAATAGGTTCTCTGGATTTACACTCCTGTTCTTCATGCTCTTCTCTGCTTTCTTCATCTGGCAAATTGTGTCATATGCACTCAGCATGATGCGTCTCGTCGACATGTACCGATTCTACACCCATCTATTGCACATACCTGACGTATGTTCGATTTGAATTCTATAATATCACATTCTAACCCCGGGCATTATCCCCAGCAAGACATTCAGACAATATCGTGGCCGGAAGTTGTACGACGCATAGGAGCCATCCGAGAAGACAATCCTCTTACCGCAATCTCGTCGAACACCGCGACGCATCAATCAGTTACCGCTAAGCTTGACGCGCACGATATCGCGAACCGAATCATGCGCCAGGAGAACTACCTCATTGCGCTCTTCAACAAGGAAGTGCTCGACCTCCGCATCCCGCTCCCTCAAGTTTTGGCCAATTTTGCTTTCTTGAGACAGAGCGAGGAAAGCAAAGGCAAACGGCTTACTCGCGCACTCGAATGGAATCTCCGGTTCTGTTTGATGGAGTATCTGTTTGATGAAAGCGGTCGCGTGCGCAAGGTCTTCTTGAAGAGCAAGAATAGACCGGTGCTGATCGAAGGGTTCGTTCCAGCCTTCGACTCGCAAGCCGCATATCGAGATCTGAATTCATTTTCCAGGCTTCGGCGAAGGTTGATCTTCATGGGCATGCTAAATGCGGTGTTTGCGCCATTCATCGTGTTATATCTCCTTATGTACTCGTTCTTCCGTTACTTCGAGGTACAATCTTGGTTGCCTGACTTCCTGATGCCGAACTCATAGTTTCGAATCCGACAGGAGTACCATAAGAACCCATCAAATATAGGTGGTCGCTCGTACACCCCATATGCTCAGTGGAAGTTCCGCGAATTCAACGAGCTCCCGCATCTCTTTAAACGGCGCTTGAACGAATCCTACGAGACCGCGAGCATGTACATCGGCCAATTTCCCAACGAAAAGGTCACAATTATCGCTCGGTACGTTCATCTTCCATAGCGGCGATTTGTAAATGCTGATTTCTGTACAGTTTCGTTGCTTTCATCGCGGGGTCCTTCGCCGCTGTCCTCGTCCTCGCCTCCGTCGTCGACCCCGACCTCTTCCTTCACTTCGAGATAACCCCCCATCGAACCGTGCTTTTCTACATCACCATCTTCGGATCTATCCTCGCAGTGGCGCGTGGGATGATCCCTGAAGAAAACCGTGTTTTCGACCCGGAGTTGCTCATGACCGAAGTTGTGCAGTACACCCACTATTTGCCGGACGAATGGAAGGACCAGCTCCATTCCAAGATGGTGCACGAAGAGTTTGGTCACTTGTTCGAGATGAAGGTCATGACATTCGCGCAGGAGCTCGCGAGCGTGCTCTTGACGCCATTCGTGTTGTGGTACTCGTTACCACAGTGCGCGCCTGCGATCGTCGACTTCTTCCGGGAGTTCTCGGTGCACGTAGACGGCCTTGGGTACGTGTGCTCCTTCGCGGTGTTCGATTTCCAGCGGCACGGAAATGTCAAGGTACATCTCCATAGTTCTGTCTCCCTCCGATTATCACTAACCGCCTCACCTCTCCCCCAGTTCGGTGCTCCAACAACAGCAGTCGACGAGCGCTGGCAGTCCAAGGAGGGCAAGATGGAGAAGTCCTTCCTCAACTTCAAGGCCGCTCATCCGGACTGGACCCCCGCCGACCCCTCCGGTTCGCTCTACCTCTCCCGCATCGCCGACTTCTCCGCCACGCACCCGCGCCGCCGCAGCCTCATCCACCGCGGCGCCCCGCACATCGCGCCCATGCCCGGCGGGGACCCGCTCGAGTCCACCGTGCAGCTCCACGCCCCCGGCGCCGTCGGCGCGAGCACGATGCAGAGCGTCGTCCGCCGTCGCGGCGGGATGGGCATGGCGGGCAGTGTGCTCCACCCCGCGCAGCTCCGCCCCGCAGACTCGGTCCTCATGCACTCGCAGGCGGGCGCGATGGCCCAGACCGCCGTCCTCGGCGACTCGCAGGGCAGCGTGATGCCCATCCCCGACGCGCCCGGGAGCCCCAGGGGCATAGCGGAGTCGACGATCCCGGAGGAAGACCTGGCCGCGGACGGCGGCGTGGGCAGCGCGCTGGGCGAATCGTACGTCGATGGACGGCGGCCGCGGGCTGGAGCCAGCCAGAGCGCGTCCGCTGTGCAGGATGACGAGGAGGACCTGGAAGACGGGGGCGTGCTTGGCCTGTTGGCGCAGATTTACGGGACGGGAGTGAACTTGAAGGGAAGAGGCAGGGGGCCCCCGAGGGCGATCTGAGCTGGAGGGTTGGTGAGTGGATATAGATGGACATGTCGCGTTGCACGAGTATACAGAATCTTGCCACAACAACACGCACACGCACACAGGCTTTGCTATAGCACAAGGGCGGCCAAAAGAGTCGTCCTGGAAGTGGGAAGAGAGGAGCGTAAAGTTTACCAGAGTGGAAGAACACCCAGCAAGTGGGTAGGTTCACGAGGATGGGAGGCTGGATGAGCCGATGGTGAGATGGAAGTGCATGGCCGCACACACATTGAGAGTCCGCAAGTTCGGAGGGTCTGTGGAGAAGGACGGATGTATCAGTCGACCTAGGGATGAGCAACTTGCCTCTTCTCGTTTGGTCGTCGGTGGTAAATAAGTGAATTTGTGTTCTTTTGTATCTAATGAGCTCACCTAGTCCAATGATTGTTGTGCGATAGTGTCTGGAGGTTTTTTGACAGTATGTTCCATGATGACTTGCTCTGCAGGAGTCGTCCGAGTCAACCCGCGAGGCCGTTAGAACTTCGACCCCGAACACACCCGCCGGACCACGTGAACATTGTTATGTTGCTCTTGCCCCGACCAGAGAAAATCGTTCGCCCCAGCTGAGCGACCTTTCTATCTTCAAGGTATCAAAGTCAACGGCATCCGCAAGCGGTAGTACGTGCGTAGAGTTCCTCAACATGGCGCGTGTGATGACCCGGCGAAAGCAGTCCGCAATCAATGTACATGATCGCCGTCTGTAGTTCCATACGCAAAAGGATGGTGTTTAAGCAAGGCGTACAGTATCGGCGATGCCGCAGCGTCTAGGTCTAGTTGTACAAACGGTCCATCGTGATAATCCAAACAAAAGGCAAGTCCACGCTCGCCCGCTCGCCTTGCCGTTACGCGACGATGCCCAGCATCTCCTTCTTCAGCGCGATCTCGTCCTTCAGCATCGCGACCCGACTGTCCAGCCGGGACGACAAGTCGACTTGCTGCGTCGCGAACGCCATCGCCCGGTCCAGGTTCGCCAAGCAGCCTTGAACGTCTTCGCCCACGCGTCTGCGTCGACACCCGCGCCCTCCGTCTCGCGCGTGTGCTGCTCCTTGAGGTCGAGCGTGGCGAGCTCGAAGCAAGCGACGCCCCCCACCCAAGTGCTCGTCTTGATCTGCGGCTGGAACGTGATGGCCTGTTCGAGGAACGCGCGAGAGGCGGCGAAGTCGCCCGCGGTGCGATGGACGATGCCCATGAGGACCGCACGGATCCCGAGCTCGTCGGGGGTGTCGTTGTTGGGCGAGGACGCGATGGCGTCCTTGGAAGGAGGCGGGAGGAACTGGCTGGTGACGGTGATGGGCGTTTGGAGAGCAGTGGACCAGTCCTGTATGTGTGCGAGCGCAGCGTCTTTGGTGATGCGACAGTGTGTGTTCCAGACTGCGGCAGGATGCGTCAGTGGACGCGTGTGCAAAGACGGAGAGGATGCATTTACAGATGGCAAGCTCTGTGGGATGCGAAAAGCAGGTCAGAAGGTGAGCCTCAATGTACTCACTCAGGACGTACCTTCTGCTGGACTGATGGTGGCTGCGCGCGCAAAGTTGTCTTCCGAGCCAGTCAAGCTTTTCTGCTTCTCCTGGAGGAAAGTGACTTCCCGGAGGAATCAGAGGAGCATCGTCGTAGCAGTATGTCATGGGTACATACGCTTCTTCTTGATGAAAACCTCCGTAGGGAGATCCTTGCCCCCAATTTTCTTTTTCTCGAGCAAATCCGGGTTCTTGTCCAAGAGCTCCTGTGCCTTATCATAGTTCTTCATGGAAATGTAACAGCCAGCCGCAAGGAAGTAGTAGGTAGCATGACTCCTACGGAGCGAACGGCAAGATCAGCTGCCTGCGTCATGCAACCGGGAAATACCGGCATACCAGCTGTTAACCTCCGTCATGCGGATAAACGCATCGGCGGCTTCTTGGTACCGCCTTTGCGAAAGCAGTGTCCACGCCAGTTCGAAGATAAGCTGGGACACCCATTCGTCAACGCGCGCCCCTCGTCACGGCACCCACAATAACCGTGGATGAACTTACCAGAGCATCGGCCTGTTCAAACGTGTGCGCCTTGCCGGGATCGAGACCGCCTTGCAGAACCTTGATCGCCCCTTCGGGGTCGTATGACATGCGAAGGATCTTTGCCTATTTTTGTGGGCAGAAGGCATCAGATCTATGCGAGATACATTAAACACGGTGAGCGGGGTCATCCTCACCCGGTTGAGGATCCAAAGAGAACCTGTGGGATATCTCGCTTCTAGCCTGGCGTGAGGATGTCAGCCGACTGCAAATGATGTCGAGCTTGCGTCATGCGTACTTTTCGACGATGGCTCCGTACTGTCGGAGGATGTGCTCTTCATCCGCTTGATAGCCAAGGAGCAGGAGGACGACACCGTGGTAGGTCATGAGCGATAGGCTATATTTGTGCACGAGGGCAGCGTGTCAGAGACGAAGTATAGTTAGCTGAGCAGACTGCGCACCCAGCGAAGACAGAATGAACGTCTGTTTTCGCCGCAGATACGGCGAGAGCACGGAGAGCGAGTTTCCTATCGTGCTCAAAGCCGAAGAAACCTACTACGCCGCTGTGATCCAATCAGGACAAAGTGTAATAATATGTGGGAATAAGCACTCACCGAACCTTGGCAGGCAACAAGGAGAACACGAGATTGAACAGCCTGCCAAGGACAACACTCACTACTTCGCCTCGATACCCTACATCCGGGTTGTCGGCACTCACCCGTAGCCTGGGAGCGAAAGTCAGCGCGATACACACAGGGAGATGACTCTACCCACCAAATGCCGTTCCCGAGAGGATGAGCTCATCTATGGATCCCTCCGCGGCAATAATCGGCACTTGAGGCGTGGACGGTACCGTCAAAGAGGCACCGGTAAGTCGGCTGAAGAAGCTCGACCTCTGAGGCTTAGGCGAGGGAAGGGCAGATGATACCGAGTGAATGCTAGCGGCCCTTGACCCCGGTGCCGAGGCAGCCGGGGTGGCATACTCATCAAGTCCGTTCGGATAGACAGTCTTGAAGAGCCTGTGAATATCGAGATGAGATTTAGCGAGGAAGGTTGCGGAACGGTACTAACTTGGAGAACTTGGAGTGTGCACTGCCAAGGAAGTGTGAATAGAAGGTCGTGAAAAGGGTGGGAGCAATACTCACGTATTCATGGCATACAGGCACTGTACATAGCCCATGTATGACTCACTGATTTGCAGAGCTCCGTGAGCCATTAGAGCTGGCTGGGTAGCCCACATGGACCCACCTGAGGGCGTGGGTCATGCCAAGGAGAATGACAGCATCTGAATGCAGCAGTTCCCATTCGGTCCCGGGAGGAAATTGGGAGGCCTGGGTCTTGGCTGCCTTGAGCTCTCTCTTTGCGCCGGCCTCAGAGAGGGAGAGTTGGCGGGAAGCCTCGGCCATGAGCCCCGGCTGCGGAGATTGAGCGTGAGGACGGAAGAGGCAGCTGGGAACGTACCTCCATTCCTAACGCGGCTTCGAGGAAGGCGCATACTCCGCTGCCCAGAGCGTGGAATGGCGAGCTGCCTGTGGCAAAGGTGTCGCGTGCCTTGTCGAGTTCATTCGCGAAGAGGTGATCGAAGGCGACGGTGGCCTGACGGAGATGGTCTTCGGTGGACGACATCGGACAGTGCTGGCAGTGCGCAGGGAGTTGACGGAGGGAGAGAAAGAGGTGCAGACGACCGCAGTGGCGTCTGCTGTGGACGGGCGCATGCCGTCGGGCCCGCCGGCAGTCCTCGTCACCGTCTCAGTCCGCTCAGGGCGCAGTGCAATTGTCCGCGCGCCTGTTGGCCCGACTGCCCTGGGCGCCTGCCGGATTCGCTCTCCTCCCGCTCGGCGCCCACGCTTGTACGGCGCACGTACGCTCTCAGCCACGCCCTCACCGGTCGTCCTACTCTCATTCTGTCCCTCGCTCGCCCGCGTTTCATGTCCCAATGACCTCGTCTGCAGTGCGTGCAAGAGTCCATGCCTTTGAGGCAATGCAGACCTCCAATGGCTCCGTCGCCGTTTCGACCTCGCCCCCAGACCTCCTCGAGTCTCCAATATCCCCGACGGCCACAACATACACTCCCATCCTCCCCTCGACATCGCCCGCTTCTTTGCACGTACTTCCCCCATCGCCCTCCCCGTCGCCCCCAATTCTCGGCCGCAAAACGTCCCTGATTGACCTCAAAGACTGGGTCGTTGATGATGGTCCCATTCCGTACGTTCCTCGTCAGAACCACCAGTCGCGCGAAAGCCACCCCCGCCGCTGGGCCCGAAACCTCCCCAACGACATGTTTCCGATTCCGTTGCCAGGAAACACTCCACACCACTCATTTCTCTCGATTCTCCACCGAAGACCCGTGTCGCTGCTGCACCCCCATTGCCCCCACGCAAAGCGTCATATTCCTCCCTCAGATCCGCCTCTGCATCTAATGCCTCCTCTACCTCTCTTTCCCGGAGCCCCAAACCTCCTCCTCCGCCTCTTCCCGTTGCCGCGAGATCATCCTCCGACTCGCTCACTGTCGACCACACCTATCCTCCCCTCAACAAACTCGGCATCAATATCCCATCGCGTCACGTCCCTGCATCATCCATTTCCTCTTTCCATTCCGTCTCTCTATCCTCTGACGGTGGCACGGACCTTCAAACTCCGGGCACGAATAGCACCTTTTCCCCGCATATAGCCACGTTCCCGGTGGACCACGACGAACACGACCTTGACCATGCAAGCGTTGATCATGATACCGTCAGCCTATCGGAGTCTTTCGAAAATCTGTCGATGACGTCGGCCATAAGCCCAACTGCGTCCTCCGTCTCGCACGAGTGGGAAATCTATGCTAACATCAAGCGGGAGCCTCCCAAGCTGCCGCAGCGTCCCTCCAAACTCCCAGCTTCCGCCCCGACTTCACCGCGCCACTCGCCACTCCTCGCACCGAAGCGCGATGGCCCTCCTCCTCCTCGCTCCCGCCCTCCATCTGAGCGCAGTTCCCTTGCCTCGACCTCTGCTCCATCCGCTTCCAACTCGGATCGTTCGTCTATCCGTAGCATCGCGACATCTCGCACGAGCATTAGCACTAGGAGCACTACCACCCCGAAGCCCCGTTTGGCACAGCTCATGCGTCCAACACCAGTGCCAGCTCTTGCGCGCAGGCGCTATGAGTCGGTCTTCAATGGGAACGTGGTCGCTGCACGGCAGGCCATCTTCACGAAATCGCCTCCGCCTAACCGGAAGCCCCGCCAGGCCGCCGGCTGGCGCGGACTGTCGGTCGACCTGATCACAAATCCAGAAATATCCTCGAGCGCAGCCCCACGCACAGCAGGCACGCTTACGGAGACTGTTCAGGAAGAAGTGGGTTCGGAGGAGAGGTTGGATGGCGCGATAGTCAAGGCAGTTTGGAAGTTGTCCAGGTTGGACAACGCAACGCTACGGATGATATGGTATGTCGTTTCTAGTACCGCCCCTCCTCTCGTTGCTCAGTGCGTCGTCTTTTGCCGTGCAGGATTGAGTGCGACCCTATGGCCATCGGTTCGCTTGACCGTGACGGATTCGTCAAGGGGATGTGGCGGATAGACGAGGAGCTACGAAAAGCCCAGGTACCAAAGCATACCGCGCCTCGACTCCGCGTCGTTCAGCCAAAGCCTGTTCAGCCGTCGAGACCAATATTACGATGACACTCCTTTGATTTCTGCTCCTTGCCGTCTGTTGACATAATAGCTTGGACATTGCTCGGAACCCGGTCAACTGTATAACTACTTCTCAACAACGTCTCGCATGCTACTACTCACCCGACACATTGCACGTTTCATACAGAGCGTAATTCCATACCCTCATCATCGCTGCCACCAGAATGCCGCGTGGTGGATAAACGCATTGCTCCGTGTCACGCGTGCTTAGAATTACGACACTTTGTCCCTCCTGTCAACGCGTGAACGACTCGTTTCGTTCGAGAGTGCTGGTAGCGACATAGAGGCGACCTTACGGATGATGCACGCGTGCGCCGCGCTGCGAGTGCATCAGCTCACTTGGTCAACTACCGCCACCTCCACGGCCATGTGCTGCAGGACTGAGACGCGCTCATAGACCCTCCGCCCTCCGTCTTTCCTCCCCTTCGCTCTCATATCGACCACACTCCGCTCATCCCGACCTACTAACAGAATTTGAAGACACCATGCTCGGTGCGTCGCACCCGCCTCCACATACGTCACCGAACTGACTTATGTCTTCGCTCCCTTGCCTCACACCCGTGGCATACCAATGCCACCCACTGCGACTCACTGTACACCACGCACGGCGCACACCCCGCACCGCAACGACCGCCTCCCCACCCCCGGACCCCCCGCACGCAGTCGTCGGCCTCACCGGCGGGATCGCGACCGGCAAGTCCACCGTCTCCGCCCTCCTCCACGCCCACGGCATCCCGATCGTCGACGCCGACGTGCTCGCGCGGCGCGTCGTCGCCCCCGGCACGCCCGCGCTCGCCGCGATCGCCGCGCACTTCGGGCGGGGGGTGCTCCAGCCCGACGGCGCGCTCGACCGCGCCGCGCTCGGCCGCGTCGTCTTCGCCGACGAGGCGAAGCGCAGGGTGCTCAACCGCATCACGCACCCCGCCGTGCGCCGCGCGATGGTCTGGGAGGTGCTCCGGTGCTGGGTCCGGGGCGAGCGGGTGTGCGTGCTCGACGTGCCGCTGCTCGTCGAGGGCGGGCTGTGGAAGTGGGTGGCGAAGGTCGTCGTGGTGTATTGGTGCGTGGCCGGTCCTTGTCGGGCTCCTTTGCGTCTGCGGGAGCCTTGGGGCTGAGGCTGACGGTGTTGTGCGCTGGCAGTTCGCCGGAGATCCAGCTGCAACGGCTCATGAAGCGGGACGGCTCCGCACGGGAGGATGCGACTGCCCGGCTGAACGCGCAGCTGCCCATTGCAGAAAAAGTGCAGTATGCGGACGTCGTCATCGACAACTCGGGCACCCCGAAGGAGCTCGAGCAGCAGGTTGAACAGCTCGTCCAACGCATGTATGACGGCGCGGGCTGGACGTGGCGGCTGACTTGGCTGTGCCCACCCCTTGGGGTTGCCGCAGCATGCTGGACGATTGGGTGGAGGGCGTTGCGACGCTCGCAGAAGTCGAAGTCGAGGCGGAGGTAGCGAGAGACGACATGGGTTTGATCTACTATGTTCTGTTATTCTTGGCACTGTTCTCCATATGTACTCCGGTTGTCGTTTGTACACTATTACCTATTATCCCCCAATAATTCTGAATTCATTCCATGCGTCTGTTCACATTCATGGCCGGGTTGCAGACAACGATCGCACGCAACATACATCAACAAGTGCACATTGGCATTGCAAAAAGCGACGAACATCGACATGAATCCACACAGCAGGTCCAACAAGCTCGACGTTTGATCCTCATCGGCATCCTCCAACTCTACGAGCGGGTACCAACAGCAGCACCTCCACGTCTCCCGCGCCCGTTGCCACGCCTGCCATATCCTCCCCACCCACCAGCGTACGCGTTAGGACGCGCTCCACCGGCCTCACCAAACGTCGCGACGTTGCGTTCCCTCTCCTCTTCTCGACGGTTGCGTCCTCCACCCCTGCGCCCTCCACGCCCCCGTCCATCCGCGTTGGGACCGTTGCTGCCCGACGAGAGGGTGTCGAAGAACGACTTCTCCGGATTGTACGCCGTATCCTTCTCCTTCACATCTTCCTCTACCTCCCCGTCCTCCCCGTCGATCTTCGGCGTTCCGCGCGGCGAGGGTGCAAGCGCAGCCTTGTCAAAACGCGCGTTCGAGGTCTGAAAGTCGAAGTCCGTCGTCGGCACCCGCAGGTCGCCCGCCTTCGGCTCGGGGTTGCGTCCCCCACCGCGCCGGCCGCCGCGTTGGGCCCCATTGCCGTTGCCGTTTGTGACGCGCAGGTCGCCGATGGCACGCTCGATAGTCTCCATCGACGCCGTCACCGAGTTCACGGACTGGTTCCGCGCGTTGCGGGGCGCGGCTGGAGCGGCGCCATTGGCCTGCGCGGGAGCGTTGGGGGCGGCGTTTGGCTGCTGCTGGGAGCCGGATGGCTGGGTCGGTTGCTGGCGGTTGGCAAACTGCTGCTGCTGTCGTGGAGGGACCTGGCCTTGGCCTTGTTGTGGGGGAAACGCGGCGGGAGCTTGTTGGGGGAAAGAGGGAGAACCGTAGCCTGGGACGTTGGGTGCCATTGGAGGCGCCGATGCCTGCATACAGTCGTCAGCGCTCGTTCATCGCAGAGAGTGAAGGCGACAAGCGAAGTTCCAAAAGTCAGAAGGAAGGCAACGGAATATCCACACGGTTTTATGCGCTCTCGGACAATCGAGCGTAGCTCGTACATCCGTCAATGGTTTCATCACTCTAGGGGGAGTCGCGTGCAATGAGAGAGGACTTACACCGATGACCGCGGGGTCGTCATGGACATTCCTTCTTTGTGTTGCAGAGTCATCGACAGCGAGGTCCTTTACTTCGGATGCACGGAAAATGATGTAGGTGTAAGGATCTTGCACGGGAGGAATGTACTCGTTTGGCGGTCTAAAATATCGGCACAGTCAGTGCCTGAATACCGAGACGATGAGATGCGAAAGGCGCGTCAAGAATCAGAAGGAAGGCAACGGATACATCCACACGAAGTTTATGCGCTCTCGGACAGCTGAGCCGTAGCTCTTTTACATCCGTAGTAGTTCATCTCAAGAACACGTCAACTGGTGGACAGGCTCACCTTCGTGACTCCGTTCCCATAGAGTAGACTACCCCAAGAGAATGTAAACGAGAGCACTGTGGAAGAGGCTGCATATGTAGCTTACCGTTTGAAAGTTGAATCGTCGACGCGACCGGGTCAATGCCTGCCAGAATGCCTCTGTATCGTACATCTGAGTGAGAAATGAGGGAGATCGGTTTTCTAGGAATGATATCAGTACGCGAGCATATGGCCAGTGGGCAACGACGCGCACCCAATGAAACTGAGAGCAGCCATGATGAGGGAGAGTGAAGGGAGGGCAGAGTGGAGTCTGAGACAAGGCCGCTGCAGCACGACGACGGATGGCCTCCGGCGTCTGCCGTTCCCACGCTTCTGGCGCTTTCTATCCCCGCGCGACGCGAGGTGGCCGTTCCTCGCTCTCGTTCTCGGACCCCATGTTCGGCGCAGCGCGCAATGCGCTTCATCTCTCTCGCCTTCGCCTGCTGCCCGCTCTGCTACCCGTAGTTGCGTCTCAGCGACCGCGCCATGTCTCCACTGCATCATTCGACCCGACCATCCGCCAGTTCCTCGTCAAGCTCGGCGAGCACCAGCCATGCTTCTCCATGCACTCCTCCAAAGTCACGATCATGCATGAGCCACGCATATTTTACCAAAATTTGCTTGTGCGTGAAACCCGTAGGCTAGGATAAACGTGAAGTTGATTCCAAAACCTTCAGAATATGATCCGGAACGCAAAACATAGATTATTCCTATCGTCGCTATACATCGGACACGAAGATGTTGAGCTTGTAAGCATTGTCATTTCCATGTTTTCATGTACACGTACTGGAGATTATTTCCTTGGACTTGCGACGCGTATTCTTTTGTATCGCTGACATTACATGTCTGAGTGCAAACCGTTTATTGTGTGGGTACTACATCACCTTGGCCAGCAGGTCCAGATGTGCCGCCTTGACACTTGGTCCCTCTGACCTCAGTTAGTAGGTTATTGGCCTCACTTACCTGTTTATTACACAGATTGAAACCATCCGGACGTCTCTACAAGAACATCCCACTCTCCATGTCTACTTACATCTTGACCTTAATCGCTCAACTCGGCCAGGCCCCGACTCAACAGCTCGGATACTCCTCCCACTGCTGGAACAGCATCCAGACAGAGTTCACATCAATCTGTTTCGTAGCCCTATGCTCAAAGGCATGATGGCTCGCATCGTGCCGCCCCGTTTCAACGAGGGCTGGGGAACCTGGCACCCCAAAATATATGGCGCCGACGATTCGTTGTTAATTTCTGGGTGAGGCTTCATGAAGCACTACCTGGCTAAGGTCTTACTCTGACGATCTTCGCATTGTAGAGCCAATCTAAACACGACCTATTTCTCCAATAGGCAAGACCGATATCTGCAGTTCACTGATCAACCTCGTCTCGCGGATTATTGCTTCGCATTTCTGCAAGCGGCCTCAACTTTCTCGTACAAACTACTACCTTCTCCCGGCATCAGTGGAGAATACACGCTACATTGGCCAGACACGTCTACGCACCCGCATCGGATAGAAGCTAAAGCTCAACAAGCTTTGCTTGAATTCCAAAAGGTGCAACGTGAAACCTCTACGGTACGACCGGTCACAGCGACCGAGAAGGCATCGTTGGACCACGAAGACGACGTCATGATTTTCCCAATCATCCAAGCCGGCCAGTTTGATATCAGAGAAGAGGAGCGCTGCGTGTCGCTCATTTTTCAGCACCTTGCGGCGCAGCAGAAGTACACTATTCCCCAAAGGGTAACTATGCTGGTCCCCTCGTGGATCTTACCAGTGGCTACTTCTCGCTTCACAAACCGTATCAGCGGCGGTAATGAATTCACATATTGCGTGTCGAATATTGGCTGCCAGCCCCAAGGTAAGTTCCGGTGACCGTCCTCTGAAATGACACGTAGACTCACGCCCCTTGTCCAGGCAAACGGATTCTACGGTTCGAAAGGCATCTCCGGGCGCATCCCCGAGGCGTATACGTTATTCGAACGGCGCTTCATGGCCGCCGTACGCCAAGCAGACCTCGAATGGCCTGCATCCTCATCTTCTGTCTTCCCCGGCGTGCAGCTGCACGAATGGGAGCGCGACGGCTGGACGTACCACGCAAAAGGTACGTACGTGTCTCGGCCCCCAAATCCCTGCGCCTTCCGCGGGCCTACCCCGCCGTTACCCCCTGGTGTGCCCTTCGATGGCTGAATTCAGCCCCCAGGCATATGGGTCCGTCCCACACCGACCGAGCCCCCCGCGTTGACGCTCTTCGGCTCCACGAACCTCAACTCGCGCTCCGCCGCGCTCGACACCGAGCTCTCCTTCGTCCTCGCCACGACGTCCCCCACGCTCCGCCAACGCCTCGCGGACGAGGTCGACCACCTCCGCGCGCACGCGCACCCGTGGCGCGGCGCGCAGGACTCGGACTCGCGCCGCGTCCGCCCGGGGACGCGCGCGCTCGTCGCCGTCGTGGGAGACATGTTGTAGCCCCCCCGCTTCTCGGGACCGGGGATTGGAGGGGGTAGTGCGGGCGGAGCGCGTCCGAAGCTCGAGAGATGTCGTAGGCACGCTTCCGGGCCCGTGCCCGCGCGAATGCGGATCCGAGTGCATTGCGACGTCGCGGAGATACGATTGCGCGTGTGCATTGCTTGGGACGTCGTGCGAACCCGCCTCTCGACCTCGGGAATGTCAGTCCGAGGCGCGTGGCGCCGCGCCGCGGGGCCGACGGGCAGCTGACCAGCGCGGGAGCACCCCGCTGGGTCCCGCGCTCGTCTGGGGCATCGAGACACTCCACCGGGCTGGGCCCCAGGAGGGTGGTAAAAGCACCATGATCTTCAAAGGCTGGACGTCTAATGTTTCCCTTGACTTGACTGGCTAGGGAAAATAGAACGGCGCTGCCCTGAACCAGGGCTGTGGATATGTTTCTGACAAAAGACTACGACGGCATACGACGGGGGCCGAAAGAGCACCAGGGCCTACGTTCTTCAGAGGCGAGTAAGACGGCTCGTCATGACGTGAGGGTCGTGTGAGCGTACTGCATTCGCTTTGTGAGCATCTACAGGCGGCGAACTGTTCTACAAGGAGTCTTTCTCGTAGCCCCGACCCCCGACGCTCACTTGGCCGACGGGCGCGACTGCAGAAGCCTCCGCCGCATCGGTAGGCATCAAAGAAGGAGATGATGGGCCACCTCCGCCCAAGGCCGCCGTCCGAGGAGACTGCGGCTGCGACTTCGGTGTCTGCGCACCCGGCATAGCAGGTGATCCTTTTTTGTTCGGCGGCGTCGCGGCAGCGGACGGAAGTGGGTCGACGTACTCGAACTTGCGCGAGTCCAACGTGAAGGTTACGGGGCCCTGCGATCGTAAACGCATGCCGCGTGGGCACGGAGCCGGGGAGCACGGTAGGACGTACCTCGTTCGTCAGCCCGACGCTCATCATGGCGCCAAAACGGCCATCTGACAACAGGCGAAGAGCGTGGGGTCAGCCTCCGCGTCAGTCATGATAGGAATGTATAGCCTGTGGGTCGCGAAATGCGTCCGGGCCTGATACGATGCTTTCCACCAAGTCGAAAAGGTCACGCATGTAGGGCATGTTCCACACACTGCCATGAATGGCATGCACTGCCTGCAGCAAGAGAGCTCCGGCGGGAGACCACTGCGTATATTTCTCACCGTTCGCGTGCGTACGGTGACGTGCGGTGCAGGAGGAGGCAGGGGCGAGCCCAAAATATATGCAGAGAAGGCCCTGTCTCATCCGGAGCGCCAACAGAGACCGATGAGACCAGAGAGGGCACGTACCTTTAACTTTGTCCGGATTATACAAATCGCCCAGCCGCTTCAGGAAGGAGCCGTACAAGTCCCGGGAGGGACCTGTTGCCTGGGATCAACGTGCGGTCAGTCGGTGCTCCCTTGCGGCGCGAGGCTGGGTCAGGCGAGCACGCGGACGCAATACGAAGACGAGGAGGCCTGATTGAGACTTACCATTGCATGGCGGAAGTCCGGCTTCCCCTTCTTCGTGCTTGCGAAGAGGGTAAATTGTGAGACACACAGGACCTCGCCGCCGAGGTCCTGGACGTTCTTTTTCCACATCTGCCCCGTAGTGGGATCTTCAAAGACTTTGAGAGACAGACTGGGACAGCGGATTGCGATGCGCGCAGCAGATGCGGCAGGGCGGGAATCAGACACTGCGGGGGAGTCAGAAGAAGAACGCACATCTGCTTGCTGATGCTCTCCATATCGGCCGCGTTGTCATCTATCTATGCGCGCACGACATTCAGTCGCGGTGTTCCTCCGATGAATACAGAGTGTAATTGGTGACCTCTTCCAACGCCGACGAGGACCATGAGACCTCTGCCGATAGACGAGATGACTTCGCTGTCGACTGTGCGAATGCGGCGAATGAGGCGCGGCGCTGGGCGGGGGCGCGATGGACGAACCCGTGACAGATGCCGAGCTGACGCGCTGGACGATGGCGCGCATGGTGGGCGTGGAGGAGCGGAGAGGAAGAGCTCGGTACCGTCGTCGGGGAGCGTGGCGGGAGGAGAAGCCGTGGGAACGCCGGCGGTGGGAACGACGCGTGCCACAGGCGCGTCGAACTCCGCGTCGGACCGCGTCTCTGACTGGATCTTGTCCTCTGCCACCACCGCCGGCCCAGTGACCGCCCGCCATTGCCTCCGTGCCTAGATCGAGCTACGTCCTCAGCATGGATAATCACTCTGTCGTGCTCGAGACCAGCATGGGCGATATCCAGCTCGAACTCTACTGGGACCATGCCCCCAGAGTAGGTCGGGGGCCCTTCTCTGCGTTCCAGGCCCTCTGATTGACCATCGCGCGCTGTAGACCTGCAAGAACTTCGCTGAACTTGCCAAGCGCGGCTACTACAACGGCATCGTCTTCCACCGTATCATCGCAGTCAGTACTTGTCCACTCGCATACCACATCGGCACCCTCACGCTTCCAACTCCCAGGACTTCATGATCCAGACAGGTGACCCTACAGGAACGGGTCGTGGCGGAACAAGCATCTACGGACAAAAATTGTGAGTCACGCTCCGATGTAACGCTCCGTTCCCTTCCAAATAACGAGGCGTCAGCGAGGACGAGATTCATCCGGAACTTCGTTTCACGGGCGCAGGAATTCTCGCTATGGCGAACTCAGGGCCCAATACCAATGGTGCGCGTCTGTTCTCACGCTCCGCTTGCTATGCTCATCGCGCTTGTCACGATGTAGGGTCGCAGTTCTTTGTCACTCTTGCGCCAACCCCGTACCTGGACAACAAACACACTATTTTTGGGCGCGTCAGCTCTGGCATGAGAGTCGTGCAGAGGCTCGGCGCGGTGGGCACCGATGCACAAGACAGGTTGGTTCCATTTGGAGGCTGCTCTCCGCCTGTGGCTAATTTCCGTGCCAAGACCCCGAGAAGATGTCAAAATCTATAAAGCGCGCCTGCTCTGAACTGGGCTCTTTGAAGGGGTCGCTGAACGCCTTTTTCCGCAACTTGTCGCCGTTCGATTACCGTCCTATCGGTGGAGATGGGGCATGTGTTCCCGTCTGAAGGATGGGTGTGTTCGAGAACAACATGGCATCTCTCGCACTACCGTAAGGATGTTCATTTATCCGGGACATACTTCCTCGACGATCGAGCGAAATCTCCGCCCAATACAATGCCAATGGCATGTCGCTCTCTTTCCTCGGTGTGTCCGTGTTCGTTGACGCGTGGTGTCGGCTGCGCGCCGCAGATACTGAAGAGCGGACATTCGGCGCCGGAGCGATGACAGGATGCTCTCGCGATGCTCGCGGGTTCCGTCCGACATGTGCTCGAGGGGCCTGGTGTGCCCCGAGAGGCGTGCCTATTTCGCTGCTTCTCGTAGGAACGCGGGCGGCGGTTGCCGAGATAGGCCCATGGTACGGCCCCGCGAGGTGCCAAAAGCACAGCGTCCTTCTTCTCGTGGCCGTCCGCCCGCCCGGCTCGCCCGCGGCCCTGGCCACGGACGCCCACGCCCTGGGCACGGCGCAAAGCGCTGCTGGCTGAGCGCCGCCGCACCTTTCTCAGCGCAATGAACAGGCTCGCTTCGAATGATGTCCCGCCCTCCCCCGTCCGATTGGCCCCCCACGAAAGCCGCCTTCGACGCTATCGACCCCTTACGGCACCAGCACGCCCGTCGCTGCCCCGCGTGCGCCGATCCTCCACGCTCTCACGTGGCGCCTGCCTCTTGTCGGTCGCGCTCGGACACACCACGTCGCGGGTGCCCGCCGTTGGGGCCCACTCCGCTCCGTTTCCCGTGCTCTGCACGAGGACCCTGGCCGACAGCCCCGTCCGAGGCCGAGCCCATGTTCCGTCCTCGCGCGCGCTCCTTCGGGACGCGGCTCCGAACACGCTTCAGGCCAATCGCTCCTCGAGACCGTCGCGTTCGCGAGAACGCGCCAGGTACGCTCGTGCGGCGGCGACGTCGTCAGCCCCACGAGGAGGACTTTCGACCGCTACTTCACGCGATACGGGCTCGCCGCTGGCCTCCAGGCCCCGGACGTTCTTCCTCCGGCTTCCTTCGAGCACTAGAACCACCGATTGGAGTCGTACGCGTACGCACGCCTCGACGGCGTTCCTCGACCGACTCAGTACTGCAATCGAGACTTTATCGCAGCGGCGAGGCGTGCCAACCTTATGCGCCGTCGATGGCCGAGTACCGGCCGGGCTATTCAACGGCCACATTCCCCCAGAAGGGCGCCAGCCTTCTCTTCCATACTAAATGTCTCAGTGGGCGGAAGAGGAACCGGTGGTTGGAGAGTCTCTTGCCTCGAAGACGTTCTCTGTACTGTCATCGATGTAAGTTCACACTCACGGTCGATTAATGATTAATCACGTAAAACCAGAGAGGGACTTCGGCACAGGGGCGATGGTGACATATTTCGTCTGCTTTATTTCTTCGCACGCGAGCCTTCTTGCCTGCGGGACGCGGTCGAACGTGACGAAATTCGAATCTAAACCGCCCGCTCCCACTCGTTCAATCCACGGGCGTCACGTCGTCACAAGTCTCGTGCACTGTGACGCGCGTGTGCGGTTCGGTTCGGCAAGCGGCGGTCGGCTGAGCTCTCCATCGCCCTCCTTGCTCCTCCCCACTGTGATACCCCTTGCCATGCTCAGCTCGCGACCCGTGTCAATCCATCAGGACGTGGACATTCCCGTCATGATGAACACCAAGACTCCCGGGCGGAAGGGCATCAAGAGCCGTCACGGTCTCCAGGAGAACCTCGTCCACACGGGCTCGAAGTCTGTCTTCTCCAAGAAGACCGTCACCCAGACCCCCTTCCGCCCGGGCACCGCACGTAAGAGACGCTTAGTGTGTGTACGCGCGTTCCCGTCCCTCAACAACGTCTCGCGCAGATGGCAAGAAGATCCTGGTCCCCGCCTCGGGCGCGCGCCCGCTCATGGACAAGACCCCTTTCCCGAACCGCGTGGCTGCTGGCGGCTTCGGCGGGGCGGGGAAGACCCCAGGGCCGCAGGGCCTCAAACTATCCAAGCTTGCACTGCTCGCCCCCGCGGCTGAGCAGACATCGCTATCGACTGACGTCGCGCCGCTTCTCCGCCCCTCGAGCACCCGCAAGAGCTTGCGCGGCAGGATCAGTGGGACTTCAAGACGCCACTGACGAAGGGGAACCACTGGGATGTGAGTCCCGGGGATTTTGACGGAGTTGGCGGCGCCGTGGCGGACGAGGCGACGGAGGCGGTTGAGGCAGAGGTGTGCGAAGAGGACGACGAGCTCGAGTACATGCCGCCAAGCGCTGTCGGTGAGTGCAGATGCGGGATTGTCGAGCGTTGGCCTGAGCTGTCGAACAGAGCTGCCGTACGAGCCGCCGTTCGAGATGCCGGACTACGAGGCCCTCGGCTCGAATCTCTTTGCACTCGGACATGGTGACGTCATGGACGACTCCGCGGCCCAGTTCTATTCCGCCGATATCGAGCACCAGGTCGACGTCAAGAAGCTGCTCGCCGATAGCGGCTGCACTCCGACCGTCCCAGACTACTTGAACCTTCCGGACATCGGTACGGTTCGTTGTCTGTTTTGCTCGGCACCTGCTCATCCTGGCACAGAGGACGACGGTCCGTTCAAGGCACCCAAACCTGCGCCATCTGCCACCGCGAAGCCCCTCGTACGCGCCGCAACTTTGCGCACGGCACCCGCCCATGGCCCGCCTCCCACCGCCGCGTCGACGTCGCGCACGACCCCCGCCCTCACGCGCGCCGCCTCCGTCGCCTCCACCCCCGCCCCGACCCGCACCTCCGTGCTGAGAGCAGCCAAAGCAGCGGCGGCCGCTTCTGGCCCCGCCCGTCCAGCCACAAGCGTCGGTGTCCGCTCCGCCTCCGGCCCCGCCGCACGCCCCACCCCGTCCCCTACAACCACGGCAGCACCCACGCGGCCCCCCGTGGCGACGCGCACCCGCGCGGTCAGCGTGACCGCCACGACCCCCGCGGTGCGCCCCCGCTCGGCGACCGTCGCCGCCAAGGGCCGCGGAGCGAGCGGGACGGGGCCGGCCGCCTCCAAGGCCCGCGTCGCGGACGACGGCCTCGCCGCGCTCTTTGACGCGGCGTACGGCGAGGGCGAGGACGCCGGCGGCTTCCTCTTCGCGCTGCCACCCCTCCCTCGGCGGCTTCGTGACCGCCACGCGCGACGCAACTGCACCCTATCGATCGTGGGTCGATCGAGGCTCGAGGCCGTGGTTGACTGGATGGACCCGGGGCCGCAGGGTTGGTTCGGTTCGGACAGTGGGTGGATCACGGATCCACGGAGCTTCCGGTGCACGACATGATGTATTATACGTATGCATGAGTAGACTATGTACGGCAGTCCATCCACGGGGCCATGAGTGACGGTGACGACGGTGACATGAGAGAGTGAGAGCGAGAGCGCGTCTACGAGGATAGCGACGTGTGTGCGCGCGCGGCCCGCGCCGCGCAGGTGTCGCGTGTAGTCCGTACGTACGCGCCGCGCCGCGAGCATCCGGGACAATCGAAGACAGAGCGTGGGGTACAACACAAGATGGGTGATGGTGATGGCGACGGACTGCAGACGGATAGAATGACAGACGACCGCCGCACAGTCGAGGTGGGGGAATACTAGTGTACATGAGCGCGTCCGACGGGCGCACGGGGTGGGAATGTGGTATGCGCAGCGATGGAGAAGGAGAAGGAACGAGGGGAAGAGGAAGAGTAAGGGGGCGCTGCTCAGGCCGGCGAAGGACAGAAGGAGCTGCGGATCTGAGGACCCCGCCCGACGTGCGAGTCACACTACAACTACGGCTGCCACCGCCGCCGGTGGCCGACGTTGCGCGTCCGCGGCCGCGTCGGGGTCTCGTCCACAGCGGGCAGAGTGCGCAGCGAGGGCTCCGAGGATCCTGCTCCCGCGCTCGAGCCAGGCGGCGGCAGAAGCGCCGCCTCTCCGCGCGCGGCGCGTGTCCGTGCGGACGTGCGGGTGCGGTAGTTGCCGTGCGCACCGCCGTGGCTGCTGTGCGCGCCGTGCCCGTGGTGGCGCGACGAGCCGGACGCGGGGTAGTCGCGGCTCGACGACGCGCGGGGCTCGTCCGCGTCCGAGGTCGAGGCGCCGCTCCACTCGCGCATGCGCGCCGGCGTCGGCGACGGCTCGTCCTCGTCCGAGTAGTCGTGCGTGGGGTCGGCCTCGAGGTACTCGGCGTCGGAGGGGATGCCGTCAAGGTCCTGGTCCATCGCGTCCGCCTCGACCTGGGCGCGGTCCATCTCGTCGTCCTCGTCGGAGTAGTCCGACTCTTCGTCGTAGAGGCCGCCCGAGGGCTCGCCCTCCCACTCGTCGTCCTCGTCGTTCCCGAAGTCCCAGACGTCGAGCACGGTGGAGTCCATCCGGTTGCTTGCCGCGACGCACCAGCGGCCTTCGAAGACGACTTGCCAGACGCCGACGATGCCTGTGAGAAGGTCCCGTACCTGTGAGCCGTCGCGGATGTCCCACATCTTGAGCGTGCCGTCGGAGCCGCTCAGAACCTTGAACTCGTCGTGCTGGAAGCAGGTGATCGCGCCTTGATGAGCGGCAAGGGTGTGGCGCAATTCACCGGTGTCAGGGTCCCAAACACGCAGTGTGGAGTCAGCGGCCGCGGAAACCAGGTGCGATGGGGAGAGGCCCAAGAGGCCGACAAGCGAAGTGTGGCCTGCGAGAACGTGTTGACACTGTCCCGTGCTGAGATTCCATACACGGACAGTGCCGTCCATGGAGCCCGAGCACGCCAGATTGCGGTTGATGTCGAGCACGACACTGTACACTGCAAGAACGAAAGAAAGGGGCGCAATGAGCATTCTGCTGGCGCCACGATCAGGGCCGGAGCGCATATTTACCTTTTTGTGTGTGTCCAACCAGCACCCACTTGCACGCGCCGGTGATAATGTCCCAGATGCGGACAGTGCAATCGTAGCTGCCTGAGACTAAGGTACGGCCCCTCGCGGCGAGCGCGCGGACGGCGTGGTCGTGGCCTTCGAGATGCAGCTTGTGGTACGGGTTATCTTCGACATCCTCCTGTGCGATCATGGCGTTAGGACAGGACGCGGGAAATTCGCCCAAGTACGTACCTCTGAGGGGTCGACCTCGGTGTCGTCCGCGCCATAACACCTGTACTCCTCGTCCCCAGGTTTAGGCAGTGTCCAGACCCGGAGCGAGTGGTCTCTGCTGCCGGTGACGATGAGCGGGCGCTTGGGCCACTTCTCCCGCGTGATTATCCCGTGCTCGTTCTCGTAGTCGATCCATTCAGGCTTAACGATAGCGAGGCAGCGCACCGTGCTGGTGTGCCCGCCGAAGACGTGTGTGCATCGGCCCGTGTCCAGATCCCAGATCCGCACCGTGCGATCTGTCGAGCCGCTAACGAGCGTGTTCTTCGTGGCGGCCAGCGCCCACACCCCGCCGTCGTGGCCGTCTAAAGAGCGGACCTTGGCGCCCGTGATGGGAGAGTAGACATGGATCGAGTGGTCGTCCGAAGCAGAGATGATACGCCCGTGTGAGAAGATGAGGCACGTCACCACAGATCGCCCGTGCGCCTGGAAGGTAAGTCGCTTCGGGTTCTGGTTTGTCACCCACCGCGTACGCGTGAGGTGACGCGACTTGAACAGGATCTTGTAAGGATGGGGCAGAGGTAGAGAACCTGGTGCAGGAAGACCTTGTCGCCTCCGTCGTGCCGCGATCGCGTCGGCGAACGCGGTCTCAGAGTCTCGTCCAAACCAGATCCTTGTGGTCTTCAGCAGATCACGCCAGAGGACGGGGTCTGAGTCGATTATTGCGCGCCATGTCTTGGACACTCGCGAGGCGCGCGCAAGATCGGGGAATGAGAGGAAGCTCAGAACAAGCGAAACAAGCTCCGGAGGTAGTAGTGTCAGGAAATCCCTAGCAAGTGTCGGGGTCAAAACGGAATGGAGTGTCCGCAGAACGGAGAGAGGCGAGTGTCGGAGGAAGGTGAGTAACACGTGGGATTGGAGAGGTGGGGGTAAGGCCTGAAAGTGAGAGAGTAGTTGAGGTAACGCCAGTAGAGTCGTCATTGCCATGTCGGGTTGGAATGGGGCACCTGCGAGTGCTTGTGGCTGGGGAGAGGAATGTCCACTAGGAGGTGCGGAAGGCCAAATGCTCTCAGGAGGTGGTGAGCCATGGGGTGAGGGTAGCGGTGAGGGGGGTGCAGCAGAGTGTATGGTGTTGATTGGGGGTAATGGGTGGCTCTTGGCTTTCTTTCGAGGGGGTGTTGTGGCGACGAGACCAGGGATTACCTCGATGCCTTCCATCATGTTCTCGTTACTGTATGACCGCTTGCGACCATACCGCTCGACGGCCTCCGCGAGTCCGACCTCTTTCCTCGAGTCCGCCTCATCGCGCTTGACCATTCGCCACCCCTTGCCTTCGACGACAGACTCCTCTTCCTGCATGTCCTGCTCACCGAACTCGCCATCGCGAAATGTGGCACGCGAACCACCAGGAAATACAAGAGGAAATTCGCGCAGTGACTTTGGAAGGTTCGCGTTGAGGAGAGGGTAGAGCTTAGGGTCTCTGGGCGAGGATGGTGGCGGGACAGAGGGGAGGGGAATGGGTGCATATGTCGTCGTCGTGGTTGTCGTCGTGACCACCCTGTAAAAGCGCGTGAGAGGCGTGGCTTATGCACGCAAGGCAAAGAGAGACATACGTAGTGGTGTTGACGGATGGGGCGAGAAAAAGCGAGGGACGAGGGTGGTTGCTCATCGTGGGGGAGGGGAGGACGTGCAGCCCCGCATGCCGCTCCAAGGACGGCAGGTTGGACGATGAGCCCAGCGCCCGCCGCCCTTGTGCCACAGCGGAGTCCCAATCCTCCGGCCCGCCCCGCCCACGCGCCCTCTCTTGCCTCCGTCCTTCATCTGCCCTCGCCTCCTCATCGACATCGCCAGCATCGGCCACCTGTTGTACCCTGCGATGGACCAAGGCCCACCTATTTGGCCGCCCGCCCAGTTCCACAGGCGCTCACGCAGCCCGGCGCGGCACGACTTTTCTGACAAGATCTCTAGTGGGAGAGCCCAGGACACCAAATGCATGAACTTCAGATCGGCACCCTGGCCATCCAGCACACGGCCGTCTCTCCTCAGCGCGTCCCCCCTTACATTGCCTGTGAACCTCAGTATGTCGAGGCCTTGCTGAAATACGGCCCGTAAAGAGCCCGTATTCCGTTTCTCTGGGCACGAACTAAACCCAGTGTGCCTGTGAAGAAGCGCCCAAGGAACGATGACGATCCCATCTCTCTCCTTCACAGAACAAACTCGACATACTAACCCACGTCTTTCAGATCATTCATGTATCAAGCCGCCTCTTTTGGCAGTCCAGCTGCTTCTTACTTGGCCTCGGCATCGCGAAAATATCACAGTAGCCTGCTGAATAGGATTCATCGGCCCTCCGCATTCCTCCGTCTTGGAAACCGTGTGTTGAACTTTTCCGGGCTTTATTCACCCGCGACTTCGCCCTGTCTAGATTACGCCGCGGCCTACCCTCAAGCTTGACTCGGCAACTCGTCGCCGTCTCCACCCCACATTGACTTGTACTTGATCCAGCAAGCTCGCAATGCTTCTAGGATGCTACAACATCCGCCCATCTCTTCCCGGAACAGCGAGGGAGGCTCATCGGTGTCACCGTCTCGAGGCTCCGGCGATATCTCTAGCTACCGAAGCAGCCAGATCTGCAGGAGCACCCGCCAAGCGCAGCCCTCGAAGGCTCGCCAGGACACCTGCCGTCGGCGCGCGTGTGTCTCGTGAGTATGAACGTGAACGATTGCCTTATTTGGGGCTCGTTCACCCAGCACTTACGCGCGACTCCCAGGCACTGAATTCGACCCGCTCTCGTCACCCAATGTCATGCGCGAACCAGTCAATGGGTGCTTTGAGTGTCACGCAACCGATAACGGCCCGAACAAAGTCGCTTGGCAAACAGGAAGACGAAGGATGTCGTTATGGTCATCGCACTAAGGGCTCGAGAAAGCGCGGCCACATCCATTATAGTACGTGTTCTGTTCGCCGCCTCGGATTGACCCTTTGTCCGTGTGATGGATGGCCAGACATGACCTCATTTACTTGTGTCGCCGCTTTTCAAAGGGGCGGAGTGCCGGCAATATCACACACTACACCATCTTCACCTCGAGGATGGAGGTGTATAGACTCTTGATTGAGCTCGAAGCCGTGTCGTCGGCCGGCCTTCAAGGCGCCATGTTCCCGGTCAGTCGCCGAGGGCCTTCCATGATTGTTCAATCAGGTTACATGCATTACTACGCTGTGTCTACATATAGATGATGCACTGGGTCTCCACTTAGGAGGCCTAGGATACATCCGCAACATAACCTCTTTACGCAATTACAAGGTTTCCCAGCCCCGATTGCGGGTGCTCTGTCCTATCTTCGCTTACACGTTCAAGATAACTACCAACCACCCGCCTCAAGAACCGTCTTCGTTCTCCGTGTCCCTGAATCGATGTCATCTGCACCCATCCTCACGACTCGCTGCGGCTCTCGAACCCACGCAAGCCGCGCCCCGTGCAGAATCGAAACCAGGGTACAACCATGCCACCCACACTGTCACCTTGCGCGGTCTAAGTTTGCTCATCCTGCCCGAGCAAGAATGGCTGCGGGGCGTGGGACCGGACAGACGCAGGGCACTCGAAATACCCCGCCCCTCCCCGCCTTCAGCTTCCATGAAGCAGGACACCGCCTCGCTCCACCGCGTGCGCCCATTTTAATGGAAGCGCTCCGCCTCGTGTGTCCCTTGCGCCCGCAGAACCCTCGCGCGAGCGACGACGGCCCTCGCGCCTTCCCACCCGCGCCGTGCCCGCGCGGCCGCGCACGTCCGTTCGCCCGTCGCTCGTCGCCCGTCCATCAGCGGAGGCCCCGCGCTCTCAAGAGCCCGCCCGCCCGTCTCTTCCCGCGTCGCTGGCCACCCTGAACGCGCGATCGCAGCGCGAGCGAGCGAGCACTCGAAATAGCCCGGCGAGCACGTACAACTGCGCAGTGCGCGCGCTGCACGTACGTACGCCTTGGCCCGCGCCTCTGCGCAGGTCCCCGCCGTCAGCTGCTCGCCCTCCCTCGTTCCCTTCACGTCTCGTAAGTCGCGGGTCTGAGAGCGTGCATGCGCGCGCCGCGCCGGCGCCCCCAGTGCGGACGAGCGTGGATCTGCGAAACGATCAGCCACAGCCCGTCGGGCCGGGCTCGGGCTCTTCGCGCCATCGGGACGGAGAGCGGGCAGCTGCCCGGCCGGGATCCAAGGACGCGCGCGCCCGCCGGACGCAGCGCCTGGGACGGACCCAGGAGGAAGACGCGGCCGGGGAGAGGGCGTCCGGGTCGAGTCGTCACGCTGTGCCGCGCGCTGTGAGAACGCGTGACACAAACTCAGGACTAGTAAGTACTGGAATCGGCGCTGCAGACCCTGGGGCCTGAGGAGGCTCATGCCCAGGCGAGGTGCGCTCTCTCTCTCTCGCCTGGGCGGTGAAGGGGAGCGGGCTGGGCGAGGGTGGATAGTGCTTGTGAGCCGAGGATGTGCCGTTGTGCTGAGGCTTGTGCGGCGTACGGTAAGAGAAGCTGATCAAGAGGTGCGTTGGCGTGGGCAACTGGCTGCAGTGGTGAGGAACCCGCGCCGGCAATCTGTCCGAGGCCAATCATGGATTCATGGCAGGCTCGGATTGATGAGGCGACAGGCCACGCACGAGATTCGCGGGCGACGCTCATTGGGCTCTACGAGGCGTACATCATCCGGAGAGAAAGCCAATGGGCAGCGGAACGACGAGCCGCGCGGATCCACCAATCAGAGCGGACCGACGAGGTCGTCGTACACGGAAGGTGCGGAACGATGGCTGAGACTGAGGAGGACGAGGAGAGGGCCGGGCGAGCGGGATCGCGCTTCCGGACGTTCGGGAAGGAGAGGGGGCTGGGTGAGGAACATGTCTGATGCGCGATAGAAGGCGGTTCCGTACCGTATGTGTCGTCCCGTTGTAAGGCGCGGCTCCGTGGCCTTGCGGCGCTAGGCACGGAAGCCGGGGCCACTGAATGGGCCAGCTCGAATGCATTGCCTCGCAAACGATTTCACCGGACGAGGGTGCTAACGGCGTAAGGGTCGTCCTCGCCGTCCAGGCGTTGAGTTCGTCGGGAGCTTCTGACGCAATCGTCAGCGTTCACATGGAATCTCAGTCACGAGCCAGCGGCGAGGTCGACCTACACAGTCGAATGTCCTTCGAAAGGGCCACACACCGCTATCTTCGGGCCCAGTGCCCATAGGCCGCAGTAGACCGGCCTGAGCTGCGCAGTGGGGGCGGAAGGAAGTCTACCTGTTTCTCGTTTACGGCATCGGTACGGAACCTCGTTGCTCCCGTTGCCACAACTGGTGGTGGGCACTCACAGCGACCCAGTTCGTCATGCATGTCATCTGCGGAGCTGGCGCGTTCATCCTTACGACATCTCAATACGCAGGATGTTGAGGAAGGCGAGCGGCAGCCTAGAACACACTAACACCTGTGGCCTCCCACAACCGTTGCTCGACTGTCCACTTCCGAAGAACAAGGATGCTGTCGCCGGTTGCGCTAGTCCATCGCAGGAGGATCGAGCTCGGGGCTCGCGAGTCTCCGATTCCAGGACTGTCGTTGTCCAGTTCTCGGACGCACTGCGAGGAACTCTGAGTCAGATACACAATCTGCGATATCGCACGCTCACATACAGCGAGACGATAAGTATCGATCCCAACGGGCCCGAGCTCCTTGGACCTGGTGCCCTGACATTTTGATGGGACGTCAAGCACGGTTGAGGACGTAGACGACCGCGTAACCAGAAGCCGACCGCCACGGTGGAGCCTGCTTGATTAAAAACGCCGGCGGTAGACAGGACGAGGAAGTGCAGAGCACCAGCGCCGTGCACCTTGACCGAACGGAAGAGACGAAGGCAAACGGCAACGTCACTACGCTGCCGTCAGCGGAGAATCCGGGGAGGAGCAGCGCGCCGCCCCGTCCGGGCTGTCGCGAGCAGGAGTGGGAACGACCGCGCCGGGGCAGGCAAAGAGGAGCGCGACGGGAGCATCAGCGCTGGCCCCGCCATACGGCGAAGGCATTCCTGAGAACCGCACGCCCCATGTTCTCGAAGAAGCCGGGCGAGCATGTGCTCCGCGCGCTCTGCGCGCAGGCTCTCCCCCCGGGGCTTATCGCAGCAGCACGGGCGGAGGGGAGGCAGGCGACTCGAGCTCGGGGCACGCGCGCCTGGGCTTGCGGGAGTGGGTCAGCGGGCGGCATGGGAGGGAGGCACTTACGGCACGGTGCGCGCCACCCTCCCACTGTCCACCGCTCGCCGCGACGTACGGGTGTGGATGGCGCGTCTGTGCATGGACGGTGGCGGCGGCGGCGGCGGATGGAACTTGCTGCGAGCTGAGGCCAGATTGGGAGCGGGGAACGGGAGATGCATGTGGTGCGCGCACTTCCCCATCGGGGCGCGTCGCTGTCTTCGCGGGAGTCTGGAGGGCGTAGGGTGTTGGCCAGAGCAGGGCTGCGATGAGCGTCCCGACGCCGGCGGAGAGGGCGGGCCTGAGATGGAGCCGGGTTGGGTACTCGGTAGGCGTTCTGTTGGACGGTCGAAGGCGCACGCACTTTGCGGACATCCCAGCGTCGAGCTCGGTCGCTAAGCGCGTTTCCTTCACAACAGCCAAGCCTTGGGGCACAGAAGCGCGAGTGTAAGTGACCTGATTCACAGGTTCCTGCTGTGTTGCCAGATGTACGAGGGTGAGCAATAGAGCAGCGCAGAAAGTGGAGATCAGAGTGGATTGCGTACGACGTAGTGACGTAGAGAGGCGAGAGACGTACTCCGGCGCAGCCCGCCACGCGAGCAGAGGCGCCCGGCCAAAGAAACGCCCACAAATGGCCGGGGAAAGCAAGGGGAAAGCGATCGCACGGCTGTGCACCGTCCCTATCGCCCGTCAAGGGTCTCGTCCGGTTTTGGTAGGTCTCCAAGAACGAATCTCTTCCTTCCTCCATCCGCACATGAGTTCCTCCCACACAAAGCCTCCGATGGCGTGCAAGTGCTGCCTGCAAATCTCATATGTCCTAGCGTCACGCACCACAGCTGCACTAGTAGCCCGCGGTCGTCCTCGGACTGCACTCCTGCGTGGGTGCCAGGAACGCCAGTGAATAAACACCGGATCATTGCAATGAATTCCTTTCTCTGTACACCTGACTTTTAATTAATTCTTTCTCGTCCATGAGCAGACACCACCTGTCGCTATGCGCAGTCCCAGCGACCTATGCCACCGACGCCTTGCCTACCCGGGCGGGTCCTTTGTGAGCTCTCTTGATCATCCTAACGCCGGGCCAGGAACACGACCGATCTTCCTCCGGGTCATGGATTCCATCGTGCGCACAAGCCAAAACGTCAGAACACCTTCCAACGTCGCTGAGGTGACTGATGACGTTCGATCGACGCCGCCGAGCTGCGCTTCTCCACCTTCTTCCCGCAGCGACGGAACCATGCAATATCCCTATTCCATTCTCGCGTCGCTGGAGCCCACGTAACCGGCACGAGCGGGCGCACCCCCTCCGCCCCGCCGGAACCTTGCCCATCTCCAAACCCACACCTGGCCCGCCCCCGCCGGGCCCTTCGCATGTGCGCATCGGCGGCGACATCTCCTTTGATTCCATGATCCCCATCTCGCGAACGCCCTTCGCCCTCTGCCCACACAGTCGCAATCAACCCATGGAGATCAGAATCTCTGAGCTGATGATGCCGAGAAGGCCCCACGGGCCACCGTCCCGGCCCGTGCGCTCCTCCTCCTGGGTGGCGGTGCCGGGCTGCAGGGGAACGCACCCACCGGACGCGCACACGCCGCGCCACGGCAACTCGACCGCGCACTTGTCCCGACCCGCGGCGAGCTCGCGCGTCCCGTCCCGGACGACGCCCACGCCCCTCGCAAACGCCGGGCGAGATCGGCGCGGGAGGGCGGGAGGGCGTCCGGGCCGCGCGCCGCGCTCGGGAGTCCGGTCTCTTCTTTCAATCGTCCGTCGATGAACGCCGAGCGCGCACTGGCGACCGTGTACGTTGACGACGACCTGGATGGGCTTCTGCGAGCCCCCTTCGCCTTTGCCTTCGCGCGTCGCCCGCAGTCGCATTTCATTTAGCCGTCCCCGGACGCCCCGCCGCCCTCGCGCGCGCGCGCGCACTCCCGCACGTCAGAGTGCGTGGGATGCGCGGGCGGGGGAGGGCGCCGCCCATTCAGCCGGCTTGGCAGGATGTGCCAGCCGCCCTCCCGACGGTCGTCGGGACGGTGGAGCGCACCTTCTGCGTTACGAGAGCCCCCCGCGCGCGTGACCGACCGACGAAGGCGGAGAGGCGCAGGATGCCCCGCCGACCCCGCGCGCGCGACGTTCCACGTTCCACGTTCGCCATCTACGTTCGGCCTTCTGACTCTGAGGGCGACGGGGCACTCGCGAGAAGGGGGGGGGGCGGCCGCGGGACGTGATAGAGCGCAGTCGGTCGCTGCCCGACGCTGGCGCTCCCACACGTGCGCGCGAGGGGTGTCGAGTGCGAAGGACCTCGCGAGCCCGAGGCGGGCGTGGGCGCGCGCGCGAGGAACCCGACCCGCCCTCTGGAGTCTGCGGTCGACGCGGGACCCCTCCCGGCGGGAAACCTGGCCACGGCAACGGAGGAACGGGCCCTGCGCCAAGCCCAAGGGGCCGGCAGGCACGGCGCTAGTGGTGCGCTGACTGGATCACCAGAATCCAGATTCGCCTTCGCGGCTTCGCGGGAGGCGCCGGTCGGGCCGCGTGCTACCAGACGTCGCGGCCGTGGGGCGCGCGGCTAGTAGCCTAAGGCTGGGGCCGGTGCAATGTAGCGGAATGCAGCGCGTCCGCCCCGGCCGCGGTAAGCCCGCGCGGTCGCGGCCGCCGGTGGGGCCTGGGGGCGGCCTTGGATGCGGTGTGTGGGTCGCGGGACGGCTGGGGAGGGGCGGGAGGGCGCAGCGGGCGGGGTGCTAGGCCGGAAGGAGCGATTCGAGGCAGGACGGCTGGCGCGTTCGAAGTAGAACGCGAAGGCGCGCCGCCGGACTCGTCGCGAAATTTGTGTGAGATGAATGCCGGCGAGCGTCCAGCGCCGCGAGCGAGCTGGGTGGCCGGCTGAGAGCCCGCGGAGGCACGGGTACGAGCGCGCCGTCGCCGGGGCCCAGCGGCCTCGACGGATCGCGGGCTCCCACAGCGGTCGTTTGCGGGCAGCGTCGGGCGAGAATCTCGGGCGTGACAGCGGTGGGCTCGCCGCGCATGCTCGGCGGGTGCATGACGTCCTCGAGCGCAGGGTGGGCCCGGCGTGTGCGACGCATTCGCACTCGGAGCGTCGCAAACGGCTTGGTCCCCGCCGCCTTCTTCTCCTTCGTGCTCCTCCCGTTCCCCCGGTCGGGTGGACCGATCACCCTCTCGCTTCTCCTCATGATCTGGGCCCCCTTCTCGTCTTCGCCATGGACTGGG